AAAAAAAAAAAAAAAAAAAAAAAAAAAAAAAAAAAAAAAAAAAAAACTGGGATCTCATCATAGGTTGATCAGCATTCACAGAACCACGTCTCTTGAGCGATCTGAACATACATTCAACATACAAGACTGGGTTCACTTGAGGTCAGCATGATTTGGTTCCATCTGCATTTTGCATATCGATCAAATCTTAATTGAAGGAGCTGGATTGACAACCCAGTTTTATATTACAACAATCCTTTCGTCTGTCTGTCAATATTTGCCTATATTCTCCTTTTTGTTCATTTTCTTCTCACAATACCCCTTTTTTTTGCTTTCTTGTGCTCGACCTGTATGTATGTTAAATGACTTTCACTAAGCCCTTCTTTTCGCCGAGGGAATAGTTTATGTTAATTAGGCTATACAAATGCAATCTCAAGTAATGCCAATGAGATATTCTGCTTGCAAGGATATACGTAGAATCATCGTCTTATATTGGAGTCATTTCACATTTCGAAGAGCACTGCTCTGCTCAACAGATTCTAGGAAACAGGTATCACTTGGATTTGAATAATACAACCAGATCTCCTGTCTACCTTCAATCATCTTATCTTTTAATAGTAGCAGCAATCGTAAGCAAAGTCGTGATAGTTATCAGGATTTCTTCCCGAGAACACGTTTAGCATGTCTAGTGCCAGCAGCTCGAGATCCTGCTCCTTCGTCGATATCCATTCTCGACCCAGAGGCGCCCGCATCGAACGTACCCTCGCCCCCATTACTATCCCAGTACCCGTCATCGTCATGTTCATCGGCCGTGAATTCGCGCTTGTTCCCGCTGCCAGCACTCCCTCCCGGCGCCATTCTCAACCCGCCACTTACATCCTTGCTCCCGTATTTCTTAGATCGTGCACCACCGCCATCTGAGCCCCAGCCGGCAAGTGTATTTTCAATGAGCACCGCGCGAGCGCGCTCGTCGGAGCGCCGCTTGAGGGAATTGGTTCTGATCTTGGCGATTTCGGCCTCCATGCCGCTGATGACGTCGCCGCAGCGGGTCTCCCACTCGGTCAGGACGGAAATCATGGATAATAGGGACTCGGGTTTGACATCGCGGAGAGGAGCGACGGAGGTCACGTTCACCGTTGGGGGGTTGGTGGTGGGGGAGAGACGGGCGGTGATGAGGGAGGAGTAGATGGCGGTTGTGACGAGGGATTCGAGGTCGGAGGGAGTTGAAATGGACAGGGCGTTCATGAGGGTTTCATAGGTGAGAGGCTTAATGGTTGCCGACAGGGTGAGGAGGGACAGAAGGCGGAGCTTGAGGGTCTGTTCCTGGTTGAGCGGGGGGAGGTTCGGGGTTGCTGGGTGGGGGGAGTTGAGTGGTTAGCTGGATGTGTATATTCCAGGATGGATGATGCTGTGTATCTTACATTGATAGTCTTGCCATGTTCCCCAGGCGAAGATCTCTAGCAAGGTGAGATATCCCTGAAACTCCTCGGGGGTATCGGGGGATCGAAGGGCCTGGACCGTTGGTGTCTCCAAGAGCTCGGCGAAGACGTAAGTCTGGGGGCTTGAGGTGGCATTCGTGATGAGGTTGGCGATAAGTCGAGGGGACGAGGCGCTTGTCGATTTGGCCAGGTGGATGAACGACTGGAGAGCCTCCAGGGCTCGTGTATGTGTTTGATCCATGAGGGTTCTCTGGGGGGTTGTTGACGGCGGGACCGAAGGTATGATGACGGTGCTGTGGTACGAGATTAGTCGGGTAGAGTTCGGATAGTTCTCTATTTACTCACTGGTAGTCAGTTGTCGGATCCTAGCAGCGGAGTATTACCCCCTGGACAGATTCAATCTGTTGTGTCTGGAGGGAGATTAACTGGAGATGATGGTGGTGATGGTATCCAAGTCATGTCCCGAATGGGCTGTTTGCATTTGATGCAAACATCTACTATATCATTCTCGCCCGTTATCGATACGATTTACAATGATCTGATGTTTATTTTATGAGTTTAGATTTATTCACTGAGATAGGAGTATTCTTGTGCAGTATAGAGTATACCGTTATATTCAATCATTATGGGCTATACAAAGACCAAATTGCTCCGACTCCAAGACCATCCGCTGTATGAAAACAAGGTACTTCATTTGAACTGACACTTGTAGCCTCAGATAGATTGAAAAGGGGTCTAGAAAGACTGATCAATTCTTCCATGCTTCTTCAGCTGTCAAATGGCGTCTATATCAAACTGCCAAGTACCCTACTACCCCACTATAGTTGAGATAGCGCGAAGCTCTGATGTTTCAAACAAACATCAATCAATGCTTTCGGAGTAATTACCAAACTGGATATGATAGTTTTCTTCTCTTCCTGATCGAAGTATCTGAGATTCTGAGTTTGAATGGTGTAGTTCTTGAGTTTGCTGGATACGGATTGCACCATTGCAGTGGTTATTGATGCTATTCAACACCGTACTGATATCAGCATAACCTCGACTGCCCAGACAAAGAACAAGAAATTCAGATCGCCACGCCCAACTCCCTCCAGCCATCCAGGAGGCAGGAAATCGTCTACACAGACCTCTGGAGATGCCGATGAGGGTTACACCACATCCGGAGCATATCTCGCCATGTTGGGCTGGAAATACCGCAGCGCAGGTGTAAGCTTAAGATAGCAACCATGTCAGCTGACAGGCGATGCAGAAGATGAGAACAGCATATCACTCAGTATCACTCAATAAGAATCCATGGAATGCAGCCTAGGAAGCAATAATAAATCATATTAATTATCGCCAGGAATGCGGTCAGATTCCTCGCTGTGGTAAGAACAATAAAAAGAACCGCTGACTGTACAGAAAGCAAAACGCAACACCATCAGCGCTAGTTCTTCTGGGCTAAATTGGCCCAGAGATTAAAATTAATATTTCTCTTGATATCTTCGCTTCTGTTTCTTCCAATCACAGCTTCATCTTCTTCCCCCCACGCGGCACTCTGCATTGCTCTGTGGAATGATCGACCCGCAGCAACTTGGCCATCCGAGCTGATCCGCCCACCGTCAACGTAACTATTTGACGTACCTGTCGCCCTTGTTTCTTTGTCCCATCCGCCTGTTTTCCCTTTCTTTCTTCTTTTTCTTTTTCTTCGTTTTCTCAATTTATCACCCCAACTCGCATTCTCCAAAATAACCCCATCGTTTCCCATGAGATAACTCACCTCAGCATAGCTTCCGTTGTGTTGCTTTCGACAGACTCGGCGCTATGGCGTCCTCCGCTGCGTTACGCCCCGCCGACAAGGGCCCGGCTACGGCTCATATGGCCACGACGACGGTTAAGGTGGATGGAATGACTTGTGGCGCATGTACCTCTGCGGTGGAGGGTGCGTTCAAGGGTGTTGAGGGTGCTGGAAATGTTTCTGTCAGCTTGATGATGGGCAGGGCTGTGGTGCATCACGATCCGACACTACTGCCGGCGGAGAAAGTCGCCGCGACGATTGAAGATAGCGGTTTCGACGCCGCCGTTCTCTCCACAGATACACCGTCGACACAAGCAGATTCTTTGGTTGCTGCTAAGAATGAGGGGCCGCGATCCTCGACTACGACCCTGGCTGTCGAAGGCATGACCTGTGGCGCATGTACCTCTGCCGTCGAAGGAGGTTTGAACGGTGTGTTCGGCGTGGCATCAGTCAGCGTTTCTTTGCTTTCAGAGCGAGCTGTGGTGGAACACGATGCGTCAATTATAACTCCGGATCAGATCGCCGAGGTCATCGAGGACCGGGGCTTTGGTGCAAAAGTGTTGAATATTTCAGAACCACAGGACGGTCTCCACGCGCAGGAAAAGACATCGCAACCTCAGCTGGTGGCTACCACTGTTGCAATCGATGGCATGACATGTGGCGCATGCACGGCGAGTGTTCAAGGTGTCTTCAACGGGGTGGATGGCCTGGTTCAGTTTAACATCAGTCTGCTTGCCGAACGCGCAATCATTGTCCACGATCCCGCCGTCCTGCCAACGGAGAAGATTACCACCCTGATTGACGATGCAGGTTTCGACACGACTGTCATATCTTCCGAGGCTCAAGTACCTGCCTCAAAAACCTCGAATCAAATTAATTTGAGTCTACACGGTCCGCAGGATGCTGCCTCGGTAACTGCATTGGAAGATTCTCTTGTCCAAACACCAGGAATTTCCTCCGCATCCGTGAATGTGGCTTCGTCCCGTATTGTGGTATCATATGATTCTTCTGTGATTGGGATTCGCTCTGTCGTAGAGGCGATCGAGGCCGCTGGATACAATGCTCTCTTGACAGATTCTGACGACACCAACGCGCAGCTTGAATCTCTATCCAAAACAAAGGAAATTCAAGAATGGAGACGCGCTTTCCTCTTTTCAACCTCATTTGCAGTCCCTGTATTTCTGATCAACATGATACTTCCCATGTACTTGCGACCCCTCGACTTCGGCAGCTTCGAGTTATGTCCAGGCCTTTACCTTGGGGACCTCGCATGTCTTTTTCTCACTGTCCCCGTCCAGTTCGGCATCGGCAAGCGCTTCTATGTCTCGAGCTATCGATCACTCAAACATAAATCACCGACTATGGATGTTCTCGTCATGCTAGGTACATCAGCCGCTTTCTTCTACAGCGCGTTTACCATGCTGGTCTCCATGTTCCGCATGCCCCATACTCGTCCCAGCACTGTATTTGACACAAGTACCATGCTCATCACATTTATTACACTTGGACGATGGCTGGAAAACAGAGCCAAAGGCCAAACGTCCGCAGCTCTGTCTCGACTCATGTCTTTGGCCCCTTCGATGACTACGATATATGATGATCCAATAGCGGCTGAGAAAGTCGCCGAAAAATGGCAACCCGCCAGCTCTGGCTCCAAAAAGCAAGACCCAACCCCCTCGAATTCTGATGCATCAGGCCCGGGATACAAGATCATTCCCACCGAATTGATTGAAGTGGGCGACATCGTCCTGCTCCGTCCGGGCGACAAAGTTCCTGCAGACGGCGTCGTCATTCGAGGCGAGAGCCATGTTGATGAGAGCATGATCACCGGTGAAGCCCTTCCAATCCGCAAGAAGAAAACCAGCCTCGTCATCGCGGGAACAGTGAATGGCACTGGATCGGTTGACGTCAAGGTCACCCGTGCTGGGAAGGACACGCAACTGAGTCAAATTGTGAAGCTGGTCCAGGATGCCCAAACGAGCCGCGCTCCCATCCAGCGCATGGCCGACGTTGTTGCCGGCTATTTTGTTCCTGCTATCATCAGTCTCGGCTTGGTCACCTTTTTCGGTTGGATGTTCATGAGCCACGTATTGTCAGACCCCCCGAAGATCTTCCTCGCTGAGAGCAACGGAGGTAAAGTGATGGTTTGCTTGAAGCTTTGCATTTCGGTCATTGTCTTTGCTTGCCCATGTGCTCTAGGCCTTAGTACCCCGACGGCTGTCATGGTTGGCACCGGAGTGGGTGCACAAAACGGCATTCTTGTCAAGGGCGGCGCCGTGCTCGAGGGTGCAACCAAGGTGAACCACGTGGTTTTTGACAAAACTGGAACATTGACGACCGGTAAAATGAGCGTCGCTGAGGCTCAAATTGAGCCTCATTGGTCTTCAAATGAATGGCGCCGTCAGTTATGGTGGTTGATTGTGGGTCTCGCGGAAATGAGCAGCGAACATCCCATCGGCAAAGCGATTCTATCAGCGGCTAAGAATGAATCAGGCCATCCTGGAGATGATGGACTGCCCGGTAGCTTAGGCGACTTCGACGCTTGTGTTGGTAAAGGCGTATCTGCTCTCGTCGAACCCAACGGTGTGGAGCGCGTACAATATCGTGTTCTACTTGGCAATGCTGTTTTCTTGCGGTCCAGGAATATCCAGGTTCCTGACTCGGTCGATCCAGACTCACAGGAACCTACAAACCAATATGATAACCCAAGCCCCAAGCCCGATACACAAGCTGGCATTACCCGAATCCATGTGGCGATCGAAAACCAATATACCGGTACCATCTCGCTCCGTGACACCGTGAAGACGACTGCAGTGGCTGCAGTTGCAGCCTTGCATCGCATGGGCATGAGCACCTCGCTTATCACAGGTGACACATACTCGACTGCCGTTTCCATTGCTACCGCTGTCGGTATCTCCACCGAGGCAGTCCACGCTTCAGTCTCTCCCTCAGACAAACAATCGATCATCTCCTCACTGCAGGCCTCAGGCGAACGCGTCGCAATGGTTGGTGACGGTATCAACGACTCTCCGGCCTTGGCCTCGGCCTCGATCGGTATTGCGCTTGCTTCTGGAACGGACGTTGCGATGGAAGCCGCAGATATTGTCATCATGCGGCCAGACGATCTCCTTTCGGTGCCAGCCAGTCTGTTACTCTCCCGGTCAGTTTTCAAACGTATCAAGCTGAACCTTATGTGGGCTTGTCTATACAACATTATCGGCTTGCCGTTCGCCATGGGTCTATTCCTTCCATTTGGCGGCATCATGTTACCACCCATGGCCGCAGGCGCAGCCATGGCTGCGTCGAGCATTTCCGTCGTGGCGAGCAGTCTTCTTTTGAAATTCTGGAAACGACCACGATGGATGAATGCCGAGCGGTTAGAGAAAGAATTGGAATTGGGCAGCATGAGCCTCGCGGGCGCTCAGAAGAGCTGGTGGATGGCCGCTTTGTCAGTCACCGGATCCCATGGCTCGAGACATCCATTACGATGGGCCAAGGATGCCGGTGCTGCCCTCTGGTCAAGTGCCACGGGTAGGAGATCCACGACTCACGACGAAGGAGGATACGTTCCTCTCCGGACCGTGGAGCCAGCTGTCTAAGCGCATCATCTATCTTTCTATATAATTTTCGCATTTTTCCTGGTGTTCGTTTACCCCCCGTATTTCCAATTTCCACAGCTTTTGTTATCAAGTTTTGGCCTTGCATTAGAGGCATTACACTCATGATCATGTTATGAATGGTGTCAAAATGGATTGGGCTTTTCTCTTTGGTTTTTATGTTGGATGTGTTTAGACGATTTATATTGATACCTTTTGCTTTTACGGCTATGACATCTGTTGCACATGATATGAAACAAATGTTATAAAATCTTTTGCCAAACAAGAATTCACTCGTAGTACTAGTATTCAACGATGCATTCATAATTAATCAAGGCGATGATATAGATAGCTTACGCTATCCAAGAAATGCAAAAGCTGTAGAGAGGTGTCATGTCATTGGTCATTAATAGAAAACAAACATATTTCTGATACTCATATATTCCCTGATCATCAATCATGAAACAATGTAAACAAAAAAACGACTAATGATTGGGTTTAAGCACCCTGCTTATCGGTTGCTGTTTCTGACCCCTGGGGTTTATCCGTTGCACTGGAGGACTCAGCATGGCTATCTTCTGTCCCACCTTTGACATCTCCCAGGAGAATATCACCGTCGCCATCAGCATTTGGATTTGAGTAATCGTTCCCTTGCGCGGATTGATTGGTTTGTTGACCTTCCTGAGCAGCGGTCGCATCGTTGGAAGCTGCGCCCTCTTCGCTCGAAAGTGCCATTTCGACACCCTTACCATCCTGAAGGCCCATGTCTTCCACGCCTACTACTGGCGGGCCGCGAGCGTGGGGTACTTCTTCAGTGTCGGCTGGCGGAGAAGTGACATTGGCTCCTAGCGCTTCATTCTCAACAGCTATTGTTGACTCGGTATTGGCTGGTGTTTGTTGGGTAGCAAAGCCGGCGGTGTCTTCCTCTTGTGCTTGTGGTTCCTGCGTCTGTTGCTCTTGCTCTTGCGGAACAATAGGCATAGGTTCATTGTCTGAGGCTATGTTATCAATGAGTTTGTGTGGGGTTATATCAAGTTTCAATGGCGATCATACCTTCATCCAAGGGTACACCGTCATCTACATCAATAGTGGCATTACTCAGCCAGGGGATTGGAGTGAGGAGGGCACCACCCAACGACTCATCACTTCCTAGGGAGTGATCTGGGAGCATGAAGCTACTAGACCCACCGTTCAAGATACCGTTGGGCTGGTTGCTGCTTGTTTGCGTCTGTAGAGGAAAGACCTCCGCGCTGCTGGTGACGGAAATGACCCGGTCAAGAGCTCGCAGGTAGGCAGGCAAGGTTCGGTAGTGCGCATTCGGTCGAAGGATAAGCTCTGCAAATCTCTGGATTGTATGTGGTGGTTTGGAAGTAAAAAATGTCTTCAGGGTCGATCTAATCGAGTCTAGCAGCAACTGAAGCGGAGCGGGGAGTATCTCATTCGTAGGGCCTGCAAACGACTGAGGTTGGGAGTCCGGTACACGTTCACTCGAAGACGAGGGAGCTGTTGCAGAGGATGCTGTAGGACGTGGAGGTGTCTGCAAATCCGCCGGGGAAGCGTTTTCTTTATTGCTACTCGAGGGCACGGTGTGGGAGTCTTGCGGTTGCGAGGACGAGGGGAAGGAAGACGGCTGAGTAGGAACAAAGGACGAGGTTTCCTCGGGGGTCGCCTTGGGCATAGGAAAAGCATTGTAAACGATCTATCGCGCCAGTTAGCAAGTAAAGAACAGAAATCCAACCAAGCGGATAGCTCATAACGCACATATTCCAACCGCTCAAGCAGAGGTTCAACCATGCCAGCCCATTTCTCGCTAGAACGGGACCTTGTCAGCCATCTGTCGGATTCCAAAGCTCAGAGGCTGGCCATTTATTCAGCGTACAAATCCATTAAGCCGCCATTGGCGGCCGTCTCCAAGCTTTCTTCATCTATAATTGGAAGGACATTCGTTAGCTACTGGAAAGCTCAATGCAACTTCGCATCACACGACAAAGACAATAATCCTAGAAAGGCCTCCGCGGAGGAAACTTACCAAGAGACATTCTGACGACACACTGCACCCCGGAAACCTGGTCGGTGATAACAGCAATCAGTGCTCCGTTGACTTGCGGTAGAATCGCCAGGCCGTTTATTATGGCCGACGAGATGCCCGCCGCTTTAGGCGCGCGGGCGGGGCGAGCGGCAGCGACGGCTTTTGATTGGCAGGCACAGCCGCTTATCAATTTCACGTGACGGTTATCGTCCAATTTCTGAGATCGGAAGATGAAGAGGGGCATTGAATTCTTCCCCAGGCGACTTTGCAGCAGGCCACGGTCTAGATCCAATTGGTTTCATTTGGGTCCGATTTTTTATTTCATTTTTGTCTCTTTGGCTCAACTAGCACCGTTCAATTCAAGATGTGGAATGATCGCAAGGTCGGAATCCTTGGTGGGGGGCAGTTGGGTCGGATGCTTGTCGAGTCCGCAAATCGACTGAATATCCAATGCAACGTTTTGGACGCTGAAAATGCTCCTGCGAAGCAGCTCAGCGCTCACGATGGTCATGTGACTGGCTCTTTCAAAGAGAGAAAATCTGTGCGACAATTGGCAAAGACTTGTGACGTTGTGACTGCCGAGATCGAGCATGTGGATACTTATGCGCTTGAGGAAATCGCCTCGGAGGTCAGGATTGAGCCCAGCTGGCAGGCAATCCGGACCATCCAGAACAAGTACAACCAGAAGGAGCACTTGTCGAAGTATGGCATTCCCATGGCTGAACATCGGGAACTGGTCAAGAACACCCCCGAGGAACTGGCAGAGGTCGGCGCTCAACTTGGATTCCCTCTGATGTTGAAGTCGAAGACAATGGCCTACGATGGACGAGGTGAGTGCTTCTTTGCATAAATATTGGTATAGGGCTATCAAATATTAACTGGGGATCTTCAGGAAACTACACTGTCAACTCCAAGGACGATATCCCCGACGCACTGGAAGCCCTCAAGGACCGACCTTTGTACGCTGAGAAATGGGCCCACTTCAAGATGGTTCGCTTCCCCCAAATATGATTAAGATGATACGGTGGTCTAATACTTGGTGTTTAGGAGCTGGCTGTCATGGTTGTCAAGACCAAGGACGAGGTGCTGTCATACCCCACCGTTGAGACCGTCCAGGAAGACTCGATATGCAAGCTTGTGTATGCCCCGGCCCGAAACGTGTCGAACGCTATCAACCAAAAGGCTCAGGAGCTGGCCCGCAAGGCCGTGGCGGCCTTTGACGGCAAGGGTGTCTTCGGTGTCGAGATGTTCCTCTTGGAGGACGAAAGCCTTATCTTGTGCGAAATTGCAAGCCGAATCCACAACTCGGGTCACTACACCATCGAGGGCTGCCCCCTGTCTCAATTTGATACCCACATGCGTGCCATTCTCGACATCCCCATTCCTCCCCAGAGCCTTGAGCTCCGCCAGCCGTCCATCATGCTCAACATCATCGGCGGCGCCACTCCGGACTCGCATTTGGAGGCCGCCGAGCGCGCTCTTTCCATTCCCAACGCCAGCATCCACCTGTACAGCAAGGGTGCCTCCAAACCGGGCCGTAAGATGGGCCATGTGACAGTGACAGCTGCCACGATGCACGAAGCCGAGACTCACATCCAGCCGCTCATCGACTACGTCGACCACATGCGCTCCCAGCGCAGCGACGTCAAGACCAAGCCCCAGTCATCCGGTCCTTCCAAGCCCGCACCCTCAGTGGCCGTCATCATGGGCTCTGACAGCGATCTCAAGACTTTGGTCCCTGGACTCAAGCTTCTTAAGGACTACTTCGGTATCGAGCATGCAGTGGACATCACTTCCGCCCATCGCACTCCGACATTTATGGCCGAATACTCGGCCAATGCCGCCTCGCGCGGAATCAAGGTCATCATCGCCGCTGCCGGCGGTGCTGCCCATCTTCCCGGCATGGCTGCTGCACACACCGCTCTCCCCGTCATTGGAGTGCCGGTCAAGGGCAGCTCTTTGGACGGAGTCGACAGCTTGTACAGCATTGTACAAATGCCCCGAGGTATGTCACCTACACTTCAACCAAACACTCATATTACGTTATTCTAACTGCTGCAGGTGTCCCCGTCGCCACCGTTGGAATCAACAACAGCGTGAATGCTGCTCTTCTGGCCGCCCGAATCCTGGGCGCCTTCGACCCGGCTGTTCAACGCAAGGTGGAAGCCTATGCGGAGAAGGCCCGGGCTGAGAATATGGAGCAGAAGGGTGTTAAGATGCAAGAGCTCGGATGGGAAAAGTACTTTGAGCAAATGTAAAAACCCTTTTTAGATGGTTTTATTTTGAAAATGATAGACGATGAATACGACTGAGATTACTATATAAAAGTTTGGATTTTCTTTTTCTTCTGAATTGGAAAGTGACGTTGCAATTGGTAGTGTTATTTAGGCACGATATATATCCATGCTCCTCATTATAAAAAAGGAAAAACAATTGTTAATACTTGTAGTATATTACTCGGGTCTCATTAAACCTCTATAAAATTAGAAATATCTAGAATGGGAATAAAGCAATTGTTAATAGGTTGGCATTAGGGATTAATTACTCGATGATACTCGTACAAACCACCTTGCCCGTGAGCAGAACGAAAAAAAAATTAAATCACAAAGCACACAATTACTACAGCGAAACCAATAATAAAAAGTCGCAATAAGATATCTGAAAGCACTCAAAACCCTTGCACGAACAAAACTCGTTTCGTGCGATATCCAAAGAATTCATAAACAAGACTCATGGTCAGGGGATGTATCGTTTGCACGCCACGCCTCGAGTTTAGGCTGCCTGGGGGTTAAACGCAGTCTGAGCTCCTGGTACAGACAATCCGTGGGTGGTCACCTTTGAACCATTTGCAGCGCCGTTGGCGTGTCCGTTGCCAAAAGCCTGGTTGACCTCATCTGAGAATCCCCGAGAAGGGTACCCGTTCTGGTCAGCGGACTTGGGGTGGCCATTGGTTGCGCCGGCGGGAGCAGCAGCAGCAGCAGCAGCACTACCGTCTGTCACCCGACCATCAGCAGTCTGGTGCGGTTTGCGAGTAACAGAGCTGGGTTTGGGGATGTCAGTCGACTCAGACGCACTGCCGATACTGAAAATGGCCGACTCCCAACGGTCTCCCTTGTTCGCGAGTTCCACATACTCCGTGGCCTTGGAGGAAATACCACCAGGGAGCTTAATGTCAGGGAAAAGAGAGTCATGTAGAGTGGCAGCTGTCTGGACCTTAGTGTCACGCTTGGGGGCCGCCTCGGCCTTTTGCTTCTTTTCTGTCATCTTGGCGCGGATGGCATCCATATAGCGAGTGTAAATGTTGGGTGTGTTTTCAGGATCCTTCTCAACAGCTTCCTGTGCCCGCTTGACGTCTGATTGGATTTCATAAGCAAATTCATCACCGCTGGCAAATGCATCGCGGATTTGTTTCTCAATCACATTCTGCAGGATAGGGCGGACGACACGGAAGAGCATCGGCTTGAACACCGAGAAAAGGACCTTGTGTTTGGATTTCTTGAGCTTAATATCCATGTTCTTGATATTCACGGTCACCTTGTCGAGCTTAATAAAATGCTGACGGTCCCCCTTTTGAGCGGTGGAAGCTGCGACCTTGAAGCCAAAGCCCTCGCCGCCAAGGAAGATGTCCATTACACCCTTGTCGGTTATAGCAGGGAAGCCCTCCTTCTTCTTGATGTAGTAGCTGACATCCCTGAGGTCTGCTTGAATTCCAGAGGCTGAAATCATGATCTGCGCGCCGGGGTCAGCATCATCGCTGGATGAATAAGGGGATCTAGCTGTTACTAACCTTGTTGTCCCTCTTGCTGCTGATCTTCTTACGTCCCCAACGGAAGTAGTTGTCGCTACCAAGTTCCACGACATTAGGCATCAAGTTATCACTCTCAATGACGAGATTTTCAACCACCTAAAGAGCAATGTTACTTCCGGTTCATAGCCCAAGTGTTCAGGAAGATAAACTTACCACATCAGCCATTGGGTCCGAAACCTCAATGCGAGGAACAGGAACATAGCGGACGTTCTCAAAGATGCCAGGAAGAATGACATTGCCAATGTCCTTGAGGAGATGCTTCTTGAACTTGACATTGCCGTCTGAATCGCGACCCAGGTCATTGAACAGCTTCTCCATAGAGTTTGCAAATGCCTTGTTCTGAGGGTCCCTGTTGAATTGATCACCAACGAATTTGATCTCATCGAGGATACGGTCGGTATGGTTCTTGTAACGGTCACGGAGCAAGTAGCGGCCATGGTCGTACAATTGGTTCCATTCACGATTGCAGTCCTCTTCCATGATGTAACCTGACTCTCGCAAGGATTTTCTAGTTCTGTTAGCCTAGTTCGTGCTGAATACCTTTTCGATAAATGAATAGCCTACCTGATGAGTGTGTTAACGTTCTTGAACCATCCTCGGAGTTCAGGATCCTTGTCTGCATCCCGGTAAATGTTGTCGAGCGAACCGAAGAAGTCATCCAAAGAGGTGCTATTGGCAAAACGCTCAATCAAAATCTAGAGAAGTATTAGCACCAAGACATTTCTTGATATGAGAATACCTACTCGGAGATTAGTTTCGACTGTCTGAACACTGGAGTTGGCTCTAACGCCCTGGACAGCTCCAGTACCCTGCTGAGTGAGATCCTTGGAGTGTCCGGCGTATTTTTCGGCAAGGTTCAGGAGTGTTTCAATAGCTTGCTGGTCTTTAAGATCACAGGGCTCAAGTTAGTTGCTATCCCATGTGAAATGGCCTTCGGTGTGTACATACAGTCAGCGTGGCCTTGGATTTCAATGACCATCTTCTTCAAACGCCAGATGGCTTGGTCTCGTCGCTCCTGGGGCATTTTCTCCGACAGATAACTCTTGGTCTTGTCGGTCAGCTCTCGGGTGCGGTTCTTGGTGTCTTCTGGAACCTTTTCCTTGAGCTTCTGAGCGCCTTGAGCAGCGCCAGCACGAGCGTCAATATCCGAGGTGGTTTCCGGTTGCTTGCCACCGGTTGCTGCTTGCACGGTGCTCTCGGCAGCTTCATCGGCTTCCTCCTTGTTTCTCTTAAAACGAGACTTGAGTTGATCCTTTGAGATATTCGGCTTCTCGTGCCAAAGGTTCTCTTCTGCGGGTTGGTCGACTTGAGAGAGCTGTTCCTCGGATGGGCGAAGCTTGTTGGCAGCAGTCTGCGAAGCATCTCCGGCCATATCACGAGCGATGATCGCAGCGTCACTCACTAGGTATTGTCAATATAAGAATGCAATATGATATCAGAAACACCACTTACGAATCTTTCGAAATTCTCCATTCGTAATCAAGAGAGTTCCCAGGGTCTTGAGACCCTCCAAAGCCTGACTACCGTCTTGCTTGGCCACATCTTTGCCGACGGGAGCGTTTGGCTTCTGCGCGTCTCCCGAAGTGATCTGCTGGGCCTCCCAGATAAATTCCTGGATTAACTGGCCATCGTTCTTGCTCAGGATCAACTTCTTGGCTTGTTCGATGACATCTCGAACATCCTTCACGAGGACCTGGCCTTCACTAGACAATTCCTTAGATGGTGAGGAGAGGGCCTTCGAGGAGAGGGCGCTGTTCAGTGCGATGTCGCATTGCTTATTCTATAGTGAAATGCTCGGTTAGTATTGTGCAGGTGATACGGGAGACAGTGGTTTGTTCGATGGACTAACCGATGGCAGCTTGCCTGTCTTGAAACCTGGAACATTCTGTCAGCTTATCCGACAGTGATAAGGTATGAACAATCTGCAGTGAGCTACCTACCATGGTAGATCCCAAACAGCTGAAGCTTCTGGTTGATGTCCTGTATCACTTGAGTTAGCGACGAGTTCCACCCCCTTGACAGCATGAGCTGCATACCTTCTCCTTCTGCTTGCTGTCGGTAGGACGGTTGACAACTTTGGACGGCATGACGAAAGCTGCGGGAACCGCGCAAAATACCAAATTAAGAACCGATAAGATATATTATGTAGGTATGGTATGTATTTCGGACACCGCAAAGGCAATCAAAGGATAGTGAATAATCGTCAAAGAAAATTAAGATTAAAGTCGACTACAAATTAGTAAGGGGTCGTGTCGCTGGGGTATCACCGAAACCGGAATGAAAGGCCGCAAAGGGTTAAGACCGTTCTCCAATGGTATGTAGTAGGAGAGGAAGAGGAGGAAGAAGAAGAATGGTCTGAAGGAAGAGAAGAAAGGAAACAAAAAAAGACCAAAAAGAGAGGATTCTTCTCAAGTGGCCGATTCACTCTGTCTATTAAATATTATGACGAATGCAGATCCTCAACATCAGAAGGAGGGGGAGGAGAGCAGCAGCAGCAGGACTAGGAATAAGAATAGCCAAAAAAAGATGGTCGCAATCCCAGTTGCACGAAGAATGGGCGCGTTTGCGACCCCGACTTGACCTGCGCCCTTCTTTCCAGACTGGGTTGATGATTGACGTCAGGCTGTCGTGTCTCCCTTAGAAGCACGAGACAGCACACCACGACGTAAAAGTCCACCCTTGACCAGAAGAAAAGGGATGAAAATCGGCCCCGAAAAAAATAATAAAATCAAAAAGAACCAATTCGTCGGTTCCTGAAAGATGCTCATGGATTGGATCGGATTGCGTCCAGATGATGCTCCAGAACGTTCGGACATACAAAGTGTGGCTTGTGGAAGAGCTTTGACGATGATCTCATCTGGCCTGGGAAAGAGCTGCAACCTTCCAAGCCACCTGCGAAGTCTCAGAAGAGCCACTTTTCCTTGATTTGATCGGCGCTAAAGTAGGGAGAAATTCCAAATTGATAACTGAATCTCTCGCCTTCGTCTCAGACTCAGAGCCGTCTGGGCTTCAGAAGAGGGTCGAGATCAATTTCCGATCGCCATCTGTTCTCGTTGGCTCATCGCAAGAGGTCCATCAAGCATGGTGGCTGCCGATCCTCGCGCGGGTCCCAGACTAAAGCTTGGCGCAACTCCGGCCTTGTTGTCCATCGTCCATTGCCGCTTTGAGGCCGGGATTTTCACGGCCCTGTTGGTTGATGGAACAGTGAGAGGATGAAGGGATCATCCAAGTCCGCATCAGCTTGACGTCAATGAAACCCAGACTGCGCCGCGAAAAAAGATTCCCGCGCTGGTAGACTGGCCGTGTCCCATGGTCGCGTACCATGAGTTCTCAGTGCTAAGGTCGTAGTACCTTAGTAGTTGAAGTCTAAAGATTTTTTTTTCCCTATTTTTTTTTTTTTTTTTTTTGTTCTCGCTTGACCCATAATAATTTGTTGGAGTCGGCGGAAACCTGAATGTTGTCATCATTTCATCGTGTTGTGACCCTGAAAATTGAATAATCCAGGCAACGGGCAACCACCGCCAGCCCTGTGATATGCAAAATGTTATGTCATCGCATTGTAGTCGCGATGTGATCTTTGGAATCATGGTAGATAACCTACCTTCTCCATGCGATCATAATTGCTCCGACTTTGCTTTTTTACTATTATTATTCCCTGGTAGCAAAAATACTGGCCAGTTCACGTGGTGTTGTGATTGAGTAATTCCCCGAAGGCAACAGCAATTCAGCAACCAGTTTGCTATCCCCTGGCCCCCTGTCCGTGATATGGAGCAACGGGGTTATTTGCCACACTTAAACGCCAATTTACTGGCCCCATTATTATTGTCGGTTTCCGGGAATCAGGAGTCAAGACCCATTATTTGACACTGACTGACTCAGTGCGCTCGTCGCCAAAATAACTGACTGCTCTTGCTGTAGGCGCAATGGTGGCCCCCATGCTCCAATGGCCACTCAATCATATCGTACAGGGACAAGGCCCATAGTTGTATCACGGACAAGACAAGATCGATTCATTAGGTCAGATTCTAATATCATGTGTTTCCGTCTCACAAATAACAACAAAGGGTGACACATCACGGTGTACTCCATATGGGGTCTCCTTAAGCTCCATAGTTCCCAGGCTCAAACCCAGGGTATCCACTCCCTGTGGTCGGTAGTACAGTAGTAGGTGGTGGCCCAGTCAAATAGGCACCAGGCCCAGGAAGGTACACCATCGATGTCTGCATCAACCGCTTCCGGATAGACGTTGAAGTTTGCTCAAACTGCTCCAAAAGACCGCGCAGTTCCCACCTTCGCGCGCAGTATTGGAGGAGATCTTGAATGCAAGTTATGCATCGAATCACGCGTGCATGGCAATTGATCCGATCATCATCGCCAAGGAAGGGCGGGTCTGGAGCGCCATAAGGCATGGGGGGCGGTGCAGGCGTTGAAGGGCCCAATACAATGTCATAGTCTTGGGTCAAAATCTCAATAAAGCATTGGCCAACCTGATACGCCCGTTGTATATCAAGGAACGTCATGAAGGGTAAAAGATTGGTGTTTTCCAGGGTCTGATGGAGCTGGCCTATGTAATCCATGCAGCGATTGAACAGAAGAGCCTTGTTAAAGTCGCATATTGTAGGGTATCTATGGGATGGGGAAAGCAGAATGATAGTCGTGTACAAAAGCTCCAGTCTATATAGGGTTGGAAAATAGTGTGGGACATCCTTGGGGGCGTTATCAAACCACTCCTGGGCTTTCGAACACAGGACCCAGGTCTCTGTCACAGGTTGCGTAGATGGCTCGCGTCCGTCAAAATACATTTCTCGGTACGCCCCCGAAAGAATTTGGCGGATTCTGACCAAATGTAGAGCAGGCCCTGGGCTGCGGAAGAAAACGTGATTGTGTTCTTTCAAGGAGGAGCCTGACGAAGAAAGAGTGGGTATAGCGACATTAACGGAGGCGTCGGAAAAGGAAAAGGTTCGCCCTAATGCAGTGCTAACACCTCTGTGTTCTCAAGTTAGATACCTCGCAAACTAGGGCTTAAAGTTTTCAGTGGCAAAACGGAAGGTAGACAAACCTATCCAGGGAGTATATGCAATGGAAAACCTTTCGACGAATGTCCTGTCGATCGGTGCTTGTCAGGACTTCTGAAGGGGGCTCCTGGTGTAAGCCCAAATCCATCATGACTCTGACGGCCATTCCAATCAAGTACCAAGTGCGGAAGCGCATTGGATCAACCAGAGAATACTGAGCTAGCAGCAGGATCGCTTGAATACCAGGGATAGACCCAGGGTGGAGGACATCTTCGGAATATTGCATTGCCCCGGATAATAGGGACAATGCCCGTTGATGGTTACTGTCCCCGCTTTGGCGAGAGAGTGAAGCATAGGCAGTAGCTAACACCATGCGCAGTATCCAGTGGTCAAAGGGTTTCGCGAAACGCCCCCCAGATTGGTAGACAGCATCTACCGACGTCCAGAAGCTTGTCTCAACGAAAAAGGGCATTTGAGTGAAGATGTTGTCAAAGTAGTACTGCAGAATCGGTGTTGCTTCATGACGCGGAGGTAACGGGCGTGTAGGCAATGGTGGCAGTGTCTCAACAACGGAAACAGACAGTAATAGGTTGGCAAACGAAGTGCTAGAAGTAATTCCATGAAAGTCTCGCGAGGTGGCATTGACAGACCTGAGGGAAATATTAGTAGGGTGAAAAGGCAAAGCGGAAGAAGTCAACAAACAGGAAGCCAAAGTCTCCAACCAGGTCGTCAATATCAGACACCTCCTTGTGGTGCTCCTGGTCTGTTGCTGACACTGATGTGATGGAACTCTCATGGGCAACCCCTGCCCCATCTACAGATAAAGTTTGTTGATGGCGATGGAGACTAGCGATCTTTTTCTCGAGTCTTTCGCAGTAACCTTCCAAAGAAGCAACATAGCTTCTTTCCTTGCCCTTGGCAAATTCATCACTGGCCCCAGAGCAGGTGTTTGCTTTCCCTACTCTTTCACAAGCCGAGCAAGCAGGTAGCTTGCCATCACATTTGATCTTTGCTGTTCGACATCTTGAGCATGCGGCAACTGGCCGACTAACTTTGAGTAGCGGACTATCCAGAAACGAAGTGGCGGACATATTATTGTTTCATGTTATCTATGCAGCAAGTCAGCACGCGTGCTATACCCTGTAGCTACCGCGAGGACATATGCCGTAGCATTCAAAAGAGCAGCCATGTACCTTGGAGAGAGAAAAGTATCCTCAGTCGCTGGATTATGTAATAAACAAAAAAGGGTCCAGTTCGAAAGATTTAGGCTCTCGAGTTGACAGCGCAAATCCTCGAGGACCTGCATAAACCAAAGTAGTTAGTCGATAGACTGCCTCATGGACCCAAAAAATGTCGTAGTAGCTGAAAAAAAATTTATGGAAATATCATGATGGCCTCTCGAGGCTCTTCCACAAAGCAGAGGATGGGAAGAGGGGGCAAGGTTGTTGAAGTAAAGCTCATCTTACAGAACCTGTCTGGTGGGGAGAAAGGGGCAATGATGCGACCACTCACCAACTGGACAAGGCGGGAAAGCCTACGAGCCTATCAGAAAAGATATGCGATATCAACGATCAGGTGTCCGGGGGGGTATCGCGGCGATTTCAGGGACAGAGGGAAAAGAGTGGAGGAACAAGTTGGGGCAATGTCAGCATGCGAGCAAGCAGAAAGCCATGTCAGGCCAATAGCAGCTTCGGAGGCGAAGAAAAAAAAAATAAAAAAGATTAATTCAACCAGAGAAATGCGAGTCACCGATATAACGTCCGATTTATGAAGCAGTCAACTAGTTCATTAGCCTGCAGTTCTCTCAAGCAGGGCCGTTGAAGCTGGTGTCGTGCGAAGAGGCAACTGGCCCAGCCTTCGGGGCTCTCGCTCTTCGTAGGTGTCGAGCTCCCGCTTACTTTAGCTTTTCCCCCCTCACTGGACACCCACTCGCTCTCTTCCACGCACACACCCCACGCTGACACGCTCGATCTGTCAACCGACAAAGACCAAAGATCTGTGGTTCTCAGTCCGTCAGATTATTTATGATTATTGAGTCTTCTAATTCCGGTTATCGAATCCATTTGAAGATCAAGATACAATTCGTGGGATTATGCTCATCATGTGTCGTGATCTAGTCGGGCGCCCATGGTACCGTGTTTGATCTACATGAATGATCGACAGAACGAGTCTGTCCAACATTCCTCCTGCTCTGAATTGACATTATTGTCTACTCTATTATTCACTACCATTATTGTGAACTGGTGGCTAATGAAATAGAATTCAAGGGATCTTAATCTTATATGTACTCCTGAGTTTATATCGAAGGATCGCCAAGCAAGTTGCACGATCGCTTTGTCAACGACCAAGATCCCCTCCTCCAACTCCAAGAGCGTTTTGCACAATGGTATTGCATACCATTACGGACTACTGGGGGGCTTGTCTGACTGCCACCAGGCTTAGGGTCGATGATGGAGTCATTCGGAATGGTGACATACTGCCCGAGGCCAATACTATAAAGATGCTGGCCAAGTTCCACAGGAATCCATGGATGCCTTCATACTTACAACACTCGGCCTGGGGCTCGCAGCCAATCGTGTTGCTACAGCAGGCATTCAAAGGGTAGTACACTCGAGGATTTGTGTCTCGTGAATTTTCCACAAAGAATTCTGAATTACAGGGGACTCTTTCTTGGGACTGAAAGACTGAATGGATGATATCACTCTGGCCCCTACTAATCAACGCACACAGTCGACATACAGAGTACACAGTACCATAACAAACCAACATTTTATCTTACAACCTTACATAGAAAAAGAGAGAATATTCTGGGCTCTGCATATTTCCCAACCATCATCCCCCTGTGACCGACACCAAGAGTCCACTCTGTAAAATCCTTAGATCGTTGATCTTTAAATTTTTTTCGTGGGCAGCTGCGTATACATCAGTTTAGTGGTCGATCTTCAATCTGGGCCGAGGCTGTCTTTGGTGACTGTAAGTCAGTTCTTTTCCACTGTCGCCCCTCTTTCCGATCCGCCTTTTCTCTCCTCAACCTTGGGTAGTACAAACTGCCGTATTCCAATCCATTTTTCTACAGTATCGTCATTATTATTACCTTTTTTTTTTTTTTATCGCCATCTTTAAAAAATCTGGATGGATCAAACCATCGCAGATTTGCCAAAGACTTCTGGGTCGTGCGAACGAATGCTTTGCGCTGGGCTCTGCGACCGCTTACGCCTCCTTGCACTACCCTGAATATTATCTGCCGTCAAAGATCATGTCAACCGTGCCGTCTCGTCGGATGTCTTTCCCGTGTACCAATCGCGTGTACTTCAGAGGCTGATTTGGACCCAATTATTTTCGAATAGTGACAGGTCGTATGCACTTGCATGGTCACTTGGAGGGGGCGTGATTTTTCCTTGTCCAGTGACAGATAATCTACGGTCGTCCGAGCTTTGGAGTTCGTTTATCCAAGTCATCTTACAGACATGGCGACCCGGTTAAATTCGTCTCAGTCACCACCTTATTTTACAAATCCATGGGAACAGCCACCTTCCAGAGCTTCGCAGCACTCGGTGGATTCTCCCGATGGTCGTATTGCGCACACATTGACTGCTTGCACAAGGTGCAGACAGGTATGTCGGTCTTTGTCTCTAGGGACTTCACCGCCCCTCATTTACCATCAGTGTTCGAGTCTTTTGATTGACAATTCAATCAGCGTAAATCTAGATGTGACCCTGGTATCCCACGATGCGCTCCTTGCGAGCGCAGCAATGCAAAATGCGTATACTACGATTCCGCCAAAAAGAGCACCATCCCAAGAACATACATCGTTTCGCTTCGTGAGAAAGCCCGTGCATTAGAGAATGAACTGGCAGAAGTCGAGAAAGAAATCCAGCACTCAGCAGACGCAGAACTGATGGTGCGCGGGGCGGGTCGCATTCGATTCAAAGAAAATGATGAGGCTAGATACTTGGGACCGTCGAGTGGGATTGCAATGACTCGCTTGGTCATGGAGATGGCGAAACAAAACACCGATTCAAAGAGTATCAAAGATGTCGTCCCCGAATTGACTGCACATGAAATCAAAGCGGCATTTGTGCAAGAAAGCTCCAAGCCGACATCAAAGGTTTACCCTATGATTAGTTCGATTCCTCAACCCAATCTGCCTCCACGAAATTTGACGTACCGACTCATCGATCTCTTCGTGGCTAAAGGTAGGCTGTTCATCACGAACCCATGGTTCTGCTTCTCGCTTACTTTATTGTCTAGCACAAGCAATGCTTCCAACCTTGCACGAGCACACATTTCGTCAGGATGTAGAGGATGTGTTCAATGGCTCCGACGACCCTTGTCAGAACTTCCAACTCCGAATGGTCATCGCCATCAGCATGCAAAAACTGAGCACTGAATATGCGGGCTTAGCGGACAGTTATTACCTCGCTGCGCTTCCTTACCTGGAACCTTCGCTCAAACAAATGGATTTAAGAGCTTTACAATGCCTTGCTTTGATTGCTCAATACTCTATGCTTACCCCTACGAGAACAGCAGCATACTGGGTTGTCGGGACGGCGGTCAAATTGTGTCAGGACTTAGGACTGACGGAAGAAGCCACAATCACCAAGTCGCCCAGTGGCGGAACCCTGAATCCTCTGGAATTAGATATGCGCAGGAGGCTATTTTGGATTGTCATGTCCATGGAGTTTGGCCTTTCGCATAGTCTTGGTCGTCCGAGTTGTTTCTCTGTCAGCCATGACCATATCAATGTCAAGTTTTTCGAGCTGGTCGATGATCGCTATATCACGCCAGAGGGTGTCTCGCCTGAAGGAAAGCCGATACTGCCCAAGTGTATTGCAATTCACTTCTTGAAGATGCGCTTGTTACAAGCAGAAGTCAGAACAACGCTCTATTTGAACAAACGAGAGACTCCAGTGGATGATCAAGATCCATGGTTCTCACAAATGCTGGCTAAACTTGATAATTGGGTGGCTACCTGCCCGAAGAATGACGGCGGTAGCGGCTTGAGTGAGAAATGGTAAGCACGCTGGTACTGATGATTTTGATTAGATTGCTGACCAATATTTCTGTTCCCACAGGTTCCACGGCAGGCGAAACACCATCATCGTTTTCATGTTTCGACCATCTCCCCAGGTGCCCGAGCCCTCGGTCAGTGCAGCAGAGAAATGCTACGAAGCGTCTGTTTTCAATGTTGCGATGCAACGAGAGCAAGTTATCACAGGCTCGGTGGACTTGACCTGGATTTTCACGCAGTCCCTCTTTATGGCGCTGAATACTATACTCTGGTCCCTTTCATATCCTGAGATTCGTCAAAACCATCCTATAGACGAGGTTCAGGGCCACCTCGAGGTTGCGTTGGAGGTGGTCGTGCATGCTGCGAAAAGATGGCCTGGAGTTGAATCAGCTCTGCTTCTTTATAGAAGCCTTGTCACTGCTTGCCTCAAAGCATACGGTTCTGACGAATCGTTTGTGGTACACTCGCCCTCGAACCATGCCTCGAGTCACCCCACACCGACTTCCTCTCAGGATGTCACGTCCCCACCCTCGATGTCCAGCCCTTCGAGCACCACAACATCATTCCATTCGCCGAATATTCGGGCTGGAATTCCATCAATTTCCGAAAATGTGTCGGCCGGCACGATTTCAAGAGGACATTCCGCAGATCCAACTTCTCCCTTGTCTCAAATAACGGCGCCAACCTCCGAGTCTCACAAAGCCATGCAATATCCATCGTGGTCCCCTGAGTCCAACTCTCAGAAATCGAACATTTCTAACTCCACACCGACTCCATTCACCTCGCAGTCATACGACGCACCAGCTATCGCCTATTCAGACATACAGGTCGATCCAGCGACGCCATATAATGCATTTCCCTCGGTTGTTCCGGGTCTACAAGGCTGGGACCCCAATTTCACACTCGCCTCCACTACTTCTAGTCACCTAGCGTATGTCGATGCAGCCGTTGATCCCATGCAGTGGGTGAGTTCAATCGGTGATCAATATTCACAGTACTTCAATGAGGCATATCCCGTTCCATCATGGCGTGGACGAACTCTTAGCCAACAAGAACAAATTGAGTTGATGGCATCGTTGGAGGAAAACATCCCTGATGTATCAGCTCAGCTTGTGCGCGAGTCAGCAACATTCTATCAGTCATGATTTTCATCACCTCTCTGAGGTGCTTGGATCGCGTGCAGCCATGACGAACTTTTGTACTTTTGTTCTATCCAATTCTGATTCCCCATTTGCAAATCTAATATACCCGCAATCTATCTATGCGTGGCAGCAGCGAGTTCGCTTATGAGTTATGTGGGCTCGGCGTTTTTCGGAAGCCTGTCTTCGTCATTTTTTTCTTTTTTGGGCTACATTAAACAATACAATTTTTGATCTAACACATTGGGAAAGAATAGGGAGGTACAATACAACCCCCTTGTATCCTCGCGGAACAATCAATGAAGGGTGGGGTTTCTATAGAACACAATAGTAGTGTCAATTCCTAGTGAGGAGGCACTCAATAGGGAGTATATTTAGTGAAAGGAAAAACCAAAATGATATATCAAATACAAGATCCAGTTCAACCTCTGCTGTTTCAAGTACGGAGTAAAATAGGAGAATTCCCAGCAGCACAAACGCCGACTGGCATATACCGTCCAAGATGCACACCCAAGCAATATCCAGATGCAAGGCCCACGTGCCACATACATAACACATATATTAATTAAAGTGATGCTACGGTTGAGGCGGTTTCAATCAGACACTATTGGAGCGAGGGCATTACTTCGAGTTTCAGCTGCAAGTCACATTAGGGCTGGTGAGTGATAGATTCCCTGCCAGTCAGGTACCTCAGGGGCACTTGAGCATGAGACAGCATCTGGTAAGATGAACGGAAATAAAAATAGAGAAAACTGATAAAGAAAAATAAAGCCTTTCGTCACAATCTGACTGCTGAGGGCGATGGTGAACACATGATTATGTGATCTATCCGGCCCATCTTGCCTTTTTGGTATTTCTCGAGTCAACCTTGAGTGATTAGGCTTTGAAGGGCTGGGGACTCACATGACAATGAGAGAGACTTTTTTTTTATTCCATAATTATAGAATATTGTAATCATATACTAGTATCACATATTCATTATCTCAGGAGTATCTCCTTTTCGGAATAAAAAACAAAGAACATCGTCGAACAAAAAGAACAGGCGCGGGCACGAAAAAGGCGCGCGGGTCACGTGCGCGTCTGGGCTTTTCGCCGTCATCCAATCTCAGAAAGCGTCCGCCAGTGAGGAATCAAAGGGCATCGCTCTTCACCACCCGCCACCCATCATCCTCCACTCACTCTCCCTCCCGTCAGCCCCGTCCAGCCCAGTCCAGTCCATCGAAACCACAGTTGCTCGACACTTGTATCAGGCTCAGTGTCGGCTCATTGGAATGTGTGACTTTTAGACGGTCGTGGAACGTCTTGCTCGTCCGCTTGAGCAAACCTCGACCGGCGTACTCCCACCCTGCCCTCCCCTCAACGGCCCTGGTCAGCCCTCGGGTTGAAGATCTACGATCGAGATCTCTTGTGGTCGCTGCGGCATTTGGTCTTTGCTCGACCTTGGCACTGACATCTGCCTTCTCTCCTTTCCCCCAGGACTCCATGTCTCACGCCTCCTCAGCGTCATTCCAAGTAGGACCTCCTTCACCTTCTTCTCCCGCCGCCACCGGTACTCTAAAAGAGAACCATCTGCTCTCTATCTCGCCGGATCAGATTCCCCAGACACCGGCATCTCCACCGTTGATGTCGGTAAGCACTCAGAACTATGCCTCCAACTTCACATCCTCGCAATCACCCGGCCAGGCGACGACACAATCCACAAACATCTCTTCACCACCTTCCTCTGTCCCAATGTCGGCCCAAGTCTCTCAGCAACAGACCGTAAGTGCGACGAATTCGTTTCCTACCCCCGCTAGCAGCGTGAGCGGCCACTTGGGGACGACATCGGCAGACGACTCTGAGCGCACGGAGAAGCCCTTTGGCGTTGGCATGCAGGAAGGAGCTGCATCTACCGGGGATGTGAGTGCGGCGGCGTCTACACAGCAGGCGGAACACAGGCGAACAGATCATGAACGGCAGCCAGGAGGAGGACTCGATGCTGAAACCGGAATTCGCGATTTTGCAGATAGGAATGATCAGCAAGCGGCGGAAAAGGATGGAGACGCCATGGAAATTGACAAGAATGCGGCTGCATCGTCTGACTACAGTTTAGAATCCCTCCAGAAGGAGTTCACGTCGGCCTTCCATCTTGGCAAAAGCTGTAAGAGCTCCCCAATATCAATCCTTACTGCGGCTGCGGCTGTTGCACCACAACGTGCTTCTGTTCCATGTTTTGCAGGATTGATTATGTTAACACTCTGCTCTATGACTTCATAGCCCATATTGCTACTGGCCCGGACCCAACTATGGACCTCGTCTCATTATACGGGTTAGGCCCGATTGCGAAATCGGTTGCCAGAATGGACCCAGTTACAGGAGAGAAGATCAACCGACTGAGAAAGTCCTACGAAGGAAAGCTAAAAGGTCTCGGGCTAGCAGGAAGAAATAAGCCTGTCAAGACCGAACCGGCTGCGCCAGGCAGTTTGCGGCATATGACCTTGTGGCCTGAAGAGGAATGGCAAAACCAGAAGGTCTTTGGGAAGCAGATCAAGGTTGCTGATATGGATTCGGCTCTGCAGAAGTTGCAGATGAAGGCGATGAAGATGGAACCCGGTACGGTGCCAAACAATGACTACTGGGAAGATGTGCTGGGTCACGAAAAGCCGTCGAAGCATGCAGGCGCTGGTGATACTGGGAAGAAGCCATCAGCACCTCCGAGTGGCGCTCGAGCAGGCAGTCAGCCGAATGGAACACCAGTCCCCACGGAACCGGAGCGTACTCGACCAAGTCGCGGGCGCAAGAGGCATTATGACGATAGCAGCTTTGTTGGCTACGGTGAAGGCTACGCGGACGACGATGACGAAAGCGCATTTTACTCGAATAGCGAGGGAGTTGGAAAGAAGAAACGGAAGAAGGTATGACAATGCCTTTTGCGGTGGAGAGGAGCTGCACCTTGGTTTTCTAGCTTGCTGATGGCCTTGGTTTTCTGTCCGAAAAGGATCACGTCCCGAAAGTGTCTACTCCCTTGCCTGAAAGGGGCGGGAGCTATGGAGTTGGGATGTTTGGAATTGGGGCCAGATGACGACAGATGCGAGGGATCGACGGAACAAAAACGGGTTCTTTTTTTCAATTTTTTTCATGCATAGGGTTTGAGGGTTCATAATGAGGGCAAGGCGTGGGATTCGTGGTTATGCGTTGCATGATACTACGCATACACGTACCTGACAGCAGATGCCCCGTGATCTTGCCCTTGATCGATTTATTATTCTCCGTACATTTTGCATCACGGTGCTGGATATACCCGGCTTTATCAATCGGAAGGCGTTTATGGTGGGAGCTCTAATCAGTTGCGGAAAGGTTTGCGATTCGATTCTTCCCTTTTTTATCTCGTTTTGATTTTGTTTTTTCAGTCTCATCTTGCAAATGCTAGAAGGGATGTTCACAGCTGTAATGGGTTTTCTGTCGATGTTTTTTTGTTTCTTGTTTCTTTCTTTTATTTTATTTTTCGTCGTGCTTCGGACTCGCGGTCATCCACTTCTGTCACCCTGGTGGATGACTCGAAAAGGGTGCACTTTATACCATCGATCTTGAACCAAGAGACGGTGGGAAATATTTTATCAAGTGGGCAACTGGGGGAGAAAACGCCCAGCGAGTGTCTGTGGGTGTTTCGATTTACTTTTGCAGTGGTGTGGAAAAGCTACTGGCGGCATCGACGATGCTGAGGGCATGGGACACATGTGTCCATGAAAAGACATAAATTGAATAGATGAAAAGACCACGAATGATACCTTATTGTCGTTTGCACTGTTATATTTGTACTTTACACCAATCAATTGATATACATACTATCTACTACAGCTATCTACTATCTTCACTGCGCATCTTCTGCCGCGGGGCATTCGGAGCGGGGCCAGCGGGACCAATCCTGGGATTTGTATTTGATTGACGCCATGACATGGACTTCCGCCCATCCCAAACCCATCTTCAAGCACACCACCTACCATCAGACAAAAACACCATCACAATGACCAAATTCGAAACCGCGCTCCGTCTAATCGACGAAGCCCACGCCCAAGACCCCACCATCACCACCATCAACAACACCCCAATCCCTTACGAACTGCACTACGCCCAAAAAATGACCAAATACCTCCAAAAGCGATCCCCAGACGCCTCGGAGACCCTCCAACTCGCCGTCCGCGCCCAACACCTCAAACGCTGGGAAGTCCCTCGCAGCTCGTACCCGGCCGGCAAAGTAGGCTACTACTCGTGGCGCGGATACCTGGCGCGGCGACAGGCGGAACTGGTCGAGCAGATGTGCGTGGAGAGCGGGTACTCTGCGAGCGAGGCGGGGAGGGTGGGCGCGTTGGTGCGCAAGGAGGATCTGAAGAAGGGGGAGGAGGAGACGCAGGTGTTGGAGGATGTGGCGTGCTTGGTGTTTTTGGATGATCAGTTTGAGGAGTTTGAGAGGGGGTATGAGGAGGAGAAGGTGATTGGGATTTTGCAGAAGACGTGGGCGAAGATGTCGGAGAAAGGGCATGAGTTGGCGTTGGGGATTGAGATGTCGGAGAGGGCGAAGGGGTTGGTTGGGAAGGCTTTGAGTTGATTTAGATATAATTATTAAAGAAAGTGTATATCAGTTGAGAGGAAGAGGTGTATATGGTTCATTATTCGTTATTCATTATTGGGGATTATGGATCAAGGAACGAGGATGACTCCCTCAACGCCAACCCGTCCCATCTATGGGATATCATGGATATCATGGAGACTTTTTCTTCTTTCTTCCTTCACCATCAGATCAATCAGGCATCGCCAGTCCCAATCAATCGGACCAGACCAATGGCCGCACCAGCCGCAACACCACCGACGAAACACATCTGGATTCCCCCCGAGATGCCCGCCATGATATTCTCTCGTCCCGACCATCCACGCACAATGCAAGTCTTGATATACCCAAACACCAGCAACGTGACCGCCATGACCCCAATACTCCAGTACAGCGCCGCAATGACCTTATCCACAATAAAGTACGGGATGAGCGGGATGAATCCACCGACGAAATAGCCCAGGGCAAGTGTGATGGCCGAGATCCAGGCCTGGTTGCAGTCCGGCTCTGCCTCTTTGTGGTAGAAGGTGATGAGGAACTCGAGCAGACGGTCGTGCGAGGCATGCAGGGAGGCGTTGATCTGGGCGATTACGTCTTCGGGGATGCCGTGGTGGATGAAGGTTTCGCGGACGATGGCGCTGGTTTCGGCGGGTGAGGTTTCGATGAGGTCTTTTGTTTCTCGGACAGTGGTTTCGTAGGATTCACTGTGAGTGGTTAGATATACTTATCTGATACTTGTCTTCAAATGAAAGACTTACGCTTCACTCTTAGCTCCTACATATCCACCCAGTCCCATGGATAGAGCACCGGCTGCCAGCTCTGCGAGACCACCCAGCACGACAACCTTGGTGTTTCCCAGTGCTGAAAGCCCAGCACTGAGGGCAAATGGAACCGTCAAACCATCCGAGAGACCCAGGATAGCATCAGACACAATGCGCGGGTCAACGCGCTGCCGAGTACTGCTGGTACTGCTGGCCACGGTGCTTTCCGAGTCGACGTCAGAAGAGGGACAAGAAGCACCGAACGTGCTGTATGATCGTTGAGCTTCGACGTCTTGGTTGGAATAGTCGTCATCTGCCACTAAAAGAGGTTTCCCTGGTCAAGTCCGTCAGTTTGATGCTGCTGTTGTTGTATGTCTTATAGATCTGATGGACGGACCGTATCCATTGGACTTGGTTTTCTTCCCTGTGTCTGGGAAGATTTTCTGCTTGAGGAAAAGAAGCGCCATGGTTATGGGAATAGATCAGAATGACCAGAATAGGAAGATTGTAAATTTGATTGTTTGGCTGTATAGTGGCAAGCAAGTATAAAACTGACGTCAATACGGAAGTAAAAGAGCTACTTCTACCAACGCCTTCAACAGAGATAGATAATAATGAAGATCGAAGATGAACGACCATCGAGCACTCTCCAAGCAACCTACACTATTTATAAGACAGCCAGTCTCCTTCTCATCCATCAAAAATCTGCATTTCAAGCTCTGTTCATCGACTTTTTTTTGCCCTTGGTTGCTCTCCAGCCAATCACGGCCGCGGCAATAGTCAGCACGCGGTGATCGGCCCTCCCTTGGCCTTCCAGAACTGCAAAACAACATCACTGAATCGCCTTCCTGCGTTTGGATGGAGTCATTCCATGGATGATCATTGGGCCAGTGCAGGGTTGATTGGTTTTATGTGCGCTGTGAGTGGTTGGAGCTATCGTCAAGGTACTTTTAGCAGCTCTTTGTCTTGGTGTAATACATTCGGTGTACGTCGGATTTCCCATTTCGTCGGTCTCGGAGTCGGGGATGTAACCAGGGATTACGACCGGATTGGTTATCTGGCCATGCTGATTTGCTGTTGGCTTTTGGACTGTTGGGGATTTTTTTTTCCCTGATCTTTGCGATTCCAGAACATCATCCATTTCTAATCCTAATCCTAAATCACGATAGCTTTTCTCCACTGCGTTGGTGGGGCGCCTTACGTACTTTATGTACATAGTAGGTAATAGGTAGGGCTAGACATGGCATTATTATTGATTATATCCACTGTATAACTAATTGATGCCAGGCACAAGCAGAAGAGCATTGAATCTGCTTAGAGTATAACAGCAAGACCCAAGATACCAGCTGCACCCGCCAGACTAGCAGCAACAGCACCGGTAGCAGCAGGAGCACCTCCAGTCGAAGTCGAGTCAGAGTTAGAGCCAGAGGTGGACTGGGCAGATCCGCCAGTGGTGGTCGCGCCAGCACCAGTCTGCATGGCGCCGGTGGCATAGTGAGTCGAAAGGTAGGTCTTGACATCGCCGGGAAGATCCTTGTACCAGGAAGGGAAGTGGCCGTTCTGGATCTCGCTGACCAGGGACGATTGAGCAGAGGGGTTGGCCATCTGTGACAGGAACGAAGCAGGAACGGCAGTCGCCAGCACCGACTGGATAGAGCTGGGAGGCAGGTCCAAGGACACACCCGTGGGCATGGCGGGCATGTCGGTGGGCATGTTGGTAGGCATCTCGAAGTCGGTCATGCCACTAAAGGCTGTGGCGAATCCCATGACCTCGGTGTCGGTTTGCCTGCTATAGTGTGAGATTGGTGATACAGTTGAAGAGAGCTTGCAACCTACATGCTGTTGAGCGAGCCCATCAGGCTCTCGTAGGCATCATCGGCCGCGTCCTTCTTCTGAAGTTCAGGCGCGGCCAGGGCAGTGGCCGAGAGGAAGAGAAAGGAAAGAGTCTTGTACTGCATTTTGACGGTTAAGACGAATTATCTTAAGATGATATTAATGATTAATAGTGTGTATTAAGGAGTGACAGATCCGAAGATATAAAGAGAGGATAATGGATGCTGGTGAGGACTCCATTGACCTGGGCGATAGCCACGTTTTAAACCGCACCAATCCATGAGAAACTTTTCTCTTGTCTTCAGCCATCCAAGATTATGAGCTGGCTAGCATCAACAGTTAATCAAACTCAAAGGACATTGAAGCAATCAGGATGAGTTTGTTAACCCACAAAGACCCCCCAAATAGGCAGCATCTTCGTATTCAGACCATGGATGGAGACATGGCTTCCTAAAATAAGAGGTGGTTCATGAAGTAATGAAGATCCTCGACCAGAAGTAGACTGGCGTAGGGCCTGAGGCTCTTTTGATCTCGTATTCACGGGATAGATGGGGGCTTTTTGAGACCCATATCGACTTTTTCCGTGGGTTAGGACTGGAGATCAAGTTGGGATGATCGGCTGTCAATTACGAGGATATGTCGAGAATAGACCTAAGATGCGACTGATGGGCAAGATAAATGTTAGCATAGGCTGTCGAGAATAGGATACTTGAAGATGAGACTTACCTGCTCCTCGCAGTGGTCGAAGAGAAGAAGGAGAAGAAAAGAAGAAGCTGGAGAAATGGCTTGGCAGCCACAGAATACGAGGCATCGACCTTTCCTTTTTGGGACTCTACAACATAGAGAATGTATCAACGCTTGTCACACAGCATGGGATCACGAAATTTAAGAGACTGCAAAGAGCTCAAAAAGTGATACTGATGATATCGGTTATATCCCTTGAGTCACTGCAATGTAATATTCTCGAATCATGGTCTATGAATATTTAACACTGTTTATAGCCTATCAGGTTCTCTTGTTCCCATCCAGACGGCAAAATGACCATCACCAACTCCACACAACGGTTCGTCAAAGGTGTATCTTGTATAATTTTTATCTCTTAGTCCCTACTAATGTCGAACAGAGAGCCTCTCCTCTCCTGAGAATCAGCAGCACCAGTTCCCAGTCAAGTACTTCTACGATCCCTTGGACGGTGACCTCGAATACCTCTCCTCCCTCGCATTGGCCTCAACCATACACTCATAACACACACCCAGCATAGTGACCATGGATTTGATATCTCCCCTGCCACTGCCTGCCTTCCATGGAATAGTAGGATCCTCTGCAGTCGTCAGAGCAAATACTGGGCATTGGTGATGGAGGTCAGCAAGACGTTACTCGAGTACTTTGCTGATGACACTCTCGCCCAGGTATCGGCCAGCTCGGACAAGTCTCTTGCTAAAATCGCCCGGAAAGAGCTGGCATCGGGGGTTGAAACTGGCGTGACTGTGTTTCCCATATGCATTTATCCAGGCTTAGCCGATTCCGGTAGGCAAAAGACTCGTCCAAAGTTTTATAATTTGCTCTCCGCTGGGGCTTGTCGAAAAAACGGACCAATTCGTTGATTGCCTCTCTTCCAGTGGTGGTGTCAGTGGCTCAATCCAGCTCTTCGCATTGTTAAACTGTCTCGTCGATTCTGGCTTGTAGTGCTGTCCTAGACGATTTATCGTCAATACAAAAATTAGGCTGCATGCGGTTAATCCAATTGTCCTGGATTATATTCCACTGTACTGACAGTCAGGGGTAGGATCAACAATATGGCATGGATTGCCTCTTACCAAGCTGACATCGTTCATCTCCCAATATTCTATGGTGGTCATTCATGCCTGGCCATTAGGGTCAAGATAGATCCACCGTCAAAAACAAAGACATAGATGAAGAGATCCGCGAGAAGCTTGATACGTCTCGGCTCTGATATTGCTTTTCCGTGAGTAGATATTCATTGGGTTTATAAGCATTAAAACTAACTAGCCTAAGTTCGTTCTTGCAAGTACCAGGTTTAGCACCGCATCACAGTGGATTACATTCATCCTAAATTTTCTAGATGTCTCTGTTTGCTGCTAGTCCAAATGGGCTTGGCAAATGATGTAGCCTCATGGGAAAAGGAAAAGCGCACCTATGATACAGCCAAGGTACTCCATGTGATTGCCGTGCAGGTTATCAAAGAGTTTTCCAATTTAACAAGTTACGAGGCAGCCATGAAAATCGCATGTGCATCCCAGCAGCAGCGTGAGGTTTATCTAGACGCAGAAGTTGACAGACTGATGAAGAGGCTCTATCTGCGGAGGAATTGAGATATATCAACGCACTGGTTTATTGTGCGATGGGCAGTCTTTTCACGTCAGTAGTCTCTTCTAGATATGGCGGAGAAAAGGCAGACTTGCCTAGGGTTTGGAGAGCCAGCCATATTCCACATACTGACTTGGTTGGATCGTCAGATTCAACATCTGATTGATACTTTCGTTACTCCATACTCTCGTGGACATCTATGTATACTGTGGCTGTGCAGAATAATGACGTAGCACTCGCCACAGCACCGCCACATGATCATTCGATGACTCAATATCGTCGCTTTTATTTAGAGCCACTTGCCCTTGAAGACTGAATATTCACGCTCACGTTTCTCTTCTAATTCCACATAAAAACACATCCTTTAACCTCACCAGACCAATATTCACACTACACACACATCCAAAATGCCTCACCAAGTCCCTACCACCTCTGACCGCGACAACCAACCTGAGACTCGTCCAACCGGGTCTGCAGGCTACGCATCCCTCGATGCCCTCTCCTCCATTGAAACCAACGAGAGCGGTCGTGTACTGGGCACCGGAACAGGAGGCACTGTTACCGCGCCGGGATATTCGTCTGGATTGATTGCGGATGTGCTGCAGAATGCTGAGAGCGATCGGCCGTTGAGCAAAGATGAAGCGGAGCGGTTGTACGAAGAGAGGATGGAAGAGGAATATGCTAAGAGAGAGGGAGGTGCATAAACAGACATAAAGTGACACAAACGGGAAATAATAGAAAAATGTACAGTATCATAATGCATTGTTTAATAAAATCTCTACTTTAAGAAAAGACTACTTGGAATCTCTTCTCCATACCCCCACGCAAGGCGAAGAAATGATGAAAAGATAAAAGTATCCCGAAGGAAGAGTGCCAAAGAATACGCCTGTCAATGACCCGAAGGCCGTTGAACGGACTGTTCCGCCGCGCTGTGCAATGCAGGGCCCAATCCGTGGTGAACCGCCTTCTTGATCGCAGTCACCCAAACAAGGTAAGTATGAAGAAAAGAAGAAGAAAAAGTCCAAAGGGTGGAGGGAAGGGGAAGGTTATATATGGCCGGGTGGGGGCCTGGAATGGCGCTACTCGTAGGCGAGGTATGGATCGTGCTGTTATTGGCTGGAGAACTGGCAAGGGGTGTGTTAGTCATGTGATTCATCGTGCCTTATTATCAAGGCATCATTTGACAGGGGTATGTCTACTCAGTAGATACTAGTTAAAGTATGGAAGATGAAATGCAAGAATGTTCTTATCACTAATTACTATTCCGCACTATAGCCATATAATGTATTATGATCTATCCATATCCATTTCCTCAATACCCTTACCCCTTTATTCGGCACTCAGAGCAAGGCACGCGTCCACAGCCAACCCAACCCTATAAAAGTCAGCAATTATTTTACTCATCAATACTAATCACACTCACCGTCCTTCTTTGATCTTGACTACATCCTCAATCACATCTCGATCAAGGTTGGGGAACATATTGGACAGCGTCTCCACCACATCGTTATGCTCGGCTCGTTGGATCCTTCGCGCCTCTGCGTCCTCCGCACTGGCTTGTCGTGCTGCAGCATCCTGCGCATCAAGAACTCGTGCCAAATGTTGCTGGGCACCATTGCGGGGTCCCTCCCCTGACCGTCGCTCCTCACCACTGTTGCGCGGAGGCTGATACACGTTGGGAGTCAATCGAGGGGGTGCCCCGGGCTGTGGGGTCACGACGGGCTGCATCGACCGTTCTTGCGGCGAGTCTGGCTCGTCAGAGAATATCCTTCCAATCGTTGTCAATGGCTTTTGAATCGTCCGCAGGAGCCCAGCGACAGGGGCACTCTCCTCATCGCTGGATTGCGGCGCCTCTTTCCGTCCCGCATTCCGTTGCCCTCCTTCAGTAGAACTTCGTGGCGTAGTTTCTGATGCTCTAGCAGTAGAGCGCTCGGCCTTCTTCTGCTCCAAGGACTCACGTTGGCGGTTTCGCTCTGCGATCGCCGAGACTGCTGCCTCAACATTGCGCTCAAACTCGTCATCGCTCACGGTCAAGCTGGTTCGGTCGAGCGTCTCAATAAACTGGATGGCTCCGGCCTAATGCCAATTAGATTCGTCACTTATTAACCTTTCAAACAAAGCACCTACCAATGACGACAAATAGTAACCAGCTTCTCCTCCAAGTTTGTCCTGATTGCGAAACCGAAGAATATACTGAATATTGGATACCAAATGGTCAGGGTTGGCTTGCAGCACCACGTAGATCAAGAGAGGCACAAAGGAATCTGCCGACGTATCGGCCTTCTTCGTATTGCGCAGCAAACCTGAAATAAACTGTTAGCCAGGCGGTACACTCAGAAAGAGAGTAGTCACTCACCAAAGATGACCTTGCAGCAATTCAAAATACAAATCACTTTATCACGAGGTGCCCGATACCCGTTAATCTTCAAGAGCTCTGTCACTTGTCAGAATATATATCGAACAGTACACTTCTATACACCCACCTTGTTGGGCTAGATTCAAGAATCGAGTCCCACCGGAGCCCACGGGTGGAATATCGAGATGTCCTTCTTTCACCCAGCTGTATATTCCCATTTTCTGCGCCAGAACATCATCCCGCTCAATATCTTCTTGGTGTTGACCTCGCCTCCATGGTCCATGGAGTCTCTCCATTTCTCTCCGTCTACTTCTACTGGCACTCCGTGGGATTGTTGGGGGTCCTGGGATGGCTGGAGAAAATGTTTGCGAATACAGTCTGTTCATTACAAGTTTCTCCATGCCTTCTTTGGCGTTATCGAACTCACTGTCTGATACATCCCTCCAGACCTCGCACATGGCCATCTTGTTGGTGATGAAGACCAAAAAGTCGCTGATGATCTTGACCTGTTCATGGGCCATCCACTGTCTCTTCCCGAACTCATGAAGAAATGAGCGCAGAAACTTGGCCACGGGGTCTGCGGTGCGGTGCCGCAGTTGTTCCAAAAACCGATGGAAATCGAATGGTTGGTCGGGCTCGGGCTCTGGCGGGGGAGGCACTGTCGATGTTGATGACCGCCGGGTCAGCATCGGCTCTTCGCTTGTGGCACTTCGTTGTAGAGGTCTAGGGGCAGGCGCAGGTTGCTTTCCGGGAGGAGATGATGGTTCTGCAGGCGCCGGGGGATTGGGGGCATGTGAGCCGGCATCTGCTGCCTTAGTAGCATCGAGGCTCGACTGACGTGGTGGGAAATGATTTTGGCCACCAAGGAACTGCTCAGCCAGCTCTAGCCGAGGTGACATGATCTCCTCCTGTCCACTACTGCGCGCAGGGTCTCTAAACTGCTCCATGATACTCTGAATTTCTGGTTGAGAGTCGTCATCTCGACCGCCTTCACCACCTTGTGTGCCTTTGCTTTTCTCATTCTCATTGCTCGCCGGAACTTCGGGTAGCTCTTTCTCGGTCCATTCGGAGGGAGGGTTGACAGGCGATTGTGAAGGGGGCGCAGATTTGACATTCGGGTTGAGGTATGCTTCATCCTTTTCTGGAGGTGGCGGAGGCGCATCGGTGCTGGATGATGTGGGACGCTCTGACACGTTGGTCGAAATCGATAGTCCTTTCATTCGTCCCGGAAGAGACGTCTGAGTAGGTGTCGAATCCGATGTATCGGCAGGTGTTGCTTCCGAAGACCCTGTCGCAGGGACTTGCGATTCATCTTGAGCTTCCTCTTTCATGTTGTCCATTTGTATATTTTGTGGATTTTCCTGCAAGGCTGAGGGAGCATTCGGCATCCCCGCAGCTGGCTCAGGACCAGTTGAGGTCACTTGCTGCTCTTCTTGCTTCCCCTCATCTAGAGGAATCGGTTGGACATCCCCCTGTCCACTGGGAGCCGGGGAATCTGATGGTCCTGTGGCAGACATAAGCTATCCGCATGCACGCCAACGATCAGAGGAAAGTCGGTGGAGTAGGAGGCAATGAGTTCAGACGGGGGCACGGAACATCATGAGGAAGACCAGGCAGGGAGATGCTGCGATTTGGCCGCTGCGGAGCCAGACAATGAACCAACGAGTAATTGTCTGGATTTACCTCTGATTGAAAATAGTTCAAAAGAATGTCATGAATTGCACCCATGACAGCTGCGATGACAGCCCACTAGAGGGGGCCCGGCGGGATCATCGTTGCCCCGGGCTCCGGCCCATCGGCACGGAGAGGAAAGAAAGAGAAACACGATCTCAACAGCAACAGCAATCGTCTCCAATTCATCCCATCGTTATATTTGAATACGGCTTTCTGGCAGCTATTGTGCTGCCATGTGTGGGATCTTTTTCTCCTTGAGCACAACTGGACCAGTGCTTCCTACTGAGGAGACATGCTGTTTACTACGGACGCGAGGACCAGACAGTCTCCGAGTCCACACTGTTCAGTGGGGAATAAATAATAAAGACTGTGACTCTGTCTATCTTACTTTTGTCTCAACTGTGTTGTCACTCAGGGGAGATTATGTGCACTCCCAGCCTCTTGTGGACGGTGAAAGCCAGTCTGTGCTGTGCTGGAATGGAGAAGCCTGGAAGGTAGCAGGTACACAGGTTCGGGATAATGACACCGAACACATCTTCCAATTATTACTCCAGGCTGTGAAGCCTCTTTCTACTGCTGGAGATCCAGAGACAACTGACCGTAGGAACGCTGTCCAGAGACTCGCGGATGTTATCAGTAGCATTTCGGGACCCTTCTCCTTTGTGTTCTATGATGCATTCAACTCAAGATTATTCTTTAGCAGGGACTGTCTTGGGAGGCGTTCTCTCCTCCAAGGCCTAGATGAGGCGAGGACTTTGAAGATTTGCAGCGTCTGTGACGGCACGTTTTCAACTCACTTCGAGGAGGTTGATACGGAGGGGGTGTATATGATTGACCTTGGAAATACGTTCTCACAGGATACTTCAGTGGCGATAGCTACAGCAGGAGATGTCCAGAATAATATTTACAATATTCAAACTCTCCCTTGGTGTCAGCAGGACTCGCCGGCAGGACATCTCGTATGTGCATGTTTCCTCGCCCACAAGATACAGTCACTGAACGTTGATACAGAAAACTCCTATTCCTCATATGAATAAAGCTGTTCCGCAAGGAAATCCTCCACCATTGAACACAGAATCCCCATGTGTCAGCGAGCTCGAGCTTAGGCTTCACCAGTCGCTCAAACTGAGAATTCAAAACGTACCAGAGCCCCCTAATTATACGAAAGGGCGCGATGCAAAAGTCGCCGTGCTGTTCTCTGGGGGTCTTGATTGCACTTTACTCGCCAGACTTTCTCATGACATTCTACCAAGCAGCGAAACGATCGACCTTCTCAATGTTGCCTTTGAGAACCCACGTGTCGCTGCGGCAGCGGCAGCGGGCAAAGACAAGACAGCGAAGTCAGTTCAGTCAGTCTATGAAAGCTGTCCCGACCGCATGACTGGTCGTGCAGCGTTTGCAGAACTCGAAAAAGTCTGCCCCGGTCGCAACTGGCGGTTTGTTGCTATAGACATACCGTATGTGGAGACTTGCGCACATCGGGATCAGGTAAAACGCTTAATGAGACCCCACAACACCGAGATGGACCTATCCATCGCATGTGCATTATACTTCGCATCGCGCGGGCAGGGAGTAGCATCTGAAATCGGCGCAGGTGAGAGCCAGCCGATACCATATACGACATCTGCTAGAGTCCTTTTGTCTGGCCTTGGAGCAGACGAGCTTTTTGCGGGATACGGCAGACATGGTATCGCATTCTCGCGCAGTGGGTTTGAAGGCCTCATTGATGAAATCAACCTCGATGTCAGCCGCTTAGGGAAACGGAATCTAGGCCGTGACGATCGAATTCTTTCAAACTGGGGTCGTGAGGCACGATATCCATACTTGGATGAAGAGTTTGTGGCATGGGTGCTCCAAGCTCCCGTGTGGGAGAAGTGTGGATTTGGGGTTCTTGAATCATCTGATTCCAGCGATCATGAGACCGAATTTAAGGAAACAGGAATTGATTCAGAGAAGAAAGCCCTTCGTTTGGTGGCTCTGAAACTTGGAATGACGAACGTGGCGCGAGAAAAGAAGCGCGCCATACAATTTGGCTCCAGAACAGCTAAGATGGAAAAGGGTAGAGTAAAAGGAACAGAAGTGTTGAGCTGAATGAACATTGTGTTTCACAGCAATTTCTTACCAATCTACTCAAAACACATACATATCCCAAAGAAAAAAAAACCAGCGGTGATGACAAAACTGAATCAGATACTTCCGAAACCGCCTCTTTGAACATCTCCAACTTTGTCTTCTGCCTCCCCTTATCTTTCCCTGATCTACACGAGTGAGGCATTTTTTTCTCCCAAACTACTTGAACCTTTTGCCTTTATCCGTTTCTGGGCATCCATGTCCTGGTTTCTTGTTTCTGATGATCATCATACCTATGTTGTCTCGCCATACGTGGAGTAATAGCCATCGTCTTGCGGGATTTACACTTTCCTTGATCTGCTCCCTGCTCCACTTCACGGAACGAGAGAGACAAGTGGTGTTTCTGCGATAGACATGGTTACCGCTATGGTGGTGGGTACGGGTGACATCAGGAACGTGACTTCGTGGACTGTGTCCTGCCGGTATAGAGGGGTTGGCCTAAGGCCGGTGTGTTTGGAAGGGAGATTTGTCATGAATGCTCTGGGTGGACGGGGTCGGGTGATGTGTGGCGCTGACAAGAGTAATCAGGGGAGTCAAGGGGTTTGGTTGATGACGGTATGAAAAGGCAAGTCTGAGCGGTTTAATAATGATACCTTTGAATATAGAAAGTTGATTTGAAATCAATTGCAACATGAGGACCAAGTCAATTATTCAGCACAAGTATACAACATAGTTTACGTGCTTCCATGGTTCGACCAAGGTCTAGATAAAGTTGATACGACTACGAAGTGGAGTAGATGTGATGGAAAGTGTAAAATGTAATAAATGTAACAGTCTCTTTTAGGAAAGACAAGATAACTAAAAGCTACACTCCAGCAGGAGGCGGAGGAGCAAAGAAGAAAAGAAACAAGAATTAGCATAGCCACGAGTCAATCCCGTCCGTCTCGACAAGACAGGAGACATCAGAACCGGCCTATTCAGCAAGAAGAGAAGAACGAAATGAAGCACCCTACACTCAAAATCCGCGCGAGGCAGATAAGTAACAAAAAACACAGGACGGTCATAACCGAAAAAATAGAAAAAAAGATATAAAAGCAATCTCGCGCGTTGCAAGGATGCAGCACGGCAATTGGTATAGAAAGCAAACACACAAGGAAAACTTTTATCCTGCCAGAAGCGTCATTGTCAGGTAACCATCCTGTGGGAGACTGACTGGTACTCCTGGCATTCCGGCTGACGAGAGGCTCACACGCCCCCGCCTACCGCAGAACCCGCTAAACAACAGACTTGCAGAAACAGCATGGTACATGAAACATAACAAAGATACACAGGCGTACATGAAAGAATTGATGAACCTTAGGCCTTGTTCTGGGCAAGGGCCTTCCAGTATTGCTCACGCTGTTGCGCTTCTTCAAGGGACTTCTCGAGCTCGGCAATGCGAAGCTCCATGACACCCTGGCGTTCCAGCTTCCGAGCACGGGACTTGCGAGCGGCCTCGGTATTGCGGGCACGCTTCGCAGCCACGGGGTCCGTCGAGTCAAAGCTGATGGGAGGCAGGGGCTTCCTTTGACGGGCATTGACACCGGCGACGGTGGAGTGCTTGGTAGATGGACGGGTAGGGGCAGGGGACTCGCGAGGGGATTCAGACGAGTCGCGGATCACAGGAGAAGGAGGGGGTCCAGTGGCCTTGGGCTGGCTGAGAGCCCCAGCTTCCAGAGGTGCCATGTCAATGGGCAGAGAGAAAGCATCATTGGTCGGGAATAGCGACTCCCATTCCTCGTGGCCCGAGGGCATCTCCAAATCGGTGGGGATCATCGGAGAGGTGTCCTGGCTAAAGTACCCGGGCGACTCGAAGGACGGGGTGCTGAGGTCTGTGAAGGAAGTTGATGGGGGAGCGGAAGCATCCATCATCAAATCCTTGGGCGAGACCGTACCCGAAGGCGCACCCGCCAACGAGTCGAAGTTGGTGGTGATGTGTGGAGAAAGCATGGTGGACTCGGTAGCCGGGTCAAATTCGTCCCCAAAGTGGGTCGAGGGAAGATCAAAGAGATCGGGGAGATCTGACATGCGAGTTAGCGACTGATGGCAAAAAGAATGCGAAGAAGAAAAGGAATAATCACCTTGAGCAAGGTTGGGGTTCGACATGATACGACGGTGATAATTTTGTAGTTGTAATTGGAAATGTAGCTGCTGTTTCTGTTGATAGGAGAGATTGCCGGTACTGTTGCGGAACAAAGGAACGGGCGGGCGACTGTAATTGGGAGAATTCGAAGGCACCGACGCAGGGTGGAATCGTCGGGAGTGCTTCCGAGCGGAGGGACTAAACCGATGAGACGAGGACAGAGGATACCCGGGAGAAGACTGCGAGATAAGGCTGGTCACTCGAGGAACCTGAACAGGCGAGCCTGCGAACTGCTGCTGGAGATGCTGCTGCAGATTCAGAGAATGCCGTCTAGATTGACGAGAGAGTTGCTGTTGGACCAGGAAAGGATGGAGGGAGTCTGCGGATTTTCTATGGGCTGTACTCGAGGGAGCTGGCGCACACAAGTCCTTGGGGAGCGGCTGAGGACGAGGGGCGGGCACGGTTGGATAAAGAACAAAGTCCTCCTGTAGGGAGCTGACACTGTTGCTGTTGTTGTCTTGATTGTTGATCGAATTCGGATTCTGAGCCAAGGGCTGCGGGGGCGGGGGCGAGGGGAGCCATGATTGCTGATGAGTATCCGTGGTGAACGACGTGATGTCGAACGGGTGAATATTGTTTGCAGATGAACTTGAGCGACGCGAGGCGATGCTAAAGTTCAGAGGTCCTGAAAAAGGAGACTCTGAAGGGGGAGTGTTGGAGGAGAGATTGGTAAACGACGAGGTCCGAGAGGGATCTATGATGTCTGTCTCAGGCGAGAAAGACGAGCTTTTCCGTAGGGGGGAGCTTAGAAAGCGTCCATTTTGGCGGTCTAAAAACTGATTCTTTGGTGTCTTGTATAGATGTATGGTGGTGGTTTGGATAAAAATGTCTTAGAATGTGAAGTTGGGAAGAGTGTGGGAAGATGGAAAGAAGAAGAGAAAAAAAAAAGGGAAAAGAAAAGCGCCAGGCAGCGACGGGAAATCAGGCACTCTTAAACTCCACCGCGTCTGGCTGTGTGCGCCCCGAGGCGAAGCCCCTGCCAATCAGGGTGAGGACAAGGCCCCGCCTGCCAGGCTAGCCAGATCGGGCTACGGCATTCTGACACGGGGGGCCAAGTGTGAGTCATAGGCTGTGCGGTTTTCTATTGGCGGAGGGGCAGGGATGGGCCATTCCGGACCGGCCAGTCAGCGGGCCAGAAACGGCAATACGAGCTGTAATCGCAATACGGCGGGCTGCAAACCCCTGTCTGAAACCCGCCGAAAGTATCCATTGGCCAATCAGACCGCATCTCCGTCTAGGCACCCATTTGTGAGGCTCTCAGTGTCTCATTCTCTACAAGATAATCACCACCGTCAGACTGACAGGAGGCTGCGCATCTCCACTGCTAAGCCTCAAGACAGCTAGACAATATGTAGTATATGCTGTGTAGTGTGTCCTGTGTAGAACTGTAGGGAACGTGATGGTGATAAAGGGGAGATCATTTCCCAATTCCCTCCCCGCCGTGGAGGCGCAGACTTTCCCGCTTGTGTCGATGGTGCCGTCGAAGGGCGTGAACGTGAGAAGATTTTTAATTTTTCCTTTCGGGAACCCGGGATTCGCCTCAGGTTTACCCCTCATTTACCTACTGTTACAGCAACTACACGATGATAATGACGGGCATGAATTGAGATAGATCAAATGCATGTGCGTATGTAAAAGACTACACATACAGAGTACATATGAGGGTGCATAATGGAGTGATGCGCAAGAAGATTATCTCCACTTCCCTGTTTTACCAAGTATTGCTGCTTAACTCTCGTACGAGTTAATTTATCGCGCATTGCTTAGGAATCACGGCTTACAATTCACATTTCACAAATTCCCTCATTCCGTTATCTTGTCTATTCTATTGATGTCTATTGTCTGTTCAGATGGTTATCCTCGGCAGAGTAATACGATACACGTGTAATAGTCGTGTATAGACTGGAGGATATCCCCAGACAACAATATTTGATAAGCCTACCCTCAGAATATCCACAGAATGAAAAAAGCTTCCTATAGACAGTGTAAATGATAAGCTCGTAGTCAGGCACCGTATGAAATCAGTATTACCAGAGTGAAGACTGATAAACTCATCCAAACTAAACACCATGATCACCATCACAATCACCTGGTCCAAGCTTCACTCCAGATCGACAAAGACAGCTTACAAATTCAACTACGATGCTACAACTACACTTGAGTAACTACAGAGACTGATCATATAAACAACGCATGGTTTATTAGCTATTACCTATTGATGCTGTGCGCATACATACTTGGCACCCATCGGCGGAGAGCCCCCGCCCAAAGCACCACGCAAACATTAACACATTAGATATGGGCGTCCCTCCCAGAAGGCAAGGGCTGTAGGCCCTCCCCACTGCCAGAGAAATCACCCTCCTCCCCATAGGGTATCAAGACAACGCATCAAATGGCAAAACACTAAATCCAAGGAAACAAAATACACAAGAAAGCAGGCAAAAAGACAGCAAGTGGTATCAATCTAGTTCAGACGGCACACAACGTTGAACACGCGCAAGGTCGCGTTCGGGTATCGCTGCGGGAACGGATATCATAAAGGAATGAAACGCGGCTCCGGAAGCCACTCGGGATATCAATGCCGGAAACGACCGCCAAAGAAGCATTAATGGGTATCGTTGGCACTCAATCTGGCAGGGCCCTCACAAGATAACGCAAGGATACCGAAGGAGCGACAGTGGCAACCAGAAAACCACAAAAGGAAAATAAAAAGCAGGAGAACATGGTATTAATATTGGTATTTTCAGTGGGTTTTTTTCGACTTTTTTGTTCATATCGTAGAATGGCATGTTCAAACGGAGACAGAGGCGCTGGGAGGAGTCGGTAAAATGTCCCACCATCGCTCGTACTCGACGACACGCCTCCGAGGAGGACCGCTTCATGCAGCAGCCTGGACGGGGGTGGAGGTCGAGGCAACGTTGGCGGGCTTGGCCTCCTCGGTAGCGGGGGCCTCGGCGGGCTGAGCAGCTTCCTCAGCGGCGGGGGCCTCCTCAACAGGAGCGTCCTTGGAGATGGGCTCGGGCTTGTCAGCCTTGGCCTCGGCGTCGGCGGCAGGAGCCTCCTCCTTGTCCAACTTCACGGCCTTGCTGGAGCGGCGGAAGAGACCACCGAGCTTGTTGCCCTTGGGCTTGGCCTCACCCTCGGCCTCGTTGTCAGACTCACCAGCCTTCTTCTTGCCGAAGAAGAGAGAAGTACGGCGCTTCTCCTTGGTGGCAGCGGCGGTAGTCTCAGTGGCAGGAGTCTCAGCAGGAGCAGCAGCGTCCTTGGCGGCCTCACCCTCAGCGGGGGCGGTCACGCTCTCAGGCTCAATGGGCTTGACAGCGGCCTCCTCGACGGGGTTCTCGAGCTGGGGAGCAGTGCTGGCGACAGGGGTCTCAGCAGGGGCGGTGGCCTCCTTCTCAGTCTTCTCCTGGGAAGGGCTGGTGACCTTCTGGAAGAAGCCACCGAAGAGGGAAGCACGCTTGGACTTCTGGGCCTTCTCAGCCTTTTCGGTCTTCTCCTCCTTCTTCTCCTCCTTGGCCTCTTCCTTCTTTTCTTCCTTCTGTTCCTCCTTGTTCTCGGTGGTCTCAGCAGGAGCAGCAGCTTGAGAAAGTTAGCTTTCCGTCGGGCGTGTCAAACATGTTCAATGGACGTTACTCACCCTCAGCGGAAGACTCAGCAGCAGGAGCAGCCTCGGCGGTAGTCTCAGTGGTAGCCTCAGCGGGCTTGGCCTCCTCAGCGGGCTTGTCCTCTTCCTTCTTCTCTTCGGCCTCTTCCTTCTTACCGAGGAGAGTACCGAAGATGCTAGTCCTCTTGCGGGACTGGGAGCGGCTCTTGGCAGTGGCCTTGTCCTTGGGCTCCTCAGCGGGGGCAGCCTCGTCCTTGGCTTCTTCCTTGGCCTCCTCCTTGGGCTCAGCGGCCTTTTCCTTCTTCTCAGCGGCAGCGGGGTTGGCTGAAAGATATTAGCACTTGACAAGCATACTTAAATCGAACAACTTACTCAGCTTCTCAAGCTCGGCCTTGTATCCCTCACTAGCGACAATGGTCTCCTTCTCGGCCTTGGCCTCAGCAGCCTTTGCCTCGAGGGCGGCGAACCAGCTGTCACGCTCACCAGCGTTGGCAGCCTGGAAAGTGTGCTTCTGGCCGTTGACCTTGAAGAGGACCTCGTTGGAGCCATCCTTGGTGATGTCGGCAACCTCGGCCTGTCCAATTGTTAGAACCATTACCACCTCAATGCGCGGCGCGATTGTACTCACCAAGTTGAAGACACCAGCGGGGGTAGCCTTGTCCTCAGCGCGCTTGGTCAAGAAGAGAAGACCCTTGCCGGTCTGGGTAGCCCAGGCGACAGTGGGGTTGGCGACAGCGGGCTTCTCGTTCTGCTGGAAGACGGACAGCTGCTTGGCCTCGACGGCCTCGTCGTTGAAGTAGAAGAAGCGCTTGGCGAAACGAAGACCCCTATGAATTGTCAGAACCGAAAATTTACCTTGGATGTACGTATGGCGATGGCGCTTACTTGACGAGACCGGGGCCCTTGTAGCCGAGAACACCCTCAGTGGCGGGGGTGACCTCCTTGGCTTCCTCCTTCTTGTCCTCCTTGGGCTCTTCGGCGGGAGCCTCAGTGTTTTCGGCAGCGGGGGCGGCCTCAGTGGTCTCAGCAGGAGTCTCCTGGGTGGTCTCAGCAGCGGGAGCCTCAGTGGCGGGGGTCTCAGTCGCAGCAGGAGTCTCAGCGGCAGGAGCAGCGGCAGGAGTGGCCGCGGGGGTCTCCTCAACAGGCTTCTGGACGTCAGACATAGTGAAGGGTATTAAAAGTGATTATAACAAAAAGGGGGTTAAAGATTAAATAAGAGTAAGAAAGCTCTGAAGAGCTTTTAAAAAAAAAAAGGTTTGATAAGGGTATCTTGGGGTATCTCAACAGAAAGTAAACAAGAGCTCTATCAAGCGCGAGGCGAGAAGAGCTCGGGTATCACAACGAAGTGTAAGGGGAAGAAAGGAAAAGAGGCTTTCGAAGATGGTGAAGAAAGAGAGAAGAAAGAGAGAAGAAGAAGAAGAAGAGGAAAAGAGGAAAAGAAGAAAAAAAAAAAAGCCAAAAGAAGCGAGAGGAAAGAAAGGAGAGGGAGAGAGAAAGGAGGGCGAGAAAAGAAGGGCGCTAGACTGGAAGGGGAAGGGAGCGGCAGGGCGCTAGGCTAGTCTAGACAAAGTGGAGGGGCGCCACCGGCTTTATTTAAGGGGTTTGCATTATTACATCTACAAAATAAATTAATAACAAATCAGATAGATATACAAATAAAAGAAATAAATAGAGAATATAAAGAGAGAAATCATAATAAATAAACAATATCAAATAATGTATCATGTATGTACATAAGATATGTAGGTACATAGGTAGTATTGCACGATAAAAACGTGCTGAGATGAAGGCCAAACCCAAAAACACACTATGACAGCTAGGCCCCCGCTAGTAGCTCGAGGGGGGATATCGGCCGTGCAGCTAACGTCTTAATCAACAGAACAGTATCTTCATCATCTTCATCTTATTTTATACTGTATTTACTCTTTTATATATATTATATCTTTACTCTTATTCTTCTTAATTACAGTATGCATGATCTATCTACTACAAAATATCATATGTTTGTATACTCTGTAGTTGGTCACCTGCCCCATAAGTGGGACGCCAGCCGCCACCGATTCGTCCTGATCCAAGCTTTCCATGGTCCTCTTGAGTCTCCTGGTTAGGGATTCCCTCCTGAATCATCTCATCTCATGATCTGAATATTCCATTTTGTCAGAACAATACCGTCATACATAACCATGGATCCAGGATAAATAGACAACAACCAATAAGCACACAGAGGCTCCCTCCATCATCCTGTCATGTGTCCCTCAGCTATGTGTCCTATCAAGGACGAAAGGTAGGGATTCTGGCAAATGCTCATCATGTAGGTCATTAGGCCCGCCCCACCAGTGGTTGCAACGCCTAATGTCTCGTAATAATATCGACAGCCCTACACCAATACCCTGCAGGAGTTCTACCTGATATAACACTCTAGATGAGACTGATCTGATACGATCACTCGAGTTATAGTTTTCTATCATATTACCCAGAATTCCAGATACAATACTGCCTGTGTCACTGGGTGGTACTGTGTGAGGATGACCCCTTATGCAGAGACCAATCAAACCCCCGTCGATCCAGGATGATCCACCTTGGCATGTCATAAGGAATCTTCTGGACATCCTCCTCATATCTCCCTTACACTCCTCTACAAATTTAAGAACATGAAACATGTAAGATACACATCGCTAAATATCAGGATAAATGTTGGGATATATTAGGATAGTCATCTATTCCGTGTGGTCCTGCGAAAAGGGTCCAAATACGATAGGAGAGAGCCTTAGTTCGCTCCTGGAAGCTCCTTAGTCACCCTTAGAGCTTATAAGTGCGGAACTAAGGATTCTTGGTCGGTTCCACTCTTGTTGGGTCCACTTGTGCCGTTTTATGGATCAGGAGAGGACGGTTTTATTGTCTACCTAGGTACGGAGTAACTGACTATCCTGATATGGGATTATTAATTTTCTACTACAGACACCTTGCAGACAGACAGACTACAGAGGAATGTTCTGTACTCTGAGGTGGTGCAACTCAATCAGGTGTACAGTAGTCATATGTGTCCAATCACATCAGCCCATCTAATCTTCTCCTTCGGGCTCACCTGATCTTCTGTAATGGCATCATATTGCATCAGCCTTCGATACAGTCACTCATCTACGGAGTACACTCTACGATACTCAATAATCATAAAGAAAAAAAAAGAAAAGAAACGAATCGAATCATAATCATGCCGCCGTCGTAAGCACATAACTGGTAATACTATCCATCCGCTCCGTCGTCAGCTTCAAACTCACCGTCAACAACTCCTGCGCTATCGCCGGCTCCCTCTCGCGCATCTCCTTCCACTTCTCCGCATTCAAACACCACGTCACGCATTCCTGCTCCGCCTTGACCGTCGCCGTTCGTCGCGTCTCGCTGAAGAACGGCAGCTCCCCGCACGGCCGTCCCGCCACGATCAGTTCAAAGTACCGTCCCTGCGGCAGTTCGTACTCGGCGCGTAGCATCCCGGCTTCGAGCAGGTAGAACCCCTTCGGCACGTCGCCTTCTTCGTAGAGGACGGTGCCGGCCGCGTAGGTGTCGCGTGTAAAGTACTCGCAGGCCGGGTACCAGAAGTCTTCGTTCTGCGAGCTTAATCCTTGGAAGGTCTGCAGGAGGAGAGGGAGCGGCTGTCGCATCGCGGACCAGGCTGCGGGGACCACCACCGCCGTTTCATCTTCGTGGATGGTGCTCGTGGCGACTTGCTGTAGATACAGCCGTCGAGGAGAGCTCACCAGCCCATCGCCCAGCTGTGGTTGATTCGGGGGTACAGGGACTTCCAGGAAAGGCGAGGACTCGTTTCTCCTCAGCACCGCTTCCCGGTGACTGTAAAACACCTTGAGGTAGTCATTCTCGCAGAACTCCAGGGCAGAATTCAAGTCTTCAAAGATCGGCACCCCGTTCCCTGTCTCGAAGAGTCCGACATTCTGTAGTCCCCGCCCCACATCCCCCTCAACATCCAATCCAGAGATGGTCGTCTGCACATTTCTCTTGCGAAGAATCCGGTTAATGCGCGTGAACGCTTCGGCCGCCGAAAAGTCCAGTCCGTACACCCGCGAGAAGTCCAGGATCACAAACCGGATCGGCCGTCGGTTAAACGCTTCCTCTTCGATCAGTCCCCGCATCATCTTCTCCACGTTCGTGATCGTCCCGAAGAAGAGGTATCCTGCAAGCTTGATGATGAGCGTCTGCTGTCCTGCTTCTCTCAGAAACCGCTGCTGGATCGGTGGCCGTCGCACTGTTGACCCGGTTATCTTGCCCGAGTACGTGGCCCGGATGGCGGATTTGCGCGAGGTTTGAACGACGAAGCTCACACACGCCAGCACAATGCCAACAATGATACCGACGACAAAGTCCACAGTTCCCATGGTCACGATAATAATAACCACCTTACAAGTCAGCCATCGTTTCAGACAGAGCCAGTCCAACTTACCGTGAGATATTCAAGCCGATGCAGCTTTCCCCACGTATCAACCAAAGCCTCTTGCATCAACTCAATCCCCAGCATGAAGATAAGAGCCCCAACAACCATGACAGGAATAAATCCCACAATCACCGGACCGACAAAAAGAATGCCCGTGGTAGCCATCGCCAGCATAAACCCTGCCAACCGAGAATTACCACCACTGTCGATAAACAGCAAACTATTCGTATACACAAGGTAGTTCTATCCTCATTAGCAATCGCCCTCATCCAAAAGCCACTCGTCATACCTGAATACTACCCGCAAATCCAGACAGCGCATTCGTGACACCATGCGCCATGAGCTCCTGGTCCACATTCAAATTATCCTCGCCAGTGGAAATACCCAACGCCGGCACATTGATCGGTACATGCAGGACCCCAAAAAAGGTGAGCGCAAACATGGCCGGGATCGTATCCAGAAAAGCCGGCCAATTAACGGCACCAAAATCTGCACCCATAAGTATGCTGTATGAATCAACCAAGACATGCAGTGCAACATACCATAAAGCGTATAGAAATGATACCATGGATTCGAAGACGCAGGAGCATCAAACACCCACCCTCTCGTTCGCAGCCTCTCCATCGACACATTGCAGCTGAATTTGACGATATAAAACACCAACGCGACCCCGATAAAGTAAGCACCAACCAGAAAATTAGACCGAACAAACCGCTTCAGCACAAGGAGCCCAATCGCAAGAAACAAGGGTATCATCCAAAGGAACAAAGAGTCGACGTTGAAAAGCGTCTGCATCGTGGGAATGGTAAATTCAAAAGACCCAGGCAGTCGAGCCGACACTTCAATGCCGGTTAAGAATAGGAAAAAGCCCACGCCACCAATACACCCGATCAGGATGTGTCTGGGGAAGAAACCAATCAGAGAACCGAGTCGGCAGGTTCCCATCAAGAAAAAGACCAGCCCGGTCAGGATGGAGCTGACCGAGAAAGATAAGATCGTAGTCGCAATAACTGATTTCGGGTTATCCTGGCCGACTCGGTTCAGGATTGTGAACGCCATCTGGTGGAAGAAGGGGACCACCTCGATCATCTCACTCCCTATTCCACCTTTGAAGATGGACCCTCCACCAGAAAACACCAACTGCGCGATGATCGTGCTAACGTAAAACATCGAAATACCATCCGAGCCTAGTTCAGAAAAGATAGGCTCCCCCAGCGGGAAAAGAATCATGCCGTAGGACAACGCATCAAGGATATTCAGCAACAACCCGAGAAACACAGACGGAAGCAGACTGGCCGGGTATACCACTCCTTCCCGCCATACCACCCGTCTATCCCAAGACTTTGGGCTCGAAAGTATCCGTGATGTCCTTGCAATCGTAGAAAACGCTTTAGAAAATGACCCCGGTTGCCGTTTTCGCGCTCGTCCCTGGTTCTCAACATCATCTACAACACCATAGCTCTGAGAATTCTTCGACCGCAACAACGACGTCCGCTCGGTACTCGGCGATTCGGGCTGACGGACTGTAATAGGCGGTTTCGTGACCATCGCAGCCTGACTCTCACTACCATCCTCCCCCTCCCCATCCAAAGAATCAGGAGGAGAAGTACGAATCAAATCCGTCAACGCCGAAGACCCAGCCACAGGAGCAGAGGTACCACCCGGTAAATCGTGCAAACCACCACCCGAACCCGAACCCGTATCCGAATTCCGATCCGGGTCGAACAGATCCAAACTAGGAGGAAGAGCCGGTCGGTCTGACGGCGACGGACCGCTAGCTGTATTCAACGAGAGCGCAAAGGAAGCCAATTCGGCCGTCTGTTCGCGGAGACCTTGCGAGGCATAAGGAGCGGGATCTAGAACGGTCTAGTGTCAGTTACGTGGCAATTGACTAGTAGTATTTTTTTTCCCTTCCTTTTTTCATACCAGTATTATTAAAAGACCTGTGATAAAACGACCGCGTAGGAGTCCTATGATAGCTATTCCCACCCAGCGCATTCGCAGAGGATTCAACCCCGAATGCCCCGGGAGGACTAGTAGCAGTCATGGCGTGCTCCGGAGCCAGATCGTCGACAAAAGACGGACTGCTATGCGGTGGCAGGCCAGACACGCGGGAATCGCTGCGACCACGAGGATTGAAGACCCCCATAGCGCAAGAGCAGCAGGTGTCGTGTCAAGCCCACCAGGAAGCTTGCTGGTGACGAGACGTTGGACGGGCCGCTTTCTGCTTGGGGTTGTGGAGCTGACGGCGGAGACGGAAACGGGGAAAGGAGGATGCGATGCAAGGGATTAAGACAGTTCAGAGGAAAGGATATAGGAAAGATATGAGGATAGGATATTTAGATATTTAAGAAGAAGAAGAGGGGTGATACGATCGGAGTCTCGACTCAGCGTTATCGAAAACGATTAAGAGTGACTAAAAAAGTCTTATCGCGTTATCAAACAGTGGGACTGCAAAAAACAGGGATAATGAGGCGAAAAACATGATGGATCGAATTGATATATATGAATTCATTCCAATTGAGCAATGAAAAGAAGGTGAGGATAAACAGTGCTAATAATGACGAAGTTGTTGCTTTTTCTTCACTTGCTGCATGTGATGTCCAAAGCTTGGATCATTCCTGATACGCCGGTTTATCCCCGCATGCACATCCCGAGCATATTTGGACTTCACGATGAGGCTTATAGGATGGTAATTCGCTCACTACGATAGATCTAGCTTTCTTACGAGTCATGGCATTGCAGTCTAATCATGGGTATCATAACATCAAATCAACTCAATCGCTCCAGAAATCCCTGCGAAATCAGCCTTTCCACATCGCCCTGTCGTACATATAGCTGACTATTCTTGGTCAAATTAATCACACTGTCAGATCCAGTTAGCATCCTCATGTATACCACATAGTAAAATGGAAGGGAGGGATACCCATATTCCGTCTGAATCTCCCCCGCATCCTTCAAAACTCTCACATCAATAAACAAATCCGTCGGCGGCTCCAAACTCCCCGTCAAATCCACATCCGTCCACTGCCCCTTATACGCCGCGAGCATATCGCCATACTGGCGGAAATATTCCTCTTCCTCGGGACTCAGCGAGCTCGAGTTCCCCGCATGGCCCGTCCCCGTGCCGCCGTCGTCCAGCTCCGCCTGCTGCGTCGCTTCGCGCTCCTGCTCGAGCACGTCCACCCCGTTCCAGCAGAGTTCTTCGAGTTTCTCCGTCCGCACGCGGTGGTACGCGAGGAGGCAGCGTTTGTTGCGGCGCATGCAGAGGTGGTCGACGAGGAGGGCGCATGCGATGGCGGGCTGGGCGGAGGGGTTGAAGCTGCCTTCGAAGGGGGTGAGGAGGCGGGCGACGTCGCGGTCGAGATCGCGGACTTCGCGGGTCACGGCGCGTGCCATTTCGGTTTGGTAGGGGGGGAGGTGGGCGAGGGATTGGGTTCGTTTGGCATGTTGGACCTGTGGTTTGGTTAATATGTTGATATAGGTGGGATGTAGGGAAGCCGTGACGGACCAGTTTGTTGCCGAGTTCTCCGTACATTGTATATAGATGGTAATTAGTTAATTAGAAGATTTGGAATAAAAAGACGGCCATGAATAAAGAATAATTGGAGCTGTTGGAGCTGTTGGAGACTTGGAGTTGAGTTGAAGCGGTTTTCTTTGTCGATGCTTGGCCGCTGGCGACTGGCGAAACCCGCGTTAGTCAGAGCGCCGATCCCGCTGATCGCGAACTCTATAAACAACGAAGTTTGAGTATTTGTATAGAAGATCAGATATTAACAGTGATTCTATGTAGATGACCTGTTATTACAGAAGATTCAAAGAAATAAGCAGACTGCCACCGGTTTAGATATTTCAAGATTCCAAAACAAACACCAACATTGAGGGAATTTAACCAAAAGACACTCGACAAAAGAAACTCCTGGAGGGAACCCAGAACAAAGAACCACACATAAGAAATAATAAACAAAAGACCACCCAGTTCATAAAAGTCCTGAACGTCCAGTCGAGATAAAGTCAGCCCAAGTGTGCGCCGTGATAACTCCAGTTTCCTGGTCTTTGAAGTAAGAAGTAAAAAGCCTCCCCAAGACGTACACTCAAAGCGAGCGTTCTATCGTCGTCGTCATGCTCTGATACAGTAAGATTCTAATCTTTTAATATCCGTTTCCATGAGGGTTGATCCATTGGTCAAAGTCGCCAGATGCGTCCAGGCCGGCCTCGTGATGCACCATCGGCTGCATCCCCGGTTGATAGGCCGCTGACACGGGATACTGGACGGAGCCGGGCTCCATCGGTGCGGTGGCAGGGAGATAGTTATTTGGTCCCTCTGGCCACATGTACTGGGGTTGAGAAAAAACTGGGCTCCCCTCCTCGTTGGGATGAATGCTCAGCAGTTGAGGGTCCATCTGGCCTCCGTTTGTCCCCGGCGCGGCGACGGAGGTCTGTTGAAGAAGATCGTGATGGGCAGCTCCCGGAAGCCCAGCCAGAGCGTTGGATGATGCATACTGGAGCTCCTGCATATCGAACTTTCTGAGTCCAAGGTCCTCCACGTGGCCCACCATGCCGGAATGGACCGATGAGTGGAGGTAGTGCGCTGCCGGCTCCGGGGAAGCCATGATGCCAGGAACCGACCTGCTAGAGGGAGTGCTCGTCGGCCAGGACGAGCTAATATAACTACCCATGGGAAGACCGTGGTCTTGAATGTCAAAGGGGGTCGAGTCGCGACTCTTCCAGCCGCTGCTGTCGACATCGGAGCTCATGCCGCGATTGTGGAAGAATGGACTAGAGGCGGGGGTGTGATCTTGAACAGACAGTTCGGGCCGGTCGTCTCCTACCAAAGACTGTCTGTTCCTCTTCTCCTTATCCACCTTGGATGGGGTGAACTTGTATCCCGGGTGTGCCTTGAGGTGATTGTTCTTCTCAATGCTTGCCAGACGCTCGTACTTTTCACGAACTTCCCGGGGCTCCATCTTCCAGCTATCACCGGCAGCAGTCGACACCACCTGATGGTTGTTTTGAGAAAACCACTCCTTGGCTCTCTCCGCATAGGCAGACCGGTAGAGCATAAACGAGTTCATGGGCCGAGCAATCTTGCCATTCCTCTTGATCACTTCCTGGTGACGGACCTCGATCGGTCGACGGACCCATTCCTCCATGTCCCGGACAGGAACATGGGTCAAATGGTGGGTGATTTCGCTCAGGGGCCCGGACATCTTGGGCTTGGCCTTTCGATCCGTCGCTTTGCCCGTCCTGCGCTTGGCCTTGACCGGCCTCGCGACTCTCGTCTTAAGGGGAGATGGTCTGGAACGAGGAGACGCCCATTCCGGCGAGTTGGGCTCCAGACTGCCAGACGCCATTCCATCATCAGAGGTAGGTGGGGGAGTATTGACCTGCATCCCGTGGGTTACCATCTATAGAAATTAGCAGGATTCATGAGTCAGGGAGGAAATATATCTACCGGATGCTGCATTGGCATGAGTCGATAGTCATTTTCGGTGTAGTACGGCGGAGAGCCATAAGACTGGAATTGTCAGTATTGATATCATTCGAGCGATAGTATCAACTCACCACTTGTTGCATCTCGGGATGATTAGGGTATACACCAGCAAAAGAATCTGGGTGGGCATATAACGGATGAATCTGACCGCAAGGGTCCATCTGTGCGTCTGGGATCGGTTCGCCGTCGGCCGAATGAGGAGGAGAAGGCGGCTGGCGAATGAATCTAGCAGCAGCCATGGTGTGACACTAGATCGGCGGGGAGTATAGCAGAGCTACTGTCGATCCTTAGAAAGACAAGAGGGTAAAGATACAGATAGTCTGAATGATGGTAGGAAAGGAACGATGCATTTGAAGCCTTCCAGACTTTTGCAGAAGGAAGAATAAGAATAAAAGGATACTTTATAGAGTGAGACAAAGTAGCCTTATAATGGAGGACGATGGAAGAGAGAGGGAGAGAGAGAGAAGGAAGGAGAAGAAAGAAGACGACAGACAAAGTGATAAATAAAGGAACAAGAGATAAAAGAAGAGTGAGAAAGAAAGAAAAAGGAGGTGAATGTTTGAGGGAGTTGTTTGAAACCGGGACGGGAGAGGAAGTAGAAGAGATGGAGAGAGAAGAAGTTGGAGAAGGAGGACGAAGAGGAGGGGAAGCGATATCTTAAGATGGATTTATGGCAGCAGTGAGACCCTGACTCAAGCATCGCGACAGCAGAAAAACAGCACGAAACGAGCAGGAAAAGAACACGGGTTAGTCGTCTTTGTGTCCCAGACTGTCGGGTCCAACAGAACGCTATAGAGGAATTAAAATGTGAGGGGAAAAAAAAAAGTGCTGACGCTGTGCCCCTCCTTTGTGCCAAATCAGGAGTTTCTGGCGCAGCAGTTCCTGTCTTTTCTCCCTTTTTTTGAAGCAATCTAAATGTCTGTTTTGTATGTCTCTTGCTGAATCCGGAGAGGTGAAGGTGAAGATGCGATGTTGGCGTGACAGCCCAACGCTCAGGCATCGTCACACAAGATCAGGGCAATAGTTTTTTTTATTTTCTGATTCGATACATGACCTGTCAACTGTCGTCTTTGACCATTTGACATTTCCCCACTGGATGTTCATCTACCTCAATCGTCCACAGTAGCCCACCTGATATGATTTAGGTGAATCTCGGAAGGGAGCAGGACTCCACTGTATCAAACGGAAAGTAACGAAACAGTAAGGCTGATGATTAATATTGAGTTAAAATAAATAAAATAAAATAAAAGCAATATCTTATAAAATAAATAGATTACAAAATCGAATGTATGACAATTACAACAGCACCACCGGCCCCTGATTGGTGGGGCTAAAGTAAACGGCGCATCTCCTGTGGCTCGCAGTCGATCACTAGCGCCGTTCCCCGAACTATAGTTAAATACGGTATCAATACGATACCAGGATGAGCAGCACCACCAGCCAATGCAAGCCATCCATTCCAGGCGTTTATTTTAGCTCGGCTTTTGGTTCCTGCGGGCTGGTCTCATTTCAGTCACGTGTGCTGCTAAATGGTCAGTCACCAGTCGATCAGGATGGATTCACCCCAGTCGGTCGATTGACGTGCCCTAGTTAGTAGATACTATTGTAGCTGGATATGTTGGATGCTAAGAATATCCTGGTCCGTATCCATCCATGATAGCATCCCTACATGTACATGCATATACTGCACCTTGCCTGATCCGGTCTGCCTGAGGCCACAAAGAAGGAAGGTGTTTGGCGAGGAGAGAGAGGCGTAGTTCGTGATGGGCTGAAGATAGCCTGATGATCTGCAACAAGTGCGGTCTGACAGGTGAGTAGCGGATGTAGAGGAGGGTAGAGGATATGGGAGCCTTGCGCAGGAACAGACTCTCATTCCTTTGTTCTGCGCATTATGCTTCTTCTTTCTTCTTTCTTCTTTTCTTCTTCTGTTTCTTTCAGGGCGTGGGTTGACTGACTCGAGCTGCACTACAGAGACAGACACAGAGTTCAGATACACCGCTATCTTATCTAATAGCCAATAGTCCATAGTCCCTGGGGCATCGGTCGTGATATCTATCCTCCGATGCTACCAACCACACGACTAAACACTCGTGCTTTCAACCTGTTGGTGTCACCTGCAAGTCAAGTCTAGCCAAAAGTCTCCTCCAGAAAGATTGACAGCAGGGATTGTCTGTCCTTGTCATAATCAGCCCCAGTCTTCGATCGGTTTTCTGGAATCCCACCCGATCAACACCACCAACATATGCACCTTTCCCATTCCGTCCATGATATGTTCCCACGGTTCGAGCGCCATCTGACATGGATTCTCGCAGGCTAAGCTCAATAAGAGGCTGGCTTGGTCTGAGGGGTGAAACTGGCGGTTTCACACTTCACCCTCGCCCTCACTCTCACCCCGTCGTGTATCTAATTATATCTTGTTATTGTCGTTGTTATTGTGGTTGCTATTGTCGTTCTATTATCGTGTTATTGTCGTTGTCATGGTGCATTCTTCTATTCTCGTCCAAGAATGAAAGCATGAAACGTCTGGAAACATCCTCGAGCTGAACATGACGCATTTCTGGCCGAGTCAGGACGTCTCGAGTCCAGGAACGCCACATGTATCTATTTTCTCCTCGGAGATCAATACAGCGAAAATAACATCATATCCGCCCCCCCCCCCCCCCCCCCCCCCCCCGTCGAACAGATACCAACTTGAGGTCAGCCAAGGCCAGCTCAGTCGTCGTTGAAATGAACGATGATAGGCGGACGTGACGAGCAGTCTGAGATGGCATTTTAGACGCAGCAACTTTTCCCGCCTGGGCTATCCAGGACTAGCCAGCGTAGCGTGACTGGCTGAGATCTAAACTTCGACAGAAAAATAAGAAAAGGTACTTTTTTTCTCCGTCTTTGCTGTCACATTCTCCGACTTGTGGGGAGGTAGAGGCCGACGATAGGCTATAGCCGGGGCGAAAGACGTTACCTAGCACTATTGACGAATAGCGCTAGACCAACAACACAACGGAGTATCGGCGGTAAAATTACCGATACACGATAAGAGAGAGTCTTCAAAGTTACGATGAAGTAGAAGTATGGAGATCTGCCGATCTGTTGCTCGAGAGAGGCCTTGATTGGTGCTGTTTTCCTTGCTGCTGTGGGTTGCACTGCATCAAGCTGTTGCTCGTGGGGATGCCACACCGTTGAAAGCATGGAAGGCCACGATTCTGATCCTGATTCTGAATCTAACCGGACATGGTAGTATGATATCAACGATATCATAGTAAATCTGTTGCTGGATGGAGAAACAGCGCAAGGCCATATGACTGTAAGATGAAGCCCCGCTGGCTCCGCTAAGCACTGTCCACAAGTTCAGTGTATGTATGGGGATGATCGTCCCGCGTGGGGCCTTGGCTGTTGCCTTTTTCAATCCATCACGAGCATCTCTAGTATATCAAATAATCACAGGTAGGCGAACCATGGAGCAGGACGGAGGAAATAGGAGACAAGCGGTAGTATGGCGATGCATCCAACGGTACCGATTGCCCGATGCCGACATCAATACCAAATTACACAGCAGGTAACAGAGAATTACACAAGATAAGGTTGAGCCCGGCAACTTTAGGCAGGCAAGGTACGACTCGTTCAGGCAAAAAGAAGTACAAAAGTAAAAAAACATCACGACAGGCTTAGCTAAGAACGGCGCTAGTGCTGTCATTGGCTCTTCGGCTGAAATAACCGACCAACCAGGAACGAGATAAAAGCCGGATAATTCGGCCGGAATCGGTGTGCGCCGCCATTGGTGCAGCGTTTCTTGGCACGTGCCAGCATGACAGCTCTAGCGTACCCACTGGTGATTGGCCAGACTGACTCGGTTGTTCGGCAGGGGGGGAGCAAACCCTAATTCAGCCGGCATTACCTACTCTTACGTCTTAACTCTTGATACTTGATCGTCTATTGTCTGGTTGTGATAGCGTCAGATCGCGGGATTTGCTTGACTTTCGGTGTCTGTGCATACTCCATCTCCATCTCCATATGTACTCCATCTCCGGACGGAGTATTCCATGTCTCTGAGTCAGTAGACTCATCTCCTGTATGACTACTTACTCATGCAGATTAAGTAACTGTATAGTACAGTAACTGTAGTACCCCTGAACATCTAAACTATTCTTCTATAGACTCTCCAGATTAGTAGATTACATCAACTACACTACTTTCCTCATCCAGTAAGACCCGTTGATGGCAGCCGCACAGACACAATCCAATATTTGACAGCCCGCCTTAATCCAGTAACCCCCGATATAACGATGATCCATTCTAGCCCGTGTGAGTTGGGGTAACTATCTAATAGCACTACTATCCAACTTAAAACGCTATTACTGTAAGCAAGTAGTAAAACTATCTCGGCCCTTGACCTTTACCCTCTTTCGTCCTGATCCCGAACCCGCTGTTTTCCAAAACCCGAGATCTGGCGATTTCGGCCTCTACCTTAAATGTGGTTTTTTATGCTTCGTAATCGCGGAATGAATCGTTGAATCGCCTTCGTTCCATGGTTACAATCGCTGAATTCCAAATACCTTCGTTTTAGCCGCTCGCTTAGATCAAAATCAAATATCTCCTTACCCACCATACCCACCTGTCAATTCTCATCTCTATCTTGATAGTTGATGCCTGCCTTACGTATGCAAATGTATCTACCCGCCCACCTAATCATACTAGGGAAGGGGAAAAAACATCACCAATAATAGCCAGCCGGTTAGAAAATGAGATTCTCCGCCGGAATCCACCGTTTACTTCCCCCCCGTCCACACTAATTCCTCCTAACTCTGTGTAGTTTGATTCTTTCTCTCTCTTTCGCTCTCTTTTTTTTTTTTTTTTTTTTTGTCTCTTATTTTGAGGTGTTATTCTAATCTGGACCGTCCCATCCCCCTTTTTAATGCCATTGTGGACGTGTATTTATTTGTGCTCGGCTTATCCGTGTTGGCTGGATGTGCCGGTGCGTATGCATGTGCTAGCCTTGTTGTTGTTTGATATGTACCTCTATACAAATTAGGTAGGTGTATAAGATCACCTCACTAAGATTGCATTGCTTGGAAATGCTTGCTACTTACTATCAGACATCCCTTGTCTATTGTTTGCAAGACATGCAGATGCAGCTTATTGTAATTATCCCTACAACGCAGGGACCATACCTGTACAGACTACAGGTACTTTTACTAGAATACAATCATTACAATATCTCATATTGATCTTCTAATGCAATACAAATCCCGACTCTATTGTGTCATTTATCCCGGTCAAACGCCTGCCCTGCCTGGTCCTTGCATGCTACTGCCAAGTCAATAATATCAATCAAGCAATCCCTGCCACTCCTTCAACATGCAAGTTGCGGTTATATCAAGAATCATATGCACACCTTTCCATTCCTTCGGTTGTTGGATCAAGACAAATATTGTCAAGATGGACGTTCATCCAAGCTATGATGCACTTGTGGTCCTTGATGAATTCTCCGATAGCCATTGCCGCCATTCGTGGGGGAAAGGTATCCGGCTTCTCTGTATTCGCCAGATTCAATGGCATCTCCCAACCCTTTGGCCAAGAACTTAAATCCAACGACTAGCCACATTCCAGCTAATCCAGCCGTTTGTCCAAAATATCAAGAAGTTGGTTCAAGACTCATTTCTCTGTGGCTTGATCCGATCCAGGCTGCTGAGACACGGCCGATGGCCCTAATGGTGGAATGCGGTTGAGCGACGGTGATGACATCAATCCATGTTGCCCATTGTTCGCCTGCGAATGCCCCTGGGCTTGGAATATCAACGCCGTCTCCCGCTGTCGACGCTCCTCCTGTTCCGGTGTCATGCACTTCATCGGTGCTGGAATCGGTGCATCCGGTGAGCTCCGGCCCATCAGCTTCGGGCTCGGTTCGAGTCTCTGAATCGGTGGCAGGATAGGTGCTCCTGCGATACTTCCAGACGTCATCGGGCGGGGTGAATGCTTGGTCGGGCTGATCCCTGAAAGCGGCACTCCGTGTGAGCTCTGCGGAGGTGAAGATTGGCTCCCAGGGGTAGCGGCAGAAAAGGATGGGCGACTGCGTATAGAAGTAGTGGCCTGGTTGCCAGTGCTCGGGCGCGGAGTCTGATGTGTCCATGGCCCTGACCCATTAGATGGAGCGCCCGCCGGGAACCCTGCCAGAGGACCAACATCCCGGTTCCCCTGCGTCGGAGACATGGACGGTCGATTTTGAATAGGCGAAGGTACGTTGTGGCTTTGCATAGAGTGGGAAGACGACGGTCGTCGCGGTGACTGAAACGGGCTCGAATTAAAGGACCCCAAGCCAGTGGGCGGTAGATGTGTTGCTTGTTGCATCGGTGGTAACTTTGGGGTGTGTTCCTTAGGAGTAAACCCGTTCACGCTCTTCGACGGAGAGAACGGTGCTCGTGTAGGACTGGACGAAACCGCTGCCTGTGGACGACGTTCAGGCGACGACGGAGGATGAGGTAGAGTAGGCTGGAAAACCGGTTGCCCGGATGGAGAGCCAATCTGCGGGTTGGTGACCGGACCACGCGCCTTTTTCGTAGGTGACGACTCTTGAATCCGTTCGCTATCCGCAGCAACGGGAGCAGACAACGGTGATGAGCCGACCTTGAATTTCAACGGCGGGAGTTTGGGAAGCTTGGCCTCTTCTTCTCGTTGCTTGCAGTCATGGCAGACAAAGTGGAAATCCTCCCTCTCGGCCTCGTCTTGTCCAATACCAAGGCATTTGCTGTGCTGCCATACACTGCACTTTTCGCATGCAACACTATGAGATCCATCATCCAAGTTCTCTCCGTGCACTCCACACCCAGAGCAGTCGAAAATCCATTGGTCTTCCTGGTTGAGATCCTGCAAGTTCTTCCTTTGCCGCTCCAATTCAGCCTTGAGATGTCGCTCAGACGCTCTGCTTTCACCCCTTTCGAGCTTTTGTTGTTCTTCGGCTATCCTCTCGAGTTCAGCTTCATGTAAGAGTCGCTTCTGCTCTCGGTCTTTGATGCGTTGCTCCCGTGTCATCATCCGCGACTGTCTTTCCGACTCCAACTTCTTCTGTTTATCCTGTTCTTTACGGGCCACAGCCAAATCTTCCTCATGCTTTCGGGCTGCTTCTGCCGCCTCTCGCTCATGTCGCTCCTTTTCAGCCTTTCCGGCAATACGACTTGACCGTTTCGCACCAGCGAGCATCTGGAGGTTGACAAGCTCCTTTTCACGCTTGACTCTCTTCCGCTCCTGAGCCTCTTCTTCCTTCTCAAGCAAGGGTAAGACATGTTCAACGATCGTATCCCTCAAGATTTTCTCGTCGGCATCCCGGGTGGTGCGGATTGTGTCCAAGAATTGCTGGTACTCCGGCAGCGTGACAGCAACACACTCCCATTTCATACGTGTGTAAGGATCCTCAGAGGCATCGCCATCGACATCCTTGATGTCTTCATCCGCTTCCTCATCGGCGGCACTTGACACTTTTCTCCGCTTAGACGCTCGCGCTGCTCTAGCACTCCTGCTCTTTGCTTTGGGCTTGGCGGCTTTAGGAGGGGGAAGGGGGGGATCGGTACGACGGTATAATCTGTTGTCGTCTAGCACGTAGTAGTAGCAGCCTTCGCGATCGTATCCAATCTCTTCAATACGCTAGACACAGTGTTAGTCGCATACAGCGCAAGGACCCAGCCCGGGCGACCACTCACCCATTCTGTCTGATCAATCTCCCTCTGCTCCGGCAACTTATCCCGAATCCGGTCAGCGTTCCAAAACGTCCACACGGACAGCTGGTGTAGGACACGAAGTTTCAAAAACACGTCGAATTCGGAGAACTTGTTCGGCACCTCGTCGTATCCAAAGGGGTTAGGTAGGTGGGGTGCTTTGGCATTGTACTGGCGTCGCGTGTACTCGTCAAAGTTATCAAACCTGCAGTCAATCATTGATTAGCTTTCCTCGCGATTAATCGTCTAAATTTGATCTTCCCAACACGTACGTGAGACCCCGATGCGACGAAATCCATTTAAGCAGGCACAATCCAATTTCCAACAACTTCTCCGAAGAACCAGGCTTAAGACATTCGGTTTCCAAATCCTGCAATCGACAAGAACAAGTTAGCCTTCTCAATCTGAAAATGCCCCTCCGAAACAGCGCAAAGACATACGTCAATCCCAAAATCCTCATCAATCTTCATAACCGTCCCAAACATGGCAATGTATTGCATGAGATTGGCAAACTCCCAGCAATTTCGCAGCTGTTGCAACAAGCCAGGCTCCTCCGATGGCTGCTTGGGGACAGCGTCCACGTCGGAGCGGGTGCGCTTTCGCGATGTCATGGCGGCGGTTCGAGACCGTTGCAAGGCGCCGCAGCGCAAGAAAGCCGTCCGACAGTCGCAGGTCTTGTAGCTTTTTCCTCCCTTGTTTCTTTCCGGCGGAGGCGCTTGGATAGGGGAATGGCAGATAGGATAGCAAAGCCAAAAGAAGAAATAATTGTCCAAGTCACAACCAACGAATATAAGACAGGCGCTGAATGGGTAGTTCCGGCGGAGTTTTCCCAGGGCGTGTTGGAGGGAATATGAGCTCAGAGGAACTCCGGGAGGCGCGCGTCGAGCCCGTCAGGTGATGTTAGCGAGCGGATTGCCCTCCGATAAGGTTATGGCCAGATCTGCCACCATCGATGGTTTGTTCGATCAAGATTTATTATTGAAGATGATAGAAAGGAAGATCTTCAAAGTAATGGATAGGAGAATATGGAAGAATTAATTGTGATGGATCAGAAAGAAACCCCCGAAACTGCAACATCTACGAAGTACGCAGGACGGAGTACACCAGATAATATATATTATCGCCATCAAGACAATTTCAATTGATCATAAAATAATCCAGTCTCATAGTACAAACATTCACAAGATATGTATGCATTAAAAGAATGCCCTCTGTCGCATGTTGAAAGACTTTTGAGACACCATCAAACCACCAGGGGATGAGATTCATCAATAGAAACTAGGACCAAGGGAAGAAGAAAAACAAAAGCCTAGATCTTGGTATCTCTCGCTCAAAGAAGGTCTATCTCATATGGAGGAATGGGACAAAGGGGTCATATCGAGGACGAGGAAAATGCACAGAAAACAGATTGCGCCAACCATATCCACGCCACTTCACACAGCCTATACCATTACCATGATGACAGGAAATGAAAATAAAAAGAAAAGAAGAGAAAAGAAAAGAAACGACACCCCATGAGAACAGAAGGAAGAAAATGACAGAAAAAAAAAAAAAAAACAAAACAAAAAACTTTGATACATAGTGCACACAGAGATCCCCCAAGCTCCCCAATTTTTCCGACATGAATCAAGTTCAAAGGAAAAAAAGGAAGCATCAAATAAGAATCAAAGATGAAAAATAACGCTTTTTTTGGTGTTCTCGATTCGGCCTCGTGGCCTCGTCGACCGCATCACTCTTTTTTTCTGGTTTTGGAGTATTTTGCTGAATTGTCATGCTTCACACTGTTGCGCCTCGTGAACCATTTCGCCTTGAACCCGTCCCATGCATTTCGTAAGGTTGCCAAATATACCAAGTAAATTAGAATGAAAACAAATGCTTTTTTCGTCTTTTACATAGCAACACCGGGGGCGCCATCGGAGACATTATCGGAGAGGTTGATGAGGAGCTGCGCAAGGCATCGCTTCGTGGCAGCGTCATCGCGGAGAACAGAGGAGAAGGTGGCGTCGCGGAGGGGTTCAGGAAGACATTGGCGCAAAGCCTCCCGGGCTCTGCTGTTGTCGCTCAAACTGCAAGATGGTTAGGCATGCAGATGCAATGTGTCAATGGAAGAACTTACCGAAGGAAGCAGCGCACAACATGCTTCAATAATCTCACGGTCTGCTGCTCCACGAGCTGTGTGACCATGTTGCTCAAAACGGTCCCCACGGCATAAAATCTCTCGTATGTAGCGCAGATGTATGCGAGACCAATGTCATCCAGTAGAATCTTCTGTACAATAAATATGGCAACAGTCTTGCTCAACTCAGAGCCCGTCTCCATGATCCGAAGACAGAGGGGAATGATTTCGGTCGTGAGAAGGAAATTGATGACATCCGAGGAGTCATTCTTGACCAACGCACCAATGACACCCAGAGAAGTGAGACGGAGGTATTCGAATGGGCGCGACTTCGAAGTTGTGTTCAGGAAAGGGTAGAGGAAGAGAGGGATATGAGCTGTTTGGCCAAAAACACAATTAGCCACATGGAACCCCACGACACACTGGCCACCATCACATACCGTTCAAAAATAGCGTGCGGGTCTCATTGTGAGACGCAACACACTGCAATAGAGCCAGTGCATTACAAACCCGATTCGACGCAGCAGCAGTCAACTGGGAGGGGTTGAGTAGAGGGTAGACCGAGATAATCTCCTGGAGTAACGCAGTCATGACACCTATAGATCCAAACAGTCAGCCTCGACCAAATATATCAAGTTTGCTATCCCCCTTTCAAAGGGAGCACCGATCGCAGCGAAATCATACCAAATGAATGCCAAATAACTAGCGCAAGCTCGGGCACCTGCTCTCTCTTCTTGCTGAGTTCCATAAGTGCGGCCTCCCTGCGGTTCGGGTCCAGCAACTCCGCAACCCAAATGAAAACCTTGCGGTTCTCCTCACTGATTCCACCATCCATGACCGACAGAGCGCCCGACAAAGCGGCATCCCCGTTCATACCCCCAGCGCCAGCTCCCTGCGCGGGATTCCCAGCACCCCCATTACCGGCCATCGCAATGCGGCTGTAGTGTTGCTGCTGGGCAGCAGCGGCGGCAGCGGCAGCGGCCTGAACCTGGGCATGCTGCTGGGCGACCAAAGACGAATGCTGTTGTTGGTGCGGGTGGTGCTGAGCTTGGTGGTGCTGCTGCTGTTGCTGGTGCTGCAGCCAGGACGGATCAGCCTGCGGGTACTGATGCTGGTGAGAGAAGACGTGCTGAGTCTGCGTTTGGAGCATGACGGGCCGGGGAGGGGCGAAAGATCGAGGCAGCGAGGAATGAGTTCACGATACTCAGGGGAATAAGCGGAGGGAACCCTGAGCGACCGACGTGGTTGAGAGGAGAGTGAAAGAAACGGGGGGCAGTCAAAAGGTGGCAGAGATGGTCAAGAACTCGATCTCGACACTAGATTCATGGATGATTATGAGCCCCTTCAGTAATCGGATCGGTGGTGGGTTGGTGAAAGAGAGCCGGGCGGGTAAGACTGGAGGTATGACTGATGCTGAAGACAAGAGTGAGTTGCAGAGAAAGGCAGTTATCCGGGAGGCGGAAGGCGGGGAGAGCGCAGTTCAGTTGAGTGTGTGTGTGGATCGCCTCTTTTCTGCCCATCAACCATCCACTGCCAGTTGGGTCGATATGTGAGTGATGGCGATGGAGGATCGTCAGGCTCTTATGATTATTATTCAGAAGGCTCTTATTAATCCTCTATTCCCTCTGATAATCTGACACCCCCTCTCTCTATCTCGATTTACGCGGCTCTTTCTGTACAGACAGACTGTACTGCAGGTTACCTCAGGTCGCACGAGTTGCCCCAGGTGCAAGATTATCAAGACCCTTGAATCGTCAGGAATTTGGAGGGGAAATGCAATCGTTCCTTGGACACAATTCTTGGTTCCACGAGGTTGCAGTATCTCAGTCTTTAACTCAATTCAATTCAATTCAATTCTGCTGGAGTTGCATCTGTGAGTCTCAGCTGACACTGGGAAATGCGCACACTGCAGCCTCGTACAGTCAGTCAATCGAAAGATTCCTCATTAATCATTTTCCATTGGAGCTATACATCCATATATCCATATCTCATGCAGCATTATGTATCATCCTCGTGTCTCATATTTACATCACATTCCCTCAGTTCCGTCATCACACATCCGAAGAAGGCCAAAAAAGGAGAAGAAAAAAAAAAAGAAAATCATACACATAATAAATCAGCGCCTTTTTCATGCAGAATCAAATCACAAAATAACAGGGAAGACGTGGAAGCCAAAATAAACAGTGAAAGAAAGCAAATTTGTTCTTGAAAAAGGTCGTCGAATTGTCGTTCTTATTCGTTGTCTCATCGTCGTGAATTCGTCCGTGATGATCGGGTTCGTCCAGATCGTCTTGTATCTCTCGTTCGTCTCGTATCTGCTGTTCGTCTTGTGTCTCGTGTTCTCCGATCTGAGCTCACAGAGCCTATAAATCAGTGGGTTAGCATTATCGTCGAGAAAGCCAAAAAAAAAAGGGGAAAGGATGCACATACTATTAGTGTAATAGTCGGAATAGTAATACGAACTGGGGTAGGTGTAATCGCTCTTCTCGTCGTCGTTGTTTCTGCGTCTCTTCAATCCCAAACACAGCGCAATCGCACCAAGAACGAGTCCAATGGTCGCCAGGCTACTCCATTTGGACTTCTTTTCACCCGTGTCCGGTTTTGCCGGCCTCGATCCAAACCAGGTGCGTCCCGGAGCTGGAGCAGGAGCTGCAGCGCCATGATGATGATGCGAGTAGCGGTCGTCTACATAGGTCGTTTCCTTTCTCCTCCGGCCACCACAGCATGCGAGCAAAGGACCCCGGCAGCACAGGAAAGCGCAGAGCAGCAGCAAGAGAGCGACACCAGCAATCACACCGATGACAATACCCGCGATTGCGCCACCACTCAGCCCTCCGTCGTTGTCCGAGGCCTTGACCCCGATCGCCGTCGATCCGTCTGTATTCACGGGTGCCACGAAGCCCTGGGTGGTTGTCGGAGCTGAAGTCTGGGTGACGGTGGAATCGCTTGTCCCTCGCAACGGAGGCGTCGCAGTAGCCAGAACCGAGGAGCTTTCAGCGATACACTTGTTATCGGAACATTGATACGCAGCACCGCAGCAGACGTCACCGCATTTGGTCTCGCCGAATTCCTCTTTGCAGCTCCCGGATGACCCCGTGGGTGTAGCGGTGATCTGACTACTCCATGTCGAGGTGATGGTCGCCAAATCGGTCTCGGTCACGACGTAGGTGGTGGTATAGTACTCCCAGGATGCGCTGTTGCTACCGCTGCCGCTGCCACCGGATTGACAGACTGCTTCGCCGTTGCTGTCGGTGATGCAGCTCTCGCCGTCCGCGCAGCAGAGCTGGCTATAGTAGCCACAGTAAGTCGAGCAGCGTTTCTCGAGGTCGCCACCACCTTCCAGTGAGAAAGGAGTAGCACCCACAAGGTGCGACTGAGCCAGTAGAAGAGTAAGCGTCGACACCGCGGCCGGTATGAATTGAAAGGCCCGCATGGCGAAATGCGATATCGATCAACCCCAGCACTCAACGGAGTCTAATGTCGAGATCCCCCTTTTGATTAGAATCGCAACCAATTACTGTTTCGAATAACCCCAGTCGACACAGAAAAAAAAAGTACGACTCTTCAGACTCGTGGGGAGCCTTTGTAAGCAAGATGGATGGAATGAGCAATCGTCATAAAAAAGAGGAACACAACAAAAAGAGGAAAATGGATAGAAAAATTCCAGGAAGAAGAGAAAGAATGGAAGCGAGGAGAGAGAGTGAGAGAGCAAACCTAGTCAGTCCGTTAGTTAGTCTTGTCGTTGTGGTTTGTCCTCCCAGCCTCTTCCTATACGGAGTCGCCCAACCACCCAATTTCCTGCAACAACCAACAATCAATCACTCGTCACCACGGAATCATAAGATGATCGGTGTCTCTAACTTAAAATTACGGAGTCCTGATGGAGAACCCAAAAATCAGATGGCTGGGATTTATTTTTATCTGACAGAAAAGAAAAAGTCGTACACCCTTCCTTGCTTGGCCTGAATGAGGCGGCATAGACGGCCATGAATATGAATCATAGGACCGAGTAGTCCTAACTATTTGCCCCTCCTCTACCGTCTTTTCTCCATAATATTCTATAGCATCACTTTTATTATCTTCGTTTTTACCCCCACTTTCATTTAAATTGGGTTCTGTTCCTGGCAGCATCACTCGTGGATGGATCAACTTTGCGGTCAGAGTGTCTCATAGATCCGGCCATTAGGATTGCTCCGCAGTGTCGGTAAAGGTGACCATCGACCATCCCAGTCTGACGTGGCAACGTATTACTTCTTGGTTGATGCCAGATGTGATTCAGCGGATTTTTTCATCATGACTCTTTTCCAGATGTAGATCGGGCGTGTTTGAAGATTGCCTAGCAAACATTGACACCTGATGTAGAGCCTGAAGCCCTAATTCGGTCTGTTGATGAGCCCATAGAGTAGAGGCATCCTCGATACGATCTCATATTATCATTTAGACTAACAGTCAATAAGCCATTATCTTTTGATAAAAATAATCTTTACATTCATGTTATCTGATCAATGGCATGTGGGATTGTTCCCTTTATTTTATATACATCGCAAAACAAAAATGTAGAATCTCCCTGTACAGGACCAACAAATAAATCATTCAATCATTCCATCCATCTGTCGTAAGTAAATCATCCGAAAAGAGTAAACACAATCGAAGCATCATCATGAGAATATACACACATTCGTAAGGAAATGATCATCAGATGAACATCCCGGCCACTCCAACGACCAGGCCGAGGACGAGATCTTGAAGGCTGGTTCGCCCGACAGATGCACCGTTCTCGTTGGACCCTCCATACGAACCACAGTATCCCAGATTGAGACCGTGGCATGCATCTGCACTCAGGCTGGAGCAAGTGGACACGGCGCCTGGAGTTGCGCCTGCACCTTGCGTGATGCCGCCTCCGTCGGCCGCCACAGTAACGGCGTAGTTCCCTCCAAGCGACGAAAGACACCCTGTGTACGAGCTCTGGCACAGCGAGTAGTATGAAGAGCAAGTTTCTGCGTTTGAAAATGTCGTGGGCACGTAAACGAACGGATAGGCACCGGGCATGGTCGAGCCGGTGATGGTAGCGTCGCCCGGGCCGGTAGTCGCAGACGCAGTTGCGGACGAGGGAAAGGCGAAGCCGTTCGTCGTCGTCGTGCTGGTCGCAGTGAGACTTCCTGTGCAGCTTGCTCCGGTGGGACAGCAGGCGATGTTGTCGGCAGCATCGCGAGAGCAGGTTGAGTCGTCCTTGCAGCAGATATTCCCATCGCCCAGGCTAGAACATCCACTATATCCGGATGGGCAGTTATCCGATCGCTTCAAGATCTGAAGGACTTGTAATGCCCGTTTGTTCGTTTCTGCATTTTGCGGAGGAGAAAAGGGTAGGACGTCTATCGATAACACGGTCGATGCGAGGAATGTGGAGATCCACCAGGAGGCCTTCATTCTGATAGTCACTGGACTGAGATAGGAGATCAATGCTCCTTCTCCAACGGTTCAAGAAATACCCGTGTGTAAATTCTAGCGATTGCGAGTCGGGAGATCGAATGCGACGAGTAGATGGGCTTAGCGACCGTCAACAAACTACTCTAAGCAGTAAACAGCGTCAGTAGACATCGCAACCAAGGGAGATAAAACCAACGGCTCACCTGTCGATAATATAAACCACGCAGTTTTATCAGCTTTTCAACTTCAAGATCGGTTCTTCAATGGATCGGTCTGAGGCGGATGATGTCGCAGTGCTTTTGTCCTGGCCAGCACGTCTCCACCGGGATCCCTGCCACAGCAACGGGCGTTGTCCGTGATGCCCAACCATGTCACTTTTGGCACTCTGTTCTGTGCGCACATTGGCTTTGTAGGCCGATAATAATGGGTCTATTTTTGGCTTCAGGCAATTTGTTCGTTCGAGGATCGGATCTACTGCAGGCTTTCTGGATTCTCGTTGCGTCGCAGGAGTAGAAGCAGTTCGGACTTCCGTCGGTCTGTCTGACAAGGTGGGACGGAATACTACGAGAGATCTGCTGGCACCCGCTATCTAACAATACAATCATGAGACAACCCTTGCTTTAAGATATTGATTATAATTAACGATTAGGTGTAGTAAGTACTGTACAATAGCCTAGTAGTAGTCGATTGGATGTCAAATGATATCATCCATAATTATCTGCAACCCGAGTCAAGCAGGCTGAGACAGATCTCAGATCCCGCTAGATTCTGTCTTCAGCTTGGTCATTCTCAACAGACTGACTGCTAAGTAGTCGTCTTGATCTAGATCACTTCAAGTCCAACCGTGTGGCGAGGCGGTAATGCTTCAGTTGCTCAAAAGTCCTAGTTGAATGTCGCAGGCGAAGCCAATTCCCTGCTTCTTACTTCTGAACCCTCAACTGCATTTCTCATGTAGGGGAGGGAAAGAGCCCGATGAGTCGATCTGCAACATGCGAGTACCGACATTATACCGTAAAAGTAATTCTGCAACACACAGGTTCAGAATAGGGTGAGCCTCAAATGCCATTTCTGGATGATAGAGATGGCGATTTATGATGGATAAGAATGCTTAATGGAAATTCATTGTCGACAAGTCCTGTCAAAGACACCAAGTCTCGGGAGCTGTATTTTGACTTGCATCAGGATTAGGCTCAGGAAGATTTTGCTGCTTCCTTTTGGAAACTTCCATATCGTGTAATAATCTCTGGATGGTCCGTTTTTGAACAGCTCCATCAACAGCCGCAACAAGCTCGCTGATCTTCATCTTAGGGTTTGCCTGTTTGAGTGCATAGATATGCTCTCGCTGCTCGTCAGAGAGTTGCCGTGGACGCCCGGTTCGAGGTTGCGATGTATTGTCAACTCGTTTCTTCTCACGGCGAATAGTGCTTCGAATAGTCTCCAAGGGAATCTCGGGGTATCTTGCTTTGATCTTCCCAAAGCTCCATCCGATGCTTTTCAGCTCACATAGTCGTGATCGTAGCTGTGGCGTTAACTCTTTGCCTCGTGGCCCCATGATGCCGTCTGTCTGTATGACTGTCTAACGTATCTGGATAGCTTCAAGAACGCGACGCGACTTTGACATATGACAGGCCAGCCCTAAGCCCTATATACGGCCATATCTGGCAAGGCACCCCTCACCGCCCGCCGGAATGCGTTCATCCAGATGGCTTCTCCATATCTGAAGAACAACAATCAACTTCTTTTCAACCCAGTGTTTTATCATCACTTTTGATTAATTAATTGCCGTTTATAAATCTCAGTTAGGACTGGGATATCTTAAATCTACGCCCTTTCCGAACGCCTTGAAGTTGTACGGGAACCGCCGCTTCCCCTCATCGACCCCCGCTTGACATTCTTGAAGCTCTTTACATACGCCACTTTCACAATGTCGATCCCTAACGAAGCTTTGTCCAAGGTAAGCGCTGGAATTGTCTTATGATATAAGTATTTTCTAACAATGTTCGTACAGTTGTTGCAAGAAATCGAGGCCCGTGCGATCAGCTCGCAGCAGCAGATGGGAATCACCAAAGCGCAGATCACAGCCAAGCAAAGGGAAATTAGACTCTTGGAGTTGACATCGAAGGAAGTTGGAGCGCTGCCGAAGGATACTAAGGTTTATGAGGGTGTCGGCAAGATGTGAGTCCTGGCCGTCTAGAGCTGTTGGTGCAAAGAGTGAGAACTAATATATGGTTGCGCTATAGGTTCGTTGGAGTGCCAATTAACACCGTTGACAAGCGAATGTCGACAGAGACAACCGAGCTGAAAAATGAGATTACGGGTCTGGAGAAGAAGCTGAATTACTTTGAGATGACAAACAAGAACAGCCGGGAGAACTTGGAGCAAATTTTGAAGTCGGGCAGGGCGTAAGTGATTGATAAAAGCGAGGCACTTTGACACGGTGGCGGCCGGTCATACTAAGGAATTGGAATCCTTGATGCACACCTAATGGTTTGAGTCCAAGGGAAAGGAGAACGGAAGGCCATCTAATACATGCGATATGCTCTTCATGCGCGGAGGGCTCAGTTGGAAAGTAGTCCGGGCCGCAATGCGTTTCCCGGATTATGCATGGTTCATGGTGTCCTGACTCTTTCTGGGAATGAGCTGCTTTGTGGTAGCTACTACACGATTGAACTGGATGTACAGAGTACTATTGCGTGGAATGTGTCCCTGGCTGGGCACTGATTATACGGACAAAGGAGATCATGACAGATGAAAAGCACAGTGGGCTGATTATGCCGCTGAATTATACCAATATACTACATAGTTACATTTACAAAGTCTTGCGGATAAAACCAAATGCTCTCCAATCGGACTGGTTGGACTGAATAAATAGCCATACCGAGGCCGAATCACCTGAAATGAGTCATGTGGGGTTGGGATATCTTGCTGATGATGGATGACATCAATTGCTGCTCTCCTGGATCAATCAAGTCACGCTGGATTGTCAGTTGGATTAATTATCGCCAGATATTATCCAGGATAAATGAAGATATCCAGATAAATTACATCTTCATAATCTCCTCATAATGACACTGGGTCGACGGGACCAGCCGATCGTTTCCCTGGAACCAGATATCAGCCATAAATATAGATACAAAATAGCAAAATAGAACATCCAGACAATCTAGTCCTCGAGATAGTGCATACAGGAATCAATCCTCAGCTCACAAGTGCCACTGTTGATCACGACAACACCAGCGCCTCCTCTCTATACGAATCACCATCGCCCACATCACAGCCCAGCGCTTCGAGTGGGTTTCAAACAGCCGCCTCGAGTCAAAGACAGCTGTTATTCTCCTCCGTCTGCACATCATCCTCCATTCTTTATTCTCGATTCTTTATTTTCATTTATTTCTTCCCCCTTATCCCATGAGAGCGTTAGGTACGGATGATAGGGCACGAATGACTGCCTCCGTGATAGGCCCTTAAATACCCTCTCCTCCTCCATCGTCGAATAACGTGGCTGGTCGCCAATCCGGAATCCCCGTTGGTTTCTTGTTTCTTTCTCTGGCGCTTTTCCTTGAAATTCCTTAAATACGAGGCGCTTCCCTGTCGCTTCGTTGGCTCTTTTTTTTGCCTTTTTTTTTTTTTTTTTTTTTTTCCCCTCTCGCGCTTTTCCCTCTTCCTATCTTCTCTTCTTCCACACCCCGCTTCACCTATAGCTGAGCGTCACGCCCGTCAATCCATTCTCTCTTGGGGGCCGTTTTTGTTGCCGCCTGTTTCACGAGGCTGTGGTTGATCGTCTTATTCTTAGCTGTATCTTTATTTATCCCAAATACGAAGCTATCTTTTCTTTTCTTGTTTTCTCTCTTCGCTTCCCAACCCCTCATTCCCACCCCGCCTTACAATACCTCCCGCCTCGCTCAACACTCTATCCAACAACCATCGACAAATCCATCAGGGGGAGTTATACAAAATATATACACTGGCAAAATGTGGCGGCACAGCAGCAGATATCCTGTTTATAGCGACGACGAATCAGATTATACCGAAACGGACATCTCGATTGTCGAACCCCCCCGCCGTACCACGTTCAGGAGACGCTCTACGTCCCGTCATCGTGAACGCCGCAGCCCAGACTTCAGCAACACCTACCTGAGTCCTATCGTTCAGGATGTCCGTGTCCAACGGTCGGCCTCAACAGGAGGCCGGCGACCTCATCGAGAACGGGGTCGAGAACGGATTTACGAGCAAGAAGTGGTCCCGCCGCCGCCGCCTCCTCCTACAGCACCCGTCTCCGTCGCCGTTGACATCAAGAATGACTCTCGTAATAAAGGTTCCAACAAGAGTCGCAGACAGAAGCATAAAGCCACCACCAGTTACCCGCAGCCAGAGGAGCAGTCCGAGTCTGAGGATGAGACCGTCCTGCGACGTCATCATAGACGCCCCCACGCCAGCCACAGTATTTCCCGCGAGGCTTCGCCCGCCCATTCTCATTCCCATTCAACCCCCGTCCTTACGTCCCCGCATCAGCGAGACTATGAACTAGTCATCGACCAGCGGCTGTTGGAGAAGAATGATGCCCGACAAGACCTCGAGCTCATGAAGCAGCAGCAAGAGATCGAGCGGTTGGAACGGGAGCTGGCCCGGCGCCGGGAGAACAGAGATACCCGTCATCTCCACAGGGATGAAGAACACTGGTACGAGGACGAGATCAGCGAAAGACTGAGGCGGCTGGAGCGACATGAGAATAAGCAGCGGTCAGACGAGGACCGAAACAACGCCGAGTATCGGTACAAACTCAAAAAGTTTGAAGAGGCAGAGCGTCGTGCTGCAGAGAAGGAACGCATTGCTGCGGAGAGGGAGCGACTTGAGGAAGAGCAGCTCAACAAGGAATACCGCAAGAGAATCGAAAAGTTTGAAATCGAAGAACGTCGTGCTGCCGAGAAGGAGCGCTTAGAAGAGGAGCGGCTCAATATGGAGTATCGCCAGAGAATCGAAAAGTTCGAAGGAGCCGAACGTCTGGCTGCCGAACAGCAACGATTGGATGAGGAACGGCGTAACGCTGAACACCGTTACAAGCTCAAAAAGTTTGAAGAGGCAGAACGCCGTGCTGCCGAGAAAGAGCGACTGGAGGAAGAGCGACTCAACGCTGAATACCGCCAGAGAATCGAAAAGTTTGAACTCAGCGAGCGTCGTGCCGCTGAGCAAGCGCGGTTGGAGGAGGAGCGACGCAATGCCGAGTATCGCCAGCGGATTGAGAAGTTCGAACAAGCCGAGCGTCTGGCCGCAGAGCAAGAGGAGATCAAGGCCAAGTTGCGCGAGGAGAAGCTCAAAGAGATGCAGCGGAAGATAGAAGAGGACGAAGAGAAAGAGCGTGTTAAGAAGGAGATTCGTGACGAAGAGGCGAGAAAATACATCGAGGAACAAGAGCGGCTGAAAGAAGAAATGAGAATGAAGCAAGCCGCCATCGAGGAATGGAAGCTTAACGAAGAGCGCCGCATAATAGCGGAGCGAAAGGAAAAGGAGCAAAAGGACCAGGAATTCAAAGAACGACTCATGATTGAGTACGGTTATTCGGAAGACGACATCCAAAATATCCTCAAGGGGAAGAAGTCCCCAGAGAAAGAGAAGCAGGAAGAAAAAGAAAAGGAGAAGGAGAAAGAACCCGAAAAGAAGGAAGAGGAACATAAAGAAGTCGAGCATCATCACCGGCTTGAGCCTCACCGGCCCACATGGATCAAGGTAGGATCTTGCAGACTTCAATTTCACGATATACCCATACCTAACATTGCATTCTAGGTGCACCGTAAGCATCTTCTTCCCGACACTCTGATGGCCTATCGCTTGGACTGGGATTGGGACGAGGTAAGCAATATCTTCGTTTTGATCATTTGCCCGGTTCTAACGATTATAATCACAGCTCGATGGAAACTATATCATCATCAAGCAATGGGTCTCCGAAGACTTCCAGGAAGAGCTGTTTGCACACACACGGCGCCTGCGCGATAACAAGCTAGTCACTCAAACTTCCAGCTCGTTGACAGAGCTCAAGATCAATGACCGGAAGAAGGACAAGATGTATCTCGTCCGGAAGAAGAGCCCCAACCAGCGGGCATGGATCTTTACATGACCATGTTTTGAATTGGAATAGAACACGCCTGATGATAGCATTTGGAGTTTATCGTTTTTCTTTTCTTGTCGATTTTGGACATAATCAGCGTCCGAAGATTGTCAATTGATCGTTTTTCTTTTTGGGCTAGGCTTTGCATTGTTTTGTCTGCCTTGTCATTGATGAGTTGGGATTCAGGATATGATAAGTAGCTATATGATACAGTATGATTGACATGATATGAAGGGATACTCTTTTCCTGTTTCCTTACCGTAACACCAATGATGAAAGTCCAAAAGAGCTCGTCTATAATATTTAGTTCTTGTCCATTTTTGTTGATCAAACGTCTCTGCTTTTTATACAGTTCTCCTAAAACTCCTGATATCCCAATGCGAATCGAATAGCAAATACAAGGTAAGGAGAGGATTCGTGGCCGATGAGCAAAATGTCGGGAAGTGCCGTGATAAGATAAGGCGAAAGAAGAGAACGGTTCATGTGTCTCATAGACTTATCTGTTTGTTGGCTGCCCAGTGTTTCTCCGCGCGAAGGATAAGCTCCTCGTACACTGTCCACGCAAGCGCTGAACTCAGCGCTTTCCGACCCATACGGAGTCCCAGACCCCCCAATAAACTCCGCATCCCATCTTCCTGAATCATCAATCTAACGGCGCGAAGCATGTTCCCGTACTTGCCGGGCATCAGTTGGAGTCGGGTCTTGACTGCGTCAAATGGATTGGAGATTGCCGTAGCGAGACCAGCCGCTAATCCACCCGAGACAAAGTTGATGGACGGGGACGACGTCAATTGCCCATCGTTTTTCCCGGGATTGCTCATAGAAGACAAGTACCGCTTAAATTGCTCGTACAAAAGGACGTACAGTCCTGCATATGGTGCATCCCGCGCAGCAGTTGCACCAAAGCCTGAGAATAGTCCTCGCATACCTTCTGTCCGCACAATGTCTCGCCCCGCTCCAGCAAGACTTCGATATGCGTAGTAGTCTGATTCGTAGCGTACCTTGATCACCGTAACGGGCATCATCACGAAACCAGCAGCCGTCCGCGCTGCGGCTCCCGTTGCAAGGTTGGCTGTGTTGGAGAGTTTCGGGAGAGCCGAAAGTGACCCGGCGGTGTTGTCAATACTATTATCGGCGAGGAAGAGCGGCATCCTAGACTGCGCGAGGCTCTGACGTAGGGCATTAAGACTGGTAAAATACAAGGCGGATCCGAAGCCCGTTCGGAGGGCCGAAGGAAGAGTACCACGCCATAGATTGCGGATGGGATGAGGAGAGGAGAGGATGGTTTTGAGAGTGGGTAGGAGCGAGGCGTTGTGAGACTGTTGGATTCGGGTTTTGAGGAGATCGGCCGGTTGGAGAAGGATGGCAGAGGAGAGACCAGAGCAGAGACCGGCCGCGAAGTGAAAGGTGGTTTTTGATGCTGGATCGTAGCATGAATTAGTTCAAAGGCCGATGCAATCCGTATGAAAAGAGAAAGAGAGAGACAACATACAGGTGGAGGTTGTTTTCACCTGCGGTACAGCGTATGCGGCATTGTTGGCCATTTTCTTATGTATGAACTCTGCAGGTCAATTCCTGAGAGCATGCGAATTGGCAGGGGAAAAAGGTAAAGGTGCAGCAAAAAATTAGTCGTTGGAGAATGAAGCTGTACAGCAATGTACAGCGGTGAGCAATGGATGACAAGAAAGACCACACGATGGTCACACTGCAAGCTACAGGGACCACATCCCATGCGAAAAAGAAGATAAACAAAGGAATTGGATGGATTGAATTTGTTCGAGTTGGAGTTCTGGCGGTGGAGAGAGAAGAGAGAGAATCGGAGCCATCGACGACTGCTGGTGAAGTCATCAACGGTCGGGCCGCATGCATCATGATTGGCTGCTGATCTTGTATTTTTCACTTGCACTCTGCCGAACTGTGCTACATCTGAGATACGGTGATATTATAGGAGAAGAGGGGTAATTAATTAGTAGAGTAAGAGGCTTATGAATAGGGAGTTCATCTGATCATCTGCAATACCTTGGATATAGAGAATGCGCAAGTTGCTTGTCCTAAGATCGAGTGTTATCCAAAAATACTCAGCCTTATGGTGTTGGGTACCATTGTAATGCCATTCACACATTGCCTCTGCTTAATAAGTAGATGTTTTCTATTGAAATAGATTCTATATAAAGATTGAAACATTCTCAATAAAGATATAATATACCATCTACATCCTTCAGTTTTATGCCGAAAACAACTGAATAAAGGGAGGTATCACGGATACAATACCGTAATACAAACGGTAATAACGGACGGCATTCGGCAGCGCGCGGACCCCGACTGGCCAATCAGCACGCTGCTTCTATGCAATGTCATCCATGGGCCCGCCTGATTTGCGTAACGCCGTAACGAACCGACGTCACATGTCTGGGGGAGGCAGTAAACCTAGCTTAAGGTACCAGCTCTGCGGTCGCTGCCAACTCTCTTCTTTTTCTTTTCTTCTTCTCTTTTCATCTTTCTCGTCTTTTTATTTCCTCTCTCAAAAGAGGTCGACAATTGTTCACGGAGACTGCTCTATCTCCGTCCACAATGTCCCTGTGGTCTTTACTCCCCTCCATCCCATACCCGCCTGCGAAGGATGGGTACTGGAGCCCTGTCACCTCCACCTTGAACTGGTGTGAAGAGGTATGAGCCATTTCGTTCGCTTTGCAGTAGAACTCTTCAGGACTATAATGCTAACACTGGGAAAAGGATTACTATGCCACCGTCTATTCCGCAGAAATCATCAACACAATAACCAATCTGTTGTTTATGTGGCTCGGTGTCAAGGGAATTCTCAGTTGTCGCCGTCATGAGCATGATCAGATCTTCTTGGTGGCGTTTGGCGGATATCTTGTTGTCGGGACAGGGAGTTTCTTGTTCCACTCAACTCTCAAATGCAAGTTGAACCATCCTGGGTGTGAGGAATATTGTACAGATTTGCTGACCGTGCCGGCGCTTATAGATCCAATGCAGCTGGTTGATGAGCTCTCCATGATTTACACCACCTGTTTGATGTGCTATGCTTCCTTCTCTTACTCGAGACCAACCGGTGTCCGTATATCCTTGGCCATCTCCCTTGCCAGTTTGGCGATCTTCATCACCCTCTACTACCACTATCTTCAAGACCCCGTGTTCCACCAGAATGCGTACGCGCTTCTGACCACCGTCGTGGTCCTGCGCAGCATGTACACAATGGAGAAAACACTTCGGCCATCTATGCGACATACTCGTGAGGAGGATCGGTTGGCGCGCGAAAAGCAGGGCCTGCCGGTCCCGAGCAAGGAGCATCAGCACTACGAGAACGTGCGCGACATGAAGACTCTCAGGACAATGTGGTTCATGGTGGCTTATGGATTGAGTTTGTTCCTTGGTGGGTTCTTTATCTGGAATTTGGACAACTACTTTTGCTCCACGATTCGCGAATGGCGCCGGGTAGTGGGTCTTCCATGGGGTATTGTCCTTGAAGGTCATGGCTGGTGGTATGTTTCCCTTGTTTCGGTCCGTAGGATTATTTTACTGACTTTACAGGCATATTATGACCGGCCTTGGAGCATATCTATATATCATATGGGGAATTTGGCTTCGCCACTGCTTGAACCAGCGACAGGAAGAGTACTACTTGTGGTGGCCACACTTTTGGAACTTCCCCGAGGTTGTGCGCAGCCCGCAGATCAAGAAAGATACCAAGAAATCGAACTAAGCTGGACCATCTGTTTATACTACTTTCACCACACACAATAAAGTTTCGTCGAATTTCATTTTGAAACTACTGAACAATTAGCATTCGGACCGATGGGGTTTATAGACACTGACTGACAGGGTCAGTTATATATCTTATTTATATAGAAAAAATTGACGCGATAACGATGACCATAGGAGTACCAAATCTCATCATTGATGTACACTCTAAAATATGCCGTATCTAACGCTGGGTATGAAGGATGTCAGGATGTAAAAAACAAAAAATAGACATTACAACTTCGGAGATGACTTCTTAGATCTCCTCTCAGGAGCAGGGACATTCTCTTTCCACCGCGCGTCGATGGTGACCTTCTCAATCTTTGACTTTTTGCTCCATTGTGCCCGGAACGCCTGGTCTTCAGCATGCCACCTCTGCAACTCGGCACCCAGCCAGCGGCCAGCCGCATCGGCGCATTCAACAGGCGCTTCCTGTGCTAGGAGATGCCCGAACTCAGCTAAGTAGACATCACGCACTCGGCCGATGGCTCTTCCGCCACTACCGCCGAGGCCAGTGCCGGTGTTGGCCATCTTATCTTCCATCATCTGGGGAAGACACATGTCGGACTTGCCGGCGAAGATGTACATGACGCTAGGGCGGAGGTGGGGCATCTGCGCGAAGATGCGCGAAGGCTCGGGTCGATAGAAGGGGTATGAGCCGAAGTGGTTGACGTCGACGTCTGGGTGGGTGGTTCTGTTCAATGGTTTACCTACTCCTGGGGGTCCGTCGTAGTTGGGTCGAGAGAAAGTGAAGACTTCTTGATGGAGGGTTGTTTTTAATGTGACGGGTTGCTCGTCGTCCTCTTTCTTTTTTTCGCTGTGGATGGCTGTTGGGAGGTCTCGGAGACCGTGCTGAACCCAGCGCTCGAGGACTCGAGGATCCCAGGCTTGGTAAAATGGGCTTCGTTTGAAGCCTTCTGCGGCGGCTTTGCGGGATGGCCATAGATCGCGGCGGTAGGTAGATAGCTGGGTGGTTTTGGCGATGGTTGTTTTATCAACGAGTAAGCTGAGCGAATCTAATTGGGTTGTTTGTCGTTGGATTACAGGGTCCAAGAGGACGAGCGAATGAATGAGACGAGGATGCATTAAGCAGACTTGGGCACTGTAGAGCGATGAGAGGTGAACTTTTGATGGCCTAGTTTTAGATAGGAACTCACAGATGAGCGCCACCCATGCTATGCCCAACTCCAACGATAGGACGAGGCATTTCTTTGCGCTTGAGGTTGATCATATGGAGAAGATCGCGGGGATGATCAAACCAGCTGGCTGGAACAGTCTGTCAGTATATAAAACCGGCATGTAGCAAGAGATAGATCGCATACGGTCATTTCCAAGCAGATGCTCATTGAGCACACCACTCTGTCCCTGATGCGCGACATCTGCCATCCAGATACTGCGGATTCGGAATCCATTTGCTTTCGAGCGAGCGAGCAATTCATCCCAAAGAGGCTCGTATAATTCCTATGCAAAAAATGGCAATATAAGCATGGGCGTTCACGCACGAGGCCGGGTGATCGGCCAGCTCCTTACCTTGGGAAATCCGTTGGCGTGGGCTCCGATGATTGTGACATCTCCAGGTTGGGGATTGGGGTTATCGAGAGGAATATATTGCTTCACGGCCAGATGCAGAGTGTCTTCCTGTTCGTTGGCCGTGGCTGCTGGATATTCTCTGATATGCTGGCATGGCACGACATGCTCGACGATGCGGAAGGGTGAAGTCATTATGGTCGTTGAATCGTGCTGATTGGGAAGGGCCTGTCATGGAAGAAAGAAGAAGAAGCTGTAAATTGCCAGATTATTATTCTCTATCGAGGAATCGCAACATAGGCGCTGGTTAGTCTGCGAGATAATTCCGGATAGTATTAATTCCGCTGATCGATGGTTATGCCGCGGTCGATTTGGACCTCGGAGGTTGCGGAAGCAGCTCAACTGCCGGGAATGGACATCGCGATAATCCCTACATAGTAGCCTCCTGGGTTTATTAAGAATAATCTTGCTTAATTAGCTGGTTAGTCAAATTATATTCTTGGGTTTAAATGAATAATCTAGTCTTGCACTGTATAACTACCCCGCATTGCCCATAATGTCGACTGCGGAGAAGAGATCCTCAGGCACTAATGGATCTATACAACTGTCGACCTATTGCAATGCATTTCCAATCACTTTAGTGCAGTTCGTAATCGTATTGTATAAACAGCAGATACAGGTGCAATTTATCAAATTGAAAACTTGAATTATGTATTTTGTATTTTGATACCGTAAATCCATTGGAGAAACCCATGGCTAGTGTTCGTTCCAGCGTCATCTAGTCATTTTGCCAGTCGCATCTACTGTATATCCCGCTTTTGATCGTTTCGCCACCCATGGCACAATCGGAGCTTCGGTCGGCTGTGGTTGGCATCTTTAGAAGTCATAATAGATCGATCAACAACATCGAAAGTGCCAGGCTGTGACTCGAACTGAGCCACATGGCAAGCGTCCCCATTTTACCCAGCCAATCTTCACAGAAGACCGACGAGTAGCCTGAACATAGCACTGTCGAGTTCCGGCCATATATGGCTGCTTCCAGCTTTGAGGACGACTGCATCTGCCACATAGCGCTTCCTTTTTCGAGACGGACAACTCTTTCTCTGGCGTGGCGTAGTTGTTTGATACTCGATAATAAATCCCATATTCACCTTAATCCAAGGCATCGGGCAGCTTCTCAATCGTATATTTGGCTCTCGCGACTCTCATGATTGGCACACCAGGGATCTTGCGGATGCGGCGAATCAAATCCTTATCGTTCGTACCGACGATATAAATTCTCTGCTTGGATATCTATAACCATATATCAGCACCTGTAATTATGCATATAAAAAGTGTCTGACAACTTACCCTGTCGACGATACAGTCATCTGCATATGTACCGGCGTGATCGCACCGGAGTCTTTCCCATCTGGGGTCCTTGGCTATTCTAAGTGCCAGTCGGTACTTCTCACCAAGCTTCTCGAGTTCCGCAATGGTGCAGTCTGTGAAGGTCGGAATACATTTCGCGTACAGCCTAGTCAATAAGCATCAGCATGCGATCCTCCCACTTCGAATAGGTTCAGTCTCACAGGTCCATCATGGCTGGAAGCATGTCCAGTTTACTTCTAATAGTGTGACTGACAAAGTTGGTATCTTCAAATTGATTGTCAGCCACCAATCGCTCATCAATTTCAAATACCCAAATATAACATACCGACAAGAACGTGGTAGGGAGGTCCCAAAGCTGTGTTTGCGGCGAAGAACATGTTGGAGGGAGCTTGGGCGACATGTTTGACCAGTTCATTTTCCTTGGGCTTCTTTTCTTTTTTGGTGCTATTCATAGGTTCCTTCACACGTTGATCTTGCTTCTTGATAATGCGTTTGGTCTGTTTTGCGATATTGTTAGTGTGTCGTACTTTGATTCTGCTATCCATAGGAAGACGTACCTGGGCAAACTTGCGGGTTTTCTTTGCGACACCCATTTTGAAATATGGATAATTCAGGCGTTATAAAGACGTAGACTGAATAAAGAGCAGGTAATGAAGTGGAGTGGTCCAGCAAAGTTCAGATGAAGGGCTGTTGAGAACATTCAAAAATGAAGATGTCAAAAAATCCCGATAAGGGATTTATGGTCTAAACCTTATCGGGTTTAGCCTCTCTACATACAAATGCGCTGCGGAGAAATATCCAACTTGTTGTTCGACATTGTGAAATACTAGAAATATATAGCCCAGTTTGGGTTGATTCAATCCTCAAGAAGAACCAGAATCATCTGTAAGCACTGTTCCATCTAAAATGGTGGTGCGAAATCCTTAAATGTGATAGATCGCCTTCGTTTATCAATTCACGTGACTCGGCGTCGCTCCCACGCGTCGGCGCGTCGCATTCCAAGAATCGACCGGGTGCCTCATTGCATTCTTCTACAATTGCTCAAGATTGAGGCTATACCTGGCAGTCTTTCATCTAACCCACTGACCCATCCGAATACACAGAAACAACAAGCTCTGCCCTTTTTACCCCACATCAACCGCCATGGCGGACGGCGAGGAGGCAGTTCAGCTCTTCGAAGCATGCAGAGTGTGTATCATATGCTCGGAGCACCTCACTCCAGATACAGCGCATCAAGTATGCAGAAACCTTCTATCTGGCTCTAAATATTAGATCTATCGAAGAAAACTGACACAGATCTCCTACAGCTTGCATCGACACTTGAAGAACATGGCGCTGAATCAGTCATCTATGAGCCGTCATCGACATTTCCATCGCTAGACCAATTTACCCACCTTATGTCCTACACAATCGACTTTCCCGCCTTCGAAGCTGCCAATGATGCTCTGATACCCGTCGTCAAACCCCAGTGGCTGAAAGCGTCTCTATCAAAGAGGAAGCTGGCCAATCCGCGACAGTATAGTCCTGACCCGAGATTGTTCTTGAACGATGTCGTTGTCACCTGTGGCGACATCCCGGAAGGCGACAAGGATGCGATTATTGGTGGGGTACTAGCAAAGGGGGGTCTCTATAGTCCGAAGATGTCCCAAATGGTCACACATCTAGTGGATTTGACTACAGAATCCGAGAAGGCTCGAGTTGTTGCGGCCAGGAAATTAAATGTGAAAGTCGTTCTTCCGCATTGGTAAGTTGTGTATTAAGGAAAAGGAAGGCTTGGATATTGATACGCAATAGGTTTGACGACTGCCTGAAGCTCGGAAAGCGAATCGATGAGCGCCCATATACCCTTCCAAACCCAGAAATTCTCCGCGCAGGTCCCGATGCACCGATACGTTCGTCGGAAAACAAAGATATCGTTGGTGCCTCAACACCAGAGCCTTCCGGTTTGCCTACCCCCGCTGTGTCTCCCCCTCGATTAGACGTCTTTGAAGGGAAACAGGTCATGCTCTCTTCAGACCTTGGTATTGGTTCGCATCTCCTGGGATCAATTGAAGATCTTGTCAAACGAGGTGGGGGAGCTATGACATCGGATGTTTCCACGGCGGATATGTTGGTCTGTCGCTACAGAGAAGGGTTCGCCTACCGCACGGCGTCGAGATTAAACAAGGATGTCGGGAATCTATCGTGGCTTTATCATCTGATCACATACAACACCTGGACCTCACCATTGCAACGGCTACTCCATTACCCTGTATGCCGCACCGGTATTCCCGGATTCAAGGGGCTTAAGATCAGTTTGTCCAACTACGTGGGTGAGGCAAGAGCCTATATGGAAAACTTGATTGCGGCAACGGGTGCCGAATGCACCAAGACTTTGAAGCAGGAAAACACGCATTTGATCACAGCCCATGGGAACAGCGAAAAATGTGCCGCTGCCAGAGAATGGGGACTGCACGTCGTCAATCACCTCTGGTTGGAAGAGAGTTATGCAAAGTGGAAACAGCAACCTGTGTCGGACCCTCGTTATACCCACTTCCCCAAGAGAACTAACTTGGGTGAAGTTGTAGGACAGACCAGACTAGATCGATCCGTTCTCGAGAACGTTTTCTTCTCCCCGGAAGAAGCTCAAACCCAAGCCCCTACTAGTCCTAAACGGCCCGCGCAGAGCAAGGATAAAAGTGCTACGGGCTCCATGCAACCACCATCGGCGAAGGCACAAAAGGTCGATAACGTTTTGGAGAAAAACAGCGCTACACCACGTAGTGTTGGCAGGCCACGGAAGACCTCGGATAGTAAGAAGATCGAAACACCTGCACGTACGCGAGTTACATCCGAAGGAAAGGAAAACGATACGCCTTCCTCGACAAGCAGCCGGAAATCCAAGGACGCGGCTAGTGCTAAAATCCATGATTATGCACCGGACATTGCATTGTACGAAAAGGAGATGAAGCGGGTTGGTGGCGTCATCTATGGTGGTAGACGGAAGACCGATGAGGATAGGGTGGTACTCAATGAAAACAAGAATAGCAAAAAGCGAAGATCAGTCGATGCTGAGGATGAGAGTGAGGGCGACGATGCAACGGAGGCTAAGCGGCAGAAGAAGTCGCGCCCTCCTGTTACAATGCATCTTCTGATTACCGGATATCAAAAGTGGGTGGGAAATTCGAAGAAAGAAGACGCAGACAAGGTTCGTTGGGTACTTCCATGTCTGCAGATGGCATTGGATCTATTATACTGAACATATCGCTAACTATGAACAGCGCCAACTCCGCGACATGGGAATCTTGGTCACCCAGGATGCCCGCAAATGCAGCCATCTCGCCGCTCCGTCTATCCTACGAACACCCAAGTTTGTCAACGCTCTCGCATACGCCCCAGTGATTGTCGATATCGAATTCATCACGCAATGCCTCAAGAAGAACGAGCTTCTCAACGCCGCCGATTTCCCCTTGGTGGACAAGGCCGCCGAGAAAAAGTTCAAATTCTCCCTCGGAAGTGCTGCCGCCAAAGCGAAGGAAAACAAAAACAAGCTCCTGCGGGGCTACCACATCTACTGTGTCGAGACCATCCGTGGAGGCTTTGACGCTTTCAAGTCCATCGTCGACGCCAACGGAGGAGACTGCTTGCTATTCCGCGGACGCCTTTCGTACCACCCCCAGCGGGAGGAAAGCGAAGACGACAGCTCAACAGACGAGGACCCGAGTCGGAAGGAAGTCTACCTTCTCAGCAGCGTGGCCGCTGATCACCAGAAGATATGGCCCCGGTTCCGCCAAATGGTGCAGCAAATGGGCAAAAAGCCCCGGATTGTCCGCGTGGATTGGCTTCTTGACATTGCCATGTCTCAGGAACTACATGCCGCGAATGAATACGAGTTGAACGAGGATATGGAAGATGGAAAGGCCGAGTAGCTAATTTTAGATTATTGGTCTTTGGTGTCGGTGTTATGCATTGATTTGGAGCGTAGGAAACTTACTTACCTTGTACATGTTTTTTTGTCTCGGGATTTGACTTGTATATTTTCTATATCTTTCAGCATAAAGATTACTTGATACATTGGTAGCATTCTAGGAATAGACATAAAAATTAAATCAATTCCCTTAATGTTGGGCCTGTTATGAACAAAGTCAATTGATGATATTGCTGAACACAACAGCAGAACAACTAGTTCAGGTCTTGGTTTGGCATAAAGTAGTCTTTTCTTAATACAATTTGAGAACTTGGTTTATTTATAAGTGAGGTTCAGCCACTCAAATCAATGTTCATCGTGGCCATGTTTAATATACATTTCACAGCGTTGTTCACACCTAGGCATCGAGCGCCTTCAAGAATGCCGGGCTTTCGTGGCCTTGCAGAACCTTTGCAATTGGAACAGCGTGTGCGTCTGAGTTTTCGTCGTTTTGTTGAAGATGGCGGACGTAAGACTGGGCAACCTTGAGCCACACAGCCTTCTCTTTGCTGCTAGCTCCCAGGCCCTGGTAAACCCACAGCTTGCTACCGACATCATAGAGGAAGACATCGTTTCCACCGAGATCCGCTCGGCTAACTTTGCCTTCCTTGACAAGATCGAAGGACAATGTTCCGGAGGCATCGCTGAGTCTGAACAGTTTGCGCGGGCGGACGTTTCCACTGTCGTCGTGTGCTCTCTTTGAGGGGAAGGATACAGGGTGTGGAGCCTGGAAAGAAGATTGCTGGACCTCCTTTCCTCCCAACAAGTCCACGACAACTCTGGATCTCGATTCGAGTTGCGAAAGAACCTCGACGTCGATATGCTTGGCGAGAGTCATGTCGTTGACGACCTGGGCTGCCTTGGCCTTCTCCATCGGGCTGCAGTTCTTGCCCTGCCAGACCCAGATCTTCTCGCCCTTGTCCAAGACAAAGACATCATGGTCATCGAGGCTCTTCCAGGTTGGCTCCACTTCGTATACAATGTAGGAGTCCATGCGACCAGTGCCAGGGTGTTTGAAGATGCGCAGAAGCGTAGTAATCTCCTCTGGAGCCTGTTCTTCGACGTGGTTGAATCCAGATTCGACGCCTCCGGATCTGATGGAGATGCGACGGAATAACGACGCAAATTCCTCCGAGGGATGTTCTTGGACCTCACGGTGCTGGGTCGCAGCGCCGTGCAAGAACTCGTCCAATTCGACAGTCTTGTAGGCAGCGGTGCCAGCCTCGTCCTGGGTAGTCCTGCTTCCCAGCCAGAAGAAGATATCGTGGCCTAATTGGTCGCCAACCTTGTATGAATGCAGCACAATGTAGCTGTCTCCATTGAAGAACTCTCCCGTCCTCTCCTTGGGCCAAGGAACGACCTCGAAGCTCTCAATTCGCCAGACGAAGAGTCCGGGTTCCTGTCCAATTTTGCCGTTGTTCCAGGCGGGCTCGGTGGCGGCCGAGTTGTATTTGACCTGATGGTCAATGTCAGATCCAATCAGCTCCACATTGCTGTCCTTGATATCGTACTCCTTCGGGTGGACCAATCCTTCGTGGGGCGGCATATTGTTTTCGAGTTGTAATTGATGTTATCTTTGTGGCGTGTGAATGTTGGCAGAAAGCAGCTGAATGATGGCGAACATGGAGGGAGGCAGCTGAATTCTAGTGGGTCCAGGGAGCCGAGGGCGGGGTAGCTGGTCGGGCTGAGCTGAGAGTGTAGAGATGGGCCAGGATGAGGTTGATCCCAACTCTCATGGTTCGATTAAATTATAGCGAGTAAAGAAAGTAATCCTATATAAACAATAGAGTTGTTGTTAAGATGGCCAGAGTCTGAAGGGAGATGACCAATATATGCCTTACTTACCTGGAAATTCAAGTAAAAGTCACTGCGGGATGCCATCAATTCATACGATTGACCAGATCAGAAGAACTTGACACCTTCTTGACCTTCACTGCCAAAAACCTGAGCCTTGCCTCTTTTAACCAGGACGTTGAGAGACTTGAACATCACTTCGGGGTCCATGCCATGCCATTCTAGACGAGTCAGTATCTGTATGCGAGAGACAGGAAGAGACAAGTCTACCTTGAGAGGCTGTTGCTTCTCCCTCCAGCAACTCATAGACTGTAAGCACCATATTCTTCTGACCTGTACCTTCAACCTACCAGAGTCAGCAATTCATCGTGTCGAAATGAGGCCATAAAGATATTCTCACCCAATCCGCCAGAACCCCCGCCCATTCTTCCGGCCTCCTCCACCAGATCCAAGCGACTGTTTTATTCCCGACATCAACCCATTCGGCTCTCTTGCCTCCACCGGTATCTTCCTCTCCTTCGGCCATCCAGTCGAGCACCGTCCGCGCATCACTTAGACTCAACCGTTTCCGGAGCGCAGCGTTGTTGAAAAGGGGACTTTCGATTGCCTCGATCAGGGAGAGACGGTAGATACGATGATGGCGACACCAGGATTGGATTAGTGAGGACCATTTTCGGAGCTGAGAGAGACGCGTTGAACTGTTGGGTTGAGGGGTGAAGAAGGGGGGGAAAGAGTAGGTGGAAGGGAATTGAAAGGTAGATGTCGTTGATGGAAGTGGTGTAGATGAAGTAGCCATTTTGATATTGAATGGGTTGTAGGAAGAAAAAGGATGAAAGAGATATTGGACGAGGTAGGAAGAAGTGAGGTTATATTGGAGATGCAAAGATGCGGGGTTGACTGGGTGTATCCCACTTGATGCTAGACGGAGGGGAATCGAGAAATGTGCGACCAGAGATATTTTATATGCAATCAATAATGGAACCAGTAATTTCTTATAATATAAACCCAGTAAATCATGCCAACTGAAGCTGGCAATATGTCGAGATGATGAGATCAGAAACGGTAAGCTTAGACGGTGAAGTTTTCCCGCCCAAAAAATTCCGCACCTCCGCAAGTCCATCTCCAATCTCTCTTCCTCCACTGCATGCCATTGTCTCTCTGCAGACCTCGAAATCTTCCCTTCCTGCACGCCAATTGCATCTCAACTGGTGGGCTCTTATCTTCCAGGCCGCTATTCACCATGTCCACTCCTCCAGCCAAACGTCAAAAATGCGACAACCCCAAAGCCGCTGTCGCAAAGCCCAATAAAGGGAAAGACGGCGACATCAAGATGCCCAAGAAGAAAAACTTCCGACAGCGGGCGCATGCAAACCCGTTCTCTGATCATCAACTGGACTAGTACGTTGCATTTGTCTTGTCTAGCTATATCTACTAACCACACATCGAATAGTCCCCTCAGCCCCGCGCATATGGACTGGGCGTCCTATTACCCAGCATACGCTGACCCGGATCCCTCCAAGACGAACCTGAACGGAGCAAGGAAGCTGCTGAAAGATGTTGAGGTGGTGGATATCGGATGTGGATATGGAGGGTTGCTTGTTGGCCTTGCGCCATTGCTACCGGACACATTGATGGTTGGTGAGTGCTATCCTGCATACCAACCGGTTTGAACAAAAGTGATAACACAAAGGCAAAAAAAAAGGCATGGAGATTCGCGTCCAGGTCCTCGACTATCTTCAACAACGCATCCAGGCTCTTCGAAACCAGCAAAAAAGACTGAAGACATCCCAACCAGACGAAACACCCAACCCCGAGGTTCAACCCGCACCCGCATCGCCAACCGCTCCATCAGACGCTCCCAACGACAATGGCCCAGTAACCCCAGTGGCAGGTCGCTTCGAGAACATCTCCGCAATCCGCAGCAACACGATGAAGTTCCTCCCCAACTTCTTCGCCCGCCATCAACTCTCCAAGATTTTCGTGTGTTTCCCGGATCCGCATTTCAAAGCGCGCAAGCACAAAGCCCGTATCATCTCTGAGTCTCTCAACGCCGAGTACGCCTACGCTGTTCGCCCCGGTGGCTATCTATACACCATTACGGATGTCGAGGACTACCATCACTGGATTCTCAAGCATTTCCACGAGAGGTCGCCATTATCACAGGAGGACGAGGCTGAAACCGACGACCAAGCACCACAGCCTGGTGTGAAGGATCTCTGGGAGCGAGTCTCTGACGAGGAGTTGGAACGTGACGAGTGCGTGCGGGTGATGAAGGAAGCCACAGAAGAGGGAAAGAAGGTTACAAGAAACAAGGGCAATAAATACGTGGCTGTCTTCCGGCGCAAGGCCGATCCAGAATGGCCTGCTTGATTGCCTGTTTATTGACCTAGTAAAATAACATTTTGATCGTCTACAATATTCATGAATTTTTCTATATATTGCTTTCTTCACATGTATATAACCCACATATTATTGCTGATCCCGACGGAGTTCCCCCTTCTCCTTCGCAATTAAAATTGTACGCAAAACCCCAGTCGTCGAGTCATTCCTAGAGTCATGAAGCCAAAGATCAGCATCCAGCTAGCTAAGATTGTCCAAAGCCAAGGGCTTGGCTTCCAGTGCCGACGATGATGATTTGGCCCTCACACACGGAAGTATCAGCCCTCGCTTCCACGATCTCGTATTCAGCCGTTCGTGCCCTTGGGGTCGAGATGGCCGGAATCCAATCGCGCGCTGATCAGCCCTGCAAGAACGCACTCACTTGCTATTTGCAGTATCGCTGCCAGACAAGCCCACCCAAAAAAGAGGCTCGTTTAAATGCGCCCTTAATATACATTCATCATGCAGGGTTTGATGGCTTTCAACCATGTGAAGGACTGTGCTATGGAGGTAAAAAGAGGAGATGCCGCTTTTCCTGCGTCAAGTAAAAACCAGACGAAATCCCTCTAGCATTCTCGTTATTGCTTCTTCCTTCCTCCTTACCCCTTACTCGATCACAAAATGAAGCGAATTAACGCCCTTTTACTGTCCCTGTGCGCTGCTTCTTCCTTCCCTGCTGTGTCTGCATGGTCGTTCATTTGGAGAAATGAAAGTGACTATCCATTCACGCAGCACAGCACCGATCCTCAGCCGTGCACTTCGATAAACCACGCCCAGGGCAAAGAGTACGATTATAACCCCGAAGATGATGGATACTGGATTTGGCTGTGGACTAGCGACAACTGCTCGGGAGACACAGCTGGGCATTCAGAGCCCTCTATATGGAGGAAGAATGCAAGCATCGACCTCCATTCCTATCTCATCGGCAATGAAAACAAAGTAGCGGTGATATCTTCTTCTACGATTCCCTCAGCTACCTCTACATCCGCCACATCGTCACCGTCATCGTCCGCGTCATCGTCGAGTACACCGTCCAGTGCGTCTTCGGGCGAATCTTCATCGGGCTCGGGCTCTTCCCTCTCTGGCGGCGCAATCGCAGGTATCGTCATCGGTGTCATCGCTGGAGTTGCCATCTTGGGCGCATTGTTCTTCTTCCTCGGTCGACGAAATCGCCAGAAAGCCGCTGCTGAAACCCCACAACAGAGTGATATGCAAAGTACATCCCCTGGAGCACCGGGAGCACCAGGAGCCTCAACATCCCCAGTAGCACCACCATATGCTGGTCTGGGAGGTATGGCAGCACCGCAAGCTGGGGTATACGAAGCAATGGCCGTGCCAAAATCAGAAACCGGGTATGCAAACTCGCCAATGTCGGCAACAACCCAGGAAGCGTATAGACCCTCTCGAATGCATGAGCTGGTGGGCGATAATGGGACGGCCGAGATGAGCGACACCCACAGAGTGAATGAATTAGAGGAGCACACCAAGCACCCGTCTGGTTGGTAGGGGAATCTTGGGTCCGAGTATTGAGTGTTCTGGCGTGACAATGAAGCCCTTCATGTCTTGAGGAAATCCAAAGCTATGGGCATACGACTTTTAATATAATAATCTGAACGATGGAAAAAAATATCGCATTTATAATGTCGTTTCAATAAATGATAATTGATGAAAAAGACTCCCGCTGGCATATGCGATGTAACTCGAACACGATCCAGGAATAACCTGAAAATGCAAAACTATGCAGAAAATGAAAACAGTAAAACCAAAGTAAAAGACTGGTCGAATCCATGTTGGGTGTGCTGACTAGCAGTTAGTCCTTGTAGAATGATATGCTATGCTCAGGGGTCTTGAAAAGGCGCCGTGCTTGTAGCATTGGGTTGCATCACGGCGATGCCTTGAGTCTAATGCCTTCGCATCGCTCACAGACGGCAAGCTGGACCGGGCCTCCAATGATACGTCCCTTGGCAGTTTTTTTCGGTTCGCCTTCTTTGACAAAGAATCGGCCCTCAGCTCCGAAATCATCGCCACATTCATGGCAAACGAAACACTGATCATGCCACTGTCCGCCAATTGCTGTGATAACAACATCATCCAATACGGGCTTCTTACAGCCCAAGCATCGGGGAGCAGTTCGGCGCGAGTGACATTGAAGACACCAGGCAAACCCATCCTTCTCCACAAATGGTTTATGCGAATCAAAAGGCTATGCAGGTTAGCACTTTCACACTGACAGCGGAGGATTGGACATACATCACCACATTCGGCACAGAAAAAGTGACCAACATGCCATTCAGCCCCACAAGCGACAACAACCTCTCCTTCAATCGGAGTCTTGCAGCTCTTGCACCGAGGACTGAACAGCTCATGGAAATCAAGGTGGCAGTAAAACCTCGGAGCCCGCGCTTCTTCGTCACCAATTGGCACATCCGCAAGCCGCTCGTTTCGCTTTGCGTCTGGTTCCTGATAGAAAGCAACACATTCAAGTGCAGTCTGACAATGGTAGCATATGAAACATTCTGGATGAAAGCGGGTTCCTGCTGCCGTGACTATCTTGCCTGAAATTGGAAGGGTGCAAGACTCGCAGCGTGCGCTGGGAACGCCGGACCGTGTATAAGGCGTGTACCAATTGCCCTGCGATACCGGTGCAGATTTCTTGGGAGATGGGTCTCTGCGTTCATTATCCCTTGTTGGGCCCGGTCGAGGCTTTGCTTCTTTAGTGCTGTCTCGAGATGAACCCGAAATTTCCGAGATAGTGGGTTCTTTGTCATCGGGAAGATTGATTACAGGAATAGAAGGTGCTTCCGACACTTCAATGGTCGGAGCTGGGGGTTGTGGGGGAGGGGTGGGGGAAGCTGATGCTGTAGTCCTATTAAGACCCTCAAGCTCTTTGGGTTCGGATTCAAAGGGCTTCCAGGTGGGATCAAAGCTAACAATTGGTCGGCCAACTCGATCACTGACAGCAGATGGCATAGGCAATTTAGTACTTCGGTCACTAAGCTTCTTGCTTGTGGCCGCACGGATATCGTCACTTCGAATCTCAATGCCATCTTTGGTCGGAATTTCTGGTTCTTGTGCCTTTGTGTTGGGACTAGGCTGGGGAGATGGGTCATTCCTCGTGTATTGAGGATTTCTTGACTGAGTTGGAGGGTTCTTGTGAGGCTCAAACCGAGATAGCTTGTCCACAAAAGGAAGGCTGCTAAATCGGCCTGGTAGTGGTCGAGATCCTCGGGGGAGAGCGTTCCGCGGCTTAGCCCTCAAAGCCGATGAGTCGGATTTGGAAAAGTCGGGGCGGTCATCTAGCCTGCGGGAAGGGTCTTCGGGCTCCTCATATATCTGATCATCTGGGTTCCTAAAGATCCCTTTTGATGAATCGCTGCTAACATTTCTCTGCCCTGCTCGGCGGTTTTCATTTTCGAACTGGGATTCAGCCTCTTCCTCGGGCAATGCAAAGTTGACCTTGAGGTTCTTTCTCAGGGTTCCAGTTCTCTTCTGACTGGGCGATCCATCGTCTTGACCAGATTCTTTGCTGTACATCGAATAATCTTCATTCCCCACCACACTATGTCTGTCTGGAGAATTGAGAGATCCAGTACGGAGGATATCTCTTTGTGGAAGTGAAAACAAGTGTCTGTGGCCTCTAAGACTCTGGGTCTTGGATGGACTAGTCCTCGAGGGGCTGCTTCTTGAGGGACTGCTTTTGGAAGGGCTGCCGTTAGATGAAGACCCGCCTAAGCTTTCCACATCGGGATTCCGATAAGGTGCATAGGGGTTTTTATACGGTACGCCAGGATGCTGATGCATCCAGACGAGTTCCGATGCTTCATCCTGCGCAGCGTGGTGGATACGAACGTCATCGTGCAGGTCCATTTCCTCCAAGGCATCTCGCAGCGACCGGGCCTCCTCCTTTTCAAACCGTCGCTGGCCACTCTCGCGATAAGATCTGCTGGGTGAGACAGGAATATGTCGAGAGAATACTTGAGCTGGCGAAACGTTCTTTCGAACAGGAATCGTGGAGGGTGGCTGGGCCAATGGTCGGCCTGCTGAGCTGCCATAGGAGAGACGATTCGATCGCTGAGATAGAGCGCTGGTGGCACGAGGATGCTCTTCCGCCTCAGCCAGTGGCTCAGTTGGCTGCATCCTCGAATGCCCGTAAGAGGACATAGCCGACGATGCTCGTGGAGGCAGGTCTTCGTTGACAGTTGAAGTCGATGCACCTGGTTTTGTCGGAAGGGGCCTGGATCCGCTGGGACGAACAGGTCGGTTCGTCCGCAGGTCTTTTAGATAATTTGCTAAATTTATCAAAGAGAATCATATCAGCCTCGATCATCAAAATAGAAAAGGAATGTTTCGTCAACAATCCTCAGTGACAGAAGAATGCTATGACTCAGCGGGCAGCGCTGGCTGAACGAATAGCTTACCGACTTGGTTATCGGACATGTATGATGGACCAGGAGGAGAGAACTTCCTCTGGGGATCTCTGGTCCTGGACTGATGTCTGTGCATCATCTTGTTTCTATGATACAAGGGTTCTTGATGCACATGGGCTGGGCGGGATGCAATTGAGAGCACTCTGCGTTGAGCGCTGTGCTATGAGATCAGTGCCGATAGCAGCAGCAGCAGGTACCTAACTATGGAGGGGGAAAAGAGGAAGTAAACAAGGATGCAATGGGCTAGTGAGATGGGGAAAGGGGAGGATTGATGGTGATCAGCTGGGTTCGTAAGCTTAATCTGTTAGTCCGGAACGATGGATCAAGCGAGACAGATTGGATTCATGGCTTAAATGGACCCCGTCGAGTTCATCTCATCGACTGACGATAACGAGGAGCTATGACCACGAGGGACAACAAAGCAGCCCGTTTGGGTTGTTTGTCTGGCAGCCAAACAGGGCAAACAGCCACCCAGGCAACGCACGATGAGGTAAGTACTGAGTCAGCCACGACGTGCCCTAAGCCCTACACGTGGCGCCTAATGCAGTCTAGCGGCACGTTTTATGCAGCGTTGAATGTCTTGAATTCTCCGACTGTCAAATATAGACTGCATGTGCAGTAAGTGTAGGCCGTAAGACCTGTTTGTCAGTAAACATGGATCCTTTCGTCCATGTCCCATGACCCAACCATGTCTTAATTAAAGAGTTCGGTCATCATCTCCAAGTCCTCCAGACTCCGCACTTCGGCACTCATAGCCGGGTTGCTCCACATCTGATAACCGGGGCGATGCTCCGGTCCGAGTGGCCAGCCCAATAATGAGAGCTGCCATCATCGATCCAGCGACAGCTGCGGCCAAGATGTACTTAGAACCAGGATCTACTTCGTATTATCAAATATATAATAGATCATATCACCGAGGACAGACCGACTTTTTCTCATCGTTCTTTCTTTGGGCATTGACTCACACATGATACCTATGCATCACGGATTCGGTAGATAGCTCACAACTGATAAAAAAAACACTGGCGTTCTCCAGCTGTCTAGCGCTCTCCATCATCCTCTTTAACTCTCTCTCTTCTTGTCTTGATCCTCGCGGAAATGACGGACAATCCTCCAATTGATATCACGCATTCACGAGATCTTAATGAAAATGACACTTCAGGAACCGCTCGGTATAGACAGGACCATCAAGAGAAAGCCCCCGAGTCCCAGTTACACCAAGAACAAGACCAAGATGTTGAGGACAAATACAAACAAGATGTTTCTCCAGATGGTGGCTATGGCTGGGTTTGTGTTGTTTGTGTCTTTTGGATAAATGCCCATACCTGGGGAATCAATAGTGTCAGTATCCACCCTCAAACCAAATCCATACAAAAGACTAACCTTGACCAGAGCTACGGCGTGTTCCTTTCATACTACCTCTCGCACAATGTCTTTCCAAACTCCACCGCATTATCATACGCCTTCACCGGTGGCCTGAGTATATCCTGTGCGCTTCTCGTCGCACCTCTAGCCACATATCTTATCCATGTCTGTAGCACTCGATTTGTGCTGAATGTAGGCGTCTTCTTCGAGACCCTATCTCTAATCGGATCCTCTTTCGCCACGCAAAGGTGGCATATTTTTCTGAGCCAGGGCGTCTGTTTCGGATGGGGAATGGGCTTCCTGTTCGTGGGCAGCGTGGGCATCGCGCCGCAATGGTTTTCCAAGCGACGAGGTCTTGCAATGGGCATCACCGCAGCAGGCTCAGGTCTTGGAGGGTTGATTTACTCCCTCGCAGTAGGCGCCATTCTACCACGACTCGGACTCGGCTGGGCCTTCCGTATCTTGGGTATAACCTCTTGCGTTGTGAATCTGGTTTGCGGAAACCTGCTGCGAGATCGCAACAAGGCCGTTGGAAGCCGCCTCAGAGCCTTCCATCTCCCTCTGCTCAAACGACCCGAGTTCATTCTCTTCCTTGGATGGGGTGTGTTCAGCATGCTGGGTTATGTCGCCCTGCTCTTCAGTGTAGCCAACTTTGCCCTCTCCGTCGGCCTCACATCTCACCAGGGTAGTATCGTCAGCGCCCTACTCAACCTGGGGCAAGGTCTCGGACGACCATTTGTGGGCATGTTCAGCGATAAACTCGGCCGTATCAACGTTGCCGCCTTGCTCACGTTCTTCTGTGGCTTGTTCTGTCTCGTCATTTGGATCTTCGCTCACAGTATGGGGTTGGTTTGCTTTTTTGCCATCCTCGTCGGCACAGTGGCAGGTACCTACTGGGCTACTGTATCCCCCGTGCTTGCTGAGATCATTGGGTTGAGAGATCTTCCCAGCGGGCTTAGCATCACCTGGCTCACCCTCGTTCCGCCAACGACTGTTTCTGAGGCCATTGCGCTGGTCCTTCGAGACAACAAATCAAAGGGGTCGGAGTATTTGAAAGTCCAGATCTTCACGGGCTGCGTGTACATTGGTGGTGCTTTGTGTTTGTGGGTGGTGAGAGGATGGAAAGTGGGAGATGTCGCGAGGTCTCAGCAGGAGAAACTTGCCGCGACCCCAGATAATAATGCTGGCTGTCTCACAGACAACCCACGCGCAGAAACAGACCATGATGCTGGTAATCATGAGAGGAACCAAAATCAGTCCTCGACTGCTCCTGCAGTGACCTCCATAAATCCTTGGTCCCTACTCGCTTTATTGCGCGGGATGGTGGCTTTGAAAAAGGTGTAAATAGTATTCTGCGGTAAATAATAGTGTATAGAAATCATGTTTCTCCTGGATCATACGAGGGTGATTCATGAGCATATTTTGTTTGAAATTCATTGCTATGAGACTCAATTATTTTCTAGCATCATCATGGAGAAACAAAATCACTTTTAGTTTGTGCCTCCTGTCACCAATACCCTGACTCTTCTCTTTCCAGCTCCACGGCCACCTTCCTCCTTCACCGAGCTGACGTTCACGTTGACTTTCTGGAAGAGCTCGACGGACACTCCCCTTTCCTTCTCGGGATGTCCCTTCTCAAATACCCGCAAGGTGTATTCCTCGTTGTCAAAGTCTGTTTCACGATGCACTGCCAGTGCCCGCCTTTCTTCGACTGAACGGATAGCCGAGTCCCCGGGAAGCACAAAGTCCTCGAGACGAACAACACCTTCAATTCCGAATCGTGGCACAAATACAACCACGCCGTTCTCGAAGACGCGCATCACGTATCCTTCTTCATCGACTCCGGCATCGACTCCGTCCTTGGACATCTTCTCTCCGCGCGCCTTTAGAGCCTGTCCAACATAGTACTCAATGCTGGCACGGCCCGCAAACTGCGCATTACGGTGTCGGTGGTTGATGTTGCGGCAGATGTCCTCGAGTCGGTTGCGCGTAGAGACTCCCTCGAGTGCGCCCCGGCCATTCTCGCCTTCGTACCCAATTGCAGATGCCAGCTGGCGATGAACGAGCAGATCAGCATATCGCCGAATTGGTGAGGTGAAATGGGTATAAATGGGAGAGGCCAATCCATAGTGGCGGAATTCCGATTCGGCATGAGCTCCCGCGCAGAAGTATTCGGCGGATGTCATGCAGCGAGTGGCAAGAATACGGACCAGGGTGTTGAAAAATGGGTTCTCCGGGTCAGTGCACCGGTCCAGCGAGTCGGCGAGGGCCCTAGAGCTTGTGACTTCCAACTCCATGTTCCGTTTTTTGGAGAGTTGGTTGGTAAGTTCTTCAAAGTTCTGCGGTGGGGGAGTGGCGTGTCGTCGGAGAAGGGCAGTTTGAGAGAAAGTACTGTAGATCTTTGCGGCAACGGTGATATTGGCGTGAAGCATGAATTCCTCGACGAGACTGTTGGTCGCCAGCATTGCCTTGGTCTTAACATCCGTCAGAGGGTCTCCGACTTCATCGTTGGTTTCGATCCGAACTTCTGGCGAGGCAAGGTTCAATGCTCCTGCATCCATACGCTTTTGACGAAGGATCTTAGAGAAATGTAGCAGTGTTCGCATGCTCTGAGTGAGCTCATCATCCTTGGATTTGTCGTCGATGCGTTTTTGGGCCTGCTCGTAGCTGAAAGCTTCACGGGACCGGATCACAGATTTAGTGAAATCCGAAGAAACAACTTCGGCGTTGGGCGTCATTTCCCACAGAACAGAGAAAGCATAACGCTCAACATATGGTTTAAGGGAGCAAAGGTCTGTTCCAAGCAAATGCGGAAGCATGTCAATACGCTTGTCAACCAGATAGACTGTGGTTCCACGGAGACTTGCTTCAAGGTCCATCGCGTTATTCGGTTTAACAAAGTGGGACACATCTGCAATGTGTACACCTACTTCGAAGTTACCATTGGGCAAAGGCCGTGCGTGGAGAGCGTCGTCAATATCTTGACAACCGGGAGGGTCAATGCTGCAAATGAGAAGATCTCGGAGATCTCTTCGTCCCTTCCAGCCCAAATGCTCCTTACTGGCTGGAACCTTCCAGTCATGTCCCTCTGATGGAAGGCAATCCAGAACGGTCTTAGGGAATGGCTTGTACTGCACATCGTACTCAAGAAGCAGAGCTTCAGTTTCCGCGCCCTTGGTTTCTAGCTCTCCCAGGGATCGAACGAAGTGTCCAGTCGGATATCTCGAGTCTCTATCCCAGGCATCGATTGTGATGAGAATTCGCTGGCCCAGCAGATCAGAAGCCTGTCTAGTCCGGAGCCTAATCTTCGGGACACGCTTGTCCATAGGAAGGACAAACACATTTTGCTGTCGTCGGCCAGAGTTGACCTGCGAGCCTGTCGATCCCGAGTCAACAGTTCCAACGTATTGCCTCCAGTTCCGTTTAACAACACCAACCACCTTTGCTGTCGGCTGCGGCCTTCCCTCGGTGCTCTTCCCATGGGCCTTCTTGACCTCCTCCTGGAGAGCTTTCCGTTCCCGATCCGTCACAACAGCCTCGTTATCTTCAGCGTCAGGGTTATCATTTTTCGCGACTGCTTCCTCGTCAATGATTTTAGTCGAGGGCGATTTCCATTGATCTTTCGGAAGCACTTCAATCACCACAACATCCCCAGCGATAGCTCTGTTGCTGTTATCACGACCCAGAATGAGAAGAGGCTTATCGAATGCGGCAACGTTGACCGAACCCTCCAAGTAGTTGTATGGCGAGACGTTGAAGACACCCTGGTGTAAAGTGCCTGCCCGGAGACCAGTCATAAGCTTCGACATGGCATAATATTCTGGGTAAAAGAGCTCCCCACGAGCACCCTTGACATCCTTGGCTTCTCTCGATTCGTTAATCATATCAAGCAACTTATCCGCATCCTCTAAGCCCGAGACATAATCAGACAGCGACAAGGCGGTCACGTCCTCTTCCTTCGCCTTTTGTAAGTTTCCCCTATCATCGGTAATGACAACAATCGCTGGTAGAGATTTCTCCTTCTTTCCCTTTCTCAAAGCAGCAGCGCGGAGATGCTCCGTATACCATTTGGCCACGGTTCGCACTGCGCGATCATTTCTGTCATTAATCGATTCCTCTGGGCCCCGTCGAACGTGCGTCTCCAATCGGAATTCGTTGAAAAATAGGTAGAATCGCTTCTCATCGGTCTTGATCAGGGCGAGTAAACGGTTGTAAAGCGGTAAGGATTGGTTCTTCAGCTCTTCGAGAACGGTTTGAAGGATAACCACGTCATAGAATGCCCCGGTGTGTTCAAAGAGATCCATTCCATTCAATAGCGCATTTGTATCGGGGACGAGGTAGTGGCCGCGAGGGAAGGCTTTTGTGCCAGCCGGCTGGTCGGAAAGAACGAAAGGCGTAACTAAAAGACTTCATATTAGCGATCGATCTCAGTAGACCTGGCGGAGTTTTCTCAGAAAACTTACTGTTTCCATTTGCGTCTGCTGGCGCAATCGAGGGACATAATGAGCAGAGCTTCGATGAGCATGGAATATCTTGTCGTAGATAGAGCTCGCGCACGATCTTCTGTACCTTTCCACTTTTCGTGGACCTCACAAAGACTTTGCTGGTGACATTTTGAGCCTGAGGGTTCGAAGAAAAATCTCTTCGCAAACTCTTCATCTTGACTGCGAAAAAACCCTGCCTCTTGGCAGTGACTGCTTATTCGTGTAGCAGCAGATCAATGGGTTCTTGGTGTAAGGCCGATGCTTTTCCCAAGTTGCAGTTGGTGACGTTCTCACGGTCTGGTTCCGCGTGTTGGAATCGCAGTCGAGATGCTGGGCCGAATCGGGCAAGTCTGCCGACCCTGCGATATCAGCCGTTGCGATGGCGCGATGAGTAATGGCAGTGCTTCACCATCTATCTACAAGTTATTCTACGGTGCTTTTGACAGACAGACAGTTTGATTATTTCGAGACAAATCAATTATATTTAGGGATATTTACAATGGCTATCGCGGTAGGAATCCTCCAGAATCAATAACCCCTCTATCTAATCCCGATCGATTGCTGGATAGGCCGTGGGGCAACTATGTTCGACTGCAAACATCGCTTCCAATCTGGCCCAGTGCCAAACTCTGGTGCGAAAGGCTGTTGCGGCTGGTGCTAAGGTATTGTTTATTCTATTCCATCTTTGGGTTTGATGGTTCTAATGTGTTGCCAGGCTTTGTTTCTTCCTGAGGCATCGGACTATATCAGCTCAACAGCAGCAGAAAGTATATCACTTGCACGCTCTGTGCAGGACAGCGAATTCGTGATAGGACTTCAGAAGGAAGCACGAGAGGCAAATCTACATATTAATGTTGGGATTCATGAACCAGCTCAAGGTGACAAGGTGAAGAACACCTTGGTATGGATCAATGATAAGGGAGATATTACACAGCGATACCAAAAGGTCCATCTATTTGATGTAGACATCAAGGGTGGACCGGTTCTAAAAGAAAGCGCGTATGTATAGTCAAATAGTGCATACTCTACTTTTGCTGATCAATCTCTTCAATAGGAGTGTTGAAAAAGGGATTGGGATCCTACCCCCGTTCGAAACTCCTGTGGGACGTGTTGGTCTGTCCATTTGCTTCGATGTGAGTTGGAGATGAATCACTTGAATTGCGGGTTAAGTCAGTGCTGATATTTGGCTTGCAGCTACGATTCCCCGAAATCAGTCTGGCTCTGAAGCGTCAAAACGCGCAAATCATCACGTACCCATCAGCATTCACTGTTCCGACAGGGAATGCACACTGGGAATCCCTGCTTCGGGCTCGAGCTATCGAAACACAGTCCTATGTGATAGCCGCAGCACAGGCTGGTCCCCACAACGAGAAAAGAAGAAGCTATGGCCATTCAATGATTGTCAACCCGTGGGGCGAAGTTGTGGCGAAACTTGGTGAAGACTATCAAGAACCGCAGATTGCCACGGCGGATATTGATCTCGACTTGTTGGCAAAGATCAGACGGGAGATGCCCTTACTCAGAAGAAACGATATCTACCCCGAAGTATAGAGGTAGAGGTTACGAGCCAGACTGCATCGTTTTTCAGCGCTGTGCATCGATTAAATTGCAGACCGTGTCCTTTTAGCTTAAGGTATAGATACACTGCAACATTGAATTGCCGTAGAACCCCATTATCAATGCCAATGGGTAGGCAACGTAGCGAATGCTAATCCGGTTTTATGAGCGAATTCTTTTATTTAAACAACCGCCTGGGGCGAATCAACACAGAAAAGTTCGGGGAATACGATGTCATAGTACATGCGAAGACAGAAACGAAGAAAAGGAAAAAGAACAAAGGAAATGAAATAAAGAGACCTCTCTAGAACTGGACTGACAGGTTGTGTCTGGCTGTCGCATCAACCGAAATTGCTTCCCAAATCCAATCACTCTATGTACAACGTACAAGGTAAACCCCGGGACTAACGAATTTTACTTTCTCTGGGGATCCTCCAGGATGCCCTCAGCTTCCAGCCTTCGTCGTGCTTCTTCCAAAGCCCATGTTTGTATCCTGTAGATATGTTAGAATGCGGCCTCTTTCGCAATTAAACACACCCAGAAAGCATTGCTCATCTGGGGTGGGTAAAGATCTGGTAAAGCATTCAAATGGGAGGAATGGGGATCCACATACGAGGTGTCTGGCTTGAAGACGTATGCGACACCAGCAGCAATCAAACTTCCAATAAATCCATAGTACCAAATGTTCTCCCAGCCTTCCTTCTCGTACTTCTGGCCCGGCTTGACGTTGAAAAGCCATCCGCTGGGAGGGTCATAGTGGTCGCCATGATCAGCGGCACGAAGGGTGCTTCGGGTCGAGAATCCCTGGACGTTCTGTGGTTGCCGGAGAAGACAGCGGGCACGAAGGCTATTCGACAAAGGACGGAGAGACATTGTGAGATGTGGATGTTCAAGTAGAACCGTTGAATCTGGCTTTTCAGCGGTGGAGGATAAGAGCCAGGTATTGGCTAGCCGAAGACCCTTGTCACGTAGAGGGTGGAAGTCGTTCGGACTGACAGTCGAAAATCAAGCGTCGTTTCGACCGGCGAAAATCAAAGTCGGCTCAATTGAGTGAATTCGGGTGTTGGCAACTGTCACTGGGGTCGCGAAAGGTGGAGGGGTGACTGGGGATTCAGCGGTTGATGTTGAAGCCGCAAAAGGCCGACGGACGGGGAGCTAGGGAGTCATCGCGCTAGTCCCGATTGGGCCAATTTTCTTCGCCGCCTAGAGTGCCTGATATTCAAGGCATCATGAAGTAAGGCAGAGACTAACCTTGCCTAAGGCAGGAACATCAACACGCGCGACGCGTCCAGGGATCTCTTATCGCATCTCGCATCGCATCCCATTAATCTCAACACGGCTTGATGTGTCAAAAATTCCAAACACAGACCAACTATGACTTGAATGGGCAAGAACGTTACTTCTTTCTCGCAGATCTATATAGAAATCCTTATTTCTTGCCCTGATCTTTTTGTCTAATATATGGTATAGTTCTCTGCCAGTTAGTTCTCTGTTTCAATGCTGACTTCGTTTGAACTAGCCTCCATCGAAATGCTTCGCTGCTACCTTTCGAGGGACTAATGAGCACCGGCAAATATAACAGTCATGGCTAGACAAGGCGATTCCTACCAAGTCTCTTCGAAGTCTCGTACGAAGTTGAATGCTTTCCGATACGATGATAAAGATGGGGAAAGTCCTGAAAAGTCGCCATCTAAGACGACAATGAAGAAAGGCAATGCAGATAAGGAAAACCAAACCTCGTGGCTAAATGGGGTGGTGGAAGAGGGGCAACCGGGTAAGGAACAAGGTCAATCGGATAAAGGACAACCTTCAAGTCAGGCAAAAGACACCAAGCCCGTCAAAGAGTGCCCTCAGACACCTGGGAACAACAGGCTTCCCTTGGTAGAACTCATCAGCAATGCCGAAGATGCCTTCAGTCGGGCTCCAAAACAGGTATTTACACCGGAAGACCATGTTATCTGGCAACACGTACCGGCCAGTTCAAATCCAGACACAATGTCTCAAACGCCCGCAACACGAGGAAAGAAGCGCCGTCACACCTCATCCCCGAGCAGTTCACCCTTGGCTGGGAATATGGACGACTTCCAAACGGTTCTCAAAACCCCGCAACATGATCTCGCTACCGATTTGTGGAACAATTACGTGGGAAAGAGCACTCTTAACGGAAATCCAGAACTTCCACCACCTCGCTTTGCGAATCTTCTTTCGTCATCCCCACAAACACCTGCATCAGCAAAAGCGGGTCGAGATTCGTCTGGATTAAGACGGTCAATCAGTTGCAATGCTGAGTGGCCCGCGTCAAAGGTAAAGAGGAGAAGGGTCGGCAGAGGTGAGCCTGGTACGAGTCGTGGTATATTTTCTCGTACTAGCAGCAACCTGCTTGACTCGGGACCATCGAATTCTTCCAGGATCAACTTTCTCCTCGAGAAAATTAAGAATACCATGCAGAAAGACCCTACTGCTCAGCTCGAGCCATCATCGCCGGTCCCTGCCCGTACGAATGTACAAATGAATCAATCACCGTCCCCTGTGAAAATAGCCGATGGGACAGAAAAGTCCGACAAACAAACCCAGGGTGGCGCCACCATTCCAGAGGTTTCTCTCCAAGGATCTTCATCTGAATTCGAAGACGATGACCTAGACCAGGATTTCATGGACTTTGCTGACGCCTCTATGGACCCATTTGTGGAACCAACGCAACCCCAAGATCATCAGGAAACCGGGGGCAGCGAATTCAGGTCGGAAGTTACCTCAAATGACCCCCAATATTCCTGGGGCGAGACGAACGGAACCCGCTCTGATACAATGGCATCCAATTCAAACAAACATACCATTAATAAAAATGATACGAATGATACTGACGAATTTGGAAATGATGATGACGACTTCTCTGATAGTTTAGAGGAGATTCTCGCCAAGTGTGATGGTCCAGGCTCTAGGGAATTGGGTAATCCTGCACAGCCCCCACCTGCCACTACAATGCAAAGCACAGGATCACATGAAGGGGCCAAACTGTCTTTCGAGGCGTCTTCGGGTGATGAATTTGATGATGATGATTTTGATATGGAAGCCATCGAACAGTCCATGTTGCAATCTGGCGAAGATGGGTCACATCACGTTTGTCACTCTTAGTGGGTATATTCATTAGGTATTGGCTAAGAATTATATAAATAGAACCTAAAGAATCGACAGGCTATTAAGCGTTACCAGATTGTTGATACTGCGGAGAATACGTATGTCACTTCGAAAGGAAGAGTCCAACCGGAACAGGTCTGTTCGCACAAGTTTTCCAAAGCACCACTTTCATCGGCTGACCTCGTAATCAGATATTATCAGTCCAGGATGAGAAAACGAAGCACAAAAAAGTGATTGTCTTGCGTGAGTCGTGGTTTGATAGCCCATGCAGCAACGGTTCATATATCCACCTGATTGGAGACTTTGATGCAACTGGACAATGCATTGTCAACGACTCGGAAAATATGATAATTCTTCACCCTGATCATTTGATTTCTGCTACGGTTGTGGCAGATTCCATCAGCTGCCAGCGACGAGCTGTTCTTCAAGACCGAATCAAGAATAGCAACGATGTCTCAAGGCCACAAGTTTTTGGAATTATCTTCCACGAGGTTTTTCAAGAGGCCATGCAGGCCAACCAGTGGGTTCTGAACTCTTTACGAGCCTTGGTTGAGAAGATTATGGTCAGACATGTCGAAGACCTATATCTGGTCCAAATGAGCATATTTGAGGGTGTCGAGTACGTGATGAGCAAAATCCCGGTATTGAAGACATGGGCAGATACCTTTCTCAGGGCCGAACCAACCGTAAGTGCTATTTCACACATATCCTGTGGTGGCCATTCAGCTAACTAACTAATCAGAACGAATCATTTGTTGAGGATCGAAATAATTCCAAGCTTCACTTGAGTATCAACAAACTTCTCGAGGTTGAAGAGCATATCTGGTCTCCGATGTATGGGCTTAAGGGCAACATCGATGCTACAGTGCAAGTTGCCTGCCACGATGGAGAAAGCGATAAAAACCTTGTCATTCCACTTGAACTGAAAACGGGGAAAAGAGATACAAACCAAGCTCATAGAGCTCAGACAGCTCTTTATACTTTGCTGCTTTCTGATCGTTATGGTAAGGATAACTTCTTGCTACAGCCGACTTGCCAGCATGTCTTACTGACGTTTCCCAGATGTCGATGTTACTTTCGGTCTGCTTTACTATCTTGAGATATCGAAAACTTTCCGAATTCGTGGTATCAGGCATGAACTTCTCCAAATGATCCAGGAACGAAATCGCCTATCTGGGTATGTCCGTCAGAGACTACAACTTCCACCAATGGTTAAAAGGCCGGGGATGTGTAATAAATGCTACTCGAAGACGCCTTGCTTTATCTATCACAAACTAGCCGACGGCGGAGATGGCGAAACCAGCGGACTTGGCGACGACTTTGCCCAACTTACGAATCATTTGAATCCCCAACATGCCGAATTTTTCAAGAAATGGGATGAGCTCCTGACAAAGGAGGAACAAAGTATGATGAGATTCAAACGGGAGCTATGGACTCTACTCAGCAGCGAGCGAGAGAGTCTTGGTCGATGCTTCGGCAATGTGGTGATTGAACCCGAGTCTACATATGAGGACAAAGACGGAGTGAAGATCAACCGCTATCGGTACACGTTTGTCAAAAAGCAGGCACCTTCATCATTCTCCTTTGCTGAATCACAACTCACGGTGGGAGAACCGATTGTGGTTTCTGACGAAAAGGGCCATTTTGCTCTTGCGAACGGATATGTGCAGCAAGTCCATCCCAAACGAATTACAGTGGCTGTGGATCGACGGCTACACAATGCTAGGACTAAGGCACCAGGATTTGATGCCAAGTATAACCAAACATTCAAGGGCATAATGGAAATTGGCGGAGGCGGCGCCTCTCCAAATGAGCCCGAAGAAATTGTCTATCGTCTCGACAAGGACGAGTTCAGTAACGGTATGGCAATTGTCCGGAACAACATTATTTCCATGATGGACAAAAATTTGTTCCAGGCCAAACAACTGAGGAGGTTGATTGTCGAGGGGGATGCACCTGTGTTCAAGCCTACATCATCCGCTTATACGATGTCAGAAGCCGACAGGGCAAGCCTAAACGTCGACCAAAAACTAGCAATTGATAAAGTTATGAGCGCCAAGGACTACGCACTAGTGCTTGGAATGCCAGGAACTGGAAAGACAACGACAATCGCCCATATCATTCGTGCGTTGGTGGCGCAGGGGAAAAGTGTCCTCCTAACTTCATACACCCACACAGCGGTCGACAACATCCTGTTGAAGATTCGCAATGACAATATCCGCATTATGCGGATTGGAGCAGCTGCAAAAGTTCACCCTGAGGTTCAAGAGTTTGTGGACTTGGCAGCAGTTCCAAAGAATACCATTGAAGAGCTGAGTAAAGCATATGAAGAATCACAGGTTGTAGCAACCACTTGTCTTGGTGTCAACCACAACGTCTTCAACCAGCGAACATTCGACTATTGCATCGTCGACGAAGCTTCCCAAATCACCTTGCCAGTGTGTCTGGGGCCCATTCGAATGGCCAAAACGTTCATCCTTGTCGGCGACCATTATCAACTGCCGCCTCTCGTACAAAACAAAGAGGCACAAGAAGGTGGTCTCGATGTTAGTCTCTTCAAGCTGCTTTCAGATACCCATCCCGAATCAGTCGTCAACTTGGAACATCAGTATCGAATGTGCGAGGATATCATGCTGCTATCAAATACTTTGATTTACTCGGGTCATCTGAAATGCGGCACGCCCCAAGTCGCATCACGCTCTTTGGAGATCCCCAACATGAATGGTCTGAAGTTGCATCACACCAGCCACCTCCCGCAATCTTCGAGTGAGAAACAGCTCTGCTTGGGTACAAACCAAGCCCGCTGCTGGCTACGTGATCTGGTCGATCCATCCACCAAAACCCGTCTCGTCAACACCGACACTCTTGCTACCCCAGCCTTAGACGAAACAAATGGGTCGAGAATCGTGAACGCCATAGAGGCCAAGCTCTGTGCTCAACTCGTCGAATCATTTATATCATGCGGCATACCCGCGCGCAATATAGGAGTCATCACTTTTTACCGCAGTCAGCTTTCCGTTCTAAAGCAAAATCTCCGCCACCACTTGCCAGAGCTTGAAATGCACACAGCAGACAAGTTTCAAGGACGAGACAAGGAAATTGTGATTCTGAGTTGCGTGCGTAGCAATTCGGAAAAGAACGTGGGTGAGCTGCTCCGTGACTGGAGACGTGTAAACGTCGCATTCACCCGAGCTCGAACCAAGATGCTCGTCGTCGGAAGCAAGAGCACCCTCCGTGATGGCAATGAGCTACTAGGAAAATACGTGAGACTAGTAGAGAATCGCGGATGGATCTACGACTTGCCCAAGAACGCCGTGGACAACCACATCTTCGAACACGAAAACATGGGATTCACACAACCCCCCACTCAGGGCAAACCCACGCCCAGTCCAAAGACGAGTCCCTTTGAGAAAAAGAGAGCTCGAAATCCTCTTAGCCCACTCCAAGAACGACAAGCTCCGAATGGCCTCAAGAAACCCGCAAAGAAGGGAGCAAAAGTACTAAGCGGCCATAAGGTTATTGGAAACCGACCCATTCTGCAGGATGTGGTGAACGACCTTGTTGGATGATATTGTTTTTATACTTCTGTCTTTGTCTTTTTGACTATTAATTCTTTTTGTACTACTATTGACAACTTGTTTTACTTATGACGGGGTTTGCGATATCCTTATTTGGCTACCTTGACTAACTGGCTATTCTTTTTGGCTTATATCATCATGCGCTGGGATGGGAATACTTTGGTAAATAAATGAACTATAATGAATAAATTCTCTTGCGGGGGTGCTGTCCTCCAATTGATATCACCTTTGCGTAGCCTTATTCCATCATAGCGAGCTTGAAATTTCTGCTTCGTGCCTAAATTGGATGTTGATTCTGCCTCATATTATCCATCGACAGCCCAGGCGGCGATTGATAACGCGCGGCAGCTGCCTCGAGTATGAATGCTATCCATGGGTCACTGATTCCCCCTGAGTCAGAGCCAGGACTCGATTTACGTCGATTTTGCTACTCGCCGCTGGGATCTACATTAATTTATACAAGTTGCTACTACTGGGTATGATAATTAGAATGAGAATTGAGTATTCACTTTTCTTTTATACATAGCCCATATTAAAGTTGATGGGGCGCAAGATCAAATGATGATGTGCCTTAAAGGATAAAAAGACTGCAATGCCTCGAATGAATGAAGAGACATTGCTGTTGTTGATAAGAATACATGCGTCCCAGGTGAACTCCAAACGCTTTTCCAATGTGTCCCTAACTAAGCAATTGGCCATGCATGGCCTTTCCCCAATGAAACAACCCTATAACACCTTGAGCCCCGGTGGCTCAAATATCCAATCCTAAACTCCAATCAAGAATTTTCAAAACTTCTGTCGAATGAACACCCTATGTACAATGCGATTCTTGTTTGCCGTGAGGGTGCATGTCTCGTAATCGAGTCTGTCCATCGTGACAGTTATTTCTGGGCGCCTGGCGCGTTGAGGTAGTGCCGCTTCCCGGCGGAGTCGATTGCCCACCTGCCGTGGTTATTGGGGTTGGCCACGAAGTCCTCTGGCACAATGGTTTCGATAAAGGTAAACTTTTTCGCGGGGGGCTGTTTTGTTTCAGGCACCCCCATCTGGGTCATGGGAACCCGGTTAAAAGCCATCTGGTTGTTGACGGCGGTCTGGAAAGGTGTACCAGCGAAATCTGCCCAGGGCGCAGACTGCGGCTTAACTGGGTCAAACATGAAGGGGGGTGCCGCATTTCGTGAAAAGTAGGCAGGGGCCTGGGGCATTGAAGGCTGCCCAAATGAAATTGCCGGCTGCGGAGGAACAGGCGGCTGAATGGGCGGCTGTAGAAGAACGGGCTGCTGGATAGCCTGCGAGAAGTGGACCTGCTGAACATGCCAAGGGCTGTTGACTCGAGGAGCGGCTTGCTGAGTCACTTGCGGAGTGGCTTGGGCACTCTTCTTCATCTTCTCCTGTTCCTCACCACTTGGGATGCGGATAGGTCCTGTGATCTTAGATGGGTCGATCCAAGGATAAGGGGTGGGCCACTGCTTCTTCTTACGCTGTCGTCGCGGCTTCTTAACCCTACCAGAGAGCACTTCAGGGGCACTCTCGGTAGGGCTGGGGCCCCGGCTGCCTGAAGCTTTGGTGGCAACAGTGTCGTCACGGCGTGAAGAAGTGCCTGTGGAAATGCAGGCGGGAGGAGCACTGCCTGCAATTCTGGGACGGTCTTTGGGAGTAACCATATTGATGGGGGGAACTATACTATGTTAGTTGGATAGTTTTAGCTAGAATTAGGTAAATGGGGCTTACCGATATCTTGGGAAGGCCCGTCTTCCATACACTGTGGCAGAATAGTTGCGATCTCTAAAGATACTTGTTAAAACAATGGTCATTCAGAAGATGATGTACATGATAGCTTTACTTACGTTCGTCGATGTCCCCTGGCAGTTCGTTCCCCAGCAGCCCGGGAAGGAGCTCCCACGCTCCCTCAGAGGGGGAAGGAAGTCTCTCTCCCTCAGGAGAGGTGAGGTCAATAACGGGAGTAGTAGCCGCAGTGCTACCACCCGCAGAGGTATCGCTCTCTGACGATTCGCTGCTGCGGTTCTCATGGACGAGCGGTGGAGGGGACTCCTCGATACCACCAGAAATGACTTCGGAAAAGTCCTGCCACATATTGATTCCGGAAGACTCAACAAAGTCGTCGAAGCACTCGTCGAAGGACTTCATGGCTAGTTCTTGCCTGGAGTAAAGATGGAAAACAGTAGCTTCCTTCCTAGCCCTAAAGAGTCAAGCAGAAAAGAAACTTATAAAACGAAAGCTGACAATGTAATAAAGAGAAAACGAAGTAATGAAATGAAGAAAAAATGAAGTAGAGGGTAAGGGAGAGCGAACGAAGTAGTCTTGACAGCGAGCTTAAACAAAAAGTGGTTGTTTTCAACGATAGTAGACAACGAAAGAATGGTTGAAGGAGGGAAAAAAGAGAGGGAAGAAACTCGATTCTCGAGGGAATTCATGTAATCCGGGGGCGTATACCATCATCACGACGTCTGCAGGATAACATCAGGCTGCTCGCTTCTTTTAGGCAGTCTCATGCCTATAATACGGACGCCCCAACAAACTCCCAGCAGACAAAACGGCGACGATTTTCCCCTGCATTACTCGAGGAATCGTCATGGGAATTGGACGGCAGGGCCATGATCGTATACCCATCCTTCCCTTCAACAGCGGCTTTCCCCATTGCACTCGACGACAGAGCAAACCAAGCACCTGCAGGAGCGAGTTTCGAGGTAGTCTCTCGTCTAGCATTCACCTGTTAGTGTGACTAGTACTAAATCGTCGAAGGTATGTATGCACTCACAGAAGATTAACAAAGAATTGCATAATCCAGTTGGAGGGGACGAATCCGTGCCATTTCAAGCTGACGAAGTCCGATGATTCAGCGCCATCGACACTGTAGCGGCTTAAATACGGGTCGATATCATCGTCGGCAGATACTCGAGGGGACTCGAGGGCAATCATTGCGAGCCATTCTGAAATCGTGCCGTAGCTATCTTGCATATCTTCTTCAGATGTTTCTTCTGTAATGTTCAAGTCTTGAAAAGATGGGGCGAGAATATTGTTGTGAGAAATATTCACAGAGTTGCATTCGATGATTTGCGGCTGATGCTTTTGGATTGGGCCATCCCCTGTTTCTCAACGTCAGATATACTTCAGTATGGAAGATGAAGAATCCCACCTTCTGTCGAGACGCTCGACTTGGACGCCAGATCGTAGAATAGCCAAGTGACAGAATTGTTGAGGACATTATTGAATGCCCACTCAATCTTCTCGAAACCCTTCTTGCCGTGCAGCATTGAAGGCAAACGCAGGTTGATTTCCACGACTGTTGAGATGTTAACAAATTGATTTAGGCAATAAGGAACATGGTTGACATACGATATCTTTCCTTTTCGTGTTTCCTTCCACCACTGCGGATGGGCTTCCCAGTGAGACCAGTTCTTTCATAAGAATCCTTGCCAAGCTCCAGCTTCAAAATGCCTATAACCACATAGGTTAGCTGAGCTCTGATCAGTGGGGTATAGATACAGACCATCCTGGAGAGTGAACACATTGTCTGTTCCTGGTCGTCCTTCGGATATCATGAGAATATTTCCTGCATGGTATGTTAGACTGGGACGCTTCAATCTGTGCACCAACTGGGATATGAGACCCCATACCAGACTTGATATATGTATTGAAAAAATCAGCCTCAAGCAGGGAAGAAAGAGGCATGAACACTCTGGCATATCGAAGCGTCGGGGTCTTTTCTTTCAAGGGACCCTCAATGGACGCATAAACCTCTTTCGGGAAAATGACATCTACCTGTTGAAACCATGTCAATGGATACCCCAATCATTCCAGGAAAGAGACAAGTACCGTATGCACAAAGGAGTGGTTCAGGATAGCTGAAAAAGGTGCTTTCTTGGTTGGAGGCTGCTTGGGGTCGATGAAGGCTGGCAGCTGGGACACTGTGGTGTAGCACTTTTCGCGTCTAGACGCGTCGTCTTCGTAGTCTAGCATTGCGATGAGGTTGAAATAAAGAATTGGAATATCAATTGAGATATTTTAGATTTCTTCAATAATTTCTTCAAAGACAGAGCAAAATGACGCGTATAGAGGAGCAAAAAAATGTCAATCGCGTCAAGGTGAGGTGGAAGTGCAATTAAGCTTCGGAGATCGGAGATTTTTATCAGCCCTATTATCGATCGATTATATTGATATGTTCATATTTGATGTTAGTTAGAAGATTAGAAGATGTTATGATGGATATTTAGATTTATTGAGAGTATTTGAGAAGATATCAAAAGATGCTGTTATTCGATTGTGCTGCGTTCATTTTTGTGGTATGGATATGCGTATCATATAGAATAGATTCGAATCAATCAATTCAATTCAGTTCAAATTTTATTTATAAGTATATATATATGAATTGATCTTTATCATCAGAAGGAAAGAATATAACTAATTTTAGTATATAGTATACATTCATCTATGTAGGAAGCAGTGAAGCATCAATACATGTCGATAGATATATACAGCAGCTCTTCCGGCATCTATGCTCTATAATAACGATATATTAAAGAGAAATCTGTTATGATAAAGTCGATCTGATGCAATTGTTATAATTTAATTCATTTTTAAATTTATACTGAATTCTGAATTGAATCCTGATATCATAGGATAGATGCCTCAGGCACCAAGAGCTATCCTATCGCCAACCTCCGCGCGTTCAGTTTCTCAATTCCCCCGCGCTCTCTCCACCATCCAATTGCCTCATCAATTATTCTCTAGATCTCCAGATTGTTTGATCACTCCTCTCCGGTGATCATTCCCTCTTTCGTACAATCCTTCTCCCCACACCGTTGGCTACAGCCCCTCGGGGCATGCAGGCGGACTTCCTCTCCGGCCGCAATCGCTACTCCGCCAGCAGCAGCAGTCCGTGATGGCCCCTCCACGACGAAACCTCCTCCCTAAGGAGCGCTTTGCGTTCGCATTCGGCAGTCTCAAGACTCAGAATTATCATGACCCCATAGCACGTGGACCGGGATCTCATACGTGCGTTTTCCTCACTCATCCATCCATCATCCATTACAAAGGGAGAGAAGAAGCGGAACAATAAAACAGACTTGGCTGACAGAGTATCATTTTCTACTGCAGTATCCGAACTATCGCATGGAACCCTACCGGCCAGCTTATTGCAACAGGCTCTGCAGACCGCACGCTTCGAATCTGGAATCCCGAGCGCCCAGCTGCCCGATACTCCACGGAGCTGCGCGGCCACTCCGCAGGCATCGAAAAGGTCCTCTTTAACCCCGTTCGAGATTCAGAATTGGCTAGCTGCTCTAGCGATGGTACCGTGCGCTTCTGGGATGTGCGCTCCAAGACGTGTGTGAGCCGTCTTGATGTGGGCGGCGAGGCATTCACGTTGTCCTGGTCGGCAGATGGCAGCGTCATTGTGGTTGGAAGAAAGGTGATCCTTCCTCCGTGCTTCATCCAAGGCAGTGCTAGCAGCTGACATCTCGATAGGATGATACCCTAATACCCATCTCTATCGAATCCCCCTCAAGTCCGAATATCCTCACAGACGCCAATGCTTCCTCCACGCAATCACAAACTCGATCAGGTCCGGTAACCTACTCTGCTTTAGAAGCCCACCCACAACCCATCCAGACGAACGCGACGACCTTTTCCCACCATATCTCCACCCCCACATCTCCCGATCTCCAACTCTTCGCAACCACCGGCGAAGGCACCGTCAAAATCATGTCTTACCCGTCTTTCGACATCCTCCACACCCTCCACGCCCACACCTCCGCCTGTCTCTCCATCGCCCCCGCCCCAACCGGCCGCTACCTCGCCGTTGGCGGCAGCGATGCTCTCATTTCCCTCTGGGACACGACCGAGTGGATCTGCCGACGCACCGTATCAAGCAACAACGGCGGCGCAGTCCGCGGCGTGAGCTGGAGCTTCGACGGCCGATTCATCTGCGGCGCCTGCGACGAGCCCGGCTGCGGCACGGGGCTGGAGATCTTCCATGCCGAAACCGGTGAGAGCGTCTACACTGTTCCTACGGGTGCGAGTAGCAATGCGGGCATCCCTGCTGTCGCATGGCATCCTTCGCGGTACTGGCTTGCGTATTCGACTACGGCAGATGGGCCGGGAAGTGCGGGGGCAGGTGGGTTGAAGATTGTAGGTGCAGCAGGTGGTGGAAGTTTGTAATGTCGGATATATGATTGAAACTTGAAGTTATAAATATTCCAAAGCATTTATAAGGAAAGAAAGAGCGGACTGTCAGTCCATGAGTATGGTAGATTCCGTGTATTTCTTATGCTACTCACATAAGATGTCAAGCAATGTGCAGTGTATCGAACAGTTGAGATAGAGATAGTAAAGTAGAGTAGAGTAGAGGCTATTCACAATCCCTCATGCCTATACTAGCGCCATAATCTCGTTTGACTTGTGGATATTAATGAGACAAAGCGAAGAATTAACCTCCCATATTGATAAAATTCCTGGTATACAACAAAAACAACCAAAAAACCCCTATTATCGAGCCATTCGCCCATCCTGATATAAACAAACCCTGCTCCTTAGCCAACAGAACTCCAATTCCTAGTGACACCAACCCCCTTCTCACATTAGTGACAAAGTTGATGAGTGGGGAGTAACATATAAAAAAAAGAAAAAATATGCAATTGCCGGTTCGTCTGGAAATACCTCATCGGTAAGATCGTGAGACTAAGCCATAGAAATACAGCTGTTAGGCTTGCCATCAATTTCGCCACGCATCCCAGTTTGTCCCGTTTAGTAGTTGCGCCCATTGAGCTTCGTTTAACGAGTCCATTCCTCCGGGTGTCATGACAAGATTAGCGTGGTCTGACGATTGCGTAGCTGAGTATTCCCACGTAGAGGACATGGAGAATGAATCCCCTGGCCCCGTGGCGTTAAAGGGGGTTTCGGAGTAGCCGGGGAGGCATTGACCGGCGCCGAGATTACCCCCGCCTGGCGATATGTTGAGTATATTTGCGCCATCTAGTGAGTGCATGGAGCCTTGGTTTGAATTATTTAGAGATGATTGCTGTTGTATGGTCGCTGGTGAGGTCTGATCCGTTTTAGAGGAGGATGTGTTTGAACATGAGTTGATCGTCGATGGTGTCGGGTGGTCCGACGGTGCATTATTCCTGTCGCTAAGGTCGGGTGAGTAGTCCATATCGGCACTTACTCCTGAGCCTGCAATTTCAGTGCCGGGGTTGAAATTAGACACTCCGTTAATGTTCATGTTCGGTTGCTGTGCTGGAGTTTGCTTTTGTCGACTTGGGAGAGGCCCCGTTGTAGGGAAACCAGACCGCCCAGTGTTGCCAGAATAGGATGGTTGAGGCACATCTTGTCTGGGATTTTCTGTAGTTCCAGGTTCATCACGAATATGTATTATAGGGATACATTCAACAGGGTCGTCGGGAGATTTTATTTTCTAGGCAGTGCAAGGTTAGAGTCTGGGCGTCCAAATGTTGAAACAGAGCATTCTACTCTTACCTGGAGTTTTTGGGTCATAGGGCAGCCCCCAGGTGAAGGGTTAATGAAATTTTGGTATGCAGTTCCCTCGATATCCACATCCAACTGGAGCATGAAGGACTCGGTCAAAGGATTCTTGCTCCTCAAAGCGTTAAGAGCAGACAAGACGAATTGTAGAGACGACTGAACAGTTGAGTCACTTGGGCGAGACTTGAGATATTGAACAAATACGCGCGCAGCGACATAGACACAGAATGACATGAAAGGATTCATCTATAGCCAGTTAGCTCATGTGACTTAAGTCACAGTTGTCCAAGCACTTACAGTTGTCAAATCCAAATGGCTAATAATTTTCATAATGCTAGAAATTTGGTCGGCCGCAACGATACACCGCCGCTTGCTCTCTGTGACGATCTGACTCGGCATTTTGTTCTTTTCAGCTTTGAATATCGCAGCCTGGTGGAGACATATGGTAGAAGTATGGATGCTCATGTTGCAGAAGATTACATTCGGATCGGCTATCCCGGCCGGTAAGCGGAGATGGTTTGGCAGTGACAAGGCAAAGTTGAGTAGTATGTTGTCGTAAGACCTGTGGCGCTTCCAAAACTCGCCATTTAGATCATTATCATTGTCCTGTGGATCGGGACGATGGAGGTGAGTGAGGTTTCGACCGAATAAAGAAGCCATGAACACATTGCTTCCATAAGGAGACAAAATCGAGGCTCCGTCTCCCACCATAAGATCTGCGAGACGTGGGGCCTGCTGCGGTTTGCCCGTGACAAAGGCTTCCTCGGAAGCAGGAAGGTTGGTCATTATCTATCCAACAGTCAGAAACCACAGAATCCAAGGAGCGGGTTGGGACTGACATCTCTTTCATCCATCGTCATGGGCCACCCAGTTCCGATACTGGCATATCGATCAGCACAGAATGCCATCCAGAAAACCCTCCGTCGCTCTTCTTTCTCTGTCCAATCTTTGGCTGGCGGTAAACACTGTTTCACTTCGATGCCTATACCGTCAATTCGATTCAACCCCATCATCAACACCAGTCTTGCACATCTCCCGACGCTCAACCACGCTCGTGGAAAGTACATCATCCTGAATTCGTAAAACCCGACAAGCAGCCATGTTTGACAGTATGCCAAGGAAATGATACCTTCTCCCATCCCCTTCATCTCCGCTAACTCGGCATATTTGCGAGCTCGCTGGTAGAAATGCGCATGTAAGTTGTTATATTTGTCGCTTACGGAGGCTGCGGCACACCATACAGCGTACTGCAGGTACACCGGAGGCCGCACGTTATAGGACAAGTTCATGGCCGTTAGAAATCGGGGCATATGTATGATGGGTGTTGACGGGTGGATTTTCTCGAAATAGATTTGATTTCTGCGACGGTGTAAGAACGACATTTCACATTTAGAAATCGGTGAACATACAATTCATCAATGACATCTTGGTTTGGAAGAGGTTCTTCCAACCCCAAGCCTATCATATCCCATCTCAAATCGCTGCCAAATCCACCTCCAGGCAGATAGCCCGGAGCCGACTGGGGCTGCTGTCCGAGGGTTCCCGGAGGCGAGATAGAGCTGTCAATATCATGCTGAAGCTCTGGCATTTCGGGTATATCGGGGATCTCAGGGATTTCGGGCATTCCAGACATCGAGTTATCCGGCAGCGGAAGATTATTGAAGTCATTACTTTGCGGCGCTGAAGGCGGCTGGGTTGCGCCTGGCTCATTGCTCATCAGCAAGGTTTCGACCTGGGCTATATAGACAGAGCCATATTAGCAACGATATAATTTCAAGGTATAATCCCGCCAGGATGAAAATGGCTGGCATTGTCGTGATGGCATTACCTAGCCGTGCCTCCAACTGCTTCACATAGCCCCGCTTCGGACCACTCTTCTTGCGCACTTCATCATAAGCGCATTCATGGCCTAACCTGGAGCATGTCCCACAGCTTGGTTTCCTCCCATCACATCTCAACTTTCTCCGCCTGCAAACAACGCAGGCAATACGCTTCGGCCGAGGGACATAGCTGCTGTCGCCGCCGTTGTGGGCTGCGGGAGTCGTAGCGCCATGCGACGAGAGCGGGGGCAGTTGGGACGCGGAGTCGACTGGAGGGGGTCGCGATAAGTCGTTGAAGGAATCTGCCATGGCCTGGTGATGGAGGTGGTGTGGGGAGATGGGGTTCGGGTTTATTCGAGATGGCCAGACTCTGCTATTCGAAGAACGGCGGAAACCGAAGGAAGAGAGCGGCCTCGATTACAAATGGTCTGGAAACATTTGCGGTTCCAGCAATGAATGAGGACAAAGGATAGATATCAGTAGTAGTAGATAAATGAAAAGATGGCTGCCAGAGCGCCCGTTTAGCTATGAATGAATCGAAGATGGAGAAGGATGAGATTACGTTGAAAGGTTGCCTGAGCGGGCTGTGTTCCAACCTTGTTCCCGACGATCAACGGTTCTCGATCAACGCTCCACACAGGTTATTCTAGCCGCTAGAAAACGGAGGAATCAAGAAGAAGTAGTTCTAGTCTAAGGTACAGAATTATGCGATGATATGTTGGCATTTCGTGGTGCTTGGAAAAAGGGCAGTTGTGTGCAGAGGCGGAACAAAGAAGCCCTGGAGATCAACCGCATTTCAAGATCTGATACCCCTGTTTGCATGTAACGACTCGGCCAAAAGCAAATAATATGGTTGACGCATGGCAATTTGATCTTCGATGTGCATTCATCTTCTAACCTACATAGTATACAGCACTAACGCCACGATGAATGATAAGCGGACGCATGGGAGGGGAAATAGTCTAAAGAACAGCAAGGGGTAGAGATGCAGATATCAGAGATCTTAACGAATAATGTAGGATGTCTGCGTTTGTGAAGCCGAAGTATAGTACAAGAAGAGCAGACGATCCATCCCATGCTCCATCCAAAAGCAGTTACAAATAAAAGACATGGTCAGGCGCAATCATGGCGGCAGAGAAAATCAACAAGAAATCACCTCATGCAAATGAATACAACCCTGCTTTGCATGACGGGGTCTCGAAATGGTACAACGTAATATGAGCGTAGAAAAGAAGAAAGGGGGGTCTTCTTAGTTGTATCCTCTGCGACGCTTGCCTTGGTTGCGGACTCTTGGGACCACCACGGCCTTGTTGACCTTCCACTTGGGACGGGTCTTGTATCCGGATTTGGCCTAAAATGCAAGTTAGCTGGATGAATGAAGAACATGCAGTGCGGTATAATACGTACTGGTAGACCCCAGGGACTCTTCGGGTCGACGTTACCCTTGGACTTGCCTCGTCCACCACCATGGGGATGGTCAGCGGCGTTCATAGCAAGACCACGGACGGTAGGCCGAATGTTCAACCAACGTGAACGACCGGCCTTACCGAGCTGGCTGTATTGGTAGTTTGCGTTGCTAGCAACTCCGACAGTTGCGCAGCAGTCCTTGTGAATGAGTCGGACTTCACCACTCTGCAAACGAATGGTGATATGCTCGGCAGCACGCTTCTGCTTCTGCTTCTCACGCTGGGTCAGAGGCTTCTGCTCTTCCGCTTCGGCACCTTCTTGGAACTGGCTCTGGGCAGGTTGCTGACCACCACCACCCTTTGCAATCACAGTTGCAAAGGTACCGGCACTGCGGCACAGCTGGCCTCCCTTGCCGGGACGCAGTCCGACATTGAAGATGAGTGTACCAACGGGGATCATGTGCAATGGCAAGCAGTTGCCTCTCCAGGCAGTTCTAGCTGCGAGCACACCAGGATCCACAGCTCCACCCATACTCTTCCACAGATCATCGGGGATACCAGGCATATAACTCTGAACGACATCACCAGCCCGCATACCCTCCGCGGCCAGGACGTAGCTCAATCGCTTGGTTTCTTGGCTTCGAAGAAGGGCAATATGAGCGCTCCGACCCGGGTCATGCTCAATGCGCTCCACCACATGAGGTCCAGGGGCAGCACGCTCAAAGTCGACCGTTCGTATCCGACGCTTGTGACCACCACCACGATGGCGCATAGTGACGCGACCCGTATTGTTCCGACCACCTTTTCCTTGACCTCTCTTGGGGAAGGTCAACTTTTGTACCGGACGGCCTTTCCAGAGATGATCGTTGATCGGTCTTCGCAAATGTCTGATACCGGGGGTCCGGGGTTTGTACGATCGAAGGACGACACCGGCTTCATCACGAGTGGGAGGGGGAGCAAAAGCGATGCTAGGGTCGAATGTCGAGCTCGACGATTCCTCCGATGGTTTCTCTGTTTCGCGGATAACAGTCGAATAGGCTCGAGAGGGAATGGAGGAGAGGCATCTGAAGGGAAGACGGATAGCCGTCAAGGCCATCCTTGGCTGAAGCATGATGAATAAGATTAAATATCAATTGAACAATGTTCAATGCGGCCCAGCAAGTGAAGGCCGGAGAAAGGAAACGGGATTGAAGAAGTCGATTATTCGTCGACCACACTCAATCCAAAAACCTGACCAACGTAATTAGAATAAAACCAGCACCGCCGTCCTGCCCAATGGTCGAGTGCTGTCACAATGCGGGTTGATTCACCTCAATCCGGCGTCCTATCTCTGGCTCCGAAATGAAAATGTCTTTGGCGTTGAGTTGACCGCAGAGTGTGGCTGATACATCATGTGATCATGCACCGCCATCTGTGGCGCGGGTCACGGGACTGCGCGACCGACACGCCAAACACGACCCGTAAAATAAAAGGAAAACGCCCCGAAGCGGTTGCCGCGCAACGGCGTTGTTTACCCGCACTTTGGGTTTAGCCGCGCCGCATCACGTTCCGGGCTTGGCGGTCTTTGGGCGCGACGGCGTTTTTTGGCTGGCATCAAATGCGAACAAACAGAGAGGGGCCGATCGATGCTCGCTCTCCACCGCAAATTATTCCTCCCTCCGAAGAGTCCATGACGGTATCGTTACTGCATCGATCCTTGCTTCCACTGCCTAATCGATTATTTCCATACACATCGTAGTACTCCCGTATGTACGTGCATAGGTAGTAGTGGTACTTATTGCCTCCTGCGTGACCTCCCCTTTTCTGCTTCACCTCTCTCTTCCCTTTCTCTCTCTTCTCTCTCAACATCTCCCTCCTCCCTCCTCATTTTGGAAATTGTTTCTACGTACATAATATCAGGACCTCGTCCTCGCATCCATTCTGCACATAAACACATAATTACCTACCCTTAATAATCGCCAATTCCACGCGACTCAACTGGGTTGTGCTGTGGGGCATCATATTGCCAGCTTAGCCTCTGTTTCCACGCTAAGACTAGGGCCAAACATCGCCTTTGCCCTGTCAAGTTTACCTTACCATCTCTTCCTTTACACCAACCTCCTCAACCTCCTCTCGACCCAGAGTCATTCAATCTGAAAGGTCTCGGAATACCCACGAGTTTCGGCCTTTCTCGCGTCTTTTCATCTCATCTTCACTTCTAGCTACGTGCTGTCGCAGATTTCTTCCGGTCCTGGTGACTTGCGCGTCATCAAAAGCTACGTGAGCGGCTCTTACAGGCGTACTGTCAACAACGTCAACAAACCTTTATATGAGCCGATTTTGATATCCCATCACAACCAAATTCTTCTTCATATACCCGGCCTGTCTTTGAAAAGTGTTGCTTTCTAGTATCTCTGGCGACAGGCGACATTTTCACGCGTGGTACGTGCGTTAGGCCCTTCAATCCTCAGGTATTTTAATCTCCACCGGGGTAATCTCCTGTTGGAATGCTGACTGGGCAGCAACTGCAGGACGACCAGTAATTATATTCTACCTCCATCTTCCCTCTTTTCGACGCGTTCTTTTTACCTTTCTCTTGCTTCAGCATCATGCCTCCGGTAAGCCTTGTCTGAACACATCACGCGTCTTACTTGATCTAGTCTAAGCTTCTGCACACCGACTACCCCCCCTAAAACGCGTCTCAGTCCATCTAATTGATTGTTCAACAGGCTCGAAGTCTTCGTACACGGGGCGCTATGAATGAGAATGATGAGAATGGTCCGTCGACCCGAGTCACCCGGGCCAAGGCTGCCCTCACGAAGGGGGATGCTCCAGCTGCCACGGCCGCCAAGAAGCCTCTTCAGAGCAAGAAGGCTGCCACCACTACAACCGTCAACGGAACTCAGCGACGACGCGCTGCTCTTGGCGATGTGAGCAACGTTACCAAGGGTGAGGCTGGTGAAGTCAAGGAAGCAAAGAAGCCGGCAGCCACCAAGGTTGGCTTGACTTCGAAGGCTACTATTCAACCAGGAGGTGTTCAGAAGCTCTCCCGCAGCAACACATCACGAACTACCTTGGGGGCCAAGGATGCCAACACAAAGAAGCCCCAGACCGAAGTTAAGCGTCCGGGAAGCGGGTCAGGAATTGGCAGTACACAGAAGAAGCGAACTCAGAAGTCGATACAAGAAAAGCCGTTGGCCGATGAGCCCCCACGCAAGAAGCTCGATGTCGCGGAGAAGCTCGCCGAAAAGGCTGCTCCTGCCCCGAAGCCCGCCCCAGTGAAGGATGAGGTGTCAGTCCCTGCGGAACCAGAGATTATCAAGAAGCCAATCGAAGATGAGGTTGAAGACCTGGATACGGAAGACTTGGACGATCCTTTGATGGCTGCTGAGTACGTCGTCGAAATCTTTGATTACCTGAAGGACCTCGAAATGGAAACCATGCCAAACCCTCAATACATTGATCACCAACCGGACTTGGAATGGAAGATGCGTGGTATCCTGGTTGACTGGCTCATTGAGGTTCACACCCGCTTCCGCCTCCTCCCCGAGACTCTTTTCCTCGCCGTCAACATCATCGATCGTTTCCTTTCTGCCGAGGTCGTTGCTCTGGATCGTTTGCAATTGGTCGGCGTGACTGCCATGTTCATTGCCTCCAAGTACGAAGAGGTTCTTTCGCCTCACGTCGCCAACTTCAGCCACGTCGCCGACGAGACCTTTACCGATAAAGAAATCTTGGATGCTGAGCGTCATGTCCTCGCTACCCTCGAGTACAACATGAGTTTCCCTAACCCCATGAACTTCTTGCGACGAATCTCCAAGGCGGACAACTACGACATTCAGGCCCGAACCCTTGGCAAATATCTTATGGAAATCAGCCTGCTGGATCACCGATTTATGAGCTTCCCCCAGAGCCATGTGTCTGCTGCGGCCATGTACCTTGCCCGTCTCATTCTGGGACGTGGGCCTTGGGTAAGTTTTGCTAGGCCCATTCATCCCTTTTATTAGCTAACCCCAAATTTAGGATGCCACTCTAGCTCATTATGCTGGATACACTGAGGACGAGATTGAACCTGTTTTCCGATTGATGGTCGATTATCTTCACGGCCCCGTTTTGCACGAAGCATTCTTCAAGAAATATGCCAGCAAGAAGTTCCTAAAGGGTAAGTTTTCTTGTATTTTATCGAGCTTCACGTACCCTAACATTTACTTTAGCCTCCATCCTCACCCGCCAATGGGCCAAAAAGTATCACCACTTGTACATCGACGGCTCCCTGTCGGAACCCTACAGCTATATCAAGGATGGCCAATAACGGCAACGCAATTTACGATAAATCTGCCTGATATCAGCGACGTGATATCACACATCTCCATGGCAAAAATGCCGCGGAGGGAAGTTGATTCGTTACATATCTTGGCATTTCTTTGTTTGTGATGGTATAAGGCACCTTTGCATATGTTTACGATGGCATTCTTCTATTTCACTTTGCGCATGCACGCATTATTCATTTCTTCTAGGGGTGTCCGGCGCTGAACTTTGTTTTCTTCTAACACACTTTCTTCTTTACTCAACTTTTGGTGATGTCTTCGGACGCTCACTTTGATACCTTTACAATTCTTCTTCCCCCTGTGCGTATTGCAGGCGTCGGATGTTTCGAGGTCGGAAATGTATTTGCAGTTTGTTTTTGGTTCCAACCTGATTGTTTTTTATGGCGTTCACTTGTCGGTTTTCTGCAGCTCACTCCACCCGGCAATGACCCTTTGTTGCAGCTAGTTGCTTCCAGGGAACAAAACGGATATACTGGAGGATAGGATCTAAGGGCATGGAAGCGAACTTCTTTTTCATCTTTTAGCGAGGACAAACGGATAGAGGGATGGGGGGAGCTACAGTAATGTTTCCTAGGGAGATTAATATTGTTTTACATTCAAATCGCTGGATACTTTTTGCCTTTGGCATCTTTGGATGCGTCCCCTTCATTTTGTTTCTCCTTTGTAAATATTCGCTCGTTTCCCTCTTTTCTTTTATTGAATGAAAAACATGAATGAATGAGTAGTATCACTTGATTCTGGTCATCTATAAGTAGTTATCAATTTATCCAACTTGTAGTCATCTGACCTCGTCAATGCAAACGATATAAACATATGAACCGAGGTATAGTATTTGTCCAACACACTGCATAAATATATCTTTTCAGATGAATTGCGAAAGAATAGTGTTCATTTCCTCCATTAACACAATTAGACATAATTAGACTACAGCAGCATGTCACTATCCCCATCCTGTCCCTTTTGCAACATCGCATCAACATATCCTCCGCACCCGCCTTCATCATCCATCGATCTCCCCCCAGCAGACACAACAACCGGATCACAGGCTCATCTAATCCTATCCACGAAACATGTTTTGGCTTTTCTGGATATCATGCCCTTGACCAAGGGACATGTTCTTGTGATTACAAGAGATCATTATGAGAAGGTCGGGGAGGTGGGTGTTGGTGTTGGTCGGGAGGTGTGTATTTTTTCTTTCCCCTACTATTTGTGATTGAATTGATGTTTATGTGATGTTCTAATTTGATGTGGGTAGGTTGGACAATGGCTCCCCATAATCTCCCGAGTCGTCATGAAGACTTTATTCGGTGATAATGCAGATCTGCACTGGAATGTAGTACAGAATAATGGTAGATCTCCCCTGCCTGCTCCTCCCTTGATCGACACATACATGCATGCATGCATAGCATACTAATCTAAATCAAACGTATTTTGCAGGCGTACAAGCAGCACAACAGGTGCCCCATGTTCATTTCCATATCGTGCCGAGACCACCGCTCGACGCGACGCCTACGGGTGGCAAAATGAGTTTTGTCATGTTTGGTCGTGGGCAGAGGGATGAGCTTGATGATGAGGAGGGGGAGAAATTGGCTGGGTTGATGCGGGGGGAGTTGGCTAGGGAGGTGAAGCGCGTTAAGGATGTTGAGGGGGTGGATTTGGATATGGATTCGAGGGAGAGAGGGAAGTTGTAGATAGATGTCTTGTTTGTTTGGTTTATTTTGTGATACCTTTTGGAATTGCTTCAATTTTTCCATGGGATTTTTTTTTTCTTTCGTATATTTTATCAAGCTGTCTTTTTTGGCTTGTTCATGATGATGCATTTCCTTCGTTTCCGGGTTCTTTGTTAAGGCGTTTAGCAGTAAAGTACTGCAAGGAAATGTAAGCTTCTAGACATGCAGATCGATTCAAGTATGGCATACCTTTCTTCTGAATGCATTCAGCTCATCTGCATACATTCCCTGGTCATCATTCTTCTGTCGTCGTGAAGAGACATCTGAAACCTGCCCCTCGGGGAGTCTGCGATAAGTGATAAGCCGGCGAGACCCTAATTAAGTTTGACAAGATTAGCTGTTTAGAATATTTTCATGTTTACGAGAACACCCACAGTTGTTGAATGGCTGCACTGAAACACTGACGACTTCCAGATTCGGGTGCATCGGGATGGTCAGCTCCACGTCTTCGTCACTGGCTGTTGGCATCCACATGGATAGTCGACCGTCAGTCACTAGAGTTTCGGAGGCGAAGGTGAGGATATCGTTTTGCATTGCTTCGAAACCATAAGGTCTCTTGGGTGCAACGTATTCGGGTCGACTGAGACAGCACTGTTAGTCTGGGGAGATGCAAGATTTGCAGACAAGGACGTACTAATGGGCTGGAACTCCATCAATAATAAGCGCTTCCTTTGCACGTCCATCACGGGTTCCCAAAACCTTGAGTCCTTCACGGACACCGTAGGGAGGGTCACAGATGATGCCGTCGAGGAATGGCGACTTGCGTAGAGGCGTATTGGTCAGATCCGAGGTAAAAGCATCCACGAACTTGCTCACTATACCATACTGCTGAAAGTTAGAGTACAGTCCCATCGGCTTTCCTTGCGCCATCTCTTTGCCGCGGAAACTTCGCCCGTCAATATCGGATCCAAACGTCAAGGCCCCAAAATGGGCGGCAGCAACGCAAAAGCTCCCTGTTCCAACAAACGGATCGTAGAACAGCTTTCCAGGTGCCGCGAGAGCCATATTGGCCGTGACAAGACTCAGCTCTGCATCCATGGATGTCGTGCTGATGTACCGGCGCTTTTTGAGGTCATACCGGACCATAGCATCCCGATCACTGTCTTCAACCCAACGTCCAAAGTAGATCTTCTGGGGCTCCTGCGTCTCTGTCTTCAATTCTGAGCTTGGGGTCGTTCCAGTAGCCATGCCCTCGACATCTGAGATGTATTCCTCAAAGACCCAAAAGTCCTCATCGGGGCCCTTGAGCCGAATCGGACCTTCGAAGCCCAAATAGGCAAAGCTCTGAATAACCTCCTTCTTCGACTGCTGATTGCGTCTCCAGGCAAAAGTGTCAAAGCTGAAGCGAAACGACGAGTCCTTATAGTCCTTCCAGCGATCCTGCGTCCGCCTGCGGACGTCAGCGTGGACTTCGTCATAGTTGGTTCCTTGACCCCAGAGCTCGAAAATATCCTTTGCCAGAATGCTGCGCCTAACCAAGGCGCGCGCTGCTTCTATATTTTTCAGTCTTACAAGACAGTATGGTCTCTGAGGTGGTGGTTAGCAAGTGATGTCGAAATATATATCAAAAAGCCCTTCCGCGGGGAAGACAGCCCCTCATCCGCTTAAGACAAATCGAAGACGGCGCAAAAGAACCAGAAAGCAAAAAGGCGACAGTATCCACATACAAACTCATTATAAGACAGGATCTCAATATCGATGCCAGCCAGTGTCGCCAGAGCCTCAATTTCTGGCACGCGAAAGCTCTCATGAGTCTGTGCGAAGCGGATGAGATACTCCATCTCGAACCTCACTTCCACCACTCGGTCTGGATGAAGTCTTGTATTCGTGTAGAGTGCAGCCCAATTATTTCAATGCGTTGGCCCTTCTTTAAAGCCCAAATTGTGCAGCTTTGATATGGTGGTGGTGATTCAATGTGTTGGACAGAAGGAACTTTTTTTCTCTTTAATTTTTTTCTTTTTTCCTTTTTTTCTTTGGGCCGACGGAAACCCGCAATTATTCACAGCAAAAGTTGGGAATAATAACGCAATGCTTATTATCATTACAGGAATGGAGAATAATAGACTCTAATAACGAATTCGATCTGTTCCATTGGATATTCAACATAACTCAAAAAAGAAAAAAAGAAAAACCATGTCTACTAAAATCATTCTTACAACAAAGCCCTCCGAATGTACCACAGCATACCCTTAAAAAGAAACCCATATAGTTACGCCATCCCTGTGCAGATAGATAGGGGCGAGATATCCATGAACAAACACCACCGCTATGCGCCAACAGCCTTAAACACATGTCGTGATTCATATCCCTCTACGGGGGCAACTTCGACCTTCTCGTCGGCGGGGATCATCTCATGCTTGAAGTCCCAGCCAGCCCGACGACAGAGCTCCGAGACCACCACGTCGCAGTCCCCTAATAAATCTATATCAAAGCCAGTATGCGACACAGGCTAAGGAATAATCAGTTATGTGGTAGTTGGATTGTATCAAGGCACAACTTACAGTACGCGAAATGTAAATCTGAGGAACATTTCGGGGGAGCACACCTGGAACCTCTGCGACAGGTGCTACCTTTAACGAAGTTCCAATGACGATTACCAGGTCTACCTGGTCACGATCGTGATGGAGGAGACGACGCCCGAACTCATCGGGAAGGTCCTCGCCAAAGAAGGTGATATCAGGCTGGAAATGATCAGTATACGGAATTGACCAAAGCGACCATTTATTGACTCACCTTCATCACCCCAGGAGTAGGTATTTCATAATCTTCTTCATCAGAGCTGTCCTCGTTATTATCCTTTCGGTTCTTCTGCGCGCCGTTGGAACTGCGCTTCCGCTTCAGCCCCTGAGGCCTCAGCGCGTCGTCCGCGAGTAGTTTCTTGCAGGAATCGCATTCCGGAATAGCGCCTTTTTTGATTTCATCAAAGATCGCATCACCCTGAACCTTGTAATTGCACTTGACGCAAGTAGCTGTTGCAAATGAGCCGTGACACTGTACGATTTTCTCCGGAAGGACTCCAGCATTGGCTTCGATGTTGTCAATATTCTGGGTGTAGTTGGTCAACAGTTTGCCCTTGTCCTGAAGAAGTCGAATGAATCCATGGGTTGGCGAGAACTTCCTTTCCATAGGCAGGATATCCTTTGCAATCGAGAAGAATATGCTCGGGTCTTCGCGAAAGATATGGATATCAAAGACCTCCTGGGGGTCACTCAAACCCAGATGCTCCAGCTGCGAATAAAGACCAGTGTCCTTGGACCGAAAATCAGGAATTCCAAGACTGGTGGAGATCTAGTGCACATCAGATGAGCCGCGTACTCAAACTAAAACAAGGACAAAATACTCACCCCCGCGCCTGTCAAGACAATGATATTCTTGGACTCTTTCAGTAACCGGACAGCATCATCAATCGAATTGTACTGGGGAAGCTTCTGACGCCGGGAGAATTCGCGAGAGATCGCAATAGCCAGAAGTGGATGATAGGCCTCATCGGGTGCGCCTTCAAGGAAAGGGGGTGGGAGAATTCCAAATGCAGTGCACAGTTTCTTTGCGGTGACTGTATCGCGAGCAATCGTCTCTTCGACAAACGCCGCCTTGCCTATATCATGAAGCCGTTGTCGAAAGGCAACCGCCTCTTCTAATGTACAGGCGCCAGGCACTAAACCAGAAAACAGCCAGTTAATATATTTGACGAATAGCGAATAAGGGCAAGGAAAGACCGTGTTATCAAGTACATACCTCCGCCGTCGCGCAGTTGCTCATCGCGCAGGACCTGAATAGCGTCTTCGTATAAAGATTGGGTCTCCCATTCATCGCCCGATTCATTACTGTCCGTCTCATACTCGGACTGAGATACCTCTTCTTCCACAGCGACCGTATTCTCTGCCTTGATATTATTATTCCCTTCCACCTCCGCCGAGGCCATATCGATGGCTTCCACTTCAACCACCGGATTCTTCAACGACGAGCTCTCCCCGCTTGGCGCTGGTACCAGGTCCATCCTGAAAGGGGGAGATAGGACGCTTCCAGCAGCCTCAATGACAACTATTCACTCACATTGAGCTCGTTGTCACGATGGTTGAATGCCGGGCAAAATTTGGCCCTGCGTATCTCTGGGGGGAAGCGGCCGGAGACGACTTAATCCGGCGCCGATGCCTTGATATTGCGCGACAAAGAGACCGAGAGTGGCAAGACGGGGGTGATCATGCGGCATCTACAAGGGCAGCTGTGATACGTTGGGGATATACATGATCAAAAACACTTTTCATTAGGAGGGCATCTCTCTTTTCTCTATTGGTATCATGACAAAATCCCGTGTTTCGTGAGAATATAGTGCGTGCTACTATTTTATGAATCCGCCATTTCGTCGTCTTCGTCCGAATCGTCATCTTCCCATTCGCCTACTTGCTCTTCACCTTCTTCTTCTTCATCCATGTCCTCGCCGATTTCTTTGTTCATGCCCTGGACCAGCTCGAGAGCGTGCTCTTTGAGTCTCTCATCTTCGTATTGAATGAGGCCGTAGAGCGTCAAGCTTTGTTTGAGCCACTCGCGACTGGCGACTAGCGATGCATGGCGTCTGGCCTCAGGTGTTTCTTCTTCAGCTTCCGCCTCTTCAGGCGCTTGTTGCTTTTCGGCCAGAAGATAAAGACACCATCCTCCTAGGTACCATGCCTCAACACTTTGATCATCTTCCAGGATCAGACGTTCAAGCACTTGAATTGCCTCAAACTCCATGGAAACCTCCATTAGGAGACGGGCAAGACTGATTCGCGTCGCGAAATCCGGGATTCTTAGGTCTTCGGGGGGCAAGTCTTTCCACAACCCCAGACTCTTCGACAGCGCTTCTCGGGCATCGTCTGTTCGCAGTTGTGATATCCGGATGGATGCAAGAGTCTGTAGCACTTCGGGTGCGGTGGGGTTAACTTGGAGAGCCTCTGTAATGAGGGCCTCGCAGCGGGCCTCTGCATCTTCTTCCCAACTATTCATTGTCAGTCTAAAGGGGTTTAGGACAAAAGGTAAAGACTAAGATGCAACTTACGAGAGATCAGTCATGTAAATCTCGGCAACTCCACACAGAGCATTTGCCAATTTCTTCTTCTTTTCTTCCAAAGCAGCGGTGCTTTCCGAATCGGTTTTCCCCTCAAACTGTTGGATGATATGTCTGAGGGATGAAACACCCTTTTCGAACCATTGGACACTCTCAACTCCTCCAGATTCGCTCAATTGAGCCAGCCAAAGGAACTTCTCGGCGCCCCCTCCTTGGGATTCAGGTATTGTGCCATTCGGGTCCAATTCCACTGAGCGAATAAAATACTCTCGTGCAGTATCGATCTCTCCAAGCTCAACGTAGATTTCTGCGACCGAGTTTATAGCGGACAGTTGATCGGGCGAATTGGCGGGCGCATTATTGAGGGCTTGCTGAGCTAGCGAAAGCGCTTCATCGGCCCGGCCTGTCTGAAGGAGGGTCGTAGCCTGCTCAAGGAGCTTCGAGGGGTCTTGGTTCATCTTCTGCTTTGATATTGAGCCGCCAGGACCGAGGACGGACTTTGCGCGGGATTTAGATGTCTTCTTTTTCTGGGTTCTGGGCTTGCCCATGGTATATGATCGTAACAAAAATCGTCAAACGTACACTTGATTTCCTGGTTGATAAAAATACGTTTCCGATATCAATACCAAGTATAAATATATCGTATTATACCTGGGGTGCTTTTTAAATGAAAAAAGTTGAGCAGCGAGAAGGCGGAGTGTTGCAAGTCCCTCCAAATAATTTTGGTCGATTTCTTATCTGTTTGTTCCGTTTGCATGTGGGACTGCAATATTGTGTCGATGGACGATTTATGTGAACCCCGACTCGAAAAACACATGGTCAGTATTTTATTATATCGCTTTCCTCTATTTCTGGAATCCTGCAATTATCGCTAGTGTGCGATATACGATCCCAGTGAACGCTGGATTTCTGATTGTTCGACTTTCCTGAAAGTCCATAAGCAAACACTACCCCTCCAAATCCGCTGGGCGGCAGAGTCGAAGCAACAATGGGTCGCGAAGAACAGATTGAGGAGCGCGAGGTGCTCGATTCCATTTTCCCTGAAGAGATCACAGGTCTGTATTTGCCCTTGGGTTTTTCTCCTGGACACTGCTTTATCCTAAGTTCAGCTGCTGATATTAGAATGTAGACATATCCGAAACCTCATATCGCATATCGGTAGTACTGGACGATCTCGACAATTATGACGAAGAAGCGGAGCAGCCCTCCTTAATTCTGCAGGTCTCTTACCCTGCAGACTACCCGGATGTTGCACCAGAACTAGAGATATCCGCCCCCCATAATACGCCCAAACACCCCAGACTGGATGTTCAGGAGGATCGTGAACGACTTCTCGAAGCCTTGCAGCCTACCATTGAAGAGAACATGGGTATGGCAATGGTATTTACTCTGGTCAGCACCTTGAAAGAAAGCGCTGAGCTTCTCATGAGTGAGCGGGCAAATGCGGAACAAGCCCTAAAAGAGATGGAAGCCGCCAAAATCGAAGAAGAAGAGAACCGGAAGTTTGAGGGCACAGCCGTGACCCCAGAGTCCTTCTTGGCCTGGCGTGAAAAATTCAGGAAAGAGCAGGAGGAGGAAGAGCAGAGAAAGCGGGAGGAGAAGGAGGCAGAAGAAAAGAAACCCAAGAAGTCAGCGGCCAAGGAAGAGAAGAAATTGACCGGCAGACAACTATGGGAAAGAGGCTTGGCTGGAAAAGCAGATTATGATGAGGATGAGGAGGATGCTTTACCGGCTGCCATGGAAAAGGCGAAGATAGCAGCATAGTCGGATCCTATTGTCATATGTTATGGTGCTTCCATTTTGTTGTCAACCTATATCCTTCACTGATCAACGACGAAATCCAAAGTGACCGCAATGTATATGGAATGACTATATCGCAAAAAAAGCGACTTGTAAATAGATGGCCATTTAACTCGGAAGTAGCTATGAAAAGAAATGAAGAGCATGGCGCGCTTTAGTGACACATCGATGTGCACTGAATATTTCGACTACTCGCAAGTACCAGGACATGACATCCGCCTACATTCGAATCCAGTACTCGGGGGATGTCTTTGAAGTTCATTTCCATTTTGCAGATTATATCGGGGTAGTACTATGTCCGCGACAAGAGAACCGGCATATTCCATGATTGATTCCCATATTGGTCGGCGAACCCAATCAATATCATTGAGAGATCCGATGCCTAGTAAGCCGAAATTATTGTGACATGGCTTTTCATGTCTGTCGCTGGTCATAACTTGCTTTGTATAACGGGGCCCACCCAAGGGATTGTCAAGTTACAGTGCGACAATTTGGCATTGTGCTCCAGTCCCGTTCACCAAGAAGGGCAATGGATATTACCGAGGACAGTTGACGAAACGCGCGTCAATATTTGCCCGGCTACCTGGATGGTGGTACTTCAAGCAGGCCAGCTGGTCAAGACGTTGCTTTGGCAAGAGCAAAAATTGAAGGCTGTCGATCGGACTGTTGATCGAACTAGTCAGGTCCAATTTCTCTCAATAGACGAAAGAAATCCACCTCCAACGAAGCTGTAGGCAGTGTATTATCTTGGATGGTTATTTCCTGAGAGAATCACACAGGCGAAACATCCTTCTCCTCTTTCTCTTTAGCTGCCAATTCGCGTTCAGCAAGGACAACCTTCCACATGGCTTCTGCGAGCTCCTTATTTTTGTTGTCGGTCTCCTTGATCTTTGTATTGACATCTTTGAGAGCGGTCAGGACCTCCTGAGACCAGGTGTCTGGTTCTTGGTCAATCGTTAATCTGTCCCATAAATCTTCATCCTTGGCGAACAGCAGCTCTAATTGCAATCTCTCGCGTCGCTCGATTTTACTCCAACGCTTTTCAAGCTTGGTTCTTAGCACACCACTGAGATTCTTCGGTTGGGGTTTCTTGATACGCAAAAACGGGACCCCACGCGCGTTCACGAGAACAGGTATCTGCCGTCTCCCACTGACAACGGGTCGAGGGCGGGAAAGGATCGAAGTGGCATCTGGATGTCGTCGAGCGGTATTCTGTTGAAGACGCCTAGACTCTTCCTTCTTTTGTACCTTCGGAGACACGGGCTTTGAATTTTTGATCAAGCCCATTTTCCTTTGCGCTAGACGGCTTTCCTCTTTCATCGATTGACTATGTGTAATAAGTTTCGTGATATGACTGACATCGCGCTTCTTTCCTTGGGATGCGTTGTGTAATAGATCCAAGGCCTGTTCGAGACCACAAACTTTAGCATCAACTTTTAAACACGAAAATCGGAGGAAGAGGGAGCACCTCGTATCCGGCCTTCATGGCATTCACTGTCTGGGATGGGCTTTGGAGGCTCTTATATCTATGGAATTTTTGTTTTATTAAGGGTTTGGATGCGTTGAGCTCCGGCGTGGCATTTGGTAGTCGCGTGCATTGTCGAAGAAGTGCCCGGTAGAGCGCCAAACCTGACAGAGAAACACTATGTTAGAGATACATTGAAAGTGTCAATTGCCTAAAAGTACCTGAAACTTACAAGCAAAGCGATGGACCCCAGATAGTTTGGGGACAACTACCTTGTGCATTATGAAATGTGAACAGCTTGGGAAAATCTGATTCTATCTTCACATTATCATGGGCATGTGAATAGGAGCAGTCGGTGATCACGTGATGATACGAGAATATAGTCCTATCTACCACCAAGATAGACATCATGATCGCAGAAAGCTCTTGTCTATGGAGATTGGTTTTTCGATAAATACTGAGTTATGAGTTGATAGAATCTCTTCAACAATTTCCTAGCAGGTATTCTTTGTTACCAAAAATTGGTGTCTAATTCCGCGTTGTACCATTTCTCTCACTTTCCTCTTCAATAGCACGTCGGGTAACTTTCAATGTAAGACCACCTGCACAGCATTATGGCTGCACTGATTATATGGGCCAAGCTGTTGATAAACGATATTCGCTAGTCCATGGAAAGTATCAAGGCAGGTATAATGATAAATACAACTGATTGATGAACCGCAAGAGAGAAATGAGACGTTTCTAGAGATCGATATAGTTATTGAAAGTAGGCTTTATAAAGAAGCCACGCCAATGCTTGCCGTTATGCATAGACTGTACACGCTCTAAGGAAGCCAGGACAGGAAGGAAATGAAAAAAACGCAAAGAAAAACCATGATACTCCGTTTTCGATTCCGAGCCATATGGGTAGGGTAAATCAGAAGTTGGAGCCCTCCGGAGGCTGGGGCAACTTCTTGTGCTGTGGTAGGGCCATGTACCTGAGCGCAGTGCATTAGCCAAAGTCCAACGGGAAACAGCGGTGCCACCTTACCTTCTCATTTCAATCAGGATAGTCTCCATGGTGTACTCGCGTTTCCATTGAGCAAGGCAGGGCAGCTTTGTAGGATCGACCTAAACAGGTGTTAGAGCCACTGTCTCTTGATACCGCTATTTTGCACAGGGCCGTACCTTTCCCGTTCGACCGTCAACGCATGGAAGGTTAACCTTCGAAATGAATTGAATGCTTGGAGGGCTATCGGGGTATTCGGGTCCGCAATGAATGTTGACACTGTATATCCGGTTCTCATGGATGCTCTGATAATTTACCACGTTAGCGATATGACGAGGAATGAATGTAGAGATTCAACGAACGTGAGGAGGTCCAAGAATCGTTCCATTCCAGTTACTCATCATCATATCCTCACCATCTGCAAGACCATAAGAGCATGCCTCTAATTTACAACAAGTTAGATCAGTGAGTCACCGCATATATGATTACAAGGATGCTACTAACCTGCTCCAAGACCCTTCTCGCCCTTCTCGAGCTCCTCAAGGAGCCTAAAATTTCTAGGGATCTTGGCCGTCATTGTCAGGGTGAGGCAAGGGAAAGATAAACAGTGCAACGGTGGAAAGAAAGGTGGATGTTGGGGGGGAGGGAATTGTTTCTATGACCGAGGCGAAAGAGGGGCACTTATCCCACCTTCTGCAGCAGTAGCATATCTCTTCGCGAGGAGCAGCTGACACGTGATGATAACGGGCACTGATAAATCACGTGCAGCGGCTATCTCCCGCCTTGGCGTTCGTTCCTTGGAGATGCCACCTGATGCTATTGTTGATCAGACATCGCGTTGTTATTTGAGATCCATTTGGGCAGAACCCACAGGACGTCTATTATTAGAAGATTGTCCTTGCTTGGGAACTTTACTCCATTGATGCCTATGGAGCGCTAGGCTTTTATTCCGTCTTTGTTGTCCTGATTGTTAACCGACTCCAATGAAACAACATCATCGGCTTGCTATCCCTACCAATTGACAGGCTGGAGACGGAGGAGTCGCCCAAACAGCAACTTTGTAGTGGCATTGGTCATGCTATGATCTGAACCCATTCATTTGAAATGTCCTCCCAGTTTCTGCAGGCGGAACTCTTGAATTTGATTCAAGAGTCCAAAAGAAGGAATACCGACCTGCGAAATGTCCGTTTCCTCTTACCTAGACGAAGACGTATCATAAGTCCATAAGCTGACCTTATATGTAGGCTGCTGAAGAATCCCTTAATAGTCTAAAGGCTTTGCCTTCTACTTCTGAGGCTCAAACATCTGCTGGTATGTCGCTTCATTCTAAGTATCTTTCCGTATGAACGGTCTAGCTGAGTAGCCGAGAGACCTACTGCGCAAGCCAAAGTTTGTCGATCCATTCATCTTAGCCTGCCATAGTCACCATGCAAAGCTTGCCGGAATTGGTGTTATCAGTCTTCAGAGATTGGTTGCATCACGATCTTTACCCTCTGAGCGTTTAAAAGATGTCTTGGGTGGCCTTAAAGAAACAACAAATCTGAGTAAGTGACGACGAGTCTGCTGATATACATCACGGAACTGACACCATCAAGGCCTAGACATTCAGCTCAAAATATTGCAGTCTTTGCCCTCTCTGCTACAACATTATTCCAATGATCTCAGTGGGGAGCTCCTGGTGAGCACACTCGAGGTATGTGCGACGTTGCAGGCGAGCAAAACCCTTGCGGTTTCCAGTACAGCTGCGGCTACGTTACAGCAACTTGTGGTATCTACGTTTGAAAGAGTTTTCGTCGAAGACAGTTAGTATTCTGGTTTAAGACCCCAGACTTTCTGGAATCTCCTACTAACGACATTCAGAGACTCCTCCCGGTTCAATATCAACAAAAACAGTCATAGTTGACGGTAGTTCAGTCAACATAGGAACATTTGCCTATGATGCTTTACGGGTGAGCTCTACCCCCAAAGAACCTTTTGGTTCTTTTACTGACGTCTGACCTAGGTTTTGGACGATCTTTGCCGTCTTATAGACGAAGAGCAGTTGCAATTCCTGAGGATCAAATCGCTATCCCCAACATTTACCCTGGAGCTCATCGAGAGCATTCTGCTGAATAGTGGGCATCTATTCGTCAGCCACGCGGAACTAACACAGGTGCTACGAACTCGGCTTATGCCAATGACCGTTAGATTTTTATCAGAGAGGCACAGCTTTGCCCAGACAGTACGGATTTCTCGAATTCTCCTTGTGATATTTAAACGTCACATGTCTTTGTTGACAGCAGAGTGTGAAATGGCTCTCAGTTTGTTGACCCATTTACTTGAACCGGATGGAACTGCGCCCTGGAAACGTGTACTATGCATGGAAATATTCCGAGCGCTGTATGCTGAGCCAGGACTGGTTCGTCTCATTTATACTTTGTATGACGGATCAGAGGGAAGGAAAAATATTCTCCGGGACCATATGGCCGGGCTCGTTCGTTTGGCATCCGAAAAGCCCTCTCTGATCGGTGTCAGTACGCAATCTACCATACCTTCTCGGGCTGAGCACGTAAGGTCTGTTACAGAGGAACAAATCACCCTTGAAGTTGGCGGGGTCGCTGGTGTCATTGGGGCCACGGGGCAAGCCACGGAGAATGTGCCAGGGATCAGCAGTCAGTGGAGTGTGGTTCGCACGCCCTACATAGAACTGCTTGATAAAACCGATGCACCGCTTCCTCCAGAGACCTACATATATAGCCTGGTGCTCAACTGTATCGGTACTTTCGCCGAAGGCCTTGCGAAATTCATCCTTCCGCTGACGGTCCCTGACTTAAAACAAAAGCGAAGGAGCCGCATCACAAGCCCCGATAAGAGTGCCGCTGGGAAGGGCTCTCATGATCTGCAAAGGTCAGATTCCTGGAAAACTGGTCAGGGGATGAGTTCCAAAAAGTCGGCTATGCCTATCAATCCCCTAGACCTGGAATCTCATCCCCAAATTGCCGCAATCAGAACATGTGCGGCAGTTATTGAAAATTGCTGGCCTGCTGTACTTGCAGCATGCTCGACATTTTTGTATGCGTCTTTGGATGATGAGTTTTACCATAATCTCGTCAGGTCGTTCCAGAAATTGGCACATGTGGCCGGTCTGCTTAGACTGTCAGTCCCTCGAGATGCTTTCTTAACTACACTTGGAAAGGCCACCATGCCAGCTGATGCTGGAGGGCCCAAGTCCGCGGGTGCCACGAAAGCAGCCGTGACTGGTTCCCAGCACAACAACGCAGGAGAGAAGAAACGAAAGGGTCCCGATTCGTCCCTTGTTAGCTCTCCATTGTCTGCTGACTCCTCCAATACACATTCGGAGAGTCCTCCTGTGTCCCTCAGCACGAGGAATCTTCTATGCCTACGTGCCTTGCTTAACTTGGGCATTGCTTTGGGGCCTACCTTGGATCAGCCGGCCTGGTCTATCATGCTTCAGACCCTTCAGGACACTGATTTGCTAATGGGAATATCTTCCGTGTCTACAAAGTCAGGTTCTACCGTCAGCAGCTCAAACGAAGCTGCAACTGGCCTTAGTGCTGATGCTCTCAAGGCTAATTTTGGAACTGCGGTTATTGCTGTGCAAGCAGCCTCCACCAAGATGTTTGAGAGCACTAGCGACTATCCCAGTGGCTCTTTTCGAGAAGTTTTGCTAGCTCTACTGAGCCTTTCTGGATCAACTTGCCAAGTCGCTCAGCAAGATTTGTCTGAGAACCCCTCAACCTCTCCTCGTTCACCACAGTCTCTACAACGTACGGGGCAAATGCGCAAAACCACTCGCCGTGTATCACTCACTGTAGGGAAATCGAGAACGCAAGACGAAGAATTGAGGTTTGTTTTGGACAAAGCAAACGAGCTAGCCAGAGCAAATTTGGAGCGATTGTCATCTCTGGATGAGAATGACTGTAGTGCGTGGCAAGTCCTGACCGATAGTCTTATTTCCGGTGCAGCAAACGAAGATAATGGCCAAAGCCTTCGTCTCAAGGCCAGCGGAGTGCTTAACAATCTTATCTTCCAAACCATGCAACAGAGTGACGACGATGATGATTCTTCGCGAAATGCACGCCAGATGAGAAATCTCAAAACGCTCAAAGCGCAGATAAAATCGCTTTATAATGCAATTTCGCTTCGTCCTGGAACGCTTCCCGCTGCTGTGATAGAGATTCATGAACAAAGCCTTGACGTTCTGAAGAATATGCTAGAGCAGTACGCTGAGACATTTAGCGAAGTGTGGACTCTTGTTTTCGATCTCATATCTAGTGTCTTCGGGGATGCTCTACCGGAAGACGAAGTGGAAATGACCCCTGGAAGAAGGGGCAAACTGTCTCTCCTGGCGGACTCGCCTCGCCTCATTCGCGCCGCCTATAAATCTCTTCAGTTGGTGGCTTCGGATTTCCTCGCCCTGCTCCCACCCTCTTGCCGGTTGAACCTCGTGGATTCTTTCTCTAGCTTTGCTTCGCAGCAACAGGACTTCAATATCTCACTTACCACTACGTCATTCTTCTGGACTGTTTCCGATTTTCTTCAAGGCCAGATTGACCGATTTTCGATCGAGTCTCATGTCGATGCTTCTGTGAGCGAACAAACGCTTGCGACATTGGCCAAAGATGATGACCCTTCGGTATCTCGTAATTCTTTATGGCTATTGCTGCTGCTGCGAATTGTGGATCTCACAACAGATATCCGATCAGAAATTAGGAATAGTGCAGTTCATACGCTTTTGAGGATCTTTGATGCCTACGGTCAGCAGTTGTCGCCCAAAGCATGGCGTCTATGTCTGAATCGAGTCCTGTTTCAGATGGTTGAGGATATTGAAACCGAAATAGCCCAAGTGGTCGGAAACGGAAAGAGCGTGAGTTCCGACGAGCTCAAGCCATGGATTGAAACGACAGTCGTGATGATCAAAGGCTTCTCTGATTTAATCACAAACTTCTTCGAGTCGATTTTACAGGATGAGGAGTTTGACAGTTCTTGGGAAAGGCTTCTTCAATACTTCCAAACGCTCATTAACTTGCAGCTTTTGGAATTTAGTGAAGCGGTGTTTTCCAGCCTGTCAGGCATCCTTCTCAGAGTGCAATCTCCGAATGGTCTGAGCAAGAAAGCCCTTCACTCCACATGGTCATTATGGTTAGGCGGCCACCCTGCTAGCAAGGAAGATCTGCTGGACCTAGACTGTCCGAATCAAGAGGCAGCTTTGGCTTATCTCAGAACCTTCCAGCAAGTCTATCGCCTTTACAACAATGAGATGACGTGTGAGCACATTGAAAATGTTCTGCAACACTTGCGACTTCTTGCATGGAATTCTGTATCTCCTCGATATTCCCCCGACATCGATCGTCCATCAAGCTTGCAGGTGTTGATCATTGATTGCACAAAGACAATTTGTTTAGAAAAAGAAGACTCCCAGCCAGAAGTTCTACTGTGCCTTGCGGACTTTGTCGATTCTGCATTGACAAAATGGACACCAAGCAGCGATAGTCGAAGACCGTCGTTTGTGGCGTTCTCCAAGAGCGCAATCGACCTCCTCAACTGGTACATTTCCGAGTTTGGGATCAAAAAAGATATATTCGCAAACAGCTCTCTGTCTGTCACATTGGAGCACCTTGCGGCCCCCATTGCCCAGAAGTACAAATGGCAAGGGAAAGACCGCGAGCCCAATTTATGGCAAAAAGCGACGACAGCTTCGCTAAACATTCTCCAGGTGGTAATTCCCTATGTGGAAAAACAATATGAGACCTCAAAGGAGACAGAGATTTCGCGGTTCTGGGCGTGTGTGGTCGGTGTTGCACAAGGCATAGTCTCTGCCACGGGCCAACGGACCCTCCAGCTGTCCAAAGCCAACATTCTGGCGGACGAATCGTTCGACATTGCCGCCTTCCACAGGTTGAAGTCTTTTATAATCCCATCTCTCGGAGCATCTACGATCCAAGACACGATTCGTCGTGACTTTGCCTGTGCACTCTTTCATTCGTCATTCATCTATCCTTTACAACGATTTGACCTTCCTGGTGAATCTCTAGAAAAGGAGCCACTCCTGGGGTTGTACAATGTCCGACCAGGAAAGACCTTTGACCCTGCGCCCACATTACGTTCCAAGATGTCGTACGTTCTAATAGATACACTGTTCGAACTAGCGTCTGTCCCGTCAACTGAGGCGGCGCAGCGTGACGATGGCAACTCTGGACAGGATACCAGTACCGCAGAACATATTAGCCCCCGTGTTTTGCTAGCTCGATCCGTCTCTCCGTACCTCATTCTCCGTTGTGCTGTGTCTATGAAAGCTTACATAGCGGATCAACCTCTCCGTGGTCTTATGCCTCAGCCCACACCGGCGCGAAAAGCTCTCTTACACCTCCTTCACGGGATGGTGAAGCTGCAAAGTGAACCAACTGCAATCCCGGAGCCGCCTACAATCCACACGATGCCAATTTCACCAGAAAAATCAGCCACGGCCAACAACCACACGAAACATCTGGAGTGGATGTACCCGCTGGTGGTGAGAGCCGTGCAGGTCGCAGGCAAAGAGAGAGATGACGGTGAAGTCCTGCAAGCACTGGGCGAGATGCTACAGGGAGTTGGCCATTGCAGTATATAGCGTACTTTTGTTTTCTTTGTTCTTTTGGCGTAGGGAGTGACAGGTATAACGAACGCTGCAGTAGAATTACATTTGGTATTTCAGGCTAGCGGTCATGTCTTGATTTTACCCATGTACTATACCAACCAACCAACCATTCTCTAGATCTGGAACAATTAGGACCACCTAGGGGCCTGTAATAGGCCGGGATCTCAGCACATTCCCGAGACACGTAGACTGGTCTATTGCGAGGATAGATCATAGATAGGTATTTTGATACGGTCTGACGGTGATGCCTAATATCGGATACCTGCATCCTCATTGCTCACCGCAGTGTTGGTTGGAAATGGAATTTCGGTGCGAATAGACCTGTTCTTTCATTCTATCCCTACTGTCATGAGCATTAGGTCTAAAATCCTGGTTTTTTGCAGCCAGCACAATTACTCAAGTTGCAGGGAACAAGTCGTCCAGACATTCCATTACAGTAAACAGTTAGTACATACAGAAGAGCCTCAGTCTAGGAGACATCTACATAACATGGAGGTAATCAACAGAGCCGATAGTAATCAGAGAGAGAATGCCAGTTCATTTGTTAGAACAAGGCCAAGGGGGCAGTCCGACAATGATGATCGTGGTCAGAAACAGGGTATAGAACAGCGTCACGATGATGAAAGGAAAGCAAGAAAGCTTTAATATCTAGGAGAGATTTAAGCCGCTGGGGGTGGAACAGCCTGAGGTTGGGGTTGGGGTTGAGTTCGAGGTTGTTCTCTCCCGGGCCCTGCGGTGGCTGCACCCGGGAGTGGCTGCTGCTGTTGCTGCTGGTAGAGCTGCTGTTGCTGGATCAGCTGCTGCTGGGCGATCTGAGGAGTGGCGGCGATCTCGGGAGCTTGGCGGTAGAGGACGATTTCAGATTGCTTGAAGTAACGACGGGCATCTAGATGGTGAAGCAGAAGCGTAACGGTCAGTACAGCCAATACAACAAGCGTATTCAATCGAAACTTCCGGAATGCGCAAAATAACAAGCTGTTTCGAGAACAAAAAATACGGTGTGGAAACTGGGGTCGGTGGGGCCGCCACGCGAGGGCACTAAGACAGTCTGGGCCTAGCGTGGGGGTGACCGGCCGGGGGAGGTTTCGGAATCCCTTCAAGACTTCCGGCCCGATGGGCCACCGTTGAGGCAGTCAATAGCCGACGGGTATTGATACCAGGCCGTGGGATGCCGTGGGATGGTGGGATGTTTGGGGGGAAACGTGGAGTGCCTGACAATCGAGGCGGTGATGTATTGAAACATCACATCACATCCACTGCAAGAAATAGAGACAGCTGGTAATGCAGAGTTGACTTACCCTCGTCAATGAGAACCAGACTGAGATAATATCTTGTCGAGTACTTCTTGTTGACGTCCCGGAATGTGGGAGTCAAGTCAAAACCACCGAGGAACAGTCGGATGGGGATAGTTTCACCTGAGTTTGGTCAGCAAAGAACCCACCATGTCCAACGTTGCAGCCTAGGCTGTAAGCAAAGCTACAACTCAGCTATGACATACCTCGCGAAGGCGATCCATCCATGATCTGTTAAAAATAGTAAGTAACCACTTTTTCATTTATCGAGCAGGCAGAATATCCAAGCATACCTCAAACCGCACCAACGTCTCACTTTCATTATATTGATTCGGAGGCGAACCGGTCGTTTCACGTCTGATGATAGATAGTTCCATGTGCTTGATCTTGAGCCGCACAAGCAGGAAATAGATGCGCCCGACAATGACATCCTTGAGGTGATATTTGGACTTGGAGTACTCAAACTCAATGTGCAGACAGTCTTCGATTCCGACATCCATCTTGATGGGGCTGTTGCTCTCAGGCGGCATACGGTAGGAGTAGACCCAGAGGTCCTTCTCACGAATGACATCGGCCATGCGCCTCGATACCGTCACCCGGACAAAATACCGCAGTTTGACGTTGATGCCATTGTAGGATTCGTACTGTTTCTCGATGTTCTTGAAGTTGAATGGGAAGGTCTGCGGATGTTGCAGTTCGCCCGGAGCGGCGAGCTCTTGCACCAGGGAAAGGAATTCGTAGTGGTTACCGCGGTCGTAGAACATTTCTAGATGAGAACCATTGCGTCAGTTGATGCATTCCGTACACGCGCTGTATAGGCACAAGGCAGAAGAGTAAACAGAGAGCTTCATACCAATCGTGCCAATGAATTGCACCTTGATGCCCGTGTGCTCTAATCGCTTCCCATCCTTGGGTCTAACAGTCACGGCACCCTTGACGGACTCTCCATCCATGTAGAGAGGGACACGCTCGCGACGGCCCTTGTCGAGCTTGACGTCGACGGTCTGGCGTTCATCGCTGTCCTCGAGGACGACGTCAATGTCGACGGGGGTGGAGAAGAAAAGAGAAGTCATGATGGGCCAGGGATTGGAGGAGAATCGAAGATGGGTCTAGGCTTAATTCTCCGTGAGCTCGTTGAGGTATCAGATAATGAATCTGGCCATATCGCATAGGCAGCTCCGCCAACTCGACGTCAAGGCGGGATAAGCTGGCATGATGGATTACGTAACCACAGCACTTCCCCTCCTATCATGGAAGGAATCTCTTCAACTTCGACTTCAACTTTTGGAAATCAGTGTCGAATATATGCGGAATTGGAAATATTCCACATTTCGAAAGACAGTGTCGATGATCGTCTAGGTTGTCATTCTGAGCGATGATCAAAGCCAGTCAGACTGCCATATTACTTCATTTCTTGCCAGATGACCAGCTGCTCATATACGATGGCTATTCTATTCATTTCTCTATGATGATAGGATGGTCAGATCGCAGAAAAGTGATCATCTGATGAATGGGTATACCGGGTGCTATCCAAGTCATCGTTCAAATTCGGAAATTTATTTCCAGATAGGCTAATCACTTCAGTCTACTGATGGGCATGGGACGCTTTGAACGAGGAGATTATTTCCTCTTCAACACGATTCAGCAAGCCATTCCGACTTGATTCCTCGTCGATATTTATCCTGGAGTCATGATCTGTGACCCAGAACCGGAATTCGTTGAAGCATCTCGTACTCGTACTATTGAGACAGACCACCAAACAAGAGCCTGTATAAAGACAAGCCAGCAAGGCTGTCTGATCACGGGCTAGACAATGTCACATTATAAGTTAAAGCGGATAGCGCCGGGTTGCTACAGGAATAAGCAGTCACCGTCCATACGGAACGTTCAACCTGAGTTTCACAAGGGAGCTGGAATAGTTATCATTCGGCGAGGATGACCTTTGCTGGACAATCTGCAACAGAACGACGGGTTTCCCCGGATTCAATGACGCTTGGGCATCTGCGTGTCAGCCATGTTGCATCATGACGGCCAGGATGAAGGCCATCTTCAAGTTTCATCCAGCGATTGATAGGCAAATGGATGGCTACCCCTCATTCTGACCGGATAAAGGGTTCACCTGCTTATGACGGAAAAATTCCGGATCTAAAGGGATTGAGGCGATGAGGTTATGAGCGAATTGTTGGTACTTTAGTATTCGTCCCCCACGGGACCTGGAATCGGCAGTTTAAGGGAGAATCCGGGGAGTTGACAGGAAGAAGACAAAACTCCGTGGAGGAAGAAAAACATGGAGGGGGTCGGCATCAGAACAGGACGGACACCCGAGTCGGGATTGCATCAAGAGCTGAACCGTGATAGACGATCCTACCTGTACTTTCTGATATCTCCTGAAGGATGAATGCATAGTGCAGGATTACAATTACAGCGCAAATCCCAGGCGGACGGCATCTGATCCACTTCCGGATAGGGTTAGCGTGGGGGTGCAGCGGCTACTGGTATTGATGTACGGTATGTATCATTACCAAACATGATGTCATGTATTTACCTTACATTTACTATTCTTTAAGTACTTTACTTGTAGAGATGAAGGCAGAAATAAATAAGAATAGAAATAATAAAAGAGAGAATGTATTATACAATATGAAAGAAAGTAAATAGCCGAGTAGAATAGTAGGGAGGTATAAGAAGAATGCGTATCGTAATACAAGATCGATCTCCCACTAAACCAGACCGCCGGACTCATCCCTTTCGCGGTCTCTCTGTGTCCCCCACTCTCTCCTCGTCAATTCCCCCACTCGGCCCTGATGGTGATTTTATCTATAAGAGACTATTGAGCTCAATCCGATGTATTCTGTATCCAATGTGTGTCCAATAATAACTGTCTTGAATTGTTTGTCGGTTTGCCCGGTTTTCTTCAATCCGTCTTTTTCCCCAGCATGACCCACCGCCCCGAATTTTCATACTTAATCGGATTTGATCCCTTTCCTGAGTCCCCTAATCCGTAGATTCTCTTTTTAAATCTTTTTCTCTCTCTCTCTTCTCTTCTTATACATCCTCTGAATTGACGGTTCTGTCTACTCCGCCATTGTAGTTGGGTGAACCACTTCTCTCTCGTGTATCACTACAGCGTCATACCCGTTCCCTTCTTCGCCTTTTGCCTCTCACCTCATCTTCCTCCCTCCTTTCATCATGTTGTCTGCCGGGGAACGGCCTCAGCCGCCCATCAGTGCTGCGGTTGTCGATCCCACTCGCACACCCGTCAGCAAGGTCACCTTGGATGCTTCCACGTCTTCGATGTGGCCCGAGACGACCAAGGCGGAGAACCTTCAACACATCTGGGTTGTCACGGGCCCGGCCGGCTGTGGGAAAAGTACCGTTGGAAGAGGTCTACAGAAGCAGCTGGGCGTTCCTTTCCTCGAGGGTGATGATGTATGTATAGGATCCGCGTTCATCCATGTCAAAGATGCTAATGATGGCAGTTCCACCCTCACGCCAACAAGGAAAAGATGAGCAGCGGCACTCCCCTCACCGACGAAGACCGCTGGGACTGGCTCATCTCCCTGCGCAAGGCTGCCATCGAGGCCCTCTCTCCTTGCGAAGCCAACGGCTACCACCCCCCGCCTGGTGTCGTTGTCGCCTGTTCCGCCCTCAAGCAAAAGTACCGCGATGTCATGCGCGTTGCCGCCTACGGCTCCCCATCCGTCCAGATCCACTTCATCTACCTGCGCCTGGACGAGAGTATCCTGCTGCAGCGTGTCCAGCAGCGCAGCTCCCACTACATGAAGAGTTCAATGGTCCAGTCGCAGCTCCAGACCCTCGAAGAACCACAGGGTGAATGGGATGCGCTGACCGTCAACGTCCAAGGCAGCCAGGAACAAGTTCAGAGCAAGGTCATGGACCTGGTAGAAGCAAAGCTGGCTGAATATGAGTAGCCTGTCTTTTTTTTTTTCCCTGTTCTTTTCTGGTGTCTTATGGTGTTGGTGTTGGAAAACTTGGAACGACTCATGCTCTGGAAAGCGTGGCCTTTTTCGAAATATGGAGTTTGATCATTTGGTCGGTTTATCTTGGTTTTGGATACGTTTTTTTGTCTGTGTGATTGATACCCCCATGCTTAGGGGCAGAAATGGCATTTCTTCCTTGATCTTCATTATATCATCATTTTTTTGGTCATCCTTCGGAGTCGCTCCGATTAAAAAAATATATGACGTCATGCTCGAATGAGCACATTCTGTAACTTACATGCCATTTCTAGCCCTTACAATATACCAAATCATCTATCTATCTATTCAATTATCTACTTTATAGCTATATGCTGTCTTATGGATCATCCGGTTAGAACCAGTTCAATGAACTTATACATGACTCGACTAATCATGTGACAAAGAACAAAGCCCTATCTATACCCCAACACAAAATATATCTCCTTAACCAAGTCAAATTCACATGTCGCTGTCAATATCTTATGCTCTCCAAAGATATCCAATGGCAATATACTCATCGACAGAAAACAAGGTTAACTTATCAACAAAAAATGCAACAATATCCGAGTGGACAGACTTCAACCATCCAATAACAAAACTCATTACAAGAATTGGGTTAAGACAACCAATCTTGAACCAAGAGAGGAGATACTCCAGCTGTGTCTGATATGATCTTCTCTTAATATATTAGGAAACTCCCAAGACAGCCAGCAAGAGATCAACCACCCAGAAAAAAATAAAACAAAAAGCTCACCCCGACCAGTCCTCCTTCCTATGAGGTGGAAGACTAGTCTATCAGGGCTACGGAATCCTAGCAGTAGGGATTTACTCTGTGAACACCCGCTGCGACTCAATCCGGAAATTGGAGAGCCACAGCTGGGTTCGAACGCCCAGGACTTCTGTTTTGGGCAGAGGGCATGCTGCTGTCTTTTTTAGGAAAGAAAGAACAGCAGCATGACCACTCGACCACAGGCCCTGGGCTGGTTGGGGGAAGGGGCGGATGTGAATGGTAAGGTTGCCTGATTGGGAAGGTAGGTTATAGGGCTACTCCAGTCTTGACGGGTTTCATTCTAGGCTTTACCTATTCATTACTCTCTATCAACTACTGTGCATGCAGAGTAAGATGTTTAGATTGGAGATGTTCAGTACATAGTACATAGAAGCATCATGCATCTGAAACATAGCCATCGAGATATCGAAACATTGAGATATCCATCGCATGCTTAATCAATCTTCGCTCCATCATGCCCTTGATCTTCCTTCAAGACAAACACCAAAGACACATGTCAAAACAGAAAAGATTGAATCGCTACAATAATCCCAATCCCTTATTAAGCTCCAGCCTGATCAGCGCTAGCATCACCATCGTTTTCAGCATCTCCAGCACCTTCGGCACCGCCCTGTCCGTCCTGCTCATCCTTTTCCTCTTTGTCGTCTCGGATAATCGGGATATATTGCTCACTGATCGGGTCATACTCCATATCCGGCTGGCGTTTACCGAAAACTTTGATCCAGCTTTCCAATTTTTCCCGTGCTTCGCTGTTAAGCAAATCAAGAGATTCATCTCCAGGGATTAGCTGAATCAGGCGATGCATCGGGTCCGGGTCCGTGATGCTGGCCAGAATCTGACTGTTGTACGCATTGGGGCCCACAGAAACAGGTGGCGGCGTTGATTTATGATGCATATAGTAGAAGAGCTTCACGTTCGTACCGAATGCAATGATCACCAGACAACCCTGTAGGCCACGATACATTCCCTGGATCTGCTTCAATTGTTCCCTGTTGGAGAAGCTCTCTACGGCGTATCGCTGCACCTTCTCCCACTCCTCGGGTGATTCATCCTGGGAGCAACGAACCCACGCTTGAATCTCGCCGCATGTAATGGGTTCTATTTTCAGCTGGCGATATCTCGGAGGAAGGAGACAGCGATAGGAGGCAGTACTGAGACTAAGGAAACCGGATTTATCTTTCCCAACAAGCAATTCAATCAGGTATTTGCCCCAGGCTTTTTCAACTAGCCCCGGATATGCATACTCGGGGAGTTTGAAAATTAGGCCTTCGGTATCTCGAGCACTACTCCAGTAGTATCCTTCTCTATGCAATGTTAGACTTGATTCCAATAATAAAGACCGGCGAATGAATTAAACTTACCGAACTGGACGGTTCTTTTTGTTTAGATAGCTAGTATCCTTCTGTGGAATACCTGGCAAGTTCAAATTCACAGAGCTCATGAGAGACATTCGATTGGCATCGGCAACCCCAACAACAGGATTCAGGGTGAACGCGGGATCGTGCATTCCGTAGTCCAAATCGTAATCTGGAACACCATAGCCGCACGTTGAATGAAATATTTCTCCTGTGTGCCGATTCTCAAACACGAACTCTTCAGTGTTCTCGGGGCTCATTCCAACTATCTCATAATCGTTGTTCGGCCGATACTTGCGGTAGCTCATCTCCCGGCAGCAGGGTGAAATCTTGGCGAGATTGTTATAGGTTTGTGTGTCGGAGAATTGCATAATGGCAGTCATTATCTCGTTGGGGAGCTTGTGGGATTTTGCGCCTGCGAGACGTTGATCTGTGGCCACATCAAAGAAATTCATCATAGCGACGAAGCCCCCACGCTCTTTTTTTAGTATGGCTTCCTTTCTCAATTGCTCGGGGTTCTTTTCATCATCGTCAACTTCATAGTACACGTATTCCTCATCTGATTCGTCGTCACTTTCGTCGTCATTCTCGTCAGGGTTGTAGTCCTCGTCATCCGAATCGTCTTCATCATCTTCGCTTTCATGTTCGTTATTCAAATCAAGAGAAGGATACTCATTGCCAGGGTTCTCTTCATCGGTATTGGAAATGAGTGGCGTAGGGTCAGACGATATGCTACTGTCTTGGGTAGATTCCAGATTTCTGGAACGGGGTCCTTCTGAGTATCGAGAGTTCTTGTCATCAAAATAGAATAAGGTCATCAAAGGCGATCTTTGAACATGCACTTTTCCGTCCTTGTCCACATGAACCTGAATTAGCACAAAGTCCAGGATCGAGAAGACCATGGCGTGAAAGTGTTTCAGCCCTTGATCAAGACCCGAATCGACTACCGTGGCTACTGATGCTTCTTCGAGATCGACCAAGTCAAGCCTAGAAGCCAGGTACACGAGGACATTCCCAAACCAATACATTGTGCTTTGGGGTGCCGAGCCAGATTCTACTCCAGGAAGATGGCTTTCACGCAGAAATCTGGGAAGCAGCTTTTGTTGGTTGTGGCCAAGTCTTTCTTCTGGAATTAGGAAGTAGCCTTCAGACAGGTAGTTTCTGTCAAGCACATCTGGGCATTCGAAAGCGACCTCCCCTGTTGCAAGAGAGAGTATAGCGAAAGCAATCTCTCTGAATGAGAAATCTTCAGGCTTCCACCCACTGGCAGATCTATCCAAAACGTCCCCATAGATCTTTCGGGTAGCCCAATAAGTGAACATCAAGAATTTCTGACGGGGGGCACGTTCAGCATTAATACCAGCCTTTGGAGAGACCACCTCAATACTGAGCTCGCTGTATCTAGCTTTGGCTTTGTTGTCAACATTGGGCTCATAGGTAATAGTGCCTATTATGTCCGAGGGGGTGTCTTGGTGGAGTACTCTGCGTCTGCGATTGTCCACACTGAGGTATTTAATCCAGACTTCCTCGCGGGGTATCTTGGACAGCTTGAAGGTGGCACCATCGTCAATAATTAGAACCTCCCGATCGAGATCGATGGTGTAAGTAAATTCAATGAACAAGTTGAGGGTATTACCCTCCATGGTCTGTGTCGGGGGACATTCAAGTCGGTCATCGACTGCTAGATAGCACTTGGCATATTCTTCGCATGCTGAAATGTCACGGCTCTCCTGGCCAACTTCGACAGCTACAGGAAGGTGTTTTTCTTCGAATTGCAGAGCAAGATCAGAGTATGCTTTTCGCATTAACTTCAGCCATTCTAAGGAAGGGTTGTCAGTGGAAGATTAAAGCTTCAAAGTAGCTACTGTACTGACCTCGATATTTCTCTGGATCCTCGGGTATCTCAGCAACAATCGCCTCTCCAAGCCCTTCAGGGTAACTGTCGTATTGGTTGTAGTAGACAAAGTATCTACCACGGCAGCGGATAAAGACAAGCCCTCTGGTTCCCATTTTGAACCTCGAATGACCGGAATACGATCAAGGTCAGAATGGGGAAAAGTTAAGATGCGAAGTCTCAGGAGAGAAATGTATTGGAGAAAAGTGAAGAGGGGTGGAGGGGTCAGTGAATAAAGGGGGGTTGTTGACAACGACAAGGCTGGTGGAAGACCGCCTAGGCAACAGGGGGCTGGCGATACGCGCAGTCAAAGAAACTGAGCTATCAACCTGCAGAGCTGAAAAAATTTTATTGGCCTAGCATAGACCAAGGTGAGGATATATGTAGTGACGAACTGAATTTCGGATGGGAAACTGCAGGTTGATATGTATGTCCATCTGCTTTCTACAGTACTATACACTAGAGATTATAGGTTAGTAGGATATTCTTTTTAGCTGGAGATCACGAGGATATAAAGAAAGGATATGAATCAAAGGTCTATGCATCTTTTAGAAGGATCTTCATCCCCTTCATAATGATCTATATCAACTATTTTAGGTTCAATAGCATAAGTTCTGGCGATTCGATGCAATCCCGGATTCTGCTGGCCATTCGAGCCATGGTCGCCCCATCCACCACTCTATGGTCTGCACTCCAACTGAAATTCACCAGCTCTCCCTTCGTGACCTGCCCGGCATCATCGAAAATAGGCACTGTTCTTGACCTTCCGATTCCTAGAATCGCAACCTCCGTGGGTACAAGAACTGGTCCAACATAAGTTCCTCCAATATTACCAATATTAGAAACAGTGATTGTGCCACCACTGAGATCAGCAGGAGTAAGCTTCCCCTCTTTTCCAAGTGCGCTCAAACGAGAGACCTCAGATGCAACATCTAGGATCGAGCGGTTTGCAACGTCTTTGATGTTTGGTACAATCAAGCCCTGCGGAGTATCCATTGCCACTCCGATATTATGCTTTGGCCGCATGATGAGCTTCGGTTTGTTAGGGTCGCTCGTGTCAACCTTGGCATTCAAGAGAGGATACTCGCTCAGAGCAAGAGAAACAGCCTTAATAACGAAAGAAAGGAAGGTGATCTTTATAGGATCTTTAGGGTCGTTGGCCAGTCTCTTTCTCATAGCGGTGAGAGTATCAATCTTAAGCTCATCGGCGTAGAGGAAATGAGGAATATTGAGTGACTTGGTCATTATCTTGAACATCTGGGACTGGATTGGTGTTAGGTTGACGGCCGTTTCTGTTTGGGGCGTTTCAGAAACTGCAGACTGTTCTGCAACACCCGAATCTCGCATCGCGATGAACCGGTTGACGTCTTCTTTAAGGACCCTTCCATCTTTTCCGGTTCCCTTGACATCAAGAATGTTGACCTTGTGAATCTTAAGTAGTCCACGGACCGCCGGGGTAGCGAGCGAAGCATATCTTGATTTTGGGGCATCCCTAGTCTCTGATACGGGCTCCGGGATCGGCGTTTGTTGCGTCGTTTGAGTATCTACAGGAGCGGGAGTAGACTGGACCGGTTCCGCTTGGGGTTCGGGTTTCGGTGAATCATCTGGATATTTCGCATCGTCTACCTCAATGTCACATAGGGCCTGTGAAAATAGACTATGTGTTAGCATATAAGACCTACAAAGGAGTGGCAAGGATAGACTACTTACCTTTCCTGTTGGGACAGTGTCATCTGCCTGGAAGTGAAGCTTCTTAACAACGCCTTCATATCTCGATGTAATCTAGATGCATCGATTAGCATCATGGTTTAACGGACAGGACATGAATCAATTGACTGACATCATCGACCGCCTTATCCGATTGATATTGACAAAGAGGTTTCCATTCCTCGATATGAGCCCCCTCTTCGACATACCACTGGATGATCTGGACTTCCATGATACCTAAGAAAGGAACAAGCGAATAAGTAGATGTCGAGGAAGAAAAGAAGATAAGCAATGACTTACCCTCGCCAACATCCTTCAAAACCTGAGACTTGATTCCCCACAAAGATGGAGCAGCGTGGAATCCTCGGCGAGGAATCGTCGACAGTACTGTAGAAGTAATTGGGAGGACTGTCCTCGGCCTGCATGGCGACTTGAGAGCCCGGGATATGCTTCCACCGAAACGAAGGATACTCATCTTCAATCTCTCTATTCAGAATCAAAGAAATGAAAAACAAAAACGTCTTGTCCGAAAAAAGCCATCACAAGTGGCATCCTGAATGATTATTATGGCAGAGTATCTCCGCAACCCTGCCTTGCATCGCCGACGATAACCGACGACAGCGTCACACCACGTGATCTACTCCGCATTTTCGATAATGGGGGGATCCGGGCCGTTTTGGTTCCGGTCAGTGTTAGCAACAGGTGCATTAAGAGAAATCATTTATATGGCACGTGGATAGGGTTGGTTCATTAAGCTACTGACATCCGCTGTTCTTTGGCAAGATGATGTCCACGTTAAGTCAAGCTGCAACGGAGCTCCATAGATGACAGGTAGCTTATGTGTGAGTATATACTTAGAACATTTCCATCTTCAGTAATCCAAGCTGCCATTTATCTATTAATCCTAGGTATTGCTCATATCTGCTTGCATCTGGATTCTGGAAGCTATCAGCCACTATAAAGCCGATCCCTCGATTTATATGGCGGTGCATCTCTGATCGTCATGGCATTACGTACTCCGCTAATTCTGCCATTGGCCAATGAGCATGCTCTCCATGACCCAATCAGCCCCTGAGCTTCGCTGGAGCGAGCAAAGATTGAACCTGATTGGACCAAATTCAATTTACAGCCGGGGCCCCTGGGGGTCTGAGTGGCGATGCTCATTGGCTGTCTACCCGTGACATGGCATCCAGACCAATCAATGATGTTCCTTCGTGGCTGCCTCGGTGCCTCAGGGCTGAGGTTGCGATGGAGGAGCGCATTTGTTGATCTTCGAATTGTGCCTCGCTGTTCTTCCTGCACCACCGCTGACAAGATATTCAGAATCTGCGCTATACATACACATATAACATCATGGTGGCCGAACGTTTGACCTTCCGAAACCTTACCTCGACGCCAATTACCTTAAAGAGCCTCGAGCGGTTTCGCGCACCAGGCAATGGCATCACCCGAGTTTTGTCCAATATCTCTTGCACCAGTGACCATTCTGGTGACGAGCCCTTTACACACGAGGAGGTCAATTTCCATGCTGAGCCCTTCAAAACTATCGAGACGGAGCTCCCCGCGTTCATGGACTCGGAGAAGGAGCGATTGCGCTGGACCTTCGAGGTCGAGAGGGAGCAATACCAGATCAACACACCCGTGTCGGCGAGTGAATCGGCCACTATGAAGGCATTAAGCGACGAGCCTCGTTTCCAATTCACCTGCATCTTCCTGAGAGATGAGTCCTACTTGACCATTTTCTCGTCCGCTCATCTGAATGCGTGGATGGGCGAACTGAACGATAACACTTTGCTCTCCTCTCTTTCAATCCCTGGCACGCACAACTCTCCAACCTGCCATCTGGCCCCTCCTTCAGTCCGCTGCCAGTCTGTCAGTCCTCGGGAGCAATTGCGCAATGGGGTTCGGTTCTTTGATATCCGTGTACAGCCCCAACACCCCGAGAACCCGGACCGTGACGAACTGGTCTTGGTACACGGTGTTTTCCCAATTTCTTTCACTGGGAGCAAATACTTCAAGGACTTGATGAACGAGGTGGACGGGTTCCTCGAACACAACCCCACTGAAACACTCATCATCTCATTGAAACGCGAAGGTCCCGGAGAGCACAGCGACGAGCAGCTGAGTCGCATCATGCGCGATCACTACGCGATCCCCGAAAGCCGGTGGTATACAGAGCCTAAGATCCCAACCGTAGGCGAAGTCCGCGGCAAGGTTGTTCTCATTCGTCGGTTCCACATCGAAGAACGACTGAAGCACGAGCATGGAGACAGGGGCTGGGGCATTGATGCTGGCGACTGGGCGGACAATTGCGCCCATGCAGTCTGCCCGAGTGGTCAGGTCTGCATCCAGGATTTCTACGAGGTCCTGGAGACAAACACTATCGAGAAGAAAATTCAATACGTCACGGAACAGTGCCACCGCTCCAGTGAGACATGCTACCCATTTGGCATTCTCCCAGACCCCGATGCTACCAGAGCGCATCCCTTTTATATCAACTTCCTCAGCGCCAGTAATTTCTGGAAGTATGGAACCTGGCCCGAGAAGATTGCGGCCAAGTTGAACCCGGCGACTGTGGATTATCTCTGTCGGAAACATAGTGAAAAGGACGGTGACTGGTCTACTGGTATCCTGGTCACGGATTGGGTCGGACACGATGGCGATTGGGACCTCGTGCGGTGCATCGTGGGCATGAATTCCAAACTGAGATTGAGACAAATGGGATACGAGGAGTCCTGAGCTACGAGTTTGAAAAGAGTTAGTCCTCTGTCTATTATATGCCTCATGATAGTATCCGCTTCTGAAAAAGCATTTCGAATATAACATGACAATCTTTAATTTCTCCTTTTGAAAATATACAACTATTCTTATCAGCCAAAGCCCGGTAGATAACAGAAATGGAAAAGCATATTATTGTACATGGAGAGCCAGGGTGACCCCACAAAGTCATTACGACTCGTTCTTCTCTTCGGGGCCCTTTTGCTCCTCCTCGAGAACACTCCGTCTGCTTTCCAATGTGAGGTACAGACTCTTTCCAGCACCCTCCAAAGCACTTGTGATGCCAGATCCCATGCTCTGCAACGCGGTGACCAACTGGGATCGCAAGCCATCCATACCACCCTCGATGCTGCCAACCCACTTTGTTTGGTCGACATCAAACACATTGCCGTCCACACGTGCGGCGAGAAGATCGAGCTTCTTCAGACCGTTTTGAACGGGCAGCTCATGCCATCCGGGGTTGGCTCTGCGGGTCGGCTGGGGGAAACCGGCTGCCTTGGGGGCAAGGACTGTCAAGGCGGCCTTCATGTGTTCCGGAGAGACTTGAGGGATCGAAAGTACAGCCAACGGGCCAACCAAGAGCGTTGATAGTTCGTGCTTGCCCTTCATGTGCTGCACAGCATCGTGGGCCGCACGCGACAGGTCATGGGTCAGGGTCGGGTCGTCTCTCGAGCCAGAGACCGGGGGAAGTTCTGCGGAAGTCTGAGTAACCGGGTCGACGGCACGGGGAGGCTGTCCAGCGGCCAAAGCACCCTGATCAGGGCGGAAATACTCGACGATACGCAGCGCAACTTCGAAGATGCTGGTCTGGATGATTTGCACCTTGATATGGGGAGCAAGGGGCGGAAGATCCCGTCCTTCCGAAGCGATCTTCTCGTCAACCTTCTGCATAGCCTGGCTCAGCTCCCGACGAATACCAGCCCATTCCACAGACTGGAGGTTATTGTGCTGAAGGAACACCATAAGAGGTGTAGTGCGAATGAGGGAGGTGTATTGCCGCAGAAGTTGAGACCGTCGGTATTCGGGATTGCGATGGGACGGAGGCTGGGTGGGAGAATGTCTGGAAATCGGGGGAGGAGAAGTCGTCATCTGCTCTACTGAGGGTGCAGGTGTCGTGGCTGTGGCAGCAGTACTCGCACACCTGCTGGAGACAGAGATCTCATATTGGCAGAGGAGTCTTTGCCGTCGGAACGACTGAGAAATGCGTCCAGCGGACGAGAGTCGTAACCTAGGAGGCATGATGTGGCAATATTGAAACCAAGCAATTGCAATTGAAAAAGGAAGGAGCCCCTGGATAATGCAAGATCGAAAAACCAGCCCCAAAACGCCGAGATTGGTGATGTTCGACGATGATGTTCAAGGCACGCGGAAGAGAGCAAAAGAAATCCGTTGTTGAATTCCCAAAGAGGAATGGCCGTGTAGCCCGGGCGGTGGCTTTCTGCCATCATCGGCATTGGATGGTGACTCGATTCTGGGATTGAGGTGACACAAGTAGCAATACTGGAAACTTTGTTCTTTTTACCCCCTATTCTTTGTATTGTATAAATACATTGAAGGTCTTCTGAGTTCTCCTGTATCTCAATTGACCCAAAGTTGAACAATATGACTTCCCATCCTCTTGATCTCCAGCCGGGGCAAGTCTCCATTTCGCCCCTCCTCAAGCAGCTTGCCTACCCCGCGAACGAAATTCCCGTGAGCGCATTGGAAATCGCCTCAGCATTCGCCTTGATTTTCGAAGACAAACTCTCTGCTATTCAAACTGCAGCTCTATTGACGCTCCTGCACTCCACTGGAAAAGATCGCGAAGCAGATGTGATTGCACAATGTTCCAGTCGCATGAGAGACGCCGCTTCGCAAATCGAAAAAGGTCCTCTGGAACAGGCCGTCAAGTCTCGTGGAAAGAAGGAAGGCAATTACAATGGTGGTCTTGTGAGTTTACTTCCAAAAACTAGTGAACTATTTTTCTGATATGTTGTCTCTTCTCAGTGTGACATTGTCGGAACCGGCGGAGATTCGCATTCTACATTCAATGTTTCGACAACAGCCTCGATCATCGCGTCCCCACTCCTCATGATGGCTAAGCATGGAAACCGTGCCCAGACCTCCTTCTCTGGATCTGCTGACGTCCTCAATGCCGTTGCACCGGTGCCCCCGAAAATTTCCGCGCTCAACGCTGAGAACATCACCAAGGTGTACGAAGCGACCAACTATGCGTTCCTATTCGCTCCCAATTTCCACCAGGCTATGATGTACGCCAATCCAGTGCGCCGGGGTCTGGGTCTCCGAACAATCTTCAACCTCATGGGGCCGCTTGCCAACCCTCTTGACTGGGCCCTGGAGGCACGAGTAGTTGGTGTCGCGTACCAGAGTCTTGGGCCAGTCTTTGTTGAGGCAATCAAACAACTTGGTGCGAAAAAGGCTCTCGTCGTTTGTGGTGAGGAAGATATGGATGAAATCAGTTGCGCAGGCAAGACCAACTGTTGGAGGCTTTCCGAGTACCCCAATCCCGCATACCAAGAATCAGGAAATGACAACGAAGACGACACACCACGCACCCTGGTCAAGGTGGACACTTTCCAACTTCACCCATCAGATTTCGGCCTACCTACTCACCCTCTCACTGAGGTGTTCGGAAGAAAGATGCCCCAAGACAATGCTGCTAAGTTGATGAGCATTTTGCGTAACGAATTGCCCCGGGATGACCCAATCCTGGACTTTGTGGTCATGAACGTGGCTGCTCTCCTGGTAACTTCAGGGATCTGCGAGTCTGAAACCAGCAACATGGGCCCTGAGGATGATGGTAAAGTCATCACTGAGCGTGGACCTGGTGGTGGACGCTGGAAGGAAGGTGCTCGCCGTGCACGATGGGCAATCGAAAGTCGCTCGTCACTCAAGTCCTTCGAAGATTTCATTGAAGTCACAAACAAACTTTAATAGGGTGTTCTTGGGCATTGGAAATTTATTATCTTGTTATCTTCTTGGTTTTATTTCGGTCACTTCAGGCCGCCAAATTTTTGTTGCACAACTATTTTCCAGGGTGGCTTAGGATAGATAGATTTTTGTTATGGAGAAATGAATGCTTCAAAGAGCAAGGTCTGATGAAGACCTTTAAAGAACAAAAATGGAATAAAACGTTTCGTATCTTCACTAGCCATCAGTTGTCCATAGACAGCTTATAACTAAATCCATGCCCCAAGAGCATATCTGAAGAATCACCCACTCCCTCACAGTTTTCAATATTGGGTCTTCCAAACTCCAAAGCGCCAATAAATGCACATCACAATCGTAAAGAGAAAAAGAGGTAATCCCCATCCCAGCACTGCGTCATTCCCTCGAGGGACACATTCCAGGTAACGTCTACCGAGCTTCGAACTGCACCATTCTATTCACAAAATTCCATTAGCAACTGCTCAATGACCAAAGATAGAACATGGCTGAACAAAAAAGTGTAACTAACCTCTTCGTTCTCTCCTTGTACAACACACGGTGACCACATTCCTTGCAACGGATCTGATCGCCCCTCTTCAGCGAAACGCGCGAGTTGCACTCGCCACAGAGGTAGGCGACAATGGGACCATCCATGGAGCTGGCACCGACATCACCGAAGGCGTTCTGGGTGCCGAGCGAGGGGACTTGGTAGGCTTCGCGAGACATGGTGACTGGGGATTTTCTGCGCGGGGGTTTGTATAGCACTGGTAGATAGACTGGGTCTTTTGCAAAGGGCGGATATAAGGACCGAGGAAGATGGCTGAGAGGAAAGAAAAGACAACTGCACGATCTCCAGATCTTTTTTCGATGAATTTGCCTGGACTGGCGATGATTGCTTTAGGTGGATGAGTCAGCTGCCATTGCAGTGTTGCACTAACCGTATATGGAGTAGCGCCATATCTACAAAGTCTAACCGTTTTTGTCATCTCAGGTACCATCATCCATCAAGCATGATACGAAAGGCAAAATAATATCAGTCTAGCAACTTGTAAATGTCTTTATTCATATAGCCAGTTTCAAAAATTTAATCATAACCTCATCAAACTTGAAGTCCATCCAGCTTGTTTTGGAAAACGCTAAGGTTTCCATTTTCAGCTGCGGCTCCTCTAGCAGAGTCATCGATGACTGCAAAGACAATGTGCTCCCACCATCCTTTGAACTCCTTTTCCTTGAGCACTTCCGCCCAGCAGTCTGCTACTTCGTGCTTAGGGTTAAAGAAGGCACCGCAGCCAAAGGCGCCTAATACCAGCCGACGGTGCTTCTTGTACGCTGCCACTCGGAGAATGACACGCATCTTGCTCTTCATGAAGTCTCGGTCCGTATTGTGTTTATACCTGGGTGGCGTGAAACTTAGGTCCAATTCTGGTCCTTGTAATGCGGCCACACTGACGACGCTGACGACAGGAAGATAATCAGGCTTCTTTATGTCCATCAGTCTATGCCCCCTTTGGAAATTATCACGAAATACAACAACTGTCGGCGAGTACACAGCATCGAAATCTCCTAAAGGGTAATACCGCAGTTTAAGTGTGAAACTCAGACTGCTGCGGTAACAAAGTTCTTCTTCTTGGGCAATAGCTCCATTAAGCCAGCCTCCTCCTGCTCTCCACTGGTTGGCCATATTGAGCACACAGACAGGCTTAGCATCTCGGGTGCCATAAATTAGAGAGCTATTGGCAAGATTGATGGCAACATCGAACGAGTCTCCATTAACAACCTTTACTGTGGTGTTGTTAAATCTGGGGCAAAAGGTCGAACCCAGGGTGGACGGGTTAGAGATCAGATATCCATCTTTAGGAGCATGAGGCATCGAGTCCAAGAGGCCGGGAAGGAGTGATTTTGTCTCTTTTGCGACTTGCGACAATATCATTCTCCTGTTCATCTCAGCGGGCGAGCGCTGAGGCCTGGGGTCTCGAGCTTGAGCCAATTCCCCCTTCGAGTCTGTATGTGGTAAGTCTGTAGACCGTGATATTTGCGAGATAGCATTTTGTTGCAAAAAGTTTTGCTCTTCTTCTCCATGAACAGGTGATTGAGAATGCGTCGGTTTGTTCCGGGGTGTCAGAACAGGATAAAACGAAGAGATGGACAATTGCTTGAATCCATCAGACGGTGGGCTTTCCATATTTGATGCTGGCCTGCTGGAAGTAAGGAGTCGATGACTCCGCCAACCCACAGGTCCAGTTCCCCTGGTATTTATATCCGTTAAGTAATGTGAGGCTCATCTGATCGTCGGTGCTGCAGCCTAGACAAAGGACAAAAGTGAGGCAGAAACGTCAGGCGGTGGGCTTATCAGGGCCGATCGCGGGGTGAATAATACGAATCGCTGACTCGCCACTTGCGATGACAAAGCGTTTGATTAGAGATCACCATACTTTCTTTCTCCCTCTCCTCAACATTCTACTCTGATTTTTGTTACTCTTGATCGTTTTTCTGGATTTTCTTGTCTTTTAATACCCTTGCGATACCTCTAGTCTGAGGAAACAGCGCGAAAATCATATCAGGCAAAGAAACCTCTGACGAACTGAATCCAAAGTGGCGTTATACCAGTAGCGGGATCTTGCAGAGCGACATCTGCCACAATGAGTGCGATTCTTTCGGCAGACGATCTGAACGACTTCATCTCCCCTGGTGTTGCCTGTATTAAACCCGTTGAGACTCTTCCACAAAAAGACACTCAAGCCTCAGAGGTTGGTTTCCTCTCATCGCCAATTTACTCCCTCCAATAGACGGTTGCTGATTTCTCATCTAGCAGAACGCTTATGAAGTGACGACAGAAGACAAGGTCGAGCCTGAGAAGCCTCCACCGGCGCAGATCTCATTGACCGATTGCCTTGCCTGCTCCGGCTGTGTCACATCCGCAGAAGCCGTTTTGATTTCGTTGCAGTCGCATACAGAGGTTCTCAACACACTCGATGCGCATCCCGAAATACCATTGATCAACGGGCAAGATGGAACAGTTGTTGGTAGTAATGCAATCCCCGACGAAGGACGGATATTTGTTGCAAGTGTCAGTCCGCAAGTCAGAGCGAGTCTGGCGGCCACCTATGGCATCACCGAAAAAGAAGCAACATACATGATCGATCAATTGCTTCGTGGTCCACATGGTCTGAGAGCTGGTGGTAAAAATGGAAGTGGATTTACCTGGGTTGTGGATACGAATGTCATGCGTGAGGCGGTTCTGGCTCTCACAGCGGATGAAGTGAGCGAGTCGTTGAACTCAGGTGGCTCGTCTGCCGCAACATCTCTTCCTAAACGACCGATCTTGTCATCAGCTTGCCCTGGCTGGATCTGTTATGCTGAAAAGACGCATCCGTTTATTCTTCCTCATCTATCCCGGTTGAAATCTCCCCAGGCTTTGGCTGGTACCCTTTTCAAAACCGTTTTGAGCAAATCTCTTGGTGTCTCGCCTTCTCACATATGGCATGTCGCCGTAATGCCATGCTTCGACAAGAAGCTTGAGGCTAGTCGGGAAGAACTAACCGACGTGTCATGGAACCCCGTTGAAAATACATCTACAGAATCTCAGTCGCCTGTTCGTGATGTCGACTGTGTTATCACTGCTCGTGAGCTTCTTACATTGGCCTCTGCCCGAGGCATCTCTCTTCCTGGGCTACCGATGAAGCCCTTGAATCCGTCTTCGACTCTTCCATTCCCAGACAAGACCTTAAATTCATTTCTGTTCTCCAAAGTCTCTTCTTCGGAGCAAATTCTCGAAGCCGGTACCTCTGGAGGCTATCTCTACCATGTTCTCTTGGCTTTTCAGTCTCGAAACCCCGGGAGCCAAATTGTGGCTCAGCGCGGGCGAAATGCGGATGTAGTGGAATACACTCTCATTTCCCCAGAACAGCAGCCCATCCTAAAGGCAGCCCGCTATTACGGCTTCCGCAATATTCAAAACCTTGTCCGAAAACTCAAGCCCGCACGAGCATCAAGACTTCCAGGTGCAAAGGCACCAGTAAGTCGACGACAGCCAATGTCACGAAACGCAGCCTCTGGTGGATCAGGTACAGATTACGCTTATGTGGAAGTCATGGCATGTCCTGGTGGCTGTACCAATGGGGGTGGTCAAATTCGGATCGAAGATGCTAGGGAAGCCGATCCTAACGCCCAGGCAGTGTCCTCGGAAACACCTGGAACGTCGACCAAGCCCTCGCCACATGAACAACGCGCATGGCTTGCTCGCGTTGATGAAGCATATTACTCTGCAGACTCAGATGCCGAGATTGAGGTCGAGAATCGTCCTCTGCTTTCTATTTCAGACAAGGAAGCTCGAATTCATGAAACTATGCAATATTGGTCCCAGCTGATGCAAGTCCCTCTTTCCAAGCTGGCGCATACAACCTATCGCGAAGTAGAAAGCGATGTTGGCAAAACGCAGGAAGCGCCCAACGACGCAACTCGCGTCGTTGAACTGGCGGGAAAGATCGGTGGTGGCTGGTAAGCCTGTTCAGCCGAGTTTTTCTATATGCGCCCTTAGTTTTTTTTTTTTTTTGCTTTTCGTTTCTTGCATTTATACGGATATAGAGAGATACCAATTTTGCCGTTTTGTCGCTTTGGATACTATATTCATCTTTCATAATTTGGAGTTTCAAAATGGGTGTTATGAACTTGACTGACCAATGGGTCATATATGATACGGATCATACTAAAAAGTTATATCATGCAATAATAGAGATGAATGGTGATCATTTTGGCATATTTGCACAAACATGTCTACTTTCAAAACACATTTCGTCTGCGCACTGAATCTCCAGTTTAGGTAGTTAAGTAAATGAAGCAAATGGAAGACTCGAGCTCGAAGAGGTAACCAGGAGCCTGGTTTGTTTATGTTGCAAAGTCATGAAATATGTTACAGAAGATGGACGGCACAAAGCCAAATACTCATGTATGGATAGCCTATTTCCTCGTCCGCGTGGAACGTCGCCTGCCAGCAGGCTCTTTGCTCTCTTCGCCCTCTTCCTCGGGTTTCACTGCTTTGGTGGTTTGCTTCTTCGATGCTGGTCTCTTCGGTTTGGCTTCCTCTTCGTCCTCCTCTGGCTCGGTTTTCTCTTTCGGGGCTGCTCGCTTCCGCTTGGAGTTGCTCTGCGTACCATCGGCACCCTCATCATTGTCTTCCTTGGTCACAACGCCGCTCTTTTTCTGCACTGACGGAACGACTGCACTGGTTCTGCCTCCAACTGTAAGGAATATGATCTTCTCTCCGTTAGGTAGAACGGCTGACGCATTTTTCTTTCCTTTGCCCCACCGATGTTTAAATAACCAGTGTTCTGGGAATTTCTCCGAGTCCGCTAGCAGGTCCACGGAGGTTGAGCAGACGTAATGCATGGAAGTGTGGATCCTTTGGATCTGTTCGTCACTTAGAGTATTGCTATATTGTTCTGGGTGTACCTTAGCATGGTATAGGATCTCGTCACTGAAAAACAGTTAGTATCCCAGTAGATATTGCCATCGTTGTCACCACAACATACCCCATCCAGTTTCCAATTCCACTGATATTTGCTTGGTCAAGGAGAAGAGCTTTAATGGGCACCTTTTTGCTCCTCAGCTTATCTCCCAGCCACTTCTCCGTCACAATATCCTTATCAGCAACAGGGTCCGGGCCATTTTCCTTGAGAGGAGTGAACTTCCGGATCTCGTCTGCAGGGCAATCTACCAATCTCACTCGAGCAAGTCTGCGAGCATCGACAAATGCGGCCTCTGTCTTGGGGTCCTCATCTGTTTCCAACATGAACTTCCAATACTTGGGCGGCCACGCCTTATCTTCCGGCTTATCAGATCGATAGTAATATGTATCGGCATCTCGAATCTTCAGCCAACCACTCATCCCAAAATGCATCACAGCGTGTGGGGGCGATGACATTGTGATCCAGAAATACTTGCCCTGTTGACCAGAGCCGACAATCTTCTTCCCCTGCATGGCTTTTTCGAATTCTGAGGCGCTAGTGCCAGCTTTTCCATAGACAATGTCATCATGCTGCGTAGATACCTTGGACAGTGTTTTCCCAACAAGATGTTGGCGGATGAAATGAACAATGCGCGAAACTTCTGCTAACTCAGGCATAATGGGTGGTTGTAATGAATGGTATATAGTCAGTTAAGCATTAATTGAAGAAAAGTCTTTACCAATAAATGATATGATAGCGATTGTAGAAAGATGATATGAGCTCAAATGCGAATAGCTTATGGCCAGCCTCGACACGTGATGTCAGCGATGGGACGCGACACGAGTCACGCTATCACGTGCTTTAAATTAAAAGCATTAAGTGCTTAGTAACAGCGTCTGACTTATGCAGATTAGCTCATGCGGGCGAAGCTTGGAATCGCATCATGTCACCCCATTCTATCTGGAGCTCTCCAAGCCTCTCGATACAACCTCGGTGATTCTCAAAGTGTGCATCCAGGAATATCTGTACTTCATATCTCACCTCCTTGGCGATCAACGGAGTTTCAACTAAAACTGAGTCTTGCTCATACACTTTCTCATTACTCCGCCACCAAACCGACGTTGGTCTTAATCGCATATACTGTACAATCTGGAGTGGTTTTGGGCTACAAATTCCAAGGTAGAGCGGGAGTCAAGGGGACCTGGGGCTAGGAACATGTCGCAAGCATCATCGACGCCAGCGCCAGCATTGAGGCCTCAGTTTTGTTTCGATGAAAGGCTGCTCCGAGGTATGTTCTGAAGCTGGGTAGCTGTGGTTGCTTGGGTCTGATCATTTTTATTCTGGGTAGATTTTCTACGGCTCTCGAGATCTACGATAGATGACTCTATCACGCAAAATCTCAATGCGCTGGTTACTCCGGCCCGAGAGGGATTCGATCCCTCGTCAACTGCGGTGCGCCAAACAGGATCTGGTGCCGGGAAACAAATAGATCCCCGGGCTTGTCAGTCTTTCAAAGACAATGTGTTATTTTCCTCGTGGCAAACCAGATCCGACGTCCTCAATTACTGCGCCGGAGTGGCTACGAGTCCGGATCCCGAAGACCCGGATCTGATCCTTCGACAGACCGAATCCGCAAAAGATCGAGAGCGAGTAGTTGATGAACGACTAGATCCATACTCAGCTCGGTTCTTCCCTCAAGAAGCACGAACTGAATCGCTTGCCAATTTGGTCCGGAATCAACGCATGGTCGAGGAAATTATACGTGCCCGTACATGGAGTCTGGTGTCTGAAAGGTGCGGCGGTGCTCCGTCACACTGGGAAGACGCTCTCAATGGCTGGCGAGAAAGGAAGCAGCAATGATCACGATATCATATGGCGACTCGACGAGCGGTGGGGTGCTTTGCTTGTTAGATGCACTGCCTATAACGCCCTGCCCATTCTCTGCTCTAGCGATTCTGTCGGCTATTTAACCCTTGGACATGATAGTAAATGTTGTAAAATAGTTGCATAAATGGCGTTGCTTCCCAACCGTGAAACACCAGGTTTGGCCATGCTTAGATGAAACCCCAACGGATATAACCGGATATACCCATTGAAATCTAGAACCTGCTTTCATTGACCATTTGACCAGCCATATCATCGACGCAGTATCCATGTCAGCATGCCGTGGATGGTTGCACCATCAGGCCATAAGGCTGTCGCATCTGCACGCAAGCTTTGTCGTCGGATAATTATTTCGTCTGTCGCCGGGCAGCCCTCGAGAGAGGCGTATACTCGAGTAGTAGAGCAGATTAACTCGCAGCTAGGAGGCAATTTACTGGGAGAGAAATAAATTAGAATGAAATTGCATGTAAAGCCCAGAAAAGGCCTGCGTGTTGTTCGAGAAGCGGTGGTGCTCTCTTATCGCTAATCATTCGTCATTCTTCCCGGAGCAAGTCCCCTCCCGCCGCCCACATCTAGCTTCGCCTACGCACACTCACTTGGCAGGCCCTTCAACTCCCTCCACCTTGCACAACAGCCACCATGCCGCAACAATTGAACTCCAAGGATGCGTCCTTGTTCCGTCAGGTGGTTCGCCACTATGAGAACAAGCAGTACAAGAAGGGTGGGTTTGGAGACTGACCCGAAGAACGAGTGTTCTTGCAAAGTGGACTTGTGTGTTTCCGTGCCTGACTGACTGACTGTGTTCTCTCTTTTATCTCAACAGGTATCAAAGCTGCAGACCAGATTCTGCGGAAGAACCCCAAACATGGCGATACACAGGCGATGAAGGCTTTGATCACAAGCAATCTGGGACAACAGGAAGAGGCCTTTGTGTTGGCCAAGGAGGCCCTCAGGAACGACATGAAGTCGCATGTCTGCTGGCACGTGTACGGATTGCTGTACCGATCTGAAAAGAACTATGAGGAGGCCATCAAGGCCTACCGATTTGCCTTGCGGATCGAGCCAGACTCCCAGCCCATCCAGCGAGACTTGGCTTTGCTTCAGATGCAGATGCGGGATTACCAGGGATATATCCAAAGCAGAAGTGCCATGCTGCAGGCCCGCCCCGCCTTCCGACAGAATTGGACCGCCCTGGCGATTGCCCATCACCTTGCAGGAGACCTGGAAGAGGCCGAGAAAGTGTTGACGACATACGAGGAGACCTTGAAGGGCATACCCCCAGTCGGTGACATGGAGCATTCCGAGGCTGTCCTGTACAAGAATATCATCATGTCAGAGGCGGGCAAGCTGGAGAAGGCTTTGGAGCATCTTGAGAGTGTCGAATACAGAATGACTGACGTCCTCGCGGTGATGGAAATGAAGGCGGATTACCTCCTGCGGATGGGCCGAAAAGCTGAGGCAGAAGCAGCTTACACTGCTCTCCTTGACCGCAACTCGGAGAATTCGATTTACTTCGATGCTCTGATCAAGGCAAAGGGCATTCCCGAGGACGACCACAAGGCACTGAAGGCTGTGTACGACTCCTGGGTGGAGAAAAACCCCCGCTGCGATGCACCTCGCCGGATTCCCTTGGATTTCCTGCAAGGCGACGACTTCAAACAGGCCGCGGATGCGTACCTGCAGCGCATGCTCAAGAAGGGAGTTCCCTCGCTCTTCGCCAACATCAAGACTCTATACACCAACCCAGCCAAGCGTGACATTGTACAGGAACTGGTGGAGGGCTACACATCCGGTGAACCCCAATCCAACGGTGACAACAATGAGTTCCTTTCCTCCACCTACTATTTCCTTGCACAACACTACAACTATCACCTCAGCCGCAATCTGCCCAAGGCCATGGAGAACGTGGACAAGGCTATTGAACTCACTCCTAAGGCCGTGGAATACCAGATGACCAAAGCAAGGATATGGAAGCATTATGGAAACGTTGAGAAGGCTGCAGAGGAAATGGAAAAGGCAAGACTCCTGGACGAGAAGGACCGCTACATCAACACCAAGGCCGCCAAGTACCAACTCCGCAACAACGAAAATGAAAAGGCACTCGACAACATGAGCAAGTTCACACGAAACGAGACTGTCGGCGGTGCATTGGGTGATCTCCACGAGATGCAGTGTGTCTGGTTCTTGACAGAGGACGCAGAGGCATATCTGCGACAGAAGAAGCTTGGTCTTGCGCTCAAGCGATTCCACGGTGTCTACAACATCTTTGATGTTTGGTCGGAAGATCAATTTGACTTCCACAGCTTTTCTCTCCGAAAAGGCATGATCCGAGCTTATGTTGACATGGTTCGCTGGGAGGACCGCTTGCGCGAACACCCCTTCTACACTCGAGTGGCACTTTCTGCTGTTAAGGCCTACCTCCTCCTCCATGATGACCCAGACCTTGCTCACGGCCCTCTGCCAAGCGGTCTCAATGATACTGCGGATCCTGATGGTTCCGAGAGGAAGAAGGCTCTTAAGAAGGCCAAGAAGGAGCAGCAGCGTCTGGAAAAGATTGAGGCCGATAAGCGAGAAGCAAGAAAGGCCACAATTACCAAGGGTATCGATGGCGAAGTTAAGAAGGAAGACTCGGATCCCCTGGGTAATAAATTGGTGCAAACACAGGACCCGCTCAAGGAGGCTACCAAATTCTTGACACCTTTGTTGGAGCACAGCCCCAAGAACATCGAAGCTCAATGTCTTGGATTCGAGGTTCATCTCAGAAGAGGTAAGTACATGCCGATTACGAACTTTGGCTTGAAGACATACTAATTGGGCTGCTATAGGCAAGCATGCACTCGCACTGAAATGCCTCTCCGCAGCTCATTCGATCGATGCCTCCAACCCTACTCTCCACGTACAAATTGCCCGGTTCCGTAAAGCTCTGGATAGCCTTTCTGAGCCGCTCCCCGCGCAAGTTGCTGAGGTTGTCAACACTGAATTTGAGAATCTGCTCCCCAAGAGTCAGAACCTCGAGGAATGGAATAACTCCTTCCTCTCGGCAAACCAGGGCAGCGCCGCACACACCCAAGCAGGCTTGGCCTGCCGGCTATTCCTGAACAAGGACTCGAAGCCGCAATGCGAGAAGGACCTCGTCGCCTCTCTTGAGTCGGCCGATGTCACAATCGAAACTGGTCTGGCCGGTCTGGAGCTGCTGAATGAGTGGGGCAGTGACCAGGCTGCCAAGACTGCCTACATTGAAAAGGCCAAGTCCAAGTGGCCCGAATCCTCAGTTTTCAAGCTCGAGTAAGGAGCTTCCATCACGGCCCTTCTTGAGATGGCGAGTAGATAGTTGTTGGAGCTAGGTTTATGTGACCTTGGCCCTCTGTGCTGCTTGCCAGAAAGAAGACGAAGCTACGACCGATATGCCGATCCTTAGATATGAGCGTCATATACATATTACAGAGATGATGAAGACTGAGAAAGAGATAGAGCGCCTAGAATAGGTGGAGGGAAATATGTGAAGGTTTATATTGGCGGTGACATGGTCTGGAACGCAAATAAAAGAGTATCATATGTACTTTGGCGAGCCTGTCCCTATGCACTGGCACTTGGATCTGAGTAGCGCGTTGGAAGTCAGGGGGATAGGGAAAAAACAACAAAAGAATTGAAAGTATGGCTTGTTATTCCGTGCGATACAAAAATCGGGGTTTTTGCTGGTGCGATTTCCAAAATAGATATAGACATGAGCGATGCCTTATGTTTCAATGGGTATTTTGGGAATTTCTTTGATATACTTGGCAGTGTGTTGCCATATGTTGCTGGTATTGATGAAAAGAGATTTATCTATTTCTTGGGGATCATTAAAAATAATAAGTAGCCAGCATATATAAGATCCAAACAGAGTACAACTAATATACAATGTACAGGGGATTGTTGATACAGTAGATCTGTCATGTCATGTTTTTTTTCCCATGAAGTCAAAAACCGTCCACGTCACAGTCGTTGGAATTGAACTTCCAACCATGCAATAAACAAAATCCATGTGCGGTGAACGAAAAGGTCTATTCATCTTCTTCTCCGTCAATGTTACCGAGGATGGGCTTCCTCTTGATGGTCTCTTCGTCCTCTCCGTATCCGTAGGTGACCCACATACGCTTCCAGAACGAAACATGGGGCGGTCTCTCCTCGCCCAAAATGTACTCAGCACCTTCTGCAAGACGTTGCGAGCGGGCCTCCTCCTCGGGAGAAAGGGTGTAGCGCTGCATGCGGGATGCAATGCGGGGGTCTAGGACGACATCGTCCAGCCACTCTCGCTCCTTGTCGGGGTTGGACTCATCGCGCTTGTGCACCGACTTGTGCCATTCCTCTTCCTCGATCTCGAGAACTGTTTGTTGCTCATGGTTTCTAGAGGAGACACCTAGTAAGGAGTCTGAAGAGTCCTGGGAGGGAGCAGCATCAACACCGACATCTGCGCCGGAACCGTCTTGGTATGGTCTGGTGTGAGAAGCAAGAACAATGCCTGCGACTTCGCGTCCCACACTTTCAGCAAGACGACGCTGTGTCAAGTATCGGTAAATTCTAATAGGAGTGTTCAAGAATCCGAGAAGATGAGGGAAAGCAATCGGGACGGAGCCGTCGAGGGACTCCGGGAAGGTACGAGGAATGGCTTGTGACGAATATTCGGCGGGTGCTATGTATGCTGGAGTCGGGCCAGTTGGCTTCTTCTTTTCATCCTTGTTTTCTGTGTTCTCGGGGGTGTCTTTCTTTTCTTCCGAAGGCTCAGCTGCGGCCTCAGCTGCGGGAGGAGCAGCAGGAGAAGCATCATCAGAGCTTCCTGTTTCTGCCACCTCTGAAGTCGTCGGAGAAGGGACTTCTGCTACTTCTGCCTCTACAGCAGCCGGGGGTGGTGGTGAGGGAGGATCTAGGGGACCAAGCCAGCCCTCGTGAAGACCCCGGATATATTCCTTCCACGTATGGCGTCCAATGACAATATCACCCTTGGGGCCAGGTTCATCGTACACCCCAATCTTCTCCCTCGCATCAGCCACGACTTCTTCGACGCCGATTTCCGGCTCGACTGTGCTTGGCTCGCCAGATTTCCGTCTCAACTTGCGAATCCGCTCTGCAGTACCAGCTCTGACATCTCCCTCTCTCCTTCCCTCGATAACATTGTAGTCCATCGCGGCAGCCACCAGGATGGGCTTAACGTATTCCTTGAAGTGGTCTCGGGCAATCCGGAGACCGTCACCGGGAGGAGCGGACAGATAGACTGTGAGCTTTCGGCGTGTCTGCTCAACGGGCAGGGTTTCCTTGGAAAGATGTGCCACCAGATCACACCATTTCTTCTGTGCGCGCTTCTTTTCTCTGCGATCGTATATCATGGCGCCTGCGAAGGATCCGGTGATTGTGAAAAAAATCATCCAATTCCGAGAGGGGAGCTTGAGGCGAAGGTTGGGAAGCCCTGGGATCTATTAGCATCATTGATTCAATCCTATATTCACGAAACTTACCAAGCATCCTCAACGCTGGGTTTGGGGGTTTGGGAGTAGGGTGCGAGGCAGCCGGCTGGCCTGAAGCCGCGGCGGAATTGGAGGCTTCCGCCATGTTCGAGAAAGGGTGCCACTGAAAGATTCAAATGAGGTTTAAGATGAGATAGTATCAATTATATTAGAGAGCAATCCCCTGGCAAGACAAAGCAGAGAAAAGACAAGTGAATCCTTGCTTGCTGGCGTGAACGCTGCGATGGTTGTTTTTTTTGGTCGACGATAATAATTCATGGCTGCGAAGCGCCGGCCGTCGGGTTTGGGTTATTCCGGGCCTCGGATTCGATTGACTCGGGATTCTTGGGCGACTTTTTGAGAAGCAATTGAAGCAATTCAGAATTGAAGATTCAAGGCTGTTTATATTGGCGATATCAATTGATATGGTGTAGGCCTACTATGAAGCTATAATGAAGTATTTGCTGCATTTTACAGCGACCTCTGCTATGTTCACCCTATACAATCCTACGGATTACTGAGCAAGAATGGCCATTCTCTAGTATCCATGCTATCATTGATAATTGATCATTATACTTTATATTTGATACTTGATGACCTGATATATGAGAATGCAATTCAATTATGTCCTTTTGAGGGTATTTGTTGTCAACATGGTTGTATTGTCCTATCATCCAGACTGAAAACACCAACACAAACAACACAACAAACAAAACAACATTAATATCACGATACTTCATATTCAATTTCTATACTCCATACAGAGTATTCGATTAATAAATATCTAATCCTCTATTGATATTAAATGTGACGGTCGATATCCCCCTTTCCCTCTTGGCCTCAACCGCCGCCCGTAACGAGAGTCTGGACTCCAACAACGAGAAAGCTGAAAATCATCGTGAACCATCAGGTTTGAATTGCACCCCCTTTCTTGTGGTACTTCTTTGCCTCCTTCTTTCCATCATCTCGTGCGTGCCAGATAGACTCGTTCTTTGTCTACTCGTGGCGTTCAGGAGATCGTGCCTCTCTCTCTCCTTCTCTTCTTCCTCTTCCTCTCTCTCCACCCCTCTCCCCTCTCTCGACGCTCCGACTTGTCGAACTCTCCTGAGCCACCGCTCCTTTGGAACTACGGCCACCTTAGTTTAACGCCCCCTCCCCCTTCGTCTCATCTTTCTCTCTTGCCTTCTTTTCCCCCCTTCAACCCCTCCAAATTCCATCCCATCTCTTTCGATCTCTGCTGTTTGATTGCAGAGTGGGATTCTCAAGATGGACCCTAACAACAATCGTCTCCACCTGAATTTCGGGTACAATGATCGTGCATTCAATCCCGCAGCCAACAACCGCGCGTATCCCACCACGCCCTCCGCGTTCCCCCAGCCGATCTATCAGAACCAGGGGCCCCAGGATTATATGGATGCTCAGAACGGAGCTTATGGTCAAGGATACTTCATGGCCAACCCGTATCCCCCGCAAGCGCAATATGCTCAGCCGCACTATGGCCAGCCCAACATGCCATCCCCTCAGCCGGCCTACCAGTCTCGCATGGGATACAACACCAACGATGGCACCAACGGTCTCATCCAACAATTTTCCAACCAGGATTTGAACGCCAACCGTGCGGGCTTCTTTGCCCGCTCGGCCTCCCCCGCCCAGAGACCTCGCACTGCTGGTTCTTCTGCTCCCGGCCAGCAGCAACCCCATCTGGCCCCTCCAATGCCTCGCAGTCCCCGAACTCCATCCGAGAATGAGGAACTCCAACGCTACCCCGAGCGGTTCTCAGAGAACATCCACAAGCGTGGTAAGGCGGCCAAGGAGCTGGTCAACGTTTTCTTCCATGAGAACATTGAGCGTGCGCGTGACCGTAACCTGCGGTAAGTACAAATGCCTGATAGCTTCTTTGCGGAATTTGTCGCTAATGTTCGGGGCTTCGATCAGTTCTGCCGATCTGGACAAGATGATTCGCGACCCTGGCGTTGCCAAGGAAAAGAAGCGCCAGGAGGGCGAGGTGGTTTCCAAGAAAGAATCGAACTTCCTTCGATTCCTTCGAACCAAGGAGGCACCGTCGAATTTCCAAACTATCAAGGTCATCGGAAAGGGTGCCTTTGGTGAGGTTAAGCTGGTGCAAAGGAAAACCGATGGCAAAATCTACGCTCTCAAGTCTCTGATTAAGACGGAGATGTTCAAGAAGGATCAGCTGGCTCACGTTCGTGCGGAGCGTGACATTTTGGCCGACTCCAAGGACAACCCATGGCTCGTGAAGCTGCACGCCTCTTTCCAGGACACTGCTTACCTTTACTTGCTCATGGAGTTTTTGCCTGGTGGTGACTTGATGACTATGCTGATCAAGTACGAAATTTTTTCGGAGGACATTACACGATTCTACATGGCGGAGATTCTGATGGCCATCGAAGCTGTGCATAAGCTTGGTTTCCTTCATCGGTGAGTTATTGATGAGCGCAGGAAATTATCACTCTATGCAATTCACTAACAGGGCTGCGATAAACAGTGATATCAAACCTGACAACATTCTCTTGGACCGGGGTGGCCATGTGAAGCTTACTGATTTCGGTCTTTCTACCGGAGGCAAGAAGACACACGACAACTCGTACTATCAAAATCTCTTGAAAAACTCGACATCAAAGGACAAGAACCGCAACTCCGGATACTTCAACGATGCGATCAATCTGACTGTGTCAAACCGTGGACAGATCAACACCTGGAGAAAATCTCGTCGGGCTATGGCTTACTCGACAGTCGGAACTCCAGACTACATTGCTCCCGAAATTTTCAACGGTCAAGGATACACCTACCTTTGCGATTGGTGGTCTGTTGGTGCGATTATGTTCGAGTGTCTTGTCGGCTGGCCTCCTTTCTGCGCTGAGGATACGACCGATACCTACCGTAAGATTGTGAACTGGAGAGAATGCCTTTATTTCCCTGAGGAGCTCACTTTGTCGCGTGACTCGGAATCTCTTATTCGAAGGTAAGTAATGCTTGAATTTCCCTTGCAATCAGATCCAGGCTAATCAATCATTGAATAGTTTCTTGTGCGATGCTGAGCACCGTATTGGTAGCGACGGTGGCCAGTTCGGAGGTGCAACACAAATTAAGAACCACCCATTCTTCCGTGGAGTTGTCTGGGAGCAACTTCGCAACATCCGTGCTCCATTCGAACCTAAGCTGAGCTCGAATATTGATGTTTCGTACTTCCCTATTGACGAGATTCCTCAAGAGGATACTAGTGCCATCCATCGGGCTCAGGCTCGCGCTATGCCAGATGAGCAGGAAGCTGAGATGAGTCTACCGTTCATCGGATATACATACAAAGCATTCAACGCCTTCCAAGGGAACTGAACATAGAACCGATACCCGATTTTTTTGGACCGACAATGAACCGTCTGGGGAGTCTGAAAGCGGGCGGGCTTGCATCCATCTCTTTTCAGCGGGCTCACCGAGGTCTAAACTCGACTCATCCTGTTCATTGATGTCATATAAGCATTCAGCGCATATTTTGTTTTCCGAGATAATGACCTGAGCATCTTTTTACATTACTTTTTTTTTTTTTGCATTACTTTTTGTTGCGAGACGACGGCTGCTAGTTACCAATCGTTTCTAGCGAGGAATTATATGTCACCTCTAACCATCGATATGCATTATTCATAAAGTCGATCAAAACTTGAGAGATACTATAAAAAATTATGGAATGGCTGGCGATCTTTTCTACTTGTCTTGTCTAGTGCATGAGTATCAAGCTTGGGAGACGCTGCAGTTGCAAGTGATGTGGCAAGGTTCGACGGTTTGATAACTAGTAAACTATAGTATAAATCCTCGCTCAAGGAACTTGTAGATTTGTCTGCTTGGAGTTTCCTAGATGAAAACAAATTTGGTTCATATGTATAAACTTTCATTGACAAGGTATTGGCAAGCCGCTCAATCTGGTATGAAAATGTCTTAAGTGATCCAATGGAAGAGACGAATAATAATGATCCCACACAAGTGAAATATGACCCTAAACACCGATATAACGCCCCCTTGTGGTAAACAATACACGTCATCACTTTTCGCACACCAAGGCATATATGTAAACACCCCATAAGCACCTGATAAGGTACTCAACGAATTCAAGACCGGGGTCCCATTGGTGCCAGACCTGGCACACCACTGAATCTTTCCTCTCGTTCAGTCTTGAACATGATCTGAACCCAGAACTCCTTGCTATCCTCATCGAACCAAGTCCAATACCGACCCTCTCTGCGGTCGATTTCTCGGGCCTGGAGCTTAAACCCGCATGTCTGGTAGGGCTCCGCAGCCACGACGAGGTACTGGAAGTTCTTGTCCGGGGGCTCCTCAACCTTCTGCTCAAAAGCTGACATAAATCGTACCCGGGGCTGCACGCCCGGCGTAATCTCCTGGTACTGCAGTTGGAACAGCAGACCGAACTGCCGAGTTAATGGGTCCCGAATCTTGGTGATCTTGTATCCCGGACGACCGATCTTGATGGTTTGCTTCTTGACCTGCACGCCCATGGCACCCGGCAGGGTCGATGGGTCCTGGTTCTTGCCTTCCTTCTGCTCCCTCGCGGCACGGCGGGCCAGGTTTGTCTGATGCTTGCGGCCCTGGGTGTGGGCGAGGTAGGATCCATCGTTTTGGTGGACAGTCAAACACAGTCGACATTCGAAGCTTCCGACATGATTCTTGAAGAAGTACGGGTCCTTGTCAAGGTCGATTGTCTCCAAGGCGAGCTTGCGAAGACGCTCGCGACGGTCTGCATTGGTGGCCGATTGGGATGCGACACCACCGCCACCGAATTTGGATCCTGCACGGTTCTGTTTTTGAAGTTAGTCAACTGTTAATATTACCATAGAAGGAAAGTCAGGGGGTCTTACCTGGTAATCCATCTTGCTACCTCGATGGCTCCAGTTTTTGTCTGTTGGAAGAAAGAGGATGATAGAGAAGATTCACGGAATCGCAACGAAGATCCGCGTTCGGCTTATCTAATCATCCAGACCGGCTCGCTATTGGAGGATGCGAGCTTAATTCAATCAACAATGCTGCAACACATATATCGCTGGAAATTTACTTGGAATAATGGATTCTAAATTCTATATTAATCAGCGATTATCATACGATGGTCACTTATGCAACGTCCGCTACGTGGGAAGTGTCCAAGGCACCGCAGGCGAATGGTTGGGTGTGGAATGGGACGACCCGACACGAGGGAAGCACTCTGGAGAGCATAAAGGAGTGAGATATTTCAAATGTACTGCATCCCTCCACGAGAAAAAATCTCGTAGTCAATTACATCTTATTGAATCCAATTTGCTCATACATGGTCAATAGGCAAGAGCAAACAGTCCACGGCTGGGTCATTTGTGCGTCCATCTCGACCGACAGACCAACCTCGAGGCTTCCTCGAGGCACTGCATGAGAAATACGCCTTGGAATTTGAACAAGGCGATCTCGCCCAGCAAGATTTAATTGAAATCAGCGGCAAAGTTGTAGAGGAAGTTGGCTTCGACAAGATCCGGAAGAAGCTTGCAGAGCTGCATGAGCTGAAGATCGTGATTCTGGATGGATTCTGTATCGCTGGCATTCTTGCTCATGAAGATGAAGAGCAACGAGATGGCGCCTGTAAGGAGATCGGCCGGACTTGTCCCAAAATCACCGAGCTTGATCTCAGCCGGAACTTACTGACTCGCTGGGTTGATGTAATGGATATATGCGGTCAACTCAAGCAGCTCAAGCAGTTGAAGTTGATGTAAGCCATACTCCAGCTTACATGGAAAGAATATGAGAGCTGACATTCGATAGTGGAAACCGGCTTGGGCCTGTTGAGGAAGGGTTGAGATTCGAAGGAATAACTGACCTTCACATTGATGAAACTCTTCTTTCTTGGGATGAGGTATGATAAAAGAAATTCTGCTCACGTTGCCATACTAGCCTGCTGATAGACTATGGTCTAGATATCTGCCTTGACATACCAGTTTCCATCACTTAATTCATTATCGGCTTCCGCAAACCAGATCTCGACGATCTCGACGCCGATATCAGAAACCATCACCAAACTTGTAATTGGCGATAACGAAATATCCTCGTTGTCTTCACTTAAACATCTTACAGCACTTCCTAAACTTGAGCGTCTTTCTCTAAGAGGGAGCTGCATCAGCACAGTCTATGAAGCTGGTGTAGCTCATGGCCCTATCCAATTCCCACAGAGTCTCAAGTTCGTCGACATATCTTGCAACCTAATCAACTCATGGTCTTTTATAAATGAAATTCCTGCAGCATTCCCTGGTTTAAAAAGTCTTCGGATATCTGGCAATCCCCTTTTCGACCAGCCCGTGGGCCCTTCGGCCATCACGAATCTCCCAGAGAAGCCAATGACGGTGGACGAAGCATACATGCTGACCCTCGCCCGGTTGTCTTCTCTACAACTTCTCAACTACGGTAAGATCTCTCTGCAAGATCGAAGCAATGGAGAACTGTATTATCTTTCTCTCATTGCCAAGGAGCTTTCCGCACACCCAGAGGCTGCAGAACGGGAAATTCTAGCAGCCCATCCCCGTTACAAGGAGCTTTGTGAGACATATGGAGAGCCTATTATTAAGAGAGCATCCGGCCCGACCAAGAATGGTGCTTCGGTGAACCCGCGATCTGTTGCGGCTCGATTAATGAAGATGGAATTCCACTTGCCATTAGCATCGTCTTCTGACGGTCGCCCTCAAGAAGGAGAGACTGTTAAAGTGAAAGAGATCCCTCAATCTTTTAATACATACCAAGTCAAGGCTATTGTCTCGCGACTGTTCGGGCTCATACCTTTCGAATTCAAACTTATCTGGGAGACAGATGAGCTTGATCCAGTGAGCAAAGAAAATAAAGATGATGAAGAATGGGACAGCGATGACGACGGCAATGAGGTTCAATCGAGTACTATCGCCAGTGCAGAAGCCGGCGCCCAGTTCGTGAAAAGAGAAGTGGAACTTATAGATTCCACAAGAGATATTGGTTTCTGGTTTCAAGGTGATCTTCTCGAGGCGAAGATCAGAATAGAAGTAACGCCTCGTTGATGTGGGATTTATGTTTATTGAATGAATCACGATGAGCTATGTCAATTCAAGATATTTACCCCTGATAATGTAGAACATAGAAATAATATTTACAAAAAAAAAAAAAAAAAAAACACACACACACACTTGTTTAATCTATCAAAACTGTTCCGTCAATATTTCAGGTAAATATAGTTCCTGAAGCTGCAGAGAACGTGACTGCTGCTTCGGGATTAGATCCGATCGCGCTGTCGGAGCTTCGACTGGACTGCACGTCCACACGATCGCAATCAACCCATTAATATCAGCCATCGCCAGTCGTTGAACCCTATCCGTGCTATAATTTACACGGTCCGTCATGGCGGAGTATTGGAAATCAGCTGTGAGTGGTCCTTTGATACAGCAGCAAACCCTTCAAACCTTATGCACTAATAATGACCTAGGCCAGATACTGGTGCAAGCAATGCAAAGTGTATATTCGCGATACCGCCTTCGAAAAGTCCCAACATGAAGCGAGCGGAAAACATCAGGGAAACCTGAAGCGGTTCCTACGAGAAATCCACCGCGACAATGAGCGACAGCAAAGGGATTCCCAGAGAGCAGAAAATGAGGTCGAAAGGTTAAGACGAACCGTCGCGGGATCTTCTGGCGGGAAGGGCGGGGATGAGGCACCCTGGAAACGTGCTCCAGCGCCTAAACAAGAGGCACGGCCGGCTTCTATGGATGAGAGGAAGAAACAAATGGCGCAGTTGGCGGAAATGGGCGTTTCTATCCCGGACGAGTTCCGTGGCGATATGGCCTTATCGGGAGAATGGCAGACGGTTTCTGAGAGGGTTATTGGAGGAGAAGATACGGGAAAGCTGGGGAACTCTATGGGGGTACGCAAGCGGAAGCATGATGGCGATGAGGATGAGGAGGAGCAGGAGGCCAAGGCCGAGGCCGAAAGGTTCGTTAGCAAGGGTTGGGGCTCGAGGACACGACTCTACCCTGGTGCACATGATGATCAAGATCTGGATTCTCTTCTCGAATCTACCAAGGATATAAAGAAGCCCAAAACTTCAGATGCGGCTCCTGAAGAGGGCACTAAAGATCCCGGCCATCCAGTTAAACGTGAAGAGGACGATACAACGGTCTCAGCAGAGGCGGATAAACCACCAGAAGTGAAGAAAGAAGAGCAAGAACCTTCTGAAGCGGCGCCATCCTCGATTCCTGCCACAAAGGGCGAGTCTGAAGATGCAGCACCAGGGGTTGTCTTCAAAAAACGGAAGCCGAAAGCCATGAGGAAATAGCTGAGCAGCTGGTCGCTATTATCAACCTTTCACATCATTTTGCAGAAGTATCTTCATGAATGTCACGCTGGGGTGTTCTCTATTGCCTTGAGCAATATATACGCTGATCATGCTTGATGCTTGATGCTTGATTAATAGCACCGTCAGATGGCATGATCACTGCTGAGACGCGCTTGAAAAGGGGTCCCATAAGGTGTAGGACGCCAGATGAAGCTTACAATGACTGCAACTGCTACTACGATGCCTTATCTGCGAAATATCCAGAGGGCGTCGATCCCTCACTGAAGCAAGCCTCGTGGACATACTTGACCCCAAGGAAGAGGCGACACAACGTCGACCAAGACACAGAGTTTCTCGGAAACGCGAGAATATCAGACTGAATTAATATTGTCTGATTTATTTAGAAGAATTAGAAAAGAATACTCTTTCTAAGGTGGTTAATCTGTACAGTACTAGGTAGTGAGCTGCGCTGTGATAACGTCTTTTTCCCCAGACGATATCATCTTCAAGATTTAAATAGTATTGAGTATAATTAAAAAAAAGACGAAGAAAATTATCAATGATATTAATTATTATTGTTATTATTGTTATGGTGGCAGCAGTGTTGCCTTGCCACTGCCATCTTTTCTCTCCCGTTCTCAACTTCACACTGTCAAAGTCTGGGGTTCTTCTTTTCAGGTGGTCCGGACCTCTCACCAGTCTAATTCCTGTCGCGCAACAAAACCTCGTCGCAACCATCTTCACCCACCACCCAAATGCGGAGACTGCCTGGTCGTCCCGAATTGAGAGTTTTGGTGGAATAACGATTTGGCTCGCTTGTTTTCGCTTATCTAGACCAGGTACTTGGTAAGTAAACGAGAGCTTCGACTCCTCTTCTTGCCTGTCTGCCTTGTCCCCTACTCGCTCCCTCCCCTCTCTCGTCGTCGTCGTGAACCCTTCGGGAAAAATACGTCCTAGATTCGAAAGTCATTGCTTTTCCGTCTGGATTCGCCGCGCCCATTGAAAAAACTTCATCGTCTGCCTTGATTTGTCCGGAGATGTCGCCCAAAAAAATGAATCTGCATCTCCGCGTCGGTTGCTCCGTGCTCTGCGGGATTGGGCTGGGTCTGGACGATCGCGTTCAACCTCCATCCTGAGGCAAATGCATAGTCTTCGCGGAATGATCATGCCGTCAGGAGTTGATATTTATATCTGGATGGCTTGAATATGCATGCTTGCTGAGCTGTCAGTTTCCGTGGAGATCCACATGCGCCCGCTGCTGCAATGCGAAGACAAACCTTGGAGATATGAGCCACCATCTTGGAGAATCAGGGCGCTGCGCAAGGCAGATGGAGTTAATGTTCATTCTATGATACTCCTCTTTGTCACTAGATAAAGATTGCTTTGCTTCTACACAAGCACCGCGTTTTTCACAGGCAATTTTGGTTTTGATCGATTGACTAACAGGCTTTGATGTCTTACAGAACCAGATTTGATGAAGATCAACTCCACGAACTTTGATCCGATGCAAAATCCTGCAATTCCTTGATAAGATTCTCGAGCATTTACGGAAGCCTTTCTTTGATCCCATCGCGGTGTTGCGACCGACCAGAACCGAACTCAAAATCTTTTTTTTCGGGACACCTTCCGTTCGACCATCACGGACCCGAGAAGGATAATCTAGCTGTTGATATGGCGGAAACAACTGAACCAGGCAACTCGCCTGGCGAGACAAAGCCGCCGGCTGAACCGGCCAATCCGCCAGCGCCAGAGATGGACAATTCTGCGATAGACACGAGCCTGCCATCGGTGGATACCTCACTCCCTCCTATAGACACGACGTTGCCAGCAATGGACACTTCGCTTCCTCCTATAGACTCCAACATACCAACTATGGACTCGTCCCTACCGCCGATGGACTCGACTGTCCCATCTCTGCCCCCGATCGACACATCTTTGCCGCCCATTGATACTACATTACCTACGACAGAGACAAGTCTCTCATTTCCAGACACACACCCAACCGATGCGGACACTAAACCGTCAATCCCTGAAGGCATTGGGCAAGAAACCCCTGGATCTGCGCCACCGGCATCTTCATACACCCCGACTCCTACCTATCAACCGCCTTCCAATGGGTATCAATATTCCCAGCAGCATCATGTCCAGCAGCAGCAACCGCCGCAGCAACAGCATCCCGGTCAGCAGCCACATCAACAACAACAGCCCCAACAGCAACCGCACCCGCAACAATACCAGCAGCAGAATCACGAGATGTACCACCACCCCCAGGCTGGTTCTGCGCCAATGAACTCGATGCAGACTATGGACCACCATCAGCAGGGTCAGCCTGGACACGTTCAACAGGCCCCCATAGGATCTCCTCTACCTTCGACCATGCCCCCGATGGCGTCTGTGGGCCAATACATGACGGGGTATCCCACCAATGTCGCGCAAATGGGAATGAGTCCGAATGCTCAGATGCGCTACCAGCTCCCTGGCGATCCGAACAAAATGCTGTCGGGCGGTAGGCACAAGAAGGAAGTAAAGCGCAGGACAAAGACGGGATGTCTGACCTGTCGAAAGCGACGAATCAAGGTATGTGTCGATCTTCCGTTTGTATAAAAAAATATCAGGGTTTGGACGCGGGGGATGCGGGCGGCTCGCTTGTGCTGCAGCCAAAACCACCTCCGTTCGGCTCGCTCCCAGCCCACCGCAAACCCCGCTATTATTCTCGCCATCGCTTGCTGTCGCCCACTGTTGCTCCCCGCTCAGCAGCTGCCCTCGAATTTTTGTTTTACCCTATTTTGTCGCTCTCCATCACTCTCTGGCCTTTCTTTTTCTAACCATGCATTGGTGTTCTTTCTAGTGTGACGAAGGACATCCCGTGTGCAGAAACTGCGTTAAAAGTAAACGCGAATGTTTAGGTTACGACCCTGTATTCAGGCCACAACCGACGACACCTTCTGCTATCCAGCCAGCTCCTAATCCTCCTCCTTCCCTGGTCGTCAATCCTCAAGATCCCTCCTATCCTTCTGCGCCTCCTGGGTACATGCCCGCAGCCTCTCAACCTTTTGCTCCGTCTCTGTCGCCCACCACTTCCACCGAACAGTTCGACTACGGGGCAGCCATAGATCCTGCGCTGGAGGGAAACGCTTCCAACATGGCCGCCGTGCAGAATGCAACTGCTGAGGGAAACTTGCAGCCCCCGGTCAATACTGCGACAACCGGAACTGCTACCCCGTCAGAGTCTGCTAGCTTCAGAGGTGTGTTATGAAATTTTTTTATTGTTTACATCTTGCACTCTTCCAAGTTTTGGCGCTAACCAAACGTCCAGTCAAACAAGTCCAGGTCAATGATCTTCTTGCCTTGAGAGGCATCCCCCCTCCGCCACCTCATCCCATCACCTCCCTGCAGCCCGGTCGTCTCGAGGAGATCCAGGCCGTCTTCCTTGCTACATACGCCCCCGCCATTGACAAGTTCCTCGAGACCCGATGGTTCCAAGAGAAGGCGCTGACCCATCTCATGGGCAATGCGCAGCTCATGGCCGAGTACTCCGCCTTGATCGACGCTTTCAACGATCGGAACCTTAGTGACCCTAACGTTATCGCCCGGTTGGAGAGCTTTGAAGCGTCAGTGGTCTGGAGCTCGATGACACTCTGTCGCCATGTGATGAGCGTATCAAATGGGACACATGGGCAAGACTACGATCTCCTTGTTGCCTCGACTCGACTTGACGTGATTGAGTCCCTGATTACCGGAGAACACCTGGACTCGAATCCCTTGGCACAATTCGCCGCTCGGGAGCCCTCCTCCAACCCACCATCTCTTCCCGACCAGCTCTTGCAGAGGGCATTGGATTTCTGGAGTGCCCTCGGCCACTTCCTGACCCTTCACGACAACGAAGCTAGTTCCGCCAAGGAAATCGATGATACTTTGGCCCGCTGCCGAACATTGTTGGATACGTTCGAAAACCGAGACGTCATCTATTCCATTGCTATTGCCCGCCATGTTGGACAACGCTGGGCCGACTTCCCCCGCAGTCTCCCCCAACCCGTTACCACGAATGAGAAGGATGCGGGGGCCAAGCTCTATGTTGCGCAAAAGTTCCTTGAGCAAGAAGCCAGCGGCAAAGGTACCACGCAAGTGATCAAGCGGATATGCGGTATGGTCGTTCGCTCCTGGATCGTATCGCGCGAGTAATGCTGGTCGCATCCAACGATTTTCTATTTGCATCTTGTAACAAAAAAGCGGTTTGGTGGAATATTTTGTTTCTTTCCCTTTCTTTATGTTTTGACTAAATGTCATCTCTTTTTTGTCTCATTCCATGTGGCTCCATGTTTTTATCCCCCGCTTTCCCATTCACATGGTTTTATTGGTTTATGGGGAGGACATCATGGCAAAGGAGTTTCGTTTTGATTTCTCAATATCCAATACTTTCTGGAGCTGGGACTTGGCAGCACTACGGCGTTCCGGGTGCTTTTCCCATAGTCTTAACTATTTCTTTCTTTCCATTTTACAGATGTTTTCGCATATCTTTTTCTTACGCTTCTGATGTCATCCTTGCCAATTATGGAGAATGAGATAACGAACAGAAAATGGAAAATAATTCAATCGACTTTTTTCATGGTCAATGTATGTACTTAGTCTTGTAGAAGGAATAAGCGATTCGCATTTGTTCGATCGAATGAAGTCTATGTATATATCTTTTATCCTATGTATATGGGTATTCCCCCATGATACTGAATAACCAAGGCCCTTGAGAAAAGAAACTATATCCAAGCATAACAAGAAGGTTCGTTACAGATTAGCCTGTTCAGGGACAGGCGACTTGAGCTTTCCGGCTTCAAGAGCAAGACGCACGTTTTCAATTGCCCATTCTTCCATGGCAGTTTGGGTCTGATTAGAGTCAACCATGTTAGCTATCCCCTATCTGGCTGGTTTATCAGGGGATTGAAACTCACCTCACTTGTCCAGGTACCCATGTGCGGAACAAGCATCACATTCGGGTTGCGGACCAAACCGGGGTGGACCTTAGGCTCCTCCTCGAAGACGTCGAGACCGGCTGAGTAGACCTTACCGCTGTCAAGGGCTTGGACTAGGGCGTCTTCATCGATGACGGCGCCTCGTGCGGTGTTGACGATAACGACGCCGTCTTTCATCTTGCTAAATTCGTTTTTGCTGATGATGTGGCGGGTGTTTTTCTGGTAAAGTAGATCAGTAAGATTATACCGTTGTCAGAAACTAGGAGGGTAGAAAAATGAAGACATACGTTCAATGGCAAGTTCAGACTGATCACATCACTGGTCGACAACAACTCATCAAAGGTCACGTATTGTGCTCCAGCAGCCAAGTCCTCACTCAACTGCCGACGGTTGTGGTAGATGACCTTCATGCCAAACGCCTCGGCCTTCTTCTTGAGATTCCGTCCAATGCCACCCATGCCCAAAACACCCAAGACTTTGCCCTCGGGATCGTGTCCGAGAATGGGTGCCGGCTGACCGCGCCACTTGCCCTCACGCAGGGCCTGCATACCGGTGTTGAAGTTACGCAAAGCCCCGATAATCAGGAACATGTTCACGTCGGCTGTTGCGTCGTCCACGGCTGTGGGGACGTTGGAAACGCGAATTGGGGGGTTACGGGCACTGCAGGCGTGGACATCCACTTGGTCATACCCGGCTCCTGGATGAGTGTTACTTGAGGGTCCATATCCAATTGGAAGTAAGTCAAAAGGCAGGAGAGACACCACCACATACCACAGTGTGCAAGGAAGCGCAAAGAGCTAGGGAGTGCATTCACCACCTCTTCATCGACCAGACCCGTGATGCTGGCCGAGTTAAAAGTACGGTACGCAGCCACCACGCCGTCGAACTTGCCATCGCGACATTCCTGCAGGAACTCTGCGCGATTGGTTGCGGTGGGTGTAACCAACTGTGCGAGATCGCCCAGTGATTCCCAGGACTTGTGTGCGCTGGAGCATGAAGTTGCTGGTTAGTCTGGTTTGTGGAGGTGGATACGAGCGTGTTGACGTACTGGTCGATGTTTCCAAGGAGGAGAATCTTGGGAGTAGTAGCGTCGGAACCCATTGTGAAATTCTTTGGCTATTCTATGAAGGATTAGAATCTGAAGAAGATATATACCCTCAAAACAAGAGCATCCAATGACTCAGAAGCGAAGACGGCGGGAATTATACCGAGCGATAAGAGGGGGACGGGAGCGCGAGCCGAGATATATACGTACACAAAGAGATAGAGCCTTAAAGGAACGGATATCCCCGAGAAGAAGAGAGGAGAGAGAAGACACGACAAGAAATGAGATCCCCAGGAATTAGTTTAGTGCCAGAAAGAGGAAGAAGATTGCGAACGAAGCGTTGTCCGGCTGAGAAAGAAAGAGAACGACTGCCCCACATTCTGATATCGCCATCTTTTTTCCCTCTGGCTGCTTCTTCCCCGCACTTGTCGCGATAGTCGCGTTGGGTGTCTTCGTATTGATGATTCACGATGGATGTGAGACGGATACTCTTCTCGGTCGAGTCAATTCTCTCTGGTTTCTTGTTTCTTGTATACAGAAGCACGTTGAAGCCAACGGAATCTTATCGACTGGAATGCGGGGGAGGGAATGGCTGCATGGCAGCAAACTTGAATGCGACGGATTCATTCTAGAAGAATAAGAAATACTGATGTCGCTAGAGATGAAAAGTTTCATATGAAAATAAACAGTTCTAACAATGGATAATTTTTCCAGTGGTGTTGTGCCTTGTATTTGCATGTAAACCCATTGCGCAAACTCCTCAAAACATGTAACAAAGTATAGAAAAAGAAATACCTAAAACATCAATTGTACAGTATTCATTGTCATCACCCTTCGACCAGCACTCGAGTCCAGTCAAACTTCCTCCATCGCTTTTTGAACCCATCAACTCGTCGATCACCACCCCGGTTCCAACGTCCCTGTCGTCGGATGACATCTGGGGCCACATCCAGCATACCCCCAATGACCTCCCGCGCAAATAGATCGCCGCGTGGCCATCTATGTTCATCTTCGACTACATGCCCCAGTCCACCATCCAACTCAAACCAGACGTGGAAATAAGGCATCTCCTTCACCAGCATTCGACGGAAAGCCGACCGGCCCAGGCCCTGCCTTGACTTGGCCAGTGTGTCAATCAGCTTGCGGTGCTGTGACCATTCAGAGTCTGCAGAGAGAATGGCCTCTTTAAAGAACGCAGGCGAGGTCTCTCCTAGGCTGTATGGCAGTGGCACAACTTCCATAGCTGCGTGTTTCTTACGCTGGAGTTGGGCAGCATTCTCGTAGAAGATCACGTCGCGGCCCTGGTCGTGATACATGCGGGTCAGGCTCTTCATGAAGTTCCGAATCTCCTCCCATTCATCATCATCGCATTCCATGAGGTTTGTTCGGTGCTGAGTGGGGACAATGGTGGCACATCCCTCGTTCAGTTCGGGCTCAGTGGGAAGAGTCAAGAAGACACGAGTTGCGAGAGACACGATTGGGGCGACGGGGGGCGTGTTGGTATCTTCGTGGTGACAAAGAGGGCAATTGTCCAGTATCCGGTTCATCTTCTTGAATTCATTGACAGTAACATTCTTGATGTCAATCTCGGATCGGTGCACCCGCTTAGCCAGTTTGGAGGCATTGTCGTCCATGTACTCCAATTCATTCTGGAAACAGTGTTAGAGAAGAATTAAAAGATATAGGGCAGTAAACCACTCACCTCGAATTTAGAATCCTTTGCAATCCTGTCAGCAAGTCGTTGGCCCTCTCCTCCAGCTTGCCCACGGGTTCGACGTTCTTCTTGAACCATATCCTCAATGCTCATGTCTTGGTTTTCTTCCACCTTTCCTCTTTCGCGGCCTCTCTTGGTTTCAACCTGCTTGACTTCATTTCTCTTTCCAGCAAGCATTCGATTGTCCATCACTCCAAGCACCACGACGTCGGATTCCTTGCGGTTGGCCATCGCTGCTGCCGCCGCATTGTAACGCTCCTCAATCTCGCCCGCGTCGGCTGATCCCTTGAGTTTAGCTTTCATCATCTGGGCCTTTAGTCGATTGAGGGCTGTCAGGTCAAGATGTTGCGTAGTATTGGGAGGAGGGACAGTCTCCATTGGTTTTCCCTGGCCTTGTGCTTCATGCTCCTTTGCTGGGTCCCGGATATGTTCGTGGGAGTCTCTCTTCACACCCTGATCTAGCTTTCTTTCTTGAAACAGCTGTCCGGTAGGTTTTTCTTTGCCAACGTAGCCTTCGCCATACCTTTCGCGGCGATCCAGCTCTGCTTCCTCTTCCCGCGCATCATCGAATGAGCGAAGATCACCGAATCTTTCGACGGCAATCTCCTCCACTGGCCTCCCACTTTCTTCTGACTCTCGGTAAGCAGCTCTGAGCTTCGTCATCCGCCACTGGGAGCCTGTGTCGCCAATAGTATAATCCACTTCATGCTGAGCCGGCTCTTCTTCAATATCGTCGATTGATTTTCCTTCATTCAAATCCCGTAGATGGTCGTTCAGCTCTCTGTTGTGAATTTTGAGCTCAAAGCCCGCCTGGAGCATTTTGGGCTGCGATGCTTCTTGTAAGCGCGTCGTATCGCGTCGCTGAACGTAGTCGATGTCCAGTGCAGAGGGAGCTTCCATCCAGGAATCCCGCTGCAAGCGACTAGGCTCCTCTTGGACTATCTCTTTTGCAGGAGCAGAGGATTTCGATTCCTCATCTCTGCTCTCATGTCGGTGTCGGCGTTTATGGCCTCGGTCGTCGGCATGGTCAGTGGAATGGCGCGATCGCTTGTGTCTGTGCCCATTTTCATCGCTGTGTCTGGATTCATGGTGTCTGTCGTGTCTTCGTTCTCTGGATCTGGAGGAATGGCGACGGTGGTGACGATGGTGTCTGGAGCTGCGGTCTCGATCGTGATCCCGATGCCTTTCCCTGTCGCTCTTCTCGCGTCGTCTGTCCCGGTCCTCTGTCAGGGACTTTTCAAAATCTTCCAATGTCATGATTTCCCTTTTGCTTTGCGGCGTTTGGGTTGGGAGTATTCCGTGAAGCTGTCAGAGAAAAAAGGGCAAAAACACCGGCGGAGGAAGTCGAATGACGTCTGGTCGGTCCAGACTCCACCCGAGAAGATCCTCTCGGTCCCCCGCGACAAAAGAATTTCAGACTCAGAAAAAGTTCCTGACTTCTCCACTTCACGTCAACCAGCTCTTTTGCGGTATTTCAATATCGTTGGTTGATTGTATATATTTCATTTCTACGCAGAGAGAGATTGTATTTATTCTCTTTCCATCATGGCAACAAGCCCCGTTTCCGTTGTCTGCGTTGGCATGGCAGGTATGTACTCAGTCCTCCTCTCATGGTTCACCTTGCAAATCAATGCTAATATACGATTTCCTCCTCTAAATAGGCTCGGGAAAGACCACATTTATGCAGAGAATCAACTCGTATCTCCATTCTCAGAAAAATGTGCCCTATGTGCTGAACCTGGACCCCGCCGTGCATTCGGTTCCCTTCGAAAGCAACATCGACATCCGCGATTCGATTAACTACAAGGAGGTCATGAAGCAATACAACCTAGGACCTAATGGTGGTATCCTAACCTCGTTGAATCTTTTCGCGACAAAGGTCGACCAGATTATTTCACTGCTGGAGAAACGCACCGCCCCGAACCCCGAGAAACCGTCCGCTAAGCCCATCGAGCACATCCTAGTGGACACACCGGGTCAGATCGAGGTGTTCGTTTGGAGTGCTTCTGGTAGTATTCTGCTCGAAACCCTGGCCTCGTCGTTCCCGACCGTCATTGCCTATGTGATCGATACCCCGCGCACCACCTCCACGAGCACCTTCATGAGCAACATGCTCTACGCCTGCAGTATTCTGTACAAGACCAAGCTACCTATGATTCTTGTTTTCAACAAGACCGATGTTCAGGATGCAGAGTTTGCCAAGGAGTGGATGACCGACTTTGACGCATTCCAGCAGGCCCTACGGGAAGAAGAGGAGACAGGTGCTTTCGGAACGGAAGGTGGCGCCGGAGGTTTTGGTGCAGGCAGTGGATATATGGGCTCTCTGCTGAACAGTATGAGTTTGATGCTGGAAGAGTTCTACCGGCATCTAAATGTTGTGGGTGTGAGTTCCATGACAGGAGACGGTATCGACGAGTTCTTCAAGGCTGTGGAAGAGAAGCGCCAAGAATTTGAGCGTGATTATAAACCCGAGCTGGAGCGTAAGAAGAAGGAACGAGAGGAGTCCAAGGAAGCCCAGCGAGAGTTGGAGCTGGGCAAGCTGATGAAGGACATGAATGTTTCTGGTACAAGCCGCTCGAAACCCACCGAGGCGGCAGAGCCTGAAACTGTCAGTGAAGCCGAGGAGGAGGAGGAAGCGAAAGAGGGAGACGATTACGACAGCGACGATGATGGTTATAACGCCCCTGGTACTGGAGACGACGACCAGCTCTCCCAACGTTACCAGCAGGCACTTGCGGATTCCCAGAAAGCTCCATCTGATCAGGACCATAGCTTTACGAGATACTTGCGTGCCAGCAATATCAATCGTTGATGGTATGGCTTTCGACAAAAGGAACTGCATTCAATTCATCTTCTGCTAATGAATTTTTGGTGTTTTAATCATCATACGGCGCTACGTGGTCATCTCTACATTTGTCATTTTCTTTAAAAATAAACACTTTAGCATCAGATATCCAATGAATGACTTTATCATAATCGATCGAAGACTTGAGATCAGTAGCCCTTTCTCCATGTCCAAAAATTGTGCAAACAATGTAAACAGCAGATGATGTCACAGCGACAACGATCAGCCTGACGTTATCAACGCCTTCTGTCTGCCGACAATCTTTCTATCTTTAAATTTATGCATTGAGCTGCTGATCTTCTGTACTATATATCAAATATATCCACGGCTCTTTCCAGAGATTCAAGGTTTGATCTCTCAAATAGTAAAATTACACACCAAGGCATCATGGATGTACGAAATTCCTCCCTGCAATGTCCCAGCACCCGACAGCTAACAATCTTTTCAACCTGCAGGTCTTCTATGCTTATACATACTCCACTGCAGGATGGCTTTCACTGCAAAGCTTGCCCCTAATTGTGTCGCCACGGATGATTGTCTCCATGCTTCTGGATGAGACAAGGCCACCTTCAGGTAGGTATTCATTGAGTTCAACCAAGCAGCAAGAGACTCACACTAACATGCATGCTTTTGTCTTCTAGCCATGGAGGCCTATTTTGCACGCTGCTCCGGCTTTGGCTTACTGACCATCGCCATCCTGACTGCCATGCTGACAGGCTCAATTCCATTAAGCTCCTCGGTATCCGAGCCCGTCACGTCTGAAGATTCCGATCCCAAGGCTCCATACGCCGTGCCGACACTGATCATCACCACAATTTTCCACGCCATTACATCTTTCTATGCATACACCTGGTACACAGCGACGGATCAGTTCGCATTTGCAGCCGGAATGGTGGGTTCTGGCTTTGTGGCATTTATCGGGTTGTGGTGCATTCTTTTTGCCAGCGGCAATGGGAAGATCAGTAAGAAAACTGGAGCAGACAAGAGAACTGCAGGCTTCCCATTTAGTAACAGTGAGGCGGATAAGAAACACCCGGGAAGGAAGCGGATATAATGGTGGGCTGACAGGTACTACCGTATGCTACCTCTTATGGTAGAGGGGCTAATTTGAGGGATTTCGGTCAGGTACAGATTGGGTTCCAAGAAGCTGGTCATTCACAGGAGTTATTTCGAATTCTGTCAGACATGTATCGTCATCACTTACACAGATTTGGGCTGTAACAAGCTTTGCTTCCTTCCATCAGTGTTACTCAAACGCTTTTGCGTTACAGCAATCGTGCCTGACTGTCTGATATCATACTCTTTAATTCCAGATGGAGGCTCACATGAATTCATCTCTCACAAACTCTGTACTTTACTCTCAATGATAGAGAAGCTCATAATCTATAGAATTGACGTGATATACAGCCATTGCTCGAGGACTGCTATGCATACTCTCATCTAATACTACCTACATACAGCCCGGGAAATCTATAGTTGCAATTTCTAACACTTTCCCATCTCAATAATCAGCCAGCTTTCTGACAAATACAATCAAGTAAGAATATTCGCTATCATATTAACACCTCAGACTCCAAGCCCGGAGCCCCGGTGGAAGAGCGTGCCAAGACCACCAGCGGAAACGCCTCGGGGTTACAACGCCAGGCGATTGTCCAACCGTCAACAACTCCCCGACTCGACACAAACCAAGCCCATCCACATATGCTCAATGCAACCCTGTTTATCTCTCTGCATCTCTTTAGATATTTTCGTCTGCTTATCCGCTATATCACACAAGATTATGGCGTGAAAATGCCAAAGTAGGGGTCTTGGGCCGATGCACGATCATACAGGTGCTCTAACACCACACCAATATAACCGCAAATATGCGATGGCTCTTGATATACTAACAATATAGGTCTTCTATCACATCATATCTTATCCCCTCATTGTTCCTGGCATCTAGATAGCCAGCCATGGGGCTGTCCAGACTCATGGCCATAAGCCACTAGGGTAACTGATATCCCCAGCCTTGTGCTATGCGGGGAATTTCCCACTGCTACGATACCTTATTTTCACCAGCTCAGAGCTATACAAGGACTGCCTCATAGAATCTGCTCATCTGCTGTGGTCAACATCTTGGTCACTTCTAATCCTCACCAGATCTGGTGTATTACTTTCGCAATGCTATCCCCCTGAGGGGTATGACTGGGGTCCCCATGCTGTGAGGAGCCTCAATAGAGACCCTGCGTTAACTACTGTCCTTGGCTTAATTAATTCTAGAGACCTGGTGAATATTTCAGGTTTGATGCAGGGCAACACTGCACCACCTCGGGTGTCATACACTGTGCACAACAGCTTATGCTTTTCACTAGGCTGTATGCTTGGACTTCTTTTCTAGAAACATCCTGGTAGGACATCATCACACCATCCAACCACGGGAAGCTGAGAGATAAAACCAGACAACGACGGAGATCGCGCGAAGTTGCCAAGCATCGCGGGATGGTCACATTGCAGTCATCTTGCGAATCATAAGCTCTCACCTCTAGGTCATCTCCAGATTAGATGCACACATTGGCAAGCAAACAGATTAATAGTCCCTGGCCGTGGCTAGCATTGGGATGAAGCGGCGGGATTTCGCGATCAGGCGTTTCCATACAGAATGGGAATATACTACCTTCCCTATGAAGCTTGAAGCAACAGCACAGGCTGAGCGCTAGATATGGATCAATGAGGAATTCCCTCCCGGTGACTTGCGAAACTATTCCAGGTTGGACAGTTGTAGATCGCAGCGGACTTGCTTTTCTTTGTGGTACATCGGAACCCCGCGAAATATATTGGGCTTTGGGGTCATCTTCAACCTCATCTACTCCATTTCTACTGATAAGACTACTTCCGATGGGACACAATCATGTTTTTGAGGATGCAATGTCACCCTGCGGGTTTCAGGTATGGCATCGGGTGTGCCCGTATCCTTGTCTTATGTCTTCTGATGTTGTGAACATCATGAGGAATTGCAATGGCACTGAGAGAGATAAATATGTGGTCTGTCCCTCCTCAGTCTGTACCATCCAGCTTCCCAGATCCAGTATCCTTCCAAAGCTCCATTGTCATTCCGAGGCTTCTCTCTAGCACCACATCATGCATTCCATCAAGCGCACCCTCTTGCTCTTTGGGGCTATTCTTCCAGGTGTTTTCGGTGCCCCTGTGCAGGGTAGCCAACACAAGGCCGAAAAGATCCCGGGGAAATACATCGTCACCTTCAAAGATGGCATTGACGCTGCGAAGATGGCTGCTCACACGACGTGGGCCACAGATATCCACAATCGCAATCTCGCACGCCGTGATTCCACTGCTGGAAACCCACCTGTCGGCATCGAAAGGAACTACCAAATCCATAAGTTTTCCGCTTATTCTGGTTCCTTCGATGAGGCCACCATTGAGGAGATCCGCCAAAGCGAAGATGTATGTCTCCTCTTTAGCTGACCCGATTCAAGCCAATGCTAAAGTTTTGTGTTAGGTTGCCGAAATCGAAGAGGATCAGATTTGGTATGTCGATGCTCTGACCACGCAAAGTGGAGCACCATGGGGTCTAGGTAGCATTTCTCACAAGGGCGATGCGAGTACCGAATACGTCTATGATTCCAGCGCGGGCACCGGGACCTTTGCCTATGTTGTTGACACTGGCATCAACGTCGCTCATACCGAGTTTGGTGGCCGTGCCAGCAAAGCGTACAACGCTGTGAAGAACGCCAAACACGAAGATACTGTTGGCCACGGAACGCATGTCGCTGGCACTATTGGTGGCTCGACCTTTGGCATTGCGAAGAAGGCCAGTCTCCTGTCTGTGAAGGTATTCGATGGTGAATCAGGCACTACTTCGGACATTCTCGATGGTTACAACTGGGCTGCCAACGATATTGTCGAAAAGAAACGTACTAGCAAGGCTGCCATCAACATGAGTCTTGGTAAGACTTATCTGTATATTTTATAGCAGAGGAAAGCAACTAATATACAATAATAGGTGGGCAGTACTCCTACGCATTCAACCGCGCTGTCGAGAATGCCTTCGAAGCCGGCGTTCTCAGTGTCGTCGCCGCCGGTAATGAAGGTGTATGTGTTCCTATCTTCTCTTACAGCACACGGTGTATAGGACTTCTGACCTGATTCTCGCGAATCTAGATCGATGCCAGAAACACTAGCCCTGCCTCTTCGCCCTACGCCCTCACCGTAGCGGCTATCGGTAAAACCAACGCTCGCGCAAGCTGGTCAAACTATGGCACCGTTGTTGATATTTTCGCCCCGGGTGTCGACATTCTCTCCGCCTGGATCGGATCAAACACTGCAACCAACACCATCTCCGGTACTTCCATGGCCACACCCCATGTTGTCGGCTTGTCCGTCTATCTTATGGGTCTAGAGAACCTCTCTGGTCCAGATGCCGTGACTAAGCGTATTAAAGAGCTGGGCATCAAAGGAATCGTCAAGAACCCTTCTGGCAGCCCAAATCTCCTTGCCTACAACGGTGCTTAAGTGCATCTCAAGGCGAAACGTGATGGGTGAGATCATATACAAATTTATGTACATGTTTTCTCGGAACATGAGAGCAGGATTTGATTTTAGCAGCGTGGGATGGATTGCGTGAAGGGATCTAAACCAACTGCTTATGGTCATGTCATCTTGATATACAGGTCGATCTAGTCTCCAGTTTAGTCTAGGGATAGTAGTGATGATTATAGCAATTCTTATTGCATGATGGTCTAGTAACTCCTAGAACTAGCTATGTGTTTGGATTGATTTATTATAATCAAATATAGTATCCCTTATTCAATGTCGTAGCTTAAACAATCAATCATCAACCGGGCTACTTAAATTCACATATATATAGCTGCATATCTATCTACCCATTCTCGGTCACAAATATACTTCCTTTTTCCTGCTTATATTTCTCAGTTCGTAGGGTCACTAATGACAGATATTATATCAATATGCTAATACAATAATAATAAAAGCACTTCCAAAGTTGATCCATACACCATGGCCATCAAAAACGACCCCTCTACTTCTCCACCGCCCGTCCACCCAACGCCGCTTCAACCCCCGCTCTTCCGCACTCCCAAAAGCAGCGTCCGGGATTCAGGAAGGTCGATCCACTGCCCGCCTTCGTACCTTTCTATCGCCCAAGCAATGGACAGTCACAGTCCGGATCTTCAGGTCCAGCGCTCTCCCCTCAATCCCCGCCATCTCCAGTCCACATCGCTCTCTGCCCTCGCCGACGACGCGTCGACACTCGCTGCAGCCCAACAACAGCTCGCGCCGGGCCTCGATCCCAATGACGCGCATTCATTCCAGCCCTTTCAGTCCGCAATCGAGAACTTCGGACAAGCGCAGCAGCATCATGCAGATCACCCAGTCGGTACCCCGGTCTTCATACGACCCCCGCGGCCTGGAGAGCCGATAAACACCCTCCTGATTACCCCGCAGCAACAGCAACAACACCAAGTTGACCAGGTATCACCTCGACGACAAGAACGACTCTCAGATGGCAGTATCCCTGAATTTAGGGATCTGAGCAGTGGTGGAAATGGCCAGACAGGGATGCCAGGGGTGCCATCCAGTCAGAGCTCGACGAGAACGAACAGCAATGCATCCGAATCCCGGAATAATGGCTTTGAGATCTTGCAAGCGCCGGTTTCTTATCTGCAGCAACAGGAACCTAATTTCATGTTGCCCATTGACACTGCGCTGAAGCCAGACAGTCATGCGAAGGGCATGAAATTGGTCCCTGACCCGCCCGATCTGGATGCCTGGAGAGAGAAGCTTTTCAATATAGATGAGGTGATCACTCTAAGTGAGGAGCAGTATGTATCACCATTGATTCTACTTTTCTCGTTGCAAACCTGTTACTTACTTGGCCTGCTCGCTTTTTCCCCTAGATTCCAAACCTACTTCCCTCATATCGACAACGTCTACTCCCATCGCTCCACTCAACGCTACAAGCGCAAGCCTTTCGTCTCCCACTACTGGGACTGCAGACTCAAGGGCCGACCTCCAGGGACCCCCAAATCCGAAGACCCAAACAAGAAGAAGCGCAAACGGACAGCCAGACAGAGAGACCTATGCGACGTGAAAATCAAGATCACCGAATACTTCCCGGGATTTGGCGTGGTTCCTAGCAGCCCTCCAGAATTCATTAGTGGAAATGGCGCAGATTCTTTCCCTCCAACATCGGAATTACTACCTGGCGTGAATACGTTGTTCAGTCACCCCAATGGCGATGAACAAGATGGCTCTGGTAGGAGAGCCAGCCAGCCCTTTGGCGTGCTCACCCCGAATCCCACGTTACCAGCCGGACATCCAGGCGCAAATGGAGAGCGGTATTTTACAATTCAACGTGTCAATGGCAATGGGGCCAACGGAAAGAGTGATGGCGTGGGTGGTGGCCATCGGCATACACTGGAGGAAAGCGACCGGGTAAAGAAGAACAGTGTACAGCGACATCTCTTGAAGGGAATCAAAGAGAAAAAGAAGCCAGTCTCGGTATGTGTTTTTATTTTTATCATTTCACTTAATGAACCCTCCCAAACAACGAATATTACCCTAGGCCGAGTGTCTCATGTTTCCTATGGCTGGATGTCGTGAGAGGGTTTCTCCGCACAGTCTACGTCACTTTTGGGACAAACTTAACTGTCCTCTCTTTTCCCCGCTTTCCCATACTCATCGTGTTTCTCAGACCTTTCTCGGCTTTTAAAGGCAACATTGGATTTTGCGTCAAAGCCATACTTTTATTATTTCTCTATTGCTACCATCTCTTTATTCTCTGATTCTAACACAACCTGTGCGAAAGGTCAAAGCCATGTCTGTTCAAGACCCAACACAGCAAAAAACGTACCATACAAAAGCGACCGGGCTGGCTGCAACGACCGCCATCAATCACGCCAAGGAAAATGATCTGAAATTATATGGAAGTTGCTTCTGGTAAGAATGGTCCCTCCAAGATCTCGCGTGGATGACTGGAAATGGACCAAGAAAAACTGACCAAAAACCCAGCCCTTTTGTGCAGCGTGTATGGATAGCTTTGGAACGGAAAGGCATCCCGTACCAGTACATTGAGGTAGATCCGTATCAAAAACCCCAATCGCTGCTGGAGGTGAACCCGCGAGGGCTTGTTCCGGCTTTGCGACACGGTAATTGGGGTTGCTATGAGAGTACCGTGCTGCTCGAATATGTATGACATCCGCCCTACCTATGAAAAGGGAATTGTCTAACTCAGCCTTTCTGCAGCTCGAAGACTTGAACATAGGTACACCACTCCTCCCTCCAGGAGATCCGCAGCTGCGTGCTCATTGCCGGATATGGACGGACCATGTGAGTTTTCCTCCCACCTGCATACCATGTATGACAGCCAATCGGTATATTCTGACGTTCGTAGATCAATCGTCACATCGTACCGACATTTTATCGTGTTCTTCAAGAGCAAGACCAGGAGAAACAAATCTCGAATGCGCAGGAACTTCGAGACAGCCTCAATACGCTGGTCACTGCTGCCCATGTCCATGGTCCGTTTTTCTTGGGCTCAGATATTTCCTTCGTAGATATCCAAGCTGCGCCTTGGATTGTTCGGCTCAGTCGAGTTCTGAAACCCTACCGTGGCTGGCCGGACCCTGAGGCAGGTAGCCGATGGGCCGCTTGGGTTAACGCCCTTGAAACCAACGAACACGTCCGAGCAACGACCAGCACCGATGAGCTCTACCTGGACAGCTATGAACGATATGCCCGTATGTAATCTCGACGATCGATATTGTTGCTATCGGCACACTGACATCCTTTGCTAGAAAATCGACCAAACACTTCCCAACTTGCGAATGCCATTAATTCGGGAAAGGGTCTTCCATGAGGTTTGTGGGCTTCGGTGGTTGAAAGTTCCAAGCCCTTGGTGTAACGAGTCTCCAAGCATCATATGCTGCATTTGCGCTGGCAAAAGAACAAATAATACCTGGGCGACTCGTTTTGGTTATGGTTGAGCATGGCCCAACCTGTAAATTTCCATATGTGCAAATTTAACTTGCCTTTGCACCTCTGTTACCTGATCTAAAACCGCCTCTTCCACTAGGGTCTGGGGCCCTAGGAGAACGGACCGGCTGTCGTGGGGATTGTGGTTCGCTCCCAGGTCGTTGTCCCGTTGGTTGTCTCTCTTTCCTCTGTATATAGGCTGGATTCGGTTTGGCCGTGTGGCCTGGGTCATAGAGTTGTCTTGACTTCGACGACGCAGCTGACGAGTCCCTCTTCTCCCGATTGTCCCTTCCACTGCCACGGCCCTTTCCTTTCCCTCTGCCCTCGTGCGGCTTTGGCGGGGTTGAACTGCGAGGCGACGAGGCGCCCGATGTAGTTGCGGAGGGGCTCCCGAATAGTCTTTCGCGAACTTCTTCGTATTTGCGCTGCTTCTCTTCGCGATTCTTCAACGCAATAGCTTGGCGTTCTTCCGGAGTCGGTTCTGGAGGCTTGTCCTCCTCATCGTCAGAATCGTCAATACCAGCCTCGGAGCTTAGAGCCAGTCGTGCAACGCCTGCTGTCGCGGAGCCGATGGACGAAGACTGTCGTGTAGCCAACTGAGGCTTGCGACTGAGAACAGTGACAGTTGGTTTGAATTCCTGTTTCAAAGGAACTTCGGAGCGGGATTCCAGGAAATGAAAGGTCTCTGGAGACTCTCTATAGAGAAGGGTTAGAAAATGCCAATCTATGTCAGAGTACATATAATGTAAGATCCCACGTACGCTTCAGCCCATAATTGGCGGTTAAACTCAGCCTGCTGTGCCCTGCGCTGTGCTTTGGTGACCTTGGACGACACTTTTTTCTCCAGAGGGGGCGGGGTCGCATCGCTGGTTAAGGTCTGGTAGAAAAATCGGTCAGAGTGGTTTCGTAGGAAGAAGGTAGTATGAAGCCCATGGAGAAGGAAGATGGAATTGAAAAACGTACATCGGCCTGTTTCTCCCAGTCATCCTCCCATACGTCCGGGGCGACTGATGAGGGCTTTGCGCTCATTGTAAGACTGACAAAGACCGAGGATAACGGACGGTGGAAAAAGACACTAATGAATTTTATAGAAAAGAAGTAGAAAAAAGAGCCAAGTAAACAAGAGGATGACAAAGCTAAGCAAGGACAAATGCAAACTCCCAAAATGCCAGTATGTATATATGTAGTAGCTTTATTCTGATTCAATAAGAATCATTGAGATCGGGCTGTGCGACCGGGAGGATTTTTGGGGATTTTTGGGGCGGGGAGGAAATAAATGGAGGGCTGATTAGTTGCCTGTTACCTAAGAGGGCCGCCGATGGGGAGCAGATGAGATGCATCCAACAGCCCATTCCTCCCCTTGATCAGCGACCACCTCTCGTTTCCACCAGCGGATATTCACGATTCAAGATGCCTACCGGTAAGTCAGGGCCTGCAGTTTGTATTTCTGATATCTATACCCTCCCTTTACCACTCTCATGTCCACATCTTGAAGCAGTCAAGCAGCGGGATCACCCCCGCATCACACGTCCAGTCCTTCAACGTCCATTGCTAACCTCATATCTACAGATCCTGACGGCGACTCTCAAATGGCATCCTCGCCTGAATCCCAGTCTGGCTTCCCACAAGAGGACTCCCCAGCTGGATCCCGCACTCCGACCGCTACCACCGCTTCCCACAATTCCCGGGCTCAGTTCGCAGCAGCATCGGAGCTCTCTCCGCCTGGGTCGCAGACGAAACAAATTTCTGGAGTCAGCGGGGCAGCAATGGGAATGGACAAGGGTATCCCGATCTCGGCAGAGTCTCAGCAACAGCAACCCGGGGCGTCGTGGATGAATAAACGGGCAGAGGAAGAGTATCAGCGAGCTATGGAGTTTGTGGTTGATAAGGACTTTAGTTTGAGTGCGTTTTCTTCATCTGGATATCATCTGTGGAAAGACATGCTAACTATTTGGTTTAGGCGAGTTCGGAGATCCGTTCGATGAGAGAGACATGGAGGAGAAGTTGGTCTGAGCAAGACAGATTAGATGGGGTGTTGAATTCTACTAGATTTGTATCTGATGGGATTTGCTGAAGACGAGGGATACTGAATATGATTTATGAGATATGACTCTGGTATGTCTTTCACTGGTTACCTGGTACGATCTAGAGGACACATTCAGCTGACATGAATGTAGAATACATTCCCAATTCTGGGGCGTGAATTAATTAAAAACTGATCCCATGAATGCTTCTTATTGCTTCATTAGCCATCAGGGCTATCTCATGTCAATGGCATATAAAACGATAGACCAACCCATATGGAGTAGACGCCTAGACACCACAACGATAACTATCGACTTATCGTTATCAAATCCTGATCTACAGACCACTTTCTCCTTACTTGGCTACCTTAATTAACTCAAATAGCCATCGCTGGATGATAGCCTATGCAGTAGACCCGTTGGCGGTTGGCACAGCAACGGCTCTCCGCCCTCACCCCAGATCAACACAACAACTTCTATCCATCACCGACCATTTCCATCCTAAGCCTACGCCATATCGCCATCTACCCTGAGCTTTTCTTAACTTGCATCGATTTTAGTATCACAAATGCTGTATTGTCTTATTTAACTAAACTGCTTTCAAACATCCTCTCTGTTCGCAATCCTAGCCCCTTGACGTCACTTGCACTTCGCGAAGCATTCCTCGCGTGTTCCAACAATGATGCGCGACAGTCACAATCCTGCGCCCCCAGCAGGCCTTCTCTCACAAACACGGTTAGTTATCTCGCTTCGCCTACGCTGGCATTCTTGAGAAAAGAAACGCAATCAATCGACTTCAAGAAGACGAAGGAGGATTGGCCTGTGCTTCTCCGATTCTCGTCGGCCCCTTTTTTGTCGCGCAGTTTGCTATAGCTGTTATGAGGCTATTTGGGTGCATCGTCACTGACTGATTGAAACAGCAAATTACAGCTTGAAGAAGACCGGTTCAGATTCACTCCCGTCAAGGCGTCGGCGGCTCCCCGGGTCTGGGATCGCAAGCCCTCCACATCCTTCTTGGGCCGCACCAAGTCTCGCAAAGTGTGGAAGCGTTTCCGTACCTCGTTCAACAGCATGAAGGCGCTTCAGCAGATGATCGCTGCAGAGCAGGACGGCATTCATGACGACCTACACACTGAGATCAATACGTCCAAAAATTTCGAGTTTCTGCGCGGCGTCAAGCGACGATGCCTTAAGATTGACCACGATGCCGACGATAGCTCTGATGCTGGAATGGAGCGTGGGCGGTCGTTTTTAGAGACAAAGTGGGAGTCGGAGATGGGAGGAAGAAGACGTAAGCTTTTTTTCGTTCCCCTCTTTTTCCGGGTAAGTTACAGGGCATGTTTCTAATTCGTGTTTTTCAACAGGTAAACTTCCCATGGAATATACAATCCCATCCCAAACTTCCTCGGAGGCCATGACTATTGAGGGTGAGGAATCGGATATTAGCAACCAGAATGACGCTATGGGTCAGGAGGACTTGCACGATTTGTCCACGTCGAGCGTCGAAGTTGACGTGCAGGAGACCGTTTCTGGTCACGACGAATCTCTGGCCTCTATGTCAGAGACGCCAGTGAAGTCGGGTCAAGATTCGGCCTATCCCAGCGCGCTACATGGCCTGTCCAGCTGTACAAGCAACGCAATGGTTGAGGACATTTCAAACATAAATACGGACAAGGACATGGGCGAGCCTGCTCATACCGCAACTCTTGAAAAAATCGATGATGTAGCCCCGGGCTCAGCGTTTACAGATGATCGACAGACTGAGTTGTCGGACGAACAAGCATACGCCACGACCATCGAAAATAACGTGCAAACCGAGGACACTACTACAACTACAGCACCAGCCACAACCGAAGTGGTTGAAGATCTGACAGGAGAGAAGGAGTCGACTTTGGTTCGATCGGCACTACGCAGTTCACTGGATGGGGAGGATGCAGCACTACTCAACAACTTCCTTTCCAAAGCCCAAGCGAAGCGCGCTGCCAAAGCAGTCATGACCTCTCCAGAAGCAGAAGAAGAGAAAGCCATTATCCAGGAAGAGCTGGTGGCTGAATTCCCCACTCCACGATCTCGTCGGGCTTTGGAAGAGCTAGACGCCAATTCACCCTCGCCTCAGAAACCTCAGTTGTCGCCGTGCAAGGCCGATAGCCCCCGCAAGAACACCCCGGATGTGAACGAGCCAGCGAACAAGGATAACAGTGAGGAGGCCGCGGACCAGCAACAGCCCGCCAGTCCGGTTGGTCGCCGGAGCACCAGAATGCGTCTATGCAAGCCTGCACCGCGGACAGCCTCTGCTCCTGCTGTTCGCAACCACCTCTCACTCCGCCGAGCGAAGGGAACAGAATTTGTCTTCCTCCAGCGAACTGAAGCCCAGGAGCTCGCCTTGGCCACGCGCAAGAATACCCGGAACAACAAGGGAGATGCGGTGCTGCCGAAGTTCGTTCTTAAGGGGCTGGCCCAACAATGGTCAGAAGATGAGGAATCATCCTCCAACGCTGATAACAGCAAGTCTGCACGGTCAGACCGCAAGGGTTCTGGCAAACGATCGAGTACAAAGAAACAGGTTTCCTGGAATGATGAGCGACTTGTTGAATACGAAGATGGTGGTGCAGAGGCCAGTCATCGCGATGAAGCCAAGGATGACGTTGCTGATAGCAAGGAGAAATCAGCGACAAAGCAACGCCCCGAGAAAAAGAAGGCGACCAGTGGTGGCCGCAGCACACGGTCTCAGGGATCATTGCAAAAAACTGGTGATGGCAGCACTGAATCCCCGACTGCATCGACTACTGCACCTGCTACTGCAGCCCCGAAAACGCGCATGCGGCGATTGGGAGCATCGGGCTCCAACTCCACCTCGACTGCCGCAACGTCGCCAACAACAACCTCATCCCCTGCGAATAGCAAACGCAAGAAGTTGACACCCAAGTCTCCCAGTAGCACTCTGCTGCCGACGCCTGCTTCCAAGAGTGCCAGCACTACCAGCAAGTCGTCGGTCAGTGGCAGTGGGCGCACCACCACCACGTCGGGCAAGAGTAAGAGCATCCTCCAGGCGAATGCTGGATCAACACCGATGCCAAGACGGATTCGGTCAAAGGCATGAAGATATTTGTGAGAAGAAATAATTGGCCATTTGGCTACTGCGTCCTACCCTAGCTCGAAGGATGTGTATCATGTCGCAGGGTGCAAGGGCTGTACATATGGGGAATTTCATTTTGATTCGCCAATCATTAATTATGGATGGCGTCTGTCTGTCTGGGTATTTATGGAAGACCTTTTTTATTGTTATGATTTGTGCCTGAGAGGGATTAATGGTGTTTGGAGTCGTCATGTCCATCGGTTTTCATGTGATAATTACCACTGTTGCAGTCCGGCTGGAGAAGGATATGCAAGCCCGAGGGGCTGAGCACACAACTGGCTGCTTTGTTAATAAAAACATAATCATTCTTACTCCGATTATTCTCCTATTCCAGTATTGTTCCTTTGATAGTGTCACTTAGTCTTGGATGATCTCTTGGAAGGGTGGCCGATAAATCACGGTATGATGAGTTTGACGACGGATGGAGGGGTTCATGGCGTGCCGAATGTTTAAGCGTCGGAAGAATTCCGGTGTTTAGACGATCAGCATGAGTAGGGAGTCTGGGATATGAGGGAAATAATAATAAAAATATCAAAGTGAATACTCCGTAAAGAGGATGAGGATGAAGCTGAGGATGTGACATGTCAAGTTGAAATAAGGCTGCGTGGGATGATGTCGATATGCACAACGTATGCGATGCTATTATCTGGGGAATCACCCATGTCTGGATATTAAGATATTAATATAATGCTTTCTAGTCTGTATACACTCTTCTCCAATCATATCCATCATATAGCAGTGTCATCATCAACTGCACCTGTATAGATGGTCTTATCGGCATAGATAGGTACAGACACCCTACATGATAGGTATAGATCTTATCTCATCTCTGCAACGTCACTCGGGATTCCGTATACAACGCCTACGTAGGTGGCTCTGAAAAGGCTGAAACATCGGGATCTGTCTGCATTTCATCTCGGGATCAAGGATGGTTGGTCCATTTCACCGATTTGCCATTCTGGTAAAAATAACTCTGCCTGTTCTATACAAAACTGTATTCATCGGATATGTATTTCCATATCTTACTGCATAAAAGTACTACATGTACAAGTAGTACAAATCGCAATGTAACGACAAAAAAATGCCTCGAACAACCAACAAAATCCCTCAATTGCTCCATATCTCGGGAGTTTCACCCTCTATTCAACTGCCTTTGACTGGTCTGATTCATGGAGAACGGAAATTACCTTTGCCTGGTTACACTCAGGATAATCCAAGTATGGACTAAGTAATGTAAAATACCATCCAATCACATCTCCCATTTCCCCCCCCCCCCCCCCTCTTTTCCTAATTGCGACTTCATCTAGGGTCGAGGGTTAGGTTTAGGTCTTTACATGGTCACTGGTCAATTCCTTCCCCTCCAATTTTTTTGTTTACTATATCTAGACCCACTTCCCTGTTTGAGGCTTCGGTGTTTTAGGGCTTTTCCGGATTTGCCCACCGGTGATGGTAGAATACTGCGTACTGCCCCGACTTGTTCCGATGCACTACACCTATTCTAGTTTAGCTCAAGGGCTGGTGCCGGGCCGGGTTAGCAGCTGTTTGGGATGGTGGCTTGAATTGCTTCAGGACTGACAACGTCACTGTTTGACTCGCTGGACTGTGCTCGGCTAGGTTACCGCTAAGGTAAGTCAGTCATACTAGTGCCGTACAGACCTGGATACAGGCCTTACGGGGATGGGGGAGTGTCGGTGCTTGGGCCAATTCCTATAGCGTCATCATACATTGGATATGGACTACTGTCCTCCGAGTTGCTGATTGCTGATGTTTTTTCAGGTACGTGTTTTTCAGTTACTTACCAGTCGAATTGAATTACATTTACAGATACTTGATACTCGATACTTGATACTACTCCTTTACTAGGCGTCCTTCTGAAGAGATCGAGGATTTAGGTGCAGGATCATCATTGCTGAAGCTTCCATCGTGGCTCTTAGGATATTCTTATATTCTGACAGGTCTGGGATCTCACTGGTTGATATAATATGTATATCTATCTTGTCTGTATGTTTATATTCAGGTACAATGAGTTTATTCCATATTCATCAGCCGTTACACATTAATGATATGAAACCGCATGTAGCTAAGCTGTCATTTTGACTTTTGTAGAGACACCCCTTCTAATCAATTGCCTTATGTCCTGCATAAATGAAAGAGAAGTTTGGACCAATCACCGTTCCCAATTAATATCCCGGCCGACTGGTTGAGCTCCACCCAAGGAAAGTAGGTAATTCCCTTATTAAGCCACTTAAGCGGACAGCTGCTTGGCGGTCTCCTCGGGCCAGACGTCGTAGCCGAAAGTGTCCTTCATGTTGACGAAGCGGAAGTGACGACCCTCGGCCACCTTGTTAACAGCCTCGAAGTCCTCGTCGCTGAGGTTAATGCTCTTGAAGTTGGACTCGATACGAGCGGGGTTGGAGCTCTTGGGCAGCACAACGTAGCCGCGGCGCAGACCCCAGGCAATCAAGACCTGAGCCAGAGTGTTACCACCCTTGGTGGCAATGTCGTTCAGAGTCTTGTTCTCGCTGACACGCTCACCAGTGGTGGGGACCTGGTTCTGCGAGCCCAGAGGAGAGTAAGCGGCGGGGAGGACGTCGTGCTTGAAGCAGTAGTCCACCAGCTCAGTGTTGGGCAGGAAGGGGTGAATCTCAATCTGGTTGACATGAGGCTTGATCTCGGCGAACTTGAACAGCTTCTCAAAGTCGGGGATAGTCCAGTTGGAGACACCAATGGCCTTGGCCTTGCCATCCTTGTAGAGCTTCTCAAGGGCTCTCCATGTGGGCTCGGGGTTCTCAGTGAGATCCTTCAGGATGACGTACTGTTTTCCCCGTTAGTTAGCTCCTGCTTGTGCATGCTGAGTTTGTTTGTGTTGTCCAAAACATACCTTGCCATCAGCACCGAGCTTGGGCTTCTCCTGGGTCTCCTTCTCGGAGGCGATGGGCCAGTGAACAAGGAAGAGGTCGACGTAGTCGAGACCAAATCGCTCCAAAGAGTTGTTCAAGGACCATTCGACGTCCTCGGGACGGTGCAGGTGGTTCCAGACCTTGGTGCACACGAAGATGTCCGCCCGCTTGACGGAGGGGTTGGCCTTGAGGAAGTCACGGATAGCATCACCGACCTCCTGCTCGTTGAGGTAGTACCAGGCACAGTCCAGGTGTCTGTAGCCAGTCTCGAGGGCCTTGGTGACGGCTCTGTAGGTCTCACCGACGCTGCCCTCACTGGCAAAGGTACCGAAACCAACAGCGGGGATTTCGACCCCGTTGCTGAGCTTGAAGGACTTTCCGTTCGACATGTTGTTGAATTAGTTTTGATGGAATGAGAAGGATGCAATGAAGATCGTGATGGAGAGAAATGGGAGAATAGAAAGGATTGAAGTTTGGGGGATGAAGAGGTGTTGGCAGGTATTCAAGTAGAGAAGGTGGGGTGGAGGAGGGGTAATAGGTCGGCGGCTAGGAGGGGAGGGGTTTACTGAATGCAGTCAATTCCCAAGGCAAATTGGCAGGCAACCTGTTACAAGAAAAAGCAAACTGGTTATTTTTACTTTTTTACAAAGCCCTTTATTGATTTTTTTCTTTTTTGTTTTCAATAGTAACCCATATTTGTTCTGCTTGAGTTACTATATTATTAACTACTTACTACTTATTTACTGCGGTGTAGTGCCAGCTTCCTGAAAATGGACCTCAACAATATAGGTGGGGGAGCCATGCCTAAAAATGACACACGAGCTTCTCTGACTAAGGCTCTGACCTGCTCCTCCTCCCCCAATGCCTGCAATGCCACCACAAACCGCACTGCCAGTTACGTTACAGCGTTGAGCGCCTTGCCCCACCCCAATAACAGTCGTGAAAGCACTCATCAGTCGCTACTGCCGCAATGACATCACCGCTGCTCTGGCTGCGGCATTGGTTCGAAACGGCGCGAGCGTTTGACCCATTGGCCGCCCGCTCGATCGTCATCGGCTCCATCGATCTCACCCTCATTCCATGGACTGTTGCCAGTCCAGTCCAATCAGAGCTGGCAATCAGGCCCGCTCCCCTGCTTCCTGCCCAGTAAGCATGCAGAAAGCCTCCATGCTGGTCTTGGAGGATCATTCTTGGGCGGTTCGTCTCTTAGCTCTGCCTGTCGGCCAATCATTTCCCGCATAAAGCACCCCTCCGCCCCGCCCTGCCAGACGAGCTTCGACCATTCGGGCTTAGACCAGTCTGCCATCTGCAGGGTGTGGCTGGTTATGCCCCCGTAATACCAGCTTGATACACGGTTCTGATACCGTACGGTACCAGCATTACCACGGTAAAGTTGCGCCGTCGGAAGCATCAGATCAAATCATCCAACCCGGAGTAACAGACAGACAATCTCCTTGGGCTCCGCCGTACCCGCTGGCCGTATCTTTCTTGCTTTGAGCAAGAAATAATGATGATGACGATAATTCCTAGGGATTATGATACAGTCTGAGTGGAGCCTGGTTGTAGGGGGGAGGGAAATACAACTTTCTCGTTTGGGAGTTGTGACCGCCACTGAGGGTTCTGGGTTTCTGGTAAACCATGGTATATAGAGGTTCAAGAGCCCTCATGGAATTGGATTTTCTTTTTCCTCTTTCATCCTTCATCCTCCTTCAATTCACTTGCTAGGAAGAGACCGACTGTGAAAGACCAGCCTGTCTTCCTCTACGAGTGATATCATCAACTACTTACCCCTCCATCAAATCTTATCACCCCTCCTTTTTTTCTTCTTCCTTCTAAACCACCACCACTTTCTCAATCATCATGCCTCGCTTCGAAGACTCTGACCTCGGTGTTGACGCCGCCGCCCCTGCTGGTGCTCGTTCTCCTCGGGACCACCGTGGCAGTGGTTCTCTGCCTATCCCCAACGAAGCTGGAAACACCGTGGAGATTCCTGCTACCAGAAGCTCCATCAGCGATGCTGCTCAGTACATGCACAACCTGAGCTTGTCGCCCTCGATGAGGGACCGCCGTGGATCTCGCAACTCCTTTGGCACTTCTCTCCCCATCCCCAGATCGCCTCGTGTCTCGAGACTCTCGTCTGTCGCCAAACCCTCCGTTTCCCGCGACCTCCTGGCCTCTCAGGTCCAGGACATGTCCAAGGAGAAGGTCGCTGCTGCTAAGAACATGGCTTTCGCTTTCGACATTGACGGTGTCTTGGCTCACGGTAACGAGCCCATTCCTCAGGCCATCGAGGCTCTCAAGATGCTCAACGGTGACAACGAGCTGGGCATCAAGATCCCTTACATCCTCTTGACCAACGGTGGTGGTAAGACCGAGTCTGCTCGTTGCCAGCAGCTGTCTGAGATCCTCGAGTGCCCCATCTCGACCGACCAGTTCATCCAGTCCCACACTCCCATGCAGGCTTTGTCTGAGTACTACGAGACCGTCCTGGTTCTCGGTGGTGAGGGCCAGAAGGTCCGTGAGGTCGCCGAGAACTACGGCTTCAAGAACGTTGTCCACCCCAAGGACATCCTTGCCTGGGACCGCACCATCTCCCCCTTCGGTTTCTTCACTGAGGAGGACCGTGCTGAGGCCAAGCCCCGCGACTTCTCCAAGGTCAAGTTCGACGCCATCCTGGTCTTCACCGACTCTCGCGACTACCAGACCGACTTCCAGCTCATCATTGACTTGCTGCTCGCTGAGGATGGTCAGCTCCTGACCCGTGCCAAGGACCCTCTCGCCAACCGCATTCCCCTCTACTTCTCGCAGGGTGACCTTGTCTACCCTACCGACCACAAGGGTCCCACTCGTCTGACTCTGGGTGCCTTCCGTATCGCCCTGGAGGCTCAGTACAAGACTCTCACCGGTGTCGACATGGAGCGTGTCATCTACGGAAAGCCCGAGCGCGCCACCTACACCTACGCCGATGAGGTCATGAAGTCGTGGATGGAGGAGATTCACAACGAGAACCGTCTCCCCGAGAACATCTACATGGTTGGTGACAACCCAGCCTCTGACATTGTCGGTGGTAACATGTACGGCTGGAACACCTGCCTGGTCCGCACTGGTGTGTTCCAGGGCCCTGGTGACAACGACACCAACAACCCCGCCAACTTCGGTGTCTTCGACCACGTCTTGGACGCCGTCAAGGCTGCCGTCCGCAAGGAGCTTGGCCAGGACTTCAAGTTCAAGTGGAACCCCAAGGTCAACCCTGTCCTCCACGGCGACAGCTCCTCTGCTGTCGAATAAGTTTAACGAATCTCACGTTGGGAAGACAAAACACCATCAAAAATTCTGTTTTGCGATTGATATTCACCATGGGCGTTGGTTTTTTTTAAACATTCCCCGAGTTCTATGCTAGACATTTGTTATGTTTTCATTTTTATATTTGCATCTGGGCTTGTGGGCTTAAGGACTTCTGATATCCAATGTCGCTCGATCTGGGACTTGAACCGGAAGAGCAGACCAACCGATGTTTTTTATGGGTTTACGTGTTTCTTTTTTTTTATCTTCTGTTTCTTAGACTGGTTTCTATGATAAAGATGCAAAATAGCATCATATGAACTTCATTTCCACATATCTTCAATTCTCTTCAACCTGGTAGCCTTAAGACGGGTGCAGGTTTCTTCAACACCCCGGTTGGTGCACCTAACCCGTGGTTCACGCTTGTATAAGATTAAAGTAGAGTCGTTGACGAATGTTGATGACATCATGACCACGTATCTTGAGACATCAACACTGTACTCCATGCACGAACACACGGGCATAGTTCATCAATCATATCCCATAGAGCCAGCCCACTACAACACAATCCAGACTGATTCTTAAATACCACCCTACACAAGTCCATGACAAGCAAAAGGTGGCAAATATCCGTATCCGGTTCGGCTACACGCCCGTGATTGAACCCAACCACGGCATCTTCCGTCACCAATCAACTCCACCTACCTATAAGCATGTACTCGTAATACATGGAGTAATGTAAAATACATCGAAAATGGAGGGGTGGTAGGGATGGATGGGAAAAAAGGGCAAGCCACACCGAACCGAACCGGGCACCCGAATCGTCCATCTCTCGGTGTTGACTACTGCCTATGTCCTCCTATGGACATTACTGCTGTGGTTAGGACTTAGGTGAAGGTACTGTGGCTGTCCACTTTTCTCTATCGGCGAGGATCGGAGCAAACACGGGTAGTCGAGTACCATGCCATGCCAGCAAACCGAGCCACGCCGCTACGGACTACGGAGATGTAGACTCGGGGTAGCGTAGCAGTCGGGGGGGGAATGAGATGAGCGGGTTCGACAAGACCGGAGGAATCAATTCCGGTGCGAGTATGTCGGGCGCGCGAATTATCTAGTTACAGTCCATGGTGTGTGGATTCGGGGGGCATTTCGGGAAAAGAAGGGACGGAGCTTAGAGAGGTGGCACGGGGCGGGATATTGGACGGGATGGGGTCGGCTTCGGCGTGGGATTGATTGTCATGGCTGTTCCAAATTGTCTGTATTTCGGATGGATTGGGGGTTTGTTTGATCGGGATGATCGGGATGGGTGGTGTTTGGTTAATGTTGATATTGATGTTGATGTTTAAGAGGTTGGTGGTGATAAGTTGGTTGTGTTGTGCCCAAATACCTACTTGGTAGGTAATTATCGTTGTTAGGTGTAGTGGTGGGTAATTATATATGTAGCGGGATAGATGCTATTGTGGCGTGATATATTGGACATCACCTACAATATTTTGTTTATTGCAATAATGCTATAGACAATAATGTATATAATAGCTGCTAGAATATGAACATCTACCAAGAGAAGAACCCTCATTACCTAGGACAAGTATTTATACAAAGCAATCGGGAAAAAAAAAATTAAATTCAGTTATGTAATCAAATAACGAAAGGAACATTAACCAATAGACACTATGGCCGAGCGGTCTAAGGCGGCAGCCTAGAAAGCTGTTCTCTTCGGGGGCGTCGGTTCGAGTCCGACTGGTGTCGGTTTCTTCTTTTTGGCTCTTTATTTTTTGACCACAGTCAGTGGAGCGCGGCCAAGTCCCGAGGGCAACACACTCCGGGAGCGGAATCCCCATTCCCGATGACGGAGAACAACTGTCTGCCTCTGCCTAGGTCGGAGTATCCCGCGGAGTATGTAGGTGGCCTATCCTCCAAGTCCAGAGATAGTTGGGTAGCATGTAGGATTGTATCACCGATGCAAGGTAGCCACGGGATGATGGCGGGGTGCAGCGAATATCATGTCGCTTGGGTACCAATCCATGTCGTCCTACAGCGTACGACAGCAGCGCGGGAAGATAAGAAACAAACCTATCCCGTAGGACAGAATTCCATCATCGCCATGCAGGTGTAACATGGCAAATGCCGACTAATGGCATGTTCTGGATAAGCTCGCCAGTCGACAGCATGTAACCAGGTTGTTTTGATTCCACGGGTGAGAGATGCAGCTCCCCGTGATGATGATGGTCAAGGATAGGAGGAGTAGTCTGCAGATGAGGAGAGTCTAAAGGATATTGTTATTCATAGCTCTACTATTGGTGATAGTCCATATTCCTTGCCTCGTCCGCTTGTTTGTTCCCTGTACCTGTCGGCTGTAGAGACTAGGTACACAGTAAGCATGGCGGAATCCGACCATCCCGAACTAGTAAGTGGGGAAGAATGATGCCCGCCAGCGGCTTGGCTTGAATGCTCTGTTCTTGGCTGCTGCCCCTTGGATGAATATTGGATGTACCCGTAGTTCATGGGGGTGATCACGCGAATTTCCATGGGATTACTCCATTTCACCATGTGTGCCCAACTGTTCATGCATTTCGAGGTCTTGTCGTTGGTGGACTGGTGTTGTTGTGTTGTACACTTCAGACAGCGGAGAAATCTCCGATGACAGCGAATGATGGGGATGCTACTCCGTAAGGGATGATTGGCCAAGGAAGGGTCAGGTGACACTCTGCAGGATTTATTGCCAGTTGGAGTAGGGATTGGTCAATGGTGGAGATGGTTTGGAGTCACTAAAAGACAGGGCTAACAAGTAGCATGAGGACCTTGCAACACTAGTTGGTCATGACTAAAGGAATCGTGCAATGATCGATGAGCTTTAGGCTAAGCATTATGGGTGGATAGTGTACTTCCTACCAAGTACCAACTACCAAATTGCAAGGGTGCAACAACTAGTCATAAATAGACGATAGTATGTACTTTCGACTAGTACGGAGTACCCATGGCAAGGATAAGCCAAGCGACAGGCAGCGCATGACCTGTTGCCCCCGCATGATCACCCAACAACCCGGTCGAAAAAGAAGCTCAGGCCAAAGCGGTTAGGTAAAGCAAAACGCAGCCGTGCCAGTCAGCCAACGTGGCTGGGTCCGGGGTAAAGTTAGTGTAGATCGCCTAGACTCGGTGATTCTGTAGTTTGGACAGGGATCAGCTGGGATTCCTATTATTCAATAATAAATAAGACGACGAGTAGATCGACTCAGCAAGCCATTCGGAAGCTTCAGTTTGTCATGCTTTTTGTCGTGCTGGTTGGGGTAGGCAAAGGGAGATCACGTGGGCAATATGACAGGGCAGATGGCGAATTTTGATTAGGTCATGGAAACCCATTCATCCAGAAAAAGAAGGGCCAAGAGATGATTCCATATCGTAATTCATTACTGTCCATATTTTTATATTAATTATATTATATTATATATTAGGTATACATATATTATATACATATATCCTACTCCGTATTCTCTCTTCTTCTACAACTATTTTCACTCTCTAAGTAGTATGACGCAATCTCGCTTGCAGAGATAATAATCTTCCTAGTGGAACTAAAGATAGCCGTTGATCGGTGGATAGTTTAGATCAACGATGCTATTTGGCTCTCAGAAGCCTCGAAAAAGCAATCTTCTCCAACCTTGCAGGGATCTCAAACGTCGTTGTAAGGTCGTACACCATTCCATTGTTCTCCCAGTTCGCCGCATTCATCATCATCTTGCTCATTGCCGCCATGGTCGCAGTCTCTTTTGCCCCATGGTGCTCTCTCCGATGGTTCTCATTCCTTCTATTCCCCTCTCGACTTTCGTAGCCAAGTAGATTTTTTCTTCTTTTCCGCCTCCGCTGTCATTAAATAAACCATCTTCTTCTCTACTACCTACTTCATCACTTTAATTATCATCCATACCATCACAACTACGGACACTACTACCGCTTTCTCCTGTCTTGAATTGGCCCGAGTCCCTCCCATCCCCAATAGTGCCTCCGCCTCGGGCGCGGCATCGTTCCATCCGCTGCATTCTGTGACTAACAGGAACAGCGTCTCACTTTCTCTCTCTCTTTTTCTTCTCGTCTCCGCCGCCCCTCTTTTTTTCTCATTCTTCTTCTTCCCATCTGCTGCACCGGGATACCTTGAGAACAATCTGGGGAAAAAAGCTTTGCTAATTTTTTTTTTGTTCCCGGTTGTGTAGCCTCTTTTCAACCCTTGGGTGCTTTTTTTTCTCTTCCCCTACCCACTTTGGTATTAGTCGAGACGGGCCCTTTATAGAGAGGCTTTCCGCCCTCTCCCATCACACGATGTCTTCCGCCACCGCTCCCTCTACGCTTCCTCAGCACAACCACTCTACTAAACAATTCTGTCCTCAGCATTCTCCGGTTTCTACTGGAGTCACTACTCAACAGGATCATTCTCGCGACCCTTCTCCTCGCTCCTCCGAGTGCTCGTCCCCGGACGGTTCCCGCTCGAGCAGTCGCCGTCGACCATCGTTTGGGTCGATCAAAGAGGACGTTGAGGGTATGTGTGACTCAACGTCCACAATGGTAGTGTTATGAACGATGCGTATGTATGGATTGGCTAACCGCTGGGAACTTTACAGGCATTGCGCAGTCGTTCGTGGATACCCACATCGAACAATCCCCGAAAGAGCAAAGCAGACCGGGCGTGACGCTCCCGGACATGCAGCAGACCCCGGAGTTTTGTTGCCCCTGTGGTGGCTTCCTGGGATGGAAGCAGATTCGATTGAGTGGGAAGAGTCTCAGCAGGAGCTATGGTGATCTTCGTATGCTCGGGGCCATGCAGGCCCGCGGCTGGGCGTGGGAGGGACCGGAGATGAGCAGCCAAATCCCACCCAGAACACTGCCGCTCGAGGAGCAGAAGCCCAGAGCTGGTACTTCCCCAATCGAGAAACTCCCACCTGAAGTTCTCGGTCAGTTTTTCTTTTTTGCCGTGGGTGTTTGTTCGTTGCACTGACCTTGTTCTAGACCAAATCATTTCGAAGCTGGCATTGGATGTCCCGCCTAACGGATACACGCCGCGCAATGTTGATCTGATCTCGTGCCTGCTCACCTCGCATACGTTCCACGCTGCCACACTTAGTGTGTTGTACAGGAACATGACCTTCCCACACTCTATCATCTTCTCCAAGGCGCTCAATCACATGTCTCAGTATCCCGCTCTAGGCACCCTGGTCCGTCGCCTTGATTTCTCCCACTTCACTTCCGTCGGATTGGGGCGCACCAGACAGATGAACGCGGAGATCCAGAATCTGACCGCCACGACGATGTTGAAGTGCTTGGACCTTCTCCCGAATCTCAAGGAGTGTTTGCTGCAGGAACATGTGGAGGGTGATATCAGTGTCGAGGTCGTGCGGAAGCTGTTCATTGGTCTTCGCAACCTGCAGGCAGTTGACTTCTGTGGCTGCTCCACTCAAGCTTTCTCTGCAGTTTTCCAAGAGGCCTTGACAGCTGGCCCTGGCCTCCCTCTGACTCTTCCAAACTTGAAGCGTGTCTCGCTGCACGAGTGCAGTAGCATCCCGGGATCTACTTTTGAGATACTTCTTCCACGTTTGGTCAACCTGACTCACCTCGATTTGACCCACACGCAGGTCAATGAGGCCGCGCTGTTTTCCATCCCTGAGACAGCCAGGATCACCCATCTGAGTCTTTCTCGGTGCTCGCGCCTTTCAGGCCGCAGGGTAGTGGAGTTTTTGACCACGCACCCTGCCGTGTGTGACTCGTTGGTCTTTTTGAACTTGTTGACTGATCCAACTCGTTACCGGATCATGGAGGAAGAGGACGTCAAGGCCCTTCTTCCAAAGCTTCCATCCTCGCTCCGTTCCCTCAATCTAGGAGGGGCCAAGGTGACATCTGACCATGTGGCGGGCTTTATCCCCCTGACGAAGCACCTCGAAGAGCTTGGTTTGAGCTCCGCGGACCTGTCTGTTCAAGACCTTAACTCCTTCTTCGCCCCGCCTAAACAGCCAGAAGATGGAGAGGAGGCGGCATCTACGGCGATGAAGGAGCCTTGGATCCCACCTACTCTTCGCTACTTGGATCTCAACAAAGTCTCTTCGTTGGCGATCTCGACACTTTTTAATACCAACTCGTGTCTGTTGCTATCTGCGCAAAGCTACCCGCTGCAGGTAATTGAGTTTAACGACAGAATTATCGCCCCGATGAGGGAGCGGACCAAGAACAACAGGACGTCCGCTGGCTGGACGGTTCGTGAGCTTGGCAGACGAGGATGGTATGTCCGTGACCCGGCATCTGTGCCGGCCATCCCTGACGATGGCTCTCGCTCCTGGAAGATGGGCGCAAGATGGTGGGGAATGAGAAAGATCCCCGTTGCCGTCGGAGACGTTGGAGGAATCTACGGACACTACATGTTCAAAAAATGAACAATCACCGCAAAATTATTGTTGCAAAAAGCGCTGCGTGTCATTTGGTTTTGCTATATGGTTTATACCCTTGATCTTTGTCTTTACGTCATGGGTGGGCTTCTTGTTTCTTGATTATACCCAACTGATTTGCATGAAGGCGCGCTATAAGGAAAACGACAAAACATTGCAGGTGACTTGCTTTTCTGGCTCATGATTTGTTTAGCTTTGGCTTTTCCTTGATGAGCATTATATATTTGTTTTGCATTAGCGGGAGCAATCTTTCAGCGTTATGGTTGTGGAGCTCTGTTGTTTTGTTTTTGCTGATATCCATCGATTTGGTCTTTTTCTGTTTCTGTCTACCTAATTTGTATCTGGCTCTTTTTTCTTCGCAGCATATGGATGATGCATTTGGAGGGCAATATGGTTGCAAAAGGGTTCGAAGTTATTCCACTCCTGGAGTCGGTGTTCAGTTTGCTGGTACAGAATTTGCTATTACTTTCACTTTGTATGTATTCTTATCAAATTGATACTCAGTGAGATTTCTTGTATGTCTTCTATATCGTCATCGTAGATCTACCTTAAATCTTAAAAAGATGACGGATTCTAGAAATCCCGCCAAGATCACGTGCTGTTATCGAATGCTTCTGACTTTCTGAAGAATCCGCGGAGCCAGCATCTTCTCCCAGCTCCAACCAACGACACATCGACCGTTTAGGAGGATCTTTGACCTTCCGTCTCCTCCGGAAATTTTCCCTGGGGTTCTTTTCCTCCCGATGGGTGGATCCATAGACGTCGCCCAGGACAGTGGAAGCTGTCGAGATCGACGACGATGGCACCTCCGAGCGGGTCGGCGGCGTACAAAAAGAAAGATGGCACCCTGACCATGTCTCAGGATCGCCAGTCGGTATCATGGATTCCGGCGGCGGGTGGTGCATCAGGGACGATTACTCTTTCCGTGACTCATATTACCAGTATGCTGTGTTGTGGTTTAACGTTGCCTACATTTTGCTGACTCTGAGCCTTGCTAGATCTCCAACAGACGCCGGCAAATAACCCCAAAGTAATGCTCAAGATCTTCGTTCAACCCCCAGATCCACCGAACGCTGCACCGGAACAATATGTCTTTTCTTTTACGGCCGGAGCAAATGCGCGCCCAGAGGCGGACGCCATCAAAGATGCCCTGAGCAGTGCCATTCAGGCAGCCAAGACTGCTCCTGCCGCAGGCGCACAGGAAGGCATGTCTGCGGCAATGGCGATGGCGAGCGCTGTCTCGTCAACGGGCACAGGGAAAAACGTCTGGGATGATGATAATCGGCTGAAGGGGGACGTGGAACTGCAGCAGTCGCTGCTGAAATCAGACCCCAACCTACAGCGCATGTTCATGGAGTCGCTGCACACGAAGCCTGAAACGCTAGGCGCAGGCCAGTTCATGTCGCTTTTCTGGTCGACTCGGCTGCATCTTCTGCGGGCTCATGCTATTGAGAAGGCGCAGATGCGGGGCTCTTACAACGTTCTGTCGACGCTGAAGCCCCGAGTCGAGGATAATGTGACCAAGATGAATATCAGCAAGGAGCAGATTCAGCTCATTTTCAACCAACACCCGCTCATTAAGCGGGTGTATGATGAGAATGTACCGAAATTGAGCGAGCAGCAGTTCTGGTCTCGGTTCTTTCAGAGTCGGTTGTTTAAGAAGCTAAGGGGTGAGCGTATCTCAGAGAACGATCCGACGGATGCTATTTTGGACAAATATCTCAAAACGGATGAGTACGCTGACTATGAACGGGATTCGCATGTGCCGAATTTCCTTGATCTGGCTGGAAATGAGGTAAATAATAGTCAACGTCGGGGAAATCGACCGGATCTGGACATGAGACCGTCTGGGGTTGACAAGGTCCCTATTATTAGGACGCTCAATGTTTTGAGTGAAAAGATCATGGCGGGTGTAGCTCCCGCAGATCGCGATCCTTCAGCACCGGTGGGTATGGATGAAGAGACCTTCAATGAGCTGCAGCTACGTGATTTACGAGGAGATGAAGAATCAAACCGGGTTCTATTGAATATCCGGGACCAGAGTCGGTTCTTTTCTCAGGCTAAAGGTATTGGGGAAGAAGAACGCCTGGTTGCAAAGAAAGACCCGGAACAGGTTATGGGTGATTTACGCATCGAGGTAAAGCGGAATCTACCTGATGACGGAACCACGCAACTTGGTAGACTTGTCGAACCAGATGATGAAGATAGTGACAACGAGGAGAAAGGACCAAGCCAACAGGTTGGATCCAAAGCCAATCTCCAACGGGCATCAAAGCAGATCCTTGATGCGATCCGGGATCGTCAGGCTCAGACGGAAGTGTCTGCCGGCTCTAGTACGTATGGTCTATCGTCTGCTCTATATGACCGGTTGACCTTGACCCATGCCACGACGACTGAATTCCTGCATCAATTTTGGCAGGCATTCCTGTCGGGCAATTCGGATCGTGCAGGAGAAGTGGCATCGTTGGTTGAGTCGCTCAATCGGGCTATGGAGCGCATCAAGTCCGTGGCCGCCGACGCAGAAGCAGAACGGAAGGTGGAAGTAGACCGGTTAAAGCGACATGCCCGAGAAGTCTTCGATGCGACGGGCAAAAAGCCCCGTATGAATCTAGCAGGGGTTCCTGGCGGAGAAAAGGTGGTGAACCAGCTATTGGGACCAACCATCAAGACATTGGAAGTCGCATTGGAGAAATACAAGACGGCGCTGGCGCAGGAGATGAAGGAGAACCCGCCTATCGCTTAGAATTTATGTACAAGACATAGCAAATTAATCTAAATAACGACTACGCAGTATATTTCCTGCACTGAAAGTGATGTACATATGTAGTTGGCCCTATCGGCATGCCGAGGCTTCCCCAAGCGGGGATGGCTTCCGAAGTTGACGCGACGTGTTCGATGCATCACCACCGTCACGATTCAATCAGCCATCACACTTTCACCCCTCCCAGGTCTCCCATTTCTTTCTTTATCCACCACTAGACAGGAAGGACCATGCACACCTCCGGCCTCACCAACGCCCCCATCTCCAAAATCCTACTCATCTACACAATCGCCTCGTCGATAGCGCTTTCCATCCTCGACATCAAACATCTCGCCAGCATCCACGTCTCGCCGCATCTATGGCAGTACGGCCAATTTTGGCGCGCGCTGATATGGCAGGGCGCTGGCTTTGCAAACTCCACTGAGGCGTTGTTTGCGGCCATGTTGGCGTATCATTTACGGGTTGTTGAGCGGGCGTGGGGGAAGAGGAAGATGGCGGTATACCATTACCCTCACATTCAATTCTGAATCAGTATTCATGTTCAATGCTAATGGTTATTGTATAGACGTTCCTTCTCTCCACACTCCCGTATACGACACTCCTCCCTCCACTCCTTCTAGCTCTCGTCCTCCGTCCCCTCACCCTCAACACCCTCAATTACCTCCCCTCGGGCCCAACAGCTACCATGTTCGCCTTGCTAGCCCAATACCACGCCTCAATCCCGCATACATTCCGCTACCGCATCGCAACAACCACCTCATCATCCACAGAGACAAAACCCCCAACCGACACCTCCCCGTCCTCACCAAACGGAACGACAGCATCAACCCCATCCTCTTCCTCCTCCCTCACCCTCCTCCTATCCGACAAATCAACAACCTACCTCATCGCCTCCCAGCTCGCCCTCTCCCAGTTCCCGACTATGCTTCTCCCCTCGCTCGTGGGCTGGTTCGTGGGTCTCGCCTGGCGCGCTGAGCTCCTCCCCGGTTTATCGCCGTGGGGGTGGGGGTGGAGAGTGCCTGCTTGGGTTGTGGGGGAGAGGGAGACGATTCGGCGCGGGCAGAACTCTGCTTCCGGCGAGAGTGAGCGGTATGAGGATTTGAGGAGGAGGTTGGAGGGTGAGGCTGCTGCGGCTAGTAGTGGGAGTATGAGTGGTGTGTCGGGCTCCGGGGAGCAGAGGCAGAGAAGGGGTGGTGGGGTTATGGATAGGTTGAGGGGGGTTTTTTAGGTGTTATTTTACTTTTTTTTTTTTTTTACTTTCTCTCTCACGGACATTCTTTGGGAGTCTGTTGTTCTATAAGATAGGATTCAGAATCAAAAGGTGGTCGTCTTGTATACAATCATTGATTTGTTGACGCTATATGGCAATGTGTCGCTCTGACATATAACAACTGGTCCTGTAGCTCAGTCGGTTAGAGCGTGGTGCTAATAACGCCAAGGTCGCGAGTTCGACCCTCGTCGGGACCATTTTTTTGCCTTTTCTTTTTGCGTGCTGTATGTACTTACAAAGAGAGTGTTTTTGTTGGATAGACAGTTTAATGGAATAGACAATGTGTCATGAGAAAGTTATTTCTGATTCAAGTTGTTGCCTGGAATATTAACAATTATACACTGTAGTCACTGTACAATAAATCCATGCGATCTATCTATCTTAACATTTTTACTCAAGCATGCAAGACCGAATCATATCCTGTTATACGCTGCATAATGAAATACCCAAGACTGCTTGCTCATGGGCATCTAGAAGGTACTTATATTACCTTCCGCTTCGACTTCGTCTCATGTTCTCCTTGCACTCATTACAGTACCATTTCACTACGAAGGTTAGTATTGATTTGACATGCAATGATTGGACTGAGAACTCACCATTCTTTCCAGGGGGTTTGGTCAACCCAACACAGGACAAGTGGAACCACTCGCGGGGACAAGCATCGTTATCGCACGCAACCATCTCACCGAAGCTGATCTCATTACAGTAGCAGTAGCGTGGTTCGCCCTCCTCGTCTTCATCGTCTCCTTCATGGAGTGACTCTTCATCTTCAGATGGCGCTCTTGGTTGCACCACTGGCACATTGCCATTCTTTTTCTGTGACCGCTTAGCTGGCGCGGGATCAGTGCTTCTGGTCGGCCGAACACGCTGCTGAGTGGGCTCCGAGAAAGCAGGAAGCACTGGCGTGGACGTCTTGGACGATCTGCCCTTGGGTCCCGGATTTGAAGTCTGAGGGGCCGGCGGATCACTGGCCTCAATGGATTCTGCTGGTTTCGGCTCCGTATCCTCTCGTTTTGTATTGATGGGGGGCATTGCCTTGGATGCAAGGGCGGTTGCAACCTCGTCGATCGTCTCGGAACGTTGTACATCTGTATTGGGAGTCGCAACTGTCTCCCCTTTGGGCGTTTCTCTGGGCGTAGGTTTCTCCGTATTTTTGTCTATGTAGAAGTGTGAGTTAGAAAAGACGAGCCCAATAGCAGATCTAAGCCCAGAAAACGTACTAGTATTGTTCACACGGTTCGATGCAGAGGAAGATGGTCTCTGACGACCATTGGTGGTTGAATTGGAGTTTTGCTGAGCACGAGAAGATTGTGGTCGAGCTGCTGCACCAGGTCCAGGGCTGGCCGCGTTCCGTGGAGCATTGAATGTTCCTATGACAGGAGATGGTGCTAGGATAGGGGATTCTGCAATCGATGTAGTAGTGTTGTTTCTGCGCACGCCAGTTAGCTAGGCCTTCTTGCCAAATCCATCTAAACCTGTCTGTGCCACCATACCTTTTACGTGCCGCAGTGTTGGTGTTAGGGGCCCGGGTTCTCTTCTTCGTGGCATCTGGGTTTGCAGGATCCTTGGGCGCACCTCGCCCTATCGTGCTAGTAGCACCACTAGCAGAACGTTCCATTGCTGTCGATGTTTCAACAGGCGGCCGTTCAACCTTCCGGCGCTTTGGACCCGTCGTCCCTGAAGCTCCAGCTGCGTTTGCAGCATGGCCAATTGCAGAGTTGTCACCACCAGCAACTGCAGCCGCGGCCGCGGCCGCCGCAGCACCACCGCGTGGCTTGCCGACATGTCCCTTACGAGCACCATGTGCGCGGGTTTCATCAAAGTCAGAATCAGCATGCGCCCGACGTTGTTTGCGTGCCAAAACCGCTTCGCGTCTCGCCTCGCTGCGGGAAGCAGCCTCTGCTTCATGAAGAGCATGAGCCAGATCCTTATGAGACCCAGCGTCTCGTCGAGGCCGTTCATTGGTAGCGGCTTTTGCAGTATTCTTGTTCGAGTAAGCCCAGTGGGTGAGACTACCCAGACGTGACTCGTCACTGATCTCGCCTGCGATGTACGGAAACACATTATCGAGGCGTAGAATTTGACGGTCCAACTCATCGTTTGCATTCGAAATAACATGATTCTTTTCATCCGCGGTCATCATCAAGTCCGAAAGGGTATGTCGCACGCGGTCGAAGAGGAGCCGACGATTTTTACTCTCCTGCGATTCGGGGGTTTGCGAAGGTCCCTGATGGTAAAAAAATATTTGATAAGTATATGGCCATTTACAAACCGGTTTGCTCCCAATTGTGGTCAGACTACTTACAGTGGGCAAGACATCTTCACGGACCACACCACCAACGATGGGCGCCGGATTGGAAGGGCAAGGAACAGATTGTGACTCCGATGAAACCTTCAGAAGCTGAAGGAGGTTCTCTTCAAGAGCCCATGCCTTAGCATCTACTTCCTTCAGCAGCGAATTGTGACGGCGAAACTCTCGCGGGAGGGCGGTGATGGAGTCAGTAAAATGCGTGAGAGCTGGATAAAAGCCGTGCGGAATCGAAGGTGTAGGAGGGGTATCAGCCAGCGAATGCCCATACGCGAAGGACGAGCGCCCCTGGGTCTTGGATGTGCGCGATGGGTTTGTACGTGTTTGGCGTGCCGAGGAACGGGCACTCTGACCCTGATTGATGGCCGACGAGGAGATGGCGGAAGACATGATGAAAGATTCAGAAACCACACAACCAGGACTAAGCCTGGCTCAGTCGGGAATTCGGAAGCAATTCAAAGCAGGCAAAAACAACCCAAGCGCAGGGAACATGGACAAGGGCGCAGAGACGGAGGGGAGAAAAAGACCAAAGCGATGATGAGGTTCTGCAGTGCGGAGAAGACGACGAGCCTCTTTCCCCTTTAGGCCAACATCAGGTGATCATTGCCTGCGCAGTAAGGCATCTATATGTGGCTGAGTCATTGGGGTTGCATCCGTTCCCCTGACGTCATTGATATTTTTTTGGACTACAACTGACTGCAAAGATCGAAGAAACACGCCAATATTATACCATTGTAAATCAACAATCCTTCTTTATTTTACAAACATGCACACATGCGTTCTAGGTATCAACAGGTCAGACTCGTCACAGATATACTAGAGAAACAATGAATACCCAGAGGCCTGGCACGAGTAGGACCGTAGAACAACGTCGTACACTATGCTGACAACAAAAGGAAATCATACAAAGGAGATAGAAATGATTAGACGCTAGCTCCCATAGAATCAAAGCACCTAGAATGACAATCCAACGGTAACAGCGATTCCCATCGGCTGTAAACCTTCAATAAAGAGACAATAGGAAAAACAAAAGAACCAGAAAATGAAATCGTTACATTTACTCGCCCTTCAAGCGGTCCTGGTGGACGGAGAACGCATCCTCGAGGAATTCCTGTTCCTCCTTGACGTGAACGGACTTGAGACCAGAGGCCACGGAAGCACTTGGGGCGCGACCGGCGTACAGAACGTGGCGGCGGTTGTGGTGCTCGGTAGCGTTCAGCATGGTCTCGATACGAGGCTGGACGAAGCTCCACGGGCCAGCGTTCAAGGGCTCTTCCTGGGTCCAGACAATGTCCTTGGCGTTGGGGTAGCTGTCCAAGTTCTCCTTGAGCTGCGCCCATGGGAAGGGGTGCAACTGCTCAACACGGGTGATGGCAGTGTTGCGGATGCCGTTAGCCTCACGGTGCTTGATGAGCGCAGCGTAGACTTGACCAGAGCACATGATGACGCGCTCGATCTTCTCGGGCTCGTCGATGGCGGTGCCGTGGGCAGGGTCAGTGATGATGGGCTGGAAGTGCGCATCCTCGGTGAATTCTTCAATGGAAGAGCGGGCAATGGGGTGACGCAGCAAGGCCTTGGAGAAGAAGATGACAAGGGCTAAAACGATTCAAATTAGCTTCGACGTTCGTCCAAAAATAGGAACAATTATACATACGCTTGCGGAACTGGCGGTGGATCTGGCGACGAAGGACGTGGAACAAGTTGGCAGGGGTAGTCATGTTGACAATCTGCATGTTGGCGTCCTGGTGCTGGCGGTCCAGCTTGTCAGGAGATGGGTACATGCGGGGTTCCTCGTTACAGAGCTGCAACCAACGCTCCATTCTGCCGGAGGAGTGCTCAGGACCCTGGCCATCGTAACCGTGGGGCAGGGACACGACGAGACCGGATCGCTGCAACCACTTGGATTCACCAGAGGCGATGAACTGGTCGATAATGCACTGAGCGTTGTTGGCGAAGTCACCGAACTGGGCCTCCCACATGACAAGGGCGTTGGGAGAGGTCAAGGAGTAACCGTATTCGAAACCGAGGCTTGATAAAGGTCAGCTTGAGTAGATAGAAACAACAGGTTCAAGATATTACTTACGCTCCGAACTCACTCAGGGAAGAGTTGGAAATGACAAAGCTACCCTGGTTCTCGCTGATGTCCTGCAGAGGGGTGTAGGTGCGTTCGTTCTCCTGGTCATGGAGGACAGCGTGACGCTGCGAGAAGGTACCACGCTCAACATCCTGACCGGAGACACGGACGTGGTAACCCTCGTGAACGAGGGAACCGAAAGCGAGGGCCTCAGCGGTAGCCCAGTCGATGCCCTTGCCTTCCTCAACGGCCTTCTTGCGGTTGGACAAGATACGCTTGAGGTTGCGGTGAATGGTGAATCCATCGGGAGCATCGCTGACCTTGCTAGCGACGTGCTTCAGCAGAGGACCGTCGACGGCAGTGGGAAGGTGAGGCAGGACCTCGGTGGCCAACTCCTTGGGAGTCTTGAAGCCGTTCCAGGCGGAGGTGAGCCATTCCTTGCTAGTGGGCTGGTAGTCCTTGCTGCGGTCGAAGCTGTCGTTGAGCATTCCCCAGACCCACTTCTTGTGCTCATCAATGTCCTCCTTGGTGAAGGTACCCTCAGTGATGAGTTTCTCGACGTACTTGTCGAGCTGGTGCTTCTGTTCGGCGATGCGCTTGTACATCAGGGGCTGGGTGAACGAAGGCTGGTCGGTCTCGTTGTGACCCTGCTTACGGTAGCAGACGATGTCAATGACAACATCGCGCTTGAACTCGGCACGCCAGTCAGCAGCGACCTGGCAGACGTAGTTGACAGCCTCAACATCGTCACCGTTCACGTGGAAAACGGGGGCGTCGATCGACTTGGCGATGTCAGAGCAGTAGGGGGTGGAACGAGCAAAACGGGGGTCAGTGGTGAAACCAATCTGGTTGTTCACGACGATGTGGATAGTTCCTCCAGTGGAATAAGCGGGGAGCGAGTGGAAACCCATGGTCTCGTAAACAACACCCTGGGCAGCGAACGCAGCATCACCGTGGAGCAGGACACCCATGGCAGTGTTGAAGTCGGTCTCATCGTTGTTGTAGTGCTGGATAGAGCGGGCCTTTCCGAGCACGACGGGGTCCTCAGCTTCAAGGTGAGACGGGTTGGCGACCAGAGAAAGCTGGACGCGCTTGCCGGAGGGAGTAGGGCGCTCGAAGTTCATACCCAAGTGGTACTTGACATCACCAGAGCCTTCGTCGGAGGGCTCGGTCGAACCGGCGAACTCGCTGAAAATAGACTCGTTTGGCTTACGGACGACGTTGGAAAGGACGTTGAGACGACCACGGTGGGGCATACCAATGACAATGTCCTTGATGCCGTAGTCGACACTGCGGTCGATCAGGGCCTTCATACCGGGGACGAGAGACTCACAACCCTCCAGACCGAAACGCTTGTCGTTGGGGAACTTGGTGGCCAAGAAAGTCTCGAAGCTGGAACTCCAGATGAGACGGTCGAGGATGCGGCGCTTGTCATCGCCAGAGTACTTGTAGGGCTCGGGGATCTCGAAGCGGTCACGAATCCAGTCGCAAGGCTTACGATCCGGGATGTGAATGTATTCCACACCGTAGGAGCCACAGTAGATCTTCTCGCAGGTGGCGATGATCTCGCGCAGGCTCATCTTCTTGCGGCTCTCGGTTGCGAAACGCGGCAAGATACCGGGGCCAAGGGTGAACTCCTCATCCAAGTCGCGCTGGGTGAAGCCGTAGTGGTCGAGCTCAAGCTCCTTGGGCTTCTCATAGCCGAATGCCTCAGCCTCGCCGCGAATGCCAAGCGGGTCAATCTTGGCCTTGTGGTGACCACGCGCCTGGTAGGCACGAACCAAAAGCTGGACCTTCAAGTGGTTGGTGACATCGGAACCAGCTGCTAAGCCCAAACCTTCACCGGGCATGTCTTGAGGCACACCTCCCGTTGGTGTCGGGACGAGGGTCGGAGGGGGCTGGAAGGCCTGGGAGACGGGCATCTTGCCGTCTTCCATGTTCTTGAAGTAGGTCTGCCACGAGATGTGGACACTCGACGGGTCCTGCTTCCAGGCCAAGTACATCTCATCGATGTAGTTGGCGGTGTTTCCAGAGAGGAAAGAGTCATTGGGGTCCTGTGAAAGAAGCGCAAAAACATCGCGCACCAGGTCAGTCCAAATCCCTTGCTAGGAAATAAAAGCAACTATGCTTTTATCAATCCATTGGAGCTTTGTAGCTTACCACGCCCGGTGCAGGAGAGGCATAATGTCTCCGTCCGTTGGACACACGGTCGACAACAGACAAAGGTCTTCTTGCGGTCAAATTGCTGTTATTCGAAGCAATTCTAGCACTGGATGCGAGGGTAAAGGATCTCCGGCAGTTGGAGGAGGCAGCACCGCGCAGCACATTGCCGCTGGTCGCCTTAATGGCAGTGGTACGGAGCATTGCGGGTTTTTTTCCGTCTTCAAGCTCGGCTGTTAAAAAAATGGAGAAAAAGGAAAAAAAACACGCGAGGGCGTGTAACAAAGATTTAGCAGAAAAAAAGATAAGAGCAGTTTATCAGCTCCAAAGGTCAAGACAACAAGCAATCTAAAGTCTGCCCGCGCAATAGTTAGTGGACGGGTGGTCTCGAGACCTGGTGGTCGAAGTCAAAAAGAGCAAAGGAGACGTACGGGTAGATCACTAAAAACAGGTGTCGACTAGAATTGCCGTAGCACCTGCACAGAAACGCGACTCATCAGAGAGAGCAAACACTCTCTCGACAACTAAGGGATGGAGGGGAGAGGAAAAAGATGCCAGGGCAAGCAAATATGGGGATAGGAGAGAGAGAAAGAGGAGAGGAAAGAAGGAGAGAAACCGGATCAATGATGCTTTGGGCTGGGCGACGAGGTTTGCCGAAATAGAATGTTTCTACGGCTATGACGGCCAGCGCCCGTGGCTGGTGCTTCCTGCTGTCCGCACCTGGTGGCTGAGTCAGCCCGAGCCCAGCAACCGACGCGCCCGGCTGCACCGCCACATCCCGGATATGAGCATTTCCCGGGCCGGGTTTTTGCGGGATGGGCCCACGAGCCAATCAGGACATTCCATTAGATAACCCACGCTAGCAGTAACCTAGGCTATGACGTAAAAAGCTACACCGTGCCGGAGAGAAAATATCGCGCATGCAGCAGAATATCCTAATCAAGGCCTAACAGATAGTGCCTCTCGTGATTATAGCTAGTCGAAGTGGGTGGTACACGTACATACATACATATAAGAAAATGGCTGGGGTTTGCTGTTCGACGTTGAAACCAACAAAAGAAAAGCCAGGACAAAAATCGCTCATAGTAAGAATCCAACAAAAAAAAAAAAAAAAAAGAATGTGTCACAGGAAACCATCATGGGACAAAAATGGTCAAAGAGTCTCATAATATCGTAAACTTTATATGTTGCAAATGCATGGTAGTAATAATAGAGAGTGGTGCAGTCAACATGGGATGGGAATTAAGGAACAGATGAAGGTTGGGCATGCATGCAGGGTAGTTGGAAATATGTAGACGTCCACCAGAAGAGAAAAATAGAAAATAAATAGCGCAGTGATTAGATGGCATATATTTATATATCATGGACCTCCCCGATCGTGACTTTCGATCGAATCTAAATCGGTGAGGTAGTTGCACCCGTCCCCATATAATCAGCAGGAATCGATTGCACTGTCGGACTCGCATCAGACAGTGCAGTGAAGCTCGCTCGGTTTGAAGATGAGTGTGGATGAGGTGGTGGACTGCCACTGCTGCTGCGCAGACTTCCATTGCTGCCACCCCATGCACCGCGCCGGAGCTTCATCAACGCGCTCAGAGACATTTCATCATCGAGAGTCCCCATGTCCACCAGTTGTGCCAGTCCTGGACTGGATAAGGGCTGGTTGGAAGGGGCCCCGTGCGTGGTCAACGAGATAACTGAGTTGCGCGTGCTCCATTCACTCCGCTCAGTGATCGGAGTAAGGCTAGGCTCTCGGAACTTTCCGCGGCTGCTGCTGAAGCTCCGGGTGATCCCTTCGACACCTCGCGGGCCGAAGTACCCGCCGTTGGTAAGTTCTGAGCCGCAGGTGCCAAGTGTCTGCGCATAGAACCCAAATTCTTCGCCGTAGAAGCCTTCATCATCGTTCTCCAGGGCTTCCGCATTCGCAGCGGCAATGATGGGGTCGTCATAAAGGTCAGCATAATCGTCATCGTAGTTGAAATCCTCGTAAGTCTCCTCAAGGGCCAACGCGTCCATAGGCTGGCTCAGACGGCTGTCGTCTGATACGAGCCCTGAATGTGAGTCTGCAGTCTGGGCTGTCTGTGAAGCACTCTCCTGACCCATGGACCGTTCGCTCGCGCTTGGGTTTCGTTCAACTGTTCCCTTGGTGGCCGCTTGGGTGGCTGCTTTGGTTAAAGCGTTGTGCAGGGCCTCGAGGTTGTGCTCTGAAAGAATACCGCCTTCGGATTGGGCCGGTCCTAGAGGAGCTCTTGTGTATTCGCTGGCCATACTGGGGACGTGTTTAAGGCCTTGGGGTTTATTCAAATAAGTGGAACATTCAGCCTTCTCGGATGATGTATCGCTGAGCTCAGACTCTTCTTCAATAGCTTCAATAGGAGCTATTGGCTCAGCTGGCTTCTTTCGTTCATACAGATGGCTGTTTGGATCGTCGAAAATTGACTCGTCAAAAGTTTCGCCCCCAGCTTCAGCGGTCAAGTCACCAAATTCTCCATCATCAAAGTATAAATCATCGTCATCGACAGCTGTCTGCGGCACGCCAGGGTTCATAACCCCGGACGGTTGGGGCATTGCTGTAGAAAACTCCGTGTTGTTCATCTGCTGCGATTGGGGTTGGACATCATTGGTAGCTTTATCTTCATATGATGGATGTGACTCTTGCAATGAAGGGTTCTGGTTCACTCCCAAACCAAGAGACTGGCCTTGTGGGACCGGCTCTGCTGCCAAATTTGGAGGAACTGGGGAGACTGGACTCGGAATGATGGGAGACAGTCCAGGAGCCAGCCAAGATTTGTTGATCAGGTTTCCAGGGCCAGAGAAGCCGCTGAATTCATCTTCATCGGCGTCGACATTGACGCCAGGAATCTCTTCTTCAAGACCGTCAATGTCATCCAAGATATCATTATCAAAATCATCATCCGCATCGCTAAATTCTCCGTTTTCAAGTTGTTTAGCTCTTCGGGCTGCTTCCTTCTCCTTGTGCTTCTCTTCGAGTAGCTTTTCTTGAACCGAGGACTCGACGCAGTTCATGTCGAAACTGAACCGAGAGGCGTTACTCTTGAGATGCCTTGGTAAGCCAGATCGTTGCTGGGACACATTTTCCATTGCATCCTGCTCTGGCTGGTTGGCTGGTGATTTGTTCCCCGATGGTTCAGGCACAGGTTCAGGGTCAAGAACAGCTTGCTCATCCGACTTCTCATCTTGGTCCGGAAGTTTCGACGGTAGCTTTCTGGCAAACACAGGAAGAGAATTTTCATTATCGGTGTTCGATGAATTCATCAACAACGGCGACTGTAGATAAGCTTTGTTCTCAACTTGTAGCACCTTTTGATCATCCTCAAAGTGTTCCTTGAAGACAGGCGAGTACTGGCCATGTTTCTTTTTCTGCTCATTTACTGGACTCTGGAGATCATTTCCATGCGCCTGCGATCCACTTGTTCGAGGCGATGACTCATGCGCGTTATTCTGGCTAGCTGCGTCCTGCAGGATAACAGGTGTCGCCGATAGGTTCCGGCGGGGACGAGGCGCGGAGAAGTCATGAACAATGTTCCCACGGATTCTAGGATCGTAGTCATCGGGGATAGCAGGCACCAGGTTACGAGCGCCTATCTTCATGTCCTCCGTTCGTGATCCGGCTATCTGGGAGGATCTCCTCCTGGCCAAGAGCGACATGGGATTCAATAGGTGAAGCATCGCTTTTCCAGATTTATGGTGTCCAGGCTCCGCTGAAACATCACGGTCCGCAGACCGTCGAGCACCAGTGCCATCAACCTTATATTCCTTCTGTGGCGCGGGTGACTTATCCGCTGGCGAATCATCGGGGGACGTCTTGAATCGAAAGTGACCTGACGAAGTCACCCCTGAACTAGACGATCGTTTATTGCTTTCGGCGGATTGCGAATGAGACTTCGACGGCCCTTTACCAAATGACAGTCGGAAGGGCGAGTTCGGCTTGGACGATTCCCCGTCGGCGCCATCCGGTCGCGGGGTTGTAAAGGACCATTGTGAATTATTTGATTGAGAGGTTAGGGTTGGATCACGTTCTCGCTCTTCAGGGCTAGAATGAGGACGGGGTTGTTTCTCGGAGGACGAAGATGGTACGGCGAGGGTCGTGGACGAAGACGATGGCGCATTCGAGGTCGATACGACAACGTTCAACTTCAGCGCATCCAGATCGGGCGAGTTCTCGTTCGGGATTTGAGGATTATTAGCCCCATCAGGCTGCGCGGGCGATCCGTCGCTAGTTGAAGTCCTGATTTCCGGGGTATTCTGGATGGTAGGGAGCTGGGGAGGATGGTCGGCCACACCTCCTTTCGAAGTGGGCTGCTGCACGGAGGAAGAAACGGGAGAGGCACTGGAGCGGCGATGGTCTCGACGCCAGTACGAAAAAACGGTAGATGGTGCCATGGTGATAATTGCACCTGAACAAGCCCCTCAAGTGACTCAGTGGGAGCCGTCAGGGCATCCAAGAAATTTAAGCGCTCCCCATGATATTTTGAATTGGTGGTTTGTTCACTTGGACTTTTCCTGCTGCTGCATACAAGATCAACTAGCCGTGGGGCTTGTCTCACAAGGCCAAGGCGGTGCAGCTATGACCAGGGGAGCGGAAGAAAGGATCACCGAATGATGGACAAGATTGATAGGTGCTGAAATAAAAATAGGAATGGTAATAACGACAACCGTCGAGATGGATGAAAGGCAGATCCTCGAGAAGGCTGAGAAGAGAGCAGAGAGCATTCCTCCTAGTCGAAGCGAGTTCCGGAAGCGGGAGACCCAAACCGCGACGGAACCGTCCTCGTTCCAGGTCCAGCGAATGCCCGCACACTCGGGGGTTTTGTGGTGATTTTATTTCTGCATCTGCTGAGGGAAACGGATGCTGAAGATCTCTGCAATTGAGCGACATATTTTGAAGTTGGGTTCTGATGATTTGGTTGGTGCAGCTGATCAAAGTTGGTGTCATCATTGCTCCGGACTCAGTTTTGTGTATACAAACAAAGAATCAAAACATGGTTGACGTTCAGTCCTAATTTTTATTTTATTTTTTATGCCAAAAAGGGGTAAAAATGTACAGTACAAGGAGTCGCTAATTTACAGTAATCACTTCAGGAGAATATTGATGCTATCTAATAAAAATACAGTACGCTCAAACGCATGCAATGCAAGGATATATGATAACACCGAAAGAAAAAGGAGCAAAAAAGAATAAAAATAGAGAAGCATCAAAACCAAAAAGAAAAAGTCTACCTGATGCTCTGTCTCCAACGATCAATAACTTCTCGCTGTCCGGGCTCGACGGGTGGTTTTGTTAACTTCGAGTGAAGGCTGTTGGGCATCGCATAGCTCAAATGATTCATCCCCAGCTTAGCATCACTGTAGAGTGTGTTCGTGGTCGGATACACCATTCCTTGACCATATGGGTTCTGCATCCCGTATTCTGGATACTGGGGATATCCTACTGGCGCTGCGTGGCCGAGATTCGAAGGATACTGGTACATTGACATCCGACTCTCTGCTGAGCCGCCGTGGGGTAGTGTCCCATACTGCGACGACTGTCGTCCAAGTGTGGAAGGGCGCATTTGAGACATATCGGCAATGCTCCTTCGAGCAGAGGGGACTCTCGAGTGTGTACTGCGTTGCGTCTTCTTCGTTTCCCGTTGCAGGCGGGCTCGCAATGCTCCTAGACTTTCTTCTTCCTCATGTGGTGCCTCTTCCTTCTTCTCCTCATCCGCGTGCATGTTGCGGAATTCCGCCAAAACCTCACGGGTAAAGTCAGATTCCGCGACGCTACTCTCGCCTTGAGTCCTCAGGCGCTTGAGCCGCTGGCCGAGGGTCTCTCCTTCATCCTCACTGTCAGCTTCAGTTGGTGCAAGAACCCCCTGTGAGTGCATGGTGCCTGATCTCTGGAATACAGGTGGTTGGACGGGAGGTGCCTCACCCCGGAGCCTTGCGCGGCGGCTGCTTAGGGGCTCACTGTCTTCAAGCTGCTTCTTCTCCATGAGACCCAGTGGCCGGGTGTCCGCCGCTAGGTTGACTTTTTCGGGGAAGAGCATGGCAAGGGGAACGTCATCATCTTCCTCATCGTCATGCCTGTGACCATCGGGACCTTCCCAAGCCAAGGTGACTGGTCTTTGCCTCCTGTGTTCACTCTGTTTCTGAGCAACGGCCTCCAACTCCAGCAAAGTAGAATGCAAGCCAATGGTGTTCGCGGCTGTCCGTCGCCGGTGCTGAAGCTCGTGTTTTCTGAACTCCAATTCTGCCATGAGTGTGTTTGGCGGCCCTGTGTAATTACTCTTTTCCTCTTCTTCTTTCTCTAATGCCAATGCCTCCTCCTCACTCATGTGTGGGTGATCCAGTCCATCTTCGTCATTGGTCCCACTGTGTAAAGCAGCACCCTCGTGCGCCTCTGCAACTTCGGCTTCCGTTTGCTTTGACAAATAATTGGAAGACGCTTTATGTTTAGAGCTCCTATACACCTCAGAACCAGCGTGGCCCGCGAACGGATGGTCTGTGAAGGCAGTGACGGGTGCATGCGCAGATGCATCCAGAATGCTGTCAAGAGTTGCAACAGCAGATGCGTCCTTGATCTCGATATCAAGAGATGTTCTTGGTTGCTCGAAGAAAGCGCTTGCGCGTAGTTGCGGAGGCATATCTGTCGATTGTTTACTGCGTCTCGGGTCACTCGCATCGTCGCGATCAGGGCCTGAGAGCGAATGCTTTGCATTCCCGGAGGCCATGGACTTCAAAATCTGCGTGCGACGTTTCTCCCGTTCTGAAATGGGCTTTTGCGACAGCCGAGGTGGGAGGTTCAACATTCTCGGAACCGGCGCGGGATAGTAAACCATGTTTTCTCCCGCTGGTGGCTGCTCGTGCGACCCAGATGCTGTGTCCACGGGCGATCTGGTCAGAGAAATCTGTCGCACGAGATCCGATGCCTGCTCTTGCGGAATGTAATGAACCCCGTCGAAGTCAGTAAACAGGATCTTGGCCTGTTGGTATGTATCGTTGGACGCAGCGCTTGCGGGTCGTTCAATTTCATCTCCGCCGTCATACTGATAGCCATATGGGACAGAGTCGCCTTGCGCGTGCGCCGCTGGAGGAGGAGGGAGTATATGTGCGGCGGAGGATGGATATGCAGCGTGCCCGTACTCATCGTGTTCCTGTCCATGCTCGGAAACCTGCGCCAGGCGAGACGCAGAACCGGATCGCAAACGTGTCGCAGACTGGGGGGTTGACACTGTAGGAGACATTCCGCTGTGATTGCTGGCGGAACTGGTGGAGCGCTTCTTCTGCTCCAGATCCAACTTGCGAATCTCACTTTCAATATCCGTCGTGGTTGAGCTCATGCGTTCCGCACTCCTTTCCAGCCTCTCTACATTTCCAAGATAAGCACCTTGGAGCGACTGCAGATCCGGGATCGGGTGACTAAGAGGAACAGGCTGATCGCTGATCGGGGTTCGTAGGGGAGGTTCAGGGGAGGGAGCTAGTTTCGCGGTTGTGTCGAGCGGAGGAACCCGTCGGAGGCTAGTAGCGTTATCACTGCGCCGGTTGGGATGATCAGCCATGACTTCTTCATAGTCATCTTCCTCCACCATCTCGTAGCTGGCCGAGGTCATCGACCGGATCATCGAACCAAAACCACTCATACTGGAATCTTCTGCGGTCCTGGCGGTTTCGAGAAAGCTGCCTCCTCCCATGTGATCCACGTCCAGCGGCAGTTGCTGGAAGCCATGCTTGGGCGAAGGACTGCGGGAGCCGTCAGAATCCGTCGCATTCGAGGCGACCTCGAGATCAGCCTGAGAAATGGCGTTGTAAGCCATTATCTCAGCGTATGGAGGTGAACAAAAAGTTGCAATCGAGAATCATCAGAGAAAGTCGTCGAAGGAAAGTTTTTTTTGAGTGTAGTCCAGATCATCTGAGACAGTCCTCATGCTCGCTGACCAGGGGGTGAAGAAAGGCATATATGATATGGACGAACCCCGGCGGCAGGGATGCAATCAAGGAAAACGATTGTGGAGAAAAAACGAACAGGTGCGAAATAACACAGAAAACCAGGTTTCGTCGACTGTCAGAGGGCCAGAAGAGAACAATACCTGGTAACAGCCAGTATTTGCTGGGCTGCATGCGGAGCTAATTTTGGAATGAGGGGGGAAATAACGGAGCGATCCGCCACTCCGTTTGCAGATTACGCCGTATTACCCCTGTTTATTACCGAACGCTGTATTGGAACAGTATGTAAGGTACGCTCTGCATGTACATATTGGATGCTTCACATTGACCAGTTCCATATAAAAAGAAATAAAAAGGAGAAGGCAGTATGGAGTGGGGATGGTAAAGAAAAAAAAAGGAGGCCCAGCTGAATCATGCCTATCCCTTTATTTTGAAAACAATCTTATGCGCTTTTCTGGCCTCGAAATCTCGGTATGCCTGCGCTGCATCTTCCAACGACATGGTCTTGTCGCACAGAAAGCCAACCTTCCCCTGTAGTTGGTGCAGCATTTCCAGACTTTCTTCAAAGATGGACCGCACTGGGCATCGCCCAAAGGCTATCGTGACGTTCTTTCCGTAGCATAGCTGTCCATTGAGAGGAAGCTGTTCAGTGTGTACTCCAACCGAGCTGATCTGTCCCCAGGGTCGCACCATGTCAAACGCCATCATGAAAGCATCTGCATGTCCCACAATCTCCAAGACCACATCGGCTCCCCTTCCTTCTGTTGCTGCTTTGATCTTCTCCACCGGGATATCGTTCAGGTTCAATGGAATAGCACCGATTTTCTCGGCTTCCGCAAGACGATCTGGTACGGAGTCAATGGCATAGACTGTCTTGACCATTGTCAGTGCACAGGCAATAGCACATATCCCAACTGGTCCACATCCAATCACTACAGCTGTGTATTCCTCTCGATCACGGGGTGTGATGTTCTTCAGGAACCGAGACGCAGCGAAGTAGCCCGTGGGGAAGATATCCGCCATCAAGACCAGCAATTCTTCGGGAATACCTGCACAGATTATCAGCGATGCTCTTAGATAAATAGGAACTCAATTTCTCACTCACCCTCAGGAGTCCTCACACAGGTTGAATCTGCCAAAGGAACCCGTACATACTCCGCCTGGCCTCCACTGATCGTGTTCGCGGGAGCTGAATTTCCAAACAGCTCGCCCTTGGAGCATCGACTTGCCTGGCCTCGCACGCAGTAATAGCACTCTTGACAGGCTGTATAAAAAGGCACTACCACTTGCTCGCCAATTCCAAATCCCTTGACATTATTTCCTTTCTCCACGATCGTCCCGACGAATTCATGGCCGCAGATGAAACCAGGCGGGCACTTGAGATGTCCGCGGTAGAAATGTAAATCAGAGCCCTAAACAGTCAGCCTTCTCTACACAACCTTGTGAAGGAACACATACGCAGAGAGCCGTAGACGAGACCTTCAACACGACATCAGTCGGCTTCTGGATCTTGGGGTATGGTCGATCTTCAACGGCAACCTGAGAGTATAAGTAGCTGAATATATATATCAGACTATACGCATACCTCGTAAGGACCTTTGAAAACAACCGCACGCATAGATTCTGGAGCCATGATGACTTGAATGCTCAGCCAGACGATGAAAACTGAACGTGCTTGGAGATATGAGACCCTCGCTCAAACATACCCCGCCTTGTATTCCCTGCGCTGTTGGGCCTCGGCATAACCCCTCAATAAGTCCACGCTGTAGCATTCGGAAATGGGATCCATGCATGATTCGTATCGAATTTATAGCCTATATGAGCTGGGCACCTTATTTATGGCCTGTGGTGTCACGGAGCATGTTTGTACGTACTAAACGAGTACTTGATCGACTCTTAGCACGACTAAGTCCCAGCAACGAGAAATATTCAGTGGAAAGAACCGTATAAACTATAATTTACGCCTTAACATATATATCTACTCTGCCACATTGATCAAAATGCTCTTTGTGATAAGGTACTCTTCGATTCCCTGTCGTCCACCCTCGCGTCCATAACCAGATTCCTTGACTCCTAGAAGCCCATCAGTCTCATATATGGTATCAAACAGCCGCAAAAAGATAAAACTCACCTCCAAATGGACTTTCGCAAGCACTCAATAGTCCAAGGTTCACACCAACCATGCCAACTTCAAGACTCTCTGCTACTCTCCACATGCGGGATACATTTTCCGTCATGATAAAACTTCCGAGACCAACGTCACAGTTGTTGGCCTTTTCCAATACCTCTTCCTCGGTTTTGAAGCGGTAAAGAGCAACGACGGGGGCGAATGTTTCCTCGCGTGTGGTCAATGATTCAGTGGACATGTTGCTCAAGATGGTGGGTTGGAAAAAGTATCCTGGCAGATTGCCTGGTTGGAATGACGAGCCTCCCAGTAACAGAGAAGCTCCGCGGGATTGAGCATCTAGTCACCTCTAGTTTAGCATGGTTGTAAAAAAGACATGGGATAGTAAGTAGTTACCATTTACATGGTCCAAGGCTTTCTGAACCGCGCGATCGTGGGTGAGAGGACCAACGAACACGCCGTCCTCAATCCCAGATCCAACTTTCAGCGTTTTGACACGTTCGACCAGTGCTTCAGTAAATCTGTCATATATTTCATCCTGGACGAAAATCCTGTTGGCTGTCACACAAGTCTGGCCCGAATTCCGAAATTTGGCCATGATGCAAGCCTCCACTGCAGTCTCAACCTTGGCATCGTCGAAAACGATAAATGGACTGTTACCACCAAGCTCTAAAGATAGTTTCTTCAGATTGCTGCTGCATTGTTGCACGAGAAGCTTTCCGATCCTCGTGGAGCCAGTAAAGCTCAGTTTCCGTACCAGTTTGGACTGGCACAGCGTCTCTCCCACCTCCGCCACATTATTCAGCGTGGTAATCACATTAACACAGCCAGTTGGAAATCCAGCCGCTTGAGCCAATACCACCTGAGCGAGCGCACTCAAAGGAGTCTCTCCAGCTGGCTTCCACACCGTTGAGCAACCCGCCGCCAGCGCCGCACCGACCTTTCGAGTAATCATTGCGATGGGGAAGTTCCAAGGCGCAAGGCATGCTGCAACACCGATTGGTTCTTTAACAGTCAAAATCCGCTGCTTGGTATTGGCCGTTGGTACTACCTCTCCATGCGTCTGCTCTGCTTGGCCTGCAAACCATTCCAGGAACGAGGCGGCATAAGCCACTTCCCCTCGCGCTTCGGTGAGTGGCTTGCCATTCTCCAGCGTCAGGAGGAGAGCCAGATCATCTATATTTTCCAGACAGAGGTCACTCCAGCGTCGCAGCCAACGAGAACGCTGCCGCGCAGGGATTTTTTTATACGTTTTGAACGATTCGTTGGCAGCTTCAATCGCTTTCTGCGCATCGGCGGCGTTCATTTCCGGTAGCGTCGCGATGGTTTCGAGCGTCGCTGGGTTTTTGACGTCAAATGTGGCACCACTGATAGAGTCGACCCATGATCCTGCAATGAATCCTTTCTGTTGGAAGAGATCTTTTCTCTTGATGGTAGATGGGGTGGAGAAGGCCATGTTGATAGCTAGTTGGTGATTCTTGTGTTGGAGTATCCTTTGAGCAGTGTATTCCACTTCTTACGTGGATCATACGCCCCAGGGATAGCCATTATGAACAGAAAGTACTCTTATATAACCCCTCAATTGGCAAATACCCGAGGATGAGTAGCAAGAAGTCGAAAGTAGGCTGTATGAAGAGGAACTGTTATCCCCGATAAGACTGTCCCCACCTTCTCCAAATCTCCGCCCCGCTCTGAGACCCTGGGGGGATATATCGATGCTATCCAAGTAACCAAAGGAGGAGCTCGTAGCAGAAAATACGATGCCTCCATCCAGCTGAATCTCTGTCAAAGACAATCAGAATATCTCGAATGTTGATCAGTTTACTGTTGTTTTACCCTATGCTGACTAAGGTCGACTGCCCCACTTTTATCCTCAAGTTTTTATCAGTCACCGATAGTTGACGATATGCAGCTGCTTCACTCTTGCAACAAACAGCAAAATGAGGTAGGCTTTCCATGCAGATATTTTCATGTACAATTACTCACGGATCTCAGGGTGGAAGCGTGCCATTTCTGCAGTCGCCCGACTTATCCCTCCAAGGGAATCACCTATGTGAGAAACGATTGTATGCCCAACGAGCCAACTCCCCGATATCTGAAAATCTGAAACTGACATTATATTTCTACACCAGCAAAATCATTCCGATTCTGCCGCTCAAAATGTCACAAGAACTTCAAGATGAAGCGCCAGCCCCGCAAGCTCAAGTGGACCAAGACTCATCGCATGCAAGCCGGCAAGGAAATGCTGGTCGACAGCACCGCACAATTCGCCGCCCGCCGGAACGTCCCTGAGAAATACAACCGCGACCTCATGGGACACACAATCGAAGCGATGGAGCGCATTGGCGAGATCAGAGAGCGCCGTGAGCGTGCCTTCTACAAGAAGCGTCTGGCCGGCAAGGAGGAGCGTGAGCTGGAGGAGGACCGGAAGCTGGTTGCGGAGAATGAGCACCTGCTGCCCCGTCACTTGCGGAGTGGTGAGCAGCACGAGACCGAGGCGGGAGAGTCGGTTGCTCCGCAAACGACCCAAAAGAGCAAGGTGTTTGGAGGCGAGAGACGCAGACTTAAGGCTCGGGTTGATGGCGGAGTGGAAATGGACAATGACAATGACATGGATATGGATTAGCTTATATTCGGATGATGATTTTTGGATTATTTAGCGATAGACAATTATTACATGGCATTTACTCAGTCTACAGCTGATATTGATAGTAAATACTACCTAATACCTAGGTATACTTCTTCATGGCATAAATACAGGTCGTATGAAGATTACACAGGATGTATCTTTCCGTATTACACCGTACTGTCCGGAAAGACCAACGCCCATTCGACACGATCTGATACGTCCGTTGCCAGACGACAGAGCGGGGCCCATGCCAAGTGCCGGTCGAAGCCAACCGCCAATCCCCCGTTCTAGACGCTGTCCGGCGTGCCTGGACCCTCGTGCCCACTTTTTACCGTGCAGTTGTGAGTATCAAACTCTCAATTTTGAGAATTCGAACACGCTGTACCTAGAAAGAATGGCGGTATTTGAATGAACGGGAGGGCGATCCAATTCTATAAATGAACCCTGATCGTCGGAGTATTTCTTGTTTTCTCACCTGGTTGCTGGGATCTGCAAGGGCCAGGTGTTTGTGTTGGCGAAGTTGTTCCAGTTTATCGCCTGTTTGAGACATCATGGCCCTCCATTGTGGATAATAGGTACGTGGTACTACGTACCAATTATTACTGTTGGGCAGTTACGGTTATACAGGTAAAGGATCCTGGTGTTTTTTGCAGTTATCGCTATGGTTTTTTGGGTATTGTGAGTGTTTTATGGGATATGGTACTATTTATCTATTTTAATATGTGGAGTATCAGTCTGTTAAGGGGATAGATAGGCTTGAATAGCCTAGGGAGTGAAATATGTTATGCCACTTCATCCATTGTCATAAGGAATTCGCCACAATTAATTTGATATTTCTTGATACTGTGATTAAAGATTGTGTTTGTTTATCATGGAAGATAGGAAGAATAAAAAGTAGAAACATGTATGGAAGTATGCAGCAGCATAATGATACAGACGGGGAAAAGATGAAGAAAAAAAGAAACGACATGGGCGCGATTCGAATGCAAAGCCAAAATTATCGTGGGTCTCTTTTTTTCCCTTTTCACTCAACGCGCCACCGCTTCCTATGTGGTACGCGACTTGGGCGAACTCCAAAGTCTACAACATCAATCGCCCAAGTTTAGTCATTTTTACTGTGCAATTATAGATTCAGCATGTCTTACTATGATATTGACTCTATCTTAACAGATGCGCAGGTAGGTCTCGCACGGAATGTCCCAAATGCCACTCGTACGAGCCATGCTAACTGGTCTATCTAGAAATTGCCCTGCACGTTTGAGCTCGAGGTGCCGGGGCTTGGCATTCTAGAAGGTAACCCGGGAGAAAATGTAGGCCAACTATGATTGACACGAGCTGTTCACTGTATTAATGTCCAGGTAGATCAAAGCAGGGACTCGGATTGATCTACCATTATGGCTGGGTGAGATGCTTTCTATCGGGTGAGATCAAGACAGATATCTAGCTATGCAAGAGTTGAAAGAATAGCCTGGCTAACCTGGCCATAGAGCTCGTCTGGGGACTTCACGTCTGGTCGCTCTCGATCTACCAGACGCATTATCAGAGCGGGTGATGAACGCGTTGAAGGCTGATCCCCGGACGCTGGATCTGCGTTCGCTGGCACCGCATTTCTACAATCTAAGCGAGCGAATCCTCGAGCTTTTCGAGGAGGAAGAGATGGTGGACATCCTGAGTAATGTATGAACATTTACTTCCATTTCAAGGTCTAGGCTAATCCCTGGTAGACGTTCAAAAAGCGTGCAGCGGAGATTGCTGACCATGCACACAACCCGCGGGGTGCTATGGGTGAGGGTGTCGAGTTTCTGCGTGGACTGGACGAGACCGAACGACAATGTAGGTGATCTTCGGATTGCTCTGAGTTTATATTGACTCTGTTTAGTGTTTCGAGTTGCTCATGATAGCGCCAAGGAGATGCGAATTTGGTCTGGAGAGGCAAAGAAGAAATGAAGGGCATGGTGATATCAGTGTCTACCGGATTGAGCTGTGCTCGTCCATTATACGATAATGAACTGTTGGTCTAGTCTTTATGCGATATGAATATAATCATTCAACCGAGGTACCAAGGTTGTATATACAGTAAACATGGAGGCCTGCGTTCATTAAAATATAAACTGGCCACAGACAACGCAGATAATGGTTACAGTTCCACAGGTCGATTGGTTATTGTGTTCAAGTGGAAGACACAATATTGAATACCGTCAACTTTCAAATGAAAGATGATGAAATTTTAGGAAATAAGAATCTAGACTGGAGCAAAAGTTGGACAGTTCCTGCGGGGAAACTTCCGTTTGGTTGTTTATATAGCAGTTTTAAGTTTGGCCTGACACTCAGTTACTGATGCCATTGTAGATATCCAATTTTTGGACCAGGTATTCTATGGTTGAGTCCATAATGCAATCCTGTATACACCCAATTTTGGCGAGTGAGATAGAATCTATCCAACTACCGAAAGAGGAAAATACTCACAAAGTACCGGATGATAGATCAAGGCGGGGCAAATATGCAATGCACCAATATCAATACCCACGGGCAAAAGGAAGCCGCTGCCAAAATTTCCCTACAGAGCATCTGATGGGCAAATGACATGCGATACATCTCATATGGAGCAGCAGAACCTGTTCCATCCATTTCCACGACCAGAGACGATGACCAAATTGCAAGACTCATCCAAAGTCAATCGGAGATCTGATCCATGGATGGACGCTGATAGGTTGGATTGGGTTGAACATTGGTTCATCGGCGATCTGATTCTTATTTGATGTACCAAATTATGTTCGAGCCACTGGGACTGTGGTGGATGAGCAGTGGGGTTGATGGATCATGATGCTAGTGGTGTAGAGACAGTAGAGTATATAGGATGGTGTGTACAGGAGTAGAATAGAAACAAAGTACTAGTCTAATAGTCTACGATACTCTAATAGATGACATCTCAATTATATCAATTATATTGACTTGAAGATGAACCTAATAGACGTAAATGATGCTATCCATTATTCAACCGGATTGGAGGATCCATGGAAGTCCAGCCCCTGAACTGTGGGAGAGAATGAGACAGTGGGGCTGCTCTTCTGATTGGCCGTTGATCTTGTATGGGATAGATGGAGATGTTGAACACACAGAATGTCAGGAATGGGAAGAGACGAAGAGGAGCCTGTCCGGAGCATCAAGAAGAGAATGTTTGAAGAATTCCAGACCGCATCCATCAAGGCATCAACACATTCTTCCTGCTGGTCGCGTGGCAACAATTGATGTGCAATGTGGATCTCCGTTGCCGTCACTGCTTGGAACTACTCAAACTAGGGAGTCGTAACGATCGACTCGTCACAGTCGCTCCTCACGGCTTTCTTTTTTCCTTTTTCCCCTCACTTCGGATCGCGATCCCTCTCACGACTCCCTGTCAATCCGTTGCCTTGGACTGCCTTCTCGTTTCTGTCTCCTATTCCCCGTTTGGTCCTTGGATCCCTCGCATCTCACAGACCAGCGCGGTGAAGCCTCCACAACAGTTCACCTCACCGTCCGATCGCCAATCTCTGCTCGACAACAGAAACATCCTGATCGATCCTTACTTGACCTATCCAATTCTTATTCCCCGACCTTCAGAGTGGCTTGACTGGTGATCTGCTGCAAGTTTTACAACCGTGTGGATGCTGGGTCGCTCTGCTACTACTGCACCCTCGCTCGTGTCGTGCGGCTTGTCAGCTATGCGCATTCGTTAGTGACATCGATAGCTGGGATTATTATTATTTTTTCTGTGGAGATGGATAAGAAAAGCCACAGGCGTAGCACCCTCGCGGTGCAGCAGGCGACCCCTTCTCAGTCGCGACCTGCATCCTACCACCCTCCCTCTGCACCCCCCAACCACAGCTTGTCTCTCAAGCATCGTAAGAATAGTCAGTTCTAAAACACTTCTCCCTCCCCCTTTTTTCCCCAATCACTGAGGTGACCTTGATCCGTTTAAACTAACAGCCGTATTTCACGATTCTTGCTGCAGACAAAACAGACCCTCCTCTACCTGCATCTCTAGTCCGGGTCAAGGGACAAGTCGCAATGAGTACTCCGCCTTCAGGTACGCACCCGTCGCCTCTTGCCTACGCGATTCCTCTCCCGACTGATATTAACGTGATGCAGAAATGTCGTGGCTGAAGGATCAGTCGCCGATGTCAGGAACACCTGGGACACCTCAGGGATCCCGTATGTACAATGAAATGCAAAGGCTATGGTTTCAAGGATACAAGGATTGCTGACTGCGCGATCTTGATGTAGGAACAACTCCGGAGCCTGGTGCAACATCTCTAGTGAACCCGTCCTCCGCTCTTCTGCAGGATTTGTTAAAGGAACAGCGCGCTACTCGAGGATCTCGGGGAACTGCATCAGATGATTGTGACGAGTACGCCCCTCGTACGCCCGACCGCTGTCATTCCCGCGCCAATTCCCAATCCAAGTCCCTGCAACACTCCCATTCTCGATCGCAAGACGACACATCATCGGAGAAGAAACGCAAAGTCAATAATGCCCTTTCATCTGGGCTCAGACAGCCACGAGAGATGGGGATGAGGGAAATGGATCAAGTGAGTTACACAATGCGACCTTTTAACTGTTGGATGCAGACTGACCTTCGTGCGCCCCCTAGTATGTTTCGAGAATAAATAAACAAAACTTTGATCTGAAACTTGACATATTCCATCGCATGCAGCAGATGGCCACACTCGAGAAAAAGCTGGAGCGAATGGAGGAGCTAGAAGAAGAAATTAACCGATTGCATGGACTGGAGGACGAGCTGCAAGAGCTCCGGGATGCCGAATCGGACAACCAGAGACTGCGGGAATCCAACGAGCAACTTCGACAGGAGCTGGATAAGCGTGACCATGCAGTTACGGAGGCAGTTGAGCTCATTTGCCAGCTTGAGGCGAGAGTGGAGGAACTGGAAACGGGTGGAAGCTCGTCAAGACCCTCTACGGCTTGCCCTGATACAAGCGATGGACCTGCTGTCAACAGCCCGCAACTTCCTGCAACTTTCGATATCCCGGAAAGGAATTCTTCGAAACGAGGTACCATGCTCAGCCAGAGCCGACAAGTCTCTTCGGACTCCGGTTACCTACAAAGGGCACCTTCGTTCCTTCGCGATGAAACCAAGAGCACCGCAGTCTTACGGAGTCTCTACCCGCCCAATGGAAATACTGCACGATCCTCTCACAGTACCATGACCAAGACTGAAAGTCTCCACTCCATGAACGAGATGACCGAAGCAGAGTCCCCTAGACTCAGCGCACTCAGTGAATGTAGTGACTTGGAACCGCATGACAGCTCAGTACAACACAACACATTCGATCAACTTGAAATCCCACTGCGGAACGAAGATCTGGCTTCTGAAATTTCCGGCCTGAGTGAAGAGCAGGCCAGCAAAAATGACCGCATCGACCAGTGGATAGAACCCCAGCCGGATGTCTTCTCTGAGCCCGTATCCAAACGAAGGAACCGCGCCTCCTGGAACGTAATCCGCATGGAAGATTCTAGCCATGAACGTGATTTCTACATGAACGGCTCCCTTGAAAAGACACGCCTCAGACTTGACGGTGTGTTTGGCGAATCCAGGCTCCCCCCTACTCCCGATACGATGAGCACGGCATACGCAGTGGGCAGGAATGGATCTGATGGTAGTATTACTACAGAGAAGGGCCGAGCAGAGGCCATGAAGCGAAGGCTTGCACGGCCTCGGTCAATGGATGAATTGACCACTCGACGGGGCTCTGCGAACAGTTTAGTGACTGATAGCATGCACACCAATCTCAGTGATACTACACGCCTTGGACTCGGCACTAACCAAAGGGATGATACTCCATCTATTTTCCCGTTCAACGGTCTTCCCTTGAATGCCAATGAGCTTCTTGGACAAGGGGCCCCTGACAGGATCGGTTTCGGCTACTACGGAGCTGATACAATGCTCAATGGAGAGGCTATACGAAAGGTCCTTTCCAAAATGGACAAGGATCACTACTCTCCGCCCTATGCTGCCACTGGGGAGGAAGAGCCTGCTGATACTGGTTCTTCATCGCCCCCTTTGACACCCCAGGACTGGATCGAAGCCGGGAAGTCCGCGCCTCGTTCCCGAAAAGAACGATACCGCAGCATCGACAACGATGCCATTCAACGTCGAACTGGTGCCACTCCTACTGGTAGACAAGCTGGCGCCCGGACTCCAAGCCAGTCCTCTTATCTTGCTCGTCGCCATAGTATGGACTCAACCGCCAGGGAATCGGAGGTTCCAAATGTACCAACTCTAGATCTCAGTTCATTGGATTCAATTTCTCCGCCTGCGATTCCGCGACCTCCCCGGCAGGAGCCTGAGCCTGAGCCCGAATCTCGAAGGCGACTAAGTATTCTGCCGTTCTTTGGCCGCTCACTTGGGAACCCCCGTCGCTTGCAGCCCTCCCCAATGCCGGACCCCGCGGATGCAGACGACGGCGCGCCGTCTCCCGTCATCCGCAAGACCAGGCAAATAGTTAACTCGAAACCCTCAGCTCCTGCAAACGGAGATTTGATCACGACCCCGACACATGGGGAGGCAAATTCCGGAGACAACATCCACAAGACCCTTCCCCATTCCTTCACCGAGTCAAACCTGTCGTCTCAAGGGACGGTAGCTCGACCATCGACATCCAACTCCAACCCCAACAACCAGAAGGAGCACAAGAGACGAGGTTCTCTTGGAATATTCGGTTGGATGAAAGGGGCCAGTGGAATCGGCTCCAGCAGCAAGAAACAGGAGCCTAATTCTCCCACACAGCCCACTGCCGGGACGGTCAGGGAGAAGCAACCATCCCGGTTGGCCTACGACAATTCAGGGACTGCGCAGGCGATGAATTCTTCTGTGACTGCAATGAATGCCAATGTCGAGGCCTTCACGTCCAATGCAAAGCAAGTCTCCCGATTCGATGATGACGATCAGGGACGACGACCGAGATATATGGAACGTCGCTCTCGTCGAGCTCAATAAAAAAAAGAAAACGAAAGAAAAAAGCAAAAAAGACAACAAACCAGATTTTCATGACCAGGTCTACGATCTATGATCCATGTCATTACATGAATGTTTCAAAACATACCTGCTACCGCATTCTGACCCACCCTATTCTGTACCTCAATATTTTCCCTTTTTGGTTCATACGATACCCCTATACGTTTTTTTTCTCCTTTTTCAACCCAACAGCAATAATTGCACCGAGGGATTTACTCAAACATGTGGTATGAGGAATTCTTTCATCTATCATTTCACTTCATTCTGGCATTGAAGCCTGAATACTTGTCTTATTCTATCATTTCATCATACATCGCTCACTTCGCGATGCCCACATCCTGGCAGGAACAGGGTACCACTGGTTCTACACCATAACATTTCCTTTTCGTCCTCAAAAAAAAAATATTTTTCTGGTGGCTATCACTATGTATGTTTACGATTTGTGCTATCTGGCTTATGACGATTGCATTTAATGTCTCAATTATGCTGTGATCTTACTCTATTTTATGATTTTAACTATTCTCTTCGTTTTTTGTCTTACTGAGAGAAAAGAAGAAAATCTTCGTTATTTAAATCCAAAAAATCATTTTCAAACTAAAATAACTTCAAGAATTACTATATTATTCAATATCAAATTTAAAACACCACTCATAAGATACCAACCCCGGATATCGAGGTCTAAATTCACGCCGTGTCCCGTCCATTTTCCCAAGCAACGCCCATTATCCATCTATGTTCAGCTTTTTGCGTATCATACAGTATACCAATTTAATCACTTTTGAGAGAGCCGATAGAGCTGTTCTAATAAGACCCAATTTTCTTTTGATACCGGGACATTTTGACACTGAATTCTGCCATTCATGGCGCATTGTGGCGGAGAAAAAGCCGCATTTCAGTACCAGCCCGGATTCAGGTATAGTGAGAGCCGGATGCGGATACCTAATTGCTCAGTACTTGGTTGTGTGTGAGTCTTGTCCAAATCAATAAAATTTGTCTTTCGTTTCCTGGAACTTAGTACCAGCCAGTTCCTTCTTCACCAAGTTTCTTCCCCTTGGGGTTCATAGAAATGATCCGTTGTCCTGGGAGGGTATCGGCCGTAAACGCAGACTCGAAAATGCTGGAAATTGCACGCTTCCCGATTTGTTGGAACGAGTCATATTCACGTTGGCCGTTGCAAGCTGCCCATTGTAGGTTTTTTGGCGAGGTGCCGTCTCCCAAGTCACTCCATCGGGTCACGGTAATTGCGTGCTTGAAATGAATATCTCGTGGGTTGTTTCTGTCCTCGGTGAGTTTAACCTCGACCAGGTATTCGGTTGGACACTCAGGACAGCGTCGCATGGGGCGACATTTTCCACAGAGAGAGGCAATCGAGTTGGGATCGTAGGAGCGCCCTGCGCAGATATCCTTGGCTCGATGTTCCAGTCCCTGTAACCCGGCCGTCGCTCTAGGCTTGGGAATGTGACCCAGCGCGCATTTACAGACATCCATCAGCTCGCCGTCTCGCCAATGAGCACACGCTGAGAAGTACGGCCAGTAATCTTCCCGAGAATAGAGCAACATGCGCTGAGAGCTGGGCGGCAAGTCTGGCGGAGCAAAACACTGACTGACAACCCTCATCAACAATCTCCCCTTTTCGATTAGGTAGCGTGATTGGTGCAGCCAACCGTCCCGGCGCCAGCGACGGGAGAGGAACTCAGGGGGTATTCCATAAAAGGGAGCAAAACGACGTGCGCGCGTGACGAGTTGGACAAAAGTAAATGGCAGTACACGACCGTGAGTGATCCGATGACGAGGTGGCGGAAGTTGTGGGTTGCGGATATTCGGGCAATCGAACAGAGGATTGACCACATCCGCAGGTTGAAGCCGCTCGCTGCCGACTCGTGTGCGACGATGATACTTTGCACACGGGAAGCAAAGGAGGTGATATGGCAGATAGCGATCCTGGTGAACGAGGAAATCAATCCGGTATTCCCGGTTTTCCGGATACCTCAAGGCCAACCATGGCCCCGGACCCAAGCGCAGACGCAGCGTCTTACTGGCAAAGGCCAGGCTGGCTACGTCCGCGGGATTGAGATGCTCGGCCACAAGATCCCAGAGCTCTGAGGATAGACTCGCAACCACAGGCTCCCCTGGCGGTCGATGGTCTATTACCCCATCCAGCGCATTGCTATCGTTTCCCCCATTATCTAGTATACCCAGTGTATGAATGATCGAAGTGTAGTCGCGGTTCTCTCCTAGCTGACTGTCGACCTGCGCATGCATCTGCTTGTACTTTTCCTTATGGGCCTGCAAAGGCGCGAGCGATGGGAGAGGGTCATGGCCGGCATCCGCGAGTGCCGTCTGTCGAAGATCCGGAGTGGATGGATTGGCTTTGCGAAGGACCTGGCGTGACTTTTTTGGTCGTAAAGCGTTAGAAAAGAAGGCTCGAAAGCCAGTTCTCTGACCCGGGCTCTCTGCAGACATGGCCGGATGATGGGGGAGGATAAATTGAGAGGGAGGGATGGAAAGGGGAAAGACACAGGTGGACTTGGATGTTTCATGGATGTGACCCTGGATGTTGTGCCGACGGAGAATCGATGACGGCAAGATCCAAGATTACCGGGAGATACAGACGATTACGACGCTATGGTAGCACTTTGGTGGGGCCTCAGGATCCATGTATGTAACGTACTGTATCATCCCGGCGAAGAGAAAAAGGAAAGAAATAACGAAGACCCAGTGCATTCATTGCATTAAGACTAGTATAGAGAAATACAGCCTGGTATGATCGTTGCCTCCAAATAATCCATCTTACAATCACACGCAAAACGGGACCAAAACACGCTTTAAGCTACGTCAAAATACAAGTGCTTTATGGTGCGCTTACGAGAAGCGCTTCTCAGCGGCCTTCCAGTTGATGACATCCCAGATGGCGCCGAAGTACTCAGCCTTGCGGTTCTGGTATTGGAGGCTAGAGAAAATGCAGGTTAGTTATTGTCCATTGCAAGTCCATTTGTGGCCCAGTTTGTAGTAAAACTTACTAGTAGGCGTGCTCCCAGGCGTCAATTCCGAGGAGAGGCTCGAACTGGCCGACAACAGGGTCCTGGTTCTGATCCGGTTGTCAGTTTGCGTTCATTAATTACCAATTGGATAGGCGGTATTTCACTTACGGCGTAGGTCTTGATGCCAATGTTACCGGTCTGCTTGTCCTTGACGAGCCAGGCCCATCCGCTTCCCTGAATACCAGCGAGGGCAGCGTTCATCTTGGACTTGAAGTCCTCCAGGCTGCCGTAGGTGTCGTTGATGGCCTTACCCAGAGCACCGGATGGGGGCTCACCACCACCAGCGCTCTTGGGGGCCAAGTTCTCCCAGAAGAGGGTGTGGTTCAAGTGACCACCACCGTGGAAGTTGATCAAAGGCTTGAGAGCAATCTGGGTCGAAATGTCGTTCTTAGCCAGGGCCTCCTGGAGCTGCTCAGAGGCAGTGTTGTAGCTGTTGACGTAGGTCTGGTGGTGGTTCTTGTGGTGGAGCTCCATGATCTTGCCGCTGATTGAAGGCTCGAGAGCACCATAGTCGTCTGATATTGTCAGCTCAGATGCATCTCTAGCGTAATGGGACGCATGAAAACCAAGCACGATAGAGGATTTTTAAGCTCCAGGTGTCCATCTCGCGAGACAGAGCCAATTGATACATGGCAGCTTGGGCTGCCATTTCCTGGGGTATTCAACGGGTAAAAGAGAAGATTCAAAAACATACAGGACAGGTCAGGCAGAGTAGCCTTGCCGCGGGCAAAAGTCAAGCCCGCGACACCGGCAGCCTTGGGAGTAGCCGAAGCTCCGGCGCGGAGGGCAGTGCGGGCAGAAGTGCGGATGAGAGAGGCAGCCATGGTTGGATATTAGAGAAATGAGAAGGTTGGGAAGATTGAGAATGAATTGGTTTGGGAGATGATGGAGAGGAGAGGGGGAAGAGAAGGAGAAAGAAAAAAAAAGATGACGAGAATCGAGGGAGGAAGATTGCTTAACAACCGGCTCACGGGAAAACGCAAAACGTCATTGTTGCTCTGCTTCCTCGGCGCGGGGTTTCTCCGCCGTCCGGCGTTCTCGTGAATTTCCCAAGTCGCCTTTATCGGCCTTGAGTCTCTGAAGGTGGTTGTTGCTGTTAACATCCCACCAAGCTCTCCATGGCATGGAGTCACTTATTTTAACTGTGCTCTCCACCCCTTGAAACTTTTTGAAGCTCTGGAGACGGTTGTTTTCTCTCGATTAGGGCCATGGATTCCCCATCGGCCTCGCCATCCGCTGCTGGCCAGAAGCGCAAAATTGTCGATATGAGCTCCGACGAAGAAGATTCTCGCCCCCGAATGGGCTTTCGCGGCTTTGCCAGAGCTGCCTCTCGTTCCGAATCGCCTCCGTCTTTTGGCCTGGGAAGTGCAGGGCGCAATCCCCTTAACAACATGATGCAGTCCGCAAATACAGCACCGCGAGGTGGAAACACCAACGCGGGTAAGAAACCGGGGGGAGGAAACTCCTTTGCGGCACGAATGATGGCCAAGATGGGCTACGTCGAGGGACAGGGTCTAGGTTCTGGTGGCCAGGGTATTGTCAACCCAATTGAGGCGCAAGCCAGACCGCAGGGTGCTGGATTGGGTGCCGTCCGGGAAAAGACGAAACAAGCTCGGGAAGAAGAAAAACGGGCTGCAGCTAGAAGAGGGGAGGTACTTGAGGATAGCTCGGATGAGGAGCGGAAAAGACGACAGAAGAAGAAAGAGGCGCGCAAAAGGGAAGGCCGCAGTGAAACAGGCACACCTATTCCCCGGGCGAAGCCGCAATTTCGGACGGCGCGCGAGATCGAAACGGATATGGCTGGTCTTGAGGTTCCGAACGTGTTGAAATCACTGGTGGATGCTACTGGCAAGGAACAAAGGGTTCTGACCTCTACGGCTGGTCTGATGACCCCATTAGAGTTCGTCAATCAGGGCGAGGGCGAGGCATTGAAAATCGCGCAACGAGCTCGTCATGATCTAGAAGCCTTCGCGGACGAGTGGAAGGGATTGACGGAGAGGAAGAATTTCATCGAAGCTGAAGAGACTCAAATTGTGGAGCAGTTGGATACCCATCAACTCAAGGTTGACCAACTCACGCAGTTAATAGCTGCGGTCGAGGAGCTGCAAATATTCCAGGACGAGAGCATCTCAGCGAAATTCGACGAACTTACCGCTAAGCTCGAATCCCTAGAGTCCAAATATCGCGACGACATTGATGAATACCGATTGCCAGAAACTGCAGTCGCTGCCATCCATCCACTATTCCGCCAAGCGATGGAGGAGTGGGATCCTCTCAAGCAACCCGACTTCCTCGTCTCAAATATTCGCCGCCTCAGACCACTTCTTTCTCGAAAGAAGGGAGATGAGTATGCACAGCGGCAGTCTACATCGCCTTATGAAACGATGATATACACTCTATGGCTACCACGCGTGCGATCGGCACTGCTGAATGACTGGGACATGTACGACCCATCCCCAGCTACATCATTAATCGTATCGTGGAAGGATATTCTGCCATCCTTTGTATATGCGAATGTCTTGGACCAGCTCGTGGTCCCCAGACTCAGTGGTGGATTGAAGGAATGGAAACCCCGAAGCAGCACCAGACGCCACCCGTCCTCTCAGCAAGGCTCCCGCTTCCCATGGTGGCTCTTCACCTGGTTACAATATCTGGATGAACGGCACACCAATCCTAAACAGCCAACAGGTCTTCTATCTGATGCGAAGAGAAAATTCCGCGTGGTATTGGATACATGGGATCTTCGCAAGGGTTTGATCGGCGGTATCGAGCTCTGGAAAGATGCATTAGGATCCGAATTCGACGTTTCCCTTCGGAACCATCTCTTGCCCCGTCTGGGTCGTCATCTTCGAGAGGAATTTGAAGTAAATCCCCAAGACCAGGATCTCACTGCTCTCGAAGATGTTTTCAAATGGAAGGGATTCTTCAAACCCAACGTTATCGGCCTACTCCTCGTGGCGGAATTCTTTCCCAAATGGCACAACATCCTCTACATCTGGCTTACGAACGATCCCAACTACGAGGAAGTCGGCGAATGGTTCTCTTGGTGGCGAACTCAGATACCAGCAGACATAAACGAATTAACAATTGTCGACGACGAGTGGAAAAAGGGCCTCCAGACAATGGATCTGGCGTCTCGCCTGGGCGATCGGGCCGTCGCCGAACTCCCACCTCCAACCGCTTCTACGCAACAAATACCCACAGAAAGCACATCAGCCCTGCCTCAACGCGCTGCTATGGAAACACCCGCAGCCAAAGCGCCCCGCAAACCCAAGGTTGTCGAGGAGGTCGCATTCAAGGACATTCTCGAATCCTGGTGCATCGAGCAAGGTCTCATCATTCTCCCATTGCGGGAGGCGCATCCCCAGAACGGCCAGCCTCTGTTCCGGATCACGGCAAGTGCTACTGGAAAGGGAGGAGTTGTTGCCTTCATCCAGGGAGATGTTGTCTGGGTGCAAAACAAAAAGGCAAAGGAGGTCTGGGAACCGATGGGTTTGGAGGATCGACTTGTGGATCGTGCAGAGGGGCGATAATATGTTTATACCGGTATTTATTTGGTATACCCTTTTGTTTGTTTTAGTAGGAGCAGGTTTTCTAAGATATCCTTATTTTCGTCTTTTAATGGTTGTGACTTTTGAAATAAATGTGGTAAATAAAGGGAAGGTGGTCACTTTTGGGAAATATATCATGATATAATGCTTAACAAATCCATTGGTTATTGTACAGAACTAGATGCCAGATAGGTAGTTTACAGTACCAGGCAGAATATTCAAAGATAGACCAACAAATTATTAAACTATCTCCTAACATAAGCATATGTATTCACATCAACACCATCATAATAGGAAAGAAAAAACACTGGCGTAGTGTGGTATGTAGCTGGCTGAATTGCAAGAAACAAACCAAGATTATGCTCCCTTAATCCGTGCTTATCGTATTTTTTCCTTTTTTTAATGACATTGTCAACATAACTTCATAACGAAAAAAATCAAGACGTCCGAGGCTCTTGCTCAAGCTCGTGTGTTATTGTATTTCTCATTGAACGCGTTGACAGCTGAAAAAAGAGGATGTTAGCGTATTGCATAAAATACAATCGAAAGGGGAATGGAGTTATAGAGTCCTACTTACCGACTGCAATCTGGCGATACACCCAGTTTCTCGAGCTCTCATCTTGCACAGGGATGAAGGGACCATTGGCACCGCCCTTGAGCGTGATGCTCATGCCCGTGCGTTCCTTCGAAATGGTTTGGATATCCGTCAAGCGGATGTCCCATTCCGTTTCGAGCTTCTTGGTGCGGACAAGCATGATTTGGTTGTACGTCAATAAGACTAGCATGTCTCTACCTGGGAGTTCCAGGTGCGCAATGTAGTCCTCGTTGAAATATCTGCCATTGTCCGTGGTCTTGAGCCAGAACTGGCCCAGTGCTTCACGCTGTGAGTATGGCCGCACGATGCCGTCGGTTCCAATAAAGCGAGTAAGGCGAACGCGGTCAAGACCCTCAGAGTCAAAGACCGTCGTTGTGTTTCGTACTCCCTCAGCAAGGTCTAAATAATAGTCAGTAATTGAATTCTTACAAATGTTTTGCATGTGCACATACTGGACGCAAGATCAAAGGCTCCTATAGCCGGCTTGGTAGCCAGACCCAGGACACCCTTTCCAACACCCTTGAAGAACCCCTGCAGACCTTCCTTCTCAGCTCCCTGCAGCGGGTGACGAGCAAGGCCACCGATACCACTTGCCAAGCTACTCGCGAACGCATTTCCACCGGCGGTAATACCATAGAGCGCATGCTTGGGACGGTTTCGTGATTTTGACATCCGACGCTGGTTCTGGAATTCCTTGTCCAGAGTGGCAGCAGCAAGACCCTTGGACATACTTCCAGTAAGTTTTGCCATACTATCTGAAAATCCAAATACGGATTTCTTGACGAAGCTGGTGGCTCCCTTGGCAATACCGTAGCCCAGTTCTTGAGGCCTATCGGTCATAACCAGTCCTTGATACGGCTCATAGAAAATCGCTGCAACACCGGAGCTGACGTTATTGAACAAACCAACAGGGTTTCCTAAGAAATCCGCTGATCCAAGAACAATATGGACTTGACGTAAGAATTCCTGAGTGTAGTGTCGTGTGATGTTGTTGACAAGTACACCAAACGAGACTCGAGCATTCTCCAGCATCAAAGCATTCAGACGAACGGGGGCATCGTTGATGTTGCCCATTGACATGGTCATGACATTGACGATGAACATAAATGGATTCGAAGGTTGCATAGTGTCTTCAACATTGACGCGTTCAGTACGCATAAATGAGATATCAACCTGCATCGGCTGCAAATGAAGGAGCTCAAAGTACACATCTTGACCGGTTCCCTCTTGCTGCGGTTCTGGGATGTTGAGGTCTTCATCGCAGAGCCGGCCTTCTTGTTCCTCGGACCACGAAGCTCCAGGAATCTTGGCAAAGTCCAGCATCGCCAGGATGAAATCTTCATCGAGTTCCAATGTCATCTGCTGCAGAAGAACGGTGGCATATTTGATGTAAAGAACACCATAGGAGTCGTCTTTCACACGCGTAACCATGGCGTGAAAGATTGGGTGGGCCTCCATTTCCTTTCCAGTCTTTGGAACGACACTTGGATACAACAGAATGGGGAAAATACCCCCATAGAGTTGATTATCGATTTGAATCCATTTGATCGTGGTGTTCAAAGTTTGATACACTCTGGACTCCCTGAACTTGACCTCAATCTCGCGGAAGGTAAGATAAAGAAGCTCCTTGAGATTCTGGTTGATCAAAGAGATACCAACCCCTCCAAGGCGGAGCTGGGCTTTGAAGTTGACATCTGAATTCATTTCCTTGACTTCAAAGCCGGTGCTCAAGCTTGCCTGGGAAGACTGTCCCCTTTGTTGTCTGTAAAGACTCTTCGAAGGCTTGAAGTTTGACAGGACAAGGGTTTGAGTAGGACCGTTGGCCACAATGTTGATGTCAATAATCCTCTGGGAATCACCGTGTTGCGTTGGAGGTATCCTCATCGGTATCAGGTTTCCGATCTCAGCAAGCTTGACGTGTCTCTCTTTGCCATTGCATGTCAGCACAAGAGATTTGTTTTTGGTAGCCGGGTAGTCCCATGCATATGGCATTATGCTCCTAGGAGGGAGGCGATAACGAATCGGCCGCCAGCCACTTGTTCTGTCATCCTCATCATCTTCCACATTCGGGTTCTAAAAATATCGGTTAGTAGGTAGTTCAAACATTCCGGTAACAAATCACTTACAGCTTGGTAGAAAATGAATTCAGTGTCACTCTCATTCCGCATGGAGTATGGCCAATTCCGAGTCTCGATGTTAAAATGAATGAAGAGTGTTGCATCTTCCATAACAATGTCAACCTTGACAAGCTTCTGGCGTTGGTTGGCCTTGGCAAGTTTCACATGCACAGTTCCAACATCCGCAATGTTGAATGGCGACGACCACTGGTTGTTCACGCCTGGGAAACAGAGACAAAGTTGCTTCTCTGCAACTTGGCGCAGGAAATGAAGAGGCGCCAGTTCGCCGCTGCTGATGTTAAGAACGTTAGACGACCCAGGCTCACGAACCAAGAGGTCTTCGCTCAATTTATTCTTGAGAACGAAGCGAGGTGAAATGGTGACGACCTTGGTCATCTTGTATTTGCCTTCACCTTCAGCGACTGACACTCCCGAGTGGAACTCAGATCGACCAAACCGATCTGGTAGCATGACCTCGAATGTGCTTCCGATGGCTTCGAAACTTTGGGGCTTGCTCCAGGCGGATTCACCTATCTTCAGCATCGACCGGTTCTTCTGATCATCTGTTGGGTAGGAGTACATGTATGGGAGTGTCCGTCCGCCGTGCCTTGAGTCTGCCCTCAGTCCCTGACCAGCTGCCGATCGTGCCGACTGGAGGAAGGCCTTGCTTTGAATTTCCATTGCGAGTCCAGTCTTGTTCAATATGAGGTAAGGACTGTAGATAGACACTTTGAAGGCACCACCACTGTCAGGAACATTGAAATAATGAAGCCGCAGCTTCAATTGGATGCCTCTCTCGTCCTTCAAAGACAAAACATGTTCTCTCCTGAAATCTTGGGCATTTCCGTTGATGATAGCAAAGTCACTTTGTCGGAAAACCGTATCTTCCAAGTCAATGCTCAGTAGAAGCAAGTGAGACAATTCAACGACATGAACTGGGCTGATACCGCCTTTGCGTAGGAAGTTCGTCCAGTCTTTCTTTGTGTTCTTATCATAAATTCGGTACTTGAAGTCATATGGAAGCAGATTTTGAATCTCAACAGGCGCGAAAATTCGGATTTTCATGTAAGGATAAACCTTGGTCAGTGAGTCCTTCGGGTTAAACGTTGCGTTCATCTGGAAGTAGAAAGGAGGAGCCTGCTGGCCCCCTTCGCTCAAACATTTAATAGTCCGAGTCGGTCGTCGCATGAGGTCTTTCCAGAACAACTGCTCGTTTGACCAATCGTATCCGAAGCCCTGATCAGGACGAATGACAACAGAATGCATATAGGCTGCTCCAACAGGCGCAGGTCGAGCGTCGCCAGGAAGGATCTTCTCAATCTTGAGAAGGTGACCCTCTTCGGGATTGAAGATACCCAACTCGACTGGGATCTGCGTGTTGTTTTCAATAACAAGCGGAGAGCGGAACGTGATATACTTGACGTTGTCGGCACCTAATTTGACATCGACGAGAAGTCTGTGCAGAATGCCATCTTGCTTCGGCTTCAGGTTATACAAGATCTCTCCCTCTCGAACAACAGGAATTCGGTTGACACTTTCAAAACCGCTTCCTTCAAGCTTGACACCAACAGAGCCACCGTGGCCCTCTGGTGCAAGTGTTTCACGCATAGCCGTTGAATCTTCGAATCTCCATGGATATTCCTCGCCATCAGTAAGCTTCGCAGCTGGCCCGTCTTCTTCCGGACTGACATCTGCCCAAACCCGAAGGTCAAAACCAGTGTAATTGCGAATCCGGTAAGGTGCATCGGCACCTCTTGGTTTAGAAAGAACGTCCTCGTCAGTTGAAAGGAACTGGAAAGACTTGGACGCTAAAGCAATCGTAGCCGAGGTGACACTGAGTTCCATCGTCTTGTGGGAGTAGGCATCAATAGAAAGAATTTCCGGATTCACTTCCTTTGCCATATGGAATCCCAATTGCCAAGGTTCTATGAGCGGTTCCCATGCTGACTTGGAGAAATTGTACACATTAACAAAGGTATCAAAATTGGTATCGGCATTGAGTGTAGATGACCAATCGCGAACATCGACGTTGAACTTCTTTACGCTCCAATCGAGTAGTGGGAGATCGTGTAGGTCACCGATGAGAATGACTCTGACACCGTCAATCTGAGCAGTCAACTCCTCGCGTTTGAGAACTGCGGAACGCTGCGGTCTCTGACCAGAATTGGATTCATTCAGGCCTTGATTGGTTTTTGGGGCTGCCGTTGAGGTTGACTTGCCAATCGATCTTCGTCTAGATCTAGCGCTGCCGCCTTTACCGTCTGATAACTTCTTCGCTTCACCAGTTTCGACCTCTTGCGAGGCCCGAGCTGTCATCTCAGAGGCCTTGTTCACAATCTGGATTGCCATCAAGATATCACGCAGTGAAAGGCGCAAAACCAGGGGATCGATGTGCACATTAATGGAAGTTAAAGACGATCCTTTCTCCTGAGGACGGCTATCCATGGACATTTCAAGCGTAAAATCGTCCAGAATACGCAGCCTGCTCGTCTCAAACTTATCCATACGACACAGGAACATGCCAACCTTGTTTATTTGCAAGGTTGAAACGTTCTGATGAGAAAAGAGAACCTGCTTCGTCCCAAGTACTATGGCTTCCGTGTTTGTGATAGCAGGGTTCGCAATTGTAATAATCTGTGCATCAACAAGATCCACTCTAAAAGAGACCGTCATTTGCCCTGCTGGAGCCGGGGCATCTCCACTTGGTGAAGAAGCCGCAGCTTTGTTGGTGCTTTCAGCAGCACTGGTTCGCGGCTCCGACTCGTCTGGCGATTCGTCGCCATCTTCTTCTTCTTCCACCTCGGGCTCATCCGATGCGAATACAGAGTTGCTAAAAGACTGTAGAGCAGACAGGTAGTCCAAGGCAAGAATGATGCAGGGACTGTCAATGGTCAACATCGCGATGAGGTGCTTGTTTGGAGACATAGAGAGGCTAGCCATAAATTGCTGCTGGACATCATTGTTGATCAAAGACATGATCTTTCTGAACTTGTTCGTATCCTTGCTGCGACTGTCGCGAATGGAAAGAGAGTAGATCAGGAGCTCAGAATCCAGAGAACCATCTGTGAGCATACGCAATTTGACTCTTGTGTCGTTGAGTGAGAACTTGGACAAACTGGAGTCTTCAAGATTACCAATCGGTTCGTTGTCTTTCGCGAGAATAAGCTCCAAGCCAACACTATCCACTTTGAATACCATATCAAGTCGAACCCAAGTTTCTTTACTGGCATCGACCTCTTGTGATACGTCTCCGGCTTTCACCCCTTTAGAGTTCCCTTCCTTTGTTGGCTCTGTTACTGACGAAGGAAGTGCTTCCATGGCTTCGAGTTCTTGTTGTTCCGTATCAGTCGCAAAAGCACCGGGAACCGTCTTGGACAGCTCTAGCAAGAACTTGAGTTGGTTCTGCGAGACCCGAAGGTTGATAGGAGACATGTTGCCTTCGATCTCCATATCTGGGCGTGGATTATCTTCCTGGTGTTCCAGATAGCAAATGATAAAGTCAAGGTTCACTTTCTGAATCATTTCGAGCTCTTCGACCAAGCCTCCTTCAAAGTGGAACTTGGAAGTTAGACGGATGTTCCGAATACCAGTGGAAATTAAATTGACGGCAGGGCTGTTTTCATTCTCGTCATCAAGAGGAACGAATCGATTATTGGCATAAATTTCTCCGAGATGGGCGGTGATTGTATCTCGATCACCATCATCTTTCATGGCACGTGGGAATACCAAAATCGGAGTCTTGACCACGACGTCGAATCGCATCCGCGAGGCGTTTTCCTGAAGGTTTGTTGCTTGGTTGGCAGCCGCTTGGCGAGCAGCGTTGAAGATAGCTTGCATCTTGCCAAATTTGACCAAAAAGTTCATGATTTTCCGATACGGTTCCTCCAAGAAATTTATCTTGATAGACCCAGACCGTAGGAAGACTTCGGAATCATAGCCAGGGTAATTGGGACCCTCCGGATCAAAGGTTTCGTATTTGAAATCGGCAAAATTGTCACCCTCAATGGTCAAGAGCCTGCGAAGATCAGAGGTCTCCGGTGCACCCACATTGACATCGTCTACCAGCGTCAAGCTTCCAATCCGGGATTGGATAAGCATAGAACGGCCCACGAGGAAAATGCCAACATCAGCGGTGTTGAGACTGAGCGTAGCAAGCCTGACCCCATCGTTGTTGAGAATGAGTGCAATACTTTTCAGGTCCGCCTTAATGCGGATTTTTCCGCCTTGCTGTGGCTGCTCTTCAACGTTGGTGGTGTCCTGGATAGTACGATCTGACTGGGGGGTCTGATCGTTTGGTTGTTGCGGACTCGTGAACGTGAGAAGAATGAAGTCCAAAAGCGTCAGGAGCGTTTTTCTGGTGACAACGAGATTGATTGTAGAGACAGAAATATCAAGATTCATTGCGACGCCTTCATATGTTGACTCGAATTCAGGAGACTCTGGTTTAACTCGAACGAACTTCAGCTGGAAAAGATCTTTGTCTTCGTCTGCGTTGAACCCCTTGGACGATATGATTCTCTTGAATTCCGGGACAGGGTTTTCTTCGATATAATCATCCACGCTTAAAGACTTCAAAACCACTTCTGCGACCATATCAAACGGCCGCATATAGAAGTCCAGTTCAAATCCTTCAGCCACCAGTTCAACCAGGAGGTGGTCATTCTGCTGGTCATTCGCATCGGATCGAAACAATGAACCCCGCAAGCGACCAACAGTAAACTTAAATTCAAAGTCTCGACGATGGATATTGGCAGGTTTGTCAATGCTCTTTCTTGTTTCTTCGCCGCTCGACTCATCATCTGAATCTTCATCAACAACAGGGAGCTCCCTCAGACCAGGCGGTTGGAAGGACGATGATCTTGCCCTGCCGGACACGATTGTCTCCTCTGGCTTGAGATTGGTCGTGTTGTCTGGTTCGCGGTTGCCATCATCAAATTGTGGAATGGCAATGTCGATCAACTTCATCAGACCCTTATATTTAGTATCGGACATGGACGCATGTAACTCTGGAAGATGTCCAGATATGCGGGTCCTTGTCAGTTCGGTGACCTTGGGCACAATGCACATTTCTAACACAAAATCGACATTGATACGATCGATGATATGCATATTCTTTGATGTAACACCAGAACTAAGTTGAGACTTGGTAGTGTCAATTCCAGGGCCGATAAGAACCTGCGTGGAATCAAGCTTGATCAAAAATCTGTCGTACATCAAATGTTCGAGCTCTTTGTAATCGCCCTCATCGTACTGCCGCTTCTGCTTGGCTTGAATGTCTTTCATAGTCTGCCGGTCGACCAATTCGCTGTTCACGCTGATATGACCAGCGTCCAGGATTAAACAAAGGGAACTTTCTTGCGTGATACTTTCTGGAACGATGAATAAGGGTGCATGAATGTCGAACTGTGCATCGACCTTCTTGTGCTCTTCCAAAGCAAACTCCAAGCCTGCTCGGGTCTGCTGTCGAATCTCTTCCACGGTGGCTCCTGCTGTATCTAAGAGTGCACCGATAGATTCCATGTGTCGCTCTGGAGGCTCGAAGAATTTGACAATCTCTACAAGGAACCTGGGATTGTAGATGACTTCGATACTCTTCATTCTGACTTTGACAACCGAGTCTGCGTCACTTTCAAGCGGGTTCTTCTCAAGCTGAAAGTGGAAAAGGCTGTTCTCGTCTTCAGCACTCTCCTCGATTTTTTCGGTGGCCAGATCATCAATGTCAGATACTTCTGTTAGACGATTGTCTGTCTCTGAAGAATCTTTGACCTTGACAATTTGAGGGAAGAGACTTCCTTCAGTTGTTCCGTCGTATACTCGCAAGCCTCCTAGGCCCACATCCACAAAGAAGGAGTCAGGGCGCTGTAAAGCTTTTGCCTGGAAGTTGTCGAATACCAGCTTCATAACTTCATTCGATTTTCCGTGAGGATCACGTTTCAATGTAAAGCTTCCCGCTTTGAGTGCTGAATTGACTTGAAGCTTGACCCATTCCCTGGGAACATCCACACTCTCGCTAATTGCCTTCTTCTCGTCCCAGTCAATTGCATTGTAGAGTTCCTGACGTTGCTCCTCGGTAATGGCGGTCTCCTCGGACTCTTCTTTCTTGGTGCCCCATATCCACTCAGACCAAGTCTGTTGCTGTGCAGGTTTCTTGACACCAACATTTTCTTTGCGCAATTGGTTTCTCGCCAATGATCTCCAGAAGCGAATATCCTCGTAGTTTAGTTTCCGTTCCAGCCGTGCCAGGTCTTCAGCTTCCTCCGGTGACAAGATTTCTTCCCTTTTCTTCTTTTTAAAAAGATTAATGTAAGCTATGCGGTCGTCTCGTCGTTCTTTCATAAAATCCCATGACCATCGTCGATTTCGGTCGTGAATCTTGCTTAACACAGCCTTTCCAGCAAACCTGAACCAAGCTCGAGGGTCTTCCTTGGGCGTGCTCTTGGGCTGGAACTTCTTATATTCTTGGTGGCGGATAAAGTAATGGAAAAGATCCACAAGCATTAGGGCGTCTCGGTATTGATCATCATCGAGGACAAAGCTCAGCTCATCAAACAACAATCGTGTCTTCATGGCGGGCCGGTCGTACAGACCAGATTTGTCCATTTCTAGGCCGGCACGCCCACTGACTGGGCGAAGCATAAATTGCTTATTCCCATCATTGTCAATGCCGGATCTTAACCTATCCATCAGCTCTCCCCGGCTGATACCTTGAGCTTCTGCGCCTATATCTGAACCTCGGCCCGTACCCAAAAGATCTGCATCAGTATCCCAATAAACTGAGAGGGCACCAAGGGTTGCCAGCTTATGTGTGGTTCCGGATGTAGACTGAATGAAAGTGGGTTTCCAGTCGGAGTCGGTGCTGACAGCGCTGAGCTCTTTCAGGGTCACGCCAACAGCAAATGGATGGCCGGGTGAGGCGACGGAGTCTTCGTAACGGAAATGTACGTTTTTTATGGAGATCTGGAGGTTATCAACCACAGCAGTCACCATGCTTTGTGTGAAGCTCTGGTTCCTGCGTTGCTCTTCCTGGCTCATCCCCTCCGAATTCTTCTCTTTGAGAATCTCCGCGCTCTCAATCCTCTCCATCTTGAGAGCATGTGCTCTCCTTTCTTCTTCCTCTGGATCATAGTCTGCGTCTTCCTTTGGGGCGGCTAGAAGAAACACATCCTCGATATCGACCTTAACAGGCTTTCCCCGCAAATTCGACCAGGGAATCGACAATGTGAGCTCGCCCAGGTGACCTTCAACAACATTTAGAGGAAGGCGTAGTTGATCGAGTGCTTCCCGTCGTAACTCCAGGTTCCGAAGTTTGACATCGCCTGACCAGATTCCGATGTTAAGCTGTTTTGCGTCGAAATTCTTAACATAGATGCCCAGGAATCGGTTGAGCAGGTTCGCGACCACTCCTTCCAACATGATTACAATATATGACCGTAACCCAGGCCAGGGTTAATGGTTTAGGGCGTAGCGGAGTCGTCTAATAAGGTACTTTAGGATGTCGTAACGTCGGTCTAGTTGAGCAAACAGCTTGTCAGCATCACGCCACGGAGGGGAATGAGGGGAAGAAAAAGGACAGCAAAAAAGACTTACCTCGCAAGATACGCGAGTTTCAAATACACTCGCAAATTAAGAAAACAGAGCCATCCAGGAGATTAACAAAGGTTGCACGCGATCGCGTTCCCCAGATAGATGTATGGTGCTAGCTAGTAGCTGAATGCGGTCGGGGTAGAGAGATGAAAGTGAGGGAGTGAGAAGAGGTTGGGTATCAAGGCCAACACAACCCAGTCCTCCAATTATAAGGTATGAAACCAAGGAGAATCTCCAACACCAATGATTAAAATATAAGGCTCGTAGTACCTGGCGAAACAGGTGATTGTCCACTGGCAACAAAAGGGGGGGCGGCATCAAGTAAACGGCGCCGCGGCCAAGGCAGTGACGTCGGTCGCGGCGGTTCTTTGGAGGCTTGGCAGGGTTCCAACCCTTCCAGGCTGAGTCAGCCACGTGTTTGAGGACTGCTGCCTGACTGCCCTGTTAATGCCTGAGGCAGAGATGTTCCGGTTTCTGACAGCTGCGCAGTTGGTGTGTGCGGCGTCCCCGAGGGAGACGATTACCGCACCTCATATTGTCACTTCGGCTCATGTTCTCCAGGATTGATTGCCTCCTCGACCAGAGATATCCCCGCCTCCGCGAGTTCAACTCGAGTCATTTCCCGGGTTAATACCCTCATCTCCACTCTTCCTTTTACTCTCCAGCTTTTTTTCAAGTCAATTGGGTCAGTTTCGGCTCCTATGTGCCTATCCGAGCTTTCCATATCCCATTACTAACCGGGCATCGAAAAAACAGAAAAGCTGCTATAATTCACCATGCTTTACAGAAACGCCGCTGCCCGCTCGGTCCTCCGGGCTATCTCCAGCTCCAATGCCTCTGTCGCCAGGTCGACTCTCGGCAACAATGTCTTCAAGGCCCAGCTGGCCACGTCGGCTCGCCATGCCATTCGCCCGACCCCCAGCATGGCTCTGGCTGCTCGCAAGCCCGTCACCACCGCGCTTGTCCGATACGCCTCGACTTCCAGCAAGGTTAGACATTGAGAAACAGTGCCAGGTTGTGTTTGGAGCAATTGCTAATGACAACCCACAGGACGGCGAGGACCAGGACCCCGATGTGATGGCTGGTATGAAGTCCGAGGCGGTATGTTTCTCAGCCCCAAGCTTCCTGTTTCCCGAAAAGGACTTGTTTGCTTGCATGCAAGTTGGAAAAAGTCGACTAATTTATCTGCTCTTATAGAAAGTGATCAAGGACACCTTCAGCCTTGAGGAGGTCCCCAAGGAGGCTCTTTACCTCGGCATGGCTGGTGTGATCCCCTACCTTGCTACCTCCGTCCAGACCGTCCTTCTCTCCAACGAGATCAACCGTGCCGCTACTGTCGGTCACGGTGACGGCCTCGTCTTCTCCGGCCAGAGCGCTGAGCTCATGCTCCACATGCTTGAGCCCATCCAGGTTGGCTACGGTGCTGTGGTGAGTGCAATATCAAATTTCCGAGCGGTATGCGGAGATGGATATCTGACCCGAAACGCGATAATAGATCCTTTCCTTCCTCGGTGCCGTCCACTGGGGTCTTGAATGGGCCGGCTACGGCGGCAAGTTCGGCTACAAGCGCTACGCGGCTGGTGTCATTGCCCCCGCTGTCGCATGGCCTACCCTGCTGCTCCCCGTTGAGTACGCACTGATCAGCCAGTTCCTCGCCTTTACCTTCTTGTACTACAACGACGCCCGTGCTGCCACTCAGGGCCGTGCCCCCCACTGGTACAGCATGTACCGATTCGTCCTGACCTTTGTTGTCGGCGCCAGCATTGTGGCTACTCTGGTTGGCCGTGAGCAGATCACCAACACGATCAGCTCCGAGCACACCATCTCGGACAAGATCAACGCCCTGATCTTCCTGCAGAAGAAGGAGAAGGAGGAGGCTGATGCCCGCCGCCGGGCAGAGCTTGGCGAGGAGGACTCTGAGTAAAAAGTGACGGTAGCCTTGTGTTGCGATATATTTTGGACTTTGTAGATTACATGCGAGAATTCTACGGCAGACGCTGATTTCATTTGTTATACTCCGTAGTAGACTGGTAGTCTTAAGTAAGTGTAACCTATGAAGAGCAGCCATGAAGCTTATCTAAATATATCTATGATATTACCACCTATCAAGAAAGAAGTGCACCAGCAAAAAGAAGATGACAAACCAGGCGGAAAAGACTGACACCAGAAATGCAGATCATGACGAACCCAGTGGATTTTGGGGGGCGGACTATGTAAGAGGGAAGAGGGAAGTTTGGGACGACCCAACTTGTTTGCTTTGGAAGTGCGATGGAGAAAGGGCAAATGCATCGTCAGCAAGCGGGCCGGGAACCTGTTTGACTTGCCCCGAGTCGACTCCGCATGTGCATCATCTTGGAAGGATCAAGGATCTTGATCTGTGCCTGGGAGACTCTGGATTGCTTGTCTGAATTAGTGGTAGAAGACGTCATCACATCCATTGGCAATCATATATCACAATTGTCAATTATAAATGATCAATTACTCCGTACAGTGTAGGTACAGTCTACAGTGAATAGCAAGCCGAACCGAGTACCGGAAAGCAGACGGGAAGACGGGAGTGCCTGGACAGTCACGGGAAAGAAAAAAAAAAGAAAGAAAAGAATCTAGAATGAATAGAAAAAAACGAAAAAGGACAGGTGATCAGAAGGAAACGCATGAATGGGGCAAAAGGAAGCACCGATCAGTCTAGATCGTGGAATTCCAGGGACTGCAAGATGGGGAGGGAAAAAAATGGACAGTGTCATGTGTTCGCTGGGGATCGACTAGTACCAGAGGAGCAGTGCTATCTATCGCAGTGGATCGACAGCCAGACAGGAGAGTCGGGCATGGATGCACTGCACTGGCTGGTGTTTAATTGAGGCAATCTGTATCTGCATTCTTGTATTCTCTTCTTCTGTATACTGCTTGATATCTTTATATATCTTGATGCCATGTGTGAACTATTTTGGGATTGGCCTAGAATGGCCGACCGGATTGGGTGCGGTTGCGTCTGTATCTCTACCTAAGCATATCAATTGATAATTTAATAATAAACAGCACTAAAATAAAATAGAAAGATATAAAATAAAAAGACATAAAATAAAACGATATAAAATTAAAAAAAATAAAGAAGTAAGGAGAAAAGGGGGCTGACCAAGATGGTCGTCTGATCAGAAAAAAAGCCGCCCAGAAAGCGACTGACTGAATGAATTGGTTTCTCCCCCACGCACCCACAGCCCACTTCTCCGCCCTCGACGATAGTAGACGAGCCTGTATACAATAGTTGGTCCTTGGCCGGGTTGCATGCCAGAGCAGCAGAAAAGGGAAAAAGAAGGGAAGAAAAGAAAAAAAAAGAAAGAAAAAAAAAAGTCTAAAGCAGAAAGGTGATCCACCGCGTTGGATAAAGAGTGCTTCTTCGCTTCTCTTCTTCTTCGATTCCCTTCCTCTTCTCTCTTGTTCCTCCTTCTTCCCTCTTCCTCTCTTCCTCCCTCCAACTACGTGGCTACCATTCACCTACGCCCAACCTATTCGGCCTCAACCCAATTCACTGGTATTCCTTGCATTCCTTGCATTCTTTGACATCTTCACGTCCTCTCTATTTGAACTCCGGTTTTCTCTTCATCCAAGAACCTGGAGATATTCCCACCTCGTCCCTCCTCTCCGCCTCCGATCTTCAGTCATTCGTACGTCACTATCCACTCCTCCGGTTCCAAGCAGCAGCTTGGCCCATATCTCACCAAACACCGCCACCTCGCCCGCTGTTCTTCTCTCGCTACTTTCCTCTCTCCTATCGTGCTCTCTCTTGTTTCCATTCCTACGTAGTCTCCTTGAGTATCAAGTTTTTTCTTGATCCTCTCCCCCACACTGCCCCTCATCGGTCTTAAGAACCAGGTCAGGGCCGTAAACTACCCCTCCCTCTCGACTTCTTCTCTCTCCATCACGACTCTCTCTCTTCTCTTCACCCTGTCTCCTTTTCCCTTGCTCACCTTTTCAAAAAGGAAATCAAGGAAAAAGAAGCGAAAATGAAGAACCCTTTTGATATGTCCGAGATCGACAGTGCTGTTGATGAGACGGAGAACCAAATTAATATCAATGCCTACCAGTCCCATGATGGCAATCGCTCTATTATCCAGAATGAAGAACGCCGTGGTGATGATCTTCACAACCGCTTTATTGGTGCGATCGATACTGGCACTACCAGCTCTCGTTTCATTATCTTTGACTGCACTGGTGTCCCGGTCGCTAAATACCAGACTGAATTCCCTCAGATTCACCACTACTCAGGGTATGTACCTTCCCCGCCTTTTTTTTTTGGGTTACCTTTTCCCCCTGTGATCGAAGTGTGCAAACTGACACTCTTTGTCTATCAGATGCCATGAACAAGACCCCTTTGACCTAGTTGACTCTGTCTACATTTGTATCGAAGAAGCTATGAAATCCTTCCTCGCCCTGGGTCACTCCAAGGATGATATCGAAGCCATTGGTGTCACCAGTCAACGAGAGACTACGATTTGCTGGGACTGGGAAACGGGTGAACCTCTGTACAACGCCATTGCCTGGCCCGACACCAGAACCCTGGGCCTTGTCCGCGAGTTGAAGGCTAAGCCCGGAGCCGAGGACCTGGCCAAGATCTGTGGTCTCCCCCTCTCGACCTACCCCTCCTCCGTCTCATTGGTCTGGCTTCTCCAGAACAGCCCCGAAGTCCAGGACGCTTACGAGGAAGGCCGCCTTGCCTTCGGTACTGTTGACTCTTGGCTCCTGTACAACCTGAACGGTGGCGTGGAAGGAGGTCGTCTCGTGACCGATGTGACCAACGCATCCAGAACCATGTTCATGAACCTTGAAACTCTCGAATACGATGACCGCTTGCTGAAGTTCTTTGGCATTGACCGGAACAAGATCCGTCTTCCTGAAATCATTCCGTCTGCCGACCGTGAAGGTTTTGGTTGTGTCTCCTCTGGCCCTCTTGAGGGTGTGCCCATCACCAGCTGTTTGGGTGATCAGTCTGCCGCTTTGGTGGGCCACTGCGCTTTTACCCCCGGTTCTGCCAAGAACACCTATGGTACCGGTTGTTTCCTTCTGTACAACGTTGGCCAGGAGCCTATCATCTCGAGTCATGGTTTGCTGAGCACCGTGGGTTTCCAGTTGAGTCGGGACAAGAAGCCTGTGTACGCTCTCGAAGGTAGTGTGGCGGTCGCTGGAAGCGGTGTTTCATTCCTCATGAATAACTTGGGTTTCTTCCGTGACTCGCGCAAGGTCAGTGATCTCGCTGGGTCCGTTCCAGACAGTGGTGGTTGCGTCTTCGTCACTGCCTTCTCTGGTCTCTTTGCTCCTTACTGGATTGATGATGCCAAGGGAACTATCTGTAAGCCTCTCTCGCTATATTCTCATGTATATTTTGCTCACTGTTTTCTTAGTTGGTATCACTCAGCACACACAGCGTGGCCACATTGCTCGCGCAACCATGGAGGCCGCTTGCTTCCAAACCAAAGCTATTCTCGATGCCATGGCTAAGGACAGTGGACATAACTTGTCCGAGTTGACCGTCGATGGTGGAATGAGTAACTCGGATATTTGCATGCAGGTATGTAGTTTGGCACGATGTACTCTCCCAGGCTACCAGTCACTAACGATCGACACAGTCTCAAGCCGATATCATTCAAATTCCCATAGAGCGCCCCGCTATGCACGAAACCACCGCCCTCGGAGCTGCAATTGCCGCGGGGTACGCCATCAACATATGGAAGGAGTTTAGCGAACTGAAGAACATGAACCGCGCCAACACTACAACCTTCGAGCCAAAGATCACCCCCGCCAAGAGTGCCAGGATGTACAAGCAGTGGGAAAAAGCTGTTGACATGTCTCGTGGCTGGCTCAACACGGACGAAGCCGAAGCCGAAGACGAATAAATACCATTTATGAGAAAACCGTCATCATCTCATTACCTTTGATCTTGTGTGTTGTTTCAGCCAAACGATTGAGCGTGTTTGTGTCTTTTTCCTTTTCTTCTCTCGGGGTTATGGTTTTTCTTCATGTCTTTGATCCGGTCATCTCTTGGTTGGATGGTGAAGGGGAGGTCTTCTTTGGATACCCGATTTAATCACCGCAGGTACATATGTATATAAGTCATAGATAGATTAATAGGCATCATGCCTTTACGATTATGATGATTGTTCTTGGTTTTTTTGTGTACAATATCTTCACGCGGCACTACTCCTTAGCGCGGTGTCTAACAATATGTCTAACAATACTGTTCAATCAGTAAATTCTGCATACTGGATTCTCACCGAGACTCATGTATGTACAATACAATACAGTACAAATCTTCAACTTGTTCCCCAAATATCGATAATATGCCATAATGCTTGGAAATCTCATGTTGGTAATAACAAAAAAAACAAAAGCCGAACCGCAATTACATAACCTAAAATAAACGGTTCAAAAGGTCTTGGTCGAAAACCTAGCCAGAGCAAAAAAAGACAAAGAGATAAAAAGAATAAGAGGGGGAGGAGCGGAGGATGGATGGATTGATGCAATTGATGGAAGTCGATTATTCCGCCGACGTCCGAGGTTCGTCAGCATCGGATTGTCTGGCGGAATGGCTGGGGCTAAAGTCGACTGTCTGCAGGGCATCGGGTAATTTGAGGGGTGCGGCTGGGGCAGACTCGAGCTTTTCGAGCTTCTCGCCTCGCAATACCTTTTCCATCTCGTCCTTGGTTAATGTCTCGTATTCAATCAATGCCTTGGTCAGAAGTTCTAGTTCGTGCTTCTTTTCCGTGAGGATATTGGTGGCGCGAGCCCGGGCTTCTTCGACGAGTCGTCGTACTTCCGATTCGATTTCTTGCTTGGTTTCCGAAGACAGGCTGTCGTAATTGGTGGAGAGGTCGACGTTACCAAGTTTCTTCGAGTATCCGAAGCGGGTGACAAGTGTAAAGGCAGTTTCAGTGGCCGATTGGATGTCCTGTGGATAGTCAGTCAGTAAGGCATTTCATTTGCAACAAATATAAGGGAAAATACTCACCGCGGAGATGCCGCTTGTGACCTTGTCGTGTCCATAAATAAGCTCCTCGGCGGCCTTGCCACCCATGGAGACGTCGATGTCAGACAGGTACTCGGTGTAGTTTCGAGAAACCATGTCCATCTCGGGCAGGAAGTGTGTCACACCCAGTGCCATTCCTCGGGGAACAATGGTGATCTTGTACAGCGGGGTAGAAGACGGCGAGAAGTACGCAACGAGGGCATGTCCCGCCTCGTGGTACGCAGTCAAAAGCTTGTCCTTCTCCTGGATCATACGGCTGCGAGACTCTGCGCCCATAATGATCTTGTCCTTGGCGTAGTCAAAGTCCTTAGGTCCGACCTTGGTCAAACGCTCCCGACTAGCATGAATAGCAGCCTGGTTGACAAGGTTTTCCAAGTCCGCTCCAGAGAAACCGGGCGTGCCACGCGCAATCACCCCAATATCTACATCCGTGGAAATCGGGACATCTTTCATCTTGTGTTTCAGGATATCCATACGGCCGCGAACATCTGGAAGACCAACAACAACCTTTCGGTCAAATCGACCAGGTCGAGTCAAGGCCTTATCAAGCAATTGAGGGTAGTTAGTGGCACCGATGATGATAACACCGCTAGTCTGCGAGAATCCGTCGAGCTCGGTAAGGAGCTGGTTCAATGTTTGCTTCACGTAGGCCGCATCTCTTTCATTTCTCTTTGCACCAATTGCATCCAATTCATCAATGAAAATGATAGCTGGCGACTTGCCTCGGGCCTGGGCGAAGAGCTCACGGACACGCTTGGCACCGACACCAACATACACTTCATCAAATTCAGAGCCAGACATGTAGAAGAAAGGAACACCGGCTTCACCAGCGACAGCACGAGCCAAAAGCGTCTTTCCGGTACCAGGGGGACCGACAAGAAGAACACCCTTGGGCAACTTGCCACCGAGCGATGAAAACCGATCGGGGTTCAAGAGAAATTCCACAAGTTCCTGAAGTTCATCTTTGGCCTCATCGCATCCGTGCACATCGCTGAAGCGAGCGGTTTGCTGCTGGGCCTGAGCTTCGTTGTTCTGTGGACCTTTCATATTCTTCAGGACACCGGTGGTTTCGACAAGAATGGTAACCAGGACGAGAGAAATGTACGTGAAAAAACCGAAGTAGAGCAGAAACTTGATCCACCGGAACACTGCGCTTCCCAAGGACTCCTCAACGACGACGTGCAAAGGTGCCTCCTTGGCGCCAGTACCGGTTTGCATAGTAGCCATTCCAGTTTGTCCGCCGTGGTTTCGCGCTGCAATTGCTTGCCCAACGGCCTGGAGCTGTTCCGGACGGAGATGCTGGTTTTGAACCTGGGACTGTGCTGCTGCTGCTGCTGCTGCTGGCATTACCGGGTCAGCTCCCCCGACATTTTGCAGAGCCTTCAAGTAGATGGCCTCCGTCAGTTGGTTGCTGGCAAAATGACCGGTTCGATGGCGTTCGACGATAATGGCAGACATGTTAGCCTGAAGCAGGGACTGGTAGAAAGCATTCTGAGCATTGGCACTGTTGGGATTGTTGTTCGCAGTCTTCTCCTTCTGCGCCAGCAGGTTATGCGATGGTCCTCCGAACAGAAACCGTTGCTGTTGTATCCGTGAGAGACCGCTAGGCTTGGGAGCTTGACGGAGACAGTTTAGACCAAGTACAGATGTTGTAGAATGGGAGCGAGCGGGCGAGTTTCCTAAAGGCACCCGGCAAGTCAGTTCATGAATCACATGGATCTTTGAGTTGAAGCAATTGGATTTACCATTGAATAATGAGCGCGACCATCCATGCGGAATAGACCGGTGGCCAACGCCCTTCTCCAAAGCTCCAAGGGAGCCAGGCGCAATCAAGCGTTTCGACATAGAAGACCAAACATCCGATACCGCCGCCGCGAGATTCTGTTTAGGAATCGAAGAGTCAGAGTAACGATCATGGACAAAAAGTCGAGGAATTGTCCTTACAGGCCTGGCAATCGGGGCTTTGAAGGTCATGGTGTCCGATAGAGCGGCACAGGGCCGCGGCAACAAAGAGATCTACCTCTCGGAAGGAAATGAGAGTTTGAAGACAAATTTAATTCTGAACGAAAGTAGATGCCATAGCCAACATCCAAAGGACAATCGGCTAGATAGACAGCAGATAGATGGATGCAATATGATGCTGGTGACTCTGGGGTTCGGTGGATTGCGGCGGCGAACTTGATGTTGCCACTGCGGTTTGGATGGCCTGCCGTAGGTGATTACATAATGGGATTTGCTCACGTAATCGTGTTCCTGAGGCACTGAATTGAGTTCTATGGATCTCTGCTTGATTCCATTGGAAATGTCTCAATCCTAAAACAATTTGGATATATTTTAAGACAGTCTTTAAAGTAGCCTGAAATACTGGCTGGTTTTTCTTGATCTTTTTCAATTACTTGACAACCGAGTTGTGTCGAGACGCGCAATGCACTTTCTTTTCTCGTCTGCCCGTACGACATCTCCGGCTCTCGATCTTTCCATGGTTCGGATCTAACAGACGGTCTGAGATCCTTTAAAGCCAGACCGTCCATTTAGCGGCTCACTTATTTGTATATAACCGTTTAATTCCTGCCAATACGCTCTGCTATGGGGCCATTTTGGTTTTGCAGCCTAATTAGACGGATCCACTATACAGAGAATTTATAACTACCGCCATCGGCCAGCATCGACCGGAGCTTGTTCAATCGATCTCTCAGGCTTGTTTCGGGGCCGAATTTGAAAACTCTCAAGCCTCATGGCTTCCCTGGCGCGGGTGCCTGTCAACAATGCCCAGAAAGACCATTTTTCTTATGGGAGCCCCGACGTCACGGAGTTTGAATTGGGATGAGAACGAGCTCCTCAACTCACCTGTCGTCCCATTCCAGGCCCAGGATGGCCAAAAACGAGAGCACTCCCCAAATACAGATTGCTATCCTGTAAAATGGAGGCTGCTAGACGATCGAAAGGCCTTGGGAGGGGGTGACGAAACCCCGGTCCCAGGTCGAAGGACCCTATTTTTGACACCCCAAGACCTTACGAAGATGAAGACCACCGTTTTGAAAGACTCAGTCCTTGACCAATTTTACAACCACTCTTTTGCTGTCCATGAGACGTCGGAAATATCCACTCCTGGTGCCCATCCGGAGGACTCGATGCAAGAGAGTAGTAGCTTATTGACAGACAGCATGGGGACCTCGTTTGCCACGTCCAGTGACCATGAGGACTCAGGAACCTGCCCTATACCCATTCAAGGGCCTCTCAGCGACCTTCAGGATATCCCAAGCGCCGGGTACCTACGATCCATTATACCTCAGACCATGTCAGTGAATCTCATTGTCAGTATCATCACCATCCAACCGCCTCGTCGCATCGTGACCCGGCAATGGCAAAAAGAATTGGATATTGTCGAAGTCGTGGTGGGGGATGAAACGAGGACTGGATTTGGCGTTACGTTCTGGCTTTCACCGACGAACACGGCCTTGAGACCTACGAGCAGAGGGAACAAAGACGAACTGAAGGAGTCCTTGGCTGGTCTCCGCCCTCGGGATATTGTTCTGATGCGCATGGTTGGCCTGAGTTCATTCCAGGAACGGGTGCATGGTCAAAGTCTGCGAAGAGGAGTGACGAAAGTCGACCTGCTGCATCGACAACGAGTGGATGCATCGGACGCAGGCGGCATTTACGGACCGAAGAGTCTCAAGAAAAAGAATGCTGCCAAGGACGAGGCCGATGATCTGCCGTTGATGAAGGTGCGTAAGGTGCGAGAGTGGATCATGCGCTTTGTGGACTCGACGACGGATCGAGCAGGCGGTGATACAAGAATGTGCCAGTGGGCGGCCGAACGTGGGCAGGCACTGCCTCCGGATACGCAGTAGGCCAAGAGAGGGACTTTTTCGTGGTGGTGGTGAGGTTATAATTAGAACCAGCGTTGGTTACAGCTGGAGATGATGATGGCAAGCAAGAGAGGGACAAAAATTGAAGTAACGACGCTCTTTGGACGCATTCTGCAGTCGGCAGGGACCCAGGCTGGCTCATCAGGAGACTAGAAATAGGCTCGAATCCTAAATGGATGCAACCCCAAATCCAAGAGCAGTGAGGTTCAGGGGCAAGATCCGGTGATCACGAATTGCCGTCATGTCTCAAAGTTTGAAGTTGTACATGTTTGGTGGTCTGATTTAGGATTCGCATTCAACCAAATAATTCTCACAACCTGTAATTCACCATAATGATGGCAATGATAATAATAATGAACATAATAAAGAATTGATGGCAATTAATTATATCCTCAGTCGTAACCACAGCTGGTTATATGAGAGGGGCACCCAAGAGCGAGTGGGATCCACTGGCACCGCTTCAGCAATACCGGCAATATGCCATCTGCATCTGGGCCAGCCCCTAATAATTAATTATCTAGGAATTCGGAACAGAAAGAATGGAGCCATCTTCTTGTGACCACGAAATAATCAGAGCTGAACAGGACTACGTCGTGGTGATGTGGCGTTGAACAGCCCGCAAACGTGCCAATAAAGCCTTGCTCGTGGCCCCAAATGGGCAGCTCCACCATTTCGCTCGTCTCAGAATAAGAAGAACAACGCCAGGTGTTCCCTCGGATCTAGTGCTGCTGCTGCTGCTGCTGCTACTCCTATCCTATCCTATCCACCTTTCTTTCGCCTCTCTTCTCCTTCATCCTCAAAACAATCGGGTTGCAGCTTTGCTTCCGATCGTGTCTTACTCTTTCATCTCCTCTCAACCCCTCTGTTGCCTTGATTAATCCCCCCTTTTAATCGCCTTTTTTTCTCTTCTGTCTTTGGCCTGTCGCTCGTTTCTTGGGAACGTCTGGTCGACCCCTCCTATTCTCAATTAATCCTAATTAACCCCTTCTCTCATTCATCATGAAGGGTATGCATCCCCATCGCTCGATTCTTGTGTTTTCCTCTTCGCTAACTGTACTTGTATAGCTCTCATTCTTGTCGGAGGGTTTGGTACCCGTCTGCGACCTTTGGTAAGTCCTCCCCCCGCCGACGATCGCGACTTTTGGCATGCCAGACAGAGCCCTGCGATCTATGGTTATGAGGAATCGAGGCTAACCTGGATTGCTTGTCTAACAGACCCTGACCCTTCCTAAACCCCTGGTGGAATTCGGAAACCGGCCTATGATCTTGCACCAAGTCGAAAGCTTGGCTGCTGCAGGTGTCACCGATATTGTTTTGGCGGTTAACTACCGTCCAGATGTGATGGTTTCTACTCTCAAGAAGGTATTTTCCTTTTTGCCGTTATAACCGTCTTGGTCAACATCCGCTCATGGCTGCGATTAGTACGAGGAGCAATACAACGTCCGAATCGAGTTCTCTGTCGAGACCGAACCGCTGGGCACGGCTGGCCCCCTGAAGCTGGCGGAAAAAATCTTGGGCAAGGATGACTCGCCTTTCTTTGTCCTCAACTCCGACATCATCTGCGATTACCCTTTCAAGGAGCTCGCCGAATTCCACAAGAACCATGGCAATGAGGGTACCATTGTCGTCACCAAGGTGGATGAGCCCTCCAAGTACGGTGTCGTCGTCCACAAGCCCAGTCACCCCTCGCGCATCGATCGCTTCGTTGAGAAACCCGTCGAGTTCGTCGGAAACCGCATCAACGCCGGTATCTATATCCTGAACCCCAGTGTCCTCAACCGCATTGACCTGCGCCCGACCTCCATCGAGCAGGAGACATTCCCCGCTATCTGCAAGGACGGCCAGCTCCACTCCTTTGACCTTGAAGGTTTCTGGATGGACGTTGGTCAACCAAAGGACTTCCTTAGCGGCACTTGCCTGTACCTGACCTCGCTCGCCAAGCGCAACTCCAAGCTGTTGGCTCCCAACTCTGAGCCCTACGTATATGGCGGTAATGTGATGGTCGACCCCTCGGCCAAGATTGGCAAGAACTGTCGCATCGGCCCGAACGTCGTCATTGGACCTAACGTGGTTGTTGGAGATGGCGTCCGCCTGCAGCGTTGTGTTCTTTTGGAGAACAGCAAGGCCAAGGACCACGCCTGGATCAAGTCGACCATTGTCGGATGGAACAGCTCTGTCGGCAAGTGGGCTCGTCTTGAGAATGTCACCGTTCTGGGTGACGATGTCACCATTGCGGACGAAGTCTATGTCAATGGTGGCTCCATCCTGCCCCACAAGAGCATCAAGCAAAACGTTGATGGTGAGTTTATCCAAACATACTGTATTGATGTATACTAATCTATTTCCCCACCAGTTCCCGCCATCATCATGTAATCCTCTCCTTTCACGTCGCTACGCCCTCGAATACCTTGATTGAAATTACCTCTATAACCTCTATACCTCTTAACCGCCCCTGTGCATGGAAACCGGAGTCCTTTTGTGTGGTCTTCTCTTCTCTAGTTGGATTCAAACAGTTTCGAGCTTGTCGGTCTGTTGATCAAGGGAGTGCGAACTGTTTCGGCACAACAACCCCTTGAATAATTGGCATTATATTCTCTTGCTCTTCCCCCTTTTTTCCCCTTCGAGCACACATGGTTATTTATTATTCTTCACACCTCTTTGTTCTTGAGTTCGTCCGTTTCCAGACGCAGTCGCAAAAGCCTTGATGGTGGGAGCGTTGCCTATGGGCTCGGTTTTCTTTTTTTTTTCTTTCTTCTTTTAATCTAAATACTTTTTAGTAGTCCCTGTCTGGCTGTCGTGTTGCTTGCAACCTGTTCCCTTGATCCAGCTGTCTTGTGTGCGTGTGTGTCATGTTTGTTTATGCTGTTGACATGCCAGCGCGAAATCCGTTCGATGTCGTCCTTGCTCGTCTCGTTTTTCAACTTCTGCGCTCTCGGAAACCGGTGGGGAAAAAATTAAATATACTTATTTCTGTTGCTTTAATGATGTATGTGGACATGGGAGGTTTTTTAGGGATGTAAATAATGGGAGGCAGAATCAGAACAAACATGAAAAAAAAAAAAAGGATTCCAGTGAATTGATTGCTATCAACAGACGTAAATTCGTACACTTGTATGAATGTACTTGGTATTATTTGATTATGTTCAGACTATCCACATTCTATATAAAAATACATAGTCAAAAATCTAGTGGGTATCTATAGGTATAGAAGGAAACAGATGATAAGTCCTGGACTTGATTAGTTGGATTGAACTTCGGCCTTATCCAAAAGTTCATCCCATTGAATCCTCAATTCCTCCATTTTCTGCCAACATTGTCTCCCAAGGTCCTCGAAACGCTCCTTATCCTCGACGGATAGATCCTTGGCTCCTCTCTTGCGGCGCCGGGATCGATCCGCCTCCACCACGGCTGAGCCCACGACACCACCGTATCCCCATCCATCTACCTCGGTGGAGGCGGGGTGATCGCCTCCCGAGAAATTGGTGCAAGCGGAGCCCCATTTGGCTCGACCGCCCCCGTTGCGTTGGTAAGGAGACTCAGCGTCGTCGAGGAGGGCCTGTGCGGATAACGCCAGCCAGACGGGGGCACAGGCGCCCATGTATGTGGAGATGGTATGCCAGGGGGAACCGAGGAGGCGGGCAAGAAGGAAGGACGACATCATGGCGTAGAAGAGGATGGAGGAGAGAGGGAGGATGCCCGTTCCACAGATACCTGGGTGGGTGAGGTACATGTTTGGTTGAGGGGGAGGGTTGCTTTCATCGTCCTTGTCCAGGGAGTAGAAGCTCTTGACCCAGGGAGCGGTACTGGGGAGGTTGGAGGTCAAGGCCAGAACATCGGTCAAGGCCTTGGAGGATTCGTAGGGAGCTGCGGTACGCATGCCCTGGATATCGTCGACGTTGAACAAGTCGATGGTAGCCTCGATGCTCGACACCCAGATGATACGACCGGGTCCGTTAGGATTACCGGAGCGCTTCAGCAATGGCACGACATTATGCGCCAGCATGTAGTGACCAAAGACGTTGGCACAGAAAATCGACCCCAGACGGGGCTCGTCGACACCCGAAAGCTGATTATCCGTCACCATTCCAACAGGCGCGATCTTATACGTTGGCCAGGACACCTGGTGAACCAAATCGGTCAGGACACCCCAGATGGCCTCGGGCCAGTTAAGGCCAGTCCAACCACCCAGGCCGGCATTGAGGATGATAGAGTCGAGTTTGGGGATTGTCTCGACCAGCCGACGGGAGAGGGCGCGGACGGAGACCAGATCCATCAAGTCGACATTCTCAGGGACGAAGGAGACTCGCTTGAGGGCCGTTGGGTCCTGCGTGGTGGTGCGGAGGTGTTCCTGCAGACGGGAGATGGTGTCATTTCCCTTTCTGGTGCTTCGGGTTGTGAAGAGGACGGTCAGGGACTGCGAATCAGGGCGATTGCGGAGGAAATCATCGACAAGACGACAGCATATCGAGAAACCAAGACCACTGCAGAAGAAAATTAATTAGTCAGACTTCCTTCCCCCCTCCTTTGTATCAATCTGTTTTAAACCATGTAACGCAGGGTCCGAGGACAGCGGGCAGGGGATAGCATACCTGTTGGCACCGGTAACCAGAATAAAGATTTGATCCTGCAGGTCCTTGTCAGACCCAATAACGGTCATGATGGACCCCTGGCTCTTTGACAGAGGAATTGGCCTTTGATTGGGGCGTCAATGTTGCTGGGCGACTCGATATTCGTGTTTTTTTGGCTCTACAAAATCACGATGCGATAGGAGAAGTGGTTAGGTAAGCATTTTCATGTGACAGTCACGTGGCTGTATCGTGAAGGGGAAATGCCATTATTTCCTGATCGGGATTGCATTATTAGCTCTACGCCCTACGGAGGAATGGGTAATGCTACGGAGCATTAAGACCAGCTGCATGGGTAACTCCCAAGTGTGGTGTATTGTGACAGCTGAAAGAGCCGGGGTCTGGAGGCGCATTCGTTTCGTACTAGTCGTTGAGACTATCAGTTGATCAATCCAAATGGTGTGGAAGATCCCAAAAACCAGGGATCTGGAAAAATAATCCAGCGAGTTAGAGTTGCTTGCGTGGTTTGCAGTGCCGAGTATCACTAACAATGGGGGGGAATTGGGGGCCAATTTGATTATTCTCCATGGGCGTCAATAATAACACTTGGCAACATGAGATGAGAAATTAGCGAAGTCCGAGGAGTCATCGCCATCACGGCTTCAGAGTCAATCTGCGTCCAATGATTCCGACTCCTAAGAATGGTCAGGCTGTTCATTTGAACGTTGAGTACGTCATCGACTCTGAGTGTCTGATCAGATCCGTTAAGCGACGACAAGGATGGACGAAACGAGCAGCGATTAAAAAGACGCCAGACAGTAACACAGCCACTGGCGAAGGATCGAATTGCATGGCTCATTCGACCAGACTGTCGATCGGGTTATCTTCTTTTCCTCTGCTTACTGCGTTGTCCAAGGAGAGGAGGCTCAAAGGGAAGGACCACCAGCAAGTGGGCACATTAACACCATGTGGCTTTGAGACTAGATAGTCAGATAGATGAGACGATGATTATCAGACCCAGCGTGATGGCATTCCACCAAAATTCCTGTTTCACGCGCAAGGCTGTAAGGGGGGGAACTGGCAAAGTCAGATATTGGACAATCGCAGTTGGGCCATCCCACCCCGCAGTAAGAAGAGCACGATAGTGAAAAAGAGGGGGGAGAGAAGAATAAGGAGGAGGAAGAGGGTTCACCGACAGTTGCTTGGGGATATTCATCAAGCTGCGGCACCGATGAGAGTCGGTTTTGGCCATTTTGGACATGCATACATGATGCACATCCAGCCAGACATGCAGACACATCCACAATACCCAAGGCCAAGAGGCGTTATTTCTCCGCTGGTCAATCAGAAGCAGCTTCTCTTAGTTGCGACTAGCCGACTGGAGCCGTTTCGGCGATAGCGGGTGTGGGAAGTGCGATGACTTTTCAGCCAAACGATGGCGATGGTGGATGAGGGAGGATGAGGGTGAATCCACTGTATCTCGGAGATTTTGACTGCCAGAGTGAGAAGACATGCGTGTCTAGCTCATCGAGAAAAGCAGGTTTTTCCATCATTTTTCTTTCGTTTTCTTCTTTCCTTTTCTTTCCTATCGTCAGATGGTTAGTCTCGTGTGTTTTCCTAATATTACTGGCATCGAGACAGCCTACTCGTATCCTCTGCGCCAATAAGTCCTCCTCTCTCGCTGGCCGAGTCGAAGCGTGTGACGGAATCCACGAAATGCGGGGTATTTGTTTCCTTGCTTGCTCTTCAACACAACCAATCGGCCGATCCTAATGAGTTGATAGGAAAACAGCAAAAGGGCAGCTCGTTTGGATTGGACGTCATCCTGGCCATGCACTTGAATCACACGGCGTTTGACTTTGAGCATCTCCTCATACGACTCCTTCATCGCGTCTTGTCGGCTACCAGAGGAGATGCTCGATAACTAGTCATCATCTTAATCAGTAATTCTTTATAATCAGTAATACAATACGAGCAGTAAACACATGACGGGAACCCATCTGATCGGTTGTGTATGTACCCGTGACTCCATGTACTCCATACGGAGCATTCAACGGAAGGCGAACCGGCGAGCTGGTTGTTGGATCAGATCAAATGCCGACTATCTCTATCTCTATCTCTATATCCACATATTGTTTCTACCTGTGTTGACTGTCCAAAGACTGATCTGCACCGTCCTCGCGTCAACTGTGTGACGGTGGAGAGTTTCTTGAACAGAGTCGAACTGATCTGTAGGCCAGTATTTTGTTACTCATTTTCTGCAGGTTACAGATCAAACCCAACAAAATCTAGTGTTGATTATTGCCGTTTAGGGAAATTGTTACACGTACGCTTGCAGAATACCTCTACCGTCAATACTTTCTAATAATAATAATAATCATATATAAATAAAGGCAGACATGATCGGATTGACTGATCAGCAGGCAAAGAATAATAGTAATCGTACTAATTACCATCGGCAAGGTAATTTACTCCGTACTGGGAGATCACTATTTACCAGCGTTGTGGCTGTTATTGCTGTTATTGCTGATGACGATCCCATCAACGCACCATGTGAGTGTCATTATGGCAACAGCGTCGTTAGCGATCATCTCATCCAGGAGATCGCAATCCATCTGTTGTCCAATCGTGGCTGTGGCAATGAACATCTCACGGTTTAGACTGTTGGATACTGGCTGTACCCCCACATCCTAATCGGGGGAGTATATAATAGCATCTGAAACAACCACGTGGGGATGAGGATAACCGTAGATAGACAGAAGGGAGTTCCGGTACCCTGTACTCCGTTGTGTAGTACAGTATTATCTAGATATAGGTTTGACAGAATATTGAAGATGTTTGCAGGACATTACCCCTTGCTGACTGTTGTTGTGTTCTCGACATACTTATAGTAATGTTTACTATACTATACTATAGTCCATAGTAATGAATCAGTCGAATCAAAGTTAAGTCAGTTGCCTTATGATAGTCTACCATTAATAATAATAACTAACTATTATATTAACAAGTAGACATGGATGTTGTTACTGTATTAGGTACAAATACAGATACAGGTACTGTACCATACATGAACACCCATGCAGCCACTAACCCCATCCAGACTAGACGTCCCAAACCAAGGCAAATTGCCTCCATCCCAGGATCCAGAGACTAACCAGAATCCAGTCCGCCTGGGCAATGCGAGAACAAGGTACCACCGCCTAACCCTTTCTAGCCTAGCGCCCCTCTCCAGTGGGGTGGGGCCAATCCTGACCGGCAAGACTGTTCAGTTAATGGTCCTGGAGCTGGTGAGTGGTACCGTGGGTAAAATTACAGTTTACCCCAGTGCCTTGTGCCAACCCAGACCCCGGAGCCTGTCAATCTTAGGTTGGCACTAAGGACTGCTAGCCCCGATGGGGCAAGGTACCTGCCTAACAATAGGCCCAATAGGTAATCTATCCCAGCAAAGTCACTAAAAAATACACTATCCCAACGGCATTTCCCGTCAGAATAGTTCTTACACTTTACCTCTAGTGCGTCTGTATGTACCGTACAGCCTTGTATCTTCTCTAGTCAGAACTAACTAGTCCAGCTTCCGGGGGAGGGGGGGCCACAGAGACTAGTCCTACTAAACCATCCCATACAGTCATGGATATGCGTTAAAAATACACGGTCGCCCTCTCTCGACGACACAAAAAAATAATAATACATAATCATTAAAAAAAAAAAAAAAAGCCTCTCGTGCTGTCAGCTTTCTTCATTTCATTTCTTCTTTTCTTCTTCTTCCTCCCTTCTCCTATCCATATTCTACTCGATACATCCTCTGACTATCTCTCATCTATCCTCTCCTTTTCCTCTCCTATCTGCCGGCTATCGCCTCCGTATCATCGCGTAACACTCCACTCCCGCCAAACAGCTACTGCTTATTCTTCCTCTTATTTGGCTTATTATTATTATGCTCAACGCTCAGCTCGACTCAGCGGCCTTTTGCATTTCGATCTATCCTTCTGCGTCCCGACCAGGATCTTCATCACCTGTCATATCCTCACGATCTCCAATGGTCGCAGCTGTCCTTCGGGTTTAAATTACAGCCACTCTCCTCTCTCTCCGCACGCCTCCTCTCCCATCTTTCCACCCACCGATCCTCCCATCGCTCCTCGCCTTCCATCTTGTCTTGTCTTTGGGGGTCGGATCTTTTTCCTTCCTTTGCTTACTAGACTCGGTTTGGTGCTTCACCTCTTATCAGCTAGCTGTGCATCATCGTCGACTCGGTTGTCTTTCCCCACCTCAGCTTATCATCTGTTTGTCCCGCATCTCCCACACCACCCCAGTCATGGCTCCGGGCAGTGGTCGCGATTTCAACTGTTCCTGGGAACACTGTGGAAAGGTAAGCTTGGTCTGTCGCTTGTCTTATTCCATCATGCTTATAAACACCTGGCATATAGTCTTTCAATCGCAAGTCGGATCTTTGCAGACATTATCGGATACATACCAATGAGCGACCTTACCACTGCACGGTCAAGGACTGCAACAAGAGCTTCATCCAACGCAGTGCGCTGACTGTTCACTCGCGAACTCATACTGGGGAGAAACCCCATGTTTGTGACCATGAAGGCTGCCACAAGGCATTCTCCGACGTAAGTTGCTAGCTGCTATTCACTCATGCGCAATCGCTGACATTGCTCTAGTCATCCAGTTTAGCCCGTCATCGTAGGATTCACACTGGAAAGCGGCCATATATCTGCCAAGAGCCTACATGCGAACGAAGGTAAGATATTAACTCAGCTTACCACATGCAGTGAAGTTAAATCTAACAGCTGTCACAGCTTCTGCCGCAAGACAACTCTGACCAAACACCAACACCGTTCCCACCCACCGGGGACCATGACTCGACCATCATCCGAAGATGCCACATCGGAGCACTCCTATCAGACTTCGGTGACCGCGTCATTACCAAATGATCAGTATCTTCTCGCCCAGCAACCTTACTATCAACAGCCCCCGACTCCAAGCCATGAGTTTTATCAACAACAGAATATCCCAATGGGCCATGTTGCGGTACCAGAACCAGCACCCATTGTGACCCAGAATGTCCAGGTCCCGTCTCCGATTGACCTTCAACATGCGCAGCAGCAGTACATGCAGCTCATGCAACAACGATACGACCAGAGCCGCCAGGGTTATCTACCGCCAGAGTATCACCAGCCTCAGTTTGCCGGCCATCCCCTGGCCGAGGGACACCCTCTAATGGTTTCGTACAACCCGGGCTTCTCTTATAAAGCGCCAGCTCGCATTCTCAACCAACCCGAGGGAACTGACTGGGGATTTCTGGGAGTTGGCTGAGACGAATTCCTCGTGATTGATATATTTCCGCTTTATATGTGTCTTTTTTTTTTTTTTTGCGACAAATTCTCGTGGAATATCTTTTAAACCGGGATTTTACAGCGATCGAATAAACGCCTAGAATGGTCGCCCACCAACGTCCTTTGTGATTTGTTAGCGAGCCATACTCTTTTTGTGTATCTCATGCGATGCCTATCACGACCGTTTTACGAGCCTTTTTCATTTTTAACCCCGTTACATCTACAGGCTGGGGAAATCGAGGCCATTCTCTTTGGCCGGCCGGGATGATCTGTCTTTTTCTAGCCATTATCACATACGGTGACTTTGTTCTTGGGGGGGGGGGGGGTTGATTCCCCCTTTTTCATTTCATTTCATTTCATTTTTTATTCTTCAGATTATATTGTTTAAAAGGCTACGGAGAGGCGTTCTGATATACGTTTTCGATACCTACTGTTTTGAGGCAGACTCAGCATGTGTGTTTAGTTATTGTGATTGATAGTGGACAGTCATTTTGTTTGGATTGCGATACAGGAGACCAGAGAAGATCTCTATTATTATAATGATTCCCTCTGCTCCAGACCCAGCCTGACGAGGCATTTGGAATGTATTTATTTCGTTGAATGATGTTGTGAGAAAAAGGATTTTCTGGACTGACAGTAGACACAGAGAGAGGCAAGTGAGACCTGTTGACACGCTAAGGCTCGACCGGAATATGACAGCTGCGGCAATATGACAGCCACCCCAGCTAACTACATACGGAGTATGTAGTTGAAATGGATGCGTTGTTTTTTTTTTTTTCTTTTTCATTTATGGAATCACATCTCTAGTCCGTCTAGGCTGAAGTGGGGATGAGAAGGATAATCCCTACATGACCCGACAGAGGCGGGAATGGACATCCCAAATCTAACTAAACTAATGGCCACTTTCGCCACCTGCGTGGCTTGAGACGATCGACGTTGGAAACTCGTGGCGAAACCATCGAGCCCTATGAGAGTTGTTATACAGAGGGGAGGGGGGAATAGATGAATGATGAAATAGCTGTACGATGATGCTATCTCCTGATTGAAGCAGACACACACACACACAAAGCAAAACAAAACAGAAGCATTGGAGATAGAATCCGAACGCCGATCGATAGATAGGAAGGAAAAGCCGAGGAGAGCATATGATTGTACAAGGGATGGCATCCTCCATGAAGTTATTGACTAGTATAGTAAGTTAACGACAGCCGACCATTCTCCAAAACAACGCCAAAAGCGGAATATCGGACGTGATAGTAGAAAAGAGAAAGAGAAAGAGAGAATGAATGAATGACGGCGGGGTATTGGACCCAGAGGGTACATTTCGTATGACACGCCTATACCAGGGGATCCTTGCCATATACCTCATGTATGCAGCTACTCCGTCTATCCAGAAACCAAGGCATGAAACAAACCAAAGCCAAGCTAGAAACCGGAAAACAATCACGCCAGATAAAACGACACGGGTAGAAAAGAGCTAAAAGATCGTGGGGTCAGACTAGAATAATTGGAACTAAACTAAGGATAGATATCATGTTGCCTTGGTGGTGACTGGTGATTTCTTTTTTTTTTTCCCCGCTCGCAATCCATGGCGATGAGCTGTTGGGAGATGACGACCATCCCGAGTATCCTGACTCTATCCCTGACGACTCAATACACACACTCTCTCGAATACTCGAATAATCCTAGATAAGGTTGGGAGCTTGGGCCATGGAAATGGTGAATCAAACTTTTATTGAGTGATTAGACTTGGTTCGACAAGCAGAACAATGCCATGGTTCTTTTGCATTGCGTCGTCAGTCTGGAGTACGTGGTGAGGTATCATGTATGTACTGTACTGTACTGTACTGTACTGTATTATAACCATACCATACTGTAAGTATGTCGTACGTACTCAGGTGGTACTAGAGTCTAGGGACTCGACTGAGTAGGATGATTAACAATAACTAACTAGTCAAAAAGATATTAATAATAGATGGACTGAAGATCCAGAGCAGAAATTAAGGGGTGCCAGAAAAAGAAAACACAGAAATGAATGAAGTGAAATAAACGAAATGAAAGAAAAAAGATGGGGAAGAAGAGGTTGAAAGAGGCATGTCACTGCTAGGGTCTGATTGGTCCGTTCGACGGGAGATGTGCATCAATATTAATAGGTCACTGTCTATTATAGTTCTACATCCTTTGTAGCTGTAGAATGGAGAATAGAGATGGAGAATCAGAGTAAGTAGGAATAGAAATAAACATCTACTTTATCATCTCCGTCTCCTCCCTCCATCACATTCTGAATCACTTATTCAACCGTTCAACAGTTCAATAGTTTCCATGGAGTCAAAAAAGCAACCCTGAACTTTCCGCAAACTCTGATCTCAGGGTCCAAATCATCGTCTCCACCATGGATGGACTCCCGCGGTGCCACCGAGAAGTCAGTCTACCTTGCACAAGGCTAGTGACGCTCTTTTTTGCCTCTTTACTCCACTGCCTCGTACTCTGTTCAGCTGTATACAGACCACTGAAACACTGATCGACACCAACTGCCGTGGTCATCGGCTACATAGTCGACTAGTCGTCGGGAACTTTATACTACTGGGCCCTGTGGCAGTGCAAAACGTACTCTGTCTGCACACTAGAATGAGGGTATCCATATCCCATTTCCTGATGGCGTGCACTACAGGAGGTTTGTCGGAAATTTCATCTTCTCTCTCCTCTCTCTTGAGTGGCTGGAATCTCCACCCAGGAAGGTAATCTCCCAGACACGGTCCAGATCAGGGAATCGACGACGGATATCAACAACAACCACATGGCCGATGGGGGAAAGAGAGTAGGAAAAGACGGTCAGACGGCAGAAATAACGGAGATTGTCTGGGACTAAACGGCTAAGCTTTGTGTCTGTGTCTGTTTTTCGTGTTTGCCATGTGTTTCTTTATACTTTGAGATTGTCTTTCTATTTTATTTCTATCTTGAGCTGGAGTTATTGTCTCCTATACTGCTCTTTCTGCTCTGTCGTAGAATGACCAATGAGATCCTATTAAGTAAATGAAATGCCCTCACTTGATTGGACGCTGCAGCTCGTACTGATTGGCTCTCAGTCTCTCCCGCTATTCCTCTTTCAGGAACAATTGACGAACGATCCGCGCGCTAGGATTACTGGTATTTGATGCTGTAGTGGTTGTATTACAATACTCTATAGGTACCTTCTTCCCTCCGTAGTCGGACAGAGAACCCCGAGAATCGAGATAATCAGACTGGATATCTTTCTGTGTCTCTCTGTATTCTGTCTACCACGAATGTACCCCTCGTGCCCGGTCAAATCCTCCCCGTAACTGCCTACCCGGCTTCACCACCTTGCCCTTCAACACGGTATACTTGATGATATTCTCGCAATCCTCGGGCCGCACTCGCGCCAGCCAGATCCCCTGCGATGCCCCCTCGTCACCGCTCTTATCCTTGCGGTGCCACTCGAGATCCCGTCTTCGGTAGACCATCACGTTGGCAGAATACTTGTGTCCTCCGACGTGGCTGATAAAGTAGATTCCCACCCCGCCGGGTCGCTCGTCGTCCAGGTCCCGGAATAGACCCAGCGGACGGAGATGGCGTTCGAACTCCTTGCGGAGTAACGGGGCGGACTGGCCGCAGCGTGCGTCTCGCGTGCGTTGAGAGCAGAGAAGGATAACGGCGGAATGGGGGCAGGGGCGGGAGCGGAGGGGAGTGAGTGAGGGTATATCGGTGTCTATGGGCGGTTGCTCGGTTAGGCCCGTTGTCGGCGGTGATGTCAAGCCTAGTGGTGTTGTGGTGGTGGGGGAAGGGTTGATGAAATATTTCACAAGGTCAGATGCTAGAGCCGGCGTGACATGGTCGACGATGGTGAAGCTGGGGAGAACCAGCACGTTGGTCGGCTGTTTCCCGGATTCATGGTAGTGGTATTCGTCTGGCACTGGCATGTTCGATGCGGATAGCTTGAGTTCCTACCCAGCCAGTTAGTCATCAGTCTCACTATACACCATATCGGTGAGAACTCACGCCATTACTAGGTTTATCCGCACCCCGCTCGATAGCCTCCATCAGACTGCCCTGCTCGTCTGCAACATTTTTCACCCAGTCCGTCTTTCCAGTCGCAACCAGCAAATGTGTTGCCCACCCATTAACATTTCCGTATAGTGTATCTTGCTGGTCCACGTCAAACTTTGCTGGGTATCGAACCGTGCACGAGGAGCAGTCATGCAGACACTCTTCCCCGTCCACCGCCGGATCGACCTTGGTGAATAATCCATCGGATGAAGCGGTCTGGAAATCGTCCGCAGACCTGACCTGGGGAGACTCGGTGGGTGTCGAGCTGAAGAATGAGGTACCGCGACGGAGGAGGGACTGCATAGTGTGGTAAGATGCCGTAGGTGCAAAGCGAAAGCTGGAGAGACAAAAAGTTTTGGAGAAAAGAGAGATTAGGCGGCGGATAATCTTATCAATCACCTGCCAAGCGCGCCCTAACCCGCTCCGTCGGAATAACACGCTTTCTTGCCATTTCTTCCGATTGGCCGATCTTGAGGACCTTGATGCTACCGTTAGTAGATACTAGATAGGTAGCTAATAAAGTAGTAGTATTAAGGAGCTCCAATAATGAAAAGAAATATCCAATCCATTTTTAATCAACTCCGTCTATCTATGTGGCGTTGTGCCTCCAAAATTTATCGCGTAGGGCAAATCTGACGGCCCGTGGGTATTAACCAAATGAATGACGCTCCCTCCAGAACTTCCCGAGATATTCGATCGCACTCGCCGGAGTGAGCGATTCGATGGTGTCCGAGGAATTGCCAGCGTCTGGTGCTGTGGATCTCGATATCTGGACACGGTCGGACTGTGCCCCGTCGGCGCCGTGTAAAGCGATCGATTCTCCCATGTCGACGCATTTGAAGGGCGTAGACTATTACTCCGGCCCCGGGAAAGTGCCTCACTATCGTCGTTGTAGTCCATCGTATCCGTCTCTCCCTCTTCATCCGACGGCCCAATAACCGACTCACTGTCGCCGCGAGAGCTACTACTCCGGATTTCGTCCAACATTTGTGGTTCAAGCGATTTCATCCCTCTCAGCAACTCCGCAAACACATGCATCAGCTCGCGGAATTCTGCCTCGTGCAGTTCATGCGGGGAAAATCGCGCGCGCTCATAGAGAGCAACAAACTCCCCACCAACCTCCGGCGGGTTGACCACATTCAACGAAGTCAAGTGTTGCAGGTACTCTCGCAGCCCCATCGACGCCGGTCGCTGCAGAACCTCCACGACCTGCGTATCGGGGATAGACTGTTCGTTGGCGGAAAAGGCCTGCGCAGCGAAGAAAAAGGGATCCGGCGGCGCAAGAGATACAGCCTTCGCTTCAATCAGATGTGGCAGTTCCTGTACCACGGTCCGATACGAAAGATCCGGTAAATCCACCGAGCAAGGCGATGACCAGCCGGGATGCTCGACGTGGCCCCAAGGCGGTCGTTCGCGGTCCACCACCAGCATCTGGTAGTTAGCAAAAGTATCCTTATCTGCAGCCGTATCCCTGGGTCGCGCTTGGTATGCGATGATCGCGCTGCGGGCGAAATTATCCATCACCAGTCGTCGCACGCTCTTGCCCACATCCTCCTTCTCGACGGGGATCCATGATTTGGGGATTCCGGTTAGGGCGCTGCGGTTGGTGTAAATTCGGGTTGCGTAAATGAGAATCGCTAGTGCGAAAGTGATGATGTATGCGCCAGCAATGCAGAAGATGCTAATGAGGTTCTTTGTTTTGTAGCATTGGTAGATCGCGTCGGCGGGGGTCAGGAGAATAAGGCAGAAGAGGATGAAGGACAGGAAGATGAAGGCGGTAGAGTTGAGAACGCGATAGAGATTCAGGACCATAGTAGCTGGCGCATGATACTGCGCTCTGCAGCATCTGCCCTCATTCAAGCCTTCAGCTTCGACTGGCCATGGATATGAATGGATTAAAAATGCGGTTAACGATGACGAATGTTGTGGTGGAGATGGACGGCGCAGTTGGAGAAGTACCCGATCATCACGTGATATATTCAGGGGAATTACTGCGAAACAATATAAAAATAAACAATAAACATGGTATTCTATCTAGTGGATTTAATCATTACAGTCCCATTCGATACGACATTATCTATTGCTCTACGCTCCAAGCAGAAACGCTAAAAGAATACGCTTAATCCGAAACGGCAACCTCATCCTCCCAGCCGGCAGGCTCACCCCGAGCACGGCGGATCACTCGTTCGATACCATCCAGACCCTTCTTCAGGACATCCATCTTGGGACCGTAACTCAAACGGACAAAGTGGTGGCAAGGACTGTCGAACAGGTCACGTCGCTTGGCGGGGTTCAGATCGAAGAAGATTCCGGGGACCACAATGACCTTTTCGTACAGGAGGGCATTGAAGAAGTTCAGTCCGTCGGAGATGTTGGCATCCTTGGGGAGGGGAGGCTCGATGGAGGTCAGATCGAGCCAGATGTAGAAAGTGGCTTGGGGAACGTCCTGGACACGGAATCCAATCTCATGGAGACGCTTCAGGACAAAGTCTCGCTTCTCACGGAAGTGAACCTGCAAGGCCTTCATCTCCGCGCGCACCAGCGATGGCTCCATCATAGGGATGGCCGCCTCCTGGAAAGGAGCGTTGGCACCACCGTCCAGGTAGGAACCGGCAGAACCCAGGGCATCAACGAATTCCTTGGGACCAACCACCCAGGCGATACGCCAGCCAGGAAGACGGAAACGCTTGGTGAGACCGTCAATCAAAAGCACATCTAGACGAGTTAGCATCATGAGAACGCCCCAGTTCTTGCACGCCATTTCACGAGAGACGGGGGAAGTATGCGAACCATCTTTGTTGACGTCAACCACGTTTGCGGCACCACTGATGGTCGAACCATCGCAGTCAGTAGTGTAGTTGTATCCACCGTAGAACTCATCCAGAATCAAAGTGGCACGATCTCTGCAGATATCTTGGATGCGCTTCAGCTCGTCATTGGGCACGAAGTGACCAGTAGGGTTACGGGGGTTGGAAGTCAGAAGCACCGAAGTACCACGGGCGATTTCTTCGGCGATCTTATCGGGGTGGATGTGGTAGTGGTCTTCTTGCGCCAGAGGCATGGGGATGGGGGCAATCTAAGAAATCCATCGTCAACACCACATCCGATATTTCCTTTTTATACAAAACTCACGTTCTTGAACAGCGACAACATCTCCGAGTACGCAGAGTAATCGGGAATGGGGAATGACAGGTACGAATTGCCCAGAATTGCAGCAATTCGGATCAACCCCGCACGACCACCGGGCACAATGCAGACGTTCTCCCAGGTATACTGGCTGGCCTTGCCCTGACGGTAGTGCTCATTGTACAGCCTGGCGACAGCAGCTCGGAGAGGCTTGATACCAGCGGTCGGGCCGTACTCACGCGCAGCGGAGGTGATGGGGATACTCGTCGGGCGGGGGAAACTGCCCTCGATCTCGTCGTCGGCCTCGGGGGCACCCTGGCCTAGGTTGGCCCAGCCAGAGGGATCTTCAGCGTAGCCATGCTCGGTGGCACGCTCAGTACACCAGACAACACCAGTAGAGGCACGGGTGGCATCGAGACCAGCGTGGGGACGGTGACCCTCGTGGGCACTACGGAATTGACGATGGGTTTCGGAGCGGCTTTCTATAGAGACCAAGTCAATGACAGGATTCAGAGGTAAAAGAGAAGAGGTTGGATAGATCACGCACCGTTTTCCGACAGCTGCTTGCCAACAGAGAAACGTCTGCTGTCGGTAGGACGCAAGATGCTTACGCGACGTCCGGAGAAGGACATTTTGAAGCTCTGCAGAAATTCTTGGCACGAGTTGGAGATAGGATTCAGACAATCAACGAGTGTTGATCGATGCAGATAAGAGACAAGCGAGGATTGGAGAAAAGACACGAAGAATAAAAAGGAAGGGAAAAGCCAAGGTATGGGGTACAGTAGTCTCTTTTATGAGAGATTCTGGCTCTGCCTTCTGTTGGATCGAATTCTACGACCCCGCTGATCCCAGCTGACAGCCTCAGGCCCTCCGCGAGTCGTCCAGACAATGGCTGGATATTATTGATCAAGAACCGCTACAGAGTTACCTAAAATAATCCATTCGATCCTTTCCAAAAGGCCAAATGATAATTAAATCCCTCAATTTTGGCCGCCTTCGAAAAAAAGAAACAATCGGCCCTACACGTATGCCGCGATAAATGCCTCACTCGCACGCACGCACACAAACACCTCTCTCCTGAGTCTTTTTACAGAAGTCCAAAGACATGAAACCATTCATAGCAAGTCTTTGCTAGTTTCAAATATCCCGATTCTGGATTCCGAAGCCCTGCTAAACCACTAGCAGCAGTTATCAGCCCAACTGAAGTCTCCGATCGACTCCACAGGTGGCTCAGTCGGATGTTGCCCGACGAAGCCGACGCCTGTGACGACCTGAGATGGAGTCCAGATGGTGATAATTGAACGGAGTATTTCATCATCATCAGCCACTATTGACTATTGCCCATCTAGAATTAGATATCTTCCAGAGTCGCCCAGAAAAGCAAAAAGAACATCGGATCCATCGGCAGTTGTTTGAGCCTTGGGGGGGTTTCGGAACTCGCCACGAGGTCTCCAACCGCCGTCAACTGACCGTCTCCAACTCTCCAACGACGATTCGTAGTTGCTGGCCCACCTTCTCCTGAGGATGATGATGGTAGCGTGTGAAGATCACGCTGGCCGATAGTGGCGAATTGCTGTTTTGGGTAGTCTTTCAGCATCTAGATGCGGATAAACGATACGTAGCAAATAAGAAATGGTATATCGAAGGACGATTACAGGAATATGAATACGACAGTCCAGCCTTAAATGCAAAAAAATATACATCTCATGCCTTGGTAACTTGGGAAATTGAAAGAAGAAAAAGACAAAAACAAGCTGATCGGTCGAACAGCGGTATACGTACATCATGCAGTCATTGGTTCATGGACATCAAGAAAAATGGTCATCACCAGCAACCCCCCAAGAGGGCCCCGTTAGATAGAAAGCAACAAAGAGTAACATGGTCAAGACATCAACTGCTCCTCGCGGAGACAGAACAAGAAAAAGGAAACCTGCGTTCGAACTGAACCCCGTGAAAAGACAGTCAGCAGGTTCAGGATGGGAACAGCCAGTCAACCGTGCACTCGGGGAAATCAGGAAACACAGGAAGCCCTTCTCTCTCTCTATTTCTTGGGTTAGATCGAATAGCTTCTCAACACTCTCAAGCCAATCCAGTTGGAACGGAGTTGAAGAAGAAGCTCATCAGACAAGGCTGGAATGAATGCTTCATTGGCCTTCCACCTCATTAGAATTGAAAACACAAAACATTAAAAACCGAGTTTGCTCTCCTAGACAATCGGTTCCTCTATCGCTCTAATTCTCAACCGCTTGACAATAAAGTTGAATTTCCCCCACCTGGCCCTTGGCGAGCATGTCACGGTGCTCTTCTCGCCATTCCATGAACGCCAGCTGAACAGCCTCGTCACTGTCGATAGTCACATAATCACCGTCCTCATCCCGGTAGCGCAGCCGGACAGATTTGTTGCCAATAGATTTATTGGTAAACCTGGCCAGTTTGGCGTCGACCCGGTCTGTCAGGGAACGGAACAAGATATTGCTGGCAATGACCAAAGTCACGTAATTGTCATCAAAATTTACCTTTGCTTTGAGCTGAGTAGGCATAAATGGTTCTTCACCCGGTTCATGAGTCAATGGGGAAGTGGGCTGCTCAGAAGCTGGCGGTGTAGTCCTGGTCTCTGAATATTGAGGCTCGTGGAAATGAGTAGGGGTATTCCGCTGGTCAGGATGCGCACGAATAGGAAGGTTGCCATTCGTTGGCGAGTTGGTTTGGCTTCGGTTTACAGGCGCCTTCATGTTGGCCATGTGGGCAGGGATTGGTGGGACAGGGACGTTATCGACCGTCTGCATCGTGTGGGCTCCCATGTACCGACGCGATTCAGGATTGTGGTGATTATGGATATCTGGGCTACTTGCAGAGCGCATCCTCTGTGCCAGGCCGTTGGCCGCCGCCTGGCTTTGGGGCCCAGACATAGGGGGTAGAGAAGGGCGCTGTGCAGACCGTCCATTGGGCGTATTGAAGTAGGGGTTGGAACTGGCACCATCTCTCGACGCACCGCGAGACACTGCAGGGGCGGTGTATCGGTTTGGTTCCTCGTTCCAGGTGTTGGATGGTGTCGCTTGGCGGCCATAGGTATACCCAGCTGACTGGGAGCTTGACCTTGTGGATGGGGTCTCGGCGACGGGTGAAAAGTAGGAGTTGGCATTCCTTTCTGCGGGTGACATGCTTCCATTGGCGAATTGAGTGTGCACGGACAAGTTTGGATCGGGGATCGGGAAGCGAGGGGGTCGAGCAGCCGAAAGGGGGTTGGAACTGCCACTTCCTCCTGTGGCGGATCGAGTTCTAAGACTAGTACTTGAGGCATTTCGGCTCATCGGAAATTCGGAAAAGAACGCGGCCTCCTTGGTTGCCTGCTCTTCGGCATCGTATTCCTGCTGGTAAGGGTTCGGCATGTTCGTAATGCCTCTCATGTACATGAACTCGGTTTCAGATGTACCGGTGTTTCGGGCACTGCGTTGTTCTGCTTGAATTGCTCGTTGGTTGTCGATTTCCTTGTACCATTTGCGCATTATGTCTTCATTTGTGTAGCGTATGATGAAGTTGTCCACCACACCGGGGTCACCTTTCCAGAAGATCTGAATCCGGTAGGAACCTGGGAGAAAAAAAATGTTAGGGAGACACCCAACAAACTCCGTCTATCAAGATAATCGTACCTGGCTTTTGAAGGCAAACAATATCCGTCACATTCGCCATGTAGATGCGGCCTTTCAGTTGAAGACGCATCTTTCCCTTTGCAGTAGTAGTCGGTTTGTCCTTGCCCACGATGAGTTTTGTTTTTTGCTTGTTGGGGTTGACGTCCTTGCAGCAAAGGAGGATTCGTTCAAAAAGGTAAATGTGATACTATAGTCGTACAAAATGGTAAATACCCATTCAAGTCAGCAAGCTGTAGACTTATTACTGTCGACCCGCGATATTCTAAACAAAAGACTGAAAATGATAGGGGAAAGGGGGGAGGGAAAGGATTATGCGGAGTGCCATGACACACTGTTCTCTTTGCGCTTGCCAGATGAATCACCGAGCTTTTCCTTGGCCAAGGTCAATTCTTGTAACTCTCTGGTTTGAAGGGAAGCTGCGGATTTATCATGGGGCTGTGGGCATATGTCCTTCAAAACGCTCAAACCATTATGGTCAGAGGAAGGTATAGGGCCATGATTTAGGGAGGGGTTCGATGAGCTAGATGATTCGGGAAGGCTCTTGACTGAATCTCTGAGCCAGGGTGCATAGATCCTCGGGTTGGGATAAGCAATGGGAGAGGCGGAATCTTTAGAAACCACATGGGAAGAGTGCTTGGGCTTGGTGAACTCCAATTTTATGTGCAATCCAAACTCTGCGCGGTGGGCAACGCTCGCGGGCCAAAAATCTTCATAAACGTGGGTGACAGATAGGGTACAAACCTCTCTTTCTGAGGACTCCTTGCCATTGTCGCCCTTCAAGACAGTGAATGTGCCAAAGCGGAGTAGCTCGCCAAATGTATCGACTTTGAGTGTTTTCCAGTCATCCACCCGGTCTGCAAGGTCGACGACTGCAGAGGCTAGGTGTTCTTTATCGATTGCATCATTTGCAGAATCCAGCACAACCTGAATGGTATCGATCGCCCTTAAAATATCAGTTTTAAGGTCCTCATTTTCTGTTTGCTTGCGCAATTCCTTTAAAAGGTTAGTGGTTAGTTAAAATAAAAACATAAATACAGGACAATCGATACTCACTGTGAGCATAAGTGGATATTTGGTCAACCGCTGAAAGGGCTTGACAAAGAATCCATTAAGGGTAGAAGGTTGGGCAACCATTTGTTGAAGATCCAGGGGTCTTGGGGCGGCTCTTATCTTGTCCCACTCCTTTAAACAAACTGCGTCGCAGCGCATCTGGTTCGAAATGAACGGTTCGTACTGTGCGAAACCCTCTTCGTGTTGGATGAAAAGCTCGCCCCAGTTCTGCATTTCCTCGGGCAAAGCGTAGTGTTGTTCCATGCGGATAAGGAATCGTTGGGCAAAATCAAGAAGGTTGTTCAAGTTCAGGAAAATCTGATGGCTAGCATCCCCCGTTAGAGCACCGGTCTCTTCCAACTCCTTTTTGAGGGCCTGCAGATTCTGAAGATGATGAACGTAGTCGCGCTCGGTTTCCAGCAGCTCCTTAAGAATGTGTTCCCTCTTGGTCAATTTAACCCCTGTGCCTTTTGCGGGGGCACCTGTCTGAACCTCGGACGGTCGCTTGAGCTGGCCCTGCATCTCCAGGATGTCCAAGACACGATTGACCATCTTGATAACCTTGATGAAACCGGTTGTGCTGTCTCCATACAGATCGGTGATCAGAAAGCAGTCCTGCTGGGGGAAGGCCAACTCCTGCAAGCAAGCCTGAAGAAACTTGAAGGTGGCGGCCTTGGGGCGTTTGGCCTCGGCGACCTTTTCGGGAACTTCGAGCAATTCATCGGGACCGGAAGCATTGTAAATGGTCAACAACGGATAGCCATTGCGGAGGCAATTCCATAACGAGGCCACGGGGTCGGTAATTCCCTGCGTCCGGTCCTCCTCCTCCATCTCACGCATATGGGGTTCGAAATTGGGGACTTCGGCCAGCCGCTTCTTTAGATTGCCACAGCTCTGATAGATTCCCTCACCGCCGCGGCGGTTGATGATGTTGTCCTCGGCGATAGGGGCGCCATTTGAGATTGCGGCTTCGATCATCTCGACTTCCCCCCGACTGTTCGGGTCGTGGGTGTGATGACCAACCAGCGAATGTAGATCGAGGGAGAGGGTTCAAATCCGCGCAGCAGATCCGGGGAGAGACAAGGTGGGAAGAGATGACAGGCGTTGGACGGAGACGTCGAGCATGGATTTCTGGGATGGGATGCGACCCGGTGGACCGATGCGGGATGGATGGCGCAAGCGAGCAGCTAAAGGGAGAAGGAAAGTGGAGATAAACTACTATCGAGCCCGACAACCAGGAGTTCTCGACTCTTTGAGGGGGGAAGAGAGAGAGAGAAAGTAAGAGAAAGAGGAAGAAAACGGTGAGAACTTTTTTTTTGTTGTTTAGTTGTTTCTTGACTCTTCCCTGTTGGTGAAATTCTCCGACCCTTGCTGCTTCTGCCACCAAACACACCTAGTTCGACTGGGAATTTTAGGAGGGATCGAGATAAAAAGGGTGGTGTGGGGTTAGTACCGCTGCAGCCAGTGCTTGGAACCGGAGGAGAAATAATGGGGGGGAGAAAAGGGATAACGATGGAGAGCAGGAAAGGAGTCAATAAAAAGGATGAGGATAAATATCGAAGCAAGAAGGAGATGAAATGGAAGAGAAGGGGAGATGGATGGATGAAGGTGAGGAGGGAAAAGAGAAGAGAGAGGACAGTAGGGAGAAGAGCGTCAGTGACGGAAACTGGTAGCGCGCGTCAAGTGAATGGATGTGGAGAGGAAGAAGAAAAAGAGGGAAAACAAAAAAGAATCGGGCGGAAGATTCAGAGATCGATAATTGAGGCGAATATTGATTGGAAAGGCGACTAGAGAGGAAGCTGTTGAACACGTAGAGCAAGGAAGCATGAGGTATTACGGAGGCTACTATTACTACACATTGGGTTGGGCGACATATGTATGTCCTGCAACAGACGTCGGGTTCTCTCGACAGGTCCATGTCATGGCTGGGAATATGTCATTTACGGGGCACATTGATATCATCTGGCTGGGTTTGACAACTGGAAGTTGATGATACAAACAGTCAACCATGCAGTAGTGAAGAAGAAGCAACCCCTGAGTGAAGCACCAGTGTTTCGAGATGAAAGTGTGTGTGTGTGTGTGTGGTGTGGGTGTGGAAGAAATGCCGCACAGCCCAACAGGAAGGGGAAGGAATAATGAGGTTATGAGACCACTGGATGCTGGAATACTGGTCGAATTGAGTCTGTGATGGATGGAATCAATAAAGTCCCCCTACTTGTGCTTGCAGTGGATATCATATCGAATTATTTGATTCTTGCAGTTGCCATCCAAACCAGCTGGTTTTGACAGTCGCTGGCGTTGTGCCGTTTCGGGTTAGCTTGCTGACTCAGTGGTCATGTGATCTGTACAGCATCCGGACTGACGACGGCGACAGACACGAGGAACATGTTTCAATCATCATAATGAAGCTGTTATCCTCAGATCACGAGGTGGTTGACAGTCTTGTTATATCAGGTTGAATTATGATTCAGGCAGATACATCGGATAGTAGACCGATGTTTGAACCAGATGCTTCATCGGTGCTTCATCCGGCACCATGTGACGACAATGACAGTCATACCTGCAGGCTGACGTCTATATATTTGATGTTTTTTACCATCAAACTTCAATGGATTAGCTATATATCCCATCTTTGACCAACAGGTTGAAACAATGCGCAGTCTTGACCAAATCGAACCAGAAGCTTTCTGGATTAGTCCCACCCCACATGTGCCCAACTCCAAGCTCCCTGTTCTAGTCTATCGCAACGCTCTGCAAGATACCAGTCAGGAGAACATCCTCGATACCATTGAGCCCAATGACTGGCTAAAGGGTGGTCGGTTTACGACTTACAAGAAAGCGCATTTCCACACTACTGTCCACGAATGCTATGCGGTTATCCAAGGCCGTACGACATATCAACTGGGAAAGTCGCCAATAGATACGGATTTCAACAATGAAGGTCAAGAGAATGGTCGGAAGCTATCAGTTCAAAAAGGAGACGTCTTTGTGCTTCCAGTATGTGCTACTTTCATCACAGGGACAAGTTAACAATCCAAAGGCCGGCATTAGTCACTGCTCCTTGGAGTCGGAAGGAGATTACGAGTATATTGGACTCTATCCTAGAGTAGGTTTGCGATAACTTGGACTTTCTTTTCTGCTAACACGTATAGGAACCATCAGGGGCCAAGGCAAGATTCGATATGAACTACGGGTTACAACCGGAACATGAAACTGCAGAGCTGGCAGCTAAATGCGATCGACTTCCCATTCCTGCTTTGGATCCTCTTTATGGGCAAGATGGACCTCTTCCAAAATTGTGGAGGGAAACTTTTGAAAGATCACCGTAGGGATCATGCTACAGCATGTTCATCGTTGCCATGTTTGCAATTATACACCTACAGACCTGTCACTCTAAACGTATCTATTGCCTCAATACTAAAGAATGTTGATAGTCAAATTGATAAAGAAAAGGGTTGCAATCCACCAACTCGAGTTTTGTCGAATTGTAGTGAATGCTCCACAGATTCACCAACAGGCTCACTCCCAGAACAGTAAAAAGTTCCTGTCCGTCCAAGTACCCCTCACTTGGCAGTGAATTAAAGACAGATAATTCTAGATTCATTCGCTTGACCCCTTTATTCAGTCGAAGATAGAATATCGGCACGGGGACCGAGTATGCAACCCCGCGTCGGGAAGCGCTCCTGGAACGATATCCCATGATAGCCAACAGAAAGTGCATCCATCGTGCAGTAAATGAGCGACAGGCTCTTGTTGAGCTGTACAAACTCACCTGCATCGTTATCAGCACCGGGAGGTCAACCGATGAAGTCTGGAAACGAAATGAGGGGGATGTGAAGAAACAATGCTGATAAATAGCTGGCTGCTCTGATGTAGATAGTATCTCCAGATATACCATCAAGCATTTAAGAAATGTTGACTCTATTCCCTGAGAAAATCATCCCCACACGGACCGTGAGTGTCTTTGCTTCACGATGCCATTCTGTTCCATCAAGAGGCTATCAAAACATCCGCTTCAATTCCACCCTTAGAGTGTCTGAGAACAGCCCCAACCTCTCGCCTGCTTCTTCTCTCCCCCCTCTTTTGGCTCTCCCCACCAGCGTTCTGCTCCGTTCCCTCCTCGTCGCCACCATCTCTTCGAAGCCCTATCTACTCCTTCCCTCCCTTTCCATCCTATCCCTTATCTCCAAGCCGAATAGAGGGCTTCTGCTGAATGCGGAGCGAAATGTGATCCTCCATGCTATTCTGAAAAAGACTTTCTACAAGCAGTTTTGCGCGGGAGAGACAGGCCTGGAGACGAAAGACACCCTCCGGCACTTTAAAGCGATGGGCTTTCGGGGTACAATCCTCACATACGCCAAAGAGACCGTGTTCGATCACAAAACGAACAATACACATGGGCTGGGTATTGCAAAGAGTGAGAAGAACAAAGAAGCCACAGGCTCAGCGGTGGAGCATTGTGCCAATATCGAGGCCTGGCGTAAAGGAACAGTAGAGACTATTGGTCTCCTCGGCGAGGGGGACTATCTAGCTCTCAAGTATGTGAACACAGAAAACTCAACTCATCTAATGGACAGCAGCTGACATGACCTTAGATTGACCGGGGCTGGCCCAACAGTCACTGAAGCCTTTGCAGCCGGAGATCTCCCACCACAACAGATGATCGATGCACTGGAAGAAATCTGTCTGAAATCCAGAGATCGCAATGCCCGCATTTTAATTGACGCTGAGTCGCAGCATTTCCAATGGGGTATTCTGCGGGTGACTCTCGATCTTATGCGGAAATACAACCGAGACGGATACGCTTTGGTCTACAATACGTACCAGGCATATCTCAAGAGCACACCCACCACACTGGCCAAACATCTCACTGCCGCCAGCGAGGAAGGGTTCACACTCGGCCTCAAGCTGGTTCGAGGGGCGTATATCGCATCGGACAAGAGGTCTTTGATTCACGATACAAAGGGAAACACCGATGATGCCTACGATAGCATCGCCCAGGGTGCACTACGACAAGAGATTGGAGAGTTCGGGGCACCCAACGGCCGTCCATTCCCATCAGTAAACCTCTTCCTAGCAAGTCACAACAAGGGCAGCGTGGTGGCCGCTCATCAACTACACAAGCAGCGGACCAAGGATAATCTGCCAACAGTGCCAGTGGCATTTGCCCAATTGCACGGCATGTCTGATGAAGTGAGTTTTGGACTATTGCAGATGAAGGGTTCGGATGGGACACCGGAGGTATATAAATGCTCTACATGGGGTGGAATGGGAGAGTGCCTGGCGTATCTTCTTCGGAGAGCGATTGAGAATCGTGATGCCGTGTCGAGAACGGGGGATGAATATACTGCATTGAAGGCTGAGGTTAGAAGACGGATTAAGTCGATCTTCTCTTTCTCTTAGCTCATGATTTTGGATGTCGACTTATGGTTAAACTGAACGCTGAAATGAAATGACTTCTTCTTTACACTTATATTATTATCGAGAAGTAATTACTCGAAATGATCCGAGACAGGGTATGTAATATAGGCTGGGATTCAATTATATTCCTCAAACAGTAACAGTCACGAATATAGGTGGATAGCTAAAAATATCGGGTATCTGCATCCTCCCAGCGATATTAGTAAAGAAGAACTATATTACACAGTCACTATCGAATATCAGTATTCGTACCGAACAAGATATGACCTCAAAACTGGGTCTACATGTAGATATTTCTCCACATCGGATGGCTTCCCGATGCCCCGCAGAGGGGTTGCTCTGATTTATATACGATTAAAAAAAACATGTTTTTGACAAGACATCAAGTAAATTGATTTCAAAATGGCCAATACGAATACTCTCTGTATCTTGGGTTGTGGTATGTATAGCTTCGCTCATATTGAATTGTTTAATCTAACACTCCCAGGCAATCTGGGTGTCGCCATCCTCAACAGTCTGATCAACACCCCCGAAAATAGCAACAATGTTCTATTCAATCGTTTCATCGCCTGCGTGCGGAGCGAGAATTCAGAGCACAAATTGACAGCGCGATTCGCCCAGCACTCTCACAAGCTCTCCGTCGTCAGAAACAACACTGTCCAAGCTGCTCGAGACTCGGACGTGGTCATTTTGGCCGTCGATCCCGCCGATATCGAAAGAGTCTTGACCCAGCCGGGTCTCCGTGAAGCTCTTGCTGATAAGTTTCTCATCAGCGTGGCCGCAGGCTGGGAACGACAGAAGCTCGAGAGCACCTTGTACGGCAGCGAAACGACGGCTGAAAATGCTGCTGGTCGGGCGTGGGTAGTCCGCACTCTGCCTAATATCGCTGCGCTGGTTTCGCAGTCTCTCACGGCCATTGAGATTTCCGAGCCCGCCTTGCCGGCTGAATATCTCCAGCTAGCAGATTCCATCTTCGAGAAGATTGGAAAGGTGGTCCATGTTCCTCCGCGGTTGATGGATGCGACAACTGCCGTGGCGGGATCAACACCTGCTTTCTTTGCTATCATTGTGGATGCGATGATTGATGCAGCGGTGGCTGTAGGCATGCCCAGAGACATGGCGAATACCATGATCCTCCAGGCAATGCAGGGCTCAGCGAGTATCATGCAGAGTGGAGTGCATCCATCTCTGCTACGAGACCAAGGAACCTCGCCCGAGGGATGCACGATTGGCGGAGTGATGGTGCTGGAGGAGGCGGGTGTGAGAGGACATGTTGGCCGGGCATTGCGAGAGGCCGTTACGGTTGCTCGGTTGATGGATGGGACCCGGCATTTGAATGATACGAGACAGTAAACCTAGGATAATATTCTTGATGGAATGGCAAATGCTCTATGAAAAAAGGACCGTAACTCCATGTTCGTAAGGCATCCGAACCCAAATGCAGGCACAATTCGTACACATCTCATCACTGTCGCTGAGGGAAGATGGCTCCTCGTCACGGCCAGTCGATCTGACCACGGCACTGCGTACTGGCGATTATACAGATCCAGCCCTATTAGGTGTATGGGGGTTGCCACGAGCTGCGACAGGACCGGCACGACCATCTGAGTGATGACCGTCTTGGAATGAGAGTGAGACGTCAGACTGTCGGGAATCAGTTCTGAGCACCAAGGAGCCAACGTGAAGGATCCAAAGATGGTTGCAGCATCGCGAACTAGAAAGGTGGCCGTAGCTGCTGTCGACACTGCTCGAGTGGACCGAAGCGCTGTCTTTGCGATGGGGTCGGGGCTATTGCCGAATAACTGTGCAAAGCTGATGTCCTTCCACACGCCCAGAGGGACGTTCACTGCAAAGGTCGATATGAAAGTGATCGAAGCAGAGCTTGAGGGATGCGTTTCTCTGGTGACGGTGTCTGTTGCGTTGGCGACGGCGTACGTCGCAGCGTAGAGCGTCCAGACGAGGCCAAAAGGGCGAGAGAAGACAAATCGGCCAGGATGTCTAAGAGCTGCGATGGCGTGAGCGCGAAGACCACGAAGGAGGGGCTTGTTGGATGACGCTTTTTCTGTAAGGGATCTATGCAAAATTTTGTGTGAGTATTTATTCATCCATCATGGAGAAGTGATAATACCAACCTGTCGAGGAGGGTCACGGTGGGAGCCACCAGCGTGGCCGAAACCGCAGCAGCAGCCAAATCGCCTGCCAATTGACCTTTGGAATCCGCCATGATAGCTCTGATTCTTCCGACTCAATTGATTCCATCATCAACGGATATATTCTTTTGCTCGGGCGCATCCGAGTGATGTACATCTCATCGGCTGCCCTCCCGACGATATCAAGGCAATGCGGGGCAGCTTCACTTCGGCCTCGACACCGTTTGGATGATGCAAGCTGCAGCGCCTCCACCGTTGATAGAGCTATGATTGTTGTTGTCACGATGCGGAGATGCTATCTGCATCACCTTCGGATGCACCCCCGACCATCATGGGGATAAAATGCCAGCTGGGACGCTGTCCTGGGGTTGTTGAATCACAAACCCCGTGAACATGGCTTCTGCAAGAATGTTGTCCTCGAATCTCTCTCGTTCTGCGCGTCTGCGGCCCAACTTCCTCTCCGTCCAGAAGCGCATGAAGGCTACTGTTCCCTTCAGACTTCCCGACCCTCGAAACGAACCCAATGTGAGTATCTCAAGGCAAGATCTCAAGACAGATCGGTACTGACAAAACAGCCTCTCTACAAAAAAGGTTCCCCCGAACGAGCCCAAGTCGAAGCTGCCTTGACTAAGCTGCGATCTCAATTGCCCGTCCAGAGCGATATCTTCTATAATGGCAAGGCACAGCAAGTCTCCCAATCGTGGGATCAGCCCTTGCCAGCAGAACATGCCACCAAGTTCACCAACTATCCTCTTGCCAGCAAAGAGCAGGTCTCTGCAGCCATTGAGTCGGCCCTCGCGGCCAAGAAGAGCTGGGAGGAGACTCCCTTTGTCGATCGAGCTTCTATCTTCCTCAAGGCGGCAGAGCTGGTGACGACCAAGTACCGGTATGATCTGATCGCAGCGACCATGCTGGGACAGGGAAAGAACATCTGGCAGGGAGAGATTGATGCTGCCGCTGAACTGGCGGACTTCTTCCGGTTGAACTGCAACTACGCTGCAGAATTGTTGGAGAGACAGCCTACTCGAGGCTCGGATGGAATGTGGAGGTAGGTCAATCCTATTGTCAATTTGGTGAAACAAGCTGACCAGATAGTCGCGTGGAATACCGTCCTTTGGAGGGATTCGTCTACAGTATCTCGCCCTTCAACTTCACTGCCCTCGGTGGCAACTTGATTTCGGGTCCTGCCCTGATGGGCAACGTGGTGCTCTGGAAGCCCTCCCCATCCAACGTGTACGCTAGTGCCCTCGTCTACAAAATTCTACTCGAAGCCGGTCTGCCTCCCAACGTTGTGCAGTTTGTTACTGGCGATGCTGAGCAGATTACCGACGTGGCTCTGTCTCACCGCGACTTTGCCGGCCTGAACTTCATCGGTTCGTCGGACATTTTCCGCTCTCTGTATGGCAAGATTGGCGAGGGTATCGCAAACAAGACCTACCGCGAGTTCCCTCGTGTGGTGGGCGAAACCAGCGGCAAGAACTTCCACCTCGTTCACAACTCGGCCGATATCCCCAGCGCCGTTAACCACACCATTCGTGGCGCATTCGAGTACCAGGGCCAGAAGTGCTCTGCCACTTCTCGTCTGTACCTCCCCGAATCTCGGGCAGAGGAGTTCCTCACCAGCCTGAAGGCGGGTATCAACGAGATCACCATTGGCAGCCCCGACAAGAACATTGAAGCGTTCATGGGACCTGTCATCCACCGCCGCTCATTTGACAAGATCAAGTCCATCATCGACGCAAGCAACAAGGATTCATCTCTGAAGCTGGTGGCCGGTGGCACTTACGACGACTCGGTTGGCTTCTACGTTAACCCGACCGTCTACCAAGCCGACTCTCCCACGCACCGCCTCTTTGACGAGGAAATCTTCGGCCCCGTCCTGGCCGTCTACGTCTACCCCGATGCAGAGTGGAGCTCGGTTCTGAACCAGGCTGACCAGTCTGGCGGTGGATTTGCCCTGACTGGAGCTGTCTTTGCCAAGGACAGATCTGCCATTCGCGAAGCTGAGGATGCGCTCCGCTACTCGGCCGGTAACTTTTACATCAGTAAGTTTTCTGACCCATCTATCTGTATGATTGAGACTAACGATATGCAGACTGCAAGACGACAGCCGCATTGATCGGCCAGCAATCGTTTGGAGGTGCCCGAGCCAGTGGAACCAATGACAAGGCAGGAAGCTCTGATGTGCTGCGCCGATTCACGAGCCCGAGACTGATCAAGGAGGAATTCTTCCCTCAGACGGGATTTACGTACCCTAGCAACCATTAATGTAGTACTACTAGCTAGATTTGAATGAATTCAACTGCTCTGACACCACATCGTTACTTAAACTTCGTAATTTGTCGTCGTACTTCGTATCCACTCGCATCGTGAATCCATAGTCCTGTCTTATTGTATAGAATTAGAGACCAACGCAATCAACACCACGAACACAACCTCTCAACAATTTGCTCATCTAAACACGTCTGGCTCAATCTGTGGGGTATCGTATCATCAGATGATGAGATATCTTGACACATATCCCAATTGCTATTTCGGCATCGTCACCGGCAACCCTCCCGATGCTGTTATCTGCCTGCATGCATACCCCGCAATTGACCGGCAACCCTCCCGTCAATTGAAGCCATATCAACGTGTATAAATATACATTGATATAGAGCTATCCAAACAGAATAGAGAATCAGGATTAACAAAGACTCAGTATGATCAAGTCAGAACCTATCATCATCGTGGGCGGAGGCGCGTTTGGCCTTTCCACTGCCCTCCATCTCACCCAGAATGGATACACCAACATCTCCGTCTTTGAGCGAGATGACCAGATTCCTCCACGGTATTCAGCGGCCAATGATCTGAACAAGATCGTGAGAGCTGAATATGAGGATCCTTTTTACACCGAATTGACCATTGTATGTCTACCATATCCTACATCCTCAATTGTGACTCTATTAACCCAACCCAGAAAGCCATCTCAGCTTGGAAAACTCCCCTCTTCACCCCTCACTTCCACCAAACCGGTTTCCTCCACTGCGTCTCGGGCAATGCTCCCGAGAAAGCCCACGCCACGCTGGACCGTTTCCACGCCTCCGCGGAGCGACACCCTGTTATCCGCCCACATCTTGCCCCACTGGACGAGAAGACCATCCGCGAGCAGTTTTGGCAGTATACCGGGCGGTTTCCCGGGTGGCGGGGATACCTGAATCGGTTTGATGGGTATGCGCATTCGGGAAATGCGTTGGCTGCTGTGTACCGTGCGACGCAGGCAGCCGGGGTACGTTTCTTCCTTGGAGAGAACGGAGCAGTGAAGGAGGTGGTGTATGAAGAGGCAAAGGAAGGACAGGAGAGGAAGAGCATCGGGATCAGAACGCAAAAGGGACAATTCCACCCCGCGGCCAAGGTGATCATCGCTGCTGGAGCAGGAGCCGGTCGACTCGTCCCTGAACTGGGAACACAAGTCGTGGCCAAGTCCTGGTCTGTCGCACATGTTCATCTCACCGACGACGAGACGTCAGCCCTACGAGGTATCCCCGTCACTTATGCCCGCGATCTGGGATTTCTCTTCGAGCCCGATCCCAAGACCAACCTGCTCAAGTTGTGTCCCATGGGCGCTGGTTTTATCAACACGGATGCTGGGACGGGGGTGTCTCATGCCCCGCCAACTCTGGAGGCGAGTGCATTTATGCCGGTTGAGGATGAGCTGCAGGTGAGGAAGTTACTGGCGCAGACGCTTCCTGCTCTGGCGGATCGGCCGCTGGTGAAGAAGTCGTTGTGCTGGTTTGCGGATACGAGTGACTCGGACTTCATCATCGACTATGTGCCTGGGACGTCGTCGTCGGTGGTGATACTGTCTGGGGATTCAGGACATGGGTTCAAGATGTTCCCCATCATGGGCAGCTGGGTGAATGACCTCCTTGCGGGGGATGAACAGTCGGTTGTCCGATGGCGATGGAAGGACCAGACCGAGAAAAAGGGCAACTGGGGCGGGGATGTGAGTTGGAGATTGGGGGAGTCGAGGGAATTCCATACCCTCAAGGCCAAGCTGTAGCCCGTGACTCCATTGCTGTCTGTTAGTGTTTAGTGAATAGCTTCAATGAGGGGTAGAGGGGTAGCTCGGACAGCCTTCCGAGTGCTGAATCGGCTCCTCCGTCTATATAAACAGATCGTTCCTCATCTCATTTCCTCATTCTCCTTCTCATTCAATCCAAGTTTAATCACTCTTCCATATCATATTCAAAATGTCTTTCCCTCGTATCCCCCCCTCTGGCGTCTGGGTTCCCGCCGTGACAGCCTTCAACCACGAAACCGACACTCTCGACGTCGAAGCCCACAAGAAATACTGTCTCTACCTCTCCAAATGCCTCACCGGCCTCGTCATCCTAGGCACCAACGCCGAAGCCTTCCTCCTCACCCGCGAAGAACGCGCCCAAGCCATCAGCGCCGCCCGTGAAGCCGTCGGCCCCAACTACCCCATCATGGCCGGCGTGGGCGCCCACTCCACCAAGCAAGTCCTGGAACTCGCCAACGACGCAGCCCAGGCCGGCGCAAATTACCTCCTCGTCCTGCCACCCGCATACTTTGGCAAAGCCACCACCCCAGCAACTGTGAAGCGCTTCTTCGCCGATGTAGCCGCCAAAGCACCCCTCCCCGTCGTGGTGTACAACTTCCCCGGCGTGACGAACGGAGTGGATATCGACTCGGATACCATCACCGAGATCGTGCGGGCCTCGGCGGCGGCCAGTCCGAATGGCGTCAGTAACGTGGTTGGGGTGAAACTCACCTGTGCGCAGGTCGGGAAGATCACCCGATTGACGGCGGCGTTTGGCCCAGACGAGTTTGCTGTTTTTGGTGGGCAGTCGGATTTCCTCCTCGGAGGGTTATCCGTGGGGTCGGCGGGGTGCATTGCGGCGTTTGCCAATGTCGTGCCCAAGACGATCATGCAGATTTACCGATTGTACAAGGCGGGACAGGTGGAGGAGGCGTTGGCGCTGCATCGCAAGGCGGCGCTGGCGGAGAGCCCGTGCAAGAGTGGGATTGCATCGACCAAGTATGCAGCGGCTGTTTTTGCGGCCTCGAGGGCTGGAGTGGAGAATGCAGAGGAGAAATTCAAGCCGCGGACTCCGTATGAAGGGCCCGGTGATGCGGTCAAGGAGAATGTGAGGAAGGTCATTGCCGAAGTGGGTGCGATTGAAGATACTCTATAGATTGTACATGGAATAATGGATATATGAATGTATAGATTGAGTCTACTACCAAATGCTATTTTCTGTTATGGCATGCGCGATCCAATCTACATCCCCAGTGTCAATCGATTCTGCTACAGCAAGAATCTCCGCCGTCGATAACCCTTCTGGAGCAAAAGTATTACTATTACATATCGGAGTCGACATTGACAGGGCCATTGCTCGTTTCTCAAGGTCTGGAGAGAGTTGGATGAGCATTTCATTCAACTGTTCGAGTTCGGACCTGCCGAATTCTGCAATGAGATTGCCTCGGGAGATCATCTCATCGAGAAGCATATAGGTCTTGTATAGCCATGGCGTCCAGTCATCGAGGAGATTAGGGTCAATTACGGGAGCGACAAGAAGGATGACAGCGGAGACAAAGGTGGAGTCGAGATCAAAGGGGAGAAAGCTATCTTGATGATGTTAGGTGATATTCGGGATAATTGGTGATAAGAGCATACCTAGAAGACTTTGTTCTTGTAGACTGGAGAGAATGTTGAGCATTTGCTGTGCGGATTCGATACATACCTGCAACAGCTTGCGTACGTTGGACGAGGAATGGAGCGACTCGAGGTCGGCAGGAGACTGGAATCGGATTTTCAAAAAGCAGAATAACAAGGGTCTGGTTGCCAGAACCATGCACTGGGATTGTCAGGTATGAAGCTGAAAATGAGAACAGAACATACCTGATGGTAGAGAAGATGCAGATGAGCCGACAGTCGAGAAACACCGCTGATGGAAGATTCATCCAAACGGAGGTCAAAAGAATTCTGCAATTCATCTGCTAGGTCGGCGGTGCTAGACAAGGCGGCTTTGGTTCGAAGAAGAAATTTGCGGTTCAGTCGTCCATCAGGTCCGTATACAGCTGTTAAATTAGTAGATGTCAATATGAAGACGAAGGTGACCCTTACTGCTGTTGACCTCTGCAATGATCTGACATAGTTTGATTTGCATGCTGAGAGCTGCTACCTTTTGAGGCGATCCAGTAAATAAAGGCAGCTGGTAATGAAGCTGGTCGTCATGAATTGATTGAGGCAGTCCCATCAACGAAGTCATCTGTCGATCAAGGATATAGGTGGTCCACCAGATCTTACGACATCGTTGGACCAGTGCTTCTCCAAGCGGCTCAACGGGCATATTGGTGTGCATCCCTTGTGCAAGGGCAATTCGCACTGCTTGGCCAATCTATTTTGTTAGATTATACATCAATATCGAGGGACAATGACTCACAAAGTTGTGGGCGGTGCTGCGACAGTCCAGAGACTGGAGGTACAAAGCGATACAGCAGAGGATCTCACAAGCTATGACAGGCTCTCTGGACAACTGTGTCGAATCTGGCAGCAACTGCAGTGCTTTGGTGAAGAATTCACAGCCTGGTGGACGACGACCTTGATTCTTCTGCACGACAAAGGCTTTTCCAAAAGCTAGAATGAGCAGGTAATGGATATACCAGAGATTTGAGGTTGTCATCTGCTGTGGGTCCTCATAAAAGGCGTAGAGATTTCCCATAAAGGATGGTTCGTCAAAGAGATGGAATAGCTGACCGGCATGGAACTTGACGGCATTGATCAGGTAGATGGAAAAGTCAAGCGTTGGGGCCATGGGGAGTTGAGGCGATACAGCCGTCCTCGATCCATCCCAGCCCAAGTCATAAGCAGCTCCGTCGAAGAGCAGTCGCCCTGTCGGGAGAGGAGCATGGTGTATGTGTTCGTGGGTCAAGCTAAGGACTCGGCGAGCAAAAGACCAGTTGGACGAAGTGCCTAGATAGACTGGGGAGTGTCAGCCGGGTCTAGGGTCTAGGGTATTAACGGGGGGCTGGAGAACGCACAGGTCCTCCCACAGCCAGCAGTCATAAAGGTCGACGGTCCGGTCGATAACGGATTCGTCAAGGCGGAGTTGTAGGATGATTCGCCATGATCCTCGTCTGGAAAGCTAGCGATGGCTTCTTCTGGTCTCGGGTCTGGCTCGTAGCTCTGCGGGCTGAAAGGCTCTTCATCGCCCCGTTCTAGCAGGGCAATTTTCCTCTGTAGATCATCGATGAACCTATCAGGTCAGCACGATGCAGCAGCGTATTCTATATTAACATACCCGCGAGTGACAAGGATTTTCTGGTCGCGATCATCAAAAGTGCAGGTGAGTTTCCGCTTGTTGCACGTGTCGCAGGGCTGCGAGCCCGAGCACTTGATTTTCTGCCTTCGACATCGATGGCAGCTAATCTGTTAGTCGAGATCATCAAAGCAGATGAAGACATACGCATTGGAGGAGCGTTTTTTAACGCGAGGATCTCTTCGTGAATCCATATTGTTACTGGGAAAGAATTGGATATTGAAGTTATCTCCAACTTTTGTACAAAATGCGGGGTAGATAAGAGTGGGTCCTATACAGATGACAGCGATAGTATTCTACATATTATTCATAGTCTGGGTGTTATCAGATATTGGATATTAGGTGAAGATGTCTTTATCAGTGCCGATATACATCCTGATGGTGATTCAACAGTTGTAGACATCCTCTTATACGCAAATAGCACCACGACAGCTACACAACAATGTAATGTGTCAAGCCAATATAGGATATAGGACCACGGGTTCGTTCCCGACCAGATACGAACACACCGGCTGTCGTACCGATCGGACGCTGTCGATCTTGGATAGAGTCATCTTTTCTGTTTTAAATACTCAGCATCGTCAATATCCAAAGTCCATCGTAAATCGCTTCTTTCTAGCTCTTATAATCGATGAATTCCCCGCAGCGGGCCAGACATCCGACAATTCGGATGAGAGGCCGAAGACAGTATACATAGAACATAAATAACACGATATTATTTGCTGTATTGCTGCATAAAATAAGAAGACATCAAACACGTATATCGATATCATGTCCGTCTTTTCATCTGCCCCTCGAATCCCTCCCGATGCCATCTTCGCCTTGACGGCCGAGTATGTGGCAGATTCATTCCCTCAAAAGGTGAATCTGGGCCAAGGTGCATATCGCGACAACCACGCTCAGCCATGGATTCTTCCTTCTGTCGAAAAGGCTCGTGAGATTGTCCATCAAGGCCTCCAACATGAATATCTCCCAATCCTGGGTCTGGCTTCGTTTCGTGAACGAGCTGCCGAATTAGCTCTAGGAAAAGAGGCGTATTCAAAGAAGCAGAAACAGGTGAGTCCATAAACATCATGGAAATTAAATTATCTCCAAAGAAAGACGCTCATTTACAGCTCGCAACCTGCCACTCCATCTCCGGCACAGGAGCCCTCCATCTCGCTGCTCGAATCCTCAGATCCTGCCTGTCTCCGTTGCCCAAAGTCTACATCCCCGAACCAACCTGGTCCAACCATAATCTGGTCTTCTCGACGCTGGGCTTTGAATGCCACACCTTCCAGTACTACGACTCCAAAACAAAATCCCTCGATATCGAGTCGTATCGTTCCATGCTCAACACCGTCGAGTCCGGGTCGATCATCATCCTCCACGCGTGTGCCCACAATCCGACCGGATTAGATCCTAGTCCTGAACAATGGATGGAGATTGGGAAAATAATGAAAGAGAGGGGGTTGTTTCCTGTCTTCGATTCGGCATATTTGGGCTTCAACTCTGGCGATGTCGACAAGGATGCGTTTGCGATTCGATACTTTATCGATGAGCTAGAGATGGAGGCGGCGGTTTGTCTGTCGTTTGCGAAGAACATGGGCTTATACGGTATTTATTTTCCTCCTTCTCCTTTTCTTGCCTGTTGACTGACTGAGTCTTCAGGCGAACGAGTTGGCTGTCTGGTCCTGGCTACGTCGACTGAAGAAGTGGCCCTCAACAGCCAGTCTCTTCTGGAATCTCATCAACGATCTGAGATATCCAATCCTCCTGCTTATGGAGCCAAGATTGCATCGGCTATCCTGAGTGATGATGGGCTGCGGAATATGTGGTTTGAGGATCTCAGGACGATGAGTGGACGTATCCAGTCGATGAGGGAAACGTTATATCAAGGATTGATTCGCAACTGTACGTCTCGTAAATACTCGTCTTGGTTTCTCTGCTGACAGATTAGCGGCTCCTGGAAATTGGGATCATCTTCTCAGACAGTCTGGAATGTTTGGGTTTCTTGGATTATCTCCAGCCGTGGTGAAGGAGTTGAAAGGTCAGTATTCCTCGACCTATACAGCGTGTATGCTGAACTGACATTCCTAGACAAATATCACATTTACATGGCAGCAAATTCGAGGATATCGATTGCAGGATTAAACCCAGACAATGTCGAATATGTCGCAGAATCGATGGCACGAGTGTTGAAGGAGTGATTGTATTTATCTGGATAGAATATTCAACACTACACTATACAGAGTACCCCGTAGACTCCTGAGACTTAATAGCCAAATAAATTAATTAATATTCTCCATAATTCTCCCAGATATCATCTCTGACTCATTCTTAAACAGCACTTCAGCATCCATTGTTGTCGTCCAACTGACGAGTCATCTTGCACCACAACACAGAATCATACCCAATTCTTCCCTTTCGTCTTCCATCTTCTTCTCCCTCCTTTTTCCCCATCCTCTCCTTTCTCTCTCCCCCCATTCTCTCCTTTTATTCTTCCCTTTTCTTTCTTTCTGTATCCTTCTCTTTGTTGCCCCTCTCTCTGCTGCCTCCGCCCGACGATAACTAAGCCTCGCTCCATCACAACATTGCCATCGTCATCTCCCAACTTCCCCCCTCTTTGCCACGTTCTGTACTGGCAGCTGACGCCATAATCGAATCAACCAACAATCACTTCACATCGCTGGCCGCAGGCAATAGCATCCATGGACAGAGTGCCCGCTTCAGCTGGCATCTCTCGTCTCCTGCATCCGCAGGCCTCCGATTTCACCGCCCCATCCTTGTCGACCTCCTTCAAACTCGACGAGGGCTATTCCGACGACACCAAAAGCCAGGCCGACAATGATCTGAATGTCCCCTCGGACGATGTGATGTCTCTCCCCGACTGGGTTCTCACCCACAGTGAAGCGGAAAGAGCGGGTCTGTTGGCGTCCCCGCCCGTGTTGTTTTGTTTTGTTTTGTTTATGTTTCGCTGACTTCTATCCATCGGTTCCTATAGAACTTGCCTACCGTTTGCTCAAATCCCTCCGTACTTCGACTGTCGCCTCGGTCGTTGAACGACTGGATCCCCTATTGCACATGGACCCCGTCGTTAAACTTCCGCCTGAAATCACCTCCGAGATCTTTTCCTACCTCGATCCGCAGACTCTCCTTACAGCTTCCTTGGCCTCCCGTTCATGGCGAAGCCGCATCTTCGACTCCCGTCTCTGGAGAGGGCTCTACAATGAGGAAGGATGGCGTGTGGATATTGACGCAATCCGCAATTTTGAACAGGAGTACTCCGAATCTGTGTCCGCTTCAGTTCGCAAGGCCCGCACACGACATGCCGACTCGGATCTCGGGGAACCCAAGCTGAAGAAGCGCATGCCGTCAAGCTGGACAGGGAGTAATGGAAGCAGCACTCCCGCGACCGGGCGCACGGGTGAGCAGAATGGGCCAGTGGAAGATCATGAAGGCGACCAGCAGATGGGCGATGCCTTGATTGATCAGTACGCGTCGTCTTCTGCGCCCGTCGGAAAAAGTCAAGACGAGTTCACCCTGTCCAAATCTATCGCACAGCTTCCCCTGGCCATCCAACCCCCGCTGAAATCATCCATCTTGGTCAGAAACCCGAATGGCACCGTCAAGATCAACTGGCTTCATCTCTACAAGCTGCGTCGACGACTCGAGGAAAATTGGGTCAGAGGTCGATACACCAATTTCCAGCTCCCACACCCATCTCACCCAGAAGAGGCCCACCTGGAGTGCGTCTACGCGATTCAGTTTGAAGGAAAATGGCTTGTTAGCGGCAGTCGAGATCGCACGGTTCGAGTATGGAATCTGGAGACAAAACGGTTATGGCACCGTCCTCTTATTGGTCACTTGAAATCAGTCTTGTGCCTTCAGTTTGACTCAAGACCATCTGAGGATGTCATTATTTCCGGGAGTAGTGACAAGAATGTTATTATATGGCGGTTTTCTACTGGCGAGAAAATCCATCAAATCAGCAACGCCCACGACGATTCGGTCTTGAACCTCAGATTCGACGAGCGCTACCTTGTTACATGCTCTAAGGATAAACTTATCAAGATATGGAACCGTCGCGCCCTCACGCCACTTGACGAGGACTATCCTAAAGTATCCCCCAGGCCTGGAGTTAGGTACCCATCGTACATTATCGATACTACCGAAATGCCATCCCCAGTTGTGGAGGCGGAGTTGGCCAACGGTCACATTCGGAGCTTGGAACCCCATTCGCTTTTGATGACATTGGAAGGCCATGGGGCTGCAGTCAATGCCATTCAATTGAACGGCAACGAGATCGTTTCTGCATCTGGAGACCGACTTATCAAGATCTGGAATATCCAGAAGGGTGGCTGCACCAAGACCCTCATGGGCCATGAGAAGGGAATTGCATGTGTTCAGTTCGATAATCGCCGCATTATTAGCGGGAGCAACGACGATACAGTTCGCATATTCGACTCTACTACTGGAGCACAAGTGGCTTGTTTGCACGGACATGCGAACTTGGTCCGCACTGTGCAAGCCGGATTTGGTGACCCTCCAGGAGCTGAGGAGGCGATGAGGCTGGAAGCATTGGCTGTAGACAACCGATTCTTGCAAGCCCATGAGGCTAACGCGGAGGGCGTCGGGCTCGGCCCGTCTGCCCTCAGACGGGCGGGATACACTCAAGATACAACTGGATCCAGAGATCCCAGGGATGTCGGTGCTATCGGTGCTGCGCTCCCACCTGGCGGAGGAGGGAGCAGATGGGGCAGAATTGTTTCTGGCTCTTATGATGAGTGTATCCTCATCTGGAGCAAGGACCGTCAAGGCAAATGGGTCACTAGCCAGAAACTCCGACAAGTAGAAGCCGCAGCTGCAGCATCCACTTCACAGGCCCAGTCCCCTCGTACAGCAAGAACCACCATGACTCGTTTGGCTCCGGGACAAGGAGGCCCTGCGCCAAACAACAACGCCATTCCACAACAGGGATCGGCAAATCCACCTATAACGAACGGCCAGCAAGGGGCAGCTCCGGCCCAGGGCATTCCCAATTTGCCCCTTCCGCCTGGGCCGGCGTCTAATCGACCTCTTGTCCAACCCGTTCCAGCTCATCACCACCACCACGTGCATCATCCTCACCCGCTTCCACACCCTCACTTGAACCGAGCCCAACCTCCCCAGCCAACATCAAGGGTTTTCAAACTTCAATTCGATGCACGAAAGATCATCTGCGCCAGCCAAGATCCCAGGATCGTTGGATGGGATTTCGTCGGCAATGACGAAGAGCTCGAGGAAGCCTGTCAATTTTTTCAAGGGCTATGATTTGACTTGCAATAAGCTCAAGCAAAGCATGGTATCCTCTATTGTTCATTCCTTTCTACCATTTTCTTTTTCGCTTCCTATATTCTCATGAACGCAATGATGTTCTTTAACGCAAGTTGCAACTAACGGATTGCATGGATTGCATACAGCAACTTGATTCGAGCCTTACTATTATCTTACTTTGTCTTACTCTAATAATTTATTTACTACCTTAAACTCGCCAATTCCTTGGACTGGTTTTGCTCTTGGCCTTTCAGTTATGATATAACACGCATTCTTCGTTCGGAAAAAAGAACAAAAATGAAATTATATCGGCTTGAAACAGGTTAAAGCCGGGTGTTGGGGAGTTCTTTCATCCTCTTTTACCTTTTTGTACTGATTTGTTTGGGTATAATCTTATTATTCTTCTTTCTTCGGAGCATGCATGCTACTTCACTTCTCTGTTCTTGCATTGCATTATTTGAGGAACCAGGGCATGATTTTGAGCCAGTCAAGCGTTTCACAAAGCGCACCTACAATCTATTGGGAATTCTAAAACTAAGAACTGAATGTGTCTTGCTTAGAAAATCGTATTTCTTTACCAAGGTTAGATATGGCTAGGTGGATGATGGTATTGATAGTGAGAGTAGGAGAGAAGAGACTCGGTATAGGTAGTTGCCGTGTCAACACTCGTACGATTGAGCCCATAGTCATGTCATAGTGATACATTGTTTTTATGTCCCTTATCAATAGTACTTTCCAAATGGTATTAATATTTCTCATGGCAACGAGACGTCGAGACGAAACAGATCTGCAAACCGGGGTTGTCTTATCAGATCCAATCTATAGAAGCATCGGATCCACAACAAGATTGTTTTGAGAGATGAATCTACGCAAAGATTTCCATGGGTTCGAACGCTGTTGCCGGGGCTCTTGGTCTTGACCCGGTGAAGCCGCGTTGGAACTGACTCGACAAGCCTCTTGAGCGCCATTATCCACAATCCAGCTCCTTGCAGTAGTATAGCTATCGTTAGATAAATTTCGATCCATGGCAACCTCGTATTCGTCTCTTTCCCCGAAGCAACAGAAGTAGGAATTAACTGTTCTCCAACAATTCATCCATGGTCTTTTAGGCGGTTGGCCATCGTGTGGCTCTTCAGTATTAGCGTTTCTAGGCTGCGAATGAGCGGTTGAGGATGCCTGTGAATGCGATGTAGGTGACCTTGGATTATCTCCGGCCATGCCTACTCCCTGGGTATTGGCTCCATCGCCATTTGTCGGTTGCTCTGGCTGGATACCATGTGAGGGAGCACTAGGCAAGGCGACAACAACTGCAGCCGCTGAAGCCAAAGCTTGCGATCGCGAGGTCACAGCTGGCGTAAACCTTGAGGGTAGTCGTCCCGGAGAGTTCCGTAAATGAGGTTCAGACACGGTCTGCGTACGTGACCGTGATGGCTCAACTTGTGTTGAATATCTGTCCTTCGCATTATGTTCATTGAAATGACCGTTTTGGGTAATAGCGCTATCAGCCGTGAAGCTGTCACTTTGAGCAATAGGAAGAAGTCGCCGATGAAACGGATGGTGATCCAATTGCCTAGCCACATTCATTCCATGGCCACTTTGTCTATATGGGAAGCGCCCTTGGACAGCAGTGCCATCTTCTGCTCTTGCAACGGGCGGTGGTCTTCGCCTAGGCTGGGGAGTAGTGGACGGAGTGAAACCGAATACTCTCCGCAGTGTTTCTCCGTATGATGCAACTCTAAAGCTCGAAGCAAGGTTGCGTCCGCGCGGCCTTGCGACGGTAAGACTTTGTGACGCTTGCTGTGTCTGATCTCCCCGTGTAGACGAATGAACTAAAAACTGCGCAGAGTAACAGATAGCCTCACGAGAGCCAAAAGAAGGAAGTCCTGGAGGAGTAGGGGATCTTTCAGGTGGCGGATATTGAGGAAGAAAAGGATTCACAGGCGACACGAGGCTTCCTGGCCAATTTGGTCTTCTCGTATTGTCATCCGCATCGTTCAGACTAAGAGTTTTGCGGTGTTGTGGTCCATCAAAGCTATCGATTTTTGATTCTAAATCATTTGGTAGAGATAATCCTGTGTATTGTCTGTCTATCGTAGAAGGCGAGTGGTTGTCAGATAACATGTGTGCATGCCACCAGGGTGCTTTAGCCTTCCTCTCTGCAGTATATTCGATATCGTCAACAGCATGAGTCATAGATTCAGATGTTATAGGAATGAACATGGCCATGTTTGCTGCCATCCCACTGTCCAGGCCATCTTGAGTTATTTGATTGTTGGAACAAAGCTTTCGAGGAACATCATCGGCCGCAGAACTGGCTCGGACGGCGTTGTATATCGAACTCTCGTCACTCGGGTATGACTGGGTTGACTGGGAATGATGCTCTAGGGGCGGCGAGGACTCTGCGCATCTCGCATGCCGGGGGTTGGTTTCATGACCCATTGAAGGGTCCTGGTCTTGGCCCAAATCATCTAACTGGGCATTTGGCATGTCTATACATTGATGATGGTTTGCCGCAGCCATGCCGAAGGATAGAACAAGGGATTGGACCCTGAAAGAATGAACGACAGCTGTGTTGCAAGTGAGATGGGGATATCTGATAGTTTGGACTCCCCCGTGCAGCCATTGCACTTTCCCAACATACTAGTTGCATATGAACCGCACAAAAAAGGCAGGTGCAGAAAGATGAAGAAATCGAAGCACATTGCATGATCAGTAAAAAACATGAGAAAGAAATATAATACAGGGCCATCTAGTATTCTATGTGTACAGTTTGAGCCTCGACTCGTGAATAGGACGCCGAAAAGGGTTGAGAAGCAATAAGCCACCAAGAAAAAAGAACAATAATAGAATCAAACAGTCGTGAAATGGGTGATTAGCCGGCGATATGTACGGAGAACGAGGATATCAGGTGAAATGCAAGCCGAAAATGGGTGTGCGAAGAAAGAAAAAAACAGACAAAAGACAGATAAATCTAGGCGCTATCGTGATCATAAAGCCGTGACGCCCTGGTTGGACGTCCCATTAGGGGCGTTATTAGCCTGCTCTCTTTTCATGTTGCGGATCAAGTTTTCAAGTCGTCGGCGTTCCTCGTGTTCCGCCTGTGACCATGGGTTAGCATTGCATACAGTAGTGAACAGGGAACCAACGGTCGTTGACTCACCTTGAGAATCTTCATGTTTTCCATGCGGGTATCACGCATCATCTTCTTGAATTCGTTCTTCAGCACCATTGTGGACGTGGTCTCGGATGTTGTGCCATCACGGCCCATTGAGGTCGGGCTATGGAGTCCCATCCAGTTGATGCGTTCCTCATTGATCTGGGTCTCCAACTGTTCACAGCGGTCACGGAGCCCATCAATGATTACTTCAAATCCTTCACGTTCTTTCTCGAACTCAATGCTGGATTTTGTCATGGATTCATAGTCATCAATCGTTTCTCGGAGCTCCTTCTCCAGCGTCTGTGCGCGATGTTGCAGGTCATTGTTACCAGGCTTTCTGGCCTTGAGAGCTGCAAGCTCCTCTGCAAGCTCAATGTTCCTGGTGTTAAGAGCGTCGAGTTCTCTCTGGATGGCAGGGTTGGAAGCCACTGCGGCCCGTTGAGATCGGCTACCGTAAGCCCCATCGAGCTCTGCTCTGGCCATTGTGAGCTCTGTTGAAACTCTCACCACTTCTCCTTCGATCTCAGTCAATTCGGCCTGCAAGCGAGCAGCGTTCTCCTCGGCTTGGGCGCGTCCCTCGGTCGCCTCCTTGACTTGAGCCTCGACATCAATACGGAGCTGTTCCATGGCAGCTTCCAGCCGAGAAACTTCACCCTCGGAATGAGCCCGCACATCGGCAGCTTCTTTCACCCGAGTGTCAGATTCAATGCGGATTTGATTTATGGTTTCCTCGAGTTGCGAGATTTGCTGTTCTGTGCGTTCTTGGGTCTCGGTAACTTCCTCTGCTCTGGCATTGGCGTCACCATTCAGTTGATCAATGACACTCTGTAGGCGTGCAATTTCGCTATTTGCCTCAGCGCGGGCCGCAGCAACTTCATCGGAATGCTTGTCGGTACCCGAGCGAAGCTCTTCAATGTGGGATTGCAGGCGCTTGACCTCATTTTCTGCCCGCTCCCGTGCTTCGAGCACCTCCGCGTGTCCTTCCTTCTCGGCATGGAGTTGTTGGACTGCAGCCTCCAGACGTAGGACCTCCGCCTCTGCTCGCTCACGATGTTCGCGTGATCCAGCATGTCCATCAATCTCCGCCTGGAGTTGTTGCACGGTGGCTTCCAAACGAGTAACCTCTGCATCTGCCCGCGTACGAGCTTCGTGCACTTCAGCGTGTCCAGCCACCTCGGCTTGAAGTTGTGCCATGGCGGCCTCCAAGCGCGAAACTTCAGATTCTGCTCGCACTCGTGCTTCGTGTATTTCGGAATGGCCTTCCTTCTCAGTATGGAGTTGCTGGATCGCAGCCTCCAAGCGTAGAACCTCGGCCTCTGCTCGTTCCCGATGCTCGTGGGATTCAGCATGTCCATTAATCTCAAGCTGGAGTTTTTCCATGGCAGCACCCAAACGTGCAACTTCTGCCTCTGCCCGTGCACGAGATTCTTTCTCAGATGCCAAAGCCTCAGCATCATCGTCTTTGCCAATATTTCTAGTGGTCTCTGTGCTGGCTTCTTGTTGGTGATGAGCCAATTCCTGGCGCACTGCGTCCAGTTGCTCCATCACCAAAGATAACTCATCTCTAGAGCTCTGACCCTCGCGTTCGGAGAGTTCAAATTGCTTTCGGGCGTGGGCTAACTGTTCGACCAAATCGGCGATGTGGGCATCTCTTTCGGCATCAGACTTGGAATTGAGCTCTCGCTGTTGTTGGATTTGAGTAGTCAAAATACTCTTTTGCTCAAGCAACCCTTCAACACGACTTTGAAGACCATCAACACCAGCAGTGAGGTATGAGAGTTGTTCCTGCAGGCCGCTCTTAGACGAGTCAGGCGGGGGAGGAAGCGTGGGCCCGCGAGAGAGCCCAGACTGGCCCACAATATAATGCAGTCGAGCGTTGACCTCTCCAACATGTTGTGTGGTGCCTTCATCGGACTCGATCTCGCGAGAGGCACTCGTTGGATTTGCAATTGGATTCGAGCGTAGCATGCCCATACCATTTTCAATATATGCTAGATACGCCTCAACTGTTGCGGTAGGGTTGATTGGTCCTCCATTGGTAGATGGCTGAGGGATAGGCTCAAATTCATCGTCGGGGTTGGCCTGTAAGATCATATCACGCATGCGTTCACTCAAAGCTTCCAATTTCCTCTCGGTGTTCTGAATGGCCTCGACGCCAACAGCCATGGACCCCGAACCATTGTGGTGGTCCAATCCTCCCTTACCAAGTCCACCAAATTCGTCGAAATGGTCTGTCGTCTTGTATAAACTCCGATCGTCGAATTCATGCGTGTGGCCATTGCCATTTACGTTATCTTCATACTCCAAGCCATTGCTTTTCGGGTTTTTCTTCAAACCCTTGTGGGTCATCTGCAGGACACCAGCGGTGTGTTCCAATAATCTCCGCTGTATATTCTGTACCCTGCGCTCCAACTTCCAAAGCTCCAGGGAAAGGTCCTCGCATTTGCGAACGCTCACGGCCAGCTCCTCATCCGTCTTATCAGCGGTGCCGTTGTTTTTATTGTGTCCGAACAAACTCCTGCGGCTACTGCGGCGAGATTTGGGCGAGCCTGCACCGTCGAATTCTTCACTTGTCCGGGGGCTTTGAGGAGTATACAATCTGTTGAGCGACTTGGCGGCATCGCGGAGTTTCGTTTCCAACGCTAATTTCCGTCTAGTGGATTCCACGCGACCGGACAGAAATGTGTACTCTTTCTTCAGTTCCTCCACTTCCTCCAAAGAGAGAATCTCATAGTTCACACTGTCACCCATGGCGGTTTCGGTCAGGAGATACATGGTCACTGGGTCATTGGCGTTGAGCAAGGCCGAACTTCGTGGATGCGCAGCGTTTAGCTATAGGCAGAAGAACCAACAGTTAGTCGCATGCCATGTACAGCAGATTTAAGAGATTAAATACCGGGTTGTAACGCCCTTTCCCTCCATCTTGAGAGTCCAGATCATCGCGGTAGCCATTTATGAGTGCCTTGGCTGGAGGCGGCGGAGGAGCCCCAAAGGAGGCCTGAGAGAGGTATCTGGGATCCCCGTAGGAAGACTGGCTGGATCGAAGGTCGTTCATATTCATTTTGAAAGATCAAATCAAATAAAAAAGGAGATAACAAAAAAAGGAAATAAATGTAGCAATCAAGTCCCAAAAGATCACGATTGCAGGCGGGGAAGGATTTCAAGAACAGCCATCACCAATACATCATGAAGCATGCGTCGTCAAAAGCGATATCTAAAAAAGAAGAGAAAACAAGAAAGGAGAAGAGCAAGATCGAGAAAGCGTCGAAGCGTCCAACCGGGGAACGGGTAATAATTTGGATGGACAGAGACGGTGGATAACTAAAGACGACCGGCGGGGAGAAGGAAAAGGGAAGAAATCAGAAAAAGAAACGAGGCCAAACGATCTGCGGTTTAGAGGCTGCGTAAGAAGCGATGCGATTGGAATGCACCGGGATAAGACTCTACATTGATCTATCCAAAAGGATTCAAGAGCAGAAACGATGAGAGAAAAGCGATAGATGAGAAATGAGAGATGAGATCCATTGTTTCCCGTCTTTGTGCCTTGAAGGTATACACAAGGGCGGGTGAACAAGCGACTCTCTCCCAACCACCGGGACGATCCAGTCCTGGTGGTTGGTGATGTTCTGGAAAAGGAAATGAGCGACTGGCAGAGAGGTTTTTATATATCTTGAGACCCGAATGTCTTCAGAATTAAATAGATGGGATATTATCATCACCACCCCTGGTTCCCCAGATGCTGCTGATGATGTACACAGCTGCCAAGGAACAGGTCTAAATGCCCCTGAAACACTGCATTCTCCACCTGGCGACTCCGTAGTGTTCTCATTTTTATTCTTCCGGAGTAGATTATTCTGACGGCAGCCGATGATGGTGGAGAGGATCACGGTGGGAAGATGGATCTATCCAGACTTCCAGAATGATCGGTCTGACGCCTTGCTTTGGATGGTGATAATTGTCGACGCATCTTCGATACGTCATAACAAGGGGATACAAATCCATCGCCTACATGACAATATGCAGATGGAATAGGCACGGAATATTAGCATCAGATAGCAACCACTAGGAAATAACCCTGACTGATAGACAGGCCCAAATATTGAGACGGATTCATCCCAAAATTGATCGAAACCGGAGGGTTACAGCCAATACAACCAACCCCGCAGGTCTTGTCGTCGTACACATGGCGATAGCCTCGGGGATTGGATCACATGGAGCTGGCCAAAAAAATAAGATGTTGGGATGCTGTAACTACATGAAATACTGAAGATTCCTTATTTTATTTTATTTTTTCTTCTTCCTCTTCCTCGTCTTCTCCTCTTGTCTCTTCGTGGATCATGGTGTCGATATGAATCCAAAACACCAAGAGGAATCCCACGATGAGGTTCCCACAGCTGTTACTTACCGAGTCTACAAACGACGATTTTGGGGGCTGGCGCAGTTGGTTTTGTTGAATATCGTTGTCAGCTGGGATGTACGCAGATAACCTTGAATAACCTCATGTACCTTATACTATCTAGGTACTAATTTTGATAGTGGCTTACCTTTTCCTCTATATCCACCACTGCCGCCGAGTATTTCCAAGTGTCCGAAAGCAGTGTCAACTGGATGAGCACTGGCTATCTCTTTGCCTTTTGTGCCGCCAGCCCGTGAGTATCCTATACAGAACTTCTTGACTTTGATATCACACATACTAAACCTCATCTCATCCAGCTTCGTGATCGTGACCCTCAACAAAGGCGGTCCTAAACCCGCCGTCGTCACCACCTCTGCGCTCTTGTTAATCGGAAACTGGATCCGATATGCCGGAACAAGAGCGAACGGGGGGATCTTTGGCCTCGTCATGTTTGGACAAATCCTCACTGGTTTCGCGCAACCATTCTGTCTCAGTGCCCCGACAAGATATAGCGATCAGTGGTTTTCAGATCGCGGACGCATCAGTGCGACGGCAGTGACAACCTTGGCTAATCCTCTAGGTGCAGCGTTGGGCCAGTTGATTGACTCGGCGTGGGCAACGAAACCTAGTGAGGTTCCTAATATGGTCCTATACATATCGATCATTGTAAGTCACAATCCAGAAGGAGAGGGAGAAAGAGACAGACAGACTAACATCACAGGCAACCGTTGCTTCGATACCCTCATTTTTCCTCCCTGCGAAACCTCCAACACCCCCCAGTGCATCGTCAGTGACGACCAAAACGCCTCTGATACCCACCATCGCCCAATTACTCAAAACCCTCGAGTTCTGGCTCATCCTCATCCCCTTCTCCATCTACGTCGGTTTCTTCAACAGCGTCTCCTCCCTCCTAAACCAAATCCTCTCCCCCTACAACTTCTCCGAGACACAATCCGGCATCGCAGGTGGCATCCTCATCATAGTAGGCCTCATCAGCTCCGCCATCCTCTCCCCCATCACAGACCGCTTCAAGCACTACCTCGGAACCATCCGAGTCTTGGTCCCCATCATCACAATCTCCTACATTGCTCTCATCTTCGCCCCGTCCAGTCCAGCCGGTATCCCCCCGTCGTACGTAGTCTGTGGTCTGCTCGGTGCGTCCTCGTTCGCTCTCCTCCCCGTCGTTCTCGAGTTTCTTGTCGAAATCACCTACCCCTTTTCTCCAGAGATCGGGAGCACCATCTGCTGGACTGGCGGGCAGTTACTCGGTGCCGTGTTTATTCTCATTCAGGACGCCCTCAAGGCTGGCTCGGGGGCTTCTCCCCCGCAGAATATGAAAAATGCACTGATTTTCTCCGCGGTGGTTTCGGTCGTGGCAGCGCCGCTTCCGATCTGTATTGGACTGTTTGGACGAGATGTGAGACGGCGCCGGTTGGATGCTGATAGGGGCGTAGGATTAGAAGATGTTGTGGTTGGATCTGACGACGACAGCAGTACGGGGTTAAATCGTGGCCCTGCGGATCGTGGCTCTAGCACGGTTGACACAGGCGTTGGTTCTTCCTCTACTCCGAAGGGGTTATAAAAATTATTCTTTCCCTGGAGATCCCTAAAAATTGTTTAAGTGGCTTGTTATGGATATGACTTGGATTGATTCGGTCAATGCCATTTTGGGCTTTTGCATGATACCATTTTTGTTATCTTTGTGATGTTTGTTAGTATTATATATATCATTTGAACTGTTGTGTTGCCAGCAAACTTTATGATCAGACCAACACAACTTCAACTAGACTATAAAGTCGCTATCAGAGCAGACAGAATGAATCTAAGCAGGAAAGTGAATTCGTTCTAAACAAAACAAAGGAATTAAAAAGCACAGTTTCAAACAGGCACGGACCAGCTATCTGTACATACAAGGCGAAGGACGTAAATCTCCCTTCCTTGAACTCAACAGCCGACAATACAACAGGCCAATACCCCCATTTCATGTCGTAACTATTGCAATCACATTAACGGCAGGCTTGCAAGAGAGTATTGCAGCCATCGAACTTTTTTTCCTCGTCGCTCTCCCCCACAAATTCTCTTCATGTATGATCGAGATGGTCAATACGTGACGGGTCGTGTGTTTCGGGTATTCGTAATTGAACCATTGAAAGGAACGTGGCAGGATTCATTCAGCGCGATGAGAGTCATCTATTTGAGGGACTTCCAGAGCTTGGGGGCGGCACATGCGGTCGCACAGTGGGCGAGGTGGAAGACTGAAAGAGTCGGTGTTAGTCTGATCCGGGACGATATTGAATATCACACAAAGTCACGATTGGATTGGACACAAGATATCCATTTATCGCGAATAATGGGATTGCACTTACACTCCTCAACACAGTCCTCCTTGGGGCCCTTGTAGTCCTCATCTTCTTGCTGCTGGGTTACGCGCTCAACACACTCCTCGAAGTGGTGCTTGTACGGGGCGCAGTGAGCAGAGTTGGCGCACTCTATAGATTGATCAAGTCAGTGACTGTTCAATCCTAATTGAATCGAGATGCATGGCGGAATGGGTGTGTGTCAATGGGTTCGATAGTGGATGCCCGAAACGGACAAGTGGATGGCGTTCATCCGAGATATGAAGCGACAATGGAAACCCAATACTCATAAAGAATTGAATTGATGAAAAAGCGACTCACCCTCCTCCAGCTTAGGCTTGATGTCTTCGGGCTCTTCTGCCTCCTCCTCCTCCTCTTCTTCCTCCTCTTCCTCTCCTTCCTCTTCCTCAGCCTCGGCCTCGGGCTCCTCCTCAGACTCAGCAGGAGTCTCCTCAGCAGGCTCCTCAGTGCTCTCAGCGCTCTCTTCAACCTTCTCCTCAGTCGCGGCAGGCTTCTCCTCGGCCTCGGTCTCCTGGCTGCTGGGCTCCTCGACGTTCTCGGCAGGAGCCTCAGCCTGGGCCTCGGGGAAACCGAAGGAGGAGATCACGTCGGAGAAAAAATCGGTGAGACCCATTGTGAATCGTGTAAATTGGTCGATTGAGGTGACTGGAGGGCCTGGGATTCCAAAGTGTGGGGTGGCAGTGGCAGCAACGAGCAAGAGTTGACGAGGGTGGTGGTTTTACGAAGCTCTGGCTCTGCCGTCCAGGAAAATCGGAACACCCCGGCCGCCGGCGATTCAATTATCGCACACGTGATTGGTCGAGCGCTTCACGACTGCTTAACGGGGGAACCTCGAGGATATGATTTTGCAATCAACTATCTGATGCCTTTGATTTCATGTTTTTACGATTAACTGCCCTTTGGTGACTGGAATTACTTGGTTCACTTGCTGGAAGACTCGTGTGTTCTATTTTAAATCGTCTTAGTGATCGCTATTGTATGAATCATTCGCTAAATGTACATGAGAACCCTCAATTCCTCGAGCATGTCTCGAGACAAAGCAAAAAAGGGGAAGGTAAGCAACAAAAAATGAGGAGAAAAGCGACAGATAAACGAGCTGTTTGCCGATGAAGCCCGATCCTCACTTTCCGAAATTCTTCGGTAATACCGCATCAACTAGCACGGCGCAGCCTCTCCTCCAGTTCGTGAGCAACACTCTGTTGCTGAACCTCTTCATATCCCGGTGGCGGTTCTGAAGGCTCCGAACCTGTCTCTGGAGCAGCCCGCGCACGTGGTGACACAGATGGACCTTCGTTACAACTGGCACTTGGTGTGTCATTGCGTGGGCCATCATAGGCAGGCAGCTCGTCTAGATGGATGGCAGACATATCAACAGAACTTTGGCCCCGAGAACTTTCTGTGGATATTTCAACGGCTTGTTGGAGGCGTTCCTTGATACGCTCAAAATGATTGTGGAAGTCGAAAGCTCCCCCTTCCTTAAACGTCACTTTCAACTGGACAGCAGGCAACCCAGGAGGAATTCCTCCACCGGCAACCGGCTGGACGAGAGCCATCCACACATTTGGACCAAAAAATGGAGCCGAAACATGTGTATCGTGTACGTTGAGAAGTGGCGCGGAAAATGACTGGAGGTCTTTTGCTTTCTGAGAGGGAAGATAGACAACCTGATGACAACATATCAGTGAGTGATTCTTGAGCTCTGGAAAAGATCACCATACCCGCTGGTTTGTGAGGTGTATTTGACCGGCGCTGCACTGGACTGATAGAGATTCATTGCCTTTATATGAACTGAGTGGTTGCAAGGAGAAACTTGTCCTTGGCGGGGATGTATATATCAGCTGTTCATTGGGAAGACGAACGAAGGCATCGCGCTCATGAAGCATCACCCAGCTGTTCACTCATAATTAGAATTTACTTCCCACTGGATACTGATGCATCGTATAATATACATTTTGAAGAGAATCAAAGAGCATGAAGGGAAGTAAAGAAGGTGGGTTCGGAAGCAATAGATGCAAACGGAGAACCCTCCCACGTAGAACAACCTGATGCAAGATATATGTACAGCATGGAAAATCAGGGTTGAAAGGGTGGGGGGTCATCCACGTACTTGATCGACATCTTGATAGTAGTAGACACAGTATGTGAGGCGACCTGGTAGGGATATGAGGGGAATATGCTTCTTCCAACAAGACCGGTGGTGATGCTAATCAGAAAGTGATAGGATCAGCAACAGAAGGACGTAAGGACCCAATGGTGTTGATAGCTGACGGCCTTACACCCTATTGCACGAGAGGTCTGCTAGCCAAAACTGGGCTATCAGCTGCAGGAGACAAGTCGAGACTAGCTGGCGATACACAGATCAAGCACCGCCGATAATTTTAATATATCAAGCTCGAGCACAGGAGCTGTCAGGAGATCAGACCCGCTGGATGCAGTTGCTGTTATCTAGTGTCCGCGTTTAAAGGGTGCAATTTGGAGGGATTTGACCGAATGAAGGACCGGGTTCGCTGAAATCGAGCACCCAGATCAAAAAGCAAGGACAGAAACCGTCTGACGATGCAAAAGACGAATATTTCCACAATAAAAAAAAAAAAAAAAAAAAGGGCTGGACTGATACTGGCTGGACCTGGTCGTGGTGAAGCTCGTAACGAAGGATTTGAAGGGGTCTTCGCGGGGCAGCAGCACGTCAGGCGGGGGAACCAACCAAACTGGGCCATCGGGACAGACGGCAGCACCGAAGAGGATCACCACTGAAGATCATCAGTTGATAATGTTGGAGCGATGATTTATGATGATCTACGACTGTTTACTAGAGTCATAAATTAATTAGGATTTAGGATGATTGATTTCCTAAAGGCTGGAAGCAGTGTGCCTGAATGCTATGGCAAGACGGGTAAGAATGATACCATGGTGAAATTAATAGACGGCATCCAAGCATCATGATAAACAGACAGAACCAGGGGTTTTATCTTATGCCAGAGATCCTGCAGGTGCTCCCATCCCCAATAAGAACAACCCAACAGCCATGTTAGCCATGTCCATCGCCTTGGCGTGGGGGAGATGGATGGACTGTTGAAATGCATGCTGCCGTACAATATGCTGTATCAATACCATGATGCCGTCTGTGCGTCTGGTAGCAGTTGAGGTATCCGAGCCCAAATCAATAGAATGTACCCGATGTGTCCATCTTTCGACTCTGTTGTCCAAGTCAAGATCGCAGTATCGGAATGTTGAGAACGATGGGTCAGAAGATGATCAAATTATTCGAAGATCCCAAACCGATGGAGTAATACCATAACATTTGGCAAAGCAGTTCTCGCACAGACGCAACACGATCCATGGATGGGGAGAACCGGCAGCTTCAAGCTCTCTCTCTCGCTCCCGAAGAAATCAACAACTCGCCGCTCTCGCGTCATGATTGCGAATAACCATCGCTGGTGATGTCTTAAAACTGCCGTAGTAAACTGTCGATGGACAACCCATTTATATATATCTTGTAGACTGTTCTCTTCCCATTCTGACTGCGGTAAAATTGCAAAGAAGCCGGTTTTGGCCTGCAAACTTGGCCGGTTTTGTTTGGCCGGTTCTAGAAGCGTCGCCGCAAAACCGGCGGAAAACCGTCCTTCCAACGGCTGCTGCAGGTTGCCCCCACCAAAAAATATTACATGACATTGATGCTCTCCTTCACATGTTCCCTTTCTCCCGACCGGTCCTGTCTGTATCAGTGACGACCTTCTCAGTTTGACTTGACCCGGTCTATTCGAGCTTACGGTCACTATTCCACGTGGTGAGTAGCTACAGTACATCCATTCTCAGAGAACCGGTCTTTTGGACTAATCTTAATGTTGTTTTGGAACAATAGTGCTCAGAGTGGCCCATGTCCCGTTCAATCGCAACGCGTGCTTTCCTACTTTATTAGAACACAAAATCTATCTGACTATCCTTGCCCTTGATTCGGTTGCATCTTCCATCGGTCGGTGACCATTGGGTCATCCACGACACCAAGACTGAGAGTATACCGACTTAGGAGTCCGCTTTCCCTACGACATCATGGGTGCAAAACAGCCAAAGATCCCTCCCCTTATCGGGTGGCTATATGACCTTGTCTTATGGTCATTCTCCGTGCTTATTGATCTTTTCTTCCGCGAGGTACACCCGCGCGGTTCTTGGAAAATTCCTCGACGGGGTCCGGTCATTATTGTCGCAGCTCCTCATGCGAATCAGGTATGGATGAGAATTTTTTGCTTGTCCCTGTGCTGCATAACGGCGGGTGGGGCTAATCCCATTATTGAAGATCATTTACTCACCGTCACTTCTGTTCATAGTTTGTCGATTCATTAGTCCTTATGCGTGTTATGCGCGGCGAAGCGCACCGTCGCATTTCATGGCTCATTGCGGAAAAGTCATTCAAGCGCAAGTTCATCGGATTGTTGGCACGGGGAATCGGTACTGTGCCGGTGGCCAGGGCTATGGATAATATGAAATCTGGTGTTGGAACAATCTATCTACCGGACCCGGTCAACCAACCTACCCTGATACGGGGAGTCGGCACCAACTTCGAAGGACCTGAATACGAAAAAGAAGGAATAATTGCTCTCCCCAAAATCAATGGAACATCGCACAATGCAGCCATTGCTGAAATTCACGGCCCGGAGGAATTGATCCTAAAGAAGCCGTTCAAAGCCAAGGATCCACTTTACCAGCTTACCGGAAGGAAGGACATCACCGATGATGGGAAGTTTACGGGAGACGCATATGATAGGGACACACCCAGTTTCAAGGGCTCTAAATTCAAGGTCTCCCCTCATGTGGATCAAACGGCTGTGTACGAAGCGGTATTTAGCAGACTCAATGCTGGCGGGTGTGTTGGTATCTTCCCAGAAGGTGGTAGCCATGATCGTTCCGATCTGCTTCCTCTCAAAGGTATTGCCCCATTTGTTGCACTGTTTGGCCCGCTTTTACTCTTACTAACTCGTTTGTAGCTGGTGTGGCTTTGATGGCTCTTGGTACATTGGCTGATAATCCAGACTGTGGCCTGAAAATCGTGCCATGCGGAATGAACTACTTCCATGCTCACAAGTTTCGATCAAGGGCCGTGATTGAATTTGGAACTCCTTTTGAAGTGCCCAGGGAACTGGTGGATCAGTATAAACGCGGAGAACGACGAGAGGCTGTCGGCGCATTGCTGGACATCATATATCAGAGTCTGGTTGCTGTTACTGTGACCAGCCCAGACTACGAGACCCTAATGGTTCGTGCTATGCGCTTTTCAAGCAAAGTTAAAATGACTAACCAGATTTAGGTTATCCAAGCCGCGCGTCGTCTCTATAACACCAAAGGAAAGAAACTCCCGCTCCCAATGGTAGTTGAGCTCAACCGTCGCCTTGTTAAAGGCTATACACACTTCAAGGATGATCCCCGAGTTGTACATCTCCGAAAGTCCATCGTGGGATATAACAAGCAGCTACGCCTCTTAGGTATCCGAGATCACCAAGTGGATTACGCGACATTCACCTTCATCCAGGTCATCGCTACTTTGATTTATCGATTGGTTAAAATGGCTCTTCTCACAATTGGAGTTTTGCCAGGTCTGCTTCTATTCGCACCTGTCTTCATCGCAACCAAATCTATCTCGATCAAGAAATCAAGGGAAGCATTGGCAGCCTCCACGGTGAAGCTGCAAGGGCGCGATGTTATGGCAACGTGGAAGCTCCTCGTTGCCCTTGCATTTGCCCCTGCAGTCTATGCATTTTACACGGCAGTTTTCACTTACTGGACGTACCGCAACCGTATTGAAGGACTTGTTCCAAACTGGGTGCCGCTTTGGATTATTGTGCCCCTTGGCATGGGCTTGTTCCCGACCATTACCTTTGCGGCCCTTCGGTTTGGCGAAATCGGCATGGATATTCTGAAATCCCTGAGACCCCTTGTGTTATCACTGAATCCTTCTTCGGCAAACAGCCTGGTCAGGCTTCGCCAGAAGCGCGCCACACTTGCACAACAAGTCACTGATGCTATCAATACCCTGGGCCCAGAGTTGTTCCCTGACTTTGACGCTGCACGTATTGTTACAGATCCTTTCCGTGAAGTCAGCCGCCCGTCGGGTGATACGTCACTACCCGAGATCAGAAGGTCTACCACGAATTTCGGAGAGGGATCTGCTTCTCAAGAGCCGCTTCCGCGCAACGAGTCGTTCCACAATCTTGCCAATATTGGCTTCTTCTCCACGCGACCTCCAAGTCGCAGCCGCAGCCACAGCCGTAGTAGCTCGTTTGACGGACGACCTGGCTCGTCAGGATTTGGCTCGTTGGGACATCAACTGAAGCCGCTGAGCCAGTTGAACTCCAAAGATGGCCTGGAAGAAGTCAGCTCGAAGATCCGTGATGCCATGAGAGAACGTGGCGAACGTCGCCGCAGACGAAGCGAAGATAGTAGTAGCTGGGATATGGCCAGCTCTGGCACGAGAACACCGTCCAGTGATGGACACAGAAAAGACATTTAACCAAGTATAATCGAATACCCCGACCCTTTCTAACCGTTTTCCCCGTATTATAGCGGCGGTGTTTGGCGTTGCATTATTGTACTCAAGTCCATTTATTTCTATGTTTATTTAAATAATAAAATAAAAACCTGTGTTATAATTCTTTTCCCTAATTTCATGTCAAAGAGTAAATGCCTGTATCCGCCATGTATTTTTGCGGCTGCCAAGCCTTGCCATTCCATACCAAAGTTACACGTGGGCCAGCCATACCGTCGGACGAAATAAGTACATCATCGCCATCTCGTCGTCGCAACTCTCGACCCACTAGTTCTGGGGCTACCTGGCTTTATATTTATCATCTCATCCTCTCTGTCCTCTCAGACCACTTTGTCGATCAATTGCATCGGTGTTTCACGCCTCCCAAGCTTGTCTGCAGCGGACACTGCCCTATCACAGCCAGAATTAGAACCTATGCCGAGGTGACAAGGAAGAGAAAAAACGACAAAAACGGTGTAGCCTGATGGACATAGCCTTGCCAGACACCTTCATTGCCTTTCATCTCTAATCCGCCAGCTGGCCATTATCTTGATTGAAAACAGCAAACTTGATAACTAACCTGTTGATCCGGATTGAGCTCACATTCGACCCCTGCTGCCTCCTTAACACGAATCCTCCTCCTTCCCTTCATCCCCCTACGATCGATATTACCGGATCAAAAAACGGTCTGAGCTACTTATCATCTACAACCGAACATCATGGCTACGTCTATGCACTTATCTCGACTCCGGAAATGGTTCCTTGCATCGCCTCCGATCGAATTCGCTCTCTCGAACCTTCGCGAGCTGCTGGTTGGGGCGCTTCGGCAGGGCCCCGTTCCACAACATGTTGCATTCGTAATGGACGGTAATCGGAGATTTGCCAGGACGCATGGTATTGAGACGGTGGAGGGCCATAATTTGGGGTTTGAGTCTCTGGCACGGGTAAGATTTCCCCTCCCAGACACCCCCTAAGCTACAAAAAAGCGGAGTGATTTGGATTCGCGTTATTTCGTTGGCACGGCATTTCAGGACGCTGACAGTCTATGGTTCTTTAGGTCCTTGAAGTTTGCTACAAAAGCGGAGTAAAAGTGGTCACCATCTATGCCTTCAGTATTGAGAACTTTAAGCGTTCGAAATTCGAGGTGGACGCTCTGATGGAAATGGCCAAGGTTAAGCTATCCCAGATGGCGCAGCATGGAGACCTTCTCGACCGTTATGGAGCCAAGGTTCGCGTGTTGGGTCGACTCGACTTGCTCAAGCAGGATGTTCTTGATGCAGTTAATCGGTCAGTGGACATGACGAGTCGTAACGGTGACCGAGTGTTGAACATATGTTTCCCGTATACATCGCGGGATGAAATTACAAGTGCCGTCCGAGATACTGTTGCCGACTACAGCACGCCTCTCGAATCAACCCGCTCATCGTCTAATACGCCACGAACACCGTTTTCAGAGTCTCATATCGCTCTCAACATCCGAGCCCAGTCAAACAACACAAAATCGCAAGATACTCACAGTGATGCCGAATCAGTTTCGGGGTCTTCGAGCCACGGTGATGACGGGGCTAGCAAGAATAGCCCAAACAAGGTCTATGAGTCAGGTTCTTCCTTCTCTTCCTCTACAACCCTTCACCTTGGTGGGCATCCCGATGCCCATTCTGGAAAATCTTCGCCCCCGGAAAATAATGCCGATACGGAAAAGCCGGTTTTCGTTTCACCAGAAACAATCACTCGCCAAACATTAGAAGATCACTTGTTCACCAAAGATAATCCGCCTCTGGATCTGCTCATCCGTACGTCTGCGGTGGAACGTCTAAGTGATTTTATGCTCTGGCAATGTCATGAGAACACGGAGATTGTTTTCTTGGATGTTCTGTGGCCTGAATTCGATCTGTGGCATTTCCTCCCAGTTCTCCTGGGATGGCAGAGACGGATCTCAAAGTCGATGAAGAACCCCGACGCCGAGGGAAATTTTGCTGGTGACACCCCCGAATCTGGGGAAGATGAAGCAGACGGAACGATGCTTCATCAGTACGCAAAGCCCAAAGCATTGTAAATCAACTTATACGTGATATCTCGATACTGTCCTGTCTTTATGATTTCGACCTAGCATAGAGCAGTGGGGGAGTTTTTGGAGTTTGCTTCCGCAACTGACTTGATATCCTCTTTTATTTTCTTTACAATTATCTTTCCACGTGCATTTTGCCATGTATATTAATCTATCTTTGCATTTATTCCAATAATGAAAGCGATATTATGCATTCATCAGGCTCCGATACCGCCCGTCGATCGGGCGGGTGCGACTCACGTGACGCTGACTCACCACACAGTGCGGCGGGGAAGGCTACGTCGAGGGGGTCGAATGGAGATAAAGTCTTGCTTTGGAAATTAACACATCTTCTTGGGGAGTTTAGTCTTCATATATCGTCACAATGGTCAATCAAATTGCTGGTTCCAAGGTCCTTCTGCTGGGCTCTGGCTTCGGTATGATCTATACCCCCCTCTGATGCCGTCAGGGCGATGAGAGTCTTGCCCCGCATTCGGCGTGTTTTTTGTTCGCTGACCTTGTTTCGTGTAGTCACCAAGCCTACTGTTGAGGTTCTCAGCAAGGCTGATGTTGAGGTTACTGTTGGTAAGTGCCAATTGGCTTCCTGTAGTCACCTCAAAGGTGCATATAGGCTAATATCGAGTGCATTATAGCCTGCAGAACTCTGCAGAGTGCCGAGAAGCTTTGCGAGGGCTTCAAGAACACCAAGGCCATTTCTCTCGACGTCAGTGATGATGCCGCTCTCGACAAGGCCCTCGAGCAGGTCGACTTGGTCATCTCCTTGATCCCCTACACCTACCATGCCCTTGTCATCAAGGGTGCTATCCGTACCAAGAAGCATGTCGTCACCACCTCTTACGTCTCTCCTGCCATGGAGGAGCTGAACGAGGAGTGCAAGAAGGCCGGTATCACCGTCATGAACGAGATTGGTTTGGACCCTGTATGTCTGGCGGGATTTAATGAAGTGTTTGGATTTTGGTTACTAACATCTTGTGTTAGGGTATTGACCACTTGTACGCCGTCAAGACCATCTCCGAGGTACATTATCCCCTCTCAATATAATGCTGTTAGAGCAAGAGTATGCTGACTGCGTTTGATAGGTTCACGCCGAGGGTGGAAAGATCACCTCTTTCCTCTCCTACTGTGGTGGTCTCCCTGCCCCCGAGTGCTCCGACAACCCTCTGGGTTACAAGTTCTCCTGGTCTAGCCGTGGTGTGCTCCTCGCCCTCCGCAACGCTGCCAAGTTCTACAAGGACGGCAAGGAATTCAGCGTTGCCGGCCCCGACCTCATGGCCACTGCCCAGCCTTACTACATCTACCCTGGCTTCGCCTTCGTCGCCTACCCCAACCGTGACTCTTGCCCCTTCCGCGAACGCTACGAGATCCCCGAGGCTCAGACTGTCGTCCGTGGTACCCTCCGTTACCAGGGCTTCCCCGAGATGATCAAGGTCCTGGTCGATATCGGCTTCCTCAGCGACGAGGCTCAGGACTGCTTCAACTCCCCCATCGCCTGGAAGGAGGCCACCCAGAAGGTTCTGGGCGCCACCTCGTCCAGCGAGAAGGACCTCGAGTGGGCCATCTCCTCCAAGCACACTTTCGCCAACAACGAGGAGCGCAACCGCATCCTCGGCGGTCTCCGCTGGATCGGTCTCTTCTCCGACGAGCAGACCATCCCTCGCGGCAACCCCCTCGACACCCTCTGCGCTACCCTCGAGAAGAAGATGCAGTACGCCCCCCACGAGCGTGACTTGGTCATGCTGCAGCACAAGTTCGAGATCGAGCACAAGAACGGTGACAAGGAGACCCGTACCAGCACCCTCTGCGACTTCGGTGTCCCCGGTGGTTACTCCGCCATGGCCAAGTTGGTCGGTGTCCCCTGTGGTGTTGCCGTGAAGTTGGTCCTTGACGGCACAATCAACAAGAAGGTGGGTTGCTTGCAGAAGCTCCTGTTATATCTATTGTCAAGAGTCAAACTAACATTATATCCTAGGGTGTTCTTGCCCCCATGACCATGGACATTTGCGGTCCCCTTCTCAAGACCCTCAAGGAGGACTACGACATTGAGATGATCGAGAAGACCATTTAGATTTGTCTTTTAAAAAATTTAAATCTAGTTACGAAGGAAGAATGTAACGAACAAAAAAGTTCAGGAATATAAATAGTTTAGAGAGCATCATTTCTATCATCCAAAACGTAGTCATTTCATGCTGTTCATTTCAGGGTACTGTAAGCCCGAAGGGATACTAAGCTTTCTTTCTTTACATATCTTGCTTTCATCATAGGAATTTCTCTATCGTGGAATCGTAGAACCATATCCGTAACCATGAGGTGATAAGGCTGAGCAAAACGAATGGGATGAACCAAGTGACCGTTCTCGAAACAGAAAGACAGTCCATATCTAAATTCAGGCGTCAATTTTCCAGGACACATTGGTGAAGACAGGAACTTCACTGGTCGAACCCAAAGGTTTCAAGCATCAAGTTTCCAAAGTGTTGTGCATACGATTAGAGAATAGTGCCAAAACTACACCGACAAAAGGAATCAAGAAAAACATCAGTAACTGTATCCAAGAAAATAACGCATGGGATCTGGAAGGATAATAATGTGAGGAAGCAATTAGCTATTAAGCAAGACAAGGCAACATACCCGAAAGTTTGCTTGATGCTGCGGACATAGTACACGTCCCAGTTCTGTTTGGTGACATCTTCCTGGCCAACGGGGACGCCAGTCCAGGTCACGCGCATCTGGGTGACACCGTCGACATCATTCTGGTCAAATTTGATTTCAAGTGTGCTGAAGTGACCCTCGGGCCACTGGGCCAGGCGCCACTTCTGCACGATGAGGGTGGGAGCCTCGAGCTTCACGAACTCTCCAGAGACATTGCCATCGAAGACGGAGAACTTTCCACCGACCTGAGCGCCGTCGAACTGACGAGGAGCTGCCCGGGTGAAGGCCGCGATACGCTGCGGGTCGGTGAAGGTGTTGTAAAGTTCCTCAGCAGTAGTACGGAACTCATCAGATCCGTTCACAGTGGTGGTATTGACAGCAACCTTATTGGCTGTGGTGGTGGTGGTGGTCTTAGGGGCAGCCTCCTCCTTCTTAACGGTCTGTGGGTGAACTGTGGCGGCAGCAAAGCCGCTGGATGGGTTGACGCCAGGGGCATGCTGGAGGTCCTTTCCGTGCTCAGTGATCAAAGCCGGAGCAAGCTTGGCCAACTCCTGACGGAGCTGAGGAACAAGCTTGGACCGGACAAGATCCTTCACAGCCTGCTTAGAAGGCGAATCGGCGTGGTTTTCGATCTCGAACTATTACCCCGAGGAGACCATCAGCCAGAGTTCACCATTTTACGGGAGTATCTAAGGGAACATACAACGTACTCATCTTCCTCCGTGTCGTGGGCGACCTCGGGGATAGTGATGGTACCACTAACAGACTCTTCGTCCTTGGTCTTACCTGGCGACGGTCTTAGTAGTGCCTCTCTATAATGAAACACCGACCGCTCACAAACCTTGGTATTCTAGCTGCACCTTGACATCAAACAATGTGATGACCTTGTTCTTTCTCTGGCTGACGTCTACATCGCCATCCATTGTCAGTAGGCTATCAATCTTTGCTGTGGCACCATTCTCCTCCGCGGTCAGAACACAGAGGTTCTGCTTCAGATAGTCCTTGGCCCAGCCAGAGGCATCTTTATTAACCCAGTGCCAGTTGTTGGGGTTGTGGAGGACCATGATGACAGGCGGTAGCTAAGAGCTTGCTGTTTTGAGCTCTACGGAATGGGCGGGAAGAAAGAACTTCTTTCAACTTTCAATTTAGGTTCTGTTGTCAAGGACGTCAAATTAGCACATGTTCATCCTTGGTAATGCATTTTGTGAAGTTGGTGAAAGCCAATTGCTTATAATAAAGCATTTTCAGAGATCGCGGGTAGCGTTCCCGGACCTGAGCTAATCAGCAACAAGGATGGATCGATGATCCTCCTTCTCTGACTGGTGCCAGCTAGATAATCTCATCATATGAAAGGCTGTTCATGTCCAGTCGCGGGGCAATTGCATTGCCCACACTTAACCAGGACACGGTGGGGTGGAAGGAAAAAAAATGTGTCTCGAAATATGAACAGAAAAAAATAGACTTACAGTGACAAAAAGCAGATCCTGAATCAAGGATGCTGGAGATGAAGCAAATCAACCACGTTCGCTGCTGCAGGGGGAGGAGAAGCAGGAAGGAAAGTACCGTTGGGGAGGAGGAAGGGTTATTAATGCGTGGTTTGGGTTCTCCTCGGGGCAGATGAAGGAAAGGAAAAAAGTCGAGCAAAAGAGCCGGAAGGAAACCTCTAGAAGGCGTGGTGCGCACGTGACTTAGCCCCCCTTTACCAGCCCCAGTTATTATCACCATAAGCGATGGAAGAATTATGGAGAACACGGTCATGGATAAAACATTTTTAATTGAATCGAATTGAAATTGTTGCTTCATGCGATCAGGTAATATATAACGAACGAATATGGGTATCATCGATCACAAAAGAATCAGAAAATATCGCATCATTAACACATCGCACATCACGACGTAGTATCCTACTAGGCCTGCTCCAACTGCTCCAGGTCCTCCCAGCCATCCTCGGAGATGAGCTGCTCCTTTATAGCCTCTCGTAGATCCAGAATCTGTCCACCCAGAGCTTCAGTCCACTGGCATTCGACCGTAGCAACCTTGTCTTTCAGGTCAATCGTCAGGGCTCGCTCTTCGTCCGCACGAGACTCTTGCATCTCTCGAGAAACAGCATCCTTTGCCTCGCCTTGACGGATCCGTTCAGCCTCCATGAGCTTGCAATTGGCCCTCATGACAGCAGACTTCACTTCGTGTAAGAGGCAAAGCAGATTTGTCTGCGACTCAATGTATTGATAACTGGACTTCTCTGCATGCGAGAGCAACGTGTAGAGATACTGCAGTGGATGGCGGTGGTAGCTCGGGTTCTCCTCGTACTCGTTGGCCGGAATCTGAATCCCAGAGCCACCAAGGCCCTTTGGGATCTCCTGTATCAATGTAAGGAGCCCTGGGGCAATGTCCCAAAAGGCAGACAGCTGTATCTCCACACCTCGAACCACATTCTTCTCGATGACGTCCATGAAGGACTCGAGACGAGCGAGAGCATTTGTTTCATACTGAACGCGGCGGTCGAGAGCATCCTGAAAAAAGAATGCGTTTGTCTCTCGGACTTTGTCCTCATTTGGCTTCTGCTTATAAGGCAACATAACAACCGCTTTGTACTTTTCGTCGCGGTCGCTCACGAGATCGTACATTTCCCGGTGTAATTGCTCTCGGGCCTCAAACAACCACTTGAGCTGTGTGAGCTTTTCCAGAAGTTCCGGCTTTTCGTCACCTTCCTCTTGGGTCTGGTCAGGGGTTTCATGCCGTGCGTCGTCGAACAACCTGCTGCTGAGCTCATCAATGCACGCAGTAGCCCTGGAAATTCGATCCGTAAGGATTGCATGAATTGGCTTCATCACGGATTCCTGATAGGTATCCAGCTCTTGCTTTGCCAGCCCCCTTTCAAGCTTGTTTTCTTCGACAATCAGTGCCGCCTCCGCTTCTGCGGCTTCCGCAAAGGTAATACTACCCTCATGGATTTGATTCTGGATATTGGCTTTGAACTGCTGACGACCCTCTTTGACTCTTTCTTGGTGGCCCTGCGATAGACTATCCACCTGCAATTTATGATCTTGCCGCGTAGCTTTAATCTCGGAAAGGTCACTGATTGACCGAACTAACGTTCGATATGAAACAAGGTCTGGGTGACTGTTATTAACAGCAGGATAGTGTCGAGGGTAAGGCGGTGGAAGAGTAATAAGCCGTGAGATGTCCATTTTCGGGGGCTCTCTGGACCATCCCAGGTTACAATAGCCTGTTGTGGTTGGGGGAGGAGGCAAAGCAGGCTCCTCATGCCACCCGACCTTTTCAGGAGGGTATTCGTCAGGGCCATAAGCAGCATATTGGCCTGTCGATTTCATACCATGGCTCGCCTCCTCGGCGGTGAAAGAAGCTTGCCCTTGACCCAATTGCATAGCTTCGCGAGGCAAGCCCATATATTTCGACTCTCGTTTCGACCGGTGCACCTTCCGCTCACCTCCATCGCTGCTCGAACCAGTCCTCGACTCCCACCAGCGACTCGGCGCACGACCTCTCGAACTCATTTCATCGTTGCTCATACTAAGGCTTGCTATCGGAGACAGGCTTGGCTTGTAGTTACTCCACCAGGCAGACTCGGGTCGACTCTGAGGAATTCTTAGCATGGGAGCTCCCCCAGATATCTTTCTACCGAGAGAAGGCGGTGTTGACTGGATAGCTTCAGGCTCGGGCATCGGCTTCGACGGTGCCTCGAATAAACTACGACGCACGTCTTCCACGTCGAAGGAGCCTGAATCCCAAGCACCTGCATAACGTTCACGTCTTATTTGAGACTCCGTGACGACAAAATCGGCAAACAGTCTGAGAGCCTCTGCCTCGGTGACAGCCCTAGCCTCTTTTTCCACGAAGGATTTGTGTCTCTGTATAGCGTCTTGAACAAAACTGCTGTCCTGGTTGACAACAGAGTCCAGCGAAGACCGCTGTTTTGTCGGATCGCGATGAGGCGAGAGTGGAGATACCGTAGAAAGAGCTTCGTTGGGCAGATGTAGAATATGTGACACAGGGCGATCTTCTCCCCGGGCGAGACGAGAAGACGGCCTTCCGTCCTGTGCAGAATTTAGCGGAGGCGTTGGAAGCGCTTTCGGAGGCAGCACCTGTGACACCTCTTTGGCAAGCGCTGGAGAAGGCTGCTTCCCATCCGGTGAAAATGGCGGTGTTTGAGCAAATCCACGTGCTTGGGCCATGGGGCTTGGTTCCGCTTTAGGCGTCGAGAAAGAAGATCGACTTGAAAAAAGGCCGTTGGAAGAAGCTCTGGACCTAGATGTATGTTGTTGCCCATCCGATCCAAAGCTGTTATTGCTTCGGGGTGTGTGTCTAGTTGACGTTTGGTGTCGAGAGTTGTCGGGATTGTCATTCGAGTCGGCGAGTACGAGGTTCGATGGTCTCACCTGGTCCATTGCTTCGGCCCAAGGATTGCTGGTAGAGACGGCACTGAGTTCCTCACCTCCTTGGCCTTGTCTATTCCTGCGCTCAATTCTTCTTTCACGAATACCTTTGGCGCTAGGGTCTCGGACAGCTGGACTCCGGAAGAGGTTCCCCCCACCCGCAGATCTGAGAGACTCGCCTGAGTCCAACCCACGAAGAGATAAGGCTACTTCTGTCGTGTCAATGGTCAAAGGTGCTTTGTTCTTTCTCTGTCGACTCTCTGTTTCAGTAGAGCTTTCATCCACCCAGCCAGCTGGCGTTGGTGGAATGCTATCCAGGCCTGTTCCTAAGACAGGAGGGGGCCGCGTTCTTGTCCGAGCCGAAACCTGTGCATTACGTACGGAAGACTCCGGCGAACCATTTACACTATGCGACCTTGTAGTGCTAGGGGGTGGTCCGGGAGGTGGAGGTGGAAGTGGCATGCCTGGCTCCCAGTTGCGTGTTTGACTTGTGGCTCTCGATGATGAGCCCGGGTTACTCACTATAGGCCCTGCAGAAACAGCCCTTCTTGATCCCGGAGCACGAGTGAAATCATCAGCGACCAAGTGATTTTGGCTGTTTGATAACGGTTGTCGACCATCTTGCGAAACCATTATTTCCGGCCTCGGCCTTACTCCAGATGAAGATTGTTCAGAATATCCGTCTGTTCGGTTGTGAGACGACGATCTCGAGGACGGCATTCCTTGTGGTCGAGGTGGGGGGGGCGGTGGTAGTGACATTTGCCTATTATGGCCTGCATCGACCATCGAGAGCGGGCGAGTACGAGGAATTGGTTGCTGTCGATATTCTACCGCAGGCTCGACGCTAACATGCCGTCTTCCTTGATGGTAAGAGGGCACCGCACTTGGGGATGTCGAACCTATTCTCGAGGAACCCGGGGTTGTAGAATCTCTCTGCTGCTGCTGGCTTGGGGATGAATATGGCGGTGGGGGCGGTGATAAGGATACCTCTATAAAAGCTACGTTAGCTCCCGAAATAGACGCGAATAATACAATAGCTCGAGGCATTGAAGAAAAGAAAATGCGCCAACAGTAACTGACCTGAGTGTGACCCATGTTGCGGCGGTCGTGAAATCATTCGAACCATGTTATTTGACTGCGGATGGTGATACGCATTCTGTCCACTGCTCGGTGATGCACCGCTGACCGGACCCCAATCCCGAGGGTTGTAGGGGACATTGTACTGTCTAGAAGCCATGGGCGATGATCCTAACGCTGCACCTCCGGGGGAAGGGACACAGGGCGACTGGCCCAGTGTGAAGGGACTCGAAAGCGACGTGGTTGAAAGAGGCGTCGAGGCGTAACCTCCACCAAGCACAACTCCAAGTCCCTGGTACTGATGGCCGCTCAAGGAAGTCGTCAATGGAGGTGGCTGTACAGCATGCTCTCGACGACCAGGGGACGGTTGATTACTGATACTAGCTGGAGGAGTCGGCCAGCCAGGACGGTGATGGGTACTCAACGGCGGCTCGTCGCCAGCATTACTCGAAGACACCCAGCTACAACCGCTAACAATCAGTGACCCGTGGTTCTGTGAGTAGATAGGGCTGAAGGGGGGATGAAAATCAAAGTGTGGAGGGGGCTGCGCACCTATTCATACTGGCGGATATGTTAAGAGGTGACAGGGCATGAGGCCATGGCGAAAGCCGCGCGCAGCAGTGATCAGGAGCAAAACAGACACCTCGAGCCTACCAGACGCGAGAGGATTTCGAGGGGAGAATGAAAGCGCTGAAGATTTCTATTCTTTGCAACGCCCTAGTTCAGCCAGCCGCGGAGTAAGCGTGTGTACCAGAAGGAGAAATTGACCGTTCGACAAGCATCACTCGCCAGATCCACTGATTGTCTGATGGGAGACGAGATAAAAATGGAACACCAAAGCTGGCAGGCTGGGACCGTCAGTCGGGATGGGAACAAAGTCTGCAGAGTCACGAAGGGGTGTCTTCCACTTTCTGGGTGAAAGCTGCCCCCAAAATGCAACCTTTCCATGCTCATCACAGCCGGCGTGGTGTCGGCGCTTAAGGGCTCACGTTCTCGCTCTGTTAGAGGCCCATGACCCCCTGGCAGCCCCGCGCTCAAGGGCCGCGCTAGAGCCATCATCACAAGCGGGCTTTGCCAACATGAGGCATGATAGTCAAGATTGCCCGTGGTCAAACTCAGGCGTGCAGTAGGAGAAACATAGTGGAATGTTCCGTTGGATTGGCATTGGTTGGCAACAGTGGGCATCAACTGGACCACTAGGATACGAATGCTAGGAGGATCTAACGACAAGGAGCTACACCAGGATGTTATGGAAAAAGTAAAAAAAGGACAATGAAATGCTATTTTGGGTATATAAGCTCAGACTACTGCACTCTAAAAACCACACGGCTGGAGGCAAATTATTGCGTTGTTCATCCAGGCTGCGCTGCAGCCGTCTTGCGACCGAGGGATATTAAATGAGAGCAATTTCCTAAAGATAACTTGAGAGACGTTAGTATTAAATCATCCAACGTAATGTAATGAAAAATAATTGAGAAGACATGTCAGATAAGTGCCCTGTCACAGGCAGTGGTCATCAAGTTTAAATATTTATGTTGACCGTCGTGATTATAATAAAAGTAAATCATCATTGTAGGGGAGGGTTAAGCAAAAGGTGGATAAAACTCACTCTTACAGTTATCGAGAGATCGAAAAATTCTACAAAACGATCGTTGTTGGTGTCACATGTGGCGAACCCTGCAGAAACCCAATTAGCATCAAGCTTTATCGGGCATAGCATATGTAAACAAGATATTCTGACTGATCAGTCATGACAGTTTGTCGTCCTGGCCAGCAGAAGCCGACTTGGACATATGCTTGTCTTTTGTGTATGTCAAATCATCATTGGAAGGAAGGAGAACTGAGATTGGGCGCTCACATACACTGTGGTATTGCTGAATTCGCCATGTTGTGTTAATGGAATACGTCCATTACCTGCAAGCATGTCAGTAAACATGCAATAAACCCCGATCAAATATGAAGTTTGAGAGGTGTGAGTCAGAAAAGCATGAATGGTTAAAAAAGGATGTTGTCTGCATCGAAAACTCGAATAAGACTCGTCATCTAGGTAATCATCATTGTGGAAGGGGGGAGGATGTGGTTGAACTGGGGTGGTAATCACCTTTTGGATGGTGTACGAATGTGAATTTCCATAGAATTGGATTTGTGATGAATAACTACTGTTCGAGATGATTAGAATCAAATCAAATAAATTATGGATGCAATTGTGTTCCAGAAGCTAGATCTCAGTGGGCGAGGTTTTCTAGGCCTGCCGCAAAAAAGGCATATCCATCAAGACCGAACGTTTTTGTCTAAACGTCGTCGGAGCCCAGTGCCGCTTCATCTTTGAAATAGAAATGTGTCGGGTATAGGACTGAATATTCGAAATGCTTACCATTTTGAGAAAGGTGATCATGTTGGTCGAGACGAAGAGAAAAACCTGGTTCAAATTCTTGATACGAGTCAGTAAACATGTTTGCAAAGAAACTGAAGTCGTATAGCCGCGATAAACGTGAAGTTCAAGATCAGATTTAGCCATTTGATATCGTCAAAGACTCGAAAGCCTCAGTCGGTAATTTCCAGCGTATATAATACGAAGAGCATCATTTGAACAGGGGGACGAGAAAGAAAGTGTTTTACTCACAGTTGATAATTGTATGTCTCGTGTAGACCTGTGGAGAGAGAAAGTAACTGTAGAGTCAGTCCTAAGATGAAGGGTTAGCTTCATTCTGGCAAACAAATGTGTGATAACATCAGGAATGATGACAATCATATCAGACTGACGTGCAAAACCTAAGTTTCATACCCTGGAGGGGTCAAAGACTCTAGTTTGTAAAATGGTTGTAGGTAACATCATGAAGGGTAGTGTGAGGGAGGGGGTTCCTCGACAGGACTTACCAAAATATCCTGTAGATGAGCACATCGTCAGTGAAGCCATCAAGACACACCAGATGCATGAGCAAATATTCTACAATTCATTGCGAGATTTGAAACCCAAAACATGACAGGGAATCATCCACGACAATTCTTTGTGGGAGATGGAAAAGCGAGAAGAAAATAATCTGCGTCGAACTTTTTCTAGCTCACCCCATCGGAGCTAAAATTTACCGAAGAAACTAGCCTCGTTTCGTTAGTCGTCGCTGTCCGATTAGTCATTGGATCTGGCTGAGGTAAGCACCTCTCAGACGGATCAGCTGATCAGGAAAAAAACCGGCTGCTGATCAGTGGAGGAATTACTTTGAGCCGCCCGCATGACCGGCCAGAAATAGAGTCGACGATAACCTCGTTGAGGCAGACCGGGCGAGACTCTAATAGTTTGACGATAATTATCAAGACCAGCAAATTCCGCATGTCTGGTGACCGGCAGGAATCCACTATTTAGTGAAATATGGGTACCGATGGGCATTGATATGAGGTGATGAAGTGTTCAATATTGGAAGGAGGCTTTTTTTGACAGCTCGAATTACAGGACAGTACAGGGGATGATCCTGATAAGAGTTCGTATTAACTAACTGAATATGCCATGTGTCAGACATCAAGCATACCTATTGCCTATAAACTACATACAAATGCAAATAAATATAGATCTCCACGGATCTCTATTCTTCTATACAAATCCCTGCGGACAATTCCGGGCTGGTCGGACAGAGAAGAGGAAAAACCGGGGACTTACCTGATGCGGTCTAGGGCGGGGTCCGGCGGGGCTGGTATTGGTAATGACGAAACCCCGTGACTGCGACTCCCACGGGGAAGGCAATTGCGTCAAGACCAGAAATGTCCTGTTTGCTCCATCCAGACTGACGTTGGGCTTACCCACCGGCAAAAGAATTATTACAATCCTGCTCCTTTTCTGCTCGTTTCTTGTTCTGGCTGCTGATCTAGGCATGGTAGTGTTGGCAGGCTCGACATAAAGGAAGCTCTGTTCTCGCCTGCATGCTTCTCACCCCCCCCCCTGCTCACTTATCATCTTCTGCATTTCAACCCGAAAGACCCCCTCCTATATTCTACCGTTAATACCTAACCGCTCTTACCTACCTTCTTCCCTTAGTCTTCGGGATCTCCTCATTTCCCCGGTGAACCGAGGCTGCTCTCTCATTGCTATAAATTGTACAACTAGCTCTTTTTTGAATCTTTGCTCCTCCTTGTCCTTCTCATCTCCTAGCTCAACCCTTTTTCATCAACCCTTTCAATCACTATGGCTGCAAACGGATCCGCTCCTCCTGTTGGACAGGAGAACATCAACACTGACATTATCACCCTCACAAGATTCCTCACAGAGGAGCAGAACAAGGTCCCAGAGGCCACTGGTGACTTCACGTCTGTCGACCTCAGAACTTTCCGGATGAGCACTTTGCTAACCTAAACCCCTGTTTGTAGACTCCTGTGCCACTCCCTCCAATTCGCTTTCAAATCCATCGCCTACTACATTCGTCGTGCCTCGTTGATCAACCTGACCGGATTGGCAGGTTCCTCAAACACTACCGGTGATGATCAGAAGAAGCTCGATGTTATTGGAAATGATATCTTCATCTCTGCCATGAAGGGCTCTGGAAAGTGCCGCATTCTTGTCTCCGAGGAAGAGGAGGATGTCATCTTGTTCAACGAGAACCCTAACGCCCGTTATGCCGTTGTCTGTGACCCTATCGACGGTTCATCCAACCTTGACGCAGGCGTTTCGGTTGGTACTATCTTCGGTATTTTCAAGCTCCCCGATGAGGTCTTGGGCCCCAACAAGACTGTCTCTGAAAAGGATCTGCTCCGCCCCGGAACTGAGATGGTTGCTTCTGGATTCACCATGTACGGTGCCTCTGCACAGCTTGTTATCACCATGCGTGATGGTGATGTCAACGGATTCACCATGGAAAACTCGCTGGGCGAGTTCATCCTGACCCACCCCAACATGAAACTTCCCCACGAGCGAGCCATCTACTCTGTCAACGAGGGTAACAGCTCATACTGGGAGGACTGGACCAACGCCTACTTCGACTCGCTCAAGCACCCCGAAGAGGGCAAGAAGCCCTACAGCGCCCGTTACATTGGTAGCATGGTGGCTGATGCCTACCGAACCCTTCTCTACGGTGGTATTTTCGCCTACCCCTCCGACTCAAAGAGCGTGAAGGGCAAGCTCCGTATCCTGTACGAGTGTGCGCCCATGGCCATGCTCTTCGAAAACGCCGGTGGCTTGGCCGTCAACTCCCAGATGGAGCGCCTCTTGGAAGTTGTGCCCGAACACATCCACGACAAGAGCGGTGTCTACCTTGGCTCCAAGGGCGAAGTGCAGAAGGTCATCGACATGTACAACAAGCACAAGAAATAAATCAATACACTCGCCTGCTTGGAAATTTATCAAAATTTCTTATCCTTGGGAGATTGTTAAAAAGGTGTCTGGACTTGCCTGGATGGAGTTTGGGTTTCACCACGAAATGAATGAATTCTCTGTACTTAAAATTTAAATATATTTATTAAATGAACAAATTCAACCTGAACGCATTGTTAAAGCTGGGATTAATCTATCTAGTGAGATCCACTCATTAGCCCCATCTAATCGAGATGCATGGAATCTACCCACCTGGGTGCTGTCCACTTACTTAACCACTCCTGGTGTAGTACGTATTTCTATTTCAATCCAACTAAACAAATACATCGGCGAATGAAACGTAACTATCTAGTGTCAAGCCTTGCAAAGTCCAGCGCCATACCTTTCAGAATAAAGTACGGAATCAAACTCCAGAGTCAGCCTCTTAAACTCCTCCCTAAGTCCTTGCCCTAATCACATCAATCGCTCCAGGCGTCTCAACCCATGAGCTATAAGACCGCTCCAGTATAAGCTGCATCTCCTCTGGTGTCCCCATAGAATACATTCCCGGCAGTACATCCAAGTTATCCCCTGGCTCCAACAAGGCAGGCCAGAAATACTTGTTTCCCTTGTCGATGTTCTGGTACAGAACGTCCACCTGTCCTTTCAGCTTGCTGATAATGTCTCTGTGATCCTTGCGTTCTATGATAGCCCTACTGTTCGCGATAATCGAGCTTCGTAGCTGAGTAGGGGACACCGCCTTGCCCGTGGCTGCTGCATCCTGCAACGCCGTCAAATCCAACAGTAATCTGATTTTCACCAGCATGACGCCAACAATCTGACTAGTGCCACCGAATCTCTCATTCAGGTAATCGACTGGCTCGAATACATCCGCGTTCTTGACGTCAAGGAACGGCAGGTCCATATTGCCCCAGTCATAGTCACCTTCGTTCCCGGTGGTATTGTACCATTTAATGAAATCATAGCACTCCTGGTCCATACCCAGCCGCAACATCACCCCAGGCACCATGTCACGCACACCTAGGTTGTCGCTGCGACATAGCCGAAGCATGTCCATAAGATGCTCCAATTGCGTCTTTACCGAGTCGTACGTATTGACGTTGCGAAAGGCGTGAACGAATCCAATCCGTGCTCGCATGTAGTCTCGTGTTCCCATCATGCCCCAGAAATGCCCAACAGCAGTGTTGAATGGGTCGGCGGGCGTGAATATGTCACCGGGGGTGTTTCGAAGGGTCTCCTCTTCGGTGTCGAGAGCTTTCTTCTTCCTCCCGATGTTGCTGCAGGCGTACTTGTGGGCGGGGTAATCGGTCACTTGGTGATCCTGGCTGCAATAGAGCATGACTTTGCAACGGGCACATCGTAGAAGGTTCTCTGTTTTGTCGCAGATGCCGCAGTGAGGGGCCAATCCATGGCCACCTGTCGTCGTTGTCGACATGATGAAGGGATTCTGGAGAGCAAACTTTGACTTGATCTTCCAGGACTTGAACTGATGATAGTTAAGGGGTTTTTAGAAAGTAAAGAGTCCCGGGAAGGAAAACAAACAGAAGACAAAGATGAAGACGGAGCTGTTCAGCCCTAGCCCTGGGCCCTAAGCCCCAGAAGCTATTAATTGAAAGCAAACTACTAATAGATCTATCTGGCATGGCGAAGCCAATCTACGAGGAATACAAATTATCGTAAATGTAATATATATTTCTAGAGTTCTAGCAGTACACTGACGGATGACAAAAGGAATCACAGGACACAATAATTCCTCGAATTCAATTGACTCCCTCTGGGATGTAAGACTATGAATCCAAAAAGAAAAGAAAATGAAAAAAGCTAAAAGGAATGGCAAAAATCCAGATCAGTCAACTGGATCCTCTTCAAGAAGGGTCTTGAAGCTAAATGCTTCGAAGGGTATTCCTTCACCCATGAAATGCTTGCTCATGGATTCAACCCAATGCAAACGGAGAGAGTGCAACATGGCACTAGTACCTTCCATGACACACAGAATGGCAATTGTCAATGTGAACCAAAGGTAAAAGGTAGCGACAATCATGATGACACGGGTGGTGGGCGATTCCTGCTCGAAAGCACCACCGAGTGTCATATCCCAAAGCACAATGGAGAGCTGCTGGTGAGCCAGAGAGAGGGCCCAGAGACGAAGGTAGGAGGCAGTGTGGGAAATAGAGTTGAGACAGAATTCAATGGTGTGGATAACCTGGTGAATCATGATCTCGGAGAAATCGAATTCCTCGTGCTCTTCCTCGCCAAGGTCCTGTGCAATCATAGCAACACCCTCGCCATCGCTGGCCATGCTTTCGCGGGCATGGCCATCCACGTCATCATCCAGAGCGCTCACTCGGGAGTGCTCTCCAAGGCCTCGGTATCCAAGAGCGCGGGCACGGTTGTGCTCCCAGCGAAGGTAGAAAGGCTTGAAGAAGAGCATCAATGGCACTTGGGCGACAGCAAGAAGCAGAAGAATAACTTGGACGGTTGATTGACCCGAATACAGTTCCTCCTCGACTGTACCTGGAGAAAGGAACATAAAGATCAACATGTTCAGGAGACCAGGAGGCGATTGACCCCTGGCCGCCCAGTCGACCGACCATTTGTAGACGATGGTGAGGACGAGGTAACCAAAGATTGACTGGAAGAAGATCATTCCGGGAATGAAATTTCCGATAATATCAACCTTGGATTTAAAGTGCCGAGCATTGACATATTGCAACCAAAGAGCATACGTCATCTGTAAGCAGTCAGTCCCCATCCTTTTGTTAATAAACGAAGGGCAATAAGTTACGTACGTGACACCAACCCAACACAATACTCATTTTCATCTTCATGCTGTTGCTGAAAAGCAGAGAATTCTCGGCCTCGTGCCAGTTCCAGTCCAAACCAAACGGAAAGCGATAGCCAGATTTCAACGAAGCCTCAACAGCTTGGCCTTTCTCGATGTTATCGGGCCAAGACCACTGACTTGGGAAGATGGTGATCGACTTGGAGAAGATATCGTTGTAGATAAAACCGGTGTACATAGAAAAGAGACCCATCATCAACATGATGTAACGACCATAGAATGCCATGTAAGTCAGCTCGTCCAGCTTGGTCTTCTGCAGCTTTCTCTCCCAGAAGATCATCGCGCAGGCAGCCATTGTCATCAAAGCACCATGTCCAAGGTCACCAAACATCACGGCAAAGAGGAAGGGGAAAGTAACGACGGTATACAGACCGGGGTTAACCTCGGAGTACTTAGGAATACCATAGGCGTTAACAATGGTCTGGAAAGCTTCGGTGAACTTGTTCGTCCTGACGAAAGTCGGAGGGGTCTTGTTAGTTTTGATCTGGTTGACAATGGTAGGCACAGATAGGCCGGCACGATCATTAACATCTTGCAGGGTCGACTTGATCAATGGGAGCGAATTGGTCGGGCACCATGCTTCGGCGATGAGGGTTTTCCGCGCTTGGTCGTATGAGAATCGATTCAGCGTATCGTAAACGGCCTTTTCCTTCTTGACAATGATCATCCAAGCCGCAAGGGAGCGGGCAATCTGGCCAAGCTCAGCATCGAGAGTGTTCTTGGTGTTCCGCAACACATTGCCGACGTCACCCAGACGGGTGTTGACTTCATGGATCTGGTCCCGTCTCAGTTCACTGTTCTCATCGACACCATACAAAGAAGCACCGAGAGACTCGGAGATCTTTCTGATCTTGGCAATAATGCTCTTTCCGTGCGCAAAAATCACAAAGACATTCTTGTGGGACTCCTCGTTGGTAGTCGGGTCGATGATGGGCTCGGGAATTTCGGATTGGTTCATGTAAAGGTTACCACGCAGAGTTCTCCAGAGGATACGCTCGAAAGCCCCGATCCGATCCCGCGGAATCACACCAGCCACAAATCCAATGTTCATTTCAAGGAAGGTCTGCTGGCCTTGAGCATCGCCGTTCTGGCCTCGGTTGGTCTGCTGCTCAACATCCCGGAGCAGAGGCGCTTCATCATTGTCGAACGATTGGCGGATCTCCTCGGTGTGGGTATGGGCCCGGTCGAAGAAACCACCGGTTTCCCTCAGCACCCAGCGCCATTCCGTAAGCTCGACTTCGCGTTTCTTCAGGGTCTCGTAGCTATCGTTCAGGGAGGCAATTCGCTGTTCCAAGCTCTCGCTTCGCTCGGCAAGCTCATCGATCTCCGACGCCATGGGGGCAGCAAGCGTATCGGAAAACTCGGCGGAGGATCTCATCGGGATGGCAGCTTTGTCCATCTGGGAATGAAAGTAGCCTGTCGTAAGTGAAACCAATTAGCCTCGATCCTCCCACCCCAACAATCAACAATCATTGATCACATAGGTAAAAAAAAAAGTCACATACGCAGCTGTCTCTCCACATTATCCAAACGACGAATCTCCTTGGTGAAAGTCCGTTGGAAGGCATTGGTATCCGGGTTAAGCTATCAAGACTAGCTGTCAGTTCTGCTTATCTCAAGCCCAAGCGGGGGAGTGAAAGAAAGAATATCAACATACATCTCTGAACTGGACCTGACCAAGTTCACCCAAAGCACTAACGACCTCTCTTCCAATCTCATTCGCGATATAGAGCTGGGTCAAGCTCATATCCGACGAGCGGAAGAAAGTGTCCTTCGGAGCCATGGTGAGGTTTCTTCCACCTGGGGACGTAAAATGCGCACCAGCGCCAAAAGAAACAAAAAAAAAAATCAGGGCTCGCTGATTACAGCAGAATCAGTACCAATAACCAGACAGAAAAGAACCTTGCCTGATCAGAGGCTCTGGATGTTCGCTTCTCCAGGAGGCGGATGCAACCAAGCAGGGGCGGAGAGCCGCGTGGCCGGTTCCCGGTCACGTGACGACACGTGACATGCTACAAAGTGCGTCATAAGAAACATTCCCACGACAAACTGTTGATTGCAACGGTTTAAATATATGCTATTATAGTGGATTTATAGATAGAATCTTCGAGTTTATGGTAGTCTGTGTAGTTAATTCTTTCACTGGTGGGTGTCGATAACCATAGTACTATCCTCGACCAGCAGACAGTTCTATATATTTGCAGCCCGCATTGATTAGAAAAACCAAGCGCAAAGGGCTTTGATTCCTTCAAGACAATGTTATTTAAATATTGTTCTGAAATGGTACTTTTTGATGGTAAATAGAATTCAATTATAAAGTACACTATACAACTAGGTGTATCAAGTTCATGCAATGATGCAAAGACTTTTCCCCTCAATATCCATGCACAACTAGAACAAAAAGCCTCACCAAAAACCAAACCATCAAAGTACCACACCATCCATCCCAAACCCAAATTCAGCAGACAAGCTAGCTTAGGCAAAGTAACTCTTCCAGAGAACTCCAGAAAGATCCTCAAGCTGATCCGATGTGAATGCCTATTTGATATTGTTAGTTCATGTCGACGGAGAAGATAGATTATCCGAAGATAGTGGCTTACCTTTGCGTCAATGTGCCAGGTATCTTGTCTTGTCTTCTTAAACTCGCTGATAATTGACTTGACACTTGATCCCACAATTCCTGGGTCGTTCGCAGCCCGAATACTCAGTGTAGTCAAGGCATCGGGCATCCATCGTGGCGGCGGGCTGTTGTACGGGAATGCTTGGATCAACGCACCAAGTCCTAGAATTGCACCATGGCGGATGATGATGAGCCGTGTGTGTTCAGGAGTTGGTGTGCCAGCCCCGGAGGATACCGCAGAAGATAAACCCCCACGGATATTCTTCGGTTTCTTAGGGAGAGGGTTTTCGACCAAGATATTTGTGAATCTCTCCTGAAGTCGGGAAACCATGTCCTCCCGAAGAGACACAGGTGAGCAACGGATCATACCAGACAAGGTAGCCGAGGCTCCAGCTCTCACTTCATGTTGGGGATCTTGCAGCATGCTTGCTATGCATTCGAATAGCTTCTCACGATCAGGAACAGAAAGCAGGAAGAGTCGGCGGAAGTAAATGATTTGAATGTTGATCATCACTCGCAACCGCTGGTGCCATGATGGCGAGGTCTGTCCGATGTGGATAAGCGATTTGATGAAATCAGAATTCTCCTCAGCGGGATAAGGAATGTTGGGCAGATGGCGGAAAACATGGTATGCCAGCGATTGGAGTTCTGGGTCTTCCTTGACATCCATCATGTGCAAGAGCTGCCCGACAAAGACATCTGGGAAAAAGGAGACGAGCTGAGTACATTCATGAGACGAAAGAGTAGAGTCCAGCCAAAGAAGAACAGTCTTGCAACCAGACGTGTAGGAAGAGGGCGTATGTTGACCAGGCGTTCTTTCGTGTCGCCACTGTTCGATTCTCTTAAAGACATCACGCAGCATCGTGGTAAACTCCTCAGTCGGGAGGTATGGGTAGGTTCCAACTGAAGAAGATGCCTTCTGTGCTTCAAGGAGCTGCTTGACGTCGGGGTACGACTCGTGATATCTCGTGCGATAGACTGTTGCAAGCGTTTGGCCCATTGCCTCACGGACACCCTTGTATGGATGATCGAGATGCGCAAGGAAATCCTCAACAATTGGCTTGTCAAGTTGGAAGTGCCACCCAGCATCGATGATGCACTGATGCAGCAAGTTAATCTTGGAGCTTTCCTTGAATGCTGCATTTGTCGTCATGTCCAGTCGGAAGCTGGCAAGCCAGTCGACCAGCGGCCAGGCCCGTCGTGGGTCACGGCATTGCAAGATCATGTGAAGGAACGTTGTCCAGTAGCCAGAGTTCTCCGGGGTCAGCCCGTCGGTGAAGATCTTTCGCACAATTGGGAAAGCATATTCCCACACCAAAGTGCGCTTGTCCACACTTGTATCCGTGACAGAGCTCACTAGGGCACCGAGAATTTCCGAAGTTGCTCTATGCTGGTGCTTGTCACTGCCATCCTCAAAGACAGCTTCAATCTCTTCTTGAATATCCTTGAAGGTAGCAGCGGTCAAACCATCTCGGAACATCAATTCGAAGGCGTACAGGAGCATCATGGCGCAGGGCATACGGAACTTATCAGCAGAAGGATCGCGCGGCTCTTGCTTCAGGTACATGAAGAACTTGGAAAACCACTGTCGGTCGAATAGCTTGCCCATAGTGGTTCGCACACTCCATTCCTTCTCATCATACTCGATGTCACGCTTCACATTCGACTTGTATGCAGGCATACTCTCACCCCACACAAGCCATCCGGGGAAATCATGGTCGACGTAGTATTCGGCCTCTGGGTTGGCAAAGCTGGCCAAGTACTCCTGGGTCCAACCCTTCTCGTATCGCTTGGTTGCTACCTGAATCTTGGAAGGGAAGTTCTGTTCGCCCAGAATGTAGTTCTTGTAGTCATGGCTGCATATCGCACGGACGTCTATCATTGTGAATAACGCAATGAGCGCCTGCGAGTACATGCCACGCAAGCCAGGGTGATCATCGATTGATCCCTGAGTGACCAGGTCGATGAGATTCTCACTTGCGATATAATCGAATCTCAGACCCATAGTGATCACAATTGTGGCTGCTCGACTAGCAACCTTCCAGTGTGATACTCTCGCCAGATTGACCAGCTCTTCTGCCAAGTCGGCCTTCTTTTTCTCAATGACAACTCGCTTGCTGTTAACGTTGTTACGCTTTTGTAGAATTTGTTCATTGACATCCTCCTTGGGAGCAATAGCCTCGACGAGATCCCGGTCTAAAATAGCCATTCGTTCCATGGAACGACCGTAGTCCATAATTTGGAATACTGTGCTTGAACAAATCCTTTGTACAGAGGGCTTATCGACCGCACTAGCATCGATGAAAGTCCTAATCAAGGTTGGCGCATACTTCCAATGCCGTCCAACGGTTTTTGCAACACTACTCAACAGCAGAGAGAATAGTGCACCCTTGATTCGTGCATGGTCATTCTCTTTCACGCCCTTCTGCAGTGCCTTGAGCAAAGGTGGGATCACGAGAAGTCGAGAACCGTAAACAACCTTGAGAGCCGACTCTCCGGCGCTTTGAGCGTTGCGACGGGTTTCCGTGTACACAGAAACGCAGGACTCCGCAATATCTAAGAGCAAGATCTCATCCAGTCGAGAGCGAGATCTCGGTGCAGCGTTGTGCCTCAAGCGTTGCAAGTGGTATACATTGGCTCTTCGGATAAGCAGTGGGCGTGGGTAATCCTTGCGAATACCACTCATCTTATAAGGATGGATATCCGCAGCAAGAAGTCGTGTTACCCTGTCCAGGACGTGTGCAGAGCGTTCTATGCCAACGTCGACGAACCAGGACCTGTAAGCTGAGTACAAAGCTCCAAAGCAAGGCACATCATCTTCTTGTTTATCTGTCAAGAACCTATGCACTTCGTGCAGGACCCAGCCGGCTCTTTCCCGAATCCCATGGATGGTAATGTACATAGGATCGTTTTCTTGTAGCGGATAGCCGGTGGGATACGAGAAGCTATCCCTGATTACCGCGTCATCGGAGCTATCGAGTGTCGCGTCGGGGTCCTCGCCATCGACATTAGAAACTTCTTGGTCGTCCGTCATTTCTACATCATTTGATATTGCAGATGACTTGTTTGTTTCACTGTTATTTGTGGTCGCCGCTGCTTTGGAATCGAAGAGAACAGAGATACCAGAGAGGATCAACCGCAACAGAACAAGGTTTCGGGTGACTTCGTCTGACCAATCTTTACCACTTCCATCACGCTTGACTGTGGATGTATCACTGGTCAATGCGCTAAGCTGATCGAGTGCCGCTTCAGATTGATTTTGGAAGAGTTCGACGGCGAACTCGAGTTCTTCGCGCTTCGGCACATGCCACTTCATGGTCAAGTTGTTCGGGTCTGGCTGGTAACTCCAAAGCTCAGGCTGCATTCCATTGGGGGCGGCGCCAGGCTCATACAGGGAGTAATCGGTGGTGTAGGTGCCCGTGAGGTTAAGAAGAAGGTGATGAATGAAATTCGAGATGTGGACGGTCGGAATACCTCGGCACTTTTGCTGCATGTAGACGGCAATGTCGAAAAGCTCTTTTCTGTGGGCTAGAACAGAATCTCCAACATGAACAACGCACATGCTCAGCATGCTGACATTCCAGACCAGGCCACGGTCACGAGGGAGAACGTCTGTTCCGGTTGTTCTAGTAGAGCCTGCACCATTGTCGTCAATTTCAGTGCGGATGGCCTGTGTCAAGACCGGAATGAAGCGCTTCAGAGCCTTCTCCGGGTGGACCTTGCAAACGGAGTTACATATGAAGGCCATAGCATCTCGCGCCTGGTGGATAACGTGGTTGGAGACGAAGTCGACAATCTTTGTCAAGGCGATGTCATAGTACTCTGGGGAGAGCGACGAGAGCAACGGCATGAAGGTTGCAGGAAGAGTGTTTACAATATTCTCTTCAGGAGACCCGTTTCGCACCCGGGTGACATCAGGCAAGTTCTCCAAGAGCGTGAAGACACGACCCAAGAAAGAAATGATGAAGTCTCCAAACCCACATGTTGAAGAACGGAGGATCATTTCCTCAGTCTCGTCATCCAAGTCCTTGTCATAATTTAGCTGAACCTCAACACCTTCCTCTTCCATTCTCTCCATCTCTCCAGAAATCCATTGCATTGCCAGCATGTTACAGTTGACATCTTCCCTGCCCTTGGTCAAATCGGCCATGGGAATATTATAGCAAGCCGACTGGATAAACGACAGCGCATGAAGAGACTTTTCGAGGTCATTGGCATCAACACCGGGTAGCGCGAGTCCCAGGAGAGTTGTCATATGGCAACGATATCCCTTTGTTCGCGTGATAATTCGCGACAAGACTTGAAGAGCCCGGAGCGAGGACGTTGTACGGTGCACCTCTACAAGACCTTGTAGAGACGGGTATATTCTCTGCAAAGCTCCTGGGAGAATGAGATGCGGTTCCAGATAGGCCAGACTCTGCAATGTAGACAAAGAAAAGGTCATCGCTGTGCCGCTCTTGGCATAGATACCCATGAATATCACGTCGCGCAAGCACATCACAAAACGGCGCTTCAATGGCTCATTCAGCCTTCTCTCTGCAGGTAGTTCCAACTCTCCACTCTGTTCACGGTTCCAACGCATGACGAAGAAGTCTGAAAGGTAGTACACCAACTGAGACAGAGTCTTTGTCCAGCTGCCCGAGTTAGAGGGATGGAAGAACGTCTCTACAGCCTGGATAAGACCCTCGAGCTGGGTCAAAATCGACTCTTCGGCATCAAGACAGGCAGGCGAGAGCGACATCACAATCCATCGAGCGATATGATGAGCAACGGGATGTTTGCGTGTGTCTCTGTCAAGCATGATACCCAGTCCGGATGAGATATCTACGAGAGCGCTGTAAGGGGATGTCGATTGTCCGACGGGAATTTCCAGCAATCGTAGGATAGCTGTGAAAACAAGCGACGACTGCTCCTTGGTAAAGATACCGTACTCAGAGAAGGGGATATGACCAGCGGGCAAGGAATCCCGAGCCAGCCGAGAGAAGTAGTCAAGGTATGTCATATCGAATGTCTTCGACCGACTAACCAATGACCAAAGGTGGAAATGTGTCGGCAAGTGATTCTGCGGCAGCAGGTCTTGCCGGGATTCTGGCGCTGGAGATGTGGGAAGCATCAAATTGATTAAACCGGCGACCACAAAAGCACCTTCGGAGAAAGATGTAGTGTAGTGTGGAAGGAATTCCTCTAGCATAGCTGGCAGCTCGCACGGGTCGACATACAGCTGGGTGAAGGCACAGAGCTTCGTCAACGTTTTGATGTTTCGCTTTAAATTAGTTGAATGCACCAGACCCGATTCCGTAGGCAAGACAAAGCCTTTGAGTTCCTTGTACAGCGGTTTCCAATCCAATATCAAATCTTTGACCGGTCTCAGGTAATGCTTGCGTCTACAGCCAAATTGTTAGAACCGAAACCTTGTGGACAGGGAACACGGAGATCTCACTTTGTGAGGAACATGAACATGCTCGCAAATCGCTCCGCGACATTGGGGTCAATCCCCGGGGCTAGCGAAAGCTCATAGTACAGTCTTACGAGATTGATCCGATCCGTACGAGTTGGATCAAACTTGAGAGATAGCCATGCTCTGAGTTCTCGAGTCCAGTGAACAGCACCAGGACTGAAGTCCCCCGCTTCTACCGCGATATACAGATGTCGGAGAATCTCCCGTAAGTTTTGATCTCTCTCTGGTTCATCTTCGGGCGTATATGGTAGGTATCTGAAGTATGGATAGGTACGCGGGCGGACCCGAGCTTTCTGTTCGCCTCCCCCGTTCATCCCCGCGGGCTCACCACCCGGAGAGGTGGCCCGTGAAATCTCATGCACATTATGGAAATTCTCTGACGTTAAGATCGCCTTGGGGGCTGAGCCATCCATATTAACGCGATAGCCGTGGCGGTTGCTGGGTGGTAGGCGGTGGAGGTGATGTGGGATTTGGGAGAGCTCTGGATCGACGTAAATGTCAGCTATTATTCCTCCAGGCGTTTCAAGATGAGTAGGGTCAATGATAAGGGAATCATACATGAAACATGAAGCTCTGACCCAAATAGTAAGAGTGTAGAAGCTGATGCTGGACAGATACCTGCTGTCGGTCCAGCTCGCATGGGCAATTTTGATGGGTCTTGGCTAGTAGCTAAGCGACCAGAGATCACTGTAAGAGCTGTTGATAACAAATGGCGAATAGATGAGGTATAAAATCTGAACTGGGTTGCCCGGTAAAGAATGGTGCCAGCATGGGTTGTGTAAATTTGGCACAACCTTGCAGCTCTGGAGTTGAAGATGGAGTGAGCTCACACGTTGCTTGCAGTCTGGAGTTGGAGGTATCATTGAGTTCAGCCAGTCTCCTTGTCCGATGTGATGACATAATTCCACGTAAAACGTAACCGCATCGCAGCCTGGGCGGATCGTGGATCCACAGAACAACAACCATCATGCTTATTAGGTATGTTTCTTGGGGATCAATTTGCTTTGGGCACTTGTGTTTTGTTTTTGTCTCGTGTAAGATATTATTGAAGAGGCGATTTCATTTTAGGCTGAGGCTGAAAAAAAGAAGAACGGTATCAATGCTGCTCGTTTGTATTGTCTACTAGTGTCTAAATATTCTTGACTAAGCTGGTGGCAGAAAAGAACCAAAAAGAACGCCTTGGATAAACGCATAGATGACCATGCTTTGGACAGCAATCGCAAAGATGCGTCTTGGTTTGGCATCTTTGGAGCCCTCCAGGCTTCCCAGAACTTGCGATACGAGATACCAGTACCATAAAGGATACCCGGAAGATACCCTATTGATGATCTGAACATGGTAACTGGTAAATGCCAATACCGCAAGTAAGCCCTGGGGGACAGCTAGTCGTATTAATAAAGAGTTTTTGGTGCTTGGAGACGAGCGGTCCTTGGACTGAATCGATGACCTGTTCAGTGCCCAAAGCGAGGACCGACAAAGCAGGACCAACATGGGGATAGCGAGCAGAAACAGAGGAAGATTCGAAACTGTCCAGTATCTGAGGAAACCGACATTCCTGTAATGCGGATTAGTGATTGATATCTAAAGTTCTTGAAACAGCCCGCTTACCAATATTCACTCTGAACCCAGCCGTAAATACTAGGCATGGTTGATTGGCACCACGGCCGGGCAACGTTCTCACTCATGCAGAACGTTACATAAGCCAGGACTTGAGGCACAACCAAGCCCAAAGCCACCACAGAGCCGCCTACAACGATTACGGATAAGCGGATCACAAGGTCCAAGGACAGACCATGAGATAGAATCTTCCGTAGATGTATGAAAGCATCATATGCGAACAAGAACCCACTAAGTATTCCATTGCTGCGGATTGTCGTGGCTACCGCAAAAAGGGCAGCAGCAATGAGCAGCTTTATGTCCCGAGAAAGCTTTTTACCACTTTCAGCATCGAGGAAGGACGAGGAATAGACATAGAGCCCAGAGATGTTGAGGAAAGAAAACAACGCCTCTCCGTAGGGTGCCGAAAGAAATGCCCCTGCCGAGGTGATGATGTGCAGGGCGGCAGACAGAAAGCAGCAAAGCTTCTGAGCAGTGGTCAGATGGCCAAAGACATTGATGGTGAGTCTATAGACGGCCAAGACCGAGAGATAGTGGGCAACATGAGACAGCGCGACTCCAACGAGCGCGATTTTAGCTGCTTCTCCACCTACATCGCCCGATTGATTGAAAACTACGTCAGAGGTCAGTATTCAGCTAGGATGTCTAAACGCTCCATCACGGGAAAATCAATGATGTACCGGACGAGAGAAGAGCAAGGATTCTAGTGTAACCATAACCAAAGGCCCATTCCTGCTCAAAAACATAGCCATGCTGGGCAATGTGGATGAAGTACAGAGAGTCCCATCTGGTAAATTTCAGCGGGATAGAGAGGGGCGCATGCTCAATCCCTGACAGGAGGGAGGTGGAAGTGTCATATCCGGGACCGGGACAAACAGCAACGACTAGGAAAATGAGGAATTTCCAAAGACCGAAAGCAACAGTCAAACTCCTGACAGGGTGACGGAGAAGCAGCAGCGTTGGGCGGGCCGAGGAGCCCGCCTGTAGAGACGGCGAACCCATCGCCGTTTACTCCTCGGGGGAACAAAGTGTCCGGTGATGGATCAAGACAGCTCAAGATGGAACAAAGTCAGACCATGATTTCACAACGCAGAATCACATGTAGTAATCAGGATCCACACTCAAATGTGTCAATGTGTCAAAGAAAGAGAGAGAGAGAGAAAAAAAAAAAAAGAAGAAAGGGTTCAAAGGTTCTGGCCGTGTATAGATCACGAGTGACAACTTTGACATGGCAAAAAAGGAGTGGAAATCGGAAACACCGGCAGAGCTTATGCAAGAATAGTATTATTATTCAGCATGAAGGGTGAACTTATGCATATCTGCCAAGACTCTGTGGCGATCGCATTATGTCAGCGGGAGAAAAGATTTCCATCGCTTCCGCCAGTCGAGCTTAAATAAATTTGATGGACGGAGGATATCAGAGTGTGGGTCTCTGTAGAATAATAGTACATGTATCGTGAGGTTGTGACGATGATTAGAAGCAAGGGACTGAACCTGGGGGCAAACATGATGGCTGCAGTTGCACACCCTTGTATGGAAGATTCGTCACGCTGAACCCTGGCTGCCCTGGATCCTCGTTTGCTCAGCTCAGCCCTATAAAGATTGACGGTAATATCAAGTCGATCCCGCCAGGTCCGTGGATGGGATTGTCCACATGCCCCAAAGAGTAACCCACAGCCTATCGCCACAGATGTATCCAGAAATTATTGTGTACATGACTACATGTTCCCCACTATGAAGAATTTTTTTTTCTCCTACATGGTACATAGTACATCCACTCCATACATATAGTTACCACAGGGATAGAGAAGCGACTGGCATTGCTGGTCATTCGGTGAGCAGTGATAGCTGCACTCTGCTCCTTGATCACAGCACTATGAGTGATAGTGTCAAAGTATCATAACAACTGGCAGTCTGAATGAGTCCGGTTCGGCTTTTGGTCAAGTCCGTCGGGCCGCTCAACGTTAAAATCGACTGAAAAAGTATTGTCAGGTCTGGGGTCCGCTCTGTTGGTTCATCCGATCACGCGGGCAGTTAGATTTTGATTATATTGATTACTATTCCAACCGGCGGTATCACATTCAATATTGAAAAAATGGTGGATCAGAGGAGCCATGGCTGTGGTACTGAAGAAGTAGTCTAGTGGGAGCATCATTATTTCTTATTCTGGCCAATACCAAGTAAGTTGATTGTATTTGATCTCAAGGTTTGCCAAGAGGTACAGGAAAGACGGTGTTGACTGTCTCACCACGATGCGACCTTACTGTACGGGGTCTGTATACGTATGTGCTCCTCTAAGATGATGACCATGAAACAGCTTCTTCATCCTTCGCCGACCTTTGGAGGATTTAGGATTAGATGGATGATCCTCTCTGCTCTGCATGTTAATTATGAGCACTCGGAACCTAGCGTAGGTACTCCGTATTGTCATTACGCATGTTTACAGTGCCCAGAAACTATTGCCTGCGATTGGATCGGCCTCGCAACCCCCCATTGCCGCCCCCAACAACCTCCGGGCAAGTACGACCGGCAAGTCGGAGCGCCCGGTGGCCGAGGGCGGACCTTACCAGCGACGGTGTTCCTATTGGCTCAGCAGAGTGGCAGCCCCACCCCATCTGGGTGATGTCTGCTGGAATTTCTTCCATTGAATACCATTATTACCAGCCATTACCGCAGAATACGATTACGAGATCCTCACACGATCGTGTCCGTGACAGAAAGTCAGCCTTGGGGCCCGGCAGAGGATCGCTGGCTAGCTGTTTTGGGTTACAAACGCGAGCATCACTCGCAACAGAATCGGACAGAGTGTGGCTGTTTCCGTGGATCGGCTTCCATGTGTACAGAGTAGTTTATGCATCATGGTTAGCAAAGAGGAGTACACAAGTCGTAGTGTAGAGTAGATGTTACTACAGTCAGACCAGAGTGGACATCCTTTTTCTTCTTTTTGACCGCCATCTGGTCTGCTTTTTCTCTCTCTCTTTTTATATTTCTTTCTCTCCCCTCCATTTTCTTTTTTTAAAACCTGGGATAATACATACATCATCTCCTCTCGTTCTTTTTCTCTCGGTCCCATCGGCTCTGCCACTCGTGTGTGGATTCGTCTTCCACCGCCCCCTTACTTACATCCAAGCCTTGTTGTAGTCTCACCTTCTTCAAACAAGAATTGATTCTGTGACACAATCGTCTCTCCTCTTTCCCCTCTCTTGATTTTCTTTTTTCCCATTCTTCTGGTCCTTCATTTTATTCTCTCCTATTCCATCCTGCGCCTCTCTGCCCGGTTTAGATTTAAAGTGGAACGATCATTGTGCAGGTCACACTTCGGATATCAGTCCTCTTATTTCTCCATCGGTCCAGGCTTCCATTTTTCTCGAAATACTACTACGACCATTACCACCACACTACGACTATTTCTACCAATCTATCCTCCAGGCATTTTCCATTTGCTGCCCCGCTTTCAATATCACTCTTCCCCGCCTACTGACGCGTCGAGGGGAGACCGATTCACTACTAGCTCGCAGTCAATGTTGCTCTTTATCCATAGCCAGAGGTTCTTGCTTCTTATGAATTAGAAGCATGATCTTCAACTTGGGTCTGACAGCGAATGCCGCAGCCGCTCACGAGAGCGATCTTGCCAACTCCCAGACCGATATTCAACGCCCTAGTCCCTCACCCTCTCCATCCATCACATTCGCAAATTTGCCGTCGCTGGGGAGTATCTATAACAGATACAAAGGGTCGGACAATTCCGGCTCCCACCAAAGACAACATCCGCGCGGTAGTATGCCAACATCCCCCGTGGAGTCGGTGTCTTCCATCGATGCGGATTATTCGGCGATCGGGTCAGGCCTAGGCCGGCCCCGCGCTGCGACTGGAATTAGTCGATCGCAATCAGTTCGAAAATCATCGTCACGCCCCAAAACATCGTACCAACTAGCTCACCCGGCATCCCATGCGCGCCACAGGCGATTGAAGCTGCGTCCCAAGTTGCTTCTGCAGCTTCAACAGGTTTCCCGGACACCGCGCCCGCAACCTGTCCTGGATGTGTTGCCATCGACCGTGCACCTGCCCCGATTAGCCCGCAAGTTCCCTACGATATTCCGAGGGAAGAATGGACTCGGCCCGAATGATCTGATCGTCGTCAAGAGCGACCTGTACCAACGGCCGACGGTGGATGGCGCAGACAAGCATGCAGACCAGGACGAAGATAACAACGATCATCGTGAGGTCGTCGCGACCATCTGCCAACTCCTTAAGGAGGATGCCCTTTCCAAGGGAAAGGCAGAAATTTGTCTCAACTATGGACCGGTATGGGAAGCGACGCCGCTTTCCAACGGATCTTACGAATTCATGGCCCACACTGACCATGGAATTCAGCTCATGCGATGGGTTTTGCGTGGAGGAAAGAATCGCCGGACATCAGCGCCGCCCGGGTCAATCCAGCCAGAGGATAGCAAACGATTTACGTTCAGCGTGATCGATCCCAACACTCGTCGACATCCAGTCATCGCAACGATGACTCGCAACCATCTTGAAGTGATGGAGGAATACTCGATGCCCGCTCCATCCAGCGCCCCATCTACCTCTCCAGTATCAGCCGCAGTGTCCGTGGTAAGCGATGGTTCCGAGCTGGACACCCCATTCGAACGGGATATCATTGCAATGAACGATAACCTTCGCACATTGATTGTCATCACCAGTATCTGGGTGGCGTTTAGGGAGGGCTGGTCTCATAACTTTCGCTACGACGATTCAGGGTTGGCATTAAATTCGAAGGCTGTCTGCTCGCCTATGGCTTCTCGCCATGGTTCCCCAACCACTGCTAGGGCCGAGACTGGCGAATTTCCAGAGGAGAGAGACAGTTACCCGAACGAGTCTTTGCAAAATGGATCCAGACATCGCATGTCCACTTCTAACGTCCGCGCGTCCGGAACACCATCGCCCTCGGATCGGGTCAAGTCTATTGCAACGGGCAGTCTGAACAAGCGTTCGAATTCGACAGGAGCAGCATTTATCGAACGATCCAACCGGCGCGTTTCTGGGAGCGGCAATCGATTTCATCGAAATAGTATGCGTGATGGGGCATCTGGCCCTTGTGCCAATCCAGACACGAATGGTGCTAAAAATGCTGCGACTTCGAAGGAAGGTCCCGACAAGCCACTTCGGCCCAATGGTCACGTGCGACAACCCGAAGTATCTCTCGACAAGGGACTCCCAGACGCAGGGCCCAATTGCTCAAAGGACAAGCGGCGACGCCGACTGAGCAGTATATTCAGTATCTTTGGGAAGAGAACTGGGGTACATTGAGTGAAGCCTGGCGCTTTATATTACCCCTATGGTTGTTCTGCCCGCATTACATTTTTCTTTTTCTTTTCATTGCTCCCTCTTGCAGAGGTGAGAGCGTGCTGTGACGGTACATACATAGCATATATTCCCCAAAATTTGCATATTGGAACTTGAGCGTTTGGTGTTGGGTCAATTTTCGGCATGGATTGCATTGCACAGGGTGCCTGCATTTTTCTTTTCTTCTATATTACCCTCTTCTCTCTCCTTCATTTCTGACAGCGTCATGATTTTTCAATGAAAGCCATGACCAGAACATAGATACTCTTATCATGTTCATTTACCCTTGTCTCTTCTATGCAAGGCTCATGTGTATGAGTCAAATTTTATCTACGAAATATCCTGTACATAGATCGTTGCAGATGTGGCTATTGTTTACCATATAGCATGGATAAATTACGATTCTATATACATTTTTGAAGGAATTCTTGGATATTGTTTGCCACTTTGTATTGATGTATAACCGTTACTAAGGCTATGCAGATCGACATCGTTACATAGTACAAGCGTTGATATCATCTTGCATGGCATGGAAGCGGGTGATTTACACAGCAGCAAGCAGTAGCACATGCATGCAATTACTGTATCTACCGCTCCAGAGCTGTCAAAGTCTTGGGAACATACGGTTCCTCCAAGTACTTGATTTCTTCGTCCGACAATTTCACCTTGATACTCGCAACCGCTTCGTCGATGCGCTCCTTGCTATTCAGCCCCAAAATAGGGTTTTCGTTGGGGTGGCTTAGCGACCACGCGATCGCAACGGACGCCATGGACACGCCCTTCTTCCGGGCAACTTCCTCGACGCGATCGACAATGGCCTTGTCTGCCTCGCTTTCGCGACTGCGGACGAGAAGCTTGAGCGCCCCGTCGGTTGCTTCACGGACTGTCGAACGGCTGCCCCAGGGGCGGGCGAGAACTCCGCGGGCCATGGGGGACCAGGGGATGAGGCCGATACCGGCGTCTTGACAGTAGGGGATCATCTCGCGTTCTTCCTCGCGGGAGATGAGGTTGTGGTAGTTTTGCATGGAGATGAATTGGTGCCAGCCATTGCGGGCGGCGATATTTTGGAGGGTTTGGAATTCCCATGCGGCCATCTGAGGATAATTAGCCATGCGCTGGCAAGGTTTTCACGAGAAGAGAGAGAGAAGAACATACGGTACTGGCACCGATGTATCGAACCTTTCCACTCTCAACCACATCGTTGAGAGCCTTCATAATCTCCTCGCGGGGTGTGTCGCGATCCAACCGGTGAATCTGCAACACATCGATATAGGTACCGAGTCTTTCCACACTGGCATCGACGGCATCGAAGATGTGCTTTCGCGAGAGACCAACCCGGTTCACAAACCCGCCATTGTTGACAGCCGAAGCGGCGATAGGAGGAAACTTGCCCTCATCGTCGACGCCGTAGAAGCACTTGCTGAGAATGACGACTCGGTTTCGGGGGATGGAGAATTTCTTCAATGCCTTGCCGATGATTTCTTCGGATCGACCGTGGGAGTAGACGTCTGCCTGAGAGAGAGTCAGATTGGAGTTTCAAAAAGAAGCGGGTGGAAAGGGAATTGGATTACCGTATCCCAGGTGTTGATGCCGCGCTTGTAGGCATGCTCGATCATCTGGAGGGATTCCTCCTCATCCAGTACCCAGTCCTGCCATTCTTTCGTACCGTAGGACATGGCTCCCAGGATGACCTTGGAGATTTTGAGTCCTGACTTTCCAAGTCTACATGATCAGCGGGGTGTTGAGATAAGATGAATTTCGCAGTCATACCGGGTGTATTCCATTTCGTTGGCCATTGTGATTGATTGATTCTGGAAAATGTCAGTACTCAATTAACTCAGCGTACAGTTATTCAAAAATAGAACTCACCGTATATAATTCAGAAACAAGATACTTGAATCGCAAAGAAAGAAGTAATCCAAGTTGCGATCCCCATGTTATCATACCCCAATCATCATTATTAAGCTACCCAGTTTCCCTGACGTATCTGCCGAAAGTCTGAAGCGATGAAGCCCCAGAGCCGAAGAGTAACCGACACACTCCTCTTCTCCATAATTTTGTGGCAGATCACCGTGTTGAGGATGTGAGTCTCGGTCCAGAATCTCGGATGCACTTATGAAGTCTTCTGCATATGGAGTTGCTAACCTAGTGATGATGATGATGAAATGGTGAAATAATGGAGGGGCTGCGGGGTAAGAGATGAGGATGAATTTAGCTCAACATCCTGTCTTCTTCATAGTACTTATAATAGTAATAGGTATAGTCTTATGATCACTATTAATTAGCATCAATATCCAAATATTATAATGACGATAAATCACATCACGATCATCGTAGACATTCCTGCCTGAACGGTTAGGCATACACCCCCCCGACGGAACGCCGCTCCTTCGGCCGAGACTAACCCAATGCGGCAGTCAGCCTGACTCGCGGTTTCGTATAGTTGCCAAAGCGGCTGTGATTGGGGAAGAGGCGTTCCTGGGTGCTGGATGGGGACCTGCTGTCTTTCTCCCTCCTCTTTCTTCTTTCTTTCTTTTCTCTTACTCTCTTTCTCTCTCCTACATACATCTCCACTCCAAGTGGATTTATTTAATGTTGCTCTCTTCGAAGATTATTTAAAAACGTTGATTCACAATTACAGTACAGCCGTCTTGTCTATGCTGACATGTTTATAGATACCCCCTCCCTCCATCACAATCGAAAACTCCCCGGATTTCAAATCCAACATCGCTGAAACAGATAAAAAATATACTTCATGGTCATCGTCCACATCTCCTCCATTATGCCGTCTTGAATGCCTCGAATCGAGACTTGATCGTCTCCTCGGACTCCTTGGTGTCCAGCTCGTGGATTGATCCAGTGCCGACGTCATAGATGACTCCGTGAACCTGCAGGCCACGCTCCTCGATGGCCTCCAAGATGACGCTCTTCTGCTTCAAGGTCTTGACTCCCTCCTGAACGTTCAGCTCCACCAGCTTTTGTGTGGCCTCGGCGGCCGGCAAAGACTTGAGCAGAGCCAGGTTCTGTTCCCGGATCTGTCGCAGGGGAAGCAGCCATGTGTCGAGGATGCCCAGAGCCGAGTTACCCATAGCGGCCGCGGCGCCACCACACTTTGTGTGTCCGCACAGAACAACGTGCTTGACCTTGAGGTGACGGACGGCGAATTCGATTACGGAGGCCGAGTTGATGTCGCCCCCGTGGACGATGTTGGCGATGTTACGGTGGACGAAGACGTCACCGGGCAGCATACCCAGAAGGGTGGTCTCGGGGCATCGTGAGTCAGAGCAACCGATCCAGAGGATCTCAGGTTTCTGGCCGGACGCAAGAGTAGGGAACAGCTCAGGGTGCTCCTCGGCTGTCTTGTTTGCCCACTCTTTGTTCTGGGCAAGAGCAGAGATGAATCGGCCTGAAGGCGTGGAGGCAGAATCATTAGCAGCTGGCGGTTGGGAGGATGACTGGGGTGGGCAAGACAGTGGTGCTGAGGTCGAGAAACGAGAAAGCTGGCTCTGAATGCCTCGCACTCCACCCATTGGGCGAGAGAGCCTTGGAAGCAGCCTGGCGATATTCATGATGATACAAAGAGGGTGGGGAGGATTGAGATGTGCTTTTTGTTGGGGTTGATCGCGATGACCAAAAGGAGAGGGGGAAAAAAAGAAGGAAAAATCTGTCACCGCCGGCCCTCGAGACTGAATCTCATCAAGCTACTAACGTGATCTAGTGCCGATGAAATCCAACTCAACAATAAATATACTACAAACAGGCTGGAAATGTGCAACTGGGAATAACAAGACTTGATGGAGAGAGAAAAAAACCCGCCCGTCGGTGCTCAACGAGATCCGGGGATGCCAAGAAGCAGAAAGAAGAGTCACAAAACGTACCTGATGGAGTCGCCATGGTTCTAGAAGGTGTCAATCAACGTTTTGAATGAAAATGGAAGACGGAATCTCGAGGTTACTGTTTCGATGAAGATATGTTCCAGGAAAAGTTGTATCCTGCGCACGCCCTTATGGGTCGAATGTTCTCCCCAACGGAAGATCGCGGGGGTTGACAGCATCCCACCCACGCCGGTGAGCCGACAGAGTCCGGTGACACGGAACTTTCAACATTCTATACGTGCCTAGAAAGCCCATCACGAACGCTTTATTATCGCCTAGATTGCCCAGATAACTCTAACAAACAGATACACAAATGGATCCCATTCCATTACTCAAAAATTTTACTCTATAGACTCCATAATTGCATTTTCCTCGTACAAACATATAACATAAATCTTGATGACGATACTTTAGTCATTATCACTTCAATCCATGATGTCACCAAGCATTCCTTCCAATTCGTAAAAATATATCGAAAACAGACATCGAAAAAAAAAAACAAAAAACCATGCTAAATTGCTTGGACATTTTAGGAAGCACCCCCACGGCCACCGACACTCAACAAGGCCTTCTTCTGGTCCTCGCTCAGCTGCGCCGTCGGCAAGGGACGAGCTCCCGTCGTAGTCGGCTGGGGTAAGAATCCAACAGACACCAAGTATGAGGCATACAGACCAACCAACTCCTCGGTAACACCCGCACCAGCGGAGGCATCAACGCCAGACCATGCTGCGTCGGCGCGAAGAGCGGCTGCTGCATTGACGTCATCCAGCTCAGGGGCCTTGGTGTTTGATGGAAGATCCGCCGTCACAAAGTGGTAGAGAGGCATACTAGTAGCGATTAGTATTCTTGTTGCTTAGTATTACCATCGCGGAGACTTACAGTGCATGCTGGGAGTTCGGGTCGTCGTGCTGTCCGTCATTGACGTATTCCTCCAGGGACTTGGCCCACGGGACGTAGTCCACCTGGGGCACATCGTAGCCATACAGCTGCAGGGCGCCGAGGAATTGGTTGAACCGAAGTCGTGGGTGTCCAGTCACCTGGGCGACGCCAACAGGCTTGCACGGGGGCTGGAAGGCACTGGCGATGACCACTCGAGCCACATGGTCGACAGGAACCATGTTGACTGTGTTGTGGATGTTGGGACGAGCAGAAAGCTGGATACATCCCTTGAGCATTCGAATGAGGAAGTCATCAGTGTTGGTAGCTGTAAAATTTCTTCGTGTTAGCATATCTGGAAGAACTGAAAGGAAAAGAGTCAAGCTGTAATAACGTACTTCCAGTCTTTGAGTCACCCAGGACATATCCTGGACGAACAATTGTTCCCTTTAATCCTCTTCTACCCGCTTCGCGGACAAGGAACTCTCCAGCCCACTTGCTCTGACCGTAGCCAGTTCCAAGACCGACGCTGCTACCTTCTAGCAGGTTTTCCTCACTGATACCTGCACCGCCGGCGGCGATGACTCGCTCGGACTCTTCAACAAAGTGATCGGTATCCAGGACACTGGTGGAGCTGACAAAAGAAAACTGCTTAGGCTTTCCGCTGGCGCAGAGCCTCAGAGCATCGATGGTACCCAGAACGTTTGCTGGTTTGAGGGTCGAATAGGGGTAAACCCAGTGAACCAGGGCTCCGTTGTGGATAACGGCATCAACGCGGTTGATGAGATCATCCCACAGCTGTTCAGAGAAGCCAAACTTCGGCTCTCCCAGGTTTCCGCAGACACACTGGAGCCTGTCGGTCCAGGTTTCATCCCAGAAACCGTAAGCCTTGCAGGTGGACTGAATGCGCTGAAGTGCTTGTTCTTCGCTCTTACCACGGACAAGCGCCACAACCTTGGCAGCAGGGGACTTGCGAGTGAGAAGATCGCGCAGAATGTGCGCACCAAGGAACCCAGTACCTCCTGTGAGGAAGATTGTGGGCTCGCTGGAAAGCATTGGCTCACTGCGCTCAGGGAACGTCTTGGGCAGAGTATCCACCAGCTTCTTGGCATCCTTGGAGTACTCATCATCTGGCTCGTTAGAGACAGCAGCAGCTCCAGCATCGTCGGGATTCTCGCTGGTTGCGAATGATTCCTTATTCAACAGTCGCTCAACCTCGGCAGCAAAGCCTCGCAGAGTGGGGCTGCGGAAGATTGCATTCATGCTGAAGTCAATTCCGCGCCACTTGCGTCTCAGGTCGAAGAACATTTGCTGCGCCAGGATACTATGTCCTCCCAAGTCGAAGAATGAGTCGTCGGGCCCAATCATGCGAGCGGTAATATTGGGAATACGCGACGCCCAGATCTGAGCCACAGCGTGTTCAGTCTCGGAAAGCGCCTGGACAGCAGACGACCTGCGTCGAGGAGCCGCAGCACTCAGCTCAGCAGTATCGGGGAAAGGCAATGCAGGTTTGTCGATCTTGCCATTGGGATTCAAGGGCATGCGCTTAAGTGGGATAAAAACAGTTGGCACCGCATAAGCAGGAAGCTTGCTGCGCAAGTGCTCTCGAGCATCATCACGCAGAGGGCGGAAGCGTCTGAGCATGCCGACCATTCCCTCAAATGAATCGTCATCCTCAATGTTCTTGCTTTCCAACCATGAGGCCCACTTGCTCATGTCAGGTACGATATAGCTGACCAAGGTCGGCTCTTCGAACTTGTCTCTGCGCACCAAAGTAACATTTTCTCGCACCAAAGGATGGCGAGAAAGATGGGTATCAATTTCTCCGAGTTCGATGCGGAAGCCACGGATCTTCACTTGATCATCGGCACGACCAGAACATTCAACGTCTCCAGATGGAGTGTACCGGCCAAGGTCTCCACTGCGATATAAGCGGTCTCTTGGACCGAAGTAGAACTGTCTCCATGGCTCATTTGCACCTTGAGACAGGGCGTTGTCCTTCTCAACCCAAGTCTGGGGGTCCGTAAACCAGTTCTTAAGGAACTTCTTCTCACTCAACTCTGGGGAACCGAGGTAACCTTCGGCGAGACCGGCCGCACGGACGTAGATTTCACCCACTTCACCAACTGCGCAGATGCGACTGGGATCGAATCGGTTAACAACCAGCATCTGCACATCAACCATTCCCCGACCAGCTGGAATGACATCCTTCATGGTGTCGAGGAAGCCTCCCTGGCTCGAATAACTGGGGATTTCGTAATAACTGACGGCACGCTGAGTTTCAGTTGTACCATACATGTTGACGATGTTGACGTTCGGGGCGAGTGCCTGAAGCGATAGGCAGTCTCTCTTGATCAGGATATCGCCGACAAAGAAAGCATGGTGAAGAGTAGGGAATTGAGCCGAAGCGCCACCAACCAAGATCTGACCCATGGCAGGTGTGAGATGGGTGACTGTAGCTCCGTACTGTTGCATCCATTCCGCGAGTCTCTCATTCTGAATGTCTTCACGAGCCGGTACCAACAAGCGGGCTCCCAGGAACAGGGGCGTGAAGATATCTCTTTGAATGGGGTCGTGGGCAATTCCACTGAGCATTGTGAATCGGTCATTGGGGTTAAGCTTAAAGGTTTCCGACATCCATGGGAAGTAATAGGCCAAGGAGAAGTGACGGCCCCGTACACCCTTAGGTCTTCCTTCCGAACCCGAAGTGAAAGAGAGCGTAGGGGTCGAGTCAGGACCAACGACAACGCCGACGGGCTGAGCTTTCATGGGAAATTGCTTAGCAAGAACATCCTGGCCATCGACCGAACCTCCCAAAAGCGCACCATCGTCGCAGAGAGCGAGTGCTGGGACCTCTGTCCGGAGCTCCAAGTTGTCACGAATAAAAGTGCGAACTGTCTCCGAGAGCTCACCAGCATCCCTGGTGGCCTTTTCAATGACAACAAGAGCTCGGGGGCGGGCGACATCAAGATAGATGTTCTGTCTCTCCGGGGGGTATGCCGGGTCGATAACGGAGAAAGTAGCACCGGCCTTCAAGATACCCATAACTGCAACGACAAGGTCAACGCCACGGTAAGCATAGACCATGACAACTTCTCCTTGTTCAATGCCCGATTGCACAAGGTGATGGGCCAAGATATTCGACGCTTCATTGATTTGCTTGTAGGTGAATTCGCGGTGAGGAGAGTTCTCCGACTTGGTCTCCACAACACACAGGCTTTCTGGGTGCTTTCCGGCATTCTCAGCAAAGATATCATGAATAGCGCCACGGAATTTAGACCATTTCAGATCTGAGGTCGGGTCGGGGAGAAGGGCTCGTTGGTCTTCGGTCATAAAATCAATCTTTCCAATTGCTTCTTCCGGTCTGGCAGTAGCGTTTTCAACAAGCTTAGCAAGCTGCTTCAGAATAGTGGCAATTCGAGCGCTGGAGAAAAGTCGTTGGTTATAGTATGCGCCCAGCTCCGCTCCCGATGCATTGCTTGGTGTGACATTGACCACCAAATCGGTTGTTTCGAAGGTGTTGGCGGGGTATTCCTGAGAAGCGGCCGGGGCATCGTAGGCAGCAAAGCGGAAAAGAATTGGGCTTCGCTCAGAGTTGGACTTTTCTTGAATGTACGATCGAAGGCTGCCCAGAGGCACAACATCGGCAGCGGCCTCGTTGAATGCCTGGATAAACGTCAGAAGGCCAATGCCGTGAAAGCAGGCAAAGTGACTATATTCATACCTTCTCAACCTTGGCATAAAGCTGGAGGAAGGTTTCCGAAGAGTCAACGGGAACTCTCAAGACAAATGGACGGCCATCCTCTCCGGAGCTGGTGCCAATGGCAATGTCCTCATCTCCGGTTAAACGAGCGACGAGAACAACGAATGCTGCCAGGAAGACAATAAAACCGGAAGAGGGCGAACCAGACACTTTCTCCACAGCCAATTGAATGTCGTTGGAAAGCTTAGTTGTCTCAAAAGCTTCGATTGCTCTCCTGGCAAGCTCCGGCTGTTGGTTATCGGGATAGTCTCGGGTGAGGGGAGACACAGTGAGACTCTGCAGGCGTTGAGCCCATCGTTCTAGGCGCTCCTGTATGGAGGCTGATTCCACACCCATGATTGCAGTAACGAGGCCCTTCCTTGGATAATTCCGGGCGTCGAGCTGCGAAAAAGGTCTGGAAAAGAAGAGATGGAGGGGAGAGGAAAAGCGATGATGTGAGTCAAGAGGGGCCAACAAGAGAAGTGTGGGAGAAAAAGCCGATCTCGCTGCACCCCACGATTGCCTTGATGCCTCAGGCCACCACTGTGTTTCTGCCTCAGGCGACTAGGGTTAGTGCCTGAATTTCTCCTGATGTTATCCTTGGCCAGGGAGCTGTTATGATAGTTTATTAACCACCACATACTTGCAATGGCAGTTGTGGAATCCCTCGTGGCTCTGCAGCTGTAATTCCACGGTGTTTCATTTCTTTTACTTTTATATTATAATTCTTCTTCTCCTTCCTCCTTCTTTTCTCCCCTGAAATCGGCTAAACGACGGTCGATCAGGAGAGAACCTAACTACTTGACCTGGGGTCCTAATCCACCGATTACCCCTACCCTGAATTCCTCCGCTCCTTGTCAGTTCTTTTTTCAGACTGCCTCGTGCGCGCGAAGATGATTCCTCATCGAAGTACAGCTCTGCTCACAATCATTGTCTTCGTCGCCCTTTTACTGGTGATCTTCTCCTCTTCGCCCAATCCCAATCCCAACCCAAATTCGGAGGAACAACAACAAGAACAAGAGGTTTCCGGTCCGTCCAAATATATCCCGAAGCTCCCTTCCCTGTCTCTGGGCGACCTCCATTTGCCTTCGTTTCGCCCGACCGCGCACACTCCTCCTCCAGAGCAGAAGAATAGTACCAGCGGCGAGTCCAAGTGGTATAGCGATTTGTCATGGCTCAACCCATTCTCCTCGTCCATCACGTTGGATGAGAATCGATCTGTTCTGCCACCCCTTCGCGACCGCCCGTTTATCTACACCTACTACGATTCTAAGAATAAAAATGATGACGATGAGGAGAATTCGGATGGACAGCTGCTGCTTGCATGGCGCAGGGCATGGTTTGCCCAAGGATTCCGGCCTGTCGTGCTAGGTCGCGGAGAGGCGATGAACAATCCGCTTTACGAAAGTGTGCAGAGGTTGAAACTTACTCGTGAGCTCGAAGATGATCTGTTCAGATGGCTTGCTTGGGGTCACATGGGCACGGGCTTGCTTGCAGATTGGCGCTGCTTCCCAATGGCCAGATACGATGATGAGATGCTGTCCGCCTTGCGCCGAGGCACTATTCCCACTCACATCACGCGATTTGACCACCTTGGGAGTGGTCTTTTTGCTGGCGAGAAAGCACGGATCAAAGACGCACTTGATGAGGCGATTAAGAAGATAGAGGAAAAGTCAATGTCCATGCTGGACCTGATTCCTGCAGACCTCTTCAGAGTGGAACAAACAAATGCTTTGGCTTTCTACAGCTCCGCCGCCGTCACGACTCACTATCCGACCCTCGCAGAAAAGTCTGTGTCATCGCCTACGACGGGTCGATCCTCACTTGTCCAACTCATTAACTCGCACCTGCATACCACTTTCCAGAACTCTTTCCCAGCGGGAATTGCTGTTTTGAAGCCTTACCCCGAACACACCACGGCTCTCGTTGAACCAGCCCTGCGACTTGCCAAAGCTTTGGCCCAGTGTTCCGAGTCGCCTATTCCAACGTCCTGTCCCCCTAACTTGCCTAAATGCCATCCCTGCAGTGCAGATAAGCCAGCCAGCATTAGCCAGCCATCGACTTACCGGAACACAACCCATGTTTTCACGATTGGCACTCTTCCACACCCTTACACTCTGATTAGCCTGCAGCATAGCACTGATGCTGTCACTACTCGGCTTATCCGGCGCGAAACCGAGCGCGATGCGTGGTTGCAAGAAGTAACCAAGGAACATTTGGGAGAATTCCTTCCCGGGTCTTCAAGAGCTGTTGTTTTCAAAAAAGCCGTGGCTGATGATCCAGCAGTTGGCAGCTCTTTGTGGATGACCGTGGAGGCCCTTCCGCCTGACGCTGGCCAGGCGCTTCCATCGGAACTCCTGGACGAATTTGAATGGCAATTGGGATTCAAGATTCCTCGTGAAGGCAATGTGGATGCCAAGAATGAGGGTAAAGCGAAGGAAACCATGCAAAATGCCAACCCAAGTGAACAAGGCATCGAGAAAGAGTTTGACCTTCTCTCAAAATCAAGAGCAATCCTTCAAAGCAAAGATACCAACCGAATCGGCATCAAGGATGTTGCCGAAGCCTGGAATTTGGCTGATACTGAGACTTGGCGATTTGTGAGAGCGTATCGGTTCGTAATTCCCCCAAACCACTCCTTCCAACACATTTACTGACTATATCATATAGGGCTCGAAGTGTCGTTGAGCGCAAGAGATGGGAAGAAGAAGAGAAGCACTTCTTTGGTGCCAGATCCAAAGAGTAAGGAAACAGGGGTCATTATCTACGCTCTTCTTTTAATAGAGACTGCTCTTGATTTATTTCTTTCTACGCCAATTTTCAAATTTTTATTTTTCAAGCTTGATTGAATTTTCCTGTACTAATCTTTTGTTGTACCATCAATTGTTGTGTATTGGAGCATATGGCACGGCGTTCATTGTCACTGGCATTATGACTGTGGACTCAAAACATGGCATTCTGGATAGATATCAGCGGTGGCTTTAGTTATTCATCTTTTTATTCCTTATTTACTTGATTTCATTTTGATATTATATAACTGCTTTATTTGTTGTACGAAATTATGTTGAGATAACCGGCGATAATTGGCAATAAATAATCACTGTCAGATGGTTGGGCGCGTCGGACTGTGGCGATCCCCGCATTCCGAAGGGGTCCAGCGATGATAACCGCGGCGGGGATGCGGCGATAAGGCCTAATTTGTTGCCATCTGCAGGTCATCGCATGCCCAAGGTTGATACATGATGACTCTCTTTTCTTTTCTTTTCCATCTTCATACACACTACTCACTATATATTACTGCACTGATTGCCATTTGAACATCTTGAAAGAGTTCGTCGATGGATGCAACGTTCGACGATTATTGAAGCTATAGCATCGAAGCTCTCTATCCCCGGCTAGGTCAGCGCTCATTGTGGCCACCTAGCTCTGATACAACACTCCTTTCAACATGGCGCCTGGTATCATAGAGCCAACGAGCATTGTGGCCACGGCTAATAAAGCCGTCTCTCTGGCTCAGCTTACCGAGGAATGGGACGATACTATTCGTTTTTATCTCAACGGCACGAAGGTGGCGGTTGATTCTGTCGGTCCTGAGGTCACCCTTTTGGAATATTTAAGGGGAATAGGATTGACAGGGACAAAACTGGGATGTGCAGAAGGAGGCTGTGGTGCTTGCACTGTGGTAAGTTGATCTTTCCTGCTGTGTTTTCTCCTGGAGTATCTCTGACTGTGTAGGTTGTCTCGCAAATAAACCCAACGACCCAAAAGCTATACCACGCATCCGTTAATGCCTGCCTTGCCCCGCTGGTTAGTGTGGATGGGAAACATGTCATCACAGTCGAGGGAATCGGGAACGCGAAGAATCCACATGCCATCCAACAGCGTATCGCTGTTGGTAATGGAAGTCAGTGCGGCTTTTGCACTCCGGGTATTGTGATGGTATGTCTACTACTATCTCATGCATGAAAATAGTAAATCACGGCTAACTTTATATTTAATAGAGTCTCTATGCCCTATTACGCAACAACCCACGCCCGTCAGAGCATGCTGTGGAAGAAGCTTTCGATGGCAATTTGTGTCGCTGTACTGGATATAGACCTATACTCGATGCTGCTCAGAGCTTCAATGCATCTAATAGCTGCGGACAGTCTACCGCAAATGGTGGAGGGGGTTGCTGCAAGGAGAAACAAAATGGAGGGTGCTGCAAGGGATCCTCGGGCGCCAATGACGAGCAGGGCGTTTCAGCGAAGTTCACACCACCCGATTTCATTCCATACAGCCCAGACACAGAATTGATCTTCCCCCCGCACCTCACAAAGTATGAGTTCCGGCCATTGGTTTTTGGTAACAAGAGGAAGAAGTGGTATAGGCCGATTAATTTGCAACAGCTCCTGGAGATAAAGAGTGTTCATCCTTCAGCAAAGCTCATTGGAGGAAGTACCGAAACCCAGATCGAAGTCAAGTTCAAGGCAATGAGATATGAGGCTTCGGTTTATGTTGGTGATATTCCAGAGCTACGCCAGTACTCATTCCACGACGACTTCTTGGAGATTGGCGCCAACGTTTCGTTAACGGACCTTGAAACAATTTGCGACAAAGCTCTTGAGAGATATGGACCAGTGCAAGGTCAACCATTTAATGCCATCAAAAAGCAACTTCGATACTTTGCTGGAAGGCAAATTCGTAATGTTGCTTCGCCGGCTGGAAATTTGGCTACCGCATCGCCCATTTCAGACCTGAATCCAGTGTTTGTAGCCACCAAAACGGTCCTCACTGCCAAATCACTGGACAAAGAAACCCAGATCCCTATGGACCAGTTCTTCAAGGGGTACAGAGCCACCGCACTTCCTCCGGATGCTATTATAGCAAGCCTCCGTATTCCTATCTCACAAAAGAAGGGGGAATACATTCGAGCTTACAAGCAATCAAAGAGGAAGGATGATGACATTGCTATAGCCAATGCTGCTTTGCGTGTGGAACTCTCGCCGTCCAACGATGTTCTGAGTGTGAATCTGGTTTTCGGAGGGCTGGCACCAATGACAGTTTCTGCACGGAATGCCGAGTCTTACATCATTGGCAAGAAGTTCACCAACCCTGCCACACTCGAAGGCACGATGATTGCGTTGGAGAAAGACTTCAACCTAGCATTTGGTGTTCCAGGTGGTATGGCGACATACCGCAAATCTCTCGCCTTGGGGTTCTTTTATCGATTTTACCATGATGTACTGTCCGGGCTTGAGGTCAAGGGCACTGACATTGATCAAGATATAGTAACAGAGATTGAAAGAGCTATCTCATCGGGGAAGAAAGACGAGGAACCATCGGTAGCCTATCAACAAAGGGTTTTAGGGCAGGCTACTCCGCATGTTTCTGCGCTGAAGCAGGCCACTGGAGAAGCTCAATATACCGATGATATTCCAGTGCAGCAAAACGAGCTTTTTGGTTGTCTCGTTCTCTCGACCAAGGCTCATGCTAAGCTCATCAGCGTCGATCCAACAGCAGCGCTTGATATTCCTGGTGTCTATGGATATGTGGATCATCAAGACCTTCCCAACGCAGAGGCCAACTGGTGGGGTGCACCAAAAAAAGATGAGGTATTCTTTGCGGTGAACGAGATTACCACCGCTGGGCAGCCCATCGGTGTGATCCTTGCAAAGACGGCCAAAATCGCCGAGGAGGGCTCGAGAGCTGTAAAGGTTGAATACGAAGACCTGCCACCAATCCTTACAATCGAAGAAGCGATCGAGGCGGGGTCTTACTTCGCACACTACCCGTTCATAAAATGCGGTGATACTGAGAAGGCCTTTAAGCAGGCAGATCATGTCTTCACCGGTGTTTCGAGAATGGGTGGCCAAGAGCATTTCTATCTCGAAACTCAAGCTTGTGTAGCTATTCCGAAGCCTGAAGATGGTGAAATGGAGATTTGGAGTAGCACTCAAAATCCCACGGAAACGTGAGTCATACGCGCCTTCTTTCTTTATATCTTACCATGATACTTACTTCTATTTAGACAAACATTTGTTGCTCAAGTTACTGGTGTCGCATCCAATAAAATTGTTTCTAGGGTGAAGCGCTTGGGTGGTGGCTTCGGTGGTAAAGAATCACGATCGGTTCAACTTGCGGGAATTTGTGCAGCTGCAGCTGCAAAAACAAGACGAACAGTTCGATGCATGCTTAATCGGGATGAAGATATCGCCTCTTCGGGTCAACGCCATCCATTCCTTTGTCACTGGAAAGTTGGAGTGACCAAAGAGGGGAAGCTCCTTGCTCTTGATGCCGATGTCTACGCTAATGGTGGCCACACACAGGATCTCTCTGGCGCAGTTGTGGAGAGATCTCTATCACACATCGATGGGGTATATAATTTCTCAAATGTCAATGTCCGCGGCCGTATTTGCAAGACGAATACCGTTTCGAATACCGCGTTCCGTGGCTTTGGTGGTCCGCAGGGCCTATTCTTCGCCGAATGTATCGTGTCGGAGCTGTCAGATCATCTCAACATTCCCGCCGAAGAATTACGCGCCAAAAACATGTATAAGCCTGGAGACAAGACCCATTTCAACCAGGAGCTCAAGGACTGGCATGTCCCGTTGATGTATAACCAGGTGTTAGAGGAGAGTTCCTACAATGAGCGTCGTCAAGCCGTGGAAGAATACAACAAGAACCACAAATGGTCAAAACGTGGGATGGCTATTGTTCCGACTAAATTCGGCATCTCTTTCACAGCTTTGTTCCTGAACCAAGCTGGTGCTTTGGTCCATATTTATCACGATGGAAGCGTCCTGGTTGCGCACGGTGGCGTTGAGATGGGGCAAGGTTTACATACCAAGATGACTATGATTGCAGCAGAGGCACTGCAGGTTCCTCAGGCCGATGTATTCATCTCAGAAACGGCTACCAACACAGTTGCAAACACGTCCCCTACCGCTGCCTCTGCAAGCTCAGATCTTAATGGATATGCTGTCTTCAATGCGTGCGCGCAGATTAATGAGCGTCTTCAGCCATATCGTGAAAAGATGCCTAATGCTCCCATGAAAGATCTGGCCCATGCAGCTTACTTCGATCGAGTCAATCTTTCTGCGCAAGGATACTACCGCACACCCGAGATTGGTTATGTATGGGGTGAAAATAAGGGCCAGATGTTTTTCTATTTCACTCAGGGTGTAACAGCTGCTGAGGTAGAAATCGATACACTGACTGGTGACTGGACACCCTTGCGAGCGGATATCAAAATGGACGTTGGCCGCAGTATAAACCCGTCCGTGGATTATGGCCAGATAGAAGGGGCTTTCATTCAGGGCCAAGGTCTTTTTACCACGGAGGAGAGTCTCTGGCATCGCGCCTCGGGTCAAATCGCCACCAAAGGCCCGGGGAACTACAAGATCCCTGGGTTCAGAGATATCCCCCAGATCTTCAACGTCAGTCTTTTGAAGGATGTGGAGTGGGAGAATCTCCGCACAATCCAGCGCTCGCGAGGAGTTGGGGAGCCGCCACTCTTTATGGGAAGTGCTGTTTTCTTCGCCATACGGGATGCTTTGAAAGCTGCGCGGAAGCAGTGGGGAGTTGATGAGGTCCTCAAATTGCAAAGCCCAGCCACACCGGAACGGATCCGGGTCAGCTGTGCTGATCCTATCATTGAGAGGGCGAGAGTGGCCCCTAAGGAGGGCGAGAAGAGCTTTTTTGTTTCGATTTGAATGGCGGGAGATTGACGGTATCATTAACTACTCGGGGTATCTTTTGGTTATTCATTATGATTTTATAGCGATCAAACATCATCTACGACCTTTTATGCATCTGGAGCACGTCCAGTCTGTTATCATTGCAGGGCTTCCTGTCATCTTTTGCCATATGCTATTGTCATTTAGGTTTTCTGAAGAGCTACTGCCTTATACCAGTGCTAATACATGCATTTTCGGACATGGATCTATTTATTAGGTTATAATAATTGCATTGACAGTTTCCATACAAAATAGCCATGGTTGTATGATCAAGAAGCCAAGGTAGTCATGAACATAATCAGGATAAGAGAGAAGCAAAAGGTCGCATGTCAAAACAACATAAATTACTATGTGCAAGCGCACTGGTCCACTATTCGATACTGTACGCCAAAAAAAGATATTAAATACAAACACCACAATAAATGCAAAAGTGGGTCGAAGCAAGCAGGCTTTTTTCTCTCTCAAAAAGAAAAAGTCAATACTCTATTTTTGGATGGACCATGCTCGGCCGATCATCAGCGCTTCTCCTTCTCCATACCGTACTCGACATAGCTACTTCCTCTCAGATCTGAAAACCCATCGGTGTGGAGTGCAGAACCATATTGTCTCTCTCCAGCAAATCCAAGCTTCTCGTCTTCATACCGGGCCTCGCTCACAGTTGCCGGTACACCTGCGGAGGCACCATTCCTCATAGCAACCTCGTACCGGGGAGCTGGTTGAGAATGATGAGAGTGGGTATTGTCTGTGTTCATGTTCGTGTTCGGGACCGCAGTTAATGGTATTTCGGTGAATCCCTCCGAGTCAGGAACATGCTGGCTCATGGAAGGTGCGCCTCCACCGTCACCGCGGTTCTTGTCGCGGCCCCAGAAGAGGGACAGAGCGCGGATGAGACCAAGGAGGGCAACAAAGACCCAGATTCCGAGGATGGCAGCAGCGATGATGGTTTCGATTTTGATTGCTTCTTCGAGTTTGTCGACGACGCGGACGACGACTTCGCTGATCTTGTTGCTCGTTTGGTCGCCGGCGTCGGCGAGGAAACTGTCTGAGGAGTCGGTGCTGTTGTCGATGCTGTCTGCGGCACCGCGGGAGAAGGTATCGTTGGGTAGAAGGGGAAAGTCGATGTGTGCATGGTCATGGACCCATGTGAGTCCCTTTTCGATACTCTCGACTTTGAGTCCAATCAGGCAGTTAAATACGTCCATGAGAGGCTCGTAGAGAATGGTATTTCCGAAGGTCTTGTTGAGGACACCGGTAGTCTCGTCGACAAAGCTATTTAGGGTATCATTTAAAGCCCCGGTACTAGTGTTGACCCAGCCGAAGATGTTATGGTTCAAGTCGCTATTCATGTGGCTGATGGCTCCGTTGGCATCATTGGCCCATTCCGCAGAAGTGTTTTGTAGACGATCCACTACCTTGTCGGCAAATTCACCCACCTCGGTGGTCAGTTCTGGGACGGTCTTTGCAACAGCTCGAAGAAGGATGAATTGGAAGAGACAGGAGAGTAGTCCGGCAATGCCCAGGCAAAGGACGAACAAGGCCGCTGGTGATGTTGCATAAGCAATGGCCCAGCGTATAAGAACTTGTCTGCGACTGTTGCTGGATCTGCTGGCTGCTTTGATTCCTGCCGCTGCGGTATATGGTCGGGAGACAATGTAGACAACATCCATCGGGTCATGGGCCTCTTTTCGGACCAGTTGGGAACGTTCTTTCATCTGGCGCCATCGGCGGATCTCCTGCCAGGCCATTGGGACACAGGCAAGGACTGCTGCAATGACAAGAACAGCAATGAATATCTTTCGCGCCAACAGAACTATATCTGTTACGCCGTCAAAGAATTTGGAGATTCCATCATTACCGTCGCAAAATGTCATCTGTTCTTTGGCAGGGACTGGTAGAAGAGAGCGGTCGAAAGTGTACTTTCCCATGGATTCGTTGATCAGTTTCTTGACTTCTTCGAAGGGCAGTCGCAAAACATTTTCGGTGATGTTCTGGACTTCTTTGAAATTGGGCAGTGAACTGTTGAGCTTATCAACCTTCTCGTCGATAGAGGATGGAAGTGAAAGGTCCGCCAGTTTATCGGTGTATTTCGTAATACTAAGAGACGGAATACTTCCTCCAACAGTGCTGGCGATACTGTTCACGCCCTTGAGGAACTTGTTAAAAGCATCCTCAAAGTCATCAACACCCTTGCTGATGTCAGTACCGAGAGTTTTGACCGTCGAGTTCAAGAAATCGGCAGCATCTTCTATCACTGAAGCTGCAACATGAACACTGCCTCGAACAACCATGGTAAAAAGACAGAGATAAGTTGAATACAACACATTGATGTAGAAGATAACCAGCTCTTCAACGCCCGTGATAGTAAGTTGAAGCATCGACTCCAGTCCTTTCACCGCCGAGTCGACTCCAGAGGCTGTGAGTTCATTGACACCTTGAGATAGGTAGTGAGGCATAGAAACCATCGTGCTGCCCATCGATTCAACGCTCGAGCATGCTGACAAAGCTTCACGATGGGCTGTATTCATGTCTGACTGCAGACTCGAAGCGGCCATCAAGACCCGGACAAGGACGAGAAGCAACAGAATAGTCCATCGGTTGATCCATACTTGAGATAGTCGGGCTCTAAGGCCTAGATAAGGTGTAATTCCATCTGGGTGAAGCGGTATTATGCGTCCCTGGGCTCCATTGGGGACATGGGCTCCGTACGGGGGGAGCAGTGGGAAGATGGTCCGGCCTGACTTTGAGAATATCATAATAACAGTATCTTGGTAAAAGGGCAGAGGGAAATTTGAAGTTGTAGCGAGGTCGTCGGCGTGGCAGGCGAAAGATGGAGGAAATTCGCTTCGTTCGTGGAAGCACTCGTAGGAAGTCGTAGAACGGCTTGCAAAGCAGGTAGGACTTTCAATCAAAGAAATCTATCAAAGACGAAAAAAGAAAGAGTCAAGGTGGCAAAAGAAGAGAAGCGAATGCTGGCCAGCAACAATGGGTTTTCGAGAGAGTGGGACAGGGTCTATTGAGAAATCATGGCAGATGCTCGAGTCTATTGATAGTGAATGAAAGGACGATGGTATCAACGAAAGAGGAACAGAACAATAGCTTATTGAGCACAGCCAGAAAGAAGAGAATGGAAGAACATATTAATCAACACGAAATAAGACCAAAATAAAAAAAATCATGCATGCCATAGCAGGGGGGATTGAGGAGATATAATAAAAGACGATCAATAAAGAGAGACAAAGGGGAAAACCCGCCTTTGTGAACCCATCGCTAGGAACGGCCCATTCACAGCGTCCCATTGAGGGGATTCGGAACAATGAAGACAAAAATAAAGACAGTCTGAATATCAGGTCCAAATCATTGTTTCAGCTGGCGCAGAGCAGTTCTCGTGGGCGGCTCGTGTCGGTGTTTCTTCAGAGCGCTGGCTATATTTGGTGTTTCTGCAGACCGGCGCTTAGGATTCCCACAGGGCCAGCCAATCCTGTCCAGCGCATGAATTGATGCAGATTGACGTCTAGGCGATCAGATATTTAGTATTCCAATGGGATCTTCACATGACGTTCAAGGTGGAGAGAAGTCTGCAGAATTCATTGTGCGATCCTTTGATGCCTGCAACATTTGTCGTTCCATTTCGCGCCCAACTGCCGGAGATCGGACGGTGGTCCAGTGCTTTACTGGATGAAAGGGGTCGAAAGATAGGAGATGGATTTATTCTAGGAAGCTGCTAGATCAATACACCTGACGGTTTGACGAAGAAAAGTGGATGCCTTGAGTGGCTGGTGGATGAGATGAGGTCGGTTGGTGATGTTTTTGGACGCGACAAACAGACAGAAACTTGATGAGACTCGACTTATTTATGGAAAGAAAAATTATAAATAATTGTAGGGGCAAAGATCAGATAACGTCCAAATTGTCATTAAAGGTCTTGTTTTCTCTCTATCCCAAATACATCGCCTTGATACGCTGTCGATCCAGAAGAACATTCCCAACAGAAACAAGAAGCCAATAAATGAAAGATAATGGGAACAGGAAAATTGAGAAGATTATCCAGGATAGAGCCATACTGCTAAGCACTCAGATCAAGCAAAGCGCCAGGGATAACTCTCGCATATCGAAAACAAGTAGCCGAGTAAAAGATGTTGCCAGCCAAACTCTCAATCATGCCACGGGCATACCGCAGCTGATTGTCATTCAACTCTTTGTTGATAACCAAAGCTTCGTATTCATCATAAAGTCGTTTTTCAATGTCCAATAAAAGAGTTCGAAGGAGGATTTTCGCTGTCGAAGGAGAAACACAGAGGAGGTCCTGCAGAACCTGGACACCATTCACGACCGCACTGCCATGTTCTGCCGATTCTCTAGCTTCTTTGTCGTAGGAATAGAGGTCATTGGTCAAAGCAAAGTGCGCAATGTAAAGGTTTCCAGCGGACTTGAGAGGTTCTATTTCGGTTTCGGACAGAGGTGCCTCGCAGGTGAATTTGAGAGAAGCCACGATGAACCTATCAACCGTAATCAGTCATTGCCAAAGCATTCTATATGAGATATGGAAAACGAACTCAACGGCAAAGTCTCTGATACGGAAACCGAGATAGTCACCAAAGGTGGAAAAGCGAAGCGAGTGTGTAGCAGAGTTGTTCCGGGTATAGTCTGCCCATTGCAACACGCTGTAGACGTATTCAGGCCCCGTCACTGGGTCTTCCTCGAGAGCCTCTCTGGCAAACTGTCCGAAGATGTTGTTCTTCCATTCCACCTTCTCGATCGGCACATTCTCGGACTGCAGGTTGACCAAGGCATCGTCGATGATGGTGGTTCCCTCGTTTGCAAGGTGAGACTCGATGACATCTATGCATTGTACATTAGAAACGTCCACATGCAAGTTCAGGTCATGAATTACCGTCATGCATGAAAATCAAAACATTCGCCTTTGCCATGATTTCCGCTCGAGTCTTACTTGCAGCCGGAAACATGTTGATCGGGGCCGTGAAAGACGTTTCGACCAACTCCTGGGATTTCGTCATGGCAGACCCAGAGATCATCTCCTTATGAATGCGCGAAGGTATCATTCCCTGATGCTCTGGAGAGGCATCCATGATCTGGTGCAGAATCGCCTGTGCCGCCCGTTTCGCTTCAGGCCAATATTTGCACTGCACACATGCAGGGAAATAAGTCGGCCATGGTACTCTCACGGCAGAGGGGTTGATGGCTTCTGTATTGTGCAAACCGAGGGTGGGATGAGAAAGAGAGTCAGAGAGGAAGGAGAAGTGTTTGAGCTTTTGGAGTGCTGGTGGGGTAGTCCCTGCTGGGTCGAAGGCGTATTGGATAGGCCTCATCTTGCTGATGGCTTTACTTGCTTTGATCATGGTGGGAGTTGTAGGAGAGAGGAGGACATATTTATATCCGAAAAGCCGCCATTTTACAAAGAAAATATTAGGCCATACTGTTCCATATCTAGGGCCAGTGAGAATAAGTGCATTGTCACAGTGAATGCTGGTACAACCCCAAGTAGCTGAAGCCATGCATCAACTACCCATTTGGGTCACAGTGAATGCCGGTGCAACTCCAAATACCTGAAGCCATGCATCAACTATTCATTTTGGCAGTAGCCTTATGGCCCAATAGAAGGATGTCGAAATAGATAGTACAAGGGTGGAAAGCAGTTGGTTTTGGATAGAGAAAACAGTATGGCACTGAAGCATTGTGGGGTTTTCTAGAACGACTCCAGCAGTACATTTTGATATCCTGCCATACATCTGTACAGCCTCATTTGCAGCTGTAAATATCTACAACTCTAAAATAGCACCCCCAGTATATTCTCTAGCTTCTACTTCAAGCTAAATGAAGACACAGCCAGTGTGTGCCATACCAAAGCGATGATCGAACATGACATGAGGCATACAGAGTCATCATTCCATCGACAAAGCCAGCACAGTAAGATTGCCGAGAAATGAGCAGAATTAAGAGAGATCACACATCCTGGGAATCTCTAAAAATACACATATTCAAAATATTCCCATCTTTGCTTTGAAACCTCTCTCATTAAGCATACCTTGTGAGGGATCTCTGTCTCACTCACTCTCTCTTCTATCCCTAGTACCAAGGCCATGAATACCAGCTCTTCAATTTAAGAGACTAAAGATCTAGGTATTTATGAAATATTCTCTATTCAGCCTCCTTTGATCCAAGGATAAGGAGACCGAATGACAAACACTTTTCAGTCCCAACAAAGCCCTACGATGAGGTCCCACAAACAAACTGCTGAAATGGATGGCACGTCGCCAGAAGACGGGGCCTGTTGTCGTGGTGAGCTAGCTCAATTCACTTGATCAGCCCCTCTCCCCTCCTCTACAAAACTCTCCCCTTACAAGAATCTCTGCTAAACTGCCTCTCAGACTCCCCAGGCAGACGCGAGGATAGCTCGGAAGAAGACCACAAGAGACGTTCAGAAGCCATCACCTTGATTAGAGCTCGAACTCTCACTCGCCTGTCCCCAACTGACCCTTCGCCTGATGATCTTGCCACCCAGCTGAGAGAGCCAACCTCCTCGTTCAATGGGCAGTTCACAGAGTTGAAACAGGTCCCGTTTGTCATCATGGATCCAGTCCATCCATCCAAGAAGAAAAATAACAAAAAGGGTGGAGGCAACCAAAAACCTGCCGCCAAAAAAGGTGACTCTTCCAAAAAGTTCACCAACCCTCGCACGACCAAAGATCAGCCCAATGAGCAACCTAGTGGTAGCGTTCCTCTCCCCCAGGGCTCTCCAGCTATCTCAGCATCTGGTCAACCACACAAGGTTAGGGAAAGTGGCACCCATAACAACGAACAGACTCAGAGTACATCCGACAGTCCAAAGAAACAGCCAGGCTTGGACGTGGATTCAGTCACAGGAGGTAAAATTCTATCCGATAGCGAGGATGACATTTTGACTCCTACTTCGTCTGTCAATCCTGCATCAGTCACACTCAATGAATCCTCGGATATCGAGACAGAGTCGAAGTTCATCCAGTCGCAGTATGTTCCTGCAGGGACTGTCCAAACAAAAGGCAAAAGCACAAACGCTGGTTCTCAAAAAGACACCACGGCCAGCAAAGATATCTCGGCCCAAAAGTCGAAATATCCGGCATCAGAAGCTGGTTCCACCACTTCTTCAGACAAGAAGAGGGCCGACAGCACGCTGGATGTAGCTTCGTCCTCTGAGTCTTCTACCAGCCAGTCCTCGAGCAAAACCGTAATCCCCATCAGAAAGAAGCTCCCTTCTATCCAAGAGACCTCAAGCGGAATGGAACTCACCAACTCGGTAGTCCAGGCCACTCCACAGAGTAATATAACCACAGAAACATCGCCAACGCATCCTGACAAGGGCAGCGGCAGCCACGCACCATCTAGCACCAGTACGCAGTCGACCGAAAAATATCATGGCAGCATAACAACGCAGAAGCCAGATGGATTCTTCTGGCAACTTGACAATCACGGGTTTCCCTGTGCCAAACCTAGCTGCGACAAGCGCTGCAATCTGTGGGATGGTGCGACGGTCATCTGCCCGCGATGCGGACCATACTCTGAAGTACGTTACTGCTGTAAGGAACACCTGTTCGAAGAGATCAAATGGCATTGGCTGTGTTGCGGAGAGATGACCTTCACCCATCCATGTCTGGAAAGCTCGATCCCTAAGCATGTGAGAGACGGATCACCTTTGTTGCCTTGCTTCCATCGTTACGACACCCCCGAGCGGCATCGCCAAGCTGTTTACTTCAACACCAACGCCAGGGAGGGGGACTATTTCATTTTCTCGGACTGGGCGGACCTTGTGGAAGCAGGATTTCCAGAGGACGTCACGCCACTGCGGTGCCCTTCTCGCATTTTTTACGCCGTCAGATTCGAAGACCCGGTAGAAAAGGATCGCTTCAGGCGTGTTCTTGCAGCCTGCCTTTTTAGTACGTTCTTCCATGTCTACCCATCATAATTTCGAAGAGCAGTAACATATACTAACCAAACTTGCGCATGCAGTGACTATCGAGGTATATGACCTTGTTGATTACATGTATCGTCTCATTCGAGATAATCTGCGCTCCCAGGGCACATGGTCCAACGAGATCGACACCGCATTGAAGTACCAGCTACACCTAGAGCTCGCAGTGAGCATTAGTCGAGAAATAACCGGAGAGAGACACGCTTGCGAAACAGACTGGAACGGACGATCCCGCCGCAACTGCCGAGACTCTGTCTGTCGGGGAGAGTTCTTTCACTATTTGGGATCGCTCGGAAAACGCGGTCATGCTCGTTTGCTTGATCACCTCGAGGCAAATCACTGGATGCTTCGTGTGGTGAGGACTACTCATCCTGAAGTGACGCAGGCAGCAGCCCGGATGCGCGGTGAGGGGTTTAAGGAAGTGGCGGACGAAGATAGAAGGAGCTTCTGTCGCGGAGATGGCTGGGACGGTGCCGGAAGTGGGGAGATGGAAATCGAGGGTATCAACGCTTGAGTAACATGTCGCATATTTCACTCGTTCTTGGAGGAGATTGGGACGTTGGTTATGTGGTTTTAAATAGCTTATACTTATTGGCGTTTGTCTGGATATCTTGTGTAGACTTGTTGACTGCGTTTCATTGGATCTTCTTTTTCTCTTATGGCGCTGGAAACCAACAATGCTAAAGAAGAGAAAGCTGGAACTGGTTATGTATGTTAATAAAAGACTGATATGAGACTTGCACCTGGAAACTAGTGTGGGAATTTGGAAATCTCTGAATTGAGCTATCTATATTTTTCACTTCCCCTTTCTATTTTTGTCCTTTGCATGTCACGGAGCGCCTAGGTAGTACTAACCTGGCCGATGCACAGTCTGCCCTACCCTGTTGTACATTTTTTCAAACATTTTTGGCCTAAGAGTAATGACAAGTATATAGTATATAATTTATTGTGTGATGTACTTCTTCAAGCCACGGAGCCTCTCCTTGGCAGTTTCGAGGATATCGTCATTCTTGCACACGGCGAAACGAAGATAGTCTTCGGCAATGTGGGCGTTGGCATCGGTGTAGAACTCAGTAGGAGGAATTGCAGCCACTCCAACCTCATGGATGAGGAACCAGCAAAGCTTGAAATCCCGAGGGCGGTTAGCAACATGAGGGGGGAACGGGTAGTCCTCCGGAAGCTTGACTGATGCCATGTTGGCAAGAACGAAGTAACCACCTTCGGGGTCGGAGTACTAAAAGTCGTAAGTCGACAATCAATTTGAAGGGGAAGTAGAGTCAGAACATACTGGGATGCCAAGTTCTTTGAAAATTTCGCAGAAGCGATCCATCTTCTGTCTCATCTCGGTTCGGCTTTCGTCCCAGAATCCCACCTTGTCGGCTTGTTCAAAGGCAACAGCTGCCGCCTCTTGGAGGGGTGACACACTGCTGTAGCAGATTCGAGTGTGTGCAGCAGCTACGTACTTGATCAAGTGCTCGGGTCCAACGAGATATCCAACGCGCCAGCCGGTGGCATAGAAGGCCTTACCAGCGGAGCCAACGGTAAGGGTACGCTCATAGATCTCTGGAGACAAAGTGGCAATTCTGGTGAATGGAACATAGTAGAGACGATCATAGACCTCATCCGAAAGAATAATGAGGTTGTGCTTCACAGCAAGCTCGCCGATACGCTCGAGCTCGGAGCGAGAGAAAACCTTGCCAACGGGGTTGTGACTTTCTACTTGTTAGCTACCCAGTAAAGCGTGTAAGATAGAGAAACCATTGCTCACGGCGAGTTGAGGACCTGGAAATGTTAGAACTTGTGCAATATATGAAGAAATGATGGGTGTTCTCACAATCATCTTGGTCTTAGGATTGATTGCCTTCTCCAGCTCGTCATAATCAATCGTCCACTCCGAAGCAGGGGATGTTCTAGTAGTGCCATCCTTAGGAGGTTGAAGCGGGACATATCGAATCTTGCCGCCGGGCATCTCAATGTTGCTGATGTACCTTCAAAGTGTCAACCTGTCGATCGTATTTGGTCGGGGACCACCACTTACTGGTCAAAGAAGGGCTCGAAGATAATCACTTCATCCCCGGGTTCAATGAATCCCATAAATGCACTCAGCATACCTTCCCCCAATATCAGCAAGCAAGATCAACACAACACTTAATTATCTCTCCCCACCTTCGTTTGCTCCTGTGGTGATTGAGACTTCGGTTTCGGGATTGATCGTCCGGCCGAAGGAAGGAGAGTATGCGTCGGCAATGGCTTTCTTGAGGCGTGGGCGACCCTGTACCATCGTGAGCAAAGCAATGAATGCGACAGTCACGGCTTCTTCGTCTCGGTACCTTTGTCGGGGAGTATTGGTTGCATTCCACCCGGTCCAGGGCGTCCTTTGCAGCATCTAGGGCGAACTTCGGGGGGTTGTAGCCGCTATAGAAGAATAATTCGTAAGTATTGAATCAATTACCTGCCGGTGGAGGCCCTCACTTACAAGAACCCTTGGCCCATGTTCACAATGGGCTGAACGGGCGAAGCCGCAGCGGCTTCGTTGACAATTGACCTGGAATTCAGGTTAGCAATTGTAGTCGGCTTTCATTAGTAGTTTCTCGTACCAAACATCCTGTCTTTGGCCAGCGACTCGTGAGGCCGGCTTAAAAGGATCAGGGCGTGCTGGCGTTGCGGACATGGCTCTGACTCCTTGATTGGAAACGCGGGGTAAAGCAGGTCGAGAGGAAGCGTAAAGCGCAGAAATGCTGAATGAGGGTTTGAACATGAACTTCGCTATAGCTGGAGAGAGAAAAGTACGGGATGTAGGAGTCATAAGGATAGAAACAAAAGCTTGGGTAGTGGTGGACTGGATTCGGTGGGTTTATCTCTGGCTACGGGGCGGGCATCTCCAATCTACGGGTTGAGGGTGGGTTGCGTGCTCGTCCGATTTGCGATATGGTAATAACCAAGGTAACACGGAGCGAGGGGTTTGCGCACCATTTTTCTTAAGTGTTCGGATTGAAATGGAAATAAGTTGAACTCAAAAAGTCTCTCATAACTTTCGACTTTTTTCTACTTTACTTTTTATAATTGTCACTCATGATGTTCCCCGGAAGCCGGCATTTGATGTAATATTCAGGCATTCAGGCACGGAAGATAAGTCAAAATGACTAATCGGTGCCAAGCTTCGCGCCGTCTCCGCCGCTTTCGCTCTCGCGTTCACGCGTCATTTCGAGTTGAGCATCTGTGCATCAGCTGTTGTCAATTTGATAACTTAACGGGGTAGTTCTCTCGAGGACAGACTTCGTGGCAGCAATTTCTGCCTACACATCTCAATGATCTAGCCATCATGGTTTCTTGCCCCATTTGTGGGAATTCAGTCCCGTCCCTGAAGATCAATGATCACATTGATTCCAACTGTCAAAGCTTCATTGATGAGCCGACCTCCAGCTCAGGGGAACAATCCTCCCAGAAGGCAAATGTCCCCAGCTTCTTTCAACCGACCTCGGCTCGCAAGGCTTCCGCTCAAGCCAGTTCACAAAAGGATACGCAGCCCTCTCAAGTCGACGCCTCACCTTTGCGGAGTGTCAACGGAAAAAGAAATTTGACCCGCGAGACCGATTCCCCATCGGAAAGACCCAGACCCAAATATGAGGATGCAGTGTCGGAATCGCAGCCGAAACGGCCTAGGGTAAACGCGTTTCAAAAAGCTGCACCTTTAGCAGAGCGAATGCGTCCACGGACGCTCGACGACGTTTGTGGCCAGGAGCTTGTGGGGCCTAACGGCATTCTTCGTGGACTTATCGAGCAGGATAGGGTTCCAAGCATGATACTCTGGGGTGGTGCCGGGATGGGGAAAACAACTATCGCAAGGGTGATTGCATCAATGGTGGGCAGCAGATTCGTGGAGATCAACAGCACTAGCACTGGGGTTGCGGAGTGCAAGAAGCTCTTCTCTGAAGCAAAGAGCGAGCTTAGTCTCACGGGAAGAAAGACCATAATATTCTGCGATGAGATCCATCGATTTTCCAAGTCACAGCAGGATGTTTTCTTAGGACCCGTGGAGAGTGGGCAAGTCACGCTCATTGGAGCCACAACGGAGAACCCATCTTTTAAAGTCCAGAATGCGTTGCTTTCCAGATGTAGGACATTCACCCTATCCAAATTGACAGACGAAAATGTCAACGATATCCTCCATCGCGCTCTTAGGGTGGAAGGGCCGAATTATTCGCCTTCTGCCTTGGTGGATGAAGAGTTGGTTCAATATCTGGCCAAGTTCTCAGATGGTGATGCCAGGACTTCTCTCAATCTCCTGGAGCTTGCTATGGACTTGTCGAAACGTCCTGGGATTACTAAAGATGAGCTGAAACGTTCACTTACCAAGACATTGGTCTATGATCGTGCTGGTGATCAACACTACGATACCATCTCAGCTTTCCATAAATCCATCCGGGGTAGCGACCCAGATGCCGCGCTCTACTACCTTGCCCGCATGATTCAATCAGGCGAAGATCCTCTATACATCGCTCGACGTCTGATTGTCCTCGCCTCCGAAGATATCGGTTTGGCTGATAACACCATGCTGACCCTTGCCATTTCGACCCATGCCGCCGTGGAAAAGGTTGGGCTTCCCGAAGCACGAATCAATCTTGGACACGCCACGGTGGCTATGGCACTATCAAAGAAAAGTACTCGATCTTATCGAGGTCTCAATAACGCTTTCGCCGCGCTGGAAGAGCCGGGCATTGCCGGGCTGCCAGTCCCAATCCATCTAAGGAACGCCCCCACACGACTGATGAAGGATATAGGATATGGGAAGGAGTACAAATATAACCCCAATTATGTCGACGGTCAGGTTTCGCAAGAGTACCTGCCAGACAAGCTGCAAGGTCGAAAGTTTCTAGAGGACTTAGATCTAGGCGAGAAGGTTGATCCAGACCTTGGCATTGGAGAGTATCCATACATGGAGACTGATTCATGATGCTTACTCGGGGATAGCTTATGAATCAATGAAATCGACGAGTTCACCAGAGCACTCTGGTAGTGGGTTCAATGACGGTTCTTTAGCCTACCTTGCAAGCTACCTTTCCACCCTGTGTTGGTTAATTACGAAACCCGGGACTCTGTAAGCAGTATGCGACGGACTCGACAGATGTTGGATCTGTTATCCCCTGGGTATTCCACCTTGAGAACTGTCTACAATCACTTCGTCCCTATAGCGTCATCGATAAACAGCGGGTTTATGGCAGTATCAATCACCGCCTTTGACACCGCCCCGAATCTTCCAATGAGCGGCTCAGAATGAATAAGACTATTCCTTTCTGGGACAACGCCTGTGCCACTATACCCTATTGAGAGGCGGCCTCTGTCTGCTCCCTTACTAAGGTGTTATTGCGTACTGCCACCAGTAGTGAAGCTGCTTCGCCTCGGTGGGCGACCATTTAAATACGCCTGGTGTCCCTCTCCAAAATCGAGTCACTTTTTTCTTTTCTTCTCAGGCTCTTTTGTCCTTCTATTTTCACCCCATTGTGGAGGGTTCCCATTGCTACTCATTCTCATTCATCTCATTCATCTCTCTTTGGTCATGGTTAGACTGCCCTAACCGCTTCCGCTGGTGACGCTTGCCTGCCCTGGGGCACTCTGCCTCGGACGGATCCTTGACCCAACTTTCATTCTTCCTCCTCAACATCTTTCCCCTTCTTATCCTTTTCATTTATATCACGTTCAACCTTGCTGTCGACCTGCTGTCGACTTTTTGTCATTTGTCGACCGTTATCCTCTTTGGGACGGACGGCAATGACGTCCTGTCCTCCTTAACCCTCACTTTGTTTGGCTTTGTTCTGTCATTCTCTTGGCCCATCACTACTGGTTATCATGGCCCATGAACTCCCTGTTGGTCAGCTTTCCCCTGGCTCTCGGCTCTCTTCTTTGGTTGCTGCCCCCCATGCTTCTTTGCATCATGGACCTGGTCCCATGCGACATACGTTCCATGGAGTAAGTCATACCTCGGTTTAGTCCTTTCTTCCTTCCTGGTTCTCTGTCTCAAGAAGACCTCGACCTTGGTCACAGAAATTAATCTACTTTCTCTTCCAGTCTCTCACAGAGGACCTAGCTTCGGTTACAAATGAAGCCCCAATCCCTCGTGGAATCCCGTGCGGATATCCAGCCCAGGCCCATATCCACGATTCTGTGCAATCTCAGTACTTCCCCTTGATTCATACAGGCTCTCACTTTGAAGCCAGACCACCCATCGAGTATCCTGGACCGCATCATGGTTTTAGCCATGAGACAGCACACCTTGTCTACTCGAATCATATGGATAACAGTCAGGGATTCACAGTTGGTCATACCTATCCAACCTCACTTCTCCCATCGAGATCTATACCGCCAACGTTGTCTGGTTTGCCTTTTCGTTCTGTCTTTGCCAGCCACCCTCAAACAGTCGCACCTCGAATGGAATCTGCTGGTGGGCCACCTTTGTATTCTAGTATTCCTCATAACCTCCAAAGCACATATCAGAACAATAATTTCAGCCTCGGTTATCCTCAGTCTTTTGTCGAGCATCAGGGAAAAGGTAAGAGACTTGAGTCTCGTATGTTTTCCTTGCTAATGGAAACTAGTTTCTCCGTCCAACGACCAAAGTAATAGCAGGGGGGTTTCATCATCTCCGACTCCAGGTCTGGAACCAGGCTATTCTGAGGGCTCGGATTTGAACATCGTAATAGAAGATCCAAAGAGTCCTAATGGTTATCGCGAGAAACGTATGCGGACCAAGAAGGATGCAGTGAAACAAAAGGAGGAGAGCAGACTGCTGAAGGAATCTGGCGGTGCATGTCTCTGGTGCTATCGCAAAAAGAAAAAGTGTGGTCCGATCCACCCTTGTCCTCTTTGCACATCCACTGGGCGCAGATGCATTCGTGAGTCTTCGCAGCTGAGTCTACTCGTGCCTCCCGCTCACGGACTTCCTTCCGGCGAAACCTCCCAAAACGCAGAGGGCCGAGTTTTTCAGTTAGCTACTGAAGTACTTTGCCGTCTGAAAATCAAGGCGTTTCAGACGACTGATGATTCGCGGGTGGTCGTGAATATCCGTCAGCCCAATACCGACCTTGGCATCTGGGTGGCAGAAATGTCCCAACTCGGGATAACTCCGTCAAACGGTCTGAATAGGGAGTTGGTTTTTAAATTGCTGGACCACGTTTGCTCCCCCGAGATGGACGACATCGAGGCTAGATTCCCGGGCCATCAGCTCATTAAATCTGCCTCGACAATGGCAAGGTTGTTTGCGGCACTCAGCAGCTTTTCCAAAACACAGGTTTACATCCGTCCAGCCGATGTTGATCCCGGAAGAATGACCATGTTTTACATTCTTACTACTTTCGCTCAAGCACTTTGCGAAATGTCAAACGAATTTTGCTCGGAGCTCACCGAAGCAATGCGGCGAAAGGAAACTCAGGACAACAATCCCGGTATCATAGGCTACTCCCCTTCTCCAAAGTCACCCAACCCTGTTTGGGTTGCTGCTGGTCTATATTATCGGGTTATCAAGGGCCTTTTGAGCTTCAAGCCCGGTCCGCCCATTGCGAACATATTCGATGATATCAAACCCCATCTGGATGAGGTTCACGCACATATGTGGAGCGTGCTTAGGTTTTTTCCGTTCGGCCAGAGCTCTAACACCAAAGCTTCGGTTAAAGAGGCGCTCAAAAACCATGTCCCCAATGTGTCGGGTTTAAGATGCTCTGATATCGCATTTTGGCTCGATTGGAGAGAAGAGGTCCCTCCTCCCACGGCTCTTCATCGACAGACAGACCCATATTCTGGGACTTCCTATGATATGGAATCTTTCCTTAATGAGGATTTTACACTCCCGACATTTCTTCCCGGCTCTGGGTGTGACTCGACTGGAGATAGTCAATCGCCACCTCAGATGTCAGAATTATTGTCTCCAGGTGATTCAGAAGCCGCTTCGTCTAGTCGGGCTTCTATTCAATCCTTGCCTCATGAGCTGGACACGCTTTACGAAGATTTGCTTGACCCTCTCGGTACCAATGGCTGGGATAGTACCATGGCGATCGATGCCTTTTATCGCGATGCTACTTGGGACCATGGACAGTGTGACCAAGCTAGCACTCGTGTTGGTTTCAACCCTTTTAATGATGTGCCGCTTCTATCTTAACGACAGCCCCGTCAATGCCCATTGACTTGGCTTAATGCATTTCGAGTAACAACGAAAAGCAGACAGCAATATCTCTTTACCACTTTTTTTTTTTTGTTTTCATCGCACCGTCGATTCTTCGGTATTGTTATAAACTTACCAAAAAGTGTATGCTTAGAACAAACAGTCTTTGCAGTGACTATATAATACACATACACCAAAGACGTGCTTCGGGGACTTAGGATCCCCCGATTGCACGATACGCCTGGATAACGGTTGGACATGAATTTCTTATTGTGGAGTTTTGGGTACTAATCATAATAATTTTGGCATGGATTTGGGGGTTTTTTGTTGATAATGAAGGGCTTCTTGGGCCGGTTTGCTGTAAGGTACTGCTATAGAGCACAGAATTGCTGCAATTGAAATAATTTGCATGCAGATATGATTCAAAGATATTACAAAGCTAGTAATTATTCCTCTCTTCTCTTCCACATCATAAATAAATAAAAATAATAAGAATCCTGCCTATCGTGGAGACTGCAGCTGTTGGTGTTGTTGGATCCGTTTCATCTTCCGCCCACCGCTTCGCGTCTTTCCGGCGCGTCGTCTTGCTCTCCGCAGACTCAAGACAAAGACAAGCTCGAATTCTCCCTCACCCCCACTTAGAGTTCATTCCATCTCTTTGAAAAGGACTTGCATCCTTTCTTTTGATCTGATCTATCTTATTCTTTTCTCCACTTGTTTCTCTTCCCATCACCCCTCCCCCTTCTCCCCGCCCGGTGTCTTCACCGGCTCTTCCTCGCCTGCGGGATTCCTTTGCAACCCAACGATGGCTTCGTCCGCTCATCAACCATTCGGGTCCCGGTCATATGCTGGAGGCAAGCTGCCAGACCGATCGATCAATGCAAACGCGATTCCCTTCAGTGCATCGACATTCTCACGTCGGGGCCTAGGAGCAACAGGAGCAGGCGATTTTGGGCCAGAAGGCTCCAAGTCAACACAACAAGCACCTCCTCCTCCAGTACATTCGCAGGCACACGGCCCATCGCAGGACGCGAATCCCTTAAGTCGCTTGACAGAGGAGCAGCGGGAAGAAATCAACGAAGCGGTAAGGATGACTACCTAATTGGGCTGTTTATGCCTTCGGTACTCCCAGACTGGACTACGCTGACACGGATTCCATCCATCTAGTTCACGCTTTTCGATCTCGACCGTGACCGACACCTTGACTACCATGAACTTCGCGTCGCCTTCCGCGCCCTTGGATTCACCCTCGCAAAGCAAGAACTGATCTCTCTCTTGACTACCTACGGCGTGCCGCGGCCCCAAGTGCAGCAACAAGCGCAACAAGCCCAGCACCAGCAACCCTCCAAGGCCGCCCCGGCCAGCAACCCTCAACACCCGTCTAACTTGCTCATGCCGCTCTCTGCATTCCAGGCCGTCACCGCACTCAAGATCCTCGAGCGAGACCCACGCGATGAGATTCTCCGTGCCTTTGAGCTCTTCGACGAAGGTCAGAAGGGTTACATCGACCTTGAAGATTTACGGCGGGTCGCGAGAGAACTTGGCGAGACCGGTCTAGAAGAAGAGGAACTCCGAGCTATGATTGAGGAGTTCGACCTTGAGGGTGTCGGTGGTGTTACTCGGGAAGCGTTTGTTAGCATTTGCTGGCAATAATTGGGGCTTCCTGGAAACTTTTCTTTTCTGTTTTTTTTTTTTTTTTTTTTTTTTTTTTTTTTTTTTTTTTTTTTTGCCATTGATCTTATATTTGACGGAGCTTGATGCTTTTGTCTTTGGGGTTCTTTTTTCAATGACTCATGCGCCTTGGAACACACACCCCTGGGGGTGCTATACGGGAGGCAAAAAGAACAGTGTCCTTTCACTGTCTTTTAAGCCTTTTTTTTATTGATTGTCATGATCTGACCGTGTTCTGTTGTCCTTTTGTTTTGACTATCCATTTGTTATATCATATGCTGTTATTGTTTTTTTAAAGCATTCCTGTTTCTCGTGCTGGATATTTTGGGCATTGGGCGGGCGCCAGTTTGGGGGGTTGTGTTTATGTTTATCTTTATTTTTTCTTTCCGATCACTTGGGATTTTTTGTTAAAAGTAACGTGAATATCAGACTTACATGAGAGAGTTGAAATGGATATTGAAGAAGGAGCTTTGGATTAGATGTGTATTGATCCAGGTAGACAGACAATCCATGAATGAGAGAGCAAAATATTTTGATATACGAATTGCAAAATACTCGAAACTATGTACCAAATGCAGTCCAGTCCAACTTATTAAGAAAAAGAAAGGTTCCAATCCCAGCCCAGCCCAGACAAACAGACCTATCATGACAATAAGTCGGCCCGGTTATATTTACGCCCCATATGGATCATGAGAAGAGGCCCGCAAGGATTCATAATGCGGGACCATCATATAGAAAAAAGAAACAAATGTAATACTGCGAACGCGAAACAGCAGACAGCTTGACTGAATCAATCAAGCATACCGTGCTGGACCTGGATACGGCGGTGGCGGTTCAGTGCCCAGTCCGCGATATCCTCCATTGGGTGCACCGTTCCACTGGCCCATCGGACCGCGCTGTGGTGGTGGCATAGGGCCTACCCAGCCGTTGGCATATCTGACAGGCGGCGGGGGCTTGACGGCAGGACGACGGCGACAGCGGTTAATCAGGCACGATGTCAACATGATGAGGATTAGTCCTCCCACGGCGCATGCGACAGCAATAACGACGTTCTTGTGGTCATCGATCCAGGAGCGAATCTCCCCACCAACTGAAGAACCCTTGCATTGTCCGTTGTCGCATTTACCTCCGCCACCGCAGGGGGTTCCGTCGAGGAAGTTCTGGTTCAGGGCCGCGCAGGCATTGGACTGCATGTTGGACGAGGCACATGTCAGAGTGCACGAGGAGCTATCGCATGCGTATGTGTCGTTGGTATTGAGAAGACTTCCCATGAGAGTCCGACACTGGTAATCACGGCTGGTACATTGGCCACTGGCACAGGTGAGACCAGAAGAGTCGCCGCAACTGGTTCCATCGTCCTTGTACTTGTCGGAGGGACATGAGCTTGAGTCACCGCTACACTTTTCTTCCAGGTCGCATTCGCCGCGGCTGGCCCGACAAACCGTGTCCGCAGAGGAATACTGGCATTTGGAGCAGCAACTATCATTGGCGTCGTCACAAACTGCCCCATCCTTGAACTTGCATGTTTTGGCGTCACAGCAGCTGTTGCTACCGCAGGAATCCTCACCACCACAGTCGCAGTCTTCACCATCCTCAACAATTCCATTGCCACATTGACTGCCAGTGATGGTAGTGACACCCTTGTTGTCTGAAAGGCAAGATGACTTGACATTGTTGCGACCCAAGCCCGAGCAAATGTTACCGATTGTGCAGGCAGAGAATTTAGAAATGTCATCCCTTGTGCTTGGATTCATAATATACTGAGAGTCGGCATCGCACTTGGAACTAGAGTAGGGGCAGCACTGCGACGAGGCATCCAGGCCCTGGTTGCAAGTGTCCTGGTCGCAATCATGCACCGCTCCAAATGTGTGACCAGATTCATGAGCGAATACCTGCCACCCAGCACCCGAAGTGCGAACAACAACGTTGGTCCCGCTGACCGATTCAGAGCCTTGGCTAGCAACTTCAGAGTTGCACAGCTGGCCCAGCCATGACAGACCAACCTCTGCACCCGTGGGGCAACCGCTCATGAGAGTCCAGTAGGCGTTGTTGTCCGATTGCGATCCACGCCACTTTGAGAAAGAGTCCAGTCGGGAAGTGATGTTTCCGCTATCACACGCGATGTTCCACGGCGCCGCGGTCGAAGCACTATCAGGACAATTACCGTCACTTACAGTCAGGTTCCGTAAACCAATACTAATGTTAAAAGACTTTTCGTAGACGTTGGATGCACTGTTCACGGTGTTGATGATCCATTCACGGGCCGTTTGGTTCGATTTGAAGGAATTGGTCAGTGTACAGTCTGTCGCAATACCAATCAACGCGACCTTCTTCGTGTCCGGGCAGCCAGACGTATCCCCGATCGTAGATTTCAGATTGACTCCACCAGAGTTGCCAGAGGACCCGCTAATGTCCGATTGCCGCTTGCTCATGCCAAACATCGAATTCAGAGACATGGAACCCCACTGGCTCGTGTCGCGCTTGGAATTCGACTGGTGGATCGGGTGTAGGGGGTCAGTATTGAAGCCGAGCTTGTCGGCCTCGCACGACGAAGAAGTGTCCAGAGAACGCTTCAACTCGGAGTGTACATATCGAACCATGTCAGAGTCACGATAAACGACCATGTAGTCGTCTTTGCTGCGTTTGATATCGACATCATCTTCACGTTTGGTCTCGAGGTAGGTAGATTGCAGCTCAATGTGGTGGTGGTCTCCATTGACGCTGAAAACACCCTCAAATAACGGCTGCGGCCCATCTTGTTTCATGTATATTCTTGCGAATCCTACGGGATTCCATCTGTTGTTATCCCTTCCAACAAAAGCATCGCCCTTGTAGACCTTATGTTCGTGTCGTTTAATGGCCTCTTCCTGTTTAATGTTTCCATCAACATCAATATACTGTACATATGCGTCGTCGGCCAGGATGTCGTGGTTCGGTTCTAGTTCTAGTTTTACGCGTTGGGTTCCACGGTGCAGGGTGAATGTGAGGTCGAAGTGGGATAGATGGTCGATCTGGTGGGAAGGCGTGTTGATCACCGCATGGTTGATGTTGGTAACATGTCGGATGGCACGAGGCGCCTGGGAACGGGCTGTAGGTGAGGAGCGTATTAGAGGTGACGCGAGACAAATAAGCAGTTGGATTGGAAAACTAACCTTGCACATCCAGTGAGAAAAGGGAAACTGCACTTGCAACCAAGGGCACGAGATTCTGAAAGAACTTCATCAGGAATACGGTCGGGCAGTCAAAGACAGCCGCACCGAAGGAAAGTGTATAGCGATTGAATTGTTTTTATGGCAAAAAACGAGCGTGGTGATATAGTTGTTGTGTGGGTTTCATCAAGTTCCAAGACGGAAAAGCATCAGGCAGCAGTGAAACAACCTCGGATGGACCCAGTTAGATCTCGATACGGTCTGTTGTCATGTATGATCTGTCGAAGGTTCGAAAGAATGAATTGATGGTTTCCCAGCACCATGCAAACAAGCCGATCAAACTTGAGATCAACAGAGCGACGAGCGGTATGCAATGGAATTGCAGGAACACCCGCTTGGTTCGAGGCGCAGTAGGTGGCTTGGCGAATCACAGGGCGATGGGGAGGGAAACGGTTGAACGATGACAGGAGATAGAATGATCGATCAAAGAAAGGGGGTGGAGAGAACGAGAGAAACGAAACGGAAGGGGACGGATGATAGTGGAGAAGAAAGAGAGAGAAAGAATGACAAGCGATAAAAAGTGAGCGAAAGCGAAAGCGAAGGTGTCAACGGAGTGTCGCCATTAAGGGAGGATTTCGGGTCGTCCGAGACAACGAAAGAGCCAAGAGACTCGGCGCTTAGGCTGGGGCAAGGATTAGTGGATGGCTTATACGGAAAGATTGAGGCCATACTTACGATGGAAGGATCGTGTATCCTGGAATAATTGATGAAACGAAGGGAGGAAGAGAAGAGGAACTGGAGGAGAGGAATTGCTTCGGGGTCTGAGTGGGTCGACGCTTAAAACGTCAGGGTCCAGATTCAAAATAGCCTCAGGGTCTCCAAGAAAGATCAGCAGGGCGGTTATTATTATTATTATTCTTCTTCTTCTTCTTCTTATTATTATTTCAGCTTATGAAGTCTAATGATTTATTATTGATGCAGGTTGCAGAGCATGTAAAACTCTGTCTAGTTGTACAGTTTCATACCAATACATTCCACATCAATCAGTCGCGGAATGATACATTTCATGCGCAACCAGTGCAAAATGAGGGATCAAGACGCCACAACTTCCACAGGCCACGCTGGGCATGGTCTCTTCCTCGTCGCTGTCTTCCCATGCATTCTCGGGAGCGTCATGAGTGGCCAGTGGTGTCGCTGAAGATTCTTCTACACTGCTGGACGGATGATCTACCGCATCTGGCATGTCTGTAGATCGCACGTCAGTCTCGGGCACTTTCCAATCTTTAAGCACTGTCTCTTGGTTTCGAAACATCTTCTGGATGTCCCGACCACTGCTCTTCTTCTGCTCGCCGGCACTCTCCACCATGTTGGTCACGGCGATATTCAAGAGGCTCAAATTCCATCCAGACTTCTCGGGATGAAGCGTGCGGAACATGGAGAGAGCATGCTCCTGCACTAGCTTCTCGGCCAGTGCCTCTACGTTATCGTCGAGATTAAACACATACTGCGGAAGAGGCGCAGAGCGAGAGATTCGGTTGTTATAACTGCGACTGCGCCCTCCGTCCGTGGGAAGAGACCTGGGCCGTGTAGATAGGCGCAGTGTCTTGGGATGAGCAAGCCAGCGAGGCTTGGAAATAGCCTGATCAGATTCGTGATCCAACTCGGTCAAATCTGTGCGCATTCGACGGATTAAGCTCGCCGATAACGCGACCAGCTCTTTCTTGACACCTTCAAGGCTGTCCAGGCAGCCATAGGAGTCTTCTATACTGATCTGCGTTGGCAAGTCTCTCGCTTCTGAGACCTCTGAAGTATCAACACCATGGATCAGCCCCCATACTCGTAAACCAATGCCTCTGGGAGATCCAGGCCCACCAAGGATCTTTTCCAACAGGGCAGGACCTATTCCAGGAAACAGACGAACATCTTGCACGGTGATCTTGTCATCCGAGCCAGCGTCGGTCCCAAGGATGTGAGTCTTGAGTTTGTTGGCAAGCTTGGAGCCAATCCCGGGAATCTTGCGGATTTCGTGGTCATCCAGGAATTTGGTTACATTGCTCACTGCGCCTTGCTCCCCTGGAACATAAGGTGGAAGCAGGGTGGTGAGACTATTGGGTTTATGGACATTTCCTGCTAGCTTTGAGAGCAATTTGGAAGTGGATATGCCCACTGAGGCAGTGTAGCCTTTGAGATACTCAAGCTGACTGCGAAGGTATCCCGCCAAATGAGAGGCAACAAGAAGGCGGATGCACAGGCGATCCGAGCCAGGCTGCGCCTTGGAAGATGGTTCTACGACGTCGGGATCTGGCGGATAGGTGGGACCATGGAAAGTGGTCGCATCATATAAGAAGCCGACCGTAGGGTCCTGGCGGTCAAGATGGAAAAACGAGTTGGCCAAGTCGTTACGATTCAGCACGTCGACATTGTACTCGATCATCTCTGTAGTGTCCAGGAAAAGCTGACTCGATTGTCAGAAATAGCAAAGAGATAAAAAAAGAAACTCCCCCTCCCAATGCAAGCATACCTCATCAAAGCCCAATTTCTCAACTCTTCCGCCCCAGACAAATGCCCGAAGGAAGAGATAAAGATCTTTGGAAGCATCCCGAAATCTGGTTAGATCTTCTCCCAGGACAATGACCAGATCTGGACAGGTTTGCTTTGCCTCCTTGATGAGTTGGAGTTTGCGTAATCCCCGTCGTCGGGCTTCATAGTTGCAAGTCACGACAATCTGTTTCTGCTGGACCGCGAGGGGGAGGGATTTCAAGACAGGCTGTTCGGCTTCGAAGACGGAGGCGTAGAAGCAGTCATAATCCTACCGAATACGGTCAGCCAATTCCTATTATTATCATTTGTTCGGTGCATTTTTATTTGTATTTTCAAGGTGACCGACAAAGTGGATGATGATACGACTGTCATCTCTGGATGGAGGCGCAGCCATTTACTCCGAAGCATTGGTGGAGATAATCCGGGTCATCACTGGTTCGTAAGATAAATAAGAAGCACAGATGTCTGGATGATCATAGCAACAGCGCAGGCTGCTGAGTTTGGGAGAAACGATTCAGCCTGGAAGTTGAGCTGGTGGAAATGCATTGAAGGTGAAGATGAAGGCATATCCACAGTGGAGGCACGGCGGGCTGTGATTGGCCAGAACGGGTGGCTGGGGAAGTGGCTGGAGATTTCACGTGAAAAGGCCAGATTGGGACTAGCGTGTATTTCTTGAATGCCTTCATTTACGCTGCAACTACTAACTAGAGATACTAGCAGGTGCTAATATTTAGTCGAGATCATGGCAATTTTAAAGAGAATTAGCAGATAATGTAGCGGAAAGCTGATTGGTTGTATGGATAAGACACACGGCGTGTGCATAGGCATGTTCTACGTCATCGATGCATTCTAGTCGCTGCACGTCTCCTTACGCTGTACATGAGGTTTAATGCTTCTGGGACGGATATCAATCTGTAAACAAACCTGTATAGAAAGAAATGATATCAAATAGCAGTGTTCCAATATATGCACTCCATTCTCATGCTGAATGCTGAATATTCCTCTCGAATGACACTCTTGGCGATGCCCCACGGGCCTCGTGTCCTGGTCTTTTTATAGATTGACGGTATACGAAGGGTTCAGATCAGAGTCATTTCAATCTCGACAGGAGATGCTAGCAGAACTAGTAGCTAATAGTCGATCTGAATAAGTCTTGACATCTCCAACATATTACTCTATCTCATCGCGATATCTGGATTAATCTGACTACTCCTTGAGATACTACTAGAATCAGAAGATCTGCAGCACTCACCATGGACACCAGATGCTTATTATAATTAGAACAGGATGCAATATGAAGCAATATGACTGCCTTCTGATTTGATCCATCATTAATCAGACAGTCTCTTCTCATTAATGGCCATTAATTAACGACTCCAGTCAGTCTCTGCTGCCGCGTGTCCTCAGCGGAGCCGATGGCGATGGGTCTCGACAAGAATAGTTCACAGTGCAGTCGATGCAGCTTCAAATAGTCAATTCAACAGATGATCTGCTTTTTTTTTTCTTTCTTTATTTTCTTTTTAGCGTTCTTTTCTGGTTATTATTTCCCACTGTTATTTATTTTTATGACTTCTGGCCTTCCTGGTCATATTAATTAAAGCATCCATCGCCATCCATCGCCATATTATCGCCACCACCTACAAAACCCAGACCTGAGCCAGATCCAGATTATCACGAAAGAATAAAAAAGAAATAAAAAGTCAGACGCAGACTCAGACAGGCTCAAATAAGAATCAAAAGCATCACATCAGAATCAGAAACACACAATCTCAGATCTTCATCTCCACCATGCGCTCTCGTTGACTCCAACCCCTCATTTTCTGTTCTATTAATTCCTCTCCAAGCGCCCATCTCCACCTCTCACCACCACCGTTAATTATCTGCATTTGCCTCCCATTATTATCGCTTTTATCTTCTTTCTGATATTTATTAAATCTTCGCCTTTTCCCCTCCAAAAGACCCTTTTTTTTTTCCCTTGTCTTTGCTTCACCCTGTCTTGCTTTCTCTCCGCCATCTCGACTGCGCCATCTCCCTTCCTTCGTGCGGGGCGCAGCTTCAACTACATCCACCTTCTTCCTCTCTTCTTCTCTTCTTCCTCTTCTCTTCTCCCATCCGAGGGTCTCCGCCATGCTCGTGGCCCCAATAATGCCCCTCCAAGCTTCGCATCTGCATGCTCCTCCTTCCTCCGATACAAGTCGATCTCCTCCTCATCCCTCCTCAACATGCCAACCGTCGCTATCCTCTCCCAACATGTCCTGCGCGACCGGTAACCAGCGGACAACCATCGCATCCAGACCTAAACTCACCCTTCAGACCTCTTCTCTCCCTCAGACCTTTGGGAAATCTACGACTGGTCTGTCTCTCTCGTTCGCTGCGGGCGCCACCGCATCTCCCACCGTTCGCAACACCTTCAAGAACGCTTATGACGTCGCACATCCCCCTTCTGCAACCGTCTCTCCTTCGAGAGCGTCCAGCAACAAGTTCTGCAAGCCTTCCTCGCCATACACTACCACAAATAGCCCCTACCAACTTCCTCTTGGAGTGAGAAGTATTCTCCGTAATTCGCCGCTGGAACCCTCCTCTCGACGGCGTTCCGGATCGGTGGCTACCAACGTCGCCAATGGAGGGTCCACACAGCGCCGAGTTCTCTTCCCCGCGAAGAAGCAGGTGAGCTATCGCCAGCCTCTTGAAGAGGAGATCCGGACTGTGCGCTATACCGCACGTCACTCCGACATTGTCGCAGAGCCACCCAAGCCCCGTGAAGAAAGGTCGGATGAAGACTCGGATACCAATTCAAGCTTGGCTCCATCGGATACAAGCTCGTCCGACGATGATGCAGGAACAAAATCTTCTCTTTCCAAACTCGAGAGAAAGAAGCGAAAGAACATGAGCGCCGAGAAACAGATTCGAGCGGTCGCACTTCTGGATGGCTTAGAAGGTGACTCGTATGGTTCTTCGACGCCGCAGACCCCTCGCCAGGGCCGTGTTAAGCGTCGTTGCGAATGGAGATGGACACTGGGCCCGTTGGAAAAGCGTGATGAGCTGATCAGCTTACCCCAAACACCACTGGGAACGACACCGACCATCTCAACGCCCCCGGTCAACCAGGAGACCAAGGGAACAGAAAAGGAAACACCTGTATCATTTCATGGTGATTCCGACTTTGCTCCTTCGCCAAATCCCTCGCAGGACCCCTCCAGTCCTGGTTCGTCTGTTGCCTCCAACCTGGGGAACCCCGACGAGACCAAGACCAACATGACTCACGAAGCCGAACGTGCAAATGAAGGTCGATAGCCTTGATTGACCTTTCATTGGTCATATCTCATTCACGATTTCAAACATTTAACGAATTATGCCATTTAGAGGGCGTCTTTGGAGCTTGTCAGCCAATTCTTCTATCTATTATTATATATCCACGGGAGCATCATTTCTACTACTCCGCATTATGCATTATGCATTGATGTTTGATACATCACTATCTCGAGGAGCTCGAGTCTTTCAATTCTTCTATATATATCTTAATCCATTTTATACTATTATCCATCACTGGCATAACTATCACATCTTTTTCTTCTTGGTAGAACACCTCAACAATCGCTAAGTCTCACCGTAAATAACATGAAACAACAGTAAGACACATCTCACATACATCTCATTCACATCCCCAATCTCACTCATTCCATGGAAAAGCATCAAATGATCGACAAAAAATTATTATAGAAAGTGGAGAAAGACTAGCACATCCATGGTTCTTTGAAACTCGGCGGGTATCAGATGGAATGGATGAAACGAAGCCTCAATCTTCGTTACCATGTTTGGTTATAATTTTTTTTCTTTTGATGAGATTTTGGGATGGTGGCGATTAAATCATATCATTTGGTGGCATGTAACTATTATGGGAGATTCATACTTTTTGTTTACAAGACTACTTCTGGTTAGTTGTGGATGGTGATATCTTACTAGTATGACTCATATCAACTAAAATAATATACAATGAAGAATTAACATGTACAGACAGTATCAACAGGTATCCTATCCTATTCTATGTACTAACCCCCCGTCTCAGTCTCAATATCCGGCTCTCGTCCCGTCAGATTTCCCCCAATCTTCTGTCTCACCTTGCGCAGCGCAAACTTGGTTTCGTCCTTGGCAAACACCACATTGCGAGCCGGCTTCCACTGCATCATTCCACGTTGTTGCCGTTGCTCGCTGCGTCGGTTTGCCTTTTGCATTTGGCCTTCGCTCGGTCCGGCCTCGCTTTGGCTCTGGCTTTGACTTTGTTGTGAGGAGCTTGTCATGGTTTCGGTGGAGGGCTGGCGCCCGGGTTCTGATTCTGGTTGTGGTTGTGACTCGCCCTCGCCCTCGCCCTCGCCCTCTTCTTCGTCGCTCGAGCCGTTGGCTTCTTCGAGTTTGAATTGCCCCTGTGCGTCGGGGTTGATTGGAGGTGGATTCACCGGGTCGTGGCGTGGTGCGTCCCGGCCTGGTTCTGCGATCTTTCGTCCTCTGGAGTCGAGGTAGGCCCGGGGGTCATCGCCAAAGGCACCGCTCCAGTCCTGACCCTGTTTGTCGAGCCATCGCTTGCGCTCTTTTGGGTCTGCCTGCTTGAGCACGTCGCGTCCGTCCACGAGAGATTTCTCATGCATCTGCTCGACTTCCTCGGGGACTTCTGCGGCGACGGTTCGTGTGCGTACCCCTTCTGCAATGCAGGCTTCCCACGTCTCGAACGTTTCGCGGGAGTTGCTATCTACGACAAACTGTTCGTGGGACTCGTCGATTCCGGGCGTGAAGCAGCCGCGGAGCTTGAGTCGTCCGATTTCAGTCAGGTCTTCCAGACCCGGCACTTGCTTGGCTTTCCAGTTGAATTCTGTAATGTAGTTCTGGGTTAGGCGGTTTCCGTTCTTCGTCGACCAGATGGGGAGATCGAGCTCGGTATCTTCATTGTCCACCAGGTGTTGTAGCCATAGAACCGTATAGGCAGTTGCTCCTAGCTTTCCATGTGGGTGGAACTCAAAGACAACAGGGGCCCGGTAGCGATGCTTGACGGGGAGACGGATTTTGTCTCGCAAGGCTTGGTCGGCGATATTGTAGGACAAGCCACTCTCTTCAATCGAGCACAGGTGTCGTGTGACTTTTCCACTACTGCCACCAGTCCGCAACTTGATCTTGCATCGTTGGTTTAGGTTTGTTGCTGTGATTTTGTCCGAGGTGAACTCGAACGTCCCGACATCCCATCCAAGCATATTCGGGGGCAGCTTGGTTTCCACGTGTCGGAATAGAAGCGAGATACGGATGCGTCCGAATCCTATTCCGCCGTCAAGAGGGTACCATCGGGTGACTTGGGAGCTTCTTTGGAGGATATTGGAAAGCTTGAGAGGTACCACCCCCAGAATTGGGTCATGTTCACGATACCGTTGATCTCTGACGGTGACGGTGACGATGGCCGATCTCCAGTCCCGAACAAATCGTTCTGTTCCTGCGTTGAAGATGGGTTTGGAACTCACTGCCTTTGGTCGAGTACGGTAAACCTGTAGGCGGTTAGCTTTGTCGTCTTTGCTGTAAAATAACCATGATTCCATGGTCGAAACCTACCAGCTGGTCGTTTAAAACTATCTTGCAGTAGCTAGTTGGCAGATCACCTCCCTGCTCTTCGGTGTTTTCGCCATACGCTCTGGCTGGTTCATACTCTCTTCCTTTGCGATTCCCATTGCTTCCTTTAATATTGGCCAGCTGTAAGTTCACAATCTGGTGAACCACGATGCTGACAATTCCACTGGGCCAAAGAGGGTCAAGTGGTGTATGCACGATAGCATCTTCTTTCTCGTTGTTGATGATGCCTTTCTCATCTTGGAATTCGGGAATGTCCCTGAGGTTGTCCGGGAGATCTTTCTTCTTTCCGTCGGTCCTCAATTCAGGCCTCAACTTTGGCTTCCCAAAGAAGCCAACCTCCCAATGTAGTTCGCCCGGCATCTCACTGCCGTCATTTAGGCCCTGAAGCCTGGAAACCTGAGGGAACATTCGGCCGGGGTGCTGCAACATTTCGTAGATTGGTAACTCAACCTTTCCGACAATGTCATCAGCAGTGCTTCGGTCTGAGTCCCAGAGCTCTACGCTCAGGCTCTCCTTAGCCTTGATCAGTTCTGCATTTACCAGCAAAGCAGCTGTCTCCTCCCAAACGGGGTTGAGGTCATCTGTGATGACCCTAGTGCAGTACATAGGTTTTCCGTATTTAGAGAAGGAGAGATTGATATAGGGGTCACTGCCACCACCATAGCTCCCACGCGTGTCCTGCTTGCTCAATCCGACTGCACGGTGAATTCGAACCCACATGATGCCCAGGGCCAGAGTCTCTTTGTTGATATCATCCCCCTTTAGCATCATACTCAGATCCATGGTCATAGACTTCGGTGCCGCAAAGAGACTGCAGGCGGTACCAATAGCATAGTTGACAAAGTTCGAGATCAATGGAAGATTCAGGATATTAACTCCACCTTTGACCATTGGCATGCACCCAGCCCGAATGTGCGGGATGCCGACAAGACTGAAAGTCAAATCCTTCATGAATGGCGCCTCTGGCATCAATTGAAACCGCATGCGCACAGTTCCGACCATCTCGTTAAGTTCAACAAACACCGGGAATGGCACACCGAAGAGGCCGCGAACACCAAGATAGAAGACCAACTGCATATGCATGTTGCGTGCTTTTGACGAAGCAGTTTGGCTGCTAGGTTTCGCGTGGTAGGCGAAAGAAGCCTCCATATTATAATAACTGCCACCTTCCTCATACGCGGCCGCTTCTTGGGGGTCCTTTTTCTGGTTTTCTTCGTGTATGTTGTTTTTGAGATCTTGCACATGGCCGTCTGGCAGAGCGCGCATACTTAAAATCCGCAATGGGTTGTTTCCTTGGTCAATCTCTGCAATGCGAACGTTCTCAACGACCCCAGGCGCAGAAGCCTGCATGATATCTTCAATGGTATCGGCAATAGGTGACAACATTTCAGGGTTGACAAGACCCCACACGACACCAAGGAAGGTATTCATCCACTCTACCGATTCTGGTAGGAGATTTGCAATAGCCTGGAGAACAAGTTGTTAGCCACTTGTGAGTATATGCAAGCCATTGAAACAACTCACCGTCTGGCCGCGAAGCTGCTCACTACTCCATTCCATCTCCCGACCACTTCGAATAACTTCCTTCATCCAGAGCCATACACCAGATGCAACGCAAAAGGATAATGGCAGGAGCCCCCACATGGAACCACCGAAAATTCTCCCAAGAAAGATTATTCCAGCAGTAATCCCGAGGCAAAGGCCCGTTGCACGCCTTTCCAATTGTTCAAACATAGGTCTGTAGGAGATGGATGGGGTAGGGTGGAATAGAACGTTGGTCTTTTCGCCATGAATGGGAACGTCTGAAGTGGTACCCTCAGCGATGGGATCCGGAGGTGCTGTAATGTCTTGATTTTCTTTATACTCGGAGAAGCTCTGGTGAGGATCGGTTTTAATGTCCTAGAGTTTTGTTAGTGACCCTCCGATGCGTCGGGGAACATTCGCACTTACGGTTGGTTTTCCCAGATTGGCATTTGGAACAGACAGCTATACGATCATAAGTCTCGATTCAGCCATTCAGACAGGGAAGGGGAGTAGTACCATAGGGGATTTGACTGTATCCATAGAATCCTCCTCCAAATCTTCAACCTCAATGTCATTACCAGTTGTTGGGTCCGTCACCATGCGTGTTCTTCCTTTGGGCACCTTTCGCGGTTTATGAGGAGCGGCCTCGGTTTTTCCTTGTGGTCCTTTTTGCTTCTCTTCCTCCTCTCTTTGTCTCTCTTTTTCATCTTGTTGTCTCCCATATTCCTCTCGTTCTTTTTTCTCCCCCTCCAGACGTTCCATGAACCTCTGGATTGTAGGGATTGTATTACCTCCACTCCAATGCTCCCCAACTCGATGTTGCGAGGGGGAGAGTGCTTCCTCTTCATGCTTCGGTGCCATTATGACGGTAGCTCAATCGCAGGAGAGCAAGTCGAAGAGAGGGGATCGGTCTGATTTCAGTGTGACACTGGCAATTTAAGAATGGGCACTCATCCCACACAGCTTCTTTCAAGCCTCAGGACCACCACGTTGATGAATTCGGGGTATTGAAAAGGTGGGAAATGGTTCTGATGACAGTCAAAGACCATTATCAGCACTCTTAAGGGTCATGACATCCTGCATTGCTGTCTTGGGGTACAGGTCTGGTCTGACGCCCCTAGAGCTACGTCATTGTGGAGGACTGGAACCGGTTGCCCATTGCTCAACGCTGTAGGGCTAGTTAGCATGGTCTCCCAGTCATATTAGGATCTGTGCTATTAGAATCCACGGGAGAGCTGACAAGGAAGGGGGATGGAGATCCGAAGATCGCTTGGATGATGACTTGGAACCTGGGGATTTTCCTGCTCTGCCGCCATCATCATCGCGGATTGGCTGTCTTGGCGTCTTGCTTTCTGCTTCCACGTTACTGTTATTATTACTTTTTGAAAATATAAAATCATTAATTCTTGATAGTATGGTTCTTTAATTTATTATTTTTATTTTTTGATTGAGAAATTTAGAGTATTGAATCGATCGACTCTGGGTCAGTATCTGCGGAGCATTGAAGCTGATATGATCATCATCAGTGATGATGTCACTTCGTCTCAGCTACAAAGCATCAGGTCGTAAGAAGAAATTGATATGAACATGCAACAGGGGAGTAAAAATTGCCAATTAGATTATAACAAGTCATGTTTGTATAGCTATCATGGATGTACAGTGAATTCAAGTCCACATAAAGGCCCTGTCCTTAGTCTCTACCTACCTAGGCACAGTAGACAAACTGATGATCGATGACACTTATATACGACCATACGGTCGGTTTGAAAATTATTTATCAACAAGTATACCTAGATGCTCATATTAGCTTTTCTTTATTTATTTCTATTGTCATTGAAATGGGCATGGAATTGGCTATTTTGCGGGTTAAAATACACTATGCAATGCTCATAATAGTCAACCTCAACTATAAAATTGTCATTATGATATTCTCACGAAATAGTATTCAATTCATTTTACATTTTATACCTTTTATGCAAGCATAACATAACCTGTAGTTTACGAAAGAGTTGATATATCAGTCGCTGTAAAGCCCCTATATATATTAGGTCACATAGTACCTGGCAGTACCTGTGATGAAAGATAGACAATCAGGTCTAATTTAACAATTTATATAGATACTCTAGGTACTAGCCTTTAATGTATGACTTAATCTAATATTTGAAATAAAAACCCAGTAATCATGCTGGTGATTGTTGTCCAGAGTAGACCTAAACATTGGCATCAGATATTCCGGGCCGATGCCACGACGTCAGCTTTAGCCTTTCTGGGCCAGAGCCACAATCCACAGTCCGCACTCCAGACGATCTGTCAACCTTTCCTCCACAATCATCAAAAATTCCATCTGATATACAAATTTCTTGCCTCGTGAGTGGATTCAATATTTTCAGTTCGTCTTTGTCCTCCGATTGGCCGACCGGTACCAACAAAGAAAGGCCAGCTCACATTTTCCGTCGCGACAGCAGCTCGACCTTTTGACATTCACCACAACACAAAGATCGTCCGAATTCAATAAAAAATGTCTTCAGCGGAGGAGTCACCGGCCCAGAAGGCATCTCGTCTACGCCGTGAGCGTCGTGAGGCCAAAATCAGAGATGGAGGAGCAGCGCGTTTGGATAAAATCACAAGCCTGAGTGGGCGGACACCAGCCCGTACGAAATTGCCCTCGTTGCGTTGGCATTGCAGTATATTAAGAGCAAACTAACATGGGTCAATGATACAGCCCGCGAAGAAGTTTCGCCATCGCCATCGCCGTCACCGCAGCCCCCAGCATCCCTACCCACGTTGCCAGACGCCTCACTCCCTCCGTCACGACCAACATCGGCACAAGCCACAACTCCAGGCGCAGATGGTCAGTCGCCAGAAACCATCCAGGCACAGCAAGAATTCTTACGGTCATTACTCCGCCAAAATGGCCCAGCACCGGGACAGCAGGGACCTGAGGAAGAAGATCCTACGATGAAACTACTCAGTTCTCTTATGGGAGGAGCAGGAGCAATGCCACCTATGGGCGACCAAGCCCCAGGTGCAGGCGCCGGTGCAGGCGCAGGCGCTGGCGGAGCTGCTGGCGGAGCTCCAGCATTATCGCCAGAGATGATGTCCGCTCTTGGCCTCCCTCCGTTCCTGTCAAACATAATAGGAGCGGTGATGACACCCCAATCGGAGGAGGAAAAGAAGCAGGCTTGGACATGGAAGGTTCTGCATGTCATGTTCTCGCTGGCAGTGGCTTTCTATCTGCTCTTGCTCATTGGGTCATCTGTTTCGACGTTCGGGAGCCAGCCGCCGCCGCCAGCAACGGCACGGAACCCGTTTCTATTTTTCACGACCGGTGAAGTGATGTTGAGTGGGGCGAGAATGGCAATTAAGAGCCGGGCCGGGGCCCGCGCTGGACTTGGGACGTGGATTCAGTTAGGGAAAGACGTTGTGCGCGATGGGAGTCTGGTGTTGTTTGTCTTGGGGATGGGGACATGGTGGCATCGGGGGTGGATGGCGTATTAGGTTGATTAGCTTGTTGGGATAGTTAGCCTATGGGCACAATTTTACTTGCATAATGTTAGAGTTGCACCTCGTATTTCTTGCCAGAGCGACCGTGAATATTGGCTGATGATGTTCAAGAAAGTGCTCTATCCAGTCTGGCGTCTGCAGCGGATGAGCGGAATATTTAATTGCCAGGACTATCACAGGGATGTTTAATTTTTTAAAAACGGTAGATTCGTGCATCCATTGACGCCGGTGCGACGCTATATTAGAGATGGAGCATGTCAGTGTGCTTAGGAAATGTTTTATTATGGAACTGTTATTATTATTATTTTTCATTCGTAGTATGATATTTAAGAAAACAAAGCCTACACTACTACATATGTAGGATGCTACATACTACATATTTTATCTATTTACCCCCCGGATAACCCGACAAGAGATGAGGATAAGCAAAGACACACACGACACTAACGCCAACTACCGGACTCTAAAACCAACTACAACAAAACGGAGACATGGCCCATATTACTTGTTCCAGTCGACTGCCTCTGGTCATGACTCGGACCAAGGTCCAAAGATGGTCGTACGGAGGGTTTTCTACAGGCACCTTGTACCTGGACTGCGATTAACCTCGGCGGACGGTTAAGGTGACCAACTGGCGACCAAAGTTCCATAAGGCCGTTTTTGACGTGAATCCCCAATCAACAATAATCAACCCGAGGGACCGAGCGTTTCCAGTCGATCCAGATTCTGGTCGGGTTCAGAGGACCAGACGGGAAGCTCAACGAGTCAACCGTTTTTGTTTTTGATTTGATTAATATATTATTGTTGAACGACAGATAGTCTCAAATTAAGTCCACTTGGTGGGTGTAGGTGCTTGCAGTCGACATGAATCCCCCCCACTGATGCTGCATTGGCGGGGTGCTTAGCCGGTGTTGACTGTTGAGGGGGTGATCACACCCGAATGGATGCGATGCTGTAAAGCATCCCTGTCAAAAGTCAAGTACATTTGCTATTGTTGTTTCAATTTAATTGTTATATCATATTTAGTGGAATGATGCTCAATTGACCACTGTATTCTATGGCCCACAATACCGATTATCTGGGCTGATCAAGAACAGTTCATCCTCCACTAGGCAAGTCCATGCTCATCCATACTAGTTCATACCCAACGCATCGGTAGGAAACCTTCCCATCTAGGGAACCCTTCCGCCCAGGAATAACGGTTCGTATAAGATATTATTATGATTATGTATGGGATCAATCCCCGCAGTAATGTCATAGTCTGGGTCTGATGATGATGCCGTGAAGTTTATTCTGCTTGGCTGTGACGACAGAAGCCTTGTGATACACCATCCCCAGGACTTTGAGAGACTTCTTCTCTGGGGATGGGATGATGGATTATACCGAGTACTTTTGATCACTTGGAGTCTTCTTCGTAGGTTCCACCTTCTTAGTAGTAGTGGTGGTAGTAGTGTACTACAACAAAGCATCAGTCGGAGGTAGACCGTATCATCCAATATCAGTACCTTCAAGGTTTCAGATGCAAGACTACATACATCCAGGTTAATCACAGACAACCTTAATCGCCATCTTCATCCTATTCCACCCCGTCTTTGGTTGTTTTCGGACAGATGGTTCTGGGATCAACTTCCAACTTCCCCGGAGGAACGGAAAGGGCCTGCCAAGCCCCGCATGGCCGAGTGCCGCTTTCAGTAGTCATGATGGATGATGATTCTGCTGGGTGGGTGATTGGAGGACAGCCCGAGCGATCGCCTTCGGGGAGCAGCACTGGCAGTCTGTTAGTGGTATGTAGCCTGGCGACTCGACTCCAAACATTACGACCATAATGGCCATTAGCCCAGACGATCGTGGCCGCTGCCCAATCAGCCCCCCTCGAGATTATGCTTGCTTAATCCGTCTCCAACTGCCACTATAACCACCCAATTCGACTACGAGGTACCGGACGCCCGGGGTGCTGCTTAGTTCTTCCTTCTCTGCTGTTTCATAAATAAGCGTCTCGCATCCCCAGTCCTGGGACTATCCATTTCTCCATTATTTCGCTCTTCTTCCTCCATCCTCCCTTTGTCCTCATCCTTCATCCTTCATCCCTCATCTCTCTACATTTCTTTACGAGCCCCTCTTCACCTAACCCCTCCACCCCACCATCGCATCTCTTTTTGAAGGTGAGCTTCCACTCCTTCCTTCCTTCCGCCTGTGTACTGCCACCATTTGCATCAAGCTAATTCTCGAATTCTCCAACAGTAACCACCTATTTTAATCCATCCTCTCAATTCTCACCTGTAATCTGTTTTCGATCCCACAATCATGTCTGACGGCGACGTTATGCCCCCCAAGCCCTCTGTGGTAAGCAATTTCCCGTCCTCCACTCTACCCAGTCGTGTCCGGTGTTTTCTCGGCGTTCTTTTGGAGAATTGTGTGTACTGACTCGAATTGGTACAGGTTTTGGAGGCCCACGAGGTCGACACTTTCCATGTTCCTAAAGCATTCCACCAGAAACACCCGACCGGAACCCACCTGAAAGACCTTGACGAATATAAGAGGCTATACGAGGAGTCGATCCGCAGTCCGCAAACCTTCTGGGCTCGTATGGCCCGTGACCTCCTTACCTTCGACAAGGATTTCCAGACTACCCGCACCGGCTCATTCGCCAATGGTGACAGCGCCTGGTTTGTTGAGGGTCGCTTGAACGCCTCCTTCAACTGCGTTGACCGCCATGCCCTTAAGAACCCCGACAAAGTTGCCATCATCTACGAAGCCGACGAGCCCAGCGAGGGTCGTACCATCACCTATGGCGAGTTGCTCCGTGAAGTGTCCCGCGTTGCCTGGGTGCTCAGGCAGCAGGGTGTCCGAAAGGGCGACACCGTTGCCATCTACCTTCCTATGATTCCTGAAGCCGTCATTGCCTTTTTGGCCTGCTCCCGTATTGGTGCAGTTCACTCCGTCGTGTTCGCCGGTTTCTCCTCCGACTCCCTCCGTGACCGTGTTATTGACGCCGGATCGAAGGTTGTCATTACTACCGACGAGGGTAAGCGTGGTGGTAAGGTGATTGGCACTAAGCGTATTGTCGACGAGGCCCTCAAGCAGTGCCCTGATGTGTCTAGCGTCCTGGTTTACAAGCGCACCGGTGCGGAGGTTCCCTGGACCGAGGGCCGTGACGTCTGGTGGCACGAGGAGGTTGAAAAGTTCCCCAACTACTTCCCTCCTGAGCCTGTGAGCTCCGAAGACCCATTGTTCCTTCTCTACACCTCCGGTTCGACTGGTAAGCCCAAGGGTGTTATGCACACTACTGCCGGTTACCTGCTTGGTGCCGCCATGACGGGCAAGTATGTCTTTGACATTCATGACGATGACCGCTTCTTCTGCGGTGGTGATGTGGGTTGGATCACTGGGCACACCTACGTCGTGTACGCACCTTTGCTCCTGGGATGCTCTACCTTGGTTTTCGAGAGTACTCCTGCCTACCCCAACTTCTCTCGCTACTGGGACGTCATCGAGAAGCACAAAGTCACCCAGTTCTACGTCGCCCCCACCGCATTGCGATTGTTGAAGCGTGCTGGAGACGAGCACATTCACCACAAGATGGAGCACCTGCGTATCCTGGGTTCCGTTGGTGAGCCTATCGCCGCTGAGGTCTGGAAGTGGTATTTCGAGACTGTCGGAAAGGAAGAGGCACACATTTGCGACGTAAGAGCCCTTCCTGTTTGGATTATGTGTTGATAATACTAACTCTGGACTCAGACATACTGGCAAACCGAGACTGGTTCTAACGTCATCACCCCATTGGGTGGTATCACCCCCACCAAGCCCGGTAGTGCATCGATGCCGTTCTTCGGAATCGAGCCCGCAATCATTGACCCCGTCTCTGGTGAAGAGATCACTGGAAATGATGTCGAAGGTGTTCTCGCCTTCAAGCAGCCTTGGCCTAGTATGGCTCGCACTGTCTGGGGTGCTCACAAGCGCTACATGGACACCTACTTGAATGTTTACAAGGGCTACTATGTAAGAGAGACATTCGTTGAATATCAAACTGAAGAGATTAGCTGACAAGTAAACCACAGTTCACCGGAGATGGTGCTGGTCGTGACCACGACGGATACTACTGGATCCGTGGCCGTGTTGACGATGTTGTTAATGTGTCTGGACACCGTCTGTCTACTGCCGAAATCGAAGCTGCTCTTCTGGAGCACCACCAAGTTGCCGAGGCCGCCGTTGTTGGTATTGCTGACGAGCTGACTGGCCAAGCCGTCAATGCCTTTGTCGCTCTCAAGGAGGGCAACGAGACCAGCGAGCAGGTCCGCAAGGACCTTGTCATGCAGGTCCGTAAGTCGATTGGACCATTTGCCGCTCCCAAGGCCGTGTTCGTTGTCGAAGATCTTCCCAAGACCCGTAGCGGCAAGATCATGCGCCGTATTCTGCGGAAGATCCTGAGCGGCGAGGAGGACAGCCTGGGTGACATCTCGACAGTAAGTTTCTTCTTATGGTTTCTATATGACATTGGCTAATTTGTTAAAAAGCTCTCCGACCCCTCCGTGGTTGAGAAGATCATTGCCGCCGTCCACGCTTCGAGAAAGTAGACAGGCAATATGAAACGACTCTTATGAAGAAGTAAAAAAATGATAAAAAAGAGAGAGAAAAAAGAGGAAAAAGAGGAAAGGTTATATATTCTAGCACACAGATGATGATATCATGAGTTTTATTGTTATTCCCAGGCTGCAATTCTACCTGGAGACCTTGATACTTTTCTATCTTTAGTCATGCATGTTTCGCGATTCCCACGTTTGCCTGTTGAGAAGCGGTAATATTTCTTGTTTTACCGGGAAATGGTAAATATTGATAATATATATTCTTTGTGTTATCCCTTCATTTTGCAATCTCACCTTTAAACCGTCGCATGGTAGGGTGGCATAGAAGTAGTCAAAGTGGCGTATAGTATGTCTTGGGGCTGCTTTGCTCATTATGACCGCAGACAGAGTGAATGGCCACTATGTCTAGGTTACCACAGCATTCACTCGGTTTAGCTAGCCACCCGTTTTTTGGTGACTCGATGCGGCTGTTTCTGGATGTTGACAAGGCATCAACGCCGGAAGGTTGGGTTAGAACACTCTTATGCGGAGAAAAGGACTCCGGGAAGAAGAGATGCCTGATGAATTCATATATTTACCTTCCAATCTACCTCTATTGTAGAATGAATAGCCTGGAATTAACAATAGTCTAGAAGAACGACAACACTGTAGGAAGATCAGGCACCCATCACATGACCTGCACCGGAAAGGGCTGCTCCTGGCAACACCGTATAAGAGACTACGGCCGGCGAGGGCCGCCACTTGCACCTCACCGCTAAGCCAAACCTCACCTCTTCTCTCGCTCTCACTTCCTTTCCTTCTTGCAGCTTCTGTCGCGTCACTTTTTCCTCCCCCTTCATCCTCTTTCCTTTTGCCACCACCTTTTCTTTCACCTCTCTGCGCATTCGGGCTCTGACGGTGGTTTTCCTACCCGTCTGCAGCCTGCGTGTGCCTTATTTAAAAGGGAAAGAGAAAAAAAATAACACTGTTTTTCTCACCGCGCGTCGTGATCTCTTTTTTTTACGACCTGCAACTACCTCTATTTATCTTGTCTCAGTCCACTGCAAGCGCATTGCGATCGAGTCTTTAACCTGCATTTCGCCTGCAAAAAACATTTCGGATTTTCTTTTTGCATTGCGATACGATTTTTTTTTTACCGCTTTTTAATTCAACCGAGTTGCGACGACTTCGAACGAATGAATCCCTAGTCTAAATCGGTAACACAGCTTAATCGACATCATGTCTTTCGGATTTGGAGGATTCGGACAGAACAACCAGCAAAGCTCCGGCTTTGGAGCTGGCTCTGGATTTGGAGGAACGAGCTCTGGTGGAGGTAGGTTTCATCAACCATATTGCGATATCATTCATGTCCCCTTCTTCATGTTTTGCGCTCTCTTTCCCCTTTGAGAGCTTACTATCGGTCCTTGCTGGTGCTCCTGACGTCGACCCGCGACGGTCAACAATCGACTTCGACAACAGATCAACAACACCCGCGGAAGTCCTCGACGCTTAGCGACGCAGAAGCCACAAGAGAAGGAACGCGCAGCTTCATGACAGTGTCTGACCGCATATTCCCCGTCATCTAGGCTTTGGATCTACATCGTCCCCTTTTGGTGGCGGTGGCACATCAGGCGCTGGTAGTGGTGGTGGCCTTTTTGGGAATACCTCCAGCAGCTTCGGTTCCGGTGGAGGTACGTGTGCGCGATGACTCGCCAACTTGAACCTGGGCGATCCTTCTCTTTTTCCAACCCCCCCCTGGGATGGATCCTGCTCCGCTTCGACTGATTCGGAACCCACGTGGCGCTATACAACAACATCATTTCCGGTTTCCTATGCTCAGCAATACCTGTCAATGAGCTTTACTCGAGAAACCCTGGATATGTTGTGACCGACAAGCAACTCCCATAGGCCGCTGGGGATCTGCATCCAAGGATCCGCTATTTTTGTTTTTGCTTTGTACATTTTGATGTTATTTCACACGGTTCACTGGTGCTAACATTTAACTTTCTCTCTAGGTTTTGGATCAGGAACGCAAAATAACCAATCGAATTCGCTGTTTGGAGGCCAAAATCGTACCGGAAGTGGCTTTGGAACAAGTACCTCCGGCGGCGGCAGCCTTTTCGGAGGAGGTACTTCCACCGCTGGAGGAACAGGTTTTGGCGGCGGCGGCGGCTTTGGCGGGTCGACTGGAAGCACAGGTGGCTTTGGCAGTACTGGCACCGGTACTGGTGGAGGTCTTTTTGGTAGCAAGCCTGCTACCGGTGGCTTTGGCAGCCCAGCTGGCACAACCGGCACGACTGGTGGATTTGGTTCAACAGCCGGTGGCGGCGGGTTTGGAAGTACCGGCTTTGGTGGAGGTACAGGAACCGCCTTCCAGCAAGCTGTTCCCCCATGTGAGGGCACTGGTAGCACCCCGTTCAACCCATTCACCGAAAAGGATGGCAACAGCACTGTGACCAACCACTACCAAAGTATTTCTTTCATGCAACCCTACAGCAAGTATTCCTTTGAGGAATTGCGATTGGGCGATTACCAACAAGGCCGCAAATACGGTAATGGAAGTGGACAAGCTGGCGCATTTGGCTCATCGGCATTCGGTGGATCAGGTTTTGGGCAACCGGCTGCCTCTACAGGAACAGGCTTTGGCAGTACTTCTTCCCCATTTGGCGGCGCTACGAGCGCGCCATCTACTGGATTTGGTCAGACACAAACAACCGGCGGATTTGGCTCTACTGCCTCTAACCCTCTGTTTGGTGGCTCCAAACCAGCGGGTTCCTTGTTCGGGGGAACTTCAACAACTCAAGCTGGTGGCACCGGTGGTGGCTTGTTCGGCGGCAGCGGTACAACCCCAACTGCTGGAGGCTTTGGCGCAGGTACATCTGGAACTGGAACTGGTGGCTTCGGGTCCGGAGGCTCGTCGCTATTCGGTGGTAATGCCCAGCAACAACAAAACAAGCCATTGTTTGGAGGCAGTGCAGGAACCGGCACCACAGGCACAGGCACAGGCACCGGCTTTGGTGGATTTGGTCAGCAGACTACCAGCGCCGCAACGCCGTTCGGAAGCACAACGGCCACGGCATCCCCATTTGGCGGTGGTGCTCAGCCACAAACTGGAACTAGTGCCTTCGGTGGCTTTGGCCAAAATCAGGCCCAGAATCAGACCCAAAACAAGGGAGGGCTATTCGGTGGTGGTGGTGGTGGATTTGGCGCCAGCGCCCAGCAGCAGCCATCTACTACTGGCGGTCTCTTTGGAGGTGGCGGCACTGGTGGCTCCTCCCTCTTCGGACAGAACAACCAACAACCCCAGCAGCAACAGCAGCCAGCTGCCGGTGGCGGATCGCTATTTGGAGGCGGCACTCAGCAAACTGGCGCTGGGTCATCATTGTTTGGCGGTGGTGCCCAGCAGGGACAGAAGAGCTTGTTCGGTGGTGCTGCTCAGCCTCAGCAGACTGGTACAGGTACTGGTTTGTTCGGTGGTGCTCAACCCCAGCAAACTGGAACCAGTAGTTTGTTCGGTGGTGGTGCCCAGAATCAACAGCAGCAGAAGCCAAGCTTATTTGGCGGAGCTTCCACCACAGGTGGCTCGTTGTTTGGGGGAGGCCAGACCACAACTCCCCAGCCCGCGGGTGGTTCGCTGTTTGGCAACACTCAGACCCAGCAACAGCCAGCAGGGGGACTCGGGACCAGCAGTCTATTTGGAAGCATCCAGCAGCCCCAACAGCAACAACAACAAACAGCCCCCGGCAGCTTGCAAGCCTCGCTGCTTGACGGAAATCCTTATGGTAACCAGTCTATCTTCTCTGGGCTGCCCGCTCCCAGTGCCCCAAGCCCTGGACCCCTGGCTACACCTCTCTCTTCTACCATTAAACAGAAGCAACGTACGCCGTTGCCAGTTTACAAAATCACCCCTAACGCCGCCAACCGCCTCGCCACCCCGCCTAAACGCCAAGGATATGGATTCTCTTATTCGACTTACGGATCGCCTTCCAGTGGTGGTAGCACCCCCACTGGACTTGGAAGTAGCGTTCTTGGTGGCGGTAGTCTGCGCGGAAGTGTCAACGGTAGCTTTGGGCGTAGTAGCTTCAGCAAGAGTTTCTCGACCAGCAACCTGCGCAAGACCTTTGATCCGGAAGCGGATAGCGTCTTGTCCCCAGGGGCCCTTTCCTCTGGCCCTTCACGCTTGTCGTCGAGCGGTAGTCTCAAGAGACTTACCATTGACCGTAGCCTGAGGAACGATATCTTCGCACGTCCCGCTAGCACAACTGTCGCCCCCATTACCAATGGCGAAGACTCTGCTCAGCCCGCGAAGAAGAAGGTTAGCTTCGACTCGACGTCCAAGGCACTGGATGCCTCCAGTGGCGCAATCGCCCCTGTTGAAACTGAAAGCCCGGAGCCCACTCCCGAGGAGCTTGGCTTCTTGCGCTCAATCCGTAAGAGTGGCAGCATGAACGGAATCCCTTCGACCAAGCCAACATCTGATAGCTTTGGTCGTCCCGAGATGGAGTCTTTGCCGCGCAATGATCTTCCCGCCGTTCCAGAGGATGCAGTGCAGCCCACGATTACCAACGGCCCATCAGCACTCTCCTTTACTCCTGGAAACGATCCCCTGCCTGGCGAGTATTGGATGAAGCCTACCCGGGCTGAACTTAACAAAATGACTCGGGAGCAGCTAAAGAGCGTTAAGGACTTCACCGTTGGCCGCAAGCACTGTGGACAGGTTACCTTTGACCAACCCGTTGACTTGACAAGCATCGACCTGGACCAGATCTTCGGTGGCATTGTGGAAATTGCCGTGCGAAAAATCACCGTCTACCCAGACGAGGGAATGAAGGCTCCTAGAGGCAAAGGCCTGAACGTTCCATCGATTTTGCGCATCGAGAACTCCTGGCCCCGAGGCAGAGACAAGAAGTCACCAACGCCCATCACTAGCGGTCCCCTCTTCGATAAGCACATCGACCGGTTGAAGAAGGTGCACAACGCCGCGTTTATCGATTACGAAAAGGAAACCGGAACGTGGGTTTTCAAAGTGCCTCACTACACTACCTATGGCCTTGATTATGATAGCGATGAAGAAGAAGAATTCGAAGGTGAGAGCCTCAACCAAAGCACCTTCAGTGCTGCTCCTGACACTCCGACTCCGAAGGCCCAAACCACACCCAACCTCGACAGCACGGTGGGCTCGGAGCAAACCACCTTCTCTACTGATGACTCGTTCGTCGGTTCGGTGGCTGGGGTAGACGACGACACGTTCGACTTCAAAAAGCGCAAGATAGTTCCGGGCTCGTTTGGCAGCCAAGCGATGGAAGTGGAAGAGGAGCAACGCTCCGTTTCTGGGGATGATGAAGAGTCTTTTTTAGGGGAAGGCTCCACGGGTTCAACTACTGAGCAAGAAGATGGTGACGATGTCACCGAAAGCCAAGAGTCAGAAGTTGAATTGGATGAAGATGAGGAAATGGATATGGCCGGTTCCTTTCCAAGCCTTCGTCATACCGTGGAGCATGATGACACGAGAAGTACCGACAGCTATATGGAAACGACGCAACCGTCTTTGAAGCCGTGGAACACGCCCGCAAAGGCTCGTCTTGATCTCAGTGGTGACTGGGCCGAGCAATTGCAGCGAACGATCAGTCCCAGAAAACAGAACCGTGACGCACTGCGTGAGATCCAAGGAAACGCCTTCACTGATAGACTCCTCCATGACCCTACACCAAAAGAAAACCCTGTTATTGATGCGCAGCCCAAATCATTCACGACAAGCATTGATTTGATGAATTCGTTGTTTCAGCAACCACCAAAGCAGCAAGGCAAATCTCCCATGAAGACGCAGAAGCCGCAGCCAAGAGGATTTGAGGTTTGACTCCCTTTTATTGATTCTTACTATTTCCCTCCTTTCCCCCATGACTTTGTATATAGGACAATGAGCAAATAGCCGAACTCATAATGTAGATGTACTGGTGAGCTAAACTTCTTTTGATCATTTAGTGGCCTTATCACAAGCAACCGAAAACTGCTGGCGAGTCGAACGAATTGAGTGAAGACGACATTGCTTTCCATCATTCCTTCAAGCCCCGATGGGGTCCCATGGACTCCATCATATGCGTGAAGAATGATATGAGAGAATTTCGGGCTGAGGCTGATAGCCGATGGGAGCGGGGCATTTCCATCACTAGCGAAGGCAGAGACATCGTTTTACTTGGATTCAACAATGACCCGCAACTCAGTGACATGCTTGATGCCCAGAGAAGCCAAACCTTGATTCGCCCTGTGAAGGATGTTCCTTTTGCTCAATTGGGTAGTGCCGATTTCCAGCGCTTCGCTCAAGCTTCGTCAAGCTCAGCAACATCGGATGAAGAGCGCCTGATTTGGCAGATCGCCAATGTCCTATTCAATGACGATATTGAAGATGACATCTCAGCTGGTGTACCTCCCCAAGTTCGACAAAAATACCGCCACCGCATCAAGAAAGATCGCCTAAGTCGCCTTTGGGAGGGCATTGTTCGTGAGAAGTATGCACTCAGCCTGGAAAGAGCCGATTCGGCAGAAGAGCGCGCTGTGTACTTGTTGTGCTCACACCGAGTTGATGAGGCTTGCAAAGTGCTGATGGAAAGCCAAAACCTCCACCTTGCTACCTTGCTTGCGCAAATTGGTCGTGATCCTACCACACGCGCCGATATGGCCAAGCAGGTTGATGTATGGCGCCAGCAAAATGTGTACTCGGAAATGAGCGAGCCTATCCGCGCTTTGTACGAACTTCTCGCTGGCAATGCCCTTCGCAGCGAAGGTAAATCTGGAGGTGCTTTGGAAGATCGTGCATCAACTTTTACTTTCACAGAGAGATTTGAGTTGGATTGGTTCCAGGCGTTCGGACTCCGTCTGTGGTATGGAATCACGGAAGACGAACCTGTTGAAGCAGCTGTTTCCAAATTCTTTGGTGATTTGACAAACGGTGATGAGCCCGCCTTCCCATACCCTCCGCACTTGAATGCCCGGGGCGTGTTGCACACGACAGCCGACACACTTGGCAGAGAATCTCCTCTGTGGGTTCTGCTGAAGCTTTACTCGACAACTATGGCTACTATTAAAACCGGTGGAATTCCAGCTCTTGAGTTCCCCGCCGCTCTCCTTCCCGAATCTGTGTCTGGAGATCGACTCGCACACCGCTTGTCGTTCCAACTGTACCAGGTGCTCGCGACCGCTGTTGGGCAATATGACGGCTTCAAAATCAACCTTGCTCAGGTGGACCAATTAGTATCAGATTACGCTTGGGAGCTCAGCTCTAGTGGACAGCTCATTCAAGCGTTGTTCATCTTGTTGCATCTTTCTCAGACATCAGACCGGGAACGTGCCGTGAAAGAAACCCTCGCACGCTTTGCGTCTCGGCTGCCAGATACTTTTACTGCGGAAGGAACACCTGATGCTGTCTGGAAGTACCTTACCAACGATCTGCGGATACCTGAGGCGTGGATCTGGGTTGCCAAGGGACTTTATGCCCGTGACATTGGCGATGCGACGAGTGAAGTCAACTGCCTCATTCGTGGCAAGAACTGGAATGATGCCCATGCCACCTTCTGTCGCATTGTGGGCCCTACGGCTGTCATCGAGCGTGACTATGCTACCCTTGAGACTCTTGTGTCGGGCTTCGGTGACGGACCGGAAGGCAAGGTCCAGGGATGGGCTAGCGGCGGTGGTGTGTACGAGGACTTTCTGCGTCTTGCCACAGCCAAGGGTGGTCAACGTGATCAGGGTCGGTTGAGTCGTCTGGTGAACGCGCTTGTCGCCATGGGTGACAAGATCAGCCAAGGATCTGGTGTGGAAGGGCTGGAGGAGAGAGTGGCCTTCAAGGAGATGAGCCGTGCTGTGGCCGGTTGGACTGCACACGAGGACGTCAATGTGAGTATATCCATTTCTGATCCTGTATCACTCATCGCTAATCATCACCAACAGACGGTTGGATTGCCCACTGTCCTCGGTCTGCCACTCAACGGGGATGCACGCATCATGCAGACGGCGGAGATGAGTCGGAGGTACTATAGTGTCATCATGGCTGGTGCCTATTAAGAATTCTTTTTTCCTGTATTATGTATTTTTGTGTTTTCAAAATGAATGCCTTCGGAGCGACTAGACGACTTGTTGTTGCTATCTACCTGTACTATCGAACCCTTTTCTTTCTCTTTGCGTTCTTGGATTACCACTTCCTTCCAGTCGCCGATGCTTTCTCATGCGGTGTCATTATTTGAATTCGACAATGGCGACTTTGGTTCTGGTGATCTCATCTTCATTCTGCTAAATTTCACGAAACAGTGTTGTCCCTTTTTTGCTCGTACCTGACCATTAGCCCCTTTCACTAGAAATAATTGATCAAAGCCATCACCTTTAGAACACCTATCATCTCCAGAACCATTTCTTTCGTCTATAGACATCTATCCCCATATCGTGTTCACTTTGACTTCATCATGATGCCGGTTCAGGCTTCCAGACCCGGTTCCGGCCAGACTGTGATTGGGTGTCTGCCTTGACTGGATGCCGGCACCGGGAAAGAAGGCAACACAGAGTGAGGACAGCAAGATATCATCATCCATGGATAAGGAGTCAGTTTTCCCCTTTCTCTCTCCGCCAGTGCTGCAACTCTGTCACCAACCATCTATATTCATTCTTGCTCACCTAGAGCCGAAAGCGTGGTTCAAACAGATCCTTCCTCATTTTCTTGTACAGTTCAAGACTTGGCCCGATCTCAATCCTATAGTATGATGCTTCCTTTCAACTGATCTTCAGTGATTTGGTTGCCTTGGGTTATCAAAACGAGAAGGAAAGGAAGTAACCTAACACCACGTCATACGTAAGTACCCTTGTCCAACTTTCGAGTCATATATTAACCCTTCTTATCACCTTCAGTTTCTAAAAGATCACTCGCACCTAATCGCTAAAATGAGCAGCGAGGACCAGAGCAAGACGGTGACGCCGTCGTTGAATACGCACGATGGCAACAATGATAGCGAAGACAGGCCATCTGAAGCAGCTCAAGGCTCGGATCCCTCCACTCTCGAAGCGCAAAGGACTACAACTTCCCAATCCAGTATCCATACAGCTCATACAGCCTTTAGCAAGCATGAGAAGCGGTTCATTGTTGTCATGGTGACCTTGGCTTCCTTCTTTTCTCCATTGTCCGGCCAGATTTACTTCCCCGTCATGCCGACTCTGGTGCGTAACTACCACCTGACGACGGCTCTCATCAACCTTACCATTACCACGTACTTGATCTTGCAAGGGCTCGCGCCGAGCTTTATGGGGACCTTTGCCGATACAGGGGGTCGTCGCCCGGCGTACATTATAGCCTTTGCTATCTACACGGCAGCCAATATCGGCCTGTCGGTACAGAACAGCTATGCAGCGCTGCTCGTACTCCGCTGCATACAGAGCGCCGGGAGCAGCGGCACGGTATCCTTCGGATATGGTGTTATCGCGGACATTGCAACTCCAGCCGAAAGAGGAACGTATATTGGCCCTATGGCAGCTGGTGTCATGGTAGCGCCTGCTGTGGGCCCCGTCATTGGGGGTATTCTGGCCAAATTTCTTGGTTGGCGGAGCGTGTTCTGGTTTCTTGTGATTATTAGTGGAGGATATTTGGTTGTCTACATCATCGCGATGCCCGAGACTGCTCGCAAGATCGTGGGTAACGGCAGTGTCCCGCCAAGGGAATGGTGGAGGATGTCTGCCTTTCAATGGTTTATTGAACGGCGCTGGATCAAAAAGATGTCGCCAGAAGAACGCAAAGATCATGAAGAGCGACAGGCGATCTTGGAGAAGGAACACCAGAAGACGAAGCTTTTCTTTCCCAATCCGTTAAAGTCCTTTGTGATTTTGCTTGAGAAGGACGCCCTAATCATAATCTCTTATGTCGGACTGGTCATGTTTGCCAACATTGCCTTGCTCACGAGTACGCCGAATCTATTCGGCAAGCTTTACAACTTCAACGACCTCCAAATCGGTCTCTGCTTTCTGTATGTCATCGTTGTTAACAATGAACCAAAAAATATCATACCAAGCTAATACTTTTTACCAGCCCCCTCGGTGTCAGTGCCATCATCGCAGCCGTCCTTAACGGTAAAGTAATCGATTACAACTACCGTCGAGTAGCTCGCAAGCTGGGATTTCCCGTGGACCTTAAAAAAGGCGACGATATAAGCACATTCCCCATCGAAAAGACTCGTCTACAGACTGTCTTCCCTGTGATGACACTAGGCGTTCTCGCTTTCATCCCATACGGTTGGGTCTTGCAACAACATTCCCCGCTAGTAGCACCGCTCATTTTACAATTCATCATTGGTTTCTGTTTCGTCGCGTCTCTCAATACACTCAACACCATGCTGGTGGACCTCTTCCCTGACCGAGCCGCCACTGCAGCTGCGGCATGTAATCTGGTCCGGTGTTGGCTCGGAGCCGTTGGCGCCGCAGTCATCGACCAAATGCTCGAAGGGATGGGATGGGGGTGGTGCTTTACCTTTTTAGGGTTGGTTATGGGAGTTGGTCTTGGGCTACTTTGGCTGGAACATTTATATGGAATGAAATGGAGAGAGCAGAGACGGGTTAAGATGGAGCAGAAACAAGCGCAGAAGGAAGCACAAAAAAAGGAAACGGATGAAAGCAAAAAGGAAAGTGACAAGGATAAAGAAAAAGATGAAAACAAGGACAGTTCGAATGGAACAGGGTCTGAGACTTGAGACTTGAGATGGACCCACTGCTTGGTCTGGCTGACTTTTGCTTCTAATACTCTACTTGCCTGCTTATTGGGTATTAATGTAGAAAATAGGAAAATAATCTTGCTTGAAAATAGTAATATTTCATGATTGTCGCTTATATTGGCGGACAGAGAAATTGCATCTATCCACTATTTTGACAATACTCGAACCATTGAAACTACTAGGTATACCGTAGAATCCAAGTTGATTATTCTTTAGCGTTTACCCAGGAACTTGATGTTACTCTAATAACTAAAGTTTTTTGCTTAGTAAATTAATCCTAACCCTATTGTAGGGCTCGACCAAGCCACCATCTTCACCATATCAATTTAACAAAAGGAATATTCTGATTTGCTAACAAGGAACTGTACATGATTGAACCTAACGCGACACGAGGTTTAAAAAAAGGAAATGAAAAGAACCCATCCCTGCCCAGAGACATTACCGCTGCAATGGCCGATATCTTCGAATTTAGAAAAAAATTTGTTTTTCTTTTTGTAAAACCATATGCAATAAGGTATTTTACATGCCAGGAGAGATCAACTTGCCTTCAGCCCGGCTGTTAGGGTGCCAGCCACCGGCGTAGGGACCCTGGCCGATCTCCTTCGAGTACTCCTGGATTCTTGCCTCGAGTTCAGGTCGGAAGTGTCTGATGAGACCCTGGATGGGCCAGGCGAAGGCCTCACCCAGAGCGCAGATTGTGTGTCCCTCCACTTGCTTGGTCAGCTCCTGGAGCATGTCGATTTCACGCTGGCGAGCCTGGCCTGTCTCAAGACGCTGCATCATCTGCATGGTCCACTTGCTTCCCTCACGGCAGGGAGTGCACTGACCGCAACTCTCGTGCTTGTAGAAGCTCGAGAGACGCGAGATGGCACGGACAATGTCGGTGGACTTGTCCATGACAATAACGGCGGCGGTACCCAAACCGGTTTGGTTGTCCTTCAGACCGTCAAAGTCCATGATCTGGTCATCACAAACGCTCTTGGGGATGACGGGGGTGGAAGATCCACCGGGGATCACGGCAAGAAGGTTTTCCCAACCGCCCCGCACACCACCACAGTGACGGTCAATCAGCTCACGCAGAGGGATGGACATCTCCTCCTCGACGGTGCAGGGGTTGTTAACGTGACCAGAGATACAGAACAGCTTGGTTCCGACGTTACGCTCACGACCAAATGACGAGAACCAGCTGGGTCCACGGCGCATGATAGTGGGAGTGACGGCAACGGTCTCGACGTTGGTGACGGTGGAAGGGCATCCGAAAAGACCAACGGCAGCGGGGAATGGAGGCTTGAGACGAGGCTTTCCGGCCTTACCCTCGATGGACTCGATGAGCGAGGTCTCTTCACCACAGATATAAGCACCCATTCCACGGTGGATGTAAACATCGAAGTCGTAACCGGTGCCACAGGCGTTCTTGCCGATCAGACCGGCCTGGTAGGCCTCGTTAATGGCGTTCTGGAGGATGGTAGCTTCGTGGTAGAATTCGCCACGGATGTAGATGTAGGCAGCGTTGGCGTTCATCGCACGACCCACAACCAAACAACCCTCAATGAGTTTCTGGGGGTCTTTCCGCATAATCTCACGGTCCTTGCATGTTCCAGGCTCACCCTCATCGGCGTTGACAACAAGATAACGGGGTCGAGAGTCCTTGTCCCAGTCTTTGAAATTCATGAAGGACTAAAAAAAGACGATATGTGTTAGAAGATTGGGTCCGGGAAGGTTACCAACGAAATGGCCTTCCAACTTACGTATTTCAATCCCGATGGGAAACCGGCACCACCACGACCACGAAGACCCGAAGCCTTGATTTCCGAAATGAGCTGAAAATTTGAAAGAAACCATTAGCATTGACTTCGTTATTTCAGTTGCTTCGAGTGTATGTATTAACGGTGTGACTTCGGAATAAAGGATAAGCGTACCCAGTCGTGGCCCTTCAGAACGATGTCCTTGGTTCTGTGCCAATCACCATACTTCATCGCAGACTTGAGGTCGGCTCCATGGTGTCCGTACAAGTTCGTAAATATCCGGTCCTGGTCCTGCAGACCGCCATAATGCCGTACGGGGGGAGCGTTCTCCTGGACGGTCGCGAAGGAGCGGGCAGCCTGCCCCTGTGCTCGGAGAGAGCGGGAAGAGACCTTGGCGAGGGAGGAAGGACTGGGAGCCGCCGCTCGAGATATCATGGTGATCTGTGACCCAATTGCTGCTTGGGGAAGCGAAGAGGAGCGAAGAGAGGGGGGAGTGGTGATGGGTTGGAGATCACCGTCGTTGAGCTTCACGTCGCGGCAATTCCTGCGCTTGCTGAATATCCGCATTTCGCTGCCCGCTGATTGGCTTGTGCGCGTCACGTGCGCAGGATTAGTCAGGGTCATCCGCTTTCCGCATTAAGAATTCAAACGCTCTGAATGGCTTATTTTGTTTATTCTCATTTAAGTCAATTGCATGATGTTTTTACTCTTTAGGGGCCTATTGCCCTTATTGCTGTTGAGGTTCCTGTGGAATATACAGATAAGACACCGTGGACAGCATCACTGAGCCCTGACCAGGACCACCCGCTGCCAACAGTTTCAGCGGGTCATCGGGCACTTGCACCGTTTCCTGCTCCATAACCATCCACGCCCATCTCAGCCAGTTCGGAGCAAGCCACCAGCTGTCTTCTTTCCACTCTCCCGTGTACTGAGCGATATTGGAGAAAACGGACTGATTCCGTGTCTTCATATCCTCGAGAACCTCGTCAAACTCACTAACCATATGCTCGTCATCTTCGTCTTCCAGCATCCAGGCCACATCATCAGGGGGCGTAGGATTGTTCTCAAGAATGAGATTAACCCATTTGACAAGACGAGCGGGAAGCTGGGGGTTTTCAGGAGAGGATTTGGAGTTCTGGTAAACCGCTGTCACGAAGCATAAGAATATCGGAAAGGCAAATGGCGATGAGCCCGGGCTTCCTCTCAGTACCGGCATGGCTCTGCTGGATTGAGTAGAAATGCCTTGGTGGCATGACTTGAAATTTTCTTGCATGTCGCCAGGGAGAATGCCAAACAGGTCATTCAGATCAAATAGCTCTCCATCGTTCACAAGAAGTGATTTGCGTTCAAGGATCCTCACCTGAATGCGGGATATGATCTCTCCCGGGAACTTGCCTGCAGGTACCCGAGCCATGTGAGAAGCGAGGAGGCTCTTGGTTTCGTCCCAGCTTCCACCAAAGCCATGTTGCCGCGCACGAGTAAGAGTCCATGCAGCAACAACCAGAGCTGTCTCCGACAACATAATTTGGCTATCACGGTAGACCTTTGCGTGTGTTTGTTTCAGATTTTGCGGGTGCTGCAAGTCTTGCCCGGAAGATTTCAATTTCACAATGTGTGTAATAAGCTCAATAATGATCTGGCTGAGAGCAGCGAGGATGGTGCGCGAGTTTCCATAAAGATCCGGGATTCGGATTCCTGATTCAGAAATCTCCAATGTCTCCAATTCTCTATCATTTGCGGCCAAAACAGCAACGCCGTTGAAAAGCGCAGGAGAGAATATCGCGTTTTCCATGGATGTGTCTGGAGTAAGAAGGGGATAAAAGACGTTGAATACGTAATAATGATCATCTGCATCCTTGGCCAGTTCCGGATACATTTGTCGCTGCGCAGCTTTGGCTTGGTAGAGCGGACTACCCGGCGGTGCTCGCAGGTTGACAATGCGGTAGTCACATGGATTCTTTGGAAGACAGAAGCCATAGTTTACCATCACTGATGCTGTCAGTTGCTACTTTAAACCAGTATGGAGAGGTGAATGCTCACGCTGTTCATTGTTTCGGGGTCCGTAGTTATTCGCAATTTCATGACCCGCCGTGACAGTCTCCAACACAACAAAGTCAACGCTATCCTCACCAGCTCGCCATTCGACCTTTGCAAGCGGTCGATGATTCAAGACATCGATGAATGGAAGGAGAACCGAGACGCTGTCTTCAGGCAAATCGGCATCGCCAATGACTCCGGACAGAACCTTTGAAGAAAAGGCGCGTGAAACAAAGATAGTCGATGCCCAGAGGTACAAATCCCTGCGGAAAGAAATCTTTGTCAACAATCATTAAGGGAGTCAGTCCATCATTAAATTACTGACCATGTATACTTCTCGGCATCTTCAACCCCGGCTTTGCGGAGCTCTTCAATGCCATTTTCGTATTTATCTTTGAATAGCTTCATCTTCTGCTCCCGAGCCGGCAACAAGCTCGTCCCATTAAGCCACTCCAGATCCTCTCCCTCATAGTACAAAGGAGTCGTCAAAGAACCAGGCTGCGGAAGGGTTCGAATATACGGAAACCAGAATCCCTCCGAACCCCGCAGATACTGTCCCATGAGAAAAAACACAGATGTCTCCTCGGACCCCACGGCGTCCATGAATACACGCGGGAAGTGAAGCCCATGAGCAGAGAAAGTGGCCGGCTTGGACGCATCGTCAGTTGGGAGATGATGATCGATGGCGTTGAAATAGGACATGGTGGCAGGCAGAGGGGTTTTGATGATGTGCGTGTCCCTGGTTACTTCACTCTTCCAGTCCTTTCGGACTTGGAGATGAACGCCTCGCGCTTCATCTTTAGCAATCTGGACGCTTTCATGGAGATGGCCGCCATTCTGGGCCATCCATTCCAGAAGTGAAGTATATGCTTCAAGAGAGCTATCGGCGGTCCTATTTGATCGTGTTAGATTTCTGGTATTTTATGAAGACAAATAATATGAACCAGAGGAAAAAATTGAAGCAGGAGATGGGTCGATCAATCTTATATTGTGCTGAGATAGAAAATGAACATAGAATAAACAAACCCCATCGCTGTATGCAACCTCAATACATGATTCATTCCAATAAAGCCTTTCATACATTTCAATAGCGAAATATCAAAGGACCGGGCGCATCCACCAAAAGTTGAAGCAACTCGACTCACCTGGATGAATCCATCGTGGTATCGACAGCCTATTGGCTTGAAATCAATTCTTCAAAGGCTCTCCTGCCTGGAGCCCAATCAGAAAGAGAAGAATGAAGTTATATACAATCTGAAAATTCCCTGCGTGGTGCAGAAAGTGATGACGATGAGGATACAGAGTGAAGACGGAGACGAGCAGATCCATCCCACCAAATGCGGCGTCCCACTTTTTTTTCTTCGCCTTTTGACTTGTGAGGATAGTATTCGACCACACAATAATTGTTGCAACGAGCTTACGAGTTTAGAACACAGACATTGTCTAGGTTCTGTTCAATGTGCGATACGAATAAAACAAAATCATTGCATCTGACGCAACTATCGTACAAGTCCTCGATTGGCCAGAGCCAGTCTTGGAGCAGTTAACATCCCACGATAAAAAACAACACAACAAATGGCTAACACAAACGCCTTGAGATCGTCAAATTCCATCATGCAAATGGCCAAACAGAACCAGATTCACTGCCCCCTAGAGTCACCCATGTAGTATCTTTCAGGTCGTGAGATTTCGCCGTTGTGATATCGCAAGTGTTCCTCCAAATCCAATCCAAATAAACCAAAGAGACAAGGAAAGAAATATATACACCTCATACGCATTGGCTGTGTATGTAGTCATGAGAGAGCATTTCGTTCCAAGCAACTAAAGCACCATCAATCATTAAAGCGAAGCATCAATCCGAACACAATAAACAGTAAAATGTTTCATGAGTAGCGTATTAATGGTTTGAGGATGTCGAGTTCTTCCTTCCTGGTACCAGTATCTCGACAAGTCCGTCATCTTCGCCATCACTGCTGTCATTCTCGTCATCTCCGAAAGGAGAGGCCCCAACTCGAGATCTTCGGAAGCTTTTATACCTATCCGCTCCGAGATTTGGGTATCCCAACGATTCGTTCATGATAGCCTCATCTTCTTCATCCGAGTCCATCATGCCAGACCCAGAGGTCGGCCCAACCATCTCCCCCATCTCATCATCGTCGTCGTCAACATTAAGTGGAACATGCACCTGGCGCGTCCGCTTCCCTTCTCCATCATCATCCGAGGAATTATCCGAGAAAGAATCAGGAGGGCTAAATCCCGAATCCGGAAAAGTGGGCGATGAGAAAGGTTCATCCTTGCCTCCCGGTACGAAGTCGGTAGATGGGAAGGCAGCACTAGAGGGCGATTGCCCAGCATCATCGTCCAAGCCCGCAATCACAAACGGGTTGCTAGGCCACTGTGAATCTGTGCTTCCATCATTTGTTTCCTTCTTCTCTTCCCCTTCCTTATCCGCATTATCGGCCGCCTGCTGTTTTTGAAGGGCAAGTCGTGCAGCCAGCTGACGCCGTGCCCGAGATGGACCAAGACTCAAAGGAGCGGGAGGGGGCGGGAGGATAGGAATTGGCTGGCTTGTGGAATTGGTAGAAGCCTGGATGGAGTATATCGTCAGCATTGGCACGGGGTAGTTCAATATATGGCCGGTTATAAAGCAAGGCACAATCCACCAGCTTGATCTGAAGCAAGGAGAAGATCCGGGATACTGAAGGGAAGAAAATGCGAAAATTGAGAGGAAAATGGAGAAGGGAAAAAAAAAAAAAAAACAATAGGGTTGAAAACATGAAGTGTATTTCGTAACTTGCACTATCCAGAAAGGCCAATCTTTTCGTGTATTTGATTGCCACAACTGGATATAATGCAGACACAAGACAGGAGTTTGTATATCAATGCCTAGGTTGGTGAAGACCGAAGGGCTACTCATTTCACTAGCAGAAAAGGCGTCGGCCCAAGAAAGATGCAACATGATTTCGGGGAGCTGTAGGAGGTTTTGGGTGACTTTATACATGATTGAGAAGGCGCTGCAAGTCAAACGCTCAAATGTGGATGGCCCTCTATGGCCCCCACCGCTCCCCATCCATCATGCGCCAGTCCGTCCTCAGCCATTCAACCAGGTAATGAAAATGAACATGGAAAAGGAATAGTGAAACAAGCTCAGATGCAGGCTGTCATGAATCGCGCATGTCAACGTCAGTGAAAAAAGCATCACCCACATTCTCGGAGCCGCCTTCTGCGGACTGTTCAGCTGCGTTTCTTTCATCTTGATCTTCCATCTCCTCATCTTCGTCGTCATCGCTCGAGCTCGCGAAACCACTCAAGAGAGAGCTACCGCCGCCGAGGCCGAAAGCTCCGCCAGAAACACTTCCCTGGGTCATCATATCGAAGCCCTGGAAGTTCGATGCCCCAGATCCACCATTCAGACCGGCATCGGCAAGGGCTGAAGAGCCCTGACCCGAGTTCAGCATGGTCTGACGGTGACCAATGGCCATGTCAGGCCGCACACCACCCAGGATAGCGTTGTCACGCTCTCTGGTCTCAGAAAGTGTGTGCTCAACATACTCAATCCACACCGGGTCCAGCACACTTTCCATCACTGTCGGCGAAAGAAGTTCTGGTGGGTGACGTTCACTGAACTTGACAACCTCCTCTGCAATAAGAGTCAGGTGTCCCATGTAGCCGAGTCGGATCTGCTTGGCTCGCTGGGTCTCATCACTTCGCTTTTGGCCTTCAATAACTTCTTGCGTAATTCGTCCAGTCTCAAAAACGTCAACGGCCAATGATCGGTTGTACCCACGTTCCATAGGTCCGTTGAATACTTGCTGGACGACATCGTAGACAACGTTGTGAAGGAAGTTGTTCCACGGGAAACGGAAAAAGAAACCCTAAAATACGTTAAGAACCAGCGTTGTAGAAAAGCGTTGTATTTCAACAAGGCACTTACCAAAATCGTAGGCACGACCCGATTTCTTACAAACATGATTTTGAGATAGTCACCGACTACAGGCTTGCCATTGGTATCAAATTGAATAAATGGGTCGTTGTACTGCTCCAGGGTCTCATCATCGGGTTCGTTAGTAGCTGTTTCTGGGGCAGAGCCTTCCACGGCTGGCTCAGAACTTAAAGGATCGGACTGCTGTTTGGCAGCGAAGAGAGGAGCCGGGACATCTTCAGGGTGTGAAGATACTGAGGCAGAACCAAGTTGCTGGTCCGCTTGTGTAGATGTTGTGGATGCGCTAGCGTCCTCCTTCGTAGATTCTTGGTTCCCGGAGGCATCCTTCGAGTCTTGTTTTTCGCCTTCAATCTTTATTTCACCAATTTGATCAGTGAGACCTGACGCGGTAGGCGACAAAGGATCAGAAGGACCCGTGGGTGTCTCGGAAGATGTCTCATTCCGCTCACTCTCGGGCTTCGATTCTTCGCTTGTGGCTTTCTCGGTTGACGCTTTGGAGTTCTCCGGGGCTGAAGTGTCTGGCTCTGTTTTCGAATCTTGGCTGCCAGTTTGCTTCTCTTTGTCAACGAGAACAGTTGACGAGCTGACATCCTCAAAACCATCGTCTTCACTCGCGTTTGTGACTTCAAGAACCTTGGAGTCTTCGGGGGAACCGGATCCAAGAACAGACCCGGTAACGAAATCCGCAGTGGAATCATTGCAATCCACACCAGATGTCTCTTCCCGATGCGAATTGAAAGCCCCCTCTCGAATCAACTTCTCACGCTCGGCATCTCGCTGTCGAGTGTATTCATCGCTTCCGGGCTCATTCAACAGACCCATATTACTGCAATGTAACAATTCGGCCATCAACTCGCAAGTCTTGAATCTATCAAAGCCCAACGGTTCGATCTTAGCTCCCCATGCCGAATTGAGCTGACCCCGCTCCACACTTTTTACTTTTCCACCATCGTTAACCGTGTGCTTCGAGCTTTGGATCAATGCCATGAAGTCCGGTATGTGTTTGGCGAAAAGTCGGAGTAGCGAGCCGAGGTAGATGGGATCGTATGTGGTCGGCATTGAATCAGGCCCACCCAGATTCTCCGGGTCGTAATCGGAGTTATTCTTGCGGATAACCTCAATGACGATGCCCACTCCGACGGTCAATGGGTTTCCACCTTGCAGCATGGCCTTTATCAGAGCCTCTACGCACTGCGCAGAGACCAATTGGCGAGTCAGGCTGTTGGGGCCAATACAAGATTGGTCGTTCTGGGTTGCATTTGCGGAGATAGTGATGATGGCTTTGAGGAAATCACCTGCCGAAGTTTGAACAGAGGCAGGTCGGTCTGGCGATAGGAAAGAGAGAAGGGTAGGTATGAGACCTTGGTCTTTCAGCCACTAGAATTTTGTTAGCTTGCGATCAAATATGCGACTTTGAAACCGCGTTCATGTACTTACATCCACAATCCCTTGGCCACCCTCGGCCTTCTCCAAACTGATAATCTTCAGCAGAAGGTCCATGACCATAGGATTATCGACATGCTGCAGAATTGCTGGAATGATGTCATCTAGAGATTTGAAAAATGCCAGCATATCCTCCGTCTTTTTGTCAAACAATGTTTCGTTGACTCTTGTAAAATAGCTGGCCTGGAGAGAATCAAGGGGCTGTGGTCTCCTCACAAACCCCCAGAAGTCTCGCAGATAACCAGGATTGAGCATGATAGATTCCAATATCGACCATGTTTCGGACGATAGAATTTCACATGCAACATAGGCATGTTTCAGGCGGGTTTTTTCGATTCTCTCCAAATCCTCTGGTTCCAACATATCTTTTAGCGGATCACCCTTCGCCTCCTCGGAATCATTTTTGTCCTGGGCGGCATTGCTATCATTTCCTTCGTCCTCGTCGTCATCGTTCATCAAGCTAGATGCGATCACATATTCCATAAGCCGTTTCAAGACATTATCATCTCGTAAATATTCTATGAGCTTCGTATTATGTTGTTTGAGCTCCTGGATGAGCTCCGAATCGTCCAAAAGCTCTTCAAGGGTGACATCGGGCTTGTCGAGTAGGGTATCGATGGAGGAGATACTTGCGTATCCCCCAAAACGCCAGAACATGATGGATTATATAGCTGGGAGAAAAAATTCATGGAAAATAATAAAAGGGAAGGTATCACAAGCACTTTTCGGGGTCTTTTGGTCTCCGAGATGTCGTAACGGAGCAGACTATATGGTACAAGGCCGCAGGAGAAAGGAGATTTCAGAACCTCGTGTAATAGGAAATATGGATTGGTCGTAGCGTCCAAGAGAAAAGGGTTCGTTCGTTATAATCAAGTCGTACCAAGGAGAATGGTGATAATAAGCAGACAAATACGATCAGAGGCTCAGAGCGGCCAAGCGCTGTGGATAAAAAGACAATGGATTAGCAATCATATTCCGAGGCTGAAGCGCAATTATGACGATGAAGGTAAACCCCGCGATGTTCAACAACCCACACAGAACGTACTCTCAATCCAAGCTAGAGGGGATAGAGCGAAAAGTGGGATGAGATACAGATCAGGCAAGATCAGGGGTGTGTGTGATTGCAACAAGCAATGGAGATACCCTCCCTACCTTCGAAACCTTAAGGGAGTGACGATGGAAAGGAAGACGGTGCCAGACTCCTCTCCCTCCTTGTTGGGGGAAATCACCGAACAGATCGACGAGTGCAGGAAGCCCTCTCTTGAGGCACAGGAATGCTAGCTGCACAGGCGATAGCAGTAGTCCGTCAGGGGGGAAGTCCGTCAAGTCAAGAAGTAAGAACGATGACGGCTGTCGTTCAGGGAATCGAGTTGACGTGCTGCGCTGGCGGCTGCGTCTGGATCGGCCGGCAACTTTGATCCCTGGGAGATGATGAACAGCTGGGCGGAAACGCCCAACAAGACCGACAAGCGGCGGCGGGGAAATTCGACACAGATAGGCGAGGGGGGAAGAACGGGAGTAAGACGCGACCGTTTCGGTGAGAAGTTCCTCTTTTTTCAGATCCTAGTACCTGCTGGATTAGACAATCACTAGGGAGTTGCCTAAGAAATAGTAATTACTGTAATTGTTTTATATTTTGAGCAATTCTCTTGACGGGCTTTTGCTTGTTCGAGGCAACTTGCGAGCGTCGCGAGAATTGCACGAGACTCTTGTTGGAGTTGCTGGAGGTGCTTTTGCAGGTTCTGTCATTGTATTACCGAGAGCAAGTATCGAATACCAATCTTACCACGCCTACTGGTGCGGAATGTCGTATTAGATCTCCCCGCTTACAGGTATTGTTGGTATTTCTATTACCCCAGCGTACGGGGGATATTCGATGCATCACCCAATAAGCAAGTAATCTACCATCGTCACACGTGGAATTTACATGTCTAGTTACTATCAGGTGATGATAGCAAGAAGTTTCTAGACAATGAATGAGATCTGATTATCATTGGGGATAATAATAGTAGTGCCCATTAGGCATCGTTCTTAGTATGACTTGCTTGGGCGATCACGTGTCTGATATTGACGTCGCCTCCAATTATCCCCAGTTTGATAAGACCGACCAGCTCTTCTTTTAGCTTCATTATTAGGTGGTCATTATTTCGAAAATAATAATCAGAATCTAGTTTACTTATAATTTCTTAGTTAAAATAATAACCTAGTCACTTGGAAAATAGTTTGGCACTGTTTAGTCCCGCCTCTTAGCCTCCAAGACCGTGGCCACCCGACAAGGCCCCCAACTCTACCTACAGCTCCGTTCTTGATTCAACCTCGCAGCTCCTTTCGAAGTTCCATCCTAATCAAAAAGATGAATCGACTATTCGGTACAAAGAATGCGGCTCCAAAGCCAACCCTTGACGGTGCCATCTCAAATGTATGTGTTTATTATGACCCCTCTCCCTCATGAAACCCCCCATGGTTTAACTCCGAATGTTTGGCAAAACAGGTAGACAACCGCATCTCAAGCATCGACGTCAAGCTCGCTGCCCTGAATTCGGAACTCTCCACATATCAAACCAAAATCGCCAAGATGCGCGACGGACCAGGCAAGAATGCCCTTCGACAGAAGGCCCTCAAGGTGCTACAGCGTCGGAAGCAATACGAGTCGCAGCGGGATCAGCTATCGCAGCAATCGTGGAATATGGAGCAGGCTGGGATGATGCAGGATAATCTCAAGAATACGATGACGACAGTCGATGCGATGAAAACGACCACGAAGACCTTGAAGAAGCAGTATGGCAAAATCGATGTGGATCAGATCGAACGCATGCAGGACGAGATGGCAGATCTGATGGACATGGGTAATGAGATTCAGGAAAGCATCTCCCGCTCCTACGATGTCCCTGAGGATGTGGATGAGGCGGAACTGGATGCCGAACTTGAGGCACTAGGAGAGGAATCAATGTTCGAGAGCTCGATGGGTGAGAGCGCAATGCCGAGCTTCTTGCAGGACGAGGTGGCGCCGCCTCAGTTCATCGATGAGCCTCCGGAACAAGGCAAGGTCAAGGAGCCTGCTGGTGGCTTGGGCTAGTTATACATGAAGCTATGATGATATTCTGAGTTACGAAAGCAATGGAGTTTGGGAAGTCTAGTGTTCTATATTCTCTATCGACTATGGAGTTCTATCTATCCGTTTGTCTGGTCTGATTGTCAGACATTGTGTTGTCAGGCTGTTGTTTAGTTGGGCTTCAAAGCGTTTACTAGGTATCCATGTAGTTCGATCATTTAAAGCCACGTCGGGGTCTCGTCCTTTTCTTCTTCCTTGAGGCTGTGTTTCTTTCGCATACTCAAGAAGCCTTGCCAAGTCCAATCAGAACAAGCAAGGCCACATTCATGACTGCTATGATGAGCCATACCAGGACAGCGATGATTGAAACAAAAATATTGTTTCTCATCTTAACTTCCTCGACTTGGGGATTCTCATCGTTGTCGTTGACATTGTTCGTTTTGACGGTCATGTACTTATTCAAGCATGTGAACCAGATCAAGGGTGCAGAAACGAATGGTAGTATGACACTTAATACCACTTGACTGGCGTTTAGAGTCTTGTTTAGCCCACCTTTGCCAACGGCCCCAGCAATAATTATGCTTGGGATTATACTAATAGATCGGGTGACAAGTCTCCTGATCCAGGGCCTGACGCTCCAGTTCAACATGCCCTCACTGACCATTTGTCCTGCCATGGTACATACGATACCAGCGGAGATACCGGAGAGCAGCAATGCCAAGGCAAAAACCAATCCTGCAGCTGGGGCAATTGAGCTAGACAAGAGGTTGTAAATACCCCAGAGATCTGCATCATCGGCTCCGGCGGTTCCATACAAAGAGGCACCAGCGACAATGAGAATGGCACTGTTCACAAAGAGGGCGAAGGTAAAGAGGGAAAGCGTCAGTTCAATGATGGAGTACTTCATGCAGTCTCGAATGGCGTAGATCGATGGTCGATATTCCACCTCTCCGCCATTGCTTCCTAGTGGAACAGATGCATCCACGTAGCCCTGTGTCACGTCGAATTCTTTCAGGCGTGACTGCACAACACCACTTCCGAGGAACATGGAGTGGGGCATTACAGTGGCTCCGAGGATTCCACAGCTCTGGTACAAACTATCAAAGGGTCATGTCAGTAAATGCATTCAAACAGCAGAAGGCTCATCACAAACCCTTCAGATTGCACTACGGCGGAAGATGGTAAATAGCCTTTGAACACGGCCCCGATGGACTGTTCTTTAATGAGGGATAGTTGAATGCAAAAGCAAACCACAACTCCCAGCACCAAGGCCATGACAAAGTATTCAAACAACCGTAGCCCCCACATGGCGCCATTCGGCCTGTAGAAAATGAGGAGAAATAGAACATCGGCGAGCGTAATTGCGCATCCCGCGACCAGAGGAATGTTCAGAAGAAGATTGAGAGCAATTGCTGAGCCGATAACCTACGTAATCCCTCGTTTTAGTGCCTTGAAAAGCAAATTATTCTATGGAAAGAGAGTCATACCTCTGCAATATCGGTTGCAATAATGGCAGCCTCCGAAAATATGTAGAGTATAATCACGACCCATTTAGGCAGGTGTTCTCTGCAATTCTCCGCCAGATTCAGTCCGGTTACGGTACCAAGTTTAACGCATAAGGACTGCAGAAAAATGGCGAAGAGATTGGAAACGAGAACTATGAAGAGCAAAGCGTATCGAAATTCGGCACCGGCAGCGACGTCGGTAGAGTAGTTTCCCGGGTCAATATACGCCACAGCGATCAGAAAACCGGGGCCCACGAAGCGACCGAATTTGGCGATGCTCTGAGCTAGAGAAAGAAGACGAGATCTAACTAGATCTTTGAAGGGACGGCGAGGTGATCCGCTGTCCGTCTCGGGTTGTTCATACCCAGAGGCGGCAGTGATCACCCCGCCGGGGGTCTTCTTCTCGTTCTCAATGTCGCCTTCATCCTGCCCATGTATTTGAGATTGTACATCCATTGTCCCATCCCCCACTGTTCCCGCTATTCCTGAGGCATGCTTCCTGTGTACTTTGGAGTTGGCAATCCCGTTGAAATCATTTCGAGTAGTAAGATCTGCATTCAACGCTGACGGATTCTGATTCCAGCCGGGGTGTTCGAGCGTGTCATCTGTTCGAGAAGGACAGTTCATGGTTGCCGATTCGACTGAAGACGATTGTGTGCTGGATTGGGCAATCGCGGGGTTATTTTACGAACAAGTTGGCATGCAGTGACCGGTTTTAAACGCAGCGTCGGGTTGCTTGAAACCGAATATCGTGTCGAAGTACCCTGCGGGGAGTAACGCCCGAAACTGCCCGACCGAAATCGGTATTCTGCGGGAGAATGCTGCAGATTATCTAGCACGTGGTAAAAGATAATAGTGAAGTCACAATGAGCATATGAGTCTGATCGAACAATCCCGAAGGTGAACAATAAACAAGGAGGTCAAATAGGGAGGGAATGATACGACGCTGCGGAGAATGAGCGGCCAAGCGTCGGTGCTGCCATGGGGTCGCAAACGGCAGGATGAATCACCCACCCCATACATCTTCATCATCATCCGCTCATCCATGATGAAAGGATAACCAAAGACAAGATCCCATGGAAAGGAGGAAAAGGGAAGATTGAAAGATACTGTAGGAAGAAAGAAAGAAAAGAGAAAATAAAACCAAGAAAGCAGGCTCGCTTGGCTATTGACTTGATGGTCCTTGGCGTTCGGCTGCGGCGGAGGGTTTTGTGAGACTCCTTGCGGTTGCACTGGATGATCGCTGGAGTAACTGGCGATTATTGCTGTGGCTTTCATGTAGGTGGGAATTATTGATGGCGAGGGAAATAATTCATGATGCATCAAGATATTTAAAAATGACAAATGGGTCGACTGGATCTACAGTAGTAAGTAACAATGCATTGTGATGGTGCTTGGGGCAATCCTCGATCTATCCACTATCGTCTCTATGTATGTCATACAGAACAATCATCTCGATGCGGAAAATAATGTAGTTGAACAAAGGAGGTCAGAGAATAATAATAATAATAATAATATATAGAGAGGAGACAATCCTCATTTCATCTGATCTGGATAGGATGAAAAGAGGGGAAACACCATCACATCAAGGCATCCCAGGCCAGAAACGGAGATGCAGCCAACCTCAATTCTCGTCACACACACACTCGACCTATCGATAAGACCCGGAAACTGATCATCCAACGGCCATCTTCATCATCGCCCATGCAATCAATCAATCAGCGATCATCCGGACTTGAGTCAACCTGCGCCAACGCAGCAGAGCCCGCTCGTTGCCCCCAGCAACCTCGTTGCCCGCACCGTGTTTACTCCCTCTGCTGCCTCTTGCGATCGACTCGAGTTGTTTCGTGACGGCGTTGGTGGATTATTGGATGATGCAGATTACGCTGGTTGATTCAGGCTTGCTGAAAGTCTTCAAATTCCCCAGTCTGCCCTCTTGTCGTTCTTGTTTCTCTCTTCGGGTGTCCTTTGGTTCTCTGATTGACTTCTTTCCCCCGGCCATCTTCATTCTGCATAGTTGATCGTTCAATGTCTTGTCTTCTCTCTGGCTGCGCATTGCTTTTTTTCTGCGTTTCTTGAATTCACTCTTGTCTTTTGTTTCTTGTGTTTTCGCCTCGATATTTTGAAATCTTTTTTCTCTCACCTTATCCCCCCTCCTGTTGCTAACATCGCTGCTGCCGTGGAGAAGCTCACCGTAAGTGGCCTGTGCCTATCCGTGCCTTCAATCACCCCTTTGCTCTTTTGTTTCATATCGCAATGTCTGATCATCGATGCTAACTTGTATTCAGTTTCTGGTCAAAGGCGATAAGATATGGCTAGTATGCAGGCCCCGAACATCTTCGACGATGCTTCCCGTGTTCCTCCTAAACCCTCCGTTCTCCGAGCCATCCTGTCCTCCAAAGCTCATAAGAGGAACTCCTCTGCCGACGATGCCATTTCTCCCAAGATTTTGCACAGAAGCAAACCTTCCGACGCTTCGTCGAGAACCCCGGTAGAAGAATACTACTCTTCTCCATACCAGCATCCTCTGGCAGAGAGGGCCCCGAACCGCGACGCAGCCGACGGTCCTCCCTCTCCTCAAAAGCAGTCCAACAAACAGTCAAAGCAAGGACTGCACAAGAAGACGAAAAGCGCCGTGTCCTTGAAATCGTTGAAGAGCTACATGGAACGGAAGGACTCGAAATCAGAAGAGTCTCTCGATGATGACTCCGCCGAATGGAGACCTAAAAAGGCTAAATCCGCCAACAGCCTGAGTGCGATTCTGAAGCGGTCGCAACGGGGACGGAAAGGAGGAGAGTCAAAGGAGATGCGGGACAAGGAGAACCGAAGTCCCAGTGACCTGGCCGACCATATGCCGTGCTCGCCCATCTGGACTCAATACGCAACCCGTCCCTTCCAGGAGCAAACTGGGGGGCTGCACATTCCAGATGCACGCAGGACCTTGCAAGACGAGGTCTCACTCTACACCCCCACAGCTTACAGTCCGGCCCAGCAACGGAACTTCTATGACTTCCACCAACCTTCTCTCTCTAAACGCCCAGGTGCAAAGCCCCGTCCTAAATCGGAAATCGTTACTGGAAACCGTAAAATGAAGGATATCCTCGCGCCTAGGCAGCGTGTCCCATCCGATCAAGACTCGCCCGCTGAACCGCCACAAAGCCCGTCCAAGGGGCAGAGCAGAGTTCGAAGGATGTCGAGGCCGAGATCCCGCTCGGAGGTTGAGCAAAACCCAGAGCCGCCCACACCCAAGAGGGCATCTCGCGTGCAGGCTGCGATATCAGCATTCAACGCGAAAGAACAGGAAGCGGACCTGCAGAAGCGCCTGAATTCGAAGGACCTAGAAAGCGAATTCGAAAAACTTCTGGTCAGTTAATGCCCTTGATTCATTGGGGACTCAAAACTAACTGTCATCTATAGGATGCGAGAAACATTCCCCACAATATGAGGGACAAGATGAGATCACTAGATACCAATATCAAGGCAGATTTCATCCAAAAGGACCGAACGGAAAACAGTACACCTCACAGCGCCAATGCGAGCGTCTCTACAAACGACAGTACAGGTCGCCGCGGTCGCCGGAAAGAACAGAAAGAAGACAAACAGACCCACGATGGGAAGGAGGCCCGATCACGGTCGAGAAGCCGCGGGTTCTCCTTTTCCAAGGGCAGTTCGTCACCTACGAAAAAGCAGCGACCAGAGAGCGGGACCTTCTATCGGCGTCCGAAGTCTGCTGATCTGTCGCAACCCGTAGGCCTCTCAAAGGTCATGACGCCTTCAACTTCTATGACTTCCCTAGCTGCTACCGCTTGTCTTGATACAGCTGCCGACCCCTCTGACTTTGTCCACTATCTCAGGGAGATCCAGAAGCCGGAGATGATGGAAGTTGGAAAGCTCCATAAACTCCGCATTCTCTTACGAAATGAGACTGTCAGCTGGGTTGATACTTTCATTGCTGATGGCGGTATGGACGAGATAGTGCAACTTCTTTACAGGATCATGAAGGTAGAGTGGCGGTATGTATTCCTGGCGCCTCTCCAAACAATTGCCATATTCTGACAAATATAACAGGGAGGAGCATGAAGACACCCTGTTGCATGAAACACTGCTCTGTCTTAAAGCCCTTTGCACCACTTCAATTGCACTAAAACATCTCACAGCCATCGAAGCGGAACTTTTCCCAGCTTTGCTGAAGATGCTTTTTGACGAGGAGAAAAAAGGACCGAGCGAGTTTACCACCCGTGGTATAATCATCAACCTACTGTTCACACAGCTCACCACAGCGCCTTCGACAGAAGTGGCAGCTAGTCGTGCCACGCGTATTCTGTCGTACCTCAGGGATCCCTCTCCCCCAGAAGAGAACCAGCCTCTGAACTTTATTGCCAATATCTATCAATCACGGCCGTATCGTGTCTGGTGTAAGGAAGTTACCAATGTCACCAAAGAAGTGTTTTGGATCTTTCTACATCACTTCAACGTGATACCTATCGCGAAATCGGACGATGCTTTTACTGAGGTTCCCGTCGAGAGACGAAGCTTCAGAAACCGACATTTCCCTGTTCCGCGGCCTCCAGTCCCTGCTGCTCCATATGTTGGCGGAGTGGAATGGGATGCCACCAATTACCTAGCTGCTCATCTGGATCTCCTTAACGGCCTCATCGCCAGTTTACCATCCAGCGAGGAGCGAAACAAACTACGCACAGAATTCCGGGCTTCCGGATTCGAAAAGGTCATGGGTGGCAGTCTGCGCACATGCAAAGAGAAGTTCTACTCCTCCGTGCATGACTGTCTAAGAACATGGGTTGCGGCTGCCGTTGAAGACGGATGGCCATACACCTTTGTCCGTGAAGGACCGCCTCGACCTGAGCCTGGATCCCCAACCAAGTCACCTATCAAAGCCGCTGGAGGTAGTCCCAAAAAGGGACTTATTGACGAAAGACCTCCCAAGCTAGAACTTGCAATTGATGTACCCAATCGAGTCTCACCACCGAAAGGGGATGACGCTGGCAGTTGGCTTTGAAAGGTCAGACACATTTGGTAGGGGGCAAAGGGCTTCTTTTTTCACGAATTTCCTTTCTTTCTCTTGCCCCTTGAGTTTTTTGTCTCTTTTATTCTTTTCTGCCCATTTTCCCTATCCGCGATAATCATGCGGTCATGAATCGGCGTTACATCTCCTTTTACTCCCCCGTTTCGTTATTTCCATATCATCTTCCCTTTTGGAGTCTCGGGATATTGGATGGCGTTGATTATCTTTTTTTTTTTTTTTTTTTTTGGGTGTTCTCGGTGCATCATTTACCTATCGCCTGGATAAAGGCCACGGAGAAACGATTTAATGAAGCAACGGGGCCAAAAACCATGACGTTGTTCGAATTGCGTGTTGGACGAAATTTCTTGCCTCCTTTCTTGTTGCCTTTTATTCGCTTGTGTCTTTATCTTCTTGGACAGGTGTCTTGCAACTCAGGTTATTCTATTCCGTATCAAGATGACAGATGAGTATAAATTATCCCCTTCGATCAATGACGCTGCCGATCAAGACAAGTTTTTTACACGTGACCGGCTCACTGTAGGATTTCATTTCGTCTAATCTATGGTACAGTGTATGTAGTGTGTTGGGCGCTGGATGTAACATATTGGTGATTCCTTGTGTTTCGCACTGTTCTGGCAGTCGTTGACTATCCATGTCTTTCTGGCTTATTGTGCCTGGGCCCCGTTATCAGATCTCCTCATTGGGGCTGGCGGCGGGGGAGTCGAGAATGTTGTCTTGACACCAGAGAAGAAGGTTCTTCGAATCTAAGACAGGGATTAGAGCCATCTCCATAGAGGGGAAGAAGAAGTCTGAGAGAGATACTCACCTCGTCAAAAGGACTTCCCCTCTCATCCCATTCCATAAAAAGAACAGCGTATACCACGATGACTAGAAAATAGCAAGAACCGTTAGTTGCATTTTCTTTTAAGCAACACCAACCTCGCCTTGTAGCCATTAAAGCACCAAAAATAATAACAACGAAACTTACATCCAATCACCCCCCATTGCACCAACTTGGTCGCCTTAGTCCACTTGGGTCTGGCGAACTTCAGCGCCGCACGTCGACGGTATTTGCGCTCGAGTCGGAATTGGTGTTTAGGGGACAACTTGGTCATGTCTGGAGGCCATTGACGTTTCGGTTTATAGGGACTGTAGTATTCGAGCGGTTCGCCGTCGGGGGATAGCTCTGGGGGCGCATCTTGGGTTGTGGTTTTGGTGGTGTTGAGGCGGAAGGGGGAAGAGGCGGTTTGAGGGGTGTGGGAGAATGATCGGTGGGGAATCGAAGATGAGGCGATCTGGATAATTGTTGTTAGATGATGCTCAAGTAAAAGGGAAGTCATCGGTGTGAAGGACAGTAAGTACATTTTGGGAGACTTGGAGTCTGCTGTGGTTAATCCATGATGCGACAGGACCAGGGCGGGATTGACAAAGTCGATTTGGTGATGCAGCGGCTGTTGCCAGTCTGCGCACGAAAGTATTCAAACTCATGAGGAGTTAAGATGATTCGAAAGTGGTGTTTGTTTTTATGAAGCGTGAAACATTGCGGGTGTGGATGATTGGAGATCTTTTTTTCGTTGCGGAATGCGGAGAAGAAAAGAGTTGAGGTTTAGGATGTTCCGCCCGCCGAGATCAAGTCGGCGCTATTGGGGTTTTGTTCACATTTCTATGTTGTTTCTCTGGAGGATTTATATCTTAGACAAATAGCTGTTGAGATGTTTGGTTGATTTCAATTAAGTCTAGATTGTTTGTTAACTACTGGAAGTGATGGTATGTATGTACTATGTAGAAAGTAGGTACCAGGCTGACTCCGTTTGATATATATTGTGCTGTAACATAGATCAGCCTCTTTCCCAACATTCACAAATACTAGAAAGAATAGGTAGTATTCTTATTGAACTCGATACAGAGTACCTCATACAGATGAAGTTATTCGATATTATTAATCTTATGGAGTAGATCATACTCATTGTTAGATCCGACAGTACCGACAAGCATAATCACAAGGCACAATTTATCCTGACGTCAAACTCGCAGCCATCCCCCTGTGCCCAGAACCTGGATTCATCCCAGACCAATCAAGCTCATCTGCTGATCGTGATGCCCTTTCAGATGCCAAATCTTCACATGAAATGCTGCGTTTCGGCGGTGATCCCGTGACTGGCCGCTCCCGGAACAACAGTTGCACCGCCCAACCTCGGCATTTTCACAGGCTGTCGGCGCGCCATACAAAAAGGCAACACCACCGAGTCTCTCATCTCCAGCTTACTCCACGTTGTCCGAGGTTATAAAGGAGGCTTCCCGTGGGATCTGATTGCTTTATATTCAATACCCCTTCCTCTGTTTGATTCTGTATCTTCAAACCCCTTTCTTTTAATACAGTATATAAGTCTTTATATTGACGTCATGTCTTCCGGTGAGTGAGACACCTCGTGACTGCGGCCAGATTCAGCATCGTCAGCCAAATTCCATCTTAGAATCAGCACTGATAGTTGCTTTACAGCCCAGCAGCGTCTCTCCCAAGTCTCCTCCCACTTCGGCCCTGGTGGCAAGAAGGGAGCCTCTGCAATCACCGAGAAGCACCCCGATGATATTGTCGTGACATGTGCTCTCCGCACAGCCCTCACCAAGGGCGGCAAGGGTGGCTTCAAGGACACCGCTGCTGCTGATTTGCTGGCCGGTGTCTTCAAGGGTGTTATCGACCGCAGCAAGATTGACCCCTTAGCTGTCCAGGATATTGCCGTTGGTTCTGTCCTTCCTCCCGGCGGTGGTGCTACCGAGTTCCGTGCTGCCTCTCTTCTCGCTGGTTTCTCCGAGGGTACTGCCGTCAAGGCCCTGAACAGACAGTGCTCGAGTGGTCTCCAGGCAATCGTTGACATTGCCAATGCTATCAAGTCCGGCATGATCGATGTCGGTATCGGTGCCGGTGTTGAGAGCATGTCCTCTCAGTATGGGTATGTTGCATGAATCCATTCATATTGAACTTTGAAACACCAATGCTAACGAGATTCGCTTACTAGACCCGGTGCTGTGACTGAATTCTCCGAGCTCCTCGAAAGCCACCCCGAGTCTGCCAACTGCAAGGTTCCTATGGGTGTTCTCTCCGAGCAGATGGCCAAGGACCGCAACGTCACCCGTGCTGCCCAAGACGCATTCGCTGCTGCTTCATACCAGAAGGCCGCCAAGGCCCAGGATGCAGGTCTTTTCAAAGAGGAGATTCTTCCCCTGGAGGTCAAGTGGACTGACCCCAAGTCCGGTGAGGAGAAGACCATCACTGTCAAGGAGGACGATGGTATCCGTCGAGGCATCACCGCCGAGTCCCTCGGCAAGATTCGCCCCGCTTTTGCCAAGGACGGCTCCATCCACGCCGGTAATGCTTCCCAGATTTCCGACGGCGCTGCCGCCGTTCTGTTGATGAAGCGCTCCACTGCTGAGCGCCTGGGCCAGAAGATCCTTGGCAAGTACGTCTCCGCCAGTGTGGTGGGTGTCAAGCCGTTGCTCATGGGTGTTGGCCCCTGGAAGGCCATCCCAGTCGCCCTTGAGAAGGCTGGAATCACCAAGGATGACGTGGACATTTACGAAATCAACGAGGCTTTCGCTTCCCAGTGCGTGTGGTGTGTCAATGAACTCGGTATCCCCCAGGAGAAGATCAACCCCAAGGGTGGTGCCATTGCCTTTGGACACCCTCTTGGCTGCACTGGATCTCGCCAGATCAGTACCCTCTTGACAGAGCTGAAGCGCACCAACAAGAAAATTGGTGTCTCTAGCATGTGCGTGGGTACTGGTATGGGAATGGCTGCCGTCTGGGTTGCCGAATAAATGGAAAGGGAAAAGTGACACGGTTCCATTTTGGTTATTTTTGTTATTGTTTTCCAGCGTTTCTATTTTTCGGATTCTATCCAGTGTATTGAATACCTTTTAAAATACGAATGAGGATGATGTTCTGTGTAAATTGATGTCATTACATGTTTAATCGAACATAATTCAGAACAAGTCAATACCAAATGCTAAATCTAAGTACGGAATTTCTTGAAGGCATCAAAAACACTCGATCCTTGAAGGACGGCCTCCTTGACCTTGTCATCCATGGCAACGAATTTCGGCATCAATTCCAGGACCTGATCGAGTAGATCGCGGGGGATGGCAACCACGCCTTCCAAGGGGTCACAGAAAATGATATCTCCCTAAACAAGAGATAGTTAGTAGTGCACGATATACTCGAATCATCAAACGAATCCTACCGGCGACACAGTCACTCCCCCAATATCCACAGGAACATTACGAGCCCCTGGTTTAGCCTCTGCACCAGTACCGACGGTGGTAGTCGCACGAGCCCAGACCTGAAGCAAATCAGCCAGAAGTCAATGAAAAAAAACAAGATGAAAATCAAAACAAACCGAAAGCCGTGAATCCTGAATCTCCTCCAAATCCCTCATTCTCCCATTCACCACCACCCCATTAACACCCAGATACTTCATCCGGACAGCCATAATCCCACCGAGAACAGCACAGTGCTGTCCAGCAGGTTGATCGAGGACCGCGATCGTCCCGGGCTCCGCCCAGTCAACCCAGTATTTCCCCGGCGGGAAGCCGTTTGTTTCTGGGTTTGCGGTTTCGGGGACGGGGTCATTTTTGGGGACGAATTTGAATGTTGATGCTGGGGCGACGATTTTGGGGAGGTCTCTGGTTCGGCCTATAGAGGGGGAAAAGGGGACTTTTGTATATGATATGAAGTAGTTAGATAGGGCTATTGGGATTATGGTGGATTGGAGTGACTCTCACCCAAGTCCGCGAGATAGCCTGCTCGTGCTGTGGTGCCTTCTGGTACCTTTTGGAGCTTGACCAAGGCGTCTGAGACCTGTAAGTACATTAGCAAGGTGTTTGAATATAATTTAAAGTGAATTGAAATGAATAACTACATACATCACAAGCCGAGTATTCTCGTAGAGTGTTCAGCTTCTGTTCAATGGTGGTCGACATGGTGCGTCTTGCTTCAAAGGATAAACGGGGAGGTGAGGTGAGATGAGCAGAGGAGAATCTGATTCGGGAGAGTAGTCTAGGAGAGATCATTTGTTTCTCTGTTATCTATTGCAGTAGGAGATGATGATTGTTTAAGTGAAAGAAGGATGAATTGGAGGAATCGAGGATGGTATTGGGTAGAAGATGTCCGCTTGTCCGTTGATCGGTTGTTATCGGATAGTAGGATTAGGGGATTAATTGGGATGATCTCTGGATAGCTTTGGGGAGTTTTTTCTTCTTAATTAGGAAGAGTCTTATATTGCTGTCATATTTCTGCTTTTTCTTGTTATTATCGATCTTATCATCTTGAATTCCTTCATCTTTCCCGATGGCTTGTGATAGCCGAGGACCATAATGTATGCGCCAGTGACATCATAATCATATGTTTTCTTTTCTTCTTTAGAATACATAGCATATCGCATTCTATCATTCTAATTCTACTACGATAATCGATATATATTCATTTATCCTAATGATATGATGCATAAACTCCATACTTTCCAAACGCGGGGCAGTTCAACGCGGGGATCGGAGATTATTTTACTGATGGATAAAATCAAAGGAACAAAGGATGGAGAACCGTGGATGAAAGGACAGTTGGAGATGATGAATCACATACAACATCCTCACGGAAGAAATCTCAACGTTGATAAAAATTGTTACAAATGCTTTGTAATTATATTTATTGCCCCGCCGTAGAGTCAAAATTCTTCAGTGTCAAACTACCCTCTTCGGCAACCTCAGATACATCAGTTGCACTGAATTTCTTCAGAATGACACCAACATACACACCAGAACAGCTAGAACAGTACCTCCTGCGTATTCAATACTCCTCCGACTCCACCATCCACTCCCGGCTGCAGCATCTCCAACAATGCGTCCAGAAAGACCCACTGGCATCAATCGCGGAGCTGCAAAGACGACACCTCAGCACAATACCATGGGGGAACTCGGGCCTGCATTATTCTCCACATCATTCCATCTCGACGCATCCGGAGCACGTGTTTGAGAAGTTGGTCGTGCGACGTCTGGATGGATATTGCATGGAGACGACGAATCTTCTCCTTGGGGTTCTGCGGTCATTGGGGTATCAGGTTTATTCCACTGGGGGGAGAGTGAGCCATGCAGCAGCTATGGGAGTAGCTAACGGGCTGTATCTGGCATTGTATGTTTGTCTCATAATAGGTGATATTCTGCATGACTGACACGAACTAGAGGACATATGCTACTCATAGTAACTATCGAGGGCCGGAAATATATGGTATGTTGGGGCAAAGATAGCGTCAAACGGGCTACGTGCTAATGTATACAGGTTGACGTCGGATTTGGCAGTAACTGTGCTACGAGACCCCTTCCACTCGAGGAGAATGCAGTCGCTACCTTTATTGCACCCGGGGAGATGCGGTTGATCAAAGATAGCATCCCCGAGCTCACCGACAAGAGCCAGAGGCTTTGGATATACCAGGTCCGGTACACCCCAGAAAGCGAGTGGATCCCCCAGATTTGTTTCTCAGAAGTCGAGTTTCTACCCCAAGACTTTGCGGTGCTCAACTTCTTTACAAGCCAGAACCCTGTCAGCTGGTTTACGCAGAGCTTTGTATGCGCGAGGATGATTCTGGATGGGAGTGGAAACGACATTCAAGGACAGTATATCATGTGGGGAAACGATGTGAAAATGAGGGTGCGTGGGCAGTCGGAAGTTCTGCAAACGCTCAAAACCGAAGAAGACCGGATCCAAGCTTTGGCAAGGTGGTTTGATATGCGCTTCCGCGAAGATGAGATCCTGGCAATCCGGGGAACGATATCTGAGATAGTATAGACGGGTTTTTGTTTGACGCTCAAGACTACCTTGACCATTTCGGCTCTGTTTGATAATATAATACAAAACAGTGTTCCTTCAGAAAGAGCCAATGGCGTGGATATTTATCTTAGAAATGCAAGTGAACAGCGGGAGAAAACATAGTAACACGTCGATTTAATTTAAAAGATCCGTTTTTCAAGCTGTGTCACAGTCAGTATTTCTCCTAATGGCACAGAAGAGTGATGTCGGATCAATCATACCTTCCATGGGTTGCTGACTTCGAATCCCTTGGGGGCCTCTGCGTTTCCTGACTGAGCCCTAAATGCCCCTGTGATCCTCTGGTCTCTCTCCATCACTGTTGATTAGAATCAGTCGTTAGTCTTTGAATATCCAGGCGAGAAAAAGGGTCGGCGGTCGTCGTTGGGTGCTATATCACATACTGTTCTGCGAGGATGTTAGCCACGACTCTTCCCGGTCGCAATAGACAAGCAGCATCAACTTACTCTATCCCACAAATCTCTGTTCCACCGAGCCTTCTTACCGTCGTTCGACAGGTACTTGACCGCAGTGAGACCAACGCCGGTAACACCGAACATCTATCATGACTTGAATTAGTAATGGAACCAGTAGATTGGAGAGAACTGCGCTGGACGCACCCCGACGATGATTCCATAGGGAATCAAAGCTTCGAAAGGAACACCCATGTTGTGCGATTGAGTCGAAGAGACAAATCAAGGGCAAATCGAGGCCGGATTCAACAAGAACCGAAGGAGTCAATTGGCGACGGCTGGAGGAGGAGAAAGATGGAGTCGTTTCTTGTGCCCCGTTGGAATCCGCAAGTGAAGTCGTGAGAACCGCCCAAAGCGGTTTAGGCGGGGCCGGGTCGGCATGGCTGAGTCAGCAGCCTCCATCAACCTCACGGGCAGGAGAAGGGGCGTGATGCCGCCGCAGAGCGATTTGGATGCTGGATGGAACCACGGCCAGTGCTTTTTCTGCTGATTTACGCGTCAAGATCTGGTCTATCGTGAGTGTTTGATCAGTCAATTAGTGGGTAGAGCTCCTCTCCTGTTGTTCTACGCGTTCTTGGCCGTTTCCCGGGCCTGCTTTCCAGCGCCTCAACTGACCCCAATCTAGCTGCTTTGGCTGTACTTGGATCGGGAACAACAGAATTACTGGGTGTGCAGTCTGAGCGCAGGACTTTGCTCGATCGTGCTTCTCTTTTCGGATCGCCGCATCCAAGATCACTCGTTTTCTATTCCCCGATGCCCCTTTCATGCGGCACCAGATGACTATCTTCTCTAGCGGGGAGCCGAAATAGCCTCACCTCTTGGGCTGCTTTATAGCAATTTACTCGACAAGGCGCATAACTCGCGCATTATACGGTCAACCTGGCGACCGCAGTGACATACACCATGCCGGCTGCCGTGCCGCCGGCCAACGATGATACGGAGATGAATCCGCTGGCGGACGTGGTTGACAGCGATCAGGATGCGGAAGGGGAGGAGGAAACGGATATGTATGAGATGGACCAGCAGCTCCAGGATGCCGTTCATCGGTCATACTCCGCAGACGCCACCAGAGAAGCTGGAGACGAGGATGCCGAGGCGGAACCAGATGAGGACCAAGACGCTGAAGGGGAGCCAGACATCGACGCAAACTTGGTGGATGGCGATAACGATGAGACCGAACCGGTTGGCGCTGTAAAGCTGCCTGATAATATTCCGACCTCCGATAACGAGGATGCGGCTGATGCAGATGGCGACCCAGCGTTTGAAAACCAGAGTGACAGCGATAATGAAGGATCTGGCTCTTCTTCAAGCAGTCAAGGGTCAGCTGGCGAAGCGGACTGGGAAGCAGAGAGCAATGGGCATGATGATGCAGAGATGGACAATATTATTCGCGGGAATTGCATGTGGGTTTTTGTCTTTCTGATCTCTCTGACCTTTGGCGGCATAATAAACTGACAACATCAATGTAGATTCTGCAATCAGGACGAGGACCATGACCCCAGCGAGGAGTTTGAAGAGTACCTGTCATGCACAGTCTGCGGTGATCATTGTACGTTGAAATGCGGGCCAATGATGACAGCGCCTAGCAACCCCGGAATCTTATACTTTTTTGGCGATCCTTACTGACTCGGCAACCCGACAGCCCATCGGCAATGTGCCCGCGAGCAAAATGCAATACAGGATTCAGAGAGTATGTCTATCTCCAATTTATCTTATTTTTCTCTGGCCCCACCTTGGTTGTTTAAGTACAGCGCTCATTGCAATATAAATTATAGATGCAAAAGAATGGCGATGTCTAACGTGCGTCCGGGACAAGTTGGAGCCTGGTGCAGAGCCGAGAGCTGCATCGCAACGAAGACCTGGGCCAAAGAACATGTCGAAAGAGCTCATGCCGGCACATAGCGGAGAGGAAGGTTCCGGCTTTCATTCAATCTTCAATACCGTGTCTGTCGATGATAAATTGTTAAACAGTTCGCGGTCTCTGAGGAAAAGAAAGTCCTTGCTGTCTGGCACGGAAGAAGAGCATACACCTATACTTCGCAAGCGGCGAAGGCAAACATTGACACGTTCCGAAGGTGCGGATTCCGGAGACCAAGAGTTTGGAAGCACAGATGCACTTGTCGATGGCGTTGATGGCATGTCTCCAGTACGGACGCGCTCTCGACGCACTCGCACAGCCGACAAGGACAGCTGCCGTGTGGTTGCTAAACAATTTGGAAAACTCGTTCTTGCCTTCCGGCTTGATGAGAAAAAAATAACGAAGATTCTCAGCACCCGAAATCGATCACAGAATCGGAGCCGAAGAACCCCTAAACCACCTCCAGTGATACAAGAAGCTCAAGCTCATTTTGCTCCTATCACCCCTGCATCATACATTACCCCCTTCTATTCTTTTCATGACCGCGAGAATGATGAATCAAAATCAAAACCTTACGGTGGTATCTTGTCGGAGGTAGACGCTGATACCTCAAAGACTCTTCCGACACAACATGACCGCGAGAGGTTCGAGATCGCTCGACATAAAGCTGAAGAGGAATGGCAGCAGAGAGTTAGGGAAGCCGAAAATAGTGGAGAGCCCGTCCAGCATGCGTCGCAGAAAGTTTCTGGCCCACCGTCCAAAATCAAGTACATTAATTTTGGGGGCTACGAGATCGAAACCTGGTACGCTGCCCCATATCCTGAAGAATATAGTCGCAACCGAGTACTCTATATTTGCGAGTTTTGTTTGAAATACATGAACTCGGACTATGTCGCGTGGCGTCACAGGCTCAAATGTCCCGCGAAGCATCCACCAGGCGATGAAATCTATCGCGAGAGTTCCATATCGATCTTCGAGGTTGACGGGCGGAAGAATCCAGTCTACTGCCAGAACCTGTGTCTTCTTGCCAAATTATTCTTAGGATCCAAAACTCTTTACTATGATGTGGAGCCATTCTTATTCTATGTGATGACGGAATACGATGATCTGGGCTGTCATTTTGTTGGTTATTTCAGCAAAGAGAAACGACCAAGTTCCGCAAACAACGTGTCATGTATCCTCACACTTCCCATCCACCAACGTAAAGGCTATGGAAATCTTCTCATTGACTTTTCATACCTACTTACGCGCATCGAAGGGAAGACGGGCTCCCCTGAAAAACCACTCTCGGACATGGGTTTGGTCTCATATCGGAATTATTGGCGGCTTATCTTGTCATACCATCTCCGAAATCAAAAAACCCCAATCAGCATTGTTGACCTCTCTGAGCGAACTGGCATGACAGCAGATGACATTGTATCTGCCCTGGAGAGCCTGCGTGCCATTGTGCGAGACCCTGTGACCAAAACCTACGCATTACGTCTCAATTACAGCTATTTTGAAGAGTGCATTCGCAATTGGGAGAACAAGGGGTATGTTCAGCTCAACCCAGATTCGTTAGTCTGGACCCCCTACATCATGGGCCGAAGCAACCAGTCCCAGTTCGATCGGGCTCCGCTGCATGCCGTCGCTCCCCGAGAAGACCTGGAGGAAGAAGAGGATGAAGTGAGCGCAGCCGCCGACGAAGGCCAACCCCTCGTGGCAGATCCGATGGAGCCTAAAGGAAATGGAAATGCTGTTCCATCAACTAACGGTACTCGAAATGGCGAGTCCGAGGAGCTTTCGGCGGAAGCTGTTGGCCCCCCTTCTACGGCCTCGCTCACGAATACCAATGGCTTCCATCACAAATCCACACCCACAGCCTCTGGTACCCCTTCAGCATCGAACCCTGCAGCAGGAATACCACCTTCTCGGTTTGAAATTTATCCACCTGTTCAGGCACCGGTCATGAAACGGCGCCCTGGCCGCCCCTTTGGCAGCAAGTCTTCGTACAACAAGGCAACCGGTACCCCCAACTCTCGAGCAAGCGGTCGGGGAACTCCGAGAAAGGCGCCAGTAGTAGCATCGCTAACACCTACCGCAAATCCCTCGAGTGTGCGGCGTGGTCGGAGTGCGAGAATCATGGAGTCGCCTGCAGTGGAGCCAACTAGTGCGAAAGCCAATGGGATCAACAATGATCAGCAGATCTCGGAAGTTCCAAAGGCAGATGGGCCAGAAAATGGTTTCCACACCAGCGCACCGCCCGAGGCCAAAGAAACCAATGATACCACGGGTGGCGAAGCACAGGGCGAGACTAACGGCATCAGCCACACCGACACCTCTGTGGCGAACGACCAAAAAGAAAAGACGCCCGACGCCGATAAACCAATAGTGTCCAAAGGAAGGGGGTCTGAAAATAGGGCAAAACTCTCTAGATCGGTGAACCGAAAAGCCTTTGTGGAGAAGATCGAGGTTGTGATTCCCGCCGACCAGCATGGCGCATCAAAACCCGATGGTGGCTTAGATGATAACAAGACAGAACTAAACGGCGCAGACGTTGACGCAGACGCAGACGCGGATGCTGATGGTGATATCGACGCGGATGCCGACGCAGATGGCGATATAGTCATGGAGTCATGAGGCCGGAAATCCAACGAAGAAAAGTCGTAGGAATGAAGTAGGGGGATCAGATTCAAAATGACAACGCATTTGCACAGGGCGTTTTTGTGTTACTTCTGCAGGGAGTTTTTTTACCTAAGGGGATAAATGCCTTCCACGATGACTTGGCATATTGATTTTTTCTTTTCTTTTTCTTGATGTTTTCTCTTTAATCGTCTCAAGCAAGGAGTGGGCAGGGAATCTGGAGTTTCTGGCTATCATTTGTCTTTTTTCAGCTATCATGACCGATGTTGACAGAGTGCTTTTTCCATTTTTGTTGACTTTTGAATCAGCTCACCATTTCCGTTTTTGTCTTTATATGGGAGCGGATTTCATTTTTCCTTCTTCGTTACCATCATGCCATGACTGAAGAGCTCATTTTCTTTCTTCTTTCTCCCTTTCATCCTCCTTTCATTATTTTTGTTCCACACTCTCCCCATTTATGTAATGTAGCTAGCAGAGCAGAAAATGCTTGATACCATGCGACCAGCATGGTTCGTTTTGATTATGCCTTTTTGGAGGGGTTTTTTCTTTTCTTTCCTTCCTTCTTTCTTTCTTTCTCTCTCTCTTTTTTTTTTTTTTTTTTTTTTTTTCTTTTCAAGTTCAAAATAGATAGGTTGATTGTTATATCCATGGGTGCCGTATTCAGTGCTGTGTATTCGTTCATCTCTATAGACATTGAAACTTCACTACCTATAGACGGAGTAAGATCGGCTTTATCATGCCGACCAATAACCAACCAGAATAACAGAGATTAGAATCTGACTAGGCATGCCAAAGGCGACAGGCAAGAAAAAGCAAATATTATCAGGCAACCTTCGACTGCCTTGAGTGGGTGGATACTGGATATTCAATCGAGGCTGACGGCCGACGGGGCTTGAAATCTATCGTTTTATTTTTGTGGCTTGCATGATGATTGGGAGATTTAAGAGATTAGTGTCGAGTCCGTTGAAAAGTCACACCGATTTATCGCGTTTTTTTATTTTTATTTTTTTCCTATTAGTATTTTTTAGTTATGGATGGGCCTGTGTACTTTTTGGTTGTTTCTTTCTTTTTTCTAATCGTCTATAAAATATTTGATGCAAAAATGAGATCTCGATATGTCGATTTGAATACATATACGTATGTGCATCTGCGAGTGAGGGAGTGTTTATGCGAGCATGGTGATAATGGTGATCACAAAACACAAATATAGTACATACAAGCAGCACAATACATTGGTCGGGCTCGCAATACGTAACGCGACACTAACAATACTAGTAGTATGCACAAGTACAGTTAGAGTAACCCAACTACCTGTATACAGGGTTAGCTGCATGGGCTGAAAACCGGGAATTGGAATGTCCTGGTGACTGAGATCTGCCTGCAGGTCGTTAGTGTACTCTGTAGTCATGGTACGGGTGACGGAGTAACTGCTCCGTAGTCGTATTTCTGGCTAGTCGTTTGCGGATTGCAACGTTGAGAGACCGAGGCTTAGCCACCGAGGAGGGCCCGAGGGGACCTGGTTGTGGAGCCAGGGTCAGCCCAGGGTCGATGAGATTGAGATTGAGATGAGATGTGGCACAGCTGATGTGGGTGACGGTGGCTGCGTGTGTGGCGGAGCGATTATTGTGTCGTCTTATGCTATGTACGTACACGATGTATATATGATCATATGATATGGTTCCCAATAGTCATCGAATGATGGTGATGCCGGAATAGATATTCTCGTCCTTGACACTGGTGATTTCCAGGTTGGCGGTGAGGAATTCATTCTGGCCCCTTGGATAGGTTGTTTCGGTCAAAAGTACTGTACAGTATAGAAGTGGATAGCATTTCCATTTTGCGTGCTGTACAGATTGTGGATTAGTGTGGTCAATTATTTTCAACGAAGTCTATCCCGCCCACATACCCAGAACATGCTATCGTCGTGCAGGCCGGTTATGCCTTCTTGGATGAGGAAGAAGATCGTCGCTCGCAGAGTATGATCAGTCAGGAGAGGCTGGAGGAAAAAAGGTCCCGCCCCTTTCTTCCGCAATTTAGAAAATCCATTCCTCATAATTTCTTTTTGGCTGTTTCTTTTTTGGATAATGGATATCAATCCACAGTGGAGCGTTGACAAGGTGAATAGTTATATCGAGTACTCCATATGATGTCAAATAGTCCCGAAAAGACCTACTCCCACGACTAGCGCTTGGGCCATTGCAAATAATCACTACTAGATTTGATCGTCGTCATCCGTAAACCCGGTCCGTATCCAGCTCGCACAAAACTCCTGCACAGTAACAGACTCATAACCCCATAATGCGACCATCGCATAACGATATGTCAATGGGATCGGCGCCAAGGTCGAAATGAGTAGTTACCGGCGTGGACAGTTGAACCGCCCACGGATCCAATCAATGGCCAGGTCTTGGATTCATGGAACGTAGGATTTGACAATAAGCATAAATGTAGCGTAAAATAAGCGCTGCTGAAACTGCGGTTCACTATGGGTATGGCCGCTGTCATTTGCGACGCAAGGTTGACAGCCATGGAAACCTTGGGAGAGGGAAAGAGAGGCAGCGAGGAGTGGATGCCAAATAAAAAAATAGAACGCAGACGATAACCCCGGCGAACACTTCATCGTGCATCACTTCGGCCCCGACCATGTATGTAGGAAGACCGAAAAGATAAAAAAAAGAAAAAGAAAAGAAAATTCGGCATTTGCTCGTTTCTATGTAATTTTTTTTTCTGGGCCGGGTGGGAACATCAGTGCGATGATAGTTGATACTGATCCCTGGAAAATACAGGTAAGGTACCTTATGTTCTGACACTTCTACAACCGGTGGTAGAGCCCGCATGGGACAAGAAAATGACCCTTTGGCAGGAAGTCGATGGATACTAGGCGGACTTGGTTCCCGGAGAACAATCATAATGGACGAGGAGTGTCAATAATGACCGCGATGTTCTTTTGTCTTTCGGTCTTTTAACGGGAACTCGTATAACTACGCCACTAAAAACGTGGCATTCTGTGCGCACTCTGGCGCGGGAGACTTTCTCAACCAGCGATTCAGCAGCGATGATGAATCCGAACAGTCGTTGACAGGCCCCGGAATTGGATCGATTAAGTCCAGCGAATACGGAGTAATAATTCTGCAGTAAATCAGTATCAATGATGGAATTTCCCTCCTAGCTACCATGGACTTCCCCTTCCCCTTTTGCACAATGTCGGTCACCAGTAGGCTCCAAGTGACGCTCAGAACTAACTCAGTCGATCGTCAAGCTGGGCGAAAAAGCCACATTCTTCTTCTTCTTTTCTTTTTTGTTCCGTTCTTTTCTTTTTCAATTCGGAAAATTGGAATTTTATTTGGGTGCAGGGATTATCAGAAGCTCCGCTGGCACTATCGTCCGTTCTCAGATCCTGACAAATTCGGGCACTGATCTATAGTACCCTTGCTTGGACTTTTGCCAATGAGGGTGTCAGTTGCTTGCACGGCTGTATTTTTCGGTCTTATTTCCATATAGGAACTTCGCTGGCATCCAAAACTCATGGGAAGCGATGTATCGACTAACTGTCAATATGGCGGTTGCTGCAGATTTGTTTGGGAAATGCCAATAATCCCAGGATACGGTTGAAGAAGACGGCGTTGACAAGGCTATTATCGACTGGTGATGCAAGTAACTCCGCAGCTCAATGCGGCTAGGTGCAGCTGCCACCTATCAACTTCCAGGATCCGTATGCGCCAGTGATGTATGCGATTCGCATCTGGAGGATGACCAAGAGCAAAATAATAATAATAATAATAATAATAATAATAATAATAATAATAATAATAATAATAATGCAGCTCCAGCCGCACTTCCTCGGACACAGGGAATGAGGACTCCCCCGCCTCAGAGGGCGTACGGGACTAGGGAGGCGTAGCCCAACACCAAACAGCATCTAAAAAGCAAGGTCGATTTTCGAGTGCTGAATATCGCATAGATCCAAGGGAAATTGTGGCTCTCACTATAATTGCTTCTTTTCCCCAACCGCATTGTGCATGCTGTTCGGTTAATGCAGTATCACCATCAGATCATCGACCGCCGAGTGCCTGGTCTCACTGCGGAGTTCCGCCAACAGCGGCCAAAGTCTCGCAAAAAAAAGAAAATAATAGAGAACCCACCGGGTTCAATCCAATGGTATGTATGTGTGTATTGTATGGTGTCCACGACCTGCATGTCAGATACAGACAATGTGATGCATCCACCTAGAGTGCAGTAACTAGGAGGTCAAGTGTCGGGTCTGTTCTCTTGGTTCCACGGCCGCACGTTGAAATAGAGGCCCATCCCCCGTTTCTGAACCCTGGTATTCAAGGCCGATTAACCCATTTTCGCACACGTCAGGTTGCCTGTTACGGTTCGGATACTTCTGCAGAAGTATGCTGTCAGTGAATACGACAACAGCATACCAGGAAAACAGAAATTAAAAAGGAAACGCAAAAGACATTCGAACCGTTCCATGGATGTGGTGTGAGGGGCGAAGGCAAAGCGAGGTTGATTTTACCTGGACGAGCGAGACCGACAGGAAGGGAAGTGGTGATAATCTCGTGACACCACCTCACGTTATCCCACCCAACGCTGAGAGTCACACGCAATCCCGACTCGGAGCACAAAACGAGCATTGCGCGCCGAGAGCTAAGACGATATTATTTGAAATTTCGAGGATATAGTTTACATCCTGTCGACGATTATTCATCTTATTGCTTTTTCTTTCAAGTCGACGACATATCCAAGCTGCAGTGGGGCCCTTTTGGATCGTCTTTCTTCCCTTGGATCCCTCTTGGATTGAAACACGGGTCATCCTGGATGTCATAATAGAAGATCACGAATCGAGGTGTGTGACATATTGACGTTGGTATGCTTTGCCTTCTTGATTGTTGACTGCTTCATAGTGACTGCTTTCAATTTCCAAAGAGTCCCGGGCGGAGCAAAACGGGAGGGTAACGAAAAAAAAAAAGGGGGGGGGCGTTGCAGTTTTTTTTCTCGTCTACGGATGCGGTTCTGCCCTCGGAAACCACGAAAGAGTTTTTATTATTCCAGTACGAAGACCTTGACAAAGCATACGGGACGAAATTCTGACTGGGTTGGAATGCTTAGAAGGCTTAGACGCGCGCACCGGCCAAGTCCACTAAAGACGACGACTCCATCTCGATCTTCCAAGCTACTCGCCCTGGCGTCTGATTCTCAAAGAAAGCTGGAGACCCTGCACGGCGTCTAACCACTCTAAACGAGACGGGGCCCTGATCACTTGCATTAAGATTGTCCGGCTCCATATCCGCGCGCGCACACACGAGGAAACCGTTGCGCCTGTGGGTTCTTGGTTTGCTCGGGGAAGTGCTGGTTTGCCGCAAACGCGGTGGATTTCATGCCTAGTCGATCTCTGAGTGGGCTAGACGAGGTTGACTTTGAGCCTTGCGCAGGTGGCCGAACTGAATCTCAGTCTGATTGCTACGATCCCACTCTGGCAGCCTGACTCCTCTTTCCCCTTTCCTCTGGTGACCTGCCAATGTGCGCATCATCTCCATGTCGCTGCGGTACCTGTCGGATCGTCGAGACTGATACACGCCTTAGTCCGTCTGCTCAACCGTGGTCGAGCTGACAGATAACGAGACATTTTGACGGCCGAAAAGTGGCCGACGGACCTCTCTTGTTCTTTGGGCCAGCTCCACCATCAGTCTGTCTGGTTCAGCTGGCTTCTGATTCCAGTAATTTTTTTTTCCCGTGGACCTATTTTTTCTTCTGTGCGTCAAAGAGACTGTCGGAGGCAATTTATTGCTCCATCTTTCAGCTGATCACTTTATCGCTGATTGAAAGTGGATTTGGCTAGAATTTCTCTCCGTCTCCATTCTCTTCTTTTTTAAGGAAAAGAAATTAATTTTTTTTTAAAAAAAAAAAAAAGAAGAAGGAAAAAAAAAAATTTACCATAACTAGACGAGAGAAGGAAATTTGGAATCATTTGGTTGGATGAAACACGGTCGGAAAGAGAAAATACGGCCTTTTCTCCCCTTGGATTAGATTTCTTCATCTTCTTCGTTCTACTTCCCTTTTATCCTTTCTTCGTTTCTAAACCCCCACTTGAGATACTCCAATATTCGAAGATACAGCAGCAGACAAAAAGTGGTGTTTCCTCCACCTGCCCGCCTTAAGGTTTGTCTGGAACCGTGCTCGGCTGGCTCTTGCCGCTTGCATTCTGACGACACCATCGTCGCTCTTTTCCTCTCCTCGGGGCCGTTTTCGTAACCGCCTCTTCGTCTCGTGCTGAAAAAGAATCGCCATCCACAGCTCGACGACTGCTGCTGCTTCTATCTCATTGACTTGTTTCATTACCGGACTTTCTCCACCCATGGTACCTGGCCTGTGGTGAAAGCTTCGAATACTAATCATACCATCTCGCCCATCTTTAACCCACCCCCCTCTCTCCCTCTACCTTACGCTACGCCTACGCTACGCCCACCCCACTGTGTATCATTTCTAGTGCTGTTGCTGAACCACTCCCGTCGGGCTCTAGGTTCCAAAGACCCATTTTCATTCTTCCTGCTGTAAAACCACAGATCCTTCTCTTTTTCTCTTGTCTTTCTATCCAGCTTATACCCCTCTGCGTACCCTGTCTGGCTCATACGTGGTTCACTGCGCTCTTCCTTGCGGATATCCCGACTCGGATCCTTTGGCTCTCGTCTTTCTTGGTTTCTTTGCCTGTCTCAGGACCTCTTCGCCTTGATGAGTGCGTCGACGTATTCGGACGCCTCTCTTTCTCGCGAATCTCAAAGGTTTGTCAGACCTTCCCTCTCATCGGAATGGTCTCAACTCTTACTCAGCTTTCCAGGGTTTCCCACTGACAATGTTGACCAACACCAGTTCTGACTTCGAGTTGACCATTCGCCAGCAGCCCGATCGGGCGCGCGTGGCTGGTGGGAAGGAGAAAGGTACGTGAGATCCGGCGCAGCCCTCCGGAGTCTCTTTCCTAGACTTGGTATGACCAGTTGGCATTAACATGGATTGGTTGTAGAACGCAAGCCAGTCGATCCGCCACCGATTGTGCAGCTCCGGGTGAGAGAGGAAGGCAGCTATCTAGCACAGTAGGTGATGTTTTGACCGTTTGGGGAGCTTCCAGCTAACTTGACGGGCAGACATTACCTACAGAGTCCCTATTATTTTATGTGTTGTAGTCTTTACGATGCTACCGAAGATACTCCAGTTCCTGTGGCTCCATCTACAGCTTTAGCCGGCACCCTTGTTTCGTCTCTTCACCGGTTGAAGGATGTGGACAATAACGGTAGGTCTAGTCTGGTGGGATCGACAAGAGACAACTTGGCTGATATGCATACCCAGACGGGGGCTTCTTTGTGTTTGGGGACCTCTCCGTTAAGATTGAGGGTGAATTCCGATTGAAATTTACCCTTTTTGAAATGAGAAAGTAAGACCCGCCCGATTATCTGTCTTTGAAGAGGACCAAATAGAGCCAACAGCAGAACAAGACGAGCAAGAGCTGACTTGACTTACCAGGGAGGTTGTGACCTATTTGAAGTCTATTGTTTCAGATCGCTTTAATGGTAAGATTTCTCAGTCACTGGGTGTATCATGGGTTCCCAGTATTGACAAGGTGCAGTATCACCACCAAAAAGCTTCCAGGGAATGGCAGAGTCGACTTTCTTGTCCAGGTCTTTCGCAGACCAGGGTGTGAAGTTAAGAATCCGGAAGGAGCCGAGGACATTGATGTGAGTGTCCAAAAAAAAAAAAAAAAAAAGAAACAAAATCTGCAGGGCTATGACTGACAGCTGTCTTCCAGGAAACGGCCTGTTCCACGACCAGAGGACTTTCCCCAGCCATTGCCCCCTCGCTCGCCTGACCGTTCTTCGATTCAGATGCATGGGAACGCCACTTTTGGAGGGTACCCGGCAGCGAGCCGAGACTACACATATTATGGAGCACCAGTCAAGCGGCAGCGCACGTCGATTGATTTTGGTAACAGAGGCAGCATCTATGACGCAGATGGGCGAATACGGCAAGTGGATGCGTATCCACAAACAGCGGCGGCCATGTACCCGAATCAGCCAGGGGCTTATCAAACGCCTATGATGCCGGGGTATGCCGCAGGACATGCAGGGGTTCCAGATTATGCGGTTCGTCAGCCACAGTCTGCAGCGGTTGCCCCCTCGTCGTATGGCTCTCCGGAGGATCCCATGCTTGCAGTGAGATCTCCGGGATCCGGATATGTGACGCAAGCCCGATACCCTACTTACACAGACGCACAGATGTCCTATGGCATTCCGTCATCGGCTCAAGTTCCGCAGATGCCAGATCCAGGAGCCCAAAGTCGGCCCAGCCAACAAGCCACGATGCAATCTCTGGGCCTTGTGAACCAGCCAGGTACCCCTGTATGGACCCTCTGCAAGCCAATGACCTCTGGAGATAAGCTAAGTAAGGATTATGGACTATGAACAGATCGCGGATTCGACTGGAGCGATGATGCCCCAGGGCTATCCACGATCGCAGTATCAGCAACAAACCAGTTCCACAATTCTACCTCCTCTGCAACGGAACCGCAACTACCCACAAGGAACTAACGGGGCGAGCACCAGGGGGTATTTTGACCAAGGCTCCCAAGGGGCTACTCCCATACTTCCATCGCAGCCCATGGCAAACGAAGCAGATCGATACGCCACTACACCCAATCAAACGGCCTTTGATCATCCAGGCTCAGCGAACGGAACACCCCGATAAAGATCCAAAGGCCCAGGGTTACTATTGCTTTTATCATTCGGCTCACGTCTTATTTTTTTTTTTTTTTTTTTATGGTGTAAAGAAAACTACGGGGAACGGTTATGTATTACGAGTGGGTTGCTTTATTCCTTTATTCTTATTGCGGTTCTGGATAGACTGTCGGACGGGTGTTTGTCGTTTTGGGAACAAAATGGGTGTGGCTCCGGGGGTATAAATGGCGCCTGGGGGCATTAAAAGGGTATCCGTTTTCCAGCGGGACTTTCTTTCTCTTTGCTTTCTCTTTTGACTCCTTTGAAAAGTGAAGTTTCAATATTCCTTGTACATATTGGCTTTTCTAAAACAGTGACTTCACGCTCGGCGAGAGGCCTGGTGTTGTTTGGCTTTGCTCACAATGTCTTGCTTGTGGTGCTGTTTGTTTTAATTCTGATGATTAGAAGACGTGAGGACTACAGGAAGAAAATACTAATAAAAATAAGAGAAAACTTTCAAAAGCATCCCTTCTCAGAGAAATGTCTTGAATTGGTTTGCCCTGGATGAAGCGTTTGCTTGCCAAGTGTCTGGCTGTCATTGAAATCTCATGCTGTTCTTTCCAACAGTCAAGAAGAGCCTCAATCTGTCTATCTGAGGGCCATCTGACGCTGCCTCTGCTTTAAAACATATGCTCTTTCCTCTTTGGGCGTGGACTGTTGCTGCTCGTCATTCACTGCACTGCCATCTCCTGCCTCTCTCATCCTGACCTCTTCTTCTCACTACTCCACCTCTCTGCTCTCATCACCTACACATCTTGTTTCATTCAACTCGCCGTGACCTCCTCTACGAAACCCTACCGAGAAGATGGTGAAACACAATCCCGAGGAATTTTTGAAACTTCGTCCTCCGCCGCTACCCGAATTTAGAAACCTGGAGATTCGGGGCACGTGGAGTGGTAAACAGCACGAACCGGTTGATCTGCAGATCTCCCTCGAGGTAATTTGTCGTTCGCTACTATAATCAGGGTCTCTACTAATAGTTTTGTCATCCAACCATACAGGTCCAATGTATTCCAAACACCCGGCTTCAACTACTCGATGCCAGATCCAAGAACGTCTCAGTGAACAAAACCTCCTCGGCTTGTCTTCAATCGTATGAATCAGTCCAGGGTAATTGGTCGGCAGAAAACTCACCCCAGAGCCCTGTGTTTACCTTTCCTGACGACGACGGACACAACGCCTCGTCCTCTTCTATTCATGCCTTGGACACATCGGAAGAGTTATACGCTGGGGATTTGGAATCGAACTCTGAAACACCGACTGAAACAGCATCCTCACATCGCGATAGCGCTTCGGAGCTTCCCGACTACGAGGACTGTGAGGATGTTGGTCCCCCTTTGCAGTCTTCGTCCTCATCTCCCATTTGTTCGTCCAAGCTGTGCTTGACTGTTGCAAAATGTCAGGACTGGGGCGAAATGCAAAACCTGGGAAAGAGGAGTGCAACCGAAGCATGTCTCTCGGATTCTGAACCAGAAATCACCAACAGAAAAAATGCATCAAAAGGAGCTGCTAGCAAAAAAGGGAACACCGGATCCTCGTGTGAGAAATCAGTAGATTCGGCGAGAAGTCCCAGTTCTAGCACCTATAAATCCTCTATCTCTTCGAAAAGGCACTCACGCAAACCCAGTTTGATCCCTAAGCGCATTTGGATAGAGAAGCCTGTGCCGAAGCTAGCTCCTTCGGAACAGCCATCGGATGATTCTCTTATTTCCCTAGAATATTCTCAGTCTCTCGAAGGGGAAAACTATACTCTTGGAGTTATGGGCTCCGCAACTCGTGAGAGGAAAGACGGGGATTTATTTTCAACTCCGACTGAGACACGGCTTGGCACAGCTGGACCAGGCGCTTTGACTCTATACAATAATGTTACGGAACGAGATGTCACGAAACATGGAGCTCCAGTATCATATGCTGGTCAAAAAGGAGTTTTGAGATCAAGTCACCCACCTCTTGACCCTCTCGCTCTCCACTCTGATGAAGACGCTTCAACGGACATCGACGAAAGCGACGATGGCACTGCCCCGTCGACTCCCCTGGGACCCTTGGGACTCACGCTGTCGCGCACCACAGTTTCAGAATCAGATGAAGCACTAACTGTTATAGACACTGATGGCAATGGTCGCCTTACTCATGAATGTGAGGATTGCCAGCCTTCCACAGGCGAACCGGAGTTGTGTCTTGTCGACGGAATTCTCTTAGTCAAAACCCCCCCAGGCGCCAATCCAGCAACATACAAGTTCTTCTTTACAGTATCAATCTATCTACAGGAGGGCAAGTCAGACAAATGGAGCAATTTGGTAGTGCCAGGACTTCCTAGATTGAAAGCCAGTGAGAGTGGGCTTTTCGTCTTCCACATGCCTGAGGACCACACCATGGAGTTCGAAGGCACCCGTTTTGCAAAGCATAAAACTACCCAGAACTATTTCCTTGGAGTTTTCTTTGATTCCGGGTTGAATGATCTCGTTGTCCCTCTGCGCGTCTGCAAACCGAAGGCCTGTAGTACCGTGAAGGGCTTCGCCATCGACCAAGAGATCAGGGCTGAGTATGTAATCAGTACCACAGAAGGAGGTGATGGGAAAGCCAACCAGACTTGCCTTTTAGTGAAATATGAAGCGTTGTGTTCGCTGAGATTTCACAGTAGTCGTTTCTGGGCCGAAAGATGTTGCTTCCTTCTCAGTGTGGACGGTGGGCCCGAGGGCTTCTTCCGGTGCAACATTGACTCGAAGAGTGACGATGTTGCGATCCTGGACTTGGATACCGGGGATAAATCTATTGGAATTTCTCGTATCCGGGTATTTTGTGCCCCAAGAGATCTGGACATGTTTTTCGTCAGGTGGGAGGTCAAGCTTCCTAGAAACAGTGGCAACAACAAAGTGCAGAGCTGGATGCCACGGCTATATTCAGTTCCGTTTGAACGTAAAAGAGGTCAAATGCGGCAAGCGTTCGCCAGAATTGAAGTCGAAGTGCAAAAGGCCGACGATCTTGAAAAGGAGACTGTAAACAACGTTGGCCATAAAGGGTGCCAGGAAACCTTTGGTGCTAATGGCTTCCTTGAGAATAATGTCCAATCGTCAAATTCCTCGACTGCTTTAACCTTAGCACCTCCGATGCTGTCTGGGGAAAATATGCTGCGGGCTGAAAAGGGCTATAGGGACGCAGTGATCAGCCATATTCGGCGCTTGGGGATGAGCCCAAAGCAAATATTCATTATAATATCATGTGGAGTGGTCTTGCTCTGGTCCATCTTCGCAGTACTTGAATTCGGTCCTCCATACTTCTATACCGTCAAAAACAGTGTTCAAAAAGAGACAAACTTGGGCCTTTATCCTACCACAGCTGGCTATTCAGGTTTGGAGGAAGGAAGCCCCAGAGACAAAATTTCAGGCATTCGGTGTGACTTTGCCCGAACACCGCTCGTGGAATCCAACCAGAACAACTCTGTTAAAGATCTCGGGTCCTCTGATATGAATGTCGATGCACACGAACCCCTGAGTGATAACCAAGAGGACAGTGTCGGACATGGCGCGAATACTGTCGAGGAAAACAGCATCGAAATTGAAAAGCAAATGACATTATCCGAGGACAACCCCGAAGAAATGGCCAGCCAAGAGGACATGGAGATGAAGATAGAATTACGTGAAGTTGTAAGCCCTTCTAGTCTCTCGTTCCGGGACAGAATTGACTATATGCTTGGATGGAGAGGGCCCGTTGGCCGTTGACCGTGATGCATGTCGCAACGTGTATGTACACCATCATGGCTGGGAGATTTGGGACAGGACATTTGTAAACCAAGGACTGATGAGGCTTGAGAACGTATTTCCAAGTAATTCGCATAGATAAACAGGAATATGAAATGGAAAATGTGAAAAATCGCTATCCAAATGACTCAAGCAAAGATACCTCACTCTGCTAGTAGATACTTCATGATCTCCTCCACTGCCCATTTCAAAATGTCTGCAGCAGGTTTGCTCCCCTGGCCTGGGGCAACAATCACCCCAGCATCTGATCTCACGTTGACTCCTTGGCCCATTCTCTTGACAAGATCATCGTCTTGCGAGTCGGCCTCGGGTAACAGCAACCACGAGTGATCCTGGACATATCGTGGCCAGACGATATCATCCACGTAACCCGGGGGATCCGTCCAGAAGTTCTGCGGCGGACGATCATCCTCAGCTTCCAAATCGACCTCCTTCGATTCCGAAGACACAGCAGCTTCTGCCCCCGTAGGCACCGGCGGTTGCGGCCCAGTAGTCACATAACCACTCCGACTCTCCCTCCTCGCCTTGACAATATCATACGGCGCCGGCAAAAACAAATGCACATCGATATTCCGATGCACAGAACGAAGCACATGCTCCTCCACCTCCGCCTCAGGGGGGCTGTAGAGAAGAAACCCTTCCAAAAAGGCCAGAGTAGATGGCGCCGTACGCTGCTGCTGTTTCTCCAACAGCCGGTTCCCGACATCCGCACGTAGCTGGGCGATAGTTTCCCCATCGACGCCTGAATCAAAGGCCTCGTTAAGATCCTCTTTACTCTTTAGCCGGGGCGGGAGGGACCCGTTTTTGCGGACGTATGAAAGCGCAGAGGACAGGAATGGAATGTCCATTGCGTTGACGGTGTCCCAGTCCTGCAGGGTTTTGCCTGAGGGGGTTGTTGTGTATGGGATTCTGTACGATCGGTCAGTTTATGAATTATTTTAGTATGTATGGTTGCAAAGGGGGAGGGGAAAGAGACTGATCATCTGGTAGGAAAAAATCATCTTCGTGGATGATAAACGTATTGAGCGATTTGGGCTCGAGGCCGGAAAACACCGTCTGCAGGAGTCGGGCGAGGGTTGTCTTTCCACTTGATGAGGGACCGGAAATGCCGATTACGATGGCTTTGTCTGGTTGTGAAGCCATTTTCTTGTCTGTTCTTGTCTTTGGGGATGTTTACTTGGTGATTGGATTGTTGGTGGGGTTTCTTTCTTATCAAGTCGTGATATGGTGGGGCAGTGCGAATACGTCAGTCTCTGTTTTTTCTTTTTTTGGTCTCGCTGGATATTCATTTCCACTGTTGAATAACGATATTTTACAATCGTTTATGAACGTACTACTAGTATACAGAAATGGCATAGTCCATGCAAAAACAATTCCATGTCCATTTCCAACACCTCGCTCACGCTAAGAAATTGTACACATGCATAAACCAATCACGAATTCTCCTCGCCTCCAAAGATAGACACGCGCTTCTCGGTCTTTACAGCACCAACAGAGCCCTGACGGTTGCCCCGGTTGGCACTCGGGCTGATCCGTCCCGGCGAGAAGAGCCTTTGCGGCATAGGCGATCGCGAAGATCCCCGTGAAGGAGGCGTCATCAGGATACCATTCTCGTTGCGATATTCTAGCCCTGCCGATGTTGATCTCTGTCGGTGGGGGGTGACGATGTCCGGCTTCTCGTCGGGGGTGGCATCGGGCATGATCACACGCTTCCGTTTCCGGGGCGTTGTTGTCTTGGTCGGTTTGCTTGGGGATTTGTCTTTGGCATCATCCAGGTCTGTTCCATCGGGGATAGGAAGTTTGTGACGATCGAAGAAGCCAGGGGGGTTCCTTAAACGTGCCAGACGAGTGGATGCTTCGTCCTCCGGCATGGGGATGAAGTTTTCGTTTTGGATAATGGTGCTCATTGTATTGTCATCGAGTAGGTCCTTTTCTGCCTGCTGGATCTCTGCATCGGACATTTCTTTTCTTCGTTTGAGGATCTTGTCTTCCAGTGTATCTTTCAACACTAGGGTCTCGACAAACACAGGCCTGGTTTGCCCGATCCGATGGGCTCGTTTGATCGCTTGGCTTTCCACAGTCGGTTGCCAGATCGGGTTTACGATGAACACACGGGATGCATTGGCAATGTGCAACCCGTGAGATGCTTGCCGTAGATCCATCAGAAGTACGTGGACCGCTTCGGATTCGCGGAATAAAGCGAGATACGCGGTCCGTAGGGCGGGTTTCAGAGTGTTTGCATAGATACGAAAATCAACGCCAAGTAGCTCCAGCCCTTCGGCAATCCAAAAGGCCGCGTTGTTATTGTCATAGAAAATGATTATCTTTTCTGTCGAATGAAGCTCCTGGACCCGATCTAGAAGATAGGTCAGCTTAGCCGATGCAGTTCCAACCAACTTGGTGGCTGCAAGTGGTGACTCGGACGGCAAGGTCTTGAAGAGACCCTTGGAGAAAGTCTTCTTGGGAGACTTTGTGTTGACGATTCTCTCTGGCATGTTTTTCTTCCCGGGATCACCATTCTGTCCTTCTCGTTCTGACAATTCACGACGTGCTTTGATTCCTGCCCCCGCAAGACCTTCAGCCGGGTCGTACGTGTTCAAATTTGACGCGACGAATTTCTGGGCCCGACGAGCAAGAGATACACCCATGAGTAAAGGTTCGCTATGCGAATCATGCGCCAGCGCCCATAGGCCTTGCGCATGAGACGGGAAACCCTGGACGAACACCCCTAGTTCATGTAATTGCTTAAAGGCATTCCAGCTCCCGCAGCTCAGTGCTTTTTGAGCAATCCGAATACCCTCGGTCAATGTGGCAATGTCAGCTTCTGACATTCGATCTCTGTTCTTGTCGAGGTACTCGGTGGCATTGTCAATCGTGCCTGAAATATCTGCTTGTTCGAATCCATTCCACCAGAATCCTGCCTGTCGTAGGTTATTAATCGTAAGGCTGAGATGCTTTCTATTCCGTGGGTGAAACATGTAGTCTTGGTCCTTTCGTTCTGAAGCGATGGCGTTGACTTCTAGAATGAATATGAATAGATTCAACGATAGTTTATCATAGTAAGTGGGTTCGAGGTACACAACTTTGTTATGTAACTGAGGCAAAGGCGTTTCGTGATGAATGACGTCCAAACAATGTCGCACAACAAGACTCTGGAGGGTGGCTCGGAGATATGGGGCTTTTCGTCGCTTGCCATCTTTTCCAACTGGCTTGATATACTTGGTCCAATCCGCGGGGTCGTTGCCCTTTGAATTCGACCATGGCTTTAAATCCAAGAACTTTACGACAATCCGTCGCAGGTTATCGAGATCTTTGTTTTCATTGTCGATGGCGTTTCCCGTCTTCTTCCGGCCACGAAGTGCTGCCGTGGTTGCCTCGGACCGGTCTGCATCACTGGTTTCCTGAGAAGCTAGGCTGACTTCGACGCCATACAGTCCGCTAGATGGTGTTCCGGATACAATCCACCGACGCTCAACATGCAGCTGGCTCAGGAGGTGTGTCATGTTCGTCTGGTGGCCTGCGACATTGTGGCCTTCGTCGACGATGATCCGTAGCCAATGAAGACGTGTCAACGGGGAATCCTCTTTTCTGACTGAGGCTCGTCGATTGTTGACAACCTCGCCGGATTCTTTCTCGAAACGGATTCTCGAGAACAAAACAATGTCATACTGCAAAAGATCATCTGCCGAGGGCGTCACGGCCGAGTTGTTTCGGAGAACAAACACTTTCAACCCTTCTGTGTGATTGGCAATCTGGTGTTCCCAGTGATCAACCAAGTTCGGTGGTACGATTATCAACGTTCCTGAACAGAGACGAAGATGCTGTGCTGGTGGTCTAGGGAATGCCACTCCAGATCGACCTCCGTGTCTGGCTGTGTGGGTTGGTATAATATACGCACCACGATTACTCTCACAGGCCTGGATACATCGAAAATAAGACTCGCCAGCACGACTTAAAGAATCGAAATGGTTTTTCCATGGAAGAGAAAATCGGCCTGCGGCGGCAGCTGCCATTTCAACCAAACTTGCTGTTTTATCGCGGACCGGGTTCCCCATCTCCTGATACTGCAATGGAATCTGAGGGACATGACCTCGGGTTGACAGTATCACTGCCAGGCAAATGAGTGTCTTGCCGCAGCCCATGGTCTCCGCCAGGATACCTAATATAAGATGTTAGAGCATACTTAATTAGCAGTGAAAAAAAAAAAAAAAAAAAAAAAGAATAAAATAGAATAAAATAATGTGCATACCTCCACAAGCCTCCGAGTACATTCTCTTTTCACACAAAATACTTCCCTCCTCCTTATCGTAAAAGTATTCATCGCCGACTGGGGTTTTGCATACCTGCAGCCGGGGATCCAGCGCCTGTGCCGGCTGCGCTTCTCGCTGAACCATGGCAGCTGCTGAGCGACGCTGGTATGGATACAACGGCGTCTTAAGTCCCTCAACACCAGAAAAGTCTTGTCCCGTTTCCAGGTGCCCGTTGGCAGTTACTGTAAGTAACTCTTCCATGGATCTTCTCGCGTATAGATCCCTCATGGTTTCCACTTGAGGCTTGGGGTCCTGTAAGGTATTGAAAATGTACCAAAGCGATTCATCCTCTCCGGCATCTGGTTCTTCATCGGCCATGGTCTCATCCGCATCATATCTCCCCTCCCATGCATCGACTGACCGATCTACCTTCATCATAATGACCTTGAGCGCACGTCTTAATGCCTTACTCGAACGAGCAACGTGCTTCTGACCCACATCATCCGGCAAGACATAGACACGAACAAAACACCATCGAGGGTCATTCTCGCACACGACGACACTAGTCCGGATCCAATTGTGCTTTTCCAAGCTGGTGATCTCCGCCTCTGGAAAGTCGTCCGTGTTCAACACCGATCCTATCTCTTCTTCATCGTGCATCCCATTGCGTTTTTTAAGTGCCCCAATTCCTATGTAAGTACTCAAGTTGTCGAGCATTTCATCACGTTCTGTCTTGACTTCTTTCGGCGGAGACTGTGTCTCACTGGTGGGGACCGATAACGAAGATGCGGGGGTTGACGTCGTCTCGCCAGGCGTAGTATCAGTCGAAGACTGGTGCGCCGGAGCTATACCATCTTGTTTCGCATTTTCAAACGTAGGAGAATCAGAATTCTGTATGCCCTGGAGAGATAAGTCATCCAGTCTACTTGACTTGCGCATTTCACGGACTTTTCAAATCCACCAACGACAGGAATCACAATGCGTATATGGACAGTGGTAATGACGAACCTGGCAAAGGGAGAATCCATTTTTCTCTTGCTCTTCAACCCCTTTTCCAGGATTAAAAGCCATTTTTTTGAAAGAACAATCGCCTAGTTCCTGTCACCTAGGTAATCGGCCGCGGAAATCTGCGCTCGGCTGGAGGGCGGACAACCTGCACTGCCTGTCTGTATCGGAGGACCCTGCAGTTTTTTCACGCATGAGAATTAGCCTTGTATGGTGAGTATTCAGATTAATTCAAAGTAACAGGGTCAGCATGATGAGGCATGTTGGAGGAACACTGGTGAAAGTCAGTGAAAGTCACTGGAAGGCTGAAAGCAGGAGAGACATGTGATTGGTCGGATTGGCCAGGCCCTGGTTATCTCCGGGTCTAACCCAATTAGGTTATATTGGGCTTCGGAATCTTCAGGGAGAACGATGAACAACGAGATCAAGATCGGTTTGTAGAAGAAGAGAATAATATTATCTGATTAAAATATGTAAGTTTACCTAGTAGGATCCAGTATCACTACTTGAAATAATGACGTTTTGTAACTTGAACCAAAAACTGCAACACCTTGAATATGTATAGTCCCCAAAACATATATCAATGAACATCCGATAACGAGAGCAGAAATGACAGAATACCTCCAAATAATGGTACTAAACAGAACTATATGTAAAGGGTAAATAAAAAAGCCGACCCCATATAATCCTATTACATGCAATATCAACGAGACCAGGTAGATACCACGAAGCCTGGGCAAAAAAAAAAAAATTAAATAAAATTTTTTGAATGACACATTCTTACTGAGTAAGATAATCCTCAATCTCAAAGCCAACTCGTTTTAGAGCTTTTTCTTCTGCCTCCCTGGATGAGCCCATGGCTCTCCGCACCACGACAGTGCGTGCATCCTGTAGACGCACCTCGACGGGGTTGCCCCCGAACCGCTCTAATTCGTCCTTTTCGCAATCCCGGATGTACACCGTGATGTCAGGGCCCACGCACGCGCGCCAGAGGGATGCCATCCACTGCCAGTGGTCCAGTGGTGCATAAGCGTCTTTGATGGGAATAGAGCAGGCAAAGGTGTCTGCGGTGGTGAGTTGGTAACGGGGAACAAGGGCGATCGGCACCGAATATTGATCAGTCCCAGATGGCGAAGACGATTCCGAATAATTCTCATTTGACTGCGGCGGGGAGCCGATATGCAGATCGGCAGTCTTGGGGATGATTGTTTTGGGCGATACCCCCGAGCAAGTATCCTCTTCAACTGGCTTCAGTTCTGGAGATCCCAATGAAGGCCTGACAAAGCTCACAATATCGTCCGAGATGCGGTGCCAGGCCGAGATAATATCGAGATAGTCCATTGTGGTATCCCCCATTTTCCCCGAGCCAGAGGATCCCCTACGCGGTCGAATCTCGGGTCCTTCGAAAACGCGGACGTTGTATCGGCCTTCTTTTTGCAAGGCGTGATATAGATAGTCAACCGCGTTCATTACATGGATTGAATCTTGTCCATCCACAGCAATCACGGCCCCACGTTGCGGTGAAGCTCCATCGCGGAAGGAGGGCACAAGAGGAGGAGATATTTTGGCGAGGACCTTGATCTTATTAAGGAACGGAATTGTCATCACTGTCGACTCGAGGTTTAACCCGTCCGCCGCGAAGGGAGTGACTGGAGTCATGACATTGGGAGCAATGACAGCCGTCTTTATCGGGGGCAATCTCAAACTGGGATCAGGTGGTGGATACTCCGTGACATTTCGAAATAGCCTTGGGTTATTATGTAGCATCTGAATCATGGCACGAGAATATCCTGAGTCAGAACTAGGCAGATACGGGGAGATTGGATACGGCGACTCTGGACTCTTGTCACGGTGAAGGTTCGCTTTCAAAGTTGGCTGAGAATTGAATCGACGACGTTTTGAATCAGGCGATAAGCTCCCACTGCCATTTTCCTCATATCGGCGTTGGCGAGATGGCTGAAGCTCACCGTTACTTCCAATCCTAACAGGGTTTGGTGGTCGGTTAGGGTCTGCGCTCCGGCTATGGGAACTGTGAACCATACACTCGATGTGTGAAGGTGCAGCGTTGGAGTTGGGCGCATGTATAGGCGGGGGGTAACTTGGAGAATTTGGAGATTCTGTTGGTCCTGCTGGTTCTGTTGGTCCTGTTGGCGCGTTCATGATACGACCACCGCACCGGTTGCAGACTGTTGAACCCGAAGGATTATGACTGATGCCTGAGCTTGTCTGGCGGGAATTTCCATCTCTGCCAGAACGACGGGGCTGATACCGATAACCCGGATACTGTTGCAGATGACGAGCCTTCTCTTCCTGTTTGATATTTAGTTAGCATGAGTTTCCGCTTGAATACCAAAGATACATACTAGTGCAAGATCTTTCCACTCGTCCCTAGTCTCCTGGGGGAGCGCCTTCCATTGTTTCCCGATGATTTTCGAGATGTCGGGGTTCGCAAGACCTGGATTTTGTGACACCACTGATGCTTGATAGTGTTGGCGGTATAAAATGAAAGCTGGTTGCCAAATTTAGTCAGGGTTCTTCCAATCAAACGGAAATAAAACACTACAGGAAAAGAGTAACACGGGGGAAACCTACCATTGCGAGGCCTTGGAATTTTAGGTTCCGGTTGGCATAGACAGAAATTGACCGCGGACTCTCTATCTTTAGCACTGGAATTGGCACTGGATTCGGTACTGGATTTGGCACTGAATATGGTACCACTTGAGGTCGAGGAGGTATCTGACTGCGAGGAACGTTTGCGAATGGGGAGATCCTTGATGACCAAAGGAGCAGCGACGGACTTGGGGGACTCGCTGGGAGCCTTGGAGGAGACCTTATCGAGAGCAACCTTGGTCTGATTAAGAGGGGAGAGCTGGACTGAAGCTGAATCCCCGTTGACGGAGTGGCGGTCCATCACGGCGAACTGGGGGACGTCGTCGTTCATTATCTTGTGCTCGAGCAAGTTACTGGTCTGTCTGACCTGGGGGGCTTCATAATGCAAAGGAACCGGGTTTGGAAGAACTCGATCGTAAGACATTTAAAAGGCAATGAGGGGAATCTCGTCTTTAGATGTAAAGATGGATGGTTTGAGGAAGACAGCCTTCCATTCAAGGAGAGGGAAAGCAAAGAAGAGAACAAGAGAAGTGGTAGACAGGAGAAGAAGAAGATGAGAGGAAAAGAAAGAAAGTGAGGTGATATAAGGTTACAGAGGCAAGTGAGTGTCTTTTGTTTTCTTTTTTAAGCTCTCTCTCTCCCCTCTCTCTCTCTGTGTGTTCTCTCTTCTATCTCCTTCTGATGCCGATGATCCTCGCTTTTCTTTCACGCCAGCTTATCTTTTCTTTCTTTGCACTTCTTTTCTTTGACAATAATAGTGTTTCTATTCAAACTGGAAAAAGTGAAGACAAGGAAACGCAATGTGCGCAAAAAGAAAAAAGCAAAAAATATTAAAATAAAATGAAATAAAATAAAATTAAAAAAAGGGAAAAGGATTTCCCCCCCGAAAATACAACATTCATAGAGGGCTTTCAAGTCAAGTGCTTTGTTATAAAATAGGTAGTTTTACTGTAGTAGTCAAGCAACCAGGGATCCGGCCAATCCCATCGAACGCCGCCCTGGTCGATCCGTTTCTTTGTTTCCTGTTCTTAGACTGTCTGATGGGCACGAGCCAGGTTGCTGCTTCCTCCCCCACATCGAAACACAATCTATCAGGGATCGAGATGTAGTATGCCCAATCATTCCTGTTTGATTAGGGTGGATTAAAGGTGGAGGGAAAAAAGATACCATACTCATACCCTACGAGATGGAAGAATCATGATGAGAAAAAAAAAAAAAAAAAAAGGAGGGATGAAACATGAGGTGTTGGCCTGGCCTGGCATTATGAGTTATTGTCGTTGTTTTCCTTTGTTCTGCCCGCATGCGGTGTGCCGCAGGGGTCCCGGGCCAATCAGCAGCCGGCGCACTGATGGGGGGCTGGCTGCTAGCCACCAATCGGGAAAGTGACACCTTCCCCATCTGACTTGAGTATGGCTCTCCTGGAAGTAACGACGCCTGCGGCAACTGGAACTCATCCAGGCCATCCCACGATTTGGAATGGAGACACTGAAAGGCCTCATCCCGCCTGCTTCCTCCTTCCCGGCCTATCCGGTCATTGACACGTCGATGTTGCAGCCCTGTCGTGTCGTGATCGATCTCACATTCCAATCTGGTGTTCCGGCGATCCATCGCATCTCCAAATCTCTATTTCCACTCCACTCCGCTCCCACGTTGCACCCTCATCGTCGACGTCATTTACTCAACTTCAACTCTCGCAATGGGACATACCACCTTGACATTTATCATGTCTGCCCGTCTGCTTTTTTTCCCCCCCGGCTGAGAACTTAAAAGGAACCAGCAAACTTAGACTTTTCCAGGGTTATGGTAATACCACCAGACAGACAGGTCCCAGAGACAGAGCAAGACTCTTAGACATCATTCCCTCTCTTTTTTGCTGCAACCGTTTGGTCGTGTCGGGAACCAGCCGTCGTTGTTTCTTTCTACAGGTACCATTTCTTACAAAGTGGTTTACGTTTAGACTACAGCTACCAAAGTCTCTTCTCTCCTGATCGATTGACTCAGCCACTTTGCTTTAATTCCATGGAAGACTACCGTCCCCTGAAGTCAGTGAATAGACGGCCCGCGGGATATCTCGTCCCTGAAGACAATTCAGTCGATCGAGTCGGATCAGGGCGGGAGGAACACCAGGAATGTCTTAAAATCTCTACCGAGACAGGTACTTGCCGGGTTTCTCTTGCAATAATGCCTGGTCTCTGATATCGTCATATACTGCTGACCACTCTTGAAACAAGGACTCTCGAAATTTTCTCTCTCGATACGACTTCTATTCAAGTCCTTTCTGTTCTACTGTACAAGCCCAGCCACAGGGCTGTCAGTTTCGAATAAGCCTTGCTTGAATGAGTTGGTGTCGATCAGGTAGACTATGCCCTGCTCTCATTGTTCTACAATATTACCGAGCTGGGTGTTCCGATGTTTAATCATTTGACCCTGCCTTTGTGCCAGTTGATATGCTGGTCGATGGTAGGGTTTGATGCGGAAAGGAAAGTCACATCCGCCGTAAGAGTCATGACCCTGAAGTCGTTTGGGACCTGTGTCCAGCTCTTAGACAGCACGTCGATCTACTTCATGAAGGCTTTCTATTGCACTGAATCGATTTTGTCGCTTGCTCGTAGTCCAGACATCTCAGACCCCTGGAATACATCAATCGCGGTGTTATCTTGGCAGTTGAAGATTTCGTCCCTCGACAGACCTTGCACGGCATTTGACTCGGTAGTTAATTGACTGGGGTTTTAGAATCTGCCAACGGCGACTTGAACAAACTGAGCAAGATCCCCGACAGTTCTGTGATACAGACACAGTGTGGTTTCCTTTGAGAATCGGGCCGTGCACTAGATAGGTTGTTGTGGTGGCACGGAAACTAGAGTGGCCCGGTTCCCTTTATGCCGACAAGACATATCACTGGTCGTTGCTACGACGAACACAGCCAGGGACTATATCCATACTAGCCTCTGAGCCTCATCAGCCTTATCGCTCCGCGACTCCCCAAAGATGACCAGCGGAAAGGCTCGATCGTAGTAGTGCTGAGTGGCTAGACATGACGCAGTGGACAGGATAGTACACAGTCAACGTGTACAAGGTAGAAGCTTATTGACGATTTTCATCGTGGCGACCAAGAACAAAGAACTCGAGAACAAAGAAATGGTTCGATTGGGAAGGGAGGTGCGACTGACACAAGGCCTCGGATAAGACCGATTCGGCCGTTTCTCTTGAGCAACCTTTAGGCAGCTGCGAATTAAACACCCTGGAAGAATTCATGTGATATGTGATGGATGCACTCCATTCATATTGTCTGTCGTTGTCAACAAAGAAGTGATGATCGATTCCCCGCGAGGCACAAAATTAGAAAGACAAAGAAAACAGCCCAATGGGAAAAGCCCCAGCCAATGAGCGATCGATCAGGCGAAAGAAGGATTCAAAGACAAAGAGACAGGTAACTCAAGAACCAAGGCAGACCAGCTTGTATCCAAAATGGCATCATGTCCGAGGAAGTGAATCTGGCATATTCTCTCTAGTCACGATGCGCTTTGGCCAACTGAGATCCGTCCGAAGCTTTTCGAGGCTACCCATGTCGCTATCGAAAAATATCAGAAACGTTGGGCACATTTCTATCTGCTTTTGACGCGGTGGAGACATTTCACCGACCCCGAGGCAGTCATTCGAAGCCAACTCACAATTGTAGTCCGTGTGTATGTGCTAGACTGCAAGTAGTACTACTTTTTCACCATTTTAAGCTATGAAATGAGGCGATACCATCATATTTCAAATATAGACATCTGGCATTATGATGGTGACGGTGGATGATAGTATGAGGAATAGTGTGCTCCTTTGACAGAGTAATCAGTGATCTAGCCACGGCGGTCGCGCAGAGTAAAAACTCTAGACTGCACCCTCATGCGACCATCGAGAGAATAATGAGCAGTAGCATGATGCTGATGGAGTTGACGAGACAAAGATCGTGATTTGTCGACGAGGCCAAATTGGGGGTCCCAAGAGAGATGCTGACATAAGAAACCCTACCGAGACGCGGCTGTTCCCCATCTGGACTAGCGCGGGTTAGTCAGCCGCCCACACAGGGAAATCTCGCTACACCACCGCCAAAAATCCCACGACGAACGAATCTCCGACGACAACCTCATCGACCTGTCGACAAACCCGCGCCTCCGTCTTGACCGCGCAGCTCCGTCAAGATGAAGCTCAACATCTCCTACCCGGCCAATGGGTCGCAGAAAATCATCGAGGTCGACGATGAGCGCAAGCTCCGTCCCTTCATGGAGAAGCGCATGGGAACCGAAGTTAGCACAACCCTCCCTTTATCTTGCAACATACGAAATTGCGAAAACAAAATATGAGAGAGACAGAAGACTGATTGGGATTTTTTTTTGTGTGTTATTAGATTGCCGGTGACTCCCTCGGTGACGAGTTCAAGGGCTACTTGCTCAAGATCACCGGTGGTAACGACAAGCAAGGTACGATCTGGACTTGGAAATATAAAACGGGCGACAAGAAAAGGAATGCAATGGGCTAATTGAATTTCACTGTACAGGTTTCCCCATGAAGCAGGGTGGTATGTGACGACCAAACCAAAAAAGATGCAAACGAAATTTCCAGTCGGACAGAAACTTATCGATTCTTACAGTTCTCCTGCCCACCCGTACCAGACTGTTGCTCTCCGAAGGCCACAGGTAAATTCGAACCCCGCCACCAGAACGACATGGAAGCGATCGCTAGAAGAATGGAGTAACTGACGACGGTTATAGCTGCTACCGCCCCCGCCGTACTGGAGAGAGAAAGCGCAAGAGTGTCCGTGGTGGTATGTTGGAAATCATTCCGGTCTTTGCGAACGAAATATAAAGGGAATCTGTGTTGTTGACGCTTTTTCGCAGCCATCACCAACTTCGACCTTGCCGTCCTCGCCCTCTCCATCGTCAAGCAGGGTGAGACTGAGCTCCCCGGTCTGACCGACGTTGTCGTCCCCAAGAGACTCGGACCCAAGCGTGCCACCAAGATCCGCAGCTTCTTCGGTCTCGAGAAGAAGGATGACGTTCGCAAGTTCGTCATCCGCCGCACTGTGACCCGCGAGGGCAAGCCCGACTACACCAAGGCCCCCAAGATCCAGCGTCTGGTCACTCCCCAGCGTCTCCAGCACAAGCGTGGCCGCATCGCTCTCAAGCGCCGTCGCGCTGAGGCTTCTCGCGAGGCTGCGTAAGACTCTCTCCATTTGGCCCATTTGCTTGCAGCACTGTTCAGAAGGCTAACATATTCCACAGTAACGACTACGCCAAGCTCCTTGCCAACCGTGTCCACGAGGAGAAGTCCAAGCGTGAAGAGCTCCGCAAGCGGAGAGCCTCTTCCATGCACAAGTAAATGTTTTTCTCCGGGGTTTAATGGTCGGGTTACGTCTCTGTTATGACTAGGGCGAAAAATTCTCAGCGGACGGGAAACGGGGGGATTTGAGTTTCAAAAGAGAACGCAGGCGCGAACCCCAAGACAAGCCACGACAGTAATCCTTTGGTCCTTGGGGTTGGGCATCTGCAGGACCAAACACTACAAACTTGGAGTGCAAATAAAAAAAAACTAACAATTAAATTTTTTTTTATGGAGTGAAAGGGAAATGCCAAAGAATTTGTTTTCTTTTTTTTACTATGGATTCCAAATGGCGACGGTGATGGTTCTGCGGGCTGCCCGTGCCGCTTGCCAGATGAAATGAAGCTCTATATGTTTTTTTTTGTTGTACTCCGATTACCCAATTCATCCTTGCACAATTCATCTTCTCTCGTATCGACGTATATTCAAGCAGTCCGTCAATCACAAGGCCTATGCATGGCTGTGGCTTATGCTCAGGCAAATCGTGTGTGCTTGAAACTTAAGATTAGGGCCCAGCTTTGTGGGGAAATTTCGACTGGACAGTTTTTCCCCACATTCAATATCAAATCCATTTCTACGGATATATAATACGAAAGAAAGTGCCAGCAATCATCATGCTGTATATGATGTAAAGGGAAGTCCACTCCCAGATACATTAATGTCACATCGAATAGCTATCTCAGTCTGAGTTCTACGAACAGCAAACTCCGAATCAATCTCCAGCATACTATCCTCGAGAACAATAAAACCCTCAATACCTATATATGTACAAATGATGCAGTTCGTAAATAATAACCACGCCAGGAAACTTTTTTCTCTTCCTTTCCACTCCTTTGTGCTTCATTCATCGTGACCAATAACCGTGTAGAAAAGAAAAGAAAATGGGAAATCAAATAAGGTACGGAGTAGATATCCATCTAGGACCTCATATCAGGCCTCCAACCGAATATAACTTTGGAAAAGAATAGCCAAGCAATGCAGTACTCGAAAATAAAGAAATCACAGGCAGGCGCTACCACTTCCTGAGACGAAACCGGAGTCATCTCGATGCCATGCCTCTTTACACCCTTCGTCCCTCAACTCGTAGCTTATGCGACAGCGTGCGAGAACAAGAAGCTTACTGACTCTCCGTTGTGGGTACGTCTGCAAGCCTCGGCAAGTGTAGGACTGATGTCGATGGTCTCGATTCTGTCGCAAATTTCCTTCTTTTCCTCGTGAGGCACAGTGTTGGTGACGACGATCCTCTTGAGACAGCTGTTGTTGATGTTGTCAATGGCATTGCCAGACAGGATTCCGTGAACAACAATAGCGTTAACTTCCTTAGCTCCATGCTCCATAACGGTGTCGGCGGCCTTGGCGAGAGTTCCACATGTGTCGGCCATGTCGTCCACGATGATAGCAACCTTGTCCTTAACGTTTCCGACGAGAACCATTCGCGAGACTTCGTTGGGACGGGGACGCTCCTTGTGAATCAAAGCGAATTGCGAGTCAAGGCGATCGGCGATGCCGGTAGCTCTGAGTAAAGAACCCCCATTAGATATGCAACAGGATGCCTAAATATTAAGAGACTTACCTCTTCGCACCACCGGCGTCGGGACTGACGATGACACAGTTTTGCACATCCAGGTTCTCCCGAATCCACTTCAGCATGCTAGGTTCAGCATACAGGTTGTCAACTGGGACATTGAAGAAACCTTGGATCTGGCTTGCGTGGAGGTCCATGGTGATGACATGGTTACAGCCCGCAGTCTGGAGCATGTTTGCCATAAGTTTGGCGGTGATGGGCGCACGACTCTTGTCCTTCTTATCCTGGCGCGCATAGGGGAAGTTGGGAATGACGGCCGTGATGCGGCGGGCCGAGGCAGTCTTGCAGGCGTTGATCATGATCAGGAGCTCCATAAGCCCGTCGTTGATGTCGTTGGGTCGAGTGGATTGCAGAATGAAGACTGCCGGAATGACATATTAACTAAGAAGCCCTTATTTGATCGGACCGGGAGACAATACCATCTTCGTCTCGTACACTTTCACCAATTGTGACACTAGTTTCCTGGTTCGAATACTGCAGGACCATAATCTTGGTCAACTCAATGCCGAGTCTGCCAGCGTTGTCAGTCCAGCATTCTAGAGACAGGATGGCCCGGCACCAAATGCCCTTAACATGATATTGATAAAGCATACCTCTTGGCAACGAGCTCAGCAAGCTCGGGGTGACTGTTACCAGTCAAAAGCTTGATCGAGTTTGACGCCATTGTGTCTCGAGGCTACCGAGTGAGAGGAAAGACGGATGACGTGGGCGCAAAAAGAATCCGGGCGGTATAGGTAAAATGAGAGAGAAAATCGGGATAGGTATCAATAGCAATCAAGGCCAAAAAAGAACCATGCCAGAGAGATCGATAGAAGATGGAGAAATCCCGGTCAGAAAAGAAGCAAAGAAAAATGCCCCGCCGGCAAGAAACGGTCGAAAAGGATTATCCCGTGACCTTTTCTCACCGCCTACTGTTTTCGTCTGTGGGGGAAGAATGATGAAGAGAAACTGCTTTTATCAGATCTAAAGCCATACAAAAAAGAGAAGAAGAAAAAACACAATTTAAATACACAAGTGAGAAATAGAGCCAATACAGCCGAAAAGAAAAGAAAATCGAAAAGGAAAAGCCCCTGATGGTGCATCGTCGGAGCCCCGATTGACCTGCACTTCAACCGGTTAAGCCTTCGAGCCATCCAAGTTCTCGCCGTTGCACTGCATCCTCCACTGATCCCCCTTTCATCGCCACCACAGCCAAGTGTACATAACCAGTAGCTGAATCAATGTGGAACGCCGTTAGATGCAAGAGCATGTAATCGAAGTCTCAAAAACATGAAACCAAGGCAAAAAATGAAAAATAAACAACACATGTAGTACCGTAACCCGTCGTTCAATATGAGTAAGTTGTGTACCACCAATCTATGCAAACCCGAAATATTCACTACCGGCTGTCATGGCTGTGTACAGACGCTGCCGGAGAGTCTCGTAACTCTCATATTCTGGAAGATCAAGTTCTGTTGAATAGAATTAGCATACATCCCATGCCTCGGGGCTTGAGGAAATACTTACGATTGAAGCACGTATGCGAGCTGGGAAGACGATCCTTGTTTCCATAGTCGCGATGGATATTGAACCTGCTTACTCCGTTCATACCCTCGAGCTCCTTGAAGCCGTTCAGTGGCACTTTACTCGTTCCAGTGACGAACTGAAGCAGCTTGGCACGCTCTTCCTTGTCAAACGAGCGGACTGCACGCCAGAACCACTGGATCTGGGGTGATGAGGCCGAGTAGTTATGGTACTCGGTGTTGTTTTTCCAGTCATCCACCTCGATCTCTGGTAGACCAGAAATCAGCAGTTCGAGTTCTTGTTCGTTGAAGATGGAGATCAGGTCTGGTGCGATGATCTCATGGAAGCCTAGAAATTCATGTTAGCACTGTTCTATCGGGTCTCACAGAATTGAAATAGACTGTACCTTTGAGGAAATTATCAAGTTGCTCCTTGACAGATCGAACCAAGCGGTAGTCGACCACGCGCTGTACGTACTCCTCCTTGTTCTCTTGGGTCACCGGGATGTCACGTCCGTTTTCTTTGAGGTCGACCACTTGCTTCTCTCCAAAGTCATCCGTCTCAATAGCAAATGTTTCCGTGATGATATCGGTGATGTCATTTTCGAGCATCCAAAGTAGAGACTTGTAGTAATCAAGGTCGAGCGTCTCCATGTCCTTAATGGACACAGCCCTTCCGAGAATGCACTTATAAACTGCCCGGCTAAAATGGCAGTCAAGGACGCGGCCCTCGTACAAAGCTTTACCGATGATCCGTCCAATAAATTTGAAGAACATCAGATGCTCTGAATTAACACCACTCAGACGGTTCGGGTGGAAAGTTGTCCTGTCAGAAGCAACGGGAATGAACAAGGCATAGTTGGGGTTGAACATGCCACGGGCGAGAACCTGGAACCACTCTCGCGTTACACCGCCTGCATCAACACCCTCTTCACCATGGAAGCGGACATTCAACTTTCCATACTTCAACTCTTCTGCTGTCTTGAAATATAGAGATTTGAAGGAGTCAAGGAAGACCTGGTCTCTCCTGACAGAGAGTTGAAGAGGTGGGTGTGGGTGACGAGGCTCAGCACCACGAGAATGTATCCGGCGAGTAAAGTAATTGCGCTTGTTATCAAACTCCAAGACTTTAGGGTTCTTAACTAGCAGCGAGAAAGTGCCACTCATCAGTCTAGGATTCTGACGAACGAGCTCGTTGAGGATTTTGCGGTGTTCCTCAGTGAACTTGAAGAACAGACCCTCCATGCTCAGGCCGGCATCAACAGATGTGGTCGACACGGAGAGCTCTCGGCTGTTTCGAGAGGTTTCCTTCAAGGTGGTGTTCTTGCACACAACCATCAACGCTTCGATCAGAGGAAGAAGAATAGTTGCCACGTTCAGCATGTTTTTCTTTTGGCGAATAACGGACAAGCACTCGCTGAGCTTTGTCCACAGAGGCCCAAAAGTAGAACTCTCATACAGCTGTTGCAGAACATCTTCCTTGGCAACAGGGTCAGGTTCAGCCCCTTTGACCTTATCGGCACGGTTGGGATCAAACAAGTAATCGAGTGCGGTCAAAATTCGTAGCAATTTCGCCTGGTCAGAGCTGGCTGGAGAAAACTTCGCCAAAGCAAGCCCTTGCATATCAGTACCTGTCTGAGCCTGGTGAATATGGGACAAGAGTTCTTCCAGGTCGGTCAAAATTGTAGTGCTGAGGCTTTGAGCCTGGCTAACCAGCTCGTTCCCGATCACGTCTCGTGCACCTGGGATAGCTGAAAGGTTGTTGATGGTTGAAAGAGTATCTCTGAATGTTTTTCCATTGCATTCGCGAGCTGCGAGGATATGAACAACCAGCCGAAGATTGTGGTCCGGCACAACGGGAGGTTCGATCGTTTTCCTCTTGTGCTTCTCATCGTCGGCTGGCTTCTTTTTCGGTTCCGACTTGTTGGCCTTAGCGGACGCGCCATCTTCAGTCTCTGCAATTGTTTCCACGCCTTGCACTTCTGGGTTCTCAACAGAAGGAACAGGAGCATCGGTCATAGTTGCATCTGCTCCGGAAGCAGCAGGTTCTGTGGTCTCGGAGGCTTGCACTGGCTGTGCCTGTTCCTCGGGACGCTCAGCTTCTTGCACGCCCTCGGGCTTCTTGCCCTTTTCTTCCTCCTGTTTTTCCTTCTCACGCCGAAGAAGCAAGGTGAGTGGCTGCGTGATGCTACTCAAAAGACTCGAAAGCTGCTCCATGCAGTTCGGACTTTCCATGATTAACTTCCTGTCGAGTAGCGAAAGCAGAGCATTCAACGCGAATTTGTTGGCACGATTCTCTTTGCCTTTGCCTTTGCGGAATGCTTTTAGTTTCAGGGTAGATGAAGGGTCATGCTCGGTCAGGAAGAACCATGCGATATGAGGGTTGTACTGAGACAAGAAAGAAAGTGTTCCCAGGCACTGCTGTACCACCATGGTTGGTGTTACTTCATTGCTGACATTCGAAGCTGCCTGGAAGGACAAATTCCGTTTGACAGATTGTGGTGTCTTGGGCACTGAAGGAACCTTGGCACGGAGCGAAAGTTGAGCAAAGCTACGCTCGATTGAGGAGACGTCCACACTTCCATCCTGCAGGACAGAGAGCAGAAGGCTAATGACCTCAATCCGATTCTGACGGTTTTCGGAGGCATGGCTCAAGATGTCGTTCAACTGATGACGGGCATTTCCGTGGAGAGGCATGAACATAAGGCGTAGGAGTGTTGCAACACCCGCCTTGTCGAGCATTTGGACGATTTGGCGCCTTTGTGGCTTCTTGGGCTCCTCCTCTTCAACTGGCTCGTTTCTTGGGCGATGCTCGATTCGGGGCATATCGCCAAACTGAGCCAGTCGTCTTCCAGGAAGGGCGCGTGCTTCAGTAATGAACTCGGGGCCCAGGGTCGCAAGTATTTCTTCCGGTTGATCAGCGAGAACAGCTTGCCGCAACGAGGGATCCAGGGTAGCGAGGAAGCTGGCAGCATCCATATCTTCTGCATGGGCTGTTGCACCAACAGGCGCGGCTTGTCTGCGCGATTGTTCGCGTTCCCGGCGGCGGCGATCTGCTGCCTCTTGTTGCAACAACTCATCGCGAATTTCTGTGGGAAGAGCCTCCAAAAATTCAGGATTTATCTCGCTTGGCTCTTCACCAGCCGCGGCAGCTTGAGAACGCTGCTCGGCAAGCTGTTGCATAATAACCTCCTCCCGAAGCTCCTCGGGCAAGGCCTCGAGATACTCGGGGTCGATCTCCATTCCCGTAATGTCAAGCTGACGACCTCGAATTGTCGTGTGAACCCGATGGGCAGGCTCAGCAGGACCAGCGTCAGCTTGAGGTGGGGGCGCAGCAGCCTCAGCAGCGGACTCTGTACGTTGCACATCATCCATTGGCTCAGAAATCACCCCAGCAGCTTGTCGCTCTGCTTCCTGTTGCTCCCTTTCTTGCTGTCGCCGAGCATTATCTTCCTCTTCTTTTCTCTTGCGCTCTTTCTCTTCTTCTTCTCTGGCGATACGTTCTTGCCGCTCTCGCTCTGCCCTTTCTTCCTCGCGTCGCTTGCGCTCCTCCTCGACTTGCTTTTGTCGCTTTTTCTCTTCCTCAATTGCGGGAGGCACCAGGATCTTCAACACGGAGTTGACCACACGCTGCGTCTTCTCCACGTATGTGCTACTGAAAAGCATGCGTGCTTCCTCTTGCCAACGGGTTCTAGTTGTCGCTAGTGCAAAACTCACGGCTTGAGAGGGGTCATCCCGAGTACGGGTTGGAGGAGCTTGTGGCCTGCCAAGTCCGAAGATATCCTGGATACGATTAGGCAAGATAGCTCGTCTGTCAACGTGGACATGTATTCCGTCAGGGCGAGTGATCACCCCGAAGCCTGGAGAGCCTTGACCTCCAATGGCTTGCATGATGGCGTTCATGAAGCTGACAGGGCTGTCCATGGGAAGCAGGCGTCCAGTTGAAACAGGCTCCATGCCGTGAACCCAATCAGTGAAAGCTTCGTTGCCAGCTCCACGGGGTTGGCCGGTAGCCTCAGGCCCACGGTCAGTTCGAACGAGAAGAGGATTGGTCCCATCATCGTTGCCACGCGCAGGGACCTGGGTTCGGTGGAGTCGGTAGGGCTGGATCGGGACGATTCCATGGCGACTCGGCATTATTCCAGTTACCCACGCTGGGGGAGGTCCACGGAAGCGGTGATGGTGGTGGCCACGCGGCAATGGAGGCTCATCGGCTTCCCATCCCCATGGCTCAATCAAATCGTCATCTGAAGAGTCGCTAGTCAGCATTTCCTTTCCCTTCTACACAGAGTTACTATGCTTGAACTTACCATCGAATCCCTGGTAGGACCCTTGATCTTCATCCCCATCATCAAGTTCATCTTCGAGCTCATCGATTTCCTCGTCTTCTAAAATGCTGTTAGCAATTGTAATAAAAATGGCTTCAAATCAAAGCATATTGATAAAATTAACATGCCTTCGTCTTCATTCAAATCGTCATCAACAATATCCTCATGCAGATCTCCTCCAAGGCTATCAGCATGGAGATCCTCGACGCCTCCAGCGGCTTCGTTAAGAACACGGAACAAATCATCAAATCGCTGGCCATCGCCATGTTGATCTGCTTGTCGGATATCGGCCAATTCATCTTCGAATTGATTCATCATCTCGGCTTCTTCATCGTCTTCAGACATCTCTTCGCTTTCCCATTCATCATCATCACCATCTCCTAGGCTCTCGTTGTCTCTATCACCGGTGATTTCGCCAGCAAGAATTTCATCGTCATCCATATCGGACTCCTCGTCATCATCATCATCTTCTCCTTCGTCGTCCTCGTCGTCCTCGTCGTCGATGACTACCTCGATGTCCATGCCGTTGTCACCAGGGAGACCTTCAATAGGCCCAACGCCTTCAATGTCGTCATCCTCGTCACTAACGACCTCCCCATCGTCCTCTGGCATGTCTTCATCGTAATCCATCTCCTCTCCGTATTCATCATCATACATTTCATCGTCTTCTTCCTCGGATTCCTCAGAGCTGGTCTCCTCCTCATGGCGAGGTTCTAACATACCGAGAGTAGAATGACGGAAAAGGTCAGGGGTCTCTTCACGGTCATCATCCATGTCCGAAACCGAAGTCGCTGATGAAATTTCGTCTTCTGCGGTTTCTCCGAGAGTGGAAATGTCTGATGTCTCGCTCAAAATGACAGCAGTCTGCGTAAGCTTTTTCAATGGGCGCAGGATGTATTTGATAACCCGCTTGGAGGCAGGGAAATTGAGATCAATGTCGGCAATTGAAGCCGTAAGAGCAGCAATGAAATTTTTCTCGAACATGGTCTTGGCAAGTTGTCTGGTGGAAGAAGGGAAGCTGGATTCCCCAGAGCCAAAATCATACCCACTCAGCATTTTGTCGAATAACTCAGCAAGTGACATCAACCTTGAGTATTTGGCATCTAGGGCTTCATTCGATGCATTGGCATCTTTGTATGACCTCAACGCATGTTCGAGAACGAATCTGCGAACAAAGGCAAGTTCAGGCTCGTCTTCCTCCTTCTGGTTCTGCTCATTACGTCTCCTTCCAGTCCCGCCAAACTCCCCCGTCTTGGTACACAGAGCAACAAGAACCCGAGTGGTCCACGCGGATGTGTTCGAGCGCTTCTTAAATGCAACTGATTCATCATGCTCCATGGTACCAATTGGCACGAGAGCATTTAGCAGGTAATTAAGGATACCCGAGCGAGGCTTCGAAGGCGTCGTTGCAAGGGGATCCGCCTTGCGAGAGAAGTTGATGAACTCAACCTTCGTTCGGTTGTATGATGAGAGCAACTCCGTCAAGCACTGAAGAAGGAAGCATCGGTAGATGTAGATGGGGTGATCATCCGCTTTGAAGGTAGACTTATCCGACTTTTTGGAACTGCGTACACCTTGTATATCAGTACTGGAAACAGATGGTGACGGTGCATCATTAGACATCTCCACATCAGTCTGGACTTCAGGCTGCTCAGACGCAGGTTGATCCGAGGTCTCAGCAGGTGGCTCTTTATCGTCAACATCTTTGTAAGATAACAATTCAGAAAGCAGGTAGTGAATTACGCCATCTGGGTTCTCCACGATAGGTGCTTTCAGCTCTGCTCCCTTGCCCTTGTCTTTATCTTCTGATACCTGACCATCTGCTGGGGGGTTATCACCGCCTTTGTTTTCATTGTCTGGGGCATTCTGAGTGGAGGATTCTGGTGAGCTGTTGTTCTTGTCTGATTTCAACGTAAGAATCTGGGGACGTTGAAGAGTGTCATAACGTTGCAATTTGAGCTTTTCATTGGTGACCTCGACAAACAGCTCGGGTGATCTTAGAACAAGGTGATACATCTGTCGAACATAGCCGGTGGTATCTATCTGCCGAGACGACTTGGATTCGAAGTTGGCAACAATTTCACTTCTCATAATCTGCCGGATGGTATCCTCATCTTCTACAATATGTCTCAGAATCAACATAAAGGCGCTTTGAAGCTTCTCGTTCGTAGAGCTGGAAAGCTGTTTGACCATGACAAATAGGCGCTGCAAACTTCGCTTTTCTCCAAGGCGAGTTGCAATGCGGCGGTTTCGTGTCAGGATGACGAGAATGCGACACACGGATAGTGCCAATGCATCATCTTTTCCTACCCTGGGTAGTATTTCGACAAGAGCCTCAAACAATTGCACCTTTTGGTCATGTGAGACAAGGGGCTCTTCTAACTGTGCCGGCTCCTCGTTCACGGGGTTTGGATTGTCAATGCTCGGAGGAGTCCAGTGGATTTGAGTTGGCTGAGAGTCGTCAGACAAGAGCTTTTCAAGGATAAGCAATACATGTCCAATCCATGGGAAAGATTCATCGGCAGACTTCTCGGGGGTTGACAGATTGATAAACCCAAGGAAAGTCGTGAAACACTCCTTCAACTCTCCCAATGTGGCACTATACATGTCTCTGTCTTGGAGCACCAACGCGAGAATATGAGCGTAAGCAGCAACCTTCTTTCCGGCTGCTTGGAAATTTTCCATTTGCAAAGATACCAGAGACTGCACAAGTATCTCTCCAACATCTCTTCTGAAACTCTCGGGGTCGCGATGTTTCTTCGTAGCAGACGCAATCAAGTCTGACAGCTCGAAGGATACATCATGGTGTTCATTGAGAACGTCCAGGCAGCGCTCAATGAGATTCGAACGAACCTCTTCGCGCTCTGCATCCAAGTCTTCGACCGTAGTTAGTTCACGCCGTCTTGTGGGCTGTTCGGTGTGCGATTCCGAAGGCTGATTGGTGGGCTGTGCTGGTTGCTCAGACGATGAGCCTTCAGGAGGATGAGTATTTATGGGACCGGTGCTCGAAGAAGCCTCACGAGAATCGTCGCCTGGGTTCTGCTCATCGTTGAGAATGTGGTTCAAGGCTCTTGCCAGAAATTCGGTGCCATTTCCAACATCGTTCTCCGCAACTCTAACTTGATCTTGATCTTGCTGAGATGCCTCATCTCCTGGTCGGCTTGAAGCTTGTGCCAGCAGCATGGCAAGTGTGGAATGCGTGGAACGCTCCATAAGCCCGTTGCCAAAAGGTGGGGCGTCTCCAACAGTTGTGTCCTCTGAGGCCTCCCCACCTGGAGTTGTGCCGGATCTCACAGCTTCGATATCATTAGCAGAAGGCGGATGTCTCGGTGGAACTCGTAGCCAGGTTTGTGCCTTGCAGTATTCTTCGGCAGCGGGGTAGATATTATTGCAGCGGTAAAGAGCCTCCTTGGTCAAGTCTTGTTCGAACCCTTTCTCTTGCAGGGAAGCAATACGGTCTTTGTTGACCACAAACTTCTTCCTCGATATCTCCGTCAGTGCAGGAGAGGGTTCTGTGCGCCGAGCAGCCCCTGTTTCGTATTCACCATCAAGTGAAGAACGAAGGATATCGATCAAGCATTTTATAACAGAGCTCGATGATTGTGTCCCAAAATCAGAGTTCCACATATCCCGTGCCATCGGCAATATCTCCATGCGGAGATCCACCAGAAATTGGCCAGGTTGAAAGTAGTCCAGGCGGTCTCTATCCCGTTCGCTGCTAGTCATAGCTTGCGTTTGGCTAGAATCCACGATGTTCTTTCCTGAGGCGAGTTCGGAGAAAAAGCTAAGGATAATCTTGATGCCGCCGTAGGCAGATGTAAGTCGTGCCGAAACATCGTTTTCGGATTCGGACACAGACTCTGGCGGCGTGAGGACCTTAACCTCTTGGAGGAAAACATCGCAAATATTCTTCATTATCTTCAACCCATCATTCCTCTTGAACGCGAAAAGAACCAGGGTCAGGTAATGCGAATGGGGACGATCAGCGGTGGCTAGGGGGAAAATGTCAGATTCTGTATTGAAAAACAAATTAAGGGGAGGGACCTTACCCTCGAAAAGCAGATGCGAAAAGGACGAAAGTATGACTATGAGGTAAGCAAACCGTAGCTTCGAGTTATCGCTTGAGTTCGGGGGGCTAAACTGCAATTGTTTCATCACAGCACTTGCAATGGAGTCGGCTACCATGGTAGCATTCTGTCTCTGGTAAAGATCCATTCTCCGTTTTCCAATGAGACCAAGGCCTAGGTTATGGAAGAAGCCCGTGATCGAGGAAGGCAAGGAGCTGAGAAGATAGCGAAGGGTCTGTACATTCTTGAAAGCAACGCCATCTTCGGGAACTTTGCTCGTGCCATCTTTGGGCTCCTGGTTTGCAGGCGTTTGAGAAGGATCTGTAGCGGCTGTGCCTTCTTGAGAAGATTCGGTTGCAGGCGCATTTTGGTTTTCTTCAGTACGAGACCCAGTAGAATCATTGGATCTTTCGGGGCCAGATCCGCTGGCTTGCACTTTCGTTGCCTGGTCCCATGTGTCGGGTATGTTTCTTTCAAGCAATATTTCCTCCCACACGCACGCAGCATGGAGACTTCCAAGGGCTTCGACAAGAGAGCAGTACCTATCTGCCAGGTTAACCTGGCCAAAGGCGGACGTTTGCTGGCTAGGTCGAGTCTGGTACAATGGCATGGAATAGATTTCGCGGAGAAGATCTGTCAAAACAAGGGCAGCCATCATATGTTTGGCAAAATGTGTCCCAGGAATGCCCGCAGAACTAAGCACTCCAGCCTCATTTTCTGGTTGCTTTCCGGCATGAGCTGGCTTGATCAGGGATGTGAAGAAACCAGAATTTCTGGGCTCCGACCAGAAGCCAGAGAGGCTATCAACTGCGGTCTGTGCACGAGTAAGAAGAGAAGGTATGACAAGATGGGGCTTGGTTTCCGCCAGCATGTGGACTAGAACAGTGAGCTCCTGGTTGGCGTCTGTGTTGTGGAAGTCAAACGGAAGGCTTTGCAGCGTCGCGAAGTCCAACACGAATTCAACCCCTCCAGATTCAATGAAGTAGGTGCAATTAGACTGGTTTTCAAAAAAGGCTCCCAAGAATCGCAGGACTGGGTAGAGGTAGTCCGTAGCAGTAAGACCAGATTCATCTTGGTCCTTCGGCTCAAAGGAATCAGTGGAGGACGGGATGATATGGCTTAGATCGCCGAGAGCCAATTTATCCCCGTTTGGAAGAGTAGTCGAGTTTAATTCCGGGACACCGAGATGCTGAGTAACATCGGACGTCACATTGACAGGAGTCCCTATTTCTCTGAACAAGAGAGCAATATCGCCTGAAACAATTGGCTTGCCTTGAGCGCCCTCGGTCCACAATTTCGACCCCATGCCATGTGACCATGCCTTACTCTTGCACAAGAGACCAACGCGCGCAACCATCACAAGAACAGCAGTCATAATGGACGACTTCAGTGCAGGGTGATGTCGAACCAATTCATCAAAAGTTGTACCTAGAGAACGCACGAGGTTGGGATCATCTTTCAAGCACTTCACATGCTCGGGGTTCTCAAAAATCTCAAAGAAACTCTCCAAACCATGCGACGACTGAAAAAGCTCCAGGCCAGAGGCATTGAGACAAATAGCCCCGAAGGCTGACGGTACGCATGAGAGAGCTTCCGCAGCAGCCATAATCCCGGGTGCCAACTTCGTGTCTTTGGGCCTGATAAGACAATATTCACGGCCTTCTTGGTTTCCGGTTGTTGATGGGCCGGAGACCGCAGAGGGAATTTCAGATGAAGCCTCTCCCTCAGTCTCAGCGCCTTCCGTCTCAATTGGCGACTTTTTAGGGTTCTTCAGTTCAGAAACCGTAACAGCCTCGAGGAAGCTCTTGCTAAGGCCAGCTTCTGCGATGACCGCATAACTAGTCGGCTCATTGTGAATAAAGCTACTGAGAATATTGACAGCATTGCTCCAGACATGTGAGCCAAATACTCGAGCGTTCTCAAGTACTAAGCGTAAGGATGTCAACAGTTGAGGTGAGTCTATCAGATTCCGAAGCACACGATCAAAGCCACCACCGTTGTGTTGCATGATATGGTTGACAAATCGGAACATCCATCGAAGGGTTTGCTGTTGGAAATACGGGATCTGATAGTCGATTGACGGGGTCTTATGCTGAGATGGAATGCCTACCCCCTTCGATACGCTCTCGAAGGAAGACTTGGTTTCATGGTCAATCAGGTCTGAAATTGCATCGAATCCTTTGGCACTTGTAAGAGTACCCAGCGCATCTCGAACCGCGTGAACAAAAGTGTCAAGGAACTCCATGATACGGGAATAAACTCGTCGGGCTTTCTCAGTTCGAAGGTTTAGAACATCCACAAACATCGGGATCAAACCAGCAGCCACCAGCGTCTCCGGGGTTCTGGTACTCGAGCTAGGAAGGGTTCGAAGAAGAGCAAGCAAAGCATCACGCCATTCATCCTGATAAATATCATCTTTGTCGCTATCTTCCAAGCCTAGCTCGTTGACTGCTTTCCGGGTCAAGAACATGAGAACGCCATGGTTGACATTGACGCTCAACGCGGCGCAAACGTCAATAGCTCGTGCTTTGTGCTTTGCAAGGGCATCAATTCCTTGGATCGCCAACGTCTGTACAGACCTTGAAACCTGAAGATCACCACTTGCACCAAGGTGGACCAATTCGGCAAGCTGATATGCGAGCTGAAGGCGCTTCGGCTGTTCCATATCATTCTGAAGAATCTTCTGTTGGAATATGGGTTCGGGGTATACATAGGCTAGATTGGTGATTGCCAGAATTCGGATCGCAAGGATCTGTTCGCGGCTGGAACGAGAAGTTGCCAATCCTTGAGCAGTGCGAATTTTATGGAGCAACTCATACTTTGTATCCGCCGGTACCTCTTCCAAATTCGAAGAAAGGAGGTCTTCAGCTTTCGATGAAGAGACCTTAGAGTAAGGAATGTCCAGAGTCTTGCCACCTCGCAACGCCTCTTCTGGCTTCCCAGAAGGTGTATTAACAGCGGCACTTGGGGAATCTTCGGTAACTGAGGTACGACTCAAATGAGGGGTGGGGTGAGTGTGACTCCTACGTAAGGGTGTTGGCGTGGTCGGAGTCTGCGAGCTCTGTCCACCCTGGCCAGTTTCTGACGTCGGTTTCAACTGATCGGAGTCTGAAGGGTAATATAGCACACGAACGTGGCCCCACTCATCCCAGCCATCATCTTCCCGAATGAGAGATGTCAGATCGTTGGCATTGTGTTTAGTTTGGGTTGTTTTCTCCTTCCCTTTAACCACAGGTGTAGAAATAGGCGCCTTGCCAGGGGTCAAGGGACGGGCGAAAGGTGCGGCAACTTTCTGCAACTTCTCCAAGTCGATGTTGTAGTGAGTTGCCAACAGGCTTTGTTGGATATGGGAGCCACCACGGTGGCGAGAATGATATCTTTGTGCCAAAGAAAGCGCCAAGCGCAGGGTAGAATGGAGGAGAGATAGGGATGTAGTATTCAAGAGATCGCCAAGACGTTCGCTGCTGTTATACAAGCTGCGATTGCCACATTTTTCTAGCAAGAGCCTAGAGAAATCAAGGATTGATTCCACAAGCTCCCGGTCACCCTCCGGACCATAACCCAGGGCATTTACCTTGGCATCGGCGTCTTCGGTTTTACCTTCATCCTTCGTATATGAATCCACTAGAACGCGTCTGCCAAAGGACTGGGTTTGGGGGCCATTGTTTAGAGCGTATTTCTCGATAACAGATGCCAAAATCTCATCGAAGTGGTTCAAAACGTTGATCCAGTGATACAAGTCACCTCTGGGGAAAGGCCATATCCGATTAAATGTGTTAAGGTGTGAAGGGAGCTCGGGGATTGGAATCGTTGTAGCACGAGATACGAAATCTGACAGGTAGGGTGACTATAGCAAGAGAGGGGGGTAAAAAATTAGCTGGCCTTCAAAACAAGGCTAGATAGCCAACGCGGGGGTCTCGAAAACTTACGATCGTAGCCTCATGTTTTTGGCTTGCCACCTTCTTAATTCTCCCCATGTTGGCTTTCAGATAGACAGACAACCATGAGGAATTTGAAAGGGTTGACGATGTTGTCCTCTAAACGAGGGTGAAGAGGGGAAGTCGTGTGAAGACCGGGTCGCGGAGACAGTCGCGAGGAGGCCTTATGACGTTTTAGGTCCTAAACTTGCCTCAACAAAAAAAAAAAATGAAAGTGGATCGAGCGGCGATAAAAGCTCTTGAAGGATGATTCAAAAGCTGATTAGGAATCAAGAGAATAAGTAAAGAAAAGCTTTCGCTCGATGGAAAAGCTCTCTGGGGAGTGAGGGAATAGTGAAGTCAAAAGGTGAAAGATTGAGGGTTGCGGCTTAAGCAACTGCCACTGAGTGTCAAACGGACAAGGAAACGGGTGCAGGTCGTTACCTTGAAGCTTTGACGACTACAGATGTAGAGACAGTGATGAATAAAAGATTCAAAGCCACAAGTGAGTTGGGAATGAGGATGGAGAGGAGGTTGGTGTTGAGGGAGAGACGATGGGAAAGAGTTGGAAGGTTCGTGAAATAATATTATCCTGATGGAGGAGCTTCTCTGCTTCTGGCTCTGTCAGTCACTGGTTCAGGCGCAGAGCGTGGCCGGAGCGGGTCTTCTTCCCCGCCGAACACCAACGCATCGCGTCGACAACAAGAAAATTTACAAATTATCTTGGAAAAGGTTTTTGATATATCTAGGAGATTGAATTAATTGTTTTGTTTGAGCGTTTTTGAGCAATCTGTTTGGTTTATGGCATTAATTTGGATTACTGCTCGTCTAGTACCCGTAACCCGGTGATCAAAGATATATATTGTCCTGGGTAGAACCCGTCTATCATCCCACTATATTCTACACCGTCAGCCTTATAGAGGATTTGCAATTATTCGATCTAAATATCATCTTTTCTTTGGACTCACCAGTGCCTGGCTTAATTTCATCTACATGTCAGATTCAATTGTTACGTTCTATGTGGCCATTCGCCACTAACATTACTCTGAGCTATTCACTTCCAATTTACTTAGGGAACGCCCCTCGATTGATATCTTGAACAAGGATGAATCAATTCTACATGGATATGCCCCATTTCCAACTTACCTGTAATATAAAAATTCTTGCTTTTCTCCGTGTTTACCCCGAAAATCCTACCTGGACTTTGGTTGAAGTAGAGACAAAGTTGTGTCGATTATTCTAAAATATCGTCATAGCGAGCTAGAAGCCAATCGAACATAAAAAAAGTAAGCAATGAGTCAGGCACGAAACATGTGACTTTGAATGCCTGAGGCAGATAGATCTAGATCCCGGATAGATCAGATGACCTCATCGCGCCTGAATTAATTGCTAGCTACCCAGAGGATTGAAGCCGTTCCATCTATGTCTTCTGTCAATATTTCGTGACTTGATATTAATGATAGTCGCGGTAATGACCAAAGGAAAAGAAAAGGGTAGATTGGCATGGGAAAAAAAAAAAAAAAAGCTTCAGTTAACCGGCATCGCAATGCAATCAATTGGTTTGGAGATAAGTGATGTATCTCCTCATCAACCCCTCATCTAGAACAGGGAACTCAAGTCCCCCAGGATAACTATGGAGTGCTTGGCTTATGTTGGTGGTGTGAGGGCATATTCTCATATAGCTCCCACCGGGTGAGCCCCTTATGCGCCTTTTCTGCTAACATGGGTTGGAGGGGCTGTAGTCGCGAAGGAGATTTGTCTGTCAGAACATCAACCCACTTTTGGTACGGGATGCCCTCCATAATGGTATCACCGACCAACAACCTGACCAGTTCCATCGAGTCATTCATGTCGATCGAGACTTCACGGTTTGGGGGAACGATATGATATGCGTGACCCAAGGAGGAAACTGAAGCAGCGATGTGCAAAATGGTCGAATATACATAATCAACTGGAACGAATTCTTTCCGCTGATTAGGCAGTAACGGATAGCATCCTATTTCGACGCAAGAGTGGATCAGACGACTGAAGAAGTCGTCTGGATTGCAAACACCTGTTTTACTATAGCCTGTGATGAAGCCCGGTCGATAGACAGCGATGGGGTAGTCGCGGTCTATGAGTCGTCGCAGCATGGCTTCGACGATCCATTGACTTTGTGCGTAGCCGTGATCGTAGGTGAGTGCCTCTAGGTGCTTTGACAGAGGCTCATCCTCGACAATACTCTGGGCCCCAGTGACAAATCCAGTGGGACCAAAGCAGGAGATACTGGAAACATAGTGAACCGCTTTGGGCCGGCCAGTACAGCCCAAACAAAGGAAATTTACCGTGCCATCGACATTAGCAGGGTGATGGATTGAATACGGCTGCGTGTAGTTGACGCGTGCCCCCAGATCAAAGATGACGCTTGCCCAATTGGCAATCTCATTGAATTGATCTGGACCAAGGCTCAAGTAAGAGTCTTCAAGTGTGCTGCACAGAACTAGCAACTTGTCTGCGAACTGATCCTCCCACTGACCGTATTTGGTCATTGCCTGTCTAAGGCGCTGAAAACCAGAATCTGCGATGGCATTTCGTAGAGGGTGAAAAAAGTGTTGAACCTGATAGAAAAAGAGGTGTGTTGAATCAGGATACTTCTCTTTACCCAGCTAATCGCTCAAAGGTTTTAGGGAAACGGTACTCCAAATAAATAGTGTACGACATGGAACTTTGTACGATGCCTAAGAACTGTTTCAATGCTGGGGCATAATGTTCGTTCTGAAATAGGCAAATAATCCACCGCGTTACTCGTTACTCGTTACTGGCTACGGCTTCAGCTTACATATCTGCTCGTACTTACTAGGCTTCTTTACCCCCCAAACCAGGAACCGTCGTTTCCAGCTGAAGGCGTCTTCTTCCCTCAAAACGCTAAAAAGTCCCAATGTGGCGGAGCTGGAAAGAAGTGAGCGATAAAACCCTAGTCCTGAACAAGGGCTTGATTACTCTCAGCTAGCCATGATTTCTCGACATTCATTCAACCTATCTTATGGGCCAAGACCTGACTGCATCTGTCTAGATGTGATGATTCACATTTTTAGGTATACTCAAGGACATGCGTAACTAAATCGAGAAATTGGAATTTTGGTTAGGTGGACTACTATACGCAGCCAAAGCTATGTGCATAGCCTATCACAGTTTAGTTTGCTGCATATGGGCACTGTTTTTGCATACATGGCAAGGCATAACTCTATATGAGTGACAGGTTGAGGGTTGTACAACAGGTGTAATCTTCCTATACTGGACTATTCCTATTGCTCCGTTATTCTCCAACCGATGTTGGGGGGGATCGGTGTGACATGATCTGCAGGGGAAGAGAGACATCTCGGTGTGTGCATTTGTTTTCATTGGCATACGGCATTGACTCTATCTAGTATTGATGCCCTGTATCAAGGAGTTCTGACAGCCTCACTGAACTATTTCCAACCCCGGGCAGCAAACCACTGCTGGGCCTTGATCAGATCCTGCTAGTCCTCTAGCCGGCCCAGTGCCACCGCCATCGCGCGCTTCAATTCTCTAGCCGTGTGATTCTCTGTGGGCTCCGCAAAGTACTTCCCGCCTGTGATTTGAGTGAGCCCAAACATGAGCTTTACATCCAATTCATGGATTCCGTGTGTCTCAAAGGCCTCCCACGATGGTAGCACGGGTTGAAATCGCGACGGTAATCCTGTAGCTTGCTGGAAATCGCCAGCAACCTGGTCGAAGCTGCGTATATCACTGACCCCATGCACAAAGTAGCCATTCCATCTCAAAGTCACCGGATATACTCAACCAGGGAACGTTTTCCTCGCCACCCCAGTACGGTATGCGAAAAGGGCGGAGTCCCTCAGCATCAGGAAAGTGGAGAAATCCACCAAATATGGGTGCGACTTCTTTACCGAGAAAATTCTCCAGGAACCATCCGGCGCCAATGGGGATGATGGATTGGAAAGAATCCAGTTGCTTGGCGTACTGCTCGATCTTGTACTTCACTACTCCATTGGTTAGCACAGGATCAGCTGGAGAAAAGAAATTGATGCAGGGGGACTTACTATCCATCGCCTTCATGTCTACTTTACCACCCGTCGTCTCCGTGCATGGAGGACCTGTGCTGAAGACAAGGTGTTGCACACCGGCCTGGGCTGCCGCGTGAATAATCGTCTTGCCCAGGTCGAACTCGGTTGGTCCATCTGGGTTCGTGAAGACCTTGCAGAAAGTCAGCCTTTCTGAAAGATAAGGTCTACAAGACCAATTGCCGTACCTTGTCGTCCGAGTTGAGGTTCACAAAAGCCCCCCCCCTGACACCCTAGAAAGCAGCCACCATCTCCTCGCGGTTAAATCCATCATTTTGAACTACCTCGGCGCCTTGAGAGGCCAACAATTGACTGGCGTCGGAACCAGGGTTTCGGGTGATGGCACGAACCTGGAATGATGGGTTCTGGAGTAGAGACCGAGCCACGGAGCCTCCCTGGTTACGAGTGGCTCCAAAAACAGCGACGAGGTTGGTGAGAGAGTCCATGGCAAGCAATGGATACGATGGCGCTGAAAGAATAGCTAGAAGGCTTTTGCATACACAAGACTGCTTTTATCTTGTATAGCAGTGGCCCGTGATGTCATCGTCTCACTGACAGACAGCGCTCCACTCATCTCCACACCAACGGATAGTTCCGAGCTGTACGCACGGGTGGTTTGTTGTTCCTGAAGGTTTTTTTTTAGTCGACCCTGCATACCTATACAGTTCATGGAAAATGATACTCAAAATACAGCAGGACAAGTTTATCATGGGGCCAGATAGAGGGGGTCTGTGCATGAAGGAGCTGTGAGACATAATCTAGACTTCGCCAAAAGAAAGATTCCTTATTTCCGGCCTGGGATGAAGCTGAACATTCGGATTTCCAACCAAACTGCTCTTTGCTTTTTTTTTATTTTCCCGAATCAGTCTGGGGTGAAATATACGATTGACTGAGCGATTTACAAAGCCTATTGAAGTCAAACTAGATCAATTTGTGCATGTGTGGGGGATGTATGTTGTCTACCTTTACAGTGGATACTGATATCCGAATAACTTCAATTTGATACATAAATTCGAAATGGCAATCAATCGTTGGGTAACTGAAACTGGAAATATTCTACAGCTTAAGCCAATGGGCCTTGTTTTTAGAAAATGTTGATTGGAACTATCGTTATCAGGTACTGTACCTAGATCTAAAATATCCAATTCCTATCCTAGCAAGGGTATTGTAGACGAATCCATATCAGTAAGTCAACCGACTCCCTGTGCACTACGAATATTCTTGATCTTAACGTTCAATGGAGCCAGACCCTGCCAGACCCCAAATTCCTTCATTTCATGCGGATCAATATTATCAGGCTGCGCCTCGAGATCAAAATTCCAAAGTAGACGGGCAAGGATAAAATGCATGTTGAGATAGGAATTCATTGCACCGAAGATCACATATGCCCAAGGGTGGTAGTCCCCACCCCACAGGTGAGGCAGCCGACGGGCTTTCCAAATGAAAGGGAACTGAGGATATCGGAGATGATGAAGTTGGTCCAGGCGCCTATGTTGACGATGCCATCCGGAGAAGGATAGAAAGCGGTACCCGACCGGTTATGTCGTAGGGCATCGATCATGATACTGGTGTATTCCTGGATAATGGGCCCCTGTTTCTTGATTGCCTGTTCGGAGAAGGCGGGCGCCATGAGTCGGGTCGGGGATGCTCTCGAGTGCTGGCGAAGAGGATATTCTGCGCCGCCCCGGATCCCTGGATATAGACGGCGGGATTCTTCTCAAACGCCATGTCTTCCGTGGTTTTATTCCCAAAGATGGTTTTGCTTGCCGTTGTGGTAATGTATGATAGCTCGTTGGGACTTACTCGAACAACCTCGCCGTATTTCTCGTGGAGACTGGCGATATACTTGCAGCTATCGCCTTTGACCATGTGGTAGATCTAGACGAGTTGAGATGTTGCGTCCAGCTGTAGTTGCGAAGAGGATGGAAGAAGACATTGTAGATCGTGAGAGAGAGGTGGAAGGCAAACCACTGTAAATGTTAGCATTAGCAGGTCTGTTGGAGGAGAATCCATACTAGGCTGCAGATCAGAAGAGCCCATTCAAACAGCTCCATTGTGAGTGGACAATGATGGAAAGAAGTTGGGATCGAATGGAAACCAGGTGGAGTCGTTTATGTACGACAAGAAAAGATGGAGACTTGGGGAGACGCAGTTGCTGGCTGAACTGACCTTCTTCCTCTCCTCCTTTTCTTTCTTCTTTCTTCTACCATCTTCAGCTTCTACATCGACATCTCGACTGCCTTCTAATACCTCGACTAATTGACAACGAGCCACTTCCTACTGATGGAAAGCCCTTGAGCCTGGTGGTTGCTGGTTTATCCCGTACAGGAACTGCTTGTACGTCTCTTTATACCATTTTCTGTCATTGACTGACTGTTCAGCCTTATATCTGGCCCTTCAGGAACTGGGATATACTCCTTGGCACATGTGCGAACCTATCTCCGATCCTCGTCGAATGTACCATCAATGGACCGAAGCGATGAACTGCAGATACTTTGGCAGAGGCAAGCCCTACAACAGAGAGGATTTTGCTCGCCTACATGGCAAATACGATGCCCTTCTCGACATCCCCGCGTGTCTCTTCTGGGACGACTTTCACCGGCTTTACCCAGACACCAAAATAATCCTGCCCTCGCGCTCTGTGGACTCGTGGTACCAGTCAGTTCACAAGACCATAATCGCATGGATGCGAAAACCGTCTCTGAATATCCTCCAGTGGGTGGAGCCTGAGCGGTTGCGACCCGAGATGCTCATGGTCAAGACGGCGTACAAGGTGATCTGTAACAACGACTACGATAGCGATCTTCCTAAGCAACGATACTTGGAGCACAATGCGAGGGTGCGCGCGGGGGTGTCGCTCGACCGGTTCTTAGAGCTGAAGCCGGGCGATGGGTGGGAACCCCTGTGTGCGTTTCTGGAAGTGTCTATACCGGACAAGCCGTACCCCAAGATAAACAATACGAACGAGTTCATCGAGGGCGCGGATCAGGCGGATTCAGAGACATTGGAGAGACTGACCAGACCGGGGTTGATGTTCGCATTGCCAGTGGCGGTGGTTGGGCTGACGATAGTCTGGTGGATGCAGAAGCATTAACTAGCACTTTTGGTCAATACGAGTCTTGAAGAATCAAAGAGGAACTTTGGTTATCGTACGAGTTCATCTACATGCATTAGTGCGATTTCCCTCTGCTCTTAAATTTGGGGTATTGAAGCGACGCAAGGCTGGCTGAAAACTTCCGGATTGTCCGGAGCGAACATACAGAGCTGCAGCCTTGCCCCCATCCTGGTTTCTGACAGCTCGTTGATTTTGAAGCCAATTAACCAGTTGGAGAGACTCGGGACAGCTGCATCCTGTGTGACATGGCTTGGGCTGACTAAATTTGGTGCTTTGTTCAAGACGTTGTGAGCGAAGACTCTGAATCGTCATTCGTATCGATGTCTCTAATGGAATATTTTCTATTTAGATGCATCGCAATTATAGAGACCAACGCCAAACAAGATTTTCTATCCCTTCCATCATATTCGTCCCCAATCTAGCCCTTTCCCCAACCGTACAACATGGGAGTAAGAAAAACAAGCCCAATGATGTCTATGTCTATAGCTTCCCATACCTTGTCGATTACTATGACATTGTGGCGCCCAATTCCAAATCAGTCGACGATGCCTCTTTCTACTGGCGCGTCTACAACGAACTGAAAGCTCTTCGCGCCCCATTCCCTGCTGATCCCTTTATCGTCATGGATGTTGGTACCGGAACTGGTCGCGTTCTTCATGGCCTCGAGGCCAGTGCCATTGAGGCTGGTGCCGACCTAGTCGATACGGAGTTCCTAGGCGTCGACAATGCCCCGCACATGCTAGACAAGGCGCGACAAATCACTACTGGACTGCTCCAGAACCGCGTAAGCTGGGTCCTGGGCTCTGCGCTGGACCTCGAGGCCACCATAGCGGGGCGTGGCGACCTGAAGGTCGGCTTGCTGATCTTCTCCATCGGATCCATCAGTCACCTATCCGAGGACAGACAACCCGAGACATTTCTGGAGGAAGTGTCCAAGATTCTGCGCCCAGGGACGGGTCGGGCCTCTGTGTGGTGTATCGAGAGATGAACCATGGTGGGGAGCTGAAGGGCAAGGCCAAGCATATCCGGTTTAACATGCAGGTGGTCGATCGTAGCGAGGATGAGGAGAAGATCATCGAGGATAACCAAGTGTCGATGAAGATACGGCAGTGGGAAATAGATGAACTGGTGACCATGGTGCCTGAATCAGGACTGCATTTGGTGGAGAGCGTGAGGGGGAAGAACGAGACATTCTATGCGTTGAAGATAGACGAGTAGAGATTGTACAGGGATATTTTTATAACAATATCTTAGAGTGTCTTTTTCTATCCCTTGTCTATCACGTGGCTCTTCGAAGAATGGACGAAGAAATCCTGTCTTCTTCCTCAATTCCTTAGCATCAAGGCACAGAAAGCCTTGACAACTCTGCCGTGTCTATCCCTCTGGCCATCGATTCCAACGATACTCTACTCTAATTCCCTTGAAGTACCTCCAAAATGGTCGCCAACTCATCTAGCAAACAAAAAGCATCGGTGCTGCAGTATGTCTATCAGGTCAGGTCATCGGACGCTTTTGTCCTGGTCGCCATGTGTTTTGCTATGTTTACCGATACATTCATCTATGGCATGGTATGATATTTTCTGATTTACACCAATTCTTCATCAGGGTCAATTGGAGACTCATGCATTTACTAGATTGTCCCTATCCTACCGTATCTCTTGCTTCAGGGAGGGGAAATGTCCGACGATGATGGTATGAGCCTTTCCCACCAGAGCCAGCAACTTGAACACTGACGGCCATCAATTAGTCCAGAAGTGGACCTCGATTCTTCTCGCTACTTATGGCGCTGCTATTCTCATCGGGTCTCGTAAGTATCATGCCTTTGTAGACATTAACAACGGCTAATCCCCAACCCAGCCCTTATAGGGATGGTCAGTGATCGAATACAATCTCGTCGATCTCCATTGCTCATCGGCTTCGTTACAATCGCGCTTTCGACCTCCTTCTTTCTATTCGCTCGATCACCCGTTGTGTTGGTTCTCGCGCGCTTTTTCCAGGGACTCTCTGGTGCGATCATTGGCGTTTTAGGGCTGGCGATGATCGCAGATACTGCTCCACCGGATAAAGTGGGAGGATATATGGCAGTTGGATCTCTTTCATTTGCATGGGGGATGCTATCTGGACCTGCCATTGGGGGTGCTCTGTATGCTGATCGGTTTTCCCTTATATCTCGTACTGTATGGGGTTAACGGTGGGAAACAGATTCGATAAGCTGGGTATCTTTGGGGCTTTTGGCGTGCCTATTATGATGCTTGTGATTGATATAATCCTACGGATACTCATAATCGAGAAGAGTAGGTTACATTCCCATCAATAGGATATGGCGAGATTGCTGACTTTCTTCACAGAAGATGGAAAAGAACAACCTCAGTCTCAGCCAGACGAAGAAGCCCCCCTACTCCGACACGAATCCAGTCAAGAATCACTATCTCTCAAGAATTTTTTCCATCCCCGTCTGATGACCGCAGTGATTATGGAAGTAATTGTGTCTTCGATTCTCACAGGCTTCGAGACGGTACGTCAACTGCCACCCCAGAACTGTAGAAACAGTCAAACTAAACCATTCGAAGACCCTACCACTCTTCACTAGAGAAACATACGGCTGGTCCTCCACCGGCGCAGGCCTAGTATTCCTCCCCTTAACTATCCCCAGCTTCCTCAGCATCCCTCTTAGCAAACACGCCCGTCGCTACGGATGTCGCAAAGTCGTCGCCATCGAACTTATTCTCTCCTTCTTCCCCATCGTTGCCCTCCGCTTCACAGAACCAGACAGCCCCCACAACCAAATCCTCTTCATGGCTTTGCTCACTTTAATCGGTTTCTTCATGACCACCGCCCAGGCCTTCGTCATGACCGAGGTCTCGGATGCGATCCGCGAAATCGAAGTCCTACTTGGCGTTCAATCAGGCAAGAGCAGCGGCATGGGGACGGGGTATGCGTTCTGTAATATGGCAATGGCGACGGGGCAGTTTATCGGTCCTGTTTTGGCGGGATCGACGAAGTTGGGGTTGGGCTGGGGGATGATGGCGTTTATCTTGGGGGGTATAAACTGTGCTGTTGGGCTTTTATCACTGGTTCTTGTATAAATGGATGGATGGTGGACCAAAAGTTCTGGATTGGGCTATGGTCTTGGGAGAGCCATACATGGCCCCGATTCTTGTATATACCGCTATATACTACCTAGTTAATGACCGTGCCGTCGTGATCTGCCCATGAGGGCAGCACGGACGCAAAAAGCAAGAATATAAGAGACAGAAAAGCTTTATAAACAAGTAACAAGAATAGATTATAGACAGTTTATATATAAGATTTGATCCAGATTACTTCGACAATGGGGGCAGCTCACCATCCCACTGAATCTTCATCGTAGTCGGGAAAGGCGAGAAGCTGCTGTGGTCAGCATTCATATACAGTGCGATTCCACCAGGCCCAGAAAGTCTGAACTGTTTACCCTGGGGCCCTGGGCAACGGCGGAGATTGTCCAAACGACCAACGACCTTGAGCATAGTCGTGAGTCCCAGCTTGCAGAGTCCAATACCCAGACACTGGTGCGCTCCAAAGCCAAAGTGCGAGTATGATTTCATGTCACGGTCAAGTTTGACCTTTTCGGGTTCGGGGAAACTGACGGGGTCGTGGGATGCCGAAACCTATGATGCGAGGTAAGTAATTGCGGTTTTATGTTGACAGGTAAGGGTCACCCACCAAGTTGCAGATGATTTCCTGGCCCGCCTTCAGCATGACCTTTTCGCCATTGTCTTCGATAACTGTAGGAGTTGCTACCTGCCGAGGCAGTGCAACGGATGATCGGATTCGAGCTCCTTCCATGAAGCTATGGATAGTCAGTATACATCAGAGGTCAAGGTTCTGCAGGCTTACTATCGCAAAAGGATATCGTCAGCTTCGGGCGTGTCTTCCTTTGCTAAACGGTTTATCTCCGGTAGATGGACTAAGCCCTCATCCGACAGGTAATAGTCAAGGCACTGCGAAAAGAGTTGGGCCTGATTCGCCACCATGCCACCTGCAGTAGGTAGAATATGAGTATACACAATCTCGCTTGGCTCCTTGCCACTCTGTAACAGGTGTTGGATCATGTGCGTGCCGTACGCACTAAGGACGTCGTGACGGTGCAGATGGCTCACCAAGCTGGCGATGAATCCAGTCTTGGCCACGAGTTCAACGTTGGCCATGGTCAGTTGGCCGAGCTGCTGTGCTATCTTTCGAGCGGCCTGGTTGAGTTGAAAAGACTTTGCAATGTCCGCATCATAGAAGATGGAAGTAAAAACAGCGGCCATCATCGTGTACAGCTCAGACTCGGTGAAAATGCCCCTAGGGTTGGATTCGGTTTTGAGAGGCAAAGAGAAAACATTCGCACAGAAGTGGACCTGCGCAAAGTTGGCGACATCGCGAACGATGTCGACTTGGTTGACACCAGCGATCTTATAAGAGTACTGATGCAAAAGCTTCAAAGTAATCTCCTCGTAGAATTTCTTGACCTCAGATTCCCATTGATCCCGGTACAAAGCCAATCTCATCATTTGACGCGACGCAGCGTTGGGTGGCCTGTCCCCAGACAGCATAAAGTCCTTGCCGTAAGGCTGGTCATGATTCTCCATCAAGAATTCAATCTTTTTGCCCCATATGACTTTGAATTTTTCTTGGTCAGTGAGAATTGACACACAAGCGGCGTGAGAGTTGATAAATCGAGGCATGGGTGTGTAACTGGGCCGGTCCCAGCTGTATTTATCGACCTGACCGAGGTCGGTAAGAATCTTCCGGTTCTCAGATGGAATGACAAGAGGGTAGTGCGCGTAGATAGAATCACCCTTAAAGTGGTTAGGGAAAGCCCGGAAGACCAGTTGAGAGAAAACTTGAGTCTGGTCCACACTCGGCTGGAAGTTGATTTCGTTATACGCCCAATTCGTAAGGTGCTTGGGGGTAAAGTCCACCGTGTAAAACCGGTCACCGCGGACCAGAGCAACTGCATCAGAAAGAATGGCTCTTGAGATGGTAAAGTTGGTACAAAGTCCACTTCCAGGAACCAGGGGCTCTTTAGTATCCTCAACGATGACACCTGGATACATCTCCACAAGATCAGGGTGATCGTACAATCTCCTGAGCTGGTCGGCAATGTATGGATCAGGGTTGATCTCCTCGAAAGTCTTGTATGGGGCTAATTTGAAGAAACTTCTAAATTCGTTCAAGGTGGCCAGGTTCCAGGAGCGCGCTTGTTTTATTCCAAGGGCCTCGATACTTTTGAAAATGGTGGGGACATTGGAAGCACCGAATGCACCTGCACAGTCTTCAACACTCTCCTCAAAGATCTTCACAAGGTCATCATCGCTGAAAGACCCGTTTGATTGACGCTGTAGACCGGCAAATGGACGTTCCTGGGGATCGCTCGGTAGCTTCGCCTGCCATTGCCCAAGGCCTATAACAAATTCCTGCAAATTGACCTGACTGGAATCCTTTCCGGAAAATATTTCTTTGTACATATCTTCTGTCCATTTCTGGTCGCGTTGAGAAATGCAAGAGTGCCAGCGATACACAAGGTTGAACTCAGCTGAAACCTGATTTCCTGTAGCTTGGCCAGCGGCTTCACCAAGTATTCCATCCTTGATCTCAGTTCGAGGGTCCAAACTCCAAACGCTGTTCGTTCGGTTCACGTTCAAAATTGTTCGAACATAATCTTTCAGGATTATATTGACATAGAGACCGCCGGTCACTAGACGACCAGTCTGGAACAGGTCATTATCGTATTTTGCATATTCCGTCTCATTCGATTCGTCCGGTTTTGTAAATCTCCCTCCCTCGTTGATCCTCGCCAACTGCTCTACCACATAGTTATGGTAGCGATTGAACATGATCAGTAGGACGCCGACACCCGGAGGGAAACCCATAACGCGGACAGAAGAGAAACAGTCCGCTTTTAGTTTTCCATCTTTGAAAGTTCTTACGGCATCCTGTTCTTTCTGGTTGTTACCGTACAATGGTCCGAGATCCAAATATGATGATGTCGCTGTGGCCGTGGGGTCCTTTTGGTCTGTTTGAAAGATGTCTTGGTTCTCATTAGACATGTAAAAAGCAATGCGTTTTGTAACACACATACCATGGATGATGATAGATGCAACATAAAACAGAACGCTGGATATCTTGTTTGGGTGTTCTTTGAAATCTTTTCGGGCAAGAAGACTGTCGAACAGCGTCTCTGGCTCTGGAAGAGCAGAAGGCTGCATGGTCTTTGGCCGAACTGATCTTGCATAACTGGTGCCTGCGGCGCCGATTTGTGGCCATAGAATGTTCTTGCATGCGGATCAGCAAGGAATTCCCCATAAAGTCTAGGGTACACTTACATTGCCTGAACCATCGGCTTTGCGATACATGTTTTCGCGACCAAGATAGCTGCATAGCCTGTCAGATCAATACCAAGAAATGCTATCAATACCGAGACGTACGAAATTGGTGGATGTTGCAGGTCACCCCACAGTTGGTTTAGGAATGCGTTTGTTAACTCCCTGCCATTACGAGAGGTCGAGGGCAGCCCAGAAGCGAGCTGATATGTGGTTAGAAAACAGATAACCAAGCCACCGATCCGGGGCAAAGGCCGGACGAACCTGAATAACCCGCTCCTGTATATACTTCTTATCATCAGTCGGCTCGCCCGTCGTGGCATTCTTGGTGACTTCCAGTAAAGTCTTGAGATCGCCAAAATCGAAGTGGCCGATGTCATGGGCAATCCCAGTCGTAGTCGGTTGCTTGATATAAGTCCCATCACCGGTTTCAGTAGGCAGGGGTCGTAAGGATGCGGAGACGAGCTGCTCGACTTGAGATGCAGATTTCTCAATTTCGTTGGTGATAGATCCTGTCTTCTCGGCCATTGTGGATCAAGGTATTCCTTGTAGCAAATGAATATAATACAAACGCTAATAAATGTTGAAGATATTAGCATTCAAGCTTGTGAAAAGCCACACAAAAATTGCCAGAAATGAAAAATAACATGGTGCTTTCCAAGGGGAAAAACTGCCTGTCCAAGATTGACAAGCAATACAGAGCTCATTAAGAAACAGAAAGGAAGATTGCCCACCAAGTTGTTCAAGTCAAAATAATCACAAAAAAGATACACGATTATAGAGTACGGATAGTATTGCTCAAGTTGCAAATTTAGGGAGCAGTAGAAATACAGACAAGAAATAATCAACAGAGGACCGGATAAGCAAGCTCATGACGGGCCAACGATGCATAATATAATCGGGGAAAGCCTGGTACATATGTACATCACGAAGGGACAGCCAGACACGAACATGCTGAACTGGCTATGCTTGCACAAATCGTGTCCTTCAGAAATTCGGCATCAATCGAGAGACAATGATTGCCCCACAATCACCCACCGATGGTGGGTGGGTGTGTAATTCTGTCTTGGAGATGAAATTTTAATTCGTTCATGGACCATCATGACGAAAAGACTCACGGCGACTCCGAATCATTGTCCGAACCAGTGTGGAACAAGGCTGTTGGCAATGCAGCTGCGGAATTCAATTAATCGAATTGGAATTTCGCAAGACATCTTAGGCATTGATTAGCCCACATTCCATTGGAGAGATGCCGCAAATGGGCGTGATCGGCTCTGGTCTTCCGTAGACGAGACGCATCCCAAGCCTCTACGGCGTAAAAGCTGCAGGTCGTGCGTGTTTGGCAGCCAGTTATGGAGAATTAATAATGTCTGATTTGACGGCCATTGATAAGATGGTCCATATAATCATATGCCGATGAAAAATAATAATCACAGCCGGGCTCTGGGTTGATCAGCAATAACCTGAAAGCTGAAAGCTCGACACAGATGGTGGGCTCCACGGCTCCATTGATCCATTCAGGCGATAGAATGGAAGTGATAGGATGCGTTAGACCTTAGCCAGTTATTCAGCACTATTGTGATTGGCGATATTGATAGCATTTAACGGACAAGCTAACCGACCAGCTTCCTCTAGTTGGAGGCGCCAAATGTGTGATTGTTCCCGGAGGAAAAACAAATATCAGAAGGCTGGCTGGCTGACATTCTTACCGCATTGAGCAGTAGTCAAAATATTGCGAAGAGCAGATCGGAGAGTAAACACGCGACAAGGCTGACCGACCATTTCCAAATCTCGCGTCAGCTGACACATTTTCAGCTTAGTTGAACAATGCTCTTGTGAATATGTGGTTTGTATTGGATGCCTTGAAACACGATATGGAATAGGGGTCATGTCTTCCTGGTGTTTGTGAGAAGAAGAAAAGAGAGACCCTCGAATGATCGACCGTGTGTGCCTCAGGCAGATGTGATATGTCATGTGATACGTCTTCACAAGCCGAGGCCTGGATCGTTGGGGATTGGGGAGAATATTGGCCTTAATTTTCAGCTTTCGAACCTCAACCATTTTCCTAGTTGCTATTCCGTGGCTTCGGATTATTCTTGAGGGTTGATTCCTATTTTCACGGGTAGATTGCCAGCCTATTCAAAGCGATAGAGGCAATAAGACTATCTCAAGCTCCTAGACCAATGGCGTCAACAAAGATCACCTTGGTCATTGAACCACGGGGTATGCTTGTCGATTAGTTGCAGGAGACTTTTATTTTACTTACACATACTGATAGGAAAACCCATCAAGAAGCTCCCCAAGGAGATTCAGATTGAGCGTGATGCGTCTGTGCAGCAGATATACACGTCCCTTGCTGAGGCCTCCAGTTTTTCTATCCATCGTCTCCGAATTACCAAGGGAAGCGACCGTAGCTTGGTCCCGAATTCGAAGGATACCACCGTTGATGATGCGGGGCTGAAGGACAAGAGCGTGGTCCACGTCAAGGATCTCGGTATGTAACATTATCACCCCGCTCAAACAATTGCATTATGCCCGGGTGGTCTAACACATTGTTTCGTATCCTTCAGGTCCCCAGATCGCCTGGCGCACCGTGTTCATCATCGAATACTTGGGCCCTCTTCTCATTCCCGCACTTTTCCTGTTCCCTCTTCGACCGCTCCTCTACTACAACTTCGACAAGCCTCTTCCCGAGCCCTCTGACCTCCAGCTCCTGGTATGTGGATTATTGACCGTTCACTTCTTGAAGCGCGAGTTCGAGACCGTCTTCATCCACCGCTTCAGCAATGCCACCATGCCAGCCCGCAACATCTTCAAGAACAGCGCGCACTACTGGGTCCTGGCAGGTTTCAACATCGCCTACTGGGTCTTCCGTCCTGATGCCGCCGCAGCAAAAACAACAAACGAAATCAGCCCTGCCCTCTTGTACGGCGGATTGGGCCTGTTCGCCTTCTCGGAACTGGCTAACCTCAACACTCATGTGGTGTTGCGTGGTTTGCGCCGTCCTGGTACCACCGAGCGGGGTATTCCCACTGGCTTTGGATTCGGCCTGGTGACTTGCCCCAACTACATGTTCGAGGTGCTCGCTTGGGTTGGTGTCTACCTTGTGTCTGGCTTGAGCTGGAGTGTCCTGTTCTTTATCGCCGTCGGTGGTGCGCAGATGGCCAGCTGGGCTGCTAAGAAGGAACGTCGCTACCGTAAGGAATTCGGTGACAAGTACAAGCGCAAGAGCTTCGTCATGCTCCCCGGTATTTTCTAGATACGAGGCATGCAAAAAGAAAATCAAACCACTTCCCTGCAATGGAGATGCTCAGTTATATGGCAATCTCATTGAGGGGTAAATGGAAGGTTTGCTGTCCTGAATAGTTATGTACGAGGTACAAGAGGCAGATGAGAGCTCATAGTTATTGAAGGAATTGATGGAATATACACGGTGTCAAGTGATATGGAAGACTGACAGAAACTGCCTATTACAAAGGCAATGTCTAGTTATGATATTAATTATAATCTGGGACGCTGAGACGGCGTGGCCGATATCAAGCGGGCATAAAATCGAAAATATAATGATACTCATTTATACCATAAAAGTTTTAACCAAATCAACCAGATATTGTTGCGTTATAAGATCCCCTGCACCTAAAACACCAACCAGATAAAGAAAAGACTAAAGTCAAGAAGACAAAATCAAGAGCCAGTATACAGACGTGCTAACGTATAGGAGAGGTGCTTGTTTCGATAGCTTATTGATGTGTCAACTTTCTCGCCCAAGAGTTGTAGTACGGTTCGAGCTCCTTCTCGCAGCTCCGCTTGGGATCACTGTCGCATCCTAACAATCGAATGACGAAATCGCCATCCTTGTAGGTTCCATCCACTGCGGCGCCAGGGGAGTCTCTGCTGTAAGCGTTGATGATTCTCTGGGGCACCAACGCCAGCCGGGCCAGAATGGTCGGGTGCCATTGAGCAATATGGTCCTACAAGAGAGCAACTTATTAGCAACACGAAGTTTCAGATCGTTGAAGTGATCCCTCCTACCAAAGCATGAGTCTGTGCCTTTGCAAAGTTATACTGGCGGAACAAAGGATCGAACCAGAGATCGAGGAAGAACCGTGCAAACTCGCCCTGCTTGATCACAAAGCTGCCGGAGCTCAGATCCTCACTGTCTGTACTAAGGATCAAATCGATGTCATGGGCTTTCAAATGCGAAAAGGTCTTGATGATGCTGTCCGGTGGCACGACGGCAACATCCTTGAGCATCACAGACTCGAGACGACTTTTATCAAGAAGTTGGGACTTGAGAGACTGGCTCGTGTCCATTATCAAGGCGTGAGGGCTGAGATGGAAGAACCATGTCGAGTGAGAATGAACTCCCATAGCATGACGAACAGCAGGGACCAAGGCCCAGCTGCGCGGGGAATTGCCTATGGCAGTTGCGTAGTCGTCCACGTTCGCAAAGAAGTTGGTATAGCCTGTTGAAAAAGCGAGTTAATTAGATTAACATGCCAATCGCGAATTTCAAAGCCAGAATTGGTTCGCATACCATGTCGTTTAGCATAGTCTTCTCTGTTCCTGACGATCTTCTGGATGTAGTTGTCACTCAAAGCCGCACGGTCTAGAACGGTCACAATGACAACACTCGAGGTTCCAGCGGGTACTGCAATGGATGTCGTATTCGACGAGAAAAAGTGTGATAGAAGGAAGAAGATTGTGAGGATCGCAAACCCTAGGACTGCGACCGTCTTCAATTGTTGGCGGCGTTGATACGAGAGGCGGGATGATGAACGAGCATAAGGATGAGCATGAGGGCTCTTCCGTGGAGGGAGAGCAAACTGCATGATGCGAAAATTCGGCCCCCAGCGGTGTAATGCTGGGCGACTGAGATGATGATGAGAAACCTGTCGATCAGGACATAATTGTCGAACTGGTGGTACAACGACAAGCAGAACTAATGTTGGTCTGCCGGCGTTTTTGGTTCTGGCCCGTTGCGGCCGAATCCGGAAATGAACGGCGGATCAATTGTAGTCCCGGTGTACGAGAACGCTCAGTTGGAGAGCATTACATTGATTGAACTGATGAGGATTTGTCATTGCTCTGGATATGGAGTGCTAGACAGGCCGTGGTGATGGAAAGGAGAAATGTGTGAAGAAGAGCAGTAGAGTGAAGCAGCTGGAGCTGGATTACAATAAGATCAAAGACTGGCAAAAAGTGACACTGAAAGTATAAATACACCGAATACTTTAATTATGCAAATCCAAAGAAATCAATCGCAACCATGTAGAAGTATTTGTTGTTCCGCCATGTTCTCCAGGAGATCAACCACGCTGCAAGTGAAAATCGCGTCAACCGTCGTCGTCGGAATAATAATACAGACGCCCATCCGATTCGTATCGGTATTCAGGAATAAATCGATTGCCTGAGTAGGCCTGATGAGTGGCTCTCTAGTACAGTTTGTCGTTGTAGATAGGTTTTGTTGCGTCCCTGATGTTGGTATGCGCCTCGATGTCCGTCTTGATCTGTGCCTCCTTCTGCTTCACCCACTCCTCGAAAGTAGGAGGCTCCGGGAGTCCTAGGCGTTTTCTTTCTTGTTTGAATTGTTCCTGAATTTTCGGGGTTTGCATGATCTTCCATCTCAGTTCCCACCCGAAGATACCAATCTCCTTGATACGTCCTGGTCGGTCGTCCAGGAGGTAGTTGTCGAGACCACCCGCCTTCCAGATTGTTCGCAGGGCCTTGCGTGTGACTTTTATATACAGATGTTCTCCCAATGCTTCACTCCACAACTTCTTCCGTCGGACATTGGGCTTCCAGAATCGTCGGGTCTTGCCTTCGTTTCGTCCCTGGGAGATCTTGTTTCCGAACTGGATCATAGCACCTCCGTACAATCCAGAGTTCGACTGCTTGAAGACGTAATTCGGTCCATGAGGGTAGGCAGGGATATAATCTGGCAGCTGCTTGGTCTTCTGAGCGGCCGGTGTCGTGGAGAACGAACGTTTGGAGGATGCTAACGAAAGGCCGCGAAAGGCCGCAGAGAGCGAGGAGGGGAAAGACATGGCGGATCGGGTTTGTAGGCCGGCCATTGTGTTCGATTAAATGGTGATGGAAATATGGACCATCACAGGGGAGGCCAATTGATAGCAACAACAACGATGCTCCAGAGCCACGATGCGAGGTGGAAATCCCCAAGTGAAGCTGGGTCGGGAAAGAATTTGGGGCGGCTGACCGCCTTGGCCACGGGCGGCTCTGATTGCTCGATCTCCTGGCCTGCGCGCATGAATTTCGGCCAGAGGCATCACTTGGTCAGGACAGAATCATCGACGACTGCTTTGCTCTTCTTGTCATTGTGCTTTCTTGCGGATCACGTACCTGCTGACGATAATCTTCTACATCTCCTATTCTCCCTAATTTCAATTCCGATCTAAATTTCCTTTTCTGTGGCTCCCAAGTGAGGCCCAAAACCCCTTCACCATGGTCCAAATCAGTGAAGTGAAGGGCAATTCGCGCGAGAACCGCACGGCAGCGCACACGCATATCAAGGGTCTTGGATTACGCTCGGATGGTACGGCAGAGACTTCTGGTGATGGCTTTGTTGGGCAAGCGTCTGCCCGTGAGGTACGCGATGTTTTTGATGATTCGTTCGTTCTTGCGATGTGAGGGTTATTCTAACACAGCTTCTGCAATAGGCGTCTGGTGTTGTGGTGGACTTGATCAAAGCAAAGAAGATGGCTGGACGTGCTGTGTTACTTGCCGGTGGCCCTGGAACCGGAAAGACTGCTCTTGCTCTTGCTGTGTCGCAGGAGCTGGGTACTAAGGTTCCGTTCTGTCCGATCGTTGGCAGTGAAATCTACTCTGCTGAGGTCAAGAAGACTGAGGCGCTGATGGAGAACTTCCGGAGAGCAATCGGTATGCTGCGTTCTTTTTTTTTTTCGGGCTAAAGGAGCGTTGCTTTGACTAACCCATCTAGGTCTGCGAGTGCGTGAAACCAAGGAAGTGTACGAGGGTGAAGTCACAGAGCTCACTCCCGAGGAGACTGAGAACCCCCTGGGAGGATACGGACGAACGATCAGCCATTTGATTATCGGATTGAAGTCGGCCAAGGGTACCAAGAAGCTACGCCTCGACCCCAGTATCTACGAAGCCATCCAAAAGGAGCGTGTCACAGTTGGAGATGTCATCTACATTGAAGCCAACACTGGAGCTTGCAAGCGAGTCGGCCGATCCGATGCATATGCGACCGAATTCGATCTCGAGGCGGAGGAATACGTCCCCGTTCCCAAGGGAGAAGTCCACAAGAAGAAGGAAATCGTGCAGGACGTGACACTACACGATTTGGACATGGCAAACGCTCGGCCGCAGGGTGGACAAGATGTTATGAGTATGATGGGACAGCTGATGAAGCCCAAGAAGACTGAAATTACGGACAAGTTGCGTCAAGAAATTAACAAGGTGGTCAACCGCTACATTGACCAAGGTGTCGCAGAGCTTGTTCCCGGTGTTCTTTTTATCGATGAGGTATGATGACGGCGTACTGTATAAAGTCGTAAGCTCTAACATGACTCTTAGGTTCACATGCTCGATATCGAGTGCTTCACATACCTCAATCGGGCCCTTGAATCAACAATCTCCCCCATTGTCATCCTGGCCTCGAATCGCGGCAACACCGTCATCCGTGGTACCGACGACATCACTGCTGCCCACGGCATTCCCCCGGATCTTCTCGCCCGTCTCCTCATCATCCCTACCCACCCTTACTCGCCAGACGAGATCAAGACCATCATCCGGTTGCGCGCAAAGACTGAAAGCATCAACATCACCGATCCTGCCTTGGAGAAGGTCGCAGAGCACGGCAGCAAGGTCAGCTTGCGGTACGCCCTGCAGCTGCTGACCCCAGCAAGTATCCTCGCCCGTGTCAATGGACGACCGGGAGGAATCGAAGAAGCCGATGTGGCGGAATGTGAGGACCTCTTCCTCGATGCCAGAAGAAGCGCCGCGATTGTCAGCCAGGACAGCGGAAAATTCTTGCTGTGAGAAGAGTATATGACGAGGGGTGTTCTATCAGGGTATGGGTAAATCTAAAAGAAAAAAGAAAACCAAATCATGTATACCACGTCTGATATGCAAGTGTGTTTCACGTCCGGGATAGGCGAATATTTTCAATAAACCGTTTTACGTTAATGTCAATTATTGTACTACTTCAGCTTTGAGCAGCAGGAATATTTTGAATAACAGCATTGTTTCCAATGCCAGCGTATCTAATATCACATCGAATATAGAGTGGCAAGAAAGAGCATATCCACCTGTCTCGGCACTTGCATATATGAGTACCACATGGGGACCTCTTCCATCATTCAACCACGTTCAGCTCCAGAATACAGTAAGAAAAACTACGAGACAAGAATAAAATCACCTATCACATATACTCAATACCACCAAATAAAGATAGAATCGACCTGCAAAGCACAAAGAAAGATGAAACCTCGGCCGTTATCACGTGCGGGTCCATGCGCATCATCATCATCGGTCGGCCTGTCAGCCGTCTTCTCTCCCCTTCCATTGCTTCACCCATTCTAGCTGTCTTTTGCGTCTTTTTTTATCGTCATTTTTTTCGCCGATACACCGTCTGCTTTGCAGCCGAGAATTATTCCCTGTTGTCTATATAATCTCGGGCCTCGAGCGCCACGCAGACAGCAGGATACACCGCTACCACCTCGAGATAAGGTGGAATCGTCGATCATCTACATACATCTACGCAACACCTCGCTTTGATAAATCACAAACACCGCCATGTCTAATCCCCTAGACACCGATGCCGGCTCGGAGTTGTTCAGCAGCTATGAGACCGAGCTGAAGCTAGTACAGGCCGACCTGAACCAGAAGCTGGACCAGATCGCAGAGGCGAGCGGGGAGCAAAGGAAGACAGCCATCCGGCAAGCCGAGAGGTCCGCGGAGGAAGCCCAGGAACTGGTTCGTTGTTCTCTTCACTTACTGAATGAATTAACCGTGGTCGTTTCTTTCTAACATGATGGATAATAGGTGGACCAAATGCGGATGGAGAAGGGGAACATTCCCTCGGCGGCGCGATCAAAAGTCAACATTCGCTTCCGTAACTATCTTAGCGACCTTGACGAGTCTAAACGCAAGCTCAAATCCCTAGCCGACGACCGCAAGGCGCTCTTCGGTGATCGCTACACGGACGATCCGCAGGACGAACACCTGGAACAGAGACAGCAGCTTCTATCCGGTACGGAGCGGCTGGAGCGTAGCTCCTCCCGGTTGCAGGAGAGTCAACGGATTGCGCTCGAGACCGAGGATATCGGCCGGAACACGTTGGCTGATTTGGCTGTCCAGCGGGGGACTATTGAGCATGCTCGTGCGGGGCTGCATCAGAGCGAGGGCTATGTCGATACTAGTATCAAGACACTGAGGGGAATGGCCCGTAGGTAATGACGCCTTCAAAGCTTTGTGGGGACTTGAGATGATCAATTGCTAATGATGTTTACAATATAGGATGGCTACGAATCGCATAATTACGATTGCGATTATTACTGTTCTGGTGTTGTTGATTTTTGCCGTTATCTACAGCAAGTTCCATTGAGCGTTGGGTCTAGCAGGCGTTACAGGATATTAATTCCGTTCTTTCTTTTACATTAATTTTTACATGTGAACGACATATCGTGTCGAATTGCGAGTCCTACGAACCCTTGTATGATAGAATCCATCGAGTTTAATCAACCGACATGACAACTCATCAATCAACGATAGTATTCTGGGGTATCATAGAACAGAACCAATAATAAATAGATATAGACACCAATGCCCCAATGCCCCAATGCTTCAATTCCCATGCAAATCAATCAATCAATTCATAATCCGCATCGCCCCAAACGCAACGTTAACAACCACACCAACGAACACAGCCAACCCCTTCCGCCAACTCCACACACCTTCCTCCCTCCTCAACCACATCGCACACCCAATAGGCCAAAAGAAGCCCATCACAGCCCCCCAAAGCATATCATCCATAGCTCCTCGAGACCCCGCCCCAAACCCACCGTCATCGTCAGCAAACGATGCCCCGCCCCCACCTCCACCCCCACCCATCATCGCCGCCGGGGTCGCGGACCCTTCATCTAACCACCGATCTTCGAGATCGCGCAGCTCCGCACCCGAGGGCATGGTATCCGGCGTTCGGGAGGCGGATAGCACGGCCATGAATTGGGACCGGAGGGCTGTTACCTCTGCGGCTGTGAACCCCGCTGTGAGGAGACGGTCGAAACCGCGCGGCGCGGGTGTCGTGGTGGGAGGCTGCTGCTGTTGTTGCTGTCCCTGCTGCTGCTGCTGCTGATCGCTGGATTCATCTTGCGAGTCCGACGACTCCTGTTGCTGCTGCTGCTGCAGGAGCGTCGAGGAGATGGCCGCTTCAGCATCGAGATCGGCATCCGATAAAACAATATCACCGATCGAGCAATGAATGTAGAGACGAGGTTTATCTCGAACGGGTTCCTTGCCCTTTCCCTTTCCATTACTGCTTTCTCGATCCCCATCGTTTATAGGGCACGGTGATCGTGCTGGTGATGGGGGCAGTTTCAAGGACACAGTGAGCGGGTTGGCATCTTCCAGACCACGTCCGGCGTAGATCAGGCGGAGGCGATGTGCAGAGAGATTGGAAGGGAGGCGACCGCGGATTAATTGTTTCAGCCCTGCGGCGGTTGTGATTTCGGGACAGGGGATGTCCAGAAGAAGGTCTGATATTGATGCGGAGAAGCGTACTGTGAGTAGGAGAGGGTCGGCTGCGTCGGTCGTGGGATCGGGGGTTAAGAAGGGAGATGTCATGGCTGATGAGTTTAGTACTGGCTATTTAGTCAAGGGGTATGTTCAATGAGGGGAGTATATGGAGGGAAAGTGAGGAATCGTCGATGTTGAGCTGTGTCATCCGGCACTGCTCCTGTCTTGGTGATGCGATAACAGATCGACCGCTGCTCCATAACGCCGATATGCGTTATCGGGTTTCCCGAAATGTGCTCACGTGATATCAAGTATTCCGCGGCCTTCTTGGAGGCCTATTATTGACTACAGGGCTGAATACTGCACAGCAGATCATTTTAAAGAGTGGTATTTGTCATAATAGTATTCTAGGTATCATTCTACATATCTGCCAATGCATTTGACTGGTTTATACAAAGTAAATGCAAGCGTCCCAAGAGCTTGCGTTCCCCGTCTGTCGGGAAACTATTCCGCTGTGAAAGACAGAATTCACCCTCAAAAAATGCCACAGCAAACGAAGCCAATTCTAAATAAGCCCACTGGCAAAGCAAGTCTTCGCTGCTTTGTGTCATCTTCGTAGAAAAAGGGTCGAGGGCCATATGATATCGCTATCCAGCCCAATGGCTGGGGTAAAAGGAAAACAAAGTCGTTGAATGAGTGTATCTCAAAAAACTGGGCATTGATAGCCCGGGAATCAATCGAACGAATTCAAAAACATGGTATGAGTTTATCCGGAATGGGAACCTTCCCACAAGAACGCCGTCCGATGCACCGATAAAAACCCTTAAAAGACGCAAAACGAGATCATGACTGACGAATTATACCATGAAGGATTCACCGCATCCGCATGATTCCTCTGTAGATAACATGTTAGTCATCGCATTCAAAAAAGAACTCTTCGAAAGTAAAAAACTTACTGATGTTGGGGTTTCGGAAAACAAATCGTTGGCTGAGCTTGTCCGAGTGCCAGTCCATCTCACTGCCAATGATACTGAACAAAGCTTTGCTGTCAATCAAAACCTTGACGCCATCCTGTTCCACCACCTCATCAAAGGTACCCGGCTTTTCGACGAATTCCAAATGGTAAGCAAGGCCGGAGCAACCGCGGTTCTTCACACCGACTCGGATCAACTTAGGTTCGGGCTGGGAGAGTAGTTTGCGAAGTTGTTCAATGGCGACTGGTGTCAACTTCATAGCCGCCTTGCGTGGGCGCAGTTTCCGGCGAGGCTTCTCTGTGGGTTTGGTAGCCGAGGCGGTGGAGGCAGGCTTTGGTTTTTGCGACACATTCTCGCTGGCAGCGGTGTTTAGTGGTGTCTCTGATGGCTGGGGCTTTTGCTTTTGTGTAGGCTCAGGGGCGGGAGGAAAATCAGCAGCGATGGAAGAACCGAAATTGCCGGTGGATCGGGGAGGAGGGAAGGACGTCGGTAAAGAGTGAGGACGGTAAGCCGTAGCGGTCTGCATGTCTCGCTTGGAGGAGCGGTATACGTTTCCGTGTGATGAAAAGGCACGGACAGCCTGAAAGGATTGTCCACTGCATTGCTTGCTGCTCACAAATCTGAGGATTGTGGCGGATGATGTCACCGGGTGGTGAGCAGCCCTACAGAACGACATGATGCAGAGAATGTAAGATGCAATAGATGATTGCTCGAGTAGAAAGAAGATGGGATATTATTATAAGTTCATGAGAACTAACGTGGATGGTTGACAGTAGGAGGGATGGATGGTGAGAGTGAGAGTTTGGATGGAGAAAAGCATCGAAGTCGAAGTCGGGGAGTTTTGAGTCTGTTTGGAGGCGGAAGTCGGTTATTTGGGGCGGGAGGCAGGGAGCCAATCAGCGCACAGGCGTTTCTACACAACGGACAATGGCGCCACTCTCAGCTGATGTTGAGTCAGAGTGGGCAGATGATGTGATTCGCCGGTGAGGATTTATTCTCTGCATGACTGACTTTATTTTCGGGATCTAAAGAGTTGCGATGATCGCGTTGTGATGCTGGCAATCACTGCAATGTGCTGATGGGCGACGCTTGATGATTCGCATGCATCCCATTGGCTGTGGGGCTGACTAATGGGGTTCTCTGATATTCCCCTGACCTGCTGACTCGACTGTGTGATGGAAAGTATTCAATAACTAAGATACCTAGTATTATATCAAGTGCTGAGATGATAGACAGGTCTAGTAATCAATAGCATCGGTAATGCCATGGCGCTAATGCAGATGTCTGTCGTACAGCTTCCAATACAAGGATAATGGTTTACTGGATGTGCCTGGAGTCAACCACTCTATCGTTGCCAAGCCATCGACACTTCATATATCTTGTATAATAGACCATATGGAACTCAAATAGACTGTAATTATTGTGTTATAACCGTCAATATTCAATATTGAATATAAGCCCACGTGGGGATGCCTTCTTTCGGTGAAGATAGAGTGAGTCATGTGATCTTAAATGAGGTGTTATTCTGCCGTTGTATACCGCCTGACCAGATGACGTAATGGAAGCCTCGAAGCTGTTTTCGAGACATCGAGACATTTTCGTATTTCCATTGAACAGTCAAGTATTTCTGGTTGAGACTGAATATGAATGAATATATTGACTGTCTCGCTCATTCTATCCTAAACAAACCGTAATAACGGCCCATTGAGCCCTGTATCCGTCCATGCAAGACCCGTGGGTCGTTTGATTAAGGAAATGTGGCTGGAAGTTCATTACTGCTGCTGACAACGCAGGCCGTGGCTGGTGCTTTGTGTGTCTCGATCGTTGTCCATTCTATTATTATCATCCTCAATCTACAACTTCTACGCCCGACTGGTCTGTGTTTACGGCCTCATCCTATTTGACTCCTTCTCCTGTCATGCGGACGATGATCCAGCCGTCTTTGTCGATCATCGAGCCTGTTCTTCTTCCTCCCACCTTTGTTTAGGCACTCATCATGGATTCCCCTCTAACCCAGCAAAGTAGACCCGAAACCTTCAAACCAAAGATTGTACAACTCTATGAAAATCTCTTCCGGGTATTTCTTCTGAATAATTATTCTAATATCCTATACTAACATCATTCGCAGACTTCGGACTTTGCAGAGCCCTCCGAGGGATTCTGGCGGGAATTTTTCTTGCTGCCTCCGGATAGAGGCCAGCTCCGTTCAGTTCTAGATCACCTCAGCGCTGATGACACCCTCAACTTGCATGTTCGTGATCGGTTATCATCATCCACTGGTTTCTAGTTGCTGACTCGTTCATCAGGTTCAAACCCAGCAGCTTTTTGCTCGTGCCATCCGTGAGGCTGCCTCCGGAGTCGGCCCCGCTGATTCCTATGCATTGGATGTAAGTATCAAAGAGAGAGATTCAGAGACCCCCGTCTAATACTTATGGTAGACCTTGAGTGTCTTTCTGGCTTGTGTTTTGAGAAAGAAATACACAAACCCCAGCTCTGATATCATCACGGTCCTCGCAGGGCTGGATGAAGTGGACCATATCATTTCCGAATTCGTCGCCGTGTTGGACGGCATCATTCGCAATGGCAGCAACCGTGAGTATCAATATGCCTCTTCATGATCGCAAATCTGGTCTAATTATCTCAGTTGATCTCCGAGTCAAGGCAGTCCGAACTGCTATTGCCATGACTAGCGGGGCATACAAAACTAGCCTTGTTTCATACTTTACCCACCGGGATCTATTTCCCTCTCTTATGAAAGTACGTCTTCCAACTGAGATGCAAATTAGAAAAATGCTGACAGTTACATAGTTCGTTCATGAATCTGATACCCCTATGCAAGTATTTGAACCGTTTCTCCTTCTCGGGTTGCTGGCAAACTACAACAAGTTTGAATTTCAAAATCCGTACCAGCTGCGACTCGATGACTTTGTCAACGAGTCTAGCATCCAGAAGATTGTCAGAGGCGTTGGCATTTCATGTGCTGCCCTGCGAAACGGCTATGTTGCCGTGCAAGATGATGCCCCTGAGGGCTGGTCCCTGATCAGCACCCTCATCTTCTTCGGTCTGGGTGCCTTTGCCCCAGGCTCAAAAGATAAGGCCACTCCACCAACGGCAGAAGAGGCAAAGGAGATGTTCGCTTCACTGTAAGGATCACGACGCTGTTTGAACTACATTTACCCAAGCTAACAATATCAGACCGGCTCAGCAGGCAGGCATCCTTCTGGCTTCCTACGATTTCACCAACGCAAACAAGCTCTTCGGTTATCATCTGATCCATATGTCCCCTGAAAAGAGCAACGAAGAGTCGCCCTTTGCAAGCTTCCTTTCCTTGACATCGTACCTTCTGCAACACGCATACAGGTCCCCTAGGATTGCGCACTATGCAGAGCTTAGTCTCTTCACCCTTCGCATTCTATCCGAAGATTCAAACTTGTGCAAGCAGCTCTGCGGTGATGACGGCAAAAGAAAGGTTCGACTCTGCCGACAAAGACAGCCATATCTTCCTTTGGTCGCTGGAGACCGAGTTCTTGCAACAGTCATCTTCGATATCGTGATTGATGCGATCTCTCACAATCTCCGTCGACGCCTCGATGCAAACCTCTACAGGTAATCCGGACCATCGTTTTAACAAGCCTTCATACTGACTCTTCCAGCCATTCCATCGCAATTCTCCTCCGCCTTTTCACCTACCTTTCGATGAACAAGATCCGACTGGCATACCACTGGTCCGAGCTCTGGCGCACACTACTATCCCTGATGCGATTCCTGACCACCTACGCATCCGACCTATCCAGCAACCCCCACATTACCACTCTCACCACCTCCCTCGTAGACCTAGTCGCCTTCTGTGTCTCCGCCGGTGACACTTTCCTCCCGGACCCAGCCTCCTACGACGACCTCTTCTACAAACTCGTCGAAACAGGCCCCATCATCATCAAATTCCGCGACGTCTACGCTCTCAAATCATCCACCACCTCATCCTCCAAAATTCCCAACCCAACCGCATCAACCAGCAAAGACATCCATGTCGCCGCCATCGACACCCTAATCGCCGTTTCATCCCACTTCTACACCCTTCTCTTCAACCCGGACCAAAACGCCGACGCCGCCACCGACAGCCCCAACCCGGACGGCGAACTCGCCGCCCCCGCGCCCCTTCCAGCTGCGATTCGAAAGAACCTGAGTCCCCGTGAAGTCCACCGCATCATCAAACAGGGATACGACACGTTGAGTATCCAGCCTCCCGAGGGTCTTAGTGCGTGGACGAGATGGCGCGAGACGGACTGGAAGTCCGAGTTGAAACGGGCTGCCAGATGTGCCGTTGACGATGCGAGACAGTTGGTTGTGTAGTTTGTTTTTACTTCCTTTCCCTTCTTTCATACTTGGACTAAAGTACATAGCCCGAATGGGTGAATTAATGATACGGGTTTGTCATGCATACACGTCTTTGGTTTTCCCACGATTGTATGTTTTTGATTTCCGTGTAGATATTGATGAATCGGATATAGGGATACGGATAGGGATATGAATACCTCTTTTGTCGTATTTCTTTCTTTCCATTCGAACTCGAGCAAATTGAATTATGGCGGCAAAAAAATAGTGACAATAAAGAAACCATACCCAGAATGCTTTTCTTTCCTTCCCCTTCCATAAAATCGCCCAAATTCTAATATTACAAATCGAACTACTGTTCAGTCATAATGTGCGTAAAAAAATATAAAAAATAAAAAATAAAGTAGTTCCCCCATTCTTCCAACCGCCCCACTCCGTTTATAAGATGTCAGTCGCCTTGAAGATTGAGTGTAGTTCATTTCGCAAAGAGAATAGAAAAGATAAGATGGAAATAGTTAAGAACCGGTAATTATCGACGAGCTTCTCACAGACTGGACTAGACCAGACGTGATGTGGCTGTTCCAGGGGTTGGGTTTGGAACGCCTCTTGACTTTTCGACGTACTCGTTACTCGCTGTCATGTATCTGGTGGCGAAGAATTTGTCTGAATTTTTGCTCAGCCAGATTGTGAACTTGGAGAGTTCTTCTCGGAGTCTGTTGATGGACTGGAGGTCCATGTTTGTCTGTGCGATGAGTTCGGGCATTGTGGCTGTGATATTGTGAGTGAAGTCCAAATACTTCAAAGTCTAGACAATTTAGACATACCAAACAATCGGGTCAAATGTTCAGCACCGTAGATATCTAGGGGCCCCTTGTCCGCGAAGTCTCCTGACGAGCCCTCCCATTTCTTTCGGAGAACGCGATACTGTTCACGCTCAAATCTGTACAGGAGGATCTTGTCGAGCGATTTGTCAAAGTACTCTCGAATGCCCATCATGACTTCTTCGAGAACATCGAATTCGGCTGCGGTGGTGCGCTTCTCCTTCTCCTCTGTGACATACTGCTCGAGGATTTGGTTTACTGAAGATTTGGCGGGTAAGGCGACGACTTGTTGGTTTTTGGTCACATTTTCCCAGTCGTCGACGAGAAGAGACTTTAAGTTGTCGGGCATCACAATTCTCACTGAGGGCCGGACATAGAAGCTCTCCTCCTGTAGTCATGTTAATATCCCAATACTAGTAGGATAAATGCAAGTGAAAAAAAAGACTAACCTTTTCAACCTCATTATCACGACCCCGCTTGGTTCCGCGGGCAGGGACGGAGGTTTGTCTCTCCTCGCTTCCCCGGGCGGAGCTGCGATCGGAGCCTCCTCTCTTCTTGGTAGCAGCCTTGGTGTTTCGCTGGCGAAAAGCAGCTTCAGCCTCACGACGGAGAGTCGTGGCAAGTTCCCTATTCTCCTCTGTAAATTTACGGAGTCGATCTTGGGGAACCCAGTCATCCCAGCTGGTGGACAGTTAGCCATGATACTCAATCTGAAGACAACGCAACACAATATTATCGGGAAAAGATGCATATGCGTGATACATAGCTCCCAGGCAAGGGATCCAGTGAATATCCAGCAAGAAGCATTCGGGGAGTGGCAAAGTAGGACGAGGAGAGTCCGGGGAAAGATACGTACGTGTTCTTCCAGCCCTTGTAATGCACGAGATACTCGTACGGGCTCTTCCGATCATCCGGATCGGTGTGTCTTGTATCGAGGATTTTGGCCTCGTACAGGATTTCATGATGAAAGCACAGGACTTTCTCATCTTTTTGATAATTCATTTGGCTTGCTGGGGCCATTTTGTGCGGAATAACAGGGGTATTTGTAAGAGAAAAAAGACGATGACCTTGTCTCGACAGAGCAAGTGAAGATTTGAGCAGAAGAGCTGCTCTTTGAAGGACCTCTGTCTTGGCAGGGAACTGAAAGAAGAAATACAGCAATAGAGAAAGAAGCAGATGAACTGAGGGGGTATCGAAAGCAAGATAGCAACACGTAAAGCACAAAAATAGAAAAGCTTCGATGAGCCAGATAGAACAGTATAAAAGAGATAGAATGTCTAGCAAGACGATTCAACCAGCTTCTCAGGCAGTCTTATGCTTTCAGCAAAGGAGACACGGGTATAGAGAGAGCTAGAGAGATAAGTAGCTGGTGGTGAGGATGGAGATGGAGATGCGGCTGACAACCAACACTTGGCCCAAGCAAAGCAACCAGACAGATAGAAGAGGAGAAGAAAAGCACGATGATCAAGAAAGAACAGCCGAGATAAGCGACGCAGCAAGATGAGGTTCTGGATACAGCGCGTGGGCGGAGGTTGAGCCGGAGACGAGGCGAGGAACACCGAAGAGGAAAAAACGCGTCGAAAAGCGCCGGCTTCAACCCTTTTTTCGGCAGAACAAAAAAACCTCGTCGCGATTGTCTCATCACGACAATCATCGTCCGTCTGAAGCCAACCACAATCGTTTCTATCATCAGAGTCAGGATTTTTAATTACAGCTCCCATCAATCTGTTGCTGGTTCTATTGTCCCCATCTTTACTCCTGTGGGTCTATTGCTATCACGCGTGGCCATTGACACCTGCCGATTGAAAAGAAGAAAGACTATTGTCACATCCATCGCATCATGGCTCCATCAGAAGAATCCATTCTGAGTAATTTCCTCTTGTCCTCGGCTCCCTTGCCAACGGTCATCTCGTTGCAGCAATTCACAGAGCTTTTCCCCAAGCGTCTGCGCTCCCATCCGCATATCAAGGTTCTCTATCGGGAGTTACAAGAGCTCCGAGAACAGGATATGAACCAGGTCAATGGGAACATCGACACAGAGAGACAGCAAGGCGAGAGGCAAAAGGCCGAGCTTCGAAGATCCATCATGAAAACCGGAGTCGACGGTATGAGCGAAAATGATCGTCGCGAGATAGACATGGACGTTCAATTGTTCGGCAAATCCTCCTCGTCGTCTTCTGATGATTATCATTCTGTATCCAGTCTCTTAGCTGCAATGGAGACGGCTTGTGAGGGTATTGAGCGTGAGATTTCCGATGTGGATAAAGATGCGTCTGAGATGTTGTCGCGGCTCAATGCGAATGTTGGTGAACTGAGCGATTTACGCTATGGGAAAATGCAAGGCCCCCCAGGGACTGCTGATGATGCTGTGAATGAGGCAATCAAGGGTCTCAATAATCTTGAAGATACTTGCTATCGCAATAGTCTCTCATGATTTGTGTCATTTATGTTACAAAATACCCCCGTCTCGTTGCATGTCATGAATCTTCTTCCCACGGGTTACTGTAAAGCGCATCTCAATCTCTGGTCTGTAAGGCCTCGCTTGGCCGTCAGTCTCTATTAACTCTATGGATCAGCTTCCTTACCTATCTGAAGTTACCAATCGCAAAAATGCAGCCATTTGTACAAGATGGTTCCATATGGCAGGTATCAAATATCCGAAAGGAACACACCGCCGCTTATTTAAACAAGATCTTCGCTTCCTTAAGCATCGATGATCTTCCCAACATCTGAACTCAACTATCCAACTCTTTCAAAAGCGTTTCCCCCACGAGAAGCACCATTGTATCATCCACCTCTGGCACCGCTTCATCCTTCTTCACCGTCGGAACCCCAACTTCGTCGAGCTGAAACGGAACAACAGGACACCTCTGTTTCCAATTGACAGTCGCATTTCCCGGTACTCTGGGGAGAGGCGGAAAGCGGCAATATCCAGAAGTGCTACGATAGGCTCCTTCATGTTTCAGTTCATCGTTGGTAGGCCACGGCGCCTGCATTCGGCCCAGTTTGTTCTCGATAGAAGGAAGCCAAATCGACTCCAGCGAGAGAACCGAAGACAGCGAGTCTCGAAACTCCTTCCCAGAAAAAGCTGGCTGCACTAGCTCCTTGGTCTCCTTCATCTTGTACATTTTTGTGATAGTCAAGCGCCGAAGACCTTCGGTGTGTGCTTCTTCCTTGGAAAAGATGCGATGCGATATCCACTCGGCCCAAGAACGGGGGATAAACGGCGAGTTGGGGGCGACGTGAAGGTAGTTATCTCTGATTCTTGCAAAATTGTCGTATTCTTTTGCTTCTTCTGATACCCAAGTCTTTGAAGCCGTGTGCGACATTGATTTAAGATGTGTCGGTAGTATATCCAAGTCTACATATCATTCTCATGTTAGCTTTATTTCTTTCTTTCTCTTCTGTCAATACAAGGCCTGTACCTCTTTGCCAGACACAGACGGTCGTCGCGATTTAACCAAAAGCAGCCAAAACGCAGATCCATCCACGTCCAACTGCTAACAATATGCGGTGATGTCTCCTAGGAGGTCCAAGATGGGCGATCAGAGCAACGATATATGCTCAACTTTCTGAAAGCCCTGATGACCAGCGTTGCCAGGTGCTGGAAGAGAGAGACGAAAAGAAAGAGACAAAAGAGACAAAGCTTGTCTAGAATGAATAAATGATATCAAGATCTCCCAAAGAGAACCCTGCCATGCAAGAAGGATAGACAGTCTTCTGGGGACAAGAAGAACAATGGGGAGGGGATTGACTTGTGAGGAGAAGAAGAGGGAGAGAAGCAGAAGCAGAAGAGAAAAAGTCGTGGCTGTCTTGTTGTTGTCAGGCAGTGTGAGTGGCAGAGTATCCCACCACAGCATCTCTTTTATGCCACATTGATTGTAACAATCTCAGTCTCTTCTAGCCAGTCTGCAGCTTTATCAATTTTTTCTTTATTTTTTGTTTTTTGTACAATTATCAAGATGGCATGTGTTGCTCTATACAAATCCTTATCTGAGTCTGAAGTTGAAGTCGATATAGCCATCCATTCTACCATCAATTGTCAATAGAGTGGATCTATATATTCACTATGAAACCTGTTAGACTCTATAATGTATCTCATTTTGTTTATTATATTATCTTTATTATTTAAGGCGTTGTTGTTTTGTTCTGTCGCATTATTGTTATATAGACAATACATTTCCCAAATAGGCTAAATCTGTTTCTGCCCGCATTGCAACGCGCTAACATTTTGTCCTTCATTCACTCTTCTTCCTCTTCCCCAATCCTCCTCATCTCCATCTCCCAACTCTCACGATAATCAACCTAGTTCCTCCTTTTATTCCCTATCTCCTCTACAATACAATGCCTTCAATCCCTCTCCACCCCCGAACAATCAACCCCTCCACCCCCTCCAACGACAATCCCCTCCCTCAACTCCTCCAAACCCCTTCCGGTCTCGCAATTCTTGAACTCCAAGGCACAATCAACGTTCCCTCCCCCGAAGACGACCAAGAAGAGAACACAATCACAGACGAGAATGAATCTAATAACCCCTCCACCGCCTTCGAGACCCCGATCGGAAAGCTCATGTTCCCGGACTACTCGCCGCTAAACCCGGACGACACGAAATGGATGAAACGGGTTTATCTCTATGTTGGCCGATATCAGCGCATGACAGGCGAGGTGAAGAAGCTGGGACAGCCGATTGCCCTGGTGCAGCGACGACAGCCGACGGGGGAGGATGGTGAGGGTGGAGGTGAGGGGGATGAGTTGGAGATTGTCGAGGTTGTCAAGTACAAGCTGTTCTTTAAGAATCGACCGGAGCCTGTGAATGATAGCTAATTTATGGGGGTGCGCTACGGATTACGGATTACAATGCGGACACAATGCTGGAAAGGTTTAAATCCTCGGGTTGGTCCGCAGAACGACATGGCAGCGCTAATAGTCTTGCCTTCCTGCGTAAGGATGGTAAATACGGCATCATCTCTGCAAACCAAGCGCAACGGTCGTCAAAAGAGAGCTATACTCGGAAGAGGAAAACAAAGAGACGACAAACGTCTGCTTCCGTTCAGATGACGCCATTATCAGCCAGTTATTACAAACGGACATTTCTACTCGACTGGTTATCTTCAAGTCGAGGGTATCCAAGCCAGGAACTTTATACCAGGCAGAGTATATTTTTAAATAGATATACGTCCAACACATATGCAATGAAATCTGCTGCAGTTGCATCCCGATGCCTTTCTGCCTCTGAAACATGGAATTATACAAACCTTGATGATCTCTACCAATTTTTACCCACCATGAGGCTTGAGATGTTTCACCCAGACCTCGCTATCCATGGAGAATGGGCGTGTAATTTCCTACATTCGTTTCACTTCAACTCCTCATATATGGGCCCAGAATATTAGGGTTTTACCATATCACTGGTTACGTGGGAAATATGAAACAGGCTGCTTCATGCTATGTGACTTGCAGATCGTGGACTGAAACAGGCTCGTTGCATCGCATAATTCCCATAACGACGCTGTCTTCGTTCTTCCCCCATTTGTGTGCCGGCATATATGAACTATGTGGATGGCCTTACAGAGGCAGGAAGGGTCTAAGTCGCATTCCAGCCTCATGATTTCATCGCAGTTGTATCTTGACTGAGAGAACGGGTCTCCTTCCTCATGCTATTCGGATCTGCGTGAGCGGCTATCTCAGGTTAAGCGGTTAGAAAAGGATATTTCTATGCTGGATAGGTTGAACGCAAGGCTATCTACTGCAAATTTCCAACAAGCACGTTCTGGATCGACAAACGGTTTTATTGAAGTGATTCAGCACAATAATATTGATGGTTTGAGCAGGAATAAAGGAATCTTGAATCTCCATATGATGATGGCGATGATGAGATGAGATTCCGCAGTGGCAGAGAAAAAGAAATACCCGCGCGGAATTCAGCGCACCCGAGGGAATTTCCGCACTGCAATGAGAATCAGAGTGAAGGAATAGAAAGACGTTATGAAAAGTCCAAGAGATGAGAATAACAATCTCAGTATATCTAAATAAACAAATAGCAGTAGAATAGAATGGAATAGCATCATCATCGGCATCAACCAGCCGTCCGAGCCCGAGCATCCGTCGGGATTGATAATCACCAACAACGCCAGCACAACAACAAATGATGCAAAGCAAACCGTGTCATTTCTGAATCCTTCAGCTTCAATTCATAATCAATAATAATAATCATAACCATCCTACCCCGCAGTTCTTTTTCCCCCCGATGGTGGGAAGATTCCGTATAAATATCCCCTCCAGTCTCCGGTTCACCCCTCCTCCCCCTCTTTATTCTCGTTCATCTCTCGCCGCTCCTACTATTTCTCTTTCTCGCTTCCAGTTTCAATTTCAATCTCAATTCCATACGAAGAATAACAAAATGGCACCCATCGAACGCATCACCCTCTTCAAAATCCCCAACGAGGAAGACCGGAACCGCGTCCTGGAGCAATACAAAGTCCTCGCCAAAACCGCCACTAAGGTATTCATTCCTTTTCCTCTCTTTTCCCTCTCTATCTTATGGATTTGCTTGATGCTAAGTAACACAGGATGGAAAACCATACATTACAAGTGCAGCAGTCGGTGCCTCCTTCCCCGATCCTCGCAACAAGGGCTTCAATCTCTCGGTCAAGACGACGTTTGCTTCGTTGGAGGATATGCAGTACTATGATAGCGAGTGTGAGGCGCACAAGGCGTTGAAGGCGGTTGCAGGGCCTGTCAAGGAGGATGTGTTGACGAGTTATTATGAGAATATCCTGTGATTTATCTCATCTGTTAACTATATGAAACCAACTTAAAAGAAAAGGCATCAGATAGAACTGTTCGTCAGTGTTGGGTAATATGGTCTATTTTCATGATATACACTGCATACGTCAAGTATGCCTGTTGCTCCCAAGGAAAACATAATCAACACCAAGAGATATACCTCCCATAATCTCTAGAACAAAGGGCAACAAGAAGAAAAAGAAAAGAAATACACGGCACATGGCGTTAGAACATTGCATGAATGGTGTGTCATAACTAAATACTCAGGACGGTCAAGGCTTTCATGAGAACTCGCGCAAAAGCGTCAGGACAAAAGAGGGCGTAGATAGAGCATAGGGGTCCGGTGATAAGAAAATAGTGTGTCTCATGAAGGAAATGAAGATAAGCGTCAACAGTAACGCCTTGGTTGGAGAAACATGGCTAGCTCAGCATTTTCACTGTACAGAAAAAAGAGTATGGAAAAGTCGTTGCAAGGAATAGAAGCGCCCGCCCAGAGAAGCGCTTCCATTCTTCATAATTCAATGCATCAGAGCTTTATCTTAATCGAGAGCTTTGCGAAGATCACTCCATTTTTGTTTCAGGTTTTCGTGGTTCTCATGCATCTGCAGTCAAAACTGTTAGACCAAGCCTCGATGTTTGCTTTTTTGGCAGATTCTTACCTCGGCCCATTTCATCTTCGTCTCCACGAGCTCCTTCTCCATCTCAGCCATCTGCTCTACCATGGATCTGTTCTCGTTCTGGACCTCCATGTTCCGCTTCATGATGCGATCCATCTCTGTCCGAAGCTTCTCCTCAACCTCCGCGGGTTGCTTATCGACCACATTCTTCAACTGGGTTACTTGAACCTGCATGGCATCATTCAAGTCCGTCAATTCCTCGTTTTCTACCTTGACGTGGACGAGTTCCGATGCGAGTTGAACGTGTTCCTTATCCGACGCCTCTGCCTGCTCCTCGAGCAACCGAATCCGAGCGGCCTGAATAGCAGTGGTATGCTTCAGTCCATCCAATTCCGCCTCACGTTCCTTTTCAGTGCGAGTCTTTTCTTCCCACTCGGCCGTGTAAGCGGCGATCATCTCCGGTGTGAGCGAGATAGCACAGGCATCCTGTACCAGGATGTCCGCCCGATAGACCTCCTTATCAGCAGCACCAGAGCTTCCGAAGAATCCAGACTCCAAAATCGAAGACGCCGAGGGTTGCTTGTCAATGTATGCATCAAACAGTCGTTCTTTCAAGAAGGCCGTCAGGGGACTCATGTCCTTCATGCTAAGGAGCGCTTCGGCATTCCGACGCATGATAGCAACGGCGAACTTAGTGATCGTGACCTCAAGACCCTCCTCAAGAATGAGATCATAAATGCGAAGGACCAGTTGCAAGGGGAAGCGGTAGGCGAAAAGGGTGAGAAACCATTGAGTGGCGTATAACTGGGGAGGAACACCTCGCCTGCGAAGGTGACAATACAGTGCCGGTTCAATATCCTCAAGTAGACGCTCGAATATATACAAGCTGCGATGAAGCCCAGGCATGTCCTGAATAAACATCTCCCGCAGCCCATACTTGTTCATCAACTTGACAAGAAGCGTGAACGCTTCGGCCTCGTCCATCTATGAGATTAGTTAGCAAAAACAACATTCAAGTCCCTAATTTTTTTTTTGTCTAGATTCAATGCGGTCGATTGAGAATGTTGGTAACCTACGTTGAACAGCAAGGGCATAGCAATAAAATTCATGCCTTGGGCATATCCAACCCCCTCATCGTACAGAGCATATGCCTTACACAAGCCAAACAAGCCTTCTTGGCTTCCTTGAGAGATAAAATACCGAGAATAACTGGTGCGGGCGCCCAAGTCTCTTCTGATGGTCTTTTCCAACTTCTGCAGGGCCACAGCATCGTCTTGGGCTTTCTTCTTGCGAGCATTTTCAGAGGCAACCTGTTCCTTCGACAGCTTCTCGGGGTCCGGCTCCTGGGAAGGGTTCGAGGAATTGTTTGAATGTGTACCCGCGGCCGAGTTTTCAGACCGTACTGACGATCGCGAAGACGCCAAAGACTCCTTCTCCCCAATCCCATTGACGTGGCCATTTGAAAGCCGCTGGCGTTCTTTTTCTTTATCTGTACCACGCACAGCGAGATCTCTGTACACCTCCTCAAGCTCGAGGTTTCGGCTGCCAGCCAGGACTTGCCAGATGACCCCTCGAATGGTCTGCGGGATTCCTCGCTTGATGGCGGCATTCAACTCTTCAGCGTTTGTTCCGTTTAATGCCTGTGGTCCACCATTTACAAGCTGCTCCCATAACTCCCAGTCCACGGGTGCTGACGCATCGCTTGCAGAAGTAGAATAGCCTGAGACTGTTCCGGGAGCAAGATTAGGATTGATTGTGGCTTGCGCACCAGGGTTGGCTGCTGGAGCCGGTGGTGCGGCCGCGGATTTATCCTCACTTTCTTCTGGAATGCTTGGGGGACTTCCAGAAGGACCCACGCTGCCCCGTCCGGAAGCATTGCTCGATTCTTCATTTTCTGAAACCAACCCTTCCTCCCGCAATCTAAGCATCTTGAACTGATCTCTCAAGCTGTTGCGCTTGAGCTTAGCCGCAGCGTCTGGATCATTGTGTTCCGGGTTGCTGGAAAGGGTAGACACGGATGTGCCGGTGTTTCTGCGGTTGTTAGGTGGGGGAGACTTGACATCCTTTCCGCCAGTCGAGCTTCTGGAAAGCCACGCAAAGGGACCGGTGAGTTTCCGACTCGGAGGCGGCGGCGCTTGTTCAGGGGGTGGATTCTTGTTTACCGGGGGAGGGCCCCATGGAATCGGTGGAAGGGCTCCGGACAAGCCCTGCAGGCCCGAGCTTTGATTCGATGAGTCTGTAGGAAGGGTAGGCGAAGTCGCTTTGGGCTCCGGGGCCGTCTGGAGAGGGTCCACGGGCTCGTCCTCTTTGTTACCAGCGAGATTCACATCATCCAGGGAGCTTGTAGATAAACGGTGGGCCGTCAACAGGGGAGACTTTTGGGGTTTTGTCTTGCGTGGTGTTTCCTCAGATCCCGACGGTCTGTCCGAGCTGGCATCATCCGTTCCCGGCTCCTCATCCTTCTTCTCTTCCTGGGGAGCTATTGGCAACGGCGGCGCTTCCGTAAACTGTGGCGTTGCTGCCGATCCGCTTGGAGGGCTGTCTGTCAGGGAGCGTGGTGTCGAGGAACTTTGGGGGATGGAAACGGTGAGGTTTTGGTGGTCATTCACTGTTTCAGAGGCATCATCGAAGGTTTCCTGCTTAAGAACTCGATGAGTTTCTCTTTCCTCGAGTCATGGATACAGAGGTGATATAAGGAATATCTCACCCCTTCGTAGTCTACGCTATTCTGTCTGGAAGACATGCTGGACCAAGCTGCCTTCCTTTCTCAATTGCCTTATAGGGGGTAAACAAAGATTCAACAAGGTTAATGTGAGACGGTATCAAGAACGACGACCATCCGGAGAGACCCCAGGGCGAAGAAGCGCTCAGCGAAAGCAGTAGCTCCGCAGAAGGGCCTAATGCCACAGGGTCATACACAAAGTATCCAAGGGGGTTGGCGGGCCGATGGAATGGAGCAAAACCACTGTGGGAAATTCGTGTTTTAAAGCCAGGAAAAGTCGATGGATGGCTAGACGATGTGGATGGAGGGAAATAGAAGGCTGGCGAAGGCGATAAGACTCGACAAGGTTGAGGACGTTGAAACTCTGGCGGTGATTTATTTTCTCTTAATACGGGCGTCTGTTGTTGGATGGGGAGACGCCGTGCTGCAGCCCACCGCGGGACGGGAGGCGCTGTGATTGGTCGGATTTTTATTAAGGAGCGGGTTAGGACACCACAGCTTCAGGGGATGACGAGACGACCATAGCCTTCTCTGGGGTTGCATCTATTGAAAAGTGACATCGCATTAAGAGAAAAATGCCATTGACGATAAAAGTGTGTTGTTACTATGCGGCCCTTATTGGTATTTATATGGTTTATGTACAAACCCACTGCTCTGACCGTAGCATACCTATTTATATAGGTGGTCTTATGGTAGACTTCTTTAAATAACTAAGTCTGTCTGTTACAGACTGCCATTTGATCAATAGAAAAACTTCACTTCTAACGATCGTCATTCTCGATCATTGACATGTGGCGAGGGGGTGGTGATCTCATAGCTATATCCTATAATAGAATGATAGGAACAGGAATTACTGGAGTAAGTAATTTATTATTATGCTCCCTTGAAGGTGCTCCGCAAGCATTGTTGCATGTTATTATTGTTCCCATCAAGGATAATTCTATGTTCTGGAGGCGCTGGGAATTGCCACATTTCTCCTTGCCGCTGCTGCAGTTGCTCGCATGGTCCCACCTGCAGACATGAGAGAGGTCAGATCAATACGGCGTTGCAACGTACCAACTTAGAAGCAGGTACGTATGTAGGTAGGTCCGCCCATCATCATTCAGGAGGTCAAGGCAAGCGTTCTCCAGAATGGAGTAAACGGGGTCATTTGTATTTATGGGTTGATCACTCAAGCGACTTCTCAAAATCCAGCCATCGTCCACGTCGCAGCGGATCCATTTTCTTCAATTCTGAGAGCCAGCTCAGAATATTCTCCTTATCTCCGCTTGGCATGGTGCCTTGCACCTTAGATGCCAGCAGCGTGCAGTCAATCAGTGCTTGGTAAATGTATTTGCAGTCTTCTGCGCCATCGAGCATTTCCTGAACTTCGTCAATCTCTTGTCGAATATACTCCAGCCGTTCGGAATTAGTCAAGTTGGGCGCCATCGTCTGGCCCGCAACTGATGGATCAAAGGTACTCATCAGGTTCTGATGATAGAACCACAATGACTGGTCGTATGGGTCGCACAAGGCACGGTGGATGAGAGCCAATTCTGTCCACGTTGTTAATTCAAAGAACTTTCAAATAGCAGACATCAGGCGGGGTCTTACCATCATCAAGCATTTTCTTTCGCTCCGCATCCCCAGCGGATCTCTCTCTTAAAAGTCGTTGGATAAGTTTGGTTCGATAGTGCCAAGCGGAGAAATTCGAAAGATTGGCGTTTATCATCTTCTTCGCATATTCGAATTCGTCCTGCGCCATGCTTTCCCCCGCATTCTCCTCAGATGCAATCTTCTCCAGGGTCTCCACAACAAGGCGTCTGTAACCCCAGCCATGGAAGTTTCTGCTATCCAGGCTCAGCATCTTACCTACAAGCGCTAGTTCTTCCTGCCACACTCTACGGGCAAGAGGCAGAGGAAGGAGGCGTGCAGCTTCATCTAAAAGCCAAAGACGGTAATTCCATATCCAGTAGCACTTGGGAAAACTTTTGAGAAGAGGGATCAAGAACAGCAGATCATTTTTGATCAAGGCCGTTATCCTTTCAGCTGCAGGCTGATCTGAGCTACCTGAAGTGGCTTGAGCAAATTGAGACCGCAACACTTGACGTCGGTAATTCCACACCGTGTAATATTCCGGGTTGCTGGTAAGTAAATCGGATATCTTCTGTAGAGTCTCGGGCGTATATTTATGTGCCGCAATCTGACCAGATGGGTCAGTCAATATTCAAGAAGAAAAGATCAAATAAAAAAGGCAAACCTCCTCCCCGACTACACGATCTAATTTTCGATATTTTTCAATCTTGCGGGCTTCCTGTTGACGAGCTTCCTGAGTTGGCTCTTGAGTGCTATAGCGGGGAATTCCATGCTGCCGGAACAGCAGTTAGTCGAGATGTGATATGTGTAGAAGACAGGAAAACAGGGAGAAAATACACTGCCCATCTTGACGTCCAAATTATCTAGACACACGCAAAAGGATAGAATCTGCTCTTCGGATGTCTTCTTTTCTCTCGCTCTGACAAGAAATCAAGGTCGAGAATCGGTTGTTTGAACGTGACTGCCTTTCGACGACTAGCAGTCACGTGCCTTCCCCATACTGACCACGACTTCTTCGTGATTCTTCTTCGACTTCTGGTTGATTTCATCGCACAACTTCCCCCAGGAAGTCATCAGGGCTCATCCATCGTGCAGGAAATTGTCCAATAGTCTTACCTTCATGGCCCGGAGTCCAGTTTAAGCGACTTGATCATACGTTCCTTTCCGCCTAGAAATACTCCAGAGCTTTTACTATTCGTTTGCTACTATTTACTCTTGATTTTCTACAGAGATAACGCTCGAACCTTGCTGTAGCAATGCTAGATTCGAAATGTCACTCTTCAGAGAGATCTGGTTTCTCGAGTGTGAGCAACCCTTCTATACGTTCAAAGCTGCAGTCTTCAACCTGTCATGAGTCCATCGAACTTGCTCCTGTACCTATGCCACTTTTAGGGCCTTTAACTCCCCCAGGTGACGACATGCGTTCTTTTTTGCGTTCGCAAAAGGGCTTGCTTGGTGATGACAAATGCCTCGGGTCGTCGTTCAGACAACCCAGGAAGCGCCACAAGAGAGATCTGCCAACAATGAGACAAACGCTGCTGGATTCAGGGCCTTCTATTGAAAGAGGTCGCGGTCGATTAAAGAATGTGGTGAGGAATGTGGTGAGGATAGGCTCTCAGAGCCCAGTCTCGCCTGACAGGTTCATTCCTATACGGGAGTTCGCCGACCCTCCCTCGACCCCGTTTCATATGACCAAATCCCCCCAGAAGCTTTCTCCTGAGGAAAAGCTGCTGCGACGACGGTCACCAAAAGAGGATCCTTTCATGCCTACGCCTACACGGAAAACTGCGAGTGCCCCCATAACACAGAATGTACGTGCAAACAACCCTCACTACGGCCCCCATCTTGTCAACGACTTGGCTATCACGAGGGCCCGTAACCCACGCACATTGAATGGCATACGGGAAATCAGCACCGGTGCCGTTTGGAGCGTCGGAGGTGCATCTGCAGCGCTAGCTCGACCTTCTCTGGCAATCTCTGATGGGACCGGGGGTCTGCTTGGTAGCGGGACGACAGCTCCCATGTATAATGCCAAATTCTTGCCTCGGGTTGTCACAGCTTCTGATCATCGAGAGAAACACGAATCCAGAATAGCTCTTGCATTGGACATTGATCCGTCAGCTAGACTCCTCAAAACTTGCAAACTTTGGCCGTTATTGGAGTCCAGGCCAAGCCCATCCTCCCCCAACTATGAGCAGTATTCCCCTTGTGTTTGGAAAGACAATGCCTGGAGAAGGGTGGAGAGAGACCACTGTAAGTTCAATCTCATTAGACTCCATGGAAATATTTAATCTGCTATATGAAATACATATTTTACTTTCAACAGCCAGATGGAACTCTTGATACTATAACGTCAAGACTTGTCTCCGATGTATGCTTACTCCGTTTCTGTATAAAATATATATATCTTTGAAATATACTACATTTATTTATTCTGGTAAGACTTTGTCGAGTGGCTAGCCTGTCCATTACATCTTGAAATAAGGCTTTTAGGAGCGACTAATAATAGTGGGATGATTAGGGACCACAACGGATACCAAAGGAGACAGTGAGCAAATCGTTCCAACCCGGCCTTTTCGTATATTGGAAGCTCCTTTGCTTCGCGACGATTTCTACTGCTCGACACTTGCATATTCGTCAACTTCAGGAATTCTTGCGGTTGGTCTTGGTCACCGCGTTTATCTCTGGTCCGAGGATGTGGGTGTACAATATCCGCCATTCAGCAATCAACACCCTTCAAATTATGTGATGTCGCTGTCATTCTCTTCCGAAAATGGAGGGAAAAGTATTTTGGCTGTTGGTAGACGTGCAGGTCTGTTGAGCCTGTGGAGCATCCTTGACTCCGATGTACGCTTTGAGGTAAGCCACCCATGTGGCATTACCTGTGTGGCATTCAAGCCGACGAAATCACGCAAGCTATCGGAGAGATTCCTGGGTGTCGAAGTAGATGTTGAAGAACTTGTTGTCGGTGATGATCATGGCAATGTTTGGTATTATTCTGTGGAGTGGCCCGACGATGAAGTTCGGGACAACTTGGACTGGCATGGCTCTATGACTTTGCTCGCCAAAATATCTGCTCATACACAGCAGATCTGTGGTTTGGCTTGGTCACCAGATAATGCCTATCTTGCAACTGGTGGTAATGATAACTCTTGTATGCTCTTTGACCTTCGCGAAATCATCCCGGCACGGGAATTTGCATGTGCCTCCGGGTGTTGTTCATCGCGCCAATCTTTGAGAGTGCAATGCCGAAGTGCCTTCTCTTGTCTCGCGGCGAATGCCAACCCGAGGCGCATCTTCAATCGGCGCCCCCTTATCAGTCATCTGCTACCTTCTTGGAATCATTCAAATATCAAACCATTATCGACCTCTCTTCTCAACCATACCGGCTCTCTCATCTCCGGCGGCGAACGGACAGTTCTAGTGCCTTTGAATCACCAAAAGCATCGATTGGTCCATTCCGCTGCAGTCAAGGCGATTGCATTTGCGCCGTGGCAACCGTCCCTTCTTGCAACCGGGGGAGGCTCGAATGACCGAGCTATCCATTTCTTCCATACTCTCTCGGGGGCATGTTTAGCTACAATAAACGTCTATGCACAAGTAACTAGTCTGATCTGGAGTAAGACCCGACGAGAGATTGCTGCTACTTTTGGATACGCGCAGCCAGACCATCCTTTTCGTATTGCAGTCTTCGCGTGGCCAAGTTGCGAGCAGATCTCCGCCATCCCATGGGGCCCTCATGGAAGCAGTTGGGACAGTTTTGATAATGCAACGCTTGCAGATTGCGGGAGAGCCCTCTGCGCAGTCAGCTACCCAGGACGGTCCCTTGGCTCGACGCTTCACCTTGACGATGAGGGCTCCGTCCGAGTACGACGCGGGGAGAGCGAGCCAAACCAGTATACTATGGGGCCAGAACTTGTACGACCAAGGGCAAAGGAGGGAGGTGTGTGGTGCTCACGGACGGTAGAAGAAGGATGCATCATCATCGCGTCGAGCGACCAGAGCGTCAAGTTCCACGAGGTATGGGGCGGGTCAAGGAAGAGAGCGAGTGCAGTGTCTGGTCCTTTTGGCGGCAGTGAGATTCTCGAGGGACTTGAAGGAATTGAGAAAGCCAGCCGCGAGATTATTCGGTGATCGATGGCACATCATAACTGGGACAACAGATGTATTCTTAATAGAATTATTTCTAGCTCATTATTAACACAGACCTTTATTCTTCACGCACCGAATTGATGAATATTGACCCTCGTGTTGACTCTCGGTTCTTCAGCTCGCCCGCCTACTGCCCACCGCTGATCAGCTCGCCTTAGCCGACTAGTTTGCAGTAGCTGAAGCACCAGTCGCAGCCTGGCAGCCAGTCGGAATGCGATGGAAGCAGGTCCATCACCAAACAAGCTCAATAGGCTCCAATTCTGGTGTTTTCGGCTATTTTGCAGGATCATAATTTGATCTGGCGGTGATGATGGTGATGCATTCCTGCATAAGTTCCTGTTCGATCGGTCAGCCCCTGGTCCGATCGTAATCGTCGTATTAATTGATCAAAATCCTCTTGAAGAATCAATCCACCATTCTCCTTTCACCATCCTCATATTCTATCATCCTCCAACCCGACCACACACCATGGTGTCTTTTAAATCTCTGGCTGCCATTCTTGGCCTGACTGCCACCGCTGCAGCCTCCATCCCCAGCACTCTGAACGTCACCGTCATCGGCGCCCAAAACAACCAATCCACCCTCGAATGCTGGTCCCTCAAGCCAGGCTTTATCCCATCTACCCAAGCAGGCACTGCTGGCACGGGTGCTGTCTCTCTCGGCGCTGTAACCGGCAATGCCTCATACTCTCTTCTCCCCGCCCGCTTCGATGGCGGCAGACACAATGCCCCCGCCGTACAGTATGTTCAAAAACCCCCAAACAATTCAACTTTCAAGAATACTAATCATAAAGTATAGGTGGGTTATTTTCCTCTCTGGATTAGCACACATCACCCTTCCTCACTCCAAGGATGAGGCGTGGATCACCGGCGGCAAGTACGGTGCGATTCTGGCGCTGGATACGGCCGCTGTCAGTGGTGATGGTCATTACACCAAGTATCCCACCGATCAGGAGACGATTGCGCTCCAGGTGCAGTTGAAGGATAACAAGGTGCCTGGGCATAAGGTTCTTCACCAGGGAGCTTGCAATGTTACTGAGTTGGATTTGTAGAGGGTTGGTTGATGGTGATCGGTAGTATATATATAATGTTCCTGTATCAAAGATGAGAGTACGAAGGAAGATGGGATAATTTCATGGAAATATCATGCTGCGCCTGAATTTGGTGCTAGGTAATAGTTTCAAAAAATATAATAATAAACATTGAAAAAGAAAAACAAGATGTCATCTCCCCACGTCTATAATGAGGAACAAGGCAATACAAAACACGTCTCTTTTTACTTTTGTTGAGAAAACCCCATTCGAAAACCAGAAAAGAAAGCCTCGCCTTCACCTCCCAATAATACAGAAGAACAGGGTATTATATCTATCATGGGCTCTTTTGTTTCTTTCGTTCCTTATTTTTTTCTTATCTTCTTCCTGCCTTGTTCTTGCCCTTGCCTCCACCCACCTTAACCTTCTTGGACGGTGGGGGTTGAGGGGCAGATGCACCTTCATCTTCTGAGGCTTCGTCTTCCGTGTCGGCGATAAAGTCCACCATCGAGCCGGTGCTCTCGGCATCCTCATCGTCGTCTTCGTTCTCTTCCAGGGATTCTTCGGCATCGGAGGAGCCGGCGGATTCCTCGGCCTCAACGTCGAAGACGTCTGCGTTTTCGTCTTCTTCCTCCTCGCTGCCATCGTCCTCGTCATTGTCTGACTCGTCGACACCGTTCATCATAGACTCGTCTTCATCGAAAGCTTGGTCGCGTATCGACTTGCGCGGGGTTGCTGCGGCCTTGGTGTCCGCGTCGCTGTCCTCGTCATCATCGTCTTCGTGTCCCTCGACGTAGATAACATTGTCCTCATCCTCGCTGTCCATGCCCTCTGCGCCGCTGCGGATGGACTGTCTCAGTCCGAGCTGTGCATCCAACATGTCGAGCTTGCCCTTGAGCAAGAGCAGGGAAGGCAGGCTGGACGATCGCTGGTCCATGACCTTGAACAGGGTTGCCATCCGCTTCAGCAGGTCGGGCTTGCCGGCGAGTGCACCACCATGTGCCACGCACGTCCACTGAACCCACACGAGGAGGTGACCGTAGCGACCGGGGCGGGAGGAGAGGCGCTCGGCGAGTTTCTGGAGGAGGGTGGCGGCGAGCGAGGAGTCCAAACGCTGAATGGTGTTGCGGATGATCGAAAGGTCACCGGTGTGGAAGCATGATTCGAGCATGTCATTGTCGTTGGTCTTGAGGGACTGGGAGAGCACTGTGGACAGAGAAACGCCCGTGGGGATCTGTTGAACAGCAGTCTTGGGCTTGCTGGGCACGTAAGGGCCCATTCGGACATCATCCTCAAGCTCAGCCTCAACGTCGATTTCCTCAGCGGCATTAGCGCGCATAAGCTCTCCAAACGAAGGTTCTCCTGTTTCTTCCTCGTCCTCTTCGTCCTCCGGGCCGGAGCCTTGCGCATTATCCATCTCGACATCGCTCTCCGCTTCGTTCGTTTTCCGCGACTCCTTCTTGTTGTTTGTCTTCTTGGGCGCTTGGTCATCGTCCGAATCCTCCTCACTATCGGCATTCGAAGCGGCATCCTGTGTTGTGTCTTGCATCTCAATGTCGTCATCTGCCATATTTCCCTGCTCGACAACGGCTCTCGACTCATCAACATGGCTTTCACCGGCGTTCTTTCCGCCATTTGTGGTCACTGTACCGAGTGCTGAGCTAGACTTGGTCTTGGCAACCTTCTTCAGACCAGTAAATGACAACTCCTCAGTATCCTCATTGAGCAACCTGATTCGTTCGAATACTGGGATGACACCTCCCTCTGCGCAGGCAACAACCAAGTCAGGTCCCTGGAACGATGTTGTTACGACAGTAACAAGAGCCTCAGAACCTTCAGATTTGGTAATCTTGATGGATGCGTCCGCTCTCCGAGTCATCTGCCTTCCCTTGGCCTTGAGACTGTTGGTTTTCTGAGCCTGCTGGAAAAATGGTTTTGTGAAAATTTCAATTGTGCCGTCGTCTGTCACAGCTGCAAGGATCTGCTTCTCTAATGTCGGGGCATCACCGGCCTTTTCACCAGGACCAGCATGGAAGGACAATGAAGCCACCTCCTTGTCAGCGACGAGGTTCATGACGATCTTCTGGCTCTGAGGGTCGAAGACGTTGATGTACCGGTCATTGTCAGAGGCCAAGAATGCTCCTGCAACTGCGGACTCTGTGGAAGCCGAGATGAGGGTTTGAATGGGATTCCGCATCGCCGGAAATGAGATGGGTGCTTGGTCTGCGCTCTCGGTGTTGATTATGTATGGTGTCTGAGATGCGCAGACAACAGGTGTATTCGAAGAGGACGGGCGGGAGAGAGAGGTAAATGTTGAAGAAGCGGGAAGATTGATTATTCTGGGACATAGTCTGTTAGATCTATCCGAATAAGAATGGAAATGATAAACCATACCTTGTACTCTGACCGGTGCGCAGATCCCACTGCACGAGTTTGTTATCACCTCCGATGCTCCAACCCTCCTGACCGGGCTGATTCGCGGTGAATTTGAAATCCTTGATGCCCTTTTCGTGTACACCTGCGAGAGTTCCAACGATCTTGTCTTCCGTGGGCGAGTACATCCGGATGTCGGAGGTGCTTGTGCCAAAGGCAACGACAACGTCTCCCTGTTCCAACCCATTGACATCGGAATTCCTCTTCCTCTTCTTCTTGGACTGCTGCTGTTGACCTCCCTGTCTACCCGGGTAGTAGCCCCAGTCGAGCGATGTGATAACTTCCTTGGAGCCTAAGACATGCTCACACTGCAATCGACCGGTGATAGTGTCGTGGATGCGGAGATGCTGGCCATCGAGGCCCTGGATGACCGATGCAAACAAAGCCAATTGATATTCAGACGGCGAAAATGCTGACCGCAGTATCGAAGACTTATTCCCGGTGTGTGTGAGGCCGGAGACCGCAGGCGACGCCGCGGAGGAAGTCTTCGAGGCGGGCGGGCGAGACGCTTTCTTGCCCATTTTTTCTGATCGGAACTGCAAAGGACCGGAACGGAAATGTAGAAAACTGGATGATATGAACAGAGTCCCGGTACAAAAGGGTTTGAGTTCCACTTCGATTGACAGCGACACCGGGATTGCTGGGACTGAGATGCGCTGCAGTTCGTCGCCGTTTCTGGCAGAGTTGCTGAGGAGAAAAAAAAGTTCTGTAGAGGCTGTAGATGCGCTTGGCCCGTTACGGTCTAGCCGCCTGGGAAGTTCCGCTCCGTCTTATCTAATCAAGCTGCATTTTTGGGTGCGCAGGAGAGACTTTCTCTTTGGCCTTGACACTTCATCTTCACGTCTTCGCAGAACGAGGAACTGTCGAGGAGAGATGGTCTGTTTAGGTCATCATCATTTCCTGGAGTCTCTGGAGGAGGAATCCAGTGACACGAAAAGCAATGTTTCCGTTCTCGGATATGCACGAACCCTCTGCAGTACGAATGCTCCTTTCGAGTCATCACAATCGTTTATCCCATATTCCCGCCTGCTTTGAAGACTTGTCGATCGAGTGCTGCCTGGCATTGGAAACGCTATATTTTTACTCGTCCGATCTTACTAACCGTTTGCTTCACCGTTATCATTGCTGATTACTGTCTTGAAGCTGATCTGACAAGGGATACTTACACACCAGCAGCAAGCCTCGATCTTTCATTCCTACATTCAAAGCACACATAGTGTTGGCCAGTCTTGGTCGATGCAGTTGCTTTCGCTTGGCCGTACTTTTTACCAACAGGTCATACAAACAACCCCGTTTGGAATATCTATGCAATTGCTGTTGTTCTGGCCCTTTACATGCAGCGGATAACTGCCTGTCCCCTGCAGCCTGGGTGTACTCTTCCCTCATGCCTCATTCAATCATTGATTTGTTCTTTTGCAAAGGAGAATGTTTCAGCCCGCACGCAAGCAGGGGCAGTGAGACACTTCATTGTGATCCTTATGACATCAGGGCGGCAATGACCAAATTTTCCTAACGCTACTTTTGCAGGGCTACTGAATTCAGCGCTCAAAATGTACGAGACTGCAGACATCATTGATATATTCAGAAAAAGACCGAGGATATTCTTGTATCTTTGTGTTTACCGCCTTTCTAATTACATGCAGTTGAGCTTCACCGAACAAAGATGATTGCATCAGTATGAGACGCTAGTCCTGATGTGAATGCAAGGAGAGGGCTCAGGGCTGAGCCCTGGAGTTTCTCCTGGTCAGCAGACCGCGCCTTCTGGGTCGGTTGTGTTACAACCCACCAGGCTTCAAGCCACAAGGCATTTCTCTCACCCAAGGATTTGATGATGATGCACCATCCTTCTTACATGAATGCCTAAACAAGTTTTTCGGGTATGTCATTTTTTGGTCTTCTTCAGATCCATGGAGATGGTCGGATACAGCATTCTGCAAACAGCTTGATGTCATGGTTTGGCCCACCTGTTGCATTTATCATCTATCATTTCAGCTGAAACGCCGCCATCATCAAATTTTTCCTGATGGCATTTAGCTGAAAGGGACTGTCTTTTTTATTTAAATTTTTTTTTTGTCGAGATCCCGACAAAAGACTTCATGGTACCCACACCCTGGACAGCCCACACCAATCAGAACCAAGGACTCGTAGAACGCGTCGCCATGCATCCAATCAGCAACTGTAGAATGGCTTGAGCTAGAATGATCGGGACTAGTGCGGCCGATGGGGCTAGCGGCAGAGGGCGGACGAGCGCGACATGGCCGTTCGTACTTAAGGATTCTCGCACCCCCTCCGATTTTCTCTGACTCTGTTTCTGGAGAGGAGCTGAGAGAGCTGCCGCGCCTGGTCACGTCCCCCCCCTTTTTATTTTTTTTTTATTATTTCTTTTTTTGCTTATTTTATCTTATTTTTCTCCCTCTTGACCGCCCTGGTATCCCTTGGTTGCCCCCGTGACTTCTCCAATAATAATAATTCCCTTATCACTTGCAACGCGTCTTTTCCCTCGTCGCGTCGCGCTTCCTCTCCATTCCAGCCACACTTGCTGCATCTTATTATTAGAAAGCCGTTCAAGCCTCGGGACTCAGGAACCCATCCCCTAAGGCCCCAACGGTTGACCTCATCAACGCGACACGAGACGATCATCCGCTCTGTCTGCTTCCACCGCTTTCTACTCTGCCTCAGGCAACAACAGGCTTGGCTTCCGTGGTCTCTGCTGCATTCTTGCCTGAAGATCACCTGACTTGAATTTCCTTTTCATCTCACTTCCTCCTGATCTCCCTTTCATCCTCTGTTTGCACTCTTACCTCCCGCTTAGTCAGCCATTTTTTTGCCGCACACGTGACCTTACCCTACCGCCTCTTGGCAGTATAAATTCCTCTGCTGTCGCATTCTCCACTTCCTCCGACCCGCGCTAATCTTCCTTATCGTCTTCTTCTCTCCTCTTTTCTCTTTCTGTATCTCAACATTCGCTCTCTGGCGTCACTACCTGTTGTGGTCAGCGCCGGAAACCCCATCTTTCTTCCCACTTCTTCTTCTGTCATCTAATCAGAAGGGTTCTGCTCGACGGGGAATCGAATCGAATCTTTAGTCTGTGATAGCGCAGAAAGTACCTATTCAGTTATCATTGGCCTTGTCGCTTCCTAATCCCTTTAACGGATTATTGCTTCCGTCTCTCCGCTCTCTGTGTTAGATTTTTTGTATTCCGGTCCCCTTGGTGGACTTGCAAGCAGTGGGCTCAATGGCGACGCCGCCTCCCGAGGCCACCTCTGTTCCCAAGGAGGAGAAGCCTCAACTGCCGCCGTCGCCGAATGGTGTATCTTCAGACGAGGTTGGCCATACTAGGTACGTATATTTTTTCTCCCCTCTAGTTCCTCAATTATCATGCGCCCCATTTGTAGTAATGCTAACTGTTTTTCAGTGTGAAAGATTCAGTGGCAGATGCCAAACCTGATACTCACACCAATGGCGCAGAGAAACCAACAGAGAAGTCTGAAGAAAAGCCTGCAGAGGCTAAGGTGAATGGTCACAATGCGAACCAACCTTCTCTCTCCAACGGCGTAAACACCACCGCGTCGCCTCCGAAGTCGCCAACACTGCCTTCCGCCGAGACTGCCGCGAAGCCGGCTCCGTCCGCTGATGAATCGAAAACCGAATCCACTCCTGCAGGAGAAGCGGCCAAGGATGCTACTGAAGAGAAACCTGCCGCCAGCCAGCCATCTGCACAGGATTCCACAAGCAACGGCACTGGCATTGACAATGCTGCTCCGAAAGACACACAAACACCCAAGGACACGCCGAAGTCTTCGGCCGATCCTACACCCGAAAACAAACCGGAGAACAGTGCTCAACCATCGCAAGATTCTTCTGCTATGAAAACTGAACTTCCTCACCATCCATCCACTCCTGCGAAGTCCGATGGCACACCTGGAGCCGGGGCAGCGGGTGGCGCGCCACAAGTTCAGCCTCTGCAGACCGTTGATCAAGAAATGCGAGACGCCCCAGCTGTGCCGACGTCTCCAACCAAACTCTCCAGAGAACGCGAGCCAGACCCGAGCGATGAGCCTGCTGCAAAGCGCACTAAAGTAGGAGGCGAGGGAGCAACATCGTCTGATTTCAAGGTTCCCAAACTGCCCACACCGTCAGCACCGGCTAGTACTACCACAAATAGGGCGCCGAGTATGACCAAGATGCAGCACAAGTTCCTTCTCAAAGGTATTCAGAGCCTCAAGCGCATGAATGACTCGCGCTTTTACCGGGAACCCGTTGATCCAGTCAAAATGAACATTCCACACTATCCCCAGATCATCAAGCGTCCCATGGACCTTGGAACCATTGAGCGCAGGTTGAAGGCAAACGACTACAAGACTGCTGATGCTGTCATTGAAGACTTCTACCTCATGGTTCAGAACGCCTTGACATTTAACGGTCCTGACCACTTGGTTGCTCAAGAAGGTCAGAAGCTCAAAGCCACTTTTAGCAAGCAGATGGTCAACCTCCCCAGGCCTGACGAGGTGGAGGAGAAGAAGCCCAAAAAGATCTCTAGTAGCAAACCACCACCCTCAGCACCTCGCCGCGAGCGGCCCAACCCCCCACCTGCCGCTCGCCCGGCAGCCGAATCTCCTCAAGCAACTACTTTTGCTCTCGGCCCTGAAGGCTTACCTCTGATTCGTCGTGATTCCACCAATGCTGATGGCCGGCCTAAGCGCTCCATCCATCCTCCGAAACGTGACCTTCCCTACTCCACCAAGCCAAAGAAGAAGAAGTATCAGTGGGAGCTGAGGTTCTGCCAAGAGGTTTTGGATGACCTTTACAAATCAAAACATTATACCTACGCCATGCCTTTCTACTACCCAGTGGATCCCGTCGCATTAAACATCCCAACCTACCATAGTGTCATCAAGAAGCCTATGGATCTTTCGACTATTCAGTCTAAGTTGAAGACTGGCCAGTATGAAAACGCCAAGGAATTTGAGCTTGACATGCGCCAAATATTTAAGAACTGCTTCAAGTTCAACATCCCGGGTGATCCTACCTACATGGCTGGACAAAAGTTCGAAGAAGTTTTCAATTCGAAGTGGTCGCAGAAGACTCGCTACCTTGAAGCTCATGAGCCTCACCCTGAGCATCAGAGCGTTGATTCCTCTGATGAGGAAAGTGAAGAGGAAGCCGAAGAAAGCGACGAGGATGACGAGAAACTCAGCCTTTTGCAGAAGCAAATTGCGGAGATGTCCCGTCAAGTCGAGGCAATCACCCAGAAGAAGAAAAAGACCCCGCCTGGGTCGAAGAAGGTTGGCAAATCTTCAAAGCCTGTAAAGAAGGATCCTTCGAAGAAGCCTACCAGCAGCGTTGGCTTTGGCAAGAAGGACAAGAGGAGCACCAAGCCAGCCAAGCCCGAAAAGCAGCGCTGGGTCACGTATCACGAGAAGCAGGTCATTTCCAACGGCATCAGTAGTCTTCCCGATAAGAAGATGCAGGAAGCTCTCAAGATTATCCAAAGTAACGTTCCGGCTCTTAAGGTATGTATAAACTGTGTTTTGCTCCGTGTTTCTTATCGGGCTTGCTTCTGACTATCTTACAGGGTACACAAGAAACCGAGATCGAACTGGATATTGATGAGCTTCCCAACGACGTGTTACTCATGCTACTTAAATTCGTTAAGAAGAATGCACCACAGGTGATGGAAGATGAAGATATCCCCATGCCGACAACAACCGCGAACAACGCCCCTCCTCCAAAAGCCAAGAAGAATAAGCCGATGAGCAAGTTTGAGCAAGAAGCCCAGATCAGCATGCTTGCCAATAATCTTTCTCGCTTCCAGGGAGGCGGTGGCCGTTCTCCGGACCCAGTTCCTTCTGTCGAGGCCAATGAAAGTAGCGACGATGACTCAGAAGATGACTCCGAGGAGAGCGAGGAAGAGTAAACATGTGCAGTTCAGTTATTGCAGGCCATTCCCGCTAGCCCTTAGATAAGATACTAGTTATTTGGGGGCTCGCTGTGGCTTGCCGCTCTTCTCTAGACTCCAACCTCGATCAGTCAGACCTTTTTTCTCTTCTCTGTGCTCTTCTTTCTTCAACACACACTAATGAATGGCTCTAGTCTTGAATGTCTACTGCTGCCGCGCAAGGGGACGCAGTCTGGTCTATGCATTCAACTAGAAAGCTTTGTACATATTGTTTATCTTTCGCTCCAGGTTTCGTGGAAACAAGTCTCCTCAAGTCAGAACCATGATCCAACATCCGATCCAGGGAATATGGACACGGATCTTGACTTGGCGATTATTTTGTTTGTGAAGCCCGATTCTCTGATACTCCTTTTTTTTTTTTTTTTTCTTCTCTTTTTTTCTTCCGTGGTTCTTCTCTCTTCTTTTATCGCCACTGGAAAAGTTGGAATGTGGCGCAAGCGAAGATGGATTAATATGCTTTTTATTCATCGCGATACTTTGGAGCTGTCTTTGGAGCGTTTCCATGCGAGCAACCAGAGATTCATTCCTGGAACCTGGTTTGCACCCTTTTTTGTTTCCCCCTGCGTTCAAATTACTTCCATGAATTCCGAAATGCGTGCGAATATTAGCCGTGATTGTTTGCAATTCTTTTACCAGTCAAAACTCGAGAAGCGTCGACGATACTGATGCTTTCTGGAGATGGGAAAGAAAATGGTTAGGATAACCTCCGATGTATGTATGATTACGAAAGAAATGTGAAAATGGAAGCGCAACCTAGGCTTTGTATTTGTATCTCAACTTGATGGGCAGGCAATCTTTGTAGGAGCTCTTTGTTGTACTCCATACACACACTTTGTAAACATTTAGCGAGTTTCAAGGCGGTGAATAACCCCAGCTTCTCCGTACAGGAACTTGGAGACCCCAAGTCCCAACATCACTTCATCAAACAATTCACTTTTAGTCACCATGATCCCACCTTGTGACCCAGCAATTCTCGAAAGCAATCCTCAATTCAAACGGCTTTACCAGAATTTAACAACCTCATTACTGAACCCAGATGGCTCGACGCGTGCCAACGATGCGCAGCCGGCCAGACAAGAAGTCCTGGAAGTACGTTCGAGATACCTCTTGAACTTCCACCCAGGATTAAAAGCGGTACAGATTTGACGCGGATTACTCTTTTCTCATGATAGGACTTGAAGAGCTGTCGAATGCGGCATGCAAAGAAGCAGATTAAGAAGCAGACGCTGAGGCAGCTCGCCTTCGATCCCGACAGTGGACTGCCAGATGAGGTGAGAGCTACCGCAAAATGCGAGGCAAAACCCTACATGAATCGAATAGTTGCTGATACCAGGTGGAACATGAAAACAGTATCGAGATCCTGTCGCCGTGATTACACTTTATCTGGAATCACCGCGTAGCCAGATCGACCTCGACCAAGACGATCGCAATGGAGAAGCAGACAATACGTTATCTCTCCTCGCCCCAGACATTGATACATTTTACTCCAGCATCCCCGCATTGATTCGACCCTTTTCCAACCGACTTTCGTCCGCCATTTCCGACCTCCGAGTAATCACAAACGCTGGGGGTCCTGTGCAGTCTGCCCCCGAAGCATCAGCTGTATCTACAGAGACTTCTCGGCCGCGTGGCCGGGGTCGGCAGTTTTCGTCTAAAGCTACAACACAGCCCCTTGTATCCACGAAACTCAATGAGCGACTGCAGGCCCTTCGTGAGATCCAGCTGTCGCAGCTACCCGCGGCCCGGAAGGAGATAGCAGCAATGGCAGCGGGGGTTCTGGCGGCACGGGCTCAGGTCATGGAGCGGACGGTCATGATATTAGAGCGTGCGAAACATGGGGCTATGGCGAGAGCTACCAGGGCCAAGGCAGAGAATTTAGCCACTGTGGCAGAAGGAGTTGAAGGAAAACTGAGGTATGTTACTATCATTTTCATTTCACTACAGGCTGTGCCGTGTAATTGTGTAGTCTGGTTGACATCAAACCAGTGTGATGAAATACGACATATCGAATGCGATATATACTCCAGACACCGTCGCTGCACTTAACCGATACCGTCATCATCTTCGAGACGTTCGGGAACGACTGGAAGAAAGGCAGACGCTAGCTATGGAGGAGCTGGCGACTTATGAAGTTGATGATGCGGACGACCATGATCCCATGACTGATATCGTGCGACGATATATGGCACTCATCAAGGAAATCGAAAATGTCAACGCAGATATCCAGAGATTGAATGGGTAAAGCTGAGAATTTATGCATTGTTTTTGTTTCTTCGATACCCTTGAGATAACTATGGATGACTTGTTGATATATCTACTTTTTGCCTACAGTTACACTTTTGTCAATATGAATCTGCAATGAATAAAAGCAATCCATGAAAAGCATGCTCTTTAATGAAAATAATAATATGTCATCCCTATGAAGACTTGAAATATACTCCAACAAAAAGCACTGATTTGATGAGGCACACCCCCGCAGTCACCTGATCATCCCGCCAAAAGTTTTGCGACCGAAATCTAGATTTCCAGGCACAAATTAATCGCCACCAGAATCCATTTTCATTCTTTCTTCCTAGAAAATCAGCAGACCCGAATTTTTTTTAAAGAATAAAAATAAAATAATAAGAATAAAACAGACAAAAAAACAATCAAAATGGCCGACGAATCACTCTCCATCTATGACGAGATCGAAATCGAAGACATGACCTTCGACCCAAACATCCAAACCTACCACTACCCATGCCCATGCGGTGATCGATTCGAGATCGCAATCGACGACCTCCGAGATGGGGAAGAGATTGCCGTGTGTCCTAGCTGCAGTTTGATGATTCGGGTTATTTTCGATGTGGTAAGTTCATCACTTCTTTCTCTTTCCTTTATCTACAGAGTAACTGACTGATCACTCTTCTTTCTCGATAGTCGGATCTCCCCAAGGCTGAAGACCAGCAAACAGCAGTCCCGGTGAAGGCATGAATGACTAGTTTAAGAAAGTGAGATTTGGTCTATTTTGGTGCATCAGATTGCTATCTTTCTACGTTATAATTCAGACACGCGGGGATCTCGCAAACGGGGAAGTCGGGAAACCAGATGAGAAGACGAGACAACAGCCACACATGGCAGAGTGAAATATATCCTCGGTCGGGCTGGTCTCTGGGGATGGGGATGTCCTAGGCAAGATGTGAAACGTTACGGCTCTTTCCATCATGAGCTACTGGGGACATTATTACCCAAGACACAAGGACGGACCATTTCTACCGGACTGCCTCAACGCCCGATGGGCTTCCAATATGGAAGTATTTCCAGCACATACCCTTTGCGCTGGAAAAGATCAGCGCCCGATATGAGATACCCCCAGACGTCTGGGGCTAGCTACGTCAGTTTTTCAGGACAATGGACTCTTCATTCTTGATTGTGTTTATATCTGCGCAACAAGTACGGCTGCATTGATGCCGATTATTATATTGTTACCATCTTTTCTCAAAGAAGTAATTTATATCGGATCTTCATGTCCTGTGTTATCTTCCACATTGATGATAAAATATGCCAATATACCTTTCCTTCACCTGCAAACTGTGTTGGTATCCCATGTCTCTCAAAAGTTCCCTCACAGCTCCCCGAGGTTGCTGTAGATATCCTTTGGCAGACTCATGGTCAATTCCTCGTTCAAAAGGTCGGTCAAATTTGATCCATCGCGGAGGTAGATCCATTGTCCGTTGGGGGGCCGCGTGTCCTGTTTCTCATGCATCTGGTCGCCTTCCACTACCCAGTCGTACCTCTTGGGGCCGGAAATCGGGGAGCTGAGCCAGATTTGTCTGTTCGGAGGCTGTTTGTTCAGCACGTATGTGCCAACACCGGGGACGAGGACATTCATAACACCGGCCTGTATCAAATAAAACTTAGCACAAAGGTTCTGATCCGCAGGAGTCCCAGACAATTCCAATACTGAGGGGGGAAACATACACTATACTCCGCCTCGATATCCGAGCCCTCCTCTCCCATCCTCTCCAATTCCAACTGGAGAACATTGAGATAGTGTTCCGAGTAGTCGTAGTATTCCTGGTCCGTCAATGGCGATGGCTCCGTGACATGGACCGCTGCACCGGCAACATTGTGCGACTGCGGTGTCGGAGCCGGCGGGTCAGCAGAGTCGGGGTAGATGCCCTTGCGGATCGCAGGAGTCGAGTGGAAGCCACGACGAGACAGCTCAGGCTGATTCCGGACGGGTTTCGACTGGGTTTGGCTGTGAATGGCGCCAGGCGTGGAGAATCGGCCGACGTGGAGAGAGGGACGGACGACGGAGACGACGGCACGAGGCGTGCGAGAAAGCATGATGGGATGAGGCGATTCGAATAAATCTATAAACTTTGATGAGTTTTAATGCTCAAGGGGTTGGCAATGAGAAGGGTGGTTGGTTGTGGTAAAGAGCTGCGGAGGAAGAGAAAAGAGGAGAAGAAAGGCATCACATCATAAGTCAAGCTTAATTCGGAGCTTCTCGTTGGTTACGTCGCTGGCCTGCGACTCCGCTTCACCAGCTTCGCAACAGCGCAATTTGGCCTTTTGATTAATTTAATTAGTGCTATTTCTTTCATCTATGTTTGGTTTATTATTCTCCTTTTTTCTTTTTCTTGGAATCCATTGTTAAGCTTTAGAATGCGGCTTTTTCAAGCCCCAAAGCTACGGAAGAACGTGACGCCATTTGATTGAAGCTCGTCAATCCGCCTCGAACCTCACTGTTATCTGCTGCTCCATCCGGATCTTCACTATCAATACATTCCATGATATATCTCAGGCCCGGTAGGCCCTTTATACCTTTTTCGCCGGTTTTATCCTTCGGCTTTCGTTGTTACAGTTCCCGCGCCATGCCAGACAGGAAAAACACAGAAGCATCCAAGAACAATGTCAAGGAGAAAAGACCTCCTTTGACTCATTTCCTCTGTCTGCCGCTGGTAAATCCCATCTCTTTTCCCCAGCTCGAATCCTCTCTTGCGACATTCAAAGCAGCGATTCCCTCTGTGCAACCAACCCATCAAGATGGCTCCTCACCCGGGTCTGTTGTCGAACAACCACTCTTTCCAGATAGCGCATTGCGTCCCATCGGCACACTCCATCTTACATTGGGAGTCATGAGTCTTCCGACTAAGGAGCGACTGAATGAGGCGTTGGAATTCTTCCAATCACTCGACCTGGTCGCCATGATACGTGAAGCAGAGAATATGGCAAGAAATCCTAAGAAAGGAAAAGGTGCATCACATCTGGAGAGCTCAGAAGGAAGCATCTCTCGTGAATCTTCTGGATCGGATAATGATCTGGGCCTGGCCCATGATCGTCCCCGACCGTTTTCTATTTCCCTCGAGTCCTTGCATGCTTTTCCACGTGCGCGTTCGGCTACAGTTCTTCATGCTGCACCTGTGGACCCTACATCTCGATTATATCCTTTCTGTGAGATGCTGCGAGACAAGTTCCTCGAGGCTGGTTTCATGCAAGGAGAGTACAAAGATAAACGACAGGCAGAGGGGGCAAAGGAGTCCCAGCAGGAACAGAGTACCACCAACGGCGAGAATAATGGCAGTGATTCTCAAGAGGCTACACCCCAGGGAAGGATCAATGAAGATGCTGCATCGTGTCAGGATGCAATAGCTGAAGAACGCTCCCTCGGCGAAATGCCCGTGGGTCTTGCAGATGATTCTGCTCGGCGGCAGTTACACAAGTCTAACAATGCCAAACGAGCATCCGTTATCTCCAAACCAAAAGCCAGGCCGCTTACTTTACATGCCACTGTAGTGAATACGATTTACGTTCGTGGGCGACGGCGAAACGTGGGCCTCAAAAATGGAAATCGCAAGAATAACCAGCATACCTTTGATGCTCGGGACATTATTGCCCATTACAGGTCATACAATATCGATAGTCAAAAGACAATGCCTTGGCCAGATGCCACTACTATCGCAGCCCAACCGAAAAAAAGCCAGGACCAGTCACTCGAAAAGAGAAGAGTTCCTCTGGGCGAGCAGTCGGCAGACGATAACACCCGGAGTCCATTTGTCTGGGCGAGGGATTTCCCGCTGGAAACGGTTTGCATTTGTGAAATGGGTGCTAAGAAACTTGACCCGGGGGATGTTGACGATAACGATGGAATGAATGCTCGCCTGGGAGAGAAATACATGGCCGTTGCAGAGCGAAGCTTGGATTTCGAGCCCTCTAGTGAGCCATTTGTTTCCGGGATCGAATCGAATCCACTGCATTTCCATTCATGATTTGGTTTATATATAGTATGACAAACGATGCACTTATGATTCAATTAAGAGGCAGGCACACACATACCTTTTAAGACTTCGGTTCACATACTTTTGGTATAGTTTTATACTAAGCAATTTGGAGCATAGTTATTAACATGAATAAAATGAAACATTAATGATATTTCTACTAGTGGTTATTTTGAAGATGAAACCAAAAAAGCCTCCCAGCCAAAGATCTAATCATGACTGTGGTGAATGGTATTTCATGCATTTGAGTGGAGACTAAGATAGTGTTCTCAGCTCTCAACACAAGACTCCCGCCAAAGGCGGTACTCGTGGCAATATTACCACAAAGCAATAACACAAAGCAATAACACAAAGCAGTAACACAAAGATAGTTACTCACTCTCACTTATCTATCTACATTCTACAATTAAATGAACATGGCCAACACACGTCCTTCCTTCCAATATAATCTATTATCCGTAGTTTTATCTATTGTCAGAGGCTAAAAAGGAAGGCGGAGCAAAAAATCAGAATTGAAAAGGTGCCACCCGGGTTCGAACCGGGGCTCTCAGGAGCTTTACGAACACTAGATCCATCTTATGAGTAACACATTGGATACTCTCGGAAAATCTAGCAACTCAAAACCTGATGTCCTAACCACTAGACTATGGCACCTGTTGTTATTGTCCTCTAAGCAATTTGAGAATCCATGTATCTTTTCATGATAAGAGAGAGGAAGCAAAAAAGAAGAAACAAAACTAAAAGGATTTGCCAGGTGCCACCCGGGATCGAACCGGGGTTCTCAGGAGCTTTGCAAGCTTTAGATAGCTGCGTCAAAACCTGATGTCCTAACCACTAGACTATGGCACCGTGGGTTGCTGTTTTCCGGAAGAGAAAGAGATAAGAAATAAACTATTCAATCATCAGGGCTGGACTGTCGGTTGGGAATTTCGTATGACACTTCTTCCTGTTAGGTCTGATCTCCGAGAACACATTGAAGCCAGCTTCTCTATTAATTTTATTAATAGCTGCCGTGCGCACCGGCAATGGTAAATGGTGACAATAAAGATCTTGACGTCGGGTCCCCATAAAATTTCGCCCTGTAAGCAGAGGGTAAGTTCATTGAAGAAGCTTTATTGACAGACCCGTACTCATAAATTATTCCAATTCGGGAGTTGTGGTTGCCAAAAGGTGGTATGAAATTCAAATGTTGGCCGATATGTTTCATCTCTTCAGCATGGCTTGACATTACTGATATGATTTCCTCGTTGTAGTTGTATTTCGTTTCTGTATTGAATGTCTCCCAACCCGAGGTCTGCTGTTGCTTCTGTGGCCTTTTTGAATGCCGGAGAGTACTTCTGATGCTGGAGCATAGGAAGTATACGGTAGTTACTGTCACCCAAGAACGCATTTCTGGGTCTGGGGAGCTGGAGAGCTGGAGAGCGAAAGCCCTTTTTCAAATCGCATGTGTGGCGTCAGAGAGTCTCCTTGTAGTAGTGATGAGGTCACATTAAGCCCATGCCCTGTGTACAGTGTATGATCACCAAACCACTTCAGTGTATTTGGCGGGAGGGATTGGAAGACATATGAGAACGTCTTTTCAAGTAGGTTACTTTTGACAGCAGTAACCATGTTATTTGTCCCTTCGGGGAGTATAAGGGACCAGAGCCAAATGAAATTCGCAGTCCTGTGACCATCACCTTTGGAGATGATATAATAGTGCAAGGTTGTCTTCTGAACAGTTCAAAATCGCACGAAGATGCTGCTTAATCCGTCTGAAGGGTGTTGGATTTGCCCACATAAAATCGTAAATAGTTTGCGTCTCGATCATCTGTGACAAAGTCTAGGTAGTCACTACTACCTGAAACTCGTCTGTTTTTTATAAGCCACCTGTAGCCTAGATTTGTGTCAGTATTTACTTAAGCGAGTTAGGTATTTGATGGCATACGCTTTTGCAGTAACCTTGGTGTCCTCAAGTTCCTGAATGCTTGGGTCTATGGATGAAAGGATGGCCTTGGTAACTGGATCTGGACCTCCGCTTATCTTTATAACCTCTGCGTATGGGATGTGCTGCATGATCTCATTGCCATTGGGATTATCGATGATTTTGAGAATCAACTGTGGTTGTAGGCTCTGGGGGTGGAAAGATAATCTATATGTTGGAGAAATGATATTAGTTCTCTGTGTAGATTTTGGCTATACATGGGTACTTGGGAGGCTTACACCAGTAGCCTCTCGGACTGTTCTCTCTTCCTGCTGCCTCTGAAGCAACCGAGGGCATGTGTTCTTTCGATGGCCAAACTCTTTGTAGTAGTAGCATTGAATTGCTTTTTTCTTGGCCAGTCCCGACCTATGTGGCCTCTTTGCTGGCAGTTTTGACAGGTTTGACTTGGACAGCGACGAACAGTGAGTCCTATTTTCCAACTGAGATGACATTGTGGGACTCAACATTGTCTTGTATTGTGATTGTTTGAATGACAATTTTCGCAGGGACCCAGGGCGAGATAGTAATGAATGGGATGCGATGGATGAGATAGAGATGGAGGAGATAGTATTATAAAAAGAATAGGAGGAGACAAGACGCTGTCCTAGGTGAAAGGGCTGGTCTTTATGTTTTGGTCACGCCACCAGCACCTTCATTGTTTGCAAGCTACCTTAGGTACCCACCTAGGTATATTATTCACTGTCTTGTATTCACCGCGTTAAGCTTTCTAGATATAAATAGTAATTACGATACGTCATTATTCTATCATACAGTAGGTCAAGCATAAAATGATATTGACATGATATAAGCCTGTTAAAGAGACATGATAAGTATAGCACGTTAGGCTAGCTTCCACCAGAGAGAGACCAGCTCAACTTTGGCCCACACGCAGAATGAATAGCAAAAGCATTCTCTAGACCAATAAATACCGCTAGATTAATATATATATATATGTATATCTGAACATTCCTAGTAGCCTATACTAGTCATTTCATGTCAACATTCAGGGAGAAGCATCCTCATCTATGGACATGCCAAGCACATGAAGATGGTCCAGCAATACGTTTTGGCTTTCGCATTTATCTACACTTAATAATGACAAGGCTGTATTAGCGAATACAAGAAAGAGGAAGCGGCGCGGTAGCAATGATGGTGATGATTTTGTATAAATATATGCAAAGGGGTTCTCAAGAAACGACATATCCTATCCACACAAGCATTATTCTATCAATTAGTCATAATCAACATTATTGATCCTAGATAGACATAATGCTATTCATAATTCTACTTCTTCAATAAGAATATTTCTTGAGTTGAAATAATCGATCTCGAATGCAACCTGTGGCGGTCTAACCCAATCGGGTCATGCCTATTCCGACTTGGACCGGCTTCATGAGATGCTCTCTTCCCTCCATCATATCACTTCATCTCTGCCCTTTTGCTCGTCACTCTTAAGCAATGGTAAAGGCTGCTAGGACATATCAATGCCATCGATGCTCTAGGACGTTTGCCCGATTGGAGCATCTTCAGCGCCATGATCGATCGCGTAAGTCTCCGCTTCTGCGGAAGAAGTCTTCTATCTTCAACGATGCTAACAAAGCCATCAGATACAAAGGAGAAGCCCTTCAGCTGCGATAAATGTCCCAAGTCGTTTACACGCAAGTATGGTACCACCCTACTATTTCCCATCCGCTGTTAGCTGATGTTCGGGCATAGAGATCTTTTAGCTCGTCATGAGCGTCTCTTTCACACCTCTACCGAGACTGATCCTGGCAGCCAAAGCCAGATTCCGTACTCATCACCCTCTAGTCATACCAATGAGGGACTGGGCAATCGATTAGCTGCTTTAGGAGGTAACCAGATGGTATCTCCAATTTCTATCATTGAGGGAGAACAACGTCCAAATAATGAGCATTTTCCCTCGGGCTTTCCCGCTCCAGTCAACCAAACCCCTCTCATGGCCCAGCGAATACCAGAGAGCCATCCGTCCAGTATAGGTCCCCAGGATATGGTTACCATGACTGAATTCAACCCTTCTTTAGGGGGATTTGGCTTGTCGACTCCATACGGCGACGATTTCACATCATTTTTAGACAGCATCCCGCTGCCCAGCCACCCTTTTTCACCAGCATATCAGCCTTTGCCTCTGTTTCCCGCTTTCCCCATTTTTCCACAGCCGGACTACTCTCAATCTTCTGAAGGAGGAAGGGAAGTCGAAGGCCCTTCCACGCCTTCGAGCTCTGTGCTTCCCCGTCATGGAACACAACTGCCTTCACTTCAACCAGAAGGGACCCACAACCCTTACAGGGCACACCAACTCAAAGGCTTTGTTTCTGTGACTGATGCATGCAGAGATCGTATCGTGACATTACTCTCAGGCTATTCCAATGTACTTTCCGATCTCTCCTACCCTTCTCGACATGCTCTGTCGCGATATTTTACTGGATACGTAACAGGATTCCATGATCACTACCCATTTATGCACATTCCGACCCTGGATATCAATTCCATATCAGTACAGCTCTTCTGCTCCATGACGGCGCTAGGGGCACAATATTGTCGTGAACCAGAAGCGAGCATGAGTCTCTATCAGGTGGCCAGGGCTGTAACACTAGAACATATTCGACGGGAATTCCAATCCGCTACGGAGATAGGAACACGCCCTGGTACAACTACGTGGCTATCTGCATCAGCCGCTGATAACCGAGATCTCTTTGAGACCCTGCAAGCGACGGTGCTACTGATGGCAGTGTCAGCGTGGTTCAAAGACAACCCCCCTCATTATGATGCGTGGTCGCTCAGAAGCTATATGGAAACTCTGGCGAGAATGGGGGGATTCAATTACCTCCCGGTCCAGGATGGTTCGTGGGAGAGTTGGATTCGAAGAGAGACCGTGAAGAGAACCAAGCTTATTGCGTTTTGTTTTCTCAACATCAACACTGTCGTTTTTGACCTTCCTGCGATGATTCTCACCGAAGATATCGGTCTCGATTTGCCTTGCACAGAAAAAGAATGGCAAGCAACCAGTGCCAGTCTCTGGTTAGAGGAAAGAAGGCAGAGTGCTGGTGAACCCAAGCTACAGGATGCTCTGGCCTCCCTTTACGCTCATACCGAGAATGGCCAGGGATGTCTAGAGAGCTTCTCCTCCCTGGGAGGCTATGTCCTGATACATGCAATCATTCAGCATATCTGGTCTATCCAGAAAACTCGTCGGCTTCCAATATTCAAAGGCAACTCTTTGTCGACCCCTGAGATAAATTCATTGGAGCAAGCTCTAGAACGTTGGTGTCAGTGCTGGGAACGCAACAAAGAGTCATCTGTCGACCCCCTGAACCCCCATGGTCCACTTTCATTTACATCCGCCGCCCTCCTGAGATTGGCATATATACGACTCAATGCCGACTTTAGTTCTGCCCGGCAACTTCAGACATGGGATCCTGAGGCAATCGCACGATCTCTGAAAGAGAACCTATCCGTTCAGCGAAGTGATCGAATGACCAGGGCTGCTCTGCACTGCGCCCATGCATTGAGTACCCCTATTCGCTTAGGAATCAATTTCGTCGCGCACAGTCAGGCAGTACTGTGGTCAAACCAACATGCCCTATGTTCACTGGAATGTGCAGTCCTACTTGCCAAGTGGCTCGAAGCCGTAACGGTCACTCATCCCTCCCCCAGCCTGACGGAGCAGGAGACGAAATTGCTTGACTTTGTCATTGAGATGGTCATGGAGGCTCAGCATGGAGTGGGTCGAGATTGGCTGCTGCAAAACAATGCCCGTCTTAGTGCTAGTGTGACAAGACTCTGGGCAAGACTTTTCACGGCCGATTACATCTGGGAAATTGTGAGTCTGATCGGGCAGGCTTTGAACAGCTATGCCAATCTGGTGGAAAAGGCAATCTGAAAAAGCGTTCGGGTGGCCAATCCTCAAATTTTGAAGTTTGGGGGCAAGGAACCGAAGGCTTTGTCTGGAAAATAGGGTTAGTGGGGTCTTCTCCGAATTGGGGATCTCAGCCTGAGGTGGAGATTTTCTCCATTTTCCGGCTTCCCCCCCAGTCAACCACGCGCTGTCACCAGCCAGACCGGGTCTACGGCCGATAATTTATCAATCATGACTGGGTTTTTCATACGGCTATCGGCACCTAGAAGACAAAGAGGCAGCAATGACTCGATTTCTCCAATATTTGTTGGTGTCGGTCCGAGAAGGCGGAACTAGAATCTTCAAAGATTCGTTGATCTCGCCGTCCTTTAAGAACATGGCATCGACCTGCTTCTTCTATCCCCTATAAACCGGTGGATTCGAAACCGTCTTGCGCAGAAGCAATCGCCTTTTGCAGAATCGGCTAAATTTTCTTGGGTGGAACCGAAGCGATAATCTCAGACACGGCGCATAGCACAATTCAAAAACAAACACAGTTCCAGCGATAGTATGGCGGACACGCCAAAACACAGCATCCAAGAGGAAAATGTCGAATTTCTCTATCTTGAATTCGACACAGTCCTCCCGACTCCGCAGATTACATTGCCACCGGGACCAGGTCAATCACCACCACCAGAAAGCCCAAAACTCGAAAAATACATATCACCGTTTCTGTGGCCCAAATGGCGGAAGTCAATGATGACATGGATCGCTTGTGCAGTCACTGCTCTTTCCGGTTATTCAGCTGGTGAAACTAGTCCCGCGTCGACAGAGCTCACTGCTGAGTGGCACATCAGTTCAGTGGTATACAATCTGGCAATCACGATTTTCTGTATCGGCTTCGCTCTTGCTCCAATGGTATTGGCTCCCTTTTCGGAAATCAATGGAAGACGGCCAATTTTCGTTGCCAGTGGAGTGATATTTACCGGTACGTGGAAAACCTCTGCGACTGGCTGAGGTTGTCATCAATGCTAAGTATATTTGTGAAAACAGCGTGTCTAATAGCATGTGGAGGAACACATTCTTTCGCAGGCTTGCTTGTTGCAAGATTTTTCCAGGGTGTTGGTGGATGTAAGTACAATTCTTTCTGATCCTGGAACTCAGTCCACGAGCGAATAAGCGTCATTTATATGCATTTGGTTGAGTAGACTGACATCAATGCACCACACAGCTACATTTTCCACAATGGTTGGTGGTGTCATCAGTGACATCTATCATGCACACGATCGAAATACACCAATGGCGCTATTCTCAGGAGCAGCTCTCTTTGGCACAGGACTCGCCCCCCTTCTTTCCAGCGTCGTTGTATACCACACCACATGGCGGTGGATCTACTACTCGCACGCGATTGTTTCGGCATTCTTTGTTGTCTTGATCTTTTTGTTCTTCAAGGAGACCCGAGGCAGTGTCATTCTGAGTCGGAAAGCCCAGGCGCTTAATGCGTACTATGAAAGTCTAGAGAAGGCTGGACACTATGGAGTCATCATGTCTATAGAACAGTCTGATGAGAAAGAAGATATCAGACGCATTCGATGGAAGGTCAAAAGTGACGAAGAACGGCAATCTTTGGTTCAGATGATCAGTGTTTCCTGCGTTCGTCCATTTCGTAAGTTTGTTTTTACTTCAAGGCTCAAAAGTCCACAATTAACCATTCTTTTTTCTCAGACATGTTGTTCACTGAACCAGTCGTGTTTTTCTTTTCGCTATGGGCTGCCTTTAGCTGGGCTGTGTTGTATCTACAGTTTGGCTCGGTTCCCTTGGTTTTCCAAACAAATCATCATTTCAACGTCGAACAGAGCGGAGCTGTCTTTACCTGTAAGAAATTACCCAATAACCTCACAAGTCTTTTGCAGCAAGCAAACTAACGCTTAACTAAGCGATGTGTGTTGGCGTTATCCTCGCAACTGTCCTGAGTATTTGGCAAGATCCAATTGTGTCGCGATTTATCAAGTTACCCGAGTCACCAGAGAGGCGTTTGTATTTTGTCTGTGTCGAGGCCATCTTGATGCCGATCGGGTTATTCTGGTTTGGATGGACTTCTTACCCGTCAATCCCATGGATTGCTCCTACCTTGGCCGTCGGTTGTTCCACAATGGGCATTTTGACAATCTACCTGGCCGTCTTCAACTACCTGGCTGATACATACCACCGATATGCAAGCTCTGCTATCGCAGCCCAGTCTTGCTGTGAGTTGAAATCTGTTTTAATGCTCCAGTCTTAGATCCTTTTACTGACTACAACGAAACCGCAGGCCGGAACCTCCTTGGTGGTGTCTTTCCTTTGGTCACGAGTGCCCTATTCACCAATCTAGGATACCCAGCAGCATCAAGTTTGCTAGGCGGAATTGTAAGTCCCCCATTACATGCATCTCCTGCTGAAATATTGAACAATATGCTAATAATGTTTTCTATAGGGTACTGCTCTAACTCTCGTGCCATGGGTTCTTGCCTTTTATGGCCCAACGATCCGTTCCAAGAGTAAGCTTGCTAGTGTAAGTCTTCACATTCATTTTGCTTCGACTATACTGTTGTTTACTGACTTGGGATATAGGAACTTGCGCGTTAAAAAAAATTTATTGCATAAAAGGGGATTTAGAAGGGGAATGCCTTTACGGGTGTTTTGGTATTGACAAAAGCATTGATTATCATGAGTATATGGGCTCATGCACATAATGACATAATAAAATAAGCATATAGCATACATAGATAGACAATTGTAATCATTCATTATCAAGTCTGCCAAGCAAGTAAAAGGCCAACGCCATGTATATATAAAGAAAAATGTTAAAATAATAATTCCATGAATATTAATCATGGTTACCACCTTTTTTTGGTCGAAGGGAGACATCGAACTCTCGATACCATAATACGTAAGGCAAATGGCACAGCAAAATGATTTGAATCTAGATATCGCGACATCTATATACACAATTCCCTACTCTGCGATCATGAGGAAATCCCAAACGCCTCGCTGATTTGCTTCGTGACATGACTAAACCCAGTACCCAGTCACCATGTCCGACATGCTAAAAAAATGTTTAAGAAACAGGAAGAGAAAAAAAAAACACGACAACTCTCTCATCGCACTCGGCTCATGAGTGTCTCCATACCCACTTCTACCGACAATTCCGCAGCCTTTGCTTTGGTAGCACTAACCATGCTCCTCTCGAAATCATCTCTGGTCCGCAAGGCAGCTTCAACCCATATAAGCTGCAGATCCCAGTACTCCGTTTTAAAGCTTTCATAAACGGCGACTAGAGAGGGACCCTTCTCCGCATCGAGCAAGCGGACCAGCCAATCGACCAGCCGCCACTTTTGCTTGATTGTCGAGGCAAACGAGTCGGGGTATTTTTGGAAGAAGGCAAAGACGGTCAGGACATCGTCCTTGAATTTGTCGGTGTATGGATCCACGTTGCGGCGGAATTTGACGCTCTTGTTGCGTACGGAGGACAGGTACCGGACTAATAGCTCATCGGAAAGTTCCTCGACCAGGATATCGGTCAGGGATGGGTGGAGGACAGGACTATAGTCGGACATGTAGTCTTCGAAAGTGGAGGTGATCCGTTTCATTGCAAAGTCGCCATACCACTTTTGGGTGAAGAAGTCCGGAATAGTGGTTTTGAGGTCGACGGAGAAGATCACCTCGACGAATTGGGTCAGACAGTGGGTACTCAGATCCACGTAACTGTCCCGAATAGCATCCAGTTCGGGTATGGCCCGCGAAGCCATGTATGAGGGGTCTACCAGCTGTTCGAATTCGTTCTTGAATCTAGTCAGGTATCCCATCTGCCCTGTTTCGTCGTTGTCATCAATGCAGGCGATCTGGTCGTTCGCCACGGCAATAAGCCAATCTTGCATCAACTGCAGACTCTCGGTCTGGTCGCCTCCAGGTGCCTTAGATTTGGCAACCTCCTCATCAATGAGCGTTTGCCAAGTGATCTGCCGGCTCTTGAGTACTCGGAACATAGCGTCGATAATACCCTCGACGACATCGGTTCGAGAAGAGGAACTTGAGGCCGCAATCTGCTCATGAAGCATACGCCACATGTCTGGGAGGGTACGGGTCCGGAAATATCCCTCTGCATTGGTATCCAGCGAGTCCGGGATTCGCTCGACAAATCCCTTCCTCTCCGTTTCGAATATCCGGTCCATCCATTCTTCAACGGCCTGGACAATAATGTTCTGCCATTGTTGAATAAGCTCGGGCTCGCGGTCGTCGAGAATATTGGGCTGGAGTTCGGACTGTTTCCATCCCAACTTGGCCATCTTCTTGTAATACTTGCCGCTCCAGTGGATGATCGATAACAGATTGTCGGCTGGCAATTCTGGGTCGTTGATCAAACCAACGAGGAAATCATGCATCATCCGATGATAGGTCTCGGTGTACACCTTGTAGATCTTCCATTTCTTGGGCACAAGTGACTGCATGCCTTGCTGGACGGTGAAAAGATCGTTGAAGAACCACCTGAGACTCTTATCCAGAATGTCGGGATCACCAAGGAATTCCTCCTTGGTGTTATCAAATTGTTGCTGTGCGTAGAATTCAATCGCCTGCATGAACTTTTCCTTATAACCCCTGACCGTTTTGGGGCCAATGTTCATGGATTTGAATCGGTTTGCCAGGTCCTTGTGATCCTTCTGGGCCTCCTGCAAAGCCCGCACTTTTTCATCATTCTTTTCCTCGTTCATCACAACCACAGCCAACCGGACTACCATGCTCCGGTTATCCGACTGCACGAGCGGGATGATGTTTATACAGGCGGTACCCAGATGGTCATCGAACCACTCGATAACATTATCGAGTCCCTGGAAGTAGTCCAGCAGGGTGTCTTCGTTACTAGTATCATCCGCCTTGCATATCTGATCCATCGCCTCATCGCGAAAGTCTCGCAACCGGGAGATCTGCATGTGAATCCGAAGAAGGTTCGGCTGGTTCTCCAAGTCCTCATCATCGTCCCTCAAGAGATTCTCCACCTCAGCTAGGTCCGCGTTGAAATTCTCCAGGCCCTTTTTCATCATCATAACCGCCTCGAAATTCCTCTGGACCTTGGCTAGCTTGTCGATTTGCGAAAAGTCATCGACGCTCGTCTGCGACTCCGCGCATAGCTTATCGATCCCCTGGAGCTCGTCCTTTGTCTTGGAAACTTGCCGTTGGCCCTCAGTCAGCGCACTGATACTAAGTTGCACTGATTCCAATTGATCCCGGAGCCCCTCCCGAAGCTGCGAATCGACTGCTGTCTTCTTCCGCAAGTATTCCGCTTTCAGTGCGGTGATCTTGTCGAGGTCCTCGGGGTGTCGTAGGATATCCTCGAGCTTTGGCATCGCCACCGTTCCATCGGGGTTTTCCTCTTGCGCCATTTTGGCCGATGGTTGTATCAACGAATAGGCGGGGGTGTCTGTCTTGGATAGGTAAGACTAGTGGGGGGTTTCGGATCGTCGGAGGCACCCGAAATGGTATAAAAGTTGTAGACGAAGAGATATTCTCCGTCCCAGGAATCCAAAGGCGTAGCTATAGCGAAAGAAAGCAAAGTCGTATAGAAAGTAGACCGGATGACAACGGCAGCACCGATCCGGTCAGGCCAGTATGACAGGTATAACTACCCCCGGTTCCAAACGCGCAGCGTTTCAATCAAAGAATTACTCCGTCCAATATGTCAAATATATCATGAAAATCAAATTCTCAAGCCACACAGCAAGAGCCCGAGTCAGTCAATGGCTCAATCACCAGTGATTTCATCTGCTGCTCATGAAACACCGAGGTGGTTGAGAGGTCCAGGCTGGAACCCCAAAGTCCTTCCCGCGCAAGAGACCGGCAGAATACATCCACACGTGACTCTCCGCCCGCCAGACCGACTGCCAGTGAGCGTTGATTATTCCCCGGTCCAATTTTCCCGGCTGCTGCATTTCTGGCGACGTTCGGAGAAGCATATATTGACCACCGAAAAGACGAGAGAGAGAGAGCGCGCATTGCGTGGGAGATTAAATTATACGACTCGAAATAATCCTCATCGTGTGAAAATTTGACGAAACCTATCGAGATCTGTCGAGATCTATTCCTCCCCCGAGAAAATCCACCTCCGCAATCACCATAAACCATAAACCCAACAAAAAACAACCCTTCACACATCTCAAAATGAGTTACTTCCGCGTCACCCTCGTCCGTTCCGCTATCGGTCTTCCCCGGAGAACAACAGACGTCCTCAAAGCTCTGGGTCTGAAGAAGCGTATGGGCTCCGTCTTCCACCCCGTCTCGCCGTCCGTTGCGGGTCAGATCATGAAGGTTAAGGAGCTGGTGGAGGTGCAAGAGGTCGAGAGACGGTTAACGAAGCAAGAAGTTCACCTCGAGCGGAAGCCCGACCCGGGCTATTACATTGAGAAGGTGTCGGGCGCGGAGTGGCAGGGATGGCAGCGCAAGTAGAGAGAGAAATGAAGTACTGGGTGCTTTCATTCTCTTTCCCTTGCATTTCACTACCTCGATTTTAAGCGGAATATCTTTCTCATGCGATTCCCGGCTATGAATTGGAGTTGGGACTTGTCTGCTCTCTCCAGACATGCCATGCACTTTTCGCATTGAAGGTTTCGGATGCGATCTGTTTCTCAAAAAGAGACGATTTTTTCTCAAAAGGGTTTTACGCATCAAAGCATATGCTATTCTCTGCTTTTTGTCGCATGAGGCTATTTCTTTTTCTCATATATCATGTCATGTACACTGCTTCATCTGCCTATCATCTGTTCTACCATTTTGTACTATACATATTGCATGCTGCGTGTTTACTACGACTAAGAATACCAGCTTTGAAACGATTCGGATCTTTGACATTGTTCTGTCTTATTGATATTAATAACAATAGATACTCCTATTCACAGGGTGGAGTCGATAAAAATGCAAACCAGCTGTATACCCATAAACGCCAATTATGAAACTTTCTAATCGTTATCCCTCTTGTATGGGGATATTTGATTATCCAGGATGAAAGTTTTTTGCAAAAAGAGTCCATGTACAATTCTCTCAAAATGCAAGCTTCTTAGGTTTTATAAAGAGTGTCGAGGAAGCCTTCCGCAAGGCGGTTGACAATGCTCTTGTCTGGGATGCTACCGGCCACACCATACAGAGCCGATGTATCACCGCGTTTGATAACATATGATTTACCTTGTCTCTTCCTTTCTTCAGCCTTCTCCAGCTGCTTCTCAACAACCTCAATCAAGTCAGTGGTCAGCTTATCAACTGCAGCTGCTGTGGGAACAGTGAAGGCCACGTGCATGGCAGCAGGCGACTGAAGGGCGTTAAGATGCCATCCCTTAGAGGACAAATCGTCGGCAATGTCGTAAATGTCGACACCGCCATTCTTGCTACGGAAAGACACAACGCTGACCATCGGCTTTCCAACAACTTCGAGGTTTTGCGACAGAATCGATTGCTCATTGATAGAGGCCTCGAACTTCTTGGCGGCTCCAACAATGTCAAGGCAGCTCTTGATATAGCCGGATTCGCCAACGCTCATCAAACTAGTCCAGCAGCCAGCAATCAGGGCGCCAGGGCGAGATCCTGCCACAGACGGCGATGCGTACACACCACCGGACCAATCGGGGTAAATAAAGTACTGGTGGCTGCGGTATGCGCGGTTTCTATACAGCAGCACAGAGTTTCCCTTTGGGGCAAAGCCATACTTATGAGTGTCCACACTGATGCTAGTCACACCTGGCTGGCGGAAATCGAATCCTCCCTCCTCTTCGTATGGGGACGGGAAGCCAGCTTTCTTGAGGAAGGCGATCACAAATGATCCCAAGCAGCAGTCAACGTGAAGAGGAATCTTGTGCAATGTTGCAAGACGAGACAGGGCTGGGATATCATCGACAATACCATGAGGGAAGTTAGGTGCGGATCCAACAAGCAGAACAGTGTTGGGGTTAATCAGCCGGCGCATGGCAGCAATATCAGCCTTATATTCTGGAGCCGGGCAAGGAACCCGGTGAAGCTTGATTCCAAAGTAGTTAGATGCCTTGATGAATGCAGCATGAGCAGTATCGGGAATAATCCTGTTTACTTGTCAGTCATTGCATGAAGTAGTTTAATACGTATATAAACTCACATTTCCGGCTCCGTTACTCCACGCTCGGTGGATGCCTTTTGACGGGCTGCCAAGCAAGCCATGAGAATGGATTCTGTACCACCACTGGTAGTTACACCAGCACCATCCGAGGGAGAATTGAACAATGCAAGAACCTAATTAATGCACGTCGAATGAGTCATCACGCCCATATTCTCCATGTCCCCAAAACAAAACACAAGAAGACATACCATAGCAACAACTTCAGCCTCCATCTTACGAACACCCGGGAAGACGTCCGGATGGATGGGGTTGGCAACACCAAACTGACCAAAGGCCTCGGCCTGAAGCTTCAAAAGATCCTGTCCACCGTGATACACGGCACCACTAACCCGACCATCTTCCCAACGAGTGTGCTCCATGTTTGCCAACTTGTCGAGCTCCGCACGAACTTGTTCGGGCGTCATGCCCTCTTTCGGAAGAGTTAAGAATCTCGTGATGCCAGGACCATTAGGGATGAGCTTGGATTCGAGGCTCTCAATCGCCGTCGAGACCTGCTTGTCGACCTGACCCCGTACGCCCGGGGTTCGCAAGAAAATCGAATAGAAGAAGAGACGGAGAGAAGCGTAGACATTGCGGATGCTGCCAAAGATGCCGTAGCCGCGTACCGAGTAAAACGTCTTCCGGATATAGCGAAACAGGAAAAGGATAAAGACGATATTTCGGATCCTGTAGCTCGTTGCATCCACATATCAGTAATCAGGAACCCAAAACTCAAACGTACGCCATGACTTTCACAAATAGGATAGACAGATAAAGCTTGGGGCGGGGACTTACAGGTCCAAGTTCAAGGCCGTGAGCGGCGAAGTCGAGGCCCTGCTATACCCCAATAATTTGCTCTGCAGGGCAACCGGTAAGACCGAGGAAGCCATATTTATTGAGGAAGAATAAAGCAATGCTAAATGAGGATGAATGACCTCCTGGTCGAGAGTAACGATAGAGTTGGGGTAGAGGTGGAAGAGAGAGCGGGAAACGGTCGGATGTTGCAGGAAATGATGGAATGCAACCAAACGGCCCTATCGGACCTGCCTCGGCTGCCACATGCAACGTCAAGCGCCGGGCGTCTACACTCTGCAGCGCAGGAAAATGCCGACAATGGGAGAGCACCAGTCAATCTACAGATACAGAATACAGAAATGACCAAATCAGTAGAAAAATCAATCAATGGTACCTGGAAATGCTGGTACATGACCATCCAAGGTCTGCTATATACACGGTAGAGAGCACCAACTCTCTCCTAACACCACTCTCCTTCTTTTTCAGGGACAAAAGAAAGCTTTTTAAAAGAAACCCCCAAAACACACATGGTTATCCCGAAGCACATAAACATAAAATCATCAGAGAAATCCACGTCTTTCCAAAAGGGAAAGTCGCTGGGAAAAAAAATGGGGAAAAAAATGGGGAAAAAAAATGGCCAAAATCTAAAACATCACAATTTCTTGGAATCGAAAATTTTGAGAAGGAAATAGAAAGAGAAAAGAGAAAAGAAAAGAGGCGCTTATGCGGCAACGCCGTTTCTTTGGGCCTCTTCGGCCAGCTCCTTCTCCTTGGCGGCGAACTGGGCCTGCTCCTCAGCGGTGAGGTCCAAGAGAGGCTTGTCCTCACCCGACTTGATGTTACGGTGGAAGACACGGATGATGCTGTCGGCGTCATCGACGGCAATAGGTCGGATGTCGGCAAGAGCCTTGATCTTGGCAGTGCACTCCTTGTACTGGCTGTCGGTCATCTCAATCTTGAGCTGCTGAGCACGCGACTTGATAGCATTCCAGCCTGTCAGACGCGAGGCAAAGTGAACGTATCTGGTCATGCCGAAGTCGGCGGGGTTGATAATCTCGTAGGTGCTGGGGTTGTTGAGAATAGCCTTGGCGTGGATACCGGCCTTGTGGGTGAAGGCGCAGAAACCGGTGATGTAGTTGTTGAAGGGGATGTTGACCTCGACGGCCTCGGCGACAAGGTCCTCAATGTCCTTGATCTTCTCGAGCTTGTACTTGCTCTTGACGTAGTCAGGGTCGGCGACCATCATACGGGCCATCAGACCACCCAGAGGGGTGATACCGTTGCGCTCACCAATACCGAGGACGGAGGTGTCAATGTGAGTGGCACCGGCCTCCAAGGCACAGTAGGCGTTGGCAATAGCACAGCCAGTGTCATTGTGGAAGTGAGTCTCAATGTCACAGCCAACAACACCTCTCAGCACACGGACCAGCTCGTAGACCTGGCGGGGAGAAGCGCAGCCAACAGTGTCAGCAATACCAACACGGTTGACACCAACCTTGTCGACAGCGGAGTAGATGGACAGGAGGTCAACGAGGTCAGAGCGGAAAGAGTCCTCGGAAGAGAATCGGATCTCGATACCCTTGGACTTGACGAACTCGATAACTTCAATGGCGGCGTTCTTGATGTAGGTCATATCCTTACCGTGAGAGTGCTCACGGAGGTAGGAGGAGGTACCGATAACGACGTCACTAGGCGGAGTCAGAAATTTGAAATTAGGATATCCGAATACGTAAAACTTACACTCCGTCAACACCGGTTTCGACGGCGATTCTGGCATCGTCCATGTGGCATCGAATGTGAGTAAGGATCTGTTGTGTTGGTTAGATATCCGTTATCTATTACGTCGTTTCGGATAAGGAAAAGAAATTCGTACCTTAGCCTTGAGGCCGAGCTTGCAAATGGCCTCACAGTCGAGTCTCGACTGCTCGGAAGCACAGGGGCTAGTAAGCTCAATCTAAAAAAACCATTCTAGTCAGTTCGCCATGTTCCGGGTCTTGAGGTTTACATCGGCCATGACTCACGTAGTCAACACCAAACTCATCCAGAGCCTTGGCGATCTCGATCTTCTTCTCGGTGTCGAAGAAGGCGTTGGCGAACTGCTCACCCTCACGGAGAGTACTCTCAATAATCTGGAAGCGCGAGACATTGCTCAAGAAGTCGGTAACTCCGACATTGTGGCCGTAGGGGTTGCGGGAGGTGGAGGGGTGAGGGTTCTGGCGGGTCTCAACGGCAGTGAAACCGGGGTGGTCGCCTTTAGAAGACGAATGTTAGCGACAAGAACACAGGTAGAAAGCTCCGGTTAAACAATCAAAGCAAAGGAATGCGCATGTACCATTGGCATTGGTGACATTTGTCTGCCCATTGGGCTCGTGGTCTGCACCGGGACACATTGTGCGAAGATAGTGGGGGTAGTGGGTAGGTTAGAAAAGTGGTATATGAGAGACAGCAGATAGAAAGAGGGAGAAACGAGGAGATTTATGGAAGAGAAGAAGAAGAATCAACAAAAAGATCACAACTTCCGAAATTCAACTGTTTATATTCTTTAAATCAGAGGGAGTAGGGGAGAAGAGTCATCAGGAAGAAGAAAGAGGGTGGAGTTTAAAAAGGCGGGCGGTCTGCCTATGACTCGACCAGCACTTTTTGCGGCAAAAAAGAAAATTTCACACGCCGAGCAGGTCGCTTTGTGTGGGGAACATCGAACGTTCAGAGCGCATCCGGAAGTCTCAATTGCTCATCATCGCTCGATTTGCGAGGCATTGGGCCAATTACTCACCCTGTTCCAGCTGCAAATGCATTCCTCGTTGGCTTGTCTTGTGATGGCTTTCAGCCTTTCAGCCATCGATCCTCTCAGGTCCATTCCCCAGGGCGTTTGCCACCTGGCGGATCAATCCCGTACACAACTGTTTGGATTCGACTCTTTTTTGAGCAAAATAGATTCCACTAATCACTTCCTCTATCTATCTATCTCTTTTACACAAGATTTCCTGTAATACAAAAGGGATGCTTTTGCCTGGTAAAGGCAGAGATTCCTGTACTTTTCCATATACTAGGGCTTTTTTTTTTTTTTTTTTTTTGGTTGCAGAAACTTGCAGAACCGACATCGGCCACGAGGAGTTTGGCTGAACAAAAAAATAGGATCGGAGGGCGAGTTCTGGCCATTTAGAATTGCTAATCAACTGGGGATATTAATATCTGGATCATCATTAGCACCAGCCCCCCTCGACTCTCCCATTATTGATATCTCAGATCCAGCCAACAGATTGGATAATGCGCATTCAATCCATTACGACTGGTTTCGCTCGGGGCCGTATGCCGGAGGACGGCGGCAGCCCCAGTCAACCCACCGCCCGACGCATCCAGGACGTCATAGCTACCGGTCCCTCAGGCAGCGCACAATAATAATGACAATCACTTTGTAAGATAGATTGAGTTCGTTACTGTGTATGAAGCTGAACTTAGAAGATCACTCGATTTGTAATCATTGGTCTGAATTTAATGATCTAAAAATTATGATTCATAGAAAGTTATCGATAGCAGTTCGGTGTCAATATATATACACCGTAACCAGCCAAATACGCTGGGGTTGTCTGTGTTAAACGAGCGGTATATATGTCCGCCTGAGGACATAATAAAATCAGAATATCCTCTCCTATTCTCTTGAAAACTCTTTCCTATTCACCGGCTATCTCAATTCCAGCTCTTTAGCTTTGACACGTGCTGTCGGAAGGCATAGTTGGCGTTGCGTTCCAGCTCATTGTTGTACATATCGGGGTCAATCTCTGACAATCCTTCGTCATCGTCTTCTGAATATTTTCCCAATGCTGCGAGTCCGTCCGAGCCCCTGGCTTCCATATTCCTATTGGTATTGAGGCGTTCATTTTTGGACTTCCCAATACCATACCCTTTGCCTCGGGATCCCATGATGTTTTTGACCGCGATTCTTCTGCTTTTTCGCATACCGAAGAAAAGTCCAAAAACAATGACCATCACAACACCCAGGCTCACAGGAAGACCAATGAGAAGAGCCTGTCGGTTGAAAGGCAACGAAGGAGGTGGTGCGTAGTGCACGACGGGTTTGGGCTGAAGGGTCACAGTTGGACCTTTCCGAATACTGGCCCTTTGGCCCGATGCAGAATCAAGCTCGATGATATATAGCAGCAAGGTATTGCGCGCTTTACCCTGAAGCCATTCCTTGCGCATATGGAGAGTGATGTACCCGTAGCTGTTGTCGGTCTTCTCTGACGTGAATGCTGAATCTCCGTTGGAAGAGTTGGGATATCGCAGCTCAATCGTAACAGTGGCATTCAAAGGATAATAGTCGGCATTCCATGTAACATAATATGTCGAATCAACTGTCACATCTGCCCCATCCCGTGGTAGACAAAATGGCGAAAATGGGCGATCTAGCTCGGTGCAGACAGGAAAGTCTCCGGGAGAAGACCTGATAATGTTATTGTTGCTTGTGTCATCAACAATGCTATCCGACGATCTCTTCGCGGTCCAGTTTGTCACTGAGGATATAATTTGGTCAGTCCAGATCTCAAAGCAATGATTAGAAGAAAAGTGAAAGTTTAGCAGTCAGAGATATTGGACAAAACCTACCATGCACTTCATCATCGGCCCCTTTTCCTTTTCCCATTACAGCACCAAGGCCATGTCCCACCAAGGATGCCATAGTAAAGCCCATGACCAAAAGCCTGGAGAAAGAGCAAAGAGTCCTCATTTTCAGTGAAACTCAGGTGGTTCAATTCAATGATTAGTTATAGTATGCCGAAGAAAATAAGCAATCAGGTATACAGCCGATCAAGTTGCGGTTGAATGTGAGCAAGAGGCGATTAATTCAGCCATCATGAGAGCCAGAAGACGACGACGCCAATCTCAAGCTTAGAGAAGGTGCGTTGACGGGTTTAGCAGTGGGGGAAGTAGCCATGTTCGATGGCTTCATTGTATGTAGCCCCTCAGAGCGTCAAAGAGTGCGATGGAATTCTGTACCCTATAGATGATGACCAACTTGACCTGAGATGAGATGCCCAACTGCCAGGGTCATCTACCCTCTATCATCATTGGCAGTAGCGTCAGGCTGATACAAGACGGCTGCTGGAAGTAAATAATGGTGACATAATCAGTGTGACTTGGCTGTCCAACACCAACAAACAGAGCATACGAGATATCGTTATCCCTCTATCTGCTAAATGATAATACAATAATCTTTATCATCTGTCAAATAATTCAGAAATAATAATACCCACCCCGTGGGTGTCATCAGGAACCAAATACTCGTTAATTCCCCGGCCGGGCGAATCTCCTTTCCGGCCCACTGCAGACGCTCAGGCCAACTGTCGCCAGTCGCGGCCTCCCGAACATCGTGGCTTCATCTCTTCAACAATCAACACAGGTGCCCGTTTTCCTAGCTGCCTGCTGTCCGTACTCCCACCGCCGTTTCCTTTCAAGAGTGCGTTCGTCGTCCCCGTAAACCAGCCAAGGTTCGTTTTTTTACTCTTTCCCACTCTGCCGCCTAGTTTATTACTTGCATGTTACTAATGACGCGCTCCTGATTAGCACCATGCGTTTCTTGCCTATCCTCGCCGTCCTCCCAGCGCTTGCTGCGGCGCAAGAGCAAGTTCCCATCGGGGACCGTGTTCAGGGTTGGTTCAACAAGGCCAAGTCCTACATCCCAACTGCGACCCCGGTTGTTCCTGCTGCCGAGAAGGTGGTTGAGAAAAAGATTGTTGAGAAGACAGTAACCCCTTTCACCCTGGACAACTGGAAGTCCAACCTGGAGCCATCCTCAGAGGCGCAGGATTGGCTTGTCTATGTCACCGGAGGAAACAAGACTTGCTTCGGTCGCTGTGGTCCTGCCGACAAGGCGTTCAATGTGAGCTTAAAAACCAAGGGGTTGAGAGACCCTAGGCAACAATGACTGACAGTTGATTAGGAATCCGTCCTCTTGTTTTCTGCCGATCCAACCTCGCCTAACCTTGGATACTTGGACTGTGAGGCAAACCCAGTCTTGTGCTCTGCCTGGTCCGCTGGTACTCCTACAGCTTGGTACTTCCAGGTTCCCCACGCCCAGGTCGGAGAGGAACGCCCTGTTACTCCTCTCCACGTTGTTTTCCTGAACGCGACCACCGTTACTCCCGACGAAATCTACCAGATTCACTCTGAGAAGACCTGGGAGAAGGTTCCCGCCGTCGAGGGCACCCTGCACCCAACTGATGGCTGGCTCGCCCAGAACAACCTCAATGTCCCCATGGGATATGTCATCTACGCCTTCAGTGCCATTCCCAGCTGGCTCTTCATGATCGGTATCAGCTTTGTCAGCCGAACTATGATGTAAGTATTCGCTGAATCCGCATGATCACCATCTCATTTACTGATTACCCGGAATAGGAGCCGCCGCGTTGGAAACACTGGAGCCCCCCGTCAGTAGACAATAAATTTCGAATGGATGACGGTATTTGTTTGGATTAGGACCATGATTAGGTTGTATATAATGAAATAGTATCTCGGTCAGATATGAACTTGGTTTACGCTGGGGTCTTTTTCAGTCACCTAATTATGCTTTGTTTGGGTGTGTCTCGAACAAACCAAAATCATAGAAAAACCCAATAAACAAACAAATTTTCAAGCAATAACCTCCACTTGGGAAGTGTTATGCAAGGTAGATCTACTCCGTAAATGTACGTACATTAGTAGTTGAGTGGCCTCGATCCGCTTATGGCACAGGCGGCGGACCAGCTCCGCAGCATAAAAACAAAACGAAAAAAGAGCTTCAGAACCTTCAGTTTCCAACACAACCACGCAAAATGGCCGCACCCATCCAGCTGGATCGTATTCCCCCAACAACGACGGCCTATGTCATCGCCACGGCCATCATTGCCGGTGTCACCGGTTACTTTATCGGTCAGGGCTCGTCGCTAGGACTCTTCAAAGAGAAAGAGGGCTGGCCGAACAGCTACGACGTCAAGGTCCACAAGGATTCCTCGGACGAAGAGGAAGAAGACTCCGAGGAAGAGGAATACGACTCGGAAGATGACAGCGAAGAAGAAGGAGATGGAGGGGAACTGTCGAATTTCAAGGACAACAATGAGGAAGTGAAGCTGGTTCTGGTTGTCCGGACAGACCTGGGCATGACCAAGGGTACGTCGCCAATCTACTATGATGTTATGAATGCGCGGCAACATTCAGCGATCCTTCCTACCCCTACTCAAGTATCGCATCTAACAATTTTTATAGGCAAAATTGCCGCCCAATGCTCGCACGCAACCCTGGCCTGCTACAAATACTTCCTCACGCACGCCCCCGACTCGCCCATTCTCCGACGCTGGGAAAGACAAGGGCAAGCGAAGATCGCGCTGCAGCTGAAATCCGAGGAGGAATTGCAGCTTCTGCAGGCACAGGCGATGAGCCTTGGTCTTTGCGCTCGTGTGATCCAGGATGCTGGCCGTACTCAGATCGCGAGCGGAAGCAGGACGGTGCTGGGTGTTTTGGGACCCAAGAGTGTGGTGGATAATGTGACGGGTCACTTGAAGTTGTTGTAATGATGGTTATGAAAAGGGTATGATGTTTTGTATGAGTTGGTGTACGAAATCAATTATAAAAATTTGATATCGCAGCGCAATCATAGCGACATACAGCTGTAGACAGCATGTGAACCCGGAGTGTAGGACGATTGGAGTCGTAGACTTCCGCTTGTTCTACAGTACAGCACTCATTCGAGCATCCTACGATAGGCTACATAAAACTATTCAAAAATATATAAAAGGGATGTTGGCAAGTCATGGTTTTTCCCCAACCTCACTGGCCAACGGCCAATCGGCGAAGGGATCAGGAATATGACGCCGTCAAACACCAGAATCACCAGCCGAGCTCACCAAACACGTGGAAGGGAGCTCAAGACCGGCGTGAACACCTGATGCCCAACATTTAATCTGAGATCCGTCGACTGGAAATCGCCATCAGCAGTGAATATAATGGCTCCTTATAACGTCGAACTGCCCAGCTCTCAACCGAAACACAGAGACCGAAGTCCCCGTGAACAGGAAACCTGGACACAGATCTATGGTTGTTCTGGTTCATAAAGAGAGAAAAGAAAAAAAAAAGGAAGGGAAAAAATTGCCCGGCGGAGGCGCCTTTTATCTGCAGCGCTAAAGTGGGGCCCCCTAAGAGTTTGTTGCGCTAAACCTTGCCGAGCTTGGTCTGCTTATGTAACCATATCGTGAACTTCGGAGAGTCGACGAGGCTAGACGTTGAACGGCTTCAACCATCAGGCAGCCCCCATCGCCACTTCACTTTTTCTGTTATCTTTGCGGTTGTTTGCCGCTGTTAGAAGCTCACAATGACTGACGCTCTTTCCGTCGAGCAAAATAACAAAATCCGTGTGGCACTCGGCCTCAAACCCCTCCCTGTTCCCGGTGCCGCAGACGACGGTCTCGCTTTCAAAGAATCCAAAGATGACGATTCGAGCTCGGATTCCGAAGAAGAAGATCCCGGTAGCACGTTAGAATCACGACAGGCGCAGGCCGGCGACAACTGGAAGAAACTCCAGGATGAGGCCGATGCGAAGAAGAGGCGGGAGGCGAAAACGGCTGCCATTAAGAGGGCGCGTGACGAGGCCCAACGAAATGCAAAGCTACAAGGAACGACATTGGGCGAGTCCGCTGATATGGAAGTCGACACAAAGACTTGGTTAATGGGAGCAAAGAAACGTCAGAAGAAAATTGACAAAGAGCGCGCGCGCAAACTCGCAGAGGAGTTGGAGGAACGGGAGCGCGAGGTGGAATATTCCGCGGCTGATTTGGCTGGTGTCAAGGTTGGACACGAAGTTGGTGACTTTGAGGGTGGAGATGAACATGTTCTCACTCTCAAAGACACCACGGTTGACGAAAACGAGGAGGAGGGTGACGAGTTGGAGAATCTCGATCTGAGAGAGAAGGAAAAGGTCGCGGAGAGGCTGGAATTGAAAAAGGGAAGACCTGTCTACGATCCTACGGAGGAAAACACCGGCATTCTAGCACAGTACGATGACGAGATCGACGGCAAGAAACGGAAACGATTCACCCTCGATGCTCAAGGATCGACGGCCGAGGAGCGAGAAGCCAAACGACAAGAAGTTTCGGAGAAACTCAAGAAGAATGTCGTCAATCTTGACCTCGGTGTCACTGAAACACCTGTATCCGATTACATGGACGTGAGCGAAATTAAGATCAAGAAACCCAAGAAGAAGAAGGCCAAGGCAACAAAGCAACGAGCCGTTATTGACGAGGATGAAATATTCCCTACGACTGAATCATCAAATACTCCCAACGGAAACTCGATGGAAATTGACACGAGCAACGGAGAACCGGTGCCGGCGCCGGCTCCCCGAAAAAAGTGGGAAAGTGAAAATGTATCATTCGTCGATGATGATGATTTACAGGCCTCTCTCACACGGCAGCGACGTGCTGCCTTTAAGAAACGGCAAAAAGTCCGTCCCGAAGATCTCGCCCGACAGCTTCGAGAAGAAGAGTCGCAGACCCCGATGGAAGTGGAAACCGCAGAGGGCAATGAAGACGAACCCGGACTGGTCATTGACGAGACTTCGGAGTTTGTTTCCAACTTGCAGAAACCCACTCTCCCCGAGCGCCGCGAAAGACAACCTACTACGCCCGCTGAAGAATCACATGCTGATGAACCTACGGTTGAGGAAGCGCTTGCAGACGGTGCCGATGTTGAAATGGGAGCATACAGTGGCGTTGAAGACGAGGAGGAACTGAAAGAACGCATCAAGCGGGACCAGTCCCAACCAGAACAGCAGATCAGTGGCACTGGTTTGGAGGAAGAAGCTACACTGGACCAAGGTCTTGGTGCTACCCTGTCAATGCTCAAGCAGCGTGGCTTGGTGAAATCCTCCGACGGTGCCGAAAGCAACTCGCTACTGCGAGACCGACAACGCTTCCTTCATGGCAAGATGACTATGGAGAGCGAGGCTGAGAGGCGTGCTCGTCAGCAGCGTGAGCGTGACCGAGCATCTGGTAAGCTCGACCGGATGTCCGCACGGGAGCGTGAAGAGTATGCTCGCTGGGAGAACAAGCAGCGTGACCAGCAGGATGCGCGACAGATGGCCGACGTGTTCAACAAGGAGTACAAGCCTGATGTGCAGCTCAAGTACGTGGATGAGTTTGGCCGCATGATGAACCAGAAGGAAGCATTCAAGCACCTGAGTCACCAGTTCCACGGCAAGGGCAGCGGCAAGATGAAGACGGAGAAGCGATTGAAGAAGATCGAGGAGGAGAAGAAACGCGAGGCCATGAGTGCACTGGACAGCAGTCAGCATACAGGCATGAACAATGCGATGGGGGCGCAGGCTCGAAAGAACCGCCAGGCCGGAGTGCGACTTGGATGAAGAGAAAAAGGGGTAATCTTCTTACGTTACTTATTAGCCATGAGTGTATAGTTATACCATTAGAATGATAAATTTCTTTGACAGCATGATCTCACTCATCTCGTACTTTTGGACGATGGATCAACATTGCATGATCTCCGTATCGGGTATTCCGACAACTTGGCGTGTGGGGATAATTAACACCCTATTTAACCGACCTCCATATCGACAGCTGTCCTTCAATAAACAAGACGGTCAGACGGTCAGACAGTCAGAGAGTCATATGCATACTACTGCTGATGAACCTTCTGTAGACTCCATATTAATGATTATAAGCACAATAATATCCCACGTTCGACCTCAGCTGCCAGCTCCCGATTACCCCAATTCTCGTGAGGGGAAAAGGTGGATCGACGCTGTTGTTCTGCTTCAGTTCACCGGGAGCAACATTCGTCTCACGATGATGTTGAATCGATCCAGCAACACACACCATCTGAGACGCCAATAACACTGTCAATTTATTCCGTAATTGTATGCAATGTCAACTACCCACATAGTAATCCCATTATATAAACCCCCAGATAGCAACAGATGAGGTGTTCAGCTCCGTGTGCGGAGGGCGCAGCCAATCGTCTCCATCGGCCCCCGGAATCTCCCTAGTCCCAGTGATTCACATGAGTCGAAAAAAAAAAAACACGACCTCCGACTCACTCTTATTTATCCTTTTGCTCCTCCGCAGTCCACACCTTTCTCCCCCTAATTAATCCCATCCTTTTCTTTTTTGGTTTTTAAATACCTGTCACACCTTCCCCAGGTTTAAATCTTATCCATCTTATCTGTTCTTTTTCCCTTCAGTTTCTTCATTCCCAATGTTGTCCACCCTCAGAGTCGCCAGCCGTACGGCTGCCTCCCGCGAGGCTAACCTGCGCACCGTTGCTATCGGCGCCAGACATGCCTCGGCCTGGTCTAAGGTTCCTCAAGGTCCTCCGGTAAGCTGAGAACTGTTATGGAATGGTTGCTTTTATGCAATTGCTGATGGGTTGGGCGGGTTTAGGATGCTATCCTGGGTATCACCGAGGCCTTCAAGGCCGACTCTTTCAAGGAGAAGATCAACCTGGGTGTTGGCGCTTACCGTAAGGACACCCCGACCCTTTCCCGTTGTTTCGGAAAATAAAAGCCGTTATGGTTGAGTGGATTGCTGATTGGTTCGGGATGAATAGGTGATGACAAGGGCAAGCCTTATGTTTTGCCCTCCGTCCGCGCCGCCGAGGACAAGGTTGTTGGCACCCGTTTCGACAAGGAATACGCTGGCATCACTGGTATCCCTGCCTTCACCAACGCTGCCGCCGAGCTTGCCTACGGATCCGACTCTCCTGTCATCAAGGACAACCGTCTGGTCATCACCCAGACCATCTCCGGTACCGGCGCCCTGAGAATCGGTGGTGCTTTCTTGGAGCGTTTCTACCCCGAGGCCAAGAAGGTCTACCTTCCCAACCCCAGCTGGGCCAACCACAATGCCGTGTTCAAGGACTCTGGTCTGGAGGTCGAGAAGTACCGTTACTACAACAAGGACACCATTGGCCTTGACTTTGAGGGTCTGATTGCCGACATCAAGGCTGCCCCCAACAAGAGCATCATCCTCCTCCACGCCTGCGCACACAACCCCACTGGTGTTGACCCGACCGAGGAGCAATGGCGCCAGATTAGCGACGTGATGAAGGAGAAGGAGCACTTTGCTTTCTTCGACATGGCCTACCAGGGCTTTGCCAGCGGAAACGCTGACCGTGATGCTTTTGCCCCCCGTCACTTTGTCAAGGAGGGCCACAACATTGCTCTGTGCCAGAGTTTCGCCAAGAACATGGTGAGTTGATTCGTTGATCGGAGTATGGGTCAGTGAACTAATCGTGGTATAGGGTCTCTACGGAGAGCGTGTCGGTGCTTTCTCCCTTGTTTGCGAGAACGCCGAGGAGAAGAAGCGTGTTGAGTCGCAGATCAAGATTCTCATCCGTCCCTTCTACTCCAACCCCCCCATCCACGGTGCCCGTGTTGCCTCGACCATCATGAACGACCCCGAGCTCAACCAGCAGTGGTTGGGTGAGGTCAAGGACATGGCTGACCGCATCATTGAGATGCGCTCTCTGCTCCGCACCAACTTGGAGTCTCTTGGCAGCAAGCACGACTGGTCGCACATTACCAGCCAGGTAAGAAGACTTGACATGAGTTTGAGAGATGGCAGTCACTGACATGATTACAGATTGGTATGTTCGCCTACACTGGACTCAAGCCCGAGCAGATGGATGCTCTGGCCAAGGAGCACTCTGTCTACGCCACCAAGGACGGCCGTATCTCGGTGGCCGGTATCACCTCTGGCAATGTCAAGAGATTGGCCGAGTCCATCTTCAAGGTGACCGGTTAAATGATGATTTAGATATGACGTGAAAAAAAGTTGGAAATTACACGATCTACCTGGGAACAGACCGATCATTGGCATGATGAAAAGATCGGCCCCATTGTACTGATATCCCAATGCCTGTTACATTAGCAAATGGTTCGAATGATTAACTGCTGGACTGGAATGTGATTGCGTAGACGAAACCGCGATGAAGTCACGGTCCGTAAGAGCCCAAAAGAACCTGAAGCAGGTGATGGTGTCACTTGTGTGACTGGGAGGCCGTCAATTCGATGAAAAGGATGTCATAGCAATTCCCCCCTCGCATCGATCGGCCATCAAGAGGCTAACCCACATAAGGCTCCTGAGCCTCCGTGGCAGCGCTGCAGTGTAACCCCGACGATAAGCTGGTAATAAATGGCTGGTCCTACTAATTCCAAGACAATGCCTTTTTATTTTACCTCCCCATAGAGGCTAAACTTTCTAGACGAAGTGCATGGGATGTAACTCATCGCCTGTAAGCTGTACTCCGTACACTGGAAAAACTGTATGTACATACCTACTGTTACCACGGCAATGCTCACCTCCATTTAAGGCCGGTTAGGGCCACCACGCACGCAGCGTAGCGTAGCTCAGCTAGCTTAGCTTAGCTCCAGAACAGCAGAAACCGGTGGATCTGTAATTCTGATGAAAATAGAAATCAAAGAGTCTAAACTACTGAGTAAGAGCCAAGGAAGGCAGAACAAGGGAAGTAATAAAAAAAGAAAGGAAGAAAGAAAAGCTGGCGTAGCGCGGCTGTGCTGGATTGGAGTCGTTCAGACTGAGGCGCATTGAGCGCTGCGGCTTGGCTTGTTTCATTTATCGAGTGTTAGTAGTGTAGATCGCAGCCTTAGTATTAATGGTAAAATACAATAAATAAAAGAATAAAGATGAAAGATGAAAGATGAAAGCTGAAGGCGACAGCTGTTCGAGTGTAGAAAATCCATGCATCGTGCAGTTGATACCATGCTGTACACTCAGAGCTTTAGGCATGGCTACCTGTTGATGGCATCACATGTCGATGTAAGAGGGGTAATCAGAATCATACCATTCCAGCGATTCAATAGTCCTGTATTTTGATTATCCTACTCTATTTCTGTAGAGCGCGGAGATCCACCCTGATTCCTCCTAGAGTCCTGTGGCTCAGTTCTCCCTCCAACCCGGGCGAGGATCCGAGTTCATCCATCCACTCATTGTACGCTGTATTCGTTCTTTATTTCCAGACGGTTTCAAGTTGTCGGTTTTGTTTGAATCAGTTGTTGCGTTGGCCAAGGGGAATATGTATTAATACATCACATAATCAGGTAGTCAGACTGGCACGTTTCAGGCTACTACAAGACAAAAGGATAATCAACCCTGTATAATTTCCTGCAGACTTAATAATAGATTGTATGAATATTATGAGCTGGCAGATATTACTTTTATTCTACTCTGTAAGTAGTAATAATAATAATAATAATAAGATAGTAATTGATAAAAAGTAATTGATATATCCAAGCACAGCAAGGCACAGCAGGCACTCATAGTAGAATTCTCTAGCCTCACCCCATGCAGCCAATCATTGAATTTCCAGCCAGCCTTGAAACACCCAATGATCGCCTGGTGGAATGGGCCATCCATAACCGGAACAAGCAAAGTGATGTCGTACAAAGAACGACGGAACATTATCGCTAAAGGCCTCCAGCTGAATCCATTTTCTATGGTCTCTTGTTGATCATTGCTCATATCACTCTGCCTGACTGATTTCAATTCCTAATTCCCACAGCGTACATACAGTTCAACGCCACAGATGAGATGCGGAGAGATTGGATGCTACCGAGGACTTGCTGGAACACGTGGATCGCCTGGTAAATACTAGGTAGTTAGACTCGGCCTCGACAGCGAAATGATCATGGTGTGCAGTGAAGCTTCAGGTATCTCTGTCTAGTGAAGAAAATGCTATTATTGATGGATATCATTGATGTCCTTGCTGTCAACCCTTTCGGTGCTTTTTTGCCTCCTTTTATCCCCTCCTTTATGGCTGCTTTTCCTGCTTTCTCCACGGCTGTCCTCCCGTAGTATGGTATTGTCATGTATGTACGTGACCGTACGTATATTGTGATACATTCCCGGTATTACCAGACCTGGGTATCTCACCCCGTACTGACTACGGAGTATTAAATGCTCGATCAATTGATATCATTGAAGGGATCTATAAGGTAGAGTGTGGAATAGAATATTGAATATTGAATATTAGAAGATTGCTAGTTACTATCCCTGTAGGATTGTAGGAAGGTATTATCTAGTGGACCCGTGTTTCGGTTAGATCTCGGCCTTGGAAGATACACGTTCAGTCCAGATACGTACATTAATTATCTTCTGGAAGCTTACTTAGCCACTGCTACTTACTCATTTACAGTTACGGTGGATTTTACCGTCCTTGTCGTCTGCATGGAGTAAGAGGGGTTCTCTACCTAGGCAGTTCCAGCTTACCTAGTCCATCTGCCCTGGTGCAATGTGCACCTATCGGCCTTAGGTACCCTCGTAGTACGATAGTTAGCAGCCAACATCTTATTGATGGGAACTTTTCAACAGGCACACCAATCTGATCTCTCTTCTGTCGCACGAGAGCACCCAGAAAGCAATCGCCATGCAAGTCCACCCATCTTGCATTCTCCCTGCTGCGAGAAGGTCGAGGCTGGTCCAACGGGTGATCTACCGTCAGGACAGTCAACTCGGCTGTCTGTCGCCTGAACCCGGCGTAATTCTTTCCTTCTTTTTTTTTTTTTTTTTCTTTTTCCTCTGTGCTGATCAATCTGTGATCCTTGGTACGGAGTACACTCCATAAAGCAAGGACTCTACCTACATATCCATCATCCAACTACCTACCTACCTAACAGTCCCAGCCCAGTAAGCAGGGCAGCCTCCTATCGTATAATGAGTAATCTCTAAACAGCCCGGTCGGAAACCGGAAAACACAGCCAGGCCAAACTGGAAAGCGAAAAAAAGGTCGGAATGGAAAAGGTTACTTATTTTGGGCTCCGCCCTGGCAGTGAGGGAAAACGGGGGAAATAATAGCAGCAGGTGGAAGCAGCCAATCACGACTGGGCACTGGTGGGGGAGTGCTGGCCCCACTTCATTCTTGTCAGCGGGTGGTTCCATTCGGTGGGGGCAGGAAAGGTAAGTTTGGTTAGCGTCCGTCGTTACCAATCTGTACCACCGGTGGATGGTTGTACAGGCAGGGGGAAAGAGAGAGAGAGAGAGAGAGAGAGTGTGTGTGTGTGTGTGTGTGTGTGTGTGTGAAGGATTAAGAGAAGGAAGAGAATGATATTATAGAAGAAGAAACGAAGGAAGCGAAGAATCGAAGATAAAGAAAGGCAACTCGTCCTGAAGCACCCGATCGATATCATCGTAGGGATTAATTTTCCACAAATACCCGTATCCGTACGAATATTACCTTACGTATAATACCGTACCACGTAATAAACCGGCTTCCACCCAGAGCAAAGAGAACGAGCAATGGATTGGATGCCTCATGCTCTCTCCAGCTCGGTGTCACCTCTGTAAAAGAACCAAGAATTCCAGGAGACGATCAAAGCCTCATGGCCCATCTGTATAGCATCTGGTAGAAATCCGTTCCTATTGCCACATCGAGGTCATGATGCATCGGTGGTGGCCACCAACTTTGTGTTGTCACTCCGTCATTATTCAGCCCAGTAACGGTAATTAATTAATATTATTATTCTTGGGATGATTTGGATGGATTTGGTTAAACCTTCAGCGGGCCTGACTGACACTATCATCCGGGCCTCTCAAACCTGAAATAATAATTAAAACAAAATAAAAAAGAAAAAGAAAAGGAAAGGTACCCTGATGATACCGCTGCTCCCCACTCTCGTCTCTCTCTGACTCTCTCTTCTCGCTCTCTCGCTCTCTTTCTCTTTCTCCGCTTCCAAAGCCGCCTTGCTCTCGTCCTGGCCCTCTTTGGCATCATCCACCCCCCCATTATTACCTACGCTACTTACCACTACTCCTCCTCCCACTCCCCCTGCTCACTTTCTTTCTTCCCTTCCCTTTTCCACTTTCCTTCACCTCAACCCCCCCATTCATCCACACCTTTCTTTCCTTTCAACCCACTCCTCCTTGAATCCCTTTTACTGTCATGGGTATTGGTGGTTCTCGGGTGCCGTTTGCCATTTCATATGCAAACTCCCTTTCATCCTCTTTGTCGTCCATTGCTTGATCTATGGGGTATTGTTCTGGCAAGCCTCTTCGTGCATTCGGCTGCTGACCTGCAGCTTCAACGCTGCCATCCGTCCTTGTTCCGGACCTCGAACCCTCTCTCCTTCTCAATTCCTCTTCCTCCGACTGCCTCTCTGACGTTGACCTGATCTCTCTCACTCTCGTCATGTCAGCTTTCGACGTTCCCGAAACGGGGCTGTCTCTCTGCAGAGACCCCCCCGGCAGTGACAACAATGCCAAACCAACCCAGATTATGCGATTGAACCTCGCCCAGAGTACCCTCGATGACCTGATCCAAAGCCTACGATCCGACCAGGCTGCTCGAATTCGCCTGGGCAAGCACCAGACCATCTACTACGGTTCCAAGTCCCAGCAGTTTCACTCGTGCCCCGAAACCCACCGTTCCGAGGTCTACAGCGGTAGCTCGGCCGATAAAGAGAATCTATACTTTACGGGCGTTCTGAGCCACAGCTTGGAGGTGCAAAAGGCCAAGGAGGCCACGGCCGCCACCGACCAGGCATTGGCCAATCTCGAGCAGAGCTTGAATGCGTTCGAGAGGGGAAAGGAGTCCAAGAAAACCCACATCATCACCAGCATTGATGAGGTGAAGGCTCTTCGGGCGGGTGATAGCCGGTCCAAGTCCAGCAAACAGGCAGCGTTCTTGGGTCGGAAACCCACCAGCAAGGCCGATCTGGACAAGGATCGTCTCCTCAAGCCTGCTGCCAACCGCTCCGGGCCCTCGAGCCCGGCTCTCGGTGTTTCTCCCCTCACCCCAACCTCTGCTCCTCTTTCTCAAAATAAGGACCGACTTCGTCTCGATGCTCTCAAGGTCCCCTTCATCCACCTCCTCGCCGTCCGTGCCGTCTCCGCCAAATTCCTTGCCAAGCAGACTTGCTCGTCTCTTGACGATTGCACCACCCTGGCCCAGAAATACGCCGTCGAGAATCGAATCAACCGGGAAAAGTTTGATCTCAGGGACAAAATATACAGGGACCTGGATGTGTGGAAGTTTCCCTACCCGTCTCAAGAAGACAGGCAGGAGGCTATTGAGAATGCCATCTCTGCCTTTGACCGTATGCGGATTTCGCGCTCGGACAAGCTATGGCAGATGCTTCTCCCCAAGGAAGAACGGGGCAAAGGCAAGTGCCTGTCGCGGCTGGACCTGCGGACAGGGCCCATCAAGAAGGCCAACACCCCTCGGATACAGGTGGAAGATACTGGCAAAGAGGGCTACAGCACTGGCCATGAGACGGACAAGGCTACTGGCGACGGACTGACGCCCAAGCCGGCAGAGCCCACGTCGGCCCCCCGTTCCAACGCCACTACTCAGAAAAAACGAGTTGGCGAGAAAGATGCTTTGGCCAAGAAGGCCCCTCCCAAGGCCAAGACTGCTACTACCAACAGCACCTTAACTGGACGTGTCACCAAAAAGCCAGAGCGCAAGCCACCGCCGAAACCAGACGGCAAGTTCAAATCGGCGGAATTTGTGCATGAGTCCGACGACGATGATACAGAAATGCCCGATGCCCCAGCGACGGAGAAACCTCAACCCCAGAAGACCACCAAACCGCCTGCCCCGAGGCCTGCCGCCCCCGCTAGAGAGTCGAATACTCCGGCAACCACCCATGCGCCGACTCCCAAGGTCAGCAAGTCGGAGCAACCAACCCCCAAAGTGGAATCATCCCAGACCAGCAACAAGGCGCCTCCTGCAACTGCATCTAAGCGCCTCCCGTCCTCGCGGGTGTCTAATTCGAGCTCTCCCCAGAAGCCATCCCCTCTTGGCTCCTCCCCGCCTACCAACGCGTCCGACTTCCCGAACCGCAGCCGCTCGTCCAGTCAGAATAATTCCTCCAGTTCCTCTTCTCCCCTTATCACCCAGTTATCCAGGCCGAACAAAGCAGCCGGGCCTACTTCTAGTGCCGCAAAGCCTGCCAAATCCAATGGCGTGGCGAAATCGGTGCCGGCGGCAAATCCTCTTAAGCGCAAGGCAGAGGTGGACCGGCCTGCTCAAGCCCAGGCGGCAGCACGGGCTCAGAATCTTGAACACAAGCGGCGACGCGCCGTGAGCACTTCAAGCGGCAGCACCGGGAGTGCCTCCCCGCCGCTTAGCCATGAGCTACTTCGTCAGCAACTCCGCGAGAAATCGCAGAAGTTCAAGCAGTTTTATGCTAAATACCGCACATTACACGACGCATTGGCAACACATTCAGATCCTCCGAAGGAGGAACTGGAACGCTTGCAACGGCAGCACGTTCGACTACAAAGAATGAAAAAGGAAATCTGGGACGAGGACCGACGACTTCGTGAGGCTATCTGAGAGCCTTGATAATATGAGAACCTAATTTCTGATTTGCAAAAATGATTTTTGAAAAATCTGTTGTTCAATCTGTTTTATATGTTGATTTGTGTTTATTTCATTGCATCTGGCATGAAGCTACAGGACATAATGCTTCCAGGAGTTTTTGTTAATTTTGCATCTATTTGTTTTGTGACCTATCTTTTTGCCTGAAATTTTGTTTTGCATCTGCCAAATTTTTTTTTTTTTTTTTTTTTTTTTGGACTGTCGCCGCAGCGCATGTGTAATTGTTGCATAGAAGACTGTCGTCAAGCCAGGAAACAGACCTGCAGAAAGCCCCTTGTTTCAGCCGAGGGGATTGTATCAAACAACCAATAGAATCCAACATCATCAGCATAGCTCCTTTTCCAGTAAGAGTACGTGTTCGCCGTCTGCTGTCTCTATTCTTTAATCGTTACTATTGCCCACTGCCAAGTATCTGATCACCTGTACCTATGCACGTGAGTACCTGTACCACAACTCAATCGTATCCACTGCTGAGCACGCTCAGCTGCACCTCTGTATAACCCAAATACAACTGAAACCCTGCAAGCCACTATCCTGAACAAATCCTCGTATTTCCATCCGACTTGCCCGAGAGATCAGAACAGTCAGACTACCCCGGATCAACCTGGAAACGGGGGGCCTAGACAAAAAAGAAGAAAGGCCGCTAAACCGCCCAGGGCCTAGTTCCCATGGAACCAGCGCACGTGGCTCGCCGCATTTCCGGGATAGGAAACACCGCTCTGTCACGTCAATTACAATACAGCTGTAACGCGTTTAATACCGTATTTAAAAAACACATTGCGCGGCTGCTGCGTCTGGCGACTGGCGACGTCATTCTGCTTCCGCGGCTTTTCCGGATCGGGTTTACGGCGGTTTTGGGGAAGAAGGCGGTGGGAAGGGGGGAGAAGAAGCTAAGGTCGGTGGAAATTAATTGCCTATGATGCTTGCTTGGTGAGGGACAGTTGAAGAAACGAATCATCGTGTTTGCATTTCTTTCTCTCTATTATCTTGCTCTTTTGTTTTTTTTTTTTTTTTTTTCATTTATTGGTTTGAGATGATCATGGCTCTGGAATTGTCTTGATTGATTGTGTGCTGTGTGTGATACAGTCACTTTTTTCCAAAATCAAGGACAGAACAGATCTTTGTCGCAGTGCAGCGACCGGCAGAAGGAATCGATAACACAACCATCCATCCCACCTATCTACCTAGAAGGGAAAAGATTATTTCTTTTCCTTGAACTTCCTCACAATAACCAATCATGTCTTCCGCAAGAGGCCGGGGTACCCAGCGAAGCCCTACTGTGCTGGTGAGCACTACATGCATTGCTTGTTTCGATTTCCTATACTAACAGGCTGCTGCATCTAGGTCACAGACTCGCGCGATCAACAACCAGCTGCACCGCAGCGCCGTCGTCGCTCCCCAGCAACCCGTTTCATCACAGTCGATAACGTCCTCCAATATGCCTCGGATGTCCCGTCGATGCAACAGCGCCATCCTCCGCCGAGCGGTGTCCGAGCCCGTCCCCGATCCCGTCTCGCATCTGCAGCGGGTGGATTGATGGGGTCGACTGGTAGTTCTGCGCCGAGTGGGACGCATGCATCCGGTTCGGCGGGAACGATAGGACGACTTGCGGCGGCGCCGCGTCTGCCTCCGCGAACGACCAAGGTCAGTGAGAAGTTGGTGCTTTTGCCTGAGACGGACGAGGTGGACGAGCATGAAGGGGAGGATGAAGGGGAGGAGGAGGATGAGGAGGCTGTGGATGAGGAGCTGGTGCAGAGATTGGCCAAGGAGAGGGATATTGACCCCGATGCTGTGCGGCAGCAGTTGCTGACGCAGAAGAAGCTGGAAGGGGACTTTGGTGTGGATAATGATATTGCGCCGCTGTTGGCGGAGGAGGAGTTACTGGGTCGTCGCAGGGTGACGCCGGATAAGGCGAAGAGTTATGCGGAGCGATTGCCCAAGGCTCGTCGGGCGGAGAAATTGGCGCGTGTCACCGCGTACTGTACGGCGCAGGCGTACAAGATGAGTTCGTTGGCGTCGTTTGTGAAGGAGTGGCATGGTGGACGGACGAAGCTGTATGATGATTGTCTGTATGTGGCGTATCATCTTCCGCTTTTGCCTGGGCATGATGGCTACAGACTTCGGAGTAGTCCTATGCTGAAGAAGCCGGGAGGGAAGTCTCTGCTGGACGAGGAGATCGAAAGGAATGAGCTGCGCGATCATCATGAAGATTATATTGTCGATGCGGAGGAACATTCGGTTGGCGGAGGCCGTGCCGAACATGAACATGAACATGGCTCGCCCCGTCATGTGGATCACGTCGAGGGTGGAACACCAGAGCGAGAAGGTGAATTTACCGATAGAGTCAGACAAGAGGAGCATCATGACGGAGAACATAGCATGCATGCTACCAATAGCAACGGTCACGGACATCACCAGGGTCTGCATTCTAGCTCCGCAGCAGCCGCCGCCGCCGCCGCCGCCGCCTCAGCACAACTTGCATACGACGTAGCGGAGATGTTCGTCTTCAGCTACGGTGTCGTGGTGTTTTGGAATCTCACCGAGAAGCAGGAGAAAGACCTGCTTGCCGATTTGGCATTTGCAACCTCATCTGTGACAGGGACCCCAGTCCCACTGGCTACCATGCCTTTGCACGAGGAAGATTTTGAGACGGAAGAGTTCCATTTCGAATACTCCACGAGAATTTCACGTCCGCGTGTATACAATGATATGATTACCCTGAGAAGCGGCGACCACATGATCAAGCTGGCCATCAGTCATGGCATTGCTCAGAGCACAAAACTCTGCTTCTTCGAAGAAGTCATGGCCAGACAGATGGCAGAAGCAAAGGATGTCCCGCGCCGACTCGCCATAACCGGAACCCTAGGCATGAAGCGGGAAGAAGTATTTAGGATATTGGGACGGTTATTCAAGAGCAGAGTCGAAGTCAATCTATGTAAGATGTCCCTTACCTGCAAGGGTTTACAAATGCTAACATACAACAGCCTCCAACATGCTGGACGTACCCAACTTCTTCTGGGAAAGCGAACCAACCCTGTATCCCCTCTACATCGCCGTCCGCGAATACCTCGAAATCAAACCCCGAATCCAAGTCCTCAATGAACGCTGTCGCGTTTTCCTCGATCTCGCAGAGATCCTCTCCGACTCTATCGCCGATAACAAAACCTCTCGTAAGTCATCCATCCACATACTCTCTCGCCCATACCTTTACTAACGCCATCAATAGATCAAACATGGATCATCATCGTCCTAATCATCATCTCCATCCTCGTCACCTGCTCAGAAGTCTTCCTCCGTTTCGGTCTCCTATCAACACGCCAGAATGCAACCTCTACCTCCTTTGCTGCTGCGCTCTTCTCCCGCGCCTTGGGCTCGTCCCCTCAACCTTCGATGCAATGTTCATGTCCTATAGGGGGTTCTTGATATCCCATCCATTCATCAATTTGATTCAATTAAGTTGAAATCGATTCTGGCTTTGTAGCCTTACTGTTGATACCTTACTTTCTAATACAAACTCTTATGATGCTCAACTTGCTTGATCGATTCATACTACTCTATATCCCATATCAAGGAGCAAATAGAATAAAAAGAAGATTTTATAAATATTAAACAATAAATTCATGGAAGCCATCCGGCAGCTTTCATATTAGGTAGGTTAAAGTTCTATCCATAAGCTTTATGACACTCATTTACAGGTTGTGTTGATGACAATGCAGACAAAAGAAAAACAGAGAAATAAACAAAGGAAACCAACAAACACAAGGGAAAAAAAAAAAGAAAAAGAAAAAGAAAAAGAAAACATAAACAAGAAAAAATCAAGACAAGGGGAAAGATTTGCATATCCGATACAAATGACAATACAACCGGATAGACAATATTAGGTATGCAATATAGATGACGATGGTGATGATAATGGGGAATACATAGGACAATAGAGTAACAAGAGGAAGATGAAAATGAAAAAAAAAAAAAAAAAAATACAAAAGCAAAACCAGACCTGAAACCCGCGCCCAACCTAGCCATGAACCCGTCCGTTCCCACCTCTCTATCTATGCTTCGTTCTGGTCGTGTCTCACATCAAGGCAGAAAGAAACAAAGCAAAACAAAACAGCAAACAAGTTGGAGAGAACAACCCAAATACTTGGAACAAATCAGCGAGTCCGGACTCCTTCCATCGCGCTTATGTAACTGACACAGGTGATGATTAAAAAAAAAAAAAAAAAGTATCAAACGCAGTGATGTATGTGATGGAGATGATGCAGAATAATAGGGAAAATATGACAATGAAATAATGCTGGAAACCGTTTGCTTTGCATGAAACCCCAAAGAACAAAGGAAAATAATACAAAGGAAATTTAAGCCAGTGGTTCCGAGGCCAATGCATGAAGCCTGAACCAATATGCAATGCAAGAATATGGTACGGCTGAGACTCAGTTTTTCGAGTGATCAGTCATATTGATGACGCCTGGAAGATGCGTGCACTAAACCGGTGTAGACCATACGCTATCGAATTTCGGCCTCGTTTCATAGTTTTCAGGTTCAGTGCTGGTAGGTCGTCGAATGGTCGAGTTCGGGAAATACATGTGAGGAGGCATGGCGCTGGCATATGCCGGGGCGGGTTCGGGATATCCAAAGTCACCTGCAGAACCGGGGGATGGGATGCTACCGTGCGAAGGTGATGCCCAACCCATACTTGTCATGTGCGGGCTGCCATTGACACTGTTGGGCCGATGGTCGGTGTTGGCAGGTGGCTCAAGAGGTTGAGGAGGACCATAGCCGGAGGGGTGTGATGTCATAGAGGGTCGAACATGTGGCGCGCTGCCAAAGCTCGAAAGAGAAGGAGAAGTGGCTGTGGGAGAAGCCCGCGGGCTGGGTTGAGAAAAGTCCCCTCGCACATGAGGTGGGATAGAGCCGCTACCCATGTAGTAATCGCCAGTGGAGCGATGGATATTCAACGGAGGAAGGTCACCGGCAGGCGAGATGGCCGCATGCTGTGCAGGAGACGGCGTGGAGTGAACAGAAGCGTGTTCCGAAAAGATCCCATCACCAGGCACTCTGGCTCTATCCTTATTTTGTCTCAAGTTGGCCTCCGTTTCGGCGGCTGCCTCCTCAATAGTCCCCGTGTGGTGATTTTGGTGGCGTGTCAACGTAGTGCGGCGAGTGAAGGTCTTTTGGCAGTTGGCGTAAGGACATTTGTAGGGGCGCTTGCCAGAGTGGATACGGCGATGTCTAGCCAATGAGGATGAATCGCTGAAAGGCTGTGATGGTGTTAGATGTTGATTTAACTGGTCTCGAACGTGTTACATACCTTGCCACATCGCTCGCACATGTGTGGCTTTTCTCCTGTGTGGACACGAGAGTGCACGGTCAGGGCAGAACGTTGGATGAACTGCTTCCCGCACCCGGGCCAATCGCAAGCGTGGGGTCTGATGCCTGTGTGAATCCGCTCTGAAACATGTCAGTTTTGAAGATATCACAAGTTTCCGATCCAAAAATCTTACCATGCCGTGCAAGGTCACTGCGTCGGGCAAATCCCTTACTGCAAGTTGAGCAGTGGAAAGTCTTGGGCGGAGGATCTCCGCCTGTCCTTGTCTGAGGAACACCGCCATTTGGCATCGGCGCACTGCCTGGATATGCCGCAGGGACATAGGCATTCTGCATGAGAGGTAACCCAGCAGGATGTGTTTGGTATCGCATATCGGGGTGCATGTTCATCTGGCCGAGCGGTGGAGGATGAGGGGGGTATGAAAGAACCTGGTGCTCTCCAGCTTCTGCAGCGCCGGGTTCCGATTTCATCTTGGGAGTCGGATCGAACTGTGCCTGTACAAATTGTTGCTGGAGCTGTGCTGCTTCTGCGGCGGCCACGGCAGCAGAATTCTTTCTGTTCAAAATAGTCGTGATCTCCATGACCCGACCCAGCGGTGAGCTGAGAGACGGCGGTCAGGACAAAGCGAGTCCGATGACAGACCGTTGAGACGCGTAGCTGCTAGTTTAAAATGAGCAGACCCCGGAAGGCTATCGGTGAAAACGGCGCGCGAAACGGACGCTGAACTAGCCGTTTTCTTTAGATCGACTAATGGCAATAGACGTAGGGTAGTCGGGTGGGGGTATTAAGCAAAACTGGGGTGATTGTCAGAACAAGATTCAAGAGGGGTACAGAAGTGCGCAAGACGAGTTTCGAGGAATATCGACGCACCCCCTAGACTTGTTGGAAAAGCTTACCTTATGGTGTTTGCTGTAAGACTCCTGTCCGAATCGATCGTGACAAGAGTGAAGAATGGGGTGGCCAGATTCTTCAATCTCATAGACTGGAATGTGAAAGCAGAGGGGGGCAATTTCCCAGCACTACTCGCGATCACCGTGGTCTTCCCGTAAATATTATTCCTAATACCCAACAGGAACCAAATCCCTGATTCACGCCTCGTCGGATAGTTGCAGAAATAGGTGATCGGAAAAGGTATAGCGGAGACCGTCAAGGCGATACGAATGATCACAATCTCGAAAAGCCGTGGGAAGCTTCGAAACTTGCGGCAGCAGTGAGGAAAAAAAGGCTTCACAGCTATTCGAAGTATATCGCCACGGATGACGCGATGTCGAACTGATCCCAAACGGCCAAGAATAGTCCAGCAAAAACTATCCTGATCACCGAGATTTCAGTATTTCTGATCGGAAGGTCTCGAGCGCAAGTAGACAGAATGAAGGAATGACGAGCGGTCGGTGCGACAAAGACGCAGAGGGAAATTTCGCGGAAATCGTGAAGCCAGCAGATTTTCTGTCCAACAAGAAGATATTAGCAAACCATCAATACAGATTAACCAGCAGATTCTGCCGCTCCCAAGCAAACCAAAAGTTTGCTTGTTGTCTCCTGCCCAAGAAATATCGCCCCAATGAGTTTGAGGTAGCTGCTTAGATGAGATCGCAGATGACGGAACCTGCAGAAATCGAGTGAAATGCAGCGACACGCAGCAAACACAGGAGCCTCGCACTGCATCGAGACGATCTTCATTTCAAAAAGCAGTGATACGCACATGAATCGCGGAGACGCCGATTCCATCCGAGTAAACTGCGTCATCGAGACGAAGCAGCGGGGGGGGAAAGCAGGAGTAATAGGTGGTGGAAGAAAGAGCGCAAACAAACAGGAACAGGGAAAACATACAGATCGGCCGGGATAGAAGTAGACAGAGAAGAACAATGCCCACCTCGAGAAGCAGATGCGCGCTGAAGCACAAGAGTTGGATAGACGGGGAGAGAGAGAAGAAAAAAAAAAAAAAAACCACGGGTATGCCCCTCGAGAAAAAATAATAGAGGGCTTCTTTTCGTTTTTTGTTTTCAACCCAACAGATGGTCAGGTCACAAAAACAAAACAATAACGAAGATATTATTAAGTGTCAGACGATGACCAGTCAAAACCGACAGGAAGAGGTGTTTTAGAGTGTGGTATGTGCTGCTAACCAGATGGCTGCGTTCCTAGGTACCACGATCGAGTACTTATTCGACCAGGGGAGAGACGAAGAAGAGAGCAGAAGAAAAAAAAAACTCCACGTTTTCCAGGATCCCAGATTGGCCCCGTCCACCATGCGACATTCTCTTTTATTATTGATTTGAATTATTATTAGTTCGCCCTTTTGTCTCTTCTGCTTTTAATAATAATATTAATATTTACGGAGACTACTTGCTAGTTCTACACTACTACCAAGCCCATCGCACGTTTCCACTAAAAGAAGACCCCCCCAAGTGGCCCCAGTGAACAACGACCGAAAAGAAAAAGAAGAAAGCTGGCGGCACCAGAAGGTCATCGTCTGCGCGCCGGCTCCACAACGTGGCCTTCCCCGTCCCTTTGGCCGTGCGAAGAATATCGGTCGTTCTGGGTGGATACGGCTTGATGCCGATCTGAATTCAATATGAGGACGATAACTTGACAGTGTGACGGAACCCGGGGGGTAGAGTACCCAGGGAGATGACGCACCGTCTGTACAGGACTATCTACGGAGTCAACTACAGGGGGTATCTTTCCATCTCTGACTGTGACTGTTACCTCTTACTGACCTTTGGGATTAAGACAGGCAAGTGGACTACGGACTACTACGGATTACGGACGGACGGACATGACATGCATAACCCCCCTCTGACTATCGTGCGACAGTCAAACGCCATAGAGGGACAATACAATCTCTAGGCCATGGGGGGAAAGAGAGACACCAAGAAGGATCTGGCATGGCGTGGCGTTGTTGCTCCATAACAAGTGAGGCATCTTTCACCACATCCCTTACTCGGTCCACGAGTCGGACAAAGCAATTTACAGGGGCGGGGGGCAAAGGAAGGGAAAAAAAAAAAAGCCTCAAAATATCTTATTTGCCAATAGGCGGCCTCCTTGCTGAACTCTGCTTGTCGACCAGGGATTCTAGGGAGTCAGGGAGAAATATAACCCCAGTTTCAGGACATGGGATGATGATATGATGATGACTATTACCTGTTAGGCCAGAGGTCTAAAATGGCTTCAGATTAGCGAACAACAACGGTGGGAAGACTAAATGCTTCTAGAAGGTCAGGACGGTTCAGGGGCTGATGTCACCTCCTACATACGGCCGATGTAGGACATACGGTGTGGATGATGATGAAGATGAAGAGAAGGATGAAGATGCACCCCTGACCCTGGCAAGAGTGGACGGAGTTGGCGGAGTGGCAGTGTTCCACTTGCTCTCCTTTTCTTTTTCTTCCAGAAGGCCAGGAGATTGCGAGATCCGCATTTATCGAATAGCGTCAGGAATGATCCTCTCCCCACCAGCGACTACTGCCTGGCTAGTCCTAGTGGTGCACGCTAACGTTGGCACGCGATATCCGCTGCAGCCTCGTCCGACCTTCCGAAGGCTTCTAGAAGAATTCCACTGTCTGTGTCTGTGTGATGTGTCTGATGTACAGAATAGTATTATCTGAATGGCATTGTTATACGTATATACAGAGTACAAAGACCTCATAATAATTAATTGTTACTCCGTCAATGTATCTGCATTGTCTATCCCTGATTCAGTTCTCTCCACGCGTGGGTCCAGATGACAATATCTGCAGCTGCATCTACACATTCCCTGCATGAGATATTATGTCTCTACCATGTATAATAATTAATACAGAGACAAATATCTCACGATCGACACGGAATGATCTTCTGTCGACGCTATTCCGGACTATTTCCTAGCCACACCACTAAACAACGACACCACGGCATCTCAGCACATCAAGTGGTCCCGGTAGATCCAGCACGGAATGGAATCTTTCTGGAAGACGCGTAGAACTTTTCTCTCTCCCTTTTCCTTCCCTGAAATCCTGAATCCTTCCAAGGCTCCACAGGATGCAACGAAGAAGTTTCTGGCGTATTGCCTCTTCAGGAATGATTGTGGGTATTCTGTGTCTTTGCTCGGATATGAAAGATGGAGCCTTTTCACTGTGGATTACTGGATTGACTCGGATTGACTCGTGATGTCCCCGTTGCGAGAGAAAGTGTCTAGGAGAGAGAGAGAAAGAGGATCTGAGGATTTTCAACTTGAACCAAATCAGGGATTGACGAAATTCTCCCCTTGGGATCATCATCCGATTGACACTCCTACTTACGCACATCATCACAGCCGATGATGGATGGATATGGGGTAAACCTTGTGCGACTTGCGATCTGCATGAATATCCTGATTTTGATTTCTGATCACTGATTCTGGTCTGATATCATGGGATGAAGCTGAATTGGCATACATGTTTCATAACACAGACTGAATATCTGATACACCCGACAAGGATCTCAAACACTTTCTCTTATTGTTTCTGCAACACTCGAATTTTAGTCTGTCCAACAAGGCAAGACCCTTTCACAGCTTCATGTCCCTCCCCGCGAAGATCCGTCCATCATACGGTGATCATGCAGGTTTCATGCCGAAGTATAATGCAGTCCCGTCCTCACATGCTGTGTACTTGTGCATCCCTGAGGCTATCCCTGTTTGTCTGGTTTATGGGATCGTCTAGACTGACTACACCCCTCATAGCCTCACTTTAGGTTGACTTCAATATTCGGGCACATAGAATACAACTGTAGATTATGCTGATATGCTGTGCAGTGGATTAGATATGTGTATAACTGTATATTTGAAGCTATACGTCCCAAAATGGATGTACGTATCAACAGTCGGGTAGATATATAAAGCTTGGGTATAGATCTGGTCTAAACATCTTCATGCACGCTCGGGTTTCTTCAGTCGGATTCTGAATCAAATCAGGTCCATGCAGCTATTATTGAGATTAGAGATTATAATAAATTATGGATGTCGATTATGGATCGTGTTGTATAAGCTGTGGTCTGTTGGCTGTCACTCTGGTCGCATGTTGGCCTGTCTATATATTCCAAACAATACAGATCATGGCTATGATATTATAACAGATATATTCTGCAGTAGTCATCTATAATGTATAATATCAGAGATAATATCAAGCATTCTTATCCTATTTTACTCTATCTGCATGAACTGTATACAAAGTCTTGGCATGTTTGTTTCGCTTCATCAAATCTTCAATCTCCAACTTCAGCTTCACATCGCAGAGTCAACATTGACATTATCTGATTCGAACCCACAATTATACCAATTGATCATGATATTCTGATACTAGGTATTTATAATCAGATATTACCTTCGTCCCTTCCTATCTCCTGCTAACACGAACAAACAGACCTCTCAATCCCATCCTCATCAACATCAACACATCAACACAGGAAAATGCTTCGACCCTCCCTCCGACCGTCAACGGTCCATCGAACCCTCTCCCTCCTCACCTCCTCCCCAACCCGCCTCCATTCCACCTCCTCCGTCTCCGCAGATGAGCTCTCCCACTTCTCCGCCCTCGCCAGCAGCTGGTGGGATCCAATGGGCCCATCCCGAGTCCTCCATCTCATGAACCCGCTCCGTCACGACTTCATCGCATCCTGTCTCGCCGACGCCCCTCCCCTCCGTGACTCCGAGACAAACTCCTCCCCCGCAACCCTCCGCTACCTCGACGTCGGCTGCGGAGGCGGCATCTTCGCCGAGTCCCTCGCGCGAACCATCGCCCCAACCCCGTCCAGCTCCGCCGCAACACCCACCCGCGCCGCCTCAATTAATGCAATCGACCCTTCTACCACCCTCATCCAAATCGCCCGCGACCACGCCCGCATCGATCCAACCGTAAACGCTCACCTCCGCGACGGCAGATTCAACTACCAAAACCGTACCCTGGAAGACGTAGTCGCCAGCACCACTCCCACGCCCGAATCGGCGGCAAAAGAAGAAGCAAACTACGACGTCGTCACCCTCTTCGAAGTCCTCGAACACATTGATCCGTCTACTTCCTCCCCACTTTCTTTCCTCTCAAACTGTCTCCGTCTCCTCCGTCCGGGGGGCTGGTTAATCGGCTCGACCATCTCCCGCTCTTTCCCGTCTTTCCTCGTCAACCAGGTTATCGCGGAAGCACCTTGGCCGATTGGTGTCGTCCCGCGCGGAACTCACGAATGGAGCAAGTTCGTCAACGCAGATGAGGTCCAGGGTTGGGTGCAGGAGGGTCTGATGCGTATCCAGGATGGCGCTGCTCAAAAGGCCGGCCGTCAGGCGCTGGAAGGCATGAAGTGGAAGTGTACCGGTGTGATGTACTTCCCTGGTATTGGGTGGAAGATGGTGAATGGGTCGGAGGATTGGGGGAATTATTTCTGGGCTGTTAGGAGGGGGGTTTAAATCACTTTACCCGTCTTCTATATGTATTTCTAATCTTGGGGAGATGACTACGTTAATGTATATACTGTAGAAATAGACTGATACAATATCTTCAAATCGTTTATTCGTGGTATCTTTAAGCGTGTGTATTACCATTCGCCCAGCCAAACTAGAGTCAGCTATTTGCTACTCGAGATATTCGTGTCCAGTATCTTGCAGTTGATAGAGGACTATTAATGCCAGTTCCTTCTATATATGTAAGCAATGCCATAATGGCGTAGCTACCTCTTCCTCCCCTTTCCCTTCTTCTTCTTCGTCTCCGGTTCCGGAACACTGACAGTGCCCTGTACAATGTCCTCAGTCTGATCTTTCAATCTCTCCGATCCACTAATAAAGAAAGTAAGGTCGCGATTCTGCTCGGTCAAATCCGCATTCGAAACCCTAAGACCTTCAGCCTCAGAAGTAACATGCTCGATACGTTTCATAAGAGACTCATTCATCGTCTTTTCCTCGCGCCACTCTTTTTCCATCTTCCGCGCCATGGTCTCGAATTTCTCCGCCCGTTTCTCCGCACGGGTTTTGTCGCGGTCGAGACTGGGTATGGTCTCGTTGGCTAGTTTGTCGTATTGTGATTGGAGGCCCTTGAAGCTTGCCGTCATTTTCTCGACTGCTTCTTGGGCGGATGCTGCTGCGGCACTGGCTTGTGAGGCCTTGTCTGCGGCTCGCTCGACGATTTCTTCGTAATATGCGCGCTGGCTTTCCAGCTGGCTGGTTAGGAGATGCGTGTATTCCACGCTCATGTTTTCGAGCTTTTCGCGGGGAACCGCGTCAGACCAGTCTGGGGGGTCGAGGGCGCTGTTATCTGCTGCTGGGAGTTCCACGAGTTTTCCGTCGGTTTTGCTTTGGATGATGCGGTGGACGTATGCATCGCCTACATAGTCCCAGACGCGTTGTGTGGCGAGGTCCATGGCAAATGCGTGAGCGGTTTCTTTGTAGTGTGCAAAGGCATGTGCTCCGTCGTAACGACCACAGCCAACAGTTCCGCAAATGAGACACACCCAGAGGTTAAGTTCTGAGCGACAGACGGCACATTCAGCAGGTTCGTCTCCTCCAAAGGGGATGGCTTGACTGTTTCTACGGAAGTCATCCTGGGTGTATCGACAGACAGGACAGCCGCTTCCTTTCCATTTCTGCAGACATGTGCAATGGAAGACATGCTGACATATGATAGTCAGTAGACCGGTAGTCTCGTCCATGCGCTCCAGGCAAACAGGACAAGTCGGTAGCTCGATGAGAGCAGGCGTACGTGGTGCTAGGGGTTTTGTAGATAGAGTAGCGGAGGGAATGGTGCTCGACTGGCCTGCAGAAGATACAGCCACCCGCTGGGGGCTCGTCGCGGTGTGGGATGGTAAACGGGCACTTTGTTGAATAGCAGAGCCACTCGACTTTGTCCCAGGTTCGACAGCCTGAATCTCGACGGTTTTGACAAATACAACATGGCATGTTTCGGGCTTTCAAAGAGTCAGCATCGCTCAAAAAGGCAACAAGAAAGGAAGAAAAAGTTACTCACCTCCATACTGTTAAATACTTTACCATTCCACTCCTTCTGCCACTCCTTGGCCTTCCTCCCACTCCGAAACTTAATCAGAACCATATACCGATTCGCCCTGGCCGTCTTGATCATCCGGAAATGACTAACATCATCCATCGTCGCCTCACCAACAAATCCCAAAAAATCCGACGGCGAAAGATACGACGGCACAGCTAGAATGCATAACGTCGTGCAGTCACCATCCGGCTGCAACTGCAACGCAGACAATCCCTCCTCAACCCCACGCCCATCCTGCCTCGACCGACTAATATTATTATCCCCACCTAGCTGGTCACTCGGCTGTCTCGCGGCCGCCGAACCCTTCAGGTACGATGGGTACTCCTCATCAGTCAAGAACGGCGTCTCCTGAGCATCGCGGTAGAGATGGACGATTCCCCAAACGCTTTCCGACGTTGTCTGATCAAGCGGGATATATCGGCCCTTTGTCCGGAGACCACCCAGGATATCAGTCCCGATGCCCGTCGCGACAGGATTGTCCAAGAGATTTCTCCCGGCCACACGCTTCGATGAGGCTGTTGTGTCTGGCTCTGTTGCAACCATATCAATGCATTCAATGGACACCTTATCTAGCCTTGAATCGTTCTCGATGTCGGAGGCGCTTATCGGCGATCTCGTGTAGAGGTGTGGGGTAGCGGGATGGCCTGTAGGAGGGGCAGTAGACGCGGCTCCAGCGCTGCGAATACCGCTCGAAGAGCTCGATTGTAGGTTGTAGTTAGACGCGGCAGACAATTGGGTCTGGTCATGCGAGAGATGCCGTGCGCTTCGGCTCGTGGAAGTTGTTGTATGCGTTGGCCGCTTCTGGAACGGAAGTAGTGCTTCACATGCGGAGTCAAACGATAAAGAAGTGGGTGGTTCTTTGTCTAAGCCTTGGGTGGCACTTTGGAGACTTGACTGGGGACGAGCAAATAATTCGATTGCGAGGTGGTAGAAATATGAGGGCATCCCGGCCGATGCTCACATTGCTGAAGCTTGAACGTCTCTGAAATTCTTCTTTTCTTCAGGCGTGACTTGGCTCGACCCTTAGATCATAGATACAACTGTCGGTGGAACCAGGTCACGTGAAGCTGTGACTAGTCAAGCCACGAAGTGGCAAAACGGCCAGGAACCAGATATATGGACCTGGATACGAGGGAGTCATCGTTGGAGTCATCGTTGCCGTGTGGCAAAGTGGCGGAGTAAAAGATTCTGCAGCCTAGGCTCGGTGTTGAATAATGCGATACAGGCTACGAGCTACGAATGCGTACAGTCTGAAGTATGCGGAGTAAATTGCCAGCAATATCATCTGGTTCATTGATCATTGATAAAGGATAGAACTATGTAAGCACCATATGGTGATAGAAGAAAGGTATGCCCAGTTTAGCCGTAGCAGTAAAACCATCCAAACGCCATGCAGGTCATTCAACCCATAAGACGAGTCATAACAACAGCAAGAAAAAAGAAAGATATTAAATAAGAAGATCAATCTTAGTTACCGCCACGAAGACGAAGAACCAAGTGCAGAGTGCTCTCCTTCTGGATGTTGTAGTCAGAGAGCGTGCGCCCATCTTCCAGCTGCTTACCAGCGAAGATGAGACGCTGCTGATCCGGAGGAATGCCCTCCTTGTCTTGGATCTTGCTCTTCACGTTGTCGATTGTGTCTGAGCTCTCAACCTCCAATGTGATTGTCTTGCCAGTAAGGGTCTTGACGAAGATTTGCATACCACCACGGAGACGAAGGACAAGATGAAGGGTAGACTCTTTTTGGATGTTGTAGTCCGACAAGGTGCGTCCATCTTCCAACTGCTTTCCAGCGAAAATGAGACGTTGTTGGTCAGGAGGAATACCCTCCTTATCTTGAATCTTAGACTTCACGTTGTCGATCGTGTCGGACGATTCAACTTCCAAAGTAATTGTCTTTCCGGTGAGGGTCTTGACGAAGATCTGCATACCACCACGCAGACGCAGGACCAAGTGAAGGGTAGATTCCTTCTGGATGTTGTAGTCGGACAGAGTGCGGCCATCCTCCAGCTGCTTACCAGCAAAGATCAGACGCTGCTGGTCAGGAGGAATACCCTCCTTGTCCTGAATCTTAGACTTGACATTGTCGATAGTGTCGCTCGATTCGACCTCAAGGGTGATGGTCTTTCCAGTGAGGGTCTTGACGACTTGAAGACAGTTAGCATCTTATTATGTCATAGATATCCAAGTAGAAGAACTTACAAATCTGCATACCACCACGGAGACGAAGGACAAGGTGGAGGGTGGACTCCTTCTGGATGTTGTAGTCGGACAGAGTGCGGCCATCCTCCAGCTGCTTTCCAGCAAAAATCAAACGCTGCTGGTCCGGGGGAATGCCCTCCTTGTCCTGGATCTTGGACTTGACGTTGTCGATGGTGTCGCTGGACTCAACCTCAAGGGTGATGGTCTTGCCGGTGACTAGAGAAGAGAAACAAGTCAGTAAAAGTTCAGGTGGCGAGAGACCAGTGGTGGAAGAGAACTCACGAGTCTTGACGAAGATCTGCATGGTGACGACGGTGGTAAATCAAGCAGATAACAGTTTATTCAGAGTAAAACGTAGGAGAAGATAGAGAGAAGCAAAAAACGCTTTAGATGTTCTCACCAGAGGAGAGAGAGACAGAGTAGTCAAAAGAGAAGGATAAATGATGAGAAGATCGCAAGCGGGAGATGGAAGGAAGAGAGGCTTAAGTAGTCGAAAGAGGAGACAGATGAGGGGAGGAGGGAGGCGAAGCGCCTTAGTCAGAGAGGCAGCCTGTGACGAGATAGGCCGGATAACGTGATGCAAGGGAATCTGGACAGCGGTAAAACGGCCCAGAAGGGCAACTCTGGCTCATTCCTTCCCTTCTGGCCAGTCAGAGGCGCTTTCCCTTTTCTGTGCCTGCCCCTGGGGAAGCTGCTAGAAGCGTCGGTGATGAGTCAGTGACTCTCTCTTTCTGCCTAGCATTCACTGTTCTTTTTAAGGTATTTGATTTCTACTACATCTACTACTGCAAAGGAGCCTGAAGGTTGTTCTGAATGCTCGTCCATGAAGACGCGGATACGATGCCGTAGATACGACACCTTGGGGAGGGATCCGCGGCCTGGAGGACAAAAGACCGGCTCCGTCCTCACCCGCCACTGACGCCACCAGTGTATCTCTTTGCCCAATTCCGAGTGCAGAGGCTTTAAGTTTTATCTGGATTAACCTATTCTACCGGGTCTATTTACTTTCAATCACTCTTTCATAGAATCAGACAGATGGGGGTTTCCATGATGGCACTCTTGCTCTATCGACTGCGTCATGGGGGTGATTGATTGCTACAGCAATGACGTGTTGATACTAGCTAAGGACACTCTTATCGCCAAAAGAGGGGGGCCGCAGTGGAGTTGGACACCTCCTTTAAATAGGCAGGGCGGACGCTGATTTGATCAGGTGATCGTCGCATCCGGTTGACTCCACATACTAACTGGGCAACTTCAGCTTACCTTGGGGTAATGTCCACGGGTACCTCGGGCGGTATGGCTGCGGTTATTGCATATCTGTTCTCATCGAAAGCAAATCGACTGATCGATCGTCCAGGGACAGGATTGAGAAAAAGAAAAGATACCATGTTCGGAGGTTATTCTTCTTTCTTAGTTCGTACAGGAATGTTGTTATTGCAGTCGACTGGTTGCACCGACAAACTTGGTGCCGCTGATCAGTCTAGTCAGTTGCCTTGACCGATGGTCTACCCGACTTCACCAACACTACTACCAAGCGGCTCATGTATGTCATTCATAATCAATGCGTCAATAGTTTGATATAATTGGGTAATAGCCATCCTCTGATGACAAAAAAAAGGAGGCGAAGGTCCAAACTTGAGATGTCAGAAAGAGAGACGTTGAGTTGTTGAATGGCAACATTCACCGCTCAAGTGGCATTGCTGCGTTCGACCCGTTCGTTTGGGTTTACTCGGCCGGGCATCTTTCTATGTACGGACTACGGAGAACTGAACTCCATAGGAAGGGCAGTTAGAAGCACTGTCGGTTTCAGATCATACATACGGCGCAAATCATCGCGGGAAAACACCCTCATTCAAATCATGATTGATTGGCATATAAATATAATATTCAGATTCTGTTCAAATTGCAGTAAGTCTGGAAGCCAAAACAAATAGACAGACTGTTCAGCATGGCTTGCAGCCACGCTTTTATGAGATAGACAGGGCTCTCCGAGCCCAGGCCCCTACTGGGAGGCCATCTGAGATGTCCCGAATATTCAACAAGAACGCTCGACACGAACAAGGCAATAAAAAGAATAAACTGGAAGGAGAAAAAAGAAAAAGGACTAAAACGCGCTAAGTCAAGGACACAAAATGCACAAATGCAGCGTGGAGTAAGAACTGGTCTTTTCTCCAACACACGTCGACAACTCAGTTGCGCCCACTGTTTTTGCTGCCAAACATCTCGTGACCATACAAAATCATGACGTTCGTGATCCTCATCATCGCTATTTGTAAATACTGTGCGAGAGAAAGGTATACCACTGAGAAGAGAAAAAAAGAAAAAGAAATCGATCAGGCGAGAAAACAAGAATTGCTATAGGCTAGTAGAAACTTGAGGGAAAGAAAAAAGGCATTGCCAAAGAGAGAAACGCAGAAACAGAGTTTCATCAAGAAACAAGACGATAAAAGTATTTCAAAGAGTGATAGAACCCGCTATTCATTGATGGCAAGTCTCATAATCATAAATTGTCGTCATGTAGGTTCGTGTCGTGCTGATGCCGTCATCTTCAACAGGAAAAGAAAAACCGTAAAACATTTGTGTTCGGAGCACGTGTAATGAACCTTCATCCTCATTTGTTGTTGTCGTTTAGTTTGCGCGAATAACAAGTCTCGAGATAAATTTGTTGGATAGACAGTCAAAGTCGTTGCGGTCGAATTTGGAGTTGGAACGGCCACGGAGGTAGCTCTCTGGAGGGATATTAGTACTGTTCGTACAAAACACAGCTATAATTATTCCATACCGTATTCAGTAACGTGGCGGCGGACCTCAGTCATGGCGTTGCAAACGTCCGGGTTCGAATTGAGCAAGTGGTGGTGTTTTTGCGTCTCCCAGTCAGTGAATGCGGGAAGCTTTTGCGAAATAGCCTGGAACAAGCCAACAATGACACCGACAGGAGTCGTCTCCATATCGTTGCAGAACTTATCCACTGCAGCAGCATCCTGGAAAAAGTTAGCAGCCATTCCAAGCCCCAAGGTATCTTCAATACTCACCGGTGTACGGTAGTGGCAGTCGAACTGCATCTCTTCCCACACCGCCAACAGAATGCAAGCCAGCATGAAGATAGTCGGCCAGTTCTTGAGCTTCTCTCCGCTGTAGACGCTAGAGTAGAGACTCGAAAGCTCCTCCAAAACATCCTTTTGCAACTCTCGCCACATGTTTGCCATAGCACACTTGATCTGGAAGTTGATCATGACCGGGGCCATTGTCTTGCCGTTGAATTTCGACGAAGCATCCTGGATCGTACCCAAAAAGCTTTCCTCCTCACCGATTCCTTCCACCATTGTGACATGCAGTGTCAGGTTGTAGGCGATGATGAGTTTCAGGGCTTTGCGAATCACAGGCAGCTTAGTACGGAAATAATACCGGAAAGCGGTCTTGAGCATCTGCGTCAAGAACGGGGTGCCCTCGAAGTAGTCATCGACAAACTTTTCAAAGGTGCCGTTACCATCGATATGGCGGTCAAGGTAGTCGGACAGCATGGCGTGCGAAATGCCCTCCATTCCAGCAGACAGTTTAGCGGTTTCCACCTCGTACTGAGTTGGCTCTCGGTGCATAGTTTCCACCCAGTCGATACTGAAGCACTGTTCATCCCGCACGTAGACCTCGCGGGCATTGATGGGGAGGATGTGGCCATAGCCATGGGTGATAAAGAGAGTCTTTTCCTGCTCCGAGAAACCCTTGATGTTGCCAACCGAGAATCCGAGGCTAATGTGACGCTCATAGTCCGCCTTCCAGTCCTTCATAAAGTAGCCAATCTCCTTGATGTCAATTCTGGTGCAAGGAACCTGCCATAATCTAGCGTGAGAGGGCTGGCATCCGGCGCAGGGCTCGCCTTTGTCACACTTTTTTAACTGTCAGTATCAACCCAGTCTATTCAGGGACAGAAATGTTCTTACAGTCTTCTTCAAAAACTTGCAACGGAGGCATGCCCTCAACTTCCGGATTTCACTAGCCTGCTTCCGCTGATCCGGCTTGAGCGGACCCTTGCGCTTTCCAACCCGCTTTTCTGTCTCTGGCTTTCCACTCTGCGACTGCTTGCGAACCTTTGTCTCTGCGTTCTTGGCAGCGATAGGGCTCTTCCGCGAAGGTTTTCTGCTCGGGGGCGAGGCCGATGAAGACTGCGATCCCGCGGATCGAGTAGGCGAAGAAGACTTCTTGATCGGGACAGGAATCGGCCGCACGATGGCTACGGGGCTCACGGCCGTTGGTGACCGCGAGCCATGCGAGGTGTGATCGTAGGAAACGCGTCGGTTCATCGCACTGCTGAACGGAGACTCCAGATTGGTTTCCGATGTGGGCGAGTTGATCGGGTTGGAGATCTCGACGAAGCTGCCATAGGAGGTGGAGTAGGAGGATTCTGACAGACTCCTGTCATGAAGCGTCTGGTTAGGGTTGATAAATATACCTTGCTCTGGGTACGAGAAATCCAGAGAGCTGCGGGGCTCGATGGTATTCCAGCCATTGTCGCTACTAGAGCTGGTCAGCGATCGGACTTCGAGATAGGTGTCCGTCGGCGAGCTGCTATCAATCACGTTCTGCGGCGCAGGATACGAAGACATGTCCGGAAGCCCGTCGGGAAAAGTCATCAGGTCCTGGTAGGGAAACGGCACCATATCAACCGGAGGTGCAGGGAGAGGCATGTAGGGACTCTCAAGAAGACCGGTGCTCATCTGTCCCTGGGATCCAGACATCAGATCCACGGGAGACGATTGGATGGGCATTCCGTAACTTGAGGTTGTATATTGGGGAGCGGACGAGGGGTCTTCTTGAGGATATTGGAGGTGGGGTTGTAAGTGGTGGAAGTGCCAGTCGACCATGAGGTTAGGATCATGAGCTGCTACCGACTGTTCGTAGGCGTGACCGCTGGTTTGTAAAGGCGAGATATCGCGTCCTCCATCTGATGTCCGCTGGGGATTTTGGTCCACCGCCACGGGCCATGACTGAGGCTGGAGGTAGCCCCTCGAGTCATAATCCAGGCCGATGAGGCCGTCACTAGATATATCAACATTCGACATGACTTGTTTTCAACAAATTCAACTATTTACTGAGAGGAAGAAGAGAATCAAAAAAAAAAAAGAAAAAAGACACAAAGGGAAAAAACAAAAGGAAAAAAAAGAACAGGTAGTACAAAATAATGAAATAAAATATAGAATGAATAAAAAAAAAAAAGAAATATAAAAAAAAAAAAGTCCCAGAGAAATGGCAATGAAGCCTGAGGAACAGAAAAAAATCGGGAGAGTAGTCGCAGCAGCGGCAGCAGCAGCAGCAGCAAGCAAAAAGGGCTGCTCCAAATCCGGGGGACCAGAGAGAGAAGAAAGGCGAGAGGAAGCGGTGGAGGGGAAGCACAAAGCAGCGGTGAGCAGCCAGCGCTGCGATACGCTAGGGGATCCTGGGCCGGAAGTGGGGGCTGGGCGGGGCAGTCATCCGTCGAGGCGCTCCCACCAGTCAGCGACGGCAATTGGGACAGATAATGCCACGCCAGTGGGAAGACAGTGGCGCAATTGCCAGGCTACTGTATCTCATGGTGGACAGGTCCCATGATGCTTCCGTTCCGATCTCCGTCGATTTGTTGTCATTGACATTTACAGATGTTGTGAGAGTAAAGAGTATTTGTATTTGTATACTCTGTGCATATTGATTGATATCCATATTGATATTGATATTGATATTATATTGAATGGAACCATGGTTATCACGGGAATATGGAAACATGGATAGACCTCGGGACGGAGATCAGTGGAATCCGGCTCAACGATCGATGAGAGCGTGGCAATAACCCTTCCTCTCTCGGACAGACCCCGCCATGGCCATTCCACGACCTGTGCAGAACAACACCAAACTGAACAAGAACAAGTTGCCAAGTTGAAGAGAAGGAGAAAAAAAGGACCCTGCTCGGCCACCAATTCCTCACTAAAGGACAATAGTCGAAGAATAATCAACTCGATGCTCAATCGCTGCAACACACATGTTTCGGTTCGTTGGCATCTATGCTTACAGTAATTTGGGTGGCTGACTGACGACGACCTCAAGTCTATCCAGATTCGGAACTGCCGATCCACCTCATGGCCCATATGATGGACAGCATGTGCGATTTGTCTTTGGGTTCATTTGCTCAATTCGTTTAAATATCGATTTAAGATGATGACAACTGTCTTAGGTCCGACAGAGATCGACCATCATCCTTCGCCTTGCTCTTTAGACTTTCCCATCCGGGATTCCAATAATAGCCAGGGAAAACGAGCGACTAGTGGGGATAAGACCACTCTTTCCAGGGATCGAGAAGGGACAAAGATTGATAGATCAAATATGAACTCTCAACGAGTCAACAAAACCTGCAAGATCGCAGGGTCATGACAAGAAGAACGGGGTGCATCCTCCACGGGCCTCTGCAAAAAGAGTTTCCCGGCTCAGGGTATTTTGGCATGTTATCAAGCAAGGACGCTCCGGTTGCATATGAAATCAAATTCCACTCCCTTCCTCTGTCCCTCTGTCCGGCTGTGGTGGAACGCACGACAACCTCATGCTGCATCTGGACTTGACCATCACGCAGGAGCCGTGCCTATCACCACTTGGTTTGGGTTCTGACTCGCAGCCTCGCCACGCCAGCGACTTACAAGCAATGCACTACCAACACATCAACTGCATCGACAGTAGTCTCGTTTATCGATTGTGGATTGCGGTTAATGTGCTTTGTTAGCAACTAGCTTAGGAGGCAACCCAATGCAACTTATGCAAGCCATCGTGTAGTCTGGTCTGGTGGCTCTGGTGTGATTATTGATTCGAAACGCCCCAACCTCTGGAAAAATGCCGTTCCCCTTCTATCAGTATTAATCTAGCATTGACTGTCACATTCCTCTGCTGATAACTTATGTAAAATGTCTGCTCGTGGGCAGACAGTATATGCCGCCCCTCATCACGGCCATCGGGAAAGAGTGAAGATCTATCTAGGATCTGCAACGGCAGAAGCCTAACCAGAGTTCACTCGATCAACATCCAGCATCATTCAAGGTTTTATTATTTTTTGCCTGCGGATGCGGAGATATGGAGTAAGTAAAAGTGTAAATACTGGGTAGACTCGTAAAGACTATCGTCTTGTTTGTCATTGGAATCCCCAACAAGATGATCATGAGGTCCCTGTTTTGGAACCCGATCTTACCCGTGTGAGATATACATAACTGCGCACACTGAATAATATGCGTCTGTACAAGTGTGTGATATCCCATGTAATATCCTATATCAAACCTACTAACATTACGGAGTAAAAGAACCAGTTTTTAGCCAGATAATTCACCGCAAATTTAGAACAGACTTTTGGACGTGTGGAGGGGGACTCGTGCAGGTCATTACAGTAGGAACCGTGTTATATCCAATGCTGTCCATATGCCGCTTCATGCCCATTTAAACACATACATTCATGTTGGATAATTTGAAACAAAGCAGACAATTATAGCCATCTGCTCGATTTGCTAACAGTGACGATAGGAAGTTGAAAATATGGACATGATGACTAACAGTACTTTTGCGCCTTTGGCTTCTCAAGTGGGATGTTGACAAAGGCCCACCGACCGACGGCGGGGAAGAACAATGGGTTCAGAAATCCCAGTTGACGAGGGGAGAACAATACTACCAGACGGTATTGATCGATCGCTCTACATTGGAAGAGAAACAGAGTAGGAATAAGAAAGAAAGAAATATAAAAGCTATATTTCCGAGAGAGAGTTCCATGCCTGTCGTCGCAGCATCAGGGAAACAGCGTCGAAAAGTCCGTTTTCCAACTTCATCATCACCAGCAACCGCCAACCAGTCAGAGACACCAGGGCAAAAGACTGCTACTAGGCCCAAATTGCAGGCCAAAAACCGCTCCTCCACCTCGTCTGCTCCCAAAGGCCGTTCAACATCCCAGCAGAGCGGAAAAATGAGCGCCAGCCAAGCGCATCCTGGGGTTCCGGTTCTTTTCACGGAGCCGCCTCTGATCCATGACCCGCTCACTACAGAGACATCGAATCTCCAAAGCGAGACGGCAGAAAAGTGTGTGCCTTTCCTGAAAGGTATTCATGGCTCGCAAAAGGGCCCGTTTAATGAACATGGAGTGCCTGCGCTTCTACGTGATGACCATATCGAGTATCTGTATGATTCTCTAGAGGACTATCCTGCCGGTTTTGTCGGTATCGATGCGAGTCGTCCTTGGATGGTCTACTGGGCTTTGGCTGGGCTGTCGTTACTAGGGGAAGGTGTCAGTAAGTTCCGCCAACGGTAAGTCATTTCCTGCTGTCTTGATGACATACCACGCCCCTATCATGACTCGTGATTGGGTTCTAAAGATTTCAGCATCCTTACCACATTCACCCCTATGCAAAACCCCACCGGTGGGTTTGGAGGAGGTCATGGCCAGATGTCTCATTGTGCGTCCAGCTATGCTGCCGTGCTTTCCCTCGCCATGGTCGGTGGCGATGAGATTTTTAGCCTGATCGATCGAAAAGCAATGTGAGTTGTATCCATCAGTCACCCCTAAAATAGGCGCCTGTAATCTAACATAGCTTAGGTGGAACTGGCTTGGAAGGTTGAAGCAACGTGACGGGGGCTTTAGGATCTGCGAAGGTGGGGAAGAAGACGTGCGGTAATCATCTCCTTTCTGTTATGAGTGATTTCTCTTACTGAGTGCCAATTCAGAGGCGCCTATTGTGCAATGGTGATCATATCCCTCCTCGACCTGCCACTTACATTACCCCCTGAAGCCGAAGCCCGACGATACGGGCTAGAATCATTCGCGAGTGGTCTGCCCGAGTATCTATCACGATGTGAGCAACAACAGGCTTTGAGCTACTGCACACGATATAGCTGACCCAATGCAGGCCAGACATTTGAGGGCGGTATCTCCGGCAGTCCCGGAGCAGAGGCGCATGGTGCTTATGCTTTCTGCGCTCTGGCGTGTCTATGCATTTTAGACCGGCCTGAAGTGACCTTGCCTAGGTAAGAAGCTGCATGGGTCGTTTTCTTGTCTGCATAATCGCCTCTTTTTCTTTGCTAAGACCAAGACTGATAGGTATATGAATTTCCCGCTACTCCTATCCTGGCTTTCCGCTCGACAGTATGCTCCCGAGGGAGGGTTTGCAGGGAGAACCAATAAACTGGTGGATGGATGTTACAGTCACTGGGTGGGAGGCTGCTGGCCACTGATCCAGTCGGCACTGGATGGCATCCAGTCAGCTGCAGCTCCTAACCGGACATCTGCTGGTAGCCTTTACAACCGGGAAGGCTTGACAAGATATATCCTTGCATGTTGCCAGAACAAGAACGGGGGGCTTCGTGATAAACCCGGAAAGTATGTTGTCATCCCCATCGCTTCTGATTGAACAAATTCTTCCCGACTTTGATACTGACAAATTTAAGACACCCAGATTCATACCACACATGCTATACTTTAACGGGCTTGAGCACAACTCAGCACCACCACTACCACACTGACACCAGCACCACTTCCAAGGAAACTTTCGCCTCAGCCTTTTCATGGAAATATTCTCCAATCCCTGCTACCGACGATAACGAATCGGATGCCAGCGTGTTTGACGAGAAGGACCGAGTTACGGCCATCCACCCTCTTTTTGTCATCCCCCACAAGGCTGCGGAAGACATCCGCGCTTGGTTCGAAAAGAAGCCATTGGAAGCATAGAATAGGAGCTGGAGCTGGGGCTGGAGAAAAAAGGCAAAAGGTGACCCAAGTAGATTTTGCTTGTACAGTATGTGGTTGGCTAGTAGCTGTAGCTAATGCGGCACATAGCTATTGCTCATGAGTTGAGCTTGATTGCAGGCCATGATAGCATCACATCACGTACCCCGCGACAGCCACGAGGGCTTGTTAAAAACGAGTCTGGATGTCAGCAATTCGATTGTGTTACTTGTTCAATCAAGGCATGATCATATCGTAAGATCTTGATTGATTGATTGATTGATTGATTGATTATTTTCAACTCCGAGTCTCCTCGGAGTAATCCTAGATTGTATGACTATGACGTGCAATACTGCAATTGCCCTGCATTATGGAAGTTGACTGTAGTTTATTCCCATAGTCAACACTCAATGACGATTATCTTCACCGAGTAGCTAGAAAAGCGGTCTCTAAAGTTATACCTATTTTTTGGCCTAATTTAAGGATAAATAAAAATAAAAAAGGGGGTCGGGAGATAAGAAAAAAAGAAAAGAAAAAGAGAGAGAGAGAAAAGCCCCTCTCGTCCATTGCGAATTCACGTCATCCACCAAAAGACATTTCGATCAGCTCTGCTTCAATTCAAATCATTTCAATTCATCCCAGGAGGGGTTATCTGCAACCTTGTCATCATCTCTCTCCCTCATTCTCATCATCTTCCTTTCTCATCTTTCCGTCCATGACAGCCCGTGCTAGTCCACGGCCTGGTTGACGATTGATTTTCCCATCTTTCCCCACCTGGAACAAACGCGACACCAAAAAAACTGCCAACTCATCAGTGCATCCGATGCCTGTCACTCCGAAATATTATGGAGCCGTCGTGAAAATCAGCAAGGCTGGGCCAATTGTGATCCCCGTCCCCTCAGTTCCAGGGCCAGAACAGCCAACAACCCCCCCGTTCCGGCCGTTTGACCCGGTTGATGATTCAATTTCGACACGGCTGGGGATGATCTGTGATGAGATGCTGAAAATGGGATACTCAGTGGGATATTCAATGGGTTGGTGATAATTCAGTAGTCAATACAGACTGCAGACTACAGACTCTGCTCCTGTCAACCCGACGAAGCGGTCAATTGTTCTCGGAAAGATTACCGATGATGATCATGATCGTCTGAGCATGGACTCAAGAATGTTGTTATTCTTATCACTACGGAGTCGCTAACTGACTTGACGGCTTCATAAATAGTTACATGCATACAAGCAACCATATAGTCAGTCTCAGTATGGCCTCTGCCCTGGGTTTCAGCCGGGCGCTTCTGCCATCTGCGCGACACGAACCCCTCGTTACGACTTTGCCAACTGCATGAGGTTGGTGGGGTTGTCTTTTGCCATCGTTTATTCCCAGCATCTACCATTCGACTCTTTCTGTCCGGCTGCGGGGTTTCAGACCCTCTTTCTGCCCTTTTTCTGCCAGAATCAATCCATACAAACTGCGCCTGGGAAATAATCATCATCATCCATCCATGCCCAGAAAAAACTGCAGTGGACTAGCCCGTGGATCATGATTTGCTCGGAGACTCATCCTGATTCCTGAGCAACAGGTCAATCTTTGCCGCCTGGATCGGCGCCGAATGGATTAATGGATTACACCGTGGCAGCGTCTGTCTTGACCAGGAAGGCCTTTGGATCTTTCCAGCTCGGATCACTGGCAGCGAGATATGCCAGCGCAGCAGCTGGTCGACCATGCCAAAACGTTAATTGACAAGAAAGACAGACACACAAGAAAAAGTATGGAGATTTCTCTGGCGCCTCATTGCTCAATTTGGCCCATCTCGGCCAACGCTGGTGGAGAAATCACCACTCTTGCTACTCTTCACGACCGTTTTTTTTCTTCTCTTTCTTTCTGATCCCTTTTTGCTTTCGAGGGAATGAAACTGGCCCCACCCGTTTATTATTATTTAATTATTTTAATTATTATTATTATTATTATAGCATGTCAATATTCGCCGTTCTTTTCTTTTTCCCTTCCTCCCCTCCTTGCCTCCTGTACTATTAACGGTGTGAGTGTGTGTGGCATGTTGTCCTCCAGCCGCTAGTTCCAACGTTTCCTTCTTTCCTCCAGTTTTTCTTCGTCCCTGATTCCAATTGATCTATATACTGAAAGGTCGTCTATCGTGGGGTTTGGATCACACACCCCCCGGCAAAAAAATCAAATCAATCCCATTTGATTGATGACAGACGCGGCTGTTGGGCACCAACAAACAAACAGCACACTTCACATAGGGCTTGTTCGATGCCTTTTGGGTGATTGCCAGGATTCTGTGCAGAGTCTACAGATCCGAGGCACCGAATACTGAGCCGATACTTGCTGCAACCATACCTCCCATTGGGCATCCACTTGTTCTCACGATGTACTATATCCTCTACCTTGCGAGTATGTAATCTTTTGTTTGTTCTCTCCCTTCATGATGCCTTGATGGGTTGCTCCGATTGGAGAAAGAAGCGGTCTGGTCTTTTGTTTTGGGACCCTGCAAGCCGTTTGACTATGGTGTGCTTCATGTGTTGTTTTATCTATACCCTCTGTGATTTGCGAGCGTTTATCTCGGGGAATTTCGAATACCTATCGCCAGATATCTAGATCCAAATCGTGCAGTGTCCAATAACATATGTGTACAGGTCTCTGCCAGCGCCGCAAGTGGCCGAACCCGTCATATGAGCCATACGCAGCCTCATCCGGGTATACGTGCATTGTCCGTGTAAACAACCGCGAGTACCAGACGGATGCCATTTGTGAATCCGAGACCCTTGCCCGCGAGAATGCCGCCATGCGCGCCTACCTGATCTGCCGCAACTTCTCCGTCAACGACGGCATGTACCCAGCCGGCCATGACCATGGCGGCGTCGTGCAGGGCATTCCGGTGGCCATTGGCACTGGACGAAAGGGCCGTTACGGCGATGATACCGACACCTCCACCAGCGGAGAGAGCCGCAGCGGAGGAAGCAGCCCTGAGAGTTACGAGGGGGGCCGCCTCAGCCGGGATCGAAACGCTGCTGGTCCTTCCAGAGCTCTTGCGTTTGGTACTCGAGGATTGTAATCTGCAATCTTTGAAAGGTTGCGAGGTATACTCGACTGTCTAGGGAGAACATCAACGAGCGAAAAGAAAAAGAAAAGAACAAAGACAAGGGGAAAGATTATGACGTTACGACTTATGACCTGACATTGAATATCCGATAGATCGAAAAATGGTATTTGTACCGAGGAAGCGTGTCTCCCCCTGATGATGATTATGATTGTCGATTAGCGATTCGATTTCTGATTCCATAGATGGATGTGGATGATGTTGTGTTTTTCTTCTTCTTCTGCTTGATTATGACAGACTGTTTGATGTGCATGATAGCGATAATTCAGGTCATTATTTATCCTATTAAACCTTTTTCTCAATTCTTCTTGATGCTGTGCTGTTGACGACTCGTGAGCAGGATCTAATGCATGATCCTAGTGCTTATCACCACGTGATAGAACTAACCAGGATAGAAGACATTCTTTCATCAATTTCCATCCATTGCCAGGATTCTTCGTCTGGATTTAAATACCATCAACATACATTCCAACATCATATCCAATGTCACCAATAACCGATCGAAGCATGTTTGCACCAATTGCATCATGTTTGTCCTGTTTGTCCAACTACCCATAATGACGTAGGAGGTCCCCATCATTCCAAGAACAGGACAGAAGAAGGAGAAAGCTACACTGCCACAGTCGTCGTCGTGTCGCAGCCCCATACGCTTGTTTACATAGTATTACGCTCCTTACAGCTCACAGCTTGCCACCAAGAGCCTGGACAATGTGTACCGGGTTTATGATTCCTTTTAATCCTGGATTGATTGAGGGTTAAACGACACTACAACTTCACAAGATCAATTTACCTAGCTACTATATACAGAGTCCTATACGCGGGTATACGAGAATGCGACCCCTTATTCGAGCCCAGCTGGGCGTATCGGCATCAGCCCGGATACGTTTTTTCGGGACAGTCAGGTCTTATAATTCGGTTGTGTCGAGGTTGGCGTTTGGAGGGTTGGGGGTGAATGCGTTGGCGATTGGACGGAGGAGCTTTCATCAATTGAATGGGTATGCAAAGAGTGGGAATGCCAATGGAAGGCAGCATGGCGAAAAGTATCTGGAACGGCTCGAGGTGAAGGATGGAAGGAAACAGAAGGAAGGAAAGGAGACGTCGGATGCTATGGATCAGGGTAGGTAGATTGAAATTGAAGAAGATTCAATTGAAAGGTTGGCTAATGGGTGGCAGGCAAATTGTTGACGACGCCATCGAGACTTTTTAAACTTTTGATACCCTTGACTACTATTGCTCATGATCCGCATCATAAAGGTATGTACTCTGTTTCGTTTCAGGGAGTTGGGGAGATGCTAACTATATTGTTCTAGACGTAGAACCGATAGCGATGCTGGTCCACCCCCAACAACCCCTCTCATATCTCGAACGGCTCATTCAATCCGAAATCCCTCCAATAGAAGGAAAAGATGGGGAATTCCGACCGCCCGTGGTGTCGTTTATTGCCCTCCAACTGGAAGACGACTCCATCAGACCCAAACGGCCACTGTACGAAGAGACCGACGCCGAAGTACGCAGGGTAGCGGAAGGAGGCGAAGGCGGCGCAGGGCTGGCCAGGGAGCGACGAGCCGACGAGGAAGAGGCGGAAACGTACAGCTACCTGCGACGGTCCGAGCCCGGGGACAGAAGCAAAGAGAAGCGATTCGTGCGATGGTCGCAGTCGACGGAAGTAGGCGACTTTATCCGGGATGCCGCTCGAGGACGGGAATTCATCGTGACCATTGAAGGGGCGCCAGCAGGGCTGGGCCAGATCCGAGTGGCGGTTCCGTCCTTTGAGGAGCGGACGTATTTTCTGCGGATGCGGCTGAGGAAGATTTCGCAGAGGATTCAGAGAATTGCGGATATCAAGCATGAGTGTGATGCCTTGGCTCACCGTGGCGCCCAACGGGTGGCGATTGGGGGGTTTGGGGTCCTTGCATCCTGGTGGTTTCTGGTGTACAAACTGACCTTCGAGACTGATCTGGGATGGGACACGATGGAACCAGTGACGTACCTGGCCAGTTTGTCGACGTTCATGGGAGGTTACCTCTGGTTTCTCTACCACAACCGCGAAATCTCGTATCGATCGGCGTTGGATTTCACGATCAATGCGCGACAGAAGAAGCTTTACACGGCCAAGGGGGTGGACTTGCATTTGTGGGAGTCTCTGATTGTCGAAGGCAACGCACTACGGAAGGAGATTAAAGGAATTGCGGCCGAGTACGACGTGGACTGGGATGAGAGAGCGGACGAGCAAGATGAACGGGTGACCGAGGCATTAAAGCAAGAACGACATCAAAAAAACGGATCTAAACATGAGGAGGGCAAAGCTAAAGATGCCAATGATGATTGAACATTATAACAAATTCCAAGATGCACTACTGCGATTTCCACCCTCGATATCCTTCAGAGCGTCCCATTCCGCACGGGGTCATAGAATTCCTTCTTGGCCTGTGTATCGTCCGTCGTCTGTTTTGGCCGTTTTGGATCCTGGCCTGCAACATGTCAACCACTGTACCACAATGGCACATACACAAGGATTGCATACCTGAATGATGATTCTCATGGTCCTCCCCTTTTCTTCGATTCCGATTGTTGCGCACATCCCTGGACCGAAAGACGCTGTACAGCAGCCAACCCGCAACCCAATTCGGGCCGTGCTCACCACTGGTGTTACCGCGGTTAAAGAGCGGACGGGTGAGCGGGCCAGCATTTTGCCAGATTTCCTGGATGCCCCAGCGCTGTCGTTCGGGGCGAATGTGGTGCCAGAAGAAGGGAGGTCGGGTGTTGGGGTCGTATCTTAGGTTGTCGGTGAGATCGGAGGTATCTTGGTTCATGCGGTTGTAGACCATGATGGCTTCATCCTGTATTAATTAGCATTAGCATGTATAGTATGATATATAAATGTAGAATAGACATACTCTCATGGCACGATATAACTGTTCATGCTGAGGATTGTGAGAATTTAGCCCTAAGGCATGCATAAACTCCTCTTTGGAGACTCGAGGTCCTACAGCCGGCATGGTCAATCAAATCAAATCAAGTATCCAAAACTCGAAAGTCAAAGAAAGTAATCAAGAAGAGTGCCCTGCAAAACAAAAACAACCAGACAAAGGAAGACCGAAGCACACTTTATACCAACCCATCCAGCCAACAACGAGCTCGACAAGAACGAAATGGCCAGACCATGTAGCACAATACCCGCCTCGAAGGTTACTTACTTCTCTATGCAGGACCGTTGGGATGGCAAACATGATTGATTGTTGCGGTTAGCTGATCTTGGATGTTTTTTTGGATTGCTTGGGTTGTATGGAAGTGAGGGGATGGAATGTTGCATGGACTGAGAGTACAATATGATATTATGGTAGGAAGGATGGTTGAGGTAAACAGAATGTTGTCTGTTTGGTGGTTGTCGGCTGTTTGCTATATGTATGCGATGGATGGATCATGGCGTTTACATACCGTACATACTACTGTAAGTACATTCTTGTATACAAGAATCAATTCCTATTAAGATACCTATTCATAATTATCCCGTTTATTCCAGCCAGCCAGCCATCCTGTCAGTTGTCAGTCTGCAGAACCAACTCCCGTTCCAAACCCGCCTGCTGTGCAACGCTGTCTACAGCCGGAAAAGTTGCATCGCCAATAAACCCCCTGGTCCAAAGTAGAGTATTTTGCTTCGTTTGCAGTACTTTGTACTTACTCTGTACCTGTTGTTGTACTCTGTGTAGGTTGTGTCTGTCGAATACCCCTGAAGAACCACACACAAGATATCCATCCAATGTCATTTTCATTGTCATCCTGACATTGTCACTGTCATCCTCAGGTGTTGCAGCAGTTGTGCAAGGTCTGCGTTGTTCAAGCCCATCAGGATAGAAAAGTGAGGCTGGTTGCACATGCACATACATATGCTAGCAGGATCATTCAGTTTGTCGTGATTTGCTTTTTTGTGTTGCCGTTTGCCCGGGTGGGTTGACCCACCCTCATCTTACCCTTATTCCTTATTTCTTAAGCTGGATGGTCTTATGTTGATATGTGTATGTATGCTGGAGATTCATTGTCCTGGAACTGGAATAATTCTCTCGAGAACCGAACTCGGTCTCTCTCAGACATGAAACGCTTACCAATAAACACGCCAGAAGGGAATATGCATGCATGGCTGGAACAACAAAGCTCTAAGTGAGAAACAGCAATAAAAGAGAAAAATGAAAAAAAGATATGAAAAAAAAAAAAAAAAAAATAAAAGATAAAAGAAAAGCAACGCATACCATCTACCGCATATCACAAAACTTTGTCCATACAAGTTACCACGACAATCATGGCAAAATCTCAATGTGAGTATGCATGGCAGACATGACAGGCAGATGACAGGCAGATGAAGATTTTGGAGTTCGAAATGCTATCCATCCTGCGCCAAGTATGCGTGTTTTGGTCGAATCAAACTTCCCCTCACTTGTGGTATATCCAGATGATAAAATTCATGATCTAACTTGCTTCGCGTTATCGGACAGGATTTAGGATTCCTCATCGTAGTACCTGCGGAGGAACTTCTCGACCTCGTCGTAGTCCTTCCTGGCTTGTTCCAGTATCTTCTTGATGTGGTCCAGGGAGGTTTTCTTATTGGGCTCGTCCGCTGTGCCAGTCTCGTCCTTGCCGGCTCCACAGTGCTGGATCTTCTCGCATGCGTCCTTGACCTTGATTAATCCCAAAGTTGCTGACGAGCCCTTGAGGAAATGTCCGAGCGAAGAGAGGTCGGGGAGGTTTTCCGTTTTTCTAGAGAGTCAGCATCAGCTGCCCAAGGACAGAAAAAGGATCACTTACAATGCCTCGTCCATCTTTTCAAAAGTGTTTTCGGCCTGTTCAAAGAATCCAAAGACAATACCCTGGCTAAAATCCCGGTCGTCGTCATCATCGTCCATTTCTAGAATTTGCTCAAAGGTCGACTGGTCAATGCTGTCTGCCATATCGGAAAGCTTGGGGGGCTTGGTGGAGGTTTCCTTGGGCTACCAGATTGGTCAATGTCGAGTTCAAATGACTTTCAACGTGATTCAGCCACATACTGGGTCATTGACCACCTTGGTTGTAGTAGTAGGGGCCATGGTGAAATGTGATGTGAGAATAAGAGAGGTGGGGGAATAAGTCGTAGGCAGCGAAAGCCTTTTAGATCGTAGTCAAAAGATACAACTCTTTTTCGACTTGACGGTCGATGGGTATCACAGGTAGATTTTAAGGATTCCTCTTTTTAGGTCCTGCGTATCCAAATGCAGCCGTAGAACGCTTTACACTGATCTGTTGTCTCGAGTCCAAGTCAGTTTTGGGTTTTCACGACAAGAGAAAGATAGTAAAAAAAAAAAAAAAAAAGGCAAGTTACGGCAATATCAAATCCGGGGAGAGAGAGTCAAGGGTGGACGATATTGCCCTACTGGACATTACGAGGTTAGGACAGGGAGGGGACAGACAACCGGGATGAGATAGAGGATAGTGTATAATAACAGGGCAAAACAGATCTTGAAGGGTTGGTGATCACGAGATGAGGGGGGAAAAGACAAACAAGACAAAACAGAGGGGAGAGGATAGACAAACCCAGGGAGAGAGTCAGGTGTTGTGACAAGTGAAGAGAATGAGGCTGGAGAGGGGCTATAGGGAGGGAGAAGAGAGAAAAGAAGGGAAGATTGAATCACACAGAAAGCCACTGGGTCCACCGGGGGGGAAAAGGAAAACCAACGTGGATTTGGGGTCGGGATAGGAGGGGTAGAAGGAGAGAAGTGGGATACCTTTTTGAAATCTTTTCACTAACGAGTTGGGTATATGGAAGAATGGAAGAGGTGAAGGACGATCAGAGAAAAGAATTGGCAATAAAGGCTGAGTGGGGGATTTGTCGGTCTTTTTTTTTTTTTTTTTTTTTTTCCCTTTTCCCTTTTTCCTTTTTTAGTCCTTTTCCAGCCCTTTTTTTTTCTTTCTAATTCTCTAATATTTTTATTAACCGTTCAGCGCGCGAGTCGAGAATGGCTAAAAGTGGGAGGGAAAAAAAAAAAAAAAAAAAAGAGGGGCTTTTGGAGGAGAGAAAATGACTGGAAGAACGACGAAGAAGAGGAAAAGAGAGAGAAAGTGGGCTGTCCTGAGTGGGGAATTTCGTCACTTCAGTTCTTAAGAGTACATACACAGTAATGCTACATAGTGTTCTCTGACTTTCTCTTATTTATCTCTTCTATTCCTCCTCTCTTGTTCTCTTTCTCGTGATCGAATTCAACCGATGACGGGTTCATGTGGAGAAGGAGAAATGGATTAGGATTATCCTCCATACACCATCGACATTGCATTATATCCATGATCAATTTTATTTTTGTTTTATATCCATTTTTATAGTATATTTTATGTATATTCTTATCTTAATCTTTATATAATTTTGCATTCTATCTATATTCTATTCTATTCTTATGTTATGACCGACCGCTGACGTAGTATCCTCCAACCCGTCGATCCACAAAAGACATCATCGCTCAGATGATGGAACAACTGCAGCTGCACACGTGGGAAGCGTGTCATTCCCATCATCATCATCTTTCATTCTCTCTGCTTTCTTTTCTTCTCATCATCATCAAGGTTACACATCCAATGGGACACCACTCATTGCAGCCATCCTGGTCTGCTACTAGACTGCCACCATGACCGGTAGCGTCAAGCTAAATCCGACCCTGTTGACATCACCCCAAAAGAAAACCTCACCGGGATGACGACGGACTGCTGGTTTGTTTGGTAACAGAGCAGTTCTGGGCCTGCAGAGACCCTCCATTTTTAGTTTTTCTCTCACATTTTTCTGTGTCGGCCAGGAGCCTCTGAGATAATACCGCCTTTCTCTGCGCGGGGTTGTGACTAAAGAGAGGGGGATCCATGATAGGGGTGACCATGAAAAAACAAGTCAATCCACTGTCATGGATGAAAGATGGGGTGGGTATGCTTAATCTGTCTTGCCTTCATGTCAGCTATAAATATAACATCGATATAAAACATATTCATCCTCAATTTTTCAGGTGGATGCCTCCTCTTATATTCTCATTTTGCAATTTCTGTTTGTGAGGTCATGTTGGATGAACGGATGGTGAGTGTGGGCCCACCACTAGCAACCAATGATAATAAACCTATGACATCAGGGCGGGGCGCACTACGACCAACGCAGCCACCAATCCCCGGCAACCGATGACGTTGCGGGTCTGCGCCAAGAGCCCCAAAGCTTGGGCCGCTTTCAGGCACTCGTAAATTCAACAAAGAATGTTCTTTGCATTTTCAAAATCAAAGATAAAATAAACATAATCATAATCATTGAGAGTTCTGGTAACTAGTAGATTAACTCAGTCAGTGCAAGGATCTAGGCGAGTCTACCAGTTATATGGGGTGCGGTACTCCATATGGAATATGACATCAGTGCTTACTGATGCTCCAAATGGAGTAACAACCTCTTTGAGATTATCTGGCTCAGTTATGGCCTAATTATTCTGTTCAATCAGTTAACTGCTCTATCGGTTAGAGAGGATGTGCATGCATTACCCCACCTGACTGTTGTGGTTAGGGTATCAGTAGGTAGTATCAATCGCTATCAGGAGGTAGACTGATAGTAGCTGATATTACTGACTCTACAATCTGATAATACACTGACACTGGACGAGTATCATGCTATGTACTAAGGTACTAAGGTACTGTTATGTAGACATACTACCGACATACTGTAAATACGCGGTGTAGACATACTGTAGATACTGTCTGTAAGAACAACATTGAGCTTCAAATACGAAGCCGGCCTATTTACCTACTTAGACACTCTACAGAATACCTATAGATATGCAAAATAGCAATAAACTGAATGTCAATAATCGGCTCCTTACTGTTATTCCATGACGAATCACATGTTCAGATCTAGATCTGGAGATGCATTACATAAGCATCTCCCAACAAACAAACCGCGGCTTCCAACGATTCAACCAACTTTTGAGTCTCAATTTTTGCACTCAACCTCAATTGATGCGGCTGATGGGCGAGGCCTCTCTATAACTTCCTCTCTCCTCCTCTTCCACCCTCTCCTTTCCACTCAATCCTCTCCCACCAACCAGCATGTCCAAATCCTCCCCTTCAGGCCTCACAAAGGCCTATCTCCTCGCCTACAATGCTACTAGCTTCGGTCTCTGGGCGACATGCACCCTGCGCGCTGCATCTCTAATCCCCCTCCTCGCGCCCTCCGGCCACCTCCCCGCAATCTTCAACGCCATCTTTTCCCCCCTCCTCACAACAACCCAGTCGCTCGCCCTCCTCGAGATCCTGCACAGTCTCGTCGGCATCGTCCGCGCCCCCGTCTTCACCACCCTCATGCAGGTCTCGTCCCGCATCCTCGTCGTCTGGGGCATCATGTACCTCTTCCACGACCGTGGGGATGGAAACGGCGGCATTGTCGGTGGTGACTTTGAGGGGCTGGACTTTACCGCTATCACTTCCACGGGGCCCGGGGCGCAGCTCGGCGATTATGCGTTTTTGGGCTGCTTGGGTGCGTGGGGTGTGACTGAGTGCATTCGGTATGGGTTTTTTGCGTTGCAGGTTTGGGGGAGTGGCGTGCCGGCTTGGTGGACTTGGTTGAGGTGAGTTCTGATTTGAATTGAAGGTGTGAGGGTGATGTGCTGACGGTTTAGGTACAATACTTTCTACGTTCTCTACCCCCTTGGAATTACCAGTGAATGTATCCTGGTTGTCAAGGCGTTGGGGCCTGCTGCTAAGTTGCACCCTCTTTACTGGTGGTTCTTGGTAGCTGTTCTTGCAATCTATGTTCCTGGTATGTTGCTCAATTTTGGTGGTGAGGATAATACTAATTGCTCCAGGCTCGTACATTCTCTACACTTACATGATGGCTCAGAGACGCAAGGTTCTCAAGAAGAAGGGAAGAGCTGAGTAGATACTCAGGATAAAATAGATGGGCGGTGGTCAGGTGGACGAACGTGGGTGTATAATTACAATAATGTGGATATTAATTCATACTTAATATATGGTGTATATCAGTTACATCTCTTTCATAATATCCCCAATTGCTTTGGCGGCGAATTTCTTGCGCTCATTTTCTGGTAATTCCGCACTCATATCTAAATCATTAGCATACGGCTTCAATCTGAATCAGAGACATACCTTTAATAGCCTGCATCCGTAACATCAACGCCTCCATTGACTCGACTTTAATCTCATCATCTCCATCATCTTCATCTTCATCTTCATCAGAACTACCCCCATCCCCACCACCCCTCTCAATCGCCATTCTCAGCCCGACCATCTCCCGCTCGAGCTCGTTCACCTCAAGCCCAAACCCGGTATCATCATCATCCAGCCCGAGAAGATGTCTCTCCAGATCATCGTCTAGATTCCCCACGTCGGGGTCTTCCGAGGCCGTCCAGTCGTGCGTTTCTAGCACTTCTTTGATGCGCCGCATTCCTTGGTATTCTGGAGACGTCAGCACCACACACAATCACAAACACAAAACAATAAAACAGAAAGATAAAAGAAGAAAAAGAAGACATACCCCCATACCGATTCCGCCTCTCATCCTCTACACCCTTAGGATCCCAGCGCACAACCTCAAACCCCATCACCCCAATCTCATATAACTGATCTTCCCACCAGGCCACAGAGAACGGTTCCTCGCCGCCTTCGTCTAGACCCAGCCCCTCCTCTTCCTCCTCTGTAATACCCTTCTTATTCTTGTCTTCAGAGGCATCATCCCGCCCCACGAGAACAAGTAGACTGGCTACCTCACCCATCCCGCCTCGCTCTTCTTCGATTAACTCCTTCACGTCCCCGATTGCTTTGACTAGGTCTTTGATTCCGGCCACGTCGTCGCGGTGTGCGATATCTTTTTCTTCTTCGTTCGTGTTTGTCGTAGACTCCGGATTCCGGACTACAATCATAATACCCCCCAGCGCATCACGCACGACGCGGGCTTCGGCGCCGGAGAATTCCGTCTTCCATTGTGTGGGTGATGCGAGGCCTTCTTGGGTTTGTCCAGATGTAGGTGTTGGTGTAGCCTCATTCTCAAGCGGGATCTCATCAACCCAGATCGGGAGGTCGGTTTTGTAGTATTTTGTCGAGAGGCGGAGGGGTGGGTGCGTGGTGTACCCTGCGAAGGTGGGTTGCGCTTCGGTTGAGGATGAGGATGAGGTAGCAGTAGGTGGATTGGTGACAGGGACGCCGGTGAGGGAGTGTAGGAGGGGAGGGATAGTCGAGTGGGAATGCGAGGTTGGGGAGAGGATGAGGAGGCGTTGCGGGTTTGGGATTTGTTGTTGCTGGCCCTGGCCCTGGCTCTGTCCTTGGATTGGGTCGAGGTCGAGGTCGGGGGATGTCATTGTCGTAGGTAGATGGGTTTGGTATTCTGGTGGGCAAGTGAGTGAGGAGGGTTGGTAGGTGTCCAGACTTGGAGATGATATTTTGTTGCGGGGATCGAGGCGGAGAAAATGCCGGAGCTTAGATTAAGCCAGTCTGCATATTGATTGCAGCCAAGTCATGGTGAAGAATGTTCAATTTACAGATTCTTTACATCTACATATTACAGTCTTATTCTGTTGGTGGTTTATTGGTATTGAGTAGCTTGTACTGGACCCATAATCATATTGAGCCATCTCATCTGCTCGAGACAATATCAACCTAACCTGACACTGTAACCACATCTCCGGCAAAGAACAGTATTTACCATCCTATCCTCATATTGTAGCCATCATCCCCCATACGGCGCTAGCCACCCAGTCTTCCCACATGTATCAATGCCATAAAATCCGACAAGACTGTAAAATTGTAAGACGGACAGAAGGCGGGTATAGACGATCCCTCATATAATGTAAAGAGAAGAGAAGAGAAGATGAAAGACGAATTTTTCGGTCCCAATAATATCATTATTAAAAACGCCGACCAAAGTATATGTTGATGAGTATGTGTGTGAATTCACCCTCTTCTCTGTCCCCGAGCTCTTTGCACCGTGGCCTTACCACGAGCCAAACCGACACCGCGGCCGCGCTGGCCTCGCGAACGGAACATGGGGGCGTTTCTAGATGAGTTAGTCTAGCTCTTTGAGAGGTTGGGAAGGAGGGGAAAGCGGAGGGGAGGCTGGTGCAGTGCAGTGCATACCTCAACATATCTGGCACAATAAAGAACCTCACATGGCTTCCGCGAATGTAAACCTGATCCAAGTGCGACACGCGACCGTCACGAGCAGTGACTGTGATATCCTTGAGCTGAACGTTCATGTTGTCCTCGGCTGGAAGAGTCAGTCAGCATTTGATCTCATCGTCTTTCCCCCTCTCTCTCCTTTTATCAAATCCACCGGTTCAACATACCCTCAAGCAGCTTTCCACGGTACACAACTCCAGAAGTAATCTCCAGCGTCACAACGTGACCCTATAATAAGAAAAGAAAAGAGTCAGCAAATCCATCTCACTGCCGCGCAATGCAGCCCAGAAAAAAAGAAAAACCCAACACACCTGTGCCTCATTAAGAAGCTTGATCGGAATTCCGATCGTGCTAGTCAATTTACCCATTGTAAAAAAGAGAGCTTGTCAAATCCAACGGTCGAATGCGAAAACGGGCGCGTCTTTGTCGAGGAAGACGTGAGGGAAGAAAAAAACGAAAGAAGCCGAGCTAGTCGTGTCCCCCGAGTTCGATTATCCGGCCTGATAATTGAACGTTTCCTGGGTTTTGTAGTGGGGGTGGAGGAGGGATTGGTTTGGATGATGGACGTGAGGTCGAAGGACCCAAGGCGGAGAGAGAGTTTTGCGGCTCTGCTCCGCTCCGCTTGGTCTACTCTTCTTTGTACAGAGAAATGCTTGCTCTTGCTCTTATAACAGACGTTCATTTTTAATTCATTGATTATTCTTATCATGCATTGCTAATACCCATATACAATCTTTACCTTTGCATCATTATCCCACCCATAAATATACATACCAGTACATACACACGGACAAGGCAAAAAACACCAACATCATGACAAACACCAACCTCCGCGGCTTCAACCTAGCCGTACAAACCCTCCTCAAAAACCCACCCCAATTCCTCCCCCACCTCACCGTTCCAACCTTCACTCACCTCCCCGAAAACCTCGGACCCCATCTCACCACCACCACCGCGCAATCAGGCAGGAAAAGTCCCACCATCCGCGCCCTCGTCCTCGATAAAGACAACACCCTCTGCCCGCCAAAAACGACCGACTTCCCGCCGCAGATTATCGAGAAGCTGCGTGCGCTGCGCACGTCGCGCACCTCCCTGTTTAACCAGGAGACGGCACCGGATGCGATTTTGATTGTGTCGAATCGGGCGGGGAGTCATCCACGGTTTGAGGCGGAGGCGGTTGAGATTGAGGGGCGGTTGGCGGAGTTTAAGATTCCGGTGTTTCGGCTGCCTGAGGGGACGGAGAAGAAGCCGTTTTGTGGGAAGGAGGTTATTTCTTGGTTTCGGGAGAGGGGGGTCGTGACGAGACCGGATGAGATTGCTGTTGTTGGGGATCGGTTGGGGACTGATGTCTTGATGGCTGCGGCTATGGGGTCATGGAGTGTATGGTGTCGAGATGGGGTGTATGAGGGTGTTGATCCGAAGAAAGGGAGACCGGATATGAATATCCTCGAGAAGATGGAGATGTGGGTGGAAAGATATCTCAGGGAGTCCAAGGGATTCAAAGCGCCGTCACCCAAGAGGTGGGATTCCCAATAATTTGTACGATAGTTGATACCCGTGTACATTAGATCTTATAATCAGTCCATCATACTATGATCTGTAAATTTTGACAGTAGAAAATGAATCTTGATTCTGCTAAGTTTATATACTGCCTACCAGTCGTTCATTGATCAACTGCAACTGTACCATCCAAGGCAGAGCCCACGTAGAGGATATCTCAACTCCACCGAGAACCAGCCATGGAAAAGGCACTGGTACAGCAGATGTCAACCAGAAGACAGACGAGAATCATGAAACAGTACGAGTAGGAGACTCGAGCTCAAACAAATCAAAATAAAACAAGTTTCGATCACAGATGTGATTGATATGCAAACATGTCCTAACCCGCCGACCCAAAATAAATCAACAAAAAGGGAATCCAAAATTGAAGTCGCCATCTCAGTCTGACTTTCTGGCATAACCACGTTAAAAAGACCTCGACCAGACAACAAAGAAAAAATAATCAAATGGTCGAGGCGAGATCAGAAGAAAAACAACCGGAGCAGCCGGGGATATAAAATGGGGGAGAGAAATCGCTCAGGTCCAGCCCCAAAAAGAAAAGGGTATTCATACAGAAAGAAGAGAACAAAGGAGAAGAAAAAAAGTAAACCCATAACAAGGAAAACTTGGAGGCATATCTTCCAATCATCATCGTGCGATAAAAGATAGCCTAGAAAAATTCCACCTCGACGCCCACTAAAGGGCGCCTCCAATGCAGGTGGCATGACCTGCAGTGTCTAGTGGGATTTTGGTGTTGTCCGGTTGACGGATCAAAACAACCAAATGTCAAGCCCATCAATGGAAATGCCAGTCCGCATAACGGTGGAATGAAAATCGCCACAATGGGCAAATATAAAAGTAGAAGTGAAAAAGTCGTGAAAAGGTGAAGAGAAACCTAGACGGCTCATGATCCGGGGGCCATGGTGTTCGGGTCCACATTCTCCATCGGGTTCATGCTTTGGTATTCACTGTGGATGCTCGGCGAAGTCTGTCCAGACAATCCGTGCATGGGAAGTTCAAAGTTGGTGCCCTCGTATCCCATGGTCGCAGGGACCGAGTAGTTGACATTTTGCTTGGGGTACATATCACCCATCGACATACCATCATCGGTGAAGGCTGACTGGGGCTCGTTTCCAAAACCGTACATGTCCTGCGAGGTGTGCGGGATGTTGGACAGTGGAGGCGAGTGATCGGCAATCATGGGGTCTGCAGCGCTGACATTGGAGTATGGGGAAGCTGCATGGTTGCCAACGTTGGAAGAGTCGACAGATGATGAGACGAACGATGGGATATTGAACTGGGCACCCATGCTTGGGGCAACAGGGGTAGAGTCGCCGGGCGCAGCGCTGGTGAACATTGATGGGCTGGCAAAGTCAGATGGAGAAGCGGTTGTAGCAGACATGGGGTGACCTCGAAGGTCGAGTCCATACGCAGGGGAAGTATCAACCCGCAGGTTCATAGCCAGGGGATGAGCTGACTGGGGAACTGGCGCATAGATGCCCGAATCGGCCTCGCTGTACTGAGCGGGTGTTTGCGGCATGTTGTACGAGGGAAGCGGAGGTGCCTGCAGAGTCGCGAAGTCAATGGCCACTGGAACGGAACGACTTCTCTGGCGCTTGTGCCCATGTCCACGAGTGGGGTGCAAACCGACGCTGGCGTGGTTGTCTGGGTACATGCTCATGAAGGGGTGAGCGAAATGGTTGGGTTGAGAAGCCGGGCGTTGGATGAAGGGTGGGGACATTGGCGGGGGCATCGCAAAGTTGTTGTACGCCATGCGGTTCTGGAAAGATTCCAAAGATACCAACTTGGCCAGCTGAACGCTCAGCACCTTGGGGTGGCCCCCAAGATGGTGGACCATGATTTGGCTCGCCTGCTGATCCTCGGTGAAATCACCACACTGGTAGAAGCCGCCAGAGTTGGAAGAATCCATGTAGAACATCGGAGGTCGGTTCAATTCCACGACTAGGCCGCCGGGCCTCGGGGGCGCGCCGTTGGGCTGGGGGCCTTGATCACCCGACTCGAGAGTGATGTTCTTGATGGCGGAAAACGGGTACTCGATCTTGTAGCCGGCCGAGTCGTTGTTGATGTAGTAAGTCATACAGGCCTTTTCGGGAGAGTAGAAAACAACCAAGTCCATAGCGTTTTGTCCGATGCGGCGCCAGCTACCGACGGTCAAGGAGCGGCAGGTAAAGTGGTGGATCACTAAACAGTCAGTACAAACTAATGTCTATGGTTTCAGGTAAACATACCAACTTTGCCAGAAGGCGCAGACTCGCTGGGATAAACACCGTTCGTTCCATACCCCCCAGTGCGACCAAAGGGATCTCTCGCACCAGGTTTGCTTGGATCGAACTGCATGGCCAAGTATTGACGCATGGACTCGGGAATCGAGTCGCATCCTTCACCGGTTTCAATGCTCTTCTTGGCGAGCATCTTGATCTTGGCCCGTCTGCATAAATCAGTTAGCCAAAACAGTCGACGAAACAGGAAATAATATGAACGCACCGGTTCTGGAACCAGATCTGAACGGAGCGCTCAGTCATGTTAATGTCCTGAGCGATTCTCTCCCGGGTGGCTGCCGTGGGAGTGGGGTTCTTGTTGAATTCCACCTCGAGGGTGACAAGTTGGTCCTGGGTCGCCCTTTGACGCTTGTTGTTCTTTTGCTGTTGGGTCAAGGTGCTCTTCCGCGAAGGCCGACGTACGGCAGACGACGGCGCGGTGGTGACACTCGACATGGAAGGGGACGGGGTAGAGGTCGCGGACGAGGACGGGGTCGCGGTAGGGCCCCTCACACTGGAGGAAGCCGACATGGTCGATGGGTCGGGGGTGTCTGTCGAAGACATCGTTTGCATTGGAATAATTGATCAAAAGATGAAAAGGAAAACAGATGAAACCTGATTCCGAAGGAAAGGTTGACGATGCGTGACGATCCGGCCGACAATTGTAGATAGGTTGGATGGGGGTGATGTATCTCTCGAAGCAGCCTCAAGCGCGAGAGAAGAGGGGATGAATCAAACGAATGACAGCGCTGTTAGACAAGGGAGTCGGAAAGAGAATCGAGTCCAATGTCCTAAGTGCAAGGCAGATGACGATGGACTGATCGCGTCGCAGAGGCGTTCAGACCAACGAATTGTAGAAATATAAAAATAAAAAAAAAGAAGCTGACCTAGGCAGCTTGGGTGGTAAAAATGTTGTTCTTCGCCAACGTCGGGACGAGTGTAAATCCAGTTCCAGAATTCCGGGGAGGGAAAAAGAGGGGATCGGGATCGAGGCGCGATATAAGTTTAAAGGTGAAACGAGAGCGCGAGGTCCGTGGCTATCACGAGATATACCGATCGAGGAACAGGAGGGGTTGGTTGGGTTGAATTGAGGGGTGGGAGGGATCAATATAGACACCGTCCAGCAGGAAGCGAAGAGCGCGATAGTAGATGATACTAGTAGAAAGAGCGTGGTAGGACCGTCGTTGAAAGAGTGAAACGAACGGCCGGGTAGCGAGCGAAGATAAAAAAGTAAAAAGAAAGTAGAAGAAGAGAAAAAAGCGAATGGAAATGAAAAGAATGAATGAATGAATGAGATGGGGGGGTTGGATGGGGGGGAGGAGAAAAAGAAGAGGAGGAAGAAAGGAAGGAGGAGAGAGAAGAGAGAGAGAGGAAAGGAGAGCGAGAGAGCGTCAGGAGGAGAGAGAATGGGGAAGTGCAGCAAAGGGAATAGTGGGTGGCAGTTCCTGTGCCTGTTCCTGTTCCTGGCCTAGTCTTAGCCTGTTTGGGGCTAGTCGAGGCTAGGGCTAGTACTAGAGCAGTTAGCCTGCGGACTAGGGGGGGACTAGGCCGTCGTGGGGCTGGACTTTTCTTTTTTTTTCTTTTCTTTTTTATCCTGGAAGAGAATATTGTGATGCTATTATTTATTTATTATCCGCTGAGGTTGGAGTATCAGCAGTGAATAGTATCATGTATCAAGCATGGAGTTGTTTGTTTATGCTAATATACAGCTCAACCCCATACTCCCGGCCTGGCATGATCCTCGATGCCGATGCCGATGCCAACAACAAAACAACACGACAAACACCGTGTTTTGGCCCCTGCATCCTGCATCGATGCTGGCTGCCCAATTGTTCATGCTTAGTTAATCAAGTCCTGCATGTTTTCCTCGTATGTACATCCAATTATCCATCGAGGAGGACATCATCAGACAGAATATGATACATCCACCCCCCCTCCATGAGTCCAACGTGACTGTCCAACGGTTTGGGACCACAGTTTCAAGTGCACGTTGTCTCGTGCATGGCAAATGTCACACCCATCTCTATATACAGAGACTGTACACAATCCCATTATGTCCTACCTTATTGTCCTATGTTGTCCTACAGAGACTCAGAGTAGGTACTCTGACTGACCGCAAGAACAGCTACAGCCGTTTATCCATTTGCCCGCATACCGTTACCAACCTAGTGGAGCACGACTAATACAGAATACAGTCAGTCACACGAAAAAACCAAGGCAAATCCCCAAGCAAAAAAGCAAAAAGTCAAACACCTGAAACCACTAAAAAAGGCAGCCACACTGACACACTCTCACCAACATACAATTCCACCCTGCAACGGGAAAAGCCACCAAAGTCTACTCGTTCAGAACTGCCCGGTTTTTCCTCTCCCTTTTCCACTCTTACACACTCCTCTCCCATTCCAGCCAGTAATAATCCTCGCTACTAGCCTCAGGCCATCGGTTCCAGTTCCAAGCGCTTCCAAAGCCCCCTCGATCCAGGTACCCGCTGTCCGGGCGTGCGCTGATTGGTTCGCTCACATGACAGGCCTTGTCCGGGTGGGGGGGAGTGCCGTCGGGTCTGGGTCCGGCACTCAGGTCGTCTGCTTACTACTCCAGTACTCCGTACATAGTACTATCGATATTAATTAATTGCCTTAGGAAACTGGGGTAGTAACTGGAGATGATATTGATCGACTATAAAACAAAAAAACAACACACTCTTAATAATACCCTCTATACTCAGTCTCACTCTCAGTCAGTCTATTGCTTCCAGTCCTCCGTGCCCTTACTGTTTACTGCAAAAACCAAAATCTGTAACACTCATGATCCGTGCGCAAGCCTCCCCCCTAATTGGCCACCACGAGTCAGCCACACGAGTGGCTCCACTCCCGTTTCCCTTCTCTGTGTCTGTCTCCCCTTGTCCATCCAAGTCGGTCCATCCTTTGTCACGGGAATCGCGGATTCACGGATCACAAGAAGCTCTCCCACCTGCAGGACCCAGTTGGAAGCCAATAGTCTGAGGGCCTGGACAATGCGTTGGAACTTGGTACCTTTTTTGGAGCCGATCTATTTATATATCCTACGCGACAAATGACAAAGAGGTAAGGTCGGGTCGTACTGACCACTGAGAAAAAAAGTAACAAAAACAATCATCTTGTCTGTGGGATCTCCCCGTCTAATAGTCTATCATATAAAATACACATTCAAAACAATGACACTGGAATAATGCCAATATCCAAACCTGATCCATACATCAGGTTTCTCCTGTACACCATCAAAAGTGAGAGACAAACTCGAAGGGGGTATTCCCAACGCCGTCACGCTTGAAGAAATGAGAAAAAAGAAGAAGAAGAAGATAATACAATACACATTACACAAAAACAGTAATATCACTTCAGGTTGCCCTTCCTGATCGATCCGAATCCCTTTGTAAACAGCAATTCGTGAATCTCAACCGACCGTCGCCGGGACGCTCCGCCCTCGGCCGGAGATGTAGGAGTTGTCACTGTCGTAGTCGCCCCCTTCCGATATCCGTCCTGCTCCACTGGCTCCATCTCGACTTGTTCTTCTCCGGTCTTAGTCATGACCCGAGGTCGGGCAAGCAGTTCCTGCACTTGCCGCTCGCGCGCTTCCATCTCCTCCTCTTCGCGCGCCAGTTCAAAGCTGGGCTTCTTCTTGCCGTGGTCCCAGCCCTGTTGGAGCTCCGACGCGGCCGCCTCCTCGAATCGCTTCCGTATATCCAAGTCCTGCTCGTACTCCTGGAAGACGTCCACGTCTGTCGGGAAGAGATTCGCTCGTACGGCGCTCACAAGCATCTCAAACACAATCACGGCTACCACGATCAGTAAGAGGACCACCCAGAACGACAGGTCACGGCCGGTATGGTTCAGGAAGTTGCTAATCACATGGTACACGCCCTTGCCTGAGCTCATTGTGTACCGAACGGACAGGATCATGTTCCACAAGAACCACCCGCCTACCGAAATGACAAACACAATCACCGATAAGATCGTCTTGTTGTGCACCTCCAAGAACTGCAGTTTGGTGTTGATGACGATGACGCATGCGGTGAAGCACATAAGACCCAGTGAGAAGATGTCGTTGTCCGAGTTGTTGTTGAGCGGAGTACCATAGAGACTGTACATCACAAAGTATACAAGCATGGCTTCGCACGTCGCCATGAAGGTCCAACCGAGATACAACCGGATGTTAAACCCATCATTCCGCTGGCCTTTGGTGTACAGCTCCGGGACAGCTAGAAGCGTGGACGCTGACAGATCCTTGGTGAAGATCCCGAGGAAAATAACCGCTAGCGAGGTGAACAGCGTATTGAACATACTTAAACTCCATGACTCGTAAATGCTGGTTCCCGTGTAACCATTCCACCGCTGGTAAAGCGCCTGGGTTAGGTAGAACAACATTTCCTTCCAGAACGTTCCGAGAGTATACTTGCACGCACGGATGTAATTCCATCGCCCGTGAACGAGAAGCAACTTCAGAAGGAACCGGAACTGCGCAATCGAATAATCAGAAATGCGGGCTGCCTGCAACCCTTCTTTTCCGGTAATACCAATGCCCACGTGCGCTTCCTGGATCATGGCAATGTCGTTTGCTCCGTCACCAATCGCCAGTGTCACTGAATCCTTGACTTGTGTTCGAATCGATTTGACCAGGAAGGCCTTTTGCTTCGGACTGGCACGGCAGCAGATGACGGAATCGACAAGAATGGCAAGATTGAAGAACCGGACGCGCAGGGTGCTATCCGACTCAATCATCGTAAGGGTCTGCCCATCAACCACCACCACCGAATGCGCCACAGTGCCCTTTGAGATATCCGCAGTCAGCTTCACCATCGACTGCTCAACATCACCGGTTTCATGGTCGAGAACGACAAGAGTCGAGTAATCCTTGACCAAGCGGCATGAGTGTCCAACGTTGATGGCTGTCTCTCGCTTATCACCAGTCAACATCCAGAGTTTGATGTTGGCTCGTCTCAGCTTGTCAATAGCCTCCGGTACACCCTTCTGCAACTTGTCCTCAATAGCCGTGGCACCAGTCAGCTCCAGCAGTTGCTCAATCTGCTCGCCGACCTGTTCGATCTTTTCTTGTCGGTCAACCAGGCTGGTGCTGGCTTCATGGTACGCCTTCTTCCAGTTGTTGTATGCCGATTCGTCTAGGAAGCGGTGACCGTAAAGGAGCGTCCGCAGACCTTCCGTGGCGAAGTCATTCAGATGCTGGAAAGATCTCTCAAAGACAGCCGCCTCATTCACCACCAAACCCTCCTCAACCAGTTCCTCATACTCGTCATCGTGAACGGAGCTTCCTGAGTCCGAAAAAGCGGCCGAGTATCTGCTCAATTGAGCAGAGGGCCGCGGGCTGTAATACTCAGCGTCATTTCCCTTCGTCAAAATACCTCCGTCTGTTTCCCGGTCTCGCAGCCAAACATCAATACTTTCCCGCAAAGCGGACACACGCTTTCCAGAAACGCTAGACCGTCTGCGCGACATGCTGGGCCGGCTATAGCTGGATCTCACCCCACTGTCCCTTCGGCTGTGGTACTCGCTGTTACGTCTGATAACTTGATTTGCCTCGGCTGCCTTGCGTTTGCTAGCGCGTCTTTCGATCTCAACCGCTTTCTCTTGGGCAAGCGATGAATGCTTGAGCAACTTCATCAAGACACTGTCAGCGCCTTTGCAGAAGACACAAATGCGTTGATCTGGCATGCGAACGATAACAGACATCCTCTTCCGTGCGCTCGAAAATTCGATGACATCCATAACTTCATAAACCTCATCACAAGATGGCTCATCCGGTCCACTCGGGTAGGTCCGGACGGTCACCGTATTCGACTGTCGATCTTTAACGAGGTATCCAAGCTCCTGTGCTGCCATGACTAAAGCCAGCTCGTCAGGCGACGATGCTTGGTACGAGATGTCTCCAAGCTCGTCAGTCTCGGGAATGCAGGTATGGCACAAAGCGATAGACAGCAGAAACATCTTGGCCTTGCGTGCAAAGACAGTGTAAGGTTTGCGTTGAATATACTCCACCATATCAATTGTGTTGTAGGTGGTCTTCTGGGGTCTGGATGTGGAACCAGCCACGCCCATAGTCCCAGAAACGTTCGAAAGCCTTCCAAAGGCACTCCGAGCTTGAGAAGCGTTAGACTTGCGACCAATGGCCTTCTTGCCCTTGGCACTTCGTTTCTTATGGATCAGCTTCGCCCGGTCTCCCTCTTTGGCAGCCTCTTCGCGCAAGTCAAAGTCGTGAAACCATGCAGTACCGGCGACACTCATTTTGCGGAAGCGCATCGTGTTGTTGGTGAGGGTACCAGTCTTGTCAGAGAAAATATAGCTGACTTGTCCGAGTTCCTCGTTGATGGTCGACGTTCGCGCTTCAAGTGGGGTATCCGTTTCCTCATCGTACATGTCGATGTCGTTCATCAGGAACATCTGGACAACCTTGACAATTTCCATACTCACATAGAGTGAGATCGGAATCATAGTGTTGAACATGATGAGGAAGGAAGTGAAAATGGGACCATAGCTCACACTTGCCTCTTGGAGATACCAGGAGTGAACTTCAACATCAGCAGACCAGAACTTGTATGCAATAGTACAAGCGACGGCCAAAGCAACGACGAGACACACAATCAGCATGACAACGCGGTTGACCTTGCCCTGGAGCGTGGGAGATTTGATCCGGGGGTTCTTGTTGGCATTCATCCGAATCTTGCACTCCTCGCCGGTGTAGATGACCATGCCAATTGCAAGTTCAGTGTTCCGCAGGATACTTCCACGGTAGACGATTTCATTGTTGGTCAATGGCAGCTTTTCCTGTCCAGCAATGGTCACATTTCCGTCGAATTTGTACAGATCGAGGTTCGGGTCTTCGACGGCAAAATGGATGTCGGTGCTGCAGATGTCCTCGACAGTCGAGCACACCTTGGAAACGGGTTGACAGGGCGATTTGTTCTTGAGGTTGGTCTCGCCATCAAGAGCCATGGTCTCGATGTAGGCCACTCCGTTGGGCCCATCCGCGTGTAAGAGAGCGATATCCGCGGGAATAGGCTGATCCCGCTCCAATTTAATGACATCGCCGACTTTGATATCCTCCCATTTGATCGAGGTCCAATCCTGGGAATCACTCGATTCGGACGAGTTGTCCTTGGCCGATTCCGGGGCTCCAATTTGACTGCCCAATCGTAAAACGGAAGCGTAGCGATTGTTCTCTTCCTTGTCCAGACGATACCGACGCCAGTCGTCAAATCCTTCTTTGCCCATGGAGATACCCACGAAGATCAACAGGGGAACGATCGTTGTATAGGTACCCGTTGTACTCAAACCAGGAATCATCTGCAGAATGGCGACGACCAGGAAATAAAAGTTGGCAAGTTTGGTGAATTGCGCCCAGAACTGTCGCGGGAAAAAGCTCCAGAAGCTGTAACGACTGGACCGAATCCAATTTTCGATGTAAGGCTTCCCGGTGCGCTCATCGATCAGCACATCGGTGCGTGTGGGGTCAAGATCAATATGGCGACCATCTTTGCTAGGTGGGATATCCTTGATCCGCAGAATAGTCTTCCGAACAGCCTCGAGGGCATTGTTTAACCGGTCCACGATCACTGCAGTGGCAGCCTTCTTCTTCAGCCACTTCTCGTGCGAAAGAGTCGTGAAGAAATGTCTGTCATCCTTGAGACCATCCGAGGGGTCAGAGAAGTATGTAGAACCGCCATCCTTTGAACTAGACTCGACGGTGGTGGTCGGTGCCACGGTTATTTGATGCTTCTCATCTTCAGACGACCGCTGTGAAGTTCCAGCGGGAACCTCTTCGACCGGCTGAGGGACATTTGTTTCCTGCAACTCCACCGCGCCTGGGGATGTGGGAAGACCCGGAGATGTCGGGTCCGGGGATATAGGAGGGTGGAGTGGGGAAGTAGGAGGAACCGGAGAAGTCTCCCTCGACTGGGTCTCGATATTCTTAGCGAAGATCGTCCGACGAAGCGAATAACCACGATTGCGCGATCGGGAACGACCCGTTTCAGGGTTCTGCGGCGATGGAGGAGAAAGCATTGTATTCGGGGAGAGAGGCGAGGTAGGGCCACGTTCTGGAGACCGGCCAGACAGCGATCGAGCTTGCGGAGGGGCAAGGTTAGTATTGACGGTCAACCCTCTCGAAGCCGTCCGTCGATGTCTCTCCCGAATCGTCTGTCTGGGGTCCTCCGTCGAGTCGTCTTCGAGATCCACCGAAAAACGAACATGCTGCTGTTGCGAAGCTCTCCGCCCCGAGTCGGAGAGTGTTCGGGAAGGCGAGATGGAGGGGCGTCCTCCCCCACCAGCACTGAGGCCATCCTGCGACGGCACTGAATTCAACGACAGACTCCTAGGCAATTGTGGCATGGGTGTTGTATCCCCTGTCCCTGTCCCTGTCCCTGTCTGAGTCTGACCTGCGTCTCCTCCCTGCGGAGTCTGATTCTCCTCTGGGGAAGAAGCTCCATTATGCGACATTGCGCCAATACCCTCCCAAGTAGATGCGGTGTAGTTCCGGTGTCAGTCGTATCCAACACTGACTCTTCCACCTCTTGTTGAATACCAATCCGGGGGAATAAACGAAATCGCACGGTGTGGTTGTAGCAACGGTTGGTATTCGGCCTGATCTAAGACATCATTCGAACCACATAGACGGGAATGAATCCTTTTCTTTTTATTCTAATAATCTTTCACCCCAACAACACGTCGTCCACCATTTGCTGCAAATAGTTCCGAGTCGTCGATTTGAAGGGACCGGAAGGTCGACGGTAGGCAAGGCGACAATATTAAAATGAAAACCAACTGGACCAGTTTTTGTCCGCGTCACCTCCAACCAAACGACAGTCGGGAACCAAAGCACGAAGAAAGGAAAAGAAAAAAGCGGAGTAAGTAATTAATTAAACAGAAGAAGAAATAAATAAACAGATTAATTCCTGTACAAGAAAAGAAGAATGAAACAAAAAACGAAAAAGGGGAGGCACAAAGCCTTTTTTTTTTTCTCTCTCTCCCGCAGACGGACGACGGTTGAATGAAGGCGGCCAAAACGTTCGTCGCTCTTTAGTTCTGCTGTTCTTTTCGCGATGGCCGAATGCGGCACGATGCCCGGATGGGGAATAGCGGGCTTGGCAGGCTGGGATTAAAGAAGAGATCGAATTGATAGAGAAGAATAGTATAGAATAGAATATAGATACAGAAAGAGAAAAAGAAGAGAAGAAGAATCGAAATAAAATAGAATAAACTTGTCACCAGGGTCTACCGGTCTGGCCACCGACAAGAAACCAGAGTCTGGACATTGGGTGTGTGGATCCATAATAATACTTACAGCCTACACTTTAATCTCCATCACGGCCTTTTTCCCCAGTCTCAGACAGATGACCCTTCTGCGCATTCTTACAGGCCATTCGTCCTGATAAACTCATCAACGTCTTACTGTGTTCGTTTGCGACGTTTTTTCTTTCGCTCAAACCGCTCAGGCTGATTTTGAAACCTCAATGTCCAGTACACAGCCCCCTCCAAATAAAACATAGAAAAGAAAAAAAAAAAGAAATAAGATGAGATGAGATAGACTCCAAGGCAACCCACAGAAGGATCAAAAAGCAAAAAACGACCCTGGTTGGCAATGAATGGTAGCGCCAGCCCCAGCCTTAGTCGCCCTTTTCCATCCAGACAACAATTTTGGCTCCATCCAGAGTCTGTCCCCTTCTGACAGGGGTTTACGCAGCCTTGTAAGTGCCATTGGGTCGACTGAGATGCTCTTCCAAGGACGCGTGGTGGTGGCGAGGCAGAGCGGGGCTTGTCAGAGTCCGTGTCCGTTGGAGATCGTCACCACGTTGGATGTGCCTGTCTGGTTCTTCACTTGCCACTGTAGCAGTGTAGTAGACTTTTTTTTCCCCCTCTTCTCTGGAGAAGGCATCAAAATTCTCAAAGCCATACGAATAGTGATACGATAATGTACGCATCTGTGTAACCGCTCTTGGCTAGTCGGTTCCTACGTCATTATACGGCCATTATATGATTATTGTCTTTTAGCTTCATGATGGTCGGCTAACTATCACTTGGGACGATTTAGGCAATCCCACCCACTCCTGCTATCCGAATCAAGCAGGCTATTACTCCGTCAGACCTATAATTTAAGCATAACGCAAATCAAGGCACATTCGGTCACTAATCACATAAATGTCTATAATGACATGGCAGTAAATCATCCTTTTCAACTGGCCCTTCACAATTCATGCTAAAATACATTGCAAAGCAAGGATCCCAATCTAACTATCAAAAGGTGCAAATGTCATATCTCATCCCTCTAGTAGCGAGGCGGTGCGGGTGGCTGTCCATAGTAACCCCCCTGTGGAGGATATCCTCTAGGAGCACCTTGTGGCGGGGGTGCGCCGTATCCGCCATACTGCTGTGGTGGTCCGCCCTGGCTCGGCGGGTAGGGTGCTTGACCATAACCGCCGGGCGCTGGGCTGTACCCTCCTGGCTGCTGGTAGCTGGGACTGGGGGCCGGGGGCTGGCTGTAGTATCCCGGTTGACTGTAGCTCGGCGCCTGGCTATAACCGCCACCACCATACGGGCCAGAAGGAGGAGCACCCGGAGGAGCACCCGGGGGAGCGCCAGAGGGCATGCCAGAGGGAGGTCTAGCAGCACCAGCGGCCTTCTCATCCTTGGTATCATACGATGAATCAATTGCTCCGAGCATCAACTTGGCGCACTAGGAAATGATCAGTCGGAGTCCTTGCATAAACAGGATATATGCTTACCCAAAGTTCACGGGTCAGATAGACCGGAGGGTTGGCCCGTGACATTTCATCTTGTTCGACCTCAAAGTCTATACTCAGTTAGTACAGTACCGATGAAGAAAGAGATCGAAAACATACTAGATGTGCAGTCAATCAAGCTACCAATGCTGGGATCCTCATCGAGGCTACCGAGGAAGTCTCGCGCCTTGGTATCGTTTCCAACTTGACTGAATTGGAACGAAACAGCACCACGTCCATACCGGGTTCGTGACAGCTCGCTGATTGTGTAGTGGATGGAGTTTGCCACAGTGTCATGCGGCTCTCCTGCAGGCTGTCCGTCGGTAATGGTAATAACAAGAACCGGCTTTTCCAGGCGGTTCGCTCTGGCGGGACCCAGAACCATCGGGTCGAGAACCTTGTTTCTCAGACCCGATCCCAGGGGAGTCAGGCCTTGGAACCGGACACGTGAAACGAGCCTGTTCACATCTTCCACGTCACGGATCCCATCGCCTGTCTCCATGGAGTTCATGAACCGCACGGAGATACCATCCTGGTCGAAAGTCGAGGCTGCAGTTGCAACAATGCCGATGATCTGTCTAAGCTGCTCCTTTCTGACTCCCTTTTCTTCAAACTCGATGGAACCACTGTCATCGACATACAGAATCACATCAAACAGAGAGAGCTTCATGACATCCATCGCGACCTCTCCAGGCACAGACCATTCGTGGGTCAACTTGCTGACCTTGGCGGGCGCATCATTGGCCAGTCCTTGGAGCACCCTCTCCAGCTTTTCTGGGGGATAGAAGCACTGGAGATTCTTCTCCTGAATGGTCCCGACCAAAAGCTGTCGGTACGCAGCTAGCTGCTGCTGAGTGGCAGGAGCCGGAGCCGGAGCTCCATATCCAGCGCCCGGAGGTCCCGATGGCGGGGGCGGCGCTGGACGCCCTTGAGCACCGGGATAAGGCGAACCCTGAGGCGGATAGGGCGAGCCCTGAGGGGGGTAGGGCGAACCTTGTTGAGGATAAGGTGACTGTCCCTGTAAGATTTGTTTCCGTTAGTATGTAAAGTATGCGCAGCGAAAGAACGATCAATCAAATCAACAGCAGCAGCAGCAGAAAATATCAGGGACAAGTGTATACATAGAAGGGTTGCTGAGGCGGGTACTGAGGTCCAGGAGCTCCATAAGGTTGGCCTTGGGGCGGGGGCGGGGGAGGTCGTGTATAGCCCTGCTGAGGTTGTCCGTACGGAGACTGTGGCGGATACTGGGCCTGTGGAGGGGGATACTGAGCCTGTGGGAACCCTTGTGCTGACGGAGAAATCGGACTGTATGGAGACTGCGGATAACCACCGGGCGACATAGGCTGTGCAGAGCCGGGGCGTCCAGGATAGGTTGGGGTTGGCGCGGGCGAGGGCGAAGGACCCGTCTTAGGAGGGACCGGGGGTACACCGTAAGGCTGGTACTGCTGCGCCGGCGAAGCGGGATAGGGCGACTGTGCCGACCCAGAACGGAGCTGAGGAGGGTATTGTTGGTAATAATGCCGAGACATGATGGCAAGATGGCGTCCAGATCACAAGTCGAAGAGCGCCGCCAGCCGATATCCACGATTGAATTGAGATGATGAAGAACAATGATGATGAGGGGCAGGGAAAAAAAAAGGGAAAAGAGAAGCCAAGCAGGTGTGGAGCAATCAAAAGAACCAAGGCTTTATTTTCATTCGATGGAAGGCAGGCAGGGTGCAACAGAAAAGATGTGAAAAGGACTGCTTACCGGGCCAGGTGGACCCTGAGCAGAAGGCGCAGGGGATCCAGGATACGCCTGATATTGTTGCTGTTGCTGTGGCGGAGTTGGACGATTCTGTTGACCTGGCTGTAGAGTGATGTCAGCGAGTGAATGATTTTTTTTTTTTTTTTTTGATTTTTCAGTGTTTGATGAGGGGCAGGAGATTCTCACGTATCCACCAGGCTGCAGCGCTGACGGAGGGCCTCCAGTGTAGCCGGACGGAGGAGCTCCTCCATAGACGCCCGAGTTGTTGCTCATGTTGGAGTTGCCGCTGGCGTTGGGATTGGCGTTGGCGTTTTGACTGGCTGCGATCTTGGATGCAAACTAGAGATGATGCAATGGTTAGAGCCGGCCCTAGGATATGATCTTGTTTATTTTGCGCTGACTGTCGAGAAGCTGACGACGCGGGGCAGACGCGGGGCAGCAAGGCGTAAGGACAAAGAATGAGGGAGTTGGGGATGGGCAGACTTACCCCCATGGCTGGAAGAGATGATGTTCACGATCTTCTTGTCAGCTGGTAGATGACGGAACCAAAGAATAAAGAAGGGAAGATGGGAGGGGCGATAGATGAATATTAATAGCAGGAGATGTGGATGATGACGACAAAAAAAGCGACGAACTCATTTTCAGGTGGACTGGCGATGACTAGGCTGTCAGGAGACCCGCTTTCAGATCGAGGTTGATTAGATGATGCTATCCAAACAGGCCAAATATATTATTATTATTCATGCAGAATCATGTCAGCTTTAGATGATACTTCTAGAAGATTGCCCTGCATACTGATACTCAAGTCTGCTCCTTAATTAACCACGTACCCTTCTATTTTTAATTTCCAACCCCCCCACTCCGATCGATAACCATAACCATGTACTCCATAGTGGCTCACAGGGCTCGACGATCGATATAACTTCATTCAACATGAATGAATATTGGCCGTGGAATTATTGAGCATCAGCTTGGCTCAAATGATTCTCTCCCAACAAAAAACCACTATACATATATCCTGCATAGCTAGATGTCAAATATGTCGAATCAGCATCAGACAACATCACAAGGTACATGATTAAGCAGGACAAGACAAACACACTTGGCCCAACATCAGCTGTCGATATTTATTTGCTTCAATTGGCGGATCGAGCGATGGGAAGACATGAAGCCGCTGATGTCACAAGAACAGACATCATGATGTGTTGGCAGCGATAATAGCAGTATCAAATACATCTTCTCCCTCTCCATCTCACTCTACACCTCTATACAACCATCACTATCAACACTCTACTCATCTATATACTACAAATTAAATACCAGAATGCCAGAAAATACCCTCCGTATAGGCATCCTCGGAGCGAACTCTGAACCCATCCAAACCATCTACCTCCCCATCCTCAAGTCACTCAAAGACCACTACCAGCTCATCCTCCTCCACGACCCGTCCTCCTCCCCATCATCCCCAACAACCACCACCAAAACAACCCAATCCACAACCGACCTCCTCACAAACCCCTCCATCAATCTCCTCCTCAACTTCCTCCCCCTTTCCTCCCGAGAATCATACACCATCGCCGCTCTCGAAGCAGGCAAAAACGTCCTCGTCCAGCCCCCTCTCAGCCCCAGCATCCAGGGCGCAAAACGCATCCTCGACGCTGAAAAGACCCGCGCGAAGGATGGCGCTCGCGTCTTCGTCTCCTGCGTCCGGAGACACGCGACGTGCTTTGAGACTTTCCAGCGCGAAGTCGCGAGCTTGGATCGGATTTACTACGCAAGATGTCGCAATATCGCCGGACCAGGGATGTTGGGGTTGAAAGACTTTCCTCCGGTCAAGTCTGCAACTAATGGGGGCCATATACTTAATGGAAACGGAGGTGGTAGGAGTTGTCGTAGTGATGGTGTAGAGGATACCACGCCCAACGACCTCCTCCATGAAGTCTTCGACGAGCGCGATCTCACCCAAGCTCGACTATCACTTTACAACTTCCTTTATTCGCTCGGATGCCACGATCTAGCACTTCTGCGGGAGACGATGGGTATCCCCGACGCCATCTCCAGCATCTCCATCAACGATCCCTTTTACTCCGCCATCTTCCATTACAATGATAGTCGCGCGAACGGAAACGAAGACACCCACCGACCCTTTACTCTCGTCTATGAAACTGGTGCGGATGCCATCCCCCGCTGCGATGCCCATCTCGCCGTGTACGGTCAGTCCAAGACGGTGACGATCCAGTATGACCTCCCCTATGCGCCGAACCAGCCCGTGCGGGTGATTGTCGAGGAGAGGGATGGGGAAAATGGGCAGGTGATGAGGAGGGAGAGTGAGTGTAGCTGGGAGGAGACGTATCGGGCGGAGTTGACGGCGTTGCATGCGTGTCTGGTTGATGGGGAATCGGTCAAGATGACCACGGCTAGTGATGGATTGACGGATTTGAAATTGTTTCGAAGGATGTTTGAACAGTATGGTCGGCAGTGTGGGACAATTCGGACCCCTCTTGGCTAATGTTTTTGCTCTGCTTGCTTGTTTGTTTCGGTTCAAGTTGGATATCTACTAGAATGACGATTGGAATTAATGCCAGTAATGAATCAGGAATTGGTTGTAAGTATATAGGTATTGTATGTCCAAGCGAGCAAATTTCTGCTATCAACTCTACATGCTTCAAACGAAATTTTTTCCCTTGTCCATGCAAGGCATATCTCATCAACAGACATAAAGCATCTACCTCTTTCCCTTCTTCTTTTTCTTCGAATTGGCACTGCCGCCTCCTTGAGGCTTTTGCTGTTGAGCAGAAGTGCTGGAGTCGTCTGCTTTTTCGCTAACAACACCTCCTTGTGTCCGATCTGCCGCCCGCTGCTTGTTCTTCCGTCCTCTGGGCCGGTATGAGGAGCGATCCCGAAGAGGCAACCACCGCTCAGGGTCTGCGGTCTTATTGGGGTCGAAGTCCTTGGGGAGGCGAGACTTGCGGATCCGCTTCGTTGCTCGGCCCTGTTTGCCATCGGCTGTTCTCTTCCTGGCACCGGCAATAGCAGCAGCAGCAGCAGCGGCCGTTGAGGAAGAGGGCGAAATACCAGACTTTTCTAGAGCAGCAACATCGACATCGGCGATCAAATCTTGGACTGAAGGAAGACTATCGACTTGGCCCTCAACCTTGGAGTAGTCGAGAGTAGCTTGCGATGCCGTATAGCCTGCGATCGCGAAGCGGTCATTCGGGTCCTTCTGACGCAGAGACTTGAACAGTTCTCCAGAGATAGCCAGGTATGAGCGGTCGGACGAGTGCAACAGCGATGCTGCCGCCGCCCGCAGTAATGAAGCAGGGGCCTCGGCCCGTTCGCGCCAGTAGGACGCGGCCTTGGCCAGTTCAGAGCGAATCTGAACCCTTCGGCCTTCGAGTTTATACAAAGAAATAAGGATGCCAAGGAGACCTGGGTTGAATCGGACGTCTTTGTCTTGTTCAGAGATGGAGTCCTCAAGAAGTTGTAGAGATCTTTCCAGCGTTGTGATGGCAGAAGTAGTGTTGCCGGCACTCACGTAGAGTTGAACGACAGTCAATACCAATCCAATATCCTTGGGTCGTCTCTCGAGCAAAGGAAGGATTTGCTTCAACGCCTTGGTTCCCGACTCACCCTGTGCATGTGCTGCAGAGTTGAAAACCGAATGAAGGTTGACGCTGGGTTCCGCGGAGGGGCAAGGGCTTTTCGAGAGCACATCGGAAGTCGACCGAATAATACCATCATATTTGCGGACAAGAAGGTCCAGGGCATGGGAGTTGCCCACCATGATATTATTCTGGAAATCAAAGAGTTTGTCGCTGTCGGTGGAGTCGGGGGTTTCATGGAAACCTTTGTAGAGAACATACGGATTCGCAGTGGCGTTGCGGAAGAGTTGGATATTATTCTTCGCGATTTTCTTCGTGGAAAGCTCGGAGATGCTGGGTATGATTAGCTTGAAACCAGAGCAATCGACGACAGTTTCACATACTCGTTCACAGAAATCTCCTCGAGAACCGACTCGGCCTCCTCTGATTTCCCTTGTCTAACCAAGACATACAGTTGCTGCACAGCGATCGGGAGCAATTCGGCCGCTCGGTCTTCAGGTGTAAGATCTTCCGAAGTTCGACACAGCTCTGCAAAGAATCAGTAGTGATTCTTCGTGGTATCCATTGTATGCTCAAACCTTTGGCCCGCTTCAGAAGCATTTCTCCCTGACCAAACTCCCCCTTGGCAATACTCAAACAAGCTGCATTATAAACCGTCTCGAAAGCCTCCAGGTCATCACGGGTAGGTCTGGTATGACGGACAAATTCGGGGTAGCCTTTCCACTGCAACTGGGCATCCGCCGCCCAAGCATTGATCCGGAGATCGTTCTCTTCGTTGGCTATCGATGCGCCTTGGGACAGCTCTTCGTAGATCTCAGCCGTGCGACGAAATTTCTCAGCACGGTAGCTCTAGATAATCAAAATCGATGATTAGCGACCATGCGGAGAGGATGGAACAAGAATGACCATACCGCTTGAGCCTCTAAATGGCCAGCGCCTCTTCCACCACTCAAACCGGACACAACATCAATAGACTCGTCCAGGCGTCCACACTTGTAGAGAGTGTAAGCGTATTCCAAAGCCGCCCTCTTCTTCAAGGCATCATCGGCGTCTTCGAATACGCGGAGGGAGTCCTCGTAACGGTCGAGCTTCAACAAAGCGACCACTTTGACGTGTTGAGCCTGCAGATCCGACTTGGATTTTGCCAGAGCCGCATTGCATGATTTCAAGACTTCGTCATGGTCGTCGATGGATGCACGTTGCAACAACGAGCTCAGCGATTGTGCAGTCATGGTGAGATGTGGTGATGGTAGTTCGGAGAAAGCGCAAGGTGGCCCGTTGAGGGCAGAATGAAGTCGGTTGGAAATCAATAAGTTCCCATAAGATAGAGATTAATGGAGACGGGTGAGAAGGAGAGGGCACTGTTCAGTACTTCTGGCCCGATTGAGATGACCGTTTATCGACTGGAATCCTCCACATGGCCGACTGTGCGGAAAGTGAGTTGGTTTCCCCATTGGGAATTTCTGCGCTAGAGGTGTTATGCGCAGACGTAGTCTACATACAGCGTCATTTGACTTCACATTTGCTACTCCGGAGATAGAGAATTTTAATGGATCGGAATAAGATTGCATTAGAGTGTATGTATGTAGATATTATGTGCATGGTCTTTGTGTCGTTTGAATTGCTTAAACTGTGATGGACTGGTGAAGTTTGATCTGACTGCCAAGGACTCCAAAGGCTTCATCTACGACTTGAGATACACAAGGTTGGGGCTATTTGGCTATTTTTATGAGACGAATGGATATCTGTGAATAAACAGAATGACGAAAGACAGATCAAATAACATAGGTAACTCATCTCTTCGAGGCGCAGTCTCAAACGAACTTCGTTTGACCATGAGTGGATCTGGAGTATCACCAGTCATCATGAATATCGACTAACCCAGAAGAGAAAATGATGACAATCGTCAATCTTCAATGGATCTACAGACCAACACGAGAGAGGTGAATCCTTCAAGGATCCGACCGGGGACGGTTGGGGTTCTCCAGCTTCAGTTGATTCAGGGCTATGATCAAGAATATCTTCAAGCTTCAGGCATTCTCTGCAGGTACGACAAACACCCATCCCACTCCTCGATCCTACAGCGCCAATTCAGCTTCATCTTCAGATTAAGACATCGTCAGCCTCGCCTGCACTTCCGCACACCAAGCCGAAAACGGACGGATCGCCCCCATCGCCGGATATCGTCCGCGTCATCTTCTTTCTGTCCTCATGTCAACTGACTCCAACAGGGTCTTTTACTCTCCAGTGACATCAACGCTTAGAAGGTGGCTATACAATGCAGGGTCCAGCAAGGCGTTACGCTACGGTCTGTCCCCATTCACCGTTGCCTGCTACTTGATGCTTTTTTTGCTCTCGCCGTGATGATCTTTTTGTGGCTGTTTCGACTCTCAGCCAGGCTGGCAAACTGGTGGCTACCTTGCGAAGGCCGGCTCCACGGCCGATCATCCCCCTTTGACGATGCTTCATCCTCCAAATCCTGATCTTCTTGTCAGCCTCTCGTCTATGTCTTCTTCTTCTCTTCTGTCCCTCTCCACTTGGTTTCTCTCCACCTGGAAATGATTGCTGTAACCCCATCAACACCGACCAACTAAAACATCCTCGACCTGCCAATTCCTTCCCACGGTACCGCGATCGGCTTCCTTTTTGACCCCTTCCTATTTCCAATTTTTTTTTCTTCTCTTTTGTTGCCTCCTTTCCTCCCCGCCTCGTTCTATCGATTAATTAAAATCGTTCTTTGTCCGGTGCATCCTTCGACTAGTTTCGCACTGCTTGTTCTCACGACTTGACCCGAGTCTAAGGATTTGGCCTTGACGTCGACAGGACCCTCTCCGTCGGGAGTGAAGATTCTTTGTTCCGCGATGCTTATGCTCTCTCTGTCGTGATACCTCAATTATACACCGTCCAGCACAGCAGAGATGTTATTAAGGGTCGGTGAAAGGCCCGGTTGGGGCACATCATGGGCTTGGAAGAAGTTCGTACGTTTCGGTGTCGCATTTCTATTCATCACCACCTTTGCGCTTCTGCTCTGGCCCCAAATCAACACCAAACATGTCGTCGTACATACCGCCGGCCACAATATCACCATATCCTCCGATGTCAAATGCGACAATCTCAATTTCGATGTCCTAGGTCGTCTCGATGTCCGCAAGCTGAGCAAGTATATGCGGCGTGAGATTATCGCAGTTCCGTCCTCCGCGCAGGGAATTCCCATCACACAGCGTGTCCAGACTCCATTGTTCGATACGAAGAAATTGAATGCCGAAGATACGGTTACGGTCCAGCAGCAGTTGCAGGCCGATTGCTCGAATCCCTTTCCGATTACCGTGCACGTACCCACTTCGCCGAAAACCGTGGATGCCTCGCATATTGATTTTGGTGTGGCTACAACTTTGAAACGTTTGAATGAATCGGTGGATCAGTTTGCTCATTGGGCTGGATACACCAAAACTCGCATCTTTGCTCTCGTGGAGCCGGATGATCGGGTGAATGAAGTGCAGGCCAAGGCCGATACTTTGGGGATCAATTTGTACGTGACACAGTCTGACGAGGAGTACCAAACCCGGTACTTTTCGTTGATTGCACACCTGGCAGAGAACATGCGCGAACAGACTCGGTGGTCTGTTGTTATTGACGACGACACCTTTTTCCTTTCCATGTCGGCGTTGGTGCAAGCACTCGGCGAATACGATCATACAAAGCCTGCATACATTGGCGGTATTTCTGAGAGTGTTCCCCAGGTCGGGAATTTCGGTTTGATGGCATTCGGAGGCGCAGGCGTCTTTTTGTCCCGACCGCTGGTTCTCGAGCTGAGCAGCTCTGATATCTTTGACGCATGCCAGCACATGGAATTTACCGGTGACCGACGAATTTCCCTTTGCATTTATCAATACACCACCACCCGCCTCACCATCGACCACCGGTTGCGGCAGCTCGACATGATGGGCGATGTAACGGGATTTTTTGAAGCGGGCCGCGAACTTCCGCTCTCAGTGCACCACTGGAAATCATGGTTCCACTACGACATGTCTAAAGTCAGCACCATCTCCGATCTTTGCGGCGACAACTGTATGCTGCGAAAGTGGTTCTTCAATGATGGCTGGGTATTGACCAACGGATTCTCCGTAGTCAAATACAGCTCTGATATCGACCCCGACGACAAAACCATGGAATTGACATGGGAAAGCCACAACGGCGCCGTCCACGAGTCGTATCTCCACGAACTCGGCCCGTTACGGCCAAAAGACTGGGACAAGGTCAGCTATTTAATAGCCGACTCTGTGGTTGAGGGCGATACAGTCCGACAATGGTACATCAACCGCGATCCCAACGGCGACCAAGTCTTGGAGTTAGTCTGGCGATCTGGGTAATGGCATTCATGGTGTTTGGTTCTTTTTTTCTTCTTTTTTGTTTCTTTGCATAACTTTTTTTTTTATCTTCTCTTCATCTTCCGTCAGGGACTGGATATCACTGCTCTTATAGATAAAAGCCCGGCTCTATTATACCAACTTTTGTTTTTTCTTTAATTTGTCACGGGTGTATAGATTATGACTTGGCCGAATGATATGAACTGTACAATTGCAGAATATAGCCTGAATTTATGACACTTGAATCTATTGATGTACATGATTTTCTTTTTGTTGGTGTAAATTCAATTCTATGAGCAATTGATGCCCGATATACATTTCCACAGGCATGTCTAATGATCAGCACAATTTATTTAATGCCAGAAATAGAGTACAAAGAACGAAATTCTATATTTCTATTTTGGCACACATAAAAAAAGTACTCAAGGTATGTAATAATATCAGCATAGGATATAGGGTATATATCCTGCTCCCCATAATTGCACATTGTATAGTACCCCAGCAGGTACGTGCAATACTCCAAGCATATCTATGATACAAAAAGCTGCGAGGGCAAGATACAAAAAAGGAGTCAGTAGAGTAGAGTGAGCTAAGTAGATCAACTCAAAAGCCCTCGATCCTGAAAGGCCATATCTGACGAAATCTGCGCATTGGGATCCGCATCTTCAATGTCATCATGTGCATCTGTAGGCACAGAGACAAGATCCCATCGATTATCGGCATCTGACCACGGGTTCGATGGATCCTGTGTTGTTGGTCGAGGCGTGTCACCGGGAAGAGGGGGTAGGAAGTTGCCCATTGTAAGGGAGCAGTCGAGGCCCAGGACGGATTTGCAGCGTTCCAGGAGGATGGGGAAGAGGTAGGATTCGGAGCCACGAATGCGGGCGAGGGTGGTTAGGACGCCCCAGAGGAGTTCGTGGGGGGAGACGGTGGATTCGGCGAGGTGGTGAGCTGATTTGGTGTTGAGGGATCGGGTTACGTCTGCGATGGAGATGCCCATGTCGAATAATTTTTGTTCCTGCGTTTGAGTTTAGCGGTTGGATTGGTGAGGATGTGTATGTGAGTGACTAACCATTCCAATGCCGTGAGCGTCGACGGCGCCCTGAGATGCAGCGCCTATGACGCTCATTACGGATTTTCCTACCAGAACTGGTAGATGAAAAGGAAGGACAGTGTCGTCCCGTGAACCGGGTTGTGTGGCATGGCTCATGGAGAGCTTCCACATCATGGCTTGTAACCATTGCTGAGTGACGAGGATATCGACCTGTTGGATTTCCAAAACGCCATCGAGGGAGACAGGCTTGCAAAGACTGGATTGGATGGAAGAGGTGGATGGGGTCTCAAAGAAGCCGTCGCCACCGCCAGCAGAGATCCAGTCGTATAGGTTGACAGTGAGTTTTTCGAAGATGTTGATAAGGTTGATGAAGCCGTAGGCTAAGATGGGATCCTCCGAACATAGTACTTGGGGTTTGTGGATGGAGCTGCGTAACATGACGGGCTTTGCTTGTTGGAGTGCGTAGCCTCTAGATTTGGGATTAGCGATTATTTTGTGTGAAATTAAAGTGTAGAATTACCTTTCCGTGATGAAGAGTAGCCAAAATACCCTCCTTCGTTCTTCTGCGTCCTCTATACTGTATTCTGAATAAGTCGATTCACGGTGAATGCCCAAGGTAAAAGCCATAGAAGTAGCTTGGCACAGGTAAAACCAGGCATGGTTCTGTTTGTCTAAATTGCCATATGCAGCAAAAAGAAAAAAGGAGGTCAAGAGACTTTCAAGGTGCATTTCGTCCACCACGTCACATTCTTTCCTGGCTCTCACGGCTTCTGCGAGTAACTCTTCCCCAGACATCACGGAATGACCGTCCACTGCAGCTTTTAAATGTGATGATGGATCGGAGACTGGGGCTGTTCCATCGAGCTTGAGCTGGATGTGTGTGGCAGCACAGAGCGAAGCCAGAAATGCATATCGTCGATGCGACAATCGATCAGGCTGATGACAGTCCAGCTGAAGCTGCTCGCGACGCACGACTGGCATAATCGGGAACAGATACTTCACATAAACATTAACGTGGGCTAGCAGAATTGGCGGCGTTAGACGGCGAGCATATGGCAGCACTCGACTGCTTGTAGTACCCGCGTCAGATGGCGAGGTGGACGAGTCCGGCGAGGAGACCAGCTCCGGGGCTGCAAGCCGCGAAAAAGACTCCGTGGCATCCTGTGATAGACACTGGGGATCGGACACCGTAAATGCTGGAGAAGACGGGGAGTCTAATCGATAGCCGCCTGCTGCATCCCCAAGCAGTTCCTGGCGGGGATGAGCTGCATCTCGATGCTGCGAGACTAGTGGATGAATAGGGGCCAGAGGGTAGAGAGTGCGGAATTTAGGACCCTTTCGACGAAGAACATCGCTGTAGGAGCAAGAAAGAAGAAGGCGTTCGCATTTGTCGCACGGTGTCCCTCGAGAGCATTTCAACTTGCGGCGGCGACAGTTATCGCAGGCCTGTTTCGGGGCTTTTTGCTTGGAGGTTGGGTCCATTTCCGGGCGATCGGTGAATTTTCAAGATGAAGATGTCATGGAAGATCGTCAGTCTACTAGTGAGCCCTCAAGGCTCGTCTCTGGGCCGTATCTCATACGACGAGACTGCAGTTTTGTGATGGTGGGGATAGAGGCAGTACGATCCAGGATAAAACCACAGCCATTATTAGATGAGGAGAAGGAAGATGAAAGGGAAAAGAATCCCGCTTGAAGAAAATAACCCAGTGAAGGGGAAACCGGACAGGGTAGCAAAACCTGGGGAAGAGAAAGAGCGGGGAGGTTTGTCTTTCGGCGAAAACTAGGCGAATTACCTGATCGGGTGTATTCTTGGTGTTGTATGATTTCTCCAGTTGCGTCAGACCCCGCGTTGCCAATGAGACTCTGACTGAGCCTGACAGGGAAATGAAGATAGTTATTTATGGATTGATTGATAGGCATGGCGACATGGCTGGCTAGACTGACTTTGATGTATAATCTCGATGAGATGATCAACATCATCTATGAAGCTGGCCAAGTTGAACGGGCCACCTCGTATACGGAGGAGGGATGGAATGCCCCTATACGCTCCCCTAGAGAACCCACCAGAAAGGCATTCTTATATCATACTTCCAGAGCCGATTGATATTTCATTTGTCGGCTACAGCCCACCAGTGTTCGGGAAGCCGAAAAAACCCGTAGTTGTACAGTGTGATGTCTGGTGGTGGATGGATTCTTGATACTCTGGGGTAGGCATGTGTCTTGATATCTCATCGTCACCCAACAGAGCAAACCACGCAATAATACCTAACATTAGTCTCCTTAACCATCTGCCACTTCCCTTCAATCTATAAAATCATCATCATCATCATCATCATCATTTTCTTCTTCTTCTTCTCGGCCGAGTAACAACAAAAAACTCACCGACATCCAGCATCAGGCATGGAACAATACCACATTACCGTACCATATTGTAATAACGTATGGCGTCGGACATTTGTCGGCCCTTGAGCCAATCACAGCCCGCCAGTCAGATGATCGGCAGGAACAGCTTCCCCCCTGCGTCTTTTTTCCCTCTTCGCTTCTTCTTCGACGCCAGACCATCAGCGATCTGAGTTGTCGTGGAGAGAAATCGAATTCTATCAGGCCATGGTGGTGGCGAAAAGCCTCACTGCCAATGGTCCAAAACTCTTGTTGCCAACTTGCCGGGGTCCGTGGCATCGACCTGGAACAATCGGTCCGAGTTAATGCTCTCCGCACGAAGCGTATGGAGGATTCTCCATAATAATCCCGCTCTCCAATCTCCGGTCCTTGTTCCCCGCAAACCCGCGTTTCCCCAACTCTATGGTCTGGATAGTTTGGATCACTTGGGTCTTCAGAGACAAGTCTTTCATACTATGTAACTGCAATCCATCCTAGTCGGACATTCAACGGAGTAACGGCAACTCTCTCTCTAGAGTTGGTCGGTTTACCAGTGTCCTGATGCATGCAGAAAGCAAGTATAAATATTGGACCATGAGTGCATCTTCTTCTGCTTTTGATCAGTGAAGTTATCTTATTATCTTTCCTACAAGTTCATCATGGTCGGTTTCGCGGGCCTCCTAGGCAGTGCCTGGCTTCTCCCCGTGGCTTATGGGGCGAGCCAGACGGCAACCGCGGCCTATTCCCAGTACACCATTCCTGCCTCTGTCGATGTCGGTGCAAACCTGATTGCCAACATCGATGACCCGCAGGCTATCAATGCGCAGTCTGTTTGTCCCGGTTACAAGGCCTCGAATTTGCAGAACACAACCCGAGGCTTCACGGCCAGTCTCGCGTTGGCTGGCGAGCCCTGCAATGTCTATGGTACCGACGTTGATTTTTTGACCCTTTCAGTGGAATATCAGGCAGCGGACCGGTTGAGCATCCAGATCACCCCTAGCCACGTCGATGCGTCGAATTCATCTTGGTACATTTTGCCAGAGAACATTGTTCCTAGACCCAAGGCTTCCTCAAACGCATCTGCCACTCAAAGTGATCTCTTAGTCTCTTGGTCCAACGAACCCTCCTTCAACTTCAAGGTGGTCCGGAAAGCTACCGGTGATGTACTCTTCAATACTGAGGGGTCTGTGTTGGTCTATGAAAACCAGTTCATCGAATTCGTTTCTTCTCTGCCTGAAGACTACAACTTGTACGGTTTGTCAGAACATGTCAACCAGCTAAGGCTGCTGAGAAATGCAACCTTAACGGCATGGGCTGCCGATGCAGGTAATCCCATTGACAGGTATGTATTCAGCGGTTGGATAGAAACGTGCCACCGGGTACCGTGCTAACAATGAGCCTCTAGCAACATCTATGGAACGCATCCTTTCTATCTAGACACGAGATACTACGAAGTGGACGAAAGTGGAGCTCATACCCCCGTCAAGGAAGGCGAAACCGACCCTTCCAAGGAATATGTCTCCTACTCTCACGGAGTGTTCTTGAGGAATGCACATGGCCATGAGGTTCTTTTGCGTCCCCAGAATGTGACATGGCGTACTTTGGGGGGAAGCGTCGACTTGACCTTTTACTCTGGCCCTACCCAGGTCGACGTTACCAAGAACTATCAAATCAGCACCATTGGACTACCCGCGATGCAGAAATACAACACTCTCGGTTTCCACCAGTGCCGCTGGGGATACAACAACTGGACAGATCTTGAAGATGTTGTGTCTAACTTTGAAAGATTCGGCATTCCTTTGGAATACGTTTGGTAGGTGATATGTAGTCTATTTCAGACTTGTGCACTAACGCCGCAAAATCCAGGCTTGACATTGATTACATGAATGGCTACCGTGATTTCGAAAACGACCCCATTCGCTTCCCTTACGATGAAGGCGAAAAATTCCTGGACAAGCTGCACAAAGGAGGCCGTAACTTTGTCCCTATTGTTGACTCAGCTATTTATATCCCAAATCCCGAGAATGCATCAGATGCGTAAGTGATACATACAATAATTATCTGGGCAAAAACTTACAACCCATGTCAATAGCTATGAGACCTACAACAGAGGCGCGGCGGATGATGTCTTCATCAAGAACCCTGATGGCAGTCTCTACATCGGAAGCGTCTGGCCTGGCTATACTGTTTTCCCTGATTGGCATAATCCTAAGGCATATGAATTCTGGGCCAATGAGCTTGCTCTCTGGTGGCAGAAGGTGAAATATGATGGAATCTGGATTGATATGAGTGAAGTTGCTTCTTTCTGCATTGGCAGCTGTGGAACCGGCAATTTAACAATGAATCCGGCTCATCCACCCTTTTTGCTTCCTGGCGAGCCTGGAAATATCGATTACGTTTACCCAGAAGGGTTTGAGGTGACCAATTCGACCGAGGCAGCCTCTGCCTCCGCTGCCTCCTCCAGCCAAGCCGCTGCTACTGCATCATCAACTGAAACGACTTCCGTTCCCTATCTCCGGACAACACCAACCCCGGGAGTCCGTGACGTTAACCACCCTCCTTATGTGATCAATAATGTGCAACCTGGTCATGATCTTGCTATCCACGCCATCTCTCCAAACTCTACTCATATCGATGGATATCAGGAGTACGATGTGCACAACCTTTGGGGACACCAGATTCTCAATGCCACCTACCAGGGATTGCTCAAGGTTTGGTCTGAAAAGCGACCGTTCATTATCGGTCGCTCCACCTTTGCAGGTTCTGGAAAATTCGCGGGCCACTGGGGCGGAGACAATTACTCCAAATGGGGAACTATGTACTTCTCTATCTCCCAGGCCCTATCCTTCTCGCTTTTTGGCGTTCCTATGTTTGGCGCAGATACTTGTGGTTTCGCTAACAATACTGATGAAGAGCTCTGCAATCGTTGGATGCAGCTATCGGCCTTCTTCCCCTTCTACCGGAACCACAACGTCCTGGGAAGTATCCCGCAAGAGCCTTACCGGTGGGCATCTGTCATTGAGGCCTCAAAATCTGCTATGAGCATCCGTTATGCCATTTTGCCCTACTTCTACACCTTGTTTCAGCTCGCCCATACCACTGGATCTACTGTTATGCGGGCGCTCGCATGGGAATTCCCCAACGACCCCTCGCTCGCAGCTGTTGACAATCAATTTCTTGTCGGTCCTTCTATCATGGTCGTTCCGGTTCTCGAGCCACAGGCAGATACTGTTAAGGGTGTTTTCCCCGGTGTGGGTGCTGGTGAAATCTGGTACGACTGGTACACGCACACAGCCGTCGATGCGAAGCCCGGTGTCAACACCACGATTCCCGCACCACTGGGCCACATTCCTGTCTTTGTGCGTGGTGGCAGCATTCTACCCATGCAGGAACCGGCCTTGACGACTCGGGATGCCCGCAAAACGCCCTGGGCTCTCCTGGCTGCCCTGAGCGGCAACGGAACCGCGTCCGGTCAGCTTTACCTGGACGATGGAGAGAGTATCAACCCCAACGCCACTCTCAATGTCGATTTCAAGGCTGCCCAATCTAGCCTTAGGGCTTCGGCCCAGGGAAACTGGAAGGAGACCAATCCTCTGGCAAACGTTACCTTGCTGGGTGTGACCAAGGCTCCCTCCAACGTGACTCTCAATGGCCTCAAGGTTCCTTCTAGCCTTGTCGAGTATAACTCCACCTCGCAGGCTCTCTTTGTGGGAGGCCTACAGAATCTGACGGCGGGCGGTGCCTGGGCCAAGAAGTGGGTGCTGAAGTGGTAGGAAACCGGGTTGGAAAAACACCCTTCTGCTGGGATTGTTTTAGGTAGAAGCTCAGTGTTTTCAGAATAAATCTGATGATATAGGTTAAAGTATTTATCACGACTTCCAGGCATCATTAATCGTAGCATTTACCACATTACAGTCTCTTGGGACTGTAAACTTCCGGTTCGAGCCTCCCTCCCAAACCACCTCTCCATCAGCACCCTTCTTGATAATAAACTTGTACTCGATTTCCGTCCCGGGGGTTAAAGTAACGGACCCATACCACAAAGGCGCGTCATCTGAATACTCATTCGCTTCCAGTCCCACAGCCCCAGACTTCGTATTCCACTCACCCAACGCAGGAATTGATCCAACGAGAAAGACCTCCTCTCCAACGACGGTGGACACCCGGATATTGAATCAGACGGACACTGTGGGCTTTACTGGAGAATTGGGTGCACATTTCGGGACAGGCCAGGATGTGTTTGTTGCGGGGGCATAGGGGCCTTTTGCGGAGGATGGGGAGCATGTTCTCGGGAGGGAGAATGATGGAGAGCTGTTCCAGGATGCTCTGGGTGCATTTTTACGCGCTGCAGATACTGTGAGGACAGAGGAGTAGGACCAGGTGAGGTCGGAGGCTGAGAGGGGAGAACCGTTTGTGCGAGAGAATTGTTCTGCGAGGGCACCGTTGGGTGGTGTATAGGTTTTCTTTTTGGTTAGTCTGCGCTGTTGAATTTGGTGTATAAAAGGATGACTTACGACGATGCTTATATATCCCTCTGCGTAAGTTCTGATAGCGGCAGTAATGCCTTTGTATTCCGTCGATGAGGAATCATATTCCCCTTCCTTGGCAGATCGATATACATCCTGGAAGAATGCAAGGCTTGTTGACGTGATTGTGAGAGAACCAATCTTATCCCACTGATACAATGCATCGTAGAGCTGCTCTGCAGCAGCCAAGGTGCAGAGGTACCATGGTTGACCGCCTTGATAAACATCTTCTGAGTATCGGCCTACGGCGATGGCCTTACCCTGCGATATACCCTTGTTTATGTCGTAGAGCGAGCGGAAAGAATCTGTGACACTCTTATGATTGGCAAGGGCCCGAGCCGAGCATGGCTGGAAAGTGGTATCATCACAGTCTGCCGAGGGATCAAAGCTATGGATACTCCCAAGGATGGAATTAGCATCCTTTCCAGACCGGTCGTAGCCAAAGTTGGCAAGAATGTAGGAGCCTGTCCAGTACGACTGTAGAAAACAGAGGACTTGGGGTGCCTGGGAGTCGCAATGGGGACAGGAATGGCCTAGTTTCTGGGCGAGGGAGGCCCCTTCGACTAGGGCACGATACTGGGCGATCGTAGTAAAGAAGGATGAGCCGCTCACTTCTTCCCACAAGTCTTGTTTGACAAGTCAGCTAGATTGCGAATATTTCACTTGCTAAGATGTACCGTAAGTGGTTGAATTCCAATATTCGGTCACATATGAGAGGTCATTTTGGACAATCGGCCAGATGATGGAGTCCACAGTAGAAGATTGCCCTTTTTCCTGCCAAGAAGATCAGCGAGAGACTTTTACTAGAAAGCCACAGCAGATATACAATTAGCCAGTTCGCGTAGGCAATCATGGCCGATGCCCTCAACGCAGGCCCATCTCTCTGTGGACGCCCCCAAGAGCCCGTAAAAGCTGTCTTGTCGACATGGAATTTTGGCTCTCCCAAGCCCCCGGTAGATAAATCACCAGAAGGATTGGATAGAGTCTGGATGTATGCCTGGGAACTGATATATTCTTGAATCTTAGTTTGTAGTATAGGATCCTCATTTTTGATGAAGGTTTCTACAAGGGTTTTGACGGTGAGAGCGGCATCGCGAGTCCAAGTGTAGAAGTCTGCATTGCATCAGAAATATATCAGAGATAGGCAAAAGGAGAATCGAGCTTACAGTCTGGACTGTTCTTACTGGGGCTGGCAATGACAATGCCAGCATTCCCACCGATCGCCTTTGCCCCATCTGCACCAATGTTGTTCAGGATTCCATCGAGGGCATAGCTGGTTTCAGCCTCCAGCCACGAGTCCAGCAAGTTCTCTGCCTGGAGGGTAACCTGATCAGCACCCAAAACACTTACAACCCCTAAAGTGGCGACTAGGAACTGAAGCATCATCATCTTTGGTGGCATCATGGTCAGTGTTGTCGAGAGACAGGCGGTGGCTCTATCAATTCTTCACATGCTCTGGAAGTCACTCCTTGGCAAATAGGTGACTTGCATATCGGAAGACCGAAACAGCAAACGATCAGCGTGGGGATGCACTTTCGAAGGGAAGAAAAGATGAATGTGAAGAGGGGGGAGAGAGGAGGAAGAGGCGAGAAGGTTGTGGTTGGCGACGACAAAACAAGTCACACGCCGGCCAGCCCATACCACTGCAACCTCGTTCTGTCAAAACCCCGCGTTTTGCCTTTATTGGTGACGATCCATCATCCCTCGAAGGAGCAACAAGCGATGTCTAAGTTTAAAATTAAAATATGTCTCATTGAAAATCACAAGCCGTCCAGAAAGGACATTTCCTCGTGGTGAGTGGCCCCCATCTTCACGGCCCCTGGTTCTGACGCTGACGTTGACGACCAGGGGCGGAAATTTACTGGAGATTAATCTACCTTCAGAGCTATTTCGAGTTTTCAGTAAAGTACAGTCAGAGTCGATATCATGGCAGAGGATAATCTTCGATGCGACGTTATTTTCAGCGTCTGGTTAGTTCACAATCCAGATATAAATATCATGGATTGCCAGCAACTGGACTGTCTCCCCATCAGTTGCTATCAGCAAGATTATTATAATCCGATTCTTTCATCAAGACCAGAATGCTCAGCTGGTGGCCTTGGTTGTTTTCTGCCTGTCTCGCTGGGACGACGCTGGCAGCAACACCAGAGGAATGGCGATCTCGATCCATCTACTTTCTTCTGACGGATCGATTTGCTCAAACCAATGGCTCAACTACGGCAGAATGTAATAGCAGTCTTGGCGTACGTTTCTAATTCTTCCTTCTCACTCTCAGGGATCGGAATGGCTGACGCAGGTCAATAGAGATACTGCGGTGGTACATGGCGAGGTATAATCAACAAGGTGAGCATCACTAACTCCATGCATGAAACCACAATTGACAATTGGCAGCTTGATTATATCCAAGGAATGGGATTCACGGCTATATGGATTACCCCAGTCACTGGGCAGCTGCCCCAAGTTACTAAATATGGAGATCCCTATCATGGTTATTGGCAACAGGATATGTAAGTCTCTTCAACCATATCCAAACTCCTCTAACCGAACAGCTATTCCCTCAACTCCCATTATGGAAATGCAGATGATTTGAAAGATCTTGCTTCCGCACTCCACGATCGGGGCATGTATCTCATGGTGGATGTGGTTGCCAACCATATGGTGCGTCTTGTGCTTGTTAGATTAGTTCTGTTCTGACTTTTCCAAGGGATATAACGGCGCGCGTGACTCAGTCGACTACAGTGTCTTCAATCCTTTCAATTCCCAAGAATACTTCCACTCACCTTGTTCTATTGACAATTACGATGACCAAGAGCAAGTGGAGAATTGCTGGCTGGGCGATAACACTGTATCGTTGCCCGATCTCAACACCACAAACCCCAAAGTCCAGGATATCTGGTATAACTGGGTTGGGGACCTGGTTTCCAATTACTCTAGTACATTCTTGCCCAAGCCAAGGAAAGTGCATTGCTAATATCTAATAGTCGATGGTCTGCGTATTGACACGGTGAAGCACGTTCAGAAGGATTTCTGGCCAGGTTACAATAAAGCTGCCGGGGTCTACTGCATTGGTGAAGTGTTTGATGGTGATCCAACATACACATGTCCTTATATGGACTACGTGGATGGTGTCCTCAATTATCCAATGTGAGTTCGCAACTGGTGGATGCCACATATAACTAACAGCAATACTAGGTACTACCCTCTCCTCAAGGCCTTCCAATCGACCAGTGGAAGCATCAGCGATCTATATAATATGATCAACACGGTCAAGTCGGACTGTCCCGATTCGACCTTGATGGGCACTTTTATCGAGAATCATGACAACCCTCGATTCGCTTCGTGAGTATGTCTGTTTTACCTGAATATCTCATTAACAATATCTCAGATACACCGACGACATGTCCCTGGCCAAGAACGCCGCCACATTTAACATCTTAGCGGACGGAATCCCCATCGTCTATGCTGGCCAGGAACAGCACTATGCCGGCGGAGCAGACCCTGAAAACCGCGAAGCAACCTGGCTGTCCGGGTACTCGACCTCTAGCGAACTGTACAGGCTGATAGCACAGATGAACGCGATCCGGAACCACGCCATATACCTGGACTCGAAATACGTAACCTACAAAGTAAGATAATCCATATTCCCGGAACAGCCTCAATATCGCATACTTACCTGAGCAGAACTGGCCCATCTACCAAGATAAATCGACTATTGCCATGCGCAAAGGCACCGACGGCTCTCAGATCATCACCGTCCTTTCAAACCTCGGCTCGTCAGGAAACTCCTACACCCTCTCCCTAGACGGAACGGGTTACACGGCAGGACAGACAGTAACAGAGGTCTACAGCTGTACCAACGTGACGGTGGATTCGAATGGCAAGGTCCCAGTGTCCATGTCAAGCGGTGAGCCGCGGGTGTTTTATCCGGCTGATCATCTCAACGGAAGTGGCATTTGTAGTTGAGTGGACACATGTGCAGGGACAACGACGATGATCGATACAGCATGTTATGAGCGATATTGCAGAGTATGATATAGAAGAAACCTTGAATAGCAGGGTTTGCGCCCACATACACACTCAGCCTAGCTAGAGAACCAAAAAAAAAACAAAAAAACAAAAGAAAAATGCCATGCAGTCTGCAAGCCCCCATTCTGATATCCCAACCCAACCCAACCCACATCCACCACCACCACAACCGAACAACCCCCCTATATATGTATGCAAGTCTATCCACCGCTAGTACTGTCACCTGGAGAAAACTTGGCCAAAAAACGCTTAAACTTGTTTTAGCGCCACGTCTTAGGCACCAGATGTGCCGTGTCATATGCAAGAATTGAGATATTGGAATTCGAAACAGTCTTGGCCTAAATACGGGGTACTTCAGACGGACAGAGCACCCGGGGATTATATGTCTATAGTGACAAATATATGTCGGGTAGCACGAACAGCCTCAGCTGATTGTGTCGAGCTCAAGACCGCCAGTTCGAACTTGGGCCGTTGGTGGACGGCATGCCATGGCAACGTTTGATTCTGGAATAGGCTAAAATATGCACAGCGAGAAGAGAAAACAGGGCATACAATACGACTACTGGATGTCTACTTGCATTCGAGTGAGTGGCTTCTTTGGGAGTTGTAGAGATACAGACCTGTACCGGTGATTCGGTAGAGTACTCTCCTGCAAGAAGAGTCTCGGGCGAGAAAAAGAGAGAGAAAAGAAAGCCGTTAAGGACCTGTCCCATGGAGCCACGTTTGTTTCAGTTGCTGTGACAAAGATATTCCTTGGCTGGGTGTTGATATAGATGGTCAAACTCATGTAGGGCTTACAGATATTGTTCTTTGGTCTGGTACATACATGTACTCCATAATGATTCTATATGATATACTATATTCATAGTAAACGCAATAACTTCGGTAGACGAAGAGCCCACTCCCTGCTGATACTGTGCATATCCGGTGATGCTTACTTTGATATAGGATGCCGAGTGCTGACCGTGCATTCAGCAATATACAGCCCCTTGTACAACTTACAACTTCCCCGGCAACAAGAACCTAACGAACAGACCAATCCCAACAACCCAACCAATTGAACGGACCATATTCATAACCCCTCAGGTGCACTGAAGCAAACCACTGCATTGCATCCGCGGAGTTGGGGACACCCTACTCGGTACTTGATCGATGCCGAACAATGTCGGATTAGAGGAAGTAGTGAGTAAACCAATGAGTCTGAGTCTGAGTCTGAGTCTGAGTCTGACTTGAACCAGACTCATGAACCGACTGGTTGGAGTTCCTGTCGGAAATAAAGAAAGAAAATAGTTAGTCCAACTCAACCATAACCATGTACTCCATATGGAGCATATGGAGAAGGTAGATCGTATTATCGGATTCGGCATGTTCGGGTAGGAACTGTAGCCGAAAACGCATATCCCGAAAGGAGCATGTGTTACTATTACTATTTGCCATCTACGATAAGTGGCAGATGGGTTGATCCGTGATCGCGGGATAGACGGAGATGATGATCTGATGCTATTATACTGTATACAAAAACATAGTAAACCGACTGACTGTTCTAGAAAGCGTTGCGAGTCAGAGGGTTGAGTTTGGAACTATGCAATAGAAGATCAGACTATCGAAGTGTGAGGAAAGAGTTCAGCAGGGGGAAACCTCGGGGATATTGTTGGAGTCAGTGTTTTACTGTCTGACAGGAAAGTGCATTAATTGGACTCTGAAACGATTTATTTTATTTTATTTGGTCTATTTATCTGGCAGTATTATTACTCCCGATGAGACATTCCCAGGCGGATGATGTCACAGCAGCGTTTGAATTGACCGTGAAAAGGGAATCCATGGACAGCAAAAACCTCAGGACGGAGAAACGAGGCGCAGCCCTACTTCAGAATCCTCAACCTCCAGGAGTCCGCCAGAAGAATCACAAGAATAATGATTGACAGGCCCGCTTTAACCCAAGTACCGGGAAACCCTCTGGTCGGTGACACGACACTACAGCCCACCATGACAAATTCCCAGCTGCACAAGGCGCCGATCGTCCGTCAACTCGACTGACGCGCAGATATTTTATTAATTTATCCCAGTATTGACTTGTGTACACCGTACACACTAGTATGTAGAAATACCAAGGTCAACTAGTTGTTAACCATCCACACCTGGTTGGCCATACACGCTGATCGGCGACACCAGACTCCATCACCCATATCGATCTTGATCGGAGGCCAAGTTGGCCACCTGTTCATTGGCCAGAGTGGGCTGGGCGAACTAATTGCTTAGTTTTTTTGCGACGGTGGCGAGGGGCGAGCTGTCAAGGTTGTTCCTGGAAAGAATCCTGTCCGTCACTTGCAGTAGTGGACTGGCTGTCTCGGGCGCTGCCTTCTGATTGCTTGTCGGCGTGGAGTTGCATTTGTTATGGATCGCAGACGTCAGGATGGTTTTCTTTAGGAAAGAGCCAGGTGTTCGTATGGTGTGCTGTCACTCGGTCATGTGTTGACAAATCGACCTGACATCTGTCTCTCTCTCTCCACGTGAGTAGTCATTGGAGACACCCCAGACTAGATCCCAGGATAATCCCAGATACGAGGATCCTTCATCCGGACACCTGCCGATGGTGTTGATCAAGATGAGGATCTCCCTTTCTATTGGTGGATGTGGCCATGAAATTCGGGATTATCTGACATTTCTGCCTGAGGTGTCAGTACTAGTGCATACGGAAATACACACAAAGCGAGTCATTGCCCATTGTTCTCCTTACTAGTCAAACCCAACTAGTCCAATGATAATCCCTAAAATAATGGCGGTAAATACAGCCATAATTCGGCTAAGGTAATCTCGTCAAAGGGATCCAATAATTGGGGGTGTTTGGGGCTGACACGATGTCCTTTTCCGATCGTCCCCACGAGTGGGAATTCTCCTCTCAGACTCTCTCAGACTCTCTTTTTCTGACTCTCTCTAGTCTCTAACCCGTCACTTCTCCATTTTTATTTTTTCGGTCTGATCGTCTCCAGTCTGCTAGCAAAGTCAAATCTCATTGCTCAAACCAGGTTGTTCGTGCCTGTCACCCTCACTAGGAAGTAGGGTTAAACCGCGGATCCCGAACTTTGGGAGGGCAAAGTGTGGGAGGTAAGTAAAATACGAGATGAACCTAGGAAAAAGAAAAGACGATCCCCATCCATGGATGATCTTGTCATAGTCATGATAGACTAAATCCCTCGTTCATCTGTCAGTCAGGTTAACAAAGTTACCAATCCATCCCCCCCGACCCCTCTTTCTTCCTTCTTTTTTCTTTTTTTTTTTTTTTTTGCCCCCTCCTCCTAACTAACCCCCTAACCGACACAACCTGAGATGTCATATGCACGGGGCAACGGATCTTGCATCCAAGGGTGACCTACCCACCAATTGTACCGGGTAGTCATCTGCATAATTCAGTGTGTACGCCGAGGAAAGGCCTTCGACGGCCCTCGATCACAATACAAGCTATTACGGAAAAGTGGATATGTATGATTTCTCCGCTGACTGTCGACTTGTATGTTACAGGCTGAGGCCCGCATTGCCTGTAGCAGTCGAGACAGAAAGTATCTGACGTACAGTGACGGACGACGTGGATCCCCATCTCCCCCAAAATGTGGGGACCATTTTGAAGAAGAAGAAGAACACCTCGGCGATCGGTCCATCCCTGTCGGAACGCCTGTCATCTAATAATATCGTATATTACAATAAGTATAAAATGGATACGGAGTACAGGATGGATAATAATACAAGAGTGAGAAATGAGAACAGATGGACGATCGATCGATCCCAACCTCTCATTGCTGGATCGAACCTGTCCGTTGTTCGGTCCGCTTGCAGCGGGAAGAAGCACAGATGGCCTGGCTGTTACGGGCAAGTAGTAATTGGAAACCAGGTTACCACCGCCCGGGATAAGCTACTTGCGATCTGGCGCTGCTGGCCAGTCGCCGTCCTCCGCGTCCTTCTGACACACTCTGTGGGTGGACTCCACTGGCACGGCCGATCCTTTTCTTTCTTTCTTTCTTCTTTTTTTCTTTTTCAGCTTGAATTATAAATCTTTATTACGGTTCATCTTTTTATCTAATTACTCGGCACTAGGTGTGAAAGCGCGAGGCTATTTTATTTTATTTTATTTATTTTATTCAGAAAATCTGACTCAGGTACGCAGGCAGCACTGTTATGGGTTGACCTGCACTGCTGCTGCACTTCCGCCACACTGTGTTCCCCAACTTCCCTTATTGCATATGTACTCGGGATATACTCACATCCTCTTCCCGTATTATTATTATTATTATTATTATCAGGAGTCAACAGGGATATTCTCTGGGTTTCAGCTACTGTTCTAGGTGGGGTACATCCCACCTCATCATGCAGTCGACCTCTTACATTAGGAGCATCATCCCTTAACGGTATTCCGTCAGTGGCTTTCTCGACCTGCCTAATATTCTACCTTGAATATTATTCCAAAATAATATTATTCTTAATATTTAAATATCTAAATATGAATAAATCTAAAATAGTAGCCTCAAAAATCAGAAATGCAGCCATGGTTCTCGCCAGCTGGACGTCCCGTTCGGGATTTAGCCTCCATCTGGATCTGTATTCTGAATTGTTCGTCTGCAGCGCCACCTGATACATCACTCGACAGTCAACAATTACATACAACTACTACAGACAGACAGATCTGTCAGAGGGTCCGATTGCATGCCTTTTCGTTTTCCTTGGACGGACCAAGTGACGGTTCTCCGTAGTTTGTGGTGCTGCTCCACCCGTTCCACTGTGCCCTCCCACGATCGTCATTTTGCTGGATCCCCCTGTTCTGGCAGTTCCATGGATGGCTCGGCCCAATGCCTTAGGGTAGATGGAGACTTGGAGCTGAAGGCTCTTCCTGTTTCGAACCATTTCAAATACTGTAATCAGCAGAATAAATTAAGTATTGCCCACCTGGCCTGCATTATTATTATTTTATTCTATTCTATTTTATTCTAATATTATTTTATTACACCGTCATCTCCTCCAACTCATAAAAAGATCTCTCGACATAACACACCCACTCTCCTACACCAATCCCAATTGCTGTCCCTCCTCCCCTCCCCTGCCTTGCATAGCTTGTCCTTGGTTCTGCTGTCCCCATCGTCATCGTGTGCGGCAATGTCAAGCTGATCTCGCCTCTCTAGGTGTGTATATCCTGCCCAACTTTCCTTCTTCTTCCTCTTCCTCTTCTCTACTCTTCTTTTCTTCCTCCCCACTCTGCCCTACCCTTCTATCTATCGCCACGGAGGGGTTGTTTACGCTTCCTTGCATTCCCATTGTTCGGATCGTTAAAAAAGCCGCAGGCCGGCAACTCTTATATTCATCCTTCTAACCTCTCTCTTCTCCAGCCAACTATCTCCTTTCAATCCTCCCCTTCCTCTCGATAATATCCATCCTGTCTTATGTCCCAGTCCCGTGAATTGAATGACGGATCCGAAAACATGGCCATCTCATACGCAGGACTTCCTACCGATCACGCTCAAACCCTCCCCTCCTTTCGTGAGGTAAGATCAATGATAGTATTCCACTGGAATGCAGACATTAACTCTCGACCGATTAGCTCCTCCCCGCTCACCTTCATGATGAGATCGAGTCGACCTCCGGCTTCTACACTTCCCCCCGACACCATTCGCACGAGCGTCCCACATCTTCAAGTCATGACTTGATCTCCGATCCTAGAGCGCTCTCCGGCCGTGCCCCCTATGGCTCTCCCTCCAAACTGGTTTTGGGGGAAGCCCCCCGCGACTATTCCGTCGCCGCCTCAGTTCGAGCCGATACCCCCATGGGGGGCATGTCAGACCATTCGCCTTTACAATCCCGAATGCCCAATGTCCCTCAGGGAACCTCCGGGTCGACTCCTCGATATGCCTCCCGGGGTCCCAGTCCGATTCTGCCCCCGATCCGTGACCTCCAATCCCTTCCCGAACGAAATCTGAACCCGCCGAGTCCTGCCTTTGCTGCGGATCCCAGGGGGCCTTCGCGGGCTGATCCTTTTGCGGCTCGGGCGGGACATGTTGATGCTCATGGGTTTGCTTCGGCCAGCTACTCGAGTCCAATGGGAGACCGACGGAATGTGGATTCTTCTTACATGGGGGGCAACGGGCCTGCATTGATGCATAACCAGTCGGCATACCACTACCCCGTGGCCTATCAGAGTGATTCCGAGCAGCCGTCGCCACAGTTAATACCGCACGCTCCGCAGTCCAACTTTGGAATTCTGGGCGACTCGATCGACCCTAAGAACAAGCGGAGACGGGGGAATCTGCCCAAACCGGTGACGGATATTCTGCGCGCCTGGTTCCATGATCATCTAGATCATCCTTATCCCAGTGAGGAGGATAAGCAGATGTTTATGACTCGAACGGGTTTGTCTATCAGTCAGGTAAGATTCCGTCATTTGAAACCAGGTGGGCCTCCCTAACTGGTTATAGATTAGCAATTGGTTCATCAATGCGAGAAGACGACAATTGCCGGCTCTCCGGAATCAAATGCGAAACGGTGGTAGCGACGTGGACCCTCAACGACAGTCACCATTCAGCGATATGGAGCAGACTTCATCCGAATCGATGCCGTCTCCTCGCCATTAGCCAAAGGCTATTCTTATATTTAATACTATCTATCCTCGGTTGTCAAAGACAGACACCGAGTGATTCGCAACATCACGAGTTACATGGCTGGGTATACGGAAAGCTGGATAGATACACGAGTCTCGTCGACGATTTTTCTTGATTTGTTGATTTTCCTTTTTCATTTTCATTTCCCTTTTCTATACTGCAAAGACTTTCTATGCGCCGAGAAGACTGACAAGATCATATTTTGATACCCTTTTGAATTGTTTTATTACGTGGATTTTCCTTGGGATTCGGGATCCGGGATCTGAGATCTAATGGGCCATAGGCAGCTGGACACAGCTACTGCTGCAGTCTATACATAAAGACCGTTGGAAACCCCCCCCCCCTTGCCTGGATCCATCATCCCCTACCAACAGCCCACAAATATGCATCTGAGGTGTTAAGGGTTACTGTTTTATCGCTTATCGTTTTTTATCATCTGTTCTGGCATGTGTTAATTTTATATTTTCGTTCTGGGTTGGGGTTTCAGAACGGAATGAGAAGGTTATTATTATTTTTTTTTTTTTTGTCATGTGCATCGCCGACGAGCTGTACAAGTATAATGTGAAATGTCTCTAGAAATTACTCTACTGCAATGCACAAGCTGAGATTGCCTAATAACTAACTACTTCGAGAGCGATCATCCGTCCAAGCACAGAGAAAGGATCATATATCCGCAATCCCAACTAAAACCATGTCAGTCACCCACCCAAGTCCTTGGTTACGACAATCCATAAAAACCGGGAATCAAAGAAAAATCTTATAACCCCTTGAAGCCGATCAACCCATGGATCGGGAAAGACAGACTGAAAATGAATTTTTTTTTCTTTTTTGAAAATAAAATAATATAAAATAATAAGAAAAAAGCCGGCTCCACCGGAACCAGCGACTTGGTAGATGACAGCGCTGGCCAAGTTAAGTTTTGGGTCTTTTCGGTTGAAGGAACTGGTGGATTTACCGATGCCTCGTGCTGGAAAACTATGAAGTAATAACTATACGATGTAGTATGTATGTAGTTGACTCGAGTCAGTCAGAGTCAGTGATGGAACTATTACTTACTTACTGTAGGAATCGATGATCAATTCCCGGACTCGACTTACTTAACTAGGCACCAGTCATACACTGCAGTGAACTTATGTCGTGTCGTGTAGTAAGGAAGCTCCATTCTGCCCTACAGAATCCGCAAGCGACTGAAATTGCACATCTCATCCAGGTCGAACACAATAAAGGGGGTAATGTGATGGATTACCGCAATCGCCATCATCCATCACCGAACCCCGGCCGGGAAATCCAATTCAGATCGCGGCGAGGGTAATCCTTCAACCGCAATCGTGCATGCATACTTACTTACCTACATGCCATGGCTGGCCGGTAGGAGTCCCTTACGTTGGTAGCATCGAGGTACTGCGTAGATAGAAAGTACCATATAGACTACGTACGGGATAGTACCTAGTAGCACTGCACATACTACATATGTAGGGTAGACACTCACCAGACGAACCGCTGTCACACTACATATACTACATAGCTCAGCAAGATCGCCATCAACATGCCAACATGCCAAGATCGGCATGCATGAGGCACGGAGGAAAGGCACGAAAACCGAACCCTGGATATAGTATCCGATCTATCACATGGCGGTGAAATGTACATTCCGATGGATGGGCATGAGAGGGGATGAGATGAGATGCGAAGGAAGGGGTCGGTTCTCTTTCTCACTTGGAACTTGGGTACCTAAATGGTGTTCCGTCACAGTGGGTTGGAATTGAATTGAATTGGAATGGATAGTTGGTTGGTTAGGTGATTGATGATCACCATGATCCGGGGATATGGATTGGATATACATAGATGGGTGGTTATCGATAATGATGATCGCCAGAACTCAATAATCAGTGTGGTATTAGATTGTTACTTACTGTATTACATACAGTACAGTATGTAAGTAATACGATCCACCGATCTTGTGGCTGGTTCGGGTTGGTGGAGATTGACGGGGGCAAAAAATCAATAGTTGCATTGACAGTCAGAAAAAAAGAAGAAAATATATATATATTTTTTTTTAAAATCACCGAGCAAGGCCGCTTTGTTTGCTGTAAGGTTTGCAAGCAAGGCAACACCCACATAGTGGACAGATGATGCCATGATGTCGCCCATAGCCACAACCAGCCACTCCCTGTCTCGGTGTTGTTTTTCCTCCCCGATTTATTGGTAATTGTGCGGTGTGAACTTGGTTGTCTTTGTGCAGGGCGGATATTTGATCCCCAACGGATCTCTTCCAGTGTCGCACGGCATGACTGGGGGTGGTAGTAGTAAAGCCACACCTACTATCTACTGACCTACAGAGACAAGCACAGACAACACAGTAGATGCTGATCATCCCATTCCCTATCCCATTTTATGTATCTCCCATCCCATCATCATCACATCTCTTGCAGATCGTGTTCCTCTGGTTCGCGGTGGCACGGATGATGGATCGATCTGCAATGTCACCCAACAAGAACCTGAACCGGAATTACTAGGACGATACCGTCATCGCGGAGGAACTGCCAGATAAGTTTAGAGCAGAAAGTAAAAAAAAAAAAAGATTTTAAATTTATTCACCGTGGATGATCTTTATTAAAATTTCAGTTTCCAGAACCGAGAAATCAATCTATTTGACTTTGAGTCTTGCACGAGTCATTAACAAGGTTAAGACGGCGTCTGCGACTATTGCTGTCAACATCGCCACATGGTCGGTGAGATCGACTGGTTTTTTAGTGGTAACCGGTTGTTGGTGGTGTCATTCTTTTACTACCTTCCTAGATAGTTTAGTTGGTCGAAGATGGTGTACGGGATACGATATTCCATATCCAAATATCCTATCCAGAATTCCAGAGTTTCCAAATAGAGTAGTAGGGAGTTCGAGTTGGTCAAAGCCATGTATGTCATGATTTGAGACACCACAGAATAAGGAGTAGGACAGCGGTCTCGAACATGTCGAACAGGGGGGATCGTCTTGTACACGGCGAGTGAGATCATTCTCTTCACTCGTCGGTTTTGCTTGGTGGGAGAAACAACCCAGGCTTCTGGGTCGTGGATCGAGTCATTGTGTAGCTTTGGTATAGGGGTTGAGATGGTATATGGTAATCCAGCCGACTGGGCTACTGCTGTTTTCGTCGTTTGCAGACGCAGAACCCGATTAATTGCTTATCTGCCAGGTTATATGGAGCAATGGGGATACCTATGTATAGAGTAGACGTTGGGTGTGCCTGAGGACGACATGCCGTATCTGGTACCATGATCATGTGCTCCCTCCCTCCCTCCTTTCTCCTGTCTTCCTCTACAACTCCATCAGCTGAGGCAGCAGCAGCAGCATCATCGTCATCACCATCATACAGTGAGATGTTATCTCATGATTATATCCAGATCATGACTTGCTCTACCTCATTGTCTAACGACAGTAGCTTGCTCATCTTCGTCACTGACTCAACCAGAAAACCAAGAGACTAACAACTGAATCAGTTTGAATCCACTCAAGTGCAATTAAGGTGCTGTGTGGCGCCGTGGCATGCCCAAATGCCGACTGCTGAAATTGAGACAGAATGCAACCATGTCAGGATATCAGGGACACACACCTGCTATTTGAACGTCCCAGCAACAACTTGATAATCGTAAGTGTTATCATGCTTCAAACTGGATGCTGACCTCGCTCGATATCTCTAGAATTCATTTCCGTTTCGGTCGACATTTCCCAAAGCAGCTTCGATTCTGTCCAGGCCGTGCCCATTCTACGGAGAATGCCGACCTAATCAGTCCAGACGATGTGCAGGCCTGATATTTGATAAGAATGGCCTATATCAAATTTTATCGTGGTCGGAGCTGGCCGATATCTGTTGATCCTTCGGAGCAACTAACAGCACACTCAGCGAGAACAACTCACTTTGCGTTATTTCTACCAATAATATCAAGGCTCGCACATCTGTGGAGATCTCCATCAATATCGATTATGGTGGCTTATATCGAATCTCTGTCGAATGATGTGCTGTCGAGTGAGACATCTGTGTGATGCAACCATTTTATCACACCAATGACATACGTCAAACGGCCTTGTTTGATTAAGATGTATCACATCCTGCTGGGCTGCCCAGAAAAAGAAAGAAAAAAAAAGGCATATGATTAAACCTGGATTTCACATTGGCTAGCTGTCGTCCATTATGGGGTCGGGCTACATTAAACAAAAATGCGCAGATGCCGTGATTGACACTTGGACAGATCTTGCAAAGCTGCTAAAAAGGTGGCCACATAGCGTCAACGATTAATCAAATTGCGCTCCTTCTCCGCACGCCCTGCAGGGAAAAAGGCTTCGCTTCATGATTAACCATCAACAGCCGAGGTTCAACTAACTGACACTAATTGCTTGACCAGGGCTTGATATAGATCGACTGGTGGATCATTCATCTGACAGTTTTTCGTTCGCAACTTGGAACAAACTATGAAGCTTGATAAACGGCTGTCGATTTGATAGTCGCTTTGATCTGCGATACGGATTCTCCGTGATAACAAGCCTTGGTGATCCAGAGGATCAGACCCTCATTACCTGAATGTAAATTTTCTGCCTGCCAGGCGAGGACGCATGCACAATACGGCCTGCAAGACACTCTTCCCATGCTAGCGCTAAAGGCCTCAGGATAACACTAAAATCAGACCATGCAAGAATCGGCAATATTTCCGTCAGTAGCCGCGAAGACTCCCGCTGTTCCCGCTGTCACATTCATGCTGTTGATGGACCCTTGTCTGAATTAAGTACCAATTGCAGGTCGGAGTTTATAAGCAATTGCACATGTCAATCATGTCCGCCTTGCGTGCTTTCTGGCAGATTGGCATATTAGTATTGCAACTCAATTTCTTCGACACAGAAAGAGGAGAATAAAAAAGCAAAATAAACAAGCAAAAGCAAAAATGAACAGCAAAAAGGTAACGGCAGGATCGATATCGCCGTCCAGAGTAGCATCGTGGCTGGTCTTGACTTCGAGGATTAAAACTTTGTCTTGGGGTCCCGACCATCTGTTTGGCTTCGATCACGATAAGCAGCCACGCTTTCGACAAATCGCCTAGTCTCACCACCAGCAGCTCTCTGTCTATTCCCTCTTAATTTATCACCAGTGTGGTTCTAATTCAACCCCTCTTTCTCCTTCCTGCCTTGGTTGGCAGCAACCATCATTATGGCCACCCCCTCTCTTCCTGCCTCTCTTTCTCCTTTTCTAGAAGGTTAATGGATGCAAGATAGGTTGCATCGTCCGCTTTAGCTTTTACCCCGGGTCAGCCCAGCTCTCTATCTGGTGGAGTCTATTCCTCAACGGTCAGAACCTGGTGTGATTTAATCTCCTATGCATCGTGGCCTGGTTAAAAGGGCTACTTTTCCCGCATGCTGGATCAATGATTGAATATTTAGTTTTGTTTACCTGCTCTTAATCATCTTCTGTTCTATCTATGTTTTGCAGTCTCGGGGATAACAGGATCAGTACAATATGACTCGCGTTGATGATATGAAACATCGTGCCCTTTCTTGGGAAAGGGCAAATGCTACCATCCCGGAAGATGGGAAAATGCATACTGGCGGTGATGCAGCACGACCAAAAGGACGCATCCGACGATCGATGACAGCCTGCAATACCTGCCGTAAGCTCAAGACGCGCTGCGACTTGGATCCACGTAGCCATGCGTGTCGTCGATGCATCTCATTAAGGTTAGAACCTTTACTTGGCTTTAGGATTATGGCCGTGCGGTGTAAAGGTACACGCATTTTGGACTCGTCACTGACATATTTCAGAATTGATTGTCAACTCCCAGAGACCGGGGAAAAGTTTCATGACAATATTTCAATGTGGTCGGATGCGACGGCATCTATTCCCTCCATCGAGGAGCGACTCGCTTCGTTGGAAAGAAGCATCGGAGAGATGACTCGCACGATGCGACAAATGATGGACAGATCACCAAGTATGTCGAGCGCTTCTACATCGCAACTAGCCAGGAGTGTTGCGACGGATGAAACCGCTTCGTATGATGGGAGTCCACCATCGCCTCTTGTTCCCAAACCAGTTCATATGATCCAGGAACTCCATTCTGAGTTCTTTGGAGAAATGGATGGTTTCGGCGCTGGTGCCAACTTCTCGAGTGATATCGTGTCGAAAGGAATCATAGACTCGAAATTGTCGTTGAAATTGACGCAACTGTGAGACACCACCTTTCTCGGGGATATCTGGATCGTGCGCTGACTACATGTTGACCCGCAAAGATTCGTTGACCAATTCGGGTCTCGAATTTCCATCGACAATCTGTCTGATCTGCATGATATGGGTCGTACTGATCCATTTCTATTCAGCACGGCTTGTCTTTTGGCTTCTCGATATGTACCTGGGATGCCACAGCAAGCAATCCGTGCGATGTACCTTCAAGTGCGACATGCTGCATCGAATGCATTGTGGAATACTCCACCCCTGGCGTATGAATCGCTTCAAGCACTTACACTCCTCTGTTTGTGGTCGCCAACAATTCAGAAGGGGGCTCTGATGGATAGTTGGTTGCTGAGCGGAATCTCGATCAACCATGCCCTTATCTCCTTTGATTTTCTCGACTGCGTTCCTGCTGGACAGGTTAGCAATGACATGTTTAAGAAGCTGCGTTTATGGAACAGTCTTTGTTTGACTCAATTGCAGTATGTATCGCCGTTCGTTATTGATCCAGGTTACTGACAAGGCTAGCTTTGCAATTGGAAACGCTCGTCCTTTCAACATACAGCAGAGATATCTGGACCACTGCCCACGGATTCTTGAGCACCCGAGTGCTACCTCTGAGGATGGAAAGGTCGTGGCGGAGATTCAGCTATATCTCATCACTCTGAAGATACAGAAAACCAGCCAACGCATGCAATATGCAGATAGCGAGTATGAGGAAATCGAACGTTGGAAGATGGAGTGGGCGCACCTATTAAGTGAGAGCTTATATTCGTCGTTTCCAAGACAAGCATGCTAATAACAGCACAGCCAGCGAGTCATCACTCCAACTTAGCCTGTGGTTCTGCCAACTACTCCTCCATCGAACGATCATGAGGCTGCACCCAGAATGCGACAGACTCATACCCGAAATCATCCAGATATCACGACTCATCGTGTCCAAGTTCATGCAGATCCGCTTCTCCGTGGCACTCGGCTTCATCGACCAAACATACTTTATCGTCGGCTACGCAGCCCTGACCCTCTGCGACTTTAACGTCATGGACCCCCTAATCGACCAGATCCAAACCTTCCTACTCCATCTATCCCCAAACGAAGACCACATCGCATATCGGTTTTCGTGCATCATTGCAGAGCTCAGACGACGACATACAGAAGAAAATGACCCATTCCGGATAGTCAAGGGTACTTTGTTCAGTGATCCGTCTAAGATGAACGTGGACCAAGCGGAGTTTATGCCTTCTCTTATGAATACGGTGGTTGATGAGTATGAGGCTTTGGAACAGCTTATTCCTGGGCTTGTACCGTCTAATGGGTTTCCCGCGCCAATGTTTGATACTTCTATGCATGGTGCGATTCCGGGGGTGATGGTGCGGAATACCTTGTGAGTGTTTCACTTATGTTAGGATGAGCTGGGCTCGATCCTGTTTTTGTTGGGGTTTTGGTATGTGATGTGAAAAGCAGTTGGGTCTTCAAAAGTTGATAAACCTGTGGATATCTGGGGTTAGCTGGGTAATGATAAATTAAAAGCAAGATAGTATCTTGAATGAATTCATCGGTTGTCGTCCTATGTTAATGGTCTTGCCACTTGCTTCGACTTTTAATATATCTGAGCAAAGAGGATCTTGCAGTTCATTGATCATATGGTCATCAAAGATAAGAAGTGACACGAACCAGAAAGAACGAACACACCCACGACGCAGATAATCAGCGTCAAGGACACAAAAAATATACATGAAAGTAGTAGATGGTCATAAAAAAAAGTATAGTGTCATCATGATAAAGCATCAAATCACTGACCCAAAAACCCCCTAACAACCTGCATATACCTCTCCCTCTCATCGAAATGGGGCATATGCGAACTCTCAGCAAAACGCACCCACTTGACCTTGTCAAGGCCCCAGAAAAAGGGTTTAACGGCGCTGTCTTGCGCTTCGTCGTAGTGGCCATTGATCAGCAGGACGGACACGCTGATCTTGTGCAGGGTTTCAAGCACGGTCCAGTCTTTGAGGGACCCTTCGACCCAGAATTCGGAGGGGCCGAGTCTGTCATATATTAGTATGGATGAGATGGGATTGGGTAGAGTTGGGCTGGAATGGAAAGGGACAGGGGATACTAACGTGGTAGAAGTGACAGTTGTATCTCTCTTAGTAGCCCATTCGATACTCTGCACAAGTTCATCCGGAAGGGGGTTCACACGGCAGCCAAACTCTGCCATGAACTTGCCCGTCGCAGCCTCATACTCCTCAGACTCCAACCGCCCCTCATCCTCACATCGTTGCAGGGAATCCTGCACATCCTGCGGCAGGGTCTTCCTGAGCCGATTAACAGACTCCAGCCACAACTCCACCGACGCCGGCGAGTTGGAGATGATCAGTTTCCGCAGACCAGCGGGTCTTCGAATGGCGAATTCCGCGCCCAACATGCCACCCCAGGAGTGGCCGAGGATGTCGAACCGGGAACCCGACAGCCCGAGATGGGCGAGCAGATTTTCCAGCTCGGCGACGAAGAGATCGACGCTCCAGAAGGCCTTGTCGCCCTTTTTTTCGGGGTGGTGGGACGACAGCCCGTTTCCGATCTGATCGTAGAAGATGACTGGGATGGAGGGCGCTAGGTCGGATACGGGGAGCATGTAGTTGTGGCAGAATCCAGGGCCGCCGTGCAGGACGACTAGAGGGACTGCATCAGAGGATGAGGATTTGAGATCGCCATCGATTCGATACCAGGTTTTGGCGTTTTCGAGGCCGGGATAGATAAAGTCGATTGTTCCTTGGGTGGACATGATGGGAAAAAAAGACGTTGAATACGAGATGTTTGATGAAGAAAGTCAAATCTCAGACACTGGAAGTCTGACAGAGAGTGAATATGATAACAAGAAAAGAAATAATGCTCAGCGGCAGACGATGTAACACCAAATGGCGCGAATTAGGGGGAGGGGAAGATCAAGAGAGGCTGTCGAGTGGACCAGACATGGATACGAATCCTCGCCCCAGTGCAGTGGGTTCTGTTGGCTGCTATGAGGCCTTAATCTTTACATAAACCGTCAGACAGAGTGTCAATCACTTGCACCAAAAAAAAAAAAAAATATTACTATGGGGTTGAAGAATCCTTCGGAATAACCTCATTCATTCATTCCTTCATTCGTTTATTTTTATTCTTCGTTAATCGTATTCTACACCAACCACATTCTTTTAACCATGTCTTCGCGATATTTTCTTTCATAAAAGCATGGGATAATGAGCCATGCCGACCGTAACAGCTGAGAACTTGTCCCCAGTTGTCGCCATCGTCGCCTGGTTTCTGCTGGTCGTCTCGTGCATTGGTGTGTTTGGCCGTCTGGGATTCAAGTATCTCCTCGCCAGGAAATTCGACGTCGACGACTATCTCATCTGCGCTGCTTTGGTGGGTTTCTCGACAGTTCGATAAGGATAAGGCTGATGGTGGTAGATTCTGAGTGCGCTCCAGACAGGATGCATCGCTATTGCGACAGATAACGGCTATGGGAAGCCGTTGGCTTCGTTGGATGATGATCACATTGGTCCGATGCTGAAGGTGAGTCGTCTTTTGCCTGGGACGGCTGTGAAAGACCTGGATAGCTCATTCTACGGTCGACTAGGCTGGATATGCCTCCGAAATACTATACATTGCGTGTCTTTGCTGCTCCAAGCTGAGCTCAGTCGCCTTTGGGGCCTTTCTGATGCAACGAACTCGCAGTGTCGAGTGGGTGTTGACGCTGTCCATCGTCGTCTGGGGTATTATTGGGATATTCGCAGTTGCTTTTCAGTGCAAACTTCCAGAACCCTGGAATGATTTGGTCCCATCCAGGTGTTTCAATCGGGTAAGAAGATATGGACAAGAGATTTAGAAGACAGAGCTGACGAGGGCAGATTGCTTGGTGGAACTACTTTGAGGTGACCAACCTTCTCATCGAGGTGGTTCTCATTGTCTTTCCGATCTTGATGATTCTTGATATCCAAATGTCGACGACGAAAAAGATCACCGTCATCGTGTGCTTTCTGACGCGTATACTGTGAGTTAGACAGCCAGCCAAGGTTGACCTATCTAACTAATTTCTGCTAGTGTCATTGGCGCCATCATCTGTGAACTCTACTACCATAACCGTCTCCTCACCTCCAAAGATCTAACCCTTGATTCCTGGCCGGTTGCCGTTTGCATGGAAATCGTCCAATGTTTCGGCATCCTCATAGCCTCCGTCCCACACCTGAAGCCATTCCTATCCAGCCTCCAGTCGACCGGATTGCGATTATACCAGATACCCGGAGAGGAAAACGTCCGGGCCGGCTACGTCTACGGAAAATGGAAAATGAGCCCAAGTCGCCAGACGGATACGAGCACCTCGGGCCACGAACTGAGTGGGTTGCATCGAGGCATTAATCGGACGGTGGTGACTGCAATGACCAGCCCGCGGGCCCCAGATTGGGAGACGCAGAGCCAGACCAGCCAGAGCCACATCATCCGGGAGACTAAAACTTGGGTTGTGGAGGAACAGGTCGAGGGTGGTGGGCCATCTGAGATCCGTATCCCTGACCCTGAGAGCGAGAGATGCTCGCATAGCAGTAGTTTGATACGGCATTCAGAATCGCATCCCTGACTACCTGCATTCCTGCAATAGTCATGCTGAGGATGTCATCATCTATCGCTAAACTAGCTAGCATAATTTCTTTTGTTGAAACCCTTTTTGTCTGCATGCATTGTCAGAATTTGTCAAAAATTGCATTTTGGCCCCTATGTACTACACTCTCAATATTGGCATGTCGATCTCTGTCATGCAGATCCTAGTTGATTGCTTAGTCGATGCTAAGACGAAGCTAAAGTGATGCTAAGAAGGAGTCAGTAAGAAACAAGAAGACGCCGTCGCTTCGGTTTCGCCGAAAAGCATCCGTTCGCCAATGAAGGATTCGTGCCCATCCGATGACAGGGAAGACAAGTCTGAGGCCAAGAACTGGTGGTTTGATCGAGGGTTCCACTATCACGAAAAAGAAAAGAAGACATTAGACAATCGACAAAAGGATTGTTGGTGTTGGTGTTGTTCTTGTTTAAACAATCCTCGGAATTCGGCCGCCATTTCCGTCCAGCTCCATCGTGTGTCGTCGGCGGCCCGTCCCAGCCGTCTTCTGTCTCACTCCTCGTCCTTCTCGTCTTTCCTCTCCACATCGACATACAGACGGATTTCTTTCCCTGCAGCGGCAGTACTTTTTCACAGGCCGCGTACTAATATGGACCAATGGTTCATCCGCCAGGAAGTACTATCGTTGTTTGAGGTTTAATCCCTCCATCCTTGGTGGGATTGCCTCGAGGATGCCGGCAACATAGGGCCAGAGGGACCAGCCCCAGGCTGTGAGTTATTTTGCCCCTAGTCTTTCGTCAAGTCTTTTCTTTTCTTTTCTTTCTTTTTTTGGGAATTTGGGTTTTTTCTGCTTGCTTTTTCTTTTTCTTTTTCTTGCTCGTGCTTATCGATCTGTCTAAAAAGGAATCTTGGTCCCGTTTCTGGTTCCCCAGAATTCATCATCTCCTGCAGAGTCAGACTGTAGTCAGCCAGCCACATCTGCAAAAGGCCCCCTCCCCCACTACTGACAGTCAAGACCCTCGTGGGGAAGAGACTCAAGATGTCTAAGTCGGTCGAGATGGCAGAGATGCCATGGGGGCTTAGGGGTGAGGATGGTTCGGGTAATCAAGATGACTATGCTTTGGCGCGTGTGGGAAAGAAACCTATTCTCAAGGTAAGATATAGCTATCTTTTGATAATGACGAGAATTGCGACTGATGGTTATAGCGACAATTTGGTTTCATGTCCATTTTGGGGTTCAGTTGTACCATTTTGGCAACATGGGAGGGTATCCTTTCGTGAGTTTATATCCTTGTTTTCTCAAATTACTCAAGGCTAACAATGGCAGGACATTTACAATGCCATTTGAAAAGTAGGTCGACTTTCGTGATCAATTGCGCTTCATCCTCGATGCTCATACAACCTCAGTGGAGGTCCTGCCGGCACGATTTACAGTTTCATTATAGTCTGGGCCGGCATATGTGCGACATTCATCACCATGTCCGAGCTCGTTTCGATGTATATTCCCCGGCAGTCCGATTGAATACAATTTGATATTGAACAATGCGCAGGGCACCGACTTCTGGTGGACAGTACCACTGGGTTTCCATGTTATCCCCGCCATCCTGTCAAAAGTATATGAGTTTTGTGACTGGTTGGTTTTTCTGATACACATACTATACTATGAACAGCAGCTCATTCATCACAGGCTGGCTTATTGTCATCGGCTGGTTGGGCGCCTTTGCCTCGTCCGCATACCTGAGTTCTTCGCAGATCCAGGGCTTGATCGTCCTCGATCACAGTTCCTACGTCGCCCAGCCCTGGCATACCCTCCTCCTCTACTGGGCCGTCACAGCTTTTACCGTGTTCGTGAACGTGTTCGCCAGCAGTCTCTTGCCGAAATTTGAAGGCCTTGTTCTTGTGATTCATATCATTGGATTCTTCGCCATCTTGATCCCGCTCGTCTACCTCGGTGAACGCAACTCGGCCAAAGAAGTCTTCACCACATTCTCCAATGGTGGTGGCTGGCAGACAGAGGGCTTGTCATTCTTAATCGGAATGACCGGGAACATGTTCGCATTTACCGGCGCCGACGCAGCTGTACACGTACGCTCTCCCATCTGAAATAAAACGAAAATCGCATCAACTAACATCACCCCATCTAGATGAGCGAAGAAATTCAAAACTCAGCCGTAGTAGTGCCCATCTGCATCATGACTACAGTTGTCCTCAACGGCCTGCTCGGTCTCGGAATGATCATGGCCGCCCTCTTCACCATGACAGACGTCGAAGCCGCTCTCAACTCTTCCACCGGGTACCCCTTTATGGAGATATTCCTGAGCGCCACCAAATCCGTCCCCGGAAGTACGGTCATGTCCGCCCTTATCCCGATTCTGGTCGTTGCAACCGCCGTCGGGTGTCTGGCTTCGTCTTCTCGGATGGTTTGGTCTTTTGCTCGTGACCGTGGTATGCCTGGATCATCGTGGTTGAGCAAGGTAAGAAAACTCCGTGCATGTCCATCCAGGGCCAAGCTGACTGACAATAAAATAGGTGAGCTCTCAAGCGGTTCCTCAGTATGCCATCTCCGTCGTAACGGGGGTTGGCGCTCTCCTCGGCCTGATCATTCTCGGTTCATCCGCTGTCCTCAACGACGTGGTCTCTCTCACTGTCAGCGCCCTTTATGGCTCATATTTACTCTGCGCGGCACTATTCCTCTACAATCGCCTGATGGGTAACATCAGCTCGCCAGCCGATCCCTCTTCAGACTCCGATGTGGTTGTCAACACTCCCGGTGCACCTCTCGTCTGGGGCCCCTTCCGCCTACCCCCAGTCCTGGGTGTCATCTGTAACGTCTGCGCAGTTGTCTATTTAACCGTGGGAATCTTCTTCAGTTTCTGGCCTAGCGACCGACAGACTACCAGCGAGGCCATGAACTATGCCGTCGTGGGCACGGCTGGTACACTTATTCTTAGCACTATCTACTATTTCCTGTATGCCAAACGAGTGTATACAGGACCAGTCGTGGAAATCGACCGAACTTGAGAATAATTAATATGTACTGGTATGGGAACGAATGAAAATTGTATTTCTTTAATAGCAAGAATTGGCCACAGCTAGACTAATAGGACGACTGATTGATGAACAAGCCACACATAAGAATATTTCTTTACCCAGGCCGAAAAACAAAAAAAAAAAAAAAAATTGAAGCAAGACAAACCAGGAGCAAAAGCAGAGGAGAAACCGAGAGCCACAAGTATTTCAAAGCCAGAATCGCTATCCCCGTTTCAGAGGGCCACCAAAGAAGTCCGTCCACCAGCCATTCTAATCCGTACACACTATTCACACTTCAGTACAAGAGGTAGTAAACGAAAGCTCCTAACCTTCCTTTTCTCCTTCGTAGCAGAATGTTTCAAGGGACAGAAAATAACTGTGGCCAGGGGCCGACTCTGGTGATCCGATGTGAATTCCGAGTGGAACGAAGGTGCCCGACTCGAAAGCAAACACCAAACTTCCAGAATCACCAGCTGTAGCAAATCTAACGTCTGACCACTTGACCACCCCAAACCATCCGTAAGGCTCTGAATTATCTTGGTCATACGGCCCTTCGCTATCAGATCCATCGGAGTTTCCAGTTAAGGTGGGATGACGAAGCGACTGAAATCCGATTGATTCAGTCTGAGATTGGTACCATCCCCGAGGTGGTTCACGCGTAACACCCACCAGGTGGCCCATGGTTAAGTCACTTTGGCTGCCCTTTTTAAAGACAACAATGGCACTAAGGTGAATCTTCATTGCAAGAGGTGTCCATCTTTGCTGTGCCACAGGATCAAGAATATGAGATACGGGGACAACCGTGGTTTGGAAATAGTGTAGGTTGATGTTAAAATAGCAATGTTGGAATCTTAGTAGGTCATCAGGTTTGATGATCAGAAAAGCTGTGTCATCCGTGAACGCAGGGCTCTTTCCATCGTAGCCTACTCGCTTGCCGTTCATCCGTTTCGAGGTTGGAGAAACCTCCAGATTGATTTGAACGTCTCCATCAGAGTCAGCCAAATTCCTAGTCATAACAGAGTCTACGCCGTCTGGTATCACATGGCCTGCTGTCAGAGCGACATGAATCAACCCAGGCTTTCCAGGACGAGATGACGACATGATTGGGCCTAAAGTACCAATCTCCTTTCCGTTGTCAGGGTTGAGAAGGTCCACGTCACACAGAGGGGCACCAGTTTCGATGATTGGGTTCTTGCAGCTCTCTGGATGGTAACGCAGGGAATAACCCTTCACAGGAACTAGGTATGGAAGCCGTAGCCCTTCCGGAAGTGGGGGAGGATCTTGTCCTTCTTCTGGCGATATTCTCATATATCCGCGTCCGTTATGGCCGTAGTTCGAGAAAACTCGATAGCTAGAGTGAACGGTTATTATAGGTCTTTGAGAGATATAACATAGGTTATTCACAAACCCTATTTTGCACAGTGCGAACTCTAAGCCATTCCAAACCTTTTCGGTCAGCAGAGATGCTCTTACGGCTGCCGAGGGCCAGTCTATATGTTGGAGACCATAGATCTTCTCCAATCCATCAACAATCTCTGGCGTTACAGGTAGTCCAGGATCGTAAATCTGAAGCGCCTTGATAAGGCAAGACCTTGGAGACCCGCACAAGACCTGAAGCCGCAACTCCCCATGTGCCATTCTCAAAGTTCTCCTCCGGATACGTTCTTCCCACGGGATATCACATGGAATGGCTGATGTTGGTTTCAAGGCGGGTGAGCTGGCAGCAGATTCGGTAGGAGTCATGGCATGGTCCGAAGTGCTTGACCATGATGACGGCGTGGGGGGTGTTACTAACATGGTCTTAGGAAGCTTGATGGGATTTTTTTTTTTTTTTTCAAACTAAGACGGTGACTGACTGGAGCAAAGTAAAATATGGTAAAGCTGAAAGTTGATAATCGAATACGAACAAGAAGTCTGTATGTCAAAGAGAATAGAAAGAGTGGTTGTAAGAGTAAAGACTTCGAAGCCCCGTCAGATTTTTCGGTTGTCTACTGAGTCACAAGGTCAGAAAAAATTAGGCAAGGACTGTAAATGAGGAAGGAGTGATGTAACTCATCACTTACAAGGGAAAGAACCCGGGAGGAAGGTAGACCACGACATACAGGGCCCTGTGCTTTTAACGGGAAAAGAGCGATCCATCATCAGAGCCGAAGAGATTTGATGGAAAGCGCAAGAAGGTAGCACCAAGAACAGACGCAGGAACAGGTGCTGCCGTAGTAATTGGTACCTAGGTAAGATGTTAAGGGTTTCAGATGCCTATCAAAGTTCCTGTCCAATTCATTATTTATTTCATCTTTCACGAACAAAAACATAACTATCAGACAAAGCACAGTACGCACCCCATAAGAATTCGTTGTATTTTGTAGAAAAAAAAAAAAAAAAAAAAAAAAGGCGACTTAGTCCAGCGTATTGTCCTCTGTCCTCGAAAGGAGCCGCGACTTAATCCAGCGGCCAGAGGGTAGTGAAGAAAAAAATATTAAAGCATCGTAAACCAGTTTCAGGTGATGTTGGACAGAAGAAGCCTTCTGGCCTCTTCTTCTGGCTTGATGCTGCGACGTTGGTCTGCTGCGGTGTTGGTCGTTGGTCCCCTCCAGGACTGCCTGATTGCTCGATCCAGGTCAGTGGTGGTTGTCAGAGGGGACTTTGGGTAACCGGAGGGAGATGGAACAATTAAGGATGAAGAGGACGAGGATGGATGGGTGGATTGAGATGTGATAATGAGAAGAGGAAGGGAGGAAGAGTGGAAGAAAAGAGACTCGCGACGAGATGTAGTGCGCTAAGCGAGACGCTGGCAGGTCCAGTCAATAAGAATCCGATCACGCAGGGATTCACTCGAATATTGATATTCACTTTTACCAGTCCATCAAGTGTCATGTCATTCACGGTCAAATCCCCCAATCCCCAGCTGGTGGGAGAAAGGGAGTGTGAACCAGTCCAGGTCCAGGACAAATTAATGTTACTAGGTACTCACGATCAAGTCAAGTAATCAATCCAATTCAAGGTATTGCTACCATTCTCTATGCATATAATCCAATAAACGACAAGAAGCCGACTTGAACAAACCACAAATACAAAAATCCTAATCCCACCTGGCTCAACCAGGAAAAGTAAGAATGAACAGAATGAAAAAGACAAAAAAACCGCCCCGCTAAATAACAGTCAAAAGATTTCACGTGGTGAAGCTGAACAGCCCCTTGTCAGGCAATTCTTGTCGTTCGTTCACCAAAATGCAAGAAAAGATGAAAAATGATATGTGGACATGTACACGATCCCCACAGGCGATACTTCATGTCGCCCTGCGAAGAAGATTCAAACAGGAATGAAGGAAACCAAGCCAGTCAGCGAAGGAAGACTTCGGCTTGGCAAGACGGTAATGCACGATGCACAGCAACCAGAGCATTAAATGACTTTTTAACGAGTTTACCAAGTTTCCTGGATTTGGGTTAGCAACAGTATTAAAGAAGATTGGAAAAAGTAACTTACGGCAATATATTGGCCAGCCTCCTTCTTGTTCTGCCAGAACTGAGAGGCTTCCTCTTCGTTCAGGTTACCCTTGGCCATGGCCACATCGACCAGAGCAGCCTCGACACCTTCTCCCATGCCCTTTCCACTACCGCAGACAAAGACACGTCCATCGAGGGAGTTGATGACGAACCAGACCAGGTCGGCCTGCTGGCGGACCTCCTCCTGGACGTACTTGCTCTCACCCTTGCGAGACTGCACGACGGTTCGCACCTTGTCTTCGTGGACACCCCACTCGCCGCTGTAGAGCTCGTCGAGAAGGGAGTCGCGAACACCCTGCAGAACCCAGACCTTGTTGGCGCAGTTGGCCGACTGGAGACGTCGCTGCACGAATCCACGGAAAGGAGCAATACCAACACCAGCGCCGACCAGCAACATCGGTCCATCAGATGCAAATCGGGTAGCCAAGGGGTTGGCCATCAATCCTCGGAACATGGGGACATGGAGGTTGAGAGTGCTTGGGTCAATGCCCTGCTTCTCTGCGTCCACGACCTTGCGAGCGAGGCGTTCTAGGTAGCCGGAGCCGACACCGGTTCTCCAGCCTTGCTTCCAGTCCTTGCTCTCGGCAACAGACACGGCCACTTCAACTAGGCGGCGGCGGTCAGAGCCCTTTCCTGATCCAGAGATGAGTGGGTCTTGAGACAAGGAGTAGAAACGAGGCATCAGAGTGTTGAGGGTGGAGAGAAGGTGGTCTAGAGGAGGCTGGGCGGAGGGGAAAGCGTTCAAGAGCTGGATGACAGAGATGTGGGAGTCGGTACGAAGATCACAGAAGGCGCCTTGGCCTTGGGCGGATGACAAGAACATGAGGATTTGCTTCTCATTGGCGTCACTAGCATACTCGCCCAGCAACCGGAAGAGTTGCTTGTTGGGGGCGTAACTCTGGATATCCGAGCACCAGCTAAGGAGCTCTCTGCGGGTAGTAATCAGCTCTCGGGGCTTGTCGTCACCCCAAATGGTAGGCCAGCGGCCCTTAGTGGTACAGGCAGTGATCTTCTTGTCGCGAATAGACTTGGGGACACCTAGCAGGTTGAAAATAGTGTCGACATCTTCCTCCTTGTTCTTGGGGCACACTCCGATGGCACCACCGACCACGAAGTCGACGTCTCCGCTCTCGGCGGGATAGTCAGTTACGTCAATGTCAAAGTGGTAAGTCCGCTTTTCGGCACCAGGCTTGGTCAATTCTCGGGCATGGTACAAGGGAGCCTGGTAGACATCATAGGGGGGATGGGGCTGCACAAAAGACGGAGGGTGGTCGGCAGGGCCCAGCTTCATGTCCACCGCGGATGCGGGGATGGTCGAAAACGAGAGGGTCTTCTCGGGGAGTTCCACAATGCTCGACAATTCGCTGTCCAAGCCGAGATATTCAATGTTCAACTTGAGACTTCTAAATGCCTCATTGTCTGGAGGGGTCACTGTATTGATGCCCGAAACGGGTCCGGAGATACCCCTCAGAGGCTGACTACGGCAACAGCCACCCCCACAGCAGAGGGGTTGCACTTTTTGTGTGCCAGAAGTACCCACATTCTCCAAGATCCTTCTCATGTCCTCCGAGTTCTGAGAGATGAGAATGGTCGAGGCACGTCGTTGACGGCCACCAGCCGATTGGCCGGGAGACTTTTGGTGTGCAAACTCGTCAACCTCGGCATGGCCTTCGGCGGGGGGTGTCAATGGCCTATCGGTAGTCTCTGCTTCCTGAGCCGAGACATTGAAGGTGGTATCTGTGACGGACAAGGATCGAACTCCACGGGGTTCCTCTGGAATAGGATTGTCGGGGTGAGAAGTCGACGAGACCGGAATAGCCTGGTGATCTCTATTCATGGGTCGAGCGAATGTCGACGCCATAGCGGTCGATGGTGGCGACGGGGGAAGAACGGCGTGCACTATAGTGATTGAATCAGCCCAGCTGTACAATGGAATTGAAGACCGAGGAAATTTTCTCGACCAGACATACCCATTGTGTCAATTGTAAGAAGATATAAAGGGGGGAAGGAGAGATAACCCGCTGGATAGCAGGTAAAGGGTCGGGACAAAAAGGTCGAGATAGTAAAACTCGAGTTGATAGAAGGATGGGGGAGAGGAAAAAGATAAACGGAAAGGGACGAAGGGAAGAAGAAAAAGAAACAGCAACAGGAGCCGTCTAAAGCCGAAGAGTGGAGGAGGCAATGGGGGAACTTGGCATCTAATAATTAATATGGACCGGCAGGAGAAGAAAAAGCGATGGTGGGATGAGGAGGAAATGCTGGGCCCGAGGAGATTGAAAAGGCAAAACCGGCACCGGGACGATGGTTCCGCTGCGCTAGGTAATGATGCGTAAACTATGGGATGGGAAGGCGATGATATGGGTATGAGAAGATAGATCGAATGCAGCTGTCTTCTGGGGATATTAAATAGATAATAATGAACAAAAAGAAAGACAGGAAAGCAGCCCCCTTTCTGGCTGATGCAGCGGATGGTCGCCACCTGAAGCCGTGAGGGTTTCCGGGTGGAATCTCAACGTCATTACCGAATACCGTACGGTAATTTTCCGCATCCATCTGATTCTTTTTTTCCTTATTCTTCTGGGTTTTTATTATAATTGTTCTTAATACTACTATTATGAATAATAATAAAGGTAGGATCAGATATGGAATTACTCGTATCTGATCGTTGCGGTGAGACAGAAACCAGGGAACAAGGATCGGCATATTGCATCGTCTGATGCACCTTAGCGGAACCCTTTTCTGGCGTGGGTTTTTCTGACAATTGCAAGAGAATGAATGGACACTTGAGCTCGTAATCGAGATCAGAAGCCAGTTTATTAATGTGTAGGATATGATTACATCTACAGAGTGTCTACAGGTGTGTTTATGTTCTACAATACAATACCGATGATTACCGAACAATTACCATTCCCACCAATCTAATCAGATCCGGATGCAACTTCTGCCCTCCCTTTGCCGTCGCAGTCAACCATCAGCTGATTTTATCGACAGGGAAGGAAGAGCTATTATAACATCATTTTTATACTCGATACGGAAATCTACATATCCCTCATCATCAGTATTCTTTCTCATCGGAAGCTGTTCTCCGGGACTGTCACTGTCAAACAGGACACGGCATCGACACGTGATAGACACGGGATGTTGGACTACCGGATCAGATAACAATAATGCGACACCAGTCGATCTCCAGACTGTCAGGAATGGGAAGGAAACCCTTGCATTGGTCGACGATCCTGGCATTCTCCTTTCTTTACCCGTAATAGTAGCGCTATCCCGCGCCTTGGCTGGCGTTTTGGCTCAGTCCCAGGATGATTCATTTGTGCCCTTTTGCGTTCGATTTCGTTTTCGTCCCGAAGTGGGGCACGCCGATGTCGGCCGATCATATCAATCAATCAGATAATACTCTATAAATTATCAGTAAGATATGGAGATATGAATATGGGAAATGTTATGTAAAAGTAGAGAATATAAATATGGCAATACTCGTACTGTGTGAATAAATATGTATACTGTATGTACTCTGTGGATGGTGTATATGAGATCTCCGCCATCCCAACAAGTCGGTCACCTCCACTCAATATCGTCTTCGAAGCCTTCTGGAATCGATTAGTCCATCCAACAACCCGTGTCTCAGCCTCTCAGGGGGTTGCGTTTTTTGCTTTTTACGCTGGATTGTGGATCATTCTGAGGAGGCTGAGAGTAGTAGGACGGAGTAAAGTACATCTGTCAGAATGAACTATCATCATCATATGAACTCTGTGCTACTCCCGTACTGACACGATCAGGTTATTCACAGTGACACATGCTCTATTACCTCACTTCCAGCCCATCCTGGATACCATCCCGCGTACCATCCCTTGGGTCTCTCTGTACAGCCCAAATGGCTCGTTTCCAATTCCGGCTGACCCAGTTCTGCTCCCGCAAATTGGAATCCTTCCGAGGGACTCGCCGATTATCTGATCCTGCTAGGCCGATGGCTGGGATTTAGCTTCATCCCCGACTCCATCGGGGACGGTTAGTCGCAGCGCTACACCGGCCTGCTAGGAGTCACTAACTATTCTTATCCAGACCTCACTAGCCGCCGCCAGCATCCCCTATCCCAATACCTTGTTCCGTACCGTACAAGACATTCATCTCTTGGACGCAGTGTACATGGTAGCTGATGCTATCCATCACACTGTATGATTGAATATGAATATAACCCCATAAGGATCACCATCATCACCATATAGTACTATTCCATCTAATCTCCTGATCTAAACGCGAGTACGTAAAGCTGCTGAGGCTAACCTGCCTCCCTTTAATTTAGCACACCTCGCTTACTAGTGCCTCAACGCTGCAACTCGACTTGTCATCTTTCTTCGTCTCTCCCTTGTCGCAGCCAGCCGAGGGAAGAAAAATTCTGCTCCTCTCCTAGCATCCGATTCTGAATCGATTATTGAGTCCCCTAGTTGCAGAATAAGGCAACTGATAGACATGTTTGACCCTTTCACGGCCTCATTGGTGAAATCGATCTCTTCGCACGCTCTTTTTTCTTTTTTCTTTTCCCCAAGTCGGACCGAGTCAGGCCAGCCATTTCGTCATGCTGTCGGGCTAACTGCAGCAGCCGTGGCCAGACAGGCCAGTTTGCCAATGCTGGCTTTTTCTCTCATTCTGCCCCTATTCTCGTCTCCACGTGAAGATCGTGTCTAACTTGTTCCTTGTCCTCCCCAGCCTCCTGATTGTCTAGACGAACCGTCGCGTTTTCCTCTTCCTCTTCTAGCATGGCGACTTGCGAAATACACCTCGTCGATTGCGAGATACATCCAGACTATGGTGGGAGATTCGATGAGTTGGCTTGCTCTTTGCAGGCTCTCCTCCCCATCTTTTCGATGAGACACTTCGAGTGTTGCGTTCGTCTCGGATATAGCCCAGGTCGGGACATGTCGACAGGCTTACCATAGCCGCTCCCATGTGTTCTTAATCCTTATAACCTCCCTTCCAGTCTCTTCGCTACCAGAAATGATCAAAACAGCCCATTGAAAGACCCTACATCAGTGGAATCTGCTCATCGATCTTCTGCCAGACAGCTGTGGTCACTCACCCACATAATATCTCGAATCGACTACAATATCCCAAACTCTCATGGCTGTCTGTTTTCCCGGGGAGACAAACTAACAGAACATCACTATACTGTCACCATCATGGCACAGTTGTCTCAATTGTCAAGCATCTCCTGCGTCGTAAAGAAAGACACTTATCCTGTTCTCATTTAGGGCATAGAATATAGCGCCAAAATGGCTGTTCTGCCCTTCATCCCGACAGGAGACTACCACTCGCTTGTATTAACTAAATACTATGTTCAAGTATTGACATTACTGTTTTATTCTACTTGGTTTTCCTTGAGGACTTGGTACTCTCCTTTCTTTTGATTTCTATATAACAGTGAGTGGAATATATATTGCACAAGAATGTGAATACTCTGTTCCCTACCATGCGGTATTTAGTTCTGCGGACAACCCCTAGGTACTCTACCTAGAGCGTGATGGTAGTTCGATGCAAGGACAGTGGAGAATGGCGCTAAAGAAAACGTGCTGTTATAAATTGTTTTATATTTTTTATCACTTGGACAAGTGTCAAGTGGATTATATATCGATATTGCTCAGTTTGATGCTATACAATGTCTTCGATGCAAATGCCTTTCAGTAATATAAAACCCAACTATATAACGCCCTTCGCCGTAGTGAAAACCTTCGCTAAATTTAATAGCAAACTCGATTCAAGGAAATCATGCATCTGGACGCTTAAATGGATGGGCTTCGGTGTTCCTGCATCGCTCGTGTTAGTAACAGGCTACACTATGATAAGACTGAAGACACTTACAGTACATACTCGTCCAAACTGACAACGTCGGGTTCGGAGAATATGAGGTAGAAATACTTGAGGGTCTCGGCGAACCAGTAACTCTCCATGATGTCCGACTGGGCAGTGTTTGGATCTCTCACATCAGCAATTACCGCATGAGCGTATTCCGTTCGGGTGATCTTCTCGATGTTTTGGAACATCCGCCATGCGTCGTCTTGGAGGGACTTATCACCCGTCATTCGGTACATGATGAAGACAGATTCAATGGCTTCCGGTCTAATCAGATTGTTAGCACTACGATTGAATAGAAAGTGTTCAGCTGACATACCTCAACTTATAATTAGCGTCAGAAATGGCAGTCAAGCCAGGTTGAAGTCCATGCTTTTTGATGAGTGCCTTGGCATCTCTGGTGAGATCCTCAGCCGTGCCGTGGCCCAGCTGGAAATACAAGTCACGGTGCCACTTCTCTTCATCCCAGTTGCAAACATCCTTTTTTTCACACGGACTAGCTGAAAAGATCTCGGGCATGATGCCAGTGGGCATAATGTCATATGCCCAGACGCAGCCATCTACTAATTTTCGTGCAGTGGATAGTTCCTCGGGTCGATTGAATACCTTGGCTCCAACGCCCACCATGCCTCCAATGAAGCACTTGAGATGCTCCCCCTGGGGCTCCGGTGCTGACTTGCCAGATGTAAAACCTGAGCGGGCATTTCCAGCAATTAAAATATCGCGGTTATCCTTGGTCATGGGGCGGAAAAGCAAGCGCTCCTTAATCGGCTCGATGGCGGCAGCGTACATCCTCCGGTATTGGTCCGTCTGCGCTCCCAAGATAATGTGTTGCTTGGGGAGGTACTCGTACATGGAATCGGCCATGCCACCAACTGTGAATCGAGGGTCTGTAAATTCCATGTTTTCAGCGTCCACCATCATTGGCCACAGGCCAGGAATTTTTGTCTTCTTTTGAGCCTCCTCCATTTGGTTCATGACTCTTTGAGCGGCATCAAAGTACTTGTTATCCTTGGTCAGTTGAGACAGCCGGGTGAACTCCAGATTCAAAGAACCCAGCTCAGCTAGGATAGTATTATGACTTGGCTGAATGGGAAATCCTTCGGCGGATCTAAGCAAGAACTGGTTAACTTTGTCCTGTAATAGATCGCATAACACCCATTCTCCATTATCGATGCCGGGAAAATCTCACCTGGTCCATTGCCAACGAGCCTGGGGCATTCTGTTGCGAGTATCGAATGCGCCGTAGAGGAAGTCGGCAACCTCGACTGCCTTCTTCAAAAGAATCGGATATTTTCCCTCGGTCAAGTCATACGAAGCCAAGAATCCTCCCAGATACCGAATGATCGTCTCGAATACATTGATCTGCAAGGCATGTGTTGTGCTAAAATCGATGCGATCGAGTGCCTTGAGAGCCTTTTCGAACTCATCGGTCATGCCCATAATGTAGAGAGAATCGAGGGAGTCAACCAAGGTAGCTGCCCAGCCAGCAAAAGACTCTCTAGTGCCTCCACTGATAGGTGATAGCTCATCTTGCAGCCAGGCATGTTTCGTATAACTTTTCCAGCCATGCTTGAATGCATCTTTGACCGCACTTTGTCTCTTCACCCTTTCTCGCCGGTCAAACCACGATTCTTTAGGGAAGTTATACTGGATACGTGGAATCGGGGATGGAGCACCCGTTGGGAGAGGTATATACTCAGGTACTGGATGTCTCTCCGGTTGTTTGGTCCAGTGGATTCGAGGGGGATCGTGCTGGGGTGGTGGGGGGATGTAGTCATCGTCATCGTCATACGGCGTGTCTGGTAGACTCGTGAAAAGGAAATAGATGACGAAAATAAGGACCGTGGTCGGAACAAAATAACCTCTTCTCCGGGTCAAGATCATATTGTGCGTAGCGCTGGACAATTGAAATGTTTAAACAGATAGTGAAACCATTCAAGTGGGATGAGCTAGCTAGCTCTTGAGAGAGCAAAAGAAAAGGAAAGGCCAGAAATCAAAAAGAAAGCATCAAGAAACGTGAAGGTAGCGTTTCCGAAGGATAAAACCATCGGAATTGAGCACAGCGCAAGACTGAAAAATAAAATCGATCAGATCTGACCGAGGTGAAGGATGCGACAAAGAGATGGGGTGGATTAATTGAAGATGATGGAAGAAAACCAGCCTTCCCTAAGGGGCAAGACGACGTCGCACACGCCTCGACCATTGTTGGTTGACGGAGGGGGTGTCTTGCCCCAGTGATCGCCATGTGTCTCGATTTATTTCACCTTGATTGGTGGACAGGCTTAAAGATCGCTTTTCAATATCCATGATATACGCAACCTCCGTCATCCATCGAGTATCCTGGGTAATGATTGGCATGCTAAAGAAAGGGGCTGTACCCCATATGCTGACTCTGTGGTCGGAAAAATTATAAAGCCAGCCATTCTGGACGCTGAAGCTCAGCAACTGGGATTTCTATTGACCACTGGGCGAGACCCTTGAAGAAAGGTGGTTAATATGACATTGCGTAATATAAGGTGTGGTCCCTGGGTGTGAGATTGGGGTAAATTAGCTGGTGTTGGACCCTTTTTTTCGTTCTATTCTTAACCCGCGAGTGTTTTGACACCCCCAAATTCAAGCCTTGGGGCTTGTTACCGTGCGCCCGCGTCTTGGCGCTGACGGATATTATATTTGGAGTCTGGACGCAGGGCTGCGATGGCTTTTTGGGGTTGAATATTCAGCCATTCAGAAGAGCTGTCTCATCTGCACTGATGCATGGAATGACGACTGATTCTTATGGGAATGAAAGACTGCGAACTGAGATGGAATGGGGGAACGAGGAGTCCCTGAGTCTTCAGCTGGCTGGATGATCCAGTAGTGCAGTTTGTCTGGTTTGCATGCTTCTGCCTCGACACCTCAGGCAGCACATGTAGCACTTCTGCTTTTGGGAATACCTTCATTTTGCCTAGGCATTATCCTCATCGTTATTTCCCACCGTCATTGCTACCTCCTCTATACATGCACCACTATGATATCTCGCTGAGAACTCCGTACATTAACTTCAAGAATCCTTTTCCAGCTATCTGCCTTATCTATCGCCTGCATTCCGGAAACAGTTATCTCATCTGCTTATTGCCCGTGGCGCCTGTATATTGATGTTGATCGATCTATTGCATTTCCGTTATATTTTGTCCTGACCGTCTATTGAAAAAAAATATCTTTTTGGCCTAGATCACATTGGCTCTTGGGGCTTGCTCTTTGTTTGAGATATTTCTGTATTTTCGTGCCTTGCTTTATGCTCTAGATACCCATTCTGCTTTTCTATTGCTTACCTTTGCTTGTATCTTTTTGGCGGTAAAAGTGAGATCTAATTTGGCTTATCCACCGACATTCTAACGGGGGAATTTTTTCAATCAACCACAACTCTCTTATCCCAAGACTAAAAGAGGCAAGAGAACTACCACTATGCCTATCACAGGGTAAACTCCCATCGATCCCCTTGTGCTCTTGCATTTTCTAACTATTAAACAGAGTATTCTTTGTTCCCTCCAACCCCAATGCTTCCACAGCCCTAGCAACTGTGACAGAACGCCTGCACACTGCCTTGGCCGATGAGCCTATCCCAGTGGGCCGCTGGGCCATGGAACATAAGCTGATGCGAGATACCCCTTCTTGTCTCCCTGCATCAGCATCCCAGCGACCAGCGCATCCCAGATACATGCAGTTTCTCTCTCTGTCTTATCACTCGAATCACGGATTCATCTACACGTCCCCGTCGGCGGGCGGAGCCCAGAATCCTAACGCTCCGCAAGTACCGCCCGCAGGGAACCCTGTCGCTGCGGCAAGTCCTCCTGCAGCCTCTGATGGTGCTGGAGCCACGGCTCCTGGGGCATCACCCACGGGCTCGTCGATGATTATGACGACCGTGCCGCTACCCTCGTACGGGACTCTCTATCAGCATTTCGTCTACGCTTGTCAACCGTTCTGGTGCCACCGACACACTGTCACGGTTCCTGGAGGTATGGTCTACGATGTGGGTGACTTTCGAGTCCGAATCGGCGATGTTCGACAAACGCAGCCTTCGGCTCGAGTTCGAGGCACCGTCGTCGAGGTGGAATGGAGAGGTCCGTCGCTGGTGTCGTCGATCGCCTCGCAGGACTCTCATAACCGCAAGGCCAGCGAAGAGGAACAGGCGAGCGACGATGATGCTGACTCGGGAATCGACTTGACCTTTTCGGCGATCGAGGAAGCGGATATCGATGCCGAGTATGCGGCCACGGCTACGCTTATCCGTGAGTTCTGGGCTCGACTGGGTATTGACGGGGCGCGGGAAGCAATCCTTGTCCCAGATTTTGGGAAAGAAGTGAAAGATCAACTGCGGAGACTGAGGCAGCAGGACAAGCGGGGAACGCAGAGTGCGGCTGATCGAGGATGGTCATGGCAACAGGATGAGGACCCCGACCCGGAAGCTGGAGTTGATCTGGCGAGACAGTTTATGGAGATTTTCAGATTCAACCGATAAAAAGACAATGGAGAAAGGGGAGCGTGCATGGCCTTTTAGGTGTGCATTTGCATAAAAATTGGCTATTCGAATAAAACAGACTATTTGACAGGACTACCGGAGAAATGAAGAATAACTATATCGAATTCACCAATGTATCACATCGATAGGATAAAAATAAGTATTCGTAGGAACAGACTAGAGTCCACGAGATCGCTAAACTTGGCTGGAAGAGCGGAGATAAGGTGATCAAAGGGGTTTCAAAGTCATTCATGATTGCAATCACATGTACTACGAGTAATCATCCGACAGGGCTAAAAGCACAGATCGAGGGGGTAAATATAGACAATAGAGGACACACAAAGGCAGCGAGCCAGGAGCCACTCCGGGAAGAAATAAAAGAGCTCGCGCAAACCCAAGACACACTGTATTACTGCTATGCTTTCACACAATGTCTTCGCAGGATGCACGGCTCAGTCTAGACCAACCAAATTGACTCTTTCTCACAAGAATATTTCGCATTTAAATAGCACGCAAGGTCGTTACGACCATTCCCATCTGCAGCCTAGACGAATAATAGACTACAGGTAAAATGGCATGAAATTGGAGACGGGACATGGTGGAGTTCTCTTTGGCCCCCATCTTTTTTTCGATAACAGTGGAGAAATTCAAAACGAAATTGAATTGGGGTGTTTATTTTTGCATCATGAGCTGGACGAACTCGTTGTCTATAGAGAGATATGGTTAGTATTTCTTTGCCAATTTCAAGCCGAAACTCGATCCGGGGAGTTGGTATTTCCGTACAGTCAATTCGTCCATCACCGTCCTGGTCCGCCTCACGGATCATCTCGTCAACCTCATCATCGGTGAGCTTCTCACCAATGGATGTCATGACGTGGCGCAGCTCGGCGGCCGAAATGAAACCGTTGTTATCGCGGTCGAAGACCTTGAATGCCTCCCGGATCTCCTCCTCGGAATCGGTGTCCTTCATCTTACGAGCCATCATGGTCAAGAATTCTATCACCAGTTAACGACCACCCATAATCCACCTTTCGCATCGACGCAAACTTATCGCATACCAGGGAAATCAATGGTGCCATTGTTGTCGGCATCGACCTCGTTGATCATGTCCTGCAGCTCAGACTCGGAGGGGTTCTGGCCGAGCGAGCGCATGACGGTGCCCAACTCCTTGGTGGTGATTTGTCCTATAAATTGGAGTACCGATCAGCATCGTGCGGATGTTGCTGATGGGATAAAATTCATGATAAAAGTTTTCAACCCGGTCGCAAGCGGGGGAAGAAGCGTTGGAAGCAAGTGGCACTAACCATCACCATCCTTGTCCTATTCAGAGCAAAAAAAGCCAATGTGAGCATATATCGCAGGAAACCGGAGAACAATCCCCTATAAATTGAAGAATAGAGGTTACTTACGAACAGGGAGAACGCCTCCTTGTACTCGGAAACCTGCTCTTCAGTCAAAGCGTCGGCCTGAACGGTGAGGTGTCAGCAGTGTTCATCCAGAATATTGTATCATTAGATCTGCCCCGCAAAGTGGGGGATTTTCAACACGACAAGCCACGAGAGCAAAGCAAGGAGGCATACCATGGTGAATGTAGATGGAGAGAAATGAGAATGAAAGGATAAGATGGATTGGAAGAGATGCGGAAAGCAAGACGGTTGGCAGGATGTTGGTTGGTGAAGTAGTGGGGGAGGGAAGAAGAGGAAGAGTGTTGTTTAAGGGGAACCCGACCCAACTTACTCTACAGAGAGAGCTGGACGGGCAGTAGTGAAAGGCGGTCGCTTATGCCCGAAACGTGACCCGCCCTGGCCACGGCGTGCCCCAAGCGCGTTCAAAGGGCTGAAGGTTGCCTCGAAATTATTTAGAACGGTTTCTTTTTTCGTCCTTTTACTTTTTCTCCATTCAGCCTTGTTTTATTTATGGCGAACTGCAGTGCTAGCGGGCAATAATTATTGTTGATGCCTCTTCTTTCGAGCGATGCTGACGACGCCTCGTGCATTGCCGGCAGGAAAAAAAAGCTTAGGAGTCCAGAACTACAGCCTTGCGGAGAGCAGATGATAATTAAGGTCGTGTCGGCATCCAGAAACTTCATCACCTCTACGGATCCCCTCGAATCTTGACTATTGCCCTTGGTCCATGTGCTAGTCGACCAATTTATTCCCTTGCTCTTGATAGTCTCAATTATCAGATTGGTGATTGCTGATCAGAATATGGACCGTGACCATGGCTGAAATCCATGGGCTATATGCCAACGGTTCTAACTGACACTCGGCATGTTGTCTCAGTCGGGAAGAGATAGACTGCCGATCATTGAGATTCTGACTGATTCAGCTGCGAAGGATATGTGGAATACCTACCTTTCTTCTGCGACATTCGATCGCGTTTTCTATGTTGACACTTGCGGCTATCAATAGCGGGACACCATAGCATGAGGGGCGAGGCGGCTGATAGTCAGTAGGCATCAGTTTAAACGAACTCGTATGTATATTTATAGTCGGCAATCTTCAGCTGATGCCAAAAGCAAAAAGATATCATGTTGCAGCATGCAGCAACTTAGCAGCGGATAACGTGTGGCTATGTTCATTTTCCTCAGACTCCCTGAGGGGTTCGGATTTGGCAGTTGAACATGCCACCATTATTGCATCATGGTTGTGAGCTGTTTGCCTCTACCATGAGATACACTGTATATTCATGTCAATATAAAATTGTTCTCTCTTGACAATCTGTTATCAACATACCTTAAGACAAGAATATCGCATCTCCAACATGGATGATTACCTTGCGGTACCCCTAATACGTCAGGCCCCCTAGGAATTCTGTGGGGAGAGCTGCTAATTACAGGACGGTGACGGAGAATAACCGCGCTTGCCCCAAACGGGACCTTCACGTGGGCCGGACTCGGCGATCTTGCTGTTGCGGTTGTTGTGCCTGTTTCGAACGGCACAATTATTGTGAGAATTTTCTCAAAGAGCAGTTTCAGTTCGGATACTCTGCGTGTTTTTGTCATTATCATATCCCTTCTTATCGACTCGTCATATTTGAGCCCCCTTTGTCCGATGATGATTGGGGTTGTAGTCTAGAGGACAACTCCGTCAATCCCCAGGAAAACCACGTTCCGCATCCTACACAATGTGGCGGGATCGCACGAATCTGTAACACCCCCCTTAGGACCCTCAATGCTCCTTTTCGCTGAACATAGGGCTAACAGTTGTTCCTGTTCAGTTACATCTCCTACCGCCAGTCATTCACTCACCACCCAGCAAAGAAGCCACGTTATATCGGCCCGTCCAATGGCTTCTCCGATACCCCTTCGCAGTCCGACGAAAGTCGCAGGTTGATTTCGGACTCTGGAGGATTTGACGACGATGGCGATGCGATCATTGAGATGGATGTGCTGCCTCCGCGATGGGTGGATGTGCAGGATGAAGTGACGGAGTTATTGGCGGACATTGCGCAGAAGTCGGCCCAACTGGACAAATTACACCATAAGCATCTGCTCCCAAGTTTCGGTGATGAGGAGGTTAGGAAGCAAGAAGAAGGGGTTATCGAGAAGTTCACGCGGGATATCACAAAGGGTTTTCATGACTGCCAGAAGGCTGTGCAGAGGATAGAAATGATGGTGCGCGAGGCCAAGCAGCAGGGTGGAGTTACGAATGGTGATGAGACAATGGCAAAAAATATCCAAATATCTCTTGCTGCACGTGTTCAAGAGGCTAGTGCCCGGTTTAGGAAGAAGCAGAGCACATACCTGAAGAGTATGGGCGCATCCCATCCATATGTGCATCGTGGAATTCGCTAACCGTTCTCTTAGAACTACGAGGACTGGAGGGGGCAGCGGCACCATTTGATCGATCCTCGACCCCAATGCAAAACCCCTACGCGGAACCGTCCTTGATGGAATCAGACGCAGACAAGTCCTTTTCGCAATCTACTCTAATGCAAACCTCCCAACGGGTCACGGGCCAGAACGATGCGGCGATAGAGCAACGAGAGCGTGAAATCAACGACATCGCAAAGGGCATCATCGAATTGTCAGATATCTTCCGAGAGCTCCAAGCAATGGTAATTGACCAAGGAACTATGTTGGATCGAATAGACTACAACGTGGAACGCATGGGGACTGAAGTCAAAGCAGCGGATAAGGAACTCAAAGTGGTACGTTCTCTCAGAGGTTTTTTCCTCCTGCTTTGAACTTGAACTGATCTAAATCGCAATTTCTAGGCTACCAATTACCAGCGGCGTACCACGAAACGAAAGATTATGCTCTTATTAATTATCCTTGTCGCTGGAATGATTATAGTATTGCTCGTCAAACCCAAACGGCACGATTCTCCAGCCCCGGAACCACCAGAGCCTCCATCGAGCGAGAACCTACGTTTCGCCCGGACGGTCGAGTTCGTCCATCGTCGAAAGAGAAATCCGTCTTTGACCCGGATCACAAGAAACAAATGGATTGATCCCAACATACACCGATAACACCTTTCTTTCTTTACAGATACCATGTTAATAGTAATCCCCTTTAGCCTAGACAAAGAGCAACATGACATTTAAAGACTATCATGATTTTTATATCTAGAAGCTATAACAGCTGCGAGCGGGACTTTTGGTTACTGTATTCCCATTCAATACTAATATGGATGCTAGTAATTCATCACTAGCGGGCTACATACACCAAGTGAAGCAGGATCAAACTTCACGCCTATGACTATACTAATTAATGGGCAAGTGGACACAACAGCTTGGTTATTCCAGTAAATATCAACTTTCAAGGAGGAAGTTGGAGCTAGGTGATACAGAAGAGCATATAAAAAACAAAGTTGAAAAATGGTATAAAATCAAACAAAACAAAATATGATGCGACTGGTTTACCATCAGTTACAATGCAAGTCTGGGGGCTTCCCAAGACAAAATCAAATGCATTTAGTTCTGGGGATTACCCTCTTGTCCCAGGAGCTCGGCGACATCGGCATCCAGATCGCCACCGGCGAATTTGGTGTAGTCTTCTTCGCCGTGGTCAACCTTACGCTTCTTGGCGTTCAGTCCATTGGGGCTGCCATGTTGGAGCTCATTAAGGGTAGCAGAAAACGCGGATAGATCTGTACCAGGGAGAGGTACATTGGGCTGGCCAATGCCTGGCAATGCGAATCCTGCTGTGGCCTGGGGCTCTGACACACTCTGCGGCTCATGTTTAGGGGAACCAACAGGTGTGATAGCTTCCACAGGGGGAGGGGTGAGAGCTTCAACTTCTGGGCGAGCAACAGGCTCTGCCTGTGCCCCAAATTCACCGATGTGCGCAGTTGGCAAATTCTCAACAGTGAGACCTCTCATGATTCCGTCTTCAACCTCGCGCTTCTTTGATTCAACCCCAGTCTTTCTCTCCGACAATTGCGCAGTTAAAGACTGCTCCTTCGAAAGTGCCGAGCGATTGGTTTCGAGAAGTTTCTCAAGACCATCAATCAATGCAAGCCGTGATTTGACAACCTCCGAAACGGAGCTTTCAGCATTTGCAAGTGCCTTCAATAGCTGACTGAGTCGCGCCGCATGAACTGGGGGTGTAGGTTGTGGGGTGTTGGGGTCATGCATCTTATCATATTCGGCATTGGCTGCAGTAGATGATGCGCCGGAAGTCATAGCAGCTTTCGAGAGTGCCACCTGCAAGGGGACCAAAGGTTGAAGTTCTGAAGGCGTCGAACTGGACGAATTCGAGAATAGGGAGCCACCCAGTGGTGGCTTTTTACCAGTCGAACGCGACTTGTCGATTTCTGCAATAAATTAATAAATTAGATAAACGGAAAGAGTGCGCAAATGGCATGGAGCTCCTCACCCTCGATGCGGGCTTCCACAGCGTCCTGGATTGGATTCTCAAATATCGCACGCTGTCTCCAGACTTCAACCACTCGGCGAATCTTCTGCTGAATGTCGTTTGAGGCGCCTTTGTACGCGGTTGCTGTGGCCTCGGCAATGATCTAGTCTGCATTTAGTCGAGAGTTTCAATCATTAACAATGTGGCACCGACCGGTGAAAATGCGATGAGGAAGTCCTCTTTCCGACGAGCTTTAGATTGCTGCGCGACCTCTGTACATCCTGTCAGTGCTCCAGTATCCCTAACAACCTGTACGCGCCGTACCATTTGCCAGATATATCAGATTGAGTCGTTTCGGAGCCGGGGAGTCTCGAAGCTTTTGTAACCACAGCTGACCAGTTCGTTCTGCGTGTCGCCTATTGTTGACAATGAATATTAGATTGGGCAATAAAGATGTAGACAATTATGGTTTACCTGTGGAACATGACCCATTGCGCGACAGTGACAATACCCTCTTGCGTCTCATTGAGAGCTGAAAGCTTTGCCTTGACAGCATCATCTGTATACGCCATGGTGGCTATTTATTTAAAAGAAATAAACTCAAGATAGTTCCGACTTTATAGGAAAAGAATGAGAGGTGAGAGCTTGATGAACTGAGTAATCTCGCTGGAGCTCAGTCACTCTGAACGATACTTGACGGTTTGAGAAATAACAAGTGATCGCAATTCGCTAGGAAATAAAAGATCTTAGGATTCTATATGAGAGTCTCAAGGGCCCGATCAGGTAGTCGAGTTCCACCCAAGGCTCGATGCGTTGATAGTGTTCTGCAGAGGTGAATGAAGCTTGTCCCTCACAGCTCCGATCGAACGTGAAGCTCGACCTCACCGCCCTCAGTGGCAGAATCCCCCCGGGCCTCCATTCAAACGCTCCACCAAGACCTCATCTAGAAGCCAGCTGGACCTTTACATCCCTCTCTGTACTCTTTTAATCCATCCCATTGAACTAGCGCCGTTACTGACAGGTATCACGAACCGTCATACAATCCAATTCTCTCAAATATGGCGGACCGCTTCCCATCATTGGATGACTTCTCTGCGGGTTAGTGGCTGCCCCCCATGATTAGGTACCGCTGAGTCTCCGTGTGCTAACACAAGGTGTTCAGGTCAAACCGAAGTCGTCGATACCAACGGAGGATCCGACCAGGACGATTTCCTGGCCCGCGAACGTGCTGTGCTCGGAGAAGATGCGGAACAATTTGCCACTGCCCAAGACCACGTCGCAGACAATGTAGACACGGGTGATGATCTGTTGGGTGGTGCGGAAGATACCCTGGCTGGGAGCGGTGCTGGAGAGGACATCGCAGGATTTCAATCTTCGTTCCCCGCTATCGAAACACAGAACGAGGTACGCATATCTTCGTCGTGTGAATGGTCTAGAGTTCCAGCGTACTTACAAACGGCCCAAATAACAGCAAGTTGCACCTGGCGGCACAATCACCGGAACTGGCGCGCCCTTCCCTCCGACCGGTTATTCGAGCTACAAAGAGCCAGAGGCAGAACCAGAACCCATTAGGTAGGCAAGGTCCAACGCATACTGCAGAGTCCGGGTTCTTTTATCTTCACCCGGTTCCCGGAAATTCCATTTACGATTGTCATACTAACTGGGCACTTTCTATCTTTAGGGAATGGCGTGAGAGACGAGACGCAGATGTTGCTCGTCGCGCAGAGATTTCGAGTGAGAAGAAGGAAGCGACTGTCAAGAAGGCCCAAGAGGACATTGACGACTTCTACGTCTCCTACAACAACAAAACCGACAAGCTCCGAGGTCAGACTGCCGCTGACGCCGAACAATTCCTCGCCAACCGGGAAGACACCTCTGCTGGCGGCACTAGCTGGGAGCGTATCGCAAAATTGGTCGATGTGTCTGGAAAGGGGACCAAGGGTGGCGCCAGCGGTTCTGGCAAGGAACGCTTCCGCCAGCTGTTGCTCGATTTGAAGAAGGACCAGAATGCACCTGGTGTCAGTGGAGTCTAGTGCATACGCCTTATACCCGGGATGATGTCAACTTAGGGGTGGCATAAAGATGCTAGGAATATCAGGCGCCTCGCATATGCCGGCCACGCAAGTTGGCGTGATGGGAGAAAGTAGCCAGGACTACAGTGGGGTTATGGATCCGAAACAGAACGTGGGATAGAATCAAAGCACCTGGTGAGACATACCTTTGACATCTCACTATTACACCGATTTCTTTTACTTCCCTTTTCATCACCACGCCCGCCTCCAGGTGCATTGCATGCCACATTACCATTTCGATCCGAAACATTGTACCCAAAATATCCCATACTTCGATACTCTAGTTAACGTTGCGTATTAGCTTATTTTTTTTTTTTTTTTTCCATTGCCTTCCAATATTCCTAGCTGCCCCATGTGTTTTTACTTGGTCTTTATTTCTTTTCTTTTTCTTTTCTCATGTATGTAGGTAGATAACGCATTTGTTCTTTTCGCAAAAACGACTTGTAACCTTCCTCATCTATTCAATTTGATGTCACAACTATAAATAAAATAATTGGGAGAAAGGGAGGATGGAATCCGTCATTGCTTTGGAATGGCTCCATCGAAGTGGAAACAACTAAAATTGCGATGTGCAGAGGATTGACAAAGACCAAAGGGGAAAAGAAGAAAGGAGCCGGTCTGGAATCTTAATGATTAATTTAAGATATTAAAAGCAAAGCTATGGAAATGATAAACTAGAGAGGAATAAACCATTGCAGACAGATACAGTGGTAGGTCTTTTAATCATGCTAGGGTAAGTAGACGAAGGCAATTTCAGATCGGAGCACCCATACATACATAAATCATATCTGAAAGTGATTAACTTCTTCAATCCAACTCAGTCACTCGGTCTTCTCCTGGCTCTCCAACTTCCTCGGCTTCTCTTTTGTTTTCAAGCTCAATCTCTTCCAACTTCTTTCTGCCTTCTTCTGTTGTTGCATCGACAATTCCCTCCTCGAGACTAAGCATTCCTCCTTGTCCGAGCTTGTCAACAACATCCTCCGCTTCATCAACACTCATCTTTCCAAGAACCTTGTTAACTTCATCCAGTGATTCGGATTGCAGAGCCTTCTGCAATTCCGGCGAAAAGGACTCGAAAACCTTGCGGGCTTCGACTTCTACTGGGTCGTCGCCTTCTGCAGAGGGAATGTTGATAGTGATCTTGGTGTTTGGGTCGACTGCATGGAGTTGAATCTGCTCTACGCCAGCCGGGTCATTAGAGGCAGAACCCTTGACGAGCTCTGCAGCACGGGTCCGGATCTTGCTGTAGGTTTCGTTGACGTCGTTGCGGAAAAGAGTGCTTGCTTGGTGATCCTTCGTAGTGATACTAGAATAGATATATCAGCTTCTGGTTCTTACACGAATAGTGAATAGCACATACCGCTTGAAGAAGAGAGTAATCCCGTCTCTGCCTAGAGACCGACAGTATTGGAGCAACAGGCCGTGATGAACACACTGACGAGCGTATTCGTCTTTTCCTTCCATCTGGCTATTGAAGGCCTCAACCAACAAACCATCCGTCTCCTTCTCCGCGACAATTGAGGGGTTCTCAGAAATAAATTGGAGCAAGGTCCTGTAGTCATTCTGATTGATCTTCGCAAATCGCTTGGCCAGCTCACTAGCCCGGGCATCCGCAGGGTCGTCATCATCTTCGGCATCGTCTTCGGCGCTGGATGGGACAGAGACATCCTTGCTCGCACTCCCGGGATTCAAGAGTTCAACAGAGCTAGTCTGTCCCGCTGAAGCTGGCTTATTATCACTAGCCTTGGCGACGTGAGATGTGTCGAATCCAGTATGCAGATTCTCGCTGGTAATCTTGCTACTCTCTTCCTTTTCAAGCTGGACAAGTCTCTCCAACAATTCCTTCTGAAGTCCCTGCACCTTCTGCTGGTGCCCTTCCACGCCCTTAATGTATTCCTTAGAGAGTTGGTCGGATTTAGATCCATCGATCTCCTTCTTGACCTGGTCCACCAGAGCACTCATCATTTGCGAGTATTTTGGCTGCTCTTGCTCGTGGGTATGGACACCTTCCGGAGGTGAAGGAGGCTGATCCTCGGCCGGATTTCCTGCGGACTCCATGAGAGCCTGGAAAACCAGTTCTTCGGGGTTGCGTGAGGAATCCTCATGTTGACGAAGCGAGGCGAGCAGCTTGTCAATGCGTGAAAGCAGGCCATCGTTGATTATACGCTCGTACTTCAGGGTCTGGATTTCATGGCGGCGTTGCACACGTTGCTGGTGAATCTGCGACTGCTTGGCACGGATAAAGGAACGTTTATCGACATTAGGGTGGACTTCAATATCCGAGTCATCGGAAAGCTCCAGGGAATCCCACTTGCTGTAATCGAGCACCATGGCGACGAAGGGCTGTAGAGGGGTATTGGGGCGGGGTAAAAATGATAGGAACTGGAGATAGATAGAACGGGTAAAAGGAGCAGCTGACAGTTAATGAGATATCAAAACTGGGAAAGTTCTCCAGTCAGAAATATCCTTGATAAAAAAAGAAAAAGCACAGAATCACTCAGCCTCGTCGACAGCGACAGAATAATTCCTCGCGCATCCAAAGCTCTCCATCAGCTTCGGTGGCCGATCAGCTCCCGCGGCAGGCGGTGCACGGCGGCAGAATCGGCCTGTAGCGAATCCGTCTTGCCGATGCGTGACCGACCGGCGATACAGTCCGGCGTCGTTTTTGCCTGGCGCTGCTTACGAGCTCTCTCATCTTCCCTCGAGAACGCTGCTGGCTCAAAAGCTACAATTGATTCTACGGTGTCATGACTGTTGGATATTTCACTTTCCTTTGGTGAGATATGGCATCGTGCTTCTCTTCCGTGACATCATTCTGAATCTGTCCTGTCCGATTCCGCATTCCCTTCCAACTCCGAGATGCGCGGAGCCAGGCTGCTTGCCTCCTGGGCTCCAGGAGTCACTGCAAGGCAGTTCCCCCAGTCAATGGGCGGTGTTCTCAGTGACTTGTATCCTGGGACTCATGCATCTGCACTTCGACATGGTGGTCAAAATGGCTTCAGCAGGCCGTATTCAGGCCTTGCCGGGTTAATTCGAAACAACAATAACTATAATCTCAGCCAATCTCTTGGACTTACGGCTGCCTTGTGCAGAAATGGCTCACGACTCGCTTCATCGTCAACCCCTGTCACGCATCAAATTCGGTCTCTAAGTTCTACGCAACGTCTTTCGGAATCAAAGCCGACCGCGCCGTCGAAAACACCGCAGGTTAACAATACAACTGCCCAGGACAAAGAGGATGAGGAAATCGACAAAGGCTTCGAACTATCAGAAAGAGCGGCTCAGGCAGCACAGGTCAATTTCCGCGCGAAGTTAGCCAAAGATGGTGCTGGAGGAAAGAAGTCCGGGTTTCGGGAAATATGGAGGCTGCTGATGATTGCACGACCTGAGTCAAAGAAACTCGCATTCGCTTTCTTCTTCCTGTTGATCTCCTCGTCTATCACTATGTCAATTCCCTTTTCGATCGGACGGATCATGGATACGGCAACCAAGTCCTCGGAAGAGGGTGGTAATGAGCTGTTCGGTTTGAGTCTCCCAATGTTCTACGGTGCTTTGGCTGGAATCCTCGCCTTGGGTGCCGGAGCAAACTACGGTCGCATTATCATCCTGCGTATTGTTGGTGAACGTATCGTTGCCAGACTTCGCTCGAAGCTTTTTCGCCAAACCTTTGTTCAAGACGCAGAATTCTTCGATGCGAACCGAGTTGGCGACCTGATCTCTCGTCTCGGATCCGATACCATCATCGTTGGTAAAAGTATCACACAGAATTTGTCAGATGGTTTGCGGGCCGCTGTCAGCGGTGCGGCTGGTTTCGGCTTGATGGCGTATGTCAGTCTCAAATTGTCTAGTATTCTGGCAATCTTGCTTCCTCCGATTGGACTTGGAGCTTTCTTCTACGGGCGGGCAATCAGAAACCTGAGCCGACAAATCCAGAGAAACTTGGGATCTTTGACCAAAATTGCGGAAGAACGTCTAGGAAATGTGAAGACTAGCCAGTCTTTTGCTGGAGAAATCCTCGAGGTTAATCGGTACAACAAGCAAGTACGAAAGATATTTGACTTGGGCAAAAAGGAATCTTTAATCAGCGCTACATTTTTCAGTTCTGTATGTGTTCCCATGCGCTGACCCGGTGGATGGATATACTGATTGGTTATAGACTGGACTTATGGGAAACATGACTATATTAGCACTTCTCTACGCGGGAGGAGGTATGGTTCAGTCCGGCGCAATTAGCATTGGAGACCTTACATCATTCTTGATGTATACGGCTTATGCAGGCTCCAGTATGTTTGGTCTTTCTAGCTTCTACTCTGAACTTATGAAAGGTGTCGGTGCGGCTAGTCGGCTTTTCGAGTTGCAAGACCGTGAGCCGACCATATCCCCTACCAAGGGTGAGAAGGTTGTTTCTGCTCGTGGCCCTATCAGTTTCGAGAATGTGACATTCAGCTACCCAACACGGCCAGCTGTCACAATCTTTAAGGACCTAAACTTTGAGATTCCCCAGGGAACTAACGTTGCCATTGTTGGACCCTCTGGAGGAGGTAAATCGACCATCGCTTCTATCTTGCTCCGATTCTACAATCCTACAGAAGGAAAGATTTTGATCGGTGGGAAGGATATTAGCGGGATGAATGCGAAGTCTCTCCGCAGGAAGATTGGTGTTGTATCCCAAGAGCCCGTTCTTTTCTCAGGATCGATCGCCGAAAACATCTCTTACGGACGATCGGATGCCACAAGATCAGAAATCATTGCGGCAGCACGCAAGGCAAACTGCCAGTTCATTAGTGATTTCGTAAGTAATAGCCAAAACCCTTGTATCATCTATCCATGTCTAACGTTGCCTTCAGCCCGATGGTCTTGACACTCAGGTGGGAGCTCGTGGAGCTCAATTGTCTGGCGGACAAAAGCAGCGTATTGCTATTGCCCGTGCTTTGATCAAGGATCCGGATATTCTGATTCTCGACGAAGCGACTTCTGCGCTCGACGCGGAGTCTGAAACTCTGGTGAACGCCGCACTCGCCGCACTCCTTCGCGGTAACAACACGACTATTAGCATTGCCCATCGACTATCTACTATTAAGCGATCTGATACTATCATTGTCCTTGGTCCCGATGGAAAGGTTGCCGAACACGGAACCTATGAAGAGCTCAGTGCTCGCCCTGAAGGTGCTTTTACAAAATTAATGGAATGGCAAATGAGCGGCAACGAGGTCTCGCAGCCAGCCAATGCCCCTATAAGCCCGATAACTCAGGAGAAACTGTTGAATTTGGAGAAGGAGGAGACTGAGCTCGAGGAAGACGACACAATCACCCAACCTACTGAGCAGCAAACGAGGAAATAAGCGGTCAGAGTAGAGTGAATATGTCGATATGCACTCACTGCTTATCAAAGGTACTCTTTGTTGTCTCGTTGTCTTACTTGGATATCCCCCCTCTCTTTGTGTTTAATATATTTTGCGTTTTGTTCTGCTGTTTTATTTAGAAGGCAGGGTCAACCTACTATACTTTTTGTATCTATTGATTGGATTTTTCACCTTGAGCGCAAGCAAGGGTGTTGCTTTGAATTTGCTCTCTAACTGCCAGTTCAGATAGACATCTCTACTTGAATACATTACCATGAATTTCACTGAGGTTCCATCCTACATCAAGCGAGGCTACTGCAATATCAAACTAGTAAGTGTATGCTAGCCCTAATGCCTAGTCCTTCTCCACTACAAACGGATCGGACGTATGGAAGCAGTCGTGATACTCCAAAGTACGCAGCATATACCAGAACGCCGACAACAACACCACCCATAAGGCAATGTGAAATCTGTTGATCATCATACTAGCTGCTGCTGAGACCCTTTGGAAGATCAGGTTTCAGCTGCACATTGGTGTTCTGTTGGGTTTTTGTTGAGCCTTCTCTTTATTGCCTGTACCGCTTCTTTGTTGGTTATATGCAGCCAGCCAGCCGGGATGTCTCTTTGTCTAGTAGAGCTATGAGGTCTATACAGAGCCCATAAATAATTCATCCTGGGTTCTATTTTTCTGGACTATACGAATCCCAATTGTTCAATTGCTTGTCTTTTTCTTGCACTCTCACTTCCTTATTCCCAAACATTCAATTCCTTCTGAATCCCTTCCTGTCGATTTCAACTGCAGTCAAAATGGCCTTGAAAACTGCTTCCATTCTCTCAAGACAGCTACGGCTCTCTACAAACTCATGTCCCATCACATCTCATCCACCATTGACTCGCAATGCCCTACCTTCCAAACTCCCCATGATATCACCTAAACCCTTCATACGACACAGCTCCTACTCGTCTCCGGCAGCGCCTGGCCCAACCCCTCGCAAGGTGACCATTCAAACTCTTCGCAGCCTTCACCGAAAAGGCGAACCAATCACCGTCCTCACTGCCTATGACTTCCCTACTGGACAGATGGCCGAAAGGGCAGGAATGGATATGGTTTTGGTCGGGGATAGTCTCGCCATGGTTGCGATGGGACTGGAGGATACGACTCAACTTACCCTGGAGCAGATGTTGATGCATTGTCAGAGTGTGGCGAGAGCTGTCAAGAGTGCTTTTACGGTTAGTTACATTGCAGCCCCTTGCTAATGGAATAACCTGGCTGATGTTCTGGTTGGAATGAATAGTTTGCAGATATCCCCATGGGCTATTATGAAATATCCCCCGCACAGGCTCTACAATCAGCCGTCCGAATCGTCAAAGAAGGCCACATGAAAGCAGTGAAACTCGAGGGAGACAAAAACATGGCGCCAACGATCAAGAAAATTTCCGAAGCTGGCATTCCCGTCGTGGCACACATCGGTCTGACTCCTCAACGGTCGAATTCCCTGGGTGGGTTCAAAGTGCAGGCCAAGTCAGCCGCTGGAGCAGTGAAGCTATTGCAGGATGCCCTCGCCGTACAGGAAGCAGGGGCATCCATGATCCTCATCGAAGCAGTGCCTACCGAAGTCGCAGCTATGGTAACTGAAAGGCTTGCAGTTCCAACCATTGGTATCGGTTCTGGGAGTGGCTGCTCCGGCCAGGTTCTAGTCCAGCCGGATATGACGGGCAATAATCCGCCGGGGACATTTATGCCCAAGTTTGTAAAGACCTATGCTGATGTCTGGGGTGAGGCTTTTCGGGGAATTGAAGCGTATAAAAATGAGGTCAAGAGCAGGGCTTTTCCTTCGCCAGAGTATACGTATCCCATCTCCAAGGAGGCTTTGGAGGAATTCCAAAGTGTCGTGGACGGTGTTCCTTTGGGACAGGAGAAATAGATACCATCATTGTGTGAGAATTCAATTCAATATTGTCATCCCAATAGACTTTATGAAAAGGAGGAAAGAGAGTGCTCTTAATTCATTTGGTTTGGTGTTGACGGTTAGATTCGGGTCGAGATATAGATGACACTTTTAGGGCGTGGAGGCCCACAGTGGACCACGACACGACGACAATAGGCCTGCACCTTGCCGGTCATTAGAACCAGCCTTCATTGAGTTCGTTTGAGGTTATTCCTCTTTCTTCACAAGCTAGCTGCTGTCACTTCAAGGGGGTGCGGTCGATTCCGATCTTCGCCACGGAAACAGAATTTTTTCAATGCGATGACCGCCTCGGCCCAGCTCGCTTTGGCCGTCACCAACAGGCAGCGTTGCGCTGGCTTTTGATCGATATTACTGTATAATGGCCCATGCTCGCAAGGATGACTGTCCCAAATTCTGCGACGATATCCTGTCTCTGCCACCTCTGGGGCCGCACGATGTAGTGTCGGACAGAGCCAACATCGACTTGTTGCTCAACCAGTTGATGGAACAGCCTAATTGGTTCTCAGGCAATCGTCATTTCGAAGAGCAACTGCAGGGCGAATATCGAACCTTGCATCCCCACCTCCTTTCATCGCCAGCGGAACCATGCGATGTCCTCGATAATTTCTGTCTAGATGGCTCAACTGGCAGTGCGGCGCACAATGGTTCCAGCAGCCAGGAAGATAGCCTTAGACGAGTAGATTCCAGTTATACGTCCGTACTGTCCTCCCAGGCTGCTGATGGGGATAGTGGCTTCCTCGCCGGCGCTTCCTTGTCTTCGGACATAGCCCCTACCGACTCAACTCCGGCGAAGACGAAGAAATACCAGCGGCTGTCCAAGGAAGCAGTGGATATCCTGAAATTATGGCTTCATGAACACCGAGATTGTCCATATCCAAGCGAACACGAAAAGACGGAGTTGAAACAGCAGACTGGATTGACTAGGACGCAAATCTCCAACTGGTTCACCAATGCTCGACGACGCAAAACCATCGACATGGCGTCTTTGCCAGAGGTAAATCAGGTCGACACACCTTTTGAACGCTGGAAGAATTCACCTCCTGAAAATGAAGCCGCTACAACTTCTGATATCATGCGCGCACTGGCAGATATGCCCGATTCTTTCGAGAGCGGCTCTGGCTCCATGCATTCTGTCTCCCAGAGAGAGTGGTCCAGCAACGGTTCCAGCGGTGCCTGTTCGACCACATTCAACGCATCTTCTGCCAGCAGTTTCGAGCACAGTCAAGCCTCTGGCTCTGAAGGGTCCTATAGCCATTCGCAGCGGGCACCCCTGAGATCACCTACCCCTATCCCTAATGCAAGACCTCGTCGTCGCTATCGGCGACACCGATTTTCCACAAAGACCTTCAGCAAACGAAAAGCACAGAACGGACGCCCATTCCAATGCACATTCTGCGCCGACTCATTCTCTACCAAGTACGACTGGCAGCGGCATGAAAAGACACTGCACTTACCCGTGGACCAGTGGAGCTGTACACCCCAGGGCGGCATCATCGATATCGAAGGGACGAGCGTTTGTGCATTTTGTCATACATCAGACGCAGATGATGAACACCTCAATTGTCATAACTATTTAATATGTCGCGAGAAACCCACCGAGCAACGGACCTTTTCCCGAAAAGACCACCTTAAACAGCACCTCAAACTAATACACAATGTGGACTATCATCCTGCCATGGAGAAATGGCGAAGTCAAAGAACCTATATGACGTCAAGATGTGGATTTTGCGATGCGAATCTGGAATCCTGGGAGGAAAGAGTAGACCATGTGGCCGAGCACTTCAAGGAAGGGGCGGATATGATTCAGTGGAGAGGCGACTGGGGATTCGAGCCTGCTATCCAGAACCTGGTCGAGAATGCGATGCCATCCTACCTTCTCGGTCATGAAAGACACACGCTCGATCCTTGGAAAAGCTCGGATGTTCTGGGGCATCTAGAAGACGAAGAGCAACCATTCAGTACGAATGTCCCAAACGGCCTCGACCGCTATACCAATCTCCAACGTGAACTTGTCACGTATATCCATAATCAAATGGCCGAGGGGAATCATCCATCTGATGAGATGATCCAATCCAGAGCTCGTCAGATCGCGTATGGAGATGACGATCCTTGGAATCAGACATATGCTGATGACCCGACATGGCTGAGTGCTATCAAGCGTGATGCAGGGCTAGAAGGCAGTGTTGAACCAAATATCCGGCCACCAGAAGAATCCTGATGGATTATATATCGATGGAACACTTTTTATATTTAATTCTGACTTTATGCTGTCTCGGTTGTTGATGTACATATTTCGATCTTTGTCCGCGTACTATGCTTTTATATATCCCCGACTGCGGAGACTAGAATCTCATTAAACACAAATTAAGTGTTAACCCAAACAATTTTATATCGAAGAAATCGTAATCTTTTGAGCGAATATTATGTAGCCCCGTGCAATGGTCATCCCACGGCATCATGCTGGATGATTTGTCCAACCCCCTGTATGTAAGGCGGAGCAGCGTGGGATCCAAGCCTGTTATTTCGTACATCCCGCGCTTATGAACATTTCGCCTAGACAGTTAGTAGATGGAAAGCAAATCGAGATGCGAATCTCGACGATCAGGTGGATATCAAATCCTATCTCACGCAGTCGTGCTTATTCGTGTCACATACTGGCATCACGCAGTCACGGGGTTTGGCGATCCTCCCCAACCTCATGACTTAATGCTTATCAACAACCAACACCTACGCTTATCCATCGCCAACCACGCCAAAGCTCAGGATGAGCTTCAGTCTGTCCTAAATATTCTTAACAGACATGGATTAAATTATTCACCTTCAATTTAATCAGTTTCTCGCCTTGAGGAACAAAACATCCCGTACCACGATGGATCGCATTCGACGGCTGATCGCCACCCCACAGGCGTACGAACCGATTGAAGACAGAGCTGACGATGGCGAACCATCTGGTGATGGAGAAAGGCCTATAGCACCATTCTCCAAAGTTAATTATGCGATCTTCTTCCTCCAAGGCATTTCTATGCTGTGGGCGTGGTATGTCTTAATTGTATTCGGAGAGCTTTGGCTCGGATAGCTAACGGTGCTCGTTTACTAGGAACATGTTCCTCGCCGCAGCACCGTACTTCTATTCTCGATTCCAGTCAGATGGATGGACGGCAACCCACTTCCAGCCCTCCATCCTAACCGTATCATCCATCACCAACTTGGGAATGGTGACTATACTCGCGAAGCTGCAGAAAAACGCCGACTATCCCAGACGAATCAAGATCGCATTGCTCATTAACATCGCCATATTTACCCTCCTAGCCTTTTCGACGATTCTCTTCAAAAATGTCTCGGTGAAGGTATACTTTAGCTTCGTGCTGCTAATGGTGTTTGGAACAAGTTTGGCGACGGGCTTTAACCAGAATGGCGTTTTTGCCTATACTGCTGGTTTTGGGAGAGAAGAGTATACACAGGCTATCATGGGTGGTCAAGGCGTGGCAGGAGTCTTGCCGTGTATCGTGCAGATTTTCTCTGTGCTGGTGGTGCCGGCGGATAGCAAGGAACAGCTACCTACGGAGTCACCCAAGTCGGCATTCATATACTTTATTACAGCTACCGTGATATCGTCCTTTGCCCTCATTACCTTTTTATATCTACACAATCAACGGCTAGCAGCTTTGGACAAATTTGAATGTGAAGAAGAGGAGGAAGCGAATGACCCGGTCCCTGAACTAGACCATCACAAGGATGTGAGCCTCTGGGCTCTTTTCAAGAAACTCCGCTGGATGGCTTTATCCGTCTTCATCTGTTATGGTATTACGATGATGTTCCCAGTCTTCACAGTGCAGATTGATTCCGTCCATGACCCTCATAGCTCTCGACTCTTTCAACCATCCGTCTTTTCCCCGTTGGCATTCTTCTTCTGGAACGCAGGAGACCTCATTGGAAGAATGTCGCTGATAATACCCGGCTTCTCTATCAGTCATCGCCCTTTCTTACTGTTTCTTCTCTCTGTTGCTCGTGTTGCGTTCATCCCACTCTACCTGATCTGCAACATCCGCGGACGAGGACCCATTGTAGAGAGCGACTTCTTCTACCTGTTCATTGTGCAGCTCCTGTTCGGATTTACTAGTGGATATATAGGTAGCTGCGCCATGGTGGGAGCTGGCGAGTGGGTGCTCGGAGAGGAACGGGAAGCCGCTGGTGGCTTCATGATCATGATGCTTTGTGGAGGCTTGGCTGCAGGCAGTGTTCTGAGCTTCTGTGCTGCCAGTGCATGATTACCTGCTGGGAGCTTATCATATAGACTTGATTTACCTGTGAATGTGCTGATGCACTGCCCCTTTATCTTAGACCGGAAGATTTATTTGCAATAGAAAACTGGAGTGCATCTATAGAAGAAACTAGAATTTCCCATCTTCAGGGCCCCTGGTGACTGTCATCTTTCAATTAAATAGCCCGTATTCCATGTCAAGCATATATGGTTGGCTATCTTTGGGAACTGACATTCACTGCTGGCTGTCCTACCCTTCCGTCCTCATTCTGACATACTTTCCTCGAGTCTCACTCTTAAACCAACACCATCACTCATGGCAACGAACTACAAATGGCTTGCCGCTAAGCAGAAATGGCTTCTCTACACGGATTTATGGCTAGTGGCTCTTTTCCGAGCTTGATCTGTGGATTCTCACTCACGGTACGTAACCACTCTAAAAACCGATATCAAACTGCTGAGACATCGGCATGACGACAGATACTCGTCTACTTTACCTACCATGCCATCTACACAGTCTTTTTCCACCCACTGAGTCGATATCCCGGACCAAAGCTCGCTGCCATATCCCCAATCCCTCTCCTATTCTGGGAAATTCGAGGCAAATCACACACCAAGATCAAAAGCCTTCACGACAAGTACGGGGATGTAGTCCGAATTGGCCCGAATGCCCTCGTGTACAGATCCCCAACTGCATGGAAGGATATTTACGGTCATAGAAAACAGGGACAGAAGGTTTTTCTCAAGGATCCGTCGGTTTATACACCCCTCCCTAATGGTGCTCAAGCTATCATAACAGCCAACGAGGCAGATCATACACGCATGCGTCGTTTACTCTCCCACGCATTCTCAGATAGAGCGCTACGGAAGCAAGAGCGTCTTCTACACATGTACGCTGATCTACTGGTGCAGAAAATTCACAGGCTTGTTGAGTCTTCCCCGGATGCTGTCGACATGACGAGATGGTACAACTACACCACCTTCGATCTTACGGGCGATATGGCATTCGGCGAGCCTTTCCACTGTCTTCGTGATAGCCACTATCATTGGTGGGTATCAATCATGATCGACGCAGTCAAGGCCAGTTCATACTTGAGGATGTTTTGGTTTTTCCCCTTCCTAGTCCCACTGGCGAAAGTTCTAGTCCCGGGACATCTTGTCGAGAAACAGGCGGCGAGTTTCCAGTTGAGCATTGACAGGGTTGATAGACGTTTGGGTCTGAAGAACACAACAGATCGTCCGGACTTTATGTCCTACATCCTCCAGCATAATACAAAAGATGGTAGTAAAAACGGCATGTCCCGCGCTGAAATCGACGCGAACGCAGCTACCCTCGTCCTCGCGGGGAGTGAAACCACCGCTGCCTTGCTCTCAGGTTGTACATATTATCTCTTGAAAACACCAGCTGCATATCGCCGACTAGTGGATGAAATACGCAGTGCCTTTCAAGAAGAATCGGACATCAATCTATCCTCATTCGCAAACATGCCCTATCTCAACGCCGTCCTCGAAGAGAGTCTACGAATCTACCCTCCTATCCCGGCTATGCTACCGCGTCTTGTCCCCGAGGGAGGAGCTGCTATCAATGGTGAATACGTACCAGGTGGTGTCAGTATTTCTACACTCTACTCTCAAAAACATAGAAGCATCCATCTAACAGATAAATAATATTTAGACCTCCGTCTCCATATCACTCTGGTCTACCTTCCACTCTAGGACCAACTTCACAGATCCAGACACATTCATCCCTGAACGATGGCTCCAGGAACCCGATTCAGACATTGAAAGATTTGTCAACGACAAGAAAGAAGCTTTCCAGCCGTTCTCGTACGGTCCCCGTAGTTGTCTTGGTCAGCAGTAAGTAACAGCACATAGTATCTATACATGCATGGATATATCTTCATGCACAAGATATATTTAGCTAACATATTGGCATGAACAGTTTGGCGAACGCTGAGATGCGTCTCATATTAACCAAGATTCTGTGGCATTTTGACCTGGAACTTTCACCCAACTGCGATAATTGGATAGATCAGGAGACGTATAATCTCTGGAGTAGGCCTGCGCTGATGGTGAAGCTGTCTCGGGCTCAGAAGGGAACTGCGACTTGAAGTTTTTGGGGCTATGGTTTATGATCGATTGGATAGACGTCTTTTGGATGCTGATAGATATCCTGGATAGATTTGATGCATAATAGCTACAATACTACATAGTACAGCTGATCAGGCAGACACTATACTTGATTGGTATATGATGCATGATAATAGCTAGAAACAATTTAATCAAAACTCCATGCCTAAATAAAGATATGTGGATATAATGCCAACACCTCGAAATGCACGCATGCAGACCCCAGAACAAAGAAAATAAAACATACACCATATCCAACTCCACGCTATGTAGATCAGGCAATTATAAAACTCAAAAGAAATCCTTCTCTTCCAACCACTGGGAATCAATGGCATACGCCACCAGATCAGCAGCACAGCACATATCCTCATGTCCGTGCTCGAAATCCAGCAGCCCCATAACAGCACCAAGTCTGTCCTCGAGTGTCTTTTTCAACTTTCCAACGTGCGACTGGATCTCAGTCTGAGAAAGCTGCGAAGCAAGAGTCTTGCCAGCGGGTTTGGTGTCCGATTTGCCACTCTTCTTTTTGACTTCCATGTTCTTGTTCGGCGAGCGCGGCGCGAGAGGATTTCTCTGTACCGGTGCTGGCTGTGCGGGCTCGCTCTTTCGGTTTTTCAACAAGTTCTTCAGCAGGAAGAGAAGCCAGACGAGGTTTGTGCGGGGCGAATATTCAGCCCAGATGCCAGGAATGTCGGGGGTCTTTTCCGTCTGGGCGGGGTTTCCAGTGTAAAGTTGAGCACGCATACTGAGAATCATTAGCCATGCATTTTGGAAGAGAGAGCCTAGAAGAATACTTACTGTCGGTATGTGTCTCTCAATAGAGCATCATCCTCATCCACCCCTATGGCATCAAAGATCTGCTTTTTATCCAGATCAGACGAGGCTACTTCCAGGGCCTGATTGGGATCGTCGCTTAATTGCAGTTCAGCACGAGACAGCGAGTAGTCGATGATGGTTGTTTCCAGAGTACTAAGTCCGAATCCACTTGAAAATGAACGACGCGCGATATCCAGGTCTGTTGGCGGATCCATGCAGTTATTTTCACGAGTGGTTTTTATGCAAACATTGCCAAGGTGCAGATCGCGATGCTATACAAAGTTAGATATGTGGCCCTGACATTTGGTGGAGATCAGGGTCCTTACCTCAAACATAGCATATTCTTCTGCACGAGCAAGAGCCATGGCGACTCCCCAGAAAATATCATAGATCTGAAATACTGATGACCAAGCAAACTTCTCCAGCTCACAACCGGCATCATCCATCTCCACAATTGCCCATATTTGCGAATCAGGGTACGCTCTCTTGTTCGAGGGGTTGGGGTTGAGGCAATCGTCCTTGGTTTTCTTGTAATGGTCCCATGCACTCTGGAAAGACTCTGGGAAGCGGCCCTGAACGACATGAATTTCCCTGAAACGAGCAAATCCAGGAATTGGATCTAGGTACTTGAGCATCTTGATTTCCGATACGATTTCCTTAATGCTGGTGAACTTCTTTGATCCTGGGCCACTTTGAGCTCGCAAGGGTATGACTTTGAACACGTTATCGCCGTACGCCCTCAAGCGGGCAAGCTTCGACTTGGACATCTCCTGCTTGCAGACATCTTCCCGCAGATGAAGCTTGTAGACCTCTCCGTAAGATCCCTCTGCGAGCTTAACAACCTGCAGCATATTTCCACCACGGGCAGCCCATGAGCTGAATTTCTGGACTCCCTGAGCGGCGACGGGGGACAGGGCTTCATTGAGAATGGGGTGAACATAAGCATTTGCCTTTTCGTCTTGAACACAGCCAGACGACAGGCGTGGTGCATTGTTCTTCTTTCTTGTTGTCCGCTTCTTACTCTCAGTAGGATTTTGTTCTTCTCTTTGCTGTTTCGGGGAGGCTTTTGGAGGGGTTGTGCTGATGTTTCCTGTGCTCATTCTCCCTGTGCTGATCCTCACTTCCACCATTGTTGAGTATCGTGGCTTGGCTTTAGTGTCGCTCTTTGACGGTGTTTGCTCCATGTGGCTCTCCAGCAACTCGTTTGGGCCGCAAGAAATCTCGGTAGAGGGTGTCTCATCTTTGATGTCGACTGGCGGTTCGATTTCCTCCTTCTCCTGCGGCTTCTCCTGCGGCTTTTCTTGTGGCTTTTCTTGTGGCTTTTCTTGTGGCTTTTCTTGTGGTTTTTCTTGTGGCCAATCTTCTTGTAGCTTTTCTTCCCCCTTCTCCTTCTTTATCCTTCTCCCCCGCGTCTTGCGTTCTGAAGGTACGGACACTTCTTTCTCTTCGATCTTTATCTCAGCCAGCTTGGTCTGGATACCCTCGACAGCATCATCAAGAACGGCATTTTTCTTGGTCTTTTCCAACTCCTTTGCAGGACTTCGCTGATCGAACACTGCTCGTGGTGCATCTGCTTTTCGTTTCCCATAGACCTTTCTCTGCGCGGTCGTGCGTGTCTTTCTCGTGCGTGGTTGCCATTGATCTGGTGTCGCATGGCCAGCCGGAGGAGATGACGGTAACGGCATTGTGCTGGCAAGGTGTGCGTGATATTAAGCGACCGGATATGTAGTTATTCGGATCTTCAGTCAGTAAGGGCGGTTTGAAGTCGACAGTAGGCTGCTGGTAAAGAAGTATGCAAGAAGGACGATATGAAAATGCGCATCCCCTGGCAGTTATTGATGCCTTTCCGGAACGGGCCTAGCGTGGCCGTTGCTGTGGTGAGAGGGAACAAGAAATATTCCGGCATTCTGGCCAATCAGAGCAAGGGATGTATAGTTGCATTTTGAAAATAGAACTGCAGGTGCTAATTGGAGATATTGGCGATATAGAAAGTATAATCAATTAATTCATCCTGTTTGAAGATAGATTTCTGGTGATGCATTCCATAGAGTCTATTGCGTCATTGTATCCCAGCGTTGGTTGGCTGCAGTCCACCTCTCCAAACCATATTCGAAGATGACGAAAGAAGCCAGGATATCTGTTGAAGCAAGGATATATCGATAATCTTAGCTATACAGAGTGGAATCATGTAGCTTGGGCATATGAACACGTTGATATTCGCAAGGGCGACTGAGGCTGGTACTGCATACATGATGCTTTCGTGCAACAGTACAACACAGGCATGCAGACATACTACCTTGCCTATCTATTTATCAATAAGCCTAGCCAAGTTCAATATATTACTGCAACGGCACTTTATAGAACCATTAATTCCATCCTGATATGATAAAATAAAATTGATCCTTTCAGGCTGCTATGTACCGTTACACGTAGCTCTCATAGTGTAGATCCTCAGCTATGGTGATCATAGTGGACCCATTGGGTTCTAATTGGATGCTGCATGGGAGCTCTCGACAGTGATGGCATCTCATCACAAGAGCATCAACTATCTTCAATAGTTACAGTCATGATAATGATAGTTTATAGTGACTGATGAAACTAGGATATTCTGATGACTCTTATTCCTCAGTTACAAGTAAATGAATCAAGGTCTGTGTGCGATGATCTGCAGGGCTGGCCATTCCGTGCCGTACCATGACAACTGCTATTAAATACCACATCTATTATGTATAAGAATAATAGTATTATAATCTATGTTATAATCGATATTACAATTCTATAATTCTATAATTCTTTTTTTTTTATTATTATTATCGTAGTTATTATTATAATATACGGAGTTATAAGATATATGGCTGACCATGACGTAAGAAACAGTGGCTGTTTTGTCTTTTGCCGTCCCGTCTTTTTCCCTTTTTTCCTTTTCTTTTTTTTTTTTTTGCCTGCCTTTTTCTGCTTTTTTCTTTGCCCCTAAAGAAGAATCAAGAATGTAACTCCAGTAGACTTTTCTTCTATTTTATTTCTCTAATTATAATGTAATAATAATATTCATTATCCAAGAACAAAGACAGGTACATTAATAGCATACCCACTAGATATTCCTCCGTATTATTGGAGACACTCTCGGCGGAGCACGCGAGTCCACGGGCGCTTGTGACCCTCGGGATTCTTCGCTTTTTCGCTTCTCTTTTTCTTCCTCTCACCCCCGGCTTCTTGCCGTATCTCACCCCTCCCTCCTCCTCCTCTTCTCCTCTTCTCCTATCCTAGGCCCTAGGAGTTTCTCATCCTCCTCATCTTTATATTCTCCTCCCTCGTCGCTTGAGGAAAAAAAGTTTTCGCGTCGTGGATCTCGACGTCACTTTTCCTTTCTCAATGCTCTGCGATGGCCTTCAACTTCAACTGGTCGCCGCTGATGGCGGACGCGGGTTTCTATACCCGTGCCCAGGATCTCTTAACGGCTGCTCTCAATAAATCGCCCAAACCTCCTATCATCGTCGACGATATCATCGTGACCGAGTTGAACCTGGGCTCTGTTCCGCCCGATTTGGAAATCTTGGAGATCGGCGACTTGGCCGAGGATCGCTTTCGAGGCATCTTCAAAATGTCCTACTCGGGTGATACCTTTTTGACACTCAAAACGCGGGTCCAGGCAAATCCCCTCAATACCTATCTTCTCACGCGACCGTCTTTTGCGTCTCCCTTGCCTTTGGCTGCAGCGTAAGTGTGGACTGAACTGTGTCGCAAATCTCACGCTGACTCTTATCTCTTCTAGTACTCCTCTCACAATCCCTCTCCAAATCACCCTATCCGATTTCAAACTCTCCGGCTTCGTGATACTAGTCTTCTCGAAACAAAAAGGAATTACAGTCGTTTTTCGTAATGACCCTCTCGAATCGCTCAAGGTCTCTTCGACGTTCGACTCCATTCCGTTCGTGCGCGACTTCTTGCAAAAGGAAATCGAAGCTCAACTCCGCATTCTGTTCATGGACGAATTGCCCGCCATTATCCACCGACTTTCGCTAAGATTATGGGTCCCCGAGTACCGGGCTGGAGAGGAAATGGAGAACCAGGCGGATAACACTGAAGGCCCCGGCCAAGATCCGTTGGCCAGTCCTCCCCAGGACCCGGTTGATTCTTTGGGCAACGCACTGAACGAGGCACAAATCGCATCCTTATCGCTGGATTCCTCCGTCGAAACCCATTCGCTGTTCTCTCAGAAGAACCTCCTCCGTTTGGGCGCTCTCACAGATTCCCAGCGAACGTTGTCGCTCTTCACCCCGTCTATTCAAGAAGTGGTGTATCGCGCGTGGACATCTCCTTCCGACCCAATCGATAACCCCGGCGGCGTGTTATCCCCACTTAGCCCGGCTCTCTCCAGGACCCAGTCGCAGGTCGGTAGCTTGTCTTCTTTCCAGGACAATGCCAGCACGATTTCAACACACAGCCGGTCTTCAATGCAGTCCCACACTTTCAGCGGGTACGGCTTGAGCTTGGGCAATGGTCGTCATTCGAAAGCCCACTCCAGGAAGAGAAAGAAGCGCGTGGTCGACCTGCGTCGCCCCAAGACCACCGACGACGCAATGAGCGTGAGCGACGACAGTGGATTCACCGAGCCCACCAGCGCTCCTTCTATCTGTTCGGCTCCTTTACCGACTCTCAGCGAGCAAGCAGACGATCCGGTGACACCACCTTTGTCCCCCGACAGTGGCCTTCAGCTTCCTGCGATTCCCGAACGGCACCGCACAAGCCTGTCTCGTCCTATGCCCCGACGTGACATTTCGATGGAATTGAACCGCGACACAGAAGCCCCATCGTCTTCAGACCCCCACCGACGTTGGAACAAGGCGGATGATGTCGATGCCACTCCTCGCAGTACCGTCCGCGTTCACGGTACCCCTCTATATAACCGAGAAAAAGCAGAGGCTGGCCCATCGCGCCAGCTGCCTGCCGCTGCCCTGCCGTTCACCAACGAACAGTCAACCGGTGGTGTCGTTGACCAGATCTTGGTCGAGAAGCTCGCAGGCGAAATCGCACGCCGTATGCGAGAAGAAAAACTGATATCCTCTTGCAGTGGATTTTGGGAACGCCCCAGCCACAGCCAGGAAGAATCTCCTCCCCCAGCTTATGGGCAATAAATGCTATTGAGCGTTTTCTTTCTGTTCAAGTGTACCATTTCCTTTGTTTTATCCTTTCTCTTTTTCAGGCTTTGAATACTGTCAAAAATTTTCACGCCTTACTCCCTCCAGCAAGTCTGGGATTTTAATGACTGATACGACACTGCTTTTTAATTGTTGCCTCTTCTTCTTTATCCGTTCCGGTTCTTGCATTTTTACTTTTGTTTTTTAACACTTTCCTTTGTTTATGTTGTGTTTTTCGAAGCGGGTCTTTTAGAAATTGTATATGGACTGTTTGGACTGTATTCTTAAAAATCGGGCGTTGCAACTTGTCTGCTTTTTTTTTTTTTTTCTGCTCTTTCTACAGGAGATACCCACGCACTCTTTTGGGGTCTTGTGTATTCAAGTCTTTATCGATAATTCTGGGCTGGTATGGGTGGTGAAAAACGGAGGAAATAGGCTGGGATTTGTTTGGCATCATACTTGTTATCTTTGTTTTTTTCTCTCTCTCCAGCTCCAACTACACCTAGTTTAATGCAGCTGCACTCTTTTTCTACCATCTTTCATAACCAGAAATAATTATTCTCATCGTAATTAGAATCAAATCGAAATCCGGGGCTCCAAAGTGCCACAATCACCGTGAGGTGGCCCCGAGTCTCGGCTCCGCAGCTTAGCTCGAGCGGTTTGCGACGAACGTCAATTTCCCTCTTCCTCCGTCCTCTCTCTTCTCCTCCCTCTCTTCCCTTTCTCTCCCCGCCACGTTGTCCAGTTCTCGACGGTTCGAAGTCTGAACCAGCTGTTGTTTTCTTTCTTGGTCTTTCACAATGGCTGACATGTTCAAGAACATGTTTGGTGGCTCTCAGCCATCAGGTGCAGCCAAGGTCGAGGATGGTAAGTGACGGAACCGGAAAGAATCCAATCCATTGCTCCCGCTCTATTATCATTGAGTTCCCTCTTCTCTGACAGGATTTTCTTCGTTTCCTCTAGATTTCGCCGACTTCAAGGCCTCTGAGCCATCTCCTGCCTCGATTGTGGCTGCGTCATCATCGTCCCCGGCTGCCCAGGGTGTTGAGCCCGTCCCCTATACGAAATGGTACCGGATCTGGGAGCGGACATCTCCCAAGGACTTCATGCAGGAGGCAATGATCATGCCTGTTATCCTTCTGATTGTTTTCTTCCATCTCTGGGGTACACGTAAGAATAGGCGGAGAGCTAGGGAATGGGCACAGGCCCATGCGCCGGCTTTGCAGCACGAGTTCGCAGTCGTTGGTTTTAGTGGCATTCAGAAATCAACCATCGCTGAGGACGGATCCATCCAGCCGCAGTCGATCTCTTCTGAGGAGATGCTCAAGGAGAAGTCTCCCCAGGAGTTTTCCTCCTATGCAACCGGCAGACAGAACATTGCCTTTGTTGACATGGCAGTCAAGCTGCCCAAGCGCTACAACCCGATTACCTACTGGATGGAAATTGCCTTCAGCTTCTTTTTTGAAAGCTGGACTGCGCCCGCTGAAAAGTTTGAAGCTACTGCGTACCTTTTTGATGGTAAAGAGAAGGATTTGGTTCCCGTTCCGGCCAAGGACACGTCTTCTTTGAAGGTGGCCAACTCGACCTACGATGGCTTCATCTGGGCTGTTGTCCACAAGAGCCACATGCGCACCTTCCGCCAGGACCGATACGATGCCTCCATGACTTTCACCAGGGACAACGCGAAACTGCCATCCTGGGTCACCGTGATGACTGAAAGCGCCGAAATCACCGATACACTCCTTACCCCGGAATTGATTCAAGCCATTGAGAAGGCCGGTCACAACTTTGAGTACTTGATCGTCACTGACCAACCCGTTGACAAGCCTTTGAAGTAAGTTGGCCGGACCTCTTAGCCTGTGTGGCCTAGTCTAACCCCTATGTTTAGGATCGAGGAAACCGCTCCCAGGAAGCGTGTTCAGCTTTCCACCATCCTTCCCTCATCTGTTGCTGGCTATGAGTCTACTATTCCGATTTTCAACCAGTTTGTCCGTTTGGCCGATAAACTTGTCGCATCGGCCCACTTCCGCCCCGAAGTTATGCGAAAGATCCGCAACGCCCGTGAAGAGGAAATCAAGAAGCTTCGCCGTGCCGATGAGGAAGAGAAGGCCGAAGAGCGCAAGCTTGCAGCAGAAAAGATCAAGAAGGAAGAGCGGGAGCGTATCCTCCGTGGCATGACTGCCGACGAACAGCGAAAGTTCCTTGATCGCGAGCGCGAAAAGGATCAGAGACGTTCTATGAAGAAGAGCACTCGGAGAGGATAATTGCCTCCTTTTCCTGTTTCATCTTGACAGCTATTATGTCTTTGCCCCTTCATTGTCACTTTCCGGCGAATGCTAATGCAAGCAGAAGGAAAAGTGACTCGACGTTTTCATGTTGTTTGTTTCATACCTTTACGTAAAATGTATTTATATGCCATCTGTTTGAGTGTGAAAGGTTGAGGCATATTGGTGTCGACATTTTGGCTCTCTTCGATTCTTGAATGAATGTGTTGATATGAATTTAAATTTTTTTGTCTTGATTTGATCAATATTTGACCCTGAGATTTCTTTTACTCCTTGTCTTCTTTGACTATCATTCCAACTAAGGAGGTGCCCGCGAACAGTGCCCGAGGTTGGAATGTCGCAAACAGCATTCCACGCAGACGTGCTTTCCCTCCATCTCGCTTTCTTTTCCCTCGAAACCGTTACGGTTACAGAAAGGACGATGGTGATGCCATCTTAAAAAGGCATGGAGCTTCGACGATAAGTTCTTTCGTTTTCTCTTTTCCATCTCTCTTCGCCCCTTTGCTTCCTATACACGCTCTTTACAACTCTACCGCTTAACAACATTTGCAGATTGTATTCAGCGCTTAATTTACATGCTTGTCATCATTAGTCGTCTCTTAGTCGGTCATCATGGCGCATATTCTCTCTCTGATCCTGATCACTCTTTTCGCCACTACTATTACAGCTGCTCCCACGGCCAGCGACACCTGGTTCTCTCATTTGAACCTCACGACTCAGAAACGAGACTCCACTGTCCCGTTCGGAGTTTATCTCGACCGGTGCGTTTCGCCAGGAAAAGTGGCTTTGACATTTGATGATGGGCCATACATCTACACACCCGATCTCCTCGAGCTCCTCAGTTCTTATGGTGCTCGAGCGACCTTTTTCCTCAATGGTCAGAATTCTGGAAACATCTACAACAATGCAGATATTGTCAAACGTACTCTTGAAGAAGGTCATCAACTCGGATCGCATACGTAAGTCTTCCGTTTGTATCAACCTGTCTCCAGGCTGACAATCCTCTTTCTAGCTGGGATCATCAGTATCTTACCTCGTTGGACTATTCCGGCATCGTGGACGAGATGACAAAACTAGAAGATGCATTTATCCAGATCATTGGAGCGTTCCCTACGTACATGAGACCGCCATACCTCGCTGTCAACAGCGCAGTGTTGACCGCATTGGGTGATCTCGGATACCACGTGATTGGGGCCAGCATCGACACGAAGGACTATGCGAATGATGATCCAAACCTGATCTCCAATAGCTTCGAGAAGTTTCGGAATGAGCTAGATGCCGGTGGTAGTATTGTTCTGTCCCATGATGTGCACCAGCAAACTGTTGCCACCTTGACCCAGGCTATGCTAGACGAGATTCGGGCGAGAGGATTAGAAAGTAAGTTTGCAATAGCACTTATCTATCAAAAGCAGAACGCTAATGTGCTTGACAGCTGTCACCGTGGGTGAATGCTTGGGGGATCCGGAGGGAGAATGGTACCGAGCCTCTCGTTGACGTTGAGGACATGCCAACGCCACCGTAGGGTAGTTGCGAGTGGATCAGATTGTTTTCGGTTGCTATGGTGTCTTACAGATAGTTATTGCTTGCTTTGAAGGTTATTATAGGGGGAAAATAATAACTTAGATAGTGTCTGGCCTCGGTTAATAATATATCTTAGCTTTCTACAGTCTATGCCTCGGCGGTTGAGCATCAAAGTGTAAGTAGATGATGTCGACCACCGTCTATCCTAACACCATCGAGCATCGAGGTGATGCTTCTGCATATCTAGAACTTCTATGATCAAAGCTTTTATCATAACTTAATGGATGTTGTGATTCAGAGACCTTAAGTTCCGTTCTACCGGGACTGCCAGAACAATTTTTAAGAGCGCACTATGCACCTCCTTTTCAGACTTACTATTAACATCCATATCATCTATCCATCTACTATCTCTCTTACTTCCTCAATTCTTCGGTCTTGAACCCGCCGGTTCACCCAAAACACCTCCGAAATGTCCATGACCCAGTTCAAGCAAATGTTCACTATGAAGTCCCTCCAGGCCCGATTTGCCTCATGGGCCGTGTTGATGCCAGCCAAAGAGAACTGGGAAGACGAATACAACCTTCCTTACGGACGATGGGCTGGACAGGGAGCTTAAACAAACCACAAATGATTTGAAAACCATATATGATTATGGTAAGGGGGATTACTGATATCAATTCATTCATTTTGCTGACGGATATGTTAACCAGGGAAGATGTGAAGCTTAATTTTTACTAAGCTCCATACTTCAGCTGAGAGTGTATGCCTCTCTCACCGAAAATATTAGATAATGAACAAGTTACCATAGTAATTGATGATAATGAAAGAAAGTTAAATTCTATCTATTTATCATTCCGTCTATCCGTTATGTATTATATATGTATCGATGTGTTTAGATCTTTCCGTAAATCTTAACACGCTCCTCAATGGGCTTCTGCACCTTCTCGCCGGCCGAAACCTCGGGGCTACCAAAGACCAATTGCGCGATAAGTCTCCATTCGCTGGGGACGTTCCACTGCTTAGCGACGGAGGAGTCGATGAGGGGGTTGTAGTGTTGGAGGTTGGCGCCGAAACCGAGGGCCTCGAGACCAGTCCAGACTAATTGCTGTTAGTTAATTATTTCTTATATGCTGTTAAGGAAGACGGGATAACGTACGGAAGTACTGGTGCATGGCGTTGGAGTGCTCAGCCCAAGGCTGGAAGTGATCCTTGTAAATAGCGAACTTCTCGGAGAAGGGCTGGATGTGAGCGGGGTCTTCGAAGAAGAGGACCTATTGATCATTAGTATTTGATGTATTATAATATAGAGGAAGAAGACTCACGGTTCCGTAAGCAGCCTTCATGCCCTGCAACTTGGGCAAAGTCTGGTTGTTAAAGACCTCCTCGGGGACGGCGCCATTCTTGACGAGCTGCCCGAGGGCTTCGATGGTGATATCCCAGAGGCGCTCGTGCTCCTGGTGCAGGAGGACGACCAGACGGGTGGACTGGGTGTTGAAGGAGCTGGGGACATTGAGGATGGCGGCGTTGACGAGCTCCTCGATCTTGGAATCGGGGACGGGGCTGTTCTTGCCCAGCTTGTAGATGGTGCGGCGGCCCTGGGCGAGCTGGATGAGGGAGTCTGTGGAGGCCATTGTGGTTGATTGACGGGTTGGAGACGAGGAGAATTGTCTAGCGAGAGAGGAGAGAGGAAGACGAAGAGAAGGCGAGGGAAGATGAGCTGGCGATTGTGATAGCGCGGGGCGACTAAGCGGGGTGGTGGAGCGGACAGCGGATCGGAGGAAGAAAGGGAGAGAGGATTGAGAAGATCGCAGAAGAAGACGGGGGTACATGATGGGATTATTATATATGAAGATTGGTGATACAATAGGGAAGGCGAATTCCGCAATAAATTAAGAGAATTAGTGATGGGATTAATTGGCGATAGTTATACAGAGCGCGATGGTGAAGTTGAGGTTGAAGCACGGAAAAGAAAGCGGAATTGCGGCGATAAGCTTATTAATGCATGACAAAGAGAGACAGAATTGAGAAGAAGGCAAAAAGGATTATGCGGATATTATTGATCTGATTTCGACCATTTGCAGGACTATCGAGTTATCAATTGTTCTGTAATCAAGTGTAGAATCGATCAAGCGAATGTATATCCTGCAGAGCACGTGCTCGTCTGTTTTGGTGTCGCTTCCAGGACTCAACACCAACGTCATTCATTCATTCTTCCTTTCTCAACACAACTCAACTCTGAATGCCACACGGACAACTTGACATTGAGATACTTCTCATCTATGCTTTTCCTACCCAAATAGACGTGTGACAGGCCATCATCCTGCTAGTTAACATACTATCCCGAGTGGGCTGATGCTGCCGCGATATTGCGCGTCAATTCCCCACGCCAGATAAAGCCCTTGAGGCGAAATCCAACTCAATGCATGCTGATCCTTTACAGCCTTGTTCTCAACAATCACTAGGTTAAAAAAAGTCTTCCTTGTAAGACTATCCTAGCAAATATGCTCCCTGGATCATCTCCTGGCCATGTGAACCGGCAGCACGGGCATACGCTTCAACGTCGGAACTGACCCCTTGTGCTTCTGCCGTCCGTCCTAGATGCCGAAGCACAATTCCCAAATTCTGTTTCGCAGCTATGACCTGAGGCTGTGACAATGTATTATCCGCCAGCGCTTTCCTCAGGAGAGATTCGGCCTCCTTGTATTGTTGTCGTTTGACCTGAAACGCTGCAGTAGTGATACGCATGATGCTGGTCATTGTTTCTTCCCTAGTTGAATCATGCTCTCCCAACTCCATCCCTTGGAGGGAAACCGCCAAATCGTCGATTATGTCGAATGCGAGATGTTCCAGGCCGATTTGCTGAAGCACAATGGCCCAATTTACTTTTGCTGCCCGTTGATCCGGTGTCATCTCCCGGATCTGAGGGATGGACAGTGATCCAATTTGTTGGAGGATGCTATGAGCAGCAGACAGATTACTCACCATCAGATAGGCCGCGATGAGCCCTTTGAGGCAGTTGAATCGGAGAGAGTCGTGGATATTGTAGCCGCCGGTTTTTTGACAAGCTCTCTCGTACAAATGAACGGCATCCTCCCCGTCACCTTGGTTCAGATAGTATTTTCCGAGTCGCTCTATGATCTCTATGGCCTCCCTGCCAGTTCCAGACCCATCTATCTTTGCATCTACCATACCGCGATGGGTCTCCCTGTTAATAGCTGCACCCATAGAGCAGCAAACCAACACGATGGCGTTTTTTGGTTCAATTTCAGGAACATTTTCGGCGAGGAGGGAGTTGATTTCAGGAATTCGTCCCTGGTCCCAAAGAAGGAAGGCTAAGTGAATCATAGTGTCCTCCAGAATCGCCCCGTCCCAGCGGAGAGGTGTGAACTGTTGAGTGATTGTGCGATGAACTAGACCAGCCTCTCGATGAAGACCTTGATGAACTAGTCGCTGCATTCGGGATAAGTTCTCTAGTATCCGCTTTCGAACGATCTGTGTGTCGACCAGACATTCAGCCTGAGCAAGCAGAGTATTAAACGGCTTCGCATGAAGCCCCATGGTTTGGCCTCGAGTATTTCTGACCGTCAAAAGCTGACCTGTGTCGACTGTGTGACCGAATATATAGAACGGAGGTCCACCAGATGTGTCTTTTGGGATTTGCCAGGTGCGCACAACCCGGAGACATTGTCGAAGCAGTTCTTCAGCCGTATCTGGGAGATTTGACAACAGATGCAGCTGAGCGAGACAGTTGATAGTCCTCACGAGTCTGGTTGGATCTGATGGCCGTGCCGTTGAGATGATCTGGATCACTTTATTACGGTAGTGACCAAGCAGCGTCCCGATAGCTGCTGCACTCCCAACATCATGGCTTTTTTGAAGCCACTTGATCAAGGGAACATCGTACACCTGTATCAGAGCAGTATCCGGATCTTGTCTGGCAAGAGATTGGAACCATAGCCGGTGAGAAACCTGATTCAAGACTGTCTTGAGAGCAGACAACATCTCGCAGTCTGGCGTAGTTTGGGTCACAAACTGGAGCCAAGATGACCCAAGGAGCTTGAGATCCCATGAGGCCATAGACCTACTACCCGAAGTTGATTGCCTGATGTCTCCTGTAGGTCTCCATGTAGCGAGATACTTCAGAGTGTCAAGTGCCGCATTTCGGTACACCTTGACCAAAGGAATAGGCGTGTCTTCCGTGAAGGCCGTATGGAACGCCCTTCCAGATACAATATAAATCCGTACAGGAGGGACTGCAAATTGCACATAACCCTGACTATTCGGTAAATCTACCAATCCCTGGAGGCATTCTCGGATAACTGATTCCGCTCGAATCACTTGCTGTGATGCTGGAAGCAGCGATAAAAGCTGGTCCAGCTCGGCTATGGTCAATGCAACCGGGGATACAATCATCCACTGGAGAATCTTGTATGCACGCTCGCGAATCAATGGTTCTTTGCCCTTCAGCCGCTGAATGAGGATAGAAAGAAGACTATCCATGTCTCTGATATCGAGACCCGCTTTGTTCGCAATGATGGAACAATAGAAACCACCCTGCAGTCTCCGTGCAAGGGAAAAGACCGTGCTGTAATTCGCTGATGGACAGGCACCTGATCCCTCTTGACTAGCATGCGGAAGTTGTATTTCAGCCCAAAATCGCGACGATTCGGCTAGGGTTTCACTCGGTGGGATGCAGCTCGTGATGAGGAGCCTCAGATTTGAGCAAGCACGCAAGGAAAGACGCTGCATTTTACCCACCAGAGCTGACAACTCGGGCATGGGGACACCATCCAAAACACAGTAGGAATAGGCGAAACTCGCCAATAACGACTCGAACGCGGCCCATAAATGGTCCCGCGGAACCCCTTCAATCAGTGGGATATAAGTAAGTGGCACACGCGAGCAAAGCTCTGGTCGTTGAGTGAACAGTTGTGCGATAGCGGTGACCAGAAAGGACGTGATGGTCCTTCTGTCTTCAGTCAAGTCATTGAAAAAGAAATACACCACAGCGGATTCATTTGCAGGCTGAATGGCGATATCTAAACATTGCTGGACGATGTGAGCGGCGGCAGAGGATTTACCAATTCCAGTTGGGCCATGTATCCAAAGAAGACGGCCATCTGACACTCGGTCCAACCAATTCTTATAGACTGGCAAGTCAAGATACCACTGATCATGTGCTGTACATGCGTGATCTTGAAGGAATGAGGTATAACATGTTGGGTTGAGATAGCGGAGGTGGCTGTCCAGTAACTCACCTTGTCGCGGCAACGTGTCCTGTTCGTCAAGTCCCATGAAAGGTTCAGGTCCCTTTGATGCAAAGCCAAGCTCTATGAAACGACCCGTCTTGGTAGAAATAAATGCTGAATCCACCATTAGCGAAGAAGTTTCCAAACAAATATCACCACTTGCCCGCTGTGAAGTCGGATGGACCGACGAAGCTTAGAGCAACGACTTCACCGTCACGCCTTTTCTTTTGAGACGGTTTCTTTCGCTCAGGAATGGAGGAATATTCTCTGTCCGGATATTTGTGGCTTGCTTGAGCTTTTTCTATCTCATAGTCCCGCTGCAACCCCCAATGCCAATCGTAGTGGATATCGAGTTGGTGACTGGCAAGCATCAGCATGAAATGCTTCTACACGGAGAAAAAAAAGGTACCTTGTATCGAACAAAGTGCCACAGTGCTCGCATCGTGCGTTTTCCTTCTGGTCTGGCCTTGGTCATTTGCCATTTCACCATCCCCTGATTGCTGAATTGACTTACGAGATTTGGCATGGATTTCACAATCCCTGAAACTTGTATACATAAGATCGCATTTTTCGCATTTGAACAGGCCAGACGATTCTGGAAGGGACAGATAGCGTTCTTCAATCCGATATCCATAAGGTTGATAGCTGGATGTTCAGCTTTATTGCAATCGAATTTCTCGGAATACAATACATACCTGTCCGCAATGAGAGCCCAACACACTACTTGGTCACTCTTGCCATCGGCATTTTTGTCCACAGATACTTCCGTTGACTGACTTGTCACCGGCGTTTCTGTTGGAGTTTGTATCGCACGAGGTGGTCTTCTCTGATATGAGACGCCATATGTTCGTCCTGCGTGAACTCTGTTCTGAATGGTCTGGTGACGAGAAAGATGCGCCTCCCATTCGGTTCTACAGCAGGTTATATTGAATTCTCAATCAGTCGTCGTATGTAAACTTACCCTGCATTAACTTTGGCTCCACAGTGTTTGCAGTCCATGACGAGATTTTGATGTATACCAGGGTTGATGCAAAGAGAGGGGGGGGGGGGGTCCTCTGATCTTAATATCCGTGCTAAGAGCTACTGATCATTGTGGCTGTGGAGGTGACCCTGCATAAAAAGGCAGACTATCACTGCTAAATGCCGTTGAAGTTGACTTCGTACGGCATTCAAAGACATCGAACATCTAAAATGGACACAAAGATGCAATGCCTTCACTGCTCGCAAGAGTTTACCGACCAGTAAGTCTGACCTAGTCTCTACAGAGCCACATTAACATGCTGCTTTAGGCTACAACTAGCCGCCCACTATCGCGGACACGAAGCCATCCAACGCCGCCGACAGCCAACGCGGATATACGGATTACAGTACGTCAAAAACAAAAATGACCCAGGACAGGCGGCTGTCCAAATGGCACCGAGCGTGGAAGACCAGCAGCAGCCCGCGGTAACACCGACTAAACCTGCTGCTACTCTGAGTTCAGCCTCCGCTCCTGTTGAGAATGCTGCCCAGTCAGACGCACGCCAGCGTGTGACGGCAATTAGCCATGTAATGACACAGGAGAATAGCCTGCTGATGTTTCGTCGCTTTTCCGAACTCAATATTCGGAATCTCCTTGTGATGCAGAAGGAGCTGGCGCGATTGGACGGGCGGGTCAAGGAAGCGATTCGTTCTGGTGATGACACTGAACCATTGGAGTTTCAGATATCTGAAAAGCTACACAAATACAGTTTGTTGGCCTTTGTATTCACTCTCTAGTTTCATCTAATGGTGACGGAACTGCAGATAAAACGCTTCTCGCCCTGTCGCAGCTCCAGAAATTCAGCGCCCCAGAAGACCATTTTGTGAAGTCGCTACGTGACTGGGCCGACGATTCCAATCTGCTTTCGACACCAGAATGTGATTTCCTGGCGGATGTGGCTGATGTTCGCGACGATCTGCTCGCCCTGAACCCCAATACCGAACGGAAAGCCTGGGTGTACCGGACAGTCGAGGCCCTAGTTTGGAGATTTGTCGCCAGAGTAAGTCGAAATACCCACTTTTAATATTGAATGTTTGAGTTCGGTGTCTCATGCATGATGGTGGCTTGGATGTAGAAGCCAAACGGAGGCAAGGCTGTCCAATTCCCCCACGGAGGCGTGCTGTACACCTACGACGACGATATGGTGGCTGCGATGGTGCGGCTAATTCTTACGCTTGTAACTTCGGTCATGTTAATCATCCCAATTATCATCCTGTATTTCGTCAAGGGTGGTCCGAATCCCCTCATTATCGTGACCATCTGCACCTTGGCAGTGGCTGTGACGATTGCTATGACCACGGACTGTAAAAACCATGAGATTCTCATGGCGGCTGCTGCGTAAGTACCTGGACTGTCTTAATGGGCTTTTTTTTTTTTTTTTTTTTTTTTTTTTTTTTTTTTTTTTGGCTAACTCCTGACTAGATACGGCGCCGTTATGATTGTTTACCTGGAGAAGTGATGGGTTGCGCTCTGAGATACTATAATACATTCCTGAAGTCACAAACGGAACTTTCCTTCTGGTTATTTGGACTGCTGGCGAAGCTATTCCGTTAGTTCTTTTAATCCTTGGTGGCCAAGATATTAGGCCATGCGAGGCTGCATTTCTTTCCCGTGTACGGAATAGACCCTCCTAATACGAACTGCATGTTGCACGAGAGGAGAAAAACCTCGGAATGAGGCTGAACAATACTCAAGAGTATATGGATTACATACATCGACATATCCAGGCCGATCTGGCAGCTAGATAATTTCGCATACCACCAATATTCAAATGGACACACCGGCGAGATGTACGCAGTGCAAGCACTGTGACCAGGTATTTTTTACAAGGCCTCTATGGTTGGAACACCATGACTGGCATTCAGATATCCAAAAGCAGCTCTGTCGTCCATCAAGTAATACAGAAACGACATCAGAGGAAATCGATGGCCTTGCAGATCATGTTTCTCGGGTTCGGATAAGTGGCAGCCAAAGTCCCGTGGTCATACAATATATGAAGGGAAACTATTCACAATCAAACAACATCAGGGAGGATCTCACCGAAACGCAGATGGTAGAGCGTCTGCGAAAGATCATGGTTGAATACCCCCCATACGAGGACGACGAAAACAAAGAGCGAGTGTCATGTCAGAGGCTGAAGTGTGACGACTGTGAGATGAGCTTTTATACATCGTCGGTCTTTGTATTCTCATCTTATATCCCCAATGCTGACCCTTTTAACAGAGCTCAACTGGATAAACATTATCTTTCCAAGTACTGTCGTGGGAATCAAATAGTTGTATATGCCATGGTAATTGACAGGTATCTCATCCGCGGTGCCGTATCTGTTTTCGCCATCTGATCGCTTCAACAGCTCCAATGCCGGAGGATACAGAGTTGAAAAAAGAGAGATCCCCTTCGAGAGCAAAAGAGCTCTCTTCAAATGCACCAAATGCACCGATGGCTTTCTGACAGAAGATGAGAAAAGACAACATGAAAAGTCTCGTATGGATTGCACGTTCCCAAAGCAAGCAGTCGATTGACCGACTATCCAGATCCTTTTCAAGCACTACAATGTCTTCATTGTCAAAAGGCTTTTACCAACGAGTGAGGTCATATGTCTTGTTCTATCTTCACAGTTGCTGATAAGATTCAGATATGAACTCGAAGAGCACTATCGTCACCATGATGACATTCACCTCCGCCATCATATCGACAGCTCTCGAACAAAGTCAGAGGATGTCTTTCGAAAATGGAGTATGTGTATACTGGACCTTACTCAACGTTGTGGAACTCTGACCTGTCCGATATCGTAGGTCCCGGGGATAGCGTAGATACTTCGGAGACATCACGGCCAATCCAGAACCCTTGGATACGCAAAGGTTACTAATACTCTCGGTTCAACAGTCATGACGGATATGGACCTAACGAGTTACTAGGTGGACTTCCACGCGCAGACGGTGATTTAGTTGCCATAAGCTTGATCAGCAAAGAGAGCCTGGAAAACAGTAAGGACAAAGACGAGATATCTTAAGTCAGAAGCTAACCTGCACAGGGTACGCCCCTGACGGGACTTTCCGATCTCCTCAGTCACCCAGGAGGCCTCATTCAGTTCTGTCAAAACCCGAGAGATTCAAGAGTATTAAAGGATTTTTCAAGAGAAAGTCGGAGGCCAAGCAAAAGCATCCGCAGCACTCACCACAGACACCTACTGTAGAAAACCAGCGCAAGGAATGGAAACTCGCATACCTGCATGAATCATCAACCTGGGTTGTTTCTAGTGGAAGTGACGGCTGGACACAATCCTACACATTGGGAGAGTCGAGAAGGGAAACATACCAACGAAGCCAGTCAACACAGCCAGCAAACCTCTCAGGGTCGGCTCTTCCGGTTTATGACATCCTGACACAAATAGGGACGTATGCAAAGAGCCACGCAATCCAAAATGTGGCCGGACTGAGAAAAATCATGGACATTCCCCCCAGCCTCCATCAGGTAAATGGGGCTCATGTCGGGAGCTTACGCTGCTGGCTAGACGACGAGAAACACAACTCAGGTCGAGAGGGACTGTGTCCGGAATCAGGCGTGACTATATTGTCCAATGGATTCTCCAAGCGCCTGCTAGCTTGGGATACATGCGGTAGGCACAGATTGATTGACGGTCAGGACCTATGTAGGATCGTTCCTGCTGTTATCGGCCACCCGAATGGCGACCTCGAGACCGTTAGGCTGTCCTTGGGGGCCGTTGCTCAGTATCTTCTACAAAGCGGTAATGTGCGTGCAGCAGAGGAGCTATATTGGGATTTGTTTGAGGCAATACGAGCTCTTGATGGGAGTCTTGATCTCGAATTCATTGTTTTATGCGGTCTCGGACATACATATAATAAGCAGGAAATGCGGGAACGAGCTATCATGATTCACATGAAGGCATTGGACAGCTGTGAAAACATCTACGGCTCTTCTGGAGTCAACAGCTTCACAATTCTCACTCAGATGGCGACCAACTACGAGAGACTCGGTCAAATAGCTAATGCCATGAGTCTGTACCAGCGCGCGCTTCAAGGACGCTTGGACTGTGATCAACAAGAAGATGCCTTGGATGACAAGGAAAAGCTGGGAGAGTTGAACCAAGCTTTGGGAAGAAATACCCAGGCAGCTCGACTTTTCGATGAAGTGTACCGGGGATTCCAGGAGCTCCTTGGGCCCCATCATCGGAAGACTCTGCTGGCTATGACCAATCTGTCGGCTCTTCTTTTTGCCACAGGCCATCCTGATCGAGGCATATCGCTCTTGCTTACTGCAGTACCGCTAGCGTATCGGATTTTGGGACCTGATGATCAAGTATCCATGGCATGTGTCTGTAACTACTTGATATACTCTCCGACAACTCGCCTTCAACCCTCAATTCAAACGGTCACCGATCAGTATCTAAGCCGTAACAATCAATCCTCGCTGAATGTCCTGAAGAGTCTTGCAGAGCTGTATGGTAAAAAAGGCATGGGCCGCCAGGCAGTGGAAACCTACAAGCTCTTGTCTGAGAGAATCAAGTCGGTGAGTGGGACTTCAAATCCAATGATACTGGATGCTTTATATGGATACGCTTTCTCGCTGCAGTGCGTTGGAAGATTCAGTGAATCGATGGAGCAATATCGCCATCTTCATTCGCTGGCAGTCACACTTCATCCAGCCCAATCCCAAAGTTGGATTAATATCGTCAAAATCTCATTGGAAGGGTTGAATAAGACAAAGGCGGATCTTGACCAGGAGAACCTGGACTGGGGATTGGATGTTCCTCAAGTGTGTTCGGACGAAACGTGTCCAAATATGACCAAACGAGTTTGCTCAAGTAAAATACCAGCTTCCATGATTGCTTTTGGAGATCTCTGACAATTCCCTCACTGTAGAATGCAAAATGAACCGGTTCTGCTCTCTCACTTGCGAGTCAAGATCAAGGGAGGCTTATCACCAGGCTTGGTGCATCGCATCTGTGACTATCAGCGAGTCCATGTCAGTACTGATTAAGTACACCAATGACCACATCAACAGGGATAGCATGGCCGCATCTCTAATGCTCAATCTTCGCCTGCTCCGAAAACCCCGATGCGTGTCATTCAAGACTGTCTTCATCAATCCAATCACATTCATGACTCTTCGGATCTCCAAGAAACCAGAGAACCTTCTGGTGGTATATCCTAGCCCGACTACCAACCTCCGATTTGGGGTTCAAAATTCCATGCCCTTCCAATGGATGACGTCCGAGAATTGTGGTGCACTGCTCATAGAGCGAAGAGCCGACGCATACCTCATCGTCGCACCTGAAAAGAACAAAATGGCAGATTTGCAGGGTGAGCGAGACAAGAATTTTGGCATTGAATCTGACGAGGTTGATCTGCCAGGAGAAGATCTAATAGAATATGCACAATGGACTGAGAAGAGTGGTGGCAAAACCACATTTGTGTCGGCTTTTGCACTGGTCGAATGGTCAGTGGAATAAATCAATCGCAGGTCAAGGTTATCCGTCTGCCAGCAGACTATCCAGGCCGATAACAAAGCCATCTACGGCTCTTTCAACAAGGCTGTCCTGGTCTTGGACCCTTCTGATGCTTAAGTGTTTTGACTAGCTGATGGGTGGTCTATATGAGCATATAGAACAAGATGTCGACATATTAATTCAAAATGAAATCAGAAATTTAGTATTTATATCTTTTATACCCCCATGGCTCATGCTTGTTTTGTAAGATGGCCAGCCCAAGTAGGATAGTAGATATACTCAAAGAAATCCAGTGGAGTGAACATTACATTATGGTATCAACCGAATTAACAAGCCAGAGGTATCTAATATACAAAGCACCACCAACCAACCCAAACCCCATGCATGACCCGAAATTTAAAAAAAAAAAAAAAAAAAAAAAAGTATCATATCAGACCGGCCTATCACTAGGCCATCAACTAGGTAGTCCCAGGGATACTGAAATCCCATATTGAACCTGAAATCCCGAAATTGAACAAATGAAAATCGTCAAATCGAGGACTGCGTGTTACACCGGGTTCCTTGTAATGCACACTCGCTCGGATGCGGTGTACCCATATACCATCCCTCATCAACCATCCTTTTCTCCAAGTTGAGCCAATACTGTGCCTTGCCCCCGGCGCCAGTTTTGAGATCCAGGTCGCCTAGACGTACCTCGACAGGACCTTTGTCGTCGCATGGCATCTGTGCGTGTTAGTGGAAAGATCAAACATGGTATAATATGTGGCGGGTGCAAAAAGAAATTACCTTGATGAACATGGTGCAGTCTCTCAGAGTCATCGCAAGGGATTTCTCTCGAGACTGCGCCGATGGCCCATGTAGTCCAACATCCCGCATAGTCTTCTGGTGGAAGTGGAGCTTTTGCAGGGTGCGGTTCCGATAGAGAACTCGTGCTAATTGTTGTTGATCCTTACAGCCCTTGACGAGGCCAGTCGCACGTAGAACAGTTTCAAAGTTGTCCGACATTAGATCTAAAGGACAAAACGATCTTTCATCTGATCCGCCCGCTTTTCGCGTCTCCCCGTTCTTCATGTCCCACAACGCACATGTGCGGCACCGTTGAGCGTGGATGGGTGCAGATGGTGACTGGAGAAGCCACTTTGGTTTCAGCTCGGCAAGAATGGCATTGGGATCGTTGAATGTAGTCATATCTGTGATTAGCAGTCCGTACGGCTCGTTTGTGGAAAGGTATACGCCACGACGTTTCTTGGGACGTCGGCCGTTCACCTCTGCTGCATGTAATTGCTCATTGCAGCGCTGAACGAGCCCGTTGGGGAGAGTAACAAGTGTCTGGTCCACCAGTTCTTCTGGGTTGAATAGCGGACGAATGATCTTGTCGAAATTCTGCACGATTTCTTGATATGATATTCCTGTCTTGCTATCCTTGCGAAGTCGAAGTAATTTCCCCCTAAACTCCGGGGGCACGCCCGACTGGTCAATCGCGCCCGCAACAGCGCCAGTCATGCCCTTCCTCAACCCCACGGGCGATTTCGCACATGTGGAAACAATGCGGTAGATGACATTGGCGCCTCCTTCTGCGAGATAAATAAGTTGAACTCCCACCGGGAGCTCTATTCGAATTGGTTTTGTCATCCGTCACGTAGTCAGATGGGCGTATTTATTTGTTATCGAAATACCATGACCTCGTGAATCCCTGCCTCAGGACCTTTGGGCTGCGCCGCTGATTAAATAGATCCGGTGCGAAACAGATGGAAGGGACAGGGAAGCAAAATCGAACTCCACAGATGCGAAAACCCGGAATGGGAAATAAAGGCCTCCCGATGAAGTGTGCAGAGATGTAGCATGCAGCAAGCCCAGAAAAGGAGTTTGATCGGCTATGACGTATAGCTTTATGGGACCAGCGAGTCCAGTGCGTGTCCTATTGCCAGATTATTTAGTCGGTATCCGTGAATCAGTTGATCGTCGCGTTGTTTCTGAGTACGTATGACACGAAATGTCTTTTCTCCCAGCCCGATATTGCGTTATTCAAAAACAAGAAGAACCCCCGTAGATCTGGGGATTGGGCCCGGTGCAGGGTTTAGTGGGCTTATCGTATCGACAAGGGCGGCGCTCGGCCTGAGAAGTCTTAGGCGGATTCCATGCCAAACAGATCGGGGCAGCGCATTGGACGATGGATACAACTGGAATGCACCGAGGATGTAGGGAGGCGTTCAGACAAGGAAGCAAACACCGACTAGAGAACGTTGCAGCGACTAAATAGTAGATTGCAGGGCGTCGGGCACACAGACGTCTGTTTGCTGGTTCTGTCTGCGATAGCGCAACCGGCGGTCAGCACGAAGGAGGGAGGAGGGTAATTATTGGCGAGAATTGCTGGAGATGACGAGAAGGATTAGTACGGAGTCGCAGAATACAGATCAGCTTGGGGAGATACCAATCAGGTCATTCGACGAGGACCGAGAGTCCAAGCGACACGAGATGATTTAGATTTTGGAAACCTTGGAGTGGGTTGCCACGCGAGAAGATCACCGCCGGTCCATGGCGAATCATGGAGTTGATTTATGAGCTACAGGACGGGAGGTTGTACGACATTGAAAAAAAGATAGGCGATAATAGTCCAGATTAGTTATCGCCCTAGCGATGGATTATTGAGTCTATTCGCGATGGGAGCATCGACTGGTGATGGTGAATTGGAGGCGTAGGCAGCATGAGTCACATGACTAAATAAACATGACATCACGGGGATGGAAAGGGCGATCAAATCATCAAGCGGACTCTTGGGTGCATTCGAGCGTCTTATGATCGCAGAAGATCTTTAGATCGAGTTTCAATTTAGATAAGGCTATACGAAAATAACAAGATCTAGCACGATACGGTCACATGATGCAGATCCACCGTATTAAATGATTTAAGGGATAGCTTCAAGTCATCCCTGCGAATGATTTCACAGCATCATTTTTGGGAGATGCGCAACACTCCGATTGGGTATACATGTCAGGCTAATCCTACATGTCAGGCTAATCCTATTACGAGTTATAGGTTGCAAAGCAGTCGTTCAAGCCAAAGATATGAGCATCAATTGCTCACAAAGTAGTTGGCCGCCAATACCGGGCCCAACTTGATCTCCTTCTCCCACGCACCGAGATCATAGCGCATGCGGTTCCAGTTCCCCAGGTTTTGTCCATTTGAAGGAGCATACTTCTTGCCATCGAACCCCGGAGGCTGTTCATAAAGGAAGAAGGCGTACCGATGCGGAGAGCTGCCCGGCGGAGGGGCCGGCCCGATGTAATTGGCGACGAACGGGGCAGTGGCTCTAAAAGTGAATGTATCCTGGTTGCTGGAAACTGGCTGCAGACCGGGCTGAATCCAGTGCAGGATCGGACCGAGCACACCCCAGGAGGGGAACGGGGCGTCAATATCAAGACTGACGACCATATATGTGCCGTTAAGCGAAGGTGCCGTGAAAGACAGCTCGGGAGGTAATTGTGCCTCTAAGTCAGTTCAGTCAGTAGTCGGCTTGGCCCTTGACATGCAAGCCCAGGGACTACAATATCATACCGGCTTTGGGGATATACTGTCCAGGCTGGACGGTGTGCTTTCCAACCTTCAAACCTAAGATCTGCGAGCCACCATTCTCGATGAGAGACAAGGCTTTTTTGACACTGTGATTCGCAGGCATGTCGAGACAGTTTTGATATTGGGGATGAGAGAAAGATAAGAGGGCCATGTTAAGTCACCTAGGGAAGGCATCAGTGTTTAAATGACAAGTGCACCGGACATGCCCAGAAAGCTTGTTTTGCGATAAAGCGTGAGGTGAAGCCCTGTCTCTGTGTAGGACTATGCATGATGCCTGCTGCTGGCAGTCTTCGGACGGAGATTAGCCGGCCCCGGGACTAAAGTCCGACAAATGGCATTCTATTGTGACTTGGAGAGACAGTTGGTGCCCTTGATATCTTGATACCTAGTCCAATGGATAGTCGGCACAGAACCCGTTCAGAGACGGCTGGCACGGGTTGGCATATGCTGTGTTATGCCGGGATAATAATGGCGCACGTTCTTGTGGAATAGATGACAGCCAGAAATCAGCAACACACGTAAATGGCAAGCAGAATCCTTTGTTGTTAGTTCAATGGCCTATATTCCAGTAATAGATTTAATTGGCTCAGCCAGTTATTGAATCCTCGTAGGCAGTCCATTAAAAGACCCCAACGGCCCACAAGCCCATAGTAATCTTGTCCGACAAGAGTTGGGATTGCCACCACAGTAGCCTTAACCCTGCTATAGGATATTGCTAGACCAACTGCTCAGATATCAACTAGAGAGGGAAGAACAAATCTCCAGACGCCGCAAGAAAGCCATCGCCCCAGCCTTGTATCAAATTATCATCTTGATCCATTGCATCCGCGCAATGCAGAACCTCGTCCATTTGTTGAACATTGTGCAGTGCATGCCTCTGAACGGCAGAGTAGCAATTCCAAGGCTCTTCAATCAGGGCTGTGAGCAAGACGGGTTGGCGAGAGCTCATGGAACAGACCCATGAGGGCTGCGGGGTTCACGAGTCGCTCGAACAGGTGGGAAAGGAGAGGGACGCTTCGAGTCATTATTAGAGTTGCCGACCATGGGCCCTATATATTAGCATAATATTCCTGGTAGATTCAAAAAATCAGATTATTCTTTCTGAAAGGAAAGAATATGAAATATTTGTAGAGAGTGAGTGTAGAGCAGCGAGAAATGGAAACGGCCTGGGCGATGTCCGGCTGGTGAAATGACGCCGCGTGCCCCGCGTTGGTTGGCGACTTTTTCGGATCCCCGCCCTGCGATTTGTTTCTATATTCGAATAACACATCTGGATATCGTCGTAAATCAACAGAAGTCAAAGGATACTATCTTTCCAGAACTGATCTCTTGAAAGCAAGAAAATGGCCTCTGAAGATACCTCCTCCATCCCCACCCCGGCTCACTGCACTGCGGATTTTTGCTTGATTCCGGTATGTTTCTTGCTCTACATCGCCAGCAGTGTTATGAGATAGCATATAATCTATAGCATCACATTATGCATGCATCATCAAAACTAACTTGGTAACAGATTGGAACAGGCTCTGCCTCTGTATCAGCTCAAGTCGCCGAAGTGCAACGCCTCATTGCGAAATCCGGCGTCAAGTACACCATGCACTCGGCCGGGACGACCCTCGGTACGCATCAGATGTTCCTTTTTGATGTTCTGTCGTGTGGTACAATGCAATGCTATGCTATGTGCTTGACTACTCGTGCATTGATTATGATTCTCTACTGTTTGATTCAACGACTGATTTGCGATAGAGGGATCCTGGGATCGAGTCCACCAGGTAATCGGACAAGCGCATACTATCCTCCACCAACAGGGAATTGTTAGAATTCAGACTGATATTCGGACTGGATCGAGGTTCGTATGACCTTTTGTTTCTATCGTGTGTCGTTATCATGGACTGACTGATACCTCTCTCCCAATAGAACGGACAAGTTGCAAACATGTGAGGATAAGGTGAACAAGGTACGAGAGCTGTTGAAGGAATAAATACTGTGATAGATAAAGTATGACCAGGAATGAAGTAATGGTGTTTATGTATCCAATCCTCGATGGAGGGTTTTGTCATTCTAAAATACTGATGAACGCTCAACAATCATCATGGACTCTTTTTTATGCAGAGCAGAGCCAGGCTCGAATCAATTCCCAAAGAAAAACGAACGCCGATACTATGCGCTGTGCAACATGTCATATCTGTACATGGCAATGAAACTGCCATCACTGATAAGCTTCAGACAATACCCTTCACACCCTAAAGTGTACAACCTCCGAAAACAATTAATGAACGAGCTTATAAGGCAAAAAATGAGTGCACCAAGAAAGGAAAGAAGTAAAAGGAGACAGAAGATATACTGCTTATAGTGGAATACCACCACCGAGCAGCTCACCCCAATCTCCTCCAGCCCAGATCCATTCGCCCATGCTGGGTTTTGATCCTGAATTGGCCTTGTTGACGAGCTGGACGAGCCCCTTGAAAACATTCGAGTAGGTAGAGCCGGAGCTTGTCTGGGAGGTTGCCAGATCAGACCGTCCTGTCGCATTGCTGACACCGTTCAGGTTGTCAACAGTCTCAATGGCGGGACCCTTGTTGAAGAAATCCACGAGGATAAAGGTGGGCTGACGGCTCCATTTCTGCTTACAGTCGGACGCGGTGTCGCCCAGGTTTCCAGTTCCTCCAGAAGGAGCGTTGGTCGTAGAGACATAGCTAGAGTTGGGGTACTCGATGTCCAGGATGGTCTTCTGGTAGAGGAAGTGGTTCATAAGGGGGAGACGGTTCGAAGAGAGTGCGGAGGACAGATCGCCCTTGACGTTGGCAGGACGATCGGGTTCACAGGAGAAGTTGGACGCGGAGCTCACATCGTATGGGTTCTCCCATACGTAGGTAAATTCGTCCATCAGGTACGGGGCCACCGTGTTCTTGGAAGCATCCAACGATGCCACAAACGTCACCAACCGTGTACCATTGTTGATCATATCCTGCAATGTCGGCCATGAGGACGGCGCGGCGGTTTGCGAGGTAGGTGTATAGGCGTAATCGACCAGTTCGGCAGTTTTGAATTCTGAGTGTAGATCAGAGGCAGAGGCATCATCCGAGTTGACCAGCAAGATAGTCACCACTAAGAAAGACACTGTCAGTTAAACCCCATATAACGAATCGAATCACCAGCAAACGTACCATCATTCTTGTTGGAATCCAACCAGCTCTTGATCGTTGACAACCACGTGCTCACCTTTCCTGCATCCATCAAGGAACAGCTAGAGTGACACAGGTGCCATTCGGAATCCTTCTTGTGAACCTGAGCCGTCACCATACGGACACCAGCATCGAGCTGGTCCTTGACACCAAAGTATCTATGATCAGGTCAGCCTCAGTGCCCCCATTGCTCTCTATTCCATCCTACTCACTGGTTTGCTGCGACACTGCCATCGGACGAGTCTTGCACGAACGCGCTGTCATGGGCACCCAGATGGGTGATTTCGCCGTAGGATTTGGAGCAAAGATCAGGCGAGTTGTTGCATGCTGTCGAGCGAGCTGTCAAGGAGTTTGCAGCTGCGAGGGGGAGCAGAGCCAAAATGCCGAAACCTCGCATCCTGGCAGTCGAATATGCAATGGTGTTTTTCTAGCGGGTTGGTTGGGAGGGGAGTTTTGTTCTCTTTTTTCGATGATGATAGAATTGTTTAGATCCGGTGGAGCCTTGAGAGCGAGCAGAGCCGATAGATATGAAGGGGAGCTGGTATTGATCGGCAATGTCAGATGGGAGGCGGAAAGGAGGCCCGTTTCAAGGAGTCAGAAAATGGTCGGGGATAGAAGAGGAGAATAATTTACAGAATATCGAGAATAATTATCGTTCGAAGGATCCCAAGGAAGAATATTAACTGGCCATGAGGACAAGACTATGAACCGTGTCTGCTTGAGGATCTACACTGCGACAGCACTAATAGTTGAGCAGACGACAGTAGTGGGCCGTATTCCAGCCGTCTGGCATGGCTGTTGGTCCATCTTGTCTTGGATGTTTTGGACTTGCACTGCAAAGGAATCGCCTGATGACGCCTGGCCGCGTTTTCTGAGGCTATTCTTAGAACACATTCAGACGGTCAGAATCTGTATCTTGGTGCCACTGGGGCTCAGCCAACCATGGTTGACGCGTGTTTTGTTGGCGTTGCCCCGGGATGCGCCCGCACGGTCGCATTTGGCAACCATCTTGCATGTACCTACAAGTAGCAGCCTGTAGGGAGGACACACATACAGAGATCTAGTGAACTCATTGATAATTATATATGGTATCGTTATAATACATTCTATGCTCTATAATACACGCCGCCTGTTACGGTATTTCACTCTGCGAATGTTGGCTAATTCCGACAACATGCGCTGGTATCGCTGTACAGAAGATGCCGACCATCGAGGATTCACCAGTCCATATTGGTCGGTATCTTCTTCGCCCTGGAACAATGATGGTTCTCCCCAGACACGGACTATATCGTTAATGACCCGTCTCACATCGTAGGGATTCTCGCGTCGCAGCATGCGGTTCTGAATTCGGCTGGAAAGTCGAGGCCGTGAAAAGAGAGTGGCCAAGCGGAGTCGGCAACTCCAACGAATCCTTTCCTCCGACAGGTGAAGCCCATTCTTCTCCATCTCACGGAGAAGGACCAGCCCTCTCACCCAAATAACTAGGTTCTCCCCTGCTACCTCAGGATGATTGTACACCTTATCAAGTTTAGGTGAGACTCGCATCTTGAATCCCCATGCAACAATGGCACCCTGCATCCACGGGGGAAAAATGCTGTCAAGGACGCGACTGCCACGAGGTCGAGATAGTGCGTTCTTTTCAGCCCGAGACCTATCCTTGGATGAGGAAACAGTCCAGGGAACACGAGCCTGGTTTGCCGAGGACGAATAGTGTCGGACAAGCCACAGGCAGCACTCTCGAAGCTCATCCCAATGGTTGGTCATTCCCAGTCGCTTTAGCAATTCGACCCATATCTCAGAGGGCACAATTATACCCATGGGGACAACACGTTGTAGAACCCGAAAAACAAATGTCACTTCTGCGATGGGATTGAGCCCGGGTCCTGTAACTGGACCTATACCTCTTCTGCGCGGGGTGAGGGCATGCTCGACCATGAAATCCACGCTGTCCTTGGTCAAAGTCTTGCCTTGCAGGGCCATTTGATCCACTACTTTGGTTGCAAAAATCCATTCACCAGCTGCAATATGTTTCCGAAAATGGATGTTGAACAACTGAGGCCCTTCTTCAGAAAGCTCTGCGAGAATAGCCAAAGTCATGTTGTACTGGCGCCAGTCACGAGTTAAGTAATGTGATACCAAGAGTGATTCTTGCATGGATGCATCTTCGAGCACCTCTGGGTGCTGATCACTGCGAAGTAAATCGGACAGAAGAATTTCTCGGTTCTCTGTGGCAAGCTTGCGGATAAGTCGTGCAAACACAGTATTTCCCGACGCGATGCCAGCTTTCTGGAGCATTTGGAGTTTGTCCAGTATATCCTGGGCTCCATCGGCTCTAGCAGCCATCTCACGCAGTGACTGCGGTCCAATTGCTGGCACTCCAAACATCTTTAGCCCCGCTAAAATCATTTCGAAATTGAATGCATTAGTGGCGAATAGTCGAGCCCCAAATTCATCCTTGAAAGGCTTTTCCTCCGGCCAAGATTCCGCATTCACGCTTGGCTGTGTCTTTGTTGTCATTGTATCCAAGTCGCTGGGGTTGGTCTGAATCCCGAATCGATGTTTGGAATACTTTCTTAGCTCCTTGAAATAATACCATGGTTCATATTCCTTGACGTATTCGAACAATGGCTGCATATCCTCATAGGTATGTGGGTGGTCATTTCGTTCAACAAGAAACAAATGCATCGACAGTGCGTCATCAGCGTTGCCATGTTGTAGTAGAGTCGAGATAACAGATCCATATATTTGGTGGCCTTCAACGGTTTGACATATATGCTGGAAAGCTCGCACACCCGGGGACATATCTGGTCTCCTCTTTTCCTTGGCCAGTACGGCGCTATTGACAATGCGATGGAACGGAAGGGAGGCAGCCGGTTCCAAGATGCGCAATATATCATTTGCATGGGCCAAATGAGGATGTTGGAGCTTCTTGTGCCACTCAACTGCCTGCTGAACCATACCACGTTCTAGATACCCTCCCACCACACTCTCATAAAACTTGTCCCAGCGTTTACCTGTTTGTTTCCATATATCGAGTGCATGGGCCGCTAGTTCTTCCATAAAAACCTCCCGTTTCAGTCCTACACTCACAAAGCTTCTCCAAAAGAGATCTGCCCCTTCGCCGTGGACAGGAAACTGCACTGAATCCACGCGGACAGACAAACCCTCCCATATATCCAATGTCCCTTTATCCCCGTAATGTCGTTGTCGATAGCGAAGAAGCTCTTCCCAAAGAGCGAAATCATATTGATGAAGTGGATGATCCACTAAGCGAGTTCCAAAGTCATTTGTATGTCCAACATCCGACTCAAACTCTAGTTTCTCTGGCTGCAACCCCAGGCCATCTGCCAAATTTCCAGCAACGGCAGTTGTTCGGGTTCGTGAAGATTTCCGGGTACGCGTCTTATTGTCCGTTGCGTTGTTTGGCGAAGAATCTATGTCATGGACACGGAAGCTGAAGGACCGGTCGGCCGGTGCCTGGGGTTGACATGCAGGCTTCCTGCGAGCGGGTAATTCTGGTTCGATTTCCTTGATAACTGCGTTTTGATGTATTTTCCGCGAGCTGCACCGTAGGCATTCGTATCTAGACTCCAGATGCTCGATTCCAACGGGCGTGGATATCAGAGAGTCGAGAACCGAGACAGCGGATGGCCTCTTCAATAATCGAAGAAGAGCCGGTCGCATGAGTCTTGAGAAGAGGGGAACACGGAAGAGGCGAGTTGAAAGCTGACCATCCTTCTCATCCGGTCTTTGACAGGAATAAACAATATCCCATTGGGTTCGTGTAGCAAATCAAAAGCAAAAAGAATGGCCGTCTGTCCATCTCTCTTCACATTTCGTCGCCGCGGACACTTTTTTGGGATGACGGCGACGGGATATACGCTAACCCTATCAGGACTAGACTATGTATAAATCACGTGAATGTTATTAAGCACTCGCTGTGAAAGGCGGAAGAACGAGGAAGGTCACATGACGTTGAAGTTGCAGCTCCCATCCGGATCCACACTTCACGACATCGACTTGAGCGTTGCCAGCATCTCTTCCTCCCATTGCCTCTCTTGCCTCTCCAGCAGCCTCTCTTTTCGCATCCTCCCACCGTCAAAATGTTCCGCACCGCCCCCCGCCTCGCTGGGTATGTCTTTCCTATGCAATTCTCGCCAATTCCCCCTCGCACAGTTCCGGTTTCAGGCCGATCATCCTTCGAGTTGCCGGTGCAATTTTTGCCAGTCAATTGATGACGCTTCGCGCCTATGAACATTGATAATATATTGAATCTGTGACTGACTGTGTCTCCCGGATTTATAGATTCATGTTCCGCGAGAACCGTGTCCCTTACTACCAGCGTCTGTTCCAGAACCACGACGGAAAGCGTCAATGGTGGAAGGTCAGTTGGCCCCTATAAGTCGACCCGATTATCGACTCGATATTGGAAGGACCTAACATTGAGATTGTTATGCTTTGAAGACTGAGCGCAGTGGCTACCTCTTGTACCCCTACCTCCTCTCGGTTTACGGCTTGGGTGCCGGTGAGTCTTCTTCTACTGGATACTTCTGCGATAACGGAAGAGCTAACTCTATAATAGCTACCACCTACGCCATGGGCCGTATGGTCTTCGTCAGTACCCCCTCCTGACCATTGATTCCCCCACCCCCATGTCTCGGTCTGCGCATGCAATAATATACTAATACCTCAAACAGGGCTACAAGACCTGGTTCTAAACGAACTAGATCATTTCTCGCCCGATCTATTCTTGTTGCATCATACGACACAGCGTCTATAGGATTCCGTTGGCGGTGTATTTCTATTCCAATGATGGGTTAGACGGAGAGGAACACAAGATGTTTGGACGCTGTATATAAGATAAGCCAGGGCGCCAATGAGAGAATCCTTGCCTTGTTCAAATTTCCGCGCATTAAACCTTACAAGTGCCTATTTTATACAACCTGCTGTATTCCGAAGTTCGCGCGGTATACGTTGCTACAGCCCACTATCTTGCCTCCATGCAATGGGGTTCATGACGGATTGATAGGGCCTCCTAGCAGGGAAATGTCTACTGCAAACCCTTCTATTATTTTAGCCCTTCTATCATTTTGAATATTAGAATATGCGATTATCTCCTTTGGTACGTGGGTATTGAAATGTGGCATGCACTCGCTTTCACGGGTAGATGCGGCGTGTACTGCTCTAGGTAGGTCTTTATCTTCACCACGTAGAGAAAGATGATTTGCAAAGATTGCATCCCGGCCTTAGATCATAATTATAAAGAAACGAATTCAAGTTAATTCCCAGAATTCATGGTTAAGCCTGCTCTATCAAAAAATTCCCCTCATGGCTTAGTCAGCCGACTACTTCTGGTTTCCTTTATCGACAATAAACTTGGGACGTAAACCAGTGACATCAACACCTATATGGTTCACTAGCCATCATCCAGGGTTTATCAGCTCCTGTGCCATTTATTAACCGTTTCCGCAGTCTGGGTAGTGTCTGGGTGACTATCCAGGTGAAAAGCACTCGAGGACGGCGGCCACACATAGGTGCGTTGGTACGAAAATAGCAAAGATCTCTCTTATCGTACTAATATAACTCAGGATGGCTATATCAACTGTATAGCCTACTTAATACTGTCTTTCTTATAGACTATAAATTGATGGATCGAACATCTGAGCGGCCGGCCAAACGGGTGCGGCAAGCATGTGAGCCATGCAGGTCAGCCTCATTCCGTACTGCTTTGTCTGCGTACAGTTTGCTCACCTTTTTGAAGGCGCAAAAAGGCAAAATGTCCGGGGGAGCAACCAATCTGCTCTCTCTGTGAACGTTTACGGCAAAGATGCGCGTACGCTGAAGAACGACGCAGGTCGGCGGCGAGTCCTGCTCTGGGAGAACCAATTCATGGGACGACTACCCCAGAGATTCGAATATCTCAGACCCTAGTAGGCCTAGCTGCCATTCTATACTGCAATTAGTACTGGTATCAAGCTAACCTTCGATACAGGAGGATCGTATGGGAAGTCTTGAGGCTAAAATGGGACAAGTCCTCGATGCCTTGGGGTAATTGAACCTTCAGCGATATGTGATGGCATTGCAAAGATGGCTGATTTATAACTCAGACGAAATATCTCACAACCTGAGCAACGGCAACTGAGCCCTCTTCAACCAGCTGCTATAAATTCCTCTCACGTACCATTCGCATTGAACTCACCCACTCCACTTCCACCGTGGGAGAAAGTACAATCCATCGCTGAGTTATATTTGATCTATTGTGACTCTCAACCTCTTCCACTATTTCACCGAGACAGCTTTCTCGGCACTCTTGGTAGTCGTGACCCTGAAATCATCTATGCTATTCTTGCTTTAAGCATTCGATTCTCGGATTATTCCTACAGAGATACAGCAGACCTCGTTAATACTGTCAATGGGTACGCCGAAGTTGCTAGAGGGTTAGTCACGAGGAGAATCTCAGAAGGGCCTGTTGAGCTTTCGACTCTCCAATGCCTTTGTCTTTTGAGCCTGGTAGATTTCACGAGTAAGAGAAAGGATCCATAAATTGAAGGAGTACCATATCGCTAACTTGAACCCTCATTATGAAGATGGAAATACGCATCGCTCAAGTATCCATAGCAGCCTGGCAATGAACCTGGCACAGTGTGCTCGTCTCGGCTCAGAATCCCATAATGCGTTGTCCTCAATCATCCGTGAGGAACGCAAGAGGTGTTTCTGGAGTATCTGCCTCCTGAAACGTCTCCATGGTGGTGAATTCACCAACCTTGACTTCCCAGATGGGGGTTTCCCGCCGTATCCAGAAAGCCCCGAAAGGCCCCCACAGCCGTTTTCGCCAGACGGCTCAATTGACGGAACTAGATCCAGTGACATGCAGGATCAAGGTATCGTCGCTTATGTGATTATACTTAGCGAAGTCTTCGCAAAAACGGCAAGATATGTACGACGTCACGGAAAGCCAAGCAACATACCGCCATGGTCTTCACAATCCGAATACTCCAAAATAATAACTTCACAAATGGACATGGAGACGCGCATGCCTTACACTCATCGATTCAAGCCTGCGAACCTGGGCAACAAGACACCTGAAGAGCTTCAAGCTAATAGGGGATATTGGGGCCCATGGTTTCTCAATCAATTCTTATACCATACGATCTTATGTCTTTTAAACCATCCACTCCTTCTCTCGTTAAGTTTGCGGAACTTTCGAAGTACAATTCCCGAAATCTTTCTACAACATACTTCTGATCTGATTTCGTCACATACAACTTGGATCGTCTACTTCATCGATTACTTCGAAGAGAAATCCTTCATGGTATCAGATCCCATTCTGGGATATAGTGCAGCGGTCGTTGCCACTATAGAACTACAACTTAGCTTTACAGAAGACCTCACGATTCGACAGCAAAAGCAAGACCGCTTCTCCAAATGCGTTCGGTTTGTTCAAAAACTTGGACAGAAATGGCCTCACATGGCACGACTGGTATGATACAAATATCTAAGCCATACGCGTTCAGGGGAATATTGCTAACAGACAAAACTACTCCACAGGCCGACAGGCTACAAAGCTTAGAAGGTGCTGTTTCAGCATCCTACCAGCCTGACCCAGGGGCTCAGAACAAAAGCCTACTTATTGATCTGTCGCGTTTCTGGGAAATTCTAGAATACTCTTCCAACAGTGACGCCGATTCTGCTCGTCGACTCTTCGGCGATACGCTTTACTCGGGCCCACACGCATTCGCTGCCGAAGTTTCACAGACATCCCCCTTGCCAGAGCCAACTCGGCTTAACTTGCAACAGAGACAGCCGCAATCCCAGTTTCACGGATATAACCTTGATACACCCATTCCTGCCGAGCCAGATTGCTCTATTGATCCAGGAGCGTCTCCGAGACCTTTGGATATGCTGAACGATGAATTCTCAATACTCGCGGAGAATTTCTTCTCCCAGGGACAAGAATTTCTTCGGGGCGGAGATATTCGAGAAGGCGTCGGGAATTTTTAAATCGGGGCTTGATATGGATCCGGTGAGTTTTAGGTTACGCTGATTCTTTATCACATATGAGGCCCTTTCCGACGACAAAGCTAATATCTAAACAGTTTCCATAACCGTTATAACATGATGAGCCTCATTTTTGTTTGGGTCGTTATGAAGTTTCCTCTGAGAACTGAGTGTTTGAACCGAAAGTCTACTATCCCAGCGATCGTTTTTTTACAATACCATCATCATCTCCGAACTTCAGGCAAATTCAAATATTCATCTGCATCATTATACTATATTATGATAAAATCCAATTTCTTGGTCACACAAGACCCTCAGTTGAGGGCCGCTTTGAGCTGCTCCACAAATGTCCATACCTCTGTGAACGTGTTATACAATGGAGCGGGAGCAACGCGAACAACGCCTGGTTCACGCTTGTCGCATACTATGCCAAACTCTTGCAATCTCTGGGATACTTGTTGTAACAATCCAGGCTTGAGTAGCAGACTCAACTGGGCTCCTCTAGCCTCAGGATTCGATGGTGTGATAATGTCAAACTGACGTGTTTCGTCAGTGGTATCCTTCAACAACAGATGTTCAAGATATGCTGTCAGCTTGACTGATTTCTTGCGGATATCAGTCATGGATGTTTCATCAAAAACAGATAAAGCAGCACAGAGTGATGTAAGGTCAATTGCCGAAGGATTGGACAGTTGGAAACCCCCTGCTCCAGGGATAGGCTTGAACTCTGTTCACTATGTCAGCACGTATTGAATGAGTGAAAATTCCCTAAATCTGGGCTTTCGAGGAAGACTTACTGTTATCCATCTTGAACCTCACCGATCTGTCCCCGCCATACCATCCCGTCAAGCGATGTCGGAATTTTGGGACATCCTCCCCTTCGCTATAATCAACTTGGCCATGTCTTTCGTGTACGAAAAGGCCCCCCATTCCGCCAGGTCCAGAGTTTCCATACTTGTATGTGCACCAGGCAGCGAAGTCAACATTCCACTCATGTAGCTTCAGCTCAACATTTGCATATGCATGGGCCAAATCCCATCCGACTGTGAGGTTACGAGACTGAGCGTACTCGGTGATTTTCTTGATATCAAAAAGCTGGCCGGTATAATACTGAATACCTGGGAGTAGGATGAGGGCTGCTTCAGCAGCGTGTTCGTCGATATACCGCAGGATTTTCTCTGTTGAAATTTCAGACTCTCCTTCATCTGGACCAATGAGCACCATAGACTGCTTCGGATCCAGTTCATGCCAGGCAATATGGGATTCGATGGCATACTGTTTCAGTATTAGCTTCCACGTCATTTCACAGGTCCTAGGTTGGTTTAGCTGCGTGGAACATACGTGGTCACTAGGGAATGCTTTCCAGTCCATCAAAATCTTGTGTTTTGTTGCGGTTGGCTTATAGAAGCTTGCAAGCAGGAGATGAAGGTTCATAGTCAGCGTTCCCATTGCTGCAACCTCCTCTGAAGCTGCTCCGACGATCTTCGACATGGATTCGGCCGCTTGCTCTGCCAGTAACTGCCACTGCTTGAGCGGGGAGTCCTCGATATCGGTGAAATGGCCGCCAACACCTATCGATGACCATGTGTCCAGGTGTGCTTCAAGATATTTTGCAGTAGCTTTGGGCTGGATGCCGAGAGAGTTGCCGCAGAAGTAGATACATGGCTCTGGTGAAAGCCCTATAACCAAGTTAGGGCCATACAAGCAAGAAACAGCAAAAACACCAACCAGGCTTCGCCAGTTTTTTTGAAACAATATTGGCCTTGGAGGGGATAATGAATTTCTCACGAAATCCCCGCAGCGGATCTGTAGCGTCAAGAGAAGCGGCATATTCCCTCGTATCCGCCTCTGCTGGGAATGACTCGAGTCCGTTAGAGATGGCACATGGGTCCCTCATGGTGATTTTGTTGGAAAACGAAAAGCTATGAATAAAAGGAAAACAAAGTCCGCCTGGAACTCAGATGAAGTACGGTTTTTCACTGATATTTATAGACAGTTCGTTTGTTGGCGTTGCACAACGGATGCTTCCTCCGTTCATCTGATCTTGGAAGGCGCCATTCGGATGGGCTTCCGCTTCCGCTTCCGCCTCACGATCCTGGTGGTACAACAGATTGCAGCACGACCAGGACCACAGGATACTTCATCCTGCTTGGTGAGCCTGCGAGATGAAGATCTCTGGTATATCGAAAGTCTATTCACATCTATTTCCGGAACTGGATTCCACGGTCCAGGAAGCCGTCCCAAGCTGCATGATGCTATCGTTAATACATCGCTGCACTTACACAGTCGCCAATCTGTCCCGGAAATTAAAACAATACAGATACTATCGACTATAGACCCAGTGGGGAATGGAAGCTTTTTTTGGGTTCCTGGGCTGCAATATTTCAGGCGGAAGCGGGTTGAGACCGGCTCCTTCCGGTGAATGGGCTTTCATTCTCATGATCAACAACTGACCGCACATAAATAACACCGATTTCTTTTGCTTTCATGTTTCTCCTTCTTCATCATCATCATTATGGCTATGTATCTGTTATCGTCAGTCTCTCTCGAGAAATTGTCTGTTTATGTACAAGACCTAGTACGTCCGCTTTATTCGGTCTTCGCCATGCGGCAAACTCTAGATACCGATCTCGAACAATACCGGGTTTCCTCTGAGAATGGGTTCCTTCCCGATGCTCTTCCTCTGCGGAAGATGCCAGACCCTTACTACTCGCCATGGGAAGACGCAGTCCATGATTTGCCAGAACGCATCCAATCGGGGAGTATAAGGCAGACAGTCGACAATCTCCCTATTCTCTCAACTTCGAAGCTACAAGGAGAGCCAGAATGGAGAAGAGCCTATGTTATCCTGGCATATCTCACTCACGCCTATATCTGGGGAGGCGAAAAGCCGAAAGATGTATGTTCTCCTTTACACCACCGCTAGATCTCCATTGACTAATTTTGCAAAGATACTACCGCCATCCATTTCATGTCCGTTTCTCGAGATTTCGTCATATTTGGAACTTCCACCATGTGCTACGTACATTGCCCTTAGTCTTTGGAATTATAACATCCAGTCCCGCGACCCAGATATCACCGACCCAGACAGTCTGACGGTGAACACCTCCTTCACGGGAACCAAGGATGAGGAATGGTTTTTTATGGTCTCCGTTGCAATTGAAGCAAGAGGGGCAAAGCTGATTCCCCTCATGCTTCAAGCAATTCATGCTTCCAATATCAACAATGCTAAAGGTGTGATAACCGCTCTCAATCAACTTAGCGATGGTCTCCATGAACTTGGTCGGATTCTGGAGCGGATGTACGAAAAGTGCAAGCCATCAGCTTTCTTTCACCAAATTCGCCCTTTCCTCGCCGGGAGCAAAAATATGGCCACGGCTGGATTACCAAACGGGGTTTTCTACGACCAAGGAGAAGGGAAGGGTAAATGGCATCAATACAGTGGGGGCAGCAATGCGCAAAGCTCTTTGATTCAAACATTTGATATCTTTCTGGGGGTAGAGCACTCGGCCACAGGGGAGACCAAGCCCAACAGCAGTTCTCAGTCGCAAGGCAAAACTGGATACATACAGGTAATCATTTGTAATGGCTCTTTCTAGTGATCTTTCTAGTGAAATAAGTACTGACGATCTTTGATCTGCAGGATATGCGAAATTACATGCCAGGCCCCCATCGACGGTTCCTAGAAATGCTGACCCGGCTATCCAATGTTCGTTCGTATGCAATGAGCCACAAATCGGATTCATCCGTGAGAGATGCATACAATGGGGCAATCATGGCGTTGGGGCAGTTCCGAGACAAGCACATTCAGTTGGTATCACGATACATTATCATGGCCGCGAGAACTCAACCCTCGAACCACCTACCCGGGAAACTCAATCTGGCTACCGCTACATCTCAGATGAAGGGCCTGAGCGAGAAGAGTAAGAAAGGAGTCTGTGGTACGGGGGGGACGGACCTGATACCGTTCCTGAAGCAGACTCGAGATACGACCAAGGCTGCAGCCAGTTATGCAGACTGAAAGCACATGATATCGGCAATTACTTTGGATGAATTAGCGAATTTCTAATACCCTCTTCTCATGTTTAATGATGACTCTGGTTTCTTTGTTTAGTGATGCATTGACCTCGTTGCAAAAGTACGTAGATTAGCTTGGCTCGCCCAGCTGGCCCGTACGATGCAGCATGGCACTGTACATAGTTCAAACAACAATTACATACAAATTTGCACTAGCTGAATCTAAAGTGATTTCAAATTACAAACCATTGAATCAACTTCCTTGTCTGATACTGGACTTTGTGCACACGCGTCCGTACTTTTTACGCCCGATTGCGAGCGATTTAGACAAAAGCAACATGGTCCAGGAGGAATTACTTTACAAGGATATTGATCTTTACCACACCGCCAGTATGGTTCTTGGAATGAGGGGAAACAATGCCATATTTGCTTCTTTAGATATATTTGCTTCTTTAGATATATTTGCTTCTTCAGCTGAGTGAGACGAACTGGACTAGATCCCGGTCAGGAGTATGTCAAACGGAAGCGGAAGCGGATCTGGAGACGGAGAGAACGGATCTCAAGACGGGATATAATTACGACATCGGAAAAGACAGGAGAAGATAATAGATAAATAGATAAGGTATTGATCAGATGCGATATCGAGAGTAGCTAGTACATATGATCCGCTTATATTTTATATAATATAAGGAAAATACTAATCCTGACCTTGTATATCTACGTGATGAATATTTTGTCCAAAGCACGATGCTGTAGTCTGGACGTCAACTAGGCTGAGCTGTAAATCTTATTTCCATCTTGTGTGACGCAAGTGGCATTATCTATTGAATACATAGGCTTTCATGGCTGTAAGCCAGCATAATCCACGAACTGCTTTTGTTATATCTATCACAACTAAAGTACTACCAAGTTTTGCGATGGTGTGTTGTTCCGGTCGACTGGGATAGCGATAGCCAGGGATTATCCTAGTATATGTAGATTTTTGAGGGCCCTTGGTAGAGGTTACCTCGCATTGTTATCACAATTGATCCACCTGTAAGCATTCAGGTTCTCGATGATCGGTTCGTAGTTCGATCCATGGAAACTAGGACGGGCATGGTGGCAGTTGCGAGTAGAGACCAGCCTTTACAAGGTACACTTTCTCAAAGCTGAGGCTGCTGAGATGCATTTCGAATGCGCGACTGTGCCAATGAAACCAGTTTAATCAAGCATTCTTAATGAACGAACATGAATCGGACAGAATTTCTGAAATCCTTCTTTGAAGCCTGTCACGCCTGATATGCCCATGCCAGCGCGTTGTTTACGTCAAACGAAGCATCACCGACGTCAGGGTTTGAAGCATGGTGCCATCTGCAATGAAGCCGGCCTGATCCTGTATAATCTTTGCCCAATCCCGGAAGAATGCAAGTCTGACATGTTCAGACTGCGGTTGTAGAAAATTGACAAGTGCTGCACGATTCTCTCTTAGCAAGCTAATAACAGGGAATTTTAAAAAATTGGAAAGATGAAGCAAAGTGATATGTTATATGGAAGGTATATAAATATAACCGAAGATAGGTAATAAGCTGGAGGAAAAGAACTGTTCAAGTAAAATGGTCCATATAATTTTTTTTTTTTTTTAATCGAGCAAAAATCAATTGCATGTGTTTGGATAGTAGTCAGCCTGGTTCTACCCTTGACGGCTAAGGCAGCTGTATGCACTCAACAAAGAATGTCAAACTCCAGGGCCTTTCATTGCACGTGCAGCTCATACTGCAGTTGACCTGTTGACGTGTAACAGCAGCGATCATTAAATAGATGTGTAGCATCTGTAGAATGCCTTTCCACAAAGCAGTTATATCAAATGAATGTTTTTTATTAAAAAAATGTTTTCATTGTCGGTCCATAGGCAGCTGCCCTATCCTGATTAAACAACAGCAGCATACTAAAGCCCCAGTTGCAAGGTCGGTATGGCCGCACTTATTATTGTATGCGTGACTTGGTCAAAAAGCCTTTAGTTCCCTTCAGCCAGTATGAACCTCGTACAACAAGTTGGGGAGCGCAAGTAGGTGTCCACCAAACAAACGGTATGACGCGAGATGGCAAATTCGCGAACAATTTGCTAGACATTGTCCTTCCCCTAAAATCCAAATGTTTTCTTACGTATCGATGTAGGGTGTGGCTCAGGAAGACAAAATATTATTGTCTTCGCGGATGGAGGCGAGATTGTTGCCATACAGGCATGTGTTGGCCGCAGTGATATCGCCATTTTATGCAGTGGGAAAGGAATTGTAAAGCCTGTCCGTAGCAGTGTAAAGTACTGATCGAAGAGTGGATTTATCGCTTCTTCGTGGTGGTGGTGGGGACTCCTTCGCTTTCTCTTAGTTCGGCCAGTTTCTTTTCACGTTCCACGAGCCGTTCCTTCTCCTCCTTGATCATCTGCTCCACAGTCTTGTTGGCCTCTCCCAATCGATCTATCTCCTTGTTTTCTGTTGTTCTGCTGTACGGGTTGTCGGCTGTCTCGTTGAAAGGAATCTCGGCTGTCCTGGCATTGCGTTGTTGTAAGGCCTGCTTGGCGTTTTTTCCTCCTTTGCCCTTTTGTTGTTGACCAGTGGCAGATCCTCCAGTGAGAAGGTCATGGAACTGCTCCACAGGCTCGTTGAATACAATCTCCTCGTAATTCTGGCTAATCACTACCTCCCGGCGTTCCTTCCTCCCTTCCGCATCCGGGCCGTATGGGTGTAGTTTCAGACTATGCCATAATGTCTGGGGCTTCTCGGTCGATTCAGGGACGAAGTAAAGTTTAACTTGAATCTCAAATTCACCCCATCCGGTCTCTACCACTTCGAACGGCGGCTGCTCGACTGTACGCACATTCTGCGCGTATGTCTCGTGTAACTTGAATTGAACCTTCTTTAACCAGTAGGAGATGTCTTCGTCGTTGACTCCCTTGACGAATACGCGCCACTGGTGGGTGTGGTCGGCAGGAACGTGGGGTGGTTTCTTCGCGGGATCAAAGGGTTGTGCCTCGCTGCCAAAAACTGATACTGTTAGTATATTTCACGAGGAAATAGTGAAATGTGAGCATATATGGCATACCAAATGGCCTGAAAACTGAAACTCCCTGTATAGAAAGTGATTAGTTCGGTCTCCTTTCAGCAGCAACCTCGGCTTGCACTAACCCTGACGCGTTTTGTACCAGTCGCAGAGGGCATATTGCTAGATTAGACGTAGCAACACCCTGAGAGAGACTAAAATTGTATTTGTAGGTTGAAAATAATAAAGTCTCGGTGGATGGCGAAACCGATGCGATAAGATAGTTTCGATGGCATTTGCTGCGACAGAACTATGTCGGGCCTGGAATCGCCGATGGTTCACGTGATAATATCGCACCAATGACGACACTCCCCAGTAGGAGCTCATATGAGCTTGGTTTATTCTTCTTGACGAACCTAGGGCAGACCGACGCAGGAGCTATTAAGATAATTGGGCATTATAATTGGAATATACAGCGTTTGAGCAACATCTATTCAGGATGGCCTCTAAAAGGGTTGTGGTTGCAGGTGGAAATGGATTCTTAGGTTTGTGCCTATCCCGCGACCAAAAAAAAAAGCTATCTTATTCTACGCGATACTCACCACTTCTGGAACCTTACAGGATCAAGAATTTGCAAATCGGCAGTTGCTAGAGGGTGGAACGTAACATCTCTCAGGTACGATGCTATACAATTCTGTCAACGTTCCACGCTTAAAGTATCAGTCGATCCGGAGAGCCGCGATGGGATGCGGTCACCAGCTCGCGCGAGCGGCCAAGCTGGGCAAGCTCTGTAGAATGGGCTAAGGCGGATATGTTGAAACCGGAGACATACAAATCTTTCTTAAACGGCGCCAATGCTGTCGTCCACAGCATGGGAATCCTCTTGGAGGCCGACTACAAAGGGGTGGTACAAGGCAGAGAGCCTATTGTCAGTGGTCTCCAAAGGGCGTTTAGTTCCTCGAAGTTGGGAAGTCAAAATCCTCTTGGAAGACATGCAGGGGAACCGTTGGTGCCTAAAGAAAGAGATGGACAATTGACTTATGAGCTCATGAACAGAGATTCAGGTTTGTGCATGCCCTAATCTATGGATAATTATTTGAGACATAAAGCTAACTTGTGCCAAAACGCAGCCATCGCACTAGCACAGGAATCCTCTAACGAGCATGTTCCAACTTTTGTATACATTTCCGCTGCTTCCGGAGCCCCGATCCTTCCAAGCAGATATATCACAACCAAAAGAGAAGCCGAAACAACCATATCCTCCTCGCTCCCAGAACTGCGAAGTATCTTCATGCGCCCACCTTTCATGTACGATTCGAGCAGAAAGTTCACTTTGCCGATAGCATTAGGTGGTCTCGTTGGTTCCCAGTTCAACGAGCTTCTGGGCAACAGACTTGGATTCCTCGGGGCAATGGTGCATAAGCCTTTGCAGGTAGATATCGTGGGCGAAGCCACGGTTGAGGCAATGGAAGACGAGTCGACGCTTGGTGCTGTTGAAATAAAGCAAATAGAAGCGCTGGCCACCAAAGCATGGAGAAAGAGCATGCTCTAAATATGATTCGGAGTCGGAAGATATTTGGATCATGCCTTCGATAGCGAACAAGGTAGCGATTTCAGGACAGAGGATGATCAAGATGCAATCTCAAAGCATTTGCTAACCGCTAACCTGCCCCTGCTGGATAAATAATACATAGTCCGGCACTGTACAATAGGTGTTTTCGTTAATTCAAATCATATCATGGTACCGCGTTCAAAACTGTCACGAATTTCCGTAGTGTACTGGAAGAAGGTTAGCGATCTAGCTGGAAAATATCTGTGTAGGAGACAAACCTTGTTATAAAAGCGCCCCAATTTCTGGTTGAACTGCTTGTTCTTCTCGTTGATGTACGTGACATCACCGTCGTCGTCGCCGCGACGGTCCCTGCGTTTCTTGAGGCGGACCTCTTCGGCCTTCTTCAGGTCTCCCACGAGTCTGTCGACGGCAGCTCGATCGGGCTTGTTCTCAGTAAACCCAACACTGTCTGCTGTAGAGTAAAATGAACCGTTCTTATCGACAGCAATCATCTCACCATCGTTGGTTTCCACAATCTCAAGGTCACCGTTAGCAGCGGCTTTCTCGATGGCGGACATCTTCTCCCTCTCATATGCCTCCAGGTTGGGTTTCAGCTCCCGCAGCTGTCTCTTGTACACTTTTCGTGCATCTTGAGTGTAGTCCTTAAATGCGACATCATCCCGATGACGTTGTTTCTTGTCCATCCGCTTATCCCACTTCTCAGACTCATCCACTGTCCAGTCCCATGCACGCTTCCGCTCAAAATCCTCTCCAGCGGCCTCCGTATCAGCCTTCAATAGGTTGTGGGATGCAAACGCATGCTTGCGAGATACCGATGACAGCAGCGATGGATCGGTGGCTAGGCGTTGCGTCTCTGCGGCGGTCTCTTTCAAGTTGCGCTCGGCGCCGGATTTCTAGCTCGATGTCAGTTTATGAACCAAAGAGATACCGCATATAATGATCAAAATTTGGGAACAGCAAAAAAAAAAAAAAAAAAAAAAAAAGGACGATCGCAAGGCGCACGGGAACACTTACTGCGCGAGCTTTGAGAGCTTTGAATCGTTCCGCTCTTTGACGAGCTTTCGCCGCAGCGTCATCATCTTTTCCGTCTGCCAACGGCCCTTCTGAAGGGGTTTCCTGATCGGGTTCTTGAGATTGCGAGGCTGAATTCTCAGCGACATCACCGGTCTCTTCAACCTCAGCAGAAGGGCTCTTCGAGGCTTGGTTGTCTTCGGAAGGATTTGCCGCAGACTCTTGCTTGGGGGGCATGGTCGTATGCGTCAGGTAGATGTCTGGATGAAAGATATTGTCGTTAAATGTCGAGTTATATCGTTAAAAGGTCGTAGGTCACTGGATAAAGCCAACGGTGCTGGCAATGTGGCTAAAGAGAATGATGATTGATGATAGTTGAGGGAGTGAGACGTTCAGTACTTTGGTGACGGAGTTTTGGTTACACCCGCGCCTCTTTGGCCCCTTTACCGCCCGCTCTAGCAACGCAACTTAGTTGCAGCTACAAACCTCAAGGTCCAGTGTTGACACTGCAACGATTATCAGCTGGCTGTCCTTTGTTTGCAGTGATTAATGTCTAGGTGCTCTTATTCCCATCTTCGGCTGCTCCCGAAGCGACCACTTGTCCAGCGCGCTGCGTCGTCGCAGCCGCCGCTCCGCCATGTCTCTGTCAACCATCATGCCAAACGCAAGACTCCATTCCTTGAGCCCACGCCATCTCAACTACTCCGATTTGCATTGACGGGGACTACACAGCCAGTCCAGAATGGGACACGGAATCCCGAGTTGGACCAACAACTTCAGGACCTCTTCCTTGAGGAGTGGCCGTTCAATAGTGCGCCTCCGCCATCATGGGGGTCTTTCTTGCAGAAAGGAACAGGGTTGAACCCCAAGGTGTTGCTCAAAGGTCTTCGACATGATGTTCGAAGTCTCCGGCATCTACAGACTTTTCTTGAACGAAATGTGAATGTGGCAGGAAGTGGCGCGCTTTTGCAGACGGAGAGTTGCAAGCCTCTGGCACAGACCCTCGAACGATGCGAGCGTTTTGACTCGTATAGGGACATCCTGACAGCTATCAATGGAATAATTGCCAGGATCAAAAGACTACGTGATCCTGTGAACAGTGAACTCTATGTTCTGGGCATGCGTTATGCCTGTTCCTGCCTTTCGGTGCCGGCTCTCAAGTACCATCTTGAGGGCTACCATAAAGCTGGCTTTCGGAAGTTGGATACAGAAACGAGTGTCGTTTTGATCAAATCGCTTCTTTCGTCTTTGCATTCCATGCAGTCCGAAGACCCAGGTTTCAATACAAGCCCTATACTCGATTTAGTCATTGGAGGGGGCAGCGAGCAAGCCTCGCAGTACAATTTGCATGATATTCTGTGCTGGGCTGGACCTGAAGGTTCAATAGAATCCATCGATGAGTATGTCCCGTTACTCATGATGCAACGGAGCGATGCATCCTTGCACAGTGTGTGGAATCGATTATTGCTGGCAATATCTCCTGCTTCGTCTTCCCGTACATTCCAATCGGCATATGCTTGCATGATGGCCATGATAGACACTGCGAAACCTGAGACTGCCGTAAAATATCTAAGGCAGATATCTAAGCGCGCCGGTAATACTCTACCAGGCATATCGCAATTCGAAAAATTGGGTGTTTTGCTTTCTGATACAAAGATCTGCGAAGTTCTGCCCGACCTTGCTGGGGAGAAAGAGTACTTGAACGTCCTCGATAACCAGCTTGGATATCTTGAGAAAAGGCTCGGCATCAATTGGCAACCTGAAAAATCGCTTCATGCCAGTGTGTCTGATCCAGACTGTATTGCCACCGGGCAGTCACTTATCACGATCGATGGAGACAGCGCTGGTTTCGACAGCAGTAGTCGCTTGGTTTCAGAAATCCAGGTTCTAGGATGTTCAAGATCCTCCATGGATCTCGGTAGAATTGCGTACTTGCTAGATGAGCATGAAGGGAGTGAGATACCAGTCTCTTTGCCAACTTCGGGTCATACATCGTACGAATTTGTGTGGCTCCCACAGCGCTCACCAATCGAGTTTTCAAATTGCTTACTGCCGGGGAAGACCGATATGTCTGCGCCATGGTCTAACGCTACTTTGGGCCTGATCCAAGCCAAACTTGTCCGTGACGGAGTCGTGGCAAGCGATCGTTCGTTACACTTGATGCAGCTTGGCTACTTGGTTATGCGAACTGCGCCGCAGGATAAGGCTGTTTCCGAAAAGCAAGGTGCATGGCAAGAATCGGGACACATTGTTGCTTGGGATCGCACTGGTGGCCAATTCCTCGCCGTTTTTATTGGACAGGGCTATGGAGTGGTTGACCCCGGTTTACGATCTCAATCCCGGCAAATTCCATCTGGTCTCGGTGCCATTGCGAGAATCACCCTTTCTGGCGATATAGATACACCATCACCTGCAAATAGTGCACCTTCACTGGGAGCGAACAGCGCGGGCTATCATTTTGACGTGGACCCAAGCCCAGATTTAGTATTCTGAGCGATTTATTCGTCGTCTTAACTTACATTAATTTTGCTTATTGATGGTGCTATATCTCCTGTTCCTGAAACTGACTCGGCTTGCGCTCGGACAAAGCAAAAGCCAACTAGTATCCAGCGCTTTCCGGCGATCGTTCAAAGTCAAATTGACAAGGACAGTACATTCCCGGAATCCAGGGACACTTATGCCCGAACTAATCTCCGCGATCTCAATAGTCGACCTCGGGGTTTTGTGGAGGCTGGCTTCGGCTTGACCATCTACGTATCTTTCGGCCTTTCAGCCCTTCTAGACCTTTGCGGACATGTGCTATGATATCAGCGCATATTCTTTGCGTTTCTTTCGCTAAAACATTATTGGAAAGTACAGAGCAAAAGCCTCGGCGTTGACTGCCATGTGATATGAGACAGGGATGGGCCATCAAAGCCGCATTCAAGTGATGTATCATTATTCGACTGGTCTCTTTTACTGCTAGCATGGCTGGCTGAAAAAAGGCCGGTCGTTTCATCTCACTCTAGGTTGGAATCCCGGAATCTTCGTCCTGTTCTCCGGATGAGAATGCTAGTCACCCATCAAGGACTACCTGGGTCCGAAACACTCAGTGGGCTTTTTTGAAAATTAGCACATCATCGTTCCTGCATTTTTGGCTGGGACCCATGAACTGATAGAAGCCACTTCCGGGGTCTCCTAGCATTCGGGCCTCTTCATCCTCGGAGATGGATTTCTCCAACCAATTGTGAGTACGTGATCAATAATTTAAAATCATTGTTCATACATACTACCCTGCATGTAGACTTCGGCTTTTGGCCTTCATTTTCTGGTAGTCGGTGAAACCACGTAGAGGGACTGACAGTATCGAACTGGACTGCGTAGTCGAAAGGGGTTCCAGTGTGCTGTGGGATCAACTCCGCTGTCGTGACGAATTAGGGCGTGGGGACCACTGGATGGACGTCCAGAGATCCAGAGCCCCTCCCAACTAATTCTCTCTCTCCTTCTCTTTCTTTCTTCCCCCATTCACTCGCTTCGCACTTTGGGCAGAGATATTAAAAAAAAAAAAAGAAATAAGACAGACTGTTCACGATCTCTCCAACCAGCTTCCAGCAAAGTCATGATTATTGGCTAGATCGAGCGCAGGCAGTCACGTTGTCTGCCGGCGTGCTGGTAAGTGGTTGGCCCAGGTCACTTGATCACATCCCTTCCTTTTTCCTCACCTCTGGGGACTATTCCACCTCGGATTCCTTCCCAGGATGTCCGGATCGCTCGAAGGATTCCAGATTGCAATTCCTAGACGCCAATTGCAATGGAGTCCCTCATCAGTCGTCCTTCACCGTATAATACTGGTGGGATAGTGCACCGATCCGTTGATACGCGTCGAATCCCGCAGAGGAATGGATGACGATAATGTTGCGACACGATCCAGGTTGCCTTGAATGCCTTATTGCGAACTACCCCCGGGATTAGCTGGGGATGAAAAAAGTCTCATGTTTGCTTTTTTTTTTTTTTTTACTTCTTTCGTGCTTTTTGCTTGGTTTCTTCCCCACTAATCAGGACGATTTAAGCGTGGCAGCTAATGAGATCTAGCTGGTTCGTTTCGTCAGATCGACGATTTTGAAATCCTTTGCCAATTTAGGGCATTCCGAAACACAATAATCCGTGTTATCGCCTATGATTCATCGAAAAAAGAAAGAGAAAGGAGAAGAGAAATACGGACATAACCTCTGCCGTGACCCCCTCTGGCACCTTTTCAATGACTGCAAGGCGGCTTCGACAGCCAATAGTGACCGTATCAGTGACCATTTAAACACTCCCAGGGATGATAGCGTGACACGCAGCGGTATATGCACCACATATTAATTCCGGGATTTATGATGACATCGATACATGGGTAATATTTTCTTTTTCTTTTTTTTGTTTCAAAAAAAAAAAAAAAAAAAAAAAAAAAACTCTTCTCTCTGGAACACTCCAAGTTATCGTCGAATATATCCCACAGTGATAGTTAGTCAATGGATCATCATCCAACCGTTGAAAGCGTTGTGGGAAAACCTAGCTTCAGATCGACGGTGTGTGACACATCACTCATTACTGCCATGGTTACTCTCAACGAGGCAACCTCCGCATGCAGTAGCTCGCCTCGTTAAAGAAAACAAGGCGATCAGCTGTTTCCACTTCTAATGCACGACCACCACGCTTGTCACTGGCTAGGGAGCGAACCGGTTCAGTATCCAGACCACAGAGTAGATGCTCAAGGGTCAACGCAACTCCACAAGTCAGAGCGATAACGGATAGGGAATCGAACATGTTATGTGTCAATGATTGATGTCATTTGTCCTCATGGGTGTGAAGGGTCCATATGTCTATTTCATGTGCAACGTACAGAGTACAGCAGACAGGTAGGGACAATCCCCATTACAGAGTACATATGAGCTGAATCAGGCCCAAAAAACGCTAGGGCTTTCTGGCACAAATCAAAGATAACGAGGATCTAGGATCGTCGTGGTGCCAAGCCTCTTATGATGCTCCTCGACTTATCCCCCTCGCTACTTCCAATCTGGGGATGTCGACCGTGTTGCTGGCTGGCTGAATGGTGAAAAAAAAATAATAATCTTGCGAGACCGCGATCTCATTCACGTACGTCCGGTTTTTTTTCGCTCCAGCAACCGGAATGGTCCGTGCAATCCGCCTGTTTCCCAGCTGACGATTACCATTTCGCCTTGTTGTTCAAATCCCGCCAATAGTCTACATTTTGCCTGTGTTTCTCATCCAGTAAAGATATACAGACTGGCGTACCAAACCCTATGGGTTGGGTGAGTAGAAGTCCGTACAAAGTACGGGCAAGAAACCCATACTGGTAAGATCACTGTAGGCGCCAAGCGACTTATCGATTGGCCTGGGCAATCGTCGACAATCAATCTTGTACCGAATATGGCACCCCTGTGCTAAACACTCCGCATTGAATGCATGAACTCGAGATATCGATGCAGATGGATCTTCGATTCTTTCACATGAAGTGAGCCAACGGTAGATATTCCTTTTCTACCGGTTAGCTCGTCATCGTCAATGGGTGACCTCTTGCTACTTTTGGCGCTGTTATTTTGCGAATTCAAGATGGATGACTTCGAAGCTGTAATACACAAACAAGAAGCTTCTCAGAGCCAACCCTCTAAGACAGTTCATGGCACTCTACGATGTCTCTTTCTCTAAGGTACAATGTACAGAGATACAAAGTACATGCGAAGCACATGAATCGTGGCATTTTCTTTTCTTTTTCAATATTGCCCCGATCTTCTGACTAGGAAATCTGAACAGATGGGGCACTTATGCAGGGCCTTCATGAGTCGGCCAGCGCATGGTGCCTGATCTACCGGATCCAGAGGGGGAAAAAGAAAGAAAACTCGGCCCAGGGTTCATGCACAATTCAGGTTGATTATTATCCAGGATTCCCGGTTGCCTGTGCATCTGGTCCAATGGTCCGAGATCTAGCGACCGCAAAACTTCCATAACTTAGCTGCTCTGGTTTCCGGGAACCAGGTCAACATGACCGAGATCTTTTAGGTGCAGAATAGCTATTAATGTACGCCTCATGAACGAACGGTACTTTTCACACATATTGCTGTTTTTCTTATTGGCTCCCAGGGAATTTGTCAACAACCTTTTTCGCCTGCACAGCGTCCATAGTACTACGGAGTAAGACTTCCGCTTGCCACCACGAGCTCCTCGATCTTGCTTTATGCCGATCAAAATGGAATTATTTTCAAAGTTCGCCTAGCACTGGGGCTTCCGGGAACACAAAAATCTTTTCGAAGTCAAATAGTTAATTGTTGAGGTTCTAGAAAACCACTCGGGGTTTCCGTTTATGCGCACAACCTTCAATCTTCTACTAGTTATCGCGCTAAACATGGACCATTGGACCACTGTCCATTGTTCATTCTAAGAAATACAGGCCCTTGCAGGGGCTTAGATCAAATGAACCAGAAAAGCAAAAAATGGGAAGAACAGAGATGGGGAAAAAATGGAAAAGTCCAAGAGCAGGAGCAAGAGCAATATGATGTTCTCGGCTGCTGCCACACACCGTCGCCGTGGGCACACACGCACCCCTATCACTCACAAAAAGGCCGCTCGGCCCGTTTCCCCAGATCCGCTTTGTCTCCCATGTTTGGTGAGACGCTTTGGCAGACACAAAGAGCGACAAGGACAAGACTCAAGGCGTTCTAGGGTTGGCCTTAGTACGACCACATCCTTCTCTGCTGCCCCGAAATCCCGATTTGTCAGTCTTCAAACAGTGTGTTTCACCTTCCAGGCTTTCAGTCCTGGTGTGGATCAAGCTGCTGTTCATTGCGTTTATTGCGGTGGAGTCTTTTCAATGTTTTATTTTTTGTTTTTTCTTCCCTGACAACTGCTGCTAATCTCTGTGGCCGTGTCGTGGACCCCATCGACAAGGGCCTCGTACTAAAGCATAAGTCACTATCGTGCTTCTTTGGTACGCACCTCGCCCAATACATAGGCCTCTCCAAGCCGCGTTTGGGCTATATACCCAGTTTCGTTCTGCCTCCCTTACTCCTTGACGTCGGCTTGGGTGCTTTTTGTTGAATACATGTAACAGAATTCTTCCCCATCTTTTCAATTTTGTCTTCACTTTTTGCTTCTCTTTTATTTATTTTTTATTTTTTATTTTTCTCTCTTACTCTCCTTCGCGTCGTTCGATCTTGGGATATCAGGATCTAATCGACCTAAACTTCCCGATCCTTGACTTGACTTGACCGCTTTCTGGTTGCCTTCACGGATGCCTGTCTTGCAGAGAGCGGGAACCCACCACTTGGCTCTTTCGAATACTGCATATTTGCTCTAAGGAGTGAAGCGGACACAGGCCCTTTCAAGGTTACTGTTGATCCGCATAGATGTCAAACACTCCAGCGCAGCAAGGTGGACAATCCACATCCGACAGGCGATATCTCGACTTGACGCCTCATGGACAGCAGGGGCCTGCAATTGATCCTGCATTTCAGAATCGCTTACCACCAGAGCCTCCGCGGTTTTTGTTCCCGGACAACCAGGGCTATGACCCTACCAAACCTTCTGAGTCTCTGTTTCTTTTCCAGGGCAAGTCCCAGGATACTGATTCAGACCAGAAGTTCAAGGTTTCTTCTGGCAGCGCCGGTCCTCTGAGCCAGCATGGAGTTCAACGAAGCAGCCCTCTTTTAGGGAATCCAGAGCAACATGGGGCCCCCAGTTCCTACAACGAAATTGCATCCTCGATCTCGAAGCTGACCTGGAGTCGTGCCTCGGGTGGCTCAACCGTTCGAACCCTCGATCTTGATTCTCAGTAATTTCCCCTTTTCTTTCGCTATGGTTATTGCAACTGATATTAAAAAAAAATCTGTTGCCTGTGCTTTTCCTGGAATTTGGCCCCCCCTCCCTCAAATTCCGCGATTTCTTGCGTGTGACATGGCGGTTAGCGACATATCTAATGCGATATATCCAGATACAGTAGTAGTTCTACGGCCTTTCCGAGTCCTGTTCATTCTGATACGAGTGCTGTGGCATATCCAAGCAGCTTGGTAACAGCGAAGCCTCAGTATCACCTTCAGCCGCAGCCGCAGCCTCAGCCGCAACCACAGCCACAGCCACCAAAGCGCCAAATCAGTTCCAGCATACCAACGGGCTTTGACAAGCTCCTTAATCATTCACCGGCCCATCCTAGAGGTGATCAGACAACCGGAGTAGGGCTGCCTCCTGTACAATCCATACAACCAGGAGGCACGGTCAGGATAAAACAGCCGGCAACGTTTTTCATTTTCTCAGACCTCTCTATCCGCACTGCTGGTCTGTATCAACTGCAATTCCGACTTATGAATTGGGGCAGTGTAGAAGATACAGGACAGTCCATGCCCATTTTGGCCGAGGCTTGGTCGGAGCCATTCCGTGTGTATCCAGCCAAGGACTTTCCGGGCATGAGGGACTCATCCCTTCTCGCAGAAGGTTTGAAAGAGCTTGGATTTGTGGAATTGAAAACAAGAGGAAAGGGCAAAGGGAAAGGCAGAAGGAGATGATCTGGAGACAGCACGTTGCACGTTACCTTTTTAAAACCATTTCATGGGTTGCGGGAGTTATCTGGGAGTTTAGGGCGTCTTACTTCCACCAGTATGTTTTAGCATTGCATTAGTCTTCTACTGCCTTGGGATTCTGTTCTTTCTTTTTTCTTTTTTTCCCCCTACTTTCTTGTTTTCTTTTACGGCGACATAGCGCGCAGTTATGATGAAATGAGACCAATGAACGAATCAATAAAGGACCAAGAGGTCATACAACAAGATGAGTCTACAATGCTTCTGTAGACAGTATTTTCTGCTGAAATACAACCATACCATGAGTTTGGAAGTTTGGAACGATATCTCTTAAAGACTTAGATCGAACCGTAATAATTTAGTAAATTTCATTTCATTTTAGAAATGGAGGAACCGAAACAGCTTCCCTTTCGAAATAGATTGACTGTTATACAATGAGGAAACGCGAACCCCCCGTCTCTTTCTTTTTACAATTTTCTTCTCCAATTTTGGCAACTGCATGGGGTATCATCATAAAACAGGGGAGAACGCGCAGCAAATCTTAAGACAGAAGTTAAAGTCTACTATACACGATTATCTTGGTTTTTTTTTGTTCATAGGTATCACGATATCAACCTTGCTTGCCCATAATCAAACATCCAACAACTGAACGGGCATTTTGGGGACGTATTCAGGGTCGAACCAATTAGGCTTGAACCTTTGAGTCAAGGTTCGGAGTTTCAACGACTGCTCGGCCAATTCAAGGAAACCGAATCCATCTTCCCTCTGGCCTTCCTCGCGCAGGAGCAAAGCGAGAATCAGGGCTGATTGGTGGTCGCCATGGCTGAAGGATAGTTCGTACCAGTTTAGGGCTAGGGTGCGATATTCGGCACGGGGTCGAATCCGAAGGAACATCGAGGAGAAGTAGTCAAGCAGGCCCTTTTTCTCCTCTGTGCCCGTTTCTCCGCCCTTGGGCGCATCTTCTGCTGTGGACTTTTCGGGGACTTTTTCGCCACGACGAGGAAACCGCCCGTGGTAGGTAAGGTAGTAGAAATTGGCCAGTTTCCGACATGCTTCCGCGTTGCCAGCAGAGGCCGCCTTGTTCATGCACTCTTCGTACATCTCGTAATCACCCTTTTGCATCATGATCAGGGCGTAACTGAGCAGCGCCTCTTTGTCCTGATACACCAGCGCGGCGGTCTTCATTATTTCGTCCGTCCCGGCACTATCGCCTGATATCTCCTTCAGCCACGCGTAGATTTCCCACGGAGTGTCGATTCCGACGAGGAAAAACCCCTTATCAGCCGATTGCGTCTTGACCGGGTAGACTTTTTGCATGACCTCATCCATGAGCGCTAGCGCCTCGGGGAACTTTTCGCGAAGGCCCAGGACTTTGGCGTAGAGAACCATGGCGCGCGGGTCCCGGTCTTCCAGGGCTATTTTCTCCAGATCTTGGATAAATTTAATCCGGGGCGGTGGCGCTGTCGACGCACGTTTGAGGTAGCGTCCTGCTGTTATAAGAATAGGCAATTTGGCACCTGCGTGGGCGCATGCAGCAAGGGCCCATTCTCGGAGACCTTCGTCGGCTGGGGCGAGGGCAAAGGAGATTTGGAAGACAGTATCGACATCTAGAGATGTATAAAACCCAACCTCACATCAGCACTATGTTTAAATTACTCACAAGTTCGCAATATTTTCAAGAGAAAGAAGCAGTCGCAAGAAATGCCAAAAAAAAAAAACACAACCAACTCACCTTTCGAAATGCCTCGAACTGCCAGCCCAGATGGAGGCTCAGCACTAGAACGGCCAGCTAATTCCATTGCAATTTTCTTGAATGTGCTCAGATTGATTGAGCGATCCAGAGATCCATGAGACCGTGCATAGTCCCATAGGTGCGGTGCCCTGTCTTGTAGGTTTTTAAGGCGCACCCTCAGGTCTCCGCCGACTGGAGTAGAGCGTAGAGGTGTTCCCGCATGTACGTATTCCGATCTGTGGTTGACCACTCGCCGAGCAGCTGGTGATCTGGCGGCATTGTGAGAGGTGGAAGAATGGAATGGCCTGTTTCTGTTCGGGGAACTGCGGGTGTTGTTATGGATGTACGAGGGACTGCGGCTGTGGTTCGGCGTAGATGGTAGAGCTAGGCAAGATGACCCTAGCTGTGATGATGCCCGTTGCCATCTGCAAAGGGGGTGTGAGACCCGTGGGAGAGACATAGAGAGTCGGGCGTGGAGGAGTGAGGATAGACGATGATGGTGGGTGAAGGGAGTTGGAGGCGGAGAGAAAATCGGAGGTTGTCCGCCGCCCGCATTTTCGGTACCCAAGAAACCGACCAACAAGATGGATTGCATTACAGCTCTTCTAGGTCTTCAATGATTATTTACGGTATTCATATACAGCTATTGAAGACTGTGGTCACGAGAGAAACAAATGGATACAAAATACAGAGATTGTTGATACTATTAAAACACTGGAGAACATCAATCTATCAGTCAATCCTCCGAGAACCAGACCCGTAAAGCGTGTCAGCTCGTAAGACAGCACAAGACAAACAGGAAAGAGAACTTTCTTCCATCTGAAATCCAAATTGTCCAAATCAAGAGATAATGTACATTTGCCGCCCTTTTCCCACATTCCAGTTGTCAACGAAAACCTGATAAGAGATATATGACGGAGAAAAAAGAGTTGTTGAGAGAACAAAACTCCAGCTCGACGATGCAGTCCAATCACAACATCTGGCTGCCCTCTCCCTCAAGTCCCACCGGGGAAAAAAAGAGGAAGAAAGGCAAGGCCAGTTCAATTAAAAATCATCCGAAGCATATATTAACCCATTACTCCATCACGACAGTCGCACCCACACCCTTGAGGGTCTCGATGATCTTCTCGGCATCCTCCTTTGGCACGGATTCCTTGAGCATCTTGGGGGCAGACTCGACGAACTTCTTGCTGTCAACCAGAGACAGACCAAGCAGCGACTTGATCTCCTTGATGATCTTAGCCTTGGAGGCGGCGTCAATAGCCTCGAGCTTCACGTTGAAAAGGGTCTTCTCCTGTGCAGCGGGAGCAGCTTCCTCCTCCTCAGCAGCTGCGGGAGCAGCAGCGGGCCCAGCACCAGCAACGGCGAAACCGCCAACGGGGAGGTCGGGGATGTTGAGACGGGTCTAGACGGGAAGAGAAAGTGTCAATTAAAGTGCTCATCGAGTTTATTTCGCAATTGGACATTGCTGCCAAACGAATCGGTGAAGGCCATGTCACAAATCGAGCTTTGCGACATCCGTCGGGGACAAAAACAAAAGACAACGAACCTTCAAAGTAGACACAAGGTCGGCGGTCTCCAGCAATGTCAATGTGCTGATCTGGTCGACAATCTGCGAGATCTTGGGGTTGACAGGGGCAGCAGGGGCCTCAGCCTCCGTGGACTGCCATCTCCGGCTGGGTGTCCGCTGGGACAGATATGTAGAGGTAGAAAGACGCAGGGAGGAGGTGGAGGGACGGACGAGCTGTCTGCAGCATCGAGCTGCGGCCTGTGTGGGAAAGGACATGATGAAGGAGAGCTGAAGTGGACCGAACGAGACGGGCAAGGCGAAAGGGATGGACAGGACTGAGGAATTGCTGCTCGACAACGCGATATCATCAAAAGGCCTGAAAAAGAAAGTCGAAGTTCGGCCCGGAAAATCCAGTATACGTCACGTGATTTGGTGCCCCGGTACCGTATGGATACATCACTTCGTATTTTATTGCTCAACTGTCATCGAGAAGAATCAAAATTAATAAATACTAGGAGCAATAATGGTAATAATTAAATATAATAAGGATTCAAGAGCATTAATCTAGAAGAGGATCCAAAAGCTTTTTTCTCGCACTACTACTCTGAACCCTCATGCATAGATGACAGTCAGTATTACTGCTACTCCCACATGGCATATACACACTCCCAGATTCTCTGGTCGAAGGACTTTCATGATATCATCTCTCAAATTGTGAAATTTTGCCTTGTTCGACATACAATGCTCCCTATCGTATCATCTAATCGTCATCCCAGTTCGGGTTGGGACCCGGGGGCTTGGGTCCACCCGCCTGTCGGGCCACAATAATCTGGTCAACACTGAGCACTGTCCGGGCGGCCTCACTTGCAAGTCGGATGGCCCAGCTCTTGGAGGCAATCAGGTCAAGAATGCCTTCATCCACGGCATCGAGAGTGCCAGCAGAAGAACCCACTTCCAGGTCGACACCAGTAGTCCAGTATGGCTCTTCCTCGGAGCTGCTTCCCTCTTCCTCCTTGTTTGTGCGGTGGTGTGCAGTGTAAAGGCGAGAAAGAACTTCGGTGGCATCCAGACCAGCGGACTCGGCGAGAGTGCGCGGGATGACCTCGAAAGCCTCTGCGTACTTGCGAATGGCATGTTGGGGCAGACCAGGGGTCTTGTCTGCGAAAGCAGAGATTCTCTCAACAAGCTGGATCTCAGTAGCGCCAGCACCGGGAACAAGACGGGGGTCCTTGGTAACAGCCTTGACAACGTTGACTCCATCGTCAATGGCACGCTCAACGTCATCCAAGTGGTTCTGGGTCGCTCCGCGCAGGACAATAGTGGCCGTGCGCGTCACGGTGTTGTTGTCCTCCTGGCGGAAAACGGTAACACGGTCACCACCAATCTCAGTAGTCTCGACAACGTCAACGCTACCCATCTCGTCGGGCATGGGGGCACCCAGGCGTGCGAGAGGGGTGGCACCAACGACACGGCAGAGTCGGCGGAGCTCGAACTTGGAGAGAATCTTGACGACGAGGATGTTAAAACGGTTGAGGTAATGCATGGCCAGGTCACCGACGGTGGCACCAGCAACAACGACGCGGATTCCAGAATCGTAGAGCTCCTTAATGGCGGCCTCAAGGCGCTCCTCCTCACCCTTGGTGAAGTTAAGCATCTCATCGGCGTTCTTCAACAGGACTGTTCCCTTGGTCTCGGTCTGGGAGGTATCGATGGGGCAGCTGAAGACACCGACCTTGGCCTTGCTGGCCTTCTTGACGGTACCATCCGGTTCTCTGCCAAAGACCATACCCTTAATCACGCGAGACTGCTCCAAGCTACCACCCATAATCTTGACAACGCGGACATTGTCGACGTTAAAGTTAACCGGGTTCTTAGGCAGGACTGCGAGGACTGCCTCTGCAACCAATCCGGCCAAGATATCCTCTGTTCCGGACTGCTTGCTGGCAACGACTGTACGGAGGGCCTTGCTAAGTTCTTCCTGGGAGCGGAGTTCCTTCAAACGGTCGACCTCGAGATCTGTAAGAATCGACACCGGTCAGCAAAACATGTACATCATAAAGGAGGCAATGACAGCCCCTGAAATCGTAAAACCCAAAAAACACAAAACCCCACCTTCTAATGTCTTCAAAGCAAAGTTCTGTGCCTTCTCGTAACCCTGCACAATATCACTTGTCTTCAAACCCATCCGCAGCAACTCTTCGGCCTTCTTCAGCAATTCACCGGCAAGGATGATAACCATGTTGGTTCCGTCTCCCATCTCCGCATCCTGCTGCTGACTCGACATCACAAGTAGTTTGGCGGCGGGGTGCACAACTTCCAGTTCGCGCAGGATTGTTGCGGCATCCGACGTAAGAACCATCTTCTGCAAGTGATTGATGACGATTTTGTTGCGGCCATAGGGACCGAGCGACGTTTGAACGGTCTGCGAGATAGCCTGGCAGGCTTCGATGTTACGAATGACGGCGCCATCTTCGGCATCATGGCTATAAGATTTTTTCCTGCGTCAGCAAAAATCCGTATATCTTTTCTTTGGGTGTCTTTTGTCTTTTGTTGTCGCCGTGGGGAGACCGTGAACCGGGGGAGGGGGGCAACATTCCACTGAGTGGCCTTCGCTTACCTTTGATATCCAGGCTTGAAAAGACCCGCCTGGGAAGGTCCAGGCATAGACAATGACATATTGACGAAGCGCCTCCTTTTTATTTAGATTAAAAAATAAAAAAGGAAGACGAAAAGGACGGATGATCTGCCACAACGCTGTCCTGAGCTTGCTGCTGTTCTGGGAATTTTTGGCGGAGCTTCGAGACGGTCTGGCGGCGGTTGTTTGTTCGGTTTGCACGCGGAGGGGCTAGGGCATTTCCCTTTTGGGACATCCCAGAGATCCATGTGGATCTATATTGTTCCATCCATCACCAGAATAATTCAGCGATATATGGCAATCCAGAAATTGTTATATTAGTTCATAAGAGATTCAAAATCTATATAGTACAGTCTAAATTCTTTCCCGGGCGGTCTATCGTTACCATCCAAAGTCACCGTATGCCTGCCGGAACCCAGGGACTACAATTGGGAAGAAACGTCAGCAGGAAAGCTACTTGTCAGAAGGATTCGATCATACCGAAACCGCCGATAGAGTGGCATCCGCTTTCTTCGTATGCGGCCTCAGCTTTGGTCAACCTAGGGTCGGGGTTAGAACAGGGCATCACGGTACTTGGCAATCGAAGAATCAGCTTACCATCCACGAATTGTTTCCATGCGGTTGTAGCTCTGCAATTTGTCAATAAATTCATAATGACAGGCGATAGCCTTGGTTCAAAAAACTTACGGAAGGATGCGTTGACATGAACTGGGGAGGTGCTTCTTTCTCCGCTTGTTGCATACGGCCCCAACTAGATCATAGTCAGTTATACAAGACAGTACAATGAGAAAGACAATAGGCTCTTGCTTACAGCTTGACAGCAGCCTCGGGGTTGTAGCAAGCTCTGGACATCATCACTGGCACTTGTCAGCGGTATCTATCATTCATCAGAACCAAGTCATACTTAATCCGATATCATCTGCTTCAGCCTGTACACTTATTAGTTCCAAATATTGCGTATATTTTATGGGGATAGAGCTCACCTCCTGTGTTCGCGAATTAGGCAAGCTGTACATAAGATTGAAAAGCATCGAGGGGATATGACCCGAGATATCGAACAACATCGAGACAAGGAATACGGCTCCGATGGTAACTATGTTGTTACTCATTCGTTCTGCGGGATGGTGAGCGACCACATGAGCAATTTCATGGCCTAACACCGCTGCCAAACCATCTTCATCTTCACAGATAGGCAAGATGCCAGTGTAGACAAAGACTTTACCACTATACCATCGGTCAGCGCCGCGTACACTACATCTCATAGCATGAGAATATACATACCCAGGAAGAACAAATGCATTAACCATTCCATCATCCTTAATCACATGGACTTTCCAATTCGCACCCTCGATCGGCGCCTGCGGAATAAGCCGGGCAAGAACTTTATTGACCTTCATAGTGATAGGGTGATTTTCAGGAAGAATCCTCCCTCGCACATCACTCAACACATCCTGGTAACTTTTCTGGCCCATCTTGAGTTCCTGGTGTGCAGGAATGCAGTTAAACCGCCGACGGCCAGTCATCTCCACTGTTTCAGTATTATAGATATAGAAACCCCCGATTACAACGCCGATAATGACGAAATGTTTCGGTTGGGCATTTTGCAGCATGCGGATGAAAAGTGGCTCCCTCGCAGAACCACCGAACCGTCGATATCTGTCATTTCTGTATCCATAACCTTGTCGAGCAGAGCTTGAAAACGGCCGACTTGGGAAGCGACCGGATAGTCGGGGTAATGTTCTGGAGAACGCTAGTGTTCGGTATGTGAGGGAGGAGGAGGAAATAGTTCTCGAGGTGTGGATCGGAGAGTATCGAGGTGCAGGAAATGCAATGCGAAGCGCGGGGAGTGCTGTTGAGGACGGAGGGGCGCTGCGGAATGCGCGTGCTATCGGTAGGCCAAACATGGTCAGATTGCTGTTTGCGCATTAGTGGATGATTTTAAATGAATATAAATAATATGCACAGGGGCTTAGCTACCTCTGGAGCGAAGACCCGACTGGTCTTGCAGCAGGTTGAAGCTATCGAGCTGTGAGTTGTAAAAGATGATGGATGATCGTGTAAGATCGCGATGACCGCATGTGACAGCCGGAATAATCAGCAGCTTAATTCAACAGCACAATCAACATTGCAGACAGTTACCTTTTAACTATGACTGATATTCCATTATAAGACTTTATTGTGCAATATATTTTTAGCGAAAATAAATGAATAGTATATAGAGGTACTATAGTATTTTTATGAAAGCAGTGTTTTGTGATTCGTCGGAAATATATATCGATTGATCTTGAAGTATTAAGCCAATCCACGGTCCAATGAACACCATACAAGGAAAAAAAAAAAAAAAAAAAAAAACTTAATATATAATCTTATATCATAAGTATTTGGATTAGAGTACCATTAAGAAATATAATATGAACCAGAAATACATCCAAAGCTGAAGGAAATTGATTGCTAATCCCCCAGACCGACGAGTCACGTGCATCCAACATTGACATCTTTGGCTTCGACTTTCTCTTTCTTCAATATTCCAAACAATACAAACTCGTTAATATGGCGGCTATCGAATCCAACACCAAACAAACATACCCATCACCAGCAGCAGAACTTGCAGCTGCAATCAACGATGGCAAAACACACCTACTCCTAGCCGCAAGCGGTTCCGTCGCGGTAATCAAATTGCCCCTCATCATATCCTCACTTCAAGACTATCCGAATCTCTCAATCCGCATCATCCTCACCAAGTCTGCAACCCACTTCCTCGCAGGCCAGTCCCCAGAACAACCAACAGTGGCCTCATTAAGCTCACTCCCGAATGTCGATTCCGTCTACCAAGACGAAGACGAATGGGTGGAGCCATGGACAAGAGAAGCAAAGATCCTCCATATCGAGGCACGCCGTTGGGCGCACTTACTCGCGGTTATCCCCATGTCCGCCAATCTCCTGGCTAAGATCACAGGGGGGATTTGCGATAATCTTCTGACGAATGTGATTCGCGCCTGGGATGTCGACCCTTTGAATCCGAGGAAACGTAAGATTCTTGTTGCGCCGTCGATGAATACGATGATGTGGATTCATCCTTTGACTGCAAAGCAACTGGGTATACTTGAGGAATGGGATTGGTTTGAGGTTCTGCCTGCGCAGGTGAAGACTTTGGCCTGTGGTGATACCGGGCAGGGTGGAATGTGCGATTGGAATGAGGTTGTTTCTGTGATTAAGCAGCGGCTGAGTGTTACTGGTCCGTAAATTAGGCGTTTAACATGATGTTCAGCCACTATCTACGTTGAATGATTGTATGATATGTTACTATAATAATTCCTGTACAGTTCCACGCCACCCAACATGATAGTATCCTTACTTTTGATATGGCTGGGTAGAAGAGTACCCAAAGTCCCCAGGCTTCAAGATCTTTGATATGCCGTTATTAATAACATGGGACTCGAGAATCGACACTCCTCAACCTGTCCATCCAGCCTGGTTGATAATGCACCCAAAAAACACTGGCTCTCGACGATTCTTCCAAACTACCAGAAAGCAGCAGCCTAGAAGCAGCCACTCAAGCCCAGTCGAACGACAAAACAATAAATATCAACTGTTAGCCAAATATATAAAGTTAAGCGGCAACTGAGACGAAAAGGCTTGAATCATGCATACAAAACAAAGATCAAATGTGGACCAATAAATCCAACATAACATAACCAACCAACAGAAAAAAATCGAGAAAATTAAGCATCTATTCTAGGAAACCAAAAGCCAAAAATGATGTTTAATCTCAATTCCTGTTAATTTACTACTATTTTTGGGAAATCCAGACACATATTGTCCAATTATCTTCGGGGTGGTTGGATGGGCGGCTAATCTGGTGCTCTCTCTCGATGAATTCCCCGCGTGGAGTAAAGTAAAATAAAGCATGCATGGAAATGGGAAATGCTTCTCCGGGCTTCTGGTGGGAAATCCACGAGGCTTTTGGAGTCTTGGACAGTGCACATGTTTCTATATCGGGGGATCGACTTTAGTGGAGATGAGTTGTTGTATATACTCAGATCTGGCTGAATTGTGGGTTGGTTGGACTTGTGGGGTAGGGTATATGATATCAGTGAGGATATCAAGCGTTTGGATAGATGTTCTAAATTAAACTGTTCCAAATACGATTCTAATGACCATTTGCCTGATTTCATCATAAGTGGTATGTGCGAGTGAACCGATTCAGATGCTATATGCTCACCAGTGCTACAGTGAAGCATCTTATTTTCACATACAGCCTCATTATACATACAAAGTTATTTCTCTCTAACAGCCATTATACTAGAAAGCTTTAATAATATCCCATACAGCCAGGAATCTACTGAAACCAAGCCGAACAGCTTCCAATAGAGTCCAACGAAGAATTCCGACAGACTGCCACAGTTTAGGGATAATGAATTACAAATTAAAAGATGCCTTGCATCAAGTAACGCTATAGAAAGACAGACCAAGCTTTCCAATCAAAGCATACCTTATCTCATGGCATCTACCAAGCCACACTCGGAATCTCCATAATGCCGCGACACTCGACAAATGATAGGCGATGGATTCAAGATTTCTGGAATAATAAGCATACGAGACCACCCTTAGCAATAATAGAAATGCCTACATTGCAGCTGATTCCAGAAGCAAGTAATGCATCATGCTTCAATGCATATATGCATATCCCGTTTCAATTAACGCTGGCATATCGCCAAGAATCTCCCCTCAACAACGAGCAGATGACACCATAAATCGGGAATTAACTGTTGCGGATTGCCATAATTATCGACTATTAATAAAAAACGTCCTAATTAGCACCAGGGAAAAGCCGGTGTAGAGAGGGCTTGAAGGCTTGACAGGGTGGAGGTTAACGTCCTTCCGTTTAGTCACTAGTGGGTGATGGCGCTAAGCAGAAAAGGGAATCAAGTTGGAGGATCTTCCTTGGTGGATTTTGCGATGTGGTGGAGATCATCTTGATAGTGATAGGGGATAAATATTTATCTACTTTTTTATCTGTATTGATTTTCATATTTTAATACAATGCGATAAATTAAGGCGAGTAGTTGAAAAGAATAGAAGTCACAACTAACTGATGTTGAATGCTGGTACGCTACGGAAGGGACCGAGTGAAGAAAAGGAGAAGAAAAGAGACAAAGAAACCGAATAATGGGAGTCAACATGTCACAATCTGACTTTTGTGCCTTTGCAGGGATCGCTGCAGGAGCGTGACCTCACTGCGCAGGGTCTGATTCGCCAAGGTTGACACTAAATCCTGGCCTCGCAGCTGCAGGATTGTGACGAGAAACGGCAGCAGCAGCGTGATTCGTGATTATGCGGCATCGGGAAAACTACGGCATTTGTGATTTCTCGAGTTCAAGTTTGAGTCGAGTCGAGTCGAATCGAGTCTGAGTATTCTTTTACTTGTCTGAGGATAACTACTGTGGTGTACTCGATTGACAGAGTGGTAGAGGAATCTTCAGAAATGCATTGTGTGATTGTGACTGAAGATGGCTGCAGACCCATTGGGCCGTAGGGTTGTTTCCCCGCTGTGATTGTTGAGAGATCTTCATGGAGAATCATGGGAACATGATTCAATTCCCGTTATTTGCCGCTAATCGTCGCAAAAACCAGGTTAATTATGGTTTTGATATTAATAGTAAAATGAGCAGAAAATGGCTCACTAGCTCTGAAGGATTGCTCATGCCCAACCACAAACAGCTCAATTAGCCAACATTTTGCTATCTTTTCCTCAGCGGTTAAATGTTGCTAATTAAGGGCCCCCTCAAATGATCAAACTCTGTCCTCCCCTGCTAGCGCCATCTTATCACATCTTGGCCAAACTTTACGACGCCCGCACGGAGCACATTGTCCGCCCCACCCTGGCACGGTTGGTTGCGGGCTTCCCGCTCTGCACGACACGACCCTTCCGAACCCTGGTCGGGCTCCTCTACGGCCGACATCCACGGCCAATCAGGAAGCGTACAACGAAGCTTGGCTCACGGCGCTAGTTTAGCCCCGAGGTTAGCGGCTGTCCTCTGCAGTAGTCGAAAGGGAGAATACTGTCAAGGTCGCAATGTTCACATCTGCCCCGCGACCTTTTAGCCTTGGAGGTGATCCAGAATTTAGGTCTGGTCAGTGGCCACTTAGTACTTGTCCGATTGCCCGAGTAGGAATGGCCTTCACGTCTAGGTTGGGATGACGAGGCCGGGATGGGTTTTGGGTGCCCGCCCAGATAGGAGAATAGTGCTACCCTGGACGTTATACGAGATCAGCGTACCTGACTTCGTGCCTAGATTGCCAGGCCAAATGGTGATAGAGGCCTCCCGTGCCAGCCGGATAATCCGGGATAATTAGGTCTGCATAGGATGGACAGCTCCAATCGAAAAGCACACTAATTCCTCGCGATGCGGGCATCGGCGCCAACGCTGGCCGCTGACTCGCCAGACTCGCAACGAAAATGTCCAAAATTAGCTGGATATATGCATCCTTGATAGGTTCATGTGGCACGTCTATAGCCCACAGTATTTAGGCCATGCTGGGATCGGCCTGGGATCATCCCACTGTCCTCTGTCGCTCTCCCCGCTAATCTCCCACCACCGCAATTTTCCCGATCACCTTGTCGGCTATCTCTCCTGGCCTCTGCTTTTTTCTCCCAGTCCAAAATAGAAACATCACCATGTCGGGTCTGTCAGATGTGCATCTCGTTTTTATTTTAAAGGTTCGTCCGATCCCAGATCCTCCCCAGTGCTTCTCTTCTTCGTCGCCGTCGCCATCGCCGTCCCTCCCCAATCGCCCTCGCCCTCCGTCCTTGGCCTACCGCGCCTTTCGTTCTCTTAGCTTCACCCTCGATCGCAAAGGCTGCTGGTCAGGCTTTGCTCGATAATACAGCCCCTGCAAAGCTTTCAAGCTCCAGCTTTTCCAGCGACTGTGTCCTGTCTTTTCCCTCGGTTTTTTTCACTCGACTATATCAATATCAATCAATATGCCGGCCGCATCCAAGAAGAAGTCTACTCCCGCCACCGAGCTGAGAAAGGCCTCTCAGTCCTCCCAGTCCTCTGTTGGTGAGCCCTCGGTCCTGGGAACCACAGAGAAGGGCAAGTTGCACAAGCGTTCTCGTTCTGGTAAGTGACCATCAATTGGAAGCAGATATAGGGTTTCGAGGACCCAATTAACCTCAATTCTTCTTCTAGGCTGCTTCACATGTCGTCTTCGTCGGAAGAAGTGTGACGAGGCCCATCCGTCCTGCGGTGCCTGCAGCAACCTCTGTGTGAAATGCGAATACAAGCGTCCCTCATGGTGGGGAAACGCAGACCAGAGAAGGATACAGAAGGAGCGCATCAAGAACAAGATCAAGCAGACAAAGATGAATGAGCGCAATGGGTCCTTGACTGGTAGGATACACTCTGCCCCCTATCCCCTATTCAGCTCACTAACTGTTGAAGCAGACCCCCTTGGCCGCAGTCGCAGCATCGCTGTGACCTCGCCGCTCACCCCTGAATACGAATTCAACCGCCCACTCTACGCAGAGCCCTATGACCTCTTCTCATCGCACATGCCCGCACCTGGAATGAGCCAGATTGTCTATGGACCCTATGGCCCCTATGAGATTGATGTCAAGACAGAGCGACAGACATACATCAACGATGTCCCATTGCGTCATGACTCTTCGATCTCTACCTTCAGTACCTTTGCACCTCCCCAGTTGAACGCCCCTCTGCCGACTTTCCCCAGTGAGGATATGTTTCGCGAGGAGTACTTTGGCCAGCTTCCCACTCTTGAAGGAATCGACCCTACTCTTTACGACCCCACCATGGAGGACCAGACCTTCTCCACGCTACAGTCCAACATCCCCGTTGATGACCATGACCGACCTCTCCTCGACCACTTCATCCACAATGTCTTGCGCCTGATCTTCCCCGTCTCCGAGGCTCACCAGCGCGGGCACGCCCGCGCCGAGACAATCCTCCAGGCCCTGGAGACAAATAAGTGCTACCTTCACTGCTGCCTCAGCGTTTCTGCCATCCACCTGAAGACTACAGAGGGTCTCGTGGGGGAACAGATCGACCATGATATTATGCGACACCGGTATGAGGCCATCTCTCAACTATGCCAGGCTCTCGGTCAGGATATCGACCACCAGGAAATTCTCGATGCCACCCTGGCCATGATTTTCTTCCACTGCTCCGTTGGCCCTTCAGATGATTACCTTCCCGACATCCCCTGGTTTGACCACTTCCAAGCGGCATCGAATCTGGTGAACAGACTCGGACTTCCGGCTCAGATGCTTGACTGTGATGGCACATACATGGCCCCACCATTCAGCATGACACTGACCTCCTGGATTGACATTCTTGGCTCGACCATGCAGGGAAAGACACCTCAATTCGCGCACACCTACCGCTCCAAGCACCTCAGCGGTTCATCTTCAGGCCTGAGCGAGCTCATGGGCTGTGATGACCGGGTGATGTATCTGATTTCCGAGATTGCCTGCTTGGATGCCCTGAGAGCTGAGGGACGTGTTGATGACATGTCTGTCTGCTCGCATGTTTCTGCCCTTGGACGACAACTCGAGTACACGGAACCAACAGAACCAGCCCTAGAGAGCCCCTACTCACCCGTCACTGGTGCCATTCGCCCAGAGATCTTGACCAGGAACATGACCACCATTTTCCGCATCGCAGCCCGAATTTACCTTTGCAGCCTTGTTCCAGGATTTGACCGTGACCAGCCCAGCAACCTCAACCTGGTTTCCGCCATCACCAACGCTTTGCAGTACATCCCACCTGGCCCGAATGGCTTTGACCGCTCCCTTGTCTGGCCATTGCTCATCGCTGGTGCATTCTCCGCACCCACCAGCGAATTCCGAACCGTCCTTGCCGAAAGAGCTGCTTCCCTTGGTGACCACGCCGACCTTGGCAGCTTTGGCCGCATGTACCGCTTGCTCCAGGAGGTGTGGCGACTCAACGATGACCCAGTCGACCCAATTTATGTTCCAGACGCCACATTCTGCTCCTCCCCCCTGGCTAGCCCAGTTCTCAAGCAAGAGCCCTCTTCCCCTGGAAGCGACGGAAGCATGGGAGGGAGAGAGATCAAGAAGCAGCAGGTGCACTGGCGGGATGTCATGCAACGACATGGCTGGCACTACCTTCTCATCTAAGCTCGAAGCAACATGATCCATTCCGTGGGATTGTATCTCACGACGACTAGTGTCTCTTGACGGGACCAATGCGCGCAGGCTTGGACCTGCGAGCAACGACGGACATGAAGCCTCCGATGCTTACGACTCACAACCGGGATGTACTGGAGTTTTGGAATTCTAGAGGCTGGGTTTCTCTTCACTTTCTGGAAAAGTTCAATCCAAGGCATGATTGATTGACTGATTGATTTACTTGTTTTTTTGGTTCTTAATTTCTTTTCACTTCTTCATGCATATGCATTGATATCAACCTCACTGCAGGGCAGACGAGTACTTGATACATTTTACACTTTCCTTCTTCTTTTTCTTCCAGGTAGCGAGGGACTTGGGGGATAATTGCCGGGCGAGGCACACTGCACATACACTCATCCATTCACATGGACCTGGAGTTGAGTGGGCGTTACCGGTTTTTGATTTGATGTTGAATAATATCCATTTGAGCTTTTTGATTTTGGGATTGCATTTTATTTGATTTGAAATTTTTTTTTGGTTTATTGAGATATCACCATCCAATTTGAGTTGAGATTGTTTTTGTACAATGTCTTGGGGTTTAGATAAGTATTGTATTCTGTGTTTATCATAGATAGATCTTATACAGGTTCAAAAGCATGCTTATATTCTATCATGGCATCACAAGAATAGTATCCAAAGTGAGGTATTTTTTTGAGCAAAAGACTTGACTAAACTATCTGTAGTTCTTAATCTCGATCGCCACGTAGCCAAAAGGCCAGTCCAGTCACAATAACATAACTCCATTCCATAGATAGTCATTAAAAAGAAACCGTTAAAGAAGATAGCCCAGAAACTGCACGCTTATAGGCAACTTATGTGCAGTAAAAGTAGTTCTTTATTATATAAAGCATTTATTGTTATTCTCTATGATTATCCCTTTCTATGGACAGGTGTTTTTAAGTATAGTTACACCTCCACTGACCTCCCCAAGACTGCATGAGACCATAGTAGACAGGCATTGAAGATACCATAGACAGCTAGATACTATCCAGAGTGGTCATGATGGTTTGCCTTTGTTTATAGGGTTCAAAAAACTATCCTGGCTGCCTGTTTGGATCTATCCGACAAAGAAGCCCACTCACTACACGTAAACGAAGAGAGCGCTTGTTTGGAGTTTAATAATTGTAAATATAATAATCTTTATATTGGGCCAGAATGAGTTAAGTAGTTCGACTTTTACTCAAGTCATCATGGTCTGTCTTGAGGCGTGAAGATATTGGATGAATTGAATGTAGGAAGCGAAACAACCAAGTCCCGTCTACAGTCTGCAAAAGACAACCAAGATAATGATATGGGGAATGGCCATGTAGATTCTCAGGAACTAGAGGGTAGCACCTAGTCCTTTGTTGCACAGTCTGGCGAGTTGTGATGATAATATTAGTAAGTAGTTGCAGGTGTCAGGTGTCAGATGTCAGCCTTGGAAAGTCAATGAAGGTACTGTTAAGGATGCTTGTTTTGTAGGTTATCCTTTGCCCAGGACTTGAGGAGCGATTCCCAGATGGGTTGATCCAATGATTACTCAAAGTATCAACTGATTCCAGGTAACCAGAGGGTCCAGAGAGTGATTTCCCGGAGAGGAGTTGATGCCTTCCGAGATACGGATAGTTCGTTGATCTGACAGTCTGCCTAAAACGCAGACACTGGAGCATGTCAGCCACGCACCACAACTACCAGCAATGGATTGAACCATAGAGTGTAAAGGTCGTTGGTGAGAGTGTCACATCCGATGAACTCGACTTGAGACCCAAACCGACCGGGTCGATATACGACAACACAAGAACGGAATTGTTCTGAAGCAACGTCGTAAGCTTGGTGTGCTCAATAAATGATAGACGGAATCGGGAAAACAGACTCAGACTCGGATTAGGTCTGTTGCATGTGTTTTTCGATACAGCCTCTGGGGTCGAAGCTATCGATTTGAGGTCGAGGTTATTTCCCGGGAAAAGGTCTGTATAGTAATGAAGCTTAGTATGGAATATGGAAAGCATGCTTGGCTCGAAATGCAAGCACAATGGGATGGAAATGTCCTGAAGTGAAGCTGGTATGCTCGAATTGATGTTGAAAGGACTCGAAGAGGCATAAGAAAGATGGCTCTTAATCCATAGTTGAGCCTGGGTTTCTAGAGAGCGAGACTGCCTCTGAGACTGGAACTCTGAACCACTATGAGGCATTTGATTGCAATTGTATAGTGCATCACGGCCAGTCTAGATGATGGGTAAAGTTGCAAGTCCGAGTTCGGCATGCATTCCCTTCTGCAGGACGAGTAGGAGTAAACGCTGCCATCGAATTTGACAAGAAACATGGAAATATCCACGACTGATCTGTCTTTAGAAACAACATGCAGCAGCTCCGTTAGCAAGGGTCTATAAGCGCTATATTGACCAAGCTATAATGAGCTATACAATCTGTAGCCAGTGAAGAGCTTGCAACTGCTCAGATTTGCAACCTGACGGTCGTCAAACATGTTTCAGTAGAGCTCCATGCGTTCGCGCTTCGGCAGTCTCCAGATGAAGAATGTAAATATAGCATGGACAGCTGTAGGAGCTATATCAGATGCAAGCAACAGTGCCTGAGGACCAACGATGCCAGTCCAGGGACAGAGGTTTGTGGGCACGTCTGCATTGAAAGGCGTTTAGCTCGATTGCCCTGGAGATACCCTCAACAGCAGGGGTCGCAAACAAACACCAAGCATCGTCAACAGACGGGGATGACCGAATCAGGAGGATTCTGCAAGAAATGGTGCGACACGATCTAGTACGCCAAGATGGAGGAATCAACAACGACAGAGCGATTCAGGCTCAAACGACGGCTATCTGTAACAGGCTCTGCGCTTGCAAGATCCAGTCCATCCCAGAACGGGTGATTGACATGTCTTCAACCCATCCCCAGGTCGATCCAGGCAAAGCTCCGACGGGTTGAAGAATCTCGGAAGCGCCAACCCGATCGCAATCGAGGCTATCCATTGGATAGGGGGGAAGAAGGTAGCAGCAAGCGCATATCCAAGACCCAACCACCTCGACGGCGATGGATACAATGGGATTATTGAAGAAAGGCCAGGGACAAGCTAAGAGAGCCCCCTGACATGCATGGACTATGGAGGGAGAAAGGATCGTCGATTTCAGGGACCTCCGATGGCGAGCCGCCGCTAACAGCCACGACGAGAGCTGAGCGCGTCAACGTTGAACGAACCACAAGAGAGACGATGGATCTCGATCAGGGATGCGATATGAGTTAAGCGTCTGTAGAGATGATGGAGAGAAGTGTTTCTGGCGGCATCTGAGGCAGGAGAATGGGGGCTTGATTCAGATGGCGCGCGACAATCCGGAAGATTTGTTGTGCAGCTTGCAGCGTAGCCAGGGCGACATGGACATATTCAGAGGGAGAATGATGGAGAAGAGGATATAAAGAGGATGAAGTGTCTTGAGTGTCTTATTGTAATCATCTTCTACCATCTGGATTATCTGGAATAATCATCATAATCATCTGTCGTACTGAGAAGTACTCCAGTGACTCCACATCACAGCCTGAACACAGCCAGTGAGTGCCTTTCCTCCTGTTTATCTTTCGATCTCCTTTTCTTCGTCTTTTCTCTGTCTTTCTTTTCTTTTGATCGACTTCGCCCTCTTGCAGCCGCGCACTTCGAAAGGATTTCGGGGCTGAACAACGGCGCCAGTACCCCTTTGGGCTAGACTGTATTTGCTGACGGGGAATAATTACACAGGGCGGTAATAACATACAAATACCGTAAATACGGCCGTACCGTACTGTCCCGTCACGAAACCCGGCTGCCTGTGTTGTTCTGGCACGCATAGATAAATCTCTCTTTCTCTCCGCATCTCGCGCTCTCTTGCTTTTCTGCTGCTGGTCGGCAAGAAAGAACTTCTCTCTCTCTCTCATATCTTTCTTCCTCTTCGCATTCCTTTTCCCCGGCCGGGTTTATCTTCTGGATCTGCAAGTCCATCGTCTTCGATCCGCTTCACTCCATCTAATCTACTGCCACGCACGCCACCTTGATCAGGCGCAAACTGCTGGTCTTCTGCACCCCTCCTTCTGATCTGTCAGACTGTCTTCTCTCTTCTCCTTCAACAATCTCTCTCCTCTTTGCCCCTCTTCGACTCTTCGACTTTCATCTTCAGACAACATGTCGCCTTCGAAGAAGCCAGTCCTTCATCCTTTAAAGACACCCAAGACCGCAACCTTTCCGTCTGAACTGCATGATGGCCCTCTGTCCAGTGTTTCAGACAATGTGAAACAGGAAGATGGTGCCATGTCTACGCCTATTACACCTCCTGCGGCCTATACAGAATTCCTCAAGGCGCTCACTCCCGTCTTTACCAGCCCAGCCAGTGCTGGTGTGAACTTCCCTAAGTTTCCTTTCGACAAGAGTGTCAACTCGCCTACATCACAGCCAGCCAGTGCAGTCAGTGGCTCGTTTGCGCTCAGTGAACCGGTGAAATCAGCAACGGCCTCACTTCCTCCACCGACTCCCTTTGCTGCCCCTCAACATCCCAAGCGGGAATTGCCCAATCCACGTCGTTTGCGGATCCCGCACCCACAGTCTCTGAGATTCTCGCCGGTGACGGATTCCCCCAGAAGTGCGACTACTCTTCGTTCGCCTTTCTCCCCGTCAGATTGGAAGATCAGGTATTTCGAAGCTCCCCGGAGTTCTGGTGGAAAGTCGGTCAGTGTGCGCCAGGTTGTTACTCGTACGGTGACGTACAAACGCACCCAACTCGAGGCTCCTCCCAAAGGAAAGCGACGGAAGTGCTCCTCGGAAACGGAGGAGAGCTGAAAATTCTGGTCTATCGTTTCTTAATTTCTTTTGTTTTGGTCTACTTTTGGTAAATGATCGGGGTATTAGCGCAGGGTGGGGAGTTTGGGAGTTCTGGGGAGCAACATCGTCCAAAACCATACAGCGCAAATGTTCAAAGTTGGATTTCCTATCTATATCCCTCATGTGGAACTCTTTCGCGGCCGCATTCATAGTAATCTAGAATTTGTGTGTTGGAGCCCTGGTGGTCAGACGCAATACGATTCATGTCTATTGATTTTTTTTGGGACGCATTGTATGGGTCATCCGCAGTGCCAATTATCTTTTGTTTACATGTCTACTTCAATATCCATAATAAAGACGCCGTGGCTTTGGCTTGTTGGTTCATATTTCGTTTTGAGTGGTGTCTTTGATCTTAGGTATGGATTCCACCGTCTCTCAATGGCTTATGATGGCAGACATCCCGTGTCCTCGAGGATGGACACCGGCATGACAAATCATATGTTATGAATCATGTTAGACCCAGAGTCATGGATGATCCGTATCTATGGAGATTGGTCAAAGCCAACTCGGGAGAAGACCGACAATGAATCGCATCGACCCGCTGAGCCAAGGATACGGATCCCCAGGTGAAGCCAAAGGAAGCCAAAGCATCGACCCCGTCTTGGCTATACGAACTCATCTCGCACTGTCTTACCCTAGAAACCGCCCGTCAATCTGCCTAAATTGACGCCGTTGTCAGCCTCTCGGAGCTACGAAGCCGGCGCCATCTTCGTTTATAGCCCACGTGTCGGCCATGATGCAGCTGTAGACGAATGCCCGATTGTCTACGATGTTGGTGGGCATCGAGGCCGCTCGAAGGATCGCAAGCCCGGTGATAAAACGTCCATACGGAGTAAGAGGGGCAACAGAGGGGTAGCGTATCTTTATCCATCGAGTTAGACGGCCATTTAGGGGCATCGAACAAAGAAACCAACAATCCCGAGGGTTTGGTAACGGATGGGGATTGGGCCGTAGAATTTTCTGTCTTTGTTAGTATCTTTGACCTGGCTAGGCTGGCTGAGGCTGAGGCGGCTTTTTTTCTTTTCCTTTCGCGTGGCATCGAGACAGCGAAACAGACGCGCTGCTTGCGAGTCATGGATTTGGATACCAACAAGCTGGAGTTGATCCTAATGGGTATGACCATGAGCCATACTCGGTAGATCCGAATGAAAGCTCAACGCCACTATCCAGCACGGACTCACAATGTCAACGACTGAGTGTAACCAGTTCAATGAGCGTTGACAAGTTGGTACACCATACGTACATGTGTGTAATATTACACATGCGTAACTTACACAATACAGCGGTAATCCAACCTATGGTAAATGTCCGAGTCGAATTCCTTCACTTCCAACTAACTCACTCCATTTCTTTCTTACTTTTTTTTTTTCTTTTCTTTTCTTTTCTTCTTTTTCCCTGCTTAAACTTTTACTTTTCACTATGAGTGTCTACCAAAACCCCTGCATGAGGATTTCCCCCATTAGGTATTCGTCCGCCATCTCCGTTCGGCACAAGTGTGACTTTCTCTACGACAGGCCCAGCACGGCCGTTGATTGGCGCACAAGGCGCGCTGTGTGTTTCAGGTTATCGCTGAAGAAATCATGGATGGAACGTGCCCAGGTGGTGGTGGTTTTTTTTCTCCTGGCGCCGGCGATCACCGTGTTTGTATGTATGTGTGTACATGGTACTTGTATCAGGTGGATGGGGGATGGAGGATGCATAGAGGGTGTTTCAGCTTGATGATAGCTTATGTAGAAGGATAGTTGTATAGAAGGTAGAGTAGGTGCAGGATACCTAAGGCAGACATGAAGACAGAATAGTAGGCAAAAAATACGACAAAAACAAAGTAAAATAAAAAGAAAACAAACTCAGTCATGTATACAGTACACCATCTCAGTCCCCCTCTTCCACACAGACTCTCGCTCTGATTCCGTCCGTCCATCGTTTATATCACCGTCCCAGCCCTCCCATCACAATTCCACCTCACCAAAAATAAACACCACCACCTCACGATACCTGCCCCCCCCCCCCCCCCCCCCCCCCCCCACCCCAAAAACCCCCCACAAAAAAAAAAACCCCCCCCCCCACCACACCCCCCCCCCCCCCCCCCCCATCCATGGTCCAATCAGCGGGCCAGACGGCCATACCCGACGCAGCGTGGCAGATGCAATTAAGCGCCGGCGCTATCCCCAATCCGGTGATGGATGGACCCGCCGACCCCCCTCGATGGGTGGTGTGGAGACATGATATAAACGCTGATTGGGTGCTGGGAATAAGGGACGTGTGGGGGAAAGTGGATGACGTGTGAACAGTGAGTCGATGGAATGCAGGTGAGGGGCTGACTATTGAGGATTGAGGATTCTAGTTAGAGCCTTGAGTTGTACTGGGTAAGGTGGAGTGGGTGGATGATTTTTGGGATTGGGATTCACACCTTGGCTATGCTGCTAGCTAGTATGTAGTTTTTGTTTTTGTCATCATGAAGAGGATTGGCGGTGTATAGGAGGAATAAATGTCATACAGAGATCAATAGTCGATACAATCCCTCAGGAAATCAATCACACGGGCAAAAAAGCAAGAAAATCAGTCAAAAAGAAACTTTCCCCCTACTGTGGCCTGCTACTGCTATCACATCAAGTCTCCATATTTCTTTTCGCGCTGTGATGAACAAGTCGGTAACTGAGCAATCAATAGCCTCAGGCAGGGATTTGGAGGGCGTCAATCGGCCCAAAAATATCACATTCCATTCCCCATTCCCCCTCCCCGGGGAGAGAGACGGGAAAAAGAATGATCTCGGGGAGGATTATGTCTTTCTAGTTTGTTCTACTGTAACGAATTCTGTCACTTGAAAGAGAAATTGATGATAGTTGATAGGTACTTCCTTATAGTTATAGTTATGCTTATTCTCAGGGCACGAGTATGTGTACTCTCTATCTTACTTTGACTAATAAAGTAAACAAAAATAAAAATAAAAATAAAAATCCATCTGCAGGCGCTATTTCCATCACAGACTAACAAACTATTTCTGGCAATGGTTTCTGCAGACCTCGGCTGGGGCTCACCGCTGATTGGTTCCCGAGTACAGACAAACAAGGGTCTTCTGCCAATGAGATCGACGCCTGAATCCAGGGATTGGGTAAGGCTATTTTTGGATCATATCAACATCATCATTTCATTGTACATGTTGGTTTATATTCTGTGCTTCTCCATCAGCATTCATGCCTATGCTGGAATACCATCATATCATAGACATACTGTCTATGGATTCAGTTGAATGATATTAATCATGCTTTTGAAGTGACTTCTATGATATCCTGTACTGACTATGGAGTACTGACACTGACACCGAAAACTGGATGCTACTTCGACTATGAATGCACTAGACAAGGCTTGTGACTATCTCTAGGGATCTTCAATCTTACTGGCCCATATCGAATATCCCCATGTCCTATTCCCCTCAGGCCATGTCCATCAGCCGGATCGTCTGCATCAGAGCCACCAAGTGTACGCCGTTTCTCCTCTCCCCCGACCATTCATTTACCATTCAACGGCCAAAGAACACCTGCTGATTCCAATAATAGCACATCTTGACGCTCTACAGATCCCCCGTTGTGGATCTCAACCTTGAATGTCGTGGACTTGTCCCCGGATCGAAGTCAGAGCGGTTATTCCAGTCACAACTGTGATGATGATGCATGGTCTCTTTCACACGGTGATGTCGTCTATCCTAATATGCCAATGATGTTCTATTCTCGTCTATCTTGGGTCAGACTTAGGTTGTCTTCGTCTCGCAACATCCTTGATGCTCAGACAATTATAGAAACCTGGGGCCATGTGTTGATTTAAACACATTCCCCTGCATTGACGATCTCACTAGGTCCGTCTCTCTCTTCTCATCTTCTGCTGGCTATTGGATGAGACTGTTTGATGTTTACTTTGGTCTGGGATGGCTTCTCCTCTTTACCATCCTGTAATCACTGGACGGGCTGGTTTTGATGCTCTTGTACGATACTGTATGGTACGTGATGCTGTTTTGTACCATGACAGAGTCAAACAGTGCTTTACAGAGCCTATTCGGAGTAGTATTCGGATGCGAATATCGGGGGTATTTCTTCTTTGGTTGATATTGATCCATTCTTGTTGCTGTTGATTGATGTTGATGTTGATCATTTGACGAGTGAGTATACCATTATCCGTCCATTATCTATTGCTATTCTTCATCTAACTATTCTACAGACATCGCTTATTATACTATTATACTATTATCTATTGTCTATATCGATACAAATAACATATTGTAGTGTAGTAGGTCACCTGATTCTATACAATATCATCAGATCACCGCCAAGAAGGCTATTATTAGAAACACCGCCAACCCCTCAAAGAAGTTCCTCCGCCACCGAATTCATCCAGATGCCTGGAAAGTCGTCTGGATATCACCTCATTTCGTGTCAATCCCACCTCCCAATCCCCTCCCCGGATGCAGTCCCTCCTCTGAATCCTCCCGTAACGCTCATCCCGTGATCCACTTCCTGCGTTGCGTTCTGCCTCTCCTTCCACCTTGTTTTCTTCTTCCACAACCCAATTTTATTTTTATCTTTTGCTGCTAAATCACCTGCTCGGCGGCTCTGGACGAACCTGCATATAGTCTAAACTGTCTATCTTGCTTATCCTCGACTTTGTTCCTGAATTAGCACAGCATCCGGCAACCCCCTGACTCCCCCAACCACCCACACACCCACCCCCTTACCGCCGAAGGTATTTCGCGTATCGAACTATCGTCAGAACACAGCCATGATGTCCCAGATCCGGACCCCTCCTACCCCCTTCACCCCGGATAGCGAATTCGCTGCCCTCGAAACGCCCCGAGTGCCTAGCGGGAACATCTCCATCACAGCCCTAGCCCGCTTCGAGTTCGAAGCCGGCAAGGCTAACGATGGCACCAAGATCCTTATGATCGAATGGGAGGATGACGATCTCAGCAGATCACCTTCGGGTTCCTGGCATGTCTCGTGGGAAGGCAAGAAGGCCGTCATCCCCGCCGACGAACAGACAAACGAAAGCACCCGGCGTTTCTACTTCCTGCTTCCTCCCAACGTCACCATCCCCCCCGTCGTGACGCTGTCGTACGAACCTCCCCAGTCGACAACAACAGCTCTTGCTATCCCCAACCGTTCCGACTCGCTACAACTCAACCCCCTCCCCGCCATCTTCCCCCCAGAACTCGGCGCAACGGGGACGTCGGCGGGGAAAAAGGGCGTGTTGCACACGATCTGGGCGAAGAAGCGGCTGCAGGTGCTTGATAAGGAGATCCGCGCGGAATGTCTCAACAACGCCGAGGGAATCGCGTTGCACATGGCTCTGCAGGAGCAGGAATGGATCGAGACGAATTTCGGCGTCGGATCGAGGGCCGCCGAGGTGCAGAATGAGGGTCAGGCTTCGTCTTCGCATGGTTCGGCGTTTTACCCCATGGGTCCTACCACGCCTGTGTCACCTAGTGGTGGAGGGAAACTCGGCGAGAAGCTTAGGGGTCTCAAGTTGCAGACGAGTGAACGGGAATTGTCTGGACAGGAGGGTGAGTCTATCTATCGATTTATCTGGCTCAGCCGTTGAAAAGAAGACAAGTACTAATGAGGTAGCCACCGCAGGTCGTCATCTCCTCTCTCCCCAATCTCCAGACGTCGCCGTCTCGTCCTTCAACTCGTTCCACACCATCCACAATCGCAATGGAAATGGCAGTTCCAATCTCAACCCCAACACCAACCCCAGCCCCGCCCCCGAATCACTCAAGACAGTCGCACACTACCCCCCAGAATCTCTACAGGTTCAACAAAACGCCACAAACAGCGGCTTCACCCCGATGAGCTCAATCGCGCAAACCTCAAACTCCGACTCGGGCGAGGAATTGTTCGCCAAGGCACTCAGCCCTCGTACCCCCGATCTACCCCGGAGTCCGTTCTCGTTTGCGCCGGAGACTTTGTTTTGAATATGTGATATTCTAACCTACCTGTCTATCTTCATTTTTTTGGCTTTTGGATTTCTCTCTTTTTCACCCGATGATTCCCCTGCTGCATTGATTATATACTACTATCTTTTTCTCGACTTGTTTTTTTTGGGCCTTTTATTGATTTGTTTGTTTGTTTGTTTGTTGTAATTTCCATCCCCGCCATGTACATAGAACGAATTGAACGAAAGTAGATACTATATATAGCCATGAAACAATTTTGCTTTTGCTTTTATCCACAATCCTATCGGATCATTTCACCTATAGACCTACATATACGAAGTATAAACCCGTTCATAAATAATAAAACCAAAGAGAATTCGCGCTACTCGGGAGGAGGGCATATCAACATCTCAATCAACACTCATATGCAATCTTATAAACCAGCCATACAGCCACACCCAACCGCTCAGTTCTTCTTCTTCAGGCTTCCCTGCCTCCCCACCTTGACAGAGGAAGACGTAGCCTCGTCAGCGGTAGCGTCAGCAGCATCACCACCATCAGCAGAAGCCTTGGACTCCTCCTCGCCTCCCTTCTTCGAGAAAGACTCAAACTCCTGCGCATCCTTCCGCTCAGCATACCACTGGCCGGCCTGCAAAACAAGCACACCAACCAACACCAACGCGAGAATGGTATTACTAGCGGAGAGGACCTTGAGCGAGTCTTCACGGCCGAGGATCTGATCCTTTTCTTCGGCGGAGGTGACGAGGTCGTCGCCGTACTTGCCTGCGGAGACGAGGCGGAGACCCTTGACGATGTTGGCGATGTAGACGGTCACGCCGCACATGTAGAGGACGAGGGAGGCGCCGTCGAAGAGCATGTTGGATTCGGAGGGTTTGTAGAGCTTCGTGAGGAGGCCTGCGAGGCCGAGGAAGATCACGATGTGGAGGATTCGCGGGATCAACGGCGGCGAGGCGTGCAGGAAGCGGAGGTGTGCCTCGACGTAGTCATAGTGGGCGGGAGGGGTTAGAGCGGTCGACCAGAGGATGGGATAGTCGTAGGGGAAGAGGGAGAAGACGATTCCGAGGAAGAAGCAGACGGCTGTTTATATGCAATTGTCTCATGGTTAGTTTTTTTTTTCTAGGCATCTCGTGGGTGTTCATGCAGATTGGCAGACTTACGGCAGACGATCAGAAAGGTCGCAAAGGACCCGCTCTTGAAGGCCATGATGAAAGGCAGGGAGAAGACACCGATAGAAAGAACCGGAATGTCGTACTGAAGGACAGTACGAAAGATGAGGAGGGTGCGAAGAGAGGAAAAGAGGGAAACGAGAAGGCCAGGTGGTGGTGATGTCGAGTTCCCAACGGTTCGTCTCTGTTGCCTTCTTTCTCTACTAGGGGCGGTGCCAAGCCCAGCACCCAACCTAGGCTATCAGCGTCCCGGCGGCCCTAGCATTTTGCTTCCTATCGCATCCGACATGATCGTAATATTAATATTGAGATAAGATGATATTATGTGATAAGAAGTTGGTTAAGAATCATGTTGGTAGATGCAATTGTCAAGAGATATATGGAACATAAAATGCTGATCCTTCTGCAGTGTGATAGATCCCAACACCGCTCAACGCCATCGTTTCTAATTCTCAACTCGGGCCTCTGCCGAGCGCCTGCTCATGATAAGAATAAACAATAATAGTAATAGTAATAATAATCATCACAGTGATAATGAAAACAATGTAAGATATAGAGACAAAAACAATCGTTCCCATTATAGGGGTGGTATCTTCCGGAATAACCCAACCGTAAATGCAAAAGGTACATCAAATGGCGCCAAGCTGAAAAAAAAGATTCACAAAATGTCAAATAGATCATCCGTCATCGTCAATCGAAGCCCCTTGGCTAATGTTTTCCATCAGCGGTCATCGTTGATAGCGTGGTAGGGACTCGTCCCCATGTGCTGTACCGCCCACTAACTGCTGGTCATCGTCAGTAAAGACTGGCGCACTGGGTCCTTCAACAGCAGCTTCGCTGTGAGATGCCCCAGGGTCTTCAGGAGCACTCGCTTCCATCATCAGCCGTTGTCGCTCCAATTCTTGCTTGTCATCCCCGGGCATTGCAACGGCGTGACTGGGCCCAGCTGCACTTTGGTTTGCGACAATGGTCTGCACTGATTCTGCAGACATCAATGCCTCGGGAATATTATTTTCTGCCGGAGATGGTAGGTGATGGTAACCATTGATGTGATCGTCTTCGGGCAATACGGGTGCTGTCGGCATAGCCATATCTCCGGATGTCGAGGAGCCGACATCAGGGTCATGGTCATCGGGAGGTCGACTGGGCAAGAGCATCTCCTCCGCTCGCCGTAGCCGTGTCTTTTCGTCTGCCGGCTCCTCGGAATGGGGAGTGGAAATCATCTGGCCTAGTGACTGATAGGGTGGTTGATATTCACCAGAATGTTCCGTCCAGTGTGGCTCCTGGGGGAAACCATAATCGCCCTGGCCTGCATATTCCCGGTCGGTGTTCATAGGGCTTTGATCCACCGGCCAGTCGTCCCGCTCTTGTCCATTGTTTAGAAGGGTGGAAGTGGGTTCGGATGGAGTGGCGACGGACGGCGTAGACTCCCCTTGGCCTCGTTGAGAATCGTGGGTTCCAATTACGACTTCAAAGGCCACAGCAATAACTCCCTTTTCGCGCCGGATCCGGTCTGTGTCGAGAATATTGCCCGCCCAATTTGCGGTGATCGAGCTATTCATATCTGCTGGATTAAGGATCTGGCCACTGGGAGAAAAATTGCTCCCCCTGGAAACCATATTGAATCGCGGCAAGAAGCGATCGGGTGATGTAAATTTGCCCCGAAGATCGACGACAACCTCCACATAATATCGGAAGTTTATCATACTACCGGGGGTGCGCGTGATGGTGGGAAACGTGTCTTCAGGGATGCGAATCGAGGTCTTTATATCTGCGTTTAAGGTGGCGGGATCAATAATTAAGGGCGCGAAACTTTGAGATAGATCTTTCCGGAAGACACTGCTGTTTCTGCTAGTGCCCATGGTAAGACCTCCAAGCCCGGTGCGGGATTTTGGATATACATCCTCGTACACGGGCTTTTTACCGTCTGGTGTCACGCCGACGGGGATGGATGGGTGAAGGTCAATGCGACCTTGGCGGTACAAAGTGACGATGATGCCGTGCGCACTGCGCACCTGCTTGCAATGGTTGATGGAAATTTTGATGGGCAAGGTATCGCCCGGAAGCACGCCAGCGCGCAGGAGTTCGGTTTTGGCGGTGATGATTTTGTCGGAGACAGAAGGTGTGATGCTTCGGGATTCGCTATTACGCATACCTGTGCTGGTCGAGGAACTAGGGTCACTGGCGATTTGGAAGCTCTGGCTGCTACTGCTAAGACGACTAGACGAGCTGACGTTGCTGGGAGCCGGACTCAACGGAGGACGCTGATCAGCCGCAGTACCGTTCGATGATGGCTCTAATGAGATCGTGTCCGCTGTTGCATCTGATCCTGTGGATTTTCCTTTCGCCTTGGATTTCGAACGTCTCGATACAGGCTCGAGGCTGACTACTCGAGCCTTGGGGGCCGGGAATGGGGCGATGTCGATGTTCTCCAAAAGATTAATGCGCCTGCGGCATGATAAAGTCGGGTTCATAGTCGTGGGTTTTGTTAAGGTGGATGTAAGCATATAGGAAATGGTCCCTCGTTCGAACTAAATCGAGACATGATCGTTAGCAACCCCCAAATAAATAAATAAAGACAGGAGCGGAAAGATGATGAACCTACGTTGATGCTGCTGGGGAGGTTATACGGGGGAAAGCCCATCTCGAAGCGGAACTTGTAAATGCCCTCTTTGAGACGGCCCTCGCCGCATAGAACCACTTCGTCCTCGAACAAAGTCGCCAATCCATTGCCCAAGTACTCCGCGCCTCGATGCCCACGCCCGGGACCGAGGAATCCCACGTCCGGACCCGCTTCACCCGAAGGCACCGTATTCTTAAACACCTTGACAAAGCCATGTAGGCAGACCACCAAATGTGTAATGCGAACGGGTCGAACAACGGTAAGAACAACGGTACCGGAGATCACATCACCGGGGAAATAGGAGCGCCAGGGGTCGTCAGGCTCGAGGTAGAAATCGGTGATGCTGCGATTTCGCTGGCCGAGTTGGGAGCGGAACTTGGACAGGAGGGACGTGCGATTCCGACCGAGCGGCGAGGACGGTTGAGCGGGGAGGGAATTAACTGACATGACACGCAGCCACTCCTTGCAGAATCCATACAAGATGGAAGGAGGCGTAGGGAGAAGAAGGAGGGGGGGAGGAGGGAGAGGAGACGAGAAGGGAGTGGGATGTTGCTTATGTCTCAATGTTTATCGAAGACTCGAACGATAGATGAACGCCGGCTTGGAAGGGGGAGAATCAGAGCGAGAGGACGAGAGGAGCAGATAGGAGCAAGTCGGTACGACAGCCCGATAGATCAGCTGGGAGAATCTGCCGTCTGATCAATCAATCCGCCGACACGTCCAGACGTCGTGAAATCGGGCGTTGAGTCCAGCCAGGCCCCGATGTTACCGTCGGGCGCAAATACACCAACGGCAACCAAAACGACGATGACCCGAACGACAAGTATTTCCCCCTGTCTTTCGTTCAGACTGGCTTTTGTTTTCCCTCCGACCGTTCGTTTTTATTTTCCAGGGTGTCCAAGAGGAGGGGTTTCGGCGGAGAGGCGAGGGAGTTACGGTGATCGTAGACAACCGGACCGCATCGTTTCTTACGGGTCGGTGGGAGACAAGGGCGAGAAGGTCGCAGAAACACCCCCACCCGAGACGCAATAGTCGAGAAAATGAGGGGACGGAGATGAAGGACGTGTAGGTGACAGGGGAGGGAGAGAAAAGAAAGATTGAATAATTCGACAGGAAGTGGATGGATGGATGGGGGAGGGGGGCGCAGTCGGAAGGGCACGGGGCAGGGTGAAGAAACGGCGCAAGCGATGGAGACGAGCAGCAGTGGGCGATGGATCGAGAAATCGAGCGCGATCAAGACAAGCGGGGGTGGAGAGTCCCAGACAGGCCAGAAGAGAAAGAAGAAGAAAGAAGTGTCGATGGACTGGCGAGCAAGAGACCGAGTAATAGAAGAGAACAGGTTCGCGATAAGCAATGAGGCGGAGTTTCGCGTACCGACAGACTACAAGTCAAGCTTCTCTTGGTTCTCTAGTTTGAGGCTAAAAGGAGCCTCTCCACTTGGTTTGACGTGGAAGAGTAAGCACATACGTAGGCGATGGGGGTTTCCGATGGATCACACATTATTATTTTCTGTCTAGGACGTCGGGTAATAATAATATACTGGTAGCGATGAAGAAGAAGATTAATCGCCGTGATCCCCGTGTCGTGTGTGTGTGTGTCGACCATCGAGGCTGAGGCGATGTGCTGACAGCATCGAGGAATGTCGCTTGGACGATCGCTTTGCGGGGTTTCAGTTTGAATATTATGGAGAAAGCAAATTGGTTCCCTCGTCACTAACGCCGTATCGTGACCGATGCCCAAGAAAGGCACTGGGGGGAGAGCTGAGAGCAAATGGTCCTGAGCTGAAGATCTACATGCCTACTGCCTGTGATAATGCCGGGGATGTCACAGAGTCAATTAAGATTCATATAGTTTGACAAAAAGCAACACATAATAGACCCAATGCAATCAGTCGATCTCGCAGGAAAAAGAAAAAAAGAAGCAATCTCCCAAAAGGGCAAAAAAAGACGAGGGCCGAGCGAGGATCGAACTCGCGACGTTAAGATTTGCAATCTTACGCTCTACCGCTGAGCTATCGGCCCATCTTATAAGCGAAATGTTATTCCTATTGAACCTAGGATCAGGACTATTCTATCATGCCTTGTCCTGACCTAGTCGCACAAGATATTTAGACTTCTGGGAAATCAGAGTTGCCAAATCAAATCTGTGATGCTCGGGCTCGAAAGAATGTCCTGAAGGCCCAATGTAGCAGCTCCCATATCACGCATGACCCAGTTCCTCAGTTCGATCGCACTGATCAAGTCCAGACCATAATCAGTCAGAGGGCTAGAGGCGTTCATCTTATCCATAGGGATCATTTCCAGGGCAGATATCTTGTGCATCAGAGCTTTGCAAACAAGTTGGATTGCCTCTTCAATGCAACGGACTTTTTGCGATGTGTCCCGAATTTTAGTAATTCCTTGATTAGTATCCGTAGTAGAAGTGTCTTCGGTCACTGGGCCTCTTCCCGTGCGATTCAGGTCGAACACCATGAATTAGCCCTATGTTGTGCATTCCAGAGATTCGGGACGCGATAGACAACATTCTCTGTGGCTGCTCTTCTAGATTTGAATGGGCTGAGAGTTATGACACCAAGTAGGGAATATTTGTCGGTAAAGAATCTCAGGGGACTCTTGGGAACGATTGTCACGTATCATAGCACCAGAAATCGAGGTATATGTATATAACATACCCGCCACCGTGTGCTGAGATACGCCTAGATTGACTACACCAAAGTCAACAGCATAAATACAACCATGCCTGCATCTTCATTTCGTACAATGATCTCTGGCCCTGACTTTCTGGGCGACCCTCTGATCCGAACCCAGCATTTTATCGGAGCTACCAAGTGGGAGAAGATCAGTTCTACACTGTTAGAAGGCCACCATCAACTCCGAACTACTCATCACCGATTTGCAGAACCCATTCGGGGAAACAATTCAGAAAGCGTGGTAGCTCCTGTCCAGTTCAAGAGTCATGTTTATGCCAAGTTCAGATATGTCAATATGGATGGGGGATGGAAATGGGGCGGTCTAGAGTGTCGTATCAGATGGAATGATGGTCCAATAAATAAGCTGTTCCAGGCAAAATTGTGCAACATCAACAGTCCAAAGACGTTGAGAATATTCAGACAAATCAACACACGAAACGAATCAAACCATCTCACGCAGTCCCTCTCCCTCAACATATTCCTCGCCATAACACTCCCTCTGTATGGCCGCAATAATCTCCCGGTCTCCACCGGCCAATTTCCCCAGATACCCCTCCAGCACGTAGATATTGTCCGTCCACATCTCCGCCTCCTGCCTTAGCGTATCCAACTCCTCCTTCTTTTCCTCTATCCCCTTCCCCCCTTCAGCCGCAGAAGCAGCCTTCAATTCCACCTGCAACTGTCTCACCTCCTTCTCCAATCCAGTCTTCTGTCGTATCAATTCCTCTCTCTCCTCTTCATCCTCCTCATCTTCCTCCTCCATTTTCTCCCTCTGTGTAGCCAAACTCTTCTCAGCAGCATCAAAGCTAGCCTGAGCCTTCTCAACATCTTTCAACAACTGATCTCGCTGCTGTTCTCGTGCCTTCTTATCATCACTCGCAAAACACCAGTACCAGTTCCCGCTGCCGATCTTCTCCACGCGGAGCTGGTTCTCATCAGTCAGGTTCTGGATGTACTCTTTGACTTGCATTCCGTTGATCGAGGCCACGGAGGGGAGCATTTTCTCGAGGTTTTTGAGCGTGTGGCAGGTTCGTGTGGAGCGGAGGTGTGAGACGATCAGGTCTAGCTTGGCGCTTTTGGAGAGCTTAGGAGGCTGTTTGGGGTGGTTAGCTTGCTTTTTTTGATCTTTTTCATTCCCTGCCGACTCCATTGTGGGGTGGTTTTGGTTGGTGACGTACCATGGTGTTTGGTGATGGGTACCTGACTTGACAGACTATATAGAGTCGAGTAAATCTTGTATCTTAGGTTATTGGATACCAGTAAGCAATAAATAGATGATACTCGATGGTAAAGATGTAAGTGATGATGGTTCCTTGGTGGGGATTGAAGGTAGTTGTCAACAGGTGACAGAAGACCTACCTTAGGTACTTAGGTACGACGGGACGGACGTAGACACGCCCAAATAGGAAATGGTCCACTTCACCTGACCTAAGCTATCAGCCATCGATGGGAGAAAGTAGCTTCAAACACTCATCTTTCTGTGATGCCAGTTTTACTGATTGGGAAAAGATATATGCAATTGTTCAACTTGAATAATCAATATTACTTAAACAGCAAGCACACGACTCCAGATACCAGCCTCGCTTAGACCTTTACTTCACTAATAATACCTCCATCCTTCTTTGTCTCGCTAGTTGGGTGTGTATCCTCAATGTGCAGCGTGTTGACCAGATCGCGGCCTTTCTCAGTCCCGCCAGCTCCTCCAACCATTGCTGCATCACCATCAAAGTGACGAGCGATTTCTTCTAGGGGCGTATTCCGTGTTTCAATGTAGAAGAACCAAACCACAATCAGTTCGAAGCCCAGCCAGACGCAGTAGAAGATATAATACTTCCAGTGGATGTGGTCTAGGGCGATAGGGTTGATGTATTGATTAAAGAAGACTACTCAGACGTTAGTATGTACTTCAAGAGAAGGGGGCGATGAAGTACGTACGTGCTGCATCGATGCAGAGCCACACAACCGTCATGCCCTTGGCACGGATACTGTAAGGAAGAATTTCCACAGTATATCCGACCAGCAGACCAGACCATGCCATGTTGTAGAACATGTAATAAATATAGATCATGGCGACCACAGCCTGAGCTGCAGCATGCTCCTTGCTAATATCATACCGAGCCGAACAGATCGTCCAGACAATGAAAGCCCCCAGCATGCCTGCCGTGGAGAAGAGAAAGAGCCGACGACGACCGACCTTGTCCACCACAAAGCACATACCCAATGCCACGATGAAGTTGCTAATCTGAAGGAAGCCATTGATGAGATTCTGGACAACCGAGCTCGTGTAGCCAATATCTTCAAGGATTGTGTGGATGTAATATGAAACTAGGCCGTTGCCAGACCACTGGGAAAACAAACCCGCACTGATCAAGATGATCAAACGATGTCGGTTTCCTTTTGTCCGGATCAGTTCAATCCAGCTATTACTTTCGAATTCCTGTTCCAACTTGATTGTCTCTTTAATCTCGCGCATCTCCAGCTGCAAAACCTCGTCCTCCTGGTCACCGTTTGCGTGGCAATCGGCCATGACTTTCAGCGCCTGCTCATGCTTGCCTTTGGAGATAAGAAATCGAGGCGACTCGGGAACAAACCAAATGAAAATCATTTGAAGCACAGATGGTAGAGCTTGAACGACTGTCGGGGCTCTCCATGACCAGTCACTCTGAATGTTGTTGGTACCGAAAGTAAGCCAAGCTGCGACGATGCTGCCGAAATACCACGTAGCTATCTCCAGTCAGTCATCCAAGCTTTCTATCACACTGTAATTGGCATACTATTATAGATAGTCGTGAATATCGCGCGGTGTTGAGTGTGAACCAGTTCGGTGACGAGCAAAGGCGAGGCGCCATGCGCGATGGCGACTCCGAATCCGATCAAGAATCGGGCTGCCAGAAACATCCCAAAGTTGGCGCTGATGCTCTGGAGAATTACTCCCAGGATCCTTGAGTCCGTTAGCATAATTCTCCCGGAAGTCCCATAATAGATGTTCTCTTACATTATCGAGCAACCGATCAAGATGCTCATACGACGTCCCAACATATCAGCCGCATAAGGCACTACAGGTAAAGCCGCCAGGGACCCGAGAGACATGATAGCACTGAGTATTCCCAAGAGCGACCCGCGGGGATGGTTAAAGTATTCCTGCCAGTAATCCAAGGTCTGTAGCCCATTCATCATCGATCCATCGTATCCGTTTGTAGCCTATCCTCAGATTACATTGTTAGATATATTTCAAAGGCAAAGAATATAGAGTTTACGGCGTACCGATGTCAATACCACGAACATCAAGCAGATATAGGTCTTCCTCATTCCTGGATTCTTCCACCATGTCACTCTCGGGAAGTGCTGCCCCGCCAGCTCAAAGGTTTTGCTCGAACTCATGGTGAATTTTTGAACGATGCCGTGTCTTTTCTCGTAGGTTTATTCAACAATGTCGTTCACAGCTGTTCAATCAGTCTGATACTTGCAGCTCCACATCATGCAGGCAAATAGAGCCGCTGTTGGTGGGAGGAGATATCTTTAAAACACTTCGTCCAGGCCCTGGTTTTTATCCGGATAATCTTCCACGAAACCTGACCAGAGAATCTTATCATTTAATGCATGATACCCTTGAGCTTGTGCGGCTAAACAGGGACCGGCAAAGATAGCGCAGTTCACACATTTTTCTATCAAGATGGATGATTATTTTGGGAGGATTCGACTTGGAGCCACAATTAAGCCTAGATACCCATACTGTGGCTCTTTTTATTCCACGAACAGCTAGTTGCCAAGGACGCCTCACTCACGAGAGTGATGGGTATAATCGTGTTCAGGCTAATTGATTGCTGGTAAGCTCCGATGGTCAAAATAAGAGAGCCGTGAAACCAACGAAAATCCGGGGTTAAAAATTGCAGGGATCGTTTACTGGGAGGTCTAGTCCCTCTCCGCCCGTTCCAACAGAAGTTGCGAGTATTCTGGCCATGGCCAAGGCCCTAATTTGCGCCTCTTTAAACAAATGTCGGATTACGACTAGGATGTGACAACAGTATATTGGTCGGGAATAAGGGTGTGCCAAGTCAGTGAGATGACCACGCGGACTGATGGAAGCTCAAGTTTCCAAGTCAAATGAAGTGTCGGTTGGAAGAATTGAGGGAAATCCTGAACCATTTCTCCTACTGGGCCGGTTAAAATGATTTTCTCGTTCCAATCCATGTAGACAGGCGTTATGCCGACATTAATCTGGCATGTGCTGTCTGCTATAAGGCTGCATGGACAGGATACACTGCCAGTAATTCCAGGGAAGCGTCTTGATCAAATAGGGTCATTCATTAGATAGTCGAATAATTTGATAACATAATAGTAGACGACAGAATCCAAGGCTATATTGGGAAACCACTCAATCAAGTTTATCGTAAAGAGTCGTCGGAATCATGGTTGAAATCCTTTAGGATACCCATCCAGCAAGAGGAGCTTGTGCTATGAACACGATATTCACGATCTCTCGTCTGGCTCCGTGTCCATGTCAGTAGCAGAAGCCTTGCGGGTCAGCTTGCGCTTTTTAGACCGCTTCTTCTTCTTCACCACACTGTCCAAATCATCTCCTGAGCTGGCCATAATAGCACTCTGAGCCGTGTTGGCCCTTTTACGACCCATGCGCATTCCTGTCCTCTGTGTCGGTTGAATCTCGTCATCTGAAATATCCTCTCCTTCAACGAGAACCAAGTCTCCAGTTTCACCCAGAGACTCCTTTGCCATCTCCTCTATCAGTATACCCATCGCAATCAATGCCGTTTCGTCCATGCTTTGATAATCATCCTGGCCCCCATCAATTGTTGCATGGTTGTAATAATCGGCCGAGTAAGCGTGAATCGCCTCCAACAGATCGGAGCTGGGGAGCGGGCGAGCGGGTGGAAGAGATTCGTGCGCGAAGTAAAAGTCGTTCTCCTCGAAGCGAGTCGGGGCATTTTGCCGACGAAACAGAACTTCTTCGGGACGAACAGCGCGGGCACTCGAGGACGCCGTATCTCGGTATTTCGAAGTGTAAGAGGCAGACGAGAGAAATCCATGAGCATTGACACGACCTATCATCATCAGTATTCGAGTCCAGAGAAACAAATCTTGGGCCACCAACCAGCTACGGCATCGTAGACATTGGCCTGTCGCTTCTGGCGTCTTATCGAGTTCTCATCCTCGACCTCATCTTGCTCGGACGGAGGTTGAACAAAGGAATTCTGGCTCAGTGCAAGGGATTTGCCGTAGGACATAGTCCTGGTATGACTGGGTTCACCCGCACGAGAGCATTAGGAAGCTCTCCGGCCACCCATTGACAGATATATTCAGTCAAGCTGGATGTTGTTGCTATCTTTTTCTGTGACTCGTCGACTGCAAAAAAAGTTGGATGACCCGGCCGAACCTTTCTCCGCCCCGCATCTGTCGATGATGCATTGGCGATCACTTCGAAGTCGCAACTTGCGCACCTCAACATCACAATTCACAAGGATCGTCAAGGTGACGCATGTTTATGGGTGGAGAATATTTGAATCCCTGATGAATGAATTCGTATCTTTTAAACAGGGCCCTCGGGTCCATCAGTCCGTCTACCTTCCATGTCGCCCAAACTACTCGGCTGGTACAACACCTTGAGCCAGCTCCTGGCATCCGATTCTCAAGTCGTAAAAAGGTCCACTCAACTGAAAGCCAACCACAAAATACATCGGAGGTTTTGGATGATGGTCATGCTCCTGACGACCAAATAATTGCCCATCCAGCGGGTGCTAACGTACTCGCAATTGATCAATATGATGGACGATTGTAAGCTCCTAGCTTTGAATCGTCATGGTCGCAACTAACACCCGACAGCATGGTTTCTGGTGGCGCCGATTCGTCTATTCGTCTTTGGGATTTGGAGACCAGAGGAGCTGAATTAAATCACATTCACGAACCCCGTGCATCTGTCATAAGAGCCTCACATGAGGACGCCCATACTCATGCCATTACCTCTGTCTCGATCTATCCCTTTGACCCAAGTCCGTCCACCATCTTGACAACGTCGCATGATGGCACGCTCAAGCTATCGGCCTTGGAACCAGATATAACACCCGTTCATACATTTAGGCTCGATTGCACACCGTACTCGCATTCGTTTTCTTCCCATCCTGGGTCAACCCTACTGATCGCAGTAGGTACGTCAGAGAAATCGGTTCGATTGCTAGACTTACGATCCGGTCTGTCTACACATGGTCTTCCAGGACATACCTCCTCGGTGCTTTCAGTATCATGGGCCCCACATCAGTCTCATATTCTGGCTTCCGCCTCTGCAGATAATCGGGTGATTCTTTTTGATGTCCGTCGAGGCGGTCACAATTCCGCCATCGCTACACTGGATATGGATGATGCTGTGGGATTGGTCCCTTCAGGTTCCGCTCCGGAATTGTACCAGAGCCGTCCGGCATTCTCTCGCCAAGCGCGAGCACACAATGGCGCAGTGACAGGCGTGCGATGGACCTCCAATGGCACACACTTGGTAACCGCTGGTCAAGACGCGCGGCTTCGGGTATGGGATGCATCCACGGGCGCAAATACTCTGGTACACTTTGGTCCACGAGTACGGAACAGTGTATCGTCGCACCTTGCAGAACGGGCGCCACTGATCGTGCCTCGGGGCGCAATGATACCTGGTCATGAGACACTCCTGTGGCCTAATTTCAACGAGAGAGATGACCGCGGGGAGATTTTCATGTTTGAGCTTCGCGAGGGAACCTTTGTCAAACGTCTCAGGGCACCTGGTCTCTTAATTGGGCGACAAGAATTCCGTGGACGATCCAGTGCACTGACTGCTGCGCGCATAAATGCTTTGGCCTGGCGCGGTAACGGCGCAGCCGGGGAAGGCATGGAGATGTTTTCTGCCCATGGCGATGGAACCATCCGCTCCTGGGTATCTCGAGAACCAGAAGGCGAACCCGATGAGGCAGAAGAAGCCGAACAGGCCGATCGGAAACGCAAACGAGATGCTTTAGATGAGATCTACCAAGGTTTCATGGGAGCACGATGAAATACAATTTAACCAGACCTCTTGCTTAGATTTTAGTCGACATCAAGAACAATAAATTTATTATACAATTGGAAAAGAAAACAATCTTATACCCAATCACTCATTCCTTGTCTCATGCTGCCCAATATACTCCCCCGAATCGCCATCCTCCTTCGCATACCGATCAAACGCACTCCGATTCAATTCCGCATGCTTAAAATCCCTCAAACTCCCCTTCGAGCCGGGATTATTCGCCCCAATCTGCGTCCTCTTCGACTCACTCTCCGCCGGTATCGAGTTTCCCGTTCCCGAGAGAACCTCGCCCGTAGCACCCATATCCCTAGTGCTCCGGGGCAAGTCTGTAGCGTTATCCGCGGCAAAGGCAGAAGTGGGCTCCGCGAGGCCCTGATTGTCGAACTGGGGGTCTTCGCTCTTTTGGTCCGGGCGCGGGACGGAGGGGATGGTTCTTTGGATACCGGCGTCGTTGGGCATGGTAGTGCCCGTGGCCATTTCGGAGAGGGTGCCGCCTTGGTGAGGGTCGATAGGCATTTTGATAGCTTGTTTGTGAGGATATGGGGGTAGATGATTGAGTGTTTGTAGAATAATTTCAGTAATCTGAATCTACAAACCTCGAGAACAGAAAAGAAGACATCTTATATACATAATTTAACAAGAATACATGGTTCACGAGCTGATGTCACGGCTCACAGTGCTGTGATGAGATAATGATATCAGGCGACGGAAACCTGGTTGGCGATGTCTGGAAAACAACAACACAATTCAAAAACTTGACCTGTAACAAAGGGAAACCATACAGTAGAACTTGATTTTATATGGAGCAATAGCTTTATGACACAATGGACTGGCTATCTTGGAGCTTTTTTGACAAGGTTTGGTCAAGGGGTGATTTCATGATGGCGATAGTGGACCCGGTTGTACGAAATCCGTGTTGCCACAGGACAGTTGCATTAGTGTTTAATTTGACGACCTCGGGCTGATGTAGGCAGACGGTAACAAAAAATTAATCAGAACGATCGCAGGGGATTGTAGTAGAAACTATTCAGACCGTGAACAGCGTGGGATCCAAAAGCTCAATTGCTAGAGGTAGTGTACGTCTAAAGTGAATCATCTACGAGTGAAATTGTTCTAGAATGCAAAAATTATAATTTCATAAGAGTACATGGCATTAAAGAGGCCCTTCCCTCCAAACGAGTGACTAGAAAACATGGATCACATAACGAAGGTATTGGTGATATGATAAAATGAATGACAGAAAGGCAGACTTGGAAGTAACATTACATCCTTACAGAGCAGCAGCAACAGCGACCAAACCGCAGAGGACAGAGACAATACCAGCTCCGGCAGTCAAGCGGGAAGCACCACCAGTGAAGGCAATGCCGTGGGAAGTCGAGTTCTTTGCGGAGTTGGGGGAGAAGTGCTTAGGCGATGCACCGCTGGGAAGTGCGTTGGGCGAGGGAGTGCTGTAAGGTGATTCTGAAGCGTAGATCTTGACAGAGCTAGCGGCAGAGGAGTATGGAACGTGCACAGGGATGACGGCGTAGGTAGATGCGTGCTTGACGGTCACGCTCGAGGTCAAGGGACCATGGGAGACGGACGCTGAGGGAGTGGTGGCATGCAGCTGGGGCTGGTGATGGATGACGGCGCTGGGTTCAGCCTGAGCGCTGCCGTGGAGGTGCTTCGATGTCGTGGGCGACGACGATGACTGAGCGCTGTGGTAGAGGGATGGCTGTGGGCTTGCGTAGGCCGACTGGGGCTGGTGATACAGCGCTGACGACGATGCAGCTTGTTGCGGGTCGTGGAACTTGCCAGTGGCAGTATGCTTGCCGGTGGTAGTAGGCTTGCCGGTGGTAGTAGGCTTGCTGGTGGCAGTAGGCTTGCTGGTGGTGGTAGCCTTGTCGGTCTGGAATTTGGTCTGGGTCACGGTGTGGACAATGTGCTTGACCTTTGTGGAACAGGCTTCACCATCCTCCTGGTCCTCATTGCTCATGACAGCAGGCGGGTGCTGGACAGTAGAGTGCTCCGACTCAGGGGCATGCTCGGGTTCGTGGTGGTTCTTGGGCTTGGGCTCATATTGATCAGGCTTAGTCTCGTAGTGGTCAGGCTTGGGCTTTCCTTCGGGGTGAGGCGGAGGGACCACGTCATAGTGGGGGACTGTTGCTTTGACAGAGTGGTCATCGTTGTGCTTGCTCTTCACATCCGAATCGTACTCATTTTCATAAGATTGAGCATAGACGTTGCCAGGTTCATCACCAGAGGGGCCGCCAATAACGTCCGAATCGCCGCCAGGCTGACGCAGGGCACGCTTGGGACCAGGTCCGCCAGGGAAACCGCCGTGAGGGCCGGGGCCACCCCAGTGAGGGTGGTGAGGCTTAGGGTGGGGGTGGTCCCAGTGCTCTTTCACATCCACGGAGTGGTCGTCCTTGTACCAATCCTTGACACTGGAGGAGTAGTCACCCTTGATCGGGATAGCAGCGACATTGCCCTCATCATCACCGGATGGTCCACCGATCACGGTAGTGTCATGGGGCTTCTCCTTCTCGGGGAAGCCACGGGCATGGTAAGGCTTCTTTGAATCAGGGTGTGGCTTCTTGGGACCGGGGTGGGGTCCTTTGGGTCCAGGGTGTCCGTGAGGTGGAGGAGGTCCGGGGTGGAAAGCGGGGTGAGGCCACCACGGCTCGTGCTCGTGCTCGATATCAACGGAGTGATCATCCTTGTACGAGTCCTTGACATCGGAAGAGTATTCACCCTTAATAGGGATGGCAGCAACATTGCCCTCGTCATCGCCAGACGGTCCGTCAATGAGAGTAGCATCGGGGTGCTCGTGCTTCTCGGGGACGCCACGGGCATAGTGCGGCTTCTTGCCATCAGGATGAGGGCCCTTGGGTCCAGGGTGGCCGTGAGGCTTAGGTCCGTGGGGTGGTCCAGGCCAGAATTCTGGGTGAGGCCACCAGGGCTCATGTTCGTGCTTGACGTCTACAGAGTGGTCATCCTTGTACCAATCCTTCACGCTGGACGAGTAATCACCCTCGATGGGAATAGCAGCGGCGTTTCCACCATCGTCGCCGGAAGGACCACCGATGATGGTGTCCTCGTGAGGCGGAGGCCCACCGCGAGCCCAGTGGTGGTGCGGTGCGTGAGGGTGAGGCCACCATGGCTCGTGCTCATGCTTCACATCGACAGAGTGATCATCCTTATACCAGTCCTTGACGCTGCTGTCGTAGCTAGCGGTAATCGGGATGGCAGCAACATTTCCACCATCGTCACCGGATGGGCCTCCAATGACGGTATCCTCGTGAGGGGGGCCACCGCGAGCCCAGTGATGCTTAGACGGTGGGCCAGGGTGAGGACCTTTGCCTTTGGGGCCGGGATGAGGTCCCTTGGGTCCGGGGTGGAAGGGAGGACGAGCCCAAGGCTCATATTCGTGCTTGACATCGACGGAGTGGTCGTCTTTGTACCAGTCTTTCACATCACTGGAGTAGCTGTCGGTGATTGGGATTGCCGCAGTGTTACCACCGTCATCTCCAGAGGGACCACCGATAATGGTGTCCCCGTGGGGCGGCTTGGGCTCACCACGAGACCAATGGTGGTGAGGCGGTCCAGGGTGGAAAGGAGGACGAGGCCAAGGCTCGTGCTCATGCTTGATGTCGACATGGTGGTCGTCCTTGTACGAATCCTTCACGCTTGAGGAGTAGCTGTTCTCAATGGGAATGGCGGCAGCTTGACCGTGGTCATCGCCAGATGGGCCACCGATCACCTCACTGTGGCCTGGCTTCTTAGGACCAGAAGGACCACCGATCAGAGTGGTATCTTCGTGGGCAGGAACGCCACGAGCATGATGGGGGAATCCGCCGTGCGGTCCAGGTCCACCGTAGCCGTGGCCAGGGTGGACACCATGCGGAGGACCGGGGTGAGGGTGATGCGGAGGAGGCGGCGGGGGAAACTTGTTCTCGATGTGGACATCGTGGTTGTCCTTGTTCCATTCCTGGACGGTGCTCGAGTACGAGTCGTGGATAGGGTAAGCGACTCCATCAGGGCCATCGTTGCCAGTCGGGCCTCCGATGACCTGGGCCTTCGCAACGGCCGCCAGAACCGCGATGGGGATACCTCCGTGCAAACCCTTCATCTTGCTGGTTCGGGATTGATTATGATAGAAAATGCAACTAAGACAGATTAAAGAGCGGCTTGATTCAAGAGCGCGAACAGGGAAGGGCAAAAAGAGAATGGAGACAAAAAGAAAGACAGCGGTTCCCAATACCGGTGATGCTTGATGGATGGAATCAAAACTCAGATCGGCCGGACATTGACAAACCTTTTATCGCCATCAGGAACTCGCTAGAGACTCTCCCATTGGGATTGGAATGCCAGGAGACCATTGTCCAGCGAAACAAACAAAGACCAGCCAGGAGACTGTTTCCACCGAGAGAATGCCCTGAGGAATGGGTGAAATAACGACATGGAGACCAGAATCAAGGTCCACGGTAGGATGGAACCAGCACGGCCCTCGCGATGGGATCTCGCAACATTCCATGGTGTCCTAGCAAGGTATAGATCCCAGGGATCGGTATGGAGCACGTTCAGCGACGGCGAGGAGAATCCCTTGGATGGACCACCACTACGCCCCTACAAAGGGGATCAACATGCTGAACCGGTATTGATGAATTTAAAATCCGTTGACAAGTTGCCATTGGCATCGCATCGCCCATTGAACGAGGTGGAATTGCCTGAAGTCGTCATGTGAAGGAGGCAGAACTTGTTTCCAGTGAGGCCATCTCTGGTGACGGTGAGTGCGACAGCGACAGCAACACCAAGCACGACACATAGAGCAGAATTACAAAATTGACAGGCATGTGTAGCAGTGAACAGAACTTGCATTGCACCTGTAGTTGCTAGACAGCGACAGCCTTAATCCAAAATACAGAATACGAGGTAAACAAGACATAGCTTGGTTCAATTCAACATTCATTCAATTCATCATTCGAATCGTTTTGAATCAATCATACGAAAATCTGCAGTTGCAGGCATCCACACACAAACCACGAGTCACCGCCTCGCAGCCCATGCTGGATTTAAAATTGGAGATGTATCCCGTCATCGACATTCCCCCCTCATCGCCCTCACTGAAGAGGACCCAACGAGAGGCAAACTTCCTATCAAGGAATGCATTCTTCTCCAGAGCCGGACGATCCCCGGAGGGATCGAAGGCAACACATCACCGTGGGATAAAAAACTGGGTGACGGTCGTGGCAGGCTCTGTTTACTTTTGATCTGGAGAAGAAAAGAAAAAATAAGTCAAAGATCGGCGAGCGAGAAGGGTTTTTATAGCAGTGTCACGGGTTGTGCGTCACGTGGGAGGGGGCCGATGTTGTTCCGTAGCCAGGCAGTCAGGCAGGAAGAGAGCACAATAGAACAGAGTAGAATGTCCACAGTCGATATAATCGATATAGACGTCTGTAAATTCATCTGATAGTAATTCCAATTTATGTATTTTATCGAAAATAAAACATGCCATGTTAGAGCCATGTTAGACAGTGCAATACTTGTTGGTGTACAGGGTCCTGCACGCACGAAACCGATATCAAAGTCAATATATATTTCTTCTCCGAACATGCTTGCTACATCACAACAATACCACCCAGCCAGTTCTCTTAATAGCAACCATTCAAATCAATAATTAGCACAAAAGATATATATTTTCAATCACTGCTTCCAATTATACAGCCATATCAAATACTCTGACAAATATCACTACTCTTGGATGCGACTGCGACTCTATTGACATGGATGTCTATAAACCCCACCATCTAACAAACTCCTTAACCAAAGACCGAAACAACCAACGAATAATAAAAACATCATACACATCATACAACATAAACATAAACATAAAGCACACATCAATCACCACTCCCAACTCCCCGGCATCCGTCTCTCCTTCTCCTCTTCCTCCTCCCCCTTATCCATCTTGTTATCCGCATTCGCATTCGCATCCTTATCCTTATCCTTATCCTCCACTGCCCCATCCCCCCACCGCTCCCTCCAACACGCCAATTCTTCCTTCCACAAATCGTTCACGCAGGGATCGCATGAACTCCCACAGCAATCGCCCAGCGCAGGCGGCGGGGGCGGATCATTGTATGCTCGATCTGCGGCCCGGAGGAGCTGCTTGGTGCGCGTGGTGGTGAGGCGTTTTGCGTTTTTGATGCGCGGCACTTGGGCGGGTTCGTAGAGGGGTGTTGGGATGCTCATGGTTGTGCTTATGGAGGAGGGCTCATCGATGAGGCAATTGGATTGGATTGAGTCTGTTTTTGATTAGTAGCATCTTGGAAATGGATATTCTGCTGGTTTATTACTTCATGGCTTGTTCTTTTGCTTCTCCGGTTCTGTCCGGCATATCGTAGAGCCACGGAGGATCGGGAACAACAAAATCCCGCTTCGGATGTCAGTCTGCAGCTTCAGACTCAACTCAACTCAGCAGTTAGCTCAGTGCCGATGATGAGAATGCAGGCTAACATGACATTCCTATCACTACCAGACAATAGGTACAGCCGTGGAAAAATATTTTCAATCCTAAGCTAATATTATATATTACAGGAACCCCTGATGAACCCAAAACGAGTAGAGGGTCTTCGCTTCGAAATGATAACGCTGATCGACACGCTAGAATAAACAGAAAGCATGCCAGACAAGCACATACAGAGACCTGGATCACAAGTCGGTCTCAATGGGAATAGATAATGCGCCCGGTGGAGAGGTCATATACATCGGCGGGCGAAGCGTCTGCTGTCCACGCTTTCTGATTTCTGTACACGAAAGCTCCTGGCTGGAATGTACTGTTTTTTCGATTTCAGACATTGATGGATTTCCATGGGTGCGACGAGGAATAATATGCGGGACCTCCAAGGTCTCGGTCGCAATTGTCTGGGTCATAACGAAGAGAGCTCTGATCAGATGAGTCGTCCCGCGACAAGGTCTTCACAGGCTCGTCGAACGTATAGGAGAGATATAGAGAGATACAAGGTGAGGAAAGACTCGGACTGTTGAAAAGACGGTCAGCATGGATGGATTTGATATTGCGCATTGCCCTTCACCCACCTATTTATTCATCGACGATTTTTGATACCGCGATTTCCACACTCCCCCGCCCACTGCAGCAGTAATCCCAAGCGCAATGGCGATCATGGTTCCGACAATGAGGACGGCAATGACCAGCTTGACCGCCAGGCGTTGTTTCTTGTTCAATGATCGCAGACAGCCTCCTTTCTTCTTCTTTTCCGCCCACAACTTGGATTGCCGCTTTTTACCAATGTCAACCGAGGGATCATGCGACGGGATCTGACCGCTCTCCGGGTCGTTCAAGCTGTAACCATCGCGATTCGAATGCTTTGCCTCGACGGTTAGTTGTTGAACGGAGACGTTGGATGTGGCATGTCGGTAAAAGGGAGAGTATGGTTTCGCGCCCACCGAAGGGTCGTATTCTTGATTCGAAGACATCTGGGTCAGAGCCGGCGATGGCAAGGAAGGCTCCAGATCGCTCCTCGAGGACGCCGGGCGCTTTTCATCTCCACTCAACAAAGCCGTTGTTGGCTGGGTGCCACCTATCGTAAGTCCGGCAGTCATCTCGTGGTCTGCTTCTGGGCGCGTTTGTAAACCGAAAGCCATGAAGGTATATGGATGCTAGGATAATGTGGTTGTTTAAAAGCGGCCAGTGAGACCTTGAGGCTGTACACACACAAGGCAGACCGTAAATAAGGCGATAAGATAAAAAATGGCTGAAAATTGAGCCAAACCAGCGGTCGAAATAAGGATGTTTTGTTTTTTTTTTTTTTTCTCTCTTCTCCTTGTCAGAAGCAGAAAGCGTCAAGTCACTTCTTTCAATTCGTCTGCCTTGTCTCCGCTGTCTCTTTCTCTCTCTCTTTTTTTCTTTCTTTATTATTATTATTATTTTCTGCTCTCCCCACAGTCTCCTGGGAAAGGGGGTGTTTTGGTGGCGGCTTCCCCCCCAAAGGCGCTTTGGGCCTTTTGTTTGACCCGCCGAGCTCAGACCAGGAAAGATACGCAGACGAAGGAGCAGAAAAGAAGGAGAGACACACAAAAAAGAAGTCGTTCAATAATCCCAAAGTCTCAACGGCGACTATCCAGCGACGGATCTTCGATGGTGAGGAATTCAAGCCGTCAGGAGGTGAGACTTTGTCGCTCTGTGCATTGGAAACTGCATTCCGAGTCAAAATGAAATAATAAAGCTATTCTGTTCCCCTCTTTTTATTTTAAAATAATCAAATCCATCTGCATCAGAGACAAACCGTCCATCCCACCCCTTTTTTGTTTTCAGACAATAGTCGTTCAGATTGATTGTCAATTATTACCCTGGTGACAAGAGATCGGAATCCGTCCCACACTCTCTGTCCGGATACATACATGGCGCGTGGCGCATGGCGCATGGCGCATGGCTTCTCAGACATTTTTCATTCTCGTCCGGTTTCTCTGATTTCTCCTTGATCGAAACCATCTACTATCTCCTCTAGACCAAGGTTGAGATTACTAGTAGATTAGTTTAAGCTGTGCATGAATCCGTTGGTAGTAGCGTGAAGCTGGATTCTTAGTGCCTTCTAGTATCTGGATGATTCGTGGCGGATGGACAGTCGATCGTCCGAGTTCATTATCAGGAGTTGATGAATACGTACTCTCTTTTTTTTTTTTTTTTTTTTTCTTTCGTTCTTTATTTAAATGTACGGGCAATTTAGCTGATAACAATTGATCCATCAACACATGGTGTCCTTGTCTACATATGACAGGTCCATGGCGATCTCGGTGCTAAGGGGAATATAGCCTATGCTCCGTGTTCCAGGTAAATTGCCCGTTCTGCATGCGTATTTTCCAAAGAGTCTGAAGATACCACATCATTATTATACCATATCTCGAATTTATATTTATCTTATTAGCAATGGCTATCATTCTGGAAGATTTCAGACTAATACTGCGAAGAAAACCGTTGAACCAGACTCACACTGTCCTGCACTATGCACGGAGCCGATGAAACTGTCTAACCATCCATCCACCTGTTCTACCTGACAAGCTTAGTTCAAAAACACCGTGTAGCACAGACTGTCGTACAGGTCGCACCCGTACACTGAAACCGCTCCTCAACATCAAGTGACCGCTGCAAGGGATATACCAACGGTTTCTTATCTGGGGGTCTAGAAGCACGCTGCATATAGAACACTGTAGGGTTCTAGTGAGGGGTAATTGTGGCGTTGTATGTACTGTACTCTGTACTCTGTATGGTGCTACTTGGCTGGGTGTTTGGTGTTACTGTAGTTGTGTAAGCATATTGATCAAGCATGCAAGCACATCATGCCTAGATGGTTATATTTAGCCAATACACTGAGCACTCACCGTCAAATCAAGCTAAAGTCAGCATCAGAAACCTCCCATCAGACATAAAAACCCCATCCACAGCTATATCAGTCGTATTCGTATAACTCGCCGCACCCAAATAAACATACATACGCCCCACCAAGCTCAACTCCTGCACCTCCACAAGATGCAAAAACCCACCATAGTCCATACTATCTCAGCCCGACTCCCAATCCGGCTGCTGTGGCACCAACCACTCAGTGTGTTCGGCTGTATTGACCAAACCCGGCCATAAATACGCCGTTGACGCGGATGTCCATTCCAGCGCGAGGGTATGGGTTGGGATGGGTCATGCTGCGCACGCCGGCTCTGGATGCGCCATAAGGGGTGGATGGGGACGCGCTGGGCCTGTGTGGGTTCAGCTTGGTTCGGTCCGTGGCCGGCCCCTCACCCCCCTCTTTCTCCTTGATAGCATTCCAGTGGGTGGATGGGAGGTATCTGTCCGACGGGGTGGACTGGACTGGACCCAGACTCGTCATGTTGGGATAGTAGGAGGCTAGAAGATGATTGCGCCTTTGAGCCCGGGTTTGATAAATGCCCGAGCGGCTTGACTGGTCGTGTAGACGCCCTGGAGAGCTAGTAGCGCTACTACCTAGCACTTCCCTCACGTGCAAATAGATAGATAGACGCACATCAACGGAGAATAACGCTCATCTCCTGCGTAAACTCTACCGCCGATGTATCACGTATGGTTCGTTGCGCCCCGCATTCACGACCATCCCATGAATCGCGCCAGCCTCTTGGACGATCTGGTCCACCGCAGCGGCAATGCTCGATTCCTGCGCGACATTGGCCGTGAGGACAAAGAGTTGGTTGGGGGTAACGATCAGAGAGGGCACGCAAGCACGCCGCCTGCTTCGTTAATAGCGATGGAGTACCTAGACTCTCGATGCGCGCGCGCCGTTGACGAGACAGCATTCCGCGATTCTTAAACCGATGCCTCGGTTGGCGCTGGTGATGGTGACTCGGAGAATAACGCACTGGCGATCACTTTGCAATCGAGCGATACTCGCGTTCGATGAGTCTGTGCTGATGACATGATGAGTGACTTTGGATTGAATGACCGGATATAAAGGCAAGACCGAAGTACCGTTACCATATCTCCCTTGTACTAACCTGATAAGATGATCACGAATACTCCATAGTCCAGCCTGTATTCAATCAATCAAGTTGCACTCTAACCAAGTTGCTCGTCTCGGTGACTGACCATACTCGTCTCGAGGCTATAGAGAAAACAATCACATGACAGTAAACAAAACAAACAAACCAAACATCAACTCTAAACAGACGTCGACATGTGTGTATGACTGCAAACATCCATGTGGATTATTGCAGACGTAATCTCTTATCGAGATTAGAAATCAGGCTGGGCGATTCCAAATCCCACTCCTCGTGGGAAAGGATACAAGCGCCAGACAACAGGACTGGTCATAATTTCAGAAGAGCATGTCTGTTGTCTGCGAGGAATGAACTCAAAGGTACCAGAAAGCCGATCGTATCGTTTATATTTGGCTTGCTGAGTAGAGTGGCTGGCGTCGGTTGATATACCTGCAGCGCTCTGGACCGTGAGAAAAAGTACGAGTACAGGGATCTAGTCAAGACCGAAAGATAATCGTATACGAGATAAAAAGGACATTAGCTGACATCAGAAAGGGGAGAAAATGACAGAAATTGCTGTTGATTGATATTGCTTCACTGCGTCTATCCCTGCCAGTTCATCGTAGAATGGCGGACATGTTGGGTTTATATTTTATGTAAAGAAAAAAAAAAGAAAAAAGTGCTGCCCTAGGCAGTATGTACATCTATGAAAGGAAAATCGACCGTGGAACTCGTAGACCTCAACGCCTGCCCTTGTCTGGGCGGGAAAAGAGGAAACAAAAAAAAAAGAATGATGAAGAAGCGTGACCATATCACCCCTGGCTGAGAATGTCCACCGTCTCCGATGACAAGTTACGGAGACGATTGCGGAGGTCAACCTCAAACTGCTCCAATATGGAATTTGAAAAGGGAAACAAGCTCTCCGTATTCGAGAAGATGTCAAAGCTGTCGGACGAGGAGGATGAGGAATTCGGGGGTTCACCGTGTCCCCTGAGGGCTTTGAAGCGTTGGGACAGGATATTAATCACCCGCTGTATGCGGTGGAGTTTGCTGAGAACCTGCTGTGCAGCCATACGGCCCTGATCCTCGTCATCTACGCAGTAGTTATTATCCACCATAGTGGGAGACCGTCGTCCATGTTCGGGGTGGTGGTCAAGACCGGGCGTTTGCCGTACCACGGCGGCGTACCAGCCCAAGACTTTAAGAATGATAATCGACAGAATGGCGAGGAGATATCCGTCATGGGCGGATTGGTATTCGAGTATATCGCTAACCGCCTGGACAGTCTGTTCGTTGTCGTTGATGACGGATTGGATGGTCGGGGGGTGGTTCTCGAAACCCTGTCCCCTGGAAACATGGGATGTCGATGCTGGCGAGGGAAGTTGTTTTAGAAGATTAAGGGCACGACCCAGGAAGGAACCTGTTGGTCTTGAATCGAGCCCGCCGATGATGGACGGTCGTCTGCTGTCCAGTATTTCCTGGGGTAGTGCGGAGGAAGACGGGCGAGACTCGGGAAACACCGCAGTCTCCATGGACGAAGAGGCATTATCAGGCGTAAGAAGAGGGGTCGTCTTATCGAGATCAAGCAAGCTGCCAATCTGAGCCGGGTCGTTGAAATGGTAAGAATCAGGCAGATCGCTCGCATCGGGTATATCGACCACGGAGAACGGAATCGACGAAGCAGCCAGAAAGTCCTCAAAATGGCCATCGAACGTGGTAGGAGGGGTTGTCATCGTCTTCGACGGATCAACCAACGAAGGAGCATCCGAAAAGATATCCGGATAGCCCACCGACGGTGGTCGAGTAGACAACTGCAGCACACCGGGAGAAGCCAGCAAGTCATGGTCTGACGACGTCCTGCCGGAAACCGCATGCTGGGCGACTTGAGCAGGAAAAGAGACAGGCGGATTACTCGGCTGACGACTGCCTTGCTTGCGACCAGCTCGTTTGGTCTCGAAATAGCGACACGCGATGCCTCGTTTTGCGCAGCGAGCGCATGTTGGTTTCTCCTTGGTACATTTGATCTTGGACGCAGCACAGCTGTTGCAACTGTCACGGAGTTTAGGGCCTGCCAGCGCAATTCTGCGACGAGCTAGAGGAGCCAGGGAGGGTTGCAAGGTGGTCATGGGCGATGAGGAAGACGAGGGTGATGTTGAAGTTTACCCGTTGGTCTATCCAGAAGAGTGGTTGAAGAGGAGAGAGTTGACGATAATCGACGATATGGCGACATGATAGAGGGGCAAGAGGCATTATCAGATGGTAATAGAATAGGAGCTGCAGCCAGTGACAGCTGAGAAGAGGTTGGTAATGCTTTGTTTTGCTGTCAGCGGCAAGAGATTCAGTTGTGCTGACTGAGGAATAAGAAAAATGCTGCAAATGGAGTCACTTTCTGGGCTAATCAGAACATATCCAACCAAATTTTTATATAAGACTTCTATCTATCTGTCTCTATAGACTAGAGCATGTGTTCTCTGTACAGTATACAATATCTGCTGTACGGATCTAGAGTCAGAATGAATACGAACATGCTTATGTCCTGACTGCAAAACAGATATAATTAGTCTAAGAATGAGCTAATTATTATAAATTGACATAAACCAAGAGAATAAAACAATAGAAAGAGCAGCACAATGATATCTGCCTGTACCACCACAGCATGCAGCATAAAAGCACAACCGGCATAATTGGTCACTAAACATGGCTTAAGTTGCCACTATTGAATTCGCCCGCAGGTCAGCCATGATTGGCTGGATATGGCGATTAGGCATTCAATGGCCGCTAAATCATCTGTCAAACTGGCATAAACACGCCTAATGGAAGCAGCCCAATTGCCATTCTGCTGTTATCTGTGCTTTGTACATACACGCCCACTCCCCGAGATTTTATCTCGAGTCAGCAAGCTGTGTGAGGGTCAATCAGGGCAATCAAACCCCAGCCCCACTGTAGGTTACACGAGTGCTGTGACTATTGCTCTTTTGCAGCAGTTCATATTCATTCAATGGCTATAACATGCCAGTTTGGGAAGATAGTACCAAATACTTAAGCGTACTGTGCTAGTGTCTTCCAGATGCCAAGTAGCCCAGGAATCGTAGATCTCCAGATCTTCCAGGGCACTTGTTAGTTTGTATTTCTGACTGGCCCGGCACTTCAGCTGGCCAGGGTACTTCCATATCCGGATAGTCCCTGCTGCAGAGCAAGTCACGCATCCCAGGTGTCGCTCGGGCTCGAAAGGTGAGGGGAAGCTTGACTATTGATATTATATATTGCAGTCCCAACCGTCAAGTAATGATAAGACCGCCTATTGTTTATCGACTCGATCTAGTCTTCAATGACAAACAAACAATCACGATCTCGCCACTCTGATCTGGTCTCTTTTTGACTTGGTTTTGAGGGCGGGCTGGCTGACGGGCGCAGTCGTAATAATATATGGATATCCATGCCGAGCTAGAAGCTTCTTCACAATCGTTGATCAACGACAAATAATATGAGCTATCGGATTTTTGACACTTGGCACTCGACAGACAGCTTGGGTGTTCATGATCCACAACTACATCGGCATTTCGGCGTATACAGAGTCCAGCCAGACTGTTGGACCATCTCAGCGCATTGCTAGAGCAGGGAGCAGGGATGAGCGCCATCCCCGAAGCCCGGACGCCGACCCTGTTTATGTTGGCAATCACAGAAAGCAGGGGTAGTCTTTGCGTCGATTCCAGCAGTTCTCAAAATGCTCATGGGTGTTGACAAAATAGAAGCAGACAATGTCAACAATAAGCCACGGCAAGTAGAGTAAGCTTAAAGAGTAGCTTCATCTCGATTTCCTTTGATTGATGTTCCCCCAAAGCGCCATGAATAATTCGGCTCAGCTCGAGACTCACGCTAGAGAGCTTTCGGCCGCCATCAGAAGCCTCACTGCGTATTGCCAAAATGCTCAGGCTCCTTTGGACATCGCAAGCGCGGGTCCACCACAATTGATCCCCCCCAATGCACCAAAAGAAGCTCATCGTGCTAGAGATGCCGCACTGGCAAGTCTCACCAAGCTCCAGATATTGTTGGCTGGTCCGACGGACTTTTTACAGCAAATGGCTGGTCAAGTATACACAGCTATTCTCCACTCCAGAGTACCGTGACTCAGCTAATTCTGATTGCATAAAACAGACCCAAGTGCTCGCCTGCATCCAGTGGCTGGGGGAATTCCAAGTGCCCGCCTGTATCCCTCTAGACGGCAGTGCAGTGATGAAAGACGTAGCAGATCTCATCGGCGTCCCAGAGTCGCAATTTTCTCGCATCGTCCGAATGGCCACCACGGCTGGATTTCTGCACGAGCCTCAGCCGGGATATATAGCTCACAGCGCCTTGTCGGCGGCGTTCGTTACGAAGCCGTCATATCTAGACGCCGCCATGTTTCTGGCGGGCACGGCCGCTCCAGCTGCGTTGCAAATGCCGGCCGTTACCAAACAGTGCTCCGGACCGAGCAAAAATGATGCACTCAACGTCGCTTCTCATAGCCCGCCTTTTGCAAATCCAGGCGAAACTCAACTTCCCCGGCTTCAGCGTCAGTGGGATGCGTATCTCCGATACGGAGCGGGGTATATTTGCAATACAGCGACAGATATTCTGACCTGTCTTGAGCCCCTCCGGATGAAAAATGCGTCTGTTGTCGAGGTAATTCTTCAGCGCCAAACACTGATGACCTCCTTAACAGCTTTTGTATCAGGTTGGAGCACGATCAACTGAACGAGCGATAGCACTGGCAAATGAATATCCGACACTCCATTTCACAGTCCAATTAAACTCAGCACACGCTTCGCCTCCCATCAGGAACGGAGCATCAACTTTAAAACTCGACAGGACGCGACATCCTCGCGTTACCATACAGCATCGAGTCCCTGGAACCCCACAGACAATCCAGGATGCAGCAGTTTACATAATAAACTTCCCCTCGCCGACACCGGGGATATCATCCACTTCACTCGCAGCACAAATAAGCAGCGAACTGAGAGCGCATTTGAATGCGCTTTGTCTGAATCGGTCAGCCACGTTGGTGATTACCGCACCTTCATTTCCGGAACGTGGGTCAGCCAGTTCTGAAGCGGCAACCCTGACGCGGATACGAGATTTGTCGTTATTGCAACTGGCCAATGAGCGGGAACTGGAGATATCAGAGGCCATGAATTTGCTAGATGGAGCTACTGACGGGGAGGGAAGGCTGGTCTTGGTCAACAAGGTCAGGTCAGCGGCAAAGAATGGCGCGGTTGCTTTGGAGGTAAAATATCGGGCATATACGGACCGATGAAAAGAGTATATAGAATAGATGGCTAGAAATCTATCGAACCAAGTAGAATCCTTGGCAGAGTTCGTGTATGTACGCCTCTTAGCTAGGTATCTCGGACCAACCGTAGTGGAATGGGGCCCATGGCAAACCCCGACAACCGACAAGTATCGAATTAGCCATGCAGGTGGGTTCTATTTAGGCCTATAAATTGGCAGCATGGCGGTGATCGAGACGAAAACGGCTTTTACTGTCTCAGCCTCAGCTAGACTCGGTATCCAATAACTTGTTATGAGCAGTTTGTAAATCTCTGATGTGATAACCCAATACAGGTTACTTGAAACACGGCCATCACTTTTGGACTTTAGGTAGACTTGTAATTTATCCTGCTATCACACCATGTGCGTGATATCAGTTCGCTGTTCGCCTGCGCCGTGTGGTAGGGGTTTCAAACCAGATTTGAAACCTGACCGGGTGTTAAGGCAACCAGCTGCGGAATGTGTTACCAAGGTCCACAGTGTGTGTGGTGGCAGCCGATGTAGGAAAGGATTGATATTTGCTTTTTGAGTACTCGAGCTGACTGATCCCAGCTCAGCCACCCTGCATTATGCTCAACCATGCATCGAGCTCCAGTCTATCGTGGCCCAATCAAACTGACCTATGTCGATGTCCATAGTGGCCTGCCTGGGTATGTCGAAGAAGCCTCCGAGTCCCGAACCCGCGGAGCCTTGCCCTTCAGTGCCATACGATAGGCCATGACCAAAGTCGATCGGCATGGGCATTTGGAACTCATCAACATTGACACCGGCAACAGTATTTCCCGAAGAACCTGACACCATATGCATCATTCTGTTTTTAATTTCAGACACAATCGCTGGCGGCTCCAGCGGCTTGTTTTGCTGTCTATGTAGCGACGCACGCGCCTCCCAGGCCTGTAGGACAATTCGAGAGAAGACAACAAAAAAATGCGTATCATCGTGTTTTACATGGACGAAATGAGACATGTAGTTGTTGCTCATGATCTCCCACGCTTTTTCAGCGTGATTCTCAGTAGGCCGCCTCCTGAGATCTTGAAGAATATGAATGTACGCGGGAAATGGGAAGTGAGCGTGGAGGAACCAAAGGTATCCTTTAATAAGAGGCGAAATCATGAGATTTGTGTGACACTCGAGGATTTTTAGAGCGTAAGAAATGGCCGCATTGCGCTGCGAGTCTGTCTGTTGCACGGATGAGTATCTCGAATAGTGTTCCAGGAGGCGGCTCTTCGCAAGATAGATTCGCGTTGTCCAAATTGCCATAAAGTGAAGCGGGTTCTCTGGATTGCAAAACTTGAGATATTTGTCCTCCAAGGTATCTTCTACAGCCACGAGCTCGCTGCTGTTCGAGAGAGCCTTCAAACACGGGTTGGTAAAATCGAGATGGAAGGCACTGTGGCGAGTGAACTCACCCAACTCGCTACGTAAAACAGCGAATAGCGTCTCTGTGGGTCTGTCATGAGGTGCTGGCGGCGCCTTCATCTCTGGCTGGATATCAAAATCATTCACGTTGAGAGGAGTCTTGCAGTCCCAGAGGGGAGTCAACACTGTTGCTTTGGGATCGGACGACATTTCACAAATCCGATTGTCAAACATGGCCAGTGACCACCAAAGCCTTCGACGCATCTCACCCTCAAGAGCGATGTGTCTGGTATAAGTCGACTCGTTGTGGATTCCCATGCGTTGTGCGATGCGTATGGCCATGCCAAGCAGTGAAGATAGAGACCAGGGATCTGTGTCAGGTCTGACCGAAACCTAGAGGCGTTAAAGCGGTAGAAGATGTACAGGAAGTTGACGAAACCTACTAGGTAGAGAAAGAATGCCGTCAAACAGTCACGATCACTGGAACTCAAAAACCTGCAGTTAAGTAGGGCTTGTTGACATGCGAACTGATAGCCTTTGAGAAGTTCTTTCCTTGGTGATCCAAACAATGTACGACATTCGTCATCGGCGAGACTGAGAATAGAGGTGCAATATATACTGAACATAAGTGCTTCCAATGCAGGACTAATGTTTGCCACCTTGCCGGCGGCATCGATGATGCGTCCTTGCAGGGTTGGGGTGTGCGTAACTTTGAGAAGCGGGTTGACGTTTTCCAGGTAAATCTGCCAGAGCTTGAATATCTGAACCTGTGGTGGATGCATAGTCGAGAGATCAACGTTTGTTTTCGGTGAGCCAAATAGAAGATGGTCGTTGCTCTCTGCTTCGTACTTGTTGTCCCACGCCTTCTTGATCACGGACTCACGCACATCCTCGTTATCGTGAAGGAAACCGCTATCATTATCCTCGTCGTCTCCATAACCATTGTCATCATCGCCGTCGGTATCTAGTCCCTTTTCATCGATTGTTAGTAAAGCCCCAACCCACTCACAAGCTTGGCCATACCTTTTGATTCATGGCGCGCCAGAGATTCCTAGATGAGAATTAGCCTCTGGATGCATATGTTTTCCGGGACGCGGGACTTTGCCTCATACATAGGTTTAGACCTGACCGTCGTCCTCTCCCTCGACGGACGATCTTTCCCCGAAACCGGTCTTTCTGAATGCGCCTCCTGCAGAGAGCCAGACCCTCTGCCTTCCTCACCGGGACACGCATGATCTGCAGCAGGCGTATGCATAGGCTCGAACGGTATGTTATTCTGACGAAGCAGACTCTCGTAACACCTCAGCCGTTCTAGCAACTCTCGTTCGGGAAACCTGCGACGCCGTTGGCTCGTGGTTGCTGGCACGCACTGTACGCCGGCCCGGGTGCAGTTGACACATGGGAATCTGCGATTGCACTTAATTTTGCGCTGTTGGCACAGAACGCACGAAAGCACCCGCTGCGACTTCGCAGTGGGCGTCTGCTCTGGCGTGGGAACTGAAGTCGACATGGTCTGGAAGAGATCAACCGTCTGTCGTGGAGTGCAAAGAATCGCGGTGCTTGACGGGGGCTGTCGGGGGTTTTAAATCCCCGCTGACGGGCCGAACACACGAGGCTCGGGATTTTCTACATTCCGGCCAGCAAGACTGCAGCAGGATTTCGATAATCATGCGAGTCATTTAAATACTATATTTTGACTGGCCGAGAAAGATTAGACCATAAGATAAGCCAATTTCTGCATTAATGATTGCTAAATCGAACGCATTTACAATATGTCGAGGGACGGGTTCATCCCGACCGGGCATTAGTAAAGCCCGACGGTATGCCCTATCTCGTGCTTTCGGAGGCGACCTGCAATGCCCACAAATTTGGCAATGAGTATATATTCCTTTCATTTCTGCCTCTAAGATGTGATCCAACATTCCAAAGTTGTTAATACTGCCGATCTTCAACCTTGATCTCACACAATGCAGGTTTCTCCACGCCCTGCAACTCCTCCAAGCCCCAAATCAGTGCCAGATCAATCAGACTTGGCCCCGAGAGAAAATAACACTCATGATGTTGTGGTCAAAGAGGATCCAAGCAAGCCTGGAGATCACCTGCAGAAGCAGTCGACTGTGAAGACTGTCCTTTTGCTAGTCTCAGTCTTTCTAACCATGTTCCTGGTCGCACTGGATAGAACTATCATCTCTACGGTATGTGCTAGAGCTAGACTTTCTTGCCATATACTGATTATTATGACAGGCCATACCCAAAATCACGGATGAATTCAACTCTCTCGGTGATGTCGGCTGGTATGGCAGCTCGTATTTGTTGACATGTTGCGCGTTTCAGCTCTTGTTTGGAAAGCTATACACATTGTACTCTGTGAAAGGCATCTTTCTTGCAAGCACTCTGCTATTCGAGGTTGCTTCTGTCGTCTGTGGAGCAGCTCCCAACTCGGTTTCTTTCATTATTGGAAGAGCAATCTCTGGAATCGGTGCTGCTGGCATTTTGGCTGGAACTGTAGGTTTTCCACTGTTTATTTGCCTCACCTTCTGACAGATCTAGATTGTATGCATCATTCACACAGTTCCTCTGCAAAAGCGTCCACAGATTCAAGGCCTCTTTGGTGCTATCTTCGGCATTGCTTCAGTCACAGGCCCGTTGATAGGTGGCGCCTTTACCTCGAATGTAAAATGGAGATGGTGCTTCTATATCAACTTGCCCTTTGGTGGTGTGGCAATGGTCGTTGCTGCTCTCTTTTTCAATGTCCCTGACAATAATACGACCAAGCTTCCCTGGACGAAGAAGCTGCCACAACTTGATGCCCTTGGAACGGCAGTTCTCGTACCTGGCGTGGTCTGTCTTTTGTTGGCACTGCAGTGGGGAGGGCAGACATATGCTGTGAGTTATCTGCATCATTTTGAATTGCCAATACTGACAGACTTAGTGGAACAACGGGCGTATTATAGCATTGTTGGCTCTTGCGGGAGTACTCCTCATTGCTTTTGCTGCTGTACAAATCTTACTTCCTACAACAGCAACGCTGCCTCCGCGCATTTTCAAACCAAGGAGCGTTATTTCTGGCTTCTGGGCAACTATTTGCATTGGCTCTGGCAACTACGCATTCAGTAAGAAGCAAAATACCCAGGCCAAATACCTCAGACTGACTTGGTATAGTATACTTCCTCCCCTTCTGGTTTCAAGCCATCAAAGGTGTTTCCGCCGTGCAGTCTGGCATCCGGCTCTTGCCTCTAATGATATCAATGATCCTCGGGTCGATTGTCGGTGGAGTCACAAACATGAGGGTAGGATACTACACACCATTAGCCATTATCGGATCGTGTATCATGTCCGCAGGGGCTGGGCTCCTCACGACGCTGCAAGTCAACACCGGCGAAGGCAAATGGATCGGGTATCAGATCGTGTACGGAGCTGGATTGGGCCTGTGCTTTCAAGTTCCCAACCTCGCTGCACAGACTGTTCTGCCAAAGAAAGATGCACCGTTAGGGCTAGCGCTGATGTTTTTCGGCCAGCTACTCGGAGGAGCAGTGTTTGTGGCTGTTGGGGAGAATGTACTGGGGAATCAGCTTCAGCAAAGGCTTTCTGGAGTTTCTGGGATTGACTTGAGTCAGGTTGTGTCGGGGGGTGCTACGTCGCTACTTGACGGGGTGGCTAGGGATCTACAGGAAACGGTTCTCGTGGGTTATAATGAAGCCCTGCGAAAGGTGTTTCAGGTTGGGTTGATCGTGTCGTGTCTTGCTGTTCTCGGTACAGCTACTTTGGAGTGGAGGAGTATTCGCAAGCAGCAGCCGGGAGGTGATGGTTCTGATGGAAAGGGCGAGACAACAGGAAACGAAAAGAAGTAGAGAAGAGGAAGCGATAACTAAATGCTTGAGATGAAGGATTTCATGTACTATATACGATCGATCAACCGCTCTGAGGAAACTCCAATCCATCCCGAATCTCCCCATTGTTAATCCATTCTTCAATCCACCCAATAGTCATCCTATATGGTCAGCATCTATCTTACACATTCATATAAGAAAAAAAACATACTGGCTATTCTTGGTATCCGCAAAATGCTCATGATCCCCAAACAAATGCTCCTTATAATACGGATCCTCCTTCATCATCTTATAATGCTCGACACTCTCAAACACAACCTGGCTGAAACAGTCATAGTTGGCGATATTCGCCATCTGAGGATCGAGGAGTTGGTTCATGAGCATACGTGTTTGAAGGGGATTGTGGATCTGCTTTCATCAGTCTTATTGTATCCAAGGTGATTTGAGGAATAACATACAACAGTCCATCGCTTGACACCATACTTGACCATGAGATCCTTGGTCATGGGTGCCGACACCGTGATCATATGCCGGCGGTGTGCTTCTTCGCTCTGGCCTGGCTTGCGATAGCCCAGGATGGTGAGGCAGAGATATTTGCTTGGTGGGAGGCCGACGTCGAGATCGGTTGGTGTTTCTGAAGTTACTTCTGTGGTGGTCATTTTGTGTACTTTTCTTTATTAGTTGATTTCTTGCAGATGGAGGATTTGAATCGTAATAAATGGAGAAATAGTCCGACTGGCAGTTCGGGGGATTTCTTTTGTACTTGTCACTTTCGGAGTCCGAAACAATACGACAAGAACACAAAAACATCAAGATACAAACCAACTAGCTGACTAGGCCCTAAGAAGGCCCCGTCAAAGGCGAATACTCATGCAGGATGATCTTGGGCAGCTTTCCACCCGCCTCAGACTCGGATTGCAGTCTCTCCAGCGCTTAAATGATGCTCTTGGCCGGGTCGAGCCCGACATGGCAGTTGGGGATGGTGTCGTTGGTGGTGACGACGTGGAAGATCGCCCGTGTGTTGCAGATACACTCGGAGAGAAGATCAATATCGTAGGTGCTGTTCTGATAGACTTGCACTCTCTTGTTTCCATCTACCCGAGGCACTTTCTCGATCAATTTGGCCTTGTTGCGACAAAAGGCGTTGATCTTTGCGTATTTGATGCGTATGCGTAGAATATATAGCATTAATCAGTCTATCTTCATACGATATTTTATATTTATATATAATAAATGTCTCTTCAGATAGTCAACAATGCACTTGATGTTATATACTCCAACTACTGTAGCATCGGGGCATTTCAACCAAAGGTATAAGCCCTAATCGATCCACCGAAAAAAGCAAATCTTAACTTCGGATTCCGGTGAATCTGACTCATCATTGGTTGATCTGTTAGTTCTCCGAGACCCCAATGGAATGCAATTTATGATGTCCTTTAGAATAATGTAAATGCGTTAATTGTGAAGAAAGCCCAAGAAACAAAGAGTCGGAAGAACTATGTACTTGTAGCCTAATGATGAGTTTTGAAGATAAAGTGTGGAGGGATGAAAAGCAAAAGGCTTATCATATTAGGATATACATTTCTATGGATAAAATAACCGAAAAGTAAAAACAAAATACCCCAACATGAAAACAATCTAGCTGTAGTACTCCTCCATCCAAGACCTCAATGCCCCAATAGTAGGATACTCGAGGAACAGACTACCCCCAACAGCGATACCGAGCTCATCACGGAACTTCTCGGAAATGACCAGGCTCATCAGACTATCGACACCGAGACTGGCAAATGCCGAGTCGTCGGTCAGCTCTGAGACGTCCATTCCAGCTTCTCTGGCGATCAGCGAGAGGGCTTTGTACACGGTGCTGTCCTCATCCACATCCCCGGAAGGTGCAGGTGCAGGTGCTGCCAGAGTAGCGGGTACTGGGGCCTGCTGCGGTACAGGTGCAGGCGCAGGCGTAGGTGCCGAGGCTGGGGCTGGCGCAGGAGCGGACTTGACGGTAGGTGCAGGTGCAGGGGCAGCCGATGGGGCGTCAACCGCTGCGTAGGACTTTGCAGTCGCCGAGTCCGGTGGAGAGAAGAAGCGGTTCAGGAGAATGCGTGGGTAGCGACGGAATTTCATGCCACCCACCACACCCATAATGACACCATCCTGAAGAATATAGACATCACCGAGATACACAGTTGAATCCTCCTCGGTCGGAATCATCTTGACATACGACTTGTACTTCGCGCCGGGGATAAGAGGTCGAGCGAACCGTATGCTGTCCATTCCCGGAGTTACGCAGAAGGTGTTGCCCGTGTCGCTCTCATCTGAGACGTTCATGATGAAGCCCGCGAGATGGGCCACGCTGTCGATGAAAAACGGCGGGATGGTGTAGTTACTACCGGCATGGATTGGCTTCAGCGTGACATCGGCATAGGCCTCGAACTCATTCATGACAACGCTCTGCATTCCGCGGTATTTGTCGGCGTAGTCAACCAGGTTGTTCGCAAAGAGAGTGTAGGCCATCTTGTGCGAGAAGCGGTTGGCAATACCTTCCGCCGCAAGACGGTTGAGTGCCTCGATACGGCCCTGGACAAGGTGTGTCAATGGTCCCCACGAAGATAGCCACTCGTCTGCATTGCCGTAAAAGATTTGACCAGTGGCAAATGATTCTGAAACTCTTCCGTCATTGTCAACGTTTTGCCAAACCACGTCGACGCCGGCAGTGATATTGCAGGTCGTTGCGGTAACACGAATCAGCTGTGGCGTCTTGTGGTTGCTCTTAGCCACGAGACCCTTGGAAACTACGAAATTGGCCATGTGAACATCGACATTCTTGACCTTAGGGAATAGCTTTTTGTGAATATATTCTCCCAATGTGTAAACAATATCGGCGTGAATAGACTATGAAGCGGTAGTATTTAGAAATCGATTCTTATCAGCCAATAAAGTAACTTACCGATGTCACCACACCGCATCCATTCATCTTATGTCCGTATGCCGCAGCAAGAAGCTCAGGCTGCATCAAGTCGGACTGCATGATAACCTTGGCGGAAGATCCTGCAAATGACTCCTCAATAATATTTTGAACGGTAACAGTCTTGAGACTCGACACCGAAGCGTTCGGAGCGCTGGCTTTCTTTTCGGCATCGTAGAAGGTGTTTCCCTTGGTGAGGACCCAATCTCCCTTGTACTGGAGCCAGTATTTCTTCTCGTTCCAGCTGTAAGTGGGTAGGTCCAAGAGACGAAGCGAAGGCTCAAATGGTTTGTGGAATTCACCCCAGCGAATCTGTAAGCCAGCACAGTGGAGCTGTCCCAGGCTCTGAGCCAGGGTGGTCCAGTTGTCTTCACCGCGACGGAACGAGCCCACAGTGAGAGGAGCCGGCTCAATGCTTGCTTTGACAAAGTTAACACAGACCGGATGAGGACCGATTTCAACCCAAATAGTGTCCTTGTCAACGATCGAGGTTTCCTGCGCGCTCCCCATAGCGGAAAGGAAGTCGACCGTGTGGCGAGTCGCGCGACGTACGTACTCGGCACTCAAAGACTTTTCGTCAAAGATGACTTTGCCCAAGAGAGGGGACACGACTGGCAGCGTTGGCGGGTGGAACAGAACAGCCTTTTTGACGGTCTCTTCGAACATATCCAGGATTGGGTCCACCTGAGCCGAGTGGAAGGCGAAGGGAACGTCCAGAAGGATGCACCGATACCCCTTCTCCTTCAGAGGGACTGCAGCAGCCTCCATCTCCTCAGTAGTACCGCTAAGTACAGTCTCCTTGGGCCCATTGATACAGGCGAGGTCATATGACAGGTCCTTTGCGGCTTCCTCAATCTCCGCTCGAGAAGCCTTGACAGCCATCATCTTGTGGGTCCCAGGGGTGCACAGAGTCTCGAGCAGGTGAGCACGGGAGCCGGTGAGGAAGATCGCATCGCTTGCCGAAAGAACACCAGCAACACAGAAAGCAGCGTACTCGCCCAAACTGTGTCCTGCAACGACCTCAGGCTTGATACCCAGGGTTTCCCAGTACCGGGCCAGTGCAATTTCGATGGAAGTGTGGGCGACTTGGGTGACGACCGGCGACCAGACGTGGTCCTTGGGGAAGCTACCATCGATGGATGGGATGAATGACGGGAAACCGTGTTGCTGGGCGAGGCGATCGAAATGGTCGATCTGAGCACGGAAAAAGGGAGAGTGGTGGTACAGCTGGAGGTTCATCGACTTGTCTGCGGCCCCTTGTCCAGTAAAGACGAAGGCAACTGGCGGCGCACCCATAGTAGAGATGGGTTTCTGAGTCTCCACACCATCCAACTTGGAAGTGAGCTGCTGCTTCAAGCTGCTGATATCTGCAGCATGGATCGCTAGGCGGTGGTTGTGGTGGTAACGTCTGGCAGTAAGGGAATACGCCAGGTCAGCTGGAGAGACGTCTTCATTCTTGTCCAAGTAGGCCAGTAACCGCTCAATGTTGCCCTTGAGAGAGACTTTACTCTTGGCTGAGACAGTAAAGATATGGCTCGGACGAGGGTCAGATCCCACTCTCTCCCGCAATGGGGCTTCCTCGAGAGCAACGGTAGTGTTACCACCGGCGGCACTGAAGTTGTTGATAACAGCAATTCGCTTTCTCTCCTCCTTCCGAGCCCACTCAGTAGTTTCGAAGGGGATATGGAGATTACGTTTGTCCATATCCTTGGGGAAGCCTGGGTTTATTTCGTTCTTAATACCGACATGGCGTGGAATGGCACTCTTCTGAAGCATGAGCAACACCTTGAGCAGAGCCGTGACACCGGCCGCAGCCTCTCCGTGACCGACATTTGCCTTGACGGCACCAATGTGCAATGGCTGCTTGGACGTGCGGCGCTTGCCCTTGATCGGAGCGAAAACCTCCGTAATGGACTTCATCTCCTCAGCGTCACCCGCCTGGGTTCCTGTGCCGTGGAATTCGACGTAGTTGACATCGAGAGGATCAACCCCAGCCCTTGCCATGACCTGTCGGTAAAGATCGGCCTGGTGACCGGCATGCGGGTGTGTGATAGACACGGCATTCGCAGAGTGGTTGGTAGCAGCGGCCGTAATGACACCAAGAATGTTGTCGTTATCAGCCTCAGCATCTTGGAGTGTTTTCATCACAATAGACCCAATTCCGTCTGCACGACAGTAGCCATCGGCTCCCGCATCCCACGTCTTACATGCATTGGGGGTCTTGGTCAGGAAGTGACCGTTGCAAAGGCCTGCAAAAGCATCCGAATTGGTCAAGACGTTAAGTCCTCCAGCCACAACTGTATTCACATCGCCAGCCCACAGGGCGGTACAAGCTGCCTGGATGGTAGCCAGACTGGAGGAGCAAGCCGTGTCACAGTTGAAACTCGGACCAGCGAACTTGAAGAAGTAGTTGATCCGACCAGGACCGAAGGCACGACAGCCACCGGGAATGAAGTAGGTGCTGACCTCCTGCCCCGTGTTTACCTCACGATAATCATCACTGGCTTGACCATACCAGGTTCCGATGCGGTTGAGTTTTGTCGCAGGGGTGCGGTTGGCGACGTAGCCCGCACGCTCCAGGGCTTCATATGCTGTGACAAGAGCCAGACGCTGCATGGGGTCGGTCTGCTCGGCCTCACGGGGAGACATGTTGAAGAAAGGTGCATCGAATAATGCTGGCTCGTCAATAAAGCAGCCGTATGCCGTAGCACTGCTGTTCATATTCTTCCCTGTGGGGTCGTGATGAGTTTCCACGTCGAATCGATCCGCGGGAATTTTTCGGTGGACGTCCAGGCCAGCCTCGAGAAGGTCCCAGAACTTCTCGGTATCGGTTGCACCGCCCGGCATACGGCACGACATACCAACAATGGCAATTTTGGACTGCATCGAGCCTCGTGGGGCTTCTTTCTCTTCGAGATCAGTAGTCACCCACGAGACCAAGTCCTCGGTGTCCACATTTAAATCGGGGTATACCGTCGTGAGCGCAGTCGACAGCTGCTGAACCGAGAGAGAAGTGCGGTAGATCATAATGTTGACATCGCGAACTTCGGTCTTGGCCACGCGTTCTGTTATACCACGAACAACATTGTCCCACACAATCTGTTTGCTCATGACTTCAAAAATCACTTGTTCAAACAGGTCTTTAGCGGTAGTTGCCAGAAAAGGCTGACCCGTGTTGGTCGAAAGGACTGGCAATAAGGGCTTGAATCGCGACGCCAACGAGGGTGTCTGGACGACCTTTTGAGCGTCCTCAAAGGAAAAAAGGTGGCCAGCATGGCAAGGCCCTCCATACACAGGCAATTGGGTGAAGGTTCGATCTCTGAAGAATCCCGAAGTGCGAAATAGCGCCTTTAGCCGAGAGGGAGGGCCACTGACGGTGACCGAGCTTTCGCTGATGGCACTGATAAAGATTTTGCTTGTAACTGGGGTCCCCTGTATCATATTAGCCGACCAAGCTCAACTGAACTGGTATTTTAACTTACGTCTCGAGTTTGGATATCGTCAAGCTCCTTCTGGGCCTCTCCCGCAGTAAGACCATAGACGACGTAGGCCCATGATTCAGATAGTTCTTCATCAAGGGGCTCCAGGTCTTGGGCTATGTCACCGACCATGACGCCCATGCGGAATGCAAGACGCACCACCTCAACACCTGTGGCGACAAGATCCTCCAAGGACTTGGCCAGAGAGACGGCAGTCGTGACCAAGAAGCCGATTCCCAACCCGCAAAGAGAGCTATTGGATCCAGCGCTGATCTGCGATTCTGGAAAGCGTTCACAATGACTGAAAAATGTCAGTCTACAGAAGGATGGCCGATAAGAAGACGGATGTATCTCTTACCCGATATACGTCGCCACCTGGAGGACGACAAGCAGGACGCCATCGATAGATTCATGGAGGCGCCCCTTTCGGAGCTCGGTTTCTCCAGCAAGAGTTGTCACTGACTCAAAGGCCGGAACGAGATTGAACAATTCGGTACGTAACCGACTGGCTTCTTGGCGCACTGCTTGAGTGGCTTCATCCAAGAACCTGGCAAGGATGGGGTGATTTCGGTATTTGCTGTGGTTGTGCAAGCGGCGAAGTAGGTATGAAAGATCGTCATTTGGAAATTCGTTGCTAAAATAGATGACATTGAGTTTGTGTGCGAGGTCCTGAGCCTCGGAGGAAGGAGTGTAGTTAACCATGTCGAAAGAAGGCGAGGATAAGGAAGAGGTTGAAGATGCTACCATTGCTGGGAAGCGTGAAATTATTGAGGGCTGAAGAGTGGAAGAAGGGAAAGGAAAGGGGAAAGAAGGGCTCTGAGAGATATAAGTAAAGCTGCTGGTGAAAGTGCGTTGAAACAGCTTTAATGGTCTGGTTATTCCAATACCAATCGAGGATTGCATTGGGAGACTTGGAATAAATAACAGCAGGGCAATAAACAACAGAAATTCAAATGCCGTGCTATACATCCTGGACCGCATTCAGCTTCAGGTTCAGCTGGTACATGTGATCCACTAGATAAGGTAACATCCCGATTTCCGAGATCGTGATATCGGGATCCATGCAGATCGGACTCCGGCATACGGGGCAGGATGGCCTTGTACCACGTGCGGCTGACCGGCTGCTCATCGGGATATACAAATTAGTATTCGAACCATTTTCCTCCGGCTGCAAAGTTATCTCTCAACCATAAACTTGTTTCCCTCGCATCTTCAACACAATGGGCGAAGGCGGCTATCGTCAGATCAACAAGACTTTGGATATCTGCGCATTTGATGACTATCTGGCCACCCAGCAGTCACGATTGCCAAAGTTGCTCGATGTCGAACAGATCAGTCCACGGGTGATTCGTGTCCTCGGACAGAATGCGGGAAAGGTATGTGTGATGAGGCCAGAACTTCTTGCATGAGACTATATTTGCTCATTCTTTTATCAGTTCACGCTCCAAGGCACGAATACATACATCGTCGGTACAGGAAAGCAAAGGCTCATCATTGATACTTCACAAGGATATCGCGCATGGGCGGACCTGATTGACACGACCTTGAGCGAACGGTCCATCGAACTGTCCCAGGTATTCCTGACGCACTGGCATGGAGACCACACCGGGGGTGTACCAGACTTGATCCGGATGTACCCTCACCTCACGGATAGTATTTATAAAAACTCCCCTGAGCATGGCCAGCGACCGATCGAGGACGGCCAAGTGTTCTGCAGCGTCGAGGGAGCTACGATCCGGGCTGTGCACGCACCAGGCCACTCGCACGACCATATGTGCTTCATCCTCGAGGAAGAAAATGCCATGTTCACCGGGGATAACGTACTCGGACACGGAACTAGTGCTGTCGAAGAGCTAGGGCGGTACATGGAGACCCTGCGGAAGCTGCAGTCACACCAATGCGTCAAGGGCTATCCAGCTCATGGCGATGTCATTCCAAACCTGCGGGCTAAGATCGCCGGAGAACTAGCAGCAAAGACGCGCCGTGAGAAGCAGTGTCTAGCTGCACTGACTGCGGTGCGCAGAAGGGATCGATCAGCCAGTGTGACAGTCAGCGAGCTGGTTGATGAGATCCACGGGGGTCACATGGACGAGGAGGTGCGGAAGAGGGCATTGGAGCCATTCATGGATGAGGTTCTCCGAAAGCTCACAGAGGATGGAAAAGTGGCATTTCGAGTACGGAAGGGGGAGAAGAAGTGGTTTGTACTGAATTCAGGATGGGCTTGAGGTTGAAGCTGAAGTTGAAGCTGTGTCTGTCTTGGTGTCTGGGTGTTGTTGTGACGATGTCATGTGATTATGTCTCTACCAGTGTTACTTTCTGTTTTTCTGTCTTACACTCCACGCTATTACTTCCATCAAAATGCTTCATTTCTTTGAAATGCCTAATCCCAGAGAGAAAGTTGATAGATGAAGAGAATATCAAGCCATCAACATCCACTCCACTTGAAGACAAGTCTACAGATATGATTGGCCTTGACCGCGTTGGATCAATTCGTTCTCTGCTAATTGACCGGCTTTCCCCAGTCAGTTTTCCGGTCAAAGGACGACACGACGATCTTTTCCATGAATTTCGAATTTTTTTGCCTGGAATAGACTTGCACATTCAGATTCCGATAAGAGAAAAAGCAAATCTCGTATGCTCGGTGGGATAACCTCAGCAAGTCAAGTCGACAGCAAGGCCACTCATCAATCACCCGAAGGACAGACAGTGAAGGAGCCCCATTGCATCGGGATCTGGTTCTTGTCGGGCTATCTGTTAAGAAACAATTATTGGCTGCTTGCTGGATGCAGCTGACCTTATCGGTGTCCGGGCTATTTCAAAATAGACCATGCCGATGGGATTCTGGCCCGAGATGAGGAATTAATGCTTGCTTTTTGTGATTTCAGCTGCCTAGCCATGCTCAGTTCTATCTACAGTCTACAGTGTGCTGTGTATACATGCATGCAAGTGCTTTCATTGATGAATTGCAAAAATATAGCGGCTGATCATGTGATACTATCACTGCTGCTTTGGTCTACCCAGACGTCAACGCCTGGTAGCCAGAATGACCTTTGCTGGCCATTGTCCTTTGACCGTCTGGTCTTTGACAACTTCCTCCATCTCCAGCCACAACTCGGCAAAAGCCACAGGGTCTTGATTAGCAAACGGGAATGATTCGATATGCTCTCGGAGGCCGTTCAGATCCGTCTCAAAATCCCACCCATCCTCCATCTCGAATACCTGGACATCTTCGACGCCTGTGTGTAGCGGCTCGGTCACCTCGACCTCCGGCGGCAAGGGCGCCGCGATGCCTTGGTGCTGCATGTTGAGGTGAACCCGCTGTGCCCCCGGTAGGAACAGTGCCTCATCTAGTGGAGCGACGTTATACGCCCCATGAGTCCGAGCCATAGCCCCTATCATCTTTGCCGGATCATCGGCATTCTTCAACAAGGCGCGTCCACCACAGTGGTAGATACGGGTGTAGATGTCTCGAACCCGGTCATCCTCAAAATAAGCACCCCCGAAACCGGCACAGGCAAATGTCCCACCAGGTTTGAGCTGTTTCGCAATGACTTGCATAGCCAGCTCTTGGTCGCAGAAATGCATCACATTGGTAGCGAAGACCATGTCGACGCTGCCGTCGGGGATATCGTCACCCTCCTCCACACGGGCAGCGCGGTAACTGAATCCGTCTGTACCGAGTCTATCTTGAGCAAGAGAGACATTCTCCGCTGCGATGTCCGAAATTATGACATGTTGGAACTTGGACCGGAGCGTGTTTGCATATGGCCCGTTCCCAGCACCGACATCGTGAATGACACCAAATTGGCCATTGTGTTCCTGGTGATAGTTGAAGATGCGCTCGAAAAAGACATCGGGGGCCGATGGTCTGCCTTTGAGGTAGTTGTTCCAGAAGGCCTCGCCTTTGGCAAAGAGATTCTCTTCGGGGGTAAAGGCAGGTGGGTTTATTGCAGTCATTTTGCTGTTTGCTGTAGAGCCTATCGTGTTCTACTATGCCTATGTGGATTAGTGCGATTGATATATAGAGGCATACGTAGACAATGAAGTAACCTTGTCGGGAAGCGAAGCATCACTTGACCACTGGACAAGACGGAACTCGGGGTTTACGCTCGGTTTATTTTCCACACCTTTCAGTCTTCTGCTAATTAGGATGCATTCATAGATATAGCCTAGCCATTTAGGGGGGGGAGTCAACATCTACAGCTTTACGACATACAGCAGTACAGAAACACCTCGAATACAAGGAGCGGAGAGCATCTATAACATCACCCCAGGCATCTATCCAAATCTAACATCTGTATCTATCTAAATCCGCCATCTATATTTACCATCTACCCGCATCCTCCCCCAGATAATCCCCACAACCCCCCAAAACCGCCCCTCCAAGCGGAAACAGCGATCTCACGAAATGCAACAAACTCCATTTCACCACCAACGCCCTCGCCCCCGACATTCCCATCTCAACAACCCCATCCCTGCTCACCTCCTCCAACCGGAACAGTTCGCTGTTCGTAGGCTCCATACAGAGCCAAGTAAACGGTAGCATACTCAATGTCATCGACGCCGCGAGCGCAAACACGGTCCAGGACTTCTTCTCGCTTCGTCGTTTGATGCACGTGTAACTATACAGGAGGAACGTGCCCACGGCCATGGTGGGAAGGGCTTGATGGCCGTAGTGGTACATTCGAGTCCATTGGAAGAAGAGCTGGGATGCTTCGGTGGTGGAGTCGAGTAACACTGGAACGGCTAGGAGGGAGAGAGACATCATTGCGCCTGGGATATGATAACTCCGTTAGTCTAGACTGGAATAGCACCAAATCCCCCCCGAAAGAAGCATATCTGGGTCATACCGGATAGGAAAGACCCTGCCACGATGGCAGTGGCTTGAGCGCTGGTGGCGGACATGGTGTGACGAGTGTATGGATGTGCGTTGAGAGTGTTTCAGCTTGAACGGGTGACAAGAAAAGAAAAGAGGGCCTAATAAGCTACGAGGCGTTTTCTACTGCCCTGAAGAGCCTCCACTTTCTCGAAGAGCCTCAACTGCGTTATCTATGCTGATTATCCTACCGGCGTCCGATTCCAGTTTGTCCGGAAATTCCCTTCCTCGCTGGCAGGCATTTATGGGTGGCCTTATTATCTTGATATGCAGCGGTAGTAAGTAAGATTTAGACAGAAAGCTTTATGGAATAGAGGGATGTTGCGAGAGGTAGTCTATCGTATATCGTATGTACATACAAAGGCCATGTCAAAGCTATGGAGTCATATACTACGTCGTATGTATGTGTATCCAAGAAACTGAATCAAATACCCAGTAAAGCCCCTCTAGCAGCCCCCAACTGCACCCTCCACAGCTTATACTCATTCAAAAGAAACATCTCTCCATCTCGACCAAAGCAGAAATTGGCAACTCCCGCATCAGGGACCCGGATTCTGCCTAGCAAGACACCACCAGGAGACCAAACGTTCACACCATCTCCACACCCACTATACACATTACCCTGCAGGTCGCATTTGATGCCATCTGGAATGCCGCAATCGGCCATGGCAAACAGTCGTCGATTCGTCAAAAACGGTTCACCGTGGTAGACGGAGACGTCGAACGCGTATCTACACAGTCAGATGAGACGAGAACATACTTCCCAAACCGGTCTAACGCTGACACTACTCACATCGAGGAAGGCTTATGATCGTCCGTCGTGAAATCACCACTCATCCTGGCCGTGTCGGTGATATACACCGTTTTCTCGTCTGGCGAGAAGCAAATCCCATTCGGCTTTCCAAATCCATCTGCCATAGCCCGGATCCCGCCGGTGCGAGGCTCATAGCGATAGACTTGACTAGGCAGACTGGGTGGAGGCCGGTATCCCTGCTCAAAGCCGTAGACAGGGTCGGTGAACCAGATCGAGCCATCCGAGTGCACGACGACATCGTTGACCGAGTTGAAGGGGCGGCCGTAGAAGTCTCCGATGACGAGATTGGTGCTGAAGGGCGGAGACGTGGACATTTCGTATAAGCCGCTGGGGAGGTTGCTGGATCCCTGGCCACAGAAGAGAACACTGGTGCTGCCTTTGTAATTCACCCCGCCGTTGGCCATGGGGACTGTCTCTGACGGGAGTTCCTCGAGGACGGGTGGAGCTGTGCCATCTCCTAGCTTGACCCGCGAGATTTGGATGGTTTTCTGACCGGCGCTGATGTGTGGAAATTGGTTGCTGGTGATGAAGAGGTCGTTGGTGGAGGCGATGAAGACGCCTGCTTCGTGGGCGAAGGGGTAGTCGTTTTTCTCCAAAAGCAACTGGCAGGTTGGATTGGGTCCGAGGATCGCGTGGAAGCGATCATCATGGACGATGAAAGTGTCGGATTGTGCTGTCATTGTGTGTTTATAGTAGTTGTATGCTACAATCCTCAATCCTTGAAGCAATTCAGACAAATAAATAACGGGGTGGTGACCCCGCGATGCGGAGATCAAAATTACCCCGCCAAGGCCAACGTTGAGCCCTCGATTCGAGGCACCCGCGCCATGTGAATGGCTTCAAGTTACCGTTTTAAGAAAATACTGCTGAACATCACCGATTCGGGTGTATATTCGATCTATCTGTGTCTATACTGGGTGTTCCCACACTCATACTCACATCCATATCGCCATACTCCTCATCTTCATCCCCCCAAAACTCCTTGAGATCTTCGACCCTCCATGCTGTGGCCCACCCGGTTTCCCGCTCAATGCGTGTGAGTGTTTCCACAATCGCCGCGTGCTCCGAGTAATGCGACATAACCTTGCCGGCCAGCCAGAGAGGTTGAAGGGCGTTTGTCCAGCAGCCACTGCCAAGTCAGACATGTGTAGAAGATATTTATGAAGAGTACTTACTGGTGAGCGTTCGAGGCGGATATTGCACAGATTTGTCGAGCATGCCATAGGACGGATTTCTATTATCTTAGTACAGTATACACAGTGTTATAGAAGACTTACTTACAGGTCTTCGCGATAGACAGAGGGTTTTAGGTCGTCTCTGGAGCAAAAGTAAGGAGCAGGTGTGGTAGAGCTGATTCCCGGATACTGCATTTATTAATAATTTTGCCTTAGAGAAAGATAAAGAAGGAACTCACTTGCAGCCCCGTTTGGATATATAACTGTCGGAAATGGCATCTCCCTTCCTTTCCATCCAGTAGTCGGGACACTGAAAATAGACTTCATCTGACACGGCCGATTCTCATACCACTGCTCGACGCGATCAAACAATCCTTTCCAACAGTGAACGTACGAGTCACCTTCCTCCTCGCCACCAAGGTATTGGCATGATACACAAGGCCGAGTTATTTTGGAGGCACAGCCGAAAAGAACACCCAAGGTCTGTGCACATAGGTAGACGGTGTAGTTGGCGTACGTATCGAAGTTTTCTTTTGAGGCCAGAAAAAGTTGTGATGCTTCCGAGGCACCCATATCTTTTGGTATCCAGTTGCGAATGGGAATGATGGTTTCCTCCTCGGAGATGAGACCACCACAGACATCTATCGGATTGATGTGAGTATGAGATGTTTGAAATTTAGCAGAGCGACATACCCATTCTAGCGAAGCACCAAAAAAGTGCTTGTTCTTCCTTTCCTGAGAATCCGTTGATCTCAGCCGCTTGTATTAAATATGCGCATCCATCTAGATGTCGACGCCATTCTTTAGGGTTACCTATTCGATGTCAATAACCAACTACGGAAAAAGATTGGGAGAGTGACATACAACTCAACATTTCCAACACACAAAGAATTACACAAGACGCAATGACAGGAGTCGTTTTGCTCTCCAACTCGGGGAGAAGAAGATGGATTGCCTCTTGATATAGAGATAGACTCTCCGACTGCGACTTCTTGTTCTGCGATCTTTCGATCTGCCTGGCCGATAATGCCAGAATGGAATATCGGAGATGAGGCGAAGATTTGGCCATTTGAGGAAATGTCGAAGCAAAATGGCGGTGGTTATCAAACATGTCCAGCTACTGCCTGTCAGTAAAGTCTAATCATTCCGTACACAGGACGATAATTCTAACCCATACGCATATCTCGTTCAGATAATTCTGCCACAAGACCTTTTCTCTTTCCGGTGACAGCTCAAAACACCTTCCCGTCCTCGATCGAGGACGCTGTGCATTGGTGCTCCTTGATGATCTCCTGTCATCTGCTGCAAATGGTCGAAACCCAGGAACCGACTCAGGTGAGCTACGACGGGTAGGAACATCGGAACGAGCAGTCCATAGCTGCCGATTTCGCAAAGCCGTATGAAGCGCCTCATAAGCCGATCCAGGCAAGAAGACATCGTTGGTGAAGTTAGCTGGATCCGAGAAAACGCTGTGATCGAAAAGAGGCGGGGGAATCGTCTGGAAAGGTTCGTTTGTAGAGGAATTAAAGGCGCCGCCATTGGAGAGATTCCTCAGTGCGGTAAGTTCGTCCACCACGAACTCGGGACTAGAATGCATGTAGGACTGCGAGGTAGGAGGCTCATCACGATGAAAGTCACATTGTGGTGGGGTATAATGCGTGGGACTTGGGACTTTATCGTTGCCATTACCATGATTGGGAGATTGGTTTTGGTTGACTTGGATGCTGAAATCATCAAATCCTGCGGCAGATACGTGAGAGAACGATGCGGCACTCGACAAAGACGGCGATGGGCGCTGATTCGGGCTGGGGCAGGCGTTAAAATCTGGGACCTGACTTGTATCCCGTGGAGAGACCCCCGACTGCGAGTGATGCTCTGTTGCTGGAGGAGTAGCGGGGGAATCCCCATTTTGCAAATTCCCATCGCGATTCGACTGGATCTCCGCCGGCGGAGATGCCTGGATATCCCTCTCTTCAGATTCAACTCGTCGCTTCGACAGCTCCCCAGGTTTTCGTGGTGAGGAGGCAGGGACCACACTGAAGATCTTTCGACGATGAGTATCCACCTATTAAGCCATGACTGCAGTAGCTTCATACCTTGAATTTACTCTGCCGCTTTCCTTTCGCACTAGGAACAGACTGATTCATCGACGGATGCTCCGGCCCCAGCACTTTCATGTTGGAGTCGCGAAACGACCCCAGCTGTCGCGACTGACATTGTTCCCCGCGTCTTTTACACCCGGTACAGGTCGGTTTTGCCTCATCACCTGTCAAATAAGTATCAGCTTGAATTTCACCATATTATCACGAGACGTACACTTCCGCCGTCGCCGACTGCAATTTAGACATCCTGTCCTAGTGCGCTTCCGGCGGCCAGCACTGTCCAGCTGTGGGGTGCAGGGGGCATGGCGATTATTGCCCGCAGGAGAGTCATTAGTCATATTCATATTGTGACCGATATCGTCTCATGGCATATTTCATAATATTTTCACCAAAAAGAGCGACAATGAGGGTGTGTCTGGTTGTTGCATTGGAGCTTGGATGTCGTCGTGTTTGTTGGCGAGACGGAGAGAGAAGGGAGAGAAAAAGTTCCAGAAACCGTATCGATAAGCGCCATGACGGAGTTGCCACTTGGAGATAATTAAGATCGTTAAGTTTAGCCAGAATGACTCGGCCAGCCTTCCACCACGTCGTTTAGCCAGGGAAGAAATTATGGAGAAGAAAATGGGGGGGGAAAGGTGGAGTCAGACAACGCGGGGTTTGTCCGAGAGCAGCCTTGGCAATCTCTACAGTCTCTACAGGTACTTTGGATGTTTCGGTGGTGAAGTTCCATAATCAATATAAAGTGCTATACAGAGATAAATTCCAGTCTTGCTGGCATATGTCCAAATATCCATAATCCCATGTCGCCATATCCCAAGGTATATCCCCAAAACTAAAACAATCTCTACTCAAGGTGCTCAATACCCCCAGTCTCAGCGTCTTTACCAATTTCCTTTCCCTGAGCAAGTCGGACATCTGCATCACCGGCCATTCCCATGGAAGGATGCCAATGTAGCATGACTTTTTCGCCGGTGAAAAGTTGGTCGACTTGTTCCAGTGTAAGGTTGCGAGGTTCGGGATAGAAGAAGTAGATGATCGGGAGGAAGCAGAAGTTGAACACTGCTAGGTCAGCATAATGACTACAAATTATATCAAGAGAATTATGTATACTCACCCGCAAAGTAGACATAGGTCTTGTATCCAATATTGTCAATACTAACGGGTGTTATCTCAACCACCAAGAATGTAAAGATCCAGTTTGTCGCCGTGGCCAGGGACGCTGCTTTCGTTCGAATAGCCAGCGGTGCATATTCGGCGGGTACTGCACATCATATTAGTGCTGGTCAACAATACGTCCTGAAGAGTACTTACAGAGCCAAGGAATTGCCAACAATCCCACTCCAAAGAAGAAGTTAAACAGAAAGAGCATGATGGTCGACACTATACCTGCTGCATGGCCTCCATTGTAGACGGTTCCGCTCAGTATAGCCATACAGCAGCATTGACCGATAACGGCGAACATCATCAATTTCCTTCTTCCGAGACTAGTCGGTGTTAGTACCCGAATGCATAATTATCAACGGTGCGGGAGGTTTCGGGGCCATACCGATCAATTGCAGGGATTGTGAAAAGAGTACTCAAGAAATAGCAGACGCCATTGACACCCGCAATTAGCAAGGCTAGATTGTGGCCCATTCCTGATTGATGTAAGTACTCGAAAGACTGTCTTATGATAAGTTGACTCTAGGAGACAAGTCTAAACTTACCCACGCTATTCTCGAAGATAACTGTGTTGTACTATGACATATTAGCATATTTCATCATTTCAAAAACAAGGCCATACTCACATATGTGATCAAATTAATGCCACTAAGCTGCTGCATTGCCTGTCCACCCATTCCAAGCAGCGTCCGGTATAAAAATCGTTGGGGACCATTCTTGAAGATAAGGCTAAATGACCCCTTGGATGCTTCTTCCTCCTCCGTGATAGCTCGTTGAATTTCGTCAACATCGATGTTAACCACTGGGTCATTCTCGAGGATATCGCGAGCATTAGGTTGCAAGGACCACAGAACGTGGCGGCCCTCGCTATGCTTCTCGTGGGCGATGAGCCATCTGGGGGATTCGGGAAGGACAAGTATGCCAAGGAATGTGACGATGGCGAAGAGGATCTGAAGGGCAATCGGAAAGCGGAATTGAGCCTCGCTGCTCACGTAGCTCATACCATAGTCTGAAAAGCCGTTAATAAGAGATTGGATAGATGACTGTATAGAAATCCTCACCAACCCAATAGGCTGTCATCACACCAAAAATGTTAATGGCCAATTCGATAGCAAGCTATGGAGTTGTTAATTGGGATTTCAAACAGGCGGCGGGATACGAACTCCTTTTCCTCGGCTTGCTGCCTTGCTGAGTTCCGAGTGCCAAACGGCTATGGAATGTCAGTGTCATTATCACAGCGATAGGGGGAGGACCCTTACGGATTGTCGAAGTATTGAGCCCATTTCCAACACCGGCAATGATTCGTCCAACGATCAAATGAGGAATGCTGTAGGCGCTCGCCTGGAGCGCTGCACCGACAACTAGAATAAGGGAGCCGGCCATAATACACATCCGACGACCGAGTTTTTCACCGAATGCCAACGAGAGAAGAGCTCCCACGAAGCAGCCCTAGTTTCATGAATTAGTTGGTGTGTTCAGGTCGGTTATGATGGGTTGAATGATCGTAGCGTACTATCTCATAGATGGCAACCCTAAACACAAGTTAGACGGGACCTATTGTGACCTAGGGGAACTCTTACACTGTGCCTTGTAAACTAGAGCTACCATGGCCAGTGGCGGTAGTATCAATTTCAGGGAATGTTCGAACAAAGGCATCTCCGGTCAACAGACCAGACATGACACCTTGGTCATATCCAAATCTAGAGGTGTCAACAGAGGCTCAACGCAGATATGTTCTGCACTCACAGCAAGAAGCCACTACCTGCCGTGGCAGTGATGGCAAGAGTCAATGCCTTTCCCACAAGAATTGTCATGATGCTGCCTTTTGTCTGATCCTTCACAAAGGCTGGCAAAAATGTACTTCACATCAGGCTTTACCCCGTGGGGCCAGCCCTACTTTTATATACCCTTGTACCCGTATACCTCCACAGCTACGTAGTAGTGGAGGTCTGCCATGGCATGAGACACGGGTATAAATTCTGACTTTACGTAGCCAATATCAATCTGCGGTCCGGCGTCATGTTATTCGGTAAAGATCCGCAGTTGCGGGGAGAACAACCCGGGGATGGGATGCCCTGGAAAATAACGCAGCGACAGGCGGTTAAACAAAACGCCACAAACTCTGAGGCTTTCCCCAGTCATTTGATATTACTGTTCAGGGTGATGGGAATTGTTCGCGTGATGTTGTCCTAAATTGTGGCACCGTGTTGAATTAGCATCATGAATCTTGAACATAAACAAGCTGATGTCTCATTGTGGAGTCAGCTGTCCCGAAAGACGGAGACGACATCAGTCCACCGACGTACAGCCGAGTTTCTCCAGACCAGTACCGACCGGAAGAGTCCGATCGAAGTCCATCTCCACAGAAACTGAAACTGGCTGTCATCGCCAAAAAATCAAAAAATGAGATCGGCGGGGAATGACAGCCGCATTACCCCAACGGGAAGATATAAGCGCTTCTGCAACGTCGCTGTATCCACATCATCACGAGTGCGCATCCTGCAGCTGCAGCTTTGAGGATAAAGCGTGCTGCTCTCATGGAGCTATCGCGAGGTGTTGAGGAGGTGAGCTCTCCGTGCGACGCGCTAGACCTAAACGGGACAGCCAGGCGAACAACTCGCAGACCTCATTTTCTGCCTTTTTGGGTAAGACGACGCACCCGTGGGGTGCATCTGGCAATGTTCTGGATAATTGGTCATGGCCAGTTGGTCCAGTATGAACAAGTGCATCATTGTATGCGTCCAGACTATCAACCAGCCGATCAGGTGGAATAGGTGGAATTTCCACTGCAACAATGTCCCACAGATTTATCCTCTTCCCTAGTTGGGTTGTTGATAACCGCCGAGGGGAAATGCAGTGAGAACTGATATATGAATGCCTGAACCCGTTGAAGTTGATTCCTTCGCAAAAACAACCCTCAACTCTACCCATCCATTCTACACTACGATTTATCCAAAATGGCTCCCTCCGTCTCTCTCGATCACACCACTCCTGCAGTCGTCCCCGAGTCGAACCAGACCCCGGCCGCCTTTGCTCCCACCAACAACCTGTTCTCTCTCGGTGGACGAACCATCATGATCACTGGTGGTGGTCGTGGACTTGGAATCACTCTGGCCGCTGCCGTGATCGAGGCTGGTGGAGATGTCGCATGTCTAGATCTCCTTCCCGAGGCCAGCGCAGACGAATGGGCATCGATTCAGAAGCTGGCCGCGTCACGGGGTCTCCAAGCCACCTACACACAGTGCGATATTACAAACGAAGAGAAGACAAAGCAAGTTCTCGAGGATATCGCTGCTGCCGCAATCCAGCGGAACATGCCCTTGCGTGGTGCGATCACTTGCGCTGGAATTCAGCAGATGGTTCCAGCCCTCGACTACCCCATCGATGGATTCCGCAAGATGATGGAAGTGAACGTTATCGGCACATTCATTCCTAGCAAGCACTGTGCTCGCATCTTCAAGGAGCAGGGAACACCGGGTAGCATCGTTATGATCGCCTCCATGTCGGGAGATATCGCAAACAGAGTAGGTTTATCGTCAAGAGCTGAATTATCATTTCTGACAGCCATAGGGCCTTACCTGCACCGCATACAACTCGTCCAAATCCGCCGTTCACCAGATGTGCCGCAGCGTTGCTCAGGAATGGGGTCAATACGGCATTCGCATCAACACCCTTTCGGCTGGCTACATCCGCACTGCTATGACCGACGCGTTGCTTAAGGAAAAGCCGGAGGTTGAAGAAACATGGATGCGCGGCGCTTTGCTGGGAAGACTTGGTGCTCCCGAGGATTTCAAAGCACCAACAGTCTTCATGCTGAGCGAGGGAAGCTCCTGGATGACTGGAGCTGATTTGAGAGTCGACGGAGGACACTGCGCTTCCGCATAGATTATGTATTTGATGATATTTTTATTCAAGGCGTTTTTGTATAGATTGGGGTTAGGAAGAAAATTAGACGTCGCATGAATTGCACACTTCAAAATACACATTCTTCTGAGTGATTTAAACAATTATATTATAACACATATCGCACTGATACTATTGAACATATTCAATTACGATGACGTCAGTTTGTGTCCAACAAAATAACATCAACACTGTACAACCACATGCAAATGTGCCATCGACAACTCAACCCCTGGTCTACGAAAAGACAGAGTATACCAAATAGGAAATACTAGGCACTACCACGTGGTTGTCTCGCGCTATGCCCCATCAGGTAAAGATCTTCTGCATCGATACCTTCCTATTTAGGAAAGCGTAATCGCAACTTCCTGTTACGGGATTTGATGTCGTTGGTGTTCGTGAAGATATACAAACTCTCATCAGGCCGTCGTGAAGGATTCGGGTAATGCTTTTGCAGATACTAGTGTTCTCAATTATGGATACTGTGTGTCGTACTCGATCCAAGGACGGACTTTGGCATTGAAAAGTCGGACGACGCGGGAGTGCTCTAGCCACTGGGTACAACATCCCTAATTTTGATGAGATAGTATGAAGTAAGTTTCTGAGCTGGAAGAAGTTAAAGGATATTATTAAACCAAGGTAGGTTTGGATAGGCCCATTAGATATTATCTTGAACAATCGATGCCTAAGGAATGAGAATATGGCAGGATTGAGTGACCAGGTGACTTTGCTAAGCTGCTTTGGGAAGGGAGAGCTTCTGTAGAGCTGAGACCAACACCCTCCTTTCTGACTTCAAGTTCTTTTTCCTGAAACCAAACCAGCATTAGGTACAGTGCAAAACCCCTCCATCGTGAGTATGGCAGTTCTAATATCATCAGCCGTATCCTATAGACACCAAAAGAGGCTACTTACCTCAGGGGTCTCCGAAGACGATGGAGATGGTGTAGCATCTGCATCACTCGTTCCAGTCGGCGACTCATTTCCATGCTCCTCCTGCGGCCCTGGACATCCCTCTCCCGGAAGAGAAATATCATACGCATACGCCTCGAGAGCAAAATACTGCAGGGTCTCCGAGTCGCGTGTTGAATATGTCTTGTTTCCAGCAGCCATCTCGATAACCTCAGCATGACCATCAGCGTAATGGTCGATGGTGTTCTGCCCGAACGCCGGCATATGGTATAGACGATGCAGCAAGTCCGATGACCAGAAGACTTTTGTCTCGAACTCGGCGACGTTATAACCAAAGGCGCACATGGTGGTCAGGGAACGACGGGTTTCAAAGCTCAGGTCACAGATGACGGTTTCATCAGTGCCATTTTCACCGCGCCAGTGGCCTCCCCAGCCTATTTCATAAGTGCTTGTCCAAGGTTGAGGATAAACGGTGACATACCTTCAAGATCGCAGTTGTGATCGGGGTTATCACATCGAAAGAGCACGTCTCCCTTTTCCCCATTCACAACAATGTCAAATGCGCCAATTGCTTCGAAGGGTGGCCGGTTGCCAAAGTATTTTTGGTAGATGTCACTTTCATTGCCCCAACGAAGAATGTGCGCCTTTGCGTGATCTGCGAGCTCGATGGTTTCGTTTAGAGCCAGCTCGAGCTGGCGACGTTGGGTGACATTGCAACTAGAATGAATAGGGAATTGGGTTACGGCGCCGGCATCCCATGGCGAGAGAGATTCTTGGGAGAAAGGTTGGGATCGGGATTGATTGGGAGAGAAAGGGATGGCAGTGGCCGTGACTGCAACGAGGATGGTAGACCAAAAACGAGACATGGTGAGATTGTACTTCCTGTGAATTTCATATGTTCATGTTCTGATGGGCATAAAGGGTTTTATATGACAGTTTTCACAGTGAAAATCCTTCATCCATCCCGTTCGAATTGATGCCAAGGGTGGCTGTTCGTGATTCGATCGGCCATATGGACCTATATCTACCCATCTTGGTTCAACGGCTCGTATAAAAGCTCTTGATGCCTTGAATTTAATTACTCTAATTATCCAGAAGGACCTTGGAGATCGAAGCTGCTGGTAAAGACGTATGGATATGTGAGTATACTGGTTCCAAGGATTGTTTGTTGCGTAGAATATCAACCGGATACCAGTCAGTTACTCATATTTGACTCTATTATAGAACCCCATGGAATATTCAATACCAATAGTGAGATATAATTGCCTATCGCAATCATGAGATACCGACTCATATAATCATGCCAAGAACCTCCTCCGTAAAGCTCGGCGGAAGTCGCCAAGAGTCTTGGAAGTGAGGACCTTGAACGGATCGGAAATCTACTGAACCTCCCATACGCTGTTTGAGCTCTTGGCCGTGGTGGTCATCCTTGGCGATAGGTACCTTGGGAGAAACGTCCTCAAACAGAATGAGAAGATGCGTCCTGTTTGGACGAGAGGGAGATGCCATATTACCTAGTGGGGAGATTGGTGAAATCTCTTAATCTGAATATCGCATGGCAGGATGAAACCCTGGAAATGGTCTGACATCTGCGACCTTGGGGAACGGAGAATTATGCCCGTCGGCTGAGGCAATTTAAACCATAAACTGTTCCCGTTACTATCCTTCCTCTATTCAAAGAAGAATTCACCATGGCCAGCATCTTATTGCTTCTCACGGCCATTGCGTCGGTCCATGCGCAGACATACAGTGGATGCCACAATCACTCCAGTGTGGAATATTGCTATGGAAGCGATGGCAGTGAAACACCAGTCTTTACATACTCCCAAACAGGGACAGCCACCTTGCCTGCTACTGTAGCAGCCAGCACCACGAGCACCGGTCAGACAACGGCTGTGACTGGATGTCATAATCATGGATCGGATGTGTACTGCATTGACAGTGATGGTCATGAAGTTCAAGTGTCGTTGACAGCGACTCCGACGGGAGAACTTCCAGCGCAGTACACCAGCTGTCATACTCATGGAAGTGAACAGTAAGTTCATTTTAAAATTACGTTTTACCACTGGCTGATCATTCTAGATACTGCGTTGACCCAGATGGAAATGACGTGCAAATCCTTGAAGAGGGGGCATCAGCATCTGAAGAGACTGAGAGTGAATCGAGTGGAGAGTCTGGAGGAGAGAATTGCCATTTCCACGCTGGCGTTGAGTGAGTATGCATGCCCTGATAGGTCATCTGTAGCTAATATATGTAGACACTGCGTGGGCGCAGGAGAATCAGAGTCCAGTGGCACTTCCTCATGCAATGTTAGAGATCGTGATTACGATCTTCCCCTGCGGATCGGGACGCTTTTCGTGATTCTTGCTACCAGTTCCATTGGAGTTTTTGCTCCGATGCTGCTCGCTAAACTGCCCTTTCAAACACTCAATACGATGGTGTCGACTGCTATCAAGCAGTTTGGAACTGGTGTCATTATCTCTACTGCTTTTGTCCATGTATGCTCTTGTCATTCATTCGAAGAACGAGACTGACTTTTCAGCTTTACACCCACGCAACCCTAATGTTCACCAACGACTGCCTCGGAGAACTCGAATACGAAGCCACTACTTCTGCCGTCGTAATGGCCGGGATTTTTATCTCCTTTTTGATCGAATACATCGGCCACCGCATCATCCTCGCTCGCGCTGCCAGAGCTTCATCGACCGAAACTGAATCCGCATCCCAGGCCGTTCCGAAAGATTCTGCCCATCACCAACAAACCAGCGCATTGACTCAGCTTAGCCATAACCACGGCCCATCCGATCCCACGAAACCCGACACAAAGTTCTCCGTCTTGGTCATGGAAGCAGGTATCATCTTCCACAGCGTGATTATCGGTGTTACCCTCGTGGTCGCAGGGGACTCATTCTACAAGACCTTGCTAGTAGTCATCGTCTTTCACCAATTCTTCGAAGGTCTAGCTCTTGGAGCTAGAATCGCAATGCTGCCAGGGAAGATCTTGCCCACCAAAGCCTTGATGGCGGGAGCATTTGCACTGGTCACCCCGGTTGGAATGGCGATCGGGATGGGAGTGTTGCATTCGTTCAACGGGAATGACCGAGACACACTGATTGCGCTGGGCACGTTGGATGCGCTGTCTGCGGGCATTCTCGTGTGGGTTGGTGTAGTGGATATGTGGGCGAGGGACTGGGTAATCGAGGGAGGAGAGTTGATGGATGCCAGTATTGGCAAGGTGATGACTGGTGGGATTTCATTGGTTGCAGGAATGGTCTTGATGGGGGTTTTGGGTAAATGGGCTTAAATCTATCGACATTGAAGAAGAATCTGTACATGGTTATGCATCTCAATTGAACTTGGATATTTAAGAACCAGCACTGCATAGTTGAGCCAAAAGTATAATTACATTCAAGACTCAAAGTAGCAAAGATTACCGAAACAGGAAAAAGGTGCTGTGGTCTAGTGGTATGACGTCACGTTGTGGCCGTGCCAGCCCCGGTTCGATTCCGGGCAGCGCCAGTCTGTTATCTTTTTTTTCTTTTTATTTTTTTGTCGACATCTTTGTTTGACTTTGACGAGAATTCAGATTGAACTCTTTTGGGCCTATTTGACGCCCGAACTCGCAACCATGTAGCATCGATCGTCATTTCAAGGCTATGTGCAGCTGCTTTTTGTACGGTGTTATTTCAGTGCTATTCGTTGGGGATGTACTCTAATCGATAGCAGCATGGCTCGGAGACCGCGGCAAGATAAAAAGCAATGGATGGTGGTCTCTGGTATTTAATGTTGTCACTTGGTTTATGTTGGCCTGCGTATTATAAATAAACGCATCATGACGTTCTTGAATAATGCATCTGTACACAATCACAAAAAGAGACACCAAAACATCCAATAAGAAAACACCAAAAATACTATACAAAAAAAGCAAAAACATACAACAGCAGGGATTCGCTGGTGGTCACCCACCCAACTACTAACCTGCCGGCGTGTGGCTTAAGTACGGCTGAGCGGACGGGAAGCCCTGTTCTCCACACCCTGTGGTCGTATGTACTAGAAACGACATGAGAGAGGCTTATATAGGAAGGAAATGTGGATATAAAGATGACTTCCAACTGCAGTAATATCATCAGTATTGGGCTTCCAGAAACACCAAATCATGATATCCCCTAACCCTACTGCGCTTTTCAATCCATGAAAAGTAAGAAACCAGAGTATCAGCGTCCAGCGGGCAAAGACCAGGAATCTGGGGAGGGATTGCGTTTGAACAGCCCCTTGGATTGAGTATGATTAACTCTATCAATGATTCTGTTGTATTTACAAGAGGTCTTACTTTATCTATACCATCATAATAATACTAGGATATGTCTAGGACGGACTAGGATAAGCCATCTAATGCAGCCACACTTTAATAACATTCTAGAATAGTGACCATAAGCTAAGAAACCATATTATATGGTTCATCAACAACACATTCATAGTAGGTATATAAATAATGTCAGACTAACGAGACTTCAACCTACTCCGCAATATATAATGGTACAACCCAACCAATTCTACCGATGTTTTCTCGAAGAAGCGTGATACTTACAAAAAGGTACTTTGAAGACAGCCCAATATCATCTCAAATTGATTTACTCTTATTCTATTCTGCACAATATGACTATCTCTGTTATCTTCTGTCTATCTGTCTATCTTTACCTTATCAAATCAGTCACGTGTATGATCTATCTAATCTCCCGCGACGACCTCCCTAAACGGGTCTAGCGCAGCCACTATCTCCCAGACTTACGCTACCCCGCCTAGTCAGCCAATAGAATGCAATAGCATCATGTTTATTTCTCCACCTAACCAGGTCACTCGGCGCCGAGTGGGTCTTCGCCTGCCTTATGGAAGCGTGAGGATTTGGAAAGTGAAGCTGTGCAACCCCCAATCCGCATGGAACTGCCCAGAAGAGCTAGCCATACAGACCGCCTGATGGGAGGCATGATGCGAGATGTAAGGTATATCAACCCTTCTCTCGCTGTCCATCTGTCTGTCCACATTTCATCCAACTTGTCCAGACTGGTGACACCTCCTATCCTACGCAGACAACATCCACCCCGTGTTAGCCAAGGCTATACATACCGTATACTGCTATTGCGTCTCGCTGTATCTTAGATGGCGGCTTTCTCTCTCTTCCCTCTTCGGCGCCATTCTCACGCATACACCATTTCGTTATCGCAACCCACCCGCAGAGCCAGTAGTAGAAGAAGCAATAGTAATTGTCATTCATTATGGCTTCATCCATCGACGTTGTCCGCATTACCAAAGCCGACATTCCCGAAGCCGTAGAGTGCATCCAAAAGGCTTTTGCCGAGGATCCGTATTTTAAATGGGCGTTTAACGATCCATCCAAGGTGTGTTCATCTTATATAGAATGAAACGGATACATAATAATGAGAATAGTTCAACGTCGACCGCAATGCCGCCTCCCTGGCCGCCCACTTCCTCTACGGCATCAACTGCGACGCCCCCATCTACGTCGCCAAACAAACCACCCACCCGACAACGGTGAAAAGCGCCGCCGGGCTACACATCGAATACCATACCCCCCGCATCGTCGGCGTGTGCTGGTGGTACGACCCCAAACCCGCCTCAGCCCCGGAGCCCTGGTCCGTCTGGACGCAGGAATGGATTCTCTCCTTCCGCCAGCTGCTCAATAACATCCGCTTCCTCGGCCGCGGGGGGCTGAATATCCACCGGTACTGGATCTGGAAGGACGTGCAGAAGAAGACGCACGATGTGGTCTGGAAGGATCCGCGGGGGTATTACTTTTGTAATGTGATTGCAGTGGATTCCGGGATGAGGGGGATGGGGGTGGGGAGGAAGTTGGTGGAGGTGGTGACGGACAAGGCGGATGCAGAGGGCATTCCGTGTTATTTGGAGAGTAGTAAAGGGATGCCGAATCTGAAGATCTACGAGAAGTTGGGCTTTGAGTCGGTCAAGGAGATTGAGTGTGTCGATGGGGGGGATACGTGCAAGTTGTACTGCATGATCCGCCAGCCAAAGACCAAGGCTTGATTGAATAGGTAGATTCTACTAGATTAAGTATCAGTAACGAGAGCTCCTATGATAGCCCCAATGCAATCGGTCGATATAAACAGATAAACTACGCCAGATCAGAAACCAAACATCTGCCCTGTATATCATTATATAGACCATCCGCTACCTGCGTCGTCTTCTGATCAGTCGCAAAGGCCCCCAGATACTGAATCGTCTGAGCCTTGATATTGCCCAACTGTTTATACTCACCCAGCCCAACACTCTGCAGCCCATGCTCGACATTAAACCTGAAATACACAGGCACATTCGCAAACCGCCTCTCCATCTCCTCAGCAACAGCCTCACAATCTGTCGTCATATCCTTCACAGCCATAATCAGACTAATCGGAATAATCCGCTGCAGTAAACTCGGCGACTTTACTTGGCTGATGTATTTCTTCCCTGTCCCGATACTGACAATGCACGATACAGGGCGGTCAGGAGGGAATATCCTCTGTGCCTCTGTGAGGACGAGCTTGACGGGGTTATTGGAGCCCATGACACCATCGACGAATTCACCTTCGCGGTCTGGTGCTCCGATCTTTTTGCGTTTGAAGAATGTTGGCGCTGCAGATGTTGCCCGCGCAGCTTCACAGATGGTCACATCCAGGTTCTCATCGCTGGCATCGCAGGAATATGACCGATAGAGCTGCGTCCGACTCACATCGCGAGCATCCTTTGCACAGACAAACCTGTTAAATTAGCATCATCCAAACCACACTATACCGTCGACAAAACGCACACCTTACACCCCTCCCCCTCCGAATCAAATAACCTCATCTCCTTCCCACTCTCACTCGCACCTCCATACCTCCCGACAAGCGACCGAATCGCATTCTCCAAGTTCGTCGCCTTAAACCGTCCATCCGAGCCGATCGGTTTCCTTTCCCCAAAGACATCCTTCGCGAGGGACCGGAACTCATCAATCGCTTCTTCGATCGACAGTTTCAGCCGGCCGAGCATGATGGCGACGAGACCGCCGGTGCTGGTTCCGCCGATGAGGTCGAAGATGTCGCATGGTTTGGGTGTTGAGCGGAGGTTATTCTGGCGTTGGATTCGGAGCATGAGTTGGTGGATGATGATGAGTTCGCTGAGGCCTCGGACGCCGCCGCCGTCTGGTGATGTTAGTATGTGATTGATATCGTTCATATGTTCGCATACCGAGTGCGAGTAGACGGAGGGGATGCTCTGTGTTGGTTAACCCAACCATATTATGGATTGTATTTTAGATACATAGAAAGAAATTGGTTCTATTGATTACACCAGAGTCCAGCACTTATTATATTGCCACGTAGAAAAATTATATATCTGACAGTACAACTACATTATGCCCAACTCAGCAGTATGAATAATGGTTGGATATGAACAGCTGGATGACTTGATGATGTGTCAAATAAACACAGTATCTATTGGCTGTGTAAGCGCTTACTATTCGAAACCCGACATGGTTGTGCGACAAGTAGGCGCTTAACAATATGCACCAGAAATACATGCACATATTTCTAAAAGCTAAATAAGATTAAGATAACCATGGTTTATCTTATTCGATGCAGAATAATTAAACATGTTGTTACCCCTGAAACAAAGACTCTGTATCCCTACATTCCTTGCTTCATATCACTGAAAACAACACGAGTGAACAAAACAAAGATTAACATCGTAATAAGATTAATCTTATTAAACATTAAGTATAAAACAACTCTAATGATGCTTTTCAATCTATTATATCACAGGATAGAGTATACATTCGGAGAGACACTCTACAGAATAGAGCCCAACGCAACACAAGGGATGCTGACACCAACACCAGAATCGTCCTATCCAAGTCAGTCCAGTCCAAATAATCAGGGTTTGTAAATAAACTTACAGCAGAACCACCGTTGTGCTGGCAGCATGCCACGTTCTGCTTGCACTGCTGGTCAAGCACGTCGTTGATACCCAGAAGGAGCAACACGGGGACTGCACAATTAGCATACACACACAACCAAATATCAGCAAGTATAACATACTCTGAATAGGCAGCTTAGAGCACTGATCAAACAATCCAGCACCCTCGGCCGCTGAACCAGCACCGATGAGGTTACTCAACGTGCCACCGACGTGGGTGGTGTCGCCCGAGTAAGACGCCTTGTTGCAGCAGGACAGCTCGGCCTGGTCACCGCACTTGGCCTGGGCCTCGCCGATGGTCATGTCGCTGGGGATAGGGAACTTGTGGCCGCCAAGAGGGGCGTCTCCTTGGTTGAGGAGGGAGGAGGGGAGGGCGACGGCCGAGGCGGCGAGGGAGAGGATGATTGCGGAGAACTTCATTTTGATGTTGAGTCGATCGATGAGAGGGATGATGAGATGAGATGGAGGTGATGCGAGATGGAAGGAGATGGAAGGATGTTATATAATGCCGGATGGAAGGGCGGAATTGGGGTCAGACATTGGCATGGAAGGGTGACATTCTTGAGACAATTGACTTTCTGAAGAATTGATCTGCTCATTATAGTATGCTATGTAAGCATAGAGGCTGTTTATGTTTGTCTCTATTGCTAAATGTCTTGAGTAGTGTGGAATTGTCGCATCTTAAATCTATTATGTTCTGATATAATATCTAGATACATCAATCATTGAGGATGGCTGAATGTCATATTGGTACGCGGTACATTGGGATGTTCAGAATCAGGGCTGCTGCTGTTTACAGCCAGTCATATCTCGAGTATCAGGATAGATAACTGGATTCCATAAAGTCCAGATAAGAAAAGTTAAAGTTTTCAAGATAGGCCATTGTAACCGTCAAACCAGAAGGCTGTTACATTATGCTGTAACTCGTGCTGCATAACTGTTTTCGGCGATGTTGACGCTCCCATGGCATGATCATCATCAAACTTCCCAAAGCGTTGAGCAGTCATCCTATTGTATCCAGCAGCCAATGAAGCATGACCTGTCACTCTAGAACCGTCCGTTTTCAAAGTATACTGATAAAAGAAACAACAATTAGGTTTATATACCATCCTCCACCAAGAGCATTCCCAGCATATACTCCGTTCTCATCGACACATCGTCCAACAACTCTTTCGTGTCTTTACAGCTAACATCCCATCCATCCGCACCAGCAAGGATGCCATTAATCCGTCCCACAAGCTGCAGCTGTCGATTAAGATAGCATGAGTGTCTGTCCTCGGTTAGTTCAAGGCAAACTGGGCAATTTAAGATTCTGTCCTGTTCACTGCGGACTTGGGCGTCGATGTCAAGGAGTACGTCTAGAGGAATGGGAGAGTCGCTGGCTTGGTCATGTAGGCGAGTTGGTCTGATAGACTGACGTGGCAGTTAGAGTGCAGCGGGCATAGTTTTGCATAGGCAAATTTGAAGAGTTGAAGAAGATGCTCTTATTTTCTGAAGACAGCTCTTTGGTTGCGTCTGAAAAGAGTGATTCCATGGATATCGCAGTCTGCAGTGACTGATTCTAGATATCAACTAGACTACTAGATATACTATTAAACATCCAATTGCGCCTCGATAAAAGAAAGCGAACATCCAGGCGGCGTCCTAGTACCGAGATACTTCAACCGCGAGTCCACCGACCTGAACAATCTCTCCCAATCCGACGACGTCCGTTCAATCGAATTATACCCCATAATCTGGAGTATGTCCATGTTGCTACACAATTAGCATCATCACATACCCTCAAAGGGAAGTAAGAAAACTTACTACGGCTGCTTCTCCGACCACGCCGTCGTCGGCCCATCCCCCGGCAAAAACTCATAACAGACAATTCTCGAACCGACTTTCATGGCCGGCACGACGGCCTTTAGAATCCGCTCCGCATACTTGTCAGACCAGTTATGCAGGATGTATCTGAAAAAGTACACATCGGCCCCTTTGACGGGGTTTTCGGCGAAGAAGTCATGCGGCATGAATGATACTCTCTCCTTCAATTCCTCGGCCAGCATCTTCGCGCCCTGCTCAGTCGTAAGAGGGAGATCCTGTACCACGAACTTCATCTTCTGTGTGGCATTGGCCAGGGCGATGGAGACTGTGCCGTGGCCGCCGCCTACGTCGACTAGCACGGCATCTTCATGATCGATAGTCGCCCAGTCGTACCCGCGCACCATGTGGTGATCAGAGAACCGGCCCCCCTTCGATAACCAGCGCATGGCGGATCCGAACCGTCTGGACCGTTCAGGGGTCGCAGCGAGTTCGAGATAGAAAGGTCGACTGGTGTTGAAGGCGAGGTTGAATGGTGACTCGGTTGGCTCGCCCGAGTTGGGGTATTTGTTCATTGCTTCGACCATTCTGGGGGCGCTGGGCTGGATAGCATTAGCTTCTATACATAGTATACACTATACAGAGGTGAAGAGGAACGTACAAACATCTCCTCAAGCAAAAATCCCGCCGCATCCATAGCACCAGGCTCATCATGCAAAACCCTCGACGCAGCAGAGTGCCGAACGCGGCCGTCAGTTTCTGCAAAGACGCGATTCATAATCGCCATGCGGATCATGCGACGGAGCATGATCTCGTCTAGACCCGTAGCGGAGGCGAGTTCCGTATAGGAAATGTCGCCCTCGGCAGGCACGTATTTGGGGATGTTGTAGTGGTAGATGTAGTGGAAGTTGGCGGCGTCGTTGAACTGGATAGTTAGCATACATCTACTGTGTAAGTAGTTGTATGAGGTGCATACCGAACTCCCCAGTTCCACAAAAAGATCAGTAGACCCCTGTGCAAGTCTCTTCAGATCCTGCGCTTGATCGACGACTTCCATCCGCCGATTCTCCACATCCAAGGGCAGATCAACAAAGGTATCATAATCAAACGACGCTGGCTTTCGGCCATTTGCCTCATTATACGCATCCAACGCCTTGCAATTCTCCAACAACTCCTCGGCAAGCAAAGTCAAAGGTGAAGCCATTTCGTCAGATCGGCCTTATCTTGGATTACTCTATCATAGATTGCCCGTGTTACCTGGCTTATTTATAGCCAGCCTTGCTCGGGTGCATTCTGCCCAACTCGGCTTTTGGGGCGTACAAAGTGCCCGATCTTCAGTTGGGATTGCAATGAAGTCAATCACAGCTAGCATGTGAGGAACTCTCGGTCTTCGGACTCCGGGGCTCGGTGCATTTCGATTGGTGGTGAGGCGCTGTGAAGACAAAGAGCGTGCTGAGCTTGCATGAGCCAATGGTGATGCAGAGCGCAGTTATTTGCGTTATTGGCCAATGGAGTGTTGCCCCACTGATCGACAAGGTTTCGGGTGGCCCACTTACTGTGTTTGTATTTACTGCATTGTCATACTAAAAGATAGGATAAGATAGATAGATAGACAGATGATCTAGCTGCCTATCACAAGATGATCACTTCCATACCACAACACCCCAGAAGTCCACGCAGACAAAGCCGGGAAAACACCCTTACCAAGACCCCCGACAACCCCAACACCCCCCATCTAGCTCATCATAATCAACATCCCAACTCCGTAGCAAACCCCCCAAAAAACTCATCCTCCAGCAAACACCGAAACGTAACCTCCCTCTCGGTAATAATAAACTCCAAGCTCCCATCCTTACACCTCGGCAGAATAGTAACCAATCCTGCAAACGTTCCTTTCGCCGGTAACCGAAACGCGCGAATGTACCCATTATCGCCAAACGCGGGCCCAAAGTCGAGCTCGTGCATGGGGAATTTAAAGTGGCTGGTTAGCATCAGGCCGGTTTTTGAGATATCCCCGAGAATACCAGGGAGGGTGTGTGCTTCGTGGGCTGTTTTTTCGATTTGCGCTTGGAGGGATTTGAATCTGTCGGCTGTGACGGCGGTGACTTGTGCGCGGATGATGCGGGCTGCGGTGGACAGACCGGTGGAGGGGTCGGAGAGGGTGGATAGCAGCATTGAGGCTTTGTTGAGGTAGATGCAGTTGCCGATGTATGGGGGTGGGATGGCGAGACGAGAGCGACAGTCGACGGGTTGGGTGAGGAAGGTGGATGAGTTGAAGGGAAGGATGCCGGCGCGATGGCGGGCGATCATGATGCTGCGCCAGATGAGGGCGGCGACGGCGTCGGCTGTCGAGATCCATTCGCCTGGGTTGGAAGATGAAGCTGTGGCTTTGAGGGTGGATAGGTTGTCAGCGGTGATGCGGAAGGTGTGGCATGTACTCTCGACATCGCTGAGTTTGAAGAAGGATTTTGGGTCGGTGGTGATCCAGGCTGGATGGTCGTCCAGGCCGCCTGGGAAGCCATTTCCATTCACCAGAGCTGTTCTGTCGGATTCGTAGATGGTGGTTCGTGGGTGTAGAGGATGGCCGAGTTCACCAGACTGTGCTTTGCGGAGGTAATCGGCGAATATTTTGAGCACTTCATATGTGCCTCTTCCATCGGCGATGTTGTGGATGATAGAGACAACAAGTAGAAGACCGCCGTTGATGAAGTTGGCCTGGAAGCGGCACACATCGACCGGTTCAGGCGTGATATACGCGACCTGAGGAAGGGGACATATCTGATCTGCCTGCAGGAAAGATTCAGAAAAATTGGACTTGACGAGATCAGAAAAGCTGATCTGGTCAGACAGATCTTTGATAATGAGATGGGCAGCTCCACCAGTCGAGATATTGCGAAGCCACGGCCTGCCCCCTTCCTCTGGCGGAAAAGGAACGATAGAACCAGCAAGAAATGGCAGACGCTGGACAGTATGATGAAAAGCAATATGCAGATACTCAACCAGCTGCTTTCTATCCGCATCAGAAGACAGAGAAAAACACAAGATATGTTTCGATGGAATGGGAGACAGCTGACGATCACAGCCGGAGAGCGTAAGGTGGAACGGGGGAGCTGGAATGGCGATATCCATGGTGAAGATATTCGATGCTGAACTGGATAATTCTCTGGCTTTGGGGTATTTGTAGGCTTATCCTGGTTGATATCCGGTCATCATCGGGTACTTTGTGTGATTGTCATTTGTTCGAGCACTTGGAAACAAGCAATTATTCCCAACAGAATAAAAGCCAATAGATAGCCTTTCTTAAAGCCACTTATCACATCATATTTCAAACAGGGCATCAGGAGGTGTCACCGCAGGGATTGATATCAAATCAGACCCCCTCTCATAAAACCACGCCTTCACCTTCTCAACCCCCAAAACAGTCACCAACAACATCTTCCCAAACAAATCCACATCCTCCCCTTTTGCGACCTCCAACAGTCCCGAAAAGTCCCCATTCTGCACAACCAAATGCGGCTTATCCGTCCACGCAACCGCAAAATCAAACGCATCCCGCGCATCCCATAAATGCGCAGACGAGTACCACGCATGCACCAGCCCTAACCGTCCATCGCAGTATAGCGGCATCTTACCTTGAAGGGTTTTGTAGATCTGCATAAAGTAGAACGTGAGCAGGACGGTGCGACGGGCGGACTCTTGAAAGATCCAGTCGTCCCAGAAGGTCATTACGGATTCTATCGCGGAGGGGAGGAGGGTGTCGGTTGTTGGGTCAGGGAGGTAGATGTGTTCCATGAGGGTGCAGGCGAGGTATTCCAGGGTTGGGAAGAGGGATTCGACGGCTGTGCGGGATCGAATGTCGCCGTCGAAGAGACGCATGATTTGGTAGAGGATTAAAGCGTGGGTGCGGGCGAGGAGGTCGAGGGGGGAAGACGGGGTGGGGAGAGAGATGAGGTCATTTACGCGAGAGTCGAAGATGGAGAGGATTACGGGGGCGTTGATGGTGTTTTTGGTCATGTAGAGGGAGCAGGCGGCGAATGCATCTGTAAATTAGTATTTGCTGGTAGATAGATAGATAGAGTACTCACCTTGCATAACTCTCGGCATGCCATTTCTATACAGCTGAGAATGGCACCACGGTGTCTGAGTCTGGGTAACCATCATCCTCGGAGCTGCCTGCAGTATATCCATCGCAAACTGTAACCGACTAGCAATGATGGCCGGGAGAGACGGCGATGGAGATGGACCAGTTGACTGCAGTATCAATTCTTGCGAGATATAGCTAGGTATTTCCATATTGACAATCCCCATATTCGATGATGCGTCCAACTCTAGACCAGACAATACATCGACCAAGTCTAGATCTGCATTCATCTGTCTCCCCGGATAGACACATTGCACATTCCGGCTGACACACCGAGAACAAGCCGGAAAGGCCAGATCGCATCTCCGCTTGGCTGTCTTGCATGATTCGCAGGATTTTCGTCGAGGGGGGGCTGACTCTGCCATTGTGTATGCAACGTAAGTATGTAGTATGTCGATAGGATCAGTGGAAATCGATCTGATCAGAAAAATCTGTGGATCCAGCGGAATTCCGCACGCTAATTTTACCTTGACCAATCATAAATACGTCTAATGTGGGTCTGTGCGGAGATGGTGGAGTTCCGCATTGAGATCACCAGTCATGTGATCAGCCATTGCTTTGTATAAAGAGAGTTCATTGTCTGTTGTCCATCTCATCATCTCTCAATCATCATCATTTCATTTATATCAAACATCTACAATATGTCCATCTTCATCTGCGGCGCAACCGGCACCCAAGGCGGCGCTATCATCCACCACCTCCTCAACAAAGGCCTTACCATCAAAGCCATCACCCGCGACTTGACCTCCCCTACCGCCAAAGCCCTCCTCAACGCCGGGGTCATTCTTACCCAAGGCAACTACGACAACGAAGAAACTCTCCAAACAGCTCTCAAAGACTGCACCAGTCTCTTCCTCAACCTGATGCCCAGCTTCACCGACCCCAACCACGAATTCGAACAAGCCAAGAAAATCCTCTCTATCGCCAAACAAGCCGGTGTGAAGCAGGTCATCTACTCCAGTGCCTTTGGTGTCAACCAGCCTGAACTTTTCGATCCAAGCAGTTTCGTCGGAAAGGTTCTTCTAGGCAAGAAGGCGATTGAAAACCACGTCCGCGATGCTGGGTTCGAACACTGGACAGTTCTTCGGCCGGGAAATTTCATGTCCAACTTCCTTTTACCCAATGTGTTGATGTATGGGGGGTTGGTGGAGACGGGACGGTATACGACTGCCTGGACGAAAGATACTGTCCTCCCCATGGTTGATCCGAATGATATTGGCCAATTTGGAGCAGCTGCCGTGTTGGATCCAGTCAGATTCAATCAGAAGGAAATCGAAATTGCATCAGAACTTATGACAGTCAACGATGTGATGCTGTGTCTGTCCAAGGCTGCCGGAAAGGATTTGCAGGCTGTATATCTGACAGACAAGGAGATTGAGGAGCAGAGTGCACAGAACCCGCTTATCGACATGCAGGTGATGATGCGTGGAATGGCACGATTTGTGGATATGGAGAGCCTCAAGGCGTGGAAGATTGAATTGGGAAGTTTTGAGCAGTTTTTGGAGAGAGAAAAGGAGAGGGTTGAGCAGACTTACATTGGCTTACCGTGAAACTGTTGCCTGGTCTGATATAGTACATCAAATACTCGATACAGTGAATAAATTGAGACAGGCTACTTTTTTATTTCACTATGGTAATTTAGTGTAGTCGCCCATATCTGGACGAGCCCATTTAAATATATATCTGTAGACTACACGTGACAGATCATGACCCATATTTTCTGCCTATTCTAGGCCATTCCCATATATTAATTGAATTTTAGATGATACTTTACAAATTCCGTAAAAATGGATATCGTTCGTTATTTGTATGGGAAATTAAATTAGACAGCATGCTCAGTTCGCTGCAACGCGGAATTCATCACTGAGAGGGCTGCACATTGAACTATCCATTGGTAAATTCCCTTACCAGCCAATTGACCAATCGTCCGTCTCCGTGGCCCAGCTGGTTAAGGCGTCCGACTGTTAGTTTATACAACTAAACAACCACAATCGGGAGATCGGCAGTTCGATCCTGCCCGGGGACGATTACTTTTTTGCTTTTTTGCCTTCATATTAATTATGCGGATATATTATCTATCCCATTGCTTTATAAAGACGGCAAAATAAATATTTTTAAAAAATTCCCAACCTATATATATATAATACCTACCCCTCGAGGTCATCTGGAACTTGAAGGGACCGTTCCTCGTCAGTCCCACTAAACCTCACTCTCCCTCTTCTTTATCAAGTAAGATGAAATTGGGTTTGGCACATCTTCTCAACATGAACAGTAACAGGCCCAATGGCTCCTCCTCCAATCCGCCACGCCCCAACATGGACCCTATAATGCCCATCTCTCTCTGACAGACCAAAGTCATTAACATGCGTCAGCCACGGACAGGTCCAGTAGATTTTGCCAATCTTGACGCTACCATCATACAGTTCAATGCTGCCGGATGTTCCGGAAGATGCATTTGCGCGACCACAGGCGTTGATGATGACGGAGTGGCCTGGTTCGAGTGTGATCTGGTTGATGTCTTGAAGACTTATCTCGGCGTCTTTGTTTTTATTTTTGTGGAATTTGCCCCTGAGATTGGTAAGATATGATATATAGTAGAATGGGGTTAGATGAAGGAAAGGTACCAGGAGGTTTTGGCATTTCTTATGCTTAGGGTGCTGGATTGCATGTTGTTGTACAATGTTATCGTTACCCATTGGTCGTAGCCCATTGTGGCGTTTCTCTGTTAAAACTGATGAGGATCGATACGAAATAGATTAATGGTGACTAGCACGAGTATGGATGGGTCGATTAAGGATTTCATGGTTTTATTGCGTGTTGTTTTGTATCTAAGATGACGTGGAACTCTCGTCACGCGCAGCAAGCGTTGCTACGATGTATGAGATCATGGATAAGACAACAAAATTGTAGTTTTTAGAGGTTATATGAGCTAATAGTAAATTGGATTTGGGCAAGCAGATCAGACAGTCTGCATATTGTCAAGCAGACGGGAAATGGCAATCTTTTCCAGACTGCTCAGCACTTCCTTCAAACCGCCCTTTTCCCCAATTGCGAATCTCTCAAACCCTGCCAATGTTTTGATAGCCCACCGTCGTGCCTTGGCAATCTGCAGCTCCCATAGGTCTTTTGACTCTGCATGTCTATACGTCACATAGGCAATGACGATAATATTGAGAATGGCCGGATAAGCCTGCAATCGAATAGGATGCTCTTCTGGCAAATCTTCAGAGACCAGGCCGTGGATAAGCTGTTCCTCCACTCCCAACATGAACTGAGACTCGAGAAGATATCTCGTTGCTGTATCGGAGAGCTGGAACTCTCCTTCAGCGGACTGCGTCTGGAGTATACCCAGTAGTGACAGTTCTTTTGCTAGATGCTTTCGTTCCACACCTGGACTAAAACTGGGCGAGGATGGCGAGCAAATATTGTGAGTGTCACCGGGAGACCTTATCGGAGTGGTAGGCATGTAGTTGGGCGAGTCTATCAAATAACCAGTTAGCTTAATCAATGATGTTATTGCAAAGAAATATAAACTCACCCATCCCTGCAGGCGAGTATTCAGGGCTATTAGGCGCGAATTCAGGACTCATAGGCGAGAATCCAGGACTATTAGGCATATAAACAGGACTATTAGGCGAGTATCCAGGACTAGTAGGCGAGAATCCACCATCTGGATTATAGTCACAAAATCCCCCTGGCGACCCCAATTGTCTGTTGTGCGACGAGCTGCGGATCTCTTCACGATCTGCTTGATATAGTGAGGCTTCATGTGACTCTTGGCTGTCGTGATCAACAGCCACATAGCTTGTCCATTTGCCAGTGATGGACCACTTCTGACCGAGTTGCTCTGCTTCACGTTGTAGGATCTGTTGGAATGTGGTGGGATTGTGGTTGTGGTAGTGTGAATGTATCCAGCTATGGCCACTTTCGTAGTCGGCCATCAAGGCCTTTGCAGCTAGATGGTGTATAGCTGGTGAGTTGGTCGATTTCCGTAATGGCATCTGAGCGATAAGGATCTCATCATAGTCTGTGGTTGCAGTTACAATAATTGATTCAGGCAGAGTGTCAAGGTTGCTCTGTACCATGTAGTATAGAGTCAGATTAGAAAAGGTGCCGAGTGGCGGGATATGATATGGCGCTTGGATATAAAAGGGCAATTCTCCTTCTGCGATGTCCATAGGAATGGGTAATCCGAGATCGACCTCACAACGCAGTCTGGAAGGCGTCATGGCTGCCTTCAGCATCTGAATAACCCGTCCCTGCCAGCTCCCAGAGACTGACTCCGAGACAACTTCAGCATATCCCCCTCCCTGCTTCCCTATACCTTCGACCAGCCGATGAGAGACAAGATCACCGATCCCAAGGGCAAAATACCGAATATTCGATGAAGTCGACCTAACATATTCCGTAACACTGTCAACATCCCATACCTCCCCATCAGTCAGGACAATGACATTTGTCGGGACGTTCTCGCTGCTGTTATAGTGAGATTCAACACTTTGGAGGGCGCCCAGTATCTCCGTACCGCCCATATATGCATTAAACAAAGCAGCATGCTGCGTGGCGATCTGGAGACTATCCTGGTTGTATGACTGAGAAGCTGGCCACAGCCATGAATGCGTTGATCCGAATGAGCAGATATTGAAGTGACAGTCTTCTGGAAGACTGCGCAGGAGGACATTCGTGACATCGCGCAGAGCACGGATCTTATTGTTCATAGAGTCGGATTGATCTACAATAAATATAATCTCGCCGTTGAAGCCTTCTGTGTCGATGTTGGATAAGAAGAGACTGCCAGGGTTGATAGTCACTGCGACTGTACAGCCGGAGTCATCAGAATGAGACTCAGCCACCGCTTGGGATTCTATCGATCGACCAGCAGCAGAGAGAATGAAGAGGACAAAATCTCTATCCAGAACGGTGGAGTTGTTTGATAGACTGGCACGAGCCTTGCTGGGATCGAACTCGCCCGATGCAGCGCCTGCTGTGAACTGTTGGAAGCTTTGATGGGCAACGGCTCCCAATTCAACTGATATGGGATGCGAGCGAGACTCCATCTTACAGATGGCGTCTGACATGGAAGCTTGGATATTGATCCGCAGTCCCTCGGCTGGGAGTGTTGACTGAGTATATTGCTCTGGAGCTGCTCCATACCGTGGAGCAATGGATGTTGGGATGGTCAAGACGAGTCCGCCTGTGCAGTTGTCGATCTTGAGAAGATTGGTATAGGCAATTTCCACCCTCACAAAGGAATGAGGGGGGATATTTCCCACGTTGGTCTCGAATATCTCCGGCGTCATTTCCTCGACCAGAACAGCTGCTTTTTTCTGAGACACTGCATGCTGGAACTCTGCTCTGGCCACTTCTTTAGGCTTGACTATGCCTTCCAGCATCTTCGAGGGACCAACCCAGCAGCGAAAGGACGTGATGACGGATTCATCGTATACTGGAAAAATATAGCGGGCATTCTGGGCGGCTGACTCTGAGGGATTAGTGAACTGCTGGGTGACTTTGGTCGTTGAGACTCTGCTTTGAATGTCGACATCAACTGACAGACTCAGCAGAGGGAGTGGAGTGTCTTCATGCTCTTCTGCCTTTTCAATTGATCCTAAATGTGCATGAGCAACAGCCTCGATGGATGGAGTGAAAAATAGGCCAGACTGCAATTTGTCAAGAACATCCATTGTTGTTGATTGAATGAGTCAAGATAGAGGAATTGTGGTGTTTTATATTTCCTCTGCTCAGCCTCAGTCTCACAGCCTCACAGCCTCGTCGATCATTACTTGTTTTGTTTCGCAGTCTTACCCCTCATCTCGTATTCTTCATTAATTCTTATTTTCATCTTTTCATCAGTCTGCCTGTGGCTCAATTAAGAGTTGAACGTCGAAAATAGACAGAAAATGGCATTCCAAGTGTCAATCGGGGATATGATGCTGTCCTAGATGGCATTCGACATCGCCAAGGCTTTTCCATTGGACGGAGATCCGCACCAGCAGAATCCCAAGAAGTGCAGAATTAGCTCTACTGAATACAGCTCTGGATACGTTCAAATCCGTCTCATCATTGTCACAGACAGATGGGATCGTCGCAATGATCCAGAACCGCCCGTTTACCTTGGAGCATCTCCAGCAACTGGTCAATAAATACACTGTCATACAAGACAGCAGCAGACAATGGCGCACAGAGATCTGGAAGAACTGGAAGAAGATCAAATGGACACGAGAAGGAGGGGATCTGGCTAAACTGCAGCAGAATCTGGGAGTTCATATCAACAGTTTGAATCTGGCCGTGGCTGTCATGAATAGGTAATCGCCACCTTCTGCTCCATCAAGAATATGCTGATGTTTCCAGGGAATCAACTGAGAAAGTTGGAGATCAGGTTCAGGATGTTCAGTCAATGCTTGGAGAAATCCATGATTGGTTTACGATCAATTTAAGAGGACGATCAATAAGATCTAACCAGTCTATGCCATCGTATACAGTCTGGATTGACCTTTTCGATACGCCTGGATGAGATCAAAATGCATCTATGTGAAAAGGCCTCCATTTACCCAGACTGGCTGGGGCAGTTTGAGGCTCAACATTCATTGCCAGTTTTTCAGTGTGGATGTACATATCGACATGATATGGAACTATCAGACTATTCTTGTATGCCTCCAGTACCCCCTCATAGATATTATACTAACTCGACAGTGTCACCAATGAGCCTCATAGTCCGACTCAATGGACAACCTGTAGCATGGAAAATATGGTTGTTTTCGAGAAAGTCGACACTATCATCATTGATCATCGAGAATATTCCACCATCATGTACGCCACAAAAGGATATTTTAGCGTCACGAACTAACATGGTTAGATTTAAATGAGCTCGAATATAAAATAAATCAACTCGCAACCAATGTTGCTGCACAGACAGTGGACCGCAGAGCAGGTTCTTTAATGGCATTTCCATCTATCAACCCATACACTGACCTTCCTGGAATATCGGTTTCAAACATGATATGGTATGTTACTATCCCTATTTTTTACTCATGAACTCATGGATTATATAGTGATACTCGGCAATTGTATAACCAAATCAATCATCTAAATCTAATAGCTAGTGAGCATAGCTTCTCCACTGGATCTATCGAGGTTGTAAAGCTGGTCCACTACAAGCAATTAGACAAGGATGGGAACTGGTTATTTTATGAGACTGCGGACTTGATCTTGCATCTTCAGCCAGAGGGTTGGATATCCGATGATGACCACTCCCAATTGACTGTTACTAGTAAATAATACCCCAGGTTGTTGTATGTTGTATTCACGGCTAACTTATAGTTAGTTGATGATGTTACAAAGATATCTGGCAGCAACGCATCAGTCAAGATTCCAGAGACATCTTGTGTTTCCACAACTCATTCTGACCAACAGGACAAGGCGGAAGCAATAGATGTCGAGATGGAGTTTTACGATGGGAAATGTAAGACTTCATCTGGTCATATTGTCAAGTACTGACATTCCAGCGGCAAATTATCTTCTACAGCAGCTACAATGTCTTTAAGAAGGGCTTGCTATCTTCGGAATTGAGCAGATGCAGCGATGCGAGCGACTTGTTTTTAAATTGTAGGTCATCTTCTGATTAACAAGTGGAAATGCTAATTATAGACCACTCGGCCTGTTAATGGTTTACCACTACCACCTGGCCGATGCAACACTGCGATTCGTTTCCAACCCGAACAAAAGAACATACCGACTGCTTGTTGCGAATGAATCCAGGTCTACTTGCTTGAGTGTTGAAGGCATGTTTCTCACTGCTGTTATGATATAAGCTAACATCCAACAGTGTCTCCAGAGTCATTACAATCCACTATCCAAAGTGGCGCTGCACATCTCACATTTGCAAGTACATGCTGGATTGCAGAAACAGACTGGAAGAGAACACAAGTACACGAAGAAAGGACCAGACCGACTTTTATGATTGCTGATCGAAGAGGAATGTCAATTCCCATGCCTTAGTGTTTATCACGTTCTAACAGTACATTATAGGTCAAGAACTACTGCTGGAGCTGTTACAAAAGGCAGTACAAGGCCAGTCATTCTCTCATACATCCTGCTTATCGCTAAGCTAAGCAGGTATTATGAGCGCACCAATGCTACTCACACCATAGAATGATGCAATCTCTATCCTGTGATGTTTACTGGCATAAACCTAAGCTAAAATAAACCTTTAACCCAGATTAAGCTATTCCCCACAATTCAGGGTTGCATCCGTGGAACTGGGATTCCGACCCCTTGAATGTGCAGCTTAAAGTTTGACAGCGTCGTATACGAAGCAAGGGATGCTTGTTTCTGCTCTTTGCAAGTTATTTTTGTGTCGATCATCTGTGGCTGGCTGAGGAAACATGTCATACAGTAAACGCAGTAAATTCCCCAGTATTGCATATCAGCAGCTGAAGGTGGCATGTAGATCTTCTCTATACTGAAAGCGACGATACTTTCCATCTTTATAGAAATAGAATGTCATAATGCATACCATTGAAAAGACGTTTCCATAACCACGTTCACAGCAGCTGTCATATCCAATAGCTTATAAAGACTCACTGCCACTCACATATCCCCATTCAACTCGTCCACTACGTCTTCACCTATCTATTCTACCACTCAAAATGAGCACAGCATACCCTGAAGGTGAAGTCTTCTTCACCCGCGAATCCCTCAAAACCGAGGGCTACGACCCCGAAGACACCAACCAATTCTACTCCAACTTTCTCATCGAAGTCGCCACGAATGAACCAGACCGATGGGCCGTGAACAAGAACCCGCCTGGCTTCAGACATACCAATCCGTATGCCAAGCACAAAAAGGTGGTGAAGAAGACGGGGCCACTCAAGCACACCTACTCCTACTGGGATCATTGGTGTGTTGGATATGGGGCAAAGGATGACGTGAAGCGTGTGGTGAGGTACAAGAATCATGGCGATGCGCTGGTGTTCACAGAGCGGTGGTTTCAGAGGGATCCGCAGCGTGTAAGTCGAGTGTTCGGTTGATGCTTTTGATGGTGTAGTTGACATTTGGTAGGTCAGGGTTTGTGCTGTGCCGATGCCGACCTCGGAGGAGGAGTGGGTTTGGCTTCATGTTGGTTCGGTCTTGCTTTTATTCACACTGTGATATATACTGATATACTTCTAGTTACTTCTTCCCATCCGCGCCGTCTATTTCCCTCTCATTCAAACGGCAGACCGGAAATTCGATCAGTTGGCCACGTTCATCCAGGTGAACTTTTACCACCAGGGCAAGCGAAAGGTCTGGCACACTGATAGAGAGGCCTTCCATGACCATTACTTCACTCGCGAAAGAGGTACCGGGATTGACGGCAAATGGGCGTTGGGCATCAATGTGACCGGTATGTCTCCTTGATATCGTGTCTACACTTTGGCTAACAGTGTAGATGTCATGGGCCTTCTATCCCTCCCTCACCACTTCCGAAACACCAACGTCTGGGACGCCAAGCTGGTCATCTGGGATAAAGTCAAAACCGGCGGTCCAGAGGCAGAAGATCGAGACGCCGCTCCAGGAATGGACTTTGTCACGCTCGTCAATGCAAGCTTGGCTGTTGAGTTGGCTTGGCGACCACCCCCGCCGCCTGATGATACAGGCGATGAATGGATCTTCAACGTGCTCAAGGGCATCATGGGCGTGGCACTGTCCACTGTGCCCGTGGCGGGACCTCTCCTCGCCGCCTCGTTTACGATTGGCTTGACCATCGTTGCGGACAAGGACAATGCAGTCGAGTACCTCGCGTCTGCCAAGTGGACCGGGGACGTCACGCGAGCAGCGGCGGGAAGCAGCGTGAGGATCAAAAAGTTCCTGGGCGCTGGATGGCAGGGCGTGAATCTATTGGCGGGAGCTAGGGGGAAGACTTTGACCGTGGGAGAGGCAGAAGCAGAGGAAGAGAAGGAATTGGACGTGAACTCGATTCCGCCCAATCCGCTTCTCCTGGATGGTCTGAGAGCTCTTCTTGAGCATGATGATCTTGACCCGCCGGATGATGACAAGACGCCGCCTCATGGTGAGGGTCTGGAAAAGGCAGTCAGATTAGGGCAGATATCGCTGAAAGAAGCACAGGGGATTGAAAAGGTATTGGATAAAGCAGCTGAGAAGGAGAGGATCAGAAGGGAGAACCCAGAGGCGAGCGAAGAGGATATGGAGAGGAAAAGAGGCTGCACTGTGATGTAGTCATACTGAGCATAGTTTCATTTCTATACTAGTCATATCTTCTGAGGTCTTCATAGGTCTGATCAACTTTTGTAGATTATCTAATCAAAGGAAAGAGACCCAGTCTTTACTACCACTTAATTAGGATATTCTAGGCCACTAAGGTAAGGGCCTAATATAAATAGTAAAGGGGAATCGATGAACTCTTGCCTGCCAGAAAATCTCGCTAGGGAAGCTATATCAATATAGGAGACTCAGATCGTAGTACTACAATATGTAAAATAGTTGCGGGTCCACAATTAAAGCACTGGTGGGGGCGAGATTAAGAGAACCACAAGATCTATATCCAGAAGGGATACGCTGAGCGTGGATATCAGGGGAATCCAATTCTAACACATCGTTAGGTCCACCATTGCATTCAAATGAGGCATGTGCATCAGTACCCGAATAGGAAATGTCAGGCGGCTGAATACGAGGGTTCCTCATACTCATACAGAAGGCTAACCTGAAGATCACTCCACTGTTGCTTGGCTTTAATATCGCACAGACGAAAGTCTTGTGGCTGTAAGAGTTTAATTCCTGCCATCAAGTTAAAATAAAGGTTGGTCTCGCCTTTATCTT